ACCCTAAACACCCTAAACACCCTAAACACCCTAAACACCCTAAACACCCTAAACAGCACCCTAAAACAGCACCCTAAACACCCTAAACAAACAAGTTAATTTATCCTCCACTTGGTAATATGGTGGTCCACAATAGCCAACCGTTCTTGAATAATTATGAATCCCTAGACACTGGCGGATGAGGCTGGCCATCCACCGGCGATTCTCATTACGCGAGATAATCTTTGAATGTGGCAGGCCGAATTTCAAGTGCTTAGAGCCCCGAATTTTAGTTAAACAAACCTTCCACCAGACCCGGGCATTCGAGGAAATGAGGTAGATGGAATGGAAATATAAAGTGCAGAATTCCAAAACGCCAACCCTCGGTCGGAACAATACATCATATATCGGTTCTGAGAAAGGCAGTATCCACTAGTACTAGAATAAACCAATAATGCCATTACATAGTACTTAAGATGTGTATATTCTTATAATTCTAGAAGCAAGGGCTCCCTTATGCTAAATGAGCAATCGTAAACAGTTGACTCAGTCTTAGTGAACACTGGAGCCTGCTTTGATAAATAATAGAGCATGTTTTCATAAACAGTTGAATAAGCATTCGTGAACAATGACTGAGCATGCGTAAACAGTTGACCGGCTTTCTTAACATGGCCAGCTTCGAAAAACAGTGACCAGCTCTGAAAACAATATATGGGTAGTGACTATATTAACACGTTAATAAGCAGACCGTTAATACGGATTGAGGACGAGTTGACAAACGGACTGAGTCGCTCAGACGGTGTGTCACCCCTCGTGCACATTTCGTCCCACTTAGGGAAGACCCCGCCTGAATGATCTATTTCTTAGGCCAAAAGCCATTATCAAGTCCTTACAGTATTAACAGACAATACTGTTATAATATGCGGCTAGTAAAATCTAGAGCCAAGCCGACACATCGTCATTTCCGAAGTATCTACATAAAGATTTACTTTGGGATTGGCTTATGTATTACATATTTCTGTAGTCATACGTCTCTTTGCGAATAAGTAGAACGTTCACACCACTAGATCCTGAACAATATAACATAGAACTCAGATTCGTGGCGTTAATCTTCATAGTGATCACTCAGTATTGTGACCATTAAGAAGTCTACACCATCTTCTCTTAGCACGAGCCTAATACATCATCAAACAGCACAGGTAAAAATTAGTCAACCACATACTACGTACAATAAGGCGATGAAGTTAAAACTCAGTAACTCCATCTTTCATAAAGGTCAGTTCTAGAATTATCCTATAATATTATATAATATTGATATATAGAGTATTATTATAGTATATTTCAAAGTTTCGGTATGATTTTGGTATTTTTGAAGTATCACAATTTCACACATGCAAACAGCAGATTTTCCCGTACTGAAGGCCAGCCTCTCCTAACTGTATATTTTCAGGACTTGCTGAAATTGTTTGTGCTCTCGATAACATTCCAGGTATTCTTTCTTCCATTCAATCCAATGGAATGTGTCCATATTCCCCATACATTTCTGAAGGCCGCCAAAAAGTCCCAGGAATCCTTCCCAGTCAGCAAGATCGTAGCCACAGCAAAATCGGAACAGGTGGATAAGACGACCGCTCTTGACAATTCGTCCAAGATTTGGGTATCCCTTATCTTCGAAACATTTTGCGAAAAATAGTTCATCTTCACCAATAGATGCCTGACCAGCATAGAAATTCGCAACAGGTAGCAGGATAATTGGCGAATTGAACGCTCCTGATTTTGTATCGGTATACGCCCACTCCCAGTCAATGATTCCTGTGATATTAAACTCATCATCAACCAGTATTTGATCGCCCTTGTCATCGGCATACTTCAAGTAAAACTTTCCATCATCAAGTTCACCTAAAGAGCAGGCCTTTAAGACATTATCCAAGAGAAACCGATAAATCAAAAATGCATCTACTGCTTATTCAACATATGACTCTTGCCGAACTATCAAGTCCAAAATTAATTGAATGTAGGCAGTAAAGTAATCCTTTATAAACACAAATGGGCCAATTGGTTTCATCTGGGAATCATAGTACTCGGTTAAGTACTCTCGTGCGAATAGTCCAATATCAAGAGATCCGGGGTGATTCAAAGAGCCTATCAGGGTGAAAGGGTGAAGAGACAGTTCTAGATAGATATCCGCAAGCTAGCCTATTACTTTTCTTCTTTGCTCAGCGGTAGCAAGGGACTAGCACAATAAGCGCCCTGGCAGCTTCTCCATAAGGATATATCCAACACCAACAGGATTCGATTCGCAAAAGTCGAAGTCTTTGACTTTTAGTGCTGGGACCTTTGTTCCACTCAGAAACTACAGAGTTGAGACCTCACTCCGCAGGATGTAATCCCGCAGGGCTACTGGTGGAGAGGTGGCATTTGCTCTTCTAATACACACTAGCCAAGTAATTCCATCCTTAAACAGGATCTCAATATGAAAATTCATCCCTCCTCATAGAACTCTATGAGGAAGAACAAGAAAGAATGGATATGATTGATTTGTTCAAGGGAGGAGAGAAGGAAGAAGCAAGATGCAGCCTGCAAACTGGAACTACAAAGGGAAGCACTGACAAACATGGTCACGTGGTTCCAACACCTCCCATGACTGACCCTCGGAAGGACGTATTGTAATGAAGGCCATGTACTATAGCGCAGGGTATTCCTTCACGAAGAGCCGAAGCGCGCGAAAGCAGTGCAGAAATATCAATTTTACCAATAAGCTTGGTAATCTCATCTTGTTCTGCTTTCTTGGCGGCGAGGTCATATTTGACTTCTTCCTGTACATAGTATAGAGATTAGTCTGGTCCATGATAGAGCTCTTTTTTACTTACTCCCCATTTTGGACATTTATGGTATTTTGGTCCCAGATGCTTCACACAGAGATGGCGATTGCATAGAATGCATTCCCCATAAATGCGAACGGCGGTGTTACTGCAATCCTCACTATCACACGGCCACATTGTGATTTACCGGGAGTTTTCGATCTTTTGACAAGAGTTCCTTGTGAAAGTTAAGACCTCATCCGTGATGCAACACCCAAGTCCGCAAGACTTTGTTAAGTGATTTTGTGTTGAGTGCGCCAAGGGCGCGATTCTAAATCTTTGGAGTCTGGACTTGGGAGTCTGGACTCTGGACACACCGCTAATTTGACACGTGACCTGTGCAGATAGAGCTAATGTATGAGTCCTGAGTCCTGACTCCTGTAACCTGTTATATACGAGCACTCTGTCACACTTTACGCAAAGCCTTCGCTTACTGAGGCTTCTCCTAAATTGGTGGGCAGCCAGGTAGTAGTCCCAGCGAATCAAAGCTATTATTATGCTTTTAAAGGGAAATCAGATAGGTCATCTGTTAGAGAGGGGTCAGGTGACCCCCTCTGGGTATATCTAGATTCCAGTGCTTGCCTGCTTCCTTCCTTCCTTTTCCCTTCTCTCCATCCCCCCGAGAGAGATTGTCCATAGCCAATCCAGTGCTTTTCTCTCTCCGTTCTTTCCTTTCCCTGAGCAGCGGTTGCATTCCTTCCGCGCTGACACTCACTTGTGTCAACCCCTCACTTGTCGCAACTCGTGAGTTATGCCCCGGTCACAGACTAGGTAACATAAAAGGAGATTACAGACCGCCGATTTCTTCTTTTGTATTCCTCCATTTACTTATATCCTGATCATCAGTCAATTCCCCCTTGCTTTTCTTCAATCAACTTCGCAAATATGCCAAGTCCTGCGATCAGGTGTATGAAAGAGGGCTGCAATAGTTGGGCAGAGGAGGGATCGCGATATTGCACTAGCCACAGTAACAGGCATTTATTAAGCAAGATCTACCAATACTGACTCATAGTTCACAACAGAATGAAACTTTGTCCAGAAGCAAAAAGTTCAAGTTCTCAAGGTGAGAGGCTGAGAGCTAAGTGCGCTAGGTGAAGTAATCGTATGTGAGAACCACCTTGATATATTTTCTAGCTGGCCCTTCTAGACAATATCGTGGGTTTTGGAAGAGGCTAGCCACCCTAAAATGATCATTTTCTGGTGGAAAACTTGGGAAATAGGTCATGTATGATGTAACTCCGCTGGTTGTTGAGTGAAGAATGAGCAGGAAGCCCTCTCATTTGGGATCTTTTATGAGCGCATACCATGTGCATGTGATCAAACCATGCCGCCTGACTGCTGGTCAATTAGATAAGTTCTTCGATATTGAGGATAAGTACTACATAGTACTATGTACATTAACCGTATGGTTTTCCTTAATAAGCAGTGTTTGATCAGGTGATCTGTACTCTTACTCCATGTCTTGTAGATAGTAGCTTGTTTCCTTCCTTCTCTTCTTCTTCCTTCCTTCCTTGCAGCACTCAATATTATCACATTGCGTTCTCGCCCTCCTTTCCCTTGTAAACTTCGTGTCTCTTCAGGTTATGAGCCCTCGTGCCAGTCTTCAATCTAACCCGTTGATCGACTGCCCCGTTTTGTGCTGGGATTCCCTCGCTTACGCCGGTTTCCCTGCATTCCCCGCGTTCCAGAACCCCCTGTAACACATCTTCTGTATGCAGTATCCCTGCACTTTCCCCTCTTCTTTGCATCATTGCATTCCCCCCCCTTCGTCGGTTTCTACGCCTACGTACATGTCAAATCTGCGGCGTTCACAGCGCGTTTCCTCGAGGCCACCCGTATCCTACAAGGATCACGACTCCTCGTCAGACGACAACAAGTTACCGCCAATCGCAGAACCCATTGACCCCTCGTACCGCGCATCAAGAAAGAGGTCTAGGACTTCAATCTCATCAGAGCGCATCGCATCGGAAGAACCGTCTTCCATCGCATCGCCGGCTGCAGTCGCTCGGACGACATCACAGCCACCGTCTTCTCCCGCTATCTCTGGAAGCTTTCCAGATTCGGAAGTACGACAACATTCAGAGGAACTCAGATTCCCTCTATCCCCAGGATCACTTGCACGTATCCTCCAGTCGACAAACTTCACGGGCCAAGGTCGCAGCGATCAAACGCCCTCAACACGTGAACAGTAAATTGTGAGGACCATTCAATATAGAACTATGTTGGTAACCATGACTATGGATGCAGGACTAAAGGTGAGAATCTATGAATGGCGAAAATTAAAGCTGTTCTTGTTTACGGGTTCGTCTGATCAAACTGCCAATGTTGGGGCTGCCGCTTGACCGGTCACCGAAGCGTCACAAATTCGATCAATTGTTGATAACCTGAAATAGCCAAGCCCTCTACCTTGGCTTACAAATTCTAACATCAAGCGACTAAGCTTATATATATCAAATATATACTATACTATATAGAGACCACGCAGTTTGAAATGACTGTAGACGTAAAGTCAGATGCCACATGCAGGCAGAGATACAGAGGGAACATATGAAGCGGACACGAACATGTATACTAACGATTTTGATAATATAAAGAGGGGAGGTTTTCTGTCCAATTTGAGATACAGAGTCAGCTTACAGTCTTAATTGACTTGGCATTTAACTAGCAATGTTCTGTCAACTAACATCTCTTCAAATAGGACAATGCTGATAAAACAACGTCACCCTAAACTAATTTGTCTCTTGGGGTGGTGTGATGATAATCATGATCATGACCGCCATCTTTACTTTGTCGACAGGCGCACTTGCAACCACATAGGTATAATTTTGGTGAAAAGAACCAAGCAGTATCAATCATCAGAGTTTGTGCTGGGAGCCAGACGAAGGTTATCTGAGCTAGTCATGCAGCTTAGATTCGGGCAAAGGGCCCTCCTCCCAACCAAAGCTTTGCTCCCAACATCAATAATCCGCCTATGAAAACCGAAATGCCGCTGAATATTGCGGCCTGGGTATAGCCAAGATAGTAATCTATCAGGGCTCCTGCAATGGGAGTCCCAGTCAAGCCAGCCAGCGATATGACGGCCATTCCCATGCCGAGATAGGTACCGATATGGCCAGGTGTGGGCGCAAGATGGGCGATACAAGGTGACATCAGTGAAACAATGGCTCCAGAGAAGAAACCGTAAAGACCCGCAAAGATGATGATTGCCGCATTTGACTCGGTGGCAATCCAGCAAAAAAGCAGAATTCCTGTACATACACCAAAAATAACGATTGTATTAAATCGGCCAACTCGATCCGCTGTTATGCCAGGAAGAAGTCGACCAAAAACAGATGCAGCATTGAGGATCGATAGAAGGTATGAAGCTAATTTGGTGTTCATTCCGTTGGCAATGGCGTACTCTGTCAGGTAGAAGAATGGAGTGAAGACGCCCCAAAAAACGAGGAATAATCCAGCCAAGAAAAGGGAGTAGGCAGTTTGTTTAAAGGCGGAAGGTATTAGGATTCTGCCTTGTCGAGGAGGCAGACGTGGTCTGACCGTGGCCAGTGAGATGGAAAGCAAAACGAACATGACGAATCCAATGATACGCACAGTCCATGCAAAGCCCAGTGACTTGCTGTCAAGCATTCTACTCAGGGCAATGGGGAATATGACGCCTCCCAAAGACGATCCAGTGACAGTCACACCCAAGGCGGCCCCTCGTTTTTCATGGAAGTAATGGGATACTGCTGTCATGGCGGGTGGGAACATAATGCCAGATGCAAGTCCACCTAAAACCCCCTGTGCCAGCATAAACTGATAGTAATCTTTGCAGAGGGATGTCATCATAACAGAGAAGACGAACGCGATGGCAGCGGGCCAGAGCACCTATCATTGTGGCGGCCACTATCAGATACTGGAGTACCATGTAAGAGCTTGGCGTCATTACTCACCCTTGCACCAAATCTATCAAACAAAGGTCCCCCAACTATACCTCCGCCCAGCAGAAGGCAGGTTTGCACGGATCCTATCCAGGCAATAGTCGACCCAGACCTGTCCACTAGCTGATGTGTTGAGTAATATGTCTGGTAAACACTAAATCCGGTTTATTGGTATCAGCAAACTGTTCTCGTTGGCTACTACTAGGCTCCGGGCACTTACCCATATGCATTGAGATAACCAAAAGTGCAAAATGAAATGCAGAAAGCTCCAGCGACAACACTCCAAGCACGAACTCCGCCTTCCGGAAAGGCAGCTTGCGGCAAGGTTATTTTCGTGTTTCTTTCAAGATCCACGCTGTTCTGGTTGGACGCGTCATTATTCCGTTCAATTGTCATCTTCAATTCAGATGTTGGATACACAACGCGATTCGAAGTTGTTCCAAAATTCTAAATGGATCCCAATAAGCAAAGAAAAACGAATCCTCATGCTGAGTATTTATATTTGAGACTATGTTTCGGGAAATTGTGGATGAGATCGCAATCGAAATGCCAGTGAGGTAGAATCTCGGCCACTAATTGGTAAATCGTGACAGCGAAGTGATCATATTGGTTTCGCCCGCGGCCATCTTGATCGATTCTTCGGAGATAAGTACGGGATAGTACATGTTGATGTAGATATGATCTCGGGTAATTGTGGATCGGTCCATCCTCGGAATAATCGCTTAGAGCCGCCTCAAAATAGTTTATCCATTCCGAAATAATCTCCGCGGGTCTATTATCTAGCCATGAACTTCAGTAATCAGTTATCACCGACGACCTTAATAGCCCTCGGTATTACATTTTCTGATTATAAAACATGGATAATTCGGGACCAAGGAAGCGCCGACGTCCAGCTCTCTCCTGTGTTTCATGCCGACGCCGGAAAGTCAAGTGTGACCGCAAAACCCCTTGCGGGCAGTGTATGCTGCTCCCTAACTCAAAATCATGCACCTATACCGATGACGACTGCACCATTCTATACGAGCAGTCCCCTCGACCAGATACAGAAATTTCGCCTCAAGTCTCTAAATTGGAGTCGGGGATTTTAAACCAATCACGCAACTCGACTTGTGGCGAACACCAAGCGCCCGGAGAAGACGTCAGCTTGGCTCAACGCGAATCCCACAAAGACGCTCGTCCTCAACAACCACAAAACAACATTGAAACAATCCCTTCAGCACCAGAGTCACAAAAACAGCTCTCTGCTCCTACTAGCATTCTGGGTACTATGTCAAAGACACGAATATTTGGTCGTGGGCATTGGATGAGCTCGCTTTCCTCAGTATGTGGACGCCGTCTCTGGGTTGCGGATATTCTTGTATTTTATTTGCTAACATGGGCACATAGGCGGAAAGACTGCGCTCAACCCTTGACCCGCTCAGTATAGGAGTTTACACGCCACAGCAACCGACTAACGATCCATCTGGACTCTACGATGTGGTGAGGAAATGCAAACAGCTAGCTCGCGATATAAAGTCGCAACGTCCTAGTCGAAGTCCGCTATCCATAGATGTATATCAAACATTGCCTAACCATGCGGTCACCGAGGAGCTCGTGCAATTGTACTTCGACTCCTTTGAATCATGTTTCCGAATTCTTCACCGGCCTTCGTTCCGACAAGAATATGAAGCGTACAAGAAAGGTCCCGAAACCGCCAGCGACTCTTTTAAAGTTAAACTTCTGCTCGTGATGTCCAACGCTGCCTTTTTATACGATGATGCTGCAGGGATACAAACTCAGCTGCGTGACAAAGCCCGTCGGTGGATTCAAATCTCTCAAAATTGGCTTTCAGCCCCTATCGAAAAAGATCGTCTGACACTTGATGGATTACAAGCTCATTGCCTGCTGCTTCTCGCTCGCCAAGTAAACTGTGTCGGGCCGGATCTGGTCTGGATTGCAGCTGGTTCATTGATGCGCATGGCAATACAAATGGGCTTGCATCAAGACCCAGACAGATTGGGCGAAATGACACATTTACAGGGAGAGATCCGTAGGAGACTGTGGTACACGATCATGGAGATAAACTTACAAGCTTCATTGGACTCGGGGATGCGACCGATGGTCACTACTGAAGACTTTGACACCAGACCACCGGCTAATTTGAATGATGAAGACCTGGAGAAGTTAAAGTCGGGGTGTTCCTGGGGTTCCGATTCGGCGCCAACAAGAACTTCTTTCCAATGCATCCTAGCAAATTCAATTGCTTTAAGGCTGGAAGCTACTAAAGTTATCAATGTGATGCGGAAGGAACCTGCTTATGATCATGTTCTTGATCTCGGAAAGGAGCTAATGGTGGCCTGTCGCAATGCGACTATCGCCATCGATGCGCATAAATTGGCTGCCAAAGGTCTATGGCGAAATGATTTTCCATATACCTGCTGTGATCATCTTCACCGTCGATTCCTATTATGCCTCCATCTTCCCTACGCAGTGAAAGCAGCGCAGAATCCGATGTACACATTCTCTTCAAAGGTAGGTCTAGAAGCGGCCCTTGATATAGTATCACTCCTCGAGGATGATACTTACCGTCGGTTGATGCTTGTCGGGGGTGGCATGTTCCGAGATGTTTTGACACGGGCTGCGATGTTGATATTTTTGGAATTGATCTCACAGCTGGAGAACGACAGTTCCTCATTTGCCAAAATGCGCAATCAAGAACGCAGAGAACCTTTGCTCAAAAATGCGAGGACAGTTGTCCAGTATGCACAAGATCGACTTTGGTATGGCGAGACCAATGTGAAAGCCTATATGTTCGTAAGCGTGACATTGGGTCAGGTGAATGCCATGCTCACGAACTCATCTATAAAAGATGCCATTGTCGCGACTGCCCATGAGAATATTATCATAGCAGGCGATATACTGCGAACTAGAGCTGCTAGTCTGCTCCCGGGAACGGCTATGGATCCTGATTTAGCATATGGAACTGTCGATGAGGCAAATTCCTTAGCCTTGCTCGAGGATATTGACTTAGACTTCATGGGCGAGGGAAACATTGATTCTGGGGTTGCAAGCTCTTGGTTTTTACAGCATTGGGGGAGTACAACATAGTGCTATTATCTATATAACCTCACATCCGCGGGAACATGTGCAAGGTTTATGAGCAGTACTATTCAGACCTCTACCCGGAATAATATGCCTTGGTATTCGCGTCTTGAGAAATTCTTTCAGTCACGTAAACAGTCAAACTCTCTCGGCGCCACTTTCATGAACTCTACTTATGGCTGAGCTTTCCACTGAAGTGAGTGACCATTGCCTTCGTAGGAAAGCGACTATGTTCAGATAACAGCAAATACGAGCAGAAATGACTATGTTTGTATGTAAACAGCGCTGCGGAGGGGGGGGGGGGGAGAAAAGAAAGGACGTAGGGAGTAGAAGAGAAGCAACCCGGAGCCCGGCGGGCCGGAAATTAGAAGCCGGAAAGACGTCACCTGACAAATGTTCCAGTTGTTTACCTCAAGAACCAATCTCTCCCCACAACTTCTCCGCAGCAACAGTCCAACTGCCAATCAACATAATGTTACCCAAATATTTGCAAAACAGCTATACCCGCTATAAGGACGACACAAACAGTTTCGCAGCTTGGTTAGTCGAGGCAGCATTGAAATGTGGTCACCGACCAAACAACCTCCCCTCGGTTACTCCTTCGCAGAAAAAGTCCAAAGGCAAGGGGAAGTCCAAAGGAAAGAGCAACAATGATCAGCAAAGAGTTTCCACCGAACCCACTCAATATCGCCCAACAATCAAGGATCTACAACAGCTCGCTGAGGTGGTTTCAAAGTCGACCCTTGTTGTGCCGAGGCAGATTCTTGCTATTGCCAAACGAGAAAGATTGATCTCATGAATGCTGCTGTTGTGACTGATGGTGCCATACAACTTGCGCGGGATCTCGTGCAAGTGGTTGTGGAAGACTATGCCAGTAATGGCATTCCCTCAGAGAGCCTCCAGCAACTGATCTTCAACGCATGCTCCATCAGTCGAGGCATAGTACCCACTCCATCTGCTGAAATTGGCCTTCCATACAACAAGGATATGGCAGATGTAGCCGAATTGTGCTATTTCCCAACCCTGGTTCTCCTAACCTCATTCGCGGATGTTCTACGCCAGAATGAGTTGCCTGTTTTCAAGAAAGGTTATTTCGGAAGGTATGATCCTTCAGCGACCAGAGAGAAGATGTCTGTTGGCCAGAAATTTCATGAAGACAAAATCATTTTACTTCAGCTGCTTCCGGAATTTTGCATCTTTGGATATAAATCCCAAATGCCTGCCTTGGATGTGATTACCACAGGACTCGCGGAATTTTGCAAAACCAAGAAAATTACTCCATGGCTCTGCTTTGCATCTCAAATTCTGCTTGATGTCCACCACATCATGCGTCACAGCCAAGTCAGTGCACTCGATGACCTTCGTATGTCCGGACTGCGCATTCAGAGAACAGTCGCGGAATATTTGAAGATTTCCAAATCACACCCACAGCCAAAATTTTGGCCAAAGGAAGGAGATGAAGAAATAAAGGATTTGCACTCAACAGTGGAGTCTTGTATTATTGAAGATCCTATCTACGCGATTAAAGTCGATGTTCTTCCGAGAGGTCATGTTCCCGAAAAACATGTGCTTTTCTCTCAACATACTATCCTTTGTGGTGTGAATATGTTCCACCTCAACATGAGAATGCAGTCGGTCGGTCAACGCCTCATCACGCAATGGTATGATGTCCAGCAACTAGCTTTTTTGTACAATCTTTTCAGACAAGCACCCATGCACGCCCATCTGAGCTGGCCTGACATGGAAACGTTCATTAAGATACACGGCGAATCACACATCTTCATCGGGAGCCGACCCAGGAATGCTAGCGAATCTCTCAATAGACTTGAGCTTGCGACTGGTATATCATCAGCTACCAAATTTGCCCGTGATTCGCGCAACCGAAGTGCCTTTCACCGTCCCAACGGAAAGAATAGCAGAATACTTGAGCCAACTACTACCGTTGCGAACCTATTCCGTGGCCAGTATGTCGCTGGTTGCCGGAAAGAAGATGAAGGCATCGAAAATATCGACAAAGTTTTGGACGCGCTTTCAAAGGAAGCGGGCCTCGAAGCCACTAGCAAGGAGGCCCAGCTTAGAAATCCTCAGAAGATACTTCAACGAAAGTGGGATCAGACTCATCATATCGGCACGATCCAACTTCTCGCCCTCATCAAGAACAAGTTATTCGAAGAAGAGCCTGTGATTTTATTCAACTACTTTGGCATGCATAAGCGCTCTCTAGAATTGCTCAGAGAGATCAAGGCGAAAGAACACCAAAAGTTCGTGCAGTATTTTACTCCATCTTACATGCCTGATGAGTCTTTCATTTCCAATATTGTTCTATTGGTCCATCATGTTGCAAAAGGTTCTGCACAGAATGCGAAAGACATGGGGATCACGCCCAGGGCCCCTGGTGCTCAGATTATCAGTCGGATTGTTGTGAGCTGCGGCGATGTTATGCAAGTGTATCTGCGCAAAAATGGGGATGTGGCCTGCAAAGAACTCAAGATTTTCTGCAAGAACAAAACACCAATTCAGGAGATCGCCGAAGATGACGGTGACAGGTCTAAGCAATTCATGTCTTGGGTCAATTTCGAAGACGTTCTTGGTCCTAAGGCAATGGCCTCACTTATGACCGGTGTTCCGGTATCTTAGCCTGATCATTGAATGACCTCCAGGGCTACAATTTCGAATCTCTTGGTCCCACTTGTACAACAGGTAACATCTGAACAAACCCTTCCTCAGAGGTATGTGGTATTCACTGCAGGGCTGTAGTACTTTAGGCCTATTGTTTCATCGTGAGATGTCATGTTAAACTTTTCAAAAATTCTATTATAGACACCCTTATATCATATATGTAGGTAGCTCGAGTCGTCAAATATTTGGGGCCGCGCAATCGCGATAGCCAATCACAAAAAACCCCATCGGCAAATCCTCGTGGAAGTCGGCTTCTCTGTATAGTTGAGCTTGGGCATTCTGGAGTCTCTACGAATTCGTCTAATTCTTATTGCGTACAGGGTGAACAGAGCAGGAAGTTTCCACTATTCATTACTAGTAGTATCTCTTCAGCTGTCACCTCTAAATGAGAAACTAATTAGAACAACGAATATGAAAGCAGACTGGTTCAAATGTTGCCAGGTCCGCTTTTGACACTCACTTCTCTCTCTCCCGCACACACACACACACCTCCAATCTTCTATTTAGTCCATCGAAATCTAAAACACCCTTGGACCTCATCGCTCTTCATGAAGTTCGTCATTGGGGTTTTACCTATCTCTCTCTCTTGATCTTTTTTTCCCCCACTGTATCTCCCAGACTGGGGAGTCTTGCTGCAGAGGCATTGTGATCACCCATGAGAAAATGTTGAATCAGGATCTCTCCATCTGGGATGGTGACCTGTCACTTGTGCCATCCACTTTTCATCCTGATGTCAGGCTGTGCTCCGGCCATTTCCCTCATTCACTAGAAACGGCAGCACAGCTCTTTTAATAAATATGTGGATATCCCTCTATTCCAATTGCTATCCATAAAACACTTGATTGGTATTCTCATTAAACTGTGTATTTGGCTGAGGTTACATATGTAAGTTCTTGAATATTTTTAATAAAGTGAAGTATACACCTGTCTATTGCGTAGTAATATTGATCTTGAGATCTCAGCCTGTAATCTTGATATACTCATCAACCTGGTCTGAGCGGATGCCACTTGGTATGCGACAGATTTTTTGAGTGTGTTGGGGCAAGGTCGTCCATAGCACCTTTCGCACTTCTTCGCCTACTTGTTCAACGGAGTCCATTGCCCATAAGACATCAAGGTGTTCATATTCTTCAATGACTTTGGAGTGAACGACTTGTACATGAGGTTCAAGCCCATCTTGAAACCGACGCAGCAATCGTCGGCCATCAACGAGGCCATCAGAGCCACAGATCCACAAGGCGAACGGGGGTGTTTGGGGGCCGAACCAGGCATTGTCTCTTTCGGAACCGAGACAAGGATCTCGGGGATCATCACCATGTTCAGCTCCAGTTGAGGCACGATGGGAGATGTTCCGATGAGAATCTTCAGCGGGCGACAAGATGCAACCATGCTTCGCAAAGCTCTGGCTGCCGAGCCACCACCGTATGGATTCCGCACTCACATACACAGGGGCAAATTGAAACATGCGGTGACGTAGTTCGCGCTCCCAACGCACGTCAGACCACCCAAAGAGAAAAGAAAATACCCAGTAAGCGAGAGTGCCATACAACCTGGGAGGACAAATTCGACGTACTGTGACCATGATGGGAATAAATGCATGGATGCCAAAGACAATGCGAAAAGCTTCCGGTGAAAGACTTCGCATGAACCGAAAAAAAGACTTTTCCACAAGCGGGCCAGCATAAGCAGCCGGTGCAAGTGCACAAAATACTGATATTCGTTTGCCAAGCTCGGGGCGATGTTCTTTAGCCAGTGCGATGAAGGTTTCGGTGGTGCCTTGGGAATGGCACACCAAACCGAGCTTGCTGAATCCGGTCTCGTAGAGAACACGTGAAGTAAGCGCTGTCAAATCAAGAGTGCCCAGATGACGAATATCCCACGACCACATGCGGGGGTCAACAGTTGAAAGAGTGGTGTGTTCCGGATTCAAGCCACATCGATTGTTCCCAAGCCAAACATCGTATCCGGATTTGCATAGATAAAATGCAAGGCTGTCATCGTCGTTGGTACAATATGCGCCAGCACTTTGAAGAAGTCCATGGACCAAGAGGACGGGATATCGGTGACCGTATTTCGGCCGAGATGGATTAATTTCCTTTTGTCCATTAAAGACAGTTGGGCCTCGCTCACGTCTTTGCTCTGGAGATAAGGCTGTGTATTCCTGGGGATCGTAAACGTGCCATAAAGTGATTATGAAGCCATCCTCGGTTTGGACACGGAACGTTTCCACATCAAGACCAACACGCCTGGCATAGTAAGCGACGTCGCAGACAAGCATGTCCTTGCCGCCTTCTAGGTGAGGGCATTCATCGGAACCTTGCTCTTCATCGACATGCTTCTTTTGCTTCCGAGCATCCCATTTCCGATCCAAAACTGCTCTCCTCAATTTCCGGTTGTGTTCCTCGACATGAAAGACCCGTGGGGAGCCGGTGGAGCGACTTCCTCTCAGTTGTTGAATAACACTCTGCAATCTCGTTTGAGCTGCACATGCCAACGCCCCCACAAATATACTTGTCAAAAAGCTCAGTGAGAGCAGAAAAGAGACGGCTCTCGTGGCAGAGTATCGTAGATTTCGGGTGAGATTAGGAGGCTCATAGGATGGCAGGGAAGGAAAGAGCGGGTGGTCGTATGAGTCAATCGATGGCGCCCAGTCGTTCTTTTCCAGTCCCTGGCCAGCAGGAATTCCGCTTGTCCCTTTGATAGTATTCTGAAAAGATTTCAATCTAGAGATTCTATCGGTATAGTCAAAAGAAGTTGAAGGAGTTTTGTGTGTCTGAAACGAGCCCGATTGTTCTGTAAGCACGGTCGCAACGTGATTTTCCAGGGGAATCGTGACCGACATGGTCGCGTAATTATATTTTCGACATGGAAATCCTATGAGTGTTCATTGAAGTCTTGTTTCAAAGTTAGATAGGGACTGGACGAGAAGGGCGGCATTGGACTTTGGGATATAGAAAGACGAATCAAACCCTTGGGATATGTACAAACGTCATCAGCTAGGTTACGGGTATCAATCCATGGATGTTCAAGTTGTGTTCAGGGACAGTCACGTGAATATCAGGCACGCCAATCAGGATCCGAGGGTGAGATGTTTGCCTTGTCTCCTCAGGCATGGCGCACATGTGGTAAACACAGTAAGACTCCGTATCATTAGTAGTAGCACATGCAGTATTACTACTAGTATCTATTACTATCGGCTAAAGTGTGACTTTCAGTATGATCATGTCATAGATTCGTCAGGCTACGGTGTGGGCTTGCGCAATATTTGAAATAAAATAGAAATACTAGGATGCTACAATACACAAATTCTTTGATTGATCATCTTAAACCCCTTACATAAGTAAAGCCAATCAACAAGTACATCCCAGCCCTGTATATGCTGGAAATGGTTGCAAGCTTCAAATGTTGACGGATCAAGTGCTTACAAGGTTGGAACTACATGATGCAGAACTTCTAGGAACGGCCAAGTACTCTTCTTTCTGTATGCCGAGTATGAACATACTTCTTTTTGCAAGTTGTCCAAGGTTGAGGTATCCGAAGGCTCTGCCATCCATCCAAATGTCTATAGATCCTAGTATTAGGCACATGCAGGTGCCTATGTATATGTAAATTCGAACCCCACATGTGCACATATACATACAAGATTTTGGCAAATTTGGAACACTTGAACATCAATTGATTGAATCAGATGAAGGTCCAGCTAAAAGGCCCTGCGAACAACAATATGTAGATATATTGATACATTGATAACTATATATGTTCCCAGGTGCCAGGTGCTGTTGATCCTTGCACTGTGCACATGTGCATACTGGTGCCCGAATCCTACCCTCAAGTGAGAGATCATTTGAACTGGGTATAGCACTTGAGATTTGTACATGTGCCACCAGCTGAATATGCAGTGCAGGGACCTCAGTCCCAGCAGCTAGGAACAAAACCCAAAGGCCAAAGTAAAACGCAACACGCTAATCATCCAACCTTATACACATGATGTATATATCCAAAAGAAAAACAGCCCTGGAGATTGAGTCAAAGAAGAGCCTCGTGATTTATCACATTCAAGGTTCCAAAGTTGCCTTATTCAAACATCAACCTTCACGCTAATACTTTCCACATGAGTTGCCTCCTCGCCACTGCGTTTTTCATTGGCTTGAGTCTCGAGCTGGGTGAGGTTGCCAGACATGGAGTCAGACACATCCCGAACATCGGTATAATGAACAGATGGAACGAAGTTGCTCGAATTCCATGCAGAGGGAATCTTTGCGTAAAGCTCATCCACCTGCTCTAGGGAGAGACCCTTGGTCTCATAGATGCAAGTGTAGACAAAGATAGCGCAGATAAAGCAAAATCCACCCCAGATGAAAAAAACCTTCGACTGAAGGTTAGCGTTTCCAGGGCCGTTGTTCACCATATAGGGAGTAGCATAGGCAATGGCCCAATTCAGTAACCAATTGGTGGCAGTCGTGATTGAAAGACATTTGGCTCTAGCCTTGAGAGGGAACAGCTCCCCAGTGACAACCCAGGCAACGGGACCCCAAGAACAAGCGAAGAAAAAGATGTAGATGCAAACAAAGGCAATCAACACCTTATTGGCCACATCTGACGTCGCTGCGGTACCGACGATGGCTACAATCAGCTGGGAGATACACATGCCAACCGCGCCAAACATCAACAATGGTCGACGGCCCCATTTCTCCACCATGTAAAGACCCGGGAAGGTTGAGAGAACGTTAATGATGCTTGTGATCAAGGTAATAACAAACGAGTTCTGGATACCAGAATTTTGGAAGAACGTAGTCCCGTAGTAGACTGTCCAGTGGTTCATTAGTATATATACTCTCGCGTGGTGAAGGGAATTGTAGTCAACTTACAGATAAAGTTGACACCAGCTAGCTGTTGCAGACCCTGAACAGCACATCCTGTTGCCAGACGCTTTCCAATGGAACCACGCATGATCTCCAGATAGGTTGCCTTACCCAGGCTCAGTTCAAACTGGTGATTGGCCTGGATTTCGGCCAGCTCTGCAACAATGGCGGAATCATTGATATCCAGGCGACGAAGACGGGAAAGAGACTTCGCAGCAGCCTCATGTTTGTCCTTCTTGATAAGAAACCGGGGTGTCTCTGGCAGAATGAGCATTCCAACGACCAGGATGATAGCCCAGGCAAACTGAACTGCGACAGGAATTCGGTAACAGCCAGTATCATTTCGATCCTTGGTTGAATTGTTGACAATAGCCGCCAGCAACAAGCCGATTGTAATAGCAAGCTGATAAGCACCGACGATTGTTCCTCGGATCCATTTGGGAGCCGTCTCGGACTGGTAAAGGGGGACTATATGTAATAAGAGTCATTAGAGACCATCCTCTGCAGTATACAGGATGAATAAGACTTACTAGTTGCAGATAAGAGACCGACACCGAGACCGGCAAAAAACCGCCCAGCTACGAACAGAGGAATGGATGTTGATGCAGTTTGAAGAATCACACCAATGCAAAAAACAAATGTCTCGACAATCATAGCGATCCGGCGACCAAAGTAATCAGCAATGGGAGCGGCACCCAGAGCACCAAAGAATGTACCCGCGGAGAGGAGGGAGACGATCATCGAGGATTGAGAGGATGTGACATCGGGCAAATGGTCATCGGGGTTGATGTAACCAGTGGAAAACATATTTCGCCAATGTTTCATGGCGAGAATGCCACTAATAGTTCCGGTATCATATCTATACAAAAAGCAGATCAGTCATAGTTCTTCAAATAAGCGGGAATATCAAGACTCACCCAAATAAAACACCACCAAATGCAACAAACAGGCCGATGATGATGGCTGGAGTCGCAGAGCCAACCGCATCATCCGGCTTCTTCAAGGCGAAGCCCATATTGGGCAGATACTTTATCACTTTGGGTTCAAGAAGTTGTTAGAGAACGTAGATAGATAACCCGAATTCCGGGTAATCTGTTGGATGAGCGATGGAGATAAACAAAACAAGAAAACCGGAAATTTCAAAATCAAAATAAACAGAGGGCAAACTGAATCATTTTGTACTCGAAATGAGGGGCAAGAAGACCAAGACCGGTTGGAAGCCCCCAAGAAAGGCCGAAAACAGAAACCGCACCGGGGAAATCTTAGTCCCCCGGCTTAGGTCTATACAATGGGCCCATTTCTCCATGTTTTCACTAGCGCAAAGGGTCCAGCAGGCCAACACGGCTGCGCTGGAAAGTTTATTGTGGGTCTCATCAATTGATTGGTTGATGTATGTTAACTCGTTGCTCTTTCCATCCATGACAATGTTCTCGAAGGAGAGTTCGAGTTGACCTAATCTGGGAGTAAGTCATGCTTATCGAATGTTTTTTGGCTGCATTCAAGTTTTCAATTCGAACTGATTGTTGCACGTTGAACTTTCTAACCGACAAAGAGATCAGGATAAACGGAAAGGGTTTACCATTCTGTTTTGCTTGAAGGTGACCGGAAACAGAGAATTCGAGAACTCGCGTGCCCCGTATCCGGTCCGCCGATCAGGATCGACAACACCGGGAGCCGCATCTGGGGGGTAACGCCCCATCCCTTGTTTGGCCTGCATGTCAATCCAGCACGAAAAGAAAAGAAGAAAAAAAAAGAAAAAAGAAATGGAAAACGAAAAGCGTGATCCATGGTAGTACCTACTAGAATCGTTCATCTGCTATTGATAATATTAGTATCAAGCAAACCCGCCAAGTCGCGAGTAGCATCACCTGGGCAATTCGGACTGTTTGAATGCACAAGGGAAGTGTTCCCCGGGATGTAGACTGGGAAATCCGATACTCCTGAGGTCGGAGCCCCCGAAATTAACCCATCCTCGGCGAAATGCACGCCCAATGACATCTTTGTCCGACGATACAAAGTTCGCCGAGAAGATCCACACACGCATACGTGCATGTCTCATCGAAAGTCAGTCTGGGCACCGAGTGGCCCAAACTTCTTTTTGAAGGGTCCAGTCTCGGTGACCGGGATCAGGATCGGAACTAGATATATTTGGATAAAAGCGTATCTGCTTGCTGACCCCAAGGGTGCCGTTCATTAAGTCTATAAACTACGTATGCGCTGGATTGAGAACTAGCTACCAGCGCCAGATCAAAAAGAAATAAATAGGTAAGACAACCTGACCAACCACCCGGACGGACTGGAGGATTTCTCCAGTCAAGTGGCCACATTTTTGGCGGAAGCCATGAGCCCGCGCTGGGCGGTAAAGTCCCTTGTTCTTTGACGTACTCGTCAAATATTCATCTTGATCTAGGGCCCAATAAGCATGCTGGGAAGGTTGAGCACCGGAGTAACGGCGGGGTAAGACGGTGCTCCCGCCACGGCCAGCCAGGCCGCCTGGACCAGACAAAGTGGAGCTGGACATACCGGATGTTGGGCACTGGCGATGAGAACTTTCTGGGCGTTTTTCGGAGAGGGGAAGGAGCGAGCCATTAGATGAGGTTGGCACCGGGGCAATAAATGCATGGTAGACAGAAGTAATGAACAAAACTGCAACGCTGAACAGCAAGGTACACGCGTAGTGAATGAAAATACCGAGTTGGTCGGGAAGAAGACACAGGTGGTTTTGGATGGTCGGGGAGGATCCCTTCAGGGTGGGCTCTCCAGTCGCTGGGTCAAGAGGATTCCATAGACTAGTCATCAGAAAACCAGGTAGGCGAACCCCCATTGCCCAAGATATACTTTTCACGGTAATCTCATTGGGAGAGCCGTTGAATTCTCGATGGATCAATTCGCAGTAGTCATGGTCATCCCCAGAATAAACTTGCACCACGTTGGGCCCCGCTTTAGAAACCACCTCCGCCGAAATTTTCGGAGTCAGTACATTCTGATACTGATAACCACCCGCAATTCTTAGCGAATTGGGTTCATCCTCTTCCAATTCCTCGGTGGCCGATGAAGGGGGGTAGTGCTCTCGAAGAGGACCACAGGGCGTGCCTGGTTTGCGATAGAGGGGGACATGTGTGAGGATAATGGTCGGGAGCTGCAGGGGAGTCTCCGGAGTATTGTGATGCATGGAGGGTTCCACCACATCTACGACGCGATAATCGAACTGAATGCCCTCGGGCTGGTTTTGCAGCATCCTGAGTTCATTCCTCTCAGCCTTTGCACGGGATGCAGGCATGTCATTGAGGAAGTCATATGAATCTTTCCAAATCGGTCGAGGGAGATTGTCGTCGCTGGAGCTGGAGCTGGAGCTGGAGCTGCCGGTCTGGGGGTCCGGTTGGTCCATCGCACTCAGAGATACCGTGTCCACCGAAATAAAAGTGTGGTTTCCAATGACATCCAACCGATTACCTTGTCCGAAATAGGCCTCGAAGCGATCTCGTACTGGCTCTTGAATCCCATTGCCAAATCCCAAATCGTGGTTTCCTGGCAAGCTTGCGATCAATTTACGACCGCGTCCATCCACAGGAGACTCGTTTTGCTTGAGCCAAGGATCCAAAAAGATCTTCATGAAGCGCACATACTCCTTCTTCCAAAAAGAATCTGTGTACCCCTTATAACGTTCCTCCGGACTAGTAGTTGTGCTGGTAGCCCACTCCCTCCCACCGTCGAAGAGATCGCCAAGAAATAATACTGAGTCGGGAACCAAGTTATTTTGAATAGCCGAAAATGAGCGACGGAGATACTGATCAGTATACTGTACAGTCAAGGTTGAGAGTGGCCATGGGCGGCCGGGGTAGGTATGAGGATCGACGAGTTGTGGGTCAGCGACAAACGCGACGTGATGCGGTGTTGCACCTTGAGGCTGGCGGATAGTTCAAGGTCAGCATTGACACTACAGGAAAAAATGTTTTCCGCAAAGGCAACGAGTTTCATGATAAACTTACCCAGCTCTCCCAGTTCTCCCAAGCACAAGCCTTTATGCTTTCTCGAAAGACCGTTCGCTCCCCCCACCACAACGTGAAGACCCAAAGTAAAATCACAGCATTGGTAATGGTAAATGTGCGCTTGAAAAGAAGTGTTGCGGACCTCCAGAGATCATGTTTGTCGCGAGGTCTCACCATTCGAATATTATTGGCTCCTTCCGTGATCCACTGCTTTGCGACTCCTTGAAGACCATTCCATGGGCGATCAAAATCGGTTGGAGTTTTTGAAGATGTAAAAGAAGGAAGGGTAGAAGCACCTATATTGCGTGGGTAGGCGTAACTCATTGCAGGTGAGTAATGGTTCGGTCGTAGGCGACAGGCGGGCGACACGGGTTCCTTAATGTGGGGAATCAACGAAAGGAGTGACGCTGCATGCTCTATAAGCCAATGCACAAGAATGGCCGGCAAGGAAAGAAGAAGAAAAGCAACGGGAAACTCCCTGAAAAGTGGTGGGGAGGAGGAAATGGGGAAGAAAAAGGTCGGTAAAAAAAAAAAGAAGAAGATCGTTTCAAGACATGGCTTGGAGGGCAAAGCAGCTGAAACCAAGGGGGCCGAGAACACAAGCGGCGACATTTATATCACGTGACCCGGAATGGCTTAAGCCTTGGCCTTATATGCAAACTAGTGCTAGTATGCAACATTGAGCTCGTGCTATGGGAGTGACAAGTAGTTGTATGGAGCTCAAGGGCAAGTGATTTTTCTGGCTACTTGTTTGACTTATAGAGAATCGTGGCTTTAGCAGACATCCATACAACCCAGCAGCTTCCACTACAGCCGGAACGTTCTTGAGACACATAATGGTTCATTAAGGATGAATAGAGAAAAAAAAATAATGACTAGTCGGATATCAGGATGAGGAAGCCGGAGGGGGGGGAACTGGTCTCAGTCAAATCTAATGCCATGTCGAAACTCAACGAAGAAAGAAAACCCAAGCCGTCAAGAAGAAAAGTGAGCAGGAATTGTATATGGTACAAAACCATGGGATCTAGGTACGAACCACGGTGAAGAAAGGTTGGAATGAACGAGGGATTGGGTACATCATGTCTCCTTCTTGGGTAGAGTGAGAGGGTAGTAGGGTAGGGGTTCAAGGTAGAATACACCATGACCCAGACTAAGACTTGGGAGGACGAGGAGGGGGGTTACAGCCAACAGAAAGAAGATGAAAACTTTGAAGTTCACTTTTTGGGGCAGCATTGACCACCTTGAGCGCAATTGTCATCACACTCAAGGAGACAGGCTTGTGAATCTCCATCCCTCAAGCTGGTAGCTCTACTGGGATTCACTTCATCGGCGCCCGCTCGAGATGAAGATGCCTGAGTAAGATTCTGGCCCTCTTCGGTATCGCTGTCGGGGGCAAACTCTGGCTGGATGGTGGAGGAATGAATGCCGTAGGCATGGAGGCAGCGTCGAACTTGGCGAGCAAGACGCATGTATCTCTCCGAACCCTCGCCCTTTATTTCCGTGTCCACCTGGATGTGGATCGAGGCAACAACCTTGGTATCGCTCAGCTGCCATACGTGAAGATGATGTGAGCCAATAATTCCCGGGAGTCCCTCAATATCTTCCTTGATATGATCAATACTCAATCCCGCTGGCACAGCCTGCAGAAGGATTCGCGACGCGGCTTTGCAAAGAGGGATTGCAGAAGCAAGAATAATGAGGGTAATGACCAGCGAAATGCCAGGGTCCACGTAGAAACGCCATTTGTAGTCCGTCAACCAGATAACCAATGCAGAGGCAATCACACCAATATTGCCAAGCGCATCACCCATGACGTGGAGGAAGACTCCGCGCATGTTTAGATCGTGGCTGTGGCCACCCTTTTGGCCCTTGGGCTTGGGCTGTGCGTGGTTGTGGTGCTTGTGTAGGTCGTCCTCAACGTGACCGGGGGCCTTCAACGGACCACCATTCTCGTCCGTATAGTTCGAGACACGGTCCCGATGGCGGAGAAGGCCGGAGTGCTCGGTGGGAGTTTCGTCGTCCCGGGTGTCTGAGTCAGACGATTCTTCCTTGTCAAACGAGCTCCGACTGGCAGCAATGATATCTTGTCGCATGGTCGCGGGATGGGCGTAGATATCCTCGGCACTAGCTAGGCCAGAGGTGCTGTATCGTCTGGAGGCGCGGCTTTGGGAGTCCGTCACACGGCGCTTCCGAGAAGGCGATGCGGGGTCGGTAGCGGGGTGCGGGAGGCCATGTTGCAAGGGAGCTTCGGGGTGGTTGTGACCATTGATATGGTGATCCGTGACCACCGAGTGGCTATGTTCATGATCCGCGTGGGCCGACTCGATGTCATTGTCATGGCCGTGACCATGATCATGGCCATGGCCTCCATGGGCGTGGCCATGATCGTGGAAGAGAGCCAGACCGAGAATGTTCGACAGGAGGCCAAAACAACCGACAATGCAGACCAGCTTGGGGTTCTGCACTTCCTGAGGTTCCACCAATCGTTGAGTCGCCTCTAGGAAGATCGACATGCATAGAGCGAGCAGAAATACTCCATTGACCAATGCACCTAACGTTTCAGCTCGTTGCCACTGTATCTCACAGAATTCGGTGTTAGATCTCAATCAAGGTGGGGGTTGCCGCTGTCATTCAACTTACGCCGTAAGTGTACATTTTCGAATTGGTCTCTTGGTTGGCGACCTTGACGGCCCACAGACCAACGCATAATGATAGTACATCATTCAGCTGGATTATCGATCAGTGTCAAGTTCGCTTCCGGGGAAGCAAGCACTATGCGACCGGAGAGGGAGGAAATAACCGTACCATATGAAAGGAATCGGCAACTAGAGCGAGCGAGTGGACGGCGTAGCCTGAGAGAGATAAAAAGTCAGTACGGGAAGCAATTTCAGAATGAAAAATTCCAGTCATACCGGTGATCAGCTCCAAGAAAAAGAAGGCCGTGTCGATAACAAGCAGGATAATGATCCTGTTGGTTTTGGAGAGTCCCATGGCAGCTGGAACGCTTGCGCTTCGTCAGCGCAGAGGTTCGCAGCAAGAGAACAAGGGGTGTGTGTAGTGCCCAGGTGCGAGATAGGCGTATGGTGGAAGCGACCTCAGGGAGCGAAGGAGGGGGAAAAAAAATTGCAGAAGTTGGAACTCAAGTCCACAGGTGGATAGAGAGAGAGGATTGACAAGTTCTCATAAGTGGAGTCTTGCAGGTAAATCAATGTTAGTAACGTTAAGTAACGTTAGTTAACGGGGCGGAAGCAACTCCGATCGGGCCCGGAGTGGCGCTACTCCGTTTTTACTATGCCAATCACTGAGTACTAGTAGTAGGAAACAGCTCTTGGAAATGACTTGTCTTTCACTGATTGAAGAGTTTTCTCTTATGTTCTTTATTCCTGTAAGACCCCTTGTATAGAATGATGCCTGAGTACGGAGTATTTTTAAAGGAAATCGCCGTATGTAAAAGGTACTGATTTACAACCGCATTAGCCCCTTACTATGCATTAGGTACCTCCACTCGGGTCATAATGCTACTGTACCAAGAAACCGGTTCAGCCTTAGGGAGCTTAGGGATATCATCATATCCAATCATTATCGATGTAGAATTTCAAAGGACTTGTTTAGTGCTATACTGTACTAGTATAAAGAACCACTGTGAGCAGGCTCCAGCTTTTTAGTCCCCTCTCGCGTGGATTCCTTTGTTTTTGTTCGCCGTACTCGTACTCCGTAGTGCTACTCCACCCCGATATATGAATATGATTACGTTGCTTACACAAATCTCGAACCAAGTAGAAGGTCTAAGGTATCAATTTCACGGATTTTACCGACCATATAGATTCAAATGTTCCAAGGTTTCAAGACTCGAAATGTGCACAAGGGTTCCATTGTACGGAAAACATTTAAGCCTAGGTAGTACACAGTACTCTGTAGATCGATTCAATGTTAGACTCTAGCGTTGCCTCGCCTAGGACTCTCATCCATTTCAGCTCATTTCAACAAGCGAGGTTCGATGTTGCAATGAATTTTTTATTTTTATTTTCAATTTCTTGTAAATTTTTCTTCTTTAAAAAAAATCCCCCACATGATTCATATGTGGCTAGTCCATGGCTTACTTTGGATTCCTTCACTCCTGCGCCAATCCGAAGCCCTCGTATTACCAGCAATGGAGTCAGCATTGCGCTAAAGCACTTGAAAGGGTCTACCAAGGCAGAAAGAACGCGACTGGCCCGGAAATGAAATATACAAAATGCCGACATTGGACCCACGCTCGGCAATGCTGTCAGCTCCAAATGTTAGTTATGTATAAAAACATTGAATATGGATTGTTCTCATCTTGAACTCAGACATCGGGTGGTAGGGCTCCGATGAATACCTATCTATCCATCCTGGTTTCAAGAATCAGGTTTTAACTATTGGAAAATCCTGAAATATTCAAATGTTGGAAATTTCAAGGTCTGAACTAACTAAGGAAATCTACACCCATGGGGGTTCCCATGACTCTGCTAGCCATGTCAAGAAAAATTTCAATCCGCCCCCACTGCCTTATGCACTGTGACGTGCATACATATATGGCTACTGTACAGGAGTCCTGAAAATGAAGAAGAGAATTTTTCGACGAATCAGTTTTGGTTAGTTCAAGTGCCTCCGAAAATCGACCCACTCAAGCCCTGAAGTTGGCCCGGGGGGTCCCCAATGCCCATGTCACGCGACCACTTCTCTTCCGGCTTTGGAAGGTCGATATGAGTTGTTCAACAGAATGTTAGTAGCTTTAACATGCATGCATGTGTATCTATTTTCTTGCCCCACTCTTCTCTCGTAAATGATCTTAGACTTGACCTCGCCTAGGCAGGCTACTGAGCGCCACCGGAATATTAGCTTGCCTTGGAAGTCGTCGATACTACTCCGCCGACACTTCCTAGGTCTTCCTAACATTTTGAACATTGAACTATCTGGCCTATAGAGACCAATGGTAGTTAGGAATTGGACCCAAGAGACTAATTTCACCTCTGATGCTATCAATTGCCTAGGTAGTCCATTGATTGTTTCCGGTGGCTGCCCACCCATTGCTACATACAACACGAGCATAAAATGGATTGTACCTGTCCTCTATTCTCCTAGAACGGCTTAGCGACGCGCAGAGCTCTTATTAAAGCGACGCAGAGAAGACTCACCAAATTTCAGGAATTGGATAACTTTAGACCCCATACATAGCCGACCAACAAAGTACACTAATGCCGAGCAGGGAGCCCAGCACCGTGGATGACACCTTGAAATATGGCAATCATCCACCTGCATTCATTTGAATCTTAGAACCTCCACTCAAGTACGACCTGGAGAGGAGCCATGATTTCAATAAAGAGCCTCCTGGCAACTCCCAAGGTTGAATATCCTGAGGCTCGACAGTAGCCCCACTACTACATAATCTCCTACCCACCTTGGCATGTGAGCACTTCAATGTTCCAACGAGACCTAGAAGTTGCTTGCCAAATAGAACAGTACGTTCTTTTTTTTTCTATTATTCTCATCGCACGTACCTAGGTAGTAACAACCTAAGTGCATCATTTCTACTTAGTAATTCTCCATCGCTGGTCTTCACTATTTAAAGTCATGGTTCTCGGCACACTCGCAGTTTGCCTTGCCAATGTCAGGTGAATCACAACCAAGATATATCGACTCGACATTTCACACTGCGGTTGAGCGGGTCGAATTTGCGTATTTGCTCCAGGCCAATAGAGTGACCGCAAACTGGAGCTGACTCTGCAAGAGTTCTAAGTAAAAGGAGGTCACTTCTCACATTATTGATGCGCTGGATTCTCGCCCGGCGCTGGAACTGATCGTGCGTGGGAAGTGGTGAACCAAACAATTTTCTTTTGGAGGCAATGTCTATCAAATCACGACAGTGAGCCCGAGACCCTTTACTTGAGCTAATTCAGCATGCTAACCTTCTTGGAGAAGAGAAGCTTGGAATACAATCAGAAATTCAAGTGTGCGGAGTTTCTTTGGATCCCCGAAGTGGACAGAAAGTTGGAGCGCGGTCGTGGGGCGATACTGAACAAGTGAGCTTTCCCGTGGGTGTTCCCCAAAACATTGAATGCACATGTGTATCAACCTCTATGTACATAGCTTCGGGGAATTTGGCCCCATAATGCTTATTTTTGAAAGTTCCAAGAATATGCTAGGACCTACTAGTAGTGGGTAAATTATTCTACCAAATCACACTCCCGAACATGACCATGTTACCCTGCTAGCGGTCACCGCCCCAGATCACCTGATTACTATGTATATTAGCGGGGATAGTCCCGATCCCACTTATCGAATGCATCCATGCACCAGTTTACGCTTCCACGCCGTAACAGACCAGTACTATTAGTAGGTATACGGCGAATATACATATTATGTACTACTATGTATATAATGTTACGGTATTTCAAACTACCTACTAGTAGTTTTTAAGGTTTGTATCTACCTGGCCCTAGGTAGGTAGAATTTATTGCCGCAGGGGGGGGGGGTTGTTTTCTTGGATCTCCTGGGCAGTTGTGTTACAAACACTTGGAGTGCATATTTGAAGTTCATATCAATCTTCCGATTGATTGATATCTGGATTGGTGGTATCGAAAAAGCAACTAGGATTGGCGGTTGCCTCGGTTCAATGTCCCCAAGTAGGCACCTGGGTACATAAAAATATCTCATAGTTAAAAAAAAAAAAAAACAAGGGTAAAGAATAATAACCCAACAACTAAGGAGACTGTCTGGTCTAAGCCAAAGCTCCTTCCTCTGTGCCCTCATTCCCACTTGGGGGAGGAACAACGGAATGACGACGCTTGTCATTGCCACCTTTGGTCCGTCCAATTCCAAAGACCTGTCCCACTTCTCTCCAGAAACCCATTGGAGGGTCTAAGAAACTTGCTTCATACGCATCGATCAACGGTCTTTCCCATACAAGGTCCACTTCGTGGGATCGGACAAATCTTGTCCGCTTGAAGAGTTTCCACAATATGAAGAGGCAGGGAATCACAATTTGCATGGTGTAATTCGCCCAAAAGTTCGATACTGACCATGGCTTAAATGCGGGATAGCCATAGAAGATGGTGACGAGGGTCATCCAGATGAGGGGCAGATACGCAGAGTACGGTTGAAAGCGCCCGAAGTATGCGAAGCTTCGACGGTCGATACCTTGCACTTTGCAGGCCCGGTGGTAACAGATAAAGGTGATACAGATGACGATATAGTTGATAAGGCCTGGTCCGTGGGTTAGCACTGCATCTACGTTCAATGGAGAAGGATATGTACCTCCAGCCGTGACAAGCTCGGCGAACCAGGTGATCACTGTGGCAGAACTGCTCGAACACTGCAAGAAAGACAGCATCGGGAAGATCATCACCACAACGAAGCAGTAGATTGGTACACCCTTGCGTGTAGTGTATGTAAGGAACCTTGGGGCTCGGCCCTCAAGTGCCAAACTGTAGAGAGTTCGAATAGCGCAATACGTATACGTGTTGCCCGCGGAAAAGATAGAAGTCAAGAGTAAACTATACAAGTTTAGGTTAGCATGAACCAATGAGTTGGCCGACATATGTTACCTACGCGTTGATGATAGATGGGAAAATCGAGATGCCGAGGTTCCGCATGCCGATGACATACGGCGAAGCCGCAGCGGTGGAGCCTGATGTCGTACCATCAACGACGGCGGTCAATGACGGATCCCTACAAGAACAGACTATACCCACGGCCAGAGCTCCACCCATGAAGAATAGACCAAAGCGGAGATATACCGTTTTAAAGGCCGCTTTGATGTAGAGACGGGGTCGCTTGGCTTCGGCAGCGACCATCGAGATGTACTCGGGGCCAACGACAGCAAAGGCGGCTGACCACAGGGCTCCTAAAAATCCTTCAAACCGACCCAAAGTACCAACATCCAGATACTCCATGAAGGAACCGGGGTTGTTCCAGTACCGAAAGCCGTATGCATCGTGAGCTGGATTGCCACCAACCATGGTTATGAAGGTGAAGAAAAAAAGTGCAAAAATCAAGATGACCTGAAGACGGTTCAAGTCAGCCAAAGTGTAAAATGATAAAAGGCCAGAAGAGAATTAAAGAAGGGGTGGGAAGAAAAAGAAAAGACAAAAAAAACATGCCTTGCCACCTGAAAGCCAGAATTCAGCTTCACCGTAAGCCTTGACAGCTAAAATATTGAGGATGCTAGTGATATAAAGTCAGTGTGTACTATAAGGGATCTCAGATGTTCAATGGTGTATTTCTTACCCATAACATACAACAATGGCCGCGCACAGGCCAGCGACTGGACCAGGCTCGGTCACCTTGTCGGACCAAAAAGAGACGACAAGGGTAAAAGCCGAAATTTCGAATGGAATCAACAGGGCCTCGTAAAAGCTAAAGCCATATCAGTCCTGTCATCGATAACGTAGCCCAAGTAGTGGGGGGGGGGGGGGGGAAGAGATCGAACAAGAAATTCCAGCCAACCATGAAACCAAGCGCATCATCAACCCATTTTCCTGCCAAGCGAATAAAGCCGCCACTGACGGGAAATGTGGTGGTCATTTCGGCCAGACAGTTGTTTACCATGGCGAGGAAGATACACTGCACCGTAAAGGCGATGAACAAACTGCCGGGGCCGCCATGATACAAGCCCGTTCCAATACTCACGAACAGGGCGGTTCCGATAGAGCCTCCGATTGCGATTAGTTGAATTTGGCGATTACCCAGGTGTCTTTGAAGATTATCGGCATTATCGGCCATCAATCCCTCCTGCACATCCTGGTGACCCTCGGCCACTTTCAGACCTAAGGTGTCTAACACGCCATGGTGATTTCCACCAGAGAATTTATCTTCAGCCTTGAAAGACATTCTGTATCATTGTATTTTGTAGTTGGGGGAGGGGCGCGGGGAAGATTTCCGGGGTGAGCGATTTGGGGGGTTTTCAAATAAGAAACGCTAGGTGGTTAATGGGCCACGGTCAGAATTCGTAGAAGGTGTCTCGTGTCGCGTGCAGGGCTTGAGGCTGAGAATTGGGCAAAATGTGGGCTGTGTCGCAAAAGGGTGGCGCGTTGTACAGGGACTGCTGATGGGCGAAGTGAAATCCGGGGTATTTGCTCAGGGCAAGAACTAAGATTGAAGGGCCGGTGCTTGGGCTTGGGCTTGGGCTTGGACTTGGACTTGGACTTGGACTTGGGGCTTGGACTTGGGCTTGGACTTTGATTTTGGCTTGAGCTTGAGCTTGAGCTTGACGGAAAGCATCCAGCGATAAACTTGACCACGATGTTTCCCGGGGCAGTGAAAGATTTAAGTTGAAGAATTGAAGAATTGAAGAATTGAAGGATTTTTGAATCACGGGAAGTAAAGAGAAAGACGACAGTAGAGATGGAAGTTTTCCTATCGCGAAGTGAGAAGCCAAGTCCAGAAAAGAAAAAAAGTGTTTTTAACGAGAACGCACAGCCATTCGAGCATATACGCAATTGGTTCGAGTTTCCGCATTTGAGCCAATGTTGAAAAGCGGGGCCAAGCAATTGCGTGCCACGAGCGGAATGCGTCAAGTCTGAGCCACGTTTTTTCTTCTTTCTTTTCTTCTTTTTTTTTTTTTTGCCAAGACAGATTGCAACTCTGGTAATACGGAGTACTCCGGACAAATTGATACATAAATACATAAAAAGACGTCAGGGGCTTGAGATGGGGCTTGATGGCTTGATGGCTGTGAGGGGCCGCTTGAACGGGGCTGAATTGACACCAATTAGAGAGTAGACCTGTTCTTTTCCTTCCCTGTTTATTCAACCCTTAACACTTGGGTTTCCTCAAATGTTAAACGGTAATTAAAAAAAAAAAATTTAATAATAATAATTACAAAGAAGAATTACACGAATCTCGACCTCACGTTTTATCTCGTTCTAACCTCTATGGGGCAATCCGGTCCCGTTTTCCTGACATTCGTGATTCGTCATTATCCCTTTCCACTACAGGAAATCCTGGTCTTTTGCCCCTGTGGTTTAGCGGCTAACCTGAGCACTAAAACTAGATCCGAAATCCAGATTTGCTCTGCATTAAGCTAGCAAAGATATCCCATCGTTATTGTGGTTTCTCCAAATTACAGGATCGGACGGGTTCAAATGTTCGAGACCGAGGCTTGGCTTGCCAAGGTATGTTTCATTGGGCTCGAACGGCAATAGTCTCAAAAGATAAGCCAAACAAAGATAAACAATCATATCCATGACAATGAATTGATATCAACTCAAAGGAATCAGAATGTAGCACACAGTCAGCACTGGTAAATCGTGTGCGAGTAACTGGCCCATCTTTCTATAGCAGGAATGATATCCGCCCGATAGAAACGACCTTTTCGTGTGAGGAGCTGCTATGTAGAAGTGTGGTGGGTCGTTCGTTCCAAACCCGGCTGTATTAAATCGTAGCTGGCGAATAAGAGGGCCCCGGGGGTTTTGTCCGATCACCTTCTGCTCGGAGAACAAAGATTAGTACTACTGTAAAGTTGAAATAAATTTGGAAGACGCTTTGATTGGACAAAGCAGCTCCGAATGAAGCTCATGGATTTCACATGGGTTGGTCATCGCAGGTGTGTTCTAGGTCCGAATAATGCACCGCAATATGGCCAGGGCGCTTCGACTTGAATGAGCGATTCTTTTCGGGTATGCGACCGTGGGGAGTCATCATGTATGGTTGGTACGGGGTACATAGTGTAGAATGTTCAGTGGCGAAAAGGAAGCGTGACCCATTGCCCCCTTGCGTTCTAGTCCCCAGTTTTGTGGAGAAAAGAGAAAAAAAAAACCCCACAAAAAGATGTTAAGATTCCCCAGATTTTCCACTTTTTTTTCTCTTTCTCGGGGTGGGACCCGAGTCTCCACCTTTTTGATGGACCATCTATATCAAAATCCTGGCATTCCGGGGTATCTTGAATTTCGAAGAAGATTGTGCGGAGATCAAAATAAATGGTGAAAATTGTGCAAGATGCGTGGTTGAGAAAAGGCAAGAAAAAAGAATGAGAGAGGGGGAAGAAAAGGAAAGAATCAAAAGAACACGAGTCTCTCTCTCTTTTGCAATCGTATGATTGGATCCCTTCCAAGGTTCCCTTGGGCGCTGTGTGTTATTATAGGCATGGCTGAGTGTTGACGTTCATTATCGACCAATCCTAGTATTGGCAAAGACAAAGCCCAGGCTAACCTAGTAGACATTCATTTGTCTCTGCTCTTGTCATGACTCTTGTTAAGAGTCATTAATGGGGACATTCAATCACTTTATGCATTCTCCTACTGAATAGCACCCTGAATAGCACCTTTTGAAATATCTGATCCCCTCTTCTGTCTTTCAAGGGGATTTATGTTCTTTTTTCCTTCAGTGAAGTACCGATCTCATGAAGTCATCAAGGTCAATCTAGACAAGTTTGTATCGCTCAAATTGCCCAACTTGAAACTCAAAGTGCAAGGATGCCCCGGATGTTACTCCCCGCCACTGAGTTGACCCCGCATAATTTGTCAGATGATTCCCCCTATAAAAACATTAGCACAAAGGACTTGCCTTTTCTCTCTCTCAACTCCATCTATCCAGAATACATCACTTCCATCATCAACTCTCTTCCATCAAACGTAACATTTCCAAAAACACACACCATGTCAGCACCTGTTGGTCCTATCATGCAACAGCTCGCAACCCTGCCAGCTCGTTCCAGGCAGGGCTTGAGTAACTTGCGACAAAGACTCTTCCAGCAGGGTACGATCCCCCTACTCCCCTTGCTCTCCTTTGCTCTCCCTCCCCCCCCTCTTTCCATTTACATGTGATCAGGTCTGACCAACTTTCTAATCTACTCACAGGTGAGAAGCCTAAGAAGGAAGGTCAACTCCTTCGCACCTCACTCAATGTCCACCGACCTGTCTGGGTCACTGCCGGCGGCGGTGTCTATACCAGTCTGGCTGCCGTCTATCTTACCATGCGCTACCTGAAACGTGTTAGGGTTTGAGATCTCTGGACAACACCCAAGTTCACTGGTCTCTGTCCAACACTTTGATTCATCATACATATTCCCCTTTTTTACGACTCTTCTTTTATCAACATGAACCCCTCGGTTTGACACCACATTATTGATGGGCTTTCTTTTTCACCCACCGACTGGGACGGGGGCTTGGGGATCTTTCCTTTCGTTATCAAGACTTTTTGTCATAGTTCTATTGCCAAAGACTGGCAATACGGACCGGCGTTATGAGGGCTACTTCTACCCTGAATACAATATCACTAAACAAATCTCTCTCTTTTTTTTTTCCACATTCACCGTAACTTAAGGACTTGTAAGAATGACACGATACTAGATAATACTGCCGGTCGCAAACATGTAACCATAGTAGTAGCTAGGAGGTATTTATAGAGTCACCATGACTAAATGCACAATTTGTGTGGGAAGTCCCTTGTTGATCAGAGGCCTAATATGAGCAAAATTCAAGTTAATTATATCTCAACTATTGTATTTCAAGAACCATCGTTCTCTTTTCGAAGTGCTTTCAGGCCATAGCTTTTCTTCCCTGAAGATCACCAAAACATTGGAAGCCTAGGGTTAGCCTAGAGTAGCCTCCCCCATGACATTCCAAGGTTAGAAGAAGCGTCTAGTCTAGACATTTTCCCTCTCAAAGTGGCCCGGTACAGAATCCGGACCCTTTACAGAATAGTCAGTCCCGTCTGGCCTATCATAGCTCTTCTCTTATTCAGGCCTTCGTCACTGTGCTGAGAAGGTGATCTCATTAGAATCCTCGGACGCTAGGGTGAAAACCCCGCACTGGGCAGAAGATTAGAGAAACTCATACTCAAAATTTCACTTCATGAAGTCGTGCAGCGAATCCGAAGATTCAAATGCGTTTGGAATCAAAAGCATCAATGAGCCTATCCGCCAGCCATAGTTGCTCAAGTGCTGACTATGCTACCCTTGATTTTCACGTTCAATGGATTTCTGGAGGCTGGAATCGACCTAAATGAAAACCCTGTCAAAGCGATCACGTTCAAATATCAGACAACAAGTCAGTAAACATTTGAATGGAGTGGAGGAAGTATTCAAATGTTCAATGTTCATTGATACTGCATATGTGCACGGGTGCCGTATCAATATAACATTTACACACATGTGCATGTGGGTACCGAGTGCTTTCTACTACATATATCAATTCAAATGTTCAAATGTTCCCGCACCGTCAGCTGGCAAACATTGACTCAACGAATGATGCACTTGATTCCGCACTGCTGATTTAGGTATTGGCTGTCACCAAAAAGGCTCCAAGGTTGAGTCTGCTCCACTCGCGGACCTCCTTACGGTGGGTCTGTTTAATTGTACATGGTTTTCAAGGCCGTGGCTTGGGGTTAAGAAGATGTGGGGCTACTAGAATGATGGCAACTTCTGAATTTCCGGTGTTACCTCCAAGCTTCTCATGGTCAAGTAAACAACATTGTATACATGTGTGACAAAGCAGCACTGAAATCTAGTAACATGGATTCATTCCTTCAAATGTTATCTTAAGAACATTGAAGGCATGATCCTCTACTGAACGATTGCAATTCCAATCACTTTCCACCCTTTTGGCTGATCAATTGAATCGTCAAATGTTTGCTCACGGACTCCTAAATATATCCAAATATCGCGCGGGGTAATGCCAAGCTCTTTTCAATGTTTTTTTTTTTCTAAATTTAAACCTGCATATCCATCACCACTGACTAGATCTAATCCACACGAAATCCCCATCATTCCACAAAAAAGACCTGAATGATAATGAAGACCGAGTACCAACAACTTCCACACATGTGCATGTCCAAGGTTACAACTTACAAGTATAAATGGCGGAAGATCGATTTCCCGCTCCACATCCGTTGATTGAACTCCCCCTTTTATTTATTCGATCTCTATAACCCCCTCGTGAGAAGAACAATGAAATAATGCAAGTGAAGGCAAGCGAAGAAGATTGGAATCTGCTGAGCTCCTTACGGTTTGACCTGGAATTTGGGTAAAAAAAAAGAGTCGGCGAAACTTTTACATCGACTAGTTTGGTTTAGTACCTTCACTATCCAATGCTGAAAAAGCGACCTGCATGATGTATGAATAATATTTTTGCGGGTTTAATGCAGCAGCTTCCAAGGTTGCTTGTCTTGCCCAGCCAAAGCTTGGCGTAAACGTTGTTCTACCCTTGAGCACATATGTACTACACCTCGCGCTATTTATGGAAATCGGTAACATTTGAATACTACTAGTAGTATGGATATAATTAGCATTCCAGTTCAAGCTGTCACATTTGAACTCTTGTCCCGAGGTCCCTCTTCATACCATTTGACAACACTGCACCAAAACATTTAATTTCAACGTTATTCCAATGACCACCTGCGCGTGAATCTTTACAGATTCCGCAAGGTCCCGGAGTTATTAAGTTCCTTCCAACATTAGCTCAGTTATTTCCAAGGTTGATGCCATTTTCTAGGTAGGGCCCCAACTGAGATTTCAAATCCATGTCATGTGGGTCCTTGATGGATACCGCAATCTTCCACGGTCCTCTTTAAGGTGGGCCTTTAATAAAGCTTAGGTAGCACGTTATGTAGTTCCCCTCACCTTGATGTCTACTACATACGTCAGTGGAAGAGGTTAGAACCTTAGAAGTCACCCATCTACTACTTACTGGTAATTCTCAAAACGCGTTGTCTGCGGAGTTTGACCCCATTCTTTTTCTAACCGATGCCTATGAATAGCACCTGGATGCTCATATTTGCTCTTAACTGGGAATTTCTCCGCCTAATGCCGGGCACTGACTACATCTAGATATCTTGTCTCCAACCAATGAATTCCATTCTCGCAATTCAACCGACCTCGGGAGAGGTGGCCATCAAAAACCAGCTATGTCTATCCCTCGTCCCTACTACGAAGACCTCTTTAATTCGCTTGCCCCTCTGCGAGCCTCGCTTTCTGATGTATCCTTCCATACCCCAGCTAGGCCAGCCTAGAAGCAGGTATATGCTCTCAGGTGCAGCTGGAGAAATCTGTCTCCACGGCTTGGCGGATGAGGGGAAATATACTGCGATCTATGAATCTCACCAATCATGCATACCATGTTCTCAAAGTTCCCCTCTTTTGGGGACATTTTTTGAAACAGAGTGGACGAATTACAAGCACTTCCAAGGTTGCAGTTGGAGACTATGTACACCATACTACTACACATGTGCACTTCGGTTTCAATTAGTTCCCCCGATGAGGGGATAGATTGGCAATATCCCCACTATAAATATCTCCGATAATTCACAAGGTACCTAGTACGTAGGTTGCGTGAGGGGGGGGTGCAGATTTGGCGAAGTGATAGGTGCTCAGCTGGAGGTTAATGTTTGTGGTGCAGTTCTGTCAAAATCAGCATATAAAAGACATCTTGTTCGCACTGTGTAATAAATGACCCATCAAGCACTTGAGGGAATCTTTTGATGTCCTCACTGCCTGCAATAGACTTACAAGTCGAGTATTTCAAAACTTAAGGCTCCATCTCATTTTCCCTTCACAACTTTATTGCTTGGGTTGACCAATTAAGCAACCTTTTTCATCATGAAACTTCAATATCATTCTCGAACCTTGTGTCTAATTTCTCTCCTCCTATGTACCGTCGATGCAGCACCAGCTCGGAGGAGCACTAATCCCCCGCTAAGAGGCTCTGAAGCACTTGTCGGATACTCTTCCACTGAAAAGATTGTGAGCGGCACTCAGCCAGACCTCAAGTACAGTCTTCTTCCGGGTCAAACGGACAGTCCGGATATCGGTGCATACCTAGATTTTGAGAACGTTGAGAACCCCCAACCCATTCGGGGCTCCACTGGAAGTGATGACCCTGGTCCTCGTATGTTTCTCTTGCCATTCATTCTGCATGCTTTTGAATATCGGAAGTTGACGCGTATTTCCCTCAGGCAATTATGCATATGATCGAATCAACAGTGACAAACTAGCCCCTCCTGGTACGGATAATGGCCAGACTATCAACGCTCAATGGCCTATGGGTAAGTCACAACTCCAGTCATCCGCAAAGCCTGGCCCGGAGAATTCACATGTGCTAATCATGGAAACAGGTCTCAGTCATAACCGGTACGAATTCCGAATCAACCATACAAGACACTGCTAATAGTATATTCAAGACTTGGTATCGATAACGCCGGATGGGCTCGTCAGGAAAACACAGTAGTCATGCCAGCTGCGACCGAAATGGCTGGAGTTGACATGCGCCTGGAACCTGGCGGTTACCGTGAGCTGCACTGGCACGTTGCGGCGGAGTGGTCTTTGGTGTTGAATGGGTCCTGTCGTATCCAAGTGGGTCAAGCTCCGCTATCATGTGTAACTGGTATTTTGCACTTGACTTATTCAAATCTGACAGGCCGTCAACTCTGACGGACAAACATTTGTCGATGACCTTACTGCTGGTGATGTTTGGTTTTTCCCACCGTATGTCACTCACATGCCCTTGTTCCTGGAATTTGTCTAAATTTGTCTTTTAGGGGAATTCCTCACTCTATTCAAGCATTAGATGACGGTGTGGAATTTCTTCTTGTCTTTGATCAGGGTGACTTTGATGAAGACAACACATTTCTCGCCACAGAAGTTTTCCTTCATACTCCTGTAAGTCACACCTGTATATTGGCTGCATCTTTGACACGACGACACTGACAAGTCATTCAGAGATCCGTCCTGGCGAAGAACCTCGGTGTTCCCATCTCAGCCTTTGACGACATTCCAGATAGTGAACTTTACATCTTTCAAGGTACTCCAGCACCCCAAGATATTGAGGAGCAGAATGTCACGACTCAATCAGGTATTGTGCCACGAACGGAAAGTTATTCCTACCATTTCTCTGAGCAGCCCGCACACGAAGTAGCCGGTGGATCTGTCAAAATAATTGATCCCCTCACATTTCCTATCGCAGATAATTTCTCTGCTGCTATTGTTACTGTGAACCCTGGTGGCATGCGTGAAATCCATTGGCATCCGACTAGTGATGAGTGGACATTTTTTATTCAAGGGCAAGGGCGCGCAACATTGTTTTCTGCGCCTGATTCTGCAACGACGTTTGACTATCGAGCTGGTGACGTTGGGTACTTCCCTCAGTCAAACAGCCATTACATCGAGAATACTGGCGATGAGGTTTTAATGTTCCTGGAGGTGCTTCAAGCGCCCCAATTTACTGGTATGTCGTTCTTATATCAACTTCAGTTTCGATCACCAAGCTCATTACTCCGCAGATATGGCGCTTGGCCAATGGATCGCATCCACTCCGAGACAAATCGTGACAGATACCTTGAAGTTAAGTAACAGCACACTCAGCAAGCTCAAAACGGCAAAGCAGTATGTTGTCGCTGGTTCTATTAGTGACTAGCAAGTGCTTGATTGTTATGTAATTACACAAACCGGCCCCGAGGCTGTCCAGTGTTTTTGAATAGTTCAATATTATTCAAATCCGGCGTTATACTTGCTGTTTCTGCCATGGTTCTATTGTAAGGAATTGAACACGGCGCCTGTATTTACTAGAAACCTGCATCAATCAAGCATTAAATCATCTATTAGTAATTACCTAGTAGGTATTATGATCATGATTCATGCGTGCCTGGGCCTATTTTAGGATTCATTCATATATGGATACATTGACCAGAATCACCCTTCATTAGCTGGAAAGATATTACCAATTAGTGTGAAATTTTCTGCAATTACAGTATATGCGTACTACTACTACTACTACTACTACTACTGCTACTACTACTACTACTACTACTACTAACTACTACTACTACTACTACTACTACTACTACAGTACTACTACTACTACTACTACTACTACTACTACTACTACTACTACTACTTACTACTACTACTACTACTAACTACTACTACTACTACTACTACTACTACTACTACTACTACTACTACTACTACTACTACTACTACTACTACTACTACTACTACTACTACTACTAACTACTACATAGTACTAATTTGATACTTGACTGGCAATTACAGATTTGAGCATTCTCTATCATTTCACGTGATATGGAATGTGGCTAGTGTGGCTGGTGTGGCTGGTGATACTCTGTGGCGGTGTGAATTGACCCACTTTCAGCCACAGAAACTCGCGACACAGAAACTTCCGGTGATAATTCGAACCCCACGATAACCAAACACCAACCTTTTGCCTTTTTGCTTGCTGGTGCATAATACATCTGCAAAATGGCTCCTATCTCCATTGCGGACCTCGTGGCCGCCCTCCCCTCCGATGATTCCTGGGGCCCCTCCTCCACCGCCGACAACATGTTGAACGGTGTCCCTTATGCCCCCTTCTCCAAGGGTGACAAGCTGGGCCGTATGGCTGACTGGACGGCCGAGTCCAAGGATCGTGATCGTCAAGGTCGTCAGCAGTACAACCGTAACTTCAGAGGTATATCTTGAATTTTATATTTTTTCTCTTAGTGCCCCGCCAAGGGCATCTGAACCCGCGGATTGCTGACTTTTGATCTTTTTTTCTTTGCTTCTTTCAGATCAACAGGTTTATGGCGCCGGTGCCTCCAGCCTTTTCACTGTTCAGGCCGCCGAAGATGAGTCTTCTTTCTCCGTTGTCGACAACACTCGCACTTCCACCAAGCGCACCTTTGGTCGTGGTGGTGGTACTGTTTTCCGTGGCCGTGGTCAACGTGGTGGTGTTGCTGGCCAACGTGGTGGTGGCCGTGGCGGCTTCCAGCGTGCTGGTGGTGGTCGTGGTCAAGGCGATCGCTCTTACGACAGCCGTGGAAACCGTGGCGGCCGTGGTGGCCGTCGTTTCGGCTGGAGAGATTACGACAAGCCCCAGCGCACTCGTGAGCCATCTGTCAACGTCCGACCTGAGTGGCAGATGCTGGAGGAGGTTGACTTCAACCGCCTGTCTAAGCTGAACCTCGAGACCCCCGAGGGTGAGGATCTTGAATCCTACGGTTTCTTGCACTACTACGATCGATCCTACGACCGTCCCCCGGTCAAGAACGCCGAGCGCAGACTTCAGGCTCTCGAACGTGCCGCCTACAACGTCACCACATCGCAGGATCCTATTATCCACGAACTCGCCGAGAAGGACCAGGCCACCGTCTTCGTTACCTCCGACATCCTCTCCATGCTCATGTGCGCCACCCGCAGTGTCTACTCATGGGATATCGTTATCACCCACCAGGGCAACAAGATCTTCTTCGACAAGCGTCCCGGTGCTTCAATGGATCTCGTTAGCGTTAACGAGAACGCTCAGGATGCTCCCCTTGAGATCTCTGAGGCCTCTGGCAAGCAGGAGCAGATCAACACCCCCGGTGCTCTCGCCATGGAAGCCACTTTCATCAACCACAACTTCGCTTTGCAGACAGTGACCGAGTCCGAGGATGCCAAGATCTCCTTTGCCCAGCCCAACCCCTTCTACAACGAGGCTGAGGAGACCGATGCTCTTGCCTCCAAGGGTTACAAGTACCGCCTCTTCGATATTTCTCTCGAGCGTGATGAGGAACCCCTTAAACTGGTTGTCCGTACCGAGGTTGACGCCGTTATGAAGAGCCCCACTGGCGGCCCTGACCAGCAGCTGATTGTCAAGGCTCTCAACGAGTTCGACTCCAAGGCCATTGGCTCCGGTGGTGCTCTCGACTGGCGCACTAAGCTTGTCTCGCAACGTGGTGCCGTTATTGCCACTGAGATGAAGAACAACTCCTGCAAGCTCGCTCGCTGGACTACCCAGGCCATCCTGGCCCAGGCCGACGGCATGAAGCTTGGTTTCGTGTCCCGTGCCAACCCCCGCTCCGCCGCCGGTCACATCGTTCTTGGCGTTGTTGGCTACAAGCCTCGCGAGTTCGCTGCTCAGATGAACTTGAACCTTGGCAACGGCTGGGGAATCGTTCGCACTATTGTGGATCGCATCCGTGGTCTCGATGCTGAGGAGCCTGCCGATGTCCTCAAGAAGTACGTGCTCATCAAGGATCCCAACCGCTCTGTGCTCCGTCTGTACAGCGTCCCTGCTACCACCTTCGAGGAGGATGAGGAGGCTGAGATTGAGGAGAAGAACGAGGAGGACGAGGAAGAGGAGAAGGATGAGTAAACCATCCCATGGTTTGATGCTTTTTTTTATACTGGATTAGATTCCTATTTGTTCCTTGGATTGTGCATATCTGCAAAAGTTTGATCAGAGCTATGAACGAAATCTTCACGACTTCCAATTTTGAATCTCTACCGATTCCATCTTTCGTAACTCGAGCTAGTACTAGTAGGTTCAACTCAAGTTCATCCATGCAAGCCATGGCTCATTAAAATCCGTTGTCCCCTCAAGCCACTCCAGAAACGGTCCTCGATCATCAACATCAATGCCCTCCAGTAAGTCCGAGTTCATCGGCACTGGCCCTGATTCGCCAATTTCGAGTCCTATCGTAGAATCATACATGGACGGAACGGCCTGGATAGGCGCGGAAAGAATCTGATCCAAAACATGGCGGATGGCTCGTTGGCCCTGTTGTGCAATCTGATGGTTGCCGTCATCATGTTGGACCATGGTCTCCAGGTATGATGTAAAGATACTAAGTTTCTGAATGATTTCAGAGCGAGAAAACACCGACGATTCGGGTATTCGCAATCGGGATTGCCGCAGAAGTTCAGCGGAGAGAACACCAGCTGAAGGAAGTCCAGCATTGCAGAGCTATTTGTCCATACTAATGTAAGCAGGGCTTTTCTGGTTGATTGAAGTAGCATTTACCTCGTCCGACTCCTTCTGAATTCGTGGCCAGGTTGGTTCTACTTACATTCCATGAAACAATTCGTCTCGCCGTTGGGATTTCAAGTGTTCTGGCGACTAGTGATAGAAGCACAGTCATTATCTCCAATGAAACACTGATAATTCGATCTGGTGAGACCTTCGTCCTCTTGAAAAGATTTCTATACAACAGGAAATCGATGTAGATGTATTCTAGGCGAATGTCAATTCGAAGGCGATCGTCTGAGGATTGTCCTATGAAATCCCAATGGAGGTAATCAGGCAGATCTTCATATTGTTGATGTAATTCTTGAGACAGGGTCCTGCGTAGTAGAACCAATCAGTTTCAGCCCAATCAGGGTATACTCAAGGTCTATCATAGCTCTTACTCAACCCGCGCAGGTAGGTCTTCTGTGACGCGACCAAGCGAAAACTCCAGTGCCTTTTCACGAAAGATACTCGCCAAAAGACAAATGCGACCCATCGCGCCTTTCTGAAAACTAGCTTCTTTATTCCAGCCATCAACGGTCAGATTTGCAATGGCTGCTTCACGTGCGGCTGGTTCGGCAAGTACTTCATCCCAACTAAGGTCCAACGGCATCGGAAGGTCACAATATTGCCGACTGATGAGTGGCGGTCGACCAAGGAATGTTGCGCCCGACTTGTCCACGGCATATGCTGCGATCATTGTTCGCTGGCGTATCTCTTTAAGGAAGAATGGCAGATTTGTCGACTGCTGATGAAGTCCGAATGCAAACAGAGTGGTGGCCAAATCACCTAACTTGCGCCACGCTCGGTGACCTGCGTTTTGCGTATTAGATCGGCCTCCTGATATCGTCTCCTCTTTAAGTGCTGTTTAATTGACAGATGAACTTACTACTATCGCCATACACTGCTGTCAAAAGACAGACGTGATGTAGGAGTAATGAACACACTATATCATTGACTATTCCGGCCTTCTCGCAGAATTGAAGACAAAGATCCCCGACTTCCACGGCGGTATGTCCTATGCTCTCTAACCCTCCCAGCTCGTGATACCTACCACCTGAATCACGAGGGGTGCTGTCAGCTGCCAGACCGATTAGAGTAAACAGCAAACCTAATGTTTCCCAACGTCCCGTAACAGAAGACACAAATTCTGTCCATCTCGTCTCTGAATGAATATCAATGGGTTGCGTCTGCTTCTCGAATAGTCTCTTGGACAGCAACAACGTCTGTTTTGTTTCATCCGCTTCATCGCATTGGACAGAGCTCCACATTTCTTCAGTCTGGCCCAAAATCATAAGTGTTATCGGACGACCAATGGTCCAGCCTTCCCAGACCTTATACCGGGCAAGCAACATTTCTCGGTATAGAGGAAGATGTTTCAACAAGGCCAACGCTCTTGCCCCGCGCTGGACATTCTCTATATTCATTGCAAACGTTTCTGGAGACGGTGATAAGCTTCCAAGCTCCAATCCACTATCGCTATCTCTGAACGCATCATTGTAGCTAGTGTGGCCAAGGAATCCCGGTGTCTGTACGGTGGGTTGCTTTTGGCACCAGTCGTCTAATATGGTGCTGAGCTCCGTTGACTCTATTGGCGGTGGGACTGGTGTCGACTTCTCACGAGGTTTCTCGCGGGAGTTTATTGCCCGCGTAAGGGGGGGTCTACCATTCTCACGGGTTTTCGGTGCCCGTGGTGGGAGTGATAAAGGATTATCGCGGGCTGTTGTTGCCTGTGTGAGCCTTGTGAGAGGCGATGGATGATAGACGCAGAGATGTTTCCTATCGCGCCGTATGCAGCGGCCACAAACCGGGCTTGCATGATCACAACGCAGTTTTGATTTGCGACATGGCTCACAGGACCACAACTGACCGTTCCGACGAGTCGTTGCCATTGTAGACCGAATTCCGTAAATTTAAAATAAGAGCTCCAAGACGAGGACTCGGAGCATCAGAGGAGTCAGAGGTTCGGAGTTAGGAGATCGGAGATCGGAGTTCGGAGTTCGATAAGGTCAGTCATCTGGTTGGACGACATTTGAGAGCACCGCTAGTGAACTCCAAGCTTGTATGGATTGTATGATGCTGATTGGCCCACCTGCCAACTCTTGACATTCAATCACCGTTCCAACCAATCACATTGACTCGGCTGTCTCATGTTAGGCATAATATTTCGAAATATTAGCTGCCTCGGAAGTGCATTGGTAGTCGAGATACAGTGGTTGTTTACCATAGAATACCTAGTAGGTATTCTCTGGAGCCTAAGGATTCTTTAGTATAAATACCGCCATCTTTTTCTCGGATCGTTCTTCAGTCAATCCCACCCTTCCAAGGAAAATAAACTGCGCTTTACAAGATGTCAAAGATTGATCAAGGTCGAAGTGTCTGGCGAAAGTTTGTTCGGTCTTCCGTATGTTTACCCTGCATCCAGATAAACTATCAAAAGGAACAAAGTGCTTACTAGTAGGTATGGAATAGGAAGAAAGCCGTGGGAAGAATGATTCAACACCTCTGATTACTCCATCCCAACAGTCGCCTACAAGGAAGAAAGAGAGTCTAGAGAAGATACAAGTCCAGAAAAGGAACGCTCCATGCAGTAAGTACCTAGCTACATTTCCAAGATTCCCGATCATGGTCATACCAGTTGACCTAACGGGGTTTATAAAAGGCATGATGGCTGGGAATTCTATGAGATTCTGATGTTTGACTACATTCATGGATGGATAGTGCATCAGGTTAACTTGGCATCCATTGATAATATGAAATGTTCCGTGGTTTTCTTCAAGTTCTTACATGTATGGACTGAATCGATGTGTACATATTTTGCATGACTCAATGTTAAAAGTTTTGTTAACAAAATAAACTGGCACCTGGAATATTTCGTCAATAGGTGCCCGGTTGTTTGATGATTGGAGCATTGAAGAAGGAATTCGATTGAGGTCAAAATAAATCACACGTATTGAATACCAGGTCAATCCCATTCCGTGGGACCAAAGACCAATATGTAGAAGGGAATAAAATAAACAAGCAACTAACTCCCTAGGTTCACGGCCCAGCCATGACCGTTATTCACTGTATATACACCCCCAGAAGAAAGACAGGAAGTTGGAAAAGAGGAGTGATGAGAGGCAATGAAACAGGAAGAAAGACCGAGCCAATATAGCCGCTTAGGTCGACACAAGAACGAGACCGAAAGCAGTAAAGGGAGGTGCAGACATTTGGTTCTGTAATGCGCACGCAGCATAGAAAAGAGAAGGGGGAATAGAAATATAGAGTAAAGGAAAAGAAAAGAAAAGAAAAGAAGAAATTTTGCGCGGACATCAAGCTCATTATAGATTTCCTAACAGGACTGGAAATTCAAGGAAGGCAGCTTCATCCGTAGATAGAGTCGCCGCGAACACGGGAAACACCGCCAAGCTCGACCTTGGTTCCCAGCACGCTGCTAAGGCAGTCTATAAGTTCAAAGTCTTCGACGACTGCACCAAAGCCGTAGCAGCGCACTTTGGTATTCAAGGTGTCGACAATAATTTTCACATCATCGCGACTTAAGGAGGGATAGAGCTCGTGGTTCTTGAGGCATGATAGTGCCATAATCGGTGTAATTTGACCATCGGTCACGAGCTGTCGGCTGAGGTTGAGGAGGGTGGATAGGTTAGGGTGTGGAAGATCCGGTGCCTTGTGCGGATACGTCTGGTCGGGAGTAGTATTGGCGATGTAGCTCGGTGGTGGACAAGTGGCCATCAATGCGTGACCCGAGAAGGGCATATCTTCGTCGTCGGCCTCGGTGACTGATCGTCGGCAAAGATAGTCAGTGTGCTCACGGCACGGTCCTTCCAATCTATTGACGGGTTTGATTAGCGGCGTTCCGGCTGCTTGGAGAGAGATGGAGAGGAAAACATACGTCAAAATAAAATCAATCTGAAGCTGGGGATCGCTTTCAAAGACACCCTTCAGCATCGGCGTCGCAGGCACCGTGGTATCAATCATATGGCCGCATGATGCGGATCGATCCAAAGCACCCATCTGTTCTGCCGGGGCGGCGTGGTATACTTGCTGTTGAGGTGTAAACGCCATCGGAGGCGACACATCAGGATGATCCACGCCGCCATTAGCGCGCGGGCTCAAGCCCGTTGAGATTGATGTTCCCGGTGTGGTGTTGTGTTGGGTCAATGAGTTAGTGAAGGCGGCGGTCTGCGATCCAATACTGCTTCCTGCGATCGGGCTGACCTGGTACCCACCGGCCGATGCCCGCTCCGCCCGGCGTCGCTCGAGCTCGGGCTCGAATTGGATTCCGTTGGCGAGCAACATCTCCTTGAGGATTTCGTTTTCATGTTGTGCAATATTGATCACCTCCTTCTGTTGCCGGATCGTGACGTTCGCATCGGATATTTCGTTCGTATAGGCCTCTCGTAGTCGCGACACCTCGGTCTCCAGCGCTCGCATGTATTGTTCTTTTCGTTCTCGATGGGTTCTTCAAAAAAAAAAAAAAAACATTTTATTAGTTTGAGGATTTCTTAGGGCGTTCAATTCACGGGTGAGATTGGGGGGATCATACCTCTGAGCCTGTCGATTCAGCTCTTGTCTACGGGTGAGGGCCGGTTTGCTATCAGGTTTGGGACCTCGGCGCTTTGGTGTCTGGCCATCTAACTCTGGCATTAGCAAGACGATTGGTTGATTGCTGAGGGGTTGTTGAAAGCAACCCACCTCGAGTAGTTTTCTTAGGACCGGCCTGGAACATCTTCTTGATCTCGGAGCCAAAGCCACCTCTGGTAGGTGTCTCTGGTTGTTCTGCAAGAAATGGCACCTCAACATCCCGCGGGATGTGGGCGCGACAAAGATTAGCAATCTAGAGATAGAAGATCTGACAGAAGTTTATTTCAAGGTTTCAAGAGACATGAGAGAATCTGATGGAGATCTCTCTTGTTTTCTCTCAATCGTGTTTGTTTTGTTTTGCTCTTTCTCTCTCCGGTTGCAGTGTCTCGAGCTCGAGAATTGGGGAATCAGATCGAATCCATCGCGAACCACCGGTCGCAAATCGGCCAAACCACTTACCAGGGTATTGTTGCATATCCATCGGATACACCCCACCAGTATCCATGGGGAGCAAGGGGATAAAGGTTTCAAGGGAGGAATTCCAGAAAGAAAAAAGAAAAGTCCGAGCGTTGTACGGGAAAGAGTGGAAGTGGAGAGAGAGAGAGTTGCGGATAGATAGAATTAAAGGGCAGGAGATTCTTGGCACTTGATGTTTATGTACAGAGTACACTTTTACTAGGGGGGAAAGAGTCTGATCACAATAAGATGGAAAATCAAAGTACAAGAATAAAACATTAAGATAATCCTATAAATCAACTGAATCCTCTTCGCTAGTTGTATTTATTATTGTTATCATTATCATTATCATTTTGTATATACAGAAAAAGGGGAAATATGGAGTATAGTCGAGACATACTAGAACCAGATCAAAAAAGCCCATGAATACATAGGTTACTAGTAACCTTGAAGAGCAAAATAGATTTCTGCAACATTGTATCTATCTTCAGTAGTGTCGGGAATAATACATAACTTTCATCAGTGATTGGCTTTTCAAGTATTTGAGATTACCATCTCTGGATATGTTATGATCTCACATCTGATATGCATGGGGGTATTTCAAATGTACATATTTCCATGTTTCTTTAGAGCTTCCAGATGTCCAGTAGCAGGTGAATCATTTACTCCGTACTAGCATAGGAATCATAGGTTACAGTAATGTACTAGCACTTAGTATATGTGACTATATATGAAACTAATACTGTACAAAACCTTGGAATATACAAAATATACATATGTACCAAATATCATGTGATCCAGTGGACGGTTTTCAGGTGGTCGTTCCTTCCCGTTTTGTACTTGACGTTCTTTCCTCTTCAAATGTTTCGATGATAAATGTACTGAACATCCATCAATTGATGGTCTCTCTCTACTCTTTTCGTCCAAACTTCCCCCGTACTTTTGAACCCCTCACGCAGGATAAAATGTGACGAGTCTCGCCAAGAATAACGAAAATCAAAAATTCGGAAATTTGGACAAAAGAAAAAGAAAAGGAGAGTGTGTGGGTGTGTGGGGAGAAAAAAAAAAAGAAAAAGAAAAGGAAAAATCGATAGTTCTCATTTCTCCTGCAGTGTCCCAATTTCAACTCTCAAAAGTTGACAAATACCTTGCCCCAGATCGGGTAATGGAGATCCTCGTCCATGTTTCTGCCCCCAGTAGGGCGCAAGACGATGCACGATACCGTGCTCAGGTCGCCGCCATCTTGAACTTCCAATCAGCACAACGACAGTTGCTGACGGCAGATACCCGCGATAGACCAACAAAGCAGTCGGCCGTGGCTCATCCCGTCTCACTTGTCGAGCAAGATATCCCCTGTGGACCACCTCGCTCGGACCATCTGCGCCCTGCCACTATCCCCCTTCCAGAATGGGCCCTCGAGCCCCAGCCGATCGCTACTAAGATCGGTTCCGGCCAGACGGCACCTCTAGATCGTGTCCGTCAGCCCGCCCCGGACTTGCTCGACAGCCTGGTCAGCGTCATTCCAGAGTCTCAACCGGACATATATCAGACCACTCATGATCCGGGTCCATCTCCACTTCTCGGATACCTCAATGATCCTACCCCGGGGGTTGAAAATAATCCTCCATCTAAAAAACGCCGGGTCGAGTCCCCAGCCCAAACCGACTATTCTCAGTCCAGTCCAAACACCACAACTATAATCACTGCGATTGCACTAGATTCACCACCGCAGCCTGAAAATGTTCCCACTTTCAACTACACATCCCTATCCAAAACTCCATCCAGAATTGGACCCCTTCTCCCACCCCTTCCCCTAGAGATCCGACCCCTTCCACCCCCCATCTCCACGACCCCCTTCACCACTCATACCACCCCGACACTTTCCATGCTCACGGAGCGTCTCAAGCCCGAAAGAACCTATAAACCACTCCTTCAGACTCGGGCTCTGGATCAACTTGAACGCGGCTATTGGGCCGTGCACATCAATATTTGCCCAGAAAACCAGATCGCCAAAGAAAACAATCTGGAGAATGAACCAGACACAGCACCAGCACCAGCACTAGAATCAGGATCTCAAACTATGATTGGAGGTTCATCGAAAGAAACTCATCATCACAGCCGATATTGGACTATCTCCTTTTTCAACCGCTTCTGGTCCTTCCTTTCTGACTTTGTCGGCAAGGACGCCCGTGCCGGGTGGGGTGTCTGGTGCATTCTGGAACATGAACCTTCGCTTGCATTCACACCAACTGCAGCTTCCCCATATGTCACAGTCGACGAACGCGTTCCGGTGCTGTTGAAGGTTTACGCTTGGGGAGAAGTCTCCATACATTTATATTTGCTCTTGTTCTTAGCGAGTGAGCGACGGGCTCGGAAGATGGGGTTGCAATGGCGGGATTCAAACGATATAACAGTCATCCAAATGCCATGATGTCTGAGCAGGGATGGGGTTAACTCTCTGGCTTATTTTAAGACATCTACATTCAATGTTGTATTTATTGAATATGTTGGCTGAGCATGACTCGAAGATTATGCATAAAATCTTATAGGATTTACGACACCTGCAAAGGAAGCAAAATATTTAGCAGATCTCCAATTTATTGTCTGGGTGCTATTGTACATGCTGAATGGAGTGCAGTGGGGATTCTGGTGAACAAAAAGGGGAAATGACTCGAGGGTATACCACTCGATCAGGTAAGGCATGATGAAAAAATGATGGAAAAAAAAAGAGATGGAATATCAGCTGGAGGACAGAAGAAAAGAAAAAAGAAAAAAGAAAAATCGAGAGGCGGAAAGAAGGGAAGGGATAGGGAACGAAGTTTTGCATACAACAGGTACATCCATAGAAACCCTACAAAAAAAAAAAAAAAAAAGGTAACACCAAAATAAAGCAGATCCCATCCATTTACCTCGTCATACGCCTCGCACGCCTGGTGGAACAGTTACTTGAGAATGGGAAGAAAGACGGAACCCAGCTAATAATTCAGCTCCCCACTTCCAGAGCCACCAACGGCATCCAAGTCCTCGTAGCTCTTGAGGCTGCGACCCTGAACCGCTTCACGGGGGGGCATTGCTTGCGATCCGCCCCCAGCACCCATAGCATCAGGGAAGTTGGCATTCGCAGAGATCATGCTGGCAGCCGGGTGGCCAAGCGGGACGGTTGCGGGGAGACGGCCCCCAGCTCCATAGATACTACCCATCCGAGTGGGACTCAATCGACCATTACCGCCATTGTAGCCTCGGCGACGGTCATATGGCCCAGAACGATTGCTGTGGCGGTTGTTGCCACGTCGCATAACACCTGGCTGGTGCATGCCTGTGTCGCCTGACATGATTATGTTTCCATTCCAGGCGCCAGGCGGTACAAGACCAGGCATGCCGGCTGAGGGGAATCCAGCAGGAAAGACCCCGGGATTTCCAAGGTAAGGTACGTTGTTCGCGAGGGTAAAGCCACGTGGGGTGCCACTCTGACCACCAACAGTAGACATGGGGAAATGACCATTGCTGTTCGCATCAGATCGCGATGGAGCAATGCGTGATGGATCCAGAACGTATGCATTCACAAGAGAAAGCTGTAGCAAGGGTTAGAAAACATTAAAATTGAATCCGGGGAACGAGACGAAAGAAAAACAGGGAGGATTTGATTGGGGGTAGAGGGGTTAGAAAGGGAAAACACATACCTCTCGCTTAATTGTATCCAGCCATTCTGTGTGTCGCTTTTCGATGTGTTTATGCCAAAATTCCTCGGCCTTGAATAGCTTCGCACATTCAGGCACCTTGCACCGATATCGCGAGTCATCCTCATGTTTCACATGTTTCGCTAATTCTTCCGCCAATCCTTGTTCAGCAGGCTTGCTGCCAAGTTTGCGCAGGTCGGCGTTCTCAGGCTCCAGTATTTGCAGCAGCTTATCCTCGAATGTTTTGACCCAGTTGAAAGCACGCTGAAGCTGCTGTTCTGACTTGCTCAGTCGCTGTGGCCGCTTCTCTGCAACTGGAGAGCCGCGTTCTTCGCCTTCTTCACTATGGTCCTTCTTCTTGGCTGGGAACGGTTGTCCCAAAGCAGTAGCACGGGCAACTTGCTTGGCCTGGTTAGAGAGTCCAGAGCGAGGGCGACGGAGATGTCCACCGGGACATTTGCGACCGAGTTCGTGAACAGAATCACTCTCAAAGACACAGAAAAAGCAGAAGTTGTAGACACGACGGAGGTATTCGACCATCAGGTCAAGCTTTTTCTTCTTAGCTAGAAGCTCCTCATCATCCACTTCGTCTTCTTCAACGACCTCCTTCTCTTCACCCTCCTCCATCTCTCCCTCGTCAGGGCCATCCTCGTCATATCCACTGGAATGCTTCTTGATGCTGACAGGTCCAGTGACAGGGGGTTGCAGCCAGCCCTTACCACGAAGATCCTCAATACGTTCCTCGATTTTGGAAACTCCATCCACGCCCTGGCCCATTTCAGTATCAAGCTTAGAGACCAATCGGCGAGCAAGTTCAAGATCGCGATCAATTCGCTCAGGTGCGGAGAACAGATCCCAAAGCGCCTTCTTGCGTGGCTGTGAAGGAGGGACATGCACACCCACGTGGCAGACAAAGTCGCCGTGTGTTGAGTCGTGGATGGTCTTGTCGTTGACCGCTTCCAAAGCCTTCTCCGCTGTGCCAATGGCATTACCGGAACTTGGTTCCATCTCCTCGCCCTCTTCCTCGCGGCCGTCTCCTCGGTCCACTACAGCAGTCTCGGCGGCAGGGTGAAGTAAGATCCAACCCATGCGGTGGAACTTCTTGGATGGATTGGGGTCACTGAGGCTAAGCCACTTGAAACCACCATCACCCTCTCCAAGGTGCTCTTTGCAAAAGTCTTCGATTTTATCACGACAGACATTGGGGGCCAAGGTTTTGATGAGCAGAGTAGGTTGAGACAAGGCCTCATCACGAAGTTCGCCTCCTCGGACGGGAAGCAAGTCAAGAACTCCCATCGTCTCACCGACTGCAGTCGTTTCACCTTCCTCCTTTTCGATCACACCGCCTGCGCCGTCGCTTTCGTTTTTGTAAATACCTTCAAGAGTAAAATCATCGAATGTACCTGCTCGGATGTCGCGCTCCCATTGATCGTATGCGCCCTTGCGAAATTGCATGAATTGGCTGCGGAGGCGGTCTCGCACTTCTGGCACGTAGCGCTCCTTGAACCATTCTTCATTTCGATGCTGCTGAACAAATTGGCGTCCCAGCTTGACTTGAAGATCCACCTTGTATGCGTCGTAGGCTTCCTGAATCTGAGCCCGCTCTTTGTCTCGGTCATCACGGGCTTCGCGCTCCCCCTTGACCCGATCAGATGGGTGACGACCGCCGTGCTTTACCCGTTGTTTTTCTTCATTTATCTTGTGTTCCCCCCGACACCATTCTGCGAAGAAGGTGAATCCCACCTGAAAGTCGAGGCTTAGCGGGTCGGCGAGCGGGTTTTTGGGTAGCGGCCGGTTTCCTGCATCTTGTCCAGGTACATAGCGATCAATGTTGACGACATTGGGAGAAGGTGGACGCCGACGATCCTCACGCTCACGAGCAGCGTGTTCGCGAGAATTGTTGTAGAAGTCATCTCGTCGGGTATGGTCAGATGGTTCATAGCGATCAATCATGGGTGACCGGGAGCGGCCGCGACCTCGTCGTCGATCCTGTGAGGCTGAGAACATTGTCAACAACGACATTTCTTTCAAATGTTTGGCACACGCAAAACCTCTTCAGAAAACGTACCCGGTGACCGGCGTCGATACTCGCCTTGTGCCCGGCTGGAGAATGATTCGGCCTCCCGCTTTCTCCCCGGAGAGGCATAGCTTTCGTATGCATCCATGTTCTGATAGAAGATGATTTGCTTGGTCGATAAACTCCACGGCTCTTGCCGCAAATGGCTCGAAATAGATATCCCAAGCTGAATATGGGCCGGGTTGTTCAAGGGTGAACAAATCTTTCAACGCAGATAGAATGGACTGCACTCGCGCACGAAGAGCTAAGAGGTGACATTGTTAATATGAAACCCAAAGAAGTTGTAAAAGCGTGAAAGCGGTAGGTTACGGCGAAGGGGGAGGCTCGTGAATAACATCAAAGACAAAATGGGTGGGAATTGAACAAAAATGAGGTGGGTTGGTGGTCGTCACGGTGGCCTGTGGCAGGAGGTTGTCCCGGCCACATGGTTCCAGATAGGAGGGAGGAGTGTAGCAAAAGAGATGAGAAGGTTCGACTGATGGGTGGCAATGACCTGCAAAAACAGTCGCCATAGGGTACGAGACCCATTGTCCACAACAGTGATGAGGTAGATGCAGTGTGGTTTAGAAGAAACAAAAGATAAGCAGGAACAGACACGGAACCAGACGAGATAGGGGATTGCGTAGCAAGAAACCAAGGAAGGAGAATATTTCAGGGCAAATGGGAAAGATATTGAAAAGTAGAAAAGGGGTAGGCAACCTACAAGAAGCCTTGTTGAGCTCGAGTTGGGGATAATGAACAGTGACAGCTCACGGCGCAGGAGGAGAAGACGGGAATCGGTGATTGGGAATGACTAAAAGCGACTTTGGAGAGCTGGAGAACACTAAGCCTTTTCGGGGCTAGTGCGGCGGTGTAGCCCAGGATCACGTGATGTTGATCTTGGCGGCAGCTGACATCGAGAAGCCCCGAGAAGGAAGGCGGTGGGAGTATAATGAACCCGCTTATACTGAAGACTGTATATAGTAATTCTAAGGTACGTGACGAGCATTAAAGATAGTAGGAATCGCGTTTAGAAAACCAAGAAGAGAGAGAGAGAGAGAGAGAGAGAGAGAGAGATGGGGAGGATAGAACAGCCCCGGCACGTGGACAAAGGCTGCACAGGTGTAAAATACATGCATACTAGTATAGTACCTAGTACTTACAAACAGTAATCATCAATGATCATCAAACGTTCAAGTTGGCATGCAAATACTCCTTCCAAGTTCCAACTTTGGAATTCTAGGTGACTTTTTTGTTGTTTCCTAGATTTTTGGCCGACTGAAATAATTAATATACCATTGAGATTATGAGAGACTGGGTGAAGCATACGTGGATCTTCCAAGGTTGTAATCATGTATCTACGACTGTCCCACTCCTGACTAGTTGAAGGTTCAACCTTGGAAATATTGTACTTAGCCGCTGAGCTTTAGTACCCGGATGGGGGCTAATTTAACCAGCGGCGCTAAAGCATACATACGCAAACACCCCCTTTCCCCTACATATGTACTTGCACATGTGCGTACCCTGTAAAAGATTTCATCGCGTGGTTAGAAGGATATGTAGTGTTCCAAGCTCGGGACGCCGCGCAATTCCAAAGTACTCAAGTGATTTGCTCAAAATTCGATTGCCAACTTACTAGTAATTCATAAGTTTCCTAAGCTTAGCCCTAGTCCACGCAAACACGATAAAGTAACATTAAACATCTTTCGAATGATCATATAAGAAACTTGAATGTACTAGGTAGTACGTTCAAATCTCCCTGTCCAAGTAAATGGGGAGCTCAAGAGAAGAATAGAATTCTACTTTTGATCGGAATATAATGTGTTAAACGCATTCAATGTTAGCCCTTACAGAGTCGGGAAAAATGCAGAGCTCGGTATATTGAAGTCTCCATTTTCCAAGCTTGATCCCCCCACAGTGGTCCGTGCCCCCAACTACAACCGCCGCCCCAACACCTGCACCCACGCGCCACCGCCAACGAGAACAAGTCAGAATTCAAACCATGTCCGACCTTCTCAGCTCGCGCTGGGCCCCCAGCGCGAGTGAGTCGAGCCATTACTCATCGACATCTCATGGACTACGGCGACCACGCTCAGAGAATCGGATTCGATCTACCAAAACCCCTTCACCCTCCGACCGAAATGGAGCTCCGCAGGCCCACGGACTCTCAAATGGAATCCTTCCACCATCTGAAGAGCTTTCCCGGTTCATGAAGATTGTCGCCAGACTCCGATGGAAACTCCCCTTCTTGGCTGAGGGTTATCGCCTTGCGACACTGGCCGTAAGCGATGTTGATGGAATCTCAGCTGCGGATGTCACAAATGCAGAGATCATGTTCAAAATTGACTTCCATGAGTACTATGCGCTTCTTGAGCGAGCCATTGTTCATCTCCTCGCCGTATTTAATATTTCCATCTCATCGGTTGGCGGGCGCGGCGGGCGCGGCGGGATCCAAGTGAGAGGACATGCAGCCGGAATTCATCGTTATCATGCGAATGTGTTGCGGGCATTAGAGGAAGAGACCACCCCTCTCACACCTGTACTGGGTAGTGGATATGTCTTTGAACTGCTACGGAAAGCGAAAGAGCTACGAAATCGGTGGAAGGGAGCGGATATGACTGAAGAGGAAAGAGAAAGGGATCCCTTTGAAATGGGCAGGAAAATCCCACCGCTCGCAAGCTTCGATTTCAACGATATTCTCACAGGAATTTTTGGGGGCCTGGAGGAAGCATATGTGCGTGCCCAAGCGCATGTGGATCTATGCAGGCGCCCTGGAGAGGGAAACAGTGAGACGATCGGATCGGAATCCGACTGGGGATTCATCGTTGATGCTATGGATTGGGAAGCCGTGTGATTTAAAAGCAGAGTCATTAGCATTTGCATGGGTCGGGAGTTCGTGGCGGTGGTTGTGCCATTTTCCATTTACATTTGATTTGCATATAGTACTACTACTTACTAGTAGTACATAAATATTTAGCACTGAGCAGCGACTGGCTTCGCTCGAAATTACTACTACCTATCAACTTGAATCCCAGGGTCTAGTGTCATAACTCCGAGTCCACAGGCCACTAATACAAACTAGAAGCCCTCTAGTACGTCACTATTAAAACTCCACAAATTTATCAAGATTAATCTTGTCCGGTAGAATGTCTTCAAATACAAATGGTATCTTTATTGCAACCTCCAAGTATAAGCAGTGACGAATTCATTCATACCCATAGATCAAAGAAAACAACCCAGGCTTGCCAAGTCCTCAATTCCCAATCTGTTTTTCCAGTGATGGAGACCCTCTCTAAATTCCCAACCAAAGCATAAACGCACAACACAGAGACACCGAAGTAAACGCAAAAATTCGCCGTGGCAAAGGCCCAAGACCAACGGCACGATTGGTAGTAGAGACAGAAGACATGAATCAGACAGGAAATGGCTGTACTGTTAACATATACATAAATGATGTAAGTCCGTGAACCTTCAAGGCCAGAGACGAGAAAGGATATGGTATTGCAACCTGGCCAAAGAAGGCAAAGATAACAGTATTCCATTTCAGAGATCTCACATCAGCATTGAAGATCATTGACATTGATGTTTGGGACGTTTCCGCGTGATGTGACCATGAGCCTCCAGAATTGTTGATACCAGCCTTAATCATCGGGTGGAACACTTCAAAGATGGTTAGGAAAGAGGAGACTCGATAGAAATCGTCCCCGCAAAAGCTATACACAACCCATCATAGGGAAGATCACAAAGAGAGGGGGGGGGGGGGGAAGAATAAATCCAAGGATGAATAAAATAGCATATCGAATCAAAGTAAAAAGGGGGCAAGGGGGATCCGTACACATCGCTCGCTAGAGATAAGGTCCAAAAAACGTCCATCCATAAAGCCGTAATGACAAAAGAAAACAAGACAAATAAGAAAAGGAAACATAAGAAAAACACCAACCACCTAAGCGTATCATGATTCAAGTACCAGGGCATAAATGAGGCATTTAACCATCATCATCAGATGCGTCAGCGGAGTCTTGTTCACTTGCGTCGGCACTGGCAATGACCTTGGTTTTCTTCGAATTCACATTATCCTCGTTGACCTCACTTGATTTGCGCTTGGTAGCAAGGCCATTTTCCCTTCCCATGAGTTCAGCCAGCGGATCCGGATCACCTTCTGCGACCTTCTTGTCCATGGCAGCGACTTCGTCCGCTGTCAGGAATCGACCACCAGGACCACGTGGTCGGCGCATAGCATGATTGTGTCGCGATTCATGGAGGTAGGGTTTGCGGCCTTTGGAAGTCAAACGCAGCTGTTCCTCCAACTTCTGTCGAGCAACTCGACGCTTCAAAATGCGGTGAAACTGCTTGGCATTCACATACAGGGGGGACTCTTCTTGGTTGTTACTGGCCACCATCTCAGGGGACGGTTGGTGCGGTTGCACGGCCGCTTGGGGGCCACCCATTGGAGGGGCTATGGAGGGCCGGCCAACATGGCTCATGACGGGTTGGGCTTGTTGCACACCAGGACTTCCCACGTGGCTCATCCGCCGGGGTGGCAACTGGGAGTTTGGAGGCATCTGAACCTGACCACCCATTGGAGGCATTTGACTCGTCATCTGAGGTGGGGATCGTGGATTCCGATCCTGCTTCATCTGTACTCCAGACATACGTGGGGATCCTCGCGGTCCTTGCGCCATTTGTCCAGTCACATCATGCTGTAGGGGGTAAAACTGGCCAGATGCAGCAGCAGTGGCCATCGCGGCGGCTTGAGTAGGGGAAATGCCGTATGTCTGAGGCATGCCTGCAGGCACGCCATAACCCTGAGGAAAGTTCATTTGTTGGTGCACGGCGCCCGGCGCATTTTGTGCCTGTTGATAATGTTGTTGCGACGGAACGATAGGAGAGGTCTGGTGGGCGGGATGTGTCGGTTGCATTGGTGCCTGGGCATTGGTGGGGGATGCCATGGACCCAACGGAGGAACCAGGGTTTGGTGGAGCCGTTTGGTAAGGCCCAGTTATGTGGGACGGAGCATGCGGATGTTGGCCATGAGGCTGTTGGTACTGTGGTGGGTACTCCATGGTTGCGGAAATGGAAAGAAAAAAGCCGCGACGCGACTGTTCTGTCACACCGTGTGACAGGGGGACACGAGAGGAGGGCGTTAAGATGGCGGGATCTACCCAGTCAAATGGAACTAAGTTAAGCGCAGCGACTGATTAGGTTTGTCGTCGTGGAAGAGTGATATGGTCGAGACGAAATGCGAAATCTGTTTGGCAGAGAGCGTGGATCAATGGCACGTATGGCGCGTGCGAACGGGGAGATGGTCAATGGCGCAGTTGGCTTGGGTGGTCGGTGATTCGACGGTGCGGGGCACAATAGTCTGCAGGCTCGGGTATTCGCGTCAGCAACAGCGCAGGACCGAGCAGTCACTGGATTGACGGGACCCCTGTGGGGACACACGCTATTGGGAACCGGAAAACACAAGGGACTCGGCGCATACCTTAACTACTGATTACAGGCACCACTGGCCAGGATATGGTGTGTGTGGTCAGAACAGAATTCTTCACCTGAGCCTTTTCGTCAAACAGAAATCCCCGAAACCCGGAGGGCTTTGGCTCTTTTGTGCAAATCGGCCTATGTCGACCGTCGGGTGTAACGTGGTTGGGCTGTGATGCAGCAGGCTGAGGGGGGATGATGCGCCCCTCGAGTCGAGCTGTGATGCGTTGTTCACGATGATGCCACCTCCAAACTTGAGGCTACGCCGATTTATTTTTTCTTCTTCTCCTTCTCAGGCACAGGCCTTTTTTTGCAAACACCAAGGCTGAGCACTAAATCCGGGGAGTAGTGAAGAAATGTGGATGGAGACGTCACGGTTGAAAGGCTCCACGAATCAAGACTGCGCCAGTTAGTTACTTCTAGATTCCGATCCAATCTTCCAAAATGAGAGCGATGTGTTGGCAAATGAGGGGCGTGGAATCGCAATCCAAGGCCATGGTAGGCTTGCATACCCAGAAATGGGTTAGGGCCCAAGGCGAAGGGCAAGTGGATGCATGCGTTGGCACGGGAATAATTGGGGCAATTTGCTGCAGCTGGGGGAGAATTGACATACCTTGTCGATCGCGTCTTGAAAGTTCTGCAGCACAAAGCAGGTAGAGATCGTATAAGGCTAGACAGGGGGCGAATGGGATCGCGTCCAAGTAAGGAAAGCCTGATCGAACCGAGCCTAGTGGATGTCATATGTTAGATGCAAGTTGCCACGAGCGATGATGTAAACGCCAACGCGGTCGGGGGAAATGGTAACACATCCGATATCAAAACAAGTAGATAACCAACAAGAATACCTAGCTACATGAATCGTGTGCGCGGGGGGGGAGGGGAAATAGTAAAGTTGGGAAACAACCAATGGTAATAGAAAACCAGATGAAACACGGCGTAGCCGCTTTGCATGCGATAGAGCGCGTTGTTTTGGCACGGGCCGAGCAATAAAATAAAATAAAAAACGCGCAACGCAACGTGGGATTGGAGACTTTGGGAAGGGGGATTACCGTAATTGGGGGGGTGGGATGGGAACCAACAAGCACAGAGCTCGTCAAGAACGGGGATCAAAGATTCAAGGGATACAATGATTGGGGGGAGATTCAAGAGAGGGGAATCGGGGGAATCCAAAAAGAGGGGAAAGAGAACCAACGAGACCAACGAGAGGAAAAGGCGGTGGTTTTTTGCGGGTTGGGTTCTGTGCGCGCCTTGGTGGGCACTAAATCAGAACGCCAAATGTATATCTCCACTATAAGATCAGATCTCCCGAGTAATAAAGGGAAATCCGATATAGTTGAAAGAGATGAACTGAAAAGGAAAAACAAAATGATAAGGGGTAACTGGTCAAAAGGTGATGGTGATGATGATGATTCATATATTGGGGGCAAAAACATAGAAAAAGAAAAAGAAAACAGCATAAGTAGGGTAAAAAGCCCCCTCCCCAAAAAAAATCAAGAGTAAAATCAAAGAAGAATAAAACAAAGATAAAAAAAAATAAGCACTCCAAGGAATCAAGAATCAACTTGATACAAGACAATTCCTTTTTTTTTTCAAATGAACTTGTGGTAGGGTAAGGGGATATAATAATGATAGAGCACGAGCACCATTCAGTCCAATGCATCACTTACCGTTCTGATTAGAGATTTTGTTTTTTTTTTTTTAAAAAAAAACCACACCCAAAACCCACCCTAGATAACAAAGATCATAGAAAGATCGTTGACACCTGAGGGGAAATCCAAAGTGGGAAAGCACGATGATTGGACTCGACAACTGGACCAAAGTGGACGAATGATATGAAAAACCGCGAAGTAAGGGTGGCCGACTCTGTGCGATGGTTGGCAGGAAAGAAGCTTGGGAAAGGGGACGGGCAACCAACGAGAAGAGGCAGAAAGAGGAGGGAAAGGGCGAAAAGGGGCGAGATGGGGCATTTTAGTATTTTAGTACCGGCTTTCTCAAGGACTGACTGGCCGACGATGACTTCCTCTTCCCCCGGCGGCGTATCAGAGTACGTGGTCCCAGTGGGGCCCGCATAAAAAAAATGGGGGCAGATACGGTATTGTATTTTTATTGTATTTTTAGTGTTAAATACAAGAGTAATCAATATGATTGGGGCCCAATGCCCATTTATTTTTCTTCTTCGCTTCTACGGAGTAAGCGCTGGGGGAAATAACCATGTATATCACAGTTTTTTTCACCCAGAGCTAGAGTTTTTCTACGTACTAACACATGACTGAAATTTTACCTGAAACCGCCCATCACAGGGAGTTCAGATGAGATGGTCTATTCTGAGCTCTGATTGGTTTCTCAATAAAAACGGGTCCGTATGGTTTTGTCATCTACCGAACCACCAAACCCTCCCAAACACTGCCAAACACTGCCAAACACCACCAAGCCCCCGTAACCTGGGTAACTTTGGTATGAACTTAGTAACATGCAAATCCGGCCATCCCGGAAGTCACGGGAATATCATGTGCAACCGTCGAACCACTCGGGAGGCGGTGAGAATGGGATTTCGATCTACATACCAATTTTTACCACTTTGGACGGAGAACTTGGCCTTGTGTCTTGTTCAGCCAAGGTAATAAAAACCAGCATCGTTTTGGCGCTGCTTGACCGATGTGACTGGTTTGGTTAGTTTCTCATTCAGCCCTTTGCCTAATCTCCCAAAATGACTTGGAGGTAACGTCGTCCCTGATTATTATTATGATGAAAAGTGATCTTGGGCGAAAAGGTTTACTCCTTCTTCCTTCGGCCCTTACTCCCGTTTAGGCAATCCTCTGGACCCATGCTTTTCTCGATTTTTTTTTTGGAAAAGAATGATTAAAAATAGTCAACAAGTACATTTGAATAATGAATAATGAATAATAATAAAATAGTAAAATAGTTTTAAAAAATATATACATTAAACATATTAAACATATTCAATCCCATCACTTGTGATACCGTGGTGATGTTCCCAGCCAGGCGGTGATCGGCGACAATTCCAATCTCAACTACCACGGGCTTTGCACTTCTTCCCTGTTGTCCGGGGGAGGATCCTGCCTCGTTCAATCTGGGGGCTTCTTTGTCAATATCTTATAAGACGAAGGTATGACGCAAGAGACGAAGAGACGTCATGTCCAACTGTGGCAATTCCAACTTCGAGTTCGACTTTTAACTTCGATTTTAATTCCAGTTTCAATTTTAATTTCAATCAAAACGCAAAAAAAACCCCTTCATAAAAACTGTGTAATCCACGAGAAAGTGTATATAAATGACCTGACTTAAATATGACATCGCCCTCACATTCCAACATTTGAAGGTTATCACCACATCAGTTACAGGGGTGAGACGCCTCCAGGGCTAGGGCGGAAGTTATCCGGCGCGTACACCCGACTGTTGGAAGGTTGACCAATATATTCAATGTTCCATAAATACTCCCGGTGTCTTTAAGAGGCTGAGAAGAATTTATTAATGTTTAATGTGCTCCGTACATAACTACTATATATAAGTGTGAATGTTCAAATGTTTAGTATTAGTAGATATAGGTCTATAGGATGCGTCATTTTGGTGATGGCCCACGTGTGAACCGTCAACTCTATACTAAAGCGACCATTCATTACCTTTGGATTTATGGGTCCCAATCCCCCACGAACCCCACGTGTTGTTTTTACATAGGCCAGACCGCTAGTAAGTACCTATGGACGTTCAACAAATGTTGAACATTGAAGGGCGATTCAAATATGTATATGCTTATTTGAAGACTCACACATACATAAGGTTGAAACCCTCTCTTATCGATGAACATACGTGCATTCAAAATTTAAATGTGTAATTGATGTACATATGGATCCACCTTAAGTGATATGTATACATGTATGTGCACATCTGTAGTAACATTTGAAAAATAATGTAGATAATATTATATATAGTGTAAATTTATAGTACTAATACTAAATATCAACACTGAACATTTGAATGCACTAGTAGGTATCATATCTTGGATATATATATGTACAGTACTAGGTACATATCCCCTTTAATTGATGTTGAGAGGATGCATACATGACTATATATTTTTGAAACAGCCGCCAGGCTGGTCCAGATGTCATACATATATTTAACATTGAATGTTCAAATGTTCCAGAAACATTGAAATGCTCACTTCAAATGTCAACTGGTTCAATATTACTAACACCAGTGCCTAGAAGCCCTCAGGTATTGACATCTCCAGGGAGGTTGACCTCCACTAAACAGCCCTTAAGATTTCCAAGACACACTGTTGGACCACCTGGGCACCTCCCGAGGTCCAGGCGTGCCCAGGTGGCACACGAATCCACAGGTCCATTGTGATACCAATCCATTTAGTGGAATGTACAAAATTTATTGGAATTGAAGTTTTAAAAATATTTCTTAGAAGACACTAGGTATGGATGACCTCTGGAGGGTAACGAATTGTTCTACTTAAGGGCGCTCTACTACCTAGCCCCTCCCGAGGTCGCTTTATTCAAATATTCGTTTCCCACTTATTCAACCCTTGGAATGTGGTTCTGGGCAATCATGTACTTGCATTATTCAAATATCTCAAGGCCTAGTATGGTCCTATTCAAGGTAGTCAGTTTCAACTGTATACCTAGTACCTATCTCATTTCACTGTTAACACTCGACCGCATTTTATTCTAGGCTAGTGAAAGTCGCTTACCTCAGCAAGGGGTCCCGCTCCGGAGCAGGTGGCTTTTCTACATGGACTAGGTAGAATCAATCAATATTTGTTGTCAAGCTACGGTTTACTGCCTTCAATATTCGCCATTGAAGTCGCAGCTCTTGAGTCGACCGACCTAATCTTCCAAAACTCCCCGCAACCACCCCGGCGACCCATCGCACACCCACGAGGACGCGTTCAATATTCGCTACATGACGTCTTTGTTGACATTGATCGTTCTCGACCTTCCTGCTCTTCCGATTCAGACAGACACACCGGAATCACCTTTGGAACGACTTCAAACCGGCATCTTTGTGACATCACCTTAAGCCGCGCTCCTCGGGGAGTTGGCGCATTGCTGCATCTCCCGTCACCGCTTGTGTCCACCCCTGCAAATCACCAAGCCCCCCCCCTCCTCCTCCCGAGCAGTCGATCTTTGACGCGATTCCAGTGCATGGGGTAGAGAGAACAAGATGGGTCCAGGCGGCGGAGGCAATATTAAGGTGGTGGTTCGGGTGCGGCCTTTCAACAGCCGAGGTAAGTGAGGCATAACAAAGCAAGGAAAAAAAACCCTCCAGAGAAGGAATGAAGCTCAAGGGCTGACGGGTACTATGTTTAACCTACAGAAATCGAACGTGGTGCAAAATGCATTGTATCAATGAAAGGCGCCCAGACGGTGATCAACCAACCGCCTGGCGTTCAGGATAGCTCACGAAAAGGTGGCAAGGGTGGTGTTGAAGGTCCAAAGACCTTCGCCTTTGATCGATCGTACTGGTCATTCGACAAGAACTCTCCCAACTATGCCGGACAGGACAACCTCTTTGATGATTTGGGTACACCACTGCTAGACAATGCCTTTGGCGGTTACAACAACTGTATCTTTGCGTATGGCCAGACAGGTTCTGGAAAGTCATATTCGATGATGGGATATGGAAAAGAGTATGGTGTCATCCCCCGTATCTGCCAAGATATGTTTGAGCGGATTACCCAGATCCAACAGGACAAGCTTCTCAATTGCACGGTGGAAGTCTCATATCTAGAAATTTACAACGAACGAGTGCGCGATTTGCTCAACCCGTCCAATAAGGGTAACCTGAAGGTCCGTGAGCATCCTTCGACTGGTCCATATGTCGAGGATCTGGCCAAGTTGGTGGTACGGTCCTTTGATGAAATTGAAAACTTGATGGACGAAGGAAACAAAGCACGAACGGTAGCTGCGACGAACATGAACGAAACATCCAGTCGATCTCACGCCGTCTTTACTTTAACGCTGACGCAAAAACGTCACGATTCGGAGACTTCCATGGATACCGAAAAAGTGTCAAAGATCAGTCTGGTTGATTTGGCAGGTTCAGAGAGAGCCAATTCTACTGGAGCTACGGGCGCCCGACTGAAAGAAGGTGCAGAGATTAATCGTTCTCTATCCACACTGGGTCGTGTCATTGCAGCCCTGGCCGACGTGGCTGTTGGAAAGAAGAAGAATGCTTCCATGGTTCCTTACCGTGATTCTATTCTCACTTGGTTACTGAAAGATTCTCTGGGTGGTAATTCTATGACCTCCATGATTGCAGCCATCTCTCCTGCGGATATCAACTTCGAAGAAACCCTGGGTACGCTACGGTACGCTGATTCGGCGAAAAGAATCAAGAATCACGCTGTAGTGAACGAAGACCCGAACGCTCGTATGATCCGCGAGCTGAAGGAGGAACTGGCCCAGCTGCGTTCAAAGCTCGGCGGCGGTCCTGGTGGCACCGGGGCCGCTGGTGGATTACCAGGCGAAGAATCGTACCCGCCTGACACACCCCTGGAAAAACAGATGGTTTCTATTCACCAGGCTGATGGTTCCGTCAAAAAGGTTAGCAAGGCCGAGATTGTGGAGCAGCTCAACCAAAGTGAGAAGCTGTACAAGGACCTCAACCAGACCTGGGAGGAGAAATTACAAAAAACGGAAGAAATCCACAAGGAGCGTGAGGCTGCCTTGGAAGAGCTTGGTATCAACATCGAAAAGGGATTCATTGGACTGAGTACGCCAAAGAAGATGCCTCATTTGGTCAACCTTAGTGATGATCCCCTGCTAGCAGAATGCTTGGTTTACAATATCAAACCAGGAACCACGACTGTGGGACATATGGACCAAGGAAACAGTGTGGAGATTCGATTGAACGGCTCTAAGATTCTTTCCAAGCACTGTACTTTCGAAAACGTGGACAATGTTGTGACAATTGTTCCTACTGAAGGTGCTGCGGTAATGGTCAATGGTATGCGGGTTGATAAGCCCAAGCGTCTCAAGAGTGGTTTTCGCATCATCTTGGGTGATTTCCACATCTTCCGTTTCAATCACCCACAAGAGGCTCGTGCCGAACGAGTTGAACAGAGCTTATTACGACACTCTGTGACAACCAGCCAATTAGGTTCGCCCGCACCCAACAAAACCCATGACCGCAATATGAGCAAAACTGGGTCCGAAATCGACGGAGACTCCAGTAGGGCGGATTCTCCAATGCCATCGCAACGGGGCCGAGAATCGGATTGGTTCCTTGCTCGAAGAGAGGCGGTAGGTGCCATGCTTGGACCAGATCATATCTCCCATTTGCCAGATGACGAGCTTGATGCTTTGCTCGAAGGTGTACAGAAGGCCCGAGCAGAGCGTCGCGGGTTGCCCGAGAACGAAGAGGACTCAGACTCCCTCAGCTCCTTCCCCGTGCGTGACAAGTACATGTCCAATGGCACTATCGACAATTTCTCACTCGACACTGCCATAACAATGCCGGGGACGCCCCATCAGAATGGCGACGAGGAAGGAGCCACTGGTGGCGTTTCTCTAAACTCAGTTCGTCAAGACATGCAGCGTCAATTAGATCGACAAAGAGAGGAGTTTCATGATAAGCTTAAGATCGCTGAAGATTCTTCCAACCAAGACCCTGCTGAAATTCGGACCGAGCAGCAGCGTATGGAGGACGCACTCAGGTTTGCCAAGGAAGACTACGAGGAGCAGCTGAGAGTTCAGAAGGAGGAGTTTGAAACACAAATGCGAGACATGGGCAAGCCAGTTCCGCAAATCTATGAAAATGGGTTCGCCAAACTAGACGAACGGGAGCTTGAAATCGCCAAATCCGTCTTCCGTCACTGGTCCAAACGCAATTATGTCCGCATGGCTGAAAAAATACTGCAGCACGCATCCCTCATCAAGGAAGCGCAGATCATGAGCCACATCATGGACAAGAATGTGGTCTTCCAGTTTGCTATCGTTGATCATGGCCATAATATGGCCTCGTCTTACGACCTTGTCCTGAATGGAATTTCTGGTGATGACGATATCGTGCTAGAAGAGGCCAAGAAACCGTGTGTTGGCATCCGGGTAATTGATTATAAGCAGCGTGTCATCCACCTCTGGTCGATTGAAAAGCTTCAACGCCGCGTGCAATCCATGCGCCAACTACACCAGTACATTGACAGGCCCGACTATATCCAGCACTTTAAACTCGAAAATCCATTTTCGGACCCGTGTTCCCCACAATACTCTCTCATTGGTGACACAGATATCCCCCTGACCGCTGTTTTCGAGACACGCGTGCAAGATTTCTCTGTTGAGATCACTTCGCCTTATACCCAGAGTGTTGTTGGGATCATCCGATTGTCCCTGGAACCATCATCCGCGGAGGCCCCTTCATCCACATTGAAATTTAATGTGGTCATGCGGGATATGGTTGGCTTTGCTGAGTGGGAAGGGACGGAAGTACATGCACAGCTCTTCGTTCCTGGAATCTCCGAGGAAGGAGGGGCTACCACCACACAAATGATAAGTGGATTTGAAGAGAGCCCAGTACGGTTTGAAAGCGTGCATAGTATGAGCCTGCCGCTGTCAAGCCCGCGAACCGCCGCCCTCAAGGTCTGTGTTTACGCTCGCGTGACACCGGTACATCTGGACAAGCTCCTGAGCTGGGATGACATGCGCGATTCAGCCGACGTCACATCCCAGAAGCGAACTGCTCCTCGGATTGCAGAATCAGAATTCTACTCGGAAGAAAGACACGACGTTTTTGCGAGAATTCAGATTCTCGAGCTTGCAGAGTCTGGTGAATATTTACCGGTAGAGGTTGTTCAGAGTACTAATCTCGATGCCGGCACCTATCAGCTTCACCAGGGTCTGCAGCGTCGCGTCTCCATCAACCTCACCTATAGTTCCACCGAGAGCCTCCCATGGGATGACATCACCAATGCTCGCGTGGGTTCTGTTCGTCTTCTGGATCCGTGGGGTAAGATCCCTGACCAGGATTTACAAACTCCGGATGTTCCCCTCAAGTTCCTTCAAGAACCCATGGTAAAGGACAATGCCGATGGAACCTCCAATGTCACGATCATAGGCCAGTGGGATTCGAGTTTACACGGCTCCTTGCTGCTTGATCGAGTCACCGCAGACAAATACCGAGTTCAGGTCACAGTGCGCTGGGATCTCATATCTTCTCGCCTGCAAGCCCCTGTTGTGTTCGAGGTCGATCAAACAGTCCAAATTCTTGGACGTACATATGTCCGCCAGCAATCCATGTTCAAACAACTGTGGAGCTCTATTCGAGTTGTCCACTCGACCACTCGCATGTATTCCTTGGTCATTCGACCGATTTCCGCCAAGCGAGCCGCTGACCTTTGGCGAATGAACACTCAGAATGACTATGTCAAAGGTGAAGAGCTCTTGACAGCATGGGCGGCCCGCAAAGTGTCCCTGGTTCGGGATTATATTGCAGCTCGCAAACATCGATACCGTGTAGCCGAATTGCAGGCTGCTCGAGGTGCTCTCAGCGCTGGTAGCCTAGTGGCATCATCTGCGAGGGGCAGTGGCCGATCTACACCTATGAGGAACCAAGACCTCAACGAGCGGAAAACTAAACTTCTCCGCAAGTACATTGATCTCTGGCCGACCAAAAAAGACCCCACGGAGACTATCCTCGTTGGCAGCAATACTGAACCTCCCACCGATGGCGCGCAGACTAGATCGAACGGGGCCAACAACACATCTGACAAGATGTCCTTGAAGCCTCGCTTTGTGGCTACCATTCAAACCTTACCCAAGAATGCATCCGCCCTAAAGTCAGGACATGTCCTGACACCGGACGATACAAACAGTGTCTGGGTTCGCCGATTTGTGGAGCTTCGCCGGCCGTATCTCCACATCTACTCGGTCCCTGATGGAGATGAAATAAACGCCATAAACTTGCGCAACTCTCGCGTCGACCATGCGCCTGACTTTGCCCGCCTTTTGGATGGCTCCGGAGCCGGTACCGACCGCTCATTATCTGCTAAAGGACGTCCCAATATTTTTGCCGTCTATGGAACGCAGAATACCTACCTCTTTGCGACACGCACCGAGGCTCAAAAAGTAGAGTGGATCCTCAAGATCGACGAAAGCTACTTTAGCAGCAACGGCGGTAGTGCGGTTGCAAGTGGTGATGAGCGATAATTCCTTTCTGCTTTTCAAACCTTTTGCTTTTTGCCATTTGCTATTTGGCGGCTTCAGGTTGCGCTTGTCTTGTATTTGATGATCTTACGGGGTCAATCTCCTATTTTCTTTCGTTTTATATATGTCTCCCCTTTTCCTGTTATGAGTTGTTGCTGAGATACCCCCCCCTTGAATATACATATCAATTGGCCGTGGAACGCTTCTCCCAGGTGCCCAAAGTCCCTTGTACATAGAGCGAAATCATTGGGGCCATCATGATAGATCCGACGGTGCTCATTGATCAAAGTGTTTTAGGTAGAAAAGCATCTCGCTTTGTTACCTACATACATTGTACTACGAAATTATTACCTTGCTTGAATGTACATTGATGTCCACATGTGAGCGGAATTTTTTTTGTTTTGTTTATTCTATTTCCCTAATTTTTTTTTTCTCCAGTGTTGTAATGACCACAGAATAACTATCCCGTATCAATTATTTCATGCCAGTGATGCGATCGGGTTTCGTTGCCGTGGAAACTATCGTTCGTTGACCCTCTCGACGAGGCGATGCAATTCATCTGCACCACTCAAGTGCTCACCTTTGAAAGGCTTGCGAAAATCGGGACAATTCGAATTAATCTCTGACTTACAGTGTTCAAGTTATCAATACCTCCATCAGGTTATGGGGTTGGTCTGATTTAAGAGGACTCTCTCCATTCCAGAAATCGTTCCTGAAAAGCCAAGATGATCGCGCAGAGACCCTCATTCCGCTTCATAGCCACTACCGCCGTGGTATCCTTCTTCATCCTCTCATTCTTTATCCTCTCATTCCATCAATCCACAGACTCTGCCCGATATTTCTTAAAGACATCCCATCCTAACTCACAACACTGCCCACCAGCAGAAGCTTCGACTCCTAGCAACGGTTCGTGGGATTTTGTTGTTGGGCGTGATGGACAAAATCATGGTCTTTCAGAGGAGCAATGTCAAATTGCATTTCCGAGACTTTTCATTGAGATTGACAAGTCTGCTCAGTTGAATCAAGAAACCTTGATTTCCTACAAAGATCTTGATTCGCGAAATGTCGAGGATGGCATGGTGCGGGGAATTATCGACCAGGGCGAGGTGAGTTGAGTTACCGCAGTATGTTCTTCTGCGACTCCAGAACTGATCTAATACTACGCTACGATGTACAGTTATATGTTGTCGATTATGCCGCAATGCCCGTTACAGGAACCCGAGCTCGTTCTACATTAAATTCACTGCACCGTGCCCTAAAAGCATACCCGGACCGCCGCCTCCTTCCTAGCATCGAATTTACCTTCACAACAGAAGATTTTGCCGAGGACCCAACAGGGACAGGGCCAATTTGGGCATATTCCAAACGAGAGGGAGATGACTCGGTCTGGTTGATGCCAGACTTTGGTTACTGGGCTTGGCCCGAAGTGCAAATTGGTCCATACCACGAAGTCCGACGGCGCATTGCCGCAATCGACGATGGCGAAACTCTACCGGATGGTACCGTTCTCCCAGGGCTAGCATTTCAAGACAAGAAAAAGCAGCTTGTCTGGCGCGGCAGCCTCGCAACAAACCCCGCCATTCGCAGTAAGCTGCTCAAAACCGCCCTAAGCCGGAGTTGGGGGAGCGTCCGCGTTATCGACTGGGACGACGATAATGACATCCGATACAATCTGCTTCCGATGGAAGATCACTGTCGCTATATGTTTGTCGCACACACCGAGGGCCGCAGCTTCTCCGGTCGGGGAAAGTATCTTCTCAACTGTCGCTCGGTGATGATCTCGCACCCTCTCGTGTGGCGTGAAGCCCACCACGGCGCGCTCATTTCATCTGGTGCCGATGCAAACTACCTTGAAGTCGATCAAAATTTTGGGGATCTACCTTCTAAGATTGATTACTTGATTGATAACCCACAAGTAGCGGAGCGAATCGCTGACAATGCGGTACGGACGTTCCGAGATCGCTATCTGACTCCTGCTGCTGAATCATGTTACTGGCGGCATTTGGTCCGACAATATGCATCAGTATCTGATTTTGAGCCTGCTTTATTCTCCACAGATAGGGATGGGAAGAAGTCCCCCCGCGGTGTTCCGTTTGAGACGTGGCTGCTCACGCACTGATTCTTAAGGGGGTTTGTTTGATCAGCGTTCTTTTGTACATTTCTTGAGATATTCGGCGTTAATGATACCTTGACAATTTAAACACTGCCTTCATACAGATGCTAAGTATTTGCAAGACATTCACATATCCACAGATCTTTTGAATAAACTTAGAATGAGTTGACATAACGCATACACCACCCACCTAGGTACATTCTGTTTCTGACCCGACGTGTGAGTGGATTGATAGAATGCCTGGCCTAACCATGCATAGGAATCTGACCATACTAGTATGCTCTAGGTACCTGCTGGCATCGCCTCATGCCGGTTTGATTTCAATCTCCTTGTGTCAGCTGCTTTTCTTAGGAAATGATTCTCAAAGGTAAAGCCAATTAAAATGACTTGACCTCCAAAGTCCTGGGGCATCTATTTGTATGGATATAATACCGCTTTTTTGACGCTCAGGTTTGGCGAGTTGACCACGCTTCGATTCTGGTTTCGCGCGCTCGGGAGAAGCCTGCCTAACCGCTACGCGAATAAAGTACGGCACTCAACTAAGCATGGATTCAGGGATTCTACCTGGTAGGTTAAATTGTATCAAAGTCACTCCTTTCCTTACGAATATATGGAAAGGCGAATAAGGAGAAAGGCCACAGAAAAATCAGGTTTCGATATGAAATAGCAAATATTAATTTCAAGAAAAATAAGACACAACATTTGAAGATAAACGAGCTAGAGAAACATGGAAATGTACAAAGAAAGTGCGGGCATGAACATAAGGAAGAGCATCGAGGATTGGCATCGCAAAAATAAATGTCCAAATAACTCAGTAGTAGTTAGTCCCTTAGTAGTCTGCTAATCTACTTGCGGTTGTTGTTGTTGTTGTTGTTGTTGTTGGAGAACTTGAAAGTTCCTTCAGAAGCATCGAAAATGCGAGTGGCCTTATCACCCTTCTTGAGACGGCAGATGACAGTGATAGGCTTCTTCTTCTCAGGGAAGTATTCCTCAAGGTGGAAGGACTCTGTTGTACCCCAAAGGGCGGCAATCTTGTTGTAAATGTCCTTTCGCTTCAAATCATCTAGCTCCTTGTGTTCCTCAAGTCGCTTGCCACCATAGAAGACATCCTGAAGTGTGATGTGGTCGTTCTCATGAACACGTCTCGCCTGCTCAATCTCCTTCTTGAGGATAGCCTGGAACTCCAGTTTGGCAGCCTCTAATTCTTGCTTGATAGCTTGAATCTGATCGTCGGCCTCTTTTTTAATGACCAGGGCGTGGGCATTCCGACCCTCCTCAAGCTCTTTGATGCTGTGCGAGAGCTTCTCAATGTCCTGATTCAGAATAGTCTCCGCGCTCTCATGTTGGGCTTCAAGCTCCTTGATCTTGGCAGTGGCCTTGTTGTGCTCGTTGGTCTCGCTCTGGAGAGACTTGGTGAGCTTGGCCTTTTCCTTGTCCCATCCAAACTGGGCAATTTGAGCATTGGCCAACTCATCGGTCTTCTCGTCAAGCTGGGCCTGCAGGCTCTCGTGGTGCTGCTCATATTGGCTCTTACGGAAGACACAGTCCATCTCAAGGACGTGAGCACCTTCCTTGAGAACGGACAGCTCATTCTCCAGGCTGATGATGAGTTCACGGTCCCGATCTAGGGCCCCCGCCATGCGGTGTCGTTCTCTCTCAGCATGCAGTCTGCGGTTCAGGGAGCTGATCTTTTCATCTTTCATGATCTTCCACTCTCCCAGAAGTTGATGGTTGATGAGGTTGAGCGCTTGCCCCCACTCGAGGCTCTCCTGGACAAAGTGACAGGCGTTGAAAGCTCTTTCGCGGGCATGGTCTCGTTCGAGCTTGACATCTGCGATCTCTTGGATCTTGAGCTCAAGAGCAGACTTTTCATCCTCCCACAAAACATGAACATTGGCGTAAAGGCGCTTGGCTTCGATTTCATTCTCGATAGCTGCATCTCGCTCACGTTCGGCTGTGCGGCGGTCTTTCACCGCCGCATCCTCACGATCAGTGGCATCCTTGCGATCAGCCAGGGCCTGTCGCAGAATTTCGTCAAAGTGGGCTTGTTTCTCCTCCAGAGTCTTCAAGTAGTCGTTCAGTTGCGTGTTTGTGGTATTAAGAATGAGGATGTCCTTTTCAGCTTCGCTAAGCAGCTCGGCCTTGATCTTCAAGTCGCGCTTATGGTCAGAGCAGAGCATGGAAAGCTCGGCAAACTTCTTCGTGAGCTCAATATTTTCCTCCCGGAATCTCTTGTTCTCCTTTTCCAAATCTTCAGCCTTCTTTCGCCAGGCATCAGACTCGACCTTGGCAATGCGTTCACATTTGCGGGACTCGCGTGCTTGCTCCTGGGCAAGGGTAAGCTGAGCAGTCAGCCTGACAACCCAATCCTGGAGCTGAGTGATATCCCGGCGATGAGTCTCAATTTGCCTGTCACGGATGATCAACAGCTTCCCTGCAACCTCAGCTTTGGCTTCCTGAGCGTCACGCTCCTGTGCGAGCTTGACCATCCGGAAGCGGGCTTGGCCCAGCTCACAGTTGGCAATTTTCAGCTGGCCCTCAATCTCAACGCGGCGCTTCTCAGCGGCCTCAAACTTGGCAATTGCAACGGCCTTGTCATGTTCAGCGGAATCCAGTTTTGTGATGACTGTGGTAAGCTCTTCGAGCAGTTTGTCGCTCTCGGCGAGGGCGATGTGAAGGTGTGAAGCGATGTTCTCCCGAGCGGTGATGACCTTTCCCCAGTGGTGTGAGTGGTGAACATCGATGCTTGTCATGGTAGCGAAGAACTCGTTGTCGCGGATCATGGTGGTGTCGATGTCATCAAGGGTGGAAAGCTCCCTCTGGTGGACCTCATGCTTGTTGATGAAGTTGTCGAGATTGAATCTTTCAGCGAGAGCAGCGATGGTCTCAGGCTTGACCAGACGGGGTGGTGGGATTCGGTTCACCACGGGCTTGGTTGGCTTGATCCAGGGAATAAACTCGGTCTTCATAATGCCGTGGGTGTTACCGTTGCTGGTGCCGTTGTTGGTACCATTGCTGTTACCGTTGGCACCAGCGACGGAGTTCTCTGTCAATGCGAGCTGGGCCGGGGCCGGAATCGGGGCTTGAACTGCTGCAACCATCTTGAAGACGTTTGGTAAATTGGAAATGTTGACGGGAAGTCGAAAAATCAAAACTTGGTCGAGTGGGAGTTGTTTTATATATATAATATAAATCAATTACATGTAATAACCAAAATGAAAAAAGGGAAAAAAAAGATCGAACTCGCTCTAGCTGGGCGGGAGGGGAAAGTTGAACAGAAATGCGAAATTGATATCAGGGTAAAGGGTGAGTTGGGTTAAATATTCACTCAAGGTGGTCTTGATTGGATTGAAGTTGATGGCTTGGGATCTTGAGACTGAGGGGAATTAGACATCATTATATATGCATACACCTCGAGCCATTGCTTCCAAAGTTCATCGCTTACACTGGCCTTATGTCTTCAACCAGGCTATGCTGGGATTGTGAGCACCCAGCCAGCCATTGAGCACTGAAAGACCGAATAGCTGACCCGGCCAGTCGAAACACAATTGGTAGCTGGATGCGACATGTCCGACTCCAATCACGACGTTGTGCACAGGATGTGCAGCTGAAGAGGTCGATGGCGGAGTGGCCAAAATTACGGCAAGGCCGAGTAAAGAGGGGTTTGAGATGAAACTAGTGGCCATGTAGGTGTTGGTACCTTGCAGCTCGCCACAAATAGCCCTATGAAAAGCCATATTGGTCACGTTAAAATGGGGTACATACAATAACATGTTCCCACGCGGTGCCTGCCGACCGACAGTTGCAGTAGCGCCTAGAGCGGGCACCCAATAAGCCCAATCAGGTGGCCAGAGACACACTCCACCATAGCTCGGCCTGATTGACATATTCTGCAGGCTGGGTTTTTGTAAGACTAGCTTTACAGACTAGGTAATTAGTTTTGCAGAGTGAGATGGCTGACGAAGACTCCGAGCCCCAACTCATTATGCTTGGCTGGTTCGGTCCGTGGTGGTGTGGTTGGGGGGTCCGTGGGGATGAGCTTGACTGATCAGCCACTCGCGCTCGCTTCGATTTTCCACTCGGGATGAATTGAGGCACAGAAGTCGGTTGCAAAGCAGGAAAAAAGCTGCAAGATGGGGTTGATGAAATAATCGAAGAAACCGACAGGGGGCAAAGTTGTATATGTCGCCAAAAATACTTCATTTGGCTGGTTGCGCGGGTGGCTTGCGTGGAGTCAAATACTAGTGAAATTTCATATGTTTGATGGCGACTTCAAAGCTGTGGTCAAGTTGGCAGTCATCAGATCACTTCGTTGGCTTGAAAAGCCTTTATGGTCTTTTCAAACTTCCACACTAAAAGGATTTATCAGGAGATTCCGGACTGCACTGAAGTTGAAGTTCCCCTGAAGTTCCCAATATCCAATTACCAAGTTCGGAGTTTATAGATCACTATTTAAGCTTACTCATCATATCAAAATAGGCGGTTTGGCCGAGTGGTCTAAGGCGATTGACTAGAAATCAATTCTCTTCGGAGGCGGCGGTTCGAATCCGCCAGCCGTCGATTGTTTTTTTTTCTTTCTTTTTTCCATCTCTTCATTTTCATTCACATTTTCAAAGGCTGGAAGCATGGCATCACAGTAGGAAAATATTCATTAAGTCTTGGTCACCCAGATTTACATCAAATTAATCAACTTCATCCAGCTCGCAGGGCTTCCGATCAGCCACGGTTATCGTTCCATATATGTACCTATATCTACTACCTAAAATATGGTATTTGCTACATATGTATACATATTGATCTCTCAATTGTTCAATGTTGACAACATTGGTTAAAGGCAAGTTGACGTATTCCAAAATTATGAATTTAGCCATCAATTCAAATGTTCAAATGTTGAACTCAGAACTTGCCATCGACATCGGTAGCGAGCTCGGGATCCGTGGTGTTCCTAGGTTTTCATCAACTGGTGCAAGACGAACAAAGGGTGATAATACTTACCGTTGGCTCCTGCGATTCCACACCCCACTCAGATCTCCAACTGGCAAAGAGAGAGGGAAGCCCACCGAGTCAAGCAGTTGCGCTGTCAATAGATAGAATCCTAGCATCGTGGCCACAAATAACGCGACGCCAGCGCCCTAAATGATAGGGCTCAGAAATTGAAGGAATAGATAGGAATGAATCAGACATACCACGGTTAACCGATTAGCTGCTGCTTCATCCTCGAGACCCAGTTTCCAATATGCGGCTGCCAAGAGGGAAAACACGAAAACCAGGGAAGTGAATTTGAGAACAAATACTAAGTTGGTGCGAGTGGCACAAACTGTGTATATCAGCATCAGCAGTGCCATGAATATGAAGAAGAATGCTAATCATATCGAGTCAGTCAATTTGCACCGGTGGTGAGGGGATTGAGTCCTGAATTCAAGAATGAACTTTACCAAATGTGTCCACAAAGCCCGCGCCGTGAAGACCTGCCAAGGTATTGGTCCCGTCTGCAGAATATGGAGCTAGAAGTCAAGTAAGCACGAATGAAGTCATAACCGGGTTCCAAAGGTTCCAGTGGATGTATAGTATGTACCGGCAGAGTTGAATGCTGGAGTCATAGTGGCACCGAAAGCCAAACAGAATCCACCTAATGACAATCAGTTTCGTTCAAAGCTCAGGTTGTCAGATAGTAACTTGCCTAAGTGACCAAACACAACCGAGGAGAATGTGTTTCCGAGGATAAATTCAAGGATACTGGAAAGGACCAGCAAGAGCCCACCCAACAATATGAGAACCCCGCTACATAACGTTAGTCAAGAGCACATGCGGGTCTATGGAGCAGCGCCAGGACAATTGTTACCTGAATGCCGCACCACCTCCGCCTGCACCTCTCCATCCCATCAAGCAACACGCAAGTGGCGTGGCTGTGAGCACAAAAGCTCCAACACCCCTGGGATCACACACCTAAGTTAGCAATGGTGAAGTTAAGCTCTGAGCGTTAAACCATACAATGGTGTAGGATTTCCCAAATTCTTTGCCAAGGTCGGCTGACGATGCATCATAGGACTCAGGTAAAGCCTCTCAAACTGTTCAGCAGAAAGGGTCACCGAAGTAGGGACCTGTGTTAAAACAGGCATACCACCAGCCTCACTATGGGAGATCTTGGAGCTTCCACGCATGATTTCGTCGTGCATTGTTGTGTCTTTAATTCCAATTTGGGGAGGAAAAAAATGAATGGATATGTCCACAGGTATTTAAGTCGGACGAGCGGACAAACTGCTTCCAACTTCATTTAGCAGAAGTTGGATCTGGATTTATAGCTCTGGTTTATCTGCGGAGCTTCCCCAGATTTGAGTCTCCGTATCCGATCGGAAGCAATCCATTCTTGCTCCAGGGCTGGATCGACAGGGTAAACATGCTATCGGAAAGCACATCGGCATGTAGTTCCAAGGTTAACGACATCCCCGCATTCTGGGGAAGAAATTGAGTTTATGGAGACTCCACCTCAACTGATATTTTCCAAAATTCCTTTTATTTTCAATAATCGGATCAATGGCTGTGGTTTATTGGGGAGGGTTGGTTACTTCAACCTTGGAAAGATTCTCCACTTTTGAGACCCCTTTTTTACTTGGGTAAGTTACAATCTTTGGAAGATCGCTGCTACCTAGCTTACTCCATAGAACTAGGAACTGAGGAACTGAGTATATGGATTGCCACCTTAATCTCATCCATGGGTCTGGAAAACTTATAAGATGCCGATGGATGTGCCGAAAGAGCGGAACCCAGCACTTGAGCTTTCCTACTAGACTCTAGTAGTCTATTCCGCCTTGATCGGATCGGCCTTTTATAGCAATCACCTAGTTGACTAGTATAAGTCTTTAGTAAACCTTGAAAACGTGAAACCTTGGATTGAAAGGCTTCGCAATATTCGCTAACGTTTGAACTAGCCAGGAGTTTGGGAGTTCACACCGTAAATGCCATGTCGATGAATCGATGATCCACTGCGGATAAGCTACTGCGGAACAAACGTTCCGCCAGTGCGGGATCTTCGTGTGGCAATTTGGCCGTTGAATTGATCTTCAAATGTTACTAAATGGTAGAATTTGGTATTATCTTCCCGCTTAGGTGCATCTGGAAAGAAGTTTAATTCGGTCTTGAAAAATTTGATATTATGTATACTTGTGAATTTTATTGGGCAAGAGTCACAAAATATTATTACTTGGCAAATTCCGCCATTTTCACACGGCGTATATTGTTACATGTAGTCACTTGAAGTGAATCATTCCAAGATTAACTCTATAAAACGCGGATAACAGGGAGACATTAGTGATCATTGTAGTCACGGTATTATCTTCATAAAGGAGTGGTCATGCGGCTTGTACATATTATTACCTGCATCATATTCAAATCATTGGCCCAAAGTCAAGAAATATGCTGATCTTCTAGCTCATTACTTGCTTCATGTCATCAAATATTGACAAAGAAGCAAGGTAAGACCTCTGTACGGGAAGGCTAGTAGAGAACCATCACGCTCAGCATAACAGCAACGGAAGCGACCCAGTGAGCGAAGCCCATGGGGGCAGAGGTAGCCGCGCCGCTGGTAGCAGCGGTGGAAGAAGCAGCGGCAGAAGCGGTGGAGCTCGTAGACGAAGTGCTGGTGCTGGTGCTGGTGCTGGCAGTTGCGGTCGAGGTGTAGCTGGTGATCTGAGTAGCGCTAGTTGAAGCAGCAACGGGGGTGGAAATCACTGCCGAGCTAGTGGGGATCAGAGGGCGAGAAGTAGGGGTCACGGTGGTAACGGGAACAGCAGGAATCGATGACTGAATCACTGTGTAGGGCGATGAAGAGACGGAGGATGAGCTGGGTGCCGGCGAGGCAGCGGCAACAGAGGAGGCCACGGAGGATGAGGCAGCAGCGGCACAGGAGTCACCGGTCAGCTTAACGCTAACACATTCGGTTACAGAAGTGCTGTTGGTAGTGTAGATGTTGCTTCCGTTATCCTCGCCAGTCTGGCAAGCGATGAAGGAGGAGCTACCGTCAAAGCTCAACAAGCCAGATGAGGAAATGGTGAAACCAGAGGTACCGGTGGCGCCCTGGTCACATTGGAACTGGGTGGTCTCGGCTGAAGATTTCTTGTTAGTGCTGCTGCTTTTCTTTAATTTTGGCGAACAAATTGACTCACTAGTGATAACACATCCACGACCCTCGCTATCGGTAATGATGGAGTTCGAGATACAGAACTCAGCAGCCGACAGGGTGGTATCACCGAGGCGAACTTGACCATCGGTCAATTGGCCAAGGGAGCCGGACTCGCCGCCAGAGGCAGCGATCTGGAAACAGCAGCTGTCACTGCGACCAACGAGGGCGTTGGCGCCAGCCACGAGGGCAGCGATGGCAATGGTGCTCTTCATAATGGGAATTGAAAAGATGTGAGAGTTAAAGAGAGAGCCCAAAAGCGATTGTAAACAGTGTTGCTTCACTAAAGAAAAAAGGTTCGAGGTCAGAAAGAAAAAGAAAAAGATTCTTTGAGCCAGCTCATGAATTTAAGTAACCAAGGAAAAAATAGTCACCGCGGTTGGATTTTCTGGGAAAGACTTACGAATCATCCACGAATGATGCCAAAACCGGGATTAGGATGATGAGCGTGTTCGCCGTTGGAACCTATCAAATCTCCGCTGGTCTGGATTGGTTCTTTCAAGCTGATTGTTCACAAACTATACGGGCACTAACCGTATGTGATAAGTTCAATCTTTATTGCAGCGGGGAACCCCCAACGTAGGACACGACGCGTGTCCATTTCCCTGTCATAGATCAGAAAGATCAGGAATTAAAAAGGAAAAGAGAAAAAAAAGAGAAAGAATGCATGGATGCGATAAAACAATTTCTAACATGGTTAAGCATTTGAACCCCCACATTGAAGAAGTGAAGATACTATAATTAAATGTACTCTGTATTCCTCTTGACCAGAAGTTCATACGAGCTTTTTGTAATATTAAAGCCTTAAAACTTATCAATTGCAATGAGACAAGCCAAGTGCATCTCGTGGATATCTTTGAACCGATTTTGAGCTAAAAGACAACGCCACTGCCAAGTAAACTTGAACTCGCATTGTTGATAGCCCCGCAGGGAGCTAGACCAAAAGGCACGGGCCTGAGCCATTCAGGAACCCGACGTCAGCTATATTTGAGTAATTGTTGTTTATGTCCAAAGATTCTCCTCACAGCCAGAAAGAATTAGAGAAGAAATCCAATTGAATAGAAAATCAATATGTGGAGTTTGGAAGTTTTCTTACAGGATATACTGTAGTATGAACATTGAACATCGACTATCGACCTCCGCTTTCCAAAGTCTTAGGCCGCGTCACTCTGGCCCAAGCGGGATTTCATATCCACCATATCCACCATTTCCCTAATTTTCTTCTTTTTTTCTCGTACAGACCCAGCAGGTTTTTTTGTTACCCTTGATCCATTTAATTCCAAAATATACAAATAAAAAAAAAAGAAATCGGCAAACGTGCCCAGTTCTAGACTCTATTACAAGTACATCCGTTGGCTGTGCTTTGCCTGGAATGACTTTCCACTCCGTCCTACACAAGTACAGGTACTATTGCCGACGTGCTTGACAAGCTTGTGGTTGTTTGCAAGCCTTTAATTGGTGCCGAAGACTTTTCAAAGGCCTATACTTAACGGCCTCTTAATTTCCCCTCCAAAAGCGATCGGCATTTACAACGTCAAAACCGGTTCTCGTGCTCCATCATGTGCAGTACTATGTACTAGTACATAAGAAATTCTCGCTATGGAGTACTCCGTACGTACATATGTAGTAATTTGGAACCCTTTTCTCCACCATGTAAGCTCTGTGGGGCATATCAAAAAACCAAGATTTTGCTTCTCATTTCAAATCTCTTCAAATGTTCTAGAATCCGCCGAAAATGAGTGGCCAATAGCTTCCCGGTGCCTGGTTGATCATTGATAAAATTGAGATTTGTTTTGGCCCTTGTAGACATCAACGGGTATTCTTTGATTGACCCGATCGTGTTTGAAATATCATATCGAAATTTTGCCCAATTGACACGTAAACTCCGTTATCTAAACTGGAGGCTGATCAGCACCTGCTGTGAATCAATGCTTGTGGGAAAATAGGATCTCACGTAAGGCGCCGCCTGGCAAACATAAAGTAGTAATAATAGCGACTATCAGCATTGAACAAGATAGAGTACATGTATTAGACTGAAACTTTTGATGAACCACGATGGCAAGATATACATATGCATTGAAGTATAATTTCATAGGTGGTATTCACATATTGACATTGAGAAGATGAGTACCGCGAGAAAAGTCTTCGGGATGAGATAAATTCTAATCTAGAGAACAAGAATGAGGGCCACAAAAAGTGAAAAGGCCGAAGCCAAGCCTGCTGAGAAGATAATGTTTTGCGACATGGCGCTACCAGTATAAACAGGACCACTGGAAGTTGTGGTTGGTGATCCAAATTTGCCTTGGTGAATGACGATTGAAGAAGAAGAAGAAGAAGAAGAAGAAGAAGAAGAAGAAGAAGAAGAAGAAGAAGAAGGAAGGACTGAAGAACTGGCGACCTTGGTTATGATTGATTGATGCAATTTTGTGGCAGTCAATGTTGGAAAGGAGGTGGGAAATTGATTTCCTAAGACTTCAATCTTGACAGAATCGGTGGAAAGAATCGTAGACTGAGGCACTTGGATAAGAGTAAGGGTCGCAGTGGTTTTTGAGCTATCAAGGAGGCCAGAAGACGAGCCAGACGAGCCAGACGAGTCCGAAGAGCCCGAAGAGCCAGAAGACGAGCCCGAAGAGCCAGACGAGTCCGAAGAGCCCGAAGAGCCCGAAGATTCCGAAGAGCCCGAAGACGAGCCAGAGGACGAGCCAGAGGACGAGCCTGATAAGCCAGACGCACCAGAAGTACTCTCGGAAGTAGCGCTTGCTTCGGCTGCTGTCACAGGGCAGACAGTGGTGGAGACAACTAGTGTCTCGGTAGTAAGATAAGTGGTTTTCTCACGGGCAGGACAATCTGTCGCGCTTGAAGCACAAGCTGTGATAGTACCTATACGTGTGCTCATAACGGTGGAAGTTGTGTAGCTTGCATGACCTGAACCAGCCCCAATAGGGACACTAGAAGCGGTTTGAGTAGCCTTGGCAGCAGTAATTGGGCAGATAGTGGTAGAGAGAACAACAGTCTCGGTGGTGAGATAAGTGGTTCTCTCACGAGCTGGACAATTCGTCACGCTCGATGGGCAAGCTGTAATGGTTGCTGTGCGAGTAGTCAGAACGGTGGAAGTTGAGTAGTCTGTATCACCAGCATCAGAGCCAGACCCAACGGTAGAACTGCCGGTGGTCTGAGTGGCCTCCGCGGCAGTCACTGGACAAATGGTGGTATCGACAACTACCGTCTCAGTGGTCAGATAAGTTGTTCTATCACGAGCAGGACAGTCCGTCACACTCAATGGACAAGCCGTAATAGTGGCGGTGCGAGTGCTCATGATAGTAGAGGTACTAAATTGATTTGGCTCCGAGCTGAATCCTGCGCCGGTGGTGCCGGTGGTTGTGGGAATTCTGGGAATACCAGTGCCAGTGCCGACGACGCCGGGAGATGGGAGGGCCGAGCTTTCTCCAACACTGATAGCCGATGGCGCACTAGGCGAAGCGGTAGTGCGACTCGAGTGAGTAAGAGGAGTGCTGGAAACTTTCGAGGAACGGAAAGGACTGGACGATAGGTTGAAAGACTTGAGAGGAGTAGGAATCGATTTAGCGGCAGATGACTCTAAGATAGCAGTGGAAGATGTCAAAGCTGGCGAAAGGATAGATGCCGAAGATCTGTAATGTGGCATCACCGAAGAAGAACGCGATGGATCCAAGGACGGGTATGTGGAAGATGAGGGCAAGACGGAGGGCCGCAAGATGGAGGATGGTCGCACGACAAAAGATGATACAGCAACCGGGGTGCTGGACTGAAGTGAATAGCCAGACTGAGCCAACGCCGAAGAAGAAGTCGAGACAGTCAATGATGCGGAAGAGGAAGGCGAGTAAAGTGGTACAGCCGAAGATCGCACGGCACCTGAAGATGCAGAGACCGGCACAGCAGAGGAAACAGCAACCGAAGATGTAGTTGGAGTCGGAGTTGGCGTAGGTGTGGGTGTTATGGTCACAGTGGTACACGTGCTGGCCGTGGTCCCTGAGATCACCACATTGTCGATATTCAATGCCGCACCAGTATAAACCCTATCGGTATCGGAACAGTAACCGTAAATCTCAAATGTATGAGTTCCAGAACTGCTAGGGGTATATGACGTGGATAAAGTGCTCCAACCAACAGTTTGCTCGTTAATTGTCACGGCGGTCTGGGCGAGAAGTCCAGACGCGCTAACTGAATCCATGTACATGTATAGTCTGCAGCTCATCTCAATATTTGCGCTGTTGGGAACCAACTGATACTCAAATGAGATTGTGTATGAATCGCCTACCAGTAAGTTGGAGAGACGTTGATAGATTAAAAGCGCATCGACCTCAGAGTTAGAAGCCTGTAGGTAGTATGAACCATCCGCTGCATCGCCGCTCACCACCGAGCCCGTGGTAGACGAAGCAAATCCCCAGTCTGTGAATCCATCTTCAAAAGATCCATTCTCGATTCCATTCAAAGCGGTACAGGTAACGATCTCCTCCAACCCGGATACTAGTAGTGGGCTCAAGAGAAAGATGAAAGTGGCCCACGGCTGTAGGCGAAAACTCAACATGGTCAAAGAGTGACTAAAAAAAAAAAAAAAAAAAAAAAAAAAACGAGTGACAGATTTTCAAGTCCAAGAATGCGGGATTTAAAAAAGAAGAGAGACCTTGGAAAGAGTGACAAGGAATGAAATGAGTGAAATTGATTTTTACCCCCAAAGAGAGAAAAAGAAGGAATCTTATACCTCACCCATATATATCTCTTCCGTATTCCACATTCAACCATTCCATTTGTTTTGCTCTAATTTGAACAGCGAGCCAATCGGAGTGAGCGATCAAATCACAGATTCGAACCAACATTGGAACGAGTTGTCGGCACAAAAAACCCTTGTTAAGGATGGCAATGTGCACATTTCAAAACTTGCAACCTCCAAATCGAACATTTGAAGCTATTGAATCCGCTAGACCATTTGAAGATAAGCTCTGTTTACATAATCCATTCTATGCCTTTTCATTGGCCACTGATCGGAATATTTCAGGGCTCTGTTATATTACGGTATTACTAGTACCTACTAGTATACATAGAATGAATACTATCCAAAGGTCAATTTATGGACATGGTTCAAATATGTACAAATTATGCAATCTGCAAGTAGAAGTGTAATTGCACAACATTGAATACAGCATATATAGCACGTCCCTTCATGTCAAAATCGAAACATCAGTTGATCCGAATTTCGGGGACGCTTCTCGGGGCGGGTACAGTGGGCGCAGTGGGCGCAGTGGGCGCAGGTGCAGCGGGTAAATCATGTTCGGATTGCCGTTTACTGCTGCGCCGGATGTATCGCTTGCCTTTTCTCAATTCCTCTTCTAAAAGTATCCACTTCCTGATCACTTCTGACCTTTCTTCCTCTGAAGATTTTGGCATTTCCTCATGGCCTTGCGCTATTCGAGAAACCACAATGTGGTTTTGCTGAGATTTGCCCAATGAGACGAGCAGCGTTCGGCGGATTCCAGTCAATGGATAGCCTGCAAGCCCCCAAAGACCTAAGAAGCCGTTATCATTGTGTTGCTCCGAGTGGAACGCATGAAAAGAAAAAACAAAAAAGAAAAGCCCAATAGTTTGAATCACTAGACATACCTGCTGGGGGTTTAAAGACAATCCCACCCAAGCCCTTCCCAACACCCTTCATCATGCCCTTGGCACCATTCTCTTTGAAGCCACGTCGAGGATGCGTGACGAGACCCGTAATGCCGTGATAAAAACTATCAGTGAATTCCTTGGAAGAATCAGTTTAGGCCTTGCCCAGGCGAGACAAGCTTATGGATATCCATTTACCTTTCCAGCTGCTCTGAATCCACTTCTAAAGCTATGAACCTTAGGAGTATCCGTGACCGTTTGGTCATTGTAGAGCCTTGGCGCATTATGAAATCCCTTTGACAAGCTAAGCGAGACATCGGTGGGTATCCAAATCAGAAGGTTTAAAAGTCGTTTTGATAGTATACTCCAGTGTATCGCGGCCTCGGTGACAATTCCTGTGTGTTTTCCAGCGCGCATCTCACAACCCATTGTCACTTGCTTTTCGAGTTGTAAGCTCATCTGTCTACCCAGTGTTTCCGACGAAACACTGCTGCTCGCATGTTCTTGTTCATCATCGAAGATCGATACATTATCATCACTTTGTTCTTCTCCACTATCTTCCTCTTCCGTGTCAGCAAGCACTGCCTCGCGTTGAAAATGTTCTGGTGTCCTCTCATTATCGCCCTCACTTCCCTCCTCGGCTTCGGAATAACGAGTCGAAAGTTCGCGTGATAGGGAGCGTGATCGAGATCGAGAACGAGAACGTGCACGCGACTGCCGGTGCGCACGACGACAATGATACACCTGAATAGGATTGGTATGATCATGGGGGTGGTTTATCATGCGACCCGCAGAAAACAGATCCCCAATAAACCCCACTGGAACATCGGCTAGGCCAATGACAAAGTTGGAAATGGCCCCAAACAACACCTGTGCACTTGCACTAAGAGGGCCCGCTGGATCACGATAGGTGTCATATTCCATGGGCCGATTCCTGTGCGAATTCTTAGCCTTTTCTATTTCTTTTTTTGGTCTTTCTGCTGAGGGAATGGATCTGAGGGAACTAACAAAACAAGATTTTCAGGCATTATCCGCTTCATTTCGACCAAAGTTGAGGCTGCAAACGTACTAAGTCCAACCTTGGTGTGCCGAATGTGCCATGCAGCAGGGCGATCAGTGCAAATAGCACATCGCATAGATTCCAAGTCAAGATGTTGATGAAAACTGCGGACCGCATCTTTCACTCCCGATTCCATTTTCATCTTATTTTCAATATCCTGAGCTTTCTCGTGCGTTGATGGCTTCAAAGCCATTTCGATCGCACTGCTCAGGCTATCCACTGTTAACTGCTTATGAGGTATTGGCTGAGGACCAGCTCCGGCTCTTGCTACTATGCCCCCCCAGAATTCTTGATCCCCGAAGAAGGGAACGACGATAGTGGGCCTCCCAAGCGCCAAACCAGCCGCGGTAGTACCAGCACCGCCGTGGTGAATCACACACGAGACGTGCCGGAAGAGCCAGTCATGGGGGCAACTTCCAATTATAAGAATATTATCAGGGACCTCAACATCTTCGGCACCCAAGTTACCCCAGCCCTTTGATACCAGGGCGCGCTGGCCGGTTTGTTCGATTGCACCGAATACAATTTTAGTTAATTTGATCGGATCGTCCACAACAATAGAGCCAAAGCCGACGTATATTGGGACTGGGCCTGCATCAAGAAAGTCTTGTATCTCGCGTGGAGGTTGATAATTTGACTCTGATGGAAGAAAGCTGAAACCGCAGATGTCGATATTATCAGACCAGTCGCGTGGTTTTGAAAGTAATGCGGGAGACCTGTATAATATATTCATATATATTAGTAAGATGTCCATCCTTCTAATTTAGAAGGTTCATGATTAGCTGGCCTCTTACCATAGATATGTACAAGGAATTTGGAGTCGATGAATGAGACTGGGGGCGGTGATACTGTCTAGTGGATCTAACGATAGGATTTTCTTTCGTAACTTGTTCACAAGATCACCCAATCCCTCCCATACCATCATATCAACAACAGCATATGACACGAAGTTTGCAACAGTTGGCTTACACTGTTGCGGATGAAGGACGGCTAAGGGATGTGGGAAAGACTGTGTTGGTGACCATGGCATCCTATTTCATCCAAGTTTAGCAAGTGATATCGACAAGTCTTTCTGTTATACTCACGTAAACATGATATGAAGAGGAATACCAAGTCTTTGCGCACAGTGAATATGTGCCAGACTAGGTGGATTGGCTATAATTGCGTCCGCAACAAATGGCCGCTGTCGCCAATCCACAGTGTCGCTCCACGGATCCTCCTTAATCTGATGCAAATCTGTACCATCACCGGTCTGGAAACAAGATTTCCAACAACCGTTGATGATTTGATTCATTTCACGGCGACGCTTTTGAATAGCTCCACTGCGGATGGTGCTGAAATTGGGCAGCAGTCCTGGGTTTTTGACCATGAAAGCCATCAATTCAGCGGGGTCGCCTCCGATATTGAAGAACTCCAGGCCCGCTTCAAGGACAGGATCCCGAAATGCAAGATGTGTTGCCAATCGGACGCGGTGACCATGTTCCTTGAAGCCTTTGCCCAGCGCGATGAACGGTTGGATGTCTCCACGAGAACCGATCACTTGGATTACAATATTTAACTTCAGAGGGAAAGGTTGCCCTTTGTCTGGAACACCCTCTCGGCTATCCCTGTCTTCTGAAAGATCCATTTCAGATGTTCGTTGGGAGATGAGGGGACTTCTTTGCATGCGGTTCAGGAGATCTGCCACCTTGGGCCTGTGCTCGTGGATCTTAATGTCAAGACGACCGTCGCCTGTCCGACACAAGAAAGACCAGTGAGTAATCGATAATTCAAATAGGGAACCCATCGTGATATTTCTGACCTAGCACCTTGACACCTGTGTTCAGGCCATCCCCACTAAACTGCACTCGCTCATCACCGTTACTCGAGGACTCGCTCATCTCCCCGGTCCCGTTCTCGGGTTGTGTATTGCCATGGCGCGTAGATCCCGCTGTCGAGAAAGTGCGTCTTAGCGTATCCATTTTTTAAGAAATTTGATATGAGATTGAATTTTCTTTATTATTTTTCTGACCTTGAAGAAACATGAGTAGAGGAAAATTGATAATAGTTACTAGTAGATGATAAATACTCAAAAATCTCCATTAGATTTGTCAGGAGTCAATGATGTCATGGGCACTATTTACGAGGTTGCCCGTCCTCATCCATGAATTGCAGCAACATGTCAACCGCGGGTTCATTCGAATGTTTCCCTTGACACTGGGGAAATGTCTTTTCGAATATTCAATCATCAATGACCGGACAACATTTGAAGAACATTAAAGGGTTTATCATCCCCTGTCCCGAATCATGTATACAGTCTTCCAACGTTGACTCGTATCATCTATGGCTACTTGTTATTTATATTAAACCCAGACAATGATGCCTCATTCAAATGTTGAAAAAAAGGTTGATTTTAGTCTGAAGATTCAGTGCTCTAGATCAATAGCTTGAGGTGAAGTAGCTTATGTATATATGTAGCACTGAGTGCTGCAACGGTTTTGAGTTCTAAACCCGCACGCATATTGGTACTATACATGCACACACTCCAGCCTTGGAACCAGCTTCAAAGCTGAAATATAGGTAACGATTTACATATTCAGGTAGGTGAATTCAATTTAAATGTATTCCCCCATGAAAGAAACCTGTGGTTTGTAATTAAAATGTTTGAAATTCGCCAGCCAATATTAATAGGCGAGAAGCCTTCTAAGGTTTCAAGGTTATGAGTGTTGCTTATCTTTGAATGGATGACTTTCATGACACCATCTGTCTGTATAATCACGCTTCAAGTATTCAAGTATGTTGCAATAAACATACGTATGGTGCACACCTGAGGTTGTCCTGGATGAAACTTTAGGGCGCGTACTCACCTAGGATGTGCGTGATTAGAAGTGAGTATGACGTGAACTTCAACTTTGAAAGGAAAACGAGGGGTAAAATACAAGTATATATAAGATTGCATATTCTCAAGGTCATATCCACATCCTCTGAAAGTAAAACTCACAAGGTCAAGACTCAACTCAAGTACAAAATGGCGCCTTCTGTCTCTGAGGTCTCTATTGCAGATATTGTTGTTCCTGTCAAGGCTGAGCTTCCATCCACCGAGAAGAAACACAAAGTGAGAAGGACTATCGAAGAAGAAGGGGGGAAGACCACTGCCAGTGTATGTAGTAGCCATCCCCTCGAGTGCTGGGATCTCCATTGCACAAATCTCTGGTTTCGACGTATGCGCTAAATATGAACTTATCAGTACCCAAATTATCTCCCTACCTGGGACCCTAGCGAAAAATATCCACCTCTGGAACCATTCACACACTTGGATCGGGGAAAAGATGCCGACCCTTCCTTTAGAGACCTCTTGACTGAGGGATCCAAAATCCAAAAGCTCACTCCGACCATCGGCTCCGAAATCACAGGCATTCAACTCAGCAAACTCGATCCCGCTGGAAGGGACCAGCTTGCTCTCTTAGTCGCTCAGCGCAAGGTCGTTGCTTTTAGAGACCAAGACTTTGCAGACCTACCCATCCAAGAGGCTCTTGATTTCGGTGGCTACTTTGGTCGGCATCATATACACCCTACCAGTGGGTCTCCCGAGGGATATCCGGAGATTCACCTTGTCCACCGAAATAATAACGCGTGGGAATTTGATCAATACCTTGCCGAGAAGAACAGCAGTGTCTCATGGCACTCGGATGTCACTTATGAGCAACAGCCACCTGGAACTACCCTTTTGTACCTTCTTGATGGCCCCGAAGTGGGTGGAGATACCGTCTTTGTGGATCAAGTTGAGGCATATAATCGTCTTTCCCCAGCAATCCAGGAGCGTTTACACGGACTTAAAGCCGTGCACACTGGATTTGAACAGGCTGATAATAGCCGAAGTCGCGATGGTGTTGTGCGAAGAGAGCCAGTCAAGAATGAGCACCCCCTTGTTCGGACTCACCCGGCGACCGGTGAAAAAGCACTTTTTGTCAACGCTGGTTGTAAGTGCAACTGTCCTTTCGCTAGTTTTTTTTTTTTTTTTTTTGGACAGGGCTTGAAATTAACAGTTTTTGAAGTCACTCGTAGTATCGTGGGACTCAAGAAAGAAGAAAGCGATGCCCTTTTAGGATTCTTGTTGGCTCATGTCGGCCGTGGCATTGACTATCAAGCTCGCATTCGATGGGCTCCCAAAACTGTCGTAATTTGGGATGTAAGACATTCAAAACCTGATCACAGCTATAATGGACCTCCAAAACTGACTGAATTACAGAATCGCGTGACTGCTCACTCTGCAATCATTGACTGGACGACTGGCGAGCGTCGTCATTTGGCACGAATTACTCCACAGGCTGAACGCCCATACGAAACCCCCTACATCCCAGAGAAAATCACATCTTAGTCTTGAACTTCTGGGAGATAGTATTGACGCGGGTGCGAGATAATTTGATTTGCATTTCTTTCTACCGCGTAATCTCAGCCGTAAACGACATTGGATCTTTCACATTTGAAAACATGCAAGAAGCCAATATTCTAGACATCAGGTTCCAACCAAAAAAAAAAAAAAAAAAAAATTGTTGCGCACAAGCTCTTCCAAGGCTGTAGAGGGAAAGGATCTTTTCTTAATTTTTCAGGGATGCAATCTAAGCCCCTCGTTGACGACATTAATGGATGAATGCTGCGAATCAGTGCCAAGTCTGGTGCAATAACAAAATTATGAACATTCAATAGCAAATTCGCAACCTTGAAATTCAAAAGTACATAAATGACAAGGGCTTTCAAGACCTTAGACTAGGCTATTTTACATATAATGAATGCTCCATCATGTACGTAATTCTTCATCACTACTAGTAGCCAACCCCCTGTCTCACCTTATCCGATAAGTTAAAATTAATTCTCACTGGGAAAAGCGGAAATCAATTCTATTCAAAATGTCAGCTCACAAATTCAAGTTTAGGGACTAATTTGCACACCTCTTGTTAGTAGTTGTTGGATTTGCGCGCAGATATTCTTCTCGTTGCTCGCTAGTCAATGCGTTCCATTTCGTTGCGTTTTGGCTGTATCCGCATTAGCAACCAAATTAGCAACCAAATCAAATGTTTATTGAGGGGGTTTCCTATGTATAAACGTACCGATTGCACCAGTCATAGTAGAACTTTGCACCGATAAACATAACCAAACTGACAACAGCCAGCGCAATAAGAACTTTGTTCCCATGTTTATAGTATGGCGCATCATCAGTTCGGTAAACCTGAGGCCATATCAGTATATCTGCTGGGGGGCAAGAAAATGGATAAACTCACATTGGCTCCAGCAATGGCACTAATCTGCACAGACATGTTATACAATGCAGTAGCAACGGTACGTGTTCGTACCGAGCCGGCATTTCGCGATGTCAAAGCAACAATCACCGGGTGTACACTTGGGGTTCCAACGAGAAGAGTTAGAATAGCAAATCTAGGCCACGGCAGTGCTTTTGCAGGTAGGACTTCCAATGTGATGAGAAGAATCAGGTTCCATAATTCAACCACGGCACCGCAAAGTAAACGCTGATTTGTCCGTTCTGCAATCAAGGTAATAGTGATGACGGTAATGATTGCAACAACTGCAGACGGGATCGACAGCAAGTTTGTCTCAAAGGTTCCAAACCCAACCTCTTTCAATTGAAGGGTGAGATAATTAGTAGCTGGCGTTGAGGGAATCAACCAGATCAACCCGAGAAGGTAGATCGGCCACATGTGGTAATCCTGCAGCGACTGCCACAATAACTTGGGTGTGACGGCCTGCCGATTGTGCATGCTTCCCTTGCTTGGGTCGTCACGAATCACTCGATTGACAATGATTTTTTCTTCGTGCTCTGTGAACCATCCGTCTTTTCCACGCAGTCCCCCTCTTGTTTGAACTGGAGAGGCGGGCATCCAGAATACGGCGATGATTCCAACAACGCCCGTTATAAGGCCTTCAAAAGCGAACAAGTAACGCCATGCACCCTCGCCATCGGAGTTTTTAATATGAAGGAAGCCAAACGCTAGGAATGCGCCTACAATCCCAGTCAAAGTGTCGGAGATCCAGAAGCAAGCAAGTCTTTTGGGCAGTTCTTTGGACTTGTAAAAGAATGATAAAAAGAGGACCGTGTCGGGAATGCTAAAAGTATACAGTTAAATCATGTCCACTGCAATTAAAAAGATTTGACGATACTAACAATCCACCTTCCAGTAGTCCCAGAAGAGCGCGTGTGGCCAAGAATGACGACCTTCCCTTAAGAAAGGCCTGACATGCTGCAACGATACTCCACAGAATCATTTGGGTGGGAATCCAACGGTCGGGGCCCAGTCTCTTGGATATCAACTGAGAAGGCATCTCAGCCAAAAGGAAACAGACTAGAAAGATGGTTTGACCCAGATTGTAGTCGTTGCTGGTCATTTTCAGATCCTTTAAAAATGTACTGGCTAGGGCCTGTCCGATATTTCCTCGGTCAAGTTGTAGGGCGAAAAAGGTCACACAGGCAAAGGTCAAAACGCGAGCGTCAATCTGATAAAACATGATATGTCAGGGAGTCGTCGATGTGCTATGTGTTTTGCTACAACACACCTTTCTGACCACTTTCCTCTCTTCCTCCTCCGTCCATTCAAATTCTGGATCCCAGCGGTGAATACCCTCATAGCTATCAATTGGCCGGTAGAATTCGTGTCCCTCTTTGATTTCAAAGGTACCAGTCTCATAGCCTTGTTTTTGCTGTGACTCTTGATCCGAATCTTCCAATACGCTAGCTCCTGGGGAGTCTTTCTGGATGGCAGAAACCTGTGCTGTCTTTTCTTCGGTGGCCATTGCTAATCATTAAATCGCTGGAAAGCGAAATTGAAGCTGCACAATGTTGAAGCCTGTCTTTTTCTCTCACGCGTCACTTGGTTATTTACATTTCCTGTTTATTTATATGTATACAGTACAACTAGTATATAGATTGAGCGGGGGTCCAGGACTCTAGACTCCAGGTTGGTCACGCAATCCCGTTAAATCGGATATCATCACAGCCCACACATGTCGTGCCTCCAAGCTTATATGAGACAATTCAAAAGAGGGATCAAAGTACCTTCAATGTTCAGATTGATTGACTTTCCATGTCTGTCAATTTACTTGATTTATTTCATGAAAATTCAATGAAAATTCAAGGTTAACACGGTCTACGGGCCACAGTGTAGCCGGAACTTTTCTAATGGAGAACACTTGAGATAATCTCGAGTTTGACACAACATTGAATACTTTTCATTTTTCCAAAGCAGCACTTGAGAGCAATGGCGCAAGACGAAGTCAGATATTGTTCCTTCAAGGTCTCAGTATCTTGCACCACCAGAGACTGGCAAGGCGGCATTCGTGCATTATCTTCAACCAATCGCTTCTAATACAATTGAACCATTTTTCCTTCGTACAAACGCCATGCATTATTGCGAGCAATTTATGGAGACTGTGATTGGAGGGTGCATACCCCGGCTATTTGTTCTGTCTTTGATATTTTTTTTTGGCGATATCCACGGCAATGGTGATGTGATCCTGGATCCTCATTTGAGAATCTCTCATCGACTCATGAGTATTCCCGCTGACCGATCAGATGTTTTCCTCTTTTTCCCAGGAAGCATCTTAATCCTGGCAATGTAGCCGGTAGACTTTATTTCCCAGCGATTCGTTGAAATACTGCGGACGGGTCTCAAGTGCTAAGAATGTTTCCGCCCGATAGACCTTCAGACGCCCTGTATCGTCCCTCCGAACAGCAAAGACAGCAAAGCCTGGAATCGTGATCTCATCGATATCTTTATTACCGCCTTTGACAAGATATCGAATAGTGGCGGCTTGGTAGATTCGAGGAGCGACAAAGTCAAAATACCGAATCTCGTGGGTCATCATGTCGAGTTGGCCCAGAACAGTTTTAAACATCTGCCGCACCTCGCTCCCTTTGATCACAGGATTATTGGCATACTGCATTTCCACGTCGTCGGTCATGAATTCTGACAGCCACCGATCGGCGTCGAGAGTAACTAGCTTCGTGGAACTAATGAGATGATTGCTATAAGTTGGGTCTTTCGCCGTTGGGGGAGGGGGGATTGGGGTTTACCTCTTCCAGCCACTTCCTCACGGCTCCACGGTCCAAGTCAGGGACATCCGGCATTATGAGGGAATATCTGGAACACATGGGCCTTGGAGGATTTCTCTTGTTATGATTTGAATGCGGCTTGATAATTTCAGACAACAAAAGACAAGGTCTGTTCAATGTTGATTTGGAAGCTTCCTTCCCTCTACCGAGTTTAAAGTGGGTTTCGTTTGTTTTATAAATTTCTGTGCTAGTACGATTGTTTTCTGATACACCTAGTCAGTACTATATAGCCTTTGCTACGTATTCTTTATCAGTCTTGCGACTCCTGCCATTGTCAACTAATCTGTTTCGCTTACAAATTCCAGGTTTCTCGGGTTTCCGATAGTTATCACCGAAGAGACGGATTCTTATATAAACAGATTACGATTTCTGTCATAACTTCAACTACCCCGAAAGAACATAATCCATGATTGAGGGAAAGAAGAATGATAAAATTGTCAGATCAAACTAATTAGTCCAAGTGAGCTCAAGTGTCTGCAATTCATTAGAGGCCACCTAAAAGTCATGGCGGCATCACTTGGAGCTTCACTGACTCCATCTATGCGGGGAAAACTAACCTCCAACTCTTTTACAAATCAATCTTCACGCTTATCATCCACTCATAGGTTCTATATAGTCTTGGCCAGTGTAGAATAGTGTCTGGCTGACAGGTGTACATAGTATGTATGTGGCAGTTATTAGTCTTACCGGGAGCACTTGAGGATTGCTGCCATTGTTTGATGCTGTGACATATTGATTAGTTAGAACCTTGGAAGAGGTTGGAAATGACAATAATAGAAAATGTTCAATGTTCAATGTTGATATTAGATATCAGTAGTACTCAATAATACCCTTGGATGTTTGAATGCTCTCAAGGCTACATAGCTACCTAATGCACGCTAGTACCTACTAATAGGTATGCTATACTGTCTTTCCTTCACGAGCCCTTTTTTTCTCTCGTAAATTATTCACCCAAGCCTCGGCACCTTCAATAGCCGCCTCAGGTGTGCTCTTATGGTTAAGTAGATAGCCTTGAATTTCAGCAGCAGTGAACTCCTCGGCCGGAACGTGACAGGCAAATTGCCTTGCCAGGGTAACAATACGAGAGCGTTGTGCTGTGAGGTAGTTCTGCTGTTCTTTTGTTTCCCTCTCTTCTTTTTCCAAAAACTCCTTACTTTTAGTCCGTTTATGACTGTTAGTGCTGCCACAGTCATTTCCAAGTTTCGCATGTCCGCGTGCGATAGAGGTGCGAGGAGAGTCGCCATCCATTGTCATGTAAATTGAACTGAAGAGCTCTTCTATGGCTTTCTCGCCGGTGTAACCAAACGAGATGCTCATATCCACTCGACCGGGACGAAGAAGTGCCGCATCAAGATTTTCCGGGTGATTTGAAGTCATCACAAGAATGCGGCCCTCACTAGCGGCAACACCGTCTATGACATTCAACAGACCAGACAGGGTGATTCCATCGGGTGCTGGCTTGGCGGGTCTAGCAGCTTTTTTCACAGCGACAGCATCGACTTTTTCGGCAGGAATATCCTCAATGTCGGACTCATTAACCTCAGTATCTTTCAAATTGCTGTCGGTTACAGTCTTGCTTCGATTTTGAGTGATCCCGGCTGTGTCGATGTCCTCAAGAAGAACGATACATCGGTTGGGCAACTCGGAGAACAAAGAGGCGAGACTATCTTCGTCGAGGGCTTTGGAGTTTAGGTTGAGAAGGTAAAGTTTCAATCCGAACAGACCTGCTGCAGCAAAGCACAGACTGGTCTTTCCCGTTCCGGGGGGGCCATGTAGTAAATATCCACGTCTGTACGGGATTCCTCGGTTCGAATACCATCGCCGAGTACGAGGGTGAAGATATTCCTTGATGTCATCGATGAACTCCTGCTTTCGGTCGGGGTCAAGCACCACGGTGGACAGAGGGCGCGGCAACCTGGCCATACACCGAGTCCAATTCCATGAACTCCCGTGGTGATATCGGTGACCACGGTAGATGATAGTGCGATTCCCATCACGCTGGACGTATGCCTGCTGTGCCTCGTTCAAGACAGCCCGAAGGATAGATGCATCACGACCGAGACATGATAGGTAGAGTCGTTCGTTATTTAGCACATAGCGGTGGCTACTGGCTTGGTTTCTTCGCTCTAGCATCAAGGGGCGATTTTTCCACCAGAAGATATGTTGGCCCTGTGATGGAGTAAATCGTAGAGGCTTGTACTTGTCGCGGATGATGACTTTAGCCCAGTATTCATCGAATGAGATACCGTCAGCGCTACCGGGCTCATCCCACTCGCCTTCGTCGTTCGCTAGATTGTCATCGTCCTCGGAGTCATCTGATTCACTGCAGTAGCTGTTGGACTTCACACCGGCAACAAAACGATTTGTACGCTTCATGTGTGGCTGTCGAGATATCCAGTACATGAAGTAACTGAAGGTTTCATCATCAAGACGGATCTCTGCGGTTGAGACAAGATATTCCTTGACAAAATCGGTGATGTAAGATACCACGAATTTAATAGAGGCACCAAAGACGATCATTACAACCAATTGTTGTACATAAACGGCAAGGTCGATATGAAGGTAAGATATTAGAATTCGGGAGAACAATGCATATCCAGGGATCAGAGCTTCCAGCATGATCGTCTCGGGCGAGGGAATCCCCGTCCCCGTGGACGAAGGGGTTGATGCATTGAATTCCATGATCAGCTGACCTTTTTTTTCATTCACTTTTTTTTGTAGAGAGAAAAAAAAGGGACTGATAAAAGGTGGGGAGCGATGGGTCAAGAGGAAGCAAATCGCTGCTTTTATAGATTGGGGGAATGGGAAAGAGCCTCATTCCGATTATTCAATAAGCCAATTGTTTGGGTACGCCCAAAGAGGAGCCCGAGCGACCGAGCCTCATGGCTGCCTGGTTTGTGTGTTTGCTGCCTGTGACTCATGCAGGGGCTTAGACCTGATCTACGGCTTGGGCTCAGCTGCATGATTCCAGGCAGTGTGGATGAGATGAGAATAAGCAGCCACTGGAACTGGAACACCAAATGCAAGACAAAAGAATAAAAAAGCAAAAAAAAAAAAAAGAATCTCTCCCTCGGGGAATCGAACCCCGGTCTCCCGCGCTTGGCAGTATTAATGACAAGCGGAAATCATGACCACTAGACCAAGGAAGATGATATATTGGGAAACTGCTAAATATGACATTTACACTAAATCCCTCTGAGATGGGTGACAACTTTGAAACTTCATCTAAGGCATTTACTATCCACAATCCTCGGGGTCATAATCAAACCCCAAGTTTCAAATATTGGGAAAATTCAAAGTTGGTTTTGTGTGGAGAGATCGATGGTCCAGATGCATGCAGTTGGCCATCTGGTCGCACGGTCTGGCTGCAACCTCAACCTTGGAAGCCTTCAAATGTAATTGATCTATTATTTACCCTTTTGAACACTAGGGTGCTTGTAGTATGAATATGGGTATCTCTCGGAACATTGAATCAAGGGCAATCAAGCCTGCTAAATTTTAACATGAAATTACGCGCGTTGCGGGTGGTTGTCTTTCTCAGCCGAGATCAATTCCCCTGCCCACTCTTTCCACTCTTCCAGTTTGCCCACTAACGAACCCCACCACGAACCTTTGTTCTCATCGTGGCTGCTGGTTCCCGTTGCAGGCGGTGCCTCAATTGGGGCATCCAATTTGGGACTCGTAGGCTCTGGTAGAATGACCGTCGGCGAAGCTGCTTCGGGTGGATCAGATGGGCGTTCCACAGGGGGTGCATTCTCATCCGAATGAAGCCCGATTGGGTGAAGAGGAAGACGGAGGGTGCCGTTGTTCGGAAGGGGCTCAATGCCCAGAGAATCACAGACAATGTTATACACTTCAATATTTTCTATGATAGGTCAGCTTATGCAAGCTCAGAAGCCAAGACTATGATAAATACTTACGGAATGCATCAAGGCGGCTGTTTGGAGTGTGGGGAAAAGCCGGACCACGCGCAACAAAAATGGCGCGCATAAGCGGGTGTTGGTGATCATAACCATGAATGCCCTTTGGGTGATATATTTCCCCAGTCTTCAGAGCCTCAGCCGCATCAAACTCGGGGCGTTCCACAATCGCCCACCCAGTTTTTGGGATTATCCACAGCGGAGCAATGCGGTCATTATTCGTGAAGTGGTAGCGTGCAGGCATAGTCTCCTTGGTGTAGTACTCAAAGGCATGCGCGTAACCGGGTGCCACTTTCTCTAGCTGAGATTGCAGGGTCGCTAGATCTTCTGGGCGCTTAGGGCGAATGCCGCGGGATGGCCACCCGTCTAGGTGAGCCACAAGATCAAGATCAATGATATCCTCAAGCTGAACGAGGCGTTCGTTGGAAGTCGTGGCCATGCCGTGATCCGAGACAACGACGACGTTGACCACGTCTGTGAGATTGCGGCTCCTGAGACCTGCAACGATACCCCCCACCACCGCATCAGCCTGAGATATAGTGGTTCTAACTTCAGTGCTGTTAGGCCCGTAGTTGTGACCATCTCGGTCAACGTCCGGAACATAAGCTGCAATGAACTGGGGTCGCGCTGGTGACAATTGCGACCCGTCCTCTGCGCCAGGGAGATCAAGTAGCTCCAAAACACGATTGACCTTGCGGGACAGAGCCTCAGAGCCGTTATACCTATCCACATAGGTTGGCTCTGGGGTTCCGATGTGAGCCTCTGATCCGGGCCACATGTGAATGCCACTTTTCACGCCTCTCTTCTCAGCTGTCACCCATAGCGGTTCAGCATTCCACCATTTGGGCAGCATACTGACTGATGGGTGCGTATAGTAGAACTCTTCCTCCAGCTCAGGATCCCAAAATGTATTGCCGACAATACCATGGCTTTCAGGATACAGCCCAGTGACAAGTGTAAAATGATTCGGGAAGGTCACGCTGGGAAAGCTAGGGTTCATGTATTGCGGCGAGATGCCGTCGGCCACCAGTGAGCTGAGCGCTGGAGTCAGACCGCGATCGAGAAAATCCGCTCGAAATCCATCCAAGGAAATGAGGATAGTCGTGGGGGCAAAAAGTGCGGTGCCGTTGGACAGTAGTGGTTTCGAGACCGAGAGTGCATGGACAGCTCGGAAACCCGTGGAGGCTTTGTAGGCGCCGAGGACGAGGATAAGGAACAGGACAAGAACAAGAGCGACTATCAATAGACATTTAAGGCAAGATAGTTGTGATGGCTAAAAAAATGACATTCACTATACATCAGTAACAAAGAAGAAAGAAAGAAAGCCGCCCTTGCAATACTTACCGGCTCATAGATGTAGTCATCTTCACTCAGATCTATTGAAGACCCGCTCATCACTGATTCATCGTCACCAAGCCCTTCTTCCATCTCATACATCAACTCCCCTTCCTCGCTGACCCTCGCTCGACGCGATAGTCGTGCCTCCTTTCGCGCTCGTCGCCGTTCTTTTTTCCCAATCCGCACACTGCTCCCGTTCGGGCTGAACATCCTGCGTAACCCATGAGTTGGACCGCGTCTGGTCAACAGCTTCTCCAACTCATCTTCGTCGTCGAGAACGCCTCGGTCGTGATTGGCGAGCTCTAGGGTGCTGCGGGGATGACGAAGGAACTCATCGTCCTCAGAATCGGAGTCTTGCTCGGAGGGGGAGAGTAGTGAGGCCGCATCGCCATCATAGTTGGCTGGGGAGAGAAGCTCAGGGCTTTCTGAACGCAACATGGCGGGCATTTCAGCCACAGCATGTATACATTGAAGCTGAGAAGGAATGACAGTGAGTTGGAGATATGTTCGAATCTTGGAAAAAGGGAGATCGGCGGGCCGCCGGGATTATCCCGCCAAGACCGTTTTCTTCTATTTATCCTTGCACTAATTCATTTTCTCTTCACAACAGAAAAAAAAAAAACATGCTACGGAGTACGTCTTGGCCAACATCGAATTGTTCTCGCGGATCAGGTTAATGGAGCCACGCTGTTGCTACATCAACCAGCGATCGATCAATCCTGACACCTGTGGCGCTGATTTACCAATCATGCTTTTCGCAGTTCGAAGATTCTTTGTGATCTTTAACCCAGTGGTTTTCAAATTACATTCCCAAGCCGATATATGGATTTTTTCTCCTTTAAAATGGGACAAGATTGACGACTTATCATTTATCTCTACTTGGACCTGGAAACAAAGCACATGTTCATCCCATTCTTTTCGTTGAGAGGCTTGACGTAAGTGACAGCTCCGTGGAATATCGTCCATTACGAAGCTGCCCCTTTGCATTCCACCAATAACGCGGGATCGACGTGAAGCCACCGATGTAAAGAGCAAAGGAATTCCGAATGCAGTGTTTATCGCATCGCGATTAATTACTGCTGCACTGCTGGCATAGGACCAGGGAACGGATTCGTCTACGATGGCTTAAATGTTTTGGAAGGTGCTCACTCTTCCATTTGGTGTCATTTTGCTCGAGACAACAGACCTTTGTCTCGAATCTACGCTCGTAATCCCGGCAATGTTGTGAAGTTGTCATGAAGCATCTGCTACCTCATCGCCCTTCACTCCTGAGTCTCCTACCACGCTGGTAAAACAGCCGTAGCCAAAGTTTTTCGTTTTTTAGACTGACTACACAGGAGATTATCATAGACATGTAAACACTGACCATTGACTACTAGTAATTATTGGCATACAATTACTAGCATGTAGCAGACGGCTTTGATTTACTCCATCTGCCATTGTTTTCTCCCTTTGCTGCAATCACCCCAGACGGATGCAGAGGGCGGCTCCTCCCACAAGCACGCGCCGTTTTTGATTCCACAGAGCAGGAAGAAAAAAGCCATTATTCTCGCTACCCCATGTGTCGATCGTCGAGGAATTCCCCGTTGGTACACGGAGGTAGAAACGATTTTCGCCGCGCTTCCGCTTGCGAGACAGACGCCTTCCTGTTTGGGAGAACCACGTGACCAACATCTGCCCTCAGGAAGGCCAAGCCTGTGAACACCGCACGGCCTCTCGCCCATGACTCGGTCAAAGTCGATGGTGTCGGTTCCGATCCCGTGCCATGGTTCCACACTGGACCTGGGGCTCTGGCCGAGTACGCAGAGTGACATTGAAGTGTCCACCCCCTCCCGGATGCGGAAAGCCGCAATATTGCAAATCAGGTCTCACGCCGTGGCACCGAACTTCCCTATCAAGGGCAGAGAGGCACAAGCAATCATAGATAGGAACATATGGGGCAAGAAAAAACCTTGTCGAGAAACATTCCGTTCTCTTTCGTTACATGTCATCATCTACTTAACTTGATACCCCTAGACAGGCCGGATTTGGACAGCCTCCTAATCTATAAGAACGGGCTCTTCATCGATGCAATCTCAAGTCCGGGTTCTTTTTCCTTAACAACCTTTCAACGCATTGAAGTTCTTCATCAATCTAGGTAAGTTTGGGACTTTTTTTGTTGAAAGATAGTACCGTCTCATACTAACCTGCCCCAGCACTCTTCGTCATTCGTTAGACAAGAAGCCTTTCTCTTCTTGAACCAATCGCTTTCGACTATATCACCAAAACATCAATCAAAATGCACTTCACTACCTCTGTGGCTATCCTTGCCGTCGCCGCTGGTGTCCAGGCTGCTAAGCGCGCCGAGCCCCCCGTGCACGAGCGGGTCGCTCGTGCCGCCGGTGGCACTGCTGCCGGAACTGGCGCCCAGACCGGCTCCCACCCCATCAACACCGGCGTGCCACTGCAAACCGGTACTGGCAGCAACGGTACCGCTGTTACCTCTACCCCCGTCGTGAGCACTCCCCTCTCGACCCCCTCCGGCAGCCGCAGCTCTAGCGCTGCCCACGGCCCCAGCAGCTCTGGCTCCACCTCTGGATCCGGCTCCGGCAGCTCTGGATCCGGCTCCGGCAGCTCTGGCTCCGGCAGCTCCGGTAGCTCTGGCTCTGGCAGCTCCGGCAACACCCCTGCCTCTCCCAGCTCCACTGGCTTCAGCCCCACCAACGCTGGCTCTAACGTCAGCCCAATGGGCGTTGCCGGCGCTGTTGTCGGCGGTGCTGCCTATGGTCTTATGCTCCTCGCATAAGTGTCTTTTTTTTCAACTGAATATGTCTGATTTCTTTTTGTCTAATAATGATGGTGTTTGATTTTCTTTTCTCTCTCTTCTGGCCTATCACTGTTGTCATCTTCGATGACTACTGTCCATGTTTCCTGTCAGATTGGCTGCAAACTGCAGTAACGCATTGATGGGAAATACAGTCGAAAGACGGCGTTTAGGGTGACTTTGTCTTAGATCATGCTCTTCAATGTTTTTTCCGGATGTTGTATGGGATATATACCGATCTAATATAATTATAATTTCGAAAAGTCTTCTCAGCCTATTGCACACACAAATCTCTCGCCAGTGTCAGCTTTGGTAGTTGACCTTCCAAGCCTGTTTGTTCAAATGTTAGGTAAATATTCCAAGGAATTTGAGATCCCAAACTGAAGCTTACTGCCTCGTAGGTATACTTAGAGGTTGGAGATGGTTCTATCAAGCCCGGGCTGTACCCAAGATCACCTCAGGGTCATGATAGTTATAGAGTTTTGAAAAGGCGTCGAAAATGTGGAGCCTCGAAGGTACATCAAGACAATGGTAGGCTAATGGCCTACTACGGTCCTGATCTCACAAGAATGAGAGGGGCGTCAAATTCAAAATGAAGGTTCCTAGTCAGTTCCTGTTACTCTTAGTTCGGGCTCCTGCATGTATCAAATTTTCATATCGATGATCCATATACTAGTATCGACCTGAAACTTTATTTACAGTGGCAAATACCACCCTGTGTCGTCTTGTCATAGCCATACCGTCTATTATTAGTACACGAACGTGCTACAGTTTGGAGCTTCAATGTTGATTAGGGGTTTGGTTCAAATGTTAAGATTTTGATTAAGATTTACCTCATATGCAACATCGTGTTAATTCCAAGGTTCGCGTGAGATCGAACTTATTCGTTGAGGTGGGAGTTGCTACAAAGTCCCGATGTAGTAAAATCGGTACCAGTAGTTTGCGTCACATATCCATTGTCCACGTCACCTACTTCCAGTATACATTCATGAACTGTTGTTAACTACAGTAACTTTTGAAAATCTCTGTATCTCCCATTATACGTTGTTCTCGGCACTGATCTATTTTGATCTGGCATTCGCAGTATGAATCACTAGTAGCCAGCCTTCTAGGCTCGAAATGTGACAGCTCTGTCGAGCTTGGATCGAGATGATTTTCAATGAGGAGTGGGAAACGAGAAGATTCAAAGATCTGGATAAATTACTAGTACATAATCTGGGTTACACGAGACCATTTCTGGGGTTCACCTCTACCAGTTGACATGTGTAGGTATATGTATCTAGTATCATGACAGTTGGGAACGACCCCGGGAATGTAAGAATTTTCACCCATCCATGCATGCACTGGATGACGATTAAAAATTTTGGGAAACAACAAACATATGAAGTCGGGAGTAAACATTCAAATACCATCATCTGGCCATCAATATGATACACGCAAGAATGGGAAAATAGAAACTCGAATGATTAACGAAGATGGAATGGAAATTTTAGACAAGATAACATCAGTCTATAAAGTAGATATCCAATTCACCCATTGGCACTCACAGCCCCCCGTCCCACCATCAATACCACCATAGGCCAAAGAAGAATCCGAAGCAGGGTTGACCAAAGTGCCCCCAACCGACCGATTTTCAATCTCCAGCATTGCTTCTGTGAAATTGTAGTGCCCATTATCCTCAATACCGTAGCAATAAACTCTCTTCTTATCAGCATCCCCACCATGTCGATCTACCGTAACGGTAACAGGGTACGGGAATGAGCCAGGACGAGTATAGTTCGTCGCAGACGACGATGAAGTAGCCGTAGAAGAAGTAGATGTAGCTGTGGCGGTGGTGGTAGCACTCGTATTACTTCCACTACCAGAGGAGAGGAGAGAATAACCCATGCCGGATGGATTAGTCCAGATCTGAACGAGGAAGCGAGTCTGCGACCAGGTGCAACGAGCTTGAGCTTCGGCTTGAGTAGAGCCACCATTGCTGTCCTCGAAATCGTAGTCCGTTGTGCTGCCATTCAGGGGTGCCTTTGATTGAAGGAAGATAGACTTGTCAAAGTAAGTATAGAAGCCGTAGTGCTCTGATGATTCGCCTCGGTTATAGAGACGGACGGGCTGCGAGGAAGGGAGGGGATAGAGTGTTGCTGCTGCCGCAGTCCCATCTGAGTCCTCGGTTGGAGCAGGGACGAGAGATGACGAGTTGGATGTGCTGCGCCGGAATATATTTGTTGACGATAGGTGGGCGGCTGATAGGACAGACAAGTAAAAGGGCGTTTCCTCGCCAGCATAGGGCTTGTAATTGCCATCTGTGGTGTTTCCAAGGAAAGTTTGGTCTGCTATACTCGGCGGAGATGGATCTGCCGTCCAAATACCACGTTTGGTGGTCGTCGAATTCGAGCCGCCTGTTGTACTGTTCGAAGTCGTATTGAGGTATCGAATTTCGACCCGAAAGGTGGGCTCATCTGCAGCGTAAGGCTCATTCTGAGATTGTTGTGTACCCTTGGGAAGAGAACAGCTCCACAAGGTCTCAATATTGATACAGCCCGAGTTCTGGATTTGGGGCTCTGTACCAGCAACTGTCATAATGCCAGTTTGGATTGGCGGATAGTTGGTCAGATTGACCCATTGCGACTGAACCTGGGTCTCGTCGCTCTTCTTAGTAAGAGTAATAGCAAGGGTGACGGCTACAACCACTATAGCAAGAAAGAAAAGCCCAATACAAAAATACCATCGTCGGCGAAGGCGACCTTCACGCCCGGGCCGCCCAAAGCAGCCCTTTTTGCTGAAACAACCTCGTCCACGCCAAAGACCACCAATCTTTTTCCCTGCGGCATCTTCACGCTCCAGTCTCCGGCGACGAGTCTCACCGGGCCCTATATCTCCTGTGGGGTTAATGACTGCTGCCCCTGAAGCTGGATAAAGGTCATATCTCTCGGGAAGAGGGGCATCTCTGTGGTGCTGTGCATACGCAGGTGCTGGGGCATTGACATCAGACATTGGTATTGACCCGGGTCCCCCGGCAGCATTTTGAAAGCCCGGGGATATCGGCTCTGAAGTCTGATTGTTCTGGTGTTGCTGAGATGGCGCGAGATACTCAAGTGTTCTTTGATGCTCCTGGGGTGCATCTCGAAATTCTTCCGGCATTTTCGTGACATCTTCTTCTTGGGGTGGGTCTTGAGAATATGACTGAGGGATTGTAACGGCTCTTGACCTCTCTGCCATCGGTGCCTGATTTTGATCTTGACAATCTATTTCGGGAGGTGAAGCCCCCTCTGGCCGTTTTGAAAGCACAGGTTGCAGCAGACTCTGAGAGTGCGATTGGGGAGCCGGAGACTCTCTTGGCAGCTCTAGCATCGCTGGGTGGGCTGGATATTGAGAATATAGCTGCGAAGCTGGAGCTGTCCTTGGCCACTCTGAGACCAACCGTTGAGCTGGGTCTTGTGAATCTTCTGGCATCTTGGTGATATCTGCCTCCTGAGGTGGATCTTGAGAATTCAACTCGTGAGCCGGATCCGCCCTGGGCCACTCTGACTCTGCTGACCGGGACTCCTGTTGCTGTTCTCTCGGAGCAAAGAATGGATTGTTTGAGGGGTAAACTGGAATATAATGGGGCATAATTCTCTCCACTATGACCGGAGGCTGGGGCGGTATTTCAGAAGGTGGCGTGCCGTAATGGTAATTGTTGATAATATGGGGAGGTGGAGACTTGACCAGGGGGTCAGTTGGAAGATATGGTGCAGGAGTTGAGGTTGGCAGCTCAGACTGCGATATCGGAGCCGGCTCTAGTTCTCTTGCCAAAGGTTCTGAAGGTACAACTGGTGCCGATGCTGGGACGGGAACTGGCTCTTGAAATTGAGGCTGAACTGGAGGGGGCTGAACTGGTTCCTGTGGAAAAGGCTGACCATGGTGTTGAATAGAAGAACCAACAGTCAACTCTTTAGTACGAATAGTCTTCGGTAGCTCGGGCAAACCTTTATCATCACCCACAACAGTCTCGACAGTAGTAGAAGCCCAGGAATCAATGCTGCTTGTTGAAACCCGCAAATGCGAGCATTTAGCACACTCGGGACTCTTCGGAGCTTCCTGAGATGGTGTATCCACATCAATAAGCAGTCCGCGAGCAATAATCGCAGCTTCAGCTTCCTTAAACTCTGTGGAAGTATGCCCAATTTCTGCTTCGGCCAATGCGAGCCCTCGATCACCCGTGACGGCTGCCACGTTTCCTGCTTGGCTGGTAATAACAGTCGATGGTGTGATAGAGCAAACATGATTGAAACAATCAAAAAATGGTGTTTTGCTGAACAGCTCATGCGCACAAGCCTGGTAGTACTCGGCCGCTTCGCCCTGGATGCGATCTCCTCGAAGCATCATCGACATGGCGGGTTGTCTACTCGGAAAGGGTTGAACTGCGTCAATATTATCGAGCGAGCGCGACTCTTCAAAACTTCTGTTACTCTCCTGCCATTGATTCGTCACAGCAGTCTCCGGTGTATCAGGAGAGAAACAAGAAATCTCTTTCTCCCGGGCCGCTTGTAATGTCGAGGTCACAGGTGTAGACGGACTTCTTTGAAGGGAGCCCGGGCTGAGTGGAGACTTTTTACTAGACATTGTATTCGAACGACCGAGCAGTGGCGAGAGCAGTACATTCCACCAACCTTGCGACTGTGGTCGACTTGCTTCCGTGTTGACGCTCAGTCGATTCAAAGGGCTCTGATCATTTTCATCCACCATTGTGCGCGAGTGATCTGTATCGGGGCTCTCAATTTCATTCTCGAAAACAGTACCGGCAGAGAGTGATCGGCGCTTCCGTGTCATAGCAGCAAAATGCGAGCTCAGGTATTCAGAAGCCTCAGTTTGCTTTTTGGACAAGGAATGCTCTTCGGGGATGGCGGGGACGGGTGGGATATCAGTTTCGCTACCCCAGAGGCGCGGGGTAGGCTGAGAATACAAGCTGGATGTTGCTCGGGCTCGGTGGCCTTCTGGACTGGCTGTATCTACCGACCAAGGCGCCTCTTCACAGGCAGGAGTGACGATTATTGAGGGTGTGAGAGGTTGGTCAACTGCACTATCGAGTTCTCTTGATCGATCTGAGGACTCGTGGTACGGGACTGTAAGACCGATCATGACATGGCGATCGGAAGGCGATAGCCCCAAGTCGGAGCGATCCGTAAATTTATTTTCAGGGCTTGGGTTGAGAAAGAAACCCGCATTATGAGATTCGCTAGGTTCCGGAAGCTGACCAGTCCTTGAGACCCTCCTTTTCCAGGAGTTCTTTGTCTTTTCTTTTTGTGTCGTGCGTTCTTTCTCCCGGGCCTTGGATAGTTGTTTCAAGTCATTCAAATCCACAAATGGGGCGATTGCCTTATCATCGGATTGCTTTTGGGGCGATGGCGCCGAAATAGAAAAATTGGTAACTAGGTTAAGACCAACGGGTTTGACGGCTTTCTTCTTCTTCGTTATCCCACGAATACCCAGCCTTGAGCTTTCCCCGGGCCCGCGGTGCAAATTCGAGAGGCTCGGAGACTGATTCTCCTCTTTCTGGGAATTTTCGATTTTCTGTCTGGTCGCTTTGACAAGGTAGTCGAATGGCCGGCTCCGTTCTAGTTCGGGATCCTCCGCGGACGAGCATGAAGAACCATCCACTTCTTCGATGATGGGGGATGAAAGGGGAAATGTTGGAACTGGAACCTGTAGACTCGGCTGCGGCTTCTGTCGGTCTGAAGGCATTTTGGAAAATTTGCTTTGCGATAAAAAGACTGATGCAGGATTTTTCATCTTTAGTAAACTGTATTGCTGACTCGGTTCAGTGATATAAGTCCGACATACCATGTGTTTGATGCATAAAAGAATCCAGTAGAGAAGAACAGCAATTCTGCGGTAGATATCAGGCGAAACGCAGAATAGCCTCTATTAATATTACTGACGACGCCTGAAACAATGCAGTCAAAGAAAACGCCACTGAGATGCATTCGCTGACGTAGGAAACGAGCCAGGAGGAGATTTAAAGAAAGAGATGAAAAAGAAAGAGCAAAAGAGCAAAAGAGCAAAAGCGAAACTGGGCCAAAGGAAAAAAAGACCAAGGCGAAGAAAAGAAAGAGGGGAATTGCGTGAAGAAGAGAAAGAAGAAAGAGAAAGAAGCATAAGAGTTCAAGGGAATGCGTGAAGAAAAGAGCTTCTGCAGGTCCCGTCACTGGTTATGTGCCGCATATGCTATAAGATCTAGACTCCCAGATGTCGAGTGTCAGCCATAGTAGAAAGCCAATCAGATCCCCACAAGCTCCTGTTTCTATACAAATCCCAGACAACCTAAACCAAAGACTGGGATCTAAATCGCCGCTATTGGATGTTTCAGGTGAAGATCACCAGGGGTCAAGTCAAGTATGATGCAGATTGGACGCAGTCTTCGCTCCGGGGCCGCATACGCGCTGGGGGAATTACTTGGGCGCTTAAGCAACCACCAATGATAGGATATCCCAGAACCCCAAAATAGATCGCGTGTTTGGATGTCTTTTTTGATCAATTTTAGTATTTTATTATGATTTTCAAGGTTTACTTAGTTTCTTCAGGCGCTGCCATATTGTTATGTTGTCCTTGATTTACGCACTCAACAGTTGAAAAAGACCAAAAAAAAAAACATCCTCAATAGAACTCTACCATCGGTAGAAAAGAACTTGGTATTGGCACAAGCAGAGAATTTTAAAGGATATCAGACGGCGTGAGAGCACGCACTTTTGGATATTTAGTACACACTTCGTATAGAAGCAGAGGGAAAAGACGAAAAGGGGACAAACAAGTAGAAGAAAAAACAACATCCGTCGGACCCATATGCCTTAAAACCCCATTCCCCAAGAGCCCATCATGTGCAAAACATGCAGAAGACTGATGATGCCACAAACGGTTCATCAGGGCCTCACGAAAATTCAAAAAATTCAAAAAAGACAACACAGCAAAAACGGGTATGATGGATGGACAACCGCGTAGGGAAATAATAGGCTCAAAAGGCGAAGAGAGCCACTCCAGAGAACAAGAAAAATGCATATGAGAAGGAGAAGAGAAGGAACAAGACCTGGAGTCGCCTCGAGACAGGTCGGGTAAAAACAAGAACCCCGGGCTTCATATCTAAAAGGGGGGGGGGGATATGTAGAATGATAATGTGAAAATAAAGGGGAGTCGTGGGTGTGCATTCGCAGCATGACCACCATAAGTCATTTCTCGTCCATTTGGGCTTCAAAAGGAAACTGTGGGATAATTTATCGTCGCTCGTCGGTATACTGAATGCCCTGCATCGGAGCAACCGAACCATTCATCAGTGGTGGGAGCGTACGAGGCTGATCCTGGCCTACCACAGAGCCATTACCAAAGCCCGAAAACACCGGTGGCGGGGCCTGCCCATTGGTCGGTGTCGCGGACATTGGGTGATGCTCAAATATCGAGGGTGTTCGAGAGGCGCCGTTGGTCTGTTGCTGTAATTGAGCGCGGAGCTCTTCGTTCTCCGTCCGCAACACTGAAACCTCTCGACGAATTTGGCCTATATTCTTCTCAAGACCAGTGATATAATCGATGGCCCGAGAGAGCGTCTCCCATTTGCTGGACTTGTTATTTTGGGGCTGTGGAAGACGCATGCGTAACGCTTCGAAACAGTCTTTCATCTCGCTTCGTCGCTTGCGCTCTGCCAATTTATGCGTGACACGTAATTCCGGGGTCCGACTATATGGTGTGTTGGCTCCCGAGGCCTCCGCTTCCCCGATCAGATCACGCACTTGCTTATGCTGTAACGAATGATGATGGTGTACATTCTGTGGTAGTTCTGATCCAATTAATTAGTATAAAGGTGTTTTTTTTGGGGGGTCTTTTTTCTATTTTTTTTTCACTCCTTAATCAAGGGATGGAGACTGATCTTACCGTGCTGTCCTCTGGAGATGTGCGACTCAGAGTACATGCTATTAAGCGACTCCGCGGTGCTGCCCTTTCGCGAGAATGGTGGGTTGGACTTCTCGGTGGATGAGATTGAACTTGATCGAGCCACATCTGGGTCGGGGAAAGCATAAGCCATACCGGCTGTAGGTGCCTCAGCATTATAGATATCGGATCGCGGATTGGATGAGATGGCCGGAGCAGTTCGCCCTGCTGCGAACCCTCGGTAGTCATTGGGGCGAGGTCCCAAGGGAGATAGAGGTTGACTACCCCCGGAGTATCGAGGCCCCCGGTAAGAGTTCATATCAGTTGCAATCCCCCGTTCCCGCTGGAGACTGGACACTATTGAGGACTGGGAGGCATTGGTGCTATGGTATGGCGAGGCCGGGTTGATGGCCAGCGAACTAATGCCCTGGTTCATGCGGCTGTCGACACTGCTGCGTCTCGACTCAGGAATCTCAATCACACTTCCTCGTTGAGATGATGCATCGTAGTTTTGGTTGATGGAAGGCAGAGCAGAATTGTGTTGCGACGAATTGAAATTGGGCGAGGATTGTTGCGCGCCGGCTGAAGAAGGAGTTGTGGATTGCTCGTGGCCGTATGGTGACCGGTCCGGCGCAATGTGTCCTCGATTGGGGGATGGTTGGGATGTTGAGGTCAGGAAGGTCAGAGAGGGATAGTTGTTCCCGGTCCCATTGGTTGTGGTCGAGTAGGTGGAAGATCCTGGACCAAAGTCAGTCACTGGACGGGCATCCCCGGACCTTGGACTCCTACTTGTGCTCTGTGGCATGGACCAATTCCCTGAATCTCGCTCAATGGTATTCAAGGACGAATTGCCGGGTGATTTGTCCTGGGTATGCCCTGCGCCGTTCATGTTCGCTGTGAGGGTCGAGATCGAGGGAAGGGTTTGGGCCGAGGCCGCGGGTGTCGCAGGACCGGACGACACATGCTCCCATGGCCGATGGGCGACCGAGTCCATCATGGAGGGTGGAATGGAGTTCGGGATAGTGAGGGGCAGGAAGGATAAGCGTGCGAAGAGTGACGGGTAGGAGAGAAAACGAAGGGAAAAATAGCGAAGGGCAAAAGAGCGAGTGAATTCGAATTTTGCGTCAAGAAAAAGAAAATAACGAGAGAGAGAAAAAAAGATTTGACAATGTTGACCGACGCGCACACTATTGCATATTCCCTTTTTTTGGCTCTATACCAGTTTCAATGGAAAAGAAAAAGAAAAAAAAAAGAGAAAGAAAGAGTGTCGTGTCAGAATGGTGAGCCGCAGTAATACTGCCAGTCACGATTTGGTGGAGTATAACGGAGAGCCGAGTTCGTCACGTCGGGGATCGGCGTAAGAAGCGGCTTTTTTTTCCCTTCTTCTTCTTCTTTTCTCTCTTCTCCGAATCTCACGTTGTAATTGCTCTTTCAGGAAGATTGGGGGCGAATGTAATAAAAAAAAAAGCGGGACAGGAAAAGACGAGGAAATGCTGTCAGAGAGGGGCCGGAGTGCAACCTATTTAGGTAAACGAAGGAAGAACGATGAAAAAGGTTAAGAGAGATTAAAAGAGATTAAGAGAGAGAGAAAGAAGGAGGGGGGGGGGGGGGAATAAGACGATCCCACGCTAAAGTTGGGAAGTACTAGATGACTCTGTAGAAAAAAAAAAAAAAAAGAAAAAAACGTCCCCCTCTAATCCCTAGTTCTTATTTGTCCAAAAAAGTCGAGTCCGATCTCTTTGGATTATATCTGATTCCCTTGTTCTTCCTCTCTTCAATTACCCGTATTGGAGTAGTAATTTAGGAATTTAGATTACATATTTCCCCCAAATCGATTGCCTTGAAATGTTTTGAACTAAATTTCCTATCTGTTTTTACAAATTGAACCTTACAGGATCTTATTCAGTAGAAGGATTAAACATTGAATCCCTTTATGAATGCTCTTTCTTTTTTTAAAAAAAAAAAAAAAGTTTCAATATATGGGGAATACCATATATTACCACAGTTCACTGGTATTGATTTCTACAATTTCTACCAGTTGACATTTTCCCATATGAGTACCTACTACCCGTAGTTGGTACCATAATACCTGTAATACTGAGCAAGGGAGCATCAAGCTTAGGGAACGTGGCACAAGGATTTGATCCGGACTCTACGGTCACTCGTCCCGGCTAAAAAACGAGTGGAGCAAAAGGCAATCTAGTATAGACCCCCAGGCAAAGATACCAAAATGGAAAAATTAAGAAAAAGAAAAAAAAGGCATCTACTCACCATCTGGACAATCTAGCAATCCCCAGGACAAACAACGGAATGTATGGGTATCGTTACCATGCGCCAAGGCCGCTACTGCGCGCAACACTCTCCACCTGTGTGCCACGAGGCTGACCCTTTCTGGGGCAAGAGAGAAGAGAGAGAAAAAGGCAAGGAGAGACAAGATCTCCTCAGAGTTACATTGGCCCTCCCCACCTAAAACTTCCACTACCTTTCAAAAATTACCATCGGTTTACCATACCTGTACAGAAAAGAGAAGAGAGGAGAGAGAAAAGGTTGTAATCCAAACTAATCCCGTATCCGACGTGGTTACCCGGAGAGAAAGGGAGAGTATATCGGTAAAGAAATTCAAAAACCAAATAACGATAATAATAATAATAATAATAATAATAAGAACAATTTCAAAGACCTACGGCATTAGTACGAGCAGAGTGCTAAAAATCCAAATAAACCATGGATAAAATAAAAATAAAAATAAAAATAAAAATAAAAATAAAAATAAAAATAAAAATAAAAATAAAAATAAAAAAAAGCTTTCACAAGGGATGGATCAGAAGCCAACCGGGAAGTGGATCCGTTCATCATCGCATGGCCAAAACTCCACCAATTCAATTTGGGGGAAATACCGATACAGAAACCAAAGCTCCCATTCTTTACAGATATTTTCCCCAACTGGACTTCCCAAATGCCGACATTGTTTTCGATTGATATCCCTTGGGAACCCAACGCAAGGAGTACACGTTTTTGGCTTCTCTTTTTTTCTCTTTTTTTCTCTTTTCTTTCTTGCCCCATTCGACAAGCTAAGTTTCTATCCATTTTTGTGACATTCTCCTCATTACATCATGACCTCTAGTCTTCACGTCACAACGTTTGAACGTGGTTGACTTTTCTGTACCACCCGCCGAAGTGGTGGGGAGCGCCTGCCTTTTCCCTTGTATATCCACTAAAAAAAAGAGAAAAAGAAAAAGAAAAAAGAAAAGAAACGTACACAGTAAGCATGAGGATTTACTCCGGAAACTCCCACTTCTCCATGTAATGTACGGGAGTATGTACACCCAAAACGCGGTGGGATTTCTTCCTTTTTTTTCGTTCACGTGGCAAAGGATCGACCCAGGGGGGACTCGAAATGAAAGGAATTGTAGATTCAAAATCGAAAATGTAATTAAGGAGGAAAAAAAAGAGAGAGAGAGAGAGAGAGAGAAAGAGACATGTTTTCTCCCTTGCAGCTTGACCTCGATCTATACAAAGTTAACAACATAGCCCACCCCTTAGTTTTTACCAAGGGTCTGGTAAGCAAAAACAAAAACCAAAGTGTCAAACTGCAGCATGCCACGCTAATCCCCAAACGTTGAGCACATGGCATTTTTATGTTCGACAGGGGGTTGTCCCAAATACCGCGCAACATTCAACAATCCTCGCTGCCCAACATGTATTCAATACGTTTGTTCCCCCTTGGTCGACCTGTCCAACCCACACCACGCTCCGTATCGTGTTCCACACACATGGCAATCTTTGTGACTTGACATGTAAAATAAAAATAAAAAACCCCCAAAAAAAAAGCAACTTCATCAATTTCGTATATCAGATAACTTATTCGTTTTGGTTCTTTTGGCTCTACGTTTCTACAGTTTTGGGTATATCTGGTTTTGTAATCTGTCTCCTTTCGATATGTCCCACGGCGACTGGCATCGAGCAGGACTAAATCACCGGCACGCCAAGTACATAGTGACACCAAAAATGGCCCTAGTCCAAGCTGCGTGCTCAGAGACACACTCTTCCGTTCAGAAGCTTGACACGACTGTAACGGCGACTGGGCCGGCTCTGCAACCACCCGCTGCCGCCCCAATCCCACTTCCACTTCGAGGGTTACTGGCTCCGCGCAGTCGACCATTTTCGCCCGTTCGAAATGGGGATGAAAACGAAAAATCCATCCAAAAGCGCGCGCGTCTAAATGGAATATTTTATGGAATATCTTTATTGGTATCTTGGATGTATCTTGGTATCTGGAAGATTGTAGATATACTTCGGCCCAGAGAACCTTGCCCTGCTCGGAGCCTACTCGAGTCTGTGCGACCGCCCCGTTTCCCTTGGCGCAAAGCTAGACTACTAGTAGATCTTATTCTTTTTTTTCTCTTCATTTCCCTCCAATCTCATAATTTGTAACAAATAAAGCCCAGGCGTTTACTAGACACTTAGGGCTTGCTGCCCGAGCTCCCGATTCACGCGAGTCGTTATAGTATCCTTCAAGCTTACCCTGAGTCCCGAAATATCCCAACCATCACGGGCATAAGCCACCAACGTACGCTGGACACTGTGAAAGAAAACGGCATTCTTTGCCACGGTTAATTGGGCACGGAGTAACCTTGGAACTTGGTGGCTGATTGGCACCTGATCCTGATGGATGTGTCAATCTGATCTCGGCTTTTCTCGCCCCCTCGTCGGACTTGATGTCTATCAGCAATCTAGATTGAGGTCTACTTCAAAGTTCTCCGTAAAAAGGCCATTGAGGTAAAATGGAGTCAGCTCACGTTCAAATGTTGAAATATTTATGAAAGTTTTAAGTGACTCTGTAAATGGGTGTATTGTACATACCCGTAAACGGTGGCCGTTTTTACACCTGGGTATTGAAAGAAAAAAAAATGAAGAGTATCATCCGTTGACGCGGCGTCAAGTTGATTGTAGGCAACAAGATATTCAACCGCCTAGGATTCTAAAATTAAATCCATTTAGAGAGTGAAAAGCTGAAGTGGGTCTTTAACGCCGCCACGGATTTTGTGCTGGCGTATTCCAAATTACTCCGCCTTGTAAACTGCAGCTTTCTTTGGTCTGTCCGTGTTCTACGGAGTACAGGAAACAAATCTAGTATATACCATTGGGCCCATACCGTGGTGTGAGTCCCTGCGGCTAGAGTATTCAGCACGCTCATCCATACCAATTCGAGATGCCACATGGCACCGTCGTAGCCTTGCAGAATGTTTCTGAATGATCGCCACCGATCGCCAATGCAGTTTACAAGTACGGAATCTCTTGGTACATACTCCGTACATCTTTCAATGCTCAAATATACCTTGACGTCTTTTTTGAGGGGTTCTTTTTTTGGTTTTCTTTCCACCCTTGAGTCTTGACACGGTAGCAATCTTTCCATTCCGGGGACCCCAATCTTGCCCGACCTTATATGAACACCCCTAAGGAATTCCCATAATACCACTCTACTCTGCATCGATCCCATTTGGATTTTGATTTTCTTATTTTCAATCTTCCCCACACAAGGTCATACCTCGGAAGCTCTCTCCTCACAGAACATTCAGCCTCAAGGGATAGCATCCACCTGGCACCGATAGAGTTAGCAATGCCAAATAGTCTCGTCCACGGACCCGGTACTGTTTGCCACGGACCACCCCTACTCCCCTCATTCCAGTATGTCCACGGGGAGATATCGTGGCCCTTCCTTGCGCCCGTCTCTCAATGATCTTCTGGTCCATGACACGCGAGTACCACAATGGAATAGCTGCCCCATGATTCACGGGAAGATCACTCTATCCCTCCGGTCTCTCTTTTTTTTTTTTTTTTTTTTTTTTTTTTGGCCGTACCTAGCCAAATGTAATTATTTGTACCTATGGAGTAATAGGGGGTTGAAGCACAAGCACAGACTTCCTCTCAAGCTGTGCATCCGTCGATCATCGAGCCGGGCCTTCCTCCCCGAAGCTGGGGGACAAGTGGATCTAGCAAGAGGATTGGTAGATCATTCCATGCTATTGTATGGTTATTGCAGCATTATGATCAGTTTCTCTCCCTTCTGTTTCCCAGGTTCTCATATCTCTCCCCCTTGTTCACAAGCCCCGACCATCCCATAGCTCTATCCAGCTCCAAGACAAGTGTTTACCCCTGCCTTTTTTTTTTTTTTCTCGCTCGCGTGTACCCCCGAAATTTCCAGCATTTTTGAGGTACCCCCCGTGGGTGGGAGACGCGCCCCGAGTTCCCATGGCTAGTACTACACTCACTGGTCCTGCCTTAACCCGTCCGTCGGGTGGCCCATGTGTGTACCAGCTACTTGCAGGTACTCTTTATATAGCACCATAATGACGCGTTACAAGGGAGATTGAATCAAGATTCCAGAACTGATTATATCTCATGGAGCAGCGAGGCTTATCGTATTTCCTGCCGCTTACATAGTAGTGAGTATATATCTACTAGTTAGTACCTTGTAAGATATGACCCCTAAACCAACCTTTCAAATGCTCAAGAGCTTAGATGTTGTATAGTTAGTTATTTGGTGCCTTCTGACCTCATTCCAAGTTGGAACCAGGTGGCTGCACAGTGTTTAAACCAGCGCTAAACCCCACGGCCCCATCATTCAATGATGTTCACACTACTTCTCAATGGTTTCACTAAGTTTCAATTACCGCCCCAACCCAAAATTTGAATAATTACGGTAAATCAAGTCAATCGGTTAACAACCTTGGAAGTAATTCATACCCGCCGTATGCCTAGTGGAATAGTTGTAAATAAGCCAATAATGAAATTCTAGAACCATTGACTTGACGCCAGTGTGGAGCAATCTGTTTCGCGTTCCCCGGGCGATTTCGTCATGTTCAAAGTTAGGGGTCTCGCTCTAGAACTTTGAACAAATACTAGTACATTGTGAAACGAGGTATGCACAATATTTGAGGCCGAAATTTCCAAGTTACTCCAGATGTCCGAACATTGAAGCAGGTACTACTTAGATCTGACTTTTTACTCGAAATAAAATAAAATACAATAAATCCTTGACCGCTACCGTGATCTCCTTGACTGCTCAACCCTCGATACATATTTGAAATCTTTTAGAAAGCTTCAAACGTTGGAAATACTGGCCTTTATAGAGCAGTGCGCCGGATTTAAAATCCCGGTACCTCCGCTACCTCCGCTACCTCCGTTTCAAGGTTGAAAGTGTTTGGTCAGAGTCCTTGCCCCAGCACTACTAGTAGTGTGCATCCATCATATACTAGGCAATAACTACAATAGTACTTAAGCTAGTAGCCAGCCACCTCATTCACTAATAACTTCTTGTGGAACTCATATGAACATTCAACATATGATTCAACGCACAAACATTTAAAACCCGAAACCCTCTTTGAAATTCCCGAGGCATATTAAACTACAACATGGCAGCAAAGACCTGGCTTGTGACTGGCGCATCCTCTGGCCTTGGAGCTACTATCGCCGAAGTCGCTCTCAAAGCTGGCCACAAGGTCATCGCCACAGCTCGCAATCCAACAAAAGCAGCGGTAGAGAACCCTCAAATCGAACAGCTCGGCGGTACTTGGATTCGACTCGATGTGACAGAAAGAGAGACAACAAAGAAAGTAAAAGACGCGATAGACCAAGCCGGCGGGCAGATCGATATAGTTGTCAACAACGCCGGATATTCACTCCTGGGAAGCATTGAAGATATGAGTGAAGAGGAGATCTCCACGCAGTTCAGCACGAATGTTTATGGCCCTGTCCGTGTACTCAAGGGTGCTCTGCCGTTTATGCGAGCGGCCAGATCAGGTACAATTGTCAACATCAGCAGTAGTGCAGGGCTAGATGGGTTGCCTACGTGCGCGATGTATGCTGGGACCAAGTTTGCTATGGAAGGTGAGTAATCCTCGTTTGACATGAGGAGATGAAGTCATCCATGGGTGGAGATTATTGGGCAAAAGCTAAACCAGTCAACACGTGCAGGCATGTCCGAAAGCCTTTCAAAAGAGTTAGAGCCATTCGGTATCCGTGTACTCATCGTCGAACCAGGTGCACTTCGCACCCAATTTTGGTCTTCTTTTGTCGAACCAGCTGCTGGAATGAACCAGGACTATGCTGGAACGCCATTGGAGAACGTGTTGGATTTGTTCCGATCTGGCCATGGAAATCAACCGGGCGATCCTTTTAAAGTGGCCCAGAGAATTGTGGAAGCCGTGACAGGCACCGGTGTGAGTGCTGGAAAAGGAGACTTTCTTCGATTGCCGCTTGGGCCAGACTGCTATAAGCGCTTTCAGACCAAAATTCAAAGTATGCAGGAGAATTTGTTGCAGCTTAAGGATATCGCGCACTCGACAAGCTATGAACAGATGGATACTCCAAACTTGAGTTAGTACCGCCGGGATGGGATGAAATGTAACCATGGTCCATGGAACCTCAGTGGGCCTTGGTTATATCTGAAACAAAGCCCTGGAGGGAAATCCAGTATATGCCAGTAGGAATAGCATGGTATAACCTCTGAAATTGCTATGCAACATGCCGGAATGACACCTGCGGCTCCCCAGTCAAAGGGTTGAATATCGAATACCTGCAGTAGCATACCTGAAACATTGAATAACATGCCCATGTTTGCTTGGAACACACGAATGTTGATGAATGAAGAGTAAGTTGAAGTCACTTGCAAGCTTTGGAACTGTAAAGTTGTATCGACAGAGAAAAGCGACCAAACCCCCGTCCAAGGCGGTGTACAGTGTGGCCTTGGGGCCCTTGAGTCTTGACAAGACCCGAGATGATAGACAGGTAACAGGTTACCGATGTTTTCTGGATTCTGACAATTTCTCATTCAAAGCTCAAAGAATAAATAGTAGATTCAAATAAATAAAGATTCATCTTATACCTCACCTAGGTATATTCTGGTCTTCTTCAATCTTCTTTACATGGTCTACAGACCCAAACCGGACCTACAGCCCAGGAGCTTACTATACCGAATTCAACTTGTTTGGAACCTCTGCTTCCACCCCTTCCTCCCCCGCGGGTCGAACCAATCCTAAAGGAGATCAAGGCTTTTGCAATAAGGGGAGAATTTAAGATGTCCCATTTGGGGTTGAGAAACTAGGGAACAGGCGCCCATTCTTTCATTCACTGGGCGTTTCACGACCAACCTTCACTTCACTCCAGAGTCCGGACCGATCGACCAACAAAGAAAGACCCAGGTGTCTGTGAATAACAAAACACTTCAAATTCATTTTGAAACAATATCTACTTGACAGGACTTGTTTCTGGTTTTACTTGAAAGTTCAAGAGGGTTGAGGGTTTCAGATGGCCATTGATAAGTGCAATCCATAATCCATTTACCAACTCCGGTGTCGTCACTTCCCGTGGGGCCAGAAACCACTGGAACGTCCAGCCTTCGCATTTTTACTTCCGAATCTCTCATTCTACCGTTTGCCCAAGGGCAAACCCGATGTTCACCTCTGTGAACCCTGCGAGTTTCTCGCCAACAATGAAACCCAATCGCGAGAAAACATGGAAAGAGGAAGCGATAGCAGAAAACCAACCAGATCGATCACCTCCACCCCGCCCGACCTATTCCCCAGTGACACCAGTGTTCGCCCAACTCGAACCGGTCGCCGCAAAGAACGCAACAATTGTACCACCGCCGTTGTCGCCCTCACCTACTAGTAATACTCATACTACACAACACATATATCGCTCACCGCCACCCCCTCCAAATCCGCCCGTCTTCAAACCAGAACCACCCCCAGTCCCAATCTCAGAGAGTGAGAACCCCGATGCGATCGCACTACGCTCGGCCATTTCCATACTGCAGCTGCAGAAGCAACAGAGCCTGCGCGACATCAAAACACTAGATCGCATGAAGGAGGCCGCAGCTGCTGACCCAGAGGGTTTTGCGCGTGAGTTGGCGGCCGGCCGTTTACGTACCGAAGATCGCGGGGCTATCATCCAGTTTTCTGACGATAACGAGATGGATGAAGAGGAGGACGATCATGAAAACCCAAAACAATCACATGGTGACAGTCCGTCAGCATTCGCCCGTATACCACAACCGCAGAATGTCGTGCGGATGCCCCCGATCAACTGGGCCAAGTACCAGGTGACTGGGGAACCACTTGACCGCATGCACGAAGAACAACTACGTCGACCGGATCCCGGAGAGCCACGACGAGAACCTGCTCCAGAACATATACTAGCCTCACCATATCGTCCGCTGGTCGACCAGCTAGATACCCCTACGCGGCTGGGCCGGCCCAGCAAGACCAAAAAGTGATGACCGTGAAGAGTTCTCTACGATAGCGCTGTTTTACTTTATGACTTGATGCATTTGTTATTACGAGGAAGCAAATAGAGATGCCCTCGAATATTTATTCACGCTGATTATGATACCTCTTCTCCCATATCAATCTGCTGTAATATATTGAGCGATGGATCTATCCGCTGCCCTCCCCGGCTCCGAATCCAACACCACTTCCACTTCCACTACCCTCGCCAATTCCAATGCCAATGCCGCCGCTAGCGCCGGCACCAAGGCCAAAGCCTTCTCCACTTCCGGACCCTTCGCCAGCGCCAACACCAGTGCCACTGCCAGTGCCTTCATCATCGCCGATACTGCTACCACTGCCGGCACCGGCACCGATGCCGCTACCAGAACCACTGCCGTAGCCAACACCGACCCCGGAGCCGATGCCACTCTGGGCAACCGCAGATTCTGTGAGACTCATGTTATTAGTAGATGCTTCCAGGGCTGTAGTGTAAATTCCACTATAATAGGAAGTAAATGTACGCACCAGCGTTGGAGGCAACCGGAGCCGCAACAGCAATACCTCCTAAGGTCAGGAGGGCAAAGACGTAGTTGAAACGCATCTTGAGTGTAATAAATCTACGAATGTTCAACATTGTCTGCTTAGCCTCATGTGCTTCCACATGTGAAGAATCATTCTGCATCAACCAGTTGACCAGGTGGATCCCAACATTGAACTTGAAGATTCCACCTGGGCAAGGTTGCAAGATCAAGTCCATTCACATGAACTCACCTGGGTGCGTTGGAAGATAGAAGCTAACGTCGACCTAATGTTGACAAAGAGATCAAGATTGAACCTTGAGAAGACTGAGAGGAGCTGTGTGCACAATTCAGAAAACCAACATGAAGATTAAAGCGAATCATCTTCCATTTTATATCTCGAATCTCGATGTATGTCGTCTACCTATGTACAAACCCTTTTCTGGAACCTTGGAGCCAGGTTGAGGTCAATCTAGTTTAGAATTAATGTTGGAATCTCGGCGAATACTTAGTAGGTCACTAGCACTTGAGTTAGGGATCCCTGTACGTACCATACATGTATTTTCACTCCCGGGGCTTTCCTATTTCAAATGTTAGCTCCCGCCGCTTTTATGTTTATGAGGGCGCTCAGAGTCAGGCTGAGTAAATCTCAGTCCGGGCTCAGGCTCAGTGAGTGTGATTGAAAAAGCGGGGCTGCGGCGGTCTAGTGGGGGAGATAACTAATCCACCATGAGTCATGACAGGTGATGCTCAGTGAGCAGACCAGTGAGCAAAAAGCGGCAAGGACTGAGCACTAATCTGGAAGTGGAAAGTCAAGACTCAAGAGTTGGGAGTGGAAATCCGGTACGTAGTAGGTATGTGACTGTATGTCTCGACTACATTCGGAGCTCAGGGTTTGAACCAGTCATAGCGTCGTTGTGTTTCGTCAGGATCACAATCTGAGGAGAGAACTTCAATGTTGGACTAAACTGACGCGTATTTTGCTTCTTTTTCGTTATAGGTTGACTAGGCCAGACACAAATACATCAAAATTTGAAGTGAGAGTGCTACTTACACACTCGTAGCATTTTAAACCGCAACAGGGCCGCGTGGAGGCGATCTGAAGTGTGGTCTGAGACAATGCAAGATGAGGGCTGGTTCCAAAGAGATATGAGATCTCATCAATTTAGTATTCTCCTTGCTTCCATATCACTCCAATCCACCTACTAGTTACCAGTACTCACATGTCAGGCGGATGCCTTGATTGTCGTTCCCTCATAGCTCCCCAAGGCTCCCCAGTCGGGCAAAAGCAGTAAGCCAAGTTGAACAAAAAAAATCAAGAATAGACCGCATTACTTTTAGTAACCAGCAATAGTCCACTTTGAAACCTTGGAAGGCATCAAGCAAAGTCCAGCGAACAGATAACTATCAGTCTGGTTTAAGCTCTTTGGCAAAGTATCCAATATCTACTAGCATATATACTAACCCAGTAGGACTGCATTTTTCGTACAGCCTAGTGCTGGTGATTTCAATGTTAGATTTAGTAGTGAAGATAGCGATTCTATCTAAAGAAGAAACCTAGAATCTAAGTAATCTACTGGCTGACCCGATACATGTATCGACGATTGACCGTTTTCCGGCGATCAATCTCATACCCAAATTTTTCTGTCTAGCAAGTCCGTACTGTTGGTGATCACATGTGCAGTTCCATACCGGTTATGAGAGATTGAGCAATTGATGTGTGTTTCCAGAACCCCAAAATCAAGTTCAAATGTTTCAAGAATAATCTTGGAACTTTGGAATAGTTAAAGGGTTGTTTCGAACGGGAATTAACCTTGAAATCAATCATAGAAGTTGATTAAGCGTGGCAGAAACCAACTTGAACCTTCCATTGCAGGAAGTACTAGTAGTATGTAACAAATCTGACGTCATGGCGATATCAGATGTACTTGAGATCCCTTTGCGTAGTAATAATTCTCCCCCATCACACACTTACGCTACCCTAAATCCGAGAAACAATTTCGCATAAGATCATCTCCCCCAGTGCCACCATTCAACCTCAAATGAAAATGGAGACCCCCAACCAACCAAGTCAGCCCGCCCAACCACCCAAGGAGGCTGCCTACGCCCAAGCTTCAAACCCTGTATCGCATTACCCCCAAGAGCAAAGAGCCTCCTTACGACAACACGGGGATGCCTCCACCGCGATCACAAGGGACGCAAATTCAAACCCGTCAAACGACGAGGCTCGAGCTCGCCTTGACGTGCAACGCAGTTTGCAACAAGAGAGGTTGTATAGCTCACCGGATGTGGACCTTGAGTACGGAGTGGAGGAGCAACCAGCAGAGGGATATATTGCGGATGTGGTGGAGCGAAAAGGAATGGGGATGCAGCGCGCTCGGGCGGGTGCACATGCTGGACCTGTTGGAAGCGCTGGTGGGCCTGGACATCCCGGATTCGGCGAGCAGAGAGATCTTGCAGCTCATATGGATGTCAAGAGGGGAAACCATGATCGTATGCTCAGCGAGAAAATTGGACAGGATCCTTCGGACCCCCAATATGATGTTGCTGCAAGAGAGGCCACTAGGCAACGCAAGCTGAGACAAAATGAAGGTGTGGATGTGGCGGGCGCAGTTGGGGAGGCCAGCGGGGACCCAGTGGTTATCAGTTAGGTTAAAAAATAATGATTGGGAAACACCGTAAATAGAATGGTTTGGTATCATGGTATAAATGAAATGCGTAAAACCTAGCCGGACACGGCACCGCTTACACTCAAATATCCGTGTCGTCCCCTAGTCCAGCCGAGACCTTCTTCAGTGACAGATCCTTCTTGAGCTCTGTGATACGCCGGCTCATCTTATTTCGTAGAATCGGGTTCTGCAGACTCTCCCATTGTCGGGTTTCGGTGCGAATTAGATCTTCCAGCTCAGCAATCTCTTCGCGCGATTGTTGTAGTTGTCGTTGCTGCTCTAGCTGCTCATCATCCAGGTCATCCTCGTCCGAGTCGTCACTATCTTCAACCGATGTTTCTCGACCGCCTGGTCCATCGGGTGCTGTAGCTGGGTTGGCCGACGGAGTCTCTGCCTGCTCGGCATCTGTGGGCATGGCGGAGACATCGTTATCGTCAGCAGCTAAGGCCGCTTCCATCTCAGCGGCAAGGAGGTCCTCGTCGAAGTCGGCACCCATGTCATCGTCCACCTCGCCTTCGGCATCCTGATCTTCATCGTAGTAATCATCGTATTCTTCATCTTGCACATATCCTTCAGCGCGATTCAGAGACGCGCTGTCGACCAGTTCAAATCGCGGTGGGAAGACGGAGGTCTCATCCTGGGCGACGAGATCTTCAACTGACTTTTCCACTTGTTCGATTGTGCGCGAGCTCACGCGATCTCGGAAGCGGCGTTTGCGAACCCATCGCAATGGTGGTGCTAGACCGTGAGGGTAGTGTAGTGTCTTGTCATCTGGATATTCAATGTCATCAGGAAGAGGATAGTCCAGCGCTTCTTGATCACCAGACACAGGTCCAAGGACCAACAACATTTGACAAATATCGGCTGATTTATACCAGCCCCGACGATCCCAGCTTTTCATTCCCTCGATAATGCAGGGAAGGTCCACCAAAGACGCAGCATACATTTGGTCACGAACTTTCAAGACTGCGCGTCGCCCCTCACGATTTAAGGGTTTGAATGAAAATTCTGATTTATCGAATGATCGCTCGGCGATGGCCTTGCGAAGATATTCACAGTCCTCCCCTGGTGCCATTCGTAAAATGAATTGTTCTTCAATGGCGGGATCGGCTTCCGTGTCTGATGCCTCCGAGTCGTAACCCACACCAACCGGTCGATGAGCTACCACTCGTTGGTTCTTAAGGCGAATAGCCTGTAGGCCAGGCTTTTTAGAGGGATTCAACTTGAGGCGCTTTGGACCTTGCTCAGCAACGGGTTCTGGCTGGGCGCCATTTTCGGCAGGCCGTTTCTTTGTAGTCTTCTTTTTTTTCGGCTTTTCTTCGGTCCCTGGGAGTGGAGGTCTGGGTTTGGAGCCGATCTTCAGGGTGATTTTTGGTTGAGATGGTCCAGCTGGCGTGGGCGGAGGGTTGGCCGGTGGTTCAGTTGTCGGCTTCTTCCCAAATTTGAGCTTGAGCGTCGGTCGCGGAGCATCAGACATGATGCCAGTCGAGGGAATAATTATCTGTGATCAAAACAGCCGGAGTTATGAGGTGAGGAACGAGAGGTGGAGAAAGGGGAGGAAGATAGAGAGGTTTTGGGTGGTGTTATATGCGATTCGCGTGGGAAGATAGTAGGAAGGAGAGTGGAGAGTTAGAGTGATTTCCAGTCGCGCGGCCCAGTGAATTCTCCGCTTTCGATTCCGCGTTTCTTTGATTTAGACAACACACCCAATCCCTTCACTCTCCTCCATTCACTCACCTCTTTCATCTCACTTTACCCTCGTGGCAAGCCCCTAGAGGAATCAAATCTACGCAATTCCCAATCCATTCCACTATTGGGTTCCTTTCCCTCATCTTGTCAGCCCAACATCATGTCCGGCCACAACCTCCACAATGCTCTCCTCCGCCCTCCCATAATCCAGATCCTCAGGGCACAAGGCTTTCATTCTACAAGACCATCGGCTATAGAATCGCTATCAGATCTCACCGCACGATACATTATGATTCTTGCATCTGCTACCGCCGCTCACGCCGCCAATGCCCACCCCGAAGACCCGTCCCCAGTCCTCGAAGATGTATATCAAGCTCTCCAAGACGCAGGCGCGCTCCGACCCCAGCTACGGGAATGGGAAGAAGAGTGGCAGGATGAAGAAGACATGCGTGGTCTTGAATCTTTGATCGGGTGGATTACAGGCCCGTCGCACCGCGAGATTCGACGAATTGCAGGCTTTGTCCCAAGTGAAGGCGATATGGTGGATCCCGATTCGATTGAGAAGGAGGACTACCTTACGGCCTTGAAAAAGAAACACAGCAAGACGGGTGAGGAGTCCCGGTATGCAGGTACGGTGCTTGGAAAGAATGCTGAGGAACACCCGATCACCATCGAGGGTGGTGTCCCAAGTATTCGCGAATGGGGGCGACAAGTGCGATCGCGTGCGCCAGCTAGCCCGGACAGCGACAGCTCGGGTGTCAGTAGTGCACCGAGCAACATGTCAGACGGCCCGATGGAAGTGTGAAGACCAGGAACCAACCCTTTTCGTGGATCAGATTGATCCTCCAACATTATACTTACCACCTCAATTGTCTCCGAGCTACCAGTCAACCGTCAGCCATCTCGGAAAACAGGCTCCAAACGCTTCAGCCCCCGATCTCTAGCTTACTGGAAGGACGTGGACGGTCGAGCGGAAGCATTGAAAAGTTGACAACAGAGAGCTCAAGCGTCTCAATCCTGCGCTGGGCACCGTGGAGAATCAGGGTTGTGTTTTAGGCCCTATCCACGTGCTCCCTTTCCAGTCGGCGGGTAAGAGGCTCATTCTTGTTGGGTTTCCAGCAGCCATTTACATCTGGATCTGGCCCTTTGAGCTCCAATGAGGGAGAAGCGGGATTTTAGTAGCGCACTTTGGCGAAAGGCTTGTCATGTTTCGCCATGGTACCGATCGGATGGACTTGAAAATTCCATTTCTTAGTAGTTTTTAAATTCCCAACTCAAATCCTCCTCCACCGTCATTTCACCATGGATTATCCTTCCAACCCATACAATTTCTTGGCTTCAAGTGTTACGTTCAAATGAATCAAAAGAGCCCTTTCCAAACCAATTTTTTCTTTCTTTTTCATTTTCAATTTTTCATTTTCAATTTTCTTGAAGAACTTTTCTTCACCCCCAAGCAAGGGCTATTTATGGACTTGTATGGTATTCAAGTTAGTACTACGATGGGAGTCACGGGACTGCCATAGGAAAATAAGTGGATCAAAGTCCACTTTTCCCCCCGGAATTTATCCTTTGTAAGTTCAACAAGTAAAGTCCGGGGAAAACAATTCTTCATACGAAAAGGATCTCGGCATTTGGGATCTGTGTACGTTCATTCGCCAAGTCTATTACGATCTTCAAAACGGTTCATTGACGCCTCCTCGTATTCCATTACTAATAAGCCCCGAAAAAGCCTCAAGTATCAAGGTCCAAGGGTCTACGGATGAATTCCGCACCAAAAATCCCCGGCATCTGGACTTTCCCCGAGCTCTAACTTTCTTTCATCATACGGGTCCATCCCCCAATCACAAAGTCCGGAATTGCGCATCGGCAGTTGACCAAAATGAAGCGAGGCATCTCGGTGAAATGTGGATTTCGGCCCAGGAACTTGCCGATAAACTGGCTTCTTAACTAACATAAAACGCCCGAGTCTGGCACGCTCCACTGCTCCCGTCCATCATATGCCTATCGGTCCCCTTTCAAAGCCCTGTCAGACCCTGCCAACCCTTGTCAAGCTACCATTTGCCGGCAATAAAATAATACAACTACCGGAACCAACTCCACAAAATTATCAGACTCGAATAATTTTTCTAGTATGACATTCTCGACTCCACCCGAGGGAACTCCATTTGCCCCAGATTCGATTCCCCAGTACTCCGCGTTCCGCTAATTTGAACGGAGTATCCTCCCCCCACGGTCCCATGACCCGGAGGGGAGATGACCGGGGACCTAGATTCGCGGGGTTCTAAATCCCACAACTTTCCCCTTGAATGATTTATGAGCTAAAAGGAGGGACTTGGGACCCTGGTATCTTCTCTTCCTTTTTTTCTTTCTTTCCTCATTCCATCATTCACCATGACGACTCCAGGTGAAATCCCGGACAAGTCTCTAGACAAGATGAGCTCTTATGTAGATGAAAAGGCTGAGGGCACAATCAATGACCCATTAAGCATTTTATCCGAATCCCACAAATCATACCTGCTTGAGCGCCATGGCAGACTCGACCTTGATCCTATTCCCAGCATGGATCCAGCTGATCCTTACAACTGGCCATCATCCAAGGTAGAAAAAAAACCCCCATCCCAATTCCCAAAGTGAAGGGAGAAAAGAGAAATGAGTACCAGACAATTAACACGCTAGTAGAAAGTCCTCAATCTCAGCTTGGTCGCGTTCCATGCTTGCATGGGCACATTCACAGCCGCTGCCATTATCTGTGCCTATGAAGATATCGCTCTAGATGTGGGCGTCTCCATTCAACGAGTGAGCTATCTCACCTCACTTCAAATCGCCATCCTCGGTGGTGCCCCGTTGTTTTGGAAGCCACTGTCCACCCGCTTCGGCCGTCGTCCCATTTTCCTGCTGTCATTGATTCTGAGCTGTGTGTGTAACATTGGCTGCGCTAAGAGCCCAGACTATGCCTCCATGGCGGCCTGTCGTGCCTTGGTAGCCTTTTTCATTTCTCCTGCTATGGCGATCGGAAGTGGCGTTGTCACAGAGACATTCTTCCGCCACGAAAGAGCGCGATACATGGGCATTTGGACAGTGATGGTGACGCTGGGTGTTCCTATCGGGCCTTTTATCTTTGGATTCGTTACCCAGCGAGTTGGTTACCGCTGGATCTACTGGATTCTGGCCATCGTAAGTTGATCTACATTTTTTATTGAAAAAGAGACAACCTTACTAACAAGCACCAGACCAATGGGGTTCAATTAGTCCTCTATTTGTTCTTCGGACCTGAAACCCGCTATATTGGTGACGACGTGCAAAGCAAAGAGTCCGCATTCAAGCGCGAATACACATCCCTCCGTCGAATCGATCCAACTCCATTAAAGCTGTCCGAATTCTTCCACCCCCTCTCCCTCTTTACCAACATTCCTGTTCTCCTCGCCGCGATCGCATACTCTATGGTCTTCCTGTTTGCCTCCGTGATGGGCTCCGTCGAAGTCCCTCAACTCTTGCAAAGCAAGTTCGAGCTGAATGCACAACAACTTGGTCTTCAATTCCTGGGCCTTATTATCGGCTCTCTCCTGGGCGAACAACTGGGTGGTGTCATGTCCGATATGTGGATGAACGCTCGTGCTCGACGTATCGGCCGCAAGCCGGCCCCTGAATACCGACTCTGGCTGAGCTATATCGGGTTCCTGCTGGCTATTGCTGGAATGGTCGTATTCCTTGTATGCACTGAACAGGCGAAGGAAGGCCAATGGACGGTTACGCCAGTGATTGGCACTGGTATCGCAGCATTTGGAAACCAAGTTGTCACTACTGTTCTTACCACTTATGCCGTGGACACCTATCCCCAGGATGCCGGCAGTGTTGGTGTGTTTATTAACTTTGTCCGCTCAACCTGGGGATTCATCGGTCCCTTCTGGTATGTATAGCCTTTTCCAATCTTGAGATTGCAACTTCTCACTAACTGCTCATCAGGTTCACCGATCTATTTGACAGCGTTGGTATTGCGAAGAGCTCTGGCGTGGTCGCGGCACTGATTATGGGTGCCAGCTTCATTCCCACTGCAATTTTGCAGTGGAAAGGAGAGAAGTGGTACAGTCGTGCTTAGACCACGACTCTCCAGCGGTGCCCTTTCCACTCGGGCCTGTGTGTTATTTAGTATCCATCTTGCAATATTCAAGCGTTTCAGTTCTGATATTCACTTATCCAAGATTGTGGTAGTCATCTATATAATGAGAAAAGGGAGATTCAAAGGATGGTCCCACCAACAAATACTTTGAAATTTGTATAATCAAATGTTAATTCGTAGTGTTTCGTTGTCATGTTCATGGATTGTCGAGCGCCAAGTCACCAACCCATCTTGATTCTTGAACGGAAGTGACATCAATCCCGCCTCTCCTATCTCCAACTCCCCAATTCAAGCCCCGCATCAACATGGTCTACGCCTTCAGCCTCCCAACCACCTCTCCCCTCTCGTTCCAAACATTCATATCCTCCTCAACACATCCCTCCCTTCCCCAGTCAGCATCAACCACCCGCCATACTCTCCGACTCGCCCTCAAGGCTCACAAGCGCATACCCCGCGGCGCCCAACAAGATGCTCACCTCCCCACCGTCCTTTCCGCTTTAAATGACTATCTGCCCCATCTGTTCGCAATCTCACACGGTCTACGGGGCCAAACTGTCAAACAAAATCCCACCCACGGCAGTCAATTTGGAAGCTATCACAACCTATCCGTGGATAACCAATGCCACTCGGGCGAAGAGATTGAGATAACACTACACGCCGAAATCGAATCCGCCTGGAAGACAACGCTATCTAGCAGCAGCGCTTTAAACCTCAGCTCTTCGGCAAGCAATGCGTCGAGTGGAAAAGGGATCCGACCGCGCGGGGGACGTACCTTGGGCCAGGGAATAAATTTTGAAATCGCGTTCACGCTCACAACACTTGGCTACGTCCTAAGCCGACTCGCGAGGGCAAGCGTCATCCAATCTGTATATGCACCCACGACCCAAAGCACAGAGCAACGCACCGCAGCTGTGCAGACAGCAACACGATACTTACTCCAAGCGAGCTCGGTGCACGGGCTCCTTGCTTCATCGCCTTCGTTGGCTGTCGCGACCTCGGGGTCCTTGTCTGTATCGGATGTGGATATGACAACACAGTCTGCGCTAGGCTCGCTTGCTCTTGCAGAAGCTACGCTTCTCGCCGTATTGAAAGACGATGCGTATGTCGTGGCGTGTATCCAGGCACGAAACCCTAATGACCGTGAATGGATGGTGAAAGCGCCCGAGATCCCAAAGGTGCGCGCTTTACTTTTTGCACGCTTATGCGTTCGTGCTGCAGAGTACGCAGAACAAGCTGCTGCTGGACTTGGAAGCGTTGGCTCGGACAAGAGTGGCCGTCTTGATGACGAAGTTACACGATATGCGGCAGTTCTGGGTCGTGTAGCTCGGGCGCGTGCTTGCCGGTTCTTTGGTATCGACGCTGAGCTTGCAGCTAAATGTGGCGAGGGAATTTCATGGCTACGAGCTGCACGTGCATCACTTGGGCTACGCGGAGGTGCGGGCTATTCCCCTGGAGCTGATGAGTCTGGAGTGCCAGCTCCATCTAAGGGAGGGTTTTCCCGCCTCAAGCGCGAGTGGACTGAGCGGCGGGAAGAGAAAAAGATAAGCAAAGATGCTGGCAGCGGCCGTAGTGAGAAAGGTATCCTAGAGCCTGGAGATGATGCTGGACGTGACGAGGAGGGCCGAGTGATTACGATGCTGGAGACGAAGTGGATCCGGATGAATGACACAGTGAGTTTAACCTACGGAGGGGTTTCCTTTGATATACCCGCAAAAACAAATCAATTTGCTTATACTGATTTTATTTAGATTAACACCCAGACCATTCCACCTTCCACATCGTTGTTGTCTAATTTGCCGTCTGGTCGAGATATACATACACCACCTGCACCATATAAGCCCCCCTCGATGGATGAAGACCAATTGATGCGTATGCGGGCTCCGCCGAACGAGAATGAAATTATATCATTCGGGAACGACCTTGATGATAGTGATGAGGACATTTTACCTGATTTACGTGGACCGCCCGCAGGACTTCCAGATCGCAGCGAAACAGCTTCGACTGCTTATTATTGATGATACTAATAGTATACCCAATCATTCATCCCTAATGGCAAGACTGCAAAGCAGTCCGACCGATCTTCCTTGAACCACCAGACAGAAAGCCCACCTAGGCAGGCATGGCAGGATGCTACTAGGTAGTAAACATGACCCAAACAAAAAAAGAAAACTAAATTGGCCAGATAACCTTGGAATGATATTGTATATGTACAGTACAAGAGAGAGCACTCTCTCGGAAATTTCCCTGCCAGTTCCAAGCAGCGGAACAGCAGAGCTCTCAAAACAACCTGTCATGCCACAGGTGCCGAAGAGGAGCCACGGCTTCATGATGGCACCCCCGCCTTCATAAGCTCTATACGTAGACGAATCGAGCAATGATATGAGAAATTTATGCCTTCTCGCCGAGGGCGTTCTTCTCCTGGAAGAGGTAACCCTTGATCTTACGCTCACCAAGGAGCTCAAAGTACTTCTCTGTTAGAAATTAGCAATATGTTTTTTTTTTGTGAATGAATAGTTTCCAACGAGCGAGTCCCAGGCCAATTAGACAGCCAGGCAACCCAAAATATCTATCCAACGCAAAAAGTTTTGGATATTGATCCTAATACCGGTAACAAGCAAAGAAAGCGAACAAGATCTTACCTCGCAAGGTGCCGCACTTCTCCAAATGATTCACACCCTCACGCGCATAGCATTTGCCCAACTCCTCACCGACCAGTCGTGACATCATAGAGCGAACCCACTGCTCACGGATAATAGCATCACGGGCATTGTGCACAGCGACATTGTCCTCAAAGTCGACACCCTCGTAGGTCGGGGCAACGGTGGGCTTTTTCGCGAGGAAAGCGGCGGACTCCGGGGTGGGCATTGTGAGTGATTTGTAGTGGTGCGGAGTAGAGGGAAATGTCGATAAATCCCTGGGGTTCGAGGAGGAATTGAGGGTGACGGGCCTGGTGTGGAGATTTTGGAGGTTGCGCGAGGTTGATGCGGTCGAATCCGATGGCTTTGGAGGTTGGATTAGGGGGGCGGTGATTGGGTGAGGAGGAAGGCGGTGGAGATAATAACGGGGTGGTGGGAAGACCATGAGTGCAGTTTCGGTGCACATCACGTGACTTCGGTTGCTTATAAGGCTACAAGGTGTATGCTTTCGCATCTACTTCAAAGAAAGTGCTTATTTGTAGTACATAGTATATTTGTCTGATTGGAGCAAATGTCCGAGTCTACGTGAATTGGAGGAATTGGCTTAGGGATAAGTCAGTTCAAATTCGTATTTTTTGTGCACTAAATTCAACTCCAGCCGCCCAACGCCCGTTGTGAATCAACCATAATGCAGATCAAACTCCGATATGTAAAAACCCAAACAACCTTAAAAAAACATGAAATGAAAATGAAGCAAAAAAAAAAAAGAACAACACCATATCGTACAAAAGTTTGAGTATCAAAAGTGCGTGGAGAGCGTAGAGACATGAGAAAAAGGAGAGGCTAAGAAGAAAGACGAAGGGCCAGTGAATGCAAAAGATTATTGTTGGTCCCCTTCATCCTCATCAGGCCCCCGATTGTATAGCCCACCGATAGCATCTTTCAAAGCTTCCCAGGGCGTCCTATTGCGTCGATCACTGATTTCCCGGTAGTTGTACATCTCAGCCCAGCAGTCGCGACCAAACATGCAGCCAGCCATGTTCACGACGAGGTCATGGTCTTCCTCTTGGTAGTGAATGGAAGGATTGTTGGTATCACCACAGGCACCCGGAGGGAAAGCGTTGATGGTGCGTTGAGGTAAGAATCCAACGCTGCTGCGAATCCAAGGCTGGCTTTGGTAAATGTACTCCAGAGCATTTTGCTCCTTGTGTTCCCACTGCATGTGCATCTGTTCGTACATGACGGGGTCCCACCATGCATCCAGGAGTCGTTCCGTCCAGAGAGAACGCTTGATCAAGAAAGAGCCCAAGTTAAAACCGCCGCAGTCTTGGGTAAGAAGCATGTCGAGCGAGCGAGGATCCTTGTCGCCTTCTAGAGAGCGGCCTAGATCATCCAAGTAAAACTCCGGAAGTGGGTGTGTGATGTTGAGGGGATTGTAATCGTTGATGTCACGGTAGACCAGCGATTCTAGGTCGCTGAATACATGGTGCTGCAGTGATGTCCCATACTCCATCACCCAGGTATTCAGATCGAGCCACCAAAACCACTCCGCATTGGGGTATTTGCGCATGGCTTCACGGATCACGTCGCCTTTCTCCCAGCCCTCGCGCCACTCGTGAGAATACCGCTTCTTAGCCAGCATATTGGCAATTTCCAACTCGTATCCCCATCTCTTTGCATATCGCTCTTTGTTCCAGATACTGTTGCGCTCGATCGCCCACTCGCGTGCCCCTTTCAAATCCATAACACCACCCTCTGTATTTGACCCCAGAATAATCACGACCTTGCGTCCTCCTCCGAGAGGCGACCGGCGAAACAATTGAACCAGCGCTACAAAAGAAACCAGTTAGATTTGCGCCCATACCCTTGTTTCGCAATCATTCCCAAATTTCACTCACTCGACCAGATAAAGAGATAACCGAGCAACAGCAGTAGGATTCCAGCGAAAACGCGGACCCTTCCGCGTCGCATCAACATTCTCAGGGCAGCTAATGACCCACGCCCAGCGCCACCAGAGCGCCACTGCGCGCGTCCATATGCATCCTTGTCCACATATCCATTGGTACCTGATTGACCCCTGAAACTGGATGAGATGCGATGTTTCTGTCTAGAGAAGAAGCCGCTGTTGCGCGTCGAGAAAGACGGGTACCCGCGCACCTCGTCGCTTTTCGCTTTGGCCGATGCCCAGGAAATACCGCCTGGTGAAAGGGAGTTTGGTGAATATCCGCGCGGAGTTGCGGTCCCGCTACCAGGTGTTAGACCCGGGCTGGACCACCCTCCGCCCGGGTGGGGAGAGGGTGATCGCGATAGTGACATGGGATGCGATCGGCGGTTGGAAGCGGAGGATTTGAGGGGCGCTGAATGAGCAGCGTGTAGACAGTTGCGTGTTGAAGATGTGAGAAGCGTTGGATTGCCAGTTTGAGGGGGGTATGGCAGAGTGAGGTCAGGGTGACCGAAGCAGGAGGGAACGACTCGGATACAATAAGGCGAGTGGTGAAATTAGAGAAAAAGAGATTAAATGACGGATTAAGATTAAGATTGAAGGTGCATGGGGATCCATTGAACAGCACAGACCAGCTTGGTCTCCACCACGTTATTGGAGTTAAAAATTGGTCCAATGGTAACTTGTTTAACTTGTTCAAATTGCAGGCCAACACCGCAAGCGGACAAGTTGACATGGTCGCAGTAACAGGCACCAGGACAAAATTGAGTCGAATTTCCGAATTCATATAATTAATTCAAAGGGATTGATATTGCTTTTTGAAAAGAACGAAACATTCAATTTCCTATTATCTCCATCGTGGTTGCAGATAGATTGCTTTCATTTTAAATGCTTGTATGAGAATTGCCAATTGGAAGACATCAAAAATACGATTGCGCATACTGGGAGGATCAATGTGGTCTTTTCTTAGACGAAAAGAAAGAACTCGTTTCATTGAATCAATTTCACTTGGAATTTTTTTCGAGTCTTGAAACTTCACCGCATGCGGACAATGGCATTGTCTCCATAGTAAGTAGTATCGAACCGTATTACTCAGGCTCACACCAGTTGACTCAATGATGCAAAATGCGCTATCAATCTATCTGCAAAGAAAAGAGAAAACGGGGAGATCAAAACAGAAATGAAGAGGGGGGGGGATCAACGAAGAAGAAAACAACAATGCAAAATCTATTTTTCAGCTTCTTTCTTGTGGGCTCGAAGAGGAAGTCGATTTCCCGCACTATCGGGTTTGTTGGCCAGAGCCTTGCGGACAACGAATTTGGCTTCGTGGGCTGGGCGCTGTTGCGCACTCTCGCCATGGTAGAACTCACACCGAAGGTCAAGAAACTCCCCCTTTTGTCGGTAGATGGTAATAATGTCACCCGAATAAATCTCTCCAAAGTGTAAGCCTTCTAACCCCCCGTCAGTCGAGGTTCCGCGTCGGAGTTCCGTTCCGTTGACCCAGATACATTTGCGAGTTTTGGTGGAGAGAAGTGCCCTGACCCCCGGGACTTGCTGCCAGTCTTTACCCTCTGCGATCTTGACCTCGATACCGGGCGCCCAGAAAGTGATCTCCAAGGCATAGGCCGCGATTCGAGTATCCATACGATCCTCATGGCGGATGGTTGCGGCAGGCCCACGACCCCACGAAGTCATTCGGTTCTCCAGTCGTATGTTGACATCGAAAATAGATCCAGGAACACTCTTTAGACGACCAAGAATCTTTGGTGGCTTGGTGAATTCGGCGACGGGGATGCTAGTTGGAACAGAAAGAGGATCGGGCTGGTGAACGATCGGCTCAGACGCCTCGATCTCGGAATTGAGCTGCCGATCGAGAACGGCCTGACCGGTCTGCGCATCAAGGGTGGTCATGAGTTCGATGTCAAAATCTTCCCGGGAAGTTATGTCAGGGGGATGTGCCGACCCTCGGCGACTGGGTCGAGCACTTGTGTCGCTAGATTGTTCGCTGGCTGTCTCAGGGAGGTCAAATTCAATGTCTCGAGAAAAGTTCAGCTTGGGTGCCCTGGGCGTCAAATCCTGAGCACTCGGGTGGGGCGACTTGGCTCTTTCAGGAGAGAGGCTATCTACAGTCGTGAGGTCCTTGGGCTTTCCAGGGTTGTTCTGTGGTGTCGGGATGTCGTTAACGGGGCCGATCTGAGGATGAAGGAGAGGGTGCGAGGAGTTCATGTTCAGTCGTCCAACAAGATTTTCCGCTCCCATCAAACTGGGTGCAGTGCCGCCAAAAGGATTTGCCGGGAGGGATATGACCGAAGAGACGCTGCATTCATCGCTCATCGACTCACCGGAAGACACAAAGTTCTTGACATCAGAATCGTCCCATGCACTTGTGTGGCCTAGTGCATGTGAGCTTTGCAAAGCCGAAGAAGTGACTTCGCCAAATAAGCGTCGAGCTTGGTGCTCTGCAATCACTTGACTGTCCTGGAAGCTTTCAATTTGAGGAAGTGAAGGATATCGAATCTCTGCTGGGATATGTTCAATCCGTGGCTTCTTAGCGAGTGCTTCACTGCTATTCGCTTCTTCGTCCCCAGCTGCGTGAGTGTACGCGGACTCATCATGAATAGACAGTTGAGATGCATCAAGTTCTTCTTCGGCCTCGCCAATGACTGAAAGACCTTCATGTGGGTCGGGAAGAATGTCATCATCCTCATACTGATCAACGTCAAGCACGTCCACAATCCAAGGGTGTTGAAAGCATTCTTTTTCCGTGGGGCGGGCAAAGGGGTCTCGATTCAACAGGTTGGCAACAAAATCAACACCATCTTCGGAAATGCCACCATTGCGTAAGATGCTGAGATCGAGTTCTGTTGTCATAATGCTGCGTAGCATGGCAACGCCCCTGTCTTCGGCTCGGCCTGCATATGGGGGGACGCCGGACAATACATGGTATAGGACTGCCCCTAGTGACCACATATCCACCGCTTGGCTGTACGGGGAGGTTTTTGCGGGTCTATAAATTAGCACGGAATGGCTCAGAATCTGGATAGAATCAACTTACGGGTCTCCAAATCGACGTCGTTTCCGGACCTCACCGCGTCCATACATGTCATAATCTGGATACACTTCAGGAGCACAATATAACAGGGTTCCACAAAATGTTTTAAGGAATGTCTCCTCTTGTGTCACTTTCGATAGTCCAAAGTCGGACAACTTGACCCGAAGGGGATCCAAGGATGCTATCAAGATGTTGTCCGGCTTGATATCACGATGGGTAATTCGGCGTTTATGGAGGTAGTGTAGTGCCCGCAAAAGCTGCCGAGTGATGGTTCGAACCATATCTTCTGGGATCTTGCCGGGGCTGTGCAAATATGTAGACAGTTCACCACCAGGGACATACTCCATCACGATATAGATCCAGCGATCATATTCATGATGTTCAATGTATTGCACAATATTGGGCTACATTGGTTGCATATAATTAGTATTGACGTGCTAACCACAAGAGATTGAGTCTTAACTCACGTGCTTGAGGTCTCTCATGATTTTCATCTCATTATCGACCTTTTGATCCAGAATGCCATTTTTCATGAACCGGCGTTTATCCAACTCTTTAGCAGCATAAATCGCACCGTGCTGCTTAGTGGCTAATTTATACACCGTGGCAAACGCACCCTTGCCGATCTGCCCTGTCACATTGTACATCGGTCCACCTGACCAATGCATACCATAAGCATTGGCTACTGACCATGGAAGAACCGGCTGGGCTGGTGCCTGTCGGGTCGTCTGTTGCCCAGCCAAAATTTGCTGAACTCGCTTGAAATACTGTAGCACATTTTGCGAAAACTTCAAAGCAAAGTGTTCCCGTGAAGGTATGCGCACAACAAAACGAACCTCGTCTGACCCCTGATTCCCAGTCACTACCTGGATGACTGAGCCGTTAACGAGCATACGGCTGCTGTCTTTGGAATTCTTGCGTAGGCGGCAATTGTCTACAATAGTCCCATTGGTAGAGGTATCTTGTAGCATGATGATGCCGTCACCGGTCAGATGAATGCGGAAATGATTGTTGGAGACTTTCTTAGAATCATCGTTGGATGTCAAAAGAACATCACAGCGGACCGGATTGCGACCAAAGCAAAACCCCGCCCCAAGGTCGCGGACATCGGAAGATAATCGTAGTGCAAGGTCCAAGGCAGCGGTCTCCGAAGCCTCAAAATCCAAAGCCGCCCTTTGTAAAATATGCTGGGTGCTTACAGCAGCTGTAGCAGCAACCGCATCGTGGGCGGCATGGGAATTGGGGTGAAGGATGCAAATAGTGTCGGCAAGATCTTGGTCCTGCAGCCCCGAATTATTCAGGCCCATACGGCGTGGGTCTGCACATGGTTGGGTGGATTCTTGCGTTGCTTCCATATTGAAGAAACCGGAGGAAATGCAAGCGCTAATGATAGATAGCAAAACGACTACTAATGACTGATTGAGTGGGGTATATGTGCTGATTGAAGAAACTTTTGCATAACAGGGGAATGAATACACGTGACGGCCTAGGTTTATGGCCTGTAAGTTGGAAAATGAAGGAAAGCCGACAGTCCGACGGGCACAAGGGTATATGTACCTTGAGAAAGGTGCAAGATGGGCGGAAAGGTCACCGGGTCAGTTTACCCGGGGAAAGCACCCCAACAAATGAGTCACGGCAGAAAAAATAAAATAAGAAGAGAGCCCGATGCAAAGAGTATGTGGAATCTGTCAAGGGTACAGATGGAGAAAGGAAATAATAAGTTGCCGAATGAAATCGGAACCAGAAAGCAATGCCGGCTTGTAACAGCGGGTGGGGTGGCTAGTGTTGACCGGTCACAACTTGGTCGCTGGGCACAGGAATGATGTAGGCTCGGGTCGAGAAAGCTCCAGGAGATGCAGGAGATGCAAAAGACGCAGAAAATGCAGAAGATCGCTTTTTTTGTAAGCGCAGCATGTGATTCTTGGTGCGGTGTTTCGAGGCTTTGGGCTTTCACGAAGGGAGGGTTTGGGAAGGGTTTATGAAAGTCAGGACGATGCGAGCTTGTAAGGAGGGGTTTTCACTGGTGACAGGTTTCACGATAAGTTTTGATGCTAGCCATAAGTCCGGATGGGATGGAGGATATCTCTGTTTGAATGAAGCGCACTGGTCAGCCTCCATTACATTTGGGGATGCGGGCTCAAGGGCTTGTGTTTTGACATGGCTTTCGCGGGAGATCGCACTTACACAATTTGGCGGACGCCCTTTTCATCCATCCACGACCGATCAGTAGTTGTAGACGGATCGGAAAGGGGGAAACCGGGACGGCTGTAGACCTGGGGGAAGGCTTCGTCGTCCGAGAAACAAGAAGAAGCGCGATTGACCTCTCAGGCCTCAGGCAGCAGGTTCCTGGTGGGCCGTGGCTGACTGATCCGCCTTGGGAGTTTTGATTGGTCGATCGAGCTTCCCATCTAAACCCTTAAACCATGGATGGATCAGATCTAGTAGAATCTTCAAGTTGTTTTGGAGGAATTGTTGGTATATACTAAATGATTAAACCAGCATAAACCTGTTACGATTATCAAATCTGCTACTTACTGCAGCCTGCTTGAATCATGACAGTGGCCTAGTTACTTGGAGTTCACTATTTCACAGTATGTAGTAGCTCCATTTTCCAAGGTTCGCCACCTAAATGCCCCACAGTTACCCACCTGCACTAGGCAGCTTTGCTTACATATAAATTGATGTAATGATCGGATTCATGGTTATAACTTATACGGTTATACCTATGATCCCAGGCAGTAACATGATAATTCAGATCAACTCTTTCCAATAACTTTGGTGACTTGAGACTATTATCTCTGGTTAAACTGTTATAAGTCTAGTACCAGTGGCTCTGGTCCTGTGTTTGGCAAAATGTTGCTTCAAGCTCGAGAGTGGCACTTACCAGATTAGGCCCCGGAACTTCCCAATCATCCATGGATGATATGTCACCATCTCATACCGTTAATATCTTCGGCGAACATTTTGAAGACTAGCTTCAATCTTCTCTCCTTCCCCGTCTTTCCCCATAATATTTCTATCCATCATCCACTCATTCACTGCTGAAATATATCAACTGATTCTGTATATTATTCTTCTATCTGTCTTCAACAATACCGGAATCGGCCCTGGCGCCTGCACCTACATTCATCCACATCACATCCCAGCCACCAGTTGGAAACGTTAGGCACTCTGTGGACTTACCAGTGAGCCTAGACATATACCCACCAGCATAAAATCTCGGCCGCTGACCCGGTGCTATGGAGCTACTCCAATCTTCCAGTGGCTGTGAGCCCAGGGCAATAGTGGTACTGAGAAACAGATCAGTGGTATCTGAGCGCGAAGTCTCTCTCGGTCTTCGGGAATGGAATTCTTCTGATCTACAGGACCAAGAATTCTCTTCTATTATGGAGAGACTGCCAGCAAGACACGATGCATTCAGTCTTATACCTCTCGAAAGAAATAAACCACACAAAAAAATCGACTGGAAAGAGACCGAGGACGCGAAAAGGATCATTGAGAAATTTAATGCTCAGATCCAAGCTGAAAGAATACACATCGCACGGGCAAAGAAATCTAACAAGAGAAATAAGCAAGGCACCGTACGAGCTTCATTCTTGCGGTTTCTTACTACATCGAAGGTGAATAGCGACCAACGTGACTGGAAAGAGGCCATGATCCAGGCATACGATGGGAAGCATGAGACCGAAAATTGGCTGTGGTGCCCAATCACACATCAATGGAGGACACCGGAAAATACTGTCACTGTACAATTCTTTGCCCAATTACACGGACAAGCTACAATGGACTCTATGTTCGGCAAAGGAGATGACATCCTGTCTCCCCAGAATGGATTAATTATCAGTCTGGAGCTCGAGCAGTACTTTGACGCTGGAAAAATGGCCATTGTACCGAGCCTTTGGCAGGATTCTACCAGCTTTAGTGTCTTTGGCAGGAGAAAGAAAACACCGCGAGAGTTTAAAATCAAGATTTTGGATCACAAATGGGCAAAACTTGACAAGAAGATCGACCAGCAGTCAGACTTGACCTACAGACAGCTTGACAACCGCCCCCTGGTATTTAGATCCAATTTTCGACCTGCTGCAGAATATATGTATCTTCATTTTTGCATCCAGGTTGTGAGACGGGCTTGGCAATCCCCTAGGGATACGGACTTGAGAGTGGCCGCCAATAATAATGTGAAAAAGCTTTTACATGATAAGAATGGCAAGTTCTGCTGGGGAAGATCTGGACACTATTTACCACGAAATATCCTGCAAGCTTCAGTAGAGGAGCTGGGGCGTGGATTCAAAGATCTTTTGAACGGCTCAGGATCAACCAAATCTATTGATTCAAATACATTATTAGAAATGGCTGCAAAACAAACGAGGGCCCAACGAAATTCATTTTCGCATGACTCTGATACTACATATGAGTAGTTGGAATCGATTTTTCCGGAGACTATCGTTGGCATCACATGAAAACATTCATCCAGATGTCCATTATGATTTTCATCTATCCATATGGATCCGTGCCTTCTTCTTGGCTAAAAGCACCAGCACCATCACAGCTGCCTAGCTGAGATTGCCATGGACAAATTCCACCAGGGGAGTCAGGGTATCTTGGTGACGGAATTCGACATCGGAGAAATTGGCGGTCAAACCCTGACACAAACACCAGATTATTGCGTTCACTGGTGAGAAGCGAGCAAAGCCCAGCAAGGAGCGGGTTCAAAAACAGTGCGCCGTACCTCCATCAAGCTTACTATAATACCAACAATTCAACGGAAACAAGCCTACCTTTCCAATGTGCCATTTTCCCGTCCTTTGGCGATTTCTAAATTCCCTCAACCAATTTGTGGACTGCATATTAATTTCTCATTAAGGTAAATAACAGCCAGGCTAGTTAAACCCAGTAAAGCCGCCCAACAAAGAATCCCATTGAATCTCGTCAACAGGGAGGATGTCGCCCAGATCACTGTAGATTGACGGCCAGGCTTCAGTTTCTCTAGCATTCCCATTGGTAAGAGCTGCGATCATGGGAGCCTCGTGCCCTGCAGCTTGGAGTGGTGATATTCCGACAATTGCCTTGACTTGATATGGGTAACAACGGGCCAGCAGCCTCAACTTAGAGCAAAGACTCCCCAATATTTCTGCTTCTTTGTCCACAGCAGACATTCCCTCAAACCTTGTTTCCAGCGTGTTAGCAAGCCCCGTGAGAAGGTTGGGGTAGTCTGCTGCATCAACGACAGCCTGTACTTGGCTCTCCATACAAGATTCCTTGAAGCCAGTTATGAGATTGAGAAGGGATAATACTGCAGTGGAAAAGTAACCAACCGTGGCGCATATATGGGCGCTGGTGGTTATTGTCATTTGGGAAATCTCTGAGCTTGGCAGGTTTCGAATAGCGCGTATGAGTTCCTTGCTTTGTTGAATCATACCGATCAGCATATTTGTCCGGACTGCACTAGTAGGCTCTGTGATCCACAGTTCCTCGTGAATAGCCAATTCGTGGAGCCGGATCTCCACATATTTGATTTCAATGCGTATTGCGTTGACTGCAGCGGTCAGTCAACTTCCATCAGCCACTTTAAGTCCAACACATACCTGTTGATGAAGGGCAGGCCGAAAGATTCTTTTCTAAAGATTCTCTTAAACTATCAAATTGATGTTGCAGTGAGCCGTGAGTGACTTGGACGAGCGCCCTTCCGCCACTTGCTCGCAGTGAAGCGTAGACTTCATCCATTGTTGCCAAGAAAGCTTGTAGATGGATAAGCGGCGCGATCCACCGATCCGACAGCTGCTCGGTAGATGCCATGCTCTGAATACACTCTTTGATTCGGTCATCATGCTTCATGATAATCGGCCGACCGAGTGTGCCGCAGACACTGAAATATCGTCAGTCGAAGGCGTCTTTTTACCAGCGGAGAGGAACTCACCCAACTGAGAGCCAATATACACCGAGCAGCGCCCGCTGCTCATCCAAACTCAGACCAGGCTTTTTGTGAAGTCCCAAATCGTATAGAATTGAAATGCAAAACTGCATCAAGAGTAAAAGTCGAGGGTGATATCTCTCTGCGGGATATGAGTACCATGCACTGTGAACCAACAGACCACGGAGCAACTCCATATTTCTCTCAGATCGTTCCACAACCCTCAAATTGAGATGCTTCATAATTTCCTCACTGATAGTTTGGCGCAGAGGATGCGCACTGCCGATTGTCGCGGCTACAACACATAAAAAAAGAAATGGAGTCTGGTGTCTGAGACGAGAGGCTGTTTCGCCGCGTGGAAGAACAACAAAGGGGAACTTGGGCACCAAGTCGATCTGGAAGGTAGTGAGCAAGTGCTCAGCTTCAACTTGGCTCAAAAGTCCCCTATCTACGATAGAAGGCTGACCCTCCAGGACAGAGTCGGTCGGCAGATCAAGGCCGTGGGACGGGTCTTTAGCAGCGTCAAAGAGGGCCTCAATTTCTCTCGGATTCAGTTCCGGAACTTGACCCAGACCTGAATTGGTAGGAAATGAGTTGGAGACAACGGATAATGTCCGCCCATTTTGTCGTGTCGAGGCCTCCAGTTGCGACAGTAGCTGTTCGACCTTCCTTTCTAGCACCTCTACACGGCTGTGTCCACAATTAATACCTCAAGTGCCGTAAAAATTGAGAAAGTTTACCTCGGTGTAGCCTTGTGCCTCCTCTTTGTCTGCGGAAGGTCAAGGTACGTGCATGGCTTGTCCAACCGAGCGCACCGCTGGCATAAGTTGACAGCCTGCGGGGTGCATTTCGCTTTGACAGCGGTGCACGCCACACATGCCCTCCTCTTTACTGTAGGAATTGTGGTGCTCATTATTTCAGTGAGCCGGAAAGGGAACGGAACGGCCGTTTGATGCGGATGCCCGATTGCTGACGTCTTAGCGGTGGTCCAAGTAAATTCCAAGGCCAAATTGGGGAAACCGGAGCGTCCGGTCGGACCGGCCGGTTTGTAATCCGCAAATGCGGCCGCAAATGCGGCTGCAACATTATCTATACAAAACTATTTAAGGAAGTTCACATCCCGATCAAATATTGGAATTTCATCAACAACATCCTCGGAAACATTGAACTCTTGAAATTGATTTGAGAACAATAAAAAGCCCGAAAAATGTCTTCATATGTCATCACCGGAGCCTCAAAAGGCCTTGGCCTTGAATTCGTGCGCCAACTCGCTACCAATGACACCAACACAGTCCTGGCTGTTGTGCGAAATACCGAATCACCCGACATATTGGAGCTCGCCGCCAATCACCCTAACTTGCACTTCATCAAGGGCGACGTTACCGATCCAAAGTCCATTCTCGATGCCGCCTCAGCCGTAGCCGCCATCACCGGCGGTAAGCTAGATGTGCTTATCCACAACTCCAACGCCGTCGATATGGCCTCTATGGGCTTCAACCCGACTCAGATTCCCTTTGATTCTCAAGCTACTAGGGCAATCTTTGACCCTTCATTCAGTACAGCTATATATGGCGGGATATGGACCACGAATGCCTTCCTACCCCTCGTTGAAAAAGGCATCCAGAAGAAGATCGTGCACATTTCTACTGCCATGGCAGATACAAGCTTCATCAACAAAAGTGGCGTTAGCTATGCCGTCGCCTATTCGGTCGCAAAAGCTGGCATGAATGTACAGGTCGCCAAGTACGCAGCAGAGCTTGCGCCCAAGGGTATCAAGGTCTTGGCTCTGAGCCCTGGATGGGTTGATACATGGGATGGTAAGTGGGGGGTTTGCCTTTATTATAAAACTGCGAAAACTAATAAATTCACAGGAGACAAGCCTCCCCAAGCAGTGGAAGCTGACAATTTTATGCTGAAGCAGTTTCAAGCAGCTGCACCTGAACTCAAAGGGCAGATTCAACCAGAGGAGAGTGTTAGAAAGAGCCTCCAGGTGATTGATAATATGAATGCCAAGACCAGTGGCTTGCTTCTGAGCCATAATGGAGATCAGGAAAGATGGTTCTAAGTCTAACATTGAAGAGCGTCAGGAACCCCACTTTGAAGAGTCTTTTCTGGAAATATACGAAACTTATAGGACACATGCAGTTTGAATTAAACCAATAACATTGAATTGACAAGCATGAGCTAGTATGGATTAGAATTTGAATCCCTCAGAACGTAAAAGTCGCAACTATTCTCTTTCATTACACATGCGAATATGCAACAAGACATGTGGAAGAACGATAGTTTGAATGAATGGAAAAAAACCTTGAATATCGAAAAGGCAAAGATGAAGACAAGCCTTGGAACATTTGAATTGATACCCGAAGTGCTGGGACATCTGGCAGCTATTAATTGACCTAAAGAAAAGAACGGTTGAACATTTGAAGATGGTTCATACTCAAGTGCGAAGGCAAAAGATATAAGATTAATAGCCTTAAAAAAATAACACCATGAGAAAAACACCTTCAATTTGTCCCAAGATATATATAAGGTTGCTAACAACATCATAATATTCAATATTTGGTCTCAATACCCCCCCACAAGGTCATCAAGAACTTTGTAATAAATCGGTTGAAGGTTAGCTATACTGAGATCATGACATTGATGACGGGTTTACTCTTTTTTGTCATGTCGAAAAGCAAAGATTTCAGAGCATTCCTGCATAACCGGAATCGGCGAAGTCTTTGGGGCACCCAATGAAAAAGCAGTTTATATTCAACATCACTCATCTCGGCTTTGACAGATATCAGTTGACAATGTAGATGCCCAGTTAGTTTACTACTAGTAGTTAGTTAACTAGTGTCAGAGATGGGTCACATGTGCAGGTGACCACCTCTAGATATCCAGTGCTTGCTTCCTCCCTTTTCCCTTCTTCTTTTTCTCACTTACTAGTTGGCTTTTCCTTTCTCTTTCTCTTCTATAGCTAATCATACACCTTCAATGTTTGCTCGCGTCCTCTTGTTCCTTTCCTATCTTCATAGTTCCAATCCCTGGCTCGATGACTGATCCAAACACATGGAGATATGTGGTCTTTGATGAGTCGACAAAATGAACTTTTTTGCATAAGGGAGTCAACGGAGATATTCAAGGTCAAGGTCAGCCAATCACTAGTCAGAAAAGAGGAGCGTACAGGCTAATAGCGATATCAATTGATAGGGCCTTCATGACCGTGTTTTAAAATTCCTCTCTAACAATCGCCCTCACCGACAATACCTCTATTTCCGTTTAATGATATCATAACTTCAGGTGCAACAAATGAACCTCGGCGACAACGTTGAAAAGGTGGAGGCCCGAAGATTTTGGCCGTCCGGTGGAGAGTATTTAACCAAACTCTTTGGTTTAGCGCCATGTGTCTTTACACCTCGCCGTGCGTGGCCCGTAGCTTTGCGGCTTGCCTAAACATATTCCCTGCATAACCAAAACTCGAGCATGCGATCATGACATCTGGAAAATTCTTCCCGGCAAAAAGAGCTTTCTTGAGGAGGATTGAGGGAAAAGAGGGCTGTTACTGGGAAATTTCATAACTTTCACAAATCCCCTAAAAATCCAATCTCTTCTGCAACTGACGGTATTTCTGGTATTAGATTACGCGCGACTTGGTACAGTGCTTTGCCGCTTGTATGGATCCTAGCGGCAACTCAACGCTATTCATTGGTCAGTTTTCATGTGAACTACGTCGCGCCCGTAAGAAATACTCCTCTTAATCTAGTTATTTATAGTTAGGGAATTCTCTAAATTTTATCTGGATTTTATTACCTAGAGGGTTATCTCAAGTAAGAATAACAAAGTGATACCTTCACTTCTTTTTGTTGGCTTCTCCAGATTGTCACCTGGCAGCGACTCGTCTATTGCCCATTGCAAGTGGAAACAACCGCCGTTAACAATTCGGGATATACCTACTTCCAAGCTTCTTTGGATCTCAGGAGGATTTTGGCCACCAGTCACAGCGACACGACCCAAATGCGTTTTATCTCCTCTGATCATCTACTTGCTCGGTCTCGATCCCTGGCCATCATCCTTCTTCTACTAGCACCGACAACCCACGCAACGTGTTATTGGCCAAACGGAGATACCCAGGACGATTATGTGCAGTGCCCAAGTAGACAAAACTGCTGCTTAAAAGGCGAGACATGTTTATCAAATGGGCTCTGCTTCACCGCGAATTTTGGAATTCTCTATCGCGGTGCCTGTGCAGATGAAACTTGGCCAATTGCAGAATGTCCCCGAGCTTGCTATACAGGTAAATGCGTTCTCTGCCATCAACATGATGAAGTTGTTGGAACTAATATAGACTCTTTCTAGAGATTGACTCTGGATGGGCAAATCTCTTCCAGTGCAACACATCGACCAACCTGCTGACCTGCAGCCACGAAGATACCTCCGCCGGTGTCGTCTGCAATGGAAACGGTCTGGGCACATACAACGGATACACCAATGCCAATGTGACTGCCGCGCAAGTCGGGATCACGGAAGATACAACAACAACAACGACCAATACGACGTCTTTGAACTCGAGTTCGAGCACCTCCTCAATTCCTGACTCGACAACATCTTCAAATACCAATTCCGAGCTTCTTGCCCTTGGAATTGGGCTTGGTGTGGGACTGGGGGTCCCTTTGCTGATAGCAACTGGACTTCTGGTATACTTTGGAGGACAAAATCGAAAACAGAAGAAGCAGATCCAGCAGATCCAGCAGATATCTACAAACTATCCGGTATTTAGTAGGGTGGGTCCTGCTAGTCGAGCGGAGTTACATACGTCAATCATATACCCAGAGCTCGATGGCGGAATTACTAGCAGGACGGAGCTGGCAGGACCATCTCTCAATATACCCTACAAGAATTGATGTACACATGAAATTGAATATGTTCCAAGGTTCATCTACCCATTTTATAAGATCCCAAAATACATTCTCAACTCTATTTAGTCATTGACTTGCGACCGTAAATATCAATTGACAAGATATCGAAGGCCACAGGGACAAACCAAGGCCACCCCCATCTGGACAGAGAATTTGTTATCAAATCACTCAAATCCCATGGAGCGCATTCAGAACTACAGCTGATAGACCATCTGATTTATCCCCACTGCCCTTAAGGTTAGGCCGAGCGGGATTTAGCACTTTCCATCGAAGCAAAGTGAAACTGAGCTTCTGGAATCTGAATTTCCCCTTTCCATCCCACGTTGATTCGTTTATCGCCACTTTCTCCGAGCCCCATGTGTTGACATCTCGAACATCGTTGGCTTCACCACCAACACAGAAAACCTGAACCTCACTTTCTATGAATGGAAGTGAAGTTTCCAAACTTTCCGAGTCAGAGATGTTCACAACAGCCAGATTGATGTAGTCGTCGTCGCTTAGCGCTGCGGAAACATCAAGAATAGGAATATCGGTTGTGCTGGCAAGCCATTCCGGGGCAGTCCGTCCCTTGTAAGTCGGCGAGCGAACATGAACGGCCAGAGTCTGACCTCTCATATATTTGGAGAAGAGTAGCAAAGGCCAGTATGTGGTCTGCTTTATGACTCCCTGGTCGTTAGTCATCAGAGGGGCGATGACGTTCACACTCTGTGCAATCGTGGCCATGCCAAGATGCTGTGCTTGTCGCACAAAAACATTAAGCCACAATGAAACAGCTGTCATATCTGAAACATCGTAAAGCTCTTCGGCCCCCTTATCACCGGGAGCACGGACGGGGTTCCAAATATTCCACTCATCGAAGGAGATCTTTGGCCTGTGGCGTGTCTTGGGGGTAGTTGAAAAATGTGGAAAGGTTTCATAGTTCATCTCTGTGCGCGCCAAATCGATCAGAGCCGCTGTGATTTCAATAGCTTTCTCCGCAGCTCGGGGGCTGGTTGCATTGGGATAATGCCTAGATAGAAAAGTCAGCCACTTTGCTTCGTGCCAGTCTACATGCAAAACTAGAGTTCTTACTCAAAGTCGAACGTGTACATATGGATACTGTGTAGATCGGTAATTTTGAGGCATTCTTGGAGGACAAATCGATCCCAATCACTATGTCCATCCTTTCCGCACAAGACAAGCTTGATGGTAGGATCCAATAGTTTCAGAGCTGTGAGAATTGTGTCAGTTCAAACCAAATGACGAAGGAAACGGCAAAAAAAAAAAAAAAAAAAAAACGCACCTTTACCCCACTGATAAGCCTTTTTCGCATAGTCTTCCTTGGAAGACTGCTCAATTTGCCTATGCTGTACCATTAGTATGGGTTGAGGGTATTGAGAAAGTTGCAACTGACCAAGGACCCCAGACTTCATTTCCTAGCGCCCAGTATTTCACTCCATAGGGCTTCTCATGGCCATTTTGCCTCCGAAGATTGGCATACGTTGTGTCGGTGTCAAGATTACAATATTCCAGCCAAGCCAAGGCTAGAAGGTGTTAGACGTGTCCATATCCAATACTAGTAATCATAGAGTTAAAGGGGAGTTTTTTTTTTACCTTCGTCTAGTGTGCCGGTGCCCATATTCAGCGCTAGATATGGCTGTGCCCCGATTATTGCGCACCACTTCATGAATTCATCCGTTCCGAAGTGATTTGTCTCCACTCCTTTCCAAGCAGCTTCCAACCGCTTAGGCCGTTGAGCCTTAGGGCCAACACCGTCAAGCCAATGGTAAGTCGCGGTGAAATTCCCTCCAGGGTAACGCACTGATCAAAAAACGTCAGTCATTTGCTCCTTCACGAGGTTCATACACATCTGCAACTCGCAGTTAGTATTTTAAACGCGATAGTATACATACTAATCGGAACTTGGAGTTCTTTCATGCAGTCGATGACGTCGGTACGGAAACCATTTTCATCAATGAGACCGTTCTCATTAGTGGGATCATAAATTCCGCCATAAACGCAGCGGCCCATATGTCTACTCTCCAAGGTCAGATTGATAATTGAGAACCTTTTAAGGCTGTAAATAGACAGCGCCGCGTGGTGAAACGTACTCTGCAAAGCCTCCATAAAGTAAAGGATCAATATCGGCAATGGTTTGCCCAGGTGAAGTGGAGATCGAAGGCTGATCTTCCTCACCAATCCGAGTTAATGTTGTCATCTTTGAACCGGAATGCGTGAATGTATACAAGACTTTGAAAAGGGTTCAATATTCAAAAATAAAATCTAATCGCAGTCACAATGCGCAGTATGGTTTGATAGATATATCCGAGCTCAACGAGAGGGGATTCCCGGACTTCAAAGCGTGGGACATTCGGGAAAGCCGACCCGTGGGGACTCATTCCCTCTGCTCAAGTGGGCAGGCCGCATGTGATTCGGGTACTCGGGATTTTCTCCGGTGGGGGTGGCGTATTGAGGAGCACCTTTGACTAGCACTTGAGGCTTCGGCGAAGCCTAAAAAGCCACTGATCTAGCCGACGGGATTCAGGTATAACAGAGAGAAGCTTGTGTACATAATTCATGAATCTCAAAAAGAACAGTGCTTTTGGTAGTCTTTTGGATTTTTATGTTAATACAGAGCACCTTGGAATTACCCAGTAGGTACATGTGGACCGGAATGGAAGAAACTACACAGAAGAGTGACACTTTTACTAACATTGAAATTAGCTGTTCCTTATAGATTTGAGGTACAAGGTCAAAACATGGCTTCGAGCCTTCGATTATGGGGAAACGAGTCACGACTTCTAAAAATCCGGGGCTTGGAAGTGGATCGCCACGGTCCACCCAATCACGAATCCTTAGATTCCTTACCGGTGCGGATGTTCCATCATCAACCATCATCCAATTGCGGAATTGCTGAATTATACAAAGCTAACACAGTGCTAAAGAACTTTCTACTCTCCTACTCCGGCTGATCTGAATGTGGGGGATTATGGCACTTCGAGTGCCCGAAGAACATCGGGTTGTCCGACTGGTCTGCCAAAAAAGGCAACAGATGGTAATGTTGGGCGATCTCATTGGAAGGGTAATTTCCCTTCCCCTTTCTCAAAGTCGAGAATGATTTGACAAGACTCTAGCACTGAAAGTGGAGATAAGCCTACTAAGAGATGCGAAAGCATTTGCCAGTCACGTTCACTAATTTTGGTTTCCTGTTTGATAAGTGATAACTACTACTTAAGCCTGACCTCGCCCCCAAGACCTACACTTCTGATGATCCAATTCTTATCTATTAATTATTTTTTTAAAAATTTTATTCTTTTTTTTTGTTTTTGGAATTCACATAATACGGACATGGCTAACCAAGAAACCATGGACAATAAAGATGACAATCCATGCTTTGCACACGTGGAGAAAGAGCTGGATGGGACTCGCGCAGCTGCTGACCGGGGACGTCAAATTCAGGAGGACGAGCGACAATGGACTGCCTGGCAAGCCGCCTCAACATATCCACATGCAATTCTCTTCTGTAAGTTTCCTCGCCATTTGTTGTTAGTACCTGGGTATGAGACTGATGGTGAAGTTCAGGTAGTGTGGCTTTCACCGCAGGACTGATGTACGGTTATGACATTATCGCCAACGGCTCTGTTATTGCCATGCCTTCTTTCATCATCAAGTTTGGTGCTACTGATGCATCTGGCCTCTACCTACCAACAATCTGGACATCCCTTTGGACATCGATGACATCTCTTACACAGGCCTTGGGCGCATACATGGTTGGGTTTGCTGCGGATAAGTGGGGTCGCAAATGGTCCGGAGCATTTGCTGGTATTATATCCATGGCTGGCACGGCTGTCCTTTATACAGCAAATACTCGAGGCACGCTACTTGCTGGTAAGATGATTACTGGTGCAGCTATCGGGGCTGGAATGGCGTCAGGCACAAGCTATGCATCCGAGGTCGCGCCGCTCAAACTGCGAGGCCCCATCCAAGCCTCTCTTGTTCTGTTTGTTGTGTTCATGCAAGGGCTTGGACTGGGTATTGTACGAATATTCGTGCCTTACACTGATGAGCAAGCCTTCCGCAATGTCTTTGCCGTCCAGTGGGGCGTAGGATTCATTGCTCTTGTCGCTTTTTCACTTGCCCCAGAGTGAGTTATTGATTCCTGATAGACAAGACGGAGAGAGAGAGAAAGAGAGAGAGAGAGCGTTACTTTATTAACAACCAAAATTCCCGCAGATCACCCGTTTACTTGATTCAAAGAGGTAGAATCGAAGAAGCAAAGAATTCCATGGGTCGAATTTATAGTGGGCATTCCAATATTGACGACCGCATTGCCTACCTGATCATGACCATGGAGGAAGAAAAGGCCAGAGGGAATAACAAAGCAGTATCCTATTTAGACTGCTTCCGTGGCGCTGATCTTAAGCGTACGTTGACCGCTGCCTTTCTTTACAGTGCCAACAACTGGGCCGGTGGTGCCTTCCTAGCCCAGTCTACTTATTTCCTTCTGACGGTCGGATTGCCTGCCGTTCACTGTTTTGACATCGGTATTGGCGGCTTTGGCCTGGCAATTATCTTCATAATTGCTCTTGGGTTCTTCGGACACCGTGTCAGCAAGCGCCAATTGTTTCTCATAGGAGTCGTCCTCAACTTTTTCTTCCTGGTCACAATTGGCGCTTTGCACTGGGCTCCTGGGATGGGGGCAATCTGGGCCATTGGCGTCTTAATGTATGAACAACATTATCAACCCTCTCTATTGTACCATTGGATTAACTGACAAACATGCTTTCGCCAGGAACGTCTTGATATCTATACAGACAACATTTCTACAAGCTGTCGGATGGCCCATTGCGGCCGAAATCTCCAGCTATCACCTTCGTGCGAAAACTCTTGCCATCGCAGTCCTGTCTCAGACTTTGTCAACTTGGCTCACCCAGTTTGTTGTGCCGTATATGTACAATGTGGACTCAGGGAACCTTGGGGCCAAAACTGCATTTCCGTTCGCAGGCCTCACTATTTTGGTCTTTTTCTATGGGTATTACTACGTTCCTGATACGACCGGCCTAACAACCGAAGAGATCGACCGCCTCTACGCAGAAAAGACTGCTGTCAGGAGATTCAAGAGAGTTTTATCCGAGCAGGAGTCTAATAGCTGAAGTCAAGAAGTGAGGCCATAGGTAGGCTTTATAAATTCAGTAACCAATTGATGTCATAGCCACTTCAAAGGCGTCAGAGCCATATCCATAGCAAAAGAGTCAGTAGGGAGAGTTTCTCTGGAGTTTGAACATGGGTAGCAGTAGCCGTCCTTAACATAATAGCGACAAAGTAGCGGTTCCGTAGACAAAAACCCCTGCATTTCAGCCTTGGAACAAATCCCCGCCGTTCAACTGCAATCTGGATGGCTTCTCAACAGCAGGTATTGGTACACATATTAGCACTTGAAGCCTCTCAGGCCTATCTCTCTTCCAGGTTGTTTCTTCGTCTTTCCTCTCTTCCTCGTTTAGCCAACCCACAGATTTCTTTCTCCTTGTTATCGCACAATACATACTTCTCGTGGATTATTCCCCCTTCGAATTTTTCCGACGAGGTTTTCTCTTCTTACTATCCATCGGCCCCCAAATCAGCACGCAGCTTATGGATTAGAAAGGTTAGCATCCACACAATCTCGGTATTTCTGTCTTGGCCCCGGTGATGAAGATCCAGCAGCCTCGCCATCTGTTCGTGATGATTTGATGGTGGTGATGACGCGGTGAGCCACAGGGGTTCAAGCGGGCCGAAGTCCTGCTCCCCTGAATGCAGCAGCGGGACTATCCGGGCCCAGGCAACCCCGAGGTCTTCACAATGCAACCCATCTCGAAGAATTGTAGTCAGCCAGTCCATTTCCTCGACGATTAGGAGACGAAGCAGGCTCTGCGATAACCCGTCTTGTTGCACAGAATGAAACGCGGAGGGTGCCGTACTTTCCAGCTCGGGGCCTGGTAGCGATGGGCTCGATGAGACATCCAGTGAATTTGGTCGACGGTTGCATTGGTTTTTCCCTCTGCGGGATACAATGCAATTCTTGTGCACCGCATGGGCGACTGCAACACCGTGTTTCCAAAGAGTGGCGGAGCAGAAAACCAGAACTTGATGGAAGAACTCACCCATAGCAGTGACAAGGTTGGTGAGGATAGGCAGAGCCAGCAACGACCAGAATACAAAAAAGACCTTTCCAAGGCTGCTGGTGGGATAGAAGTCCCCGTAGCCAATGGTAGTGAGTGAGGTGTAAGTGAAATAGAGCGCAACAAAGTAAGACCAGCCCTGCTGCTTTTCTGACACACGGAAAACAGCTGCACTGATAAACCAAAGGACCAACCAGGCTACCAGGAAGAATACAAGCTCCCTTCGATGCATTGTACTGTGGAATTTTGCTTTGATGTGATGTAACTCGCGCACCTGCGCGCCCCGGGGAAGAGGTAACTCTTGCCCGTCATATGGTGCGTTTTCCTTCCAGCGGTCGCGCATCTGGGCCATCTGGAGGCGCAGTTTCATGTCACGCATGTCGTGGGTGAAGGATATCACAGCGCTGACCATCAAAGCTAGCGCAATTATTCCAGTGGTGGCGTAGGGAAACAATAGGCTACGGCCAAGATGTGTGGCAGGGGCAGGATTGCCAATGCCGATAGTGAGAATGGTAAAGTCTGCAAAGTACAGTGCATCTAGCAAGGACCATCCCTCTACAGCGCGGTATATAGCCGCGCCAACGAGTAGCACGATTGCCAGCCAGAGTGCCCGCAGCAAAACGTTCATCCGTTGTACCTGGCGGCGATTTCGGCGACTGAGCTGTATTTGGAGTGCCCCGAGCACGTATAGGGCCATCAAAAGGGCCACAAATACATATAGCCCAGCGGAGAAGACACCATAATAGAAAGCCTGGGTATACTCCCCCCGTATGTGTAGTGGTAGGCTGTGGTGTCGTTGTACAGCGACCCCAACAACGCTGAACAAAATGGTGGCAGCCATCAACCAGCCCAGCACGTTGATCCAAAAGACGGTGACCGGTTTATCGTGTAGTTGCATCAGCAGCAGGTAGACAATGTAAACAGAAACTGCAATAGCGAGCGATATAGCTTGCAGAGCGACTGTCCTGCAGTGGATAGATTCAGATATCTCCTTTTAGATCTTCCAAGCCTGGCCCGAGCAACTTACCAGCTTGGGAGAGAATATCTCTTGTCATCTATAATGACGGGCTGCTGCCACCCACTTGAAAGGGCACAGATGTTAAACATCATCGCCATGACACATAGCGTGCCCTATCCAGAATCAGGCGCAAGGCACAACATTGACGATTTGAAGTCTTTTGGACATACCGAAATGACAGGAAACCCGGTAACAAACAGCCATCGCTGCCGGGAATCACTATCCTTGCTCTCGGAGCTCAAGCGTTCTCCATTCTCCAAGGTCGCCTTCAAGGGAGCCATTTGAAGTGAAAACTGTTAGCATAATGTAATAAAAGACGACGACTGAGCAAAATCATGACGAGGAAAGTTCCATGGAACGTCTGGCATATCCTGGATGTTAAATTTGAGCAGATGGTTGACCTTGGGAAGAAGCTCGTAATCAGGCATTATAGTTTCCCAGTACCAAAGAAAAGACAAGGAAGATAGGTGAGTTATGGTAAATTCAGATGTTGTGTAGCTGGAAAGCTACCTGAGAAATTAAAAGTCGGAGGGATAAATCCCCACCAGGCTATATCAGAAAGAAGCCAGGCCTAGAAACGAGCTGTATTCTGTTGACTACAGTGCTTGGAGTGGGTTAATACGAGGGAAGGGGGAAGGAAGGGGGACGCTATAACCCCGGAATCCGAGTGCGGTGAACTGTTGTGCTCGGGCGGCACCAGAGTACGCTTACGTCATCGGCCATGCGCTTAACAGACTACTAACTATAACTAGTAGTAATAATAAGTACTATGCTTGCAGCATATCCCATCAATTAGATCATTCGTGCTTCTAGATAAACCTTCCAAGGTCCTTGTCTTCGGATTTGGCCGAAATTACTCTATTCCTTCACTGTTGAAACAAGATTAACAGGCGACTGCGTTCTTGGAACGTGTAATAGTAATACCCATGGGAGAAATATGTCCACACACGTCACGAAAGTTCAAATACGTTGACTATTCCCCCACAAGTTGACTCTAGGGTGAAATAGTTTCAGCCCTTTGATTGTGATCTGAATTATAACTTCTAATTTCCAATATGGAAACACACGATGAATCCGCGCATCAAGAGGAAAATGGCTCTCGCTCAGACTCTGGAATAGCAGCCCTTGCAGATGACAGAGAAGTCTTACAAAATGAAAAACAAGACCGAAACGTCTCTTCAAATGGAAAGATCGAGCTCACGGAATCCGCCGCTTATGATGTTCTAGGATACAGCTATCCTGTATGGAGAAAGTGGCAGATTCTTTGTGTGATGTTCTGTATCCAAATCTCGATGAATTTGAACGCAAGTCTTTATGCCAATGGTGTCGCAGCAATATCCAAGGAGCACAACGTCAGCGAACAAGTGGCAAGAATCCCGCAACTGACATTTCTGTGCGCGTACGCATTTGGCTGTGAGCTTTGGGCCCCATGGAGTGAAGAGCTTGGGCGATGGCCAACCCAGCAGCTAAGTCTGCTTCTGGTCAACATATGGCAATTGCCCTGTGCTCTTGCTCCCAATTTTGCCACATATGTTGTAGTTCGCCTTCTTGGAGGCTTGAGCACAGCCGGTGGATCAGTAACTCTTGGGGTAATTGCAGACATGTGGGAGCCAGATGACCAAGAATATGCCGTCGCATTCCTGGTGTTATCTTCCGTTGGAGGCTCAGTTGTTGGTGCTGTTGTTGGTGGGTTTGTGGAAGCTCGTCATCCATTACCCTGGATTTTCTGGGTTCAACTCCTCGCTGGAGGGTGCGTCCAAATCTTTCACTTCTTCCTGGTGCCAGAAACGAGAGCAACCATCATTCTCGATAGGGAAGCAAAAAGAAAACGTAAGGCTGGGCCGGGAGAAGTCAACATATGGGGACCACATGAGATTCACGGCTTCTCGTTGTCCCTGCGTGATATTTGGGCCGTATGGAAACGGCCATTTGTCATGCTCGTCACCGAGCCCATCGTTTTGTGGCTGTCGCTGTTAAGTGGTTTCAGCGATTCCTTAATTTTTACATTTCTCCAAGGCTTTCAACCAATTTATAAGCAATGGGGCTTTGGCACAATTCAAATCAGTCTTGCCTTTTTACCGTTAGTGATTTTCTCCGTTATTTTTCAGATCAAGTCGAGCTCGTTGGTCCGTCTGCTAAAAGCTTCTATTCTTCACAGGTTGCTCATTGGATATTTCCTTGCATATTTATCGTTTCTACCCTCAATTCATGTTTTTAGACAAAGAAGGCGAAAGAATGGATCTGATTCAGTTTCACCCGAAGCACGTTTATGGTGGTTACTATACGGTAAGTGGAGTCCCCAAACCTATACATATCACACTCATATCCTTAATTCCTAACGCTACATTTATACTGAATCAAGTCATACCTTGTCTTCCAATTGGCCTATTTGGTTTTGCTTGGACGAGCCTGGGTCCTCCACACATCCCTTGGATCGCTCCTATGATATTCACGGCCGTAATAGGCATCGCCAATGTGAGTACTCCAATCAAAGACCCAAAAGCTCTATTCTGACTTTCTATAGTACTCGATCTATCAGTCTTCCATTGACTATACGGTTGCTGCCTATGGAGAATATGCAGCATCAGCTACAGCAGGAAATGATTTTGCTCGCGACTTTCTTGCAGGAATCGCAGCTATGTATTCAACGCCAATGTTTGAGAACATTGGGCACAAGCATCCTTACGCAAACGCTACAACGATTCTTGCCTGCGTCTCGGTTGTTGTTACCGTGCCAATTTACTATTTCTACCGAAATGGACCTGCAATCCGCGAGAAATCGCCTTTCGCAAAACATATGATGGAGAAGAACAAACAGCGTCGACTCTCTCGGATTACAAAAGGGGAGAAATCTGAACTTACTGAAAGTCATGTGGAAGATGCACTCAACCCGCATTGAGGGATACAGATGATCTTCTTTGGAGATTTTTGTACAGACTAGTACACTTCGAGTGAAGGGGAAAATGGGATTCACCATTTGAAGACTTACAATATATTGCTAACAACAATTTGGAACTGTTATTAAGGAACAGAACGCGACAGCTTTCAGAGCCTATCGATTCAAAAGTGTAAAAAAAAGCCAGATTTTCTTTTTCTTTTCTCCTTTCCCAAACGTTCAATGTTCAAATGTTTCACATCCGCCTGGGCAGAACATAAAAAGGCAAAAAAAAAACAGTTTTTTACCATCAAAACCCCCTTCACATTGATCTACATGATTTTCTTGGGGCTTCAATGTTGAGAAATTATCATATACGTTTGTGAATCAATAGACGAATATGTCCTGATGAGTATGCTTGATCATATCCGCACCCTTTTTAGCGACCATGTAGACAGAATTTTGGATTCGACAATTAGGAATGACAGGAATCACAGATGCATCAACAACCCATAAGTTCTTGATTCCGAAAACACTGAGTTTAGGGTCTACTATACCTTACTTGATACTCTTGGATAAACGGGTAGTACCGTATAGATGGAATGAAGTCTGAGAGCGATCTAAAACTGTTTGTTTTATCTTTGAAATCATCTAAGTATAGCAGTATTTCCCAAGCACTTGAGGATACTTATTAATAATAATATCCTTAAAGCCTTCCCTGTTCTTTAGAATATTATAGCTATATCTAATCCCCTTATATATTATAATAATATTAAGATTATTATTAAAATAATTGAAGTTAATGCTTTGAATACGTGCTTCCAAGCTTCTTTTCCAAGGTTTGACTGGAATCTAGACGGTCTGAACAACCGGAGAACCCGGAGAACCCGAGGAACCCGAAGAACCCGAAGAAGGACAAACAGCTAAGTACTCGATTCATTTGAAAGCTTCACGGTCATGAAGGTCTCGGCCCATCGGCTATTAGAATTGAGGCCTGTCTAGTCTCGTTCCACGCTTCCTATCGGGACCAGCCGCCAACATTGAAGAGACGTCATGGCCGTACAACATTTGAAGCGGAATTTGGATCTCTCTTTCTCTTTCCTCAAATGCCTCACATGAACCGAGGTTCGATTAGATATGGGATTTTGGTCTATGGTCGGACATTTGGCGCACATCTTCCGCTACATCATACCTACTACTCAAATAGTAAGCGGGTACAAGTTTTACATTTCCACGCACTTCAAATGCTGTCGGACGCATCAATCAAATGTTTGAAAGCTCGCATTGGAAGTCTTGACATCATTCCCATCGTGTCTAGTTCTCTACTAATATATCTTTATTGTACCTCAAGCGAGACATTCATAAAACAACTTCTCATCCTCCAAATACGAGTGCTGAGCAAAGCCACAGACGCGGGAGCATATAATCGAATCTTCGAACCCCCCAGGCCTCCATCAAACAATTGGACACACCCACATGCTCAATATTTGAATATCTAATCAAACATTGAACCTCACCTTGGAACCTTCCAGAACATGTCTCAGTCTCAAAGTTTGTAACTCTTGCAAATTAATCTTGCTACATCCGAATCATTTCATTAATCTAGTACAGAACCCGACGTACAACCGCCACATCATGAGAGTTTTGTGGACAGACTATTTGAACATCATGGCCATCAGCACAAAGATGAGGAAGAAGAAAAAGATCAGTCCAAGTCCCAGCCCAAAGCTCCACATGAGGAGAATGAAAAAGAAAAGTACATGAATTGGTATCATGACGAGGAGAAAGAGGAAGCAGAGGGAGAAACGTATAGTGGTCTGATGTAATCTTTCTCTGGTTTTTAACTACATAAAATATCAATTTGAACATTTGAAGACAGTACTCATGTGAGAATTGACCTTTGAAAGTCCCGGTTTTTGATCGATCGCTCTCAAGTTTACATTACACTAGGACGACATCTGGAGAGAGTTGTTTATTCTTCAATAAATATTACATTGAATATTACAGAGCCGGGCTGGACTTTGAAATCACGCAAAAGAAAACCTGCCAACCCCTTCTACTCGCCTAGGAATGGAGGGTATGGACTGGTCCAGTGGATTCATTATGCGTCGACTAATAGAATTTGTGGGGAAGGAATAACCGGCTCTGTCAAGTCAGTGCAGATACCCACAAGATGGATAGGCACAGGGTTTAGGAATGTGTCGCGTTATGGGCCAATTTTCCAACGAATGAAAATTCCACCTCTGCTATGCAGCCACATTCTTCTTTCTTTGCTTTCACAAGGGACACTTCTCTCGCCAACATCAGTTGATAGGTTGTTCGATTTCATCTAGTAATCATATGGTAAATCGTACATTCTGCATGTTGAGAAAAGCCTCCACGGGGGCTTAACTTTGAAAGGAGGGTAAAGCTTACCTTGAGAATAATTCCCGGACAACGTCCGTTCAAATGTTCCGTCCAGTGACAGTGCTAATCTAACGAGGAGTGATTATTCCCGTGGGGCTGTCAAATAGCCCGGGGGCATTCCACGCTACGAAAGCTATATGTACTCGATTTCGTACTTATAAAAGAACTTGTTAAACCTCTTCTTACTCCGGACTGACTTATTTCTGCTTCAGGCTATTCTTCATCATCCATCGAATCTACCAAACCACCTCGGAACAAGATGCAAATGACCAAGTCAATCTTCGCAGCTGCTATGCTGCTTTATACTTCTGCCTTCGCGGCAGATTTTACTTCCGTACGTTTTCCATAAGTTTGCAACCACTGACAATCTCCCATGTATTATAATTCAAATCTTACAAAGTTCTCGGGTTGAATTGATCTGACTCCCGGATTTACAGATCAAATACACATCCGATGGGGGCGTCTACTCTCAGGAAATTCGAAATGGAGGATACGTTGTAAAGTTGGCACATCCGTACGTACAAAGACTGACCATTGAATCTTTGGATGGACCAATATGGACATGCCCACATTTGCAGGAAATCACAAGCTAACGCCAATTCATAAAGTGGAGTTCTCACTGAGATTGAAAGCACCGGCTATTGTGACCTTTTGAAGTAAGCCTCCTATATGATCCAAGCAGTGACTAGAGCTGTAGCTCCGAGTTGAGCATTGCTTACATTCTATTTAGTCGGAATATTCCAAACCTTCGGGTTCAAGTTTACCCAGGTCGACAAGACTTTGGCAAGGGGTCTGATTTCAGTGACATTGTATGTCAAGATAGGTCGTAAGGCTTCAGCCTTGGTGGTGACAAACTGGAATTGTTGGGATAACACTGGGACAAGGGATTTGGAATTTTCAATTGATTGTCATGGTTGACATATTTGTCACAGCCTTAGTATAGGTTTTTCCCATTGGTTTCCCTATATTTGAATGCAAATGCAAAGGCTTGTCCAGTGCCCGGGAATTGCCATTATCTAGTAAGAATGAGAATCAAAAGACGTCAAAGAGAAGTCGAGTTTTACCTAGACCTTTCCGCTGCTTTTTAAAGCACAAAGTAAGAGTATTTTCAATGTTTTTTATGCAGAGGAAAATAAGCTTATTCGACGAAACTAGCCAAGAACTGATTTACTAGAAGATTCCCTCCTTGCGTAAGGCTACGTGAAACACTCTTCTTTGCTCGTTTCGGTCTCATTGGAAATGGATGATAACTCTGCTAATCACCATGAAGGTTGATGGAAATGGCCAATGTTGGAATCTTGTAGAAAAATAGTAAACAAAAGCCAAGTTACATCGGAGTAGCGTCTACTTGTGGTACTTCGAAATCCGAATGTTCAGAGTTCTTTATTAACTTCAAGCAGGCCCCCAACCTGCTTTCTTTGCATTTTTTGTTTTTGTGATTTTTGGGGGGGGGGGGGGGGGGGGGGCGGGCAGATGAACTTGAAATAATTTCGGTGAACTGATGATCAAGACTTGGGTCCGCTGATCATCTTAACACATGTAGTATTTGAAGTAGGATGATGATGATTCGGGGATGTAAAAAGGCCAACTCTTGAGGGTATCGAAGAATAAAACGTGAACTATTTTACGCACATAAATCCACAGCCTTCGCGAGCCTGCTCACATGCCTTCTTCAAAGCCTGTTCCTCCACATCGGTCCACTTCACACTGAGCTCGTCCCAAGGCTTGGAGCCCTTAAACTCTTCGCGATGCTTCCGGTGCATTGCCTGAAGGCGGCTGACCTCACGAGGGTCGCCAGTGCCTGAATAAACCACAAATAATGTACACGGAGGGAGCGATGCATAAATTTGATTGATATCAGCGACCGTCTTAGTCACTGCATCGGCAAGGGCGGGATCGAATGAGGGGGTATTAGAACCATCTGTGCCAGTTGTCGGTGTCATTTCTTCTGGAAGAGAAGCACTGGCGGCCACCTCGGTAGATTCGTTGGCATTGTTCGCATCTGGGAGGCGAGTGGCCCAGCCACGGAACTGTTCCAGGTTGCGAAGGCGTGCCCATGTGAAATCCACACCCCCGCCTGGGACAGCTGGATTGGAGGGATCGCCATTAACAGTAGCGGAAACGCCCTTCACAACGTCGTCGTCATTGACGCATCCAATAGAAACTGTTGCCTGGGCCCCGAAGCCGCGCTCCGGATTTCCCCAGTCTACAACTGCTCCGGTCCGGGCTTCGTCGGAGGATGTCTTGTTCGGACGCTTGGAGCGACCGAGACGGCGGAAGATACTCTCATTGGAAGCATCGCTAGTGCCCCAACGCTCACCCTTTTCGCATTTCAATTTGACGAGGTCCAAGACAGCACGGGCGTCTTCAACAGAGTCGTGACCGGTCGTACCTTGCTGGATTGCCTTATTGAGATACTTTTGTGTGAGCCACTTCAAACTGCATTTCAAGGGAGGACCGCGTGGGTGAGGGTAAATGATGCCCGTATCCACGATGAAAGGGTGGGTCATTTTCAATGCCGTTAGATCAGAATTGAGGGAGTGTCCAACCAAGATCGCGCGAGGGGTTAGGATGGAGAGCAGCTTCTTTTGAATATCAGGCAAAGTGGTTGTGACCGGGTCCAACATTTCCTTTGTGATGCCTGAAAACCGGGTGAGATAATCGATAATCGGGCGTGCCGGCTTCACCAGTTCATCCAATACGATTTCCCCATCCCAGCGCATCATACTGATACGCGTTAATTCAGACTTGCCACCTTCCGTGAGACACATCTCACAATCGAGAGCCAGCACATCCCGACCTGCAGTCATGCTGCCCTTTTCAATCTCATTATCTGGTATGTCTCCAGCCTCGAGGCTAGGAACCAGAGAATCAACCCAGCCATGCTCCTCAGACTCTTCATTTCTTCGTCGGGACTCAGCCTCGGCAGCCTTTTCTTGCTCAGAGGTGAAAAATGCAGGATGAATAGTGTATTCATTCTCGCGTAATTGCTCCAATGTGCTGATGAAAGCTGTGATCGGTGTGCGTTGCACAACATAACCCTTGTCGACCCGAGCCGGGCGCGCTCCCTTGCCACGAGAAGCCTCATCTTTGGCTTTCGGTACCTGGGACAACAGCATGGCTTGTAGAGGCGAATGCACCTTGTTGTATTTGGTGTCGCCGGGAGCCTTGACAGGCCAGATGTGAGGAAAGGTGTAGGCTAGAGGACGCAAGGGTTCAGGCAGATCAACGGATGAAAGAGTTCGAGGGTTGAATCGATTGGATCGGTCTTCGAGAGGAAGGCCCTGCTTCCATCTTTCGAAGTCGGCAGCTTTTTCGTCGGCGGCGGTCTTCTCGGTCTCGTCTAATGGTTCAGGATTCTGTTTGCTGTTTTCAATGGGCTGCAATGGGATGGTGCCGTCAAACATGCCAATCTCCAGTCCAGGTACCATCAGTGCAACGACTTTGCGCATATGGCCGGAATGCTTCACGGAAATCCACTGCGGAGCGATACCGTCCGCAAAACAGTAGAGAAGCAATCCTTGCAAATCAGCAATACGAATACACGACTGCAACTTACCCTCGACATATGTCAAGCCGGGGTATTTGATCTTCTCGCCGTCTACACGCTTCTTTTTCGACTTGCGATGGTGCGCATCACGATTCTCATCGCCGTTCATAGCGTTATCTGAGGTAGTAGGTGGTGAGGTAGAGCCATTCGTCGCCGCAAGTCTTGGGGCCACGCCATTTCCATTGTCTGCCGTATCCAGAGCAGTTTCGGCGTCCTCCTCGCGCTTGCGCTTGTTTTCTCCCGTCATTTTGACTGCCGGTGTGAAGAGTAAAGTCCAAGCTCCGGCGAGATGCTCAAATTGAGGCGGGATGTCACGTGCTGATAGGCACCGATAAAGTCAGCCAGTTTGTTTGAAAAAAAAAATACCCGGATTGTATCGTGTAAATTACCTGTTCCGGTTTCCAAGATCTGATAACGAGGATCGCCCGTTAAAATTCGCCTCGTCACGCAATCAATCTTCATCCTCTGTATAGAACCCGCTTACAACGATCTTGCTGATTCTAGAGGAGTCTGATTCGTCCATCGCATACCTACTTGGCATAATCCACTATCCAATTGCCTTTCCCCAGCCATACATATATTGACGTCTAGGGTTCTCTTCCCGAATCCCGCCTGTTCTCCAATATCCTCCTCCCATATACCCCCCTCATTCACCATGTCCGCCCTCACTGAAGTCCTCACCGAGGAAGACTTCGCCGCACACTTGAGCTCTCTCTCTCCGTCTGCGCTGGTCGTTCTGTACTTCCACACCCCATGGGCCGCACCCTGCACCCAGATGCGCACCGTCCTTTCCGCCCTCGCATCGCAGTACCCCGCTACAGCCCCGCCCACAATTTCATTTATCAGCATCAATGCTGAAGAGTTGCCTGACATCTCAGAGGAGTATGATGTCTCTGCTGTTCCATTCGTCGTCTGCCTGCGCAGTGGTCAGATTCTGGAATCCATTAGTGGTAGTGACGCCATCAAGGTCCGCGACGCCATCGAGAAACACGCCGGTCGCGGAAACGGCGCTGCCCCCATCGATGGTGGCCACAGAGCTCACATTCCCCCTCCTCTCTCTGCTGTTCCTCGTGAAGATGGTCCGTTGATGGCCACCCAGTCCCCTGTCTATTCGACGGATGCCGTTGGCCCCGCGGCGAACGCGACCCCCGTTGCTGCCGAGTCCACCCTCACTCCCGAGCAGTCCCAGGAAGCGCTTTTCGCTCGTCTTGCCGAGTTGGTTAAGGCTGCACCCGTTATGCTGTTTATGAAGGGAACACCCAGTTCGCCGCAATGCGGTTTCAGCCGACAGTTGGTAGGTATTCTCCGAGAGCGGAGTGTCAAGTACGGATTCTTCAACATTCTGGCCGATGAGGACGTGCGACAGGGTTTGAAGGAGTTTGCCGAATGGCCCACTTTCCCCCAACTTTGGGTCGATGGAGAACTGGTCGGTGGTCTGGATATTGTATGATTTCCCCCCTTTCCCCCTGCTATAGTGACATTACTAATCATCAGATATAGGTTCGCGAGGAGATTAACAGTGACCCTAACTACCTGGTGGCCTACTCGGTCAGCAAATAGGTGGTTCGCTCTGGTATGATACCCATGAAACCTGTGGAGAACTACATTCGGATGGATCACCATGACGATATCCGTTTTTCTATGGTATGAAAAGATATTTCAAAATGCGAAGTCAATGTAATCAGTTCATGTTAAACTTGAGTGTGAATAGATGTATCTAGTAGTTACTTGAATTCTGTCCAAGACTTTGAATAGCCATAATCCATCTTCATGGTGATATAGATTTTTATCGCGTTATGATCAATATTGCTGTAGCAGAATTCACGCATCTCGGAGAGGCTTCAACATCACCTCTGGAAGCTTTGGAGACCTCAACTCAACCTTAAGCCTTATAGTTCTTATTGGTCAGCAATGCTACTAACTAACTAGTCAGTTATGTTTTGGCACCTGCAGAGTCCTTCTGCAGCTTCTATGCCGAACGTCAGAGATATCATCTTTCTGGTGCCCTGTGAGCCAGTGGAAGACACGGCCACCCTTGAGATCGTGCAGCCTGGTCATAGCTATTGATTGGGCTACTTCATTCAATCTTGATCTCACAATAGGATATGACATTTTGCTCAATTTCAGCTTTACCAATACCAGTGCGAATAATTCTTGAATTCAAACCTTTGTTCGGAGCTGTTTACCAATGGTTCGCAAATCCCGGAGAATGCGGTATGTCCTCCGTTTTCATTCGATGTACATGAATCAAGAAAGGGGATACTAGTAGTAGGTATAGTACGTTGAATAACATAGTAGGTCCACAAGCACAATTTCCAGTCCCAGAGAGAATTCTTCACCATAATGGGCCCAACTGCCTCGCTCTGGGGAGTTGCAAAATGAACTTCGAGCCTTCCCAGATAGACATTCTCCAGCTCCAGGCTAACGCAGAGGTTAAGAGGGGATATACCTTGAGCAAGCCAGATTTGATCCGACGATAGTTGTGGAACATTGAAGAAGTTGGATCTGCCATTGAAACCCTGGAATATTTGTTCGAGAAAAGTGGTGGAATATGCATTACATCTCGCCTAGTATGTACAGCATCCAGGGATGATCCAGGTCATGCCGATTTGTACAACTCCAACTCGAATACACATCAATAGCATGTATCCAATAACAATCCGGGCGCCTCGTTCCATCTTCTGGGTCGGGCTTGTTCATAGTCGAGTCACAGGCACTGAGTCTGTTCTTTCTGTTTGTAAATTCATCCCTAGATCCAGCTTTCTCGCGGACACGATCATTTTCAATTTTGGGTTCCAATCATTGGATCCGTATCTCGCCATACATCAGGGTATTTCCTCTCAGTCACGGCAAAGCGGGAGAGTAAAGCATCCGTATCCACATAAGCGCCCGCCAGCCATCGTGAGCCAGTCGCTGTATTGAATTGGCGACGCGCATGGACAATACGACGATTATCAAAAATCACGCATTCGCCCGGGTTCAATTTCAAATCAAAGACATTTTCCTTACGCCCCAGCATCTCTGTAAAGTAGTCCAAGGCATGCTTAAGTGGCAAGAATGAATTATTTTTGTCAACCGGAAGAGCAGATTGGAAGGGAGGTGAGTAGTTGACGTGTCGAAGGATTTTGGTTTCTTCATCTAGCTCGAAAACGGGTCGGCGGTTGTAATAGGTCTGGTCTTCATGCACATACTCATAGCCCAAAGTCCGCTCTGTGAGTTCATTGTACATTTCAGGGCGATCTTGCTTCATAATGTCGGCGATGCGGAAAGAATCGGCAAATAGCGACTCGCCTCCTTCGCAAGAGTTCTGCAAGCAGTGCAGGAGCTGATATCCGGGCGGCTCATTCATGTACATTAAGTCCATATGAAAGTCCAAGAACTGGCTGGTATACGCCACGTTTTTGGCCTTTGGGACTGTGCGCACATCCCAGGTCATTCCATAGAAAGAGTTGCGTAGTGGGCCCATACGTGTCGCAATCTTCTCAACTGCTTCGCGGGATTCGGGGATATCCTTGATGAATATGAGGCCCATGCGTTGTAAATTTCGCATCGAGGCAGCCATTTTGGAGTTATCGGTCAAGTAATCTTCATATGAGACCCAGTGCTGAAGCTTATTCATAGACTTGCGGTCCCAAATTGTGGGCCTCTTGGATCTGGGGACAAGGCTGTGGGTGTTGATCGTGGGATTAAGAAGGTAGCTATGGTGCCATCGCGACATATGATCTGGACTCGCACCAGGGGTATCAGTGGCCCACTGAATCTCTAAATGTTGACCATCCCACTTAACATGGCGTGGTCGAATGTTGGCGGGGATATCATTTGTGCGGAAAGACCGCTGCTTTGAATGACGGTCCACACACTGGGGACATTTGCAAAGATCGCGAAGGTATGCCCATTCTAAAGACTTCTCTGGGACACCAGGAGCTGCAAAGGATATTCCAAGTGGGGTCTCCTGTGCGCTCGCTGGTGTCGTAACCTCTAAAGTGAACGGCTTCAGGTCACTACCTCCATTGCGGGTCGCATACCATTCACGCGACAACTCAGGTGTCTTCAATGCCTCATCCTGCAGGCTTGAGTTGGCGGCTTCTGGCTGTAAAGCGGGATTCGACTGCTTAAGCGTGTTCACATAGTTGACCTGAAGCCGTCGGGCCGATGTTACAAAGCTTCTTTGCGGCGCAGGGCCCGGTAGGCCCCGTGTGAGTTGTCGAAGTAGTGAGGGAGGGGCACGCATTGATAATTTACAATCGGGGGGTAGTTGGTAGAGAATGTGGGGGAATTCCAAAAGTTGGAGAGATCATTAAAGCCCGCGGAAACATGGGGAGTGCTTGGCCAGTGCTTTCCCCGAACTTCGGCCGCGTGGGTGTCGGTACCTCGGAGAACATAGCAACTTCTATACAAGCCGAGGTAGTCCCTGCTTGTCTAATATGTCCAAAAGCAAATGGCACATGCACTTTTTAATATGAACGGGTCTTCCTGCCCATTTTTGTTGTTTCTCTTACTTCCAAGTCACTTGCTTATCAATGAATTATGATGTTGTTTTCCCCAATCTTTCTTGATTCAGGGTTCGAGGTTCATATCCACCTATGTACTACACTTTGACTTGTCCAACATGGTCCCACATCTCCGGCTCATGCAAAGGATATGAGACTGAACCCAAGACCCCAAAATGAAAAGGAACTTTCACTTTGATCTTAGTGCCTTTATAAACCTTCGTCAACGCTCCCACGGTGTTTATATAATTATCTGTATACAGAGAAGACACCTCAGGCGTCAAATGCCGACTTACGTAAAAAAACGCCCAAATTCGCGACTGGGAATTCCGCGCAATTTTGCCCCCGGAATTTCCATAACAAGAAAAGAAAAAAAGAATGACATAAACAACTAACAATTCACCAACCTTTCCCTACCCTTATCATGGATTCTCCAACCAACCCATAACTCACTCAGCCTACCAAGAAATGTCAGCAGGGGGAGAACATCTCAAAGATGAGGGTACAAAGCTACAAACAGTCATGGCCGGCGGAATAGCTGGACTAATCTCCCGGTTCTGCATTGCGCCGCTCGATGTCGTCAAGATCCGACTGCAGTTGCAGGTTCACTCGCTTTCGGATCCGGTCAGTCATCAATCAATCGAGGGCCCTGTGTACAAGGGGACATTGTCGACTATGCGAGCCATCATGCGACAAGAAGGCATCACAGTAAGTTTTGACTGGATACCGGGCAATAGCTATGGATACTAATATTGTTCAATCGTTCAGGGTCTCTGGAAAGGAAACATTCCCGCAGAGATGATGTACGTCTGCTACGGTGCACTCCAATTTACCGCATACCGAACAGCAACCCAAGCCCTCGCCGAGCTCCCTTACCGTCTCCCTCCTTCAGCGGAATCCTTCGTGGCAGGCGCCGCAGCCGGTGGAATGGCCACAGCAATAACCTACCCCCTCGATCTCCTCCGCACCCGATTCGCAGCCCAGGGTCCTGAACAGATATACAAGTCCCTCCGCGCCTCGATAATTGAAATCGCCCGCCATGAAGGCATATCAGGCTTCTTCCGCGGCAGCTCCGCAGCCATCATCCAGATCGTGCCGTACATGGGATTATTCTTTACGGCATACGAGGGGTTCCGGCCTATAATGGCCAATGTGGAACAAATGCCCTTCGGAACCGGTGATGCGGCGGCGGGTGTGTGTGCGAGTGTGCTTGCGAAGACGGGTGTGTTCCCCTTGGATCTTGTGCGGAAGAGGTTGCAAGTTCAGGGGCCGACGCGGACGCGATATGTGCATCGGAACATTCCTGAGTATGAGGGTGTGGCCCGGTCTATCGCAATGATTTTGCGGACTCAGGGCCTACGGGGGCTGTATCGCGGGCTGACAGTCAGTCTGCTTAAGGCTGCGCCGGCAAGTGCGGTCACCATGTGGACATACGAGCGGGTCTTACGCATCTTGCAGGAGACGGAAGTGGCGAAGCTGTGTTAGATGCACAGATGCACATGTGTGATTGCTGCAATTGCCCTTGCATTTGCATTGACCCCGGGATTGGTTTGACCTGGCATTGATCGGCGTTTTGGAGAACACATACATAGACTTATTTAGGGTAACATTGAATACGCTTCCAAGGTTTTCTTTGCTGGTTTCTATCCATCTCTACTAGTACAATTTCGAGCTCGCGCCTACTACCAAAGAAACAAAAAAACAGGACTCAATAAGAGGTTCATTGAATTTTATGTCATTAAAGACCTATTGTGGCGTGGAATAAAAGGATGTAACGCTGAAAGAGCTAGCTCGAACGGAAAGGGGGGGGGGGGGGGTGTCGAAAAAAAACAAGCGCAAGGGCCGGTGGGGGAGATATATTCTGACAAGAGAAAGGATCACGGCATTATGTGCGAGGGAAGTTTCGGTAGCGGAAACCAAGTTGATTAGTACTCAGCTTCCTCGTCAATCTCGTCGATTGAGTCGCCAGCAACCTCCTCGTAATCCTTCTCGAGGGCAGCGAGATCCTCACGAGCTTCAGAGAACTCACCCTCCTCCATACCCTCACCAACGTACCAGTGAACAAAGGCACGCTTGGAGTACATGAGATCGAACTTGTGGTCCAGACGGCTCCAGGCCTCCGCGATGGCGGTAGTGTTGGAGAGCATGCTGACGCAGCGGTCGACGGGGGCGAGCTCGCTGTCGGGAACACGGACGGGCTTTTGGTAGTTGATACCCAGCTTGAATCCAGTGGGGCACCACTCAACCAAGTTGAAAGTATCCTTGGCCTTGAGAGCAGCAACGGCAGCATTGCAGTCACGGGGCACAACATCACCACGGTACAGCAGAGCAACGGCCATGTACTTACCCTTGCGGGGATCACAGACCACCATCTGGTTGTGTGGCTCAACACCTAGTAAGAGATTAATATCATGATTGCAGGCCAAGGAGGGATGGGTATTGAAAACACATACACTGAGTGGTAAGGTCCTGGACCTTGAAGCTCTCGTGGGAGCTGTGCTTGATAGAAACAACAGGGGCGTAGGAGATCAGAGGGTAGTGGATACGCGGGTAGGGCACCAAGTTGGTCTGGAACTCGTTCAAGTCGACGTTGAGCGCACCGTCGAAGCGCAAGCTGGAAGTGATAGAGCTGACAACCTGGGCGATGAGGCGGTTCAAATGATCGTAGCCAGGGCGGGGGATATCCAAGTGACGGCGGCAGATGTCGTAGACAGCCTCGTTATCGACAAGGAAAGTACAGTCCGCGTTCTCAATGGTGCTGTGGGTGGACAGAACGGCGTTGTAAGGCTCCACAACGGCAGTAGACACTTGGGGCGCAGGGTAAACGGAGAACTCCAGCTTGGACTTCTTGCCATACTCGCTGGCAAGACGTTCAAGCAGAAGAGCACCAAATCCAGAACCGGTACCACCACCAAAGGAGTGGAAGATCAAGAATCCCTGCAGGGAGCTACAGTTGTCTGAATCCAATTAGTTCGGGCCATCCGCTGGAACCAATGAAGGATTCGCATACCAATGACACGTCGGATACGGTCCATCACGTTATCAGCGTACTCCTTGCCAACGGTGTAGTGACCACGGGCATCTGTGATCCTGTTAGTCTAACTACTCCAGATATATGCATCAATGGGTATTCTCCAGTTCCTTCCGAACATACAGTTGTTGGCAGCATCCTCCTTGCCGCTGATCAGCTGCTCGGGGTGGAAGAGGTGACGGTAGGCACCGGTGCGGATCTCGTCAATTGGCTATCGTATCCAACGAATTAGATAACCAGCTTATACTGCTTTCGCTCGCAGACCAAACGTACGGATGGGTCCAAGTCGACGAAGACAGAGCGGGGAACATATTTGCCGCCGGCGGTCTCGGTGAAGAAAGTGTCGTAGGAACCGTTCTGGGTAACATCGTCGGCAAGTTCCGGCTTGAAGTGTCCATCGGGGGTAAGGCCGTGCTCGAGGAGGTACCTATATCAAAATTCCGTAAGAATGATGCCCGACGATCATCAAGAAGCGGTGAAGAAACGTACAGCTCCCAAGCGGCGTTACCAAGCTGAACACCAGCCTGGCCGATGTGAAGGTGGCAGATCTAATGAATTGATTATGTTAGTATATGGTGCTGGAGATTCCGATACTGATAGTGTTGGGGCTGGCCGTGGAACTGGTGTGATGTTTTTCACGGTTCAGGAGAGGGGGAACCCGTGGGGGGGGGGGGGGAGCCCAGGTAAACATCGGGTCCGGCGTTGACTCGTCAGGGGAATATCGACATACCTCGCCTCTTGTCATATTGAAAGAGGATTGTAGATAGGGGAGGAAAAAAGGGAAAGAGTCTAGAATAATTGACGGGGAGGAACTCTTGAGAGTTGTTGTGAGGAGAAGGAAGAAAGTAGGAAATAGTGGGGCGCCGATTCTTTGCTCGTGACTGATCGAAAAGAAAACAATAACTAGTGGCGGTCACTACTAGTAAACCATCCACCGAAAACTGGAGGCGTATTTCAAACTCGTCTATTTCTATGTTTCTCGGATTGTAAGAGAACTTTTATCTTTCTAGATCTATTTAGATTGCAATTTCACATTTTCCACCACATTCTCGCTTATTTTTAAAGCTCAGAATTGTGTGTGGAATGCGGGGGTGACTATCAATGTGACAATCAAATGCAGGGACAAAACTTACTTGCCCAGTATACATTAGTATGCACATGTGTATACTCAATCTACCCCTTACTCAATCTACAGTCGAAATCTATATGCCACACCTGGAATTGGTGGTTCAAGTGGGAATGGAGTCATTGTCAACCAATTCCCTTATCACAATCAATCTGCCAAAGAATCCTCAAATATTCTATCGACATTCTTATTTATGAATCAATTGCAAAGAAAGCGGTGTAAACATTGAACTGGACCAGTAGATAATTTGAGCTAGCATGCAAATGTGGATTACTAGACCCATTGATCCTGGAATATACTACGTAAGCAATCAATGCCCAGGTGGAGATCCATATGTAGATCACTGACATCTGGAATCAAAGGTAGAAAACATCCACATCAATCTACATGTATAGTACTACATGTATTAAGCGTAATCAACATTTGAATTGAACTAATACATTCCAAAGTTCAATGTTCTTTCAAGGCTGACGATAATCATCTCCAGATGTCTGGATTAATGGTTTTGGGACATATAAATTAATGTAAACATTTCGATGCAAAAATTAACAATGAGGTATGACAATATATAACAAGCGCTGAAAAAGATAGATGTTCAAGAAATTCAAGATTTCATCTCGAATGAAAAATCACGACAAGGGCAAACGTTTGAACCAAAATCAATCGTCCTTATCTGTCGGTGGAGGTGGCGGTGTAGACCCAACACGGCCCTGCTCGATATCTTCATGATCCCGACTAACACTGCTGCGGTGCCTGAAGAAGCGGTTCCGAGTAGACGAAGCTCCACTACGATAACTGTGTGCATCGGTAGACAGACGGGGCTCTTGCGACGGCCCACTAAAGTTCGAAGGCCGACGATGCTGCGATGACGAAGCCCGACTGCGAAGTTCTTCCTCTTCCTCCGCGACATCCTGCATACGGCGCTCGGCAGCTTCACGGTTCGCACTGCGAACGACGTTATCCAGGCGTAGAGTGCGGTCCTCAAAGACATCGCCCATGACGTCGTTCGAGGATAGATTGGACATTCCGAGGGAGAAGTCAACATGTTTGCGTGAAGTGGAGGCACCACGAGCGCGGGCCGCAGCCGTGTTCATCCCCTTGCGTAAGATGGAATGTTGCCGGGTAGCGCTGCCGCTGGTGGAGGCGGTATTGTCCTGGAGTGAGGCGGAGTCTTCGCCGATGGGGATTGAATCTACCTCAGTTGGTTCTTCGCGCTGGAATGTCGGAGCGACCATGGGTTGATTGTGGTTGACGTGGATGGGGAAGTCATACTTGGCGCCCTGGAGGTTCATGCGTGGGCCCTCAATGCCGATCTCCTGAAGGGCGATCATGAGCATGCAGATGAACTTGTTGCGGCGTTGTAGACGGAGACCCTCGTTTTGCCAGTTAGACTTGTAGAAGAAGACGATGTTGAGCGTGAGAGAGAAGTTTTCTGTCACCTCGCGCAGTTCGGTAAGCATGTTGCTCTGGAAATCTCGTTTTTCGCTGCGCACAAACTCCAACAGGCGCTGGCGGAGAGCGTCGATTTGGTCAATGCTAGTGCCGTACTTGATGATGATGGGAATTGCCTCGGCTAGAGCACCAGAGCGTCGTTGGTTCAGGATAAACAGGCCATTGAGATAGCTGTTAGGTGCCTGGACAACATGGCCCTGCATCTTCTTGAATTCGGTGTACAGAAGGGTTATCTCCTTGACGAAATAATCATCACCAAGGCCGGAATCACCTGCATTACCATAAATAGTGACACGGTCACCAACATCGAAGGGATGTTTGATAAACACGAAGATGACTGACTGCAGAAATTCTTGGGCTGTAGCCGTGAACAACCAAGAAAGGGCCAGGATACTAGATCCAGCCGAGGTCAAAACACCAGCAGCGGATGTGGAGATCAATGACAAGAATACCACGAGAACAATGACAATGACAAAAAACATGAACACATTGTCGAGCTTAGACACGACGGAATCCAAGTCCTTCAAAGAAGCAGTGATGGATTTCCGCTCACGGCCAATGTCCACACAAACGGCCTCGAGCTCCTCCATTGAAATATCGCCGTTCATATCGCGATCAAACATGGTGAATGCAGCTTCAGCCTCATCGCTATTTTCAAATGCTTCCTTCAAGTCACCAGAGAAAACAGTGTCGAACCCATCACGCACAAAAGTCCGATACAGACGACGTGCAAGAACCTGACAACCAGACGTGGACCGCAACAGGGCCAAGACAACTTGGTACGGGTCATTGCTCCTGCTCGTCTTTCGACCAGTAAAGTCCGCCGCGACAGCGCCGGCAACGTCGCCAACCTTGTTACCGACCTTCTTCGCCGCGCCCTTGGCCACTCCAACAGCCTTTTTGTGCGCTTTGCCAGCATAATGCAGAGGAGTCTTTGTTCCAACAGGGGTTTCCTCGGCCGGTTTCTCATGGAAAGCCTCATCCTCCTCATCAATGCGGTCTCGAGACCAAACATATAGCTTGGTCAAGCTGCCAATCTGAAACTTGTTGATCTCGATGCGATCCGCATATGTGCGCAGGTGGAAGCTGATCGCAATCAGCTGGATGATGACCTTCTCGATCAGATTCAGAATAGTCCACACAAAGATCACGATAATGATCTTGTTGAATGTGCTTTCCCAGCTGCGCGTACCCGTATTCCCGTTCACGTGGTGGTTTTTCATGGTGGGCAAGAAGGAAATCTCCACACCCAACCACCATAAGAACAGAGCCGCGTGAATCTCCAACTGCTTGGCCATATCTCGCCATTTCTTCGCGTTATTGGTGAAGATACTAGCAACAAGACTCACGATAGCAGGCAAACCTTTGCTAACAATACGGCCCGCCCAGAGTGTCAACCAGAAGATTTCCAACCAGATCGAGAACCACATTAATCGTACACCACCGACATTGGCATCGGGAACCACGAGGGCACCAATAAGGAGAGGAATCATCAGAAGCACCACGACGGGGGCAATATAGGTGAAATAGCGAACAATGAAGCTGGACTGGTGTAACTTCTTGATGAAAGCAGAGAGTTGGGTATTGGGGCGCTCCGGGGGAGTATAGACGGCGGCCTTTTCGTGTAGTGGGTTGGTGGCTTCATCGAACTCATCGATGATCTCGGTGCGACGGGAGCCTCTCCGGCTGATGGACTCGCCGTCCCCATCCTCGGGCCCTTGCGTTGACCGAGACACCACGCGCTCGGCTTGCAGGAGCAACAAATCATCTTCGAGGCGCGTCGCCTGTTCACGACGAGCAGAAGGCGTACTCATGGGTGGGGGACCGTCATGGCCATTGATGTTTGTGTCAACTCGTAGCTGATTGTCATGACCCGGGCTAGCAGCATGCTCGTGAGTATATTCATGAGGATGCTCGTTCACGTAGGTGTCATCGTCGGAGGCAGGCGATACCTGTTCAAAATTTGATCGTTTCTCGTGTTCCTCTTGAGGGTGGAAGGTCTTGTGTTCGTCCGTAGTGTTTGACATGATGGCACCAGGCCGATCGAAAGAATGTGGGGGATTACTGTGCAGGCTCCGCGGATCAACCGAGGAGAGCACCGTTGAATGATGATATTTAGGTATACGGGATGAAATGGAGAGGTTATAGGGTGTTCAGATAGGGAATTTGACCCAGAGATGGAAAATGAAAAAAAAAAAAAAAAACGAAGGATTCAAGGCCCCAGTAACGAATGTGCAAGTAGGGAAAAGAGGAATCGAAAATTGACATCTGGAAGCTTGGGGGGAAGATCGAGACCACGAAGATCGCTACGAGAAGTAGAACCCTGGGAAAGTGAGACCCAGAAGTGGGCCAGTTTAGATAGTGGGTCTTGCCATTTATGCGGGACTCTTTTCTTTTTCTTTTCCTTTCCTCTTTCTTTTTTTTTTTTTTTTTTTTTCTTGATAGATTAATATGTTAATAGATCAAGGATCAAGTAGTATGTATTCTGATCTACAAATCTATAAAATTGGTGATGTATGTATATCAGAATTTGCGTGGTAACAAAAAGATGCCAGTAACAAAGAACATTATGAGATCATTTCCAATGTTCAAACACCCGCCAAGCCCGTCCGCGCAATATGCATTTGTGGCCCTTGATCTCCACCGGGTGGCCAAAGGTGAATTCTTCAGCCTATGATAATCAAGAAGAAAAACGAAAAAAAAAAAACATTTCAAAAGTTACAAATTAAATATCGTAACGGACTTCATTGCCTCTAATTTTTTTTATCCCGAAGCATACGCATGTATAGAAATAGCGGGTATCAAGATTCAGATCCGCCATAAAAACGCCACTAACGCCACCAAGTGACCCCTGCTTTTTTCTAGTAAGCCGAGGATGAGGAAAACCTGTGATGTGATCAGATACGAGAAACACAAAATAGAATAAGAAGGAATTAAAGACATCTCATGTCGCAACGAATTTTCTATTTTAAACAATTTTCTTTGAAATGTTGACTTCTACATAAATATAGTAGCATTTGACCCTTCAATGTTGATATCACATCGCTTCCCGCGTGGGTCAAACGGGTCAAACAACTGTGGATTACGAAGATCCATGTCAGACTCCAACAGTATACCAAAACCCATCCGCCAATATTTCAAGTGGTTGAAAATCCGGAGAGAGTTGAGGGGGGAAATTTCCAAGACAGCCAATCGATCAATTGTCGATCGTAGCCTCTTCATGTTGAATCGTGATACAGTACAGAGTACAGCACACATGAATTATGTTTTAATTATGCAGAAACTGCAGGGAAATGCAGCCACTTCTCTGTTTGGCGCGTGCACTGGGCCCGGCACCGCAATTTCGCTCCCCCAAAATAGTAGGATCTTCGCTTTTGTCCGAGAGCATTGACAGCGCCAAGAAATCGCGTTACCCGAATTTCGTGGCTTGGCTGAGTCTGGCCTTTCCACTGGTGCCGATTAGTTTCATCGGTGTGGTCCTTTTGGTCCTTTGCGAGCTTCTAAGCTTCTAGATCAAGACCACAACCCAGAAAAGGAGCAGCTCCCAAATAGACTGGTACTTCCATACATTCTTCTACAGCCAGGCTCAGTGGGAAATAGTTCAAGATTCGCTGGAAATGATATTTTGAGAGCACTGGATATGTAAAGTATGTGGGTTCAATAAATGAGACAATCAACAAAAATCGGGTATGAAACATCCGCATATCAAAGTCCGGTCAAATCGTTGACATCTACTGGTTTTCTGCAGCAAAAGCTCGGGATGCAGTGCATAGGGAGAGAGATGGGAAAGACGGAAGACAAAGGCAGTGTCATGTCAAATACTCGAAATGGTAAAGCGAAGAGCAACGAAAGAAGAAGAAGAAGAAGAAGAAGAAGAAGAAGAAGAAGAAGATCAGATCCAGGAGTGAAGAAAATGCCCTTAGTCCCCATTATTTCCATCCACGCCAGTTGCATGTGAAAAAAAAGGAAGGACAGAGATTCAAGAAAACATGGGACCCAAACACCGTACTCCGATAAGCCATGGAAACATAAGAGACGTGAGATAGCTTGCATGGTAACATGCCCGCTGGACATTGGGGAGATTCCCCGTGGGTAGAGTAAAAACGACAAGGGAAAGAATATACATGAATGAAGGGAATTGAGAGCATATCAGAGTGTTAAGGAAGGGAGCAGATCGTGAAAAGGAGGTAGAGTGTGGTACCATGGTCAGGAAGCCCTCTAAGACGATCATCTCTTGAATGCAGAGGTCAGATCAGAGCGGAAGCGCTCAGGAGGGCGAGGTGTCTCGTCCGAATCCAGACCTGGAGAATGTTGTTGAGGACGCGGGGTAGCTTCAGAATCAGACATGGGCCGGCCGTCGGTATCCACACCAGAGGTATCTTCACTTGAGAGACTGTTGTTGCTTTCAACGTTGATTTCTGGGGTAATGGGCGACTTGTTGCCACTCGCCTCCCATGGAGGAGTGGTCGGACCTGACTTGGTAGCCCCTTGAGTACCGCGGAAAGTAGCATGAGAAGTAGGCGGAGGTCCATTATAAATCTCAGTGTGGTGATGCGTGAGGGATGGTCGACGCCGAGATCTATCCAGTGGAGGTGAATCTTGATTACTTAACGCCTCTTCGGCTTCGGATTCTTCTGGAATACTAAGTCCCTCGAATCTTTCCTCCAAGCTGGTGCTAGCCGGGGACCCCAGAGGACCGTCATCAATGTCAGTGTCGACATACTCCCCGCTTCGGCGACGCAATGCCTCTCGTTCTTTCTTAAGAAGCTCTTCACTGCCACTGACAACACTACCACGGCTGTTCGTGCGCATCATCTCGATGCCTAACTTGGATCCCGGACGACGGCTGCGGCCTGGCGGGCTCTTGCGAGCTTGAGAGTTCCCAAGCTCTTCATCTTCGTCGTCTCCGGACTCAGCCCCTTCATACCGTTTTCGCTCCAGAGATTCTCGCTTTGCTTGGATAGATTCGCTAGACCTTTGCTTGCGAGGCGTAAGTGCCCCACTGCTATCAATGGCTGCTGGGGCTGAGACCGCATGGAGTAGTTGTGGAACAGGTACTGCTTTAGGATCAGGGCTGCCTGGGTGTGCATCTTCGGAGATTCCAAGCCCACTCTGATCCCAGTCATCATGATTGCGACGAATGATGACGGGAATTTCTTCTGACTTGACAGACTCCATGTCTCCAAACACGCTGCTACTCATCGAATCATCGCGACTGGATCCACGGTATGAGCTTGGTGGGTTTGGCGCGAACCCCGAGGATGCCGAGCTGGGGCTGTTGTCGTCGGTGGGAGGCTGTGAAGACCTGACATTATGAAATGGTACAGGGAGAGGTTGAGATGAGTCGTAATCTTTGGGAGGTGGCTTCCACGAGCAATACTTGCACAGCGCCTCGGTGATTTTCGACAGGGTGAGAGGCTTTTGGATGAGAGTATTGAAATGATGCGACTCGGGGAGATCCTTCAAGTAGCCAGTCACAGCAACGATAGGTGTAGTGCTGTTGGCACTGCGAGTGTCTCGTATCATCCGGGCAAGATCAGCACCGTTTACCTGCGGCAGCTTAAACTCTGTCATGATAATGTCAAATTTGACATCGCCGCAGGCATAACTGGCAGCATCGACACCATTGGAAGCAGTCATTGTCCGACAATGAAGCTTTTCAAATAGGCGCTCCATGACCAGTTTTGAGACAGGGTGGTCCTCGCAAATCAGGACATCCAGCGGCCGAAAGTGGGGACCATCCTGAAGATTGAATTGAGAGAGACGGCGGGAGCTTTGGCGGCGGCGCTGGACCTTCAAAAGAGCTTTGGTGCGTGGATCCTCATTGTCCGAAGAGGATGGTGAGATGTCAAACAGTTGGCTTCGGCGCTTGTGATGAGCGGGCACGAAGCTCTCTTTTGGAAAAGAGGACATATCGCCATCCTGAGACCCTATGGTCTGGGATCGAGCTCGACTGGCAGGGGCACTACCTTGACGTTGGGTTGAGGGATGCTTGTCCGGGGAGTGGGCGGTCATCCGGTTGGTCTTCACAGGGGAGGATGCCATTGACCCAAGTCGAAGATTAGGCATGCGGGTTTGCTCGACCGAGGACGGTTGGAAGGTACCAGCAGACTGGTGGGATGCAGTTGATGAGGACCCAGATGTCTTACGTCGTTCGTGGTTGCTGCCAGTGCTAAACTGAACTAAAAGCGGAGACGATGGTTGAGATGGCCGGCTAGGAGATGAGTTCGTTTGACTCAAACTGGATGGAGAAGATGGTCGGTTGCTCCCCTTGGTCTGAGATAAGGTACGTTGAAGGGACATTGGGAGTGGACTTCCGTCCAAAGATGGTTGGGAAGTGGTCAATGGTGTCTGGCCGGATGACGAAGAGCTTGATTGGCGATGCTGCCCTTGCATAGCATCCTGACGCATCTTTTGAATGACGTCTTTGTTGGCCTTTTCCAACATTGGCAAATTTTTAAAATTGAAACTTCCAAAGTCGTCAACCTGTGCCGGCTCACTCAGCCTTCGGCTGCGCGAGTCGCGAGCGTCGCGGACATGAGGGGGAATATGCAGGGGCATCAACGGCCGCTTCATCGAATTCACCTGAGAGCGAACCTTGAACAAAGCGTCATGGGGTCGGTCTGGGTAGGATTCCGATGTATTAGTCGGCTGGGGGGACTGCTCATCCTCCATCTCTTCGGCAAATGCCTGGAGAGTAGCTCCACGGGCATCAAAGTACTCGGTATCTTCGGGGTTCTCGAGATTGGGAACAAACTCCGCCTTGTCTTCCAGAAGGGTATCCCAATTGATATCAGAGAACCAAGGGTGGGCGCGGATCTCTGCACCGCCATTGGGGTACTTTTCTTCCACATTCGCTCCAATACGTTCACGCGAGTTGATAGTCATCAGCCTTTTCATGAGATCCAATGACTCTAGGGTGGTATATTCCTCCGGATCATCCGGCCAGTTGATATTTCGCTGCAAGATATTCTCAAACACTTCATCGGGGGTGGCAGCATTAAACGGAGGGTATCCAAATATGAATTCAAACATAATACAGCCCACTGACCACCAATCGCTGATTTCGTCTTGCCCAACACCGTTGATTGTCTCCGGTGCCAGGTAGTCCGGTGTGCCAACAAAACGTCGTTCGTGGTCGTCAGGATCGAATAGTGCCATGACTGGAGGAAGCATGCTCTGCTGCGGAGGGGTGTTCTGTGCGGGGTTGCTAAACGTCTGCTGCAACGGATATAGATGCGGCGAGTCCTCTACTTCGCTCCGGGGCTCTTCCTCGGCTAGGCTGCTGGAGAGCATGCTTGGAGAGGCTGCAGATGGTTCATTTCCATTGTCGTTGAGTGAGAAAGTTCGGAACATTCCATTCAAGCTGTCACTGCCGGCACTATCACTGCGATACCCAGAGGCCCTCCGGGAGTTCTGGCGATTCAGTCCGGTTTGAATGGGATTCGTCTGGCTCAAACTGAAATAAGACGGCTGAGGTACACCACCAGTATTATCCGGGGTCATGAGTGGGGTAGATCCAGGAGAGGCAGCCTGGAAATCGAAAGACGCCGACCGTGATGAGGCGATCGATATGGCTCGGGGGAATGGCCCCTGTTTCAGCAAGTCTGGAGCAGACTCATTCGGACTCTTCAGTACACGCTTTTGGCGACCTACCAGTCCCATTCGCGACAAACCAAAATCGGTTAATTTAAGGTGGCCAAGACGATCAATGAGGAGGTTGTCTGGCTTCAGATCACGATGCACAATTCCTCGATCATGCAGGTGCTCAACTCCAAGAACCACTTCGGCAATATACTTTTTAGCCCAATCTTCGGGAAGACCACCCAGAACCTTGACCAGGGAGGCACAGTCACCACCATTCAAGTACTCCATGACCAGGTAGAGATACTCCTTGGTTGCAAAGGTCCAATAGAGTTTTGCAACAAAATCGCTCTCCCCTTGCCACATCATGATGGCTCGCTCGGCTTTGACATTGGTAACCTGGTTCTTGGCAATCATGTCTGCTTTTTTCAAAGCCTTGATAGCATAGTACTCGCCGGTGGATTTCTTTTTAGACAGATAGACACTCCCAAAAGCACCTTTGCTAATCGGTTTAATGATCTCAAAATCCTTGATGGACGTCGGCACAGGGCGAGGCTGCTGGCTGACTGAGGGCAAACGCGGCGAGGGGGGTGGTTTGGTCACATCCGAAGAGGCTGCTGATGACTCCCGACGATGGTGACGGCAATGGTGAGCCAATTCGCTAGCGTAAGTTGACGGAGATACTACCGGCGATGGTAAGCTTTCTGCCCCATAGGAATGTCGGGGTTTGGACATGCGTAATGGGGAGTGCGGACCAGATACTCGCGCAGGAGATGGTTGTCGGCGGGGAGAGCTAGACAGCCCGGGAAGCACCAGACTTCTCCGCTTGCGATCAAAGCTTCTTTCTGACAAGGGTGAATCAGTTCGCAATACCCCCGGGAAGACAGAAGGCATGCTGCTGTCACTGCTATCTCCAGGGTCAATATCAGCAAGAGAGAACCCCCTGCGACTCGACTGTGAGGTTCCAAGTAGCCCTGCCGCACTTTTGTAAGATCGAGGGGTAGGACACTCCAAGGGGCTGTTAGATCCCGTAGAGACTGCGAGAGATGAAGAGGTAGGCCTGCTGTCTATCTGTTGATAATGCTGTTGCCCAAGCAGTGAGCGATCCGGTGAGTTACGCATGGACATTGTAAGGGCCGATGTCATCGATCTGAGTGGAGTAGGTACTCCGCGCACTGGGGATGGCAGTGTTTCGTGGCTTAAAGGGTCGGGGATTAGGTACTCATCACTGCCGGTCGCAGCTGAACCCATATTGTAGTCGTCATAATTTCGATCAGGGGAAGCCGTTCCTTCCAAAAGCTCGTCATCGGAGGAGCAAGATGAATCGCTGAGTTGGCCAGCAGCTATCCGCTCTGCTTTGCTGAGAGCGGCCGTAATGCACTCTTCAACTAGAACAGTATATTCGATCCGAATCCTCTCCGCATATTCAACAATCTTTCGGTGACGAACAACAGCATCAACTTTGGCTTTTGCAATTTGCTCAGTATCCCCTGCCAGGGCAGCAAGGCCTCGTTCCTGCTCCAGAGTATTAGAGCTTGGTGATTGCCACTGAATGACCTGTAAGATCCGAGATTCCGATTGCGGCGAAAGGGTTCGAAACTCTTCCGGGTTTTCTACACGAGATGCCTCTTTGATCATTGGCATGCTGATTTCGAGGGAAGTGTCACAGAGATCAAGCACCAACTCCACGATGCGTGCCAGTGGTCGTCGTACAGTGAAAGAACGGGCACGGCCCGTGGCAGGAAGACCAGAGGCCGAGTGTTCTCTTGAGCGAGGCGGGGTACCTGGTGCAGAGTTCCCAGTAGACACGGGGGCTGATGATGGCGATGAGCTGGCAGGAGACGGGCCAATAGGCAATCCTTTATACTCCGGCTGAGGAAGTGGTAACACATTGCCATCGGGTGTGATCAACGGCCTACCCTGTCGAGCCTCCATGGCGTCCAGCACTTTCACAATCGTATGTCGATGTTCGTGCAAATTTTCCTGGGCGATCTGAACGTCCATCTCGGCGCGGTGTTCCTGCAGGCAGAGATCGGAGTGTTTCTCAAACCACCAGGGTGTTATTTGACGCTCACAAATTCGACATAGGACAGGGGTTGGGGCAGGGTGTTTCGAAGGATCCGGTTCGTTCGCAGCAGCCTCAGCCAGTGTAGTCAAGTAATTTGCAAGCACCTCAGCTCCCACACCTAATGACTCCACTAGGAGTGGTGGGAGATCGATAGTCACTTCTCTCGGTTTGGTAAAAGGTCGCAACATCCACATGGACTATGGTGTCAATCAAATTAGCATTCATTCTTCACGCCGCCCATCTTGAACCGCATAACAAGGCACCACTCACATGTCCATCTTCATCACGTTCATAGACCATGATACCTTGTCCCTCCATTGTGAGAACATCGTTCGTTTGTTCCCCTTCGACCTGCGAGGGTTCCATCGTTTCTTCGGTAGCATTTTCGTTTGTCTCGTCCTCCGATTCAGTTGGCCGCGATTCCGGCGCGTATTTCAGAACGGAGTCCGGCCCCATCTGCACTGCAAATCGGATGAATCGACTACGCGAATCGTCCTCTTTCATAGCCTCCGTGGCATCTTGAAAGACATCCTTATTCCCGAGAAGTAGATCTGATATCATACGGCCTTCGACTGACTCGGGAGCCGTGCCTACCACTTGCCGCCACGATGGACTGACCCATTTGATTCGGCCTTCGAGGTCTAAGTCCACGATGATATTCAAGGTCTGTTCCGCGGCTTCTTTCAAATCCTCCCGTTCTTCCCTTATGTTTTCACTCAAGGTTCTCACCATTCTTGGGTTGATGTTCCGAGCTTCCTGTCGCAATGCGGTGACGGCCGGAGGCGCGAGGAATTGGGGGTTTGGAGGGCCATTGTCCGCCATGGTGCAGCGGTCCGCTAGGAATCCGCCGTAGATAGAAGATATTCGGCGTGTCGAGCGCGGTGTGTAACGAGAAAGAGCTTGTCCACTTTTTTGTGTAGAGCCAAGCAGAACCGTCTGCTAGAGGGCAGAGCGGGTGCTCCCAGGCTTTGTAGGCTATGAATTCATCCGTAACATCAACGGGCCATGGTGTGTCGTCAATAAAAGAAAAGACAATGGTGTTGGGGGGGACGTTCTCGACGAGGCCGACCGTTCTTGTGGGCAGACACCGGATCGCCTTTACTGTGAGACGGAGGGTAACGGAAACCGTTGTGGTCTATGCGGGGAACGTCGCGACCGATTCGACGCGAAGTTACTATCATCGACGTCAACGCCGACGGAGGCCCAAAAAGGAAGAGGTAGTAGGGACCAGATCGTAGGGTCCTAAGGGAGTTAGATTTTTGGCGATGTTTTTTTTTTTTCGTGTACACCTTAAAAAAAAAAGAGGGAGAGGAATGGGGGGATTTGGGAGAGGGGAGGTGAAGGCAGGACTAACGTTGATTGGCGAAGGCCGAATAAAACTGGGTCGTGCGTCTCTTTCCCTTCTGCACCACCTTACGCGGTCCCATATCACCATCCGTACATTCATACACAAGAGTTTAAAAAAGGGTTTCTAGGCTGGAGGAATTTGACACTGCATGATTTTTTTTTTAATCCCATGTAACTACTCAACGAGAATCCCGGTTCCCAATATTTAGGATGTAGTCTGATTTATCATTGTATCAGGTCTCCACATCAAGGGGAAAAGAGCGCAAAAAGGACTTTTTTTTAGTCCCCTTTGTGCTGACACCCTTACTCATGACGTGAGTTGCTAACTTAGTATATCCTAGCCTATCTATATCTAACCTATCTAGCCACTAAGGGGTCTATGCAGCTGCAGTCTTCAATAGCATCAAGCCTGGATCCGGACTTGGGGGTTTTCCCTTTTTTTTTTTCTTGGAAATTTTAGTTGTTTTGGGGGTTTTGGGGGTTTGTATTATTTATTTTTGGATTCGAATTTATTATTTTTGTTAAGTACATAAATAGTAGGGATTTGAAGGGGTTTTGTCTTCAATATTCCAAGTTATTTGTAACATACCCGAACCATTGAAACAAACACATAGTATAGTCTTCATGTTTATTGTAATATTGATATATAGTTGGGGAAAAAAAATTAAAAATCCCAAGGTTGATAATTCAAATGTTGCAAGAACTCAACTTCTATTGAGATCATCATAGTAAACCTTTTATTGCTATATTATACCTACTGCTAGGAGTATGTTTTATATGGAAGTGGGCTCTTGTAACCTTGGAACACGGTAACGTAACTCTTCCCCGCCCCGGCTGTTGTGGGAAGCGAGCCCAATCCCCTTCATGCCGTATCCATTGGGATGTCATTCCGACCACTTGGAACAAATCATCACACTAGTTACATCGAGTTCACCACTCATAAATGCCTGAGTGGGCGCCACCATCTACTTCTAGGCCTAATTGTTCAGGAGACTTCGCTTGTCGCCGGCCGAGACACTTTGAACGTGCAGCGGTCTGGAATCTTCAGCCACAAAGAATGCCTTTATGATATCAACTTCTTATCGCCCCAAGTCTCTGAACATGACCCGAACGGAACAACACTTGAATCATGAACAATCACCACGATCGTTCAAGATAGGACCAGTTGCACCGGCTTGTCCCACAAAGAATGGTTTGGTGTGGTCTCCTTACTGGCCCGTCATGACCCATATCGGACTAGCATGCCGATCCAGACTGAGGGGGGAAGCCACATCCGGAACTCCTTTCAAGCGCCCTTTTTTGGGTCTTGTGTCATTATTCGGGGGAGAAGGGAGCCGATCTGTTCGAATGGAATGTAGGTTTGAGTGGACCGTCGATCCTTGACTCCACCGTTTTCTTCAGATTTTCGGGTCTGCGGGGTAAGAGTCAGCTGATGCTATATTAGGATAAACCTGGAACGTTCATCATCTGGGGTTCATTTTAGACTAGTCAATTTCTTTGAAATCAATATCGAGGTTAATTTGAATGCATCCAAGATTTCCAACGGTGGGGGAAACCCAGCCTTCGCCTCGGGAAATTCAACATAATATATTCTGATCCAGCCCTGGAGGTTGATCCACGAAAATCCGGGGGGCAGCACGATCTTCAAATGTTGCCTAATCACCCGCTCTCTACCATATGACTGGCTGTACCTCCAACCTTGGAAAAGACCAGCTTGGGACGATGATACTCCCCGAAGAAACTTTATGCTTTTATCGCTTCCCCACAACTCCTGAGTCGGGTGGCCCAATCACCATGAGATATCTGCATGAACCCGCTGTTGGCCTGTGTGAATGATTGGTGATTCAATAGAGAGGAGTGGGAACACCAATGCCTGGCGTGTCCTCACGACCTGGTAAAACCTTAGAGAATCAAACATCAATTGATCAAGGTCCATTACGTATTTGGTGCGTGCCGTACTTTTTTCTCATTTGTAAGGCCTTGTCCACATGCAACCCCGGACCACTCAAGTGCTGGACATGTATTGATATACCCCGGGGCAAACTACTAGTATGCACATGTGACGACATTCCTGGAATTTCGTCTCACTTTTACCTTCAAATGTTCTCGGGATATGATAAATCCCCCCACAAATAGGGAATCCTCCAGGTTGAGACGGAAAAAAATATGGGTACGTTCCCAAGGGATGAGATCCATCCATGGCTCCAAATGTCCATGCATAGTCTATTGCATGAAGACGAATCTAATCTTGGAAAAAGACTGTGGGGTCCACCTGGCCAGGTGTGGATGTCGCATGATCGACAACATGCTCACGTGGACCACTGTTCACATACAAGAATGTTCCACCTGATACCTAGATAATTAATGGATCAATTACTACATACTACTAGTATGTTTAGGTAAGAGCTATATATATACTAGATACCTAGATAGCATGCACTAAGCATTACATATAGGCATTCAATTAATATTGAAGGTTAAAAGTAGAGAATATGCAAGTAAAACCACGTACTGGTGTCCATGCATATTCGTTCAACTCAATATTTTCAAGGTTTTAGGTAAATGCATACATTCAATATTGATGAAATGTATCCATACCTAGGTTGAGGCATAGGTATCCGGAATCCGGATGAACTTGAAGAACTGAAAAGTTTCTCCCAAGTGCCCGATTCAATGTTAAGATGAGTGTCATCCATCTCCTAGCGTGACACTGACCTTAATATAGGCTAGCGCCAACGCCCACTCTTCCGCCAAGACCTTCTATGGCCGGAGGTCGAGGGCTGTCAAGGCTAATCACGGCAATTGCACCCTGATAGAATATTAGGTCTGATATATAGGGTTGACGTTGTATGTATCAATTTATAGTTGGAATCAAAGAAAATGAATTGAATGGATGCACTTTTACCTAAGCTAGCACTGTTGACTGTTTCTGGGATTGTTGCACAACAGCTCATATATTAGAACCACTCAAACACTAAGCCACCGAGAATCTGGTCAATTCAATGTTTGCTCAAACTCTGGGGGCAGGCTGGTTGAGATTGATAGTGGTTCTTCGCTAAATCTTTCTTGAATCTTACCTTGGAGCGATTCAATTGTTTTGTGGTTATAATACTTAGTACAAGAGAGACTAGTAGTGTTACACATGTGTGAGGTACTTTTTTCGTATTTGCCTTTGGCTATACTACCGTCACTTGGCTACCCAAATCAGCACTGCGTTGCCGAAATTTTTTTATTTTTTTTCGCTTGATGATTCCGTCAAAGTGTCATCAGATATCGGCCTTCACCTTTCCTGACGAAGATCGGCCTTCGGATCAGCCGGCGTCAAGTCTGTAGCCGTGTCCTGACTCGCTTCCCAGTAATAGGGTAGATGATTGGTAGTTCCCACTTGGTGAGTTATCGATTTGTGAAAGCTGAAGAAAACATAACACAAAAGGTATTATGCATTAGTCACCACGGTCGCATCTCTCCGACGGCGTAATAAACCATGCTAAGTTTAGGCTAGAAAAGACCTCGGGAGGGAGTGGGAGCCTACAAAACATAGATGTTATGGAGATTTCAGGAGGAACAAATATTGAATTAACGGCCCCTGTAGCTATGACTCACAAGTGTTAGTCAACATGGTGCCGGACGGACTCCGGAGTAAGCAAGCAGCCAATACGCAGATCAAGGCAAGGCTAGAACTACTCGAAAGAGTCCCCGACAAGAGTCAAAGTACGCATTGATACTTTGATCGAATTTGGCCCCAAGAACTGGATTTTTAGGAGATACTGCAGGTGGAAAGCCCTAGCCATACAGACAGAGATAACAACATTGAATGTGGATAAATAGACTACTCACACCCAGATGAGGTCCAAAACAATTAAAATTCCTCCGCCCAACTATATTCACGGTCCCCACCACCTAATCCACATTGTCCACCTCAAAGCTCTTCGATCTACAAGCCTCCTTCACAATGCCGATCAGCAGCGACATCACTATTGAGATCTCCAAGTTCCGCGCAGACAATATCACGGAGCCAACAAAGAAAGCTGCGGCTTTCCTGGAAAATATCGGTACCAACGGGCCCAAGTGGTGGGAGGTAGGCATCGAAAAATACCGTGAGATGCGGGAGCTTGGACAGACATCACTGCCAAAGCCTGTATATCTCCCAGAGGCTTTTGATGAATATATTCCCTCTCGAGACGCCGGTCGTCATATCCCGATCCGCATTTACAAGCCTGATAATGCTGAGCCTAGTCAAGGCATCTTCCTGCACATCCACGGGGGCGGTTTTGTGATCGCAACTCAAAAAGAGTAAGTTTTTCTCCCCCCCCCCCCCTCCTTGTTTCTTCTTCTTTCTCGTCAACTCATAAATCAAAATTTTGAATAGTTTTGACCATCGTCTCCGGGCATACGCCAACAACTGTCAACTGACGGCCATTTCAGTTGGATACCGTCTGGCCCCAGAACACCCATACCCGGCCGCAGTCCATGATTCCATCGATGTCGCAGAGTATATGGTAGATCACGGCGTAGAGGTCTACGGTACCCCCTTGCGCTTTATGGGTGGAGAGTCAGCTGGAGGGTGCCTAGTCGCTCTCACATCTCTGCATTTAATGAGATCCCGTCCTTCGCACAAACTATCAGGTCTGATCTTTCCTTACGGATTATTTGATCTTGCGCTCGGACTTCCCACAATGGTCGCATCAAAAAAGCCCCTGATGATAGATCTAGCTACTATGCAACGCTTCAATGACGCATATGTCCCGGGTATGAGCACCGCCGAGCTCAAGAATCCTTCCGTTTCTCCACTGTACGAGGACCTTCAGGCACTGGTTGGGGCATCTCCCATCGGGACGTTGCCTCCTGCCCTCTTCCTCTGTGGAACATATGATCCATTGCTCGATGACACGATCATAATGAGTACCAAGTGGAATATTGCTGGCGGGGAGGCGATCGTTAAGATCTACCCTGGCGCAACGCATGGCTTTACGGCGTTTCCCGGTCTACCTGTGGCCGATGAGGCCAATGCGGTATCCTTAGAGTTCATAAAGGGGAAACTGAGCAATCCAGTATGACCAATGGAAATTGTTCATTATTAAAGAATGAGTTGAGTAGTAGGTATAAAATCTGTATCAGGCAGCTAGGCAGTGAACAGTGAAACAGTGAAATCGTTAACCTTGGAAGACATTGGCATATGTACTAATTACATCTTTGTAGATCATAAATGATTCATAATAACAATTTAAGCCCGAGCGCTTACTCATACCTCGGCATGATCAAATGTTGGCTTCTATTAAAATTTTTGGAAAGAACTTGAATCCACCAGCTCTGAGATTTGTGCTTCTTATTCGAAACAATCGCAAGTTTACGCCAGACGAGTGACGATCCAAATTTTGGCCATATCATTACAGCCAAATAGCAAAGATCTACTAATCTTCAATAGGTATACCCTGGATCACAGTGCTACGTCACAGTGGGCCCGAAAGAGGAAACTGGTCAATGACAACTTGAAGGTGGCATTGGAATGTCATACCTTTCAGCCACAACACAACATTGCTTAGATCTACTGTCACTTATTCCAAAGTCTTTCTACATATTAGCAGTCAATACCGCCTAGGTTTGCCTGGCTTGAAGCCTCAAATTTTGATGTCTTGGACATTATTCAACATTATGCATCGTGTGGGTCTAAAAACACGACGCTGGCCAATTGGATCTCGAGGCCTGACATATAAGGTGTCAAATTCCAAGGTTTCAATGTTGCTTTGTAATACTATCAATCGCCGATTATTCTTCCCTCCACCGTTTAGTCTGTTTTCTTGTACCTACGAGGTCACTTGATCGGATTGCTTAGAGCTAAAATATGGATCCAAAATCTAATTTTGAGCCCCCACAAGACGATCTAACGGCAAAACGGAAACGCGCGGGGAGAAAGTATACGTCCCGAGCTTGCGAGGAATGCCGCCGGCGAAGAGCAAAGGTATCTAGTTCAATAGCGTTTCAATCGCCAATAACCCAAACCGGGATGAAATGGATGCTGACATGTTTCTGCTCCAAGTGTGATGGTACACGACCGGCATGTTCCCGGTGTCTTGACCGAGGTGCGCGATGCCAGTATTCCACAGCCGAGGACGGAAGGCAACCTGCGCCAAAGTCATATGTAGTAATGTTGCGCACCAGAATCGAGCTCTTAGAGCGCGTTCTGCGAAATCATGGCATTGATGCTGAGGAGTCTGTTGCAGAGCTGCTGGCTGAAGATGAGCTTTCAAAACAACCAGCGGATCCTACTAGCCGCGAACCATGCTCCGTGCCAATGGACGATCTGTGCGTCACATTTGATGGTGCGCTCACTATAGATGAATCTTTGAACTTTGACCAGGATGGCGAAGTGCGGTATTTTGGACCAACCAGTGGACGCTTGTTGTTTCAGTCTCCGGCTAATTGTGAGTCGACAACCCTTGGCATCCTATTTTCTTCATACGCAAATGCTGATTATGGATAGCCTCTCCAGTGGAAGATACAGATGCTTCCAATACCGGAGGCTCTGGGGCCACGCCGGATAATTTAGAATTGGTTTCTCCACACTGCGCTACGAAACATCATGCGTGTCCATTTGAGCCGGAGTTACCCACGGCATCTAAAGAGCTGCAAGATCATTTGATCAATCTGTACTTTGACTGGGACCAGCCATGGCTTCAGGTCGTGAACGAACAGTTATTTCGCGAAAGCTTAGCATCTGGAGGCCGATATTGCAGCCCCCTTCTACTCAATTGCATCCTTGCCGTTGGCTCTCGTTACTGTGATCGAATTGATGTCCGGACAGATCCAAATGACCCAAACACAGCGGGCAGGAACTTCATTTGCACAGCAGAGAGGTTGCTACAAAATGATCTCCGTTGGCCAAAAATAACAACAATTCAGTCTTTGGCAATCATGGGCCTGTTCTATATTGTAAGTTGCACTTCAGCAATTGGCTATGACTTCGGCTAATACTAATAATCTCAGGCAACTGGATCTGACGCTGCGGGCTGGCTTCAACAAGGGATGGCAATTCGTCTGGCTATTGACATGGGGCTTAACATGGATCCTGCTGTTCTCACAGGAACTGTTTCTCTTCCTGCCATTGAGATTGAGTTGCGAAGACAAATATACTGGGCGTTGTACTGCCATGACAAATTGTCGGCTTGCTATACAGGAAGAGTCTGCACATTGCTGGTATATTGCTATCGTTTCCTTATTTCTTGCTTTGAGCGTCGCTGACGGTTGATGAAATTAGGACTCGCAAGGCGCTGTCAGGAAACCATACCTTGAGTGTGTCCGTGACGTTCATTTGCCTTCCGCAAATGGACAACCACGAGCAGCTAACCAGAAAGCCGTCACCCAGCTGCAAAGATCAATGATCGATCTATGTCGCATCATTGAGAAGATTCTCCGTTCTTTGTAAGATACTACTATTAAAAATAACATCTGTGGATCCCTCTGACTTCCAATATAGATGGTCTCCCAAGCCACTCATTCACTGTCACCCGAGATCTGCGTTCTTTGATGCGGCCCTCCTCGAATTGAAAACATGGCACTACGACCTTCCATCAGAGTTGAAAGTCATCCGCACATCAGGGCCCTCTCAATTCCCACATGCCTACACCTTGTCAATGGTATACCACCAGGCAATGATCCTACTTTGCTCCCCATTCATAACTCACAATACTGTACAAGATTCAACACAGCCCGACGAGAACACACCGGAGGGCACACCAGCAAGTATACGATACAGAAAAGCGCTCTCAAGTTGCGGAAACTCAGTTCGGCTCATGTGTTGTATCGCACAAAAGTACCGACAGACATTTGGCAGCTTCAAACTTAGCCCTATTACTGCTACACACTGCACGTTGTCTACCGCACTTATTCTTATTGAACTATGTTGCTCTATGAAACCCTACACCAAAGCTTCTGCGACGGATGATGACGGAAAGCACCATTTACCTCCCCATGCCGCAGTGGCATTATGCTTTCAAGTTCTACGAGAACTTTCTACCTCGTGGAATATTGCTAAACGTATCGGCAGGAATCTGGAAAGGGTTTATATTCAGCGATACGGCTCTGAAAATCTCCAGTTGCCAGAAGAGAGTGGAGTCACGGGTCAGACTTTGTCGCATATGCCCAAGTCCGCTCCAATGGGAGACTTTGCCGTCCCTAATCTCGAGATCTTTGACGATATCCTGAATGGAAAGTCCCTTTCTGACGCGAAACCGCTCGAACTCGATATTGAAATGCCTGTTGCGTTTCATCAGACACAGAGTTTGAATCGAACTGGTATCCCTGGATTGGCTCTGAATTCTTCCGGAGGCATTCCGAATCTTTCAAACTCCGACGAAGTATTTGCAAATAATCTTGGATTTGCGTTCTCGCCAGATTGCCTACCGAGCGATTATAATATGTTCGATACTTTGAACCAAATGTATCTGGAAGAGAGCTGGTAACAGTTTAAAAATACAATATTATTGATATGGGTCAATTTCGTTCCGAGATCTTCATCCCAGTAACTACCTAGTAGAAGAAGGAAGAAGACTGTTGATGTAATGAAACACAACACCCGCAATCCAGGTAAATTCATGAGCCTGCTATGTCGGAGGCAATTTTTTCAGCCAACATATCTTGAAGAAAGCTCTGGAGTCAGTATCATGCCAAGTTCCTTGGAGAAGGGACACTCACAAACAGTGGATTGGGGATGGCCAGGGGGCAGAAACGGAAAGGCACTGGCATCAACTACTCTCAGCCCAGATACTCCGAACACTCTTGCACGGCTATCAACAACCGCCATGCTATCATTCTGAACACCCATTTTGCAGGTACATGAGGCATGGTATATTGTCATCATTGAATTCTTGATCACTTGAAGGATCTCTTCATCTGTCTCGACTTCGGGGCCCGGGAAGTACTCATCTCCAACAAGAATCAATTTCATTATTTCGGTGTCGAATATATCCCGAATTCGCCTGTATGAAGCCACTGCCATTCTTTGATCTGTTTCGGTCGCTAGCCAGTTTGGATTGATTATTGGCGGGTCAGTTATGTCTGCGGACCTGATAGTCACATTCCCACGAGAAGTGGGTGCAACGAGAGTGCTGACAATGCTGCCGTACTGGCCCGTCGAGGGTTGCTGCTTAAAGGGATTCGAGTAATTTCCTACGTAAGCTGCAGCTGCTAAATACTAAAAAGAATTTAGTCTATCAGTCTTTCTTTCTTTCCAATGCTTCAAAATGTAGTATCTCACCTCCACCTCCGGCCAATCAGGGGGAAACCAGGAAAGATCATTCTCATCTTCCGGTGACAGAATAGATCGATATTGTTGTGGGAGTTTTTCGAATGCAAGATAATCCGTTGATGGATTTGTCAAGAACCCGGTATGCCAAATAAGCCAATATTTTACCTGTGACAAAAGGTCATCCCAGCTTTGTGTCAGCTGGGTGAAAGTTCTCACGGCGACCGGGTATGATGGTCCAAAGAAAACATGATCCCACATATTCTGGCCCACGCCAGGACGGTCGGCAATGACCTTAATCCCGTAACGGTTAAGCTGATCGGCAGGACCAATTCCCGAAAGCATGAGAAGTTGTGGAGACTGAAAGGCCCCAGCGGAAACTATAACTTCCTCGGTTGCTGTCAACGTGTGTGTTAAAAAGTGTTTGACTCTTACTCCGACCGCTCGGTTTTGGTTGTCAAACAGAATTTTGCTTGCCATAGTCTTCTGGTATATTGTCAAATCGCCTAGATGTGTGGCCCCAAGAAAAGCAGATTCGGAGCTGCTTCTTTTTTGATCCGAGGCCCGGATGGTCATCGCGCAGAACTGGTGGCCAAGAAGAAATCCACTATTGAAGTCTTCTGCTTCAGGGATTCCGGCTTCCGTGAAGGCCTCCTGTACCCAGGACGAAAATGGCATGGGGAATTGTGGATACGATACGTGCACTGGCCCGCCAAAGGCACTAAAAGCAGATTCCTTGTATAGGGTCCTGACGAGTCTCGTTCGATATTCGGGACGTGTGAAATTTGGTGTCTGTTGATAGAATGGGAGGACATTTTCGAATAGGTAGCTTGGATCGTCGGTGACTTCTGCCCACCTCTTCATGGCATCCTTGGATGGTCTGCTGAAACGTCAACTTCAAGCGAGGTTGTCACTCCTAAAGATCCTGACCTTTGGTATATCATGAAGTTCACAGCTGATCTGGGAATAAAAGAGAAAAGGTCAGCCTCGAGCTCCTGCAGGTGTCTCCAAGCACTACCACTCTTATTCACTCACGATCCACCCATACATTTGCCCCTCGGGTAATGGATGTCACGAAAGCCTGTGCCCGCACCGCCATGGACCACGAACCCCCAGTCGACAAAGGACGAGATTTTAGGATCAGCCCCAATCCCTAGAATTGCTGCCCCTGGGACTTGAGCAATAGGGTGCTTTATTTCGTAATAGCCGCCCGCCTCCACTAGCGCAACACGAAAGCCGTACTCGACCAGGCGTGCAGCAAGAGTGATACCCGCTGTGCCTCCACCAACCACCACATAGTCGAAAGTTGCATTGAAGGGGCCCCAAGTGGTGAAGGCAATGATGCTGAGAAAGACTGCTAGGATTGCCCCTGCCAGTTGAGAAGTGGAGAGGACCATTGAGTTGAAATATTTCAACCAACAGTTGGCAATTCAATTAGAAAAGGGAAATTTGGTGAATTGAAACATCTTCGATATCAGTAAATTTCAGTAACCTGATGCTTTCCCATTTGCTTTCCCTGATGCTTTCCCTGTTGCTTTCCCTTGTTTGGTACGCCGGTATCTGGGTCGTGCCTTCCCAAATATGGCGGTGAGGCTTGTTTGTTATGCTGGTGATTTTTACTACGTTGCCAGTGGGTACTATCAGTACTATCAGTACTAGCAATACTAACAGTAGTAATGATTCAGTATGCATGATTCCGGTTTGTTTGTACTAGTACGTATTCAAGTTGTTTCCAATTGCTTGACCACTGGGCAACAGTTAATCCATCAAGTGGCCTCACTACCGTTAGTCAAATTAAATGGAAACCTTCCTTCAGTCATCACCATGGCGAAATCAGAAAACCCTGCCATTAAGCTAATCTCCGCTGATGCGAGCCTACTGTTCGAAATGGAACCTAGCTTCTTCGAAACCTTCCCCGGATTTTCTCATCACCCGAAGAACCCAGTGAGCAAGGAGTTCGAGCGCTTGTCTACATGGAGAGGCTGGCGGACTGGATCCGCCAAGTGGAAAAAAAACTGGAATCGTTGCATCACCGAGCAGTACCACTCACTGATTGGAATACGAGTCAATGATCTTTCAACTTGGCAACAGATGTGTCGGAAAGTCAACCTTGACGGCGACTTTCCATCGATTACGAAATGTCGGAAGGTGGGTCCTATGTATCCCTGTGAGGCTGCGACCTGTCATGTTACATTTGTATGGCGAATCAAGCTAAGGATATGCTTTGCATATTCAATCTAGGCCCTAAAGCGAGTCTATGTGAACATCGTTGATCTACTGGAATGCTGGGAAGACGAGAAACATCCTCGAACCTTCAAAAACGGCAAGGAATTGTCCGAATACTCTCATTCGCAGAACAAGCTCTTCAGCCGCTCGCTTGCCAAGCAGGACAAAGTGTTGCGCACCTTGCTGAGGCATATTACCTAGGGGTCTGGTCTGGTGGCTTGTATCCGGCCTCTTTTCCCTATCATATGTCAATCCCTCATGCCGGTCTTTGCCGCGGGATATCTGCTAGGCGGGATTGATGATTCAAAAGAGGCGTTTTTATCCTGAGAGCTTTTCTTTATCATTTTCTATCATTTTCTTCTTGGGCTTTTTTTGGATCCTTTTTTTTTTTTTGGCGAACTCGGTCTAGTCCCGAATCTTGGAAAATCCCCATCTCTTTATCTCTATTATCTAAATCACACGATCCTTTGCTGCATGTGGCTTTTTTTTCCCCCTGCCAAAGTGCGAAAGGCTAAAGCAGGAGAGTAAGCACCGAGACAAGGATTCTCAACCCCCTAAATGCAATGCAATTTTACAGAGTAGGAAGGTCTTTGCCCGTTAGCGTTCAGCCCGATAACGCTTAACCAATAGACAACGATTATTGTAAATTGGACCCGCCATGAACCTCGGCCTCTGATAGGTCAAAATGAGATCTCAAGCTTTCTTAGCTCCATGTGGTTCTGGTTGATGCTCCCATGGGGTGAGTGGTCCTCGGTAAAGGTAGTCAAGCCAATGATAAGTTGGCGAATGACGGGAAAACCGCGTGCTGGAACCTGGATCTCGACGTTGCGGGTCAGGAATGCGAAAGCCACCAAAGCCACCAAAGCCACCAACATGCCCACGTAGTTTTTCAACCCGGTTGATTTCGGGGTCCACCGAATATTCGGCCCGTGATTGTCTCTCTCGTTTTTTTCTCTCTTTTGGTTTTTCCTTGTTTTCTTTTTTCTTTTTTCTTTTTCCTTTTTGGCTTTTGCTTTGCTACTTAAGTCTTCCTTACTCCCTTGTCAACTGCCCTCCCAGCCATTACTACTCCAGTAAAGATTGCAATCATGACGGAAATCACTACCGCGAATGCGGACGGTCTAAACGAACTTCGGAATCGTCATGGCGCGCGACAGGTTGAGATTGTGGGCCCAGATGGGCAACACAGAAAGATCGCTGTTGCCGATCTGACTGAAGCCGACAATGATCTCGCTGTCAAGTTTGGTTATAACCCGGTGTTCAAGCGTGAGTTTGGATATTTGGCTACATTCTCATTTGCAGTCAGTATCAGTGGTGTGTTCGCAACCATCATGACCACCATGTCCTACCCGTTGGAAGCGGGTGGGAGCAGTGCGGTTGTGTGGTGTTGGGCCATTTCTGGTGCTGGCTGTATGTGTATTGCGGTAAGTGGGAACAAGACCATGCATGACCTTTCTCGCTTATCTACGGAGATGATGGGAACTGACAAAATACTGTAGTGCTCTGTGGCTGAGTTGGTTTCTGCTTACCCAACGGCCGGTGGATTATACTTCACTATCTCTCGTATGGCGCCCTCAAAATGGGTCCCCTCCATCAGCTGGGTGACCGGTTGGCTCAATCTCATTGGTCAGGTTGCTGGTGTGGCTTCCTCTGAATATGGCGCCGCGCAGATGCTTCTTGCTGCAGTGTCTATGAGCCGTAACTTCAACTATACCATTACTACTGACACCACCGTTGGTGTGATGGCTGCTTTGACCGTCGCCACTGGTGTGGTTAACTCCTTGTCGACCTACTGGATGGAGAAAATGACCAAGTTCTACGTCATCTTCCATATTGCTGTACTTGTGGCATGCGCCATTGCCCTGTTGGTTCTGACAAAGGATAAGCACGACGCAAACTATGTTTTCACTCACGTTGAATCGAGCACTGGCTGGACACCCATTGGCTTCAGCTGGCTGTTTGGCTTCTTGTCTGTTAGCTGGACCATGACTGATTACGATGCAACTGCTCACATTACCGAGGAGATGAGCGAACCTGAGAAGAAGGCACCCTGGGCTATCTCCATGGCTATGCTCTTCACCTACGTCATCGGATTCCTGTTTAACATCGTCCTCTGCTTCTGCATGGGTGATCCGACTGAAATTCTCAACTCCCCGATGGAGCAGCCCGTGGCACAGATCTTCTACAATGCTCTTGGTAAGGGCGGCGGTATGTTCTTCACCATTGCCGCTCTCATCGTCATCAAGTTTGTTACCTTCACTGCTATGCAGTCCCTTGGACGTACTGTTTTTGCCTTCTCCCGTGATCGCATGCTGCCTTTCTCCAACGTTTGGACCAAGGTCACTCCCTGGACCGGTACCCCCTTGTATGCTGTTTGGATTTCTGTCTTCTTCTGCATTGCGATCAACTTGATTGCATTGGGATCTTACATTGCCATCAGCGGTATCTTCACCCTCTGTGCTATTGCCTTGGATTGGAGTTACTGCATTCCTATTCTCTGCAAGCTGATGTTTGGTAACTTTGAGCCCGGTCCCTGGCACATGGGAGCTTTGAGCCCTTGGGTGAACGCATGGGCCTGCCTATGGACTCTCTTCGTCAGCGTCATTTTTGTCTTGCCTACCGATATGCCTGCCTTGGCCGCGAACGTATGTAACAAAATCCACACCCTCTTTGCTCTATTTGCTGACAGAGACCCACAGATGAACTACGCCTGTGTCTACTTGGCCGCCGTTCTGCTCTTTGCCCTGGTGTATTGGTTCATCCGCGGAAAGGCCGTTTACACTGGCCCAGTCACCGAGGCTATTGCCGATGATATGTCTGAAGAGGAAGTTGTTCTGGAAGACAAGAAGAAGGACCACGGTCCCTCTGTCTAATCACATGCACTGAAACCCCCACCAGCGATCCAATGCGACATATCAGCCACCCCCGCAGCTTGAAGCCAAAGCGACCTAATACCGCCCATATACCCGGCATCCAAAAATACCCGCCCTGGCCTTTGCGACATGGCCCTCCCCCCTCGCCCCTCGCCACAATCCACAACCCACGATTCTCAATCCTAATCCACGTTCAATCTGTGCGACACTTACAATTGCCCTTGCCCTTACTCACAATCCCAATCCTGACCCATGCCACGACGCATACGACACCGCCCATACGGTATATACCCAGGATTATTCAGATTGCGATGCGGCCCCTCAGCATCGTATAGTCACACCACACCATTACCGCCACCCCCACTTGGAATCATCCAAGTGGCCTTACCCTTTGCGACAACTTTGGCCAATGCGACATACTTTATCGGGAAGAGTAAAGTGTTAGATGGATAGCGAGATAGTGGAAGTATTTCATGCTCCGAATGTAAATAATTGACCATTCCAGACATTCATGTACCCCCCCAAAAAAAAGGAATTCTTCGATGTGAAACTGGGCTCTTGAAGCCGCGAACGAGTCGCCGCAAGGTTGGAACTGGACCCAGAACTGCCATGATAAGGAATATCAAAAGGGGATCTAAGATCCGATCGACGCTTCGAGACCACCGATATCTCGCCGAAGCGGGGAATATCCGCGTGGCCCACTACGCACCCACCACCCATGCGACATCCAGAAAACAGATTGATAACGCTGCACGCCATATCAGAAGACCCGCCCCCAATCACCCTGGGCGAACTTATCTGTCAGCCCCGTGTAATTGATCCTGACAAGGACCAGCTTTCCCTAATGCCCAGCAACCACTTCAATATTCCGAAACGCGATTGAACTCCACCAAAGCCCAATGCCGAATGCCGAATGCCCATACCAAGCCCCGTTCCAAGCTCGCTTCGACTTTCCCATTAGCAATATCCACCCGATGTTGATGCTGGATTGGATCCCAGAAGGAATATGCCCATTTGCCCTGATACGGAAGCCCGTCCCCGAATTTCGTCCCTCCTTCTTGAAAGGGAAATTAATCTCCAGCTAGAGCCTCGTAACTCGGCGAAAATACGTTCACGGTCGCGACTGGGGTCTCGGTTTTCAAAATCGAGTTTCATCTCCAAGTTCGGCTAGCCGCAAGTGCTCCAAAAAATGGCGCATCGTAGCAGATTACGCGCCGCAACAACGGATTGACATTTGATGATTGGGTTTGATGCCAGTCTTAAACTCATCTCTTCCAATGAAAGTCATGTCAACGCGTCGGAAAGTTCTGGGGGACCTGCAGCCACTTGCTTATGTGCGGATTTGGATGAGGTAAGCAAGGACAAACACAAGTCACGACTCACGACTCACGACTCACTCGGAGTCACAACATCATAGCCAATCGCAAACGCAATCTCACCGACACCGTCGATCAAGAAACCATACAAAACTCCCTGCATCAATTTTAATTATATCAATGAAGGGAATGACGATATGGGTTGCCGGTAAAGGGTTATTTGAATGCCGAGGGCCAATTATTGTCGGCGTGATGACAAGAAAGGCCTTTCCTAAGTGACGAACATCCGTAAATGACAGTTCGTTGCTACATATGATGTTTTTGGCCTGATTATGACCATGGGAAATTTTCCACGGGTGAATCACATCCCCCTCTACCCTCCTTGACATCAAGCTTGGAATGACCGGGTGTTTCCAGACTCCACTACTGTGTTATTCAAGGCTCTTATACTTGATAGTAACATCGGATAATCTTCCCTCGGACATCACATTATCCAATAACAAGTTGATGGCTCTGTTAGTAGGCACTTGAATTGCTCAGGTGGGTATTCAATGTTCTCAAGTCCGATCCCTAGGCATCTGGGCAAGTACCTACCAGTCTAGTATGAACATGGCCAGGAACCAACCCAGGTAGCAATGACATTTTTCAACGAAATTGTTGAATTAAAAAAAAATTCGTTCTCTGTTTCTTGCGCGGAACAAGGTTCTAAGAGATGGGGTTTTAAACGGATTTTTCAGTCATCTTCTAGGCACTTCAGAGAAGAGAATGTTAACTTGGAAGTGAGAGCAGAGAAAGGGTAAATCGATCAAAAGATGATTGCTTGAAAAAGGACACCTGGATATTGCTGGAGAAGAGAAAATATTAACAGAGTGCCAGTGAACTTGAAGGTATAGCCTCGGGAGCACTTGAGCACCCGAGACCTACTATCAGACAATGAATGACAAACCTTGGAAGGATTCAATGGTTGATATCGTAGTAGATTAACTAGCATGATTTCCTTGAACGGTTATATCAAATGTCGCATTACTCGCGTATTAGAGGATCCTTTGTCTGAGGTCGGCGCAGCTGTGGTCACGACTCACCCTCCACCTGAGCTATCTGCACCTGTGTTTTCTTTCCTTCCATCTCTCTCTCCTTCTCTTTTGACCTCCATCCCCATCCCTTTCCCCTTCCCGTTTCCATCCATCCTACCCATTCCCTTTTGTCTACTACCTCAGCTTCTTTTTGCTGATTTCATTGCCACCCGACGCCTCATCAGGCTTGCCCACCATGCACGAATGTGCAAGCTGTGATGAGGTGTTTGATTATTACGATGATCTCGAAGAGCATATGGAGGATTGCGGCCACTGGTTTGAATGCGATACATGTACCAAGACCTTTCGCAGTCAACGTGCCTGCAATCAACATATGGATGCCCTGGACCACCATCTAATCGAATGTGAAACGTGCACTCGTGAATTTGGCAGCCAGGATGCAGCCAATCAGTACATGAATGACAAGGACCATTGGGAAACTTATTGTGTCCCCTGTGGTCGTCATTTTATGAATGCAAACAATCTTCACATGGTATCTCCGCTCTTCCCCAAGCTTTCCTACCGCAACAGAAACACTAATGAGCATACCTTTGAAGCATCGAAACTCACGAGTTCACCGTGGTACCAACAGCCACTGTCCCCACTGCAACGCTGCTTTTGTGACATCCAGTGGTGTCAATCACCATCTCGAGACCGGATCCTGCCCTAACGCTCCTAACATGAACCGAGAATCAATTCTCCGGATTCTTCAACAGAGCGACCGCCGAGGTTTGATCACCAATAAGCAAATCAGCTGGCACAATAACGAAGAGAGTGAGAAATGCGTGCCGAGCCATGCTTTCAACGGTTCTGGCTGGGAGTGCTACATCTGCCACCGCGAGTTCCGAACATGCCAATCCTTGACCCAGCACCTGAACTCGCCGATCCACGCACAAAAAGTTTATCACTGCCCCAACGGGTCCTGTGGGAAGGAGTTCGTTTCTTTAGCTGGTCTGTTTGCTCACTTTGAGAGTGAGTCTTGTGGGTTTATGCGATTTGAGCGAGTACAACAGGTGCAGCGCACTTTGAACAATGCGATCATGGGTCGCCGACAAATTACCGCCATCTGATCCAGGCTATGAGCGGTTGTAATGGTCGAGGGTATGTTCAGGTGTGCTAGGTGTGATCAACTAGGTCTGATCTTTCTAGGGATCTTTCTGTATTTTTTATTTGGCTGTGTATGCAGAGTCTTTCCACACCCGATTTCAGTTAGCCAAAATACTTCAAAAACGGGTCTCTTTCGGTGTCTTTATCTTCGTGTTTTCAGGAACTACTGGAGCCAACCAAACAATACTCTGTAGACAGTCACAAGGTAGGTCTCTAGCAAAGATTTCAAAATCAACGACGACATTTTCATCCCACAGAGGCTATTCAATGGCATGCTTCTCTATACATCTGCAGAGGTGTATACGTCGACCAACAGCGACAGTTGTTTAGAGACCGAGTGCGAATTGCGGGATCAATTTGCGATATACCGTGGAGACTTTTTTTGCGATGAAGCGCTCAAGTCGGGAAACGAGTGAGATCATGCGTGGTTATGTGGCGGTGTAAAGTTGGTTCTGCTTATTCCACATGTATGATGTGAGTAGATTGTAAGTACCAGAATATGAAGAAAGAACGAATACGAAGCCTGCGATTGAAGTTGAAAGGGTTTTGGGGTTTCTCTGCAGCCATAAAACCCCCCCGCAGAGGTAAGTCGTAGGTAAAAACCAAATGTGTGGCGAGTTGCGAGGGCGACAAAGGGCGACAAAAGGCGACAAAAGGCGACAAGAAAAACAAAGCACAAAGCATGCAACACCCCCCCCTGACCCACCTTCGCACAGTCGCCGGAGCTCCCACCTATTCTACACGCACTTGATCCTTGCCACTAACACTAACACATGCAACACAATTCCAGACCATGCCAAGCCCACAAATTTTCTTTGCCCAACGCTCCGATCCAATCAATTCCGAGACCCGGACGAAGCCAAAAAGAAAGTCTGAACTCAGCTCCGGTGACCGTTCACTTTTCCACTTTCATTTCCGACAGAAGAAAGAGAAACGGCCCCAGTGGCACTTGAGTCCCAAGGTTATTTAGCTCCGTCACACACAAAGGACCGATATACATATCTGCTTCACGGGGTTTGTATCCACAGAAGATCAGTACGGGGGCCACCTTTCTACTATGCGACTTCTCATTGGCTCAATCGGCCCCTTTCGAGACCATTACATATATTCTCTACATCCACTGCATCCACTGCATCCTGCCATGAGATTCCACTTATGACTCCCCCAGGCGGCACGAAATTTTTTCGGAGCGGGTACATGTACGCAGTCCACGCCCCGTACACAATGTCGCTCAGCAAGTACTCCTGGCGTGCTGCATGCGATCCACTCGATGCCATAGCACGCGTTGCTGGTCAGGGGTGTTCCAAGTGGATCGATGGTGGCCTCGAGGCAAATATCAGGAATAAAGTACGGAAGATCCCAATACTACTCACGTGTCTTGGAAGATTTGAAAGCGATTTCAAGGATTCGTGTAATCGAGTGCCCATCACATGCATCCAGCTCGCTCTAGATATCCTCGCGACTCGGTTCCAATGGATGAGATAGGATTCAGTGGCTTGTTTGATACAAGAGCCCCCAGAATAGTATACAAGGTCACCTTGACTGACCAAAGTCAACATTTGAAAGTTCTGACTTTGTTTTCAGTGTTAGCCGACAGCCGATGCACATGTACATGTTCTATTATTGGTCAGGAATGCAAACGGTAAGGTCACTGGCAGTCATGTAATAGCTCATTACCTTAATCTTTTCCCCATAAAATAAAGCAAGTTAAAAATCACGAACAAAAAGCCACGGATTAGCATTCAGTATATAGAAGCGAGCGAAGCGATCGACCCGACCACCCGCATGAGGTCATGCCGTAAGCCTGTGGGGAAAAGAGCTTTTGGTCAAAATGCGGAGAAGCGGGAGATCTGGGATCGTATGTCAAGTTCCTTAGTAGACTCGACTTGATGTTTTCCAAATAGCAATGTTTATTTAGAAAAAAAAAAAAAACATCCAACAATCTATAAGCAAAAAAAAATCCCCGTCCGTAAGCTTTGACCAGACCAAAAAGCTTAGCTGCAGTAAGAGAAGTCGGAAGACGTGTTCTTCCATGGCGTGCTATGGCGAAATCGACGGGCGACGGTTGCGTGCTGTAGATCCGCGCTCAGCCCCGAGATTGATTGACTTTAAAGCCACAAGTTTTTTTTTATAAAGAAATGTTTATATCTAAAAAAAAAATAGAGCTTAGCTTGCAAGTTCAAGAATTTAAAACCACTTGCATTTCTCTTTTTTTTTTTTTTTTACTTTGTTTTGTTGCTTCTTGTTCTAATGCGTACCTGAGCTCTTTTTCTCAACAGTACAGAATTGCACATTTACAACCATGGGGCGATTAAATGGTACCAAGCTCGGTGCATTCCGAGCCTATTTCCTCGGTTTCTTTATTTGTCTCGCTGGTTTCTTATTTGGATATGACACCGGAATTGTTGGTAAGTCATCTCTATATACGATCAACATTCAAGTATATGGAGGGTGAAGTTGACTAACGTGACACCCGTCTTTAGGTGGAATCCTCGAGTTCAAGTCCTACATGAGAGATTTCGGTTACACCGATGAAACTACCGTCGATGCAGTAATGGTCAGTCTGCAGAATGCGGGCGCATTCTTCTCGGCCCTGGCCGTCTTCTCCGTATCCGAGCGCTTCGGCCGCAAGAAGACAATCCAAACCGCCATGGCGGTCTTCTGCTGCGGTGTCATTCTCCAGGTTGTCCCCTCACATTCGCTCGTCTGCTTCTATATCGGCCGTGTCGTCTCCGGTGTTGGTCTCGGTGCTGCGACCGCTGTCGTCCCCACCTACAGTGCCGAGATGGCACCCAAGGAGATCCGTGGTATGCTGGGTTCCGGTGTACAGTGGCTCTTCGCATTGGGTGTCATGACCAGTTACTGGATTGATTATGGCGTGGAGCAGACCTTGGCGGGACAGTCCAAGGAATGGCAGATCCCCGTTGGTCTGCAGTTGGTCCCTTCGACCATCTTGGCCCTGGGTCTCTTTACTCAGCCGGAGAGTTGCCGCTGGTTGGCAAAGAAGGGACGCATGGAGGAGGCGTGGCAGAGCTTGACCTGGATGCGCGCTGATGATGGTACGATTTGGCTTGTTTTCTTTTCTGTCTTTTCTGTCTTTTCTGTCTTTTCTGTCTTTTCTGTCTTTTCTGTCTTTTCTGTCTTTTCTGTCTTTTCTGTCTTTTTTGTCTTTTTTGTTTTTTGGGCCTATTGATACTAACTCAACATCGCTCCTTAGGCCCCGCCGTCAAAGCCGAATTCCACGAAATCCAAATCGGTCTCCAAGAAGAAGCAAAGGCCACCGAAGGTTTACAGAAGAAGGAACTCATGCAACCCGCAAACCGCTACCGACTCCTTCTGGCAGCCCTCATGTTCTGCGGCCAGCAATGTACCGGCATGACAGCCCTAGCCTACTACGGCCCACAATTCTTCAAGATCATCGTCGGAAACGACAGCAGTCGCTCCCTCCTCGTAACCGGCCTTTTCGGAGCCGAGAAGTTTGTCACCGTCGGAACCTATATCCTCTTCTTTTCCGAGATGTGGGGTCGCAAGCCGACACTTTTGGTCGGCAATGTGCTCATGGCATGCTGCTTCATTACCGTGACAGTCGTCAACAAAACAACCGACTCCCTAGACGCAGCCGGCAACCCCTCCAGCGCTGGAATCGCTACCGTCTTCATGATCTTCCTCAGCAACTCAATCTACCAGTTTAGCTGGGGTCCTATTCCCTGGCCTTACACCACTGAGATCTTCCCCTCCCGAATCCGTGAGATCGGATCCTCGGTCGCGGTCTCTTCGCAGTGGTTGTTTAATTTCTTATTCTCACTCACTACACCTTACATGATTAAGGCATGGGGTACATACACTTTCCTCTTCTATGCCGGTTTAGATATCGTTATGGCCATCTCTGTTTGGTTTTTCGTGAAGGAGACGAGAGGCAAGTCCCTTGAAGAGATGGAGAGTATCTTCCACAGTGCGGCTGCCTTCGATGTGGAGATTGCTCGTCATGAAGGCGAGGCGATCCCTGATGACACCTTTGCTGCACTTGAGGTGCATGGAAAGAGTCCCGATACTAAGAAGAGTCATGACTCCTCGGATTAATCGGTGTAATTAATGATTTGTGATGGTTTCTCTTTGTTTATATGACTTTATCTCAATATATTGAAGCCGCAGGATTGGCTTTACTTACCAGAACTCTTGAGTATTCATTTTGGCCCAGAGCTGCCTGTAGTGATTCGAAGGTCCTTTATACTTTAGTAAAGACATGCACTGGAGTTCCAAACCTCCAGATGTCCAGAGCTGACATTTAAGTTGATTTTCAAGCCTGTGCCTAGGTAGGTACATATAGTACTATGATGTCGTATTTAGCCGCCCTACCCCCTAGGTACCTCCCGAGTCCAGAAATCTACAGCCCTGCACACCCACATGCACATGTAAGAGGTCTTCCGAGGGTCCCATTCATCCATGGATTCTGAGCTCTATCATGCCGTGTGTGGATACCTACTATCTAATAGGTACATGCTAGGAAATATTTCATTGAAATCCATGGGGGTTAGACTTGCCTACCTGTGTATTGATGTAGTAGGTTAAAGATTTAGGTAACACTCCTCCTAAGGTCAACGTCCATAATCTTGAAACGCATTTGGACGTTGAATGATCTCATTTCTCAAGGCGAGCCGCCACATTATTAGATACAGTACTATCAACAATACTTTTCTGTAAACATGAAACTTACAGAGCCTTCTTCCCTTCACCCTCGCGCTGCTTCTGAACAACATACCCGACGGCACGGGTGATACCTTCATCAACAGGGACGATAGGCAGGTAAGCAAGACGGTACTTGGCCTTCTCAATAGAGTAGTACCGTGTCATGCATGAGTACCGCACCATGCGCTGAGTCAAACGAGGGGTCTTTCCAAACACTCCCATAACAGTCTCCGCGATGCCACCAATAGTACCCAACAGACCCTCAGGCAAAGCCCAGACCTCATTCGGTTCGACAATTCGGTCAATAAGCGCCCACATGGCACGGGTCGCATCCCAGAAGTAAATAGGCGAGTCGTTGGTAATGTTGAAGGCCTCACCATCAACACGCTCATGGTCCAGGGGCCCGCCCTGACCGGACTCGTAGCGAGTGTAGGAGGCCAGCAGGCGATGCGCAGCCAACATGTGAGCATAGGCAATGTTGCCAACATAAGTGAAGTCAAATAGGTTATCGTTATCACCGAGCTGCATCTTCAACACGGTGGCGGAGGCCTTGGAGCCATGCTCGAGGATCTTGTGGGTGACGGTTGTATCCTTCTCGCCCAGAATACCAGCCGGGCGGATGGCGGCTGTTACCATTCCGGTGGGGGATTGGCGGTTATATTTGAGGACGAGTTCTTCGGCATCGGCCTACAGGAAATAGGAGGTTAGCTTTGTTGATTTTGATCCTTGTTTTAATTTCCCTCGCGGTTTGGAATGAAGTTGGTAGTTTGTACGTACCTTGGTCTCGGAGTAATACTCCTTCTGCAGTGAGCCACGAATAAGAGGCCACTCCTCGTTCACATTGATCAAGTCGCTCTGGGTATCGTGGACGACGGAGCTAGAGCTCGTGTACACGAAAGCCTTACACTTGCCACCCCAATCCCCGTGCTCACCACCAGCAACCTCAACCAAAGTCTTGGTCCCCTCCACATTAACCTTGTACAGCAAAGGCTTATTTCCATCCAACACAGAGGGGGTCGCAGTGTGAATCACGACATCGGGCTTCACAGCACGGAAAACTTCCAGCATGGACTCAACAGAGGTAATATCGCCATCATAATAAGTCGCGCCGGGAAGACGATTATGCGTCGTGCGCAGATCCACGACAGAGACCTTGGCCTGGTAATTGGGAAATCGGGAGCCAAGTGACGGGACCTCGAAGCGCGCATCACCAGTAACCTTTGGCAGTGCGACGCTGGGGTCTGTCTCGGAGGGGAAGTTCAGTAGGTGGTCAACGATGTGCCATCCCAGGAAGCCACAGCCACCGACGACAAGGACATTTCCCAATTCCAAATTGCGACGCTTTGCGGTCATTTTGTATGATTGACGTTAGTGATCGGGATTGCGCAAGTGTGGAGTGAAAAAGGGGAGAAACTTGGGGCGGGATCAGCTGATCGTGCTGATAAGTGTTATCGTGGTCTTTTCGAAAGCACTCGGAAGGTCTGATATTTTGGAATCATTCATTGCTCTACAGCTTGACTTTCACGAAGATTTGTCATTGATTCGGTAAGAAAAATATGCTAACAGTTTTAAACAAGTACTAGTAACTCTTGATACGTTAACTGGCTCAGTGTAGCAAGTGGCTAACAATAAGTGCTGCTTTCCCGTCAATCTTTCCACACCCGCGGATTATCGAAACCAACATCGGATGTATAGCGAACACATCTGGCAATGGCTGGGCTGTGTTAAATCTGGCCGGAGTTCTCTGTGGGCTTAAAGCTTACTGCAAGAATTAGCGTTTCATGGTCATTTCGATTCTGTGAAAAGGACCACATACTCAATACTTTCAGTCACGCATCGACGAAGTCGTCGAGTGTACAATCTCTTTTCCTGAGGCGTGCCCCAGAAAAGCCGTGTATTTTCGCCGTTGACAGCCATAAGAGGATTGTAAACGGGGCCAGTGTCCTCTAAAGCGAAGAGTATGCCCTCGATGTGGCGAACCATCTCAGGTGCGTACTGAGGAAGGTATGCCAACATTCCATCAGAGGCTACACGCACATGAGGAATTGGATTATCCAGATAAACCCGGGGCTGAACTTTGGGGTGGTTGGGGCTGATGTGGATATTGATCTTGAACACACCCTCGTCCAACGGGGTACCCGCTCGACCGAAATAGGTCATGTACCACAGGAACGGGTTATCATCGACTAATCCCACATTGAACACTGCCTGCGACCGCACGGCCATTTGTTCAACAACGGACTTCATTTGATGCCGCAAGTTGAACGCCAGATTAGTATCTTTCTTGGCGAGCTCAAGGCCGGCAGTGGCCCAACCTTGGATTTCTTGTGAGACCGCTTTCTCCAATATCTCGAACCGAGCCTTAAGGCCATACCAGTCCCATCTTCCTACCATTTGGTTGCCTGGATATTCAAACTGAGTTAGGGGGAAAGGCGTGCTTCGACGTCCGCCAACTCCTCTCGCGATGCCTGCTTGAATCGTTTTCATGTATTCCTCTCGGTGCCATAGGAAGCGTCGCTTGCAGTAATTGATAAACGAGCCAAGTTCAGAGCTCGGTTTGCCGTCTTCTCCCTGTCCAAACTTCGCGTGTCGAAACGGATCTTGGGAGATACCCATTTCACGTTCAAGAGGCTCGATCACAGTGAGGCGCAAGTTTTCATGACTTATCTATCACCGCTTGTGTGAGTCGGGGTAGTATGTGGCCCGTGGGTTGATTGCCTACCTTGGCATTGTAAGTATCAATGTTTTCTTTGTCATCGGATTCCTCGAAACCTGGCTCCAGCCGATACGGATTCTCAGCCAGCAAGGTCTGGATTGAAAGCAAGCAGGACTCAAACCCCATGGCTTGAGACCATTCTTCCTGTGGCGTTCCGGGCCATGTGCTGCGGGTTGTTAGTAAGTACAGCAAACCTGGGAAGGAGTGGCAAGATGGTATTGTATTTACCCAAGGATAGTTCTGGTTGGAGAATTCAAGCCTTGTTAGTTCTCTGTCTTTCAGGGAACGAACTTCGGAACTCGCACTTACAGGCAAATTTTGCCGTCAGCATAGATATTTGGACCAAACCGAGTCATTCCACTGTTAGTATTGAGCAATTTCACAGTTGGTGGGACTGCAGGATACGCTGGGCAGTTTTAAAGTCCAAGGTCAGCAATCACGAGGTCACCTTTCCATCAGACTAGTGGATGGTATGCTCCGTACCCTCAGTAAACACAAGCGACAACTTTTCATGATTGATAATGGTTAGCACTCGAGTTTGAACCTTGGAAATGTGCTTTGAGACACATGGACGAACTTACATGATAGAATCCGAAGGCATAAGGTGTCTCGGATGGGCCAATAATAAGAGCTTTGATCTCGCGAACATTCTGTTCGTTGTAATCAATAGCCATGGCTACATGTACGAGTTTCCAGGTTAGCTTGAATGCGAACATGGAAATATACCATACTGTACACGTATATGTATATGTATACTATGTATTGGCCTGGGCACTGCACGTGGGCATGCCCTGAGGGAAGACCTCGAGAAAACGGTGTGGCATAACGTACCTAGCTGATCATTCTTTTCAAACAGAGTGAGTTCCTACATATTTTCAGTTTCAAGGTCACCATAACAAATTCAGTGAGAACCATGGAAGTGAACGATACATACCCGAAGGAGGCGCTTTTGGCATAGATTAGACATCCTTATCGCACGTGACCGGCGATTCTGATAGCGAAAAAAAAAGACAACAGGGCAGTAAAGACTCAAAGGTCAAGGGCCGTTGGGAAGAGAGTTTGGAGGGGCGAGAGTGAGAAGAAGAAGGGAGTGTACTCAATTGAGGAAGTTGTTTTCAAAACATTCAAATGTTCGACGACTCAGCGATCAATTATGACGACTCATCGAAATTTGTGTTTTCAATACATATACCACCGCCAGTCCTGCATGTGGACATCCTCGGGACAGGAAAGGTTATACACAGCACTGGAGTGTAAATACACGTACTTCTACGTGGTACTAGTAAATACCCACTGGCAGAAACGTATACATACTAATATACGGCCCCTGGAACTTGCATGCTGACTGGTAAAGACCACGCTTACCTATCATTCTATTACTTCAACTTAATACTATACTCTAGTCAGATATTCATGATTGTTTCCAAGGTTTCTTGCATTACAGTAGGTAGCACTTCATGGGCTTTATTCCAAGATTGTACCTAACACCTTGGAAACCATATAATCATTCATTCAATGTTATTCATAATCACAGAATAACGAGATTGATCATTTAAAAGAAATAGTCAATTACTAAATACACACCCCAAGGCTATTCCTTATAATACTAGAACGCCACAAACCATGGGTCCACGGCTGAGTTGTACTATATGTGACCTCAGCATATCCCGAGGTCCGCCATCAAAACAGGACCTGTGAGACAGGTAACCTTGGAACATTATTTTTACTTCTCTACTAGTATCTATGGATTGATTCTGAATATTACTCACTTCATAAAACCATTCTATCATCAAAAATGGTACTTACTACTAACTACTACTTGGTATCGAAATGATCGTCGGGGGCGGTGTATCCTCCACGTGACTTCAGGGACCGCGCCTAATAATACTTCGGCATTATAGAGTCCAAATTAGGGGGGGGCAGCACCACAAGTCCAATTAGCACCTAAACCTTCTCCATCTCCATTCCTCAGCCCCCCCACTTCTTTTCCCACCCACCCCCCCCCTAACTCTATCACGCTTGTGATCTTTTCCTTCACTTCTCTATTGGGTCTGATTTCTTCCTGGACTCTTTCACCTTGGCCCTTTTGAGCGCGCTGCTCGGAGCTCCCAGCCTTTAACCCCCCGCGCCCTATCCCCCGTGTGCGCGTTTAAGCACTAGATATCTTTCTACACCAATCTGGCATATCCCGATCACCACTCCCTGCAGGACCCTTGTTTTTGCATACTGGCTCCAAGTTAATTCCCGGTCACTATCCTTTCCGCGTGGTGGACCTATATGTCGTGAAGAGTAAGTGATTAATCCACGGCAAAAGACTTGACCCCCCAAACCACCCCAAAAGCCAACCCTCACTAAACAATCTGGATTCATAACAGGATTCAATCAATCTTGCTTGCGAACACTCCCCCCGCCTGCCTTGCACTGTTGTGTTTATCGAACACACAGCATAAACTCACATCCCGCGCACCGTCATTCCTTTAGTTCCTTGCATGCAGTCTTCACCGTGTGACTGTGCCCGCGATTTGATCCTGTTGATTTCTGACGGGGGACCATCATGCCCCCCGGTGACCTCCCGGCCAGCCTGGTCGCAGGCAAGCCTACCCCGACTTTAAATACTTCAGGATATGGGAGCAGCTATTCGAAAAACACACCCACCTCGCCCGAAGACAGTCTAATTCCATTTGACTCCCCCACCACGCGCACTGCAGGAAATCATAGCCCGCTCAGCCAGGATGATCGCTCAGGTCGTGGACTCGAGCCTGAACAATCAGGATATCGAGATCGATCTAATGCGAGAGATCGCTCACGTACCAATGGACGGTCACACAACAAATCACCTGGATCCTCACGTATCTGCCAAAAGTGCAATGAGCCACTTACCGGGCAATTCGTCCGAGCCCTAGGTGGTACCTTCCATCTCGAATGTTTTAAATGCGAGGTAAGTGGTCTCTCCTGAGAAGGGGCTTCATCTCTCATGCTGACTCTTTTCACCATTGTAGGATTGTGGTGAGATTGTCGCTTCAAAATTCTTCCCCGTTGATTCAGAGGACCATAAACTCCAATTTCCCCTGTGCGAAACGGACTACTTCCGACGTTTGAACCTGCTGTGTCATGACTGTGGAGGTGCCCTGCGCGGTTCCTACATTACCGCATTGGATCGCAAGTACCACATTGAACACTTTACTTGCTCAGTATGTCCAACGGTCTTTGGAGCCCAGGATTCGTACTATGAGCACGAAGGGAAGGTTTATTGCCACTTCCACTATTCAACACATTTTGCGCAGCGTTGTCATGGTTGTCATACCGCGATTCTCAAGCAATTCGTTGAGATCTTCCGCAATGGTCAAAATCAACATTGGCACCCGGAGTGTTACATGATCCACAAATTTTGGAATGTGCGGTTGTCCCCTGCTGGTCAAGCGTGGGAGACACCGCCACTTGATGAAGATGCCACCCCAGAGGAACGTGAGCGCATTCGGCGAGAGGAAGATACAATGGAAGAAAAAGTTTACAACATTTGGAGTACACTGTCGACCTTCGAAGAATCATCGGCTGCTTGCATATCGGACATGCTCTTACATGTCAGCAATGGCGTTTATATTGATGGAGTCCTAGTGGCTAAGAGATTTATCGCTCATGTGGAGATTCTTTTCACGGCCGTTGATGAACTGGCAACCTTTATCAAGTCACAGGGAGTGAAGGAGCTGTCATATGGTCGAGAAGCCAAGCTACTCTGCAAGAAGATTGTGGCTTTCTTCGCTCTCTTGTCAAAAACCCAGGAGACTGGAGTTCGGAAACTTGGTGTGACACAGGAGCTACTTTCACTGGTGACGGGTCTTGCACACTACCTGAAGCTACTTATCCGCATCGGTCTTCAAGGTGCTTTGAAACTGGAACGCGAGAAATCTGCCCCGGACGGTCTGCATGAGTTCCTGGGTCATCTTGCCAACACGGAATCTCTTGCTCAGCCAGAGGATGAAGAAGGCCCCATTGACCTCAATGCTGGGGTAGAGGGTCTGGCGGACCAACTCTCAGACTGTTGCATTCAATGCAAAGAACCCATCGATGACGAGTGTCTGCTTTTGGAGGACAAGCGCTGGCATCTGAAGCCTCCCCATCTATCATGCTCTTCTTGTGAAAAAGACCTGAGCACTGACCTACCCGACGCGCTCTGGAGCGAGGCTGAAAAAAGCATATACTGTTCTGCTTGTGCTGATCAGCACAATATCTCATCTAATGCCCAAAAGGGTTTCATTCAGGTCACCAAATTACAGCAATTCGTTTTCTTACTGCGTGTTGCGCTGGCTCGATTGCTAGCCGTGCTTCGTGCAGGCGGTACACTACCCCACACCTCGGATGACCCCAATCTTAACGACTATCAAAACAAGGAAGGCTACCGAGCGCAGCCGGGTGAACCTCGACGAGCCAACACACGGTCCATGTCGTATAGTGCAGGTGGTGGTCGCGATGGATTCGAAGAGTCTTCGCTTGAACAGACTGTTGGTGAAATGCGCCGACTGCGCTCAATTCGCAATGAGCGTACCTTGTCCACAACATATAAAAAGGCTCGTGCGTCCCGAATTATCGATGGCCCGGAGGGCAGAAGTGCACGACCGGGATCATCTGGAAATGACGGTAGCGACTCTAGAGGTCCCGGATTCCAGATTGTTGAGGAAAGGGATGCCAATGGCGACACTGTCAAAGATTTAACATTTGGGGCCCAAGATGCACTTACTTTAGATGACATTCCGCGGATTGTTGCCGCCGAGCAGGCTAAGGAACAACGGCCCAACGCATACAAACACGCCGGATCGAAGCTTGTCGCGCCCCAGGAGCCGATGCCCGTGTACAAGGCTGGCCACCAGCGTGAGATGTCTGTTGGAAGATTAGACATGATGTTAGAGCCTGCTACGCGCACCAAGCGATATTTTTCCGAACTCACAGCCTTGGAATACTTCATCGTTCGCCATGTTGCTGTCTTGTCAATGGAGCCATTATTGGAAGGCCAATTCAATATGGAAGAGCTACTCTCTCTCATCGAGTCCCGCAAGCCGACCGTCTGGAACATCTTTGGTCGTGCCTTCAAGGATAACAAGAAAGCGGGCAAGAAGAAGGGTGTTTTCGGGGTATCTCTAGACTACTTGGTCGAGAAGGAAGGGGGAACCGAGTCCAGCCATGGTGTTGGGCCTGGTGCCTTGCGTATCCCCACGGTTGTGGACGATGCTGTCTCTGCGATGCGTCAAATGGACATGTCAGTTGAAGGTGTCTTCCGGAAGAACGGCAACATTCGACGACTAAAGGATTTGGCCGAGCTTATCGACAAGAAATATGAGTCGGTTGATATGGCCAAAGAGAGCCCCGTGCAGGTTGCAGCTCTCTTGAAGAAATTTTTGCGTGAGATGCCGGATCCCTTGATGACCTTCAAATTGCACCGTCTTTGGGTTGCCGCACAAAGTAAGTTCCGCGATAAGATACTTGGTCAACTAGAAAGCTAACTTGTGGGATAGAATTGCCTGATCCTGAAAAACAAAAGCGACTGCTGCATCTCACATGCTGTCTGCTTCCCAAGGCCCACCGCGATACTATGGAAGTGCTGTTCTCCTTCCTAAACTGGACATCGTCCTTCTCGCATGTGGATGAAGAGTCTGGAAGCAAAATGGACATTCACAACCTTGCAACGGTCATCACACCCAACATTCTTTACCCCAATGCGAAAGCCAGCACCGTGGATGAGAGCTTTTTAGCCATCGAGGCAGTCAATTCGCTAATCACGTATAATGATAACATGTGCGAAGTAAGTAATGGAGTGCCTTGATGTTTTGGTGATATCAGTCTAATTTTTATTCCTAGATTCCCGAGGACTTGCAGTCCATCCTCAACGATCCTACTCTATTTAGGGAGAATGCCGAAGTCACCACAAAGGAGATTCTTAAACGGTATGGCGATATTGCCCGTGGAAGCTTCTCAACCAGACCCGACAATGGCGGTGAGACTTTCACGATCACCAACTCCAATCGACACAACACCCCGACCTCGGCTCGCATCGAATCCGATCCCTCTCAAGACGCAGCTTGGCAAATGCAAAGTTCTGTTCGCCATGTACCTGGGCCCAGCGGACATTCTCATTCATCGAGTGCTGCTCCTCAGGCCGGGTTGGACTTTGTACCACCGGAGCCCAGCTACCACCGGGACCGCAGTACCAGCAATGGAAGTCAACAAAATCCTGATGGCCAGTCACAAAATGTCCCCTATCGACCTCGTCCTAGTCCAGGTGCTATGGGCGTTACAGGGTAGACTTTGTTTTCTTTCTTTTTCTCAATGCACAGTTAATACACCACTCATCGATGACCTGATTTGCATCAACCAACCTGGCGCCATACCTACTTATCCATGGTGTACTTTTTTTTCTGTTCTTTCTTACCCACTCTGTTTCCTTTCTAGCTCCTGGGGGCTTGTTTTAGCGTTGTTCTGTGTTGTCTTTTCATCTCGACTGACAGGCTTGGTTGACGGAGTTCTTCATTCCATTTCCTTTCCCTCTTATCTACATACATCAAAATTCTTTCAAAAGTGATCAGCGAGCTGATTGGTCCGATTGATTCGTGTTTGTTCCCTTGCTATTCCATTTTTGACAAACGGAAGATTCCCTTCTGTTGTCTTTCACTTCCTTTTCTTCTCTTTTCCTTGTTGCTTGCATCTGATTCTGGGGATCAGTCATACCCATACCGTCTCATTTCTACTTCGCTGCTGTGGGACTTTTCTCTCAGTCTTCTTTCTCCATCTAATCTCGACGATGTTCCAGTCTATCTCGTTTTTTTTTTCCCGACCAGGGCTCCGAGCTACCTTGGTCTCTCCTCTAGCCTGTCACCCACTTTGGCTTTGTTTCCCATTGCCGCCTTCGATCCGGTATTATAAGATCAAGGATTTTGTTTTCTTTTCTCATTTCTTCTCTTCTTTCTCTCCCCTTTCTTGACTATTGTTGATTGTCAACCAGCATGATTGCTATGATACCATCGCTGAGTCTAAATGTAGCTGTTCCTCTACCTTGCTGAACGTCTTTTTATTCTTCAATATTGCTGCTTGAGCGTTAGTTGAGCTCTTGGATTAGAGCCGTGGTTTTGGATCTTCCTACCTAATGGGTAGTCAATCTAGGATTCTAGTTCCTGTACGATTCTTCTCAAATGAACACTGCTCGTAACAATTACAAATTATGATTTGATGCTGAGTATGGATGGGTGCCAAAATTCAAATGCTATGCACTTTCAAAATTAAATCGAGCAAGCTCTGGAGCTCTGGAGATTGACTTGATACAATAAATACACTAATTAGTAGCAAGTACGTACGAAAGATGCGCATGTGTCTTGCTTGACCCTGGCCCCACCTAGGCAGATGTAGATAGATTCGTGTCTCCGGAGGTCTTCATTCAAATTCACCTGGGCATCGATGGATGGTGGAAGGATCCGAGGTTGTATCTACATGTATGAGTTGCAACCTAGGAAGAGAAAGCCATTATCCAAAAAAAGAGATGTGCATTGAGGATTTTAAATATCCATGCAAAAAGAAATAACCACATCAAACGATCAGAACCAAACACCCATTAGAACATTTAAATCAAACCAGAACAAACCTCCAAGAAAAGAAGCGCCTTTCATCTGCTTATCCCTCGTCAAAATACCCAACGCTCAATTACCAACTCCATCCAACTCGAACGAAAAGGACCAAGCCAAACGCCAAAGTTCTCAAAGACCAAGATCCCCTTGATAATTTTCTATACGCGTTTCCGCAAAGCTCGAGTTCCCCGGGTTGAGGACTCTGTTGTAGAAGCGGGTGCGGTGGCCTTCCGCACAGAAGCCGTGCTAGCAGTCTTCTTTACGGCCAAAGATGCAGTCTGCACACGAGGGGCAGAAGTTTTCTTCGTAACGATCGAGGCATTACCAGCTGCCGCTTTGCGAGTGCTGGTGGCCGTGCGAGTAGGTTTAGTAACGGTAGTGCCGGATGAAGCATTTGACGAGAAGCTGTTCTTCCGTTCGCCTTGTCTTGTTGCAGGCCTTGGAAGTGGAGATCGGGCAGATGTCTTGGGACCCGTTGCAGCGCGAGCAGTCTTTCTTGCTTGGGTAGGCTGGTTCCAGGGGTCTTTGACGTTGGAAGTAGTAGCACCACGAGGGCGCGTGGCGCTGCCGGGGGCAACACGAAGCGGACTGGATGGCTTGAGTGGGGATGTAGGACGGGACAGGTAAGATGGCTGGCCCTTTTCGGGTGAAGCGCGGAAGGGGGATTGTGGGTATGTGCGAGAGTTGAGGGATTTCGGGGAGAGGATGCGGTGATCGTTGCCTCGTACTTCTTGGGAGACAACACGGGAGGTACCGCCAACGGCAGGGGCTTTACCACGGCGCTTAGGATTGCTGAGGCATTCTGGACCGCCATTTTCTTTGTCGGAGTAGTGACCATCATGGCTATTAAGGAGTTAGCTGGGAAGAAACCATGAATTGTACGGTGGGGCAATCTTGCCTTGGGCGGCGGGTTCGTGTGCCAGCTGGGGAGAGAGTTTGGTCAATAGAACCGATGGTAGGAATAGGGCGTTGAGACTTTGCGGGGGAGGCTTTTCGGGGAGGAGAAGCGGATTGGGCTTTCGCTAGGGACGCGTTGTGTTTGTCAAGAAGCTCGCCCATATTGGCTTTGCGGAGGGAGATTGGAATACGGTTGACGCGTCGTTCAATACGCGACCGGAGGTCGTTTGCTTGCAAGGCATATTGGGAGCGGAGCTTTCGAGCTCTTTCGGTGACTATGAAGACTGTCAGAATTCGTCGTATCAGGGAAGCTTAATATGCCACGCACTTTCAAGTTGAAGATTGTCGATTAACGCCTGCTTCTGGTTTTGGGTCAAGCAGAGCTTCTTGACTGGCCGACCAGTTGGTGTTGCGTCGGGTGCAGTCAAAAACTCTGGGGATTTGCGCTTCAATGTAGCCATGTTGGTGGTTATGAATTGAGAGAACGAAACAAGGTAACAACGATTTATCTGTTGCCAGTGTAGAGAGTCGAAAGAAGTGGAGCGCGGAGTCACAACAAACAGGCGTGTGCGGGCGGAGGATCCTGGCAGAACCGAGCTCTACCTTCTATCGTCATCAAACGACCTTAGGACCCCGTCAACGATCATCTCTTCTATCTCTCCCACATCCCCACATCCTTTATCTCTCGGTCTCGCTCAATACACCGCAATCATGTCTCTCGAAGCTACGATGATTATGTTCGTCATTGTGTCCCCCACAGCAATACATAAGCAGCACTGACCTCTTCCGCAGTGTCGACAACAGCGAAAGCAGTCGCAATGGGGACTATACGTGAGCTTGCCGGACAACCTCCTCACTAAGCTCTCACCGTCTAATCATTTCCCAGATCAACCCGGTGGCAAGCTCAAGTCGATGCCGTTAGCATCATCCACAGTGTGAAGATGCGTGTACACCCGCAGTCGGCCGTTGGCCTGATGAGCATGGGCGGCAAGGGCCCCGAGGTTCTATCGACCTTTACCACAGACTTTGGCAGTATTCTTTCTGGCCTGCACCAGACCAAAATTCACGGCACGTCGCATCTTAGCTCAAGCATCCAGGTCGCAGCCGTAAGTATTCATCAGTGCCGAGGGAGGCATCCAGCACTAGGCTCAAACTAACGCATATTACAGTTGGCACTGAAGCACCGATCTGAGAAATCGCAACGGCAACGTATCATTGTATTCTCATGTTCGCCCATCGACGAAGACGAAAAGACACTCGTTAAGCTTGCCAAGAAAATGAAGAAGATCAACGTTTCGATTGACGTGGTTGCTTTCGGTGATTTGGAATCCGATCAAACCAAGAAGCTAGAGGCCTTTGTGGACAATGTGACAAGTGGCGAGGGCTCCTTCCTGGCCATCATCCCACCGGGCCCTCACCTACTCAGCGAGGAGCTCCAGCAGACTCCGATCCTGGCAGGTGAGGGTGCCGGAGCCAGTGCCCCATCCGGTGGTGAGGGTGGTGAATCTGGTGGCTTCAACTTCGAGGATGCAGCGGAGGATGATCCCGAACTGGCATTTGCTTTGCGGTTATCGCTCGAGGAGGAGAAGAACCGACAGGACAAGGAGAAGCGGGATCGCGATGAGCAGGAGGGCAAGACGGATCTGGATGGCATTCCCGAAGAAGGTCAGGGCGAATCTAGCGGTGACAAGAAGGATGACGACAAGATGGACACTGCGTAGATTGCATGAGCTTTCTTGTGGAAACGATCTGTGATGCATACCCGGCGTTTTACTTCTTCTCTTTTCTTGTTTCAGGTTTGAGGTTGTGTTTCTGTATTCCGTATACTCTAGCAACTCCTATACTAGGCGCTGTTCTAAATAGGGGACGAGGGGAATATCGATGCAATTGGTATTAAGCACAAAATCCGGGAGTAGTAAATCCCGTCATATACAGCCCAGTAGGCCTAACCAAAAGCAACAGGAGAAGTAACATTTGAAATTTGAAATATCTAGTCATAAAGTCATGATTCCATCCTCTTGGGCGAGTCAGGCCCATCATCTCCAAGATACATGGGGCACTTGGTGCGTTCGTTATGTCCTTCCTCTCAACCAAGCTCCAAGATGCCGATCAAAAGCTTCACAGCGCACCGGCATCTCAAGCTGATAGAAGGGATTCTTCATAACATAGTCTGCATACAGCTCGTAAATCTTATTGATAATCGAGTCCACACTGCCCGAAACCGGATCCGTAAAAAGCAAGAACTTGGTTCCCGTCAGCGTCTGGAAACAAGTCAATCGAAACTTATCCGTCTCAAGTTGTTCAAGACCCGAGACAGGGACGCCAGGGACTGGGTAACTGTATCCAGATGTGGAGGGAGGATTCGCGCCCGGGGAGGAGGGAACGGGGGAAGCGGTAGTTTGGAGCGGGATTTTGGGCGTGATGGAGCGGGTGATCGCGTGGACACTGCAAAGCTTCAGTCAGTACTGGTTCTGCTAGCAATGGATTGGGAGGTATGAGTCAGCTGCTCCAGCCACAGGGTTGAAGGATGCGATCGTGGCAGCTGGGGAGGAATCTTTCCCTTACCCATGAAAGGTACCGGCAAGGACTAGGTAGTCATTTGTGGAGAGCTTGTGCAGACCGGCTTGGAATTCGCGTTGGTAGATTAAGCCACCGGCCTTGTTGATGATTATAAGGGAGAAGACGGTCCTGATCTTTGTTTAGCCACGTTGCGCGCGCTCGTGGTAGCTTCGGGGGAAGGGACACACATGATGCTGATGAGGAGTTGTGTTGATGCGGTTTCAAGTTGTTTCGCAGGAGATAGGGGTCAGTGGTTATTGCGCTCGTCGGGGCATGCCTGGTAGGATCGGAATAGTCCACGAAAGAGATTGATAGGAGAGTGCAGGTTGTTTGGCTGAATTGGTCAATGTTAATCCCCGTGTGGTGACATTTAAATGTATGAGAAGAGCTGGTCGGAGTCGCGGGGGATTAGAGGTGCGGGAGCAGACCAGTTGACGTTGATTGTTGGCGCTAGAGAGATTAAGCGGGTCAACTCTGCTGAGTATCCAATGGGATACCGCAGTTGCGTTGGAATTGTCTTGATTACTGGTATAGATGGTTGACCTCGATTTTGAGTATGAGTAACCCACAACTGAGATCAACTTTCGATTAATATTTGTATGAATTGTAAATCATTTTGCAAGCATTGTTTAGATTTCATCAATTTGAATAGATATCTGATATGAATTGCGCCCACCCCGAAAGTCCGCAACGTATAGCTAAAATCAAAAGTCAATCGAAGCCCTGAGCAATCTAGTTGGTGGCCAGCACCGTGCTAATCTCCACGACGCTCTATGAAACATCATTTTCATTAGTGGGATTTCCTGGGGGGAAAAACAAGTTGTGTGCCCCCTTGGGGATCATGGTTTAGAACTTACCGGGCCACGTCCACCCTGGGTCTCAATACTCTTGGTCTCATACTTCACAGCGCCAGCAGCACCGCTGCCACCAGCCCTGACATATACCAGGTAGTCCGGCGCGCCAGGGAAATCAGTGTTATCAGCGATTGCCAATGATCCCTCACGCCACAGCTTCAACTGCTCGATAAGCTTGAGGTCAGACAAGTAAAACTTCTCCCAGTGATCAAAGAAAGCCATATCAACACTGGTAACCTTGCCCTCGTCAACCAGCTTCTGCAAGCAATCGGATCCCGGACCCTCAAGAACATGCACGATGTCTTCTATACCAGCGAGCTTAACCAGTTCCCGAGTCAAAGCAACCATCTGCGGGTTTGGGTCGAAGGTATACACATTGACGTCCTCGGGAACATTCTCACCGTGGATATCACGGAGAATAGCACCCCAGGCCAGGGCAGATTTGCCAACGAATGTGCCAAATTCAAGGATGGTACGGGGTGTAGGCTTTTGGGCCAGAAGAGCTTCCTTGGCGACGTCGACTTTTTGAGCTCGGAAGATCATCATGCGGCCCTTCTCGTTGGAAAAGGTTTCAATAGCGTTGGCCACGGCCCAGGGGTTGTTCTCAAAGTTACTAGCTGGCTGGGAGAAGATGTACTCGCGAAGCTCGGTGGCACGCTGAGCGAAGATTTCGTCCAGATTTTCAGGAGCCATGGTGATGACTTTGCTTCAGATTTGTTGGAGAGGGACGGAGGATTGAAGGTAAACTTCTAATGGAATGATGAGAGGAGATTAGAAAGTGGATTGAGAATCAAACGGGATCGAAAACAGAACATGGTGGGGGGGGGGGGGGGTATTGTCGATTGTTTTTAAACACCATGAGGGGCGCAGTACAAATGGTCGTCATCGGAGTCCTACGGATTCTGGTGGGTCGGTGGATGCAGTCTTCTCCGAGCATTGTACATTGCCAACCGGGTGGTCCGACACGGTCAATTCTGCAACGGGATGTTGTGATCGGTGAATTGAGGGTCCAAGGACAAATTTCGACCAGTCACAGGAATTATGAACCCTGAGCTTGACGATGCACATGTCAAGATCATGTCAAGCTACAGCGTCAAGAGTGCTCAGTCGCATATAGATCGTTATCTCCGAGGCCGATTTACAAGAGAACGTGGTACCTCCGAGCTGTCGGGAATAGATACCCATCTGGGTGAACAAGGCCGAGGATTGGCAACACAGCGCCAGTAAGTGACGAATGGAAGCCGAGAGATGGGGAAAACTGCATCATGTGGCATAGGACGAAGGTTATCAGACTCAACTCTCATGCATGCGAAATTTAAGCGAAGTATAGAACTCGACCAGTAATTCTACAGTTGAGCTGCAGATGTAAGTAGAGCTGACATGCCAGGATCTTATAGCTACAATGACTGAGAGCTAAAAGCATACATGTGCACATCAAAAGCAACGGAGCAGTCATAATAGACAATAACTTGAAAATTTGGAAAGCGTCAAGAGAAGGGATGGAACAAGGGAAGATAGAAGCAGACCTGGGAATAGTTACTACTAGTAGGTATTGGGCACTAGTGCGGCACGTTCCAATTCGCCGACGGTGACCTGTCGTTGTGAAATGAATCAAGTCACCATAAAATCGTACATTCTTGGATTAAAAGAAAACAGGATCCAAACTAGAAATTGAAAAACATGGCCTTGATGGTATGGACTGTACTACATTTACCTCTCTCCTACTCGGGTACTACTCAGGCACTTGCAGAAAAATTCATCATATAAAATGAATCTGGAACACACCTGGGCACAGGCTAGAGTAAGCATGTCACAGCCTTACCCCAGATATTTTTCATCAGTGCCGACATCTGGAACCTTGACTGCTGCCCAGGTGAGTTCCAAGCTTTCTCAAAGGTCAGTTGCCCCGAGTGCCGTGCACACCTGGGCATGAGCTCAGACCTAACATTGAACAGTATTCTATTTTCACCTGGGATTTATTTAGGTAATTGAGGTCGGGACCCTGCCGGCCCCCGGGGTACTTATGGGGCAATCTCCCAAGGCCACAGGTATTGGGATTCCGACAAGGCATCTCCACATATGCGGGCAAGCTGGAGAAGTATTGGAAAAAAAATATACTAACAGCACCTGGGTGCTCAGTTTTCAGTTCTTGATGCACACAGATGAACTCTACTCCTTCACCATTGGTCAGATACATCCCCCATGAGTCATCATGAAGCAATTCGCCCCAACAGAATAGTATAGTAGATGCACATGTGGATGAAGTATACATCTGGGACTGTGCGTCACCTTGATTGACAGGGAAAAGCACGAGACAGACCAAGATTCAAAATTCAGAACCTTCAGTGCGGTATGTACCTGTTTATTTACATTACGTGTTATTACCAAGTATACCAGTATTACCAGAGACAGATGAAAAGGGAAGCAATGGTGGATCTGGATTAACGAATCGGATTGAAGTTCTAGGCCGTTGCCTGGAGTCCAGAAGTCTGGACATTTCCTGCATTCGTTGCGACTAGACCAATGACAACCTGTTACATACTCAGTTACCAACCTGGGTTATCGTACTTCGTATATATATTTTAGGACTTGGCAAAGAGGGGGATAAAAGAAAAGAAGCAGAATGACCTCAGTTGCGTAATAAAGACCTATCAATATGAAGAGAGCTCCAAGTAATATATGCGGTACTGGGATGTTTTACACATCATATTTTACGTGTACGTAAAGCGAAAAAAAAGTAGTATACTTACTACTAGGTTACTACTAGTATGTACCAAGTAGACCCAGTTACTACATTTCCAATATCACAGCCTCACATCAATTTAACTTCAAAAACCAACCTTCGACTTTGACAAGTCGATTCAAACGTGGCATATGCAGTCTATTTTAGTACTCACCCTAAGAAAACCTTCATGCCGTAGCCCGACAACTTGGAACGTCTGGAACTGTTGCAGATTTTAGTGGCGAGCGAAGGATTCTGGAAATGAAGTTTATGCCGATCCATTCTCCCTATCTTTATTCAAATGTTTGGAGCCCCGCAGAATCCCGGATGATGGCGTTGACTAATACCCCAGGTACTGCGCCCTGGTCGAGATCTGCCTTGGCCCTGAGGTGTTATTTTTACCACATGTGCACCCAAATACGGATTTCCGAATATCCGGAATCTGCCTTGCGACGGCTTTATCTCGGAAATACCTCCATGGATTATCTAAGTCTGGTTCTTATGGGTTCAATCCAAGGTTCCAAGGTTGAACCCTGGAGTCTTCCGATCTGAAACTCGGAGATGCTCGGGCCAGATATTCATTCAAATGTTTTTTTTTTGAGAAGGTTGCGTCCAAAGATTTAATGTTTGTGTATAGTAGACTGTAATATTCGTAGAATCATAATGCCAACCAATGGCAAATATAACAACAACCTGGATATAGATAAAATGAGGCAAAAGCAAAGGAAATCCATCTAATTACAACATGGATGTATAAACTCCGTCCAAAAAACCCCCCAGCGCCAAAGAGAAAGAAAGGGGGAAAAAAAAAAAAAGGACCCGACACCGGGCCCAATCCATAACATAGCCAAATATGCCAGGCTCAAATGTCATGGCTTATAGTTGGAGCCCAAGCCCCACCAACGAAGCCAGCCTAAACCCTCCATCGACAACAACCAGTATACCCTGTTGAAGCCCCCATTCCCTCAACGCAAGATCCTCAGCCTCATCCCCCAGAAGGCTTTGATCATCCCTCTCAAAATGGCGACCGATATGCTCCATGCGCACGTCCCAGCTCCCCTCGCCTGTAAACACCTCCCTGCAGAATCCACAGTGACTCTGCAGAGGCGGAGTCCGGAGACCGTGCCAGCAGCGCTGACGTACCTCTTCAAGACTAGCTTCAAACTCCCCATGCTCGGCTTCGGTAGGGGCTCGTCGGTGCCCAGCCTGAAGCCATGGCGCGTGCATGCGGCGGTGGTGCTGAGTGAAGAGGTCTTTGCGGTTGAAATCATTTGTTGAATTTGGTAGTGGGGGTGTAGAGCCCCTTCCACTTGATATAGACTTTGACCGTGAGGTATATTTTGAAGCAGGCATGATTATTTGGGCTGATATTGATGGAGGTGTAGAGAATAAGGGGGACGATGGTGTGTGCTGATGTTGAGCGCATTTCCCCACATCGCAGCGGTAAAAGCCCAGCTGTAAATGTTGGGAAGTAACATGGCGCTTCCATTCATTCTTTGAGACAAAAGTACTTTCACACCCGTATGGAGCAAAACTGCACACGAATGTTCGAGTAGCACCAGAATCTGCGTTGCTGGTACCGCGGCGACGTCGACTACGACTAGAAACAGAAGTTGGTCGTCGCTCTGTGGATTTGCGAACCCCCTTTGAAGTGGAAGTAGAATTTGAAGATGACGGGCGGCCCTTGGAGCGGCGAATATGTTGTTCTGGTTGTGAAAGGGCCATATCTATAGGGCGAGGAGAAGACCATAGCTGTTCTGGTGTGGCATTCCGATCGGATTGACTGCCAGACCAGAGATCAAAATCCTGATCAAAAGGGGAGCAGTGATCGAGAGGCCCGTCAAAGTGCGGTTCAGTGAGAAGCATCTGATTATGATCGATATCGAGAAGACCGTCGGGCGCGGGGTACTCGTTAAGGGTGGGGATAGTCAGCTCCTCGGATCGCATTGTCGGAGAAGCGATGTAGCTCATGCCAAGTATACTGCCACCGTTGCTGCGGGGGCTTTGAGGGTCTGAGATTGTTGAGAGGCTGTTGTTCCAGGCCGAGAACTCAGGGGGGTAATAGGTCATAGCTAGCGAGGTATCTTGGTGTGGATCACAGGCTTGCGGGGTCATTGATTCGTGGGATTTGGCTTGATCCAGGGGCGAAAGATGGAATTGGAGCTGGGAAGCGTGAGTGAGGAATGGGTGGTCGACTGATAGAGAGGGATCATGGGGATCGTATGTATGGGGATCAGAGAGAGATATAGGCGCGATATAAGGGAAATCGGTAAAAGACGGATAGTAGTCCATAATCTGAGACACTCTATTTCGAGATTTGATTTGATTTGATTTTCCGAGAAAAAGAAAAGGGAATCATAGGAATCATAGGAATCGAAAGTGTGTGCAGGCGTTGGGGGAAAGGAAAGATTCAAGGGAAAGTTGAGCGATATGACGAAGAAGCGCAGTATAAATAATATATGGGCTGCAGGTTTATGACGAGCTTGGATTTCGAGAAACGGGACAAGCTGTGTTGCATTAGTAGAAGCTCATCAAATGGCTTAACCATAAAAACATTTTTTTTATTAAAAAAAAGGGTGGATATTGAGTGGGTCCCAGATGAGCCTCAAGAGTCAAGTATACTAGTACATAGTACTAACTATACATACTAGTAAGAGTTAAGAGGTAAGAGTTGAGCCCGGGTAAATAGTGGGATTCAATTACAATACAGATATTTACGAATACCAATTACTAACTCACTAGTTAACTAGTAGTTAGCGTATGAGTCAATGACCCTTAATTACTCAATACAGAATAGAGCCAACACGTCACAATACAGGACATAACTCTATGCAGCAAATCTCCTTCATACTCCTTTAGATGCACTGCGCTTTTCGTATAATCTCATTTTTAGTAACAGGTTCTGCTGGACCCTGAAACCACCATCATTTCTTTTTCTTTTTCTTTTTCTTTTTTTAATCATTTTTTTTATTCTATTTTTTACATATTTTCCGCATGCCCCTGTTTACCCAAGTCAGTCTAGTCCCCCGCATGGTCTGTACACATACACACAGACCCCCGAAACCAAAACGTGACTTTCAATTCCCCCATTTGATGGCCCGCGACGATCACCCAGCGGGCACGGAACGGATGCTAATTTAGGACGAAAATAGTAGCATACTCTGAATCTTGAGATAGAGAGAGAGAGATCGTCATTCATCATCTGCTTGCTTCAGATCGGCGGAGCGATGTTCATTCGGATCTTGTCCACAGCCCACCTAATCCACCTAGACCTCTGTATAACCAACAAGTACAGCCTCCAAACTTCTGAAATGACTCCTGCGGAAGATTGGAGTATTCATGATCGACAAAATCCTGCGATACATACTAAAAAAAAGATATCCAGTCCTCTGAAGATACCTCTGCCTTCAATCTATCTAGAAGAAGAGAGAGAAAAAAAGGCGTTGATGGGTTTCTGGTATTTTGTTACTGTAAGATCAGTTATGGTGATGACACAAGAAACCCGGATAAAACAGCCCCCACATCCTTTGGCCTTAGCTCGCTTCCCATCGTCCACTTACAACTGCTCTGTTCATCCGAGTTCCCCGATGAGCCGCTTAACGATTCTCGTCCCAACCATTCTAGTCAAAGTCTAATCGTTTGATTGCCAACACTAGCTCGGTACGAAGTGGGCAAGTGGGTGCGAATTTGCTTGGGTAGCATCTAGACGGGGCAACTTGAGGCTAGTCCGGTACTATTTTGTATTCTCTGTAAATGTTTGGTAATATTGAATGTTCCAACTTGATGGTTTTTGTTACCTGCATAAATCAAGTTAAATGACCTGTACAACCTTAGAAGTACTGGAGTTTCTTCAAGGTGCCAAGGTTGTGAATCTGATAGGAAATCTTCCTAAGCTCGAACCCAGAAATAGGCTGAATAGGATAGGTAAAAAAAAAAAAAAAAAGGAACAATATATATGAATTATGACTGCTATTGTTCCTGAAATCCTTTTGCCAACATTTGGCTCATACTGAGTCCACACGTGAATTGGTTTTCTTGTTTCATGGAGCAAACCAGTTTCCCTTGGTTGATTTCGGGCCACCGTACTTGACCTAAAATCCGCCCCCAACTGCAAGTGGAGAACATGGTGGGGAATTCTCGCATGTTGCGCCCGCTCACGCTTGCTTCGCCTTCACCTTGCGAGACCAATTCTTTGGTACCCGAACCAACCAATAGAGGAAGACAGCCATGAAAACATTGAAAAAAATGTACACAAAGATCAGGCCGATGTTCCGCCAGTGGTCATCAAAGTAGATGTTTAGAGCAGCCAGGAATTCATCCGTGGTGGAGATCGAACACAGCTGGCAGTTTTCTGTCGCGTCACCGTTAAGTAAGGTCGCATGGTAGGTCGTCGCATATTGATCCAGGTAAGCAGAACAATTTTGTCCTGTAGGCGGGGATACCGTTAATAGCTCAATTTCTGAGCATTCGGCACTATGTCCGGACAGGCCGGTAGATAGGACCGCGGAGACCAGGTACGTGAAGGGCGAGACGCGGTACATGAAGATCCAGAATCGGGGTAACTGGGTGGGACTCGCGAGGACACTAGAGACGAAATTAGTAAGTGGAGGAACATGAATTTCGAAACAAAGTGTTTAAAAAAAGGGAAAAAAAGAAAAAAAAAGAAGAAGAAAGAAGAAAGAGAAACAGGACACACTAACCCATTGAAAACCAGACAGAGAGAGAAAAGCAACTGCGCGATATTGCTACCAGTCTCGGGCTGTTCAATGCCCGCGATAACCATTGAGCTGAAAGTCGAGGTGAACATGAGGAAGACAAGGATGATCAAGAACATGGTTCCACCTCGGGCCACCTCCGTGCCTGCTGGTGCATTTCGGTAAAGTCCGATCGGATAATACCACGAGAAAAACACAGGAACGGCCATGATGATGTTCCATGGTAGCTCAGTGAAGATGCTGGCGAGCATGAACGCTTTCCAGGAATAGGCTTTGGAGGGGCGTTCGCGCACTTCGTACAACGAGCGCTGCGTGCAAAAACTGGGCATCATCTGTTGAACCAGGTTGGGGAAGATAATGAGAAGCATGAAAATGGCAAAAAGCTGATTCTGCATCCCTTGTTGAGTATTGGGCTCACGCCAGAAACTGAAGCCGATGAAGAGAGGCTGTCAAAGGTTAGCAACAACAAAACATATGAATAGAATTCCAGGATCACTGACCGGCAAGATACACATGGCAGTCTTGGAATAAAGATATCCAGGGCTTCGGAAGTACTGTTGGTACATGCGACGGATACAGATGAGGAACTGATACCAAATTGGGGTTGCAAACTCTCCATATCCAGCGGTTGCATGGGGTACCGGTTTCTGGGAAAGTTCCTCCTTCATCTTGGCAAGCTCCCCACGGACTGTAACTCGTTCGGCACTGTTGGTCCATTCCATTGCCCAGTCTCGATCCGCGTGAGAGCCAGGGGCAGCACCGATGACCTCAAGCATCCATTCAGCAGGGTTCGCGTCTGAAGGACAACTGATCGAGCCCTTATTCTCAAAGTACTTGATCAGAGTCTGCATGTTGGACCCTAGATCGCCAAAGTACACTGTGCGACCACCCTTTGCAAGGAACAGAAGTCGGTCGAACTCTTGCATGAGAATTGCAGAGGGTTGATGAATTGTGCAAAGAACAGCTTGACCATGGTTGGCAAGCTTCCGCATCAAGGAACAGATGGACCAGGCAGTTTGACTATCGAGGCCCGAAGTTGGCTCATCGAAAAACAACAGCAGGTCTGGCTTGGCTGCAATCTCGACACCAATGGTTAAGCGTTTGCGTTGTTCCACATTCAATCCCTCTCCCAAGATACCGACAATTGCTTCTGCGTATTCTTCCATATCGAGCATCTTGATGACTTCCTCAACATAATTGATCTTCTCTTCATACGGCGTACTATGAGGCTGACGAAGAAGTGCACTGAAAGTGAGCGCTTCGCGAACAGTACTCGTTTCGAGGTGTAGATCCTGTTGTTGAACATAGCCTGTTTTACGCTGGAATGAATGATCCCGCTGTCTGCCATCCACGAGCATGTCGCCGGTGATTACTCCCATCGTCACTCGGTCAGCGAGCACATCAAGCAAAGAAGTTTTACCGGCACCTGTCACACCCATTAGAGCAGTCAAAGTACCAGGTTTCACCCAGCCATCCACGCCGTCTAGAATACGACGAGTTTCACCCTTGATCTTAATGTCGTAACAAACGTTCTCCCAGTGGAAGATGGACGTTTGTCTCGCAAGGTTGGCCGTGCTCTGACCCTGAACTCCATCGCCGATGTGGGCCTTCTCTGTTATTCCGGTCTCCGGATCATTGCCATGGACCTTCTTCGCATATATAGGGATCTTGCCACGAGGGAAAACCAAGATCTCACCCTTGGATGGCTTGGCTCGAATAAACTCGCTAGTGACAATATACAAGATCAAGAAAAACACATAAAACCCAATCAAAATACCAAAGTTGCGCCACAGGTGCTCTTTGTAGTATTCATAGGTAGTGTTAATGTATGCGTCTCCATTGACAAAGTTCTGGCCCGCGACGGCGCCTTTATCGTCACAAATTGTTGAGCTGAGTGGGGCATTCTCGTACCCCGGCCCTTGAGGAACATACGAAGAGCAAGGAAAATCTCGACCACTGAACTCATTTACCATAAGCGATTCGAATGCGTACTGTTCACAAGTAATCAGTATAGAATCGACAGTCTGCGCACGGAGGGAATCTTACAGCGATGGGATTAAGCCAGTTGAGCCACCTGAACCAAGGATGCATATCACGGGTTGGAATAGCAAAGCCAGTGTATATGACGAGAATCATCATGAAAATTGAAGATGGAACCATAGCTTGAGCCATGGCTCGAGAAACGGCTCCAATCCATCTGAAGATGTTCGACATTACCAGTGTGGTAGTGAATGAAAACAGGAAGAAAATAAAAAAATGTCCTGCTGTCCGACGCAGATGAGGTACGAAGTAGATAATGATGTTGAAAAATATCGCAATTAATACCTTTGATGGAAGTTCAACGATGTAAGAACTGATCGCTTCAGCGGAAGGGTGATAAAGGGCATATTTATAGTGTTTCTCCACAATTGGCCGTTGTTGCCACAAAGTCAGGATCTCCAAAGAGCTAGCGAAGGCGTTCAACAGGATGGCGAAAAACAAGAGTGCTCCACGTTGAAAGAAGCTCCCTGTGTCATCTGCCAAGTTTACGAAGACCGTGGAAACGATAGTTCCCATCACCGCATTACCGATCACCGATGCCAATGTCATGCTCATGTCTCCTTTCAGGCGTAGGAAACCACGCCAAAGACAGAGCTTGACCTGCTCAGGGTATGAAAGGGTATACGGCGAGGTAACACGTACGCGTTTCGATTTCTCGACTGCACGAGAGTGACTGAATTCCTCTACCTGGCGACCGCCAACTGGGTACTGAGCATTCTTATTGGCAATTTCCTGAAGAAGCTGCTTTCGCTCGGGGCTCGCCTTCCAGCGAGCTGCAAATTCATCGGGTGTGCGAGGGACCTGATCTTCGTAGCCAGGACGAGCCACACGCTCCGATGGGCTAGTAAGGGAGGTAAGGAAATCAGCAGTTGTCTGTCTATCAGGGCACTCAAATCCCATGTCCACAAAAAAGCGACGCGCATCCTTTGCCTTTCCGAAGTAGATCTGACGTCCTTCATAGAGAACAATGGCCTTGTCAAAGAGGTCATAAATGGACTGGCTGGCTTGGTAGATTGCGACGACGGCCGTGGTACCACTGTAATCCGTGGACAAACGAAGATTCTTCACAAACTCCAACGCGGTGGAACTATCCAGCCCACGTGTGCTGTTATCCCAGCACTGCAGGGGACTACCGCATAGGGTTGTCTCAGCAATACTGACGCGCTTTCGCTCACCCCCCGAGACGCCGCGAATAAAGTCATTTCCAACCTTGGTGTTGACGGTGTGAGAGAGTCCAAGCATGGCCATAGTGACGTCTCGCATATGCAAGGCATACTGATCTCGTGTCACCCCAGGAAGACGATTAACCGGTGTACGTGCTTGAGCCGCAAAAAGTAAAGTTTCCCCGGCAGTCAGCTGTGGGAAATGTATCTCGGTCTCGGCTTGATAGATAACCTCTCCACGGAATTGACCGTGCATCTGATCCCACGAGATACCTTCATATTGCACATCCACCCCTTCACCCAGGAATAGACCATGGGTTTCACCAGCAATGGTCTTGAGAAACGTGGAGCATCCACTAGTAAGCACATGTCAGTATGTGGGAGTCTACGTTGGACAAGGTATAACCCATGGTACAGATCGAAATAGAATGGAACGCCTTCGAAAGCTTACCTGCCCGGCCGACCCAAGGCGACCAACATCTCACCATGCTCGACAATTCCCTCAAAGTCACGTAAAATATCAATGCGCACTTTTTCTCCTAGTCCCAAGGTATGCTTGGCCGCGTCGGCCATCTTGAGCCAGATGTTGCCAAAATTCAACTGATAATCTGCCGCCGTACCATACCCAAAGACATTGAGATTTTGGAAGGATACACCTGCTGTGCGACGCGGGAAGCGCTCAGGGTCGCGGGTCATCTGCAGGGTATTTCGAACCCATTTGCGGGAATTGAAGTCGGGGGAACTGGGGTCAAGTTCCGAGTTCTTAGACGGATCGAGAAACGTATTGACCGCATCATCGGACGAAAAGCTTGAGCTTTGCTGCCGCGAGAGTTGCGAGAAAGTTTTGGCAAGCTTGGCAATTTCTTCATGTCTAATTTCCTCCGATTCAGCTGGTGAGATAAATTCCACTTTGCTTTCGCTCGTGGCGCTTGAGGTCTTCTCCGTTGTCATGACGTGCTGGGCCGTGCTGACAGCAGCAACGCTTCCACCAAACGGTGCCGGGGGAGTCGCCATGGAGTTTTGAATTATTGCATGGCAGGTGGGGCACACTTTTGAGTAAAGGAACGAGTGTGGGAAGAATAAAAAGTAAAGGACAATTATGTCGGACCTTCTCTTCAAAAGAAGTGACAGTCGCGACGGACTTTGCCCTTTTTGGGCCGAGATTTGATGCCGGATCTCGGATGGAGTAAGACCCGAAGTCACATAGCCGGCCTTAAGTCACAAGAGAAGCCTTTACCTGCAATGCAATCGGTGGCCTGAAATGGATCCCGATGGGTGTATATCTACAAGTCTGTGTAGTATATTGGACAGTATAGAGCCATGTATCAGCTACTTTGTGATCCGGAAGTCCAAGTTCCCGTACGAGTCCAGTATTCCAAGAAAGCTGACCCATGAAGGGATATCGTACAAACTGCTCTCATATTCTTTGAGGCGAATCAGACGAGCAAGAAACATGTCAAACTCAACTGGGGTCTCGCCTATATCACTTGCAGATGATGATTGGTCACGTATTCATATCGTATTCCCCGCAACTATTGTGGATTCGAAAAGTGGATTCAAAAGTGGATTTCACCCATGGATTTGCCTTTACCTGCATTGGCCCTTTTTGGATAGCTTCCGATCTGTCGCATATGTATGACTTGTAATCATGAATCCAAGTTGACGGATCATGACTCAAAGTCACTCGATCTTTGTAAGAGACCAAAGCACACAAAGCACACAAAGCACATTTTGTGAGATTGTCTCACCCTAACCACGTTCCTCCTGTCGCGCGAGTCACGTGGTCAACAAGCACGTCAACACCCTTTGATTAGTAATACTGATTTGAGTCACATGACCAATGATGAGAGCCGGAACTTAGTTAAGCTTACTAAGCATACCTAAGGCTGCTGCCAGCTGGGCACCCTTAGAGAATTTACGCAGTTGAAGAGCCTAGTACAAATCTAAGGTGATCCAAAATAGCGGGTTGGAAAGGGTAAACGAGATTAATTTGTCAAATCCATCTCCACAAACCATTCCAAGTTTTTTTTCTTGTTTTTTTTTTCGTGTGAACAACCTTTGTCACCAGAATTCACCACCCTACAGATTCCCCAGATGGCCAAGACATCACGACTCCTGCCATCACCCTTGGAACACAATTTGCTTCCTAGCTGATCCGGCAGTCGTGCCTTGCGTAATCAATCCAGTACCAGCGGGGTCAATAGAAAGGACTCGATCAGACTGAACACGAGTCACTGCCGTGACCCGCAGGACGCGACCTTGGCTAGAGATTGCCTCAGCACCCACCTGCGTATAGGTATGACCAGGATAGATGAGCAAAGTCTCAAATCCGGTGCGCTGCACTTCTCCTAGGAATGATTGCGATCCATAATCATCTCTCACCCCAAAGAAGCGCCAAGAAACAGTCTCCGTGTCGCCATTCCAAGAAACATATACCGCTGTCCCGGAGGGGATCTTGTGCGCTACGATAGCGGGCTCTTCAGTGGGAAGACCGGTCCAATTGAAGCGAAAGGCACGATAATTCTGAACACCTTCGCCAAGAAGGTCCGAATCCATGTATGCGTGGAAGACAGGGGTGCCATCTGACTTGAATTCGGTCATTGCGCCCTCAGAGCCCCAGTTCACCAGTGCATTCCCGTTCGGTAGGAGGTGGGTGCTTCCTTGAGACTTAGCAAGAAGGTCATCGGGAGGCTGAAATGCCTGGACAACCTCCGCCGTCCAAGTAGCGATATTGACAGAGATGATCTTCCCCTGGGAAATAGAGTTTGTGTGCACCTCATGGCCACGATGGTTCTCGGTTCCATGTGCAGAGTTATCAAAAAGTGAGATGATTTCCTCGTCACCATCTCGCGATACAAAGCGTGCGTGATGCTGAAAGCAGAATGCAACGTTGGGGCCAAGCCTGAAGTCGGAATTCAGACCGCCCAGCCGCCATATGATCTCTCCCGTAGTTCCATTGACCTTGTGAACGGCACAGGCATCACGCGCGGAGATCAGGTAGTCACCAGCATTATCCTTGTCGACGGAGTTGATGTGAAAGTAGTCCCATGCATCTGACGAGTTCCATCCTGCACCGGCCTGGCCTGGATTCAAGTGGAGGACAGCCTCTGCACATCGTTAGTCAAGAAACAGAGAATGATGTTTGTTTCGAATTCCAACATACCATCCGGACTGACATGCTCTAGGCTGGACCACTCGAATAGCAGCTCACCAGTCGCGATATCCAATTCTGACCTGAATTAGCAAACTCTCCTCATAGTTCCAAGCACAATCGAAGGCGTACCCTGGAAAATAGCATCCACAATCCACTGCTGCTCCGGACTTCCACCCCACCGACTCAAGTCGGCCAGAACAGGCTGATAAACCTGAATCAAAGCAGTGCGACCGTCAATAACCTGCAGCTCATGTTTGTCCATAAACTTGTGGTTACCAGCACGCAACTCCCGGACAGTCTCATAATGCTGATTCAAAATCGTTGCATGGCCATGACCGTGTCCGTATGCCGGGTTATGATCACCCTCGAAGCTATATAGCACGTCCTGGCCCTTCCACTGTCCCTTGTGAAAGTTGGCCGCCCAGATGGAGTAGTAAGTATAGCCAGACCAGATAAGTTCGCCATCATCACGAAAGATATACGGTCCCTCCTGGCGTGGGCCATGATGTTCCGGATCAACAAATTGACCTGGGAATGGAGCTATGAAAAGGTATCCCTTCTCGACGTCGTTGGTTGCTGGGATGGTAATGTTCAGACGGGGAGGCGCCAAGTCTGTGCGAGACTTGAATTGCCAGTCTGCAACTGCAAGGGGGAGCAGCGCTATGGCACAAACAAAAGTTTCAAGGACCTTCATGGTAAGAGCGACTAGCCGAACGATCAGTTTCCATGATGTCCGGCATAATATCGAAGCATTGGGTACATTAACCTTAGGTGACTACTCTGCACTATAAGCCGTCTTCGACGCTTGTGCTTTGGATTTTGGATGGTCTTGAAGTTGCTTTGCAAGGTGTATAGCTACTATGCAGGGTCGATGCGAACATTCCCTTGGATATTCCCAAGCAGGGTTTATATACATTTCAATTTTCATCTTGGCAAAGAAATCTCTGACATCATTTCTTGGGTATATCTAGGCATTTTTTGTCCTATGGCCCAGCTATATCCTGCACAATGTGCGATAATGCCACTGTCGCGACAAATGTCGTGATTGGTACAGCGGGGCTTCATGTCCCGCAATTCCCAATCGGGTGCCCGATACATTCCATTTCCCCTCTAATGAGGAACGAACAGATTCAGTGATCATGTACAGAATATGAGTGGTCGAACGACTTTCCAAGCGGAAATTCCAAGCCGACTTTTCGGCTAAGGGTCTGGCTCAAACCTTGGCAGTAAAAATAATTATAGTTCTTTTCCATTTTTTAGATAATTCCATCAATTGATCGTGCAAATCAATTCCTGTAATAAAATCGTCCTTCCATAACGCAGAAACCCAGTCAGTGAATTTTCATCACATCATGGAATCGGGACAGGACTCTACTGGGAGCACTCTCAACGAAGAGCAACCTCTGCTACCAACGCCTACTGTTTGGAGCCCGCCGCGGGGGTTCTTTTGGATTCAACTGGGTAAGTAGACTGGTACAATCGAGCTACCTTTCGTTGCGATCTCCAAGCAAGCAGAGCAGGCTAATTTCGAAATGAGGATTCCAGCTATCATGTCAAATGTATTTCTATCTGGATTTGACGGAACAATTACCGCATCGACATACGCAGTCATCAGCTCTGAATTTAATGCTGCCAACACCGCCTCGTGGTTAACCACCTCCTACCTCATCACGAGCACCTCTTTTCAACCACTATACGGTCGCTTCTCAGATCTGCTGGGCCGCCGCGCTTGCTTTTTCACTGCGACAATCACATTTTTCACCGGTTGTTTGGGCTGTGCAGTGGCGAGGGATATTGTCTTCTTGAATATCATGCGCGCGTTGACCGGCATGGGAGGTGGCGGGCTGATGACTATGGGTGAGTGAAATCGATATGATGTGTTCAAAAACTACAGGGGAAACTTTGACTGACGTTATGGAAGCCACTATCATTAACTCTGATCTCATCCCGTTTCGCAACCGGGGAATGTATCAATCCGTGCAAAACGGTGCATATGGTTTTGGAGCAATCTGCGGTGCTTCATTTGGAGGGGCCATTGTCGACACAATTGGCTGGCGTTGGTGCTTTCTGGTCCAGGTCCCCGTATCTCTGAGTGTGCTTGTGTTGGGATACTTTGCCCTCAGGTTCCCTGCTAAGAACAAGACGTCTGTATCGGGCCAGCCAGGTCTCTGGCACCAGATTGACTTCATGGGCTCCATACTGCTTGTCCTTGCTCTTTCAACCCAGTTAGTTGGACTAAGCCTTGGTGGCAATGAGCTAGCCTGGACGAGCATCTGGGTTATATTACCCCTAGTAGCGAGTATCGTGTTACTTGCCGCTTTCGTCACTGTCGAGGCTAAGACAAAAGCTATCCCGCTCATCCCACTGAAAATGCTCCATGGACTTCAGCCAGTTTCTACTCAAATTGCTAACGTCTGCGTGGGAATGTCTGCATATGCCGTGAGTTCCTTGGCAGAGTTTGAACAGAATCTTACTGACTAGCCCAGTTCCTCTTTACCCTACCCCTTCTCTTCCAGGTCGTCTTGCTGGATAGTCCTACGAAAGCCGGCGCTCGTTTAATTATCCCGTCTCTTATGACGCCGGTTGGCGGAGTTATTGCAGGCGTGGTCATGTCACGTTGGGGCAAACTAGCTCATCTCGTACGCATCGGAGCTGCCTTGATGTTTATAGGAAACTTCCTCGTCACATCCCTTCATTTTGACGACTCAAACTGGAAATACTTTGCATACATCATTCCCGCCAATTTAGGGCAAGGGATTGTGTACCCAGGCATCTTGTTTACCTTCCTCTCTGCATTCGACCACGACGGTAGTCTTCCTTCCACCTTCCTCGCCTGGATATTTCAACTAACTCCTTCATTTCCTCACAAGACCACGCCGTCTCAGCCTCGACTGTCTATCTAATCCGCTCCCTCGGAACGGTCTGGGGTGTCGCCATCACATCCGCAATAATCCAAAATACGTTGAGCTCGGGCCTCGCAGAGGCCTTGAGTGGAGTACCACACAAATGGAAAGTACTATCCAATCTCCCATCTTCCCACCAACAAGTCGACAAGGTATCGACTCCAAATGACAGCGGCTGACCCATATCCTTTCAAAATCTAGTTGATAGAAGAAATCCGTCATTCAATCTCCGCCATCCACACCCTCCCCGCCGACATACAGATTGCCGTTCGCTTAGTTTATTATCGCGGAATTCAACTCTCCTTTGCCGCATCAGCCGCATTCGGGTTCATGGCAACAGTCGCAGCTTTATTCACACGCGGGAAAGGGTTGGAACGTGGTTAATGGGACTCTTGAAGTTCGACAACGTACTGTATGTACCTTGGTGCATATATGTGATAGGCTGGATACTACACCCGCGGAGTTCGGTATAAATCCGCATATTGGGATCCAGCGCGGCTCTGCTTTGCGGAAATGAGTGGATGCTGTTTAAGGGTCTGCTTCTTGGTAAGTCGGTGTGCGTACTGTCATGATCGTCGGGGGCCGTGCGCACAAGCGGGCTGTTAGCGAGATGGGAGTGGAGTCAGGAGATTAAATCAATTGATAGAAGGAGGTGTAGATCAGTTCGACGAACATTGAATTTTGGTTTGTGATGTTCAGTTTGGCAAGTCTTCCACACTCGCGTGGATTGGTATTCAATGTTGCACATGCAAATTTTAGATATTGCATGGGTCAACTGGTACTATAGAGCACTTGAGTGGAAAACCAACTCTTATGTTGATTTAAAATATTTCTTCAAGTCACTGTAACATTCGAACATTTGAATGACAAAATAGCCTTTTAGAGATGAGAATATTGATTGATTCTATATTATCTAACAGTCAATTGATACTTCTTAGAATATTTATCTAACCTTCCAAGGTCAAAGCCTTCAGGGTTGTAACGACGCACCTGGGCAAAACCTCCTGAGGTCTGGGCCCTCAGTGGGTAGTGAGCACTGCAACGCTCAAATTGGGCAAGCTGAAGCTGAACACCCCACTCTTTCCTGCCTGGATAGTTTCCGTCTTGGAATTCACAATGTTAGTCTCCGCAACTCCATTCATCGAGAAAGCATTGGGAGCCGTCAAGATAGTCAAGTCAGCCTTTGTGCCCTTTGCGACACCTTCAAACGTCAGCGAGACGGGGACATTCTCGGTGCTATTGTACACAGCTCCCTTCCAAATGTGCGAGCTGGTCTTGTTGTTCAAACCAGCAACCCAGTAAAGCGGACCATAGGCATCAGCTGACGTCGTAGGTAAGGTGTTGGTAATATGACTATGGCTGAAGAGCTATTCGGGGGTCAGAACCAAGACCTGGATATGGAACGGCGTATTACTTACACTGTAGACATGCCAGCTGGTAGACCGAGCGGTGTCATCTGGATCGGCATTGAAAGCGTACATAGTCGGACTCCACTCGTACGAGTTGATATTCATAAAGTAGGGTGCCTGCAATTGTTAGTTTGATCCAAGAGCTGACTGATGATAGACATACGTAAGTCGTTCCAATGATCTTGTCCGCATTTCGCTCAGCTCCCAACATGAAAACAGCTTCGGCAACCGAGGCGATCCACCACGGATATAGTGAGAAATTGATGTCAGACCAGTCAATACCGACGCCGTTGTTGAATTCGGTAGCGGCAATCTCGCCTACACCAGGGGGTGGTCAGCTAGTTCTTACAGCATCATAGAAGAAGAAGAAGGGGAAATTATGACATACCCAGGAGGATTCGATGCGCGTCGGTGTACTGATCAAACTGGTTAAAGGCCTTGACAAAGTTATCCGGAATATCATACAGATGGAAATCGCCACCAGCAGAGCCAGGCAGTGTCAGTTCAATGGTCGAGGCAAGGACCTGAATGTGGGGATATTTTTCCGTGATAGCATCGTAGAATGCGGCAAAACGGTATGCAATATAGGAATCCAAGCCGTTATTGAGGTGGTCCTCATTGCCGACCTCGACAAAATTGACAGTCCACGGGTCGGGGTATCCGTATTTCGCCCGAAGAGCACCATACTCGGTGTCGACTGAGCCGGTAAGAAATTCAATCTCGTTGAGTGCATCTTCAACGTAGATTCCAATATCGGCCTCGGATACGATGTCTTCATTCAAGGCGAGTCCATCCCAGACGGCGAGAACTAGATAGGTTAACCGCCAGTCCTGAACTTATTTATGTGATATAAAAACTTACTAGGTTCCATGCTCAGATCGTCACACCATTGCATGTACTCGATAAGTCCCATTCCGCCCGTTTCTTCATAGCCCCAGGTGGTAGGACGGCCAGGGCGGTCCTTGAGAGGCCCAAGTGTTTCGTTCCACTTCCAACGAGTGTCAATTGTCTCTCCTTCAAGGTTATTTCCACCTGGGAAACGAAGGAAAGTCTACAGAATCATTAATAGTGGACAAATTATGGCATAGGAAAGATTTGCCTACCGGACCCATGTCACTCATAGCTTGCATGAGATCAGTTCGCAAGCCATTGGGTCGATTATTCCACGTGGGTGGGAACAGGCTGATCAAATTGAAATCAAGAGATCCACCAGAGGCTTTCTAAAAGATAAGAACGCGTTAGCCACTGCATGAGGGGGGTTATACCAGGACAAATGGTGGATCTCACTGAGGCATCAAACGTCAAGGAGAACGTATTGTTGCTGTTGGCAGCCTTTGACTTAGGCGTGAGTGTGAACTCATGCTGGACCCATGCATTTGCAACACTCTTAGAGGTCACCTCAACGCTAGCCAGAGTCTTTCCAGTAGTGTCGGACTTGAGGGATGCCGTGAAAGAACCCTTGTAGGACCCCTTCACGTAGAATGTTCCAGAATATTTTTGAGGCCGCACATCAATTCCCCACCATCCCTCATTGGTCAGGCCAATGATTCCTTTTCCAGATACCTTGACCGATGTTGGGAGAGCAGATGACAGTGGGTTGCTGAGGTTTTGAAGAGCCAAAGTTGATTCTCCAACAGCAGTCCAGGCTTCCAGGCTCGATGGGTAGAGTGAGCTTCCTTGGAAGGCTCGGTTGCGGATCAGCTCTGCATACAAACCTCCTTCACCACCATGGTTGATTTCCTATGGAATGAATCAAAAACAAGTTACACTGGCAAGTACAGGCGTACATACCTCTTCCATGACACCATATTGAGTGCTGGTGGTAAAATTGCCACCAGACTTTGCAACCGAAATGGTATATGCCGCGCTGCAAGATGCCAGCAACGGCAACAGCAGGTATTCAAGTAACATGGTCGCGATCCTCAATTGGAAACAAGCAACCCTCTCTCAGATGTTATCCCGAATGGATACTGAAGAAGGATCCCACTAGGAGATCCCATCGAGTATTTATGCATCAAGTGTTCCGGCTGAACGTCGGCAAATTTGATGAGGAGAGCCATGCTGCCAATTCTCATGGTAACCCCTGCTGAAAGAAATCTTGCCCTCCCCCTTCTGTGCCGTGAAGGAAAATCTGGGGGTGGCCCGTGTCAGAGTCGATCATTTCCATTTGCACGGGAAAATTAACGGCTAGCTTGGCATAATCAGGCATTTCATGCATCGGGTGTCCCCTTTAGGGAAAATCCCAGAGGAGTGCAGGATGCAGGGTCAATACCCCTCAGAGGCGTAGTGGGAAATCCTTGGCAGAAATGCAGGGATAGTATGTTGAATTTCTATCTGTAACCATCAAGACTAGAAACCCAACATTTGAAGATGGCGACCTTAACCTAATTATGTTCCGTCTCTACACGATATGTTTAAAGGACACCGGCTAAATTGGCTGGACAGAATCCAACGTAAATCTAATCAATTTTCCATTAGGCAACCTTGTAAATCACCCGGATAATTATTCATTTAATGAATGTTCAATCGTGAGTTATGAAGAACTTGAATAATTACCATTGAGCACTGGTGAAGAGCATAGCGCATGTACCCGTGGACAATTTGGAGAAATACCCCCCGATGGATGAAATGATTATGATAATCTACCTCGACAGACACATGTGCATGCATCTATTGGACATTTGAAACGACATCCAGGGATTACAACCTTAGGTTAGATGTTTTGCACCTGAATTAAAGATTCAACATGTTGAGTTCAATGTTGCTTGAGTGCTACATGTGGCACTTATAGGCACTTCAATGTTGGGTATATCTGCTGCCTACATATAGGTGGCTACAGGTATTCATTCAACTCTCAAGTGGAATTTTCCAGCTATACATAACATCAATTGATGATTTTTGAACGGCAAAAACTGGAATCGAGCTAATGTTAACATTCAACATCAATTGAAAGGAACATTGAAGTAGACACCTAAATACACATTATCCCGAATACCCGAGCAAGCACTTGAGCGCTTGAGCCTATTCAATGTTCCAACATTTGAAGGTTCCCATATATATACCTCGGGATCTTCCCAAGACACCCAATCATAGATCTACCTGTGTCACGCAAATTAGAATGACGTAAAGTAGAAATAGCTTGACAAGAGCAAGCAGATTACATAGCTGCACCAACGGGGGCATTTGGAGATCCTTGAGCTTCTGCATGGGCGTCAATTTTCTTAAAGTTGTTGAAGGGACTGACACAGAAAGCGATTCCCGCCGCAGTGATCGAAATAGCGTAAGCCACCTTAAGACCTTTCATATAAGCAGGCAAAATAGCCGCCAGCTGTTCGGTTGTAAAGATCTTTCGCAGTTCACTGGCACCAGTCGCAACCACTAAGGATGAATCGATGCTCGCTGCAGTTGCGGCAAGTGTGATAATAATCTGGTTGACAAAGGCAGATTGTGCTGCAGCCACTAAAACCGCACCCCCGACAGTTTGAAAGACTGAAAGATGAAGCATATTAGTAGGTCTCCGTGTCGGATAATTAAAAGGCTGTAAAGAAACGACTACTTACAGACGATAACACCTGTCACGGTTGCAATATCACTGGGACCCACTGCACCATGCACCGCATTGATGGGAACCCGATAGGCTAATCCCCATCCAACTCCACTGACAATTTGGTATCCAATCCACTTGCCTGTGCTTGTACCAATATCCAGCGAGTACAATAGTGCCGAACCAATGATTGCCAGAAAACCGCCGACAACCATCAGAGGCGCAGTATGACCAGTTTTGGTGATGCTGCCACCAGAGATAATGATAGCTAGCGACATGGAGACAATCAAGGGAAGGTTTCGTACACCAGACATAGTAGGGTTAACGTTTTGAATGCTCTGGAAATAGTAAGGCAGGTAATATACTATGATGAAGTACGAGCCTGCGAAAAAGAATGCGTAGATTGAGTTCACAAGGATGAGGCAGTTTGACATCAAGCGCGGCGGAAACGCAGCCCGTTCTTCTTGGAACCATTCCCACGCCATGAAGGCAATAGTCATGATAGGAAAGCCGACAAGAAGACCTATCACAGTACTGGAGCTCCATGCCTTCGTCTGTCCACCGTATTGCAGTGACAAGATGTATGAAATGATGGTACAGATTAGAAGGATCGTCCCGATAGGATCTATCTGCAAGAGCTTTTCCTTTAACGTACCCTTGGCTGTCGAGGCGCTATCAGGTGCATGGAAGAAAAAACCAATGAAAACAGCGGCGAGGCCTCCGATGGGTAAATTGATATAGAAGCCTAGATAACAAGGAAAGAAAAGAAAAGAAAAATCAGCCAATTTCCATATCTATTGAAAACCAACCATTTGCGTTGGGTAAATGAGTAGGCAGCAGAAGTACTCACACCACCTCCAAGTTACTTTATCGGCGAATGCACCACCAACAAGGGGGCCAACGACCGAGGCTATACCGTAAGACGCGCCGATGATACCGGTGAAGAGCGGCCGCCTTTTTGGACTGGCAACGAAGGCGATGATGATGAAGACCCCACTCCCAATACCAGCGGCACCGATTCCAGCAATTGCACGACCAACAATCAGTGCTACGGAACTTGGAGCTACACCACAAATCAAGCTCCCAAGCTCGAAAATGAAAACCGCAAGCAAGAACGAGATTTTCAGCGGGAAATATGTGTATATTTTCCCCCAAGTTGATTGGAAGCCTCCAGTAGTCATCAGGAAAGCCGAACCATACCAACTAGCGTCATCAAGACTGTGGAATTGATCGGTAATTTTAGGAATAGCCGTCGCAACAATGGTCTATTATCCAATTTTTACATTAGATGATGATGGTACTTTGAACATTGAGAGGCTCCTTTGGTCACTGAGGGGGGAAATTGTAAGGCTTACCATGTCAAGGGCAACCAAAAAGATGCTCATACCAAGAGCCACAACAATTATGAATAGCTTGATACCATGAGGGTACTGTGCTTCATCGTCCAGGTAGAGTTCCTCGGCATCTACCTTTTCTGGTAGGGCAGGGCTTTCTGGGTCATTCGGAATATTGGTTACATGTATTGATGACAGCGTGCTAGATTCTGCGTTCTGCCGCTCCTTTTCCACCATGAATGTTGAGCTCATTTCCGCAAAAAGTAATTGAATTTGTTTTCAGAGTAACAATGAATGTACTCGACACGACAGGAGGACTTGAAGTAAATGAGAAGAGTTTCACGCGCAGGCGGGCTGGAGGTTGTTGGAACTTGTTGACATCCACGGATCTGGAAAGATATGTATAATAAACACATAGCCGCAGAAGTTGAGTCTGTCCCTGACTGAGCTTCCAAGGTTCTTTCAAACACTTGAACGTATGTCCGAACTAAGGAAACCCGGACGGAGGAACGAGCACTTGAGTAAAAGTAAGCAGTCATTGGCCCGCCGAAGCATGTTTCGCCCGCCGTACAGTGCACAGGGTCAACATTGATGACTAGAACCCGAGACATACGTGTATTTATGCGAGATTTATGGATAGTCTCTGGTCTAATGGATTTTGGTACCTACACGGTATGTATGTGCCTTCAATGTTGGTGCCGACTATAAGGTGACTACAACCCGTCTACAGGTATTTCTAAGAAATGCTGCCAGTCATTTTTTGCTCTATGTCTAAATGAGAATATATTTCCGTTTCGCGCAAAAGTCTGATGGTAAATGCAAGAATCGAATTTTGAAATATTATCAATGCAAATAGGTGCCAAGGGGCTTTTGTCCGCCGCATGGATTTCACGGCGGTCGAATGGCATCCGCTTAGTCAGCTGGACCAAAGAATTCCCCCGCCGTCTCGGATGTTGCCATCTTGGAATTGTTTTGTTCAACTTCCATCAATTGATTACTTTACGGCACCCGCATCCCAAACACCGTGATTCACTGACTCTGTGCATAGAAATCGATATGGAATACGAGATCGCCGAATCGGATGCGAAGCGGAGGAAGATACGCAAAGGGACGAAGAGTTGCTGGGAGTGCAAACAGCGCAAGATGAAATGTGTATATGCAGACCCCAGCTCTCCAGACAATGTCGAAGCCATTTGCATTGGCTGCCACCGGCGAGGATCGAAATGCGTGAGCCAGGAGTTTGAGTTTGTGGGTGGAAGGGAGAACGCAGGACATCTCGAGAGAAAAGGACAACACCACACGAGCGGTAAAGATAAAGATCGTGTTGCGAGGGTTGAGGCCTTGGTTGAGCAACTGATCAGGAAAGTGGACCGTCATGGGGGAGTAGTTGAACCTGCCAATAGTGGAATTCCTACACCTCCAAATCTTGGAAATCACACTGTTGCATCAATAGACCAAGAATCTTCGTCTTTTTTGTCTTCATGCAGGCCTTCGCATGTACATTACGTTTTCGAATTCCAGTGCGCGATGAACTGTCACTGATCTTATCAGGATGATGTTTCGGGTGAAGCTGAGGGGAAATACGAAAATCTATCTCAAAAAATGCACGAGTCCTTGCCCTCACGAGAAGTTATCGAGATGATATACAATGCCCGCGGTAAAAAAGCCATGTTTTTTAATGAAATTTTGAACGCTCCATATGCTGTACTTGAGCAGAATGGCCTCAAGTCACCAGCCATCTTACTCGAAATACCGAGTCCGACGTCGCATCCAGTGCTGATCGCAAGACATATGCTTTACATTGCTACTTTCTTGCAGCATCTCCATACCAACTTTTTGGGGGCTGTAAATAGTTTACCGGAACCACTCCCCGCACTAATGGAACGACTAGCAGGAACTGCTACAAGTTTGGTCACGACAAATGACCAGTTTTTTGGAAGCATCGAGGGATTGGAGTGTGTTATGATGGAAAGCATGTACTACCACAATGGTGGAAATCTACGACGAAGCTGGATAGCGAACCGCAGGGCTATGGTTATTGCACAAATGATGAACCTCCACAAAGATCAAAGCCGAGCAAAATACAAGGTTCTTGATCACAACACGAAAGCTCATCCGCAGTTCATGTGGTTTCGAATTGTCTCTCTCGATCGCAATTTATGTCTCATGCTAGGTCTTACCCAAGGCTCCTTTGATCAGAGTATGGCCACTGGCGCAGCATTCAAAGATGATATCCCTATGGGCCGCCTCGAGCGAATGCATTGTGCTCTTGCGTGTCGCATATTGGAACGCAACGAGTCTGAGCCGTGTGCCAACCACTTTGCCTTGACACAAAACCTCGACTTAGAGCTACAGCAGATTGGGAGAAGCATGCCTTGCAAATGGTGGCTTATGCCAAACCTAGACAGTGTTACGGATGACCCGCAGGCTCTAGTTTTGGAAATGGGACGGCTGTTCAGCCAGTTGTATCATTACAACTTGCTCAACCAGCTCCATTTGCCTTACATGCTTCGTTCATCAACTGAAAGAAAGTACGAATTTTCCAAAATGACCTGCGTGAATGCGTCAAGAGATATTCTCTCGCGATTCATCATGTTTCGTGGCTACAACAGAAATAATTTCTGCTGCCGGACAGTTGACTTTTTTGCACTAATGGCCGCCATTACACTACTTCTGGCGCATCTCGACAGTCATCGCTTTCCACAGACTAGCAACCTCTTAGCGCACCAATATATTAGTGATCGTGCCATGATAGAGCAGGCGCAGTCGAACATGGAAGAAATCAGTCGTGTTAATGGTGATATTTTAAGTACCCAAAGTGCGGACTTATTGCACAAGTTGCTGGCTATCGATTCCGAAACAGCAGATGGGGTCACTACAGAGAGCGTCACAGTTCAGACACCAGAGAATGCAGTGTCGCAGTCAAGCGAAAATAATAATGGCGTTGTTCGGGTGCAAATACCTTACTTTGGCATTGTCAAGATTGCCCGCCAGGATGTTGTTTCGAAGGAGATAGCCAACGAACAACCGCCTTTGAGTAATGGCCAACAATACGCTCCGCTTATTGGCGTGGATAACACCGAGATTTCGGAATCCGCAGTGCGTGATCTTGGCTCTAGTAGCTTCAATGGAAATGCATTTCCTAGGTCAATGACGGGAGTGGATTATCAGTCTGTCGATAGTAGTAGTGGCTCGCATGAACAGCTCACATCGCGGTATCAAGACTCTGTTTCTGAAACCCTCCTGCAGAGTTATCAAGATCCTGGGCTAACTGCCAGAGTGGACGACTGGGCATTCCAAGGGGTCGATATGGCTTTCTTTGACAGCGTAATGAGAGGCCTCGATAACGGAAATACTTCACAAACCTGGGACAATAGCCCTTCACCTTGAAGATACGACAATACTTTAATTATGGTCTGGGTATAGCTCTCTAGTCTAGTAAGCAATTTGTGAGGCGATTTATCGGGAGAGAACCAAACTTGATGTACTAGCTCATCCTTCAATCTGCCATGGCAGATAGTGAGCACATTCTATTGATGATTTGAGGTTCAAATGTTTTTTACTTTAAGCTGCCCACAATTGTTTCCTATGTGGAGACACGACTTGGTGCACGATTTGAATCCACCTTCGATCTTACCAGTTCAAGCATGGTATCATCGACCACGCGTCTTCTGACAGTAAATAACCCACCATAGCCTTTTCGCTGGGGGTATTTTTTCCTTCGTGCCCATATCAGTTCGACATGTTCTAGTCGAGCGATTCTATGGCGCACACGCAAAAATAGACTATTTGTCATGATCCATTAGCATTTCATCAAATTCGATTGGGGAAGTTGTAATATTTACGGATTCAAAAACATACTTGCTCGTGGTCCATTCTTCGATGCGGCGGTAGGAACGGCGAGTTGATTTGTGATCGACCCCTAGAACCTTCGCTTCTAAACGTGCACATTCGATCATCATCGAAAGGGCTTCCTTGTGCCGCATTCGAGCCTTAATGATCACGGCCAAGTAGAAGGTATCGCGTAGTACTGTCGGGTGTTCCGGTCCTAAGGTTTCTCGGGCTATCTCTATACTTTCCGTGTAGATATCTTCTGCTTCTTTCATTTTGAATTGCTCGATATAGCAGTCCGCCCGAATGAGATTGGCATGTCTGTACCACATGTCTGATGCGTTAGATTCGGGATATCTTTCAGTGATAGATACCAAGTGGCGAGATAGCTCTTCTGATTCACGAAGCCGACCTTGGGCAAGATATGTCATAGCCAGGCCGCACATGGCATTATAGAGAAGATTATCCCCTAACGAGCAGTGATCCAAGGAGAATTTGAGAACAGCTGTGCCAAGCCGCTCAGCCTCTTCAAGCTCCTCATTACATCGATAGCTATCCGATAAATGGGACTGTAGAAGCATTGACAATCCTGTCTCAGAGCCGCGAGCCTTTTTTTCATCTTCAATGGCCTCCTTGCTAATATTTATGCTCTTCTGATATTCACCCATTTGTCTGTAATCAAAAGCCAAGTTTCCACGAAGCTCGATAGTATGCGGGTGGTCATGGCCAAACGCAACTTTGGCGCAATCGATTGCTAGCAGAGAAAGTGCCGAGGATTCCTTATACCTACCGTCCACGAATTTTGTACTGGCAGAAAGGCAAAGCAAGCGTACTCTTTCTTCAGAAGGGGGCTCATCTATGGTTGAATCGAGAATGTGGAGAGCGTGTGGTATCAGTGCCCGGCGCTCACTCAATTGATCTTCGGGTGGAAAACTCAAGGTCATTTGGCGAATTGTAAAGATCTGCCAGGCACGGAGACTATTCAACGACCGAAGCCAATTTCTTGTCGCAAGGTGGACTAGTCGGTGTAGATCGAGACGACTGTCTGGATTTCTGATTCGCACAAAGGAATAGGACACAAGTACCCCGATCGCCTTTTGTTTCTCTAGTTGGGTTGTTGAGAACAATGTCGAAATTGGAATATCTTTTGCGTTGATGCATGCCATGTACGCAAGATACTGAGAAGCTAAAGGATAGTCTCGTTGGAGTTGTACGAACGATGTGAGCCATGTTGTTGCAACTGGGTTACGTATACTCCTATATCTTCCTTCGTCTTCAAAGTCTTCACTGAGAACATCAAGCACGTCTTGATCCTGTCCATCCAAGAGCTTAACATAGCTTCGGATGTCAGTTTCGTTCTGGTTGATAAATGAGGCAGCCTGGACAATGGCCAATGGGAGATATGTGAGCCGCTCCAAAAGTTGTCGGGTACTTTCAGTGTCGTTCAGAAGGTCTTTTTTAACGAGGCAATTCTGTAACACAGTTGTGGCCCTGTGCTCGTCCAATTCCAAAATTTGGATAGTATCTGTTGCATTGAGATACTGGGCGACTTTGTTGCTTCGGGTAGTGAAAAGAACGACGCCTCGATCGCTTTTCGGAAGAACGGCTCTCAGGCCTCCCCCTTTACAATCCTGATCACTCTCCCTCCACATCTCAAGCTCGTCGGCATTGTCAATTATTAAAAGCCAGCGACCACTGTGAGACTGGTCAAGATAGTTTTGTACCACGACTTTGACATCCTCACTTTCCGGGTCGAAACGAAGACCCAACTGATATGCGATATCTTGATAAGACTGTCGCAGGCTTTCCAAGTCCACGGCAGGGATCCAAAATACTGCGCAGTCTGGGTATATGTCTCTCACTTGATGACCGACTTCCAAAGCAATTTGTGTTTTTCCTACACCACCGAGACCAACCACAGCAATGCGTTGCGATGGACCTTTGGTAAACAATGTTCGCTTGATGCTGGTAACATGTTCGCGATCCACAAACCTCGAATTCCGCTTTAACGGAACAACCCAGCAAGGTGGTGGAGGCCGACAAGCTCCATCTCCAGAAGAATGCATCTTGCTGAGTACTTTGGCCTGATAAAGTCGAGCCTTGTATTCCTGTTCGATATTAGAATTAATCCGTGTATATCATCTATAGAGGCATCAATACACTCATTGACAGATCAAATTCTAATACTGTTTTCCCTGTATCTTGTTAGTCTTTGAATTGTCCAAACTAAGGCTCAATGCCATAGATACCTTCTTTTTTTGTCAAATTCAAAACACACTCACGAACCCGGGCCTTCTGTGAAGAATGATGTAGATAGTCTTGCGTCGCATTTTCAATCAAACTTCGTTGTGAACAGTCATCCATCCGAACATTCTGCAGGCCTTGTTCAACATTGAACCGAAAGAGGCGATTTTCCTTCGCCTCGTTGATCCACCGAGCCATGAAGCGTCGTTCAGTGCTTTGTGGCTTTGTGACCAAACTGACCAGCGTTTTACGCACAAATTTGATTATGTTATCATTCATTGGTAGCAGTTCTGCGCATCCTGTACCGATGGTGAGAAAACATTTGACCAAAGGCTTGATCTCACGACTCGTGGTGCACCATATGTCGGCGGCCTCCTCTTCGACTTCCTCGGTGGGGTTGTTTGCCCCAAACGCACCATCAACAAACTGGCGATTCCCAATAGTCACAGGTTCAAAGAAGCCTGTGGCTGCGGAGGTGGCCAGGGCTGCCTCACATATTGTCGCCGGGAGAATGTCTTCATTGGGCACACTGTAGCTTCTAAGTCTTGTAACCTGAAGGGTATCCCTGGATGTAGTGCAAACGAATGTTTTGGTACGGCGAGAAACACCATCATCCATAAGATCACTTGGTGATGCACCGGCTCGACTAATAACATGCTCAATGGCTGCTTTAAGCCGTTTGCTGTCGAATTTGGCTCTGATGTTCAATGACCAATCCACGGGAATGTGGCTCATCTGCTCACCAAATACGCAAGTCATCAATTCGCTATATGCATCGATGCATTCATTGACATCTAGTTCCAATCGACCAAGCATAATTGCAATAAGTCTAGCTTATAATTTTAGTTTGGGCATTACGATATAGTAGACATGGATCTACTCACCCGCCTGTGCTGGTTCCTCCAATAAGATCAAAAACATCGCATGGCTTGAGATGGCGACCATCATCTCGTTCGCGATTCAACTGTGCCATGATGTCCCTCAATATCAATAACGTAGAGAATCCTCGAACACCGCCCCCATCAAGTGATAGCAAGCACAAACCATTGGTATCACGTGGATTTGATCCCAAAATTTCCATGATAATTGCATAAGATATAAAGATATTATCCAAAGTAAAAATATGATACGACATATAGCTTAGGAAAATAGCCGACACCATGCGTCGAATATCAAAAGGTTTTAAGAATTTCAGGTCTCGGGAAACACCACATCCTTTTTTTCCCCACCCAGAAGCAATCAATGCATGCGGGGCAGGGCGCTTACTAGCTGCAGCAAGAAAGTCATCCATTGCCAATCGCGCGCACAGCCAATGTTTCATACTACCCAGCTATGCGCGTTGATCTTATATTGGAACACCGTATTCTTGCACGGTTGAAAGATAAAAATAGATTCAGTATGTCCAACATTGAAGGGTTTTGCAGCCACTTCCTTCAGTACCTAACGTTTGAACCTACACAAGTGGGTAAAATATTATAAGCGCTGAAAGCATGGATAGCTACCAGTTGAGAGTACCTGGTCATGAAATGTCGATAGTCAGCAAGTACTAGCTACTAGATTTCAATGTTCCTCGTTTGATGTTCATAATTCATAATTCAGCGAAAGTTCAAAGGACTCGAATAGCATCAAGGTGGGCTGACTCCAGTGCTGTCAGTCTCGGCCAATGTCCCAGGAATGCAAATGTAGTTGTACATATCGTGGCAAGAGAAGACAGCTCTCCTTCCGACCACAGAGTGTTCGGATTAATTCATTCCCACAAATACCAGATATTCGAACCGAAAGCAGAATTTTGGCTAAAACACATTGACATGAGATTAGAGGCTCGGAGAACTTGATAAAAAAAAAAGCCCAGAAACTGAATTGGATTCGGCCCAGACCCTGCCGGGAGAATCCTACAAATTCGAACGCCGCAAGCAAGATATCATCGAAGTCGTCGATCGCAGCATCTAGCACATCTCACAGCACTCGGCACAGTCTGCGCAGCACTCACAACCCTCCTCGCAAACAAAGCAACAGCACAGAGCAGCCAAACTAGGGGTAGATATTAGTATGGATCCAGGCATTGGTTTTGGGTCCATGACTGGAACTTACCAGGCACCCAAGCAGCCACCACCACCACTCTTATTACCGCGGTTGCTGGTATCCTGGTTCGGGGCGAAGTTCATCTGCTATAGTGGAGATTAGCGGGTTGTGCTTGGAAAGTGGTTGAAGAAAATTGCCGCATACCTGGCCCTGCTGAGGAGGGTAGCCCTGTTGGGGGTACTGCTGAGGAGGATATTGCTGGGGAGGATATCCCTGCTGGGGATACTGCTGTTGGGGGTATCCTTGGGGAGGGTAGCCACCATAACTAAATCCAAAAACCCGTCAGTACAACAACTTTGAAATCACTCGAGTATTGCCCCAAAGTCACAACGGTCCGTCCTGATAATGCCGCAAAATTCATTCGATCACCGGGCGCACCGGCGATTATCCTAGAAGAGGTATGCGAACGGTATTGTTTTGAGTCTTGGTATGACTTACGCCTGAGGAGGAGGGCCGGGGGGGCCGCCATGGTGAGGACCTTGTTGATAATAGTCGGCCATATTGATGCTAAAGTGGTGAACGAGTCAGTGATGCGATCGAAGCCAACCATGCTATCCACGTAGCCGCCGCGGCGTTTCCAACTGGGATGTTGAGGAGATCATAGGCCACTGCGGTGACCAAAGCGACCGGGGTTGCGACGTACCTTGCTGATTTCGGAGTCGGAGATTGGCGGAGAGGAAAGCACGGGGCTCGCGAAAAGGAAGAAGGGGCTTTGCGAGCGAGTGAGGTGACTGTGACGAGAGGTTGAAAAACGACGGTGAGGTCGTGAAGGAAAGTGAGAAGAGAGGTAGGAGGAAAAAAGAGGAGACAAGGTTTACCGAAACCGCCGATGGAGCTGAATCTGCAGGAAGAATAATTACCAGTCGCAACTCCTTTTTTTCCCTATTTTTCCCTTTTTTCCCGTTGTTTACGGAAAGAATTGAATGTATGATACGGCCTTGGCACGTAAAGTTAGTTGAGAATAGAATTTCCTTAAGGCCAAGACTCCCAAGGCCCTGTACAAGTCTATACACTGAATTCCAATTAACTAGTAGATATTATTGCATGTTTGATCTCTTTTCTAATTTAATGTCAGATTGCGGCTGTGAAGCCTATGAATCGATCCACTATGAACTGAACTGCCACACTCGCTCGCCACTAAGTGTACATAATTCATCGTAAAAGAATGGAATGGTAAAGACCCCAAATACCACTTCCCGGCCCCCAAGTGAAACCCGTGGTCGTATGATTACGGTATTTCTCTGTATGAGAGCCCACTGAGCCACAGCAAAGACCCAGCCCTATCACCAGGTCTGCGTGGTCAGCCACACATCCACCTCCACTTCTTTTGTGATTATTGGTCTGAACCCCAGCCACCGTGTCACTAGAAAGCATTGGAAACTCCACCACGAGCGGGATCTCACCCACTAAGAACCCGGGAGCGGGCGAACCGGTCTGGCTCAGCTACTGGGGTTGAGTTGACTGGGTTGACCGCTGGTATTGTTGCTGCCTGTACGGATTACGCCGTATGGATTGCATCTTGTACTCTGAATCAAAGTATACAAAGAACACGAGCCTGGGAGCCAGCACATATGGGTTATCCTCTCAGCTTTGTTTCATCCAATAAGTGGATTCACATCTGTCTTTGTGCCCTTGTTTCTTTATTCCAGATGAGGTTCGTTGTCAGGCCCCGGAAATAACTTGTAAGGTACCCGTAATGCCAAGGCACCAACATTCCTGATTTGGCACTTTGCTGCCGTAATTTACGGGCCCCCAAAATATTCGACCATCGGTATTATTAAGGGGTGAGCTGAACTTTTAGTAGGGGTGAGGTGACCTGATCGGTAGAGTCGGTACTGGTACGACTGGAACCTGCCAAACTACAGCAATCGTCAGATTGGATGCACCAGACTGCAACGCTGTACCACTAAACACACTACAGTGCATTTATATGCAAGGAATGACCTATGCAAATTACTTATAAGGTTGGATATGACTGTATATAAACGATAAAAAAATCACATCGCTAATGCCATAGTAGAAGAAAATAATAATCATTAGTTGCTTTCGTCGCTCGTGTCAGTACTGGAACTAGCCGGGTCATTAATGAACGAACCCCTGGTAATGAGTAAAGAAAGACAACCCCAGATTTCCAGAGTACAGAATGACTGCAATGTGGAGCAAAAGGGGCAAATGATGTCACGCTGCGCCTTGAAGTCGCCAACCCTCAGGCAATCAAATCGAGTCAAGCCGAGCCAGGCCATACTTCCGAAATGCCCATAATCAATCGCAAATAACCATTAACCCCTTCCCACCGATATTCAAGTTTGGACTCGTGTCCAGATGCCCTCTCCAAAACGAATAAAGTCGACCCAGGTCCAATTCCGACTCCGATCCCAAACCATATATATACCCGAAACCGTACCCCATACACCCAAATATCATATACCAATATATCGCACACCATGCTGGTCCAGAACCATGAAGATAACCGCGTCACACACATGATGAATTGAATTCATCAACCAAAATAAGCAGGAAGTGGAGGAAAAGAAGAAGAAGAAGAATAAGAAGGAGAGGAGAGAATAAAAAGAGAAAGAAGAACAACCAACTCGCCAAAACACAGCACAAAACAGCAACTACGACGGCTCACATCACATACGACTCCATTTCCGGCGGAAAAGGAGGCTGGGCTTCCATGTAGAATGGAACATCGAGCGACGGGTCAAGATCAAAGCCTGACATGGAATACGAATCGAACCCATGCATGAGGGTAGACTCCATATCGTATGAGGAGACATGAGCAGGTGGCATGGAGCGGGGATGCGCATGTGAATATACATTCGCATTCCCATTCGAGCGAGCAATATTCAGCCCATCATGATGATGCTCATCAACATCAAGTCCATGATCCTGCTCTTGCTCTTGCTCTCGCTCCTGCTCCTCTCCATCATACTCATCCAAGACAGAATCAGACCCCAAACTCCCACACTGCTGCTGTTCAAGTTGCTGTTCAAGCTCAAGTTCCAACTCAGCCTCAAGCTCGGCACTGTCTCGCTCATTTCCATTCTCACCGGCCCGCTCAACAGTCTGTCTCATCCAATGTTTAAGCACATCCATAGGTGGGTGATTGCCTCCACCCTTCCCGCCTCTCTTCTCACTATCCTTCCCGCGACCCCCGCGGCCCCGCTGACAAGGATTGAAATGGGTGCGTCGCAAGTGCGCCGCGGCGTTGTAGTTGGCGCCGTATTTTTTCCCATTCCGGCACGCTTTGCAGTTCGCGAGAAAAGATTTGTCGGGCGAGATGTCGACGCAGACCCAGACTTTGCGAACGGAGGCGTGCACACGGTCCATGTGGCGGCGGAGTTCGTGCTCACCGTGGAAGCCCTCTGGTTGGTCATTACAGACACGGCAGTATGTTTTCTGGCGTGGAGGTCTGTGGATTGAGGCCTTTGGGATGGCTGCTACTTCCTTGGTGGTGCCGTCTGTTGAGGAGATGCGGAGCATCATGTGTGGGGAGGAAGTGTCATGCAGCAGAATCGTAGCTGTGTTGCTGTCATGAGATTCACGTTTGGGGGCGATGGGGCGGGCTGCATGGGCGAGTTGTTCTTGAGTGCGACGGACTGCACGGGAGGTTTGCTGGTCCTCTTCGGATGGGAGGGTAGGTTTGATATCCATTGGTGATGGGTGTTCGATTTCGGATATGGGGAGGGATGAACGAATCGAGCGTGGGAATGAGGTTGTGCATGGGGCAGAGGTGGAGAAAGCGGGAGGGTAGGTGATTGGGAAAGAGGTAGAATCTAAGTGAGGATATAGGGAAGAATGATAGGGAAGCCCAGAGGTGGATGTGGGCACCCACTCTGGGGGGATAGAATAAGGGGCCAGATCCAGTTCCGTGTTTGGCGCCGTTTGATCAAATCCAAAGTTATCGAAGTGGTTGATGATCGTGTCGGTGGTACCGCTGCGGGTCATGCTGACGGCCGCCGCGGGAGATGTATCGGCCATGGGAGAGATTTGTCCGTCGTGAGGTTGCAAAGAGGCCATTCCAGTCGATCCGTGGGCTGCAAGAGCAAGGGAGAGAGCGGAACCAGGAGCAGAGCCAGAACCCGAGGGATATGACTGGTTGCAGTTGTCGCCGTCGTCCAGTTGCAGGTGCTTCGTGTATTCGGATGGTGAATACTCGTCGATGACTTGCTCAAGCTGCGGTTGCTGGGTCCTTGAGGAGGGTCCGAAAGATGATCCCTTACCCATGGCCCCGGCGGGCGGATGCCAGTGGGATATGGGGATCTGTTGGCTCTGGGAGCGGACCATGGGCGCCGTATGATGCCGGTAAGTTGAGACCGACGCTCTCTTTTGCGGTCCAACAGTCGTGGATGCTTGAGAAAGCGCGCGCCTCAGCTCCATGGTCACTGGAAGATCCGGGGTCTGCCAATCGTCAATCCAAGGAATTTTTACATATATATTTGGCTGGAGAATTAGAGGGGAAGGAAAAGGGAGGATGGAAAGGAGCGGGAAGAATGGGATATTCTCCATCAGAGGGTGCGGGAACAAGGAACCAAGGTCACACATACGGTGGCTCGCCGTTTCGCCTGCGGAAGACCAGAACCAGAAGAAAGAAGCGTCCGCGGGATAGCATCCTGTCGAGTTCGTTTGCCCGGTTTCCCGGGGGTTGCGTCGTCCCGATCGATGGCCGGGATAAATGGGCTGATCCGGTGACTCCAGAGTTGATTCCGTTCAGCTTCCGGAAGGTGGGAGTATCTAACCAAAAAAGCTTCACGGTACCCTGATATGGCCCTGGTGAACAATTCATCTTCGTCTTGATTGAATGTCATAGTTGGGGGGGGGGGGAAAGGGGAATAAGACCCTGATGTTGGAGTCGACCCTGATTTGAAGTCGAACTGGTGTATCAGTATGCGAAACAGGGAGCGATTAGAACGAATGGAAAATAGCCAGAATAGGCTCGATAAAAATATGTAGTATGGTGGGTGGTTTTGTTTTCTGGTCTATATAAGATGGTTAGGAGCCGCAAAGCCGAATGGGGGCGCGCACGTACATAGTTTTTCCCCAGAAAACGAGTCTTATCTCCAAATCCGATTCCGATCGGGATTGTCGATAAGGTGATGGAGAAAGGGAAATGAAAAGGTCGAGATGAAGGCAGATTAAAGGGAAACTTGAATGTACAAAAAAATAAATTATGAACTGATAATGCAAATCGTCAAAGTCAGGAAAGATTGGGCAGAGAAGAGGAAAAGAGAAGAGCAAAAGTCCGGGAAAGGGAACAGCTAACTAGTCCCACCGAATGGATACGAAGTCTGTAAATGACAGCTATAGGAGACCAAAGACCAGACAGAAATGGTGGAAAAGACCCAGATCCAGGTGTGGATCTACGAGTTCTGGACCATCGAATGGCAATTCTGATGTGTATTATTACTATTATTACTATTATTACTGTTCTTACTATGCTTTACTATTATTACCCGGAGGAAAAAAGATTACACGATGCACCTTCCCCGTACCATTCTCTTACGATCTCCCTATCATCTTCCTATGCGTTTCGCGGTATTTACTGGTATTTTGCGCAAGTCTTGTTTAAGGGGGATTTCTACCATTCCGTATTCGCACAAGCCATGCTGACTATTGATTTTTTTTTACTATTTTCCTTGATGTTCGCACCTCCATTTCTGTGGTTGGTTCATTCATTCCTGCAACACGGGCAGAGTCGGTGATGGGACATCCAGACGATAAAGTGAGGCAGCGAACCGGATCACCCCGAGCGTGACCCGACCGCCCACGATGCATAGCCAGATTAAATAATCAAGGGGGGTCAAGGGAACGTTCTTCGCGTCAGAGAAGAAGGTTTGAAGTTACAGATGGAAAAGAAGAGAGAGAGAGAGAGAGAGTCTTCCAGCGCTAACAGCGGATGAGAAGCGGAAATCCACTGGCAGTACAGAGTCCACTTTTGCCCCCTCTGGATTCCTGAATTAGTGAATATTTCAATATTCACCTCGTGAGCCCCCCGTCAACAAGTAATATTCAATAGCTCTTCTATGGAGCCTAATATTACCAGTCCTCGGTACTCCATACACTTCTCCTCTTGACCCCCCCCCCTCTCTGTTCCAAAATCCAGATTCGTTTCCAACTAAAGACAGGTCAGACGTCTGAATGGATGCCACGTCGTTTCACCCTGCAGCCGGGAAAAGAGTCCTGCAGGTGACGCTTCTGGGTGGATTTTGGTGGACTTTGGACTCTGGGAATGGAGTCTCTGTGCCCAATTGTTGCCCTGTGGTTGAACCGTTATGAAGGTCCGTGGGAGAAGTGGAAGTTCCGGGAAGTGTACCATGGATCCAATCTATAAAACCAAAATAGAAAATATGAAGGAGTTTTTTTTTTTTTTTCGTATGAGAATTTATGATACTCTATATATAACATAATTCAAGTATTGAATCCAACCTGGTACTCCGTGTAGGGGATTTCCCTGTCCCGGTTTCCCGTTTCTCAGGGGCGAAAAGGGATTTCCGACGATCAGACGATCTTGGCGCTAATAGACCCGCGATACATTCACATTATTCAATGTTATTTACTCTAATTCTCCGTAACAATAATGGAAATGCTGCCCGGAATATTTGAATTTTAAAAAAGGGAGAGAGAAAAAAGAAACTACCCAGGTTTCTTCCAATCCAGCGGTAACTGCGTTTCACCTACTCTTCCTCCCTCAACCTTCATAGGCGGTTGACAGAAATCGGCCCGCAAGTGGAGGATCGACGATGCAGTTTTCAAACTTTTCAACCCAATAGCCATCACACTGTAACGCCCAATCTGGAATATGGCTCCACGGCTCCACGGCAGTAAAGAGGAACTGTTATCACTCAATTTTGATGTGTCATGGACTCCATGCCACACAAGGTGGCTTGGATCTCCTCGGCATGAAAAAGGAAATCGATTTGATGAGGTGTTGTTTTTTTCCTCTCGCTCTATCTAGACTACTATGTATGTATTCCGTCCATCATTTATGAAACACGGCTGGAAAAGCAACATTCGTACTGTTTGGACCGCTTGATAGACATTCAACTGGAATCTCATTTCGTCATTGACCTGCAAAGACGGTGTATCATTTTCTGCCCAAGGGGGCCTTAACTTTGAATGCATCTCATTGGTAGATTGGGGGATTATTCTACTTGTTATCCAATAGGACCCTGCGTCATCTTTACCAAAAGTACGACATCGACATCATCCCGGTCATCAGAGCTATAGTCGTCCAAAAAATGTATGAATTTGGAAATTCCACTGAGTTTCTTCTTGTCGCAAGCCATTCAGCTTCGCCAACAGAACTGAAAATCTTGCGGAACAGGGCCAGAAGTTCAGACAGCAGGATCCATGTTCCTAGTAGATGATGGAGCCCTGGAAGGTTTTCCAACACTCCAAATTGAACATCGACCCTGGTCCAACAGCCCCAATATAGCTTGCACTCTGTCCTCCCAGTGGTTCTCCTGTCCGGGTTACAGCTTGAGTCTAGCCTCCAGCCTCCAGCCTAGACTCCCGTCGATGAGGATGACAAGGCAGACCGAAGCCACACGTCCGCAGCACGTCGCGTGCGCTGAATCGCGAGGCTAGCACTGCATCCCCCTTGAACGCGACTTGCAGGTGGCGCATCACAGGAGCGTAACAATCAAGCTTCTATTGGGGACATAAACGCACCATGCAGCAACGGAGGTACGGGAACTGGAGTGGCTGAGTGCCATCATATTGACAGCAGACTAGCGTGGGTGTAAACGTTGAGGCGGAAGCGGCCTGCTTTAAAACTACCCGGGGATAGGATGACGGTGACCCTGAAGTTCATGCTGCCAATGGTAAGCCCGCGTGGTCTGCCGCGCACGAGTCTTGAACTCGGCTGGAAGCCCCGTGCTGATTCTGGCGGCTCTGCGGTGAAGGCCTTTTGTGATTCGTGAATACCGTCCAGGGTGTGTCTTTGCTGACCGCTACTCCGAATCTGTACAGACTGGATCCCATCCGACAGCACATTCAATTCTTGTTCGCACTAGCAAATTTAGAGGATGGGGCTATCATATATGGCTTTGGCGGTGTATGCAGCTGGCTCTTTGTGGCTGGACATAGTCCTCTTTTGACCTTACGCTTGTCCTCTTGCGGGACTATCGCTAGCTGCAGCACATACTACTGACGCGAAAAAAAAAAAAAATAGTTCCCGATCGAACCTTGATCATCTTCCTTATCGATGGAAGGTGCGAGAAGTATGAAGTTAGAACCGTGGAAAGGAGAGTTCTGCAGAACATTCTCCAGAGAACATTCTTGAACTCCAGGCCCATGGTTCAGTCTAGAGGCAAATTTGTCGCAGGAACAGTTCGAACACGAGCGAAAGAGCTTGTGCGCCTGGAGCATCTTTCGTTTCCCTCATACATAAGAAGGACTCTCCATTTCCTGGTTGCTGAACCACGGCAGCAAACTGCAAGTTTCTTCGACCCAACCAACCACTTCTCTCATCAAGGATTTGGTGATGGCAGACCGGGTCGGGCTGACGTCAAGTCGCCACGCCCGGGGCAATCTTGGAAACGCGTTTTGAAGATGTGGAGAAAGCATATAATAAAGTCGGTCCAGCAGCCGCGAATCAGGGGGACAATCATCACGAATGTTATTTCAATAGTAGAGAATCAAAGCGCCTTTGCGAAAATCCCTTAAGAAAGGCCACACGTGATCCTTCCCCAGCCACGTCATAATTTCCAGGAGAAACAGTTTCACGCTGCACAAAGATCTTTCATATAATTTTTTTTTTTCATTTACTTCAACTTATAAGTCATTTGATCTTCTCCGTCTGGATGAATTGACCCTGACTATTATCCACCATCCTGTTTTACGATTTATGATCAACCATCAGCGACAACTTTCTCATCCCACCACCCCACCCCTGAGCGATTAACCATGTCCGACTCAACCCTCTATCTCTACACCTCGCTCACAGCGGGGTCTTCACACATCATCACCGCAACCTCCCGCATAGAAACTATCCTCAAGGCGAACAAGCTCTCATTCCGAGCCATTGACGTTGCCACAGACGATGCTGCCCGCAAACTGTGGGGTCGTCGTTCCAAGGGTAAGAAGTTGCCCGGCCTGATCAAGTACGGCAACATCCTCGGAGTATGTAAAGCTTTCCTGTTGTCTGTTCAGAAGTGGAAATGTGTGACTAATCCCCCACGGTTAGGACCTGGAAGAAATCGAAGAATGGAACGAGTTCGGCGAGCTGCGCATGGTTGTAAACAGCGCCCCAGACCTGGATGGCATGCCAGCCACCAGCTACCCCATCGCCGCTCCCGACGCCCCCTCTACTCCAAAGGAGCCTGAACCCAAGACCCCCAAACCCGCTACGATCAAGATCCAGTCCCCACCCGCGAAGACCAAGCCCGAGGAGAAGAAGGACAAGACAGCTGTGCTAGCCCTGCGACAAGCCAGCGCCGAAGCTGCATCCAAGGCAAAGAGCAAGACAGACGATAAGAAGGACGCGACTGTGAAGCCCGAGGCTGAAAAGGAGGCGGATTCGACCAGTCCCACCACCAAGCAGCGCAAGGGCTCCGTCGTGCCCGAGATGCCCGATACTGCACCCGACTCACCTACGGGCGCTAAGCGTCCTCCTCTCGTCCCTGAAGTTGCGGCCGTGTCATCTGCAAACTTCCGTGCCGAAAACGCTGAAATTCTCGGTCTTGTGGGACACCATCGCGGGTCGATCATCTCGGAGACAGACAAGGAGGAACATGATAAGGTCGTGCGTGAGATTCGGTCCTCTGTCTCTGGGGAAGATACATCTGGGTCGGTAGAGGAGCTGCGGAAGGAGGCTGCGCAGAAGACGCGACCGAGTGAGACGATTGAAGAGAGCCCTGTTGTGGAGGATGCTGACACTACAAAGGCTGTGGCCGAGGTTGAGGCAAAGGAGAAGCAAGAGGAGGGTGCTGCTGAGAAGCACAATGAAGAGGAGAGTGCTGATGAGACCAAGGCGAAGGAGAAGAGTGTCACTGAGACCAAGGAGGGCGAGACCGAGACAAATGCTGCTGTTGCCCCTGCGGACCCCGCGGCTGCGGAGAGCGCGGAGAGCACGGAAACTACGTCAGCGATCGAGTGAGGGGCAACCTACGACAGTGACAAATGTACAGGAATGCACGTCAATTGCGAATGCGAATGTTTTCTTTTTTTACGAGCATGATACCAGCCTGAGCCCATTTATGTATAGTCATGGATAAGAAATTGCAATGTTTCTTTTTTTGGTATTTACATGGTTTAATAATCCCGAATGCGATTCGTATCTCATGATTAAAAAAAATTACACCACATAATGAATATGACGAGCAAGAAGCAAAGAAGAGAAAAAGAAAAGAAAATGCCTATATATCAAACCAGATCAAATCAGACCACGACAAGCAAAAAATAAACTGTTGAGAACACCGAAACCCCTTTTTGATCATCAAAAGACCCCACCAAACAAAAACCCCCACTAACAAAAAACGAGGCAACTCAACCATAGCGGGGCAATGCCCATGCCAATGACTATGTGTAATCATGTAATTGATGGAAAAAGGAACGGACCAACAAGCCTGAGTTCACTAATAAACCCGAACTTGAATGTACGGCTCAAGCAGAAGCCGAACCGGCTTCAAGACCCCTCCGCTTCTGCACCGCTTCTCTCAGTTTCGCAATAACATCGGCGGGGTCTTGCGCGCCAAAGATGGCAGATCCAGCCACAATAACATTGGCGCCAGCCTCGGCAGCCTGATCGATCGTTCCCAGACCAAGACCACCGTCGACCTCGATGTTCAAATCCGGGTAGCGGGCGCGCAGGGCCGAGACCTTGGGGAGCTCGGAGGCCATGAATTTCTGGCCGCCGAAGCCGGGGTGGACTGTCATTACGAGGACCATCTATCAAGCGAAAGAGAGAAAGAAAAGGTTAGCGCACGCACTGTAGAAGCTATAAACTGGCTTCATTCGCTCATGAATGGACCATAAATATGAAAATTGGAACGTGGGGTAGGAGAGTCGCAAACGTACCTCAGGTCGCTCGGCGAGATCCGGACTATCCAAAATATCCCACAGAACATCGACGGGGGTATCGGGCTTAATAGCAATACCGGCCTGCATGCCCTGCTCGTGAATGTATTTGATCAATTGGCGCGGCGAAGTGCGCTGTGTAGTGTCGTTATCGGTGGGATCGGTGGCGGCAACGGATGAAACGGCAGCTTCATAGTGGAAGCAGTAAAGATCGCAACCAGCCTTCTGGAATTCCTTGACCCATTTGTGAGGCTATGCGCAAAGCGTAGAAAAGATAAAAGTCAGTCAGGGAATCGGGGAAAGATTGCGGCGAAATAATTTCAGATCGGATTCACTCCGAGATGAGCTGAGGAGGCAAAACGTACCTCCATGATCATCATGTGGCAGTCGAATGTGCCGCGAGCACAGGGTTCAAGTGGGCGGTCGACGCAGCCGCGGATTTGAGAGACGACGGGACATCCGATGGTCATGTTGGGGACGAAGTGGCCGTCCATAATGTCGACATGGAGCCAGTCAGCGCCTTGCTCCATCTTCTTGGTGCAATCATGGCCGAGATCTGCGAAGTTGGCGCTCAGGATGGAGGGGGCGATAATGGCAGGTGGAGCCATTTTGGAGGTGTAAGATGGGTTGAATAAGAGAAGAATTGCAAGATGGAAAAGGTGGAAGGTGGATTAGTAGGGGGAAATAGGTGGGGAAGAAAGGTGTATTAAAGGGAAAAAAATGAATCGGGGTAATAAGGTGAAGCTTCTCTATCGTGTTTACATCAGGCCGAGTGGCAACCCAAGGGTGGATATGCCGGGTTCGCCGTTCACCGTAAAATGGATCCCTTGTTCAAACATAAATGTATTACGTAGGAAATTGGTTGTTTTAATTGGATTGAAAGAATGTCATTTCTATAACTGCATTGATCTTCAATTTGACTTATTGAATTTCTCTCCCTAATCCATTCAGCTCATAGTTTTTTTTTTTTTTTTTTGGAAAAAATATATATATATATAAATATAGATAAAAAAAATACAAAATAAAAACCCAAATGATGCAAACGACTTTGATAAGGGCTCGGCCTCTCACGTGGACTTGAATCGATCGTCGCTGCAGTCTATTAAGGGCCTTACATGTGCAGAATTCAGATCCACTGGCCATGCAGTAAGTAAGTATCGTGAACCCGAACAGGGCTTTTTTGACTAATCAACGTCATCTTCCTGGAATGCCCGTTTTGGTCATTCCGGTCTACCATGAGAAATGTTGAAATGTTAAAAAAAAAAGAGAAAAAAAAAGGGAAAAAACAGAATCAAATCTTCGAGTCTGCTGACCAGGAACTTGAATAATGATTAATTGGGGGCTTTGATCCGCCACGTTTCTTATTGGGGGAAAAGCCTGGAATCCCCGTCGAAGCTCAGCATTTCCCCCAATCACTGCCTCCCGGTATACTTCCCATGAATTAAAATTAACCCCATGGGACCGTTCATGCTTTCTAAAGTTAGACACCTTTAAACAATAGCAATGAAATCTATGCGATTTTAATTCTACTTGGAATGTGTGTTTAAACTCCTCAGATGCTTCAAATCACTGGAATCCTTCATGCACCTTACTCGCAGGATAACCAGTTGACCGTTAACGGGCTCGGACCAGCACACTTACCCAGTCGGAAAACACCCTATGTCGGAACGGAAACCCCCCAATACAAAACTAATAATAATCAATAGCCGTCATGTTAACCGCTCTTGAGTCACCCGAAAATATGTGACTTACATGTGTAAAAAGCGGACCTTAAGCACAAAGCGGGGATCCTTTTACTGCTTAGTAGATTGCGAATTTTCTGTCCCGGCGCACTGTGATCCGACGCCAATGTATCCCACTTCCAACATGGACCGCCCCAGGCGCAACGCCCAACAGGTTCTATACATGAAAAGTGTCCACTCGATCGTCGCAATTCCACTCAACTCAATGCTCAAATTGACACTGGCATACAATGCACAATGGGTTATCTCGTTGGGGAAAGCCAAAGAGGGGTAAAGGCCACTTGGAATTTAAACAAGTGCCTAGTACTAGGAAGTAGTACTATACGCATCTGTGCAGTTGAATAGATGTCCCTATTCCGAAGCCAGTAAGTAGCTCATTACAGCTGGAGACTGCGATGTATCCAATATGTGCCTTGTGCACTCAACCTTGGAATTCCCCAGAAGTCGACACCAACATTACCTTGAAAGCAGCACTGAGCCGTCTCGTGGACCTCGGGTACAGATAAAATGCTTTTTAACCCCATCCATACATCAATTGCGTCAGATTCTCGTTGATCACTAGGTCTGTGTATCTGCATTGCAACGTTTACAGAACCTTCCAAGGTTGCATAAGACATACCCTGATAAGCTATACCTGGCATCCAGGACCCATGCTATCATGCAGTCTGTGACCGAGCGTGGATGACGGGTAAACCCGTGCGGCTTCTTGCCTGCGAAGATGAAGCGGGCCTAGATCCCTCCCCGAGGGCTATCAGATTGATAGGATTAAAGGAATGCCGGATTTGGTTTCCGTCAGTAGCTAGATGATCTGCAGGCCAATTGTTCAGCCATTTGCGTCATTTATATTTCCACGTGCATGATTCCAAGGTTCTGGCGCGCCAATTGAACGATGTGAGCAGTTAGAGCTTCCTCAGGAGTTAGAACCTACACATGTGTGGTATCGAAATATCCATGAATTTTGTACTCCGCTACTTCAAATGCAGCGAGCACTTGAGTACTTCAATGTGTGCATGGGAGTAAACATTTTGAAAATATTTACGCCGATTGATTCAATGTTCAATCAATGTTCAAAGTTCATTAGGTAACATCGCGCTCTAACTGCAACAACCGGACCCGGAAATAGATATTTTCCAGATGATAATAGCGTAATCAGTTCATATACTCATCGTGCAAAGCCAAGTTCTTCTCCTTATCATCACCCCCCTCAATAGCCCCAAGTACAAGTGCTGATTCCAAGGCCTTAGCAGCGTCAGCCCCAGACTCCAACCCATGCTTCAGAAGAGATCCTTTCCGACAAGCTTCCTTATCTAAGAAGACCAAGCTAGTACGATTAGGCGTGAAGAGCAAATCCAGCTCCTCCAGCGTCCGGCGCGAAGTCTCTGGGAAGAAAAAGTACACCACAAACGAGATGCCGATATTAATCCCACCAAAAACATAGTAAACCTTCCATGATCCCTCATTCAGGGCGGTAGGCATGTATAGTCCCAGCCAGAAATTGACGAACCAGTTCACGGAGGTTGAAAGTGCAGTTCCGCGGCCACGCGCGTTGATTGGGAAGACTTCATTCTGGTAGGTCCACGGGAGAGAAGCCATGCTTGCACCAAATGTTACCATGTAAAGGAACATGAATGCGACAGCAGTGTTACCAGCTGCACCATCTGCGAAATTAAATTTCATCTCTTGGGTTGCGGCATCGAAGTACGGGGCGCCGAAGCCGACGAGCATGGATGCGACGATGATCATGCAGATTCCCATTAGAATGGGACCAATGATTAGTGGCTTGCGACGGCCGTAGACATCCATGAGAAGGGTGAGAGAGAATGAAGCGACGAGGAACAGGGCGGATTCAATGCCGTTGGACAGCAATGCGGCCTTGGTTCCTGTTTGCCCAGTTTGCGCAAACACCTTGGCGGCGTAGTATAAAATGATGTTGACACCGGTGATCTGCTGCATGAATTGGAGACCCATTGCCAATGCGGTGCGGCGACGATATTGCTTGCTGACCAGCAGCGCAAGGTAGGAAGGTGCAGGTGTGCCTCGCTCGTATTCGACGACGACACGGATTTCTTCAAACTCGGACTGCACGACGGGTGCATTCTGGTCTCCCTTGGCATGAAGCTTAGCCAAGACCTGCAAGGCTTCTTCGGCCCGATCGTGTCGGAATAACCAACGTGGTGACTCGGGCCGGAACAGCATGATGGCTCCGACGATAGCGCCTGGTACCAGTTGGAGACTGAAGCACATGCGCCAGGCAGCGTTGCCTTCGATATTGGCCGCGCCATACTGGACCCAGTATGCAACTAGCAGTCCCATCGCAATACCCAAGCTCATCATCGAAGTCATCATACCACGGATCTGTGGCGGTGTGATTTCAGCAGTATACCTGAAAAAAAGAAAAAAGAATTAGCATCATATCTTCCCAAGAAAATCCTTCCGCGAACATAGTTCTGCACTGGGAAAAGAAAACATACAATGAGATTGTTTGAAACAAACCACCAGCACCCAAGCCATTGACCACTCGGCCAGCAATAAACATTTGCTGATCCTGCGCGGCGACAATGATAGCCTGACCAATCAGATAAACAATCACACAGAACAAGATGGTGATGCGGCGACCAAAACGATCCGAGATCAAGAATCCGATCAATAAAGAACCACCAAATTCACCGGCCAGCAAGGCCGCAGTCATAACACCCTGGCGAAAGGCAGATGGGGTACCGAAATAATCCAAAAACTGAGTCATGGTAAGAATACCACTCATAGAAGCATTTTCCCAACCGTAGGCAAAGCCCGCAACAGCAGGAGGAAAGGCATAGTATAATTTGCGCGTCAGCGAGGTATCAATCTCGGTGGCCATATTGAAGAACCGTCAAAGAGGAAAAGAGGAAAGAAACAAGGGATGAAAAGAAAAAACCTGCATATCCCCACGGGGAAACCCCAGCTACAAATACCTGGGGATCGTCCTTTCATTTCATTTTTCCCTTCTTATTCGCTTAAAGGAACCTTTGATGCGGGGAGGGCTAAGCTTTCTGATCCGGCTTGTTTTTTTAGGTCCGGCTTGGCGGCTTATTTCATATCCGCCTCTCAGTATCAGGGGGATTTGGAAAGCACCAAGCGTGGAGAAGTGGAGACAAGAGCTCGGCCCCCGACTTCACTTCCCCAGATCCAGTCTAGAGTGCGGAGTTGGCGCTTTCTGGGTCCAATTATACTGTTGTGAGCTCGGGGTTATAACGCCTTTTCCTTGGTAGCCAGTCAAAATTGAATTTTCCTCACCGATCCTTGTACACTTTCCACGGTGGTATGGATATTTGCTTACCCTCTACTTTGCACTTCTTCGAATTGCCCTGGGATTTCCCTGGATTTCCGCTTCCAGGAAGCTGTCTTGGATCCAGTATGCCACTCAAATTGACCACAGTGAGGTACATTACACGTGGATTTTAGCAGCTTTGGCCTGTTCTCCACGCTCCGAGATCTTCCCCGGGAAATGGGTTCCTTCAGTCCGGGGTAAAGTTGATTCCGCTATTCATGAACCTGTAACCTTTCATTGGAAACCACGTGAACCCTCGGAATTAATCTTCTGCCGGAAATCACACGTAAAGGGCCACGGGGGATCTGGGATGATCTTGAGCTACTTAGTGCTTGAAGGGATCACAAACCCACACCTTAGCGAAAGTAGTATGTGAGATTAATTCCTGACATTACTAGTAGCTATTGTAGTCACAGCTACATAATAATTTCCATGAGAATCGATGAGCCCTTTGGCCTTTGACTGAATTGGGATTGGAATTTGGGCTGAGTACCTACTAGTAGTATCTAAAAAGTGCCCTCACTGGATTTCCCACTAGTATTTGAGGCTTCAATATCACGGCTTAATGTAAGGAATTCCAGTGAGCTTGAAAGCTCTCTCTCCCAAAGAAGGCTCCACCAGTGGCCGAGATCGGTTATGCGGGTCTTCCTGCCCATCTCGCTGTGCAACATTTGACCCGGTATGCTTAGCATTGGGCCAATGCGTAGTTCCAACCCGCTGATCAAAAGCGGCCTTCTTGCGTTGCAAGTCTTCTTGTGTGGCATCCGCTACAGGCATGTAGCAAGTGTAAACAGCGAAGCGCGGTTGCTCCTGCTTGGGGCTGAGATTATAGTGTGGGGTACGCGAATCCCACAGAAGCAGGTCGCCAGGCTCAGCGCACACTTTTTCCCACTTGCACCCATGATCCTCGAGCCATTTCATACCGGCGTCCGTGAACCCATACCACTCCGGTGTCCAGGCTGGGATTCGCTCTTCGTGGGCCATTTCTTTGTGAAACTGTTCGGAGAGAAGGTGGCCACCGCGACAGACGATCAAGCCACCATCGTTGGGGCCATTCGGCAGGAAGTTGACCAGGCCTTGCATGCAACGGAACCCGTGCTTCTCTGGGTCTTGGTCTTGGTGGGGCCAGGGTTTGTTGGGGGCAAGGTCGGTGCGACTAGTAAGATTTTAGAGACTCGTCAGATTGGAAAAAAAAAAAGGCTGATACTCGGAGTGGGTGAAATACTTGGGAAACTGGAAATTGATTGCATCGAAGGAGACAATAAGATCCTCATCATCATAAATCTTCTCAAAGGCACTGACAACACCGGGCTCGCTTCGCACACCCCAGACAAAGTTCTCGTGGGGAAGGCCATAATGCAGACACATGCCCTTTTCATTGATTGTCGGAAGGTTGTCTTTGTGCACCGTGGAAAGATCATTCCGGTCGAACCCCAACTCACTATATTGCCAAAACTAAGTCAAATCACTGGTCATGTTTTTGGTCAATACTAGTAAGAACTTACAATCCCTCCAACCAAGAGTACATCTCATCGGCATACTTCAGAGCTCTTTCCTTTGGAATTGCACCTTTGACAATCGCAAATCCGTCACGAGTGAGATCATCGCGAAAATCCCCAAAGTGCTGATCAGTGCCATCGACGCGCATGCGGCCGAATCCATGCAGATTGGAGTTGGCCTTGGCGGTCTCAGTGAGGGTAGCTGTAGTGGACATGGTTTGATCGATCACTTATACACAGTGAGATGTGTGGTATAAAAATCGAAGCTAACTGTGGTTTGTATGAAGATGCCCAGGCGATGTTTATATACCAGGGGAAGTGTCTGAAATATCCCGACATTAGCGAAACACATCACAAAAGGCTAAAGGCACCTGGGTACCACACCACCGCCCACATACAAACGTGAATAAATTTCAAACTTCTGCTGGATTCTTGTTTAGACTCTGGAGCCTGTCATTCGTCTTGATTCTTGGCGCTGCTATCGGAAAGTGGAGGTGGGGGAGGTGGGGCGCAGAAATGGGGGTGGCCCGGGTGGAGGACTAGATAGATATTCCTTTTTTGCTGATTAGTAGATTAGATAATAGTCAGTAGCGAACGAAATCAGTCAGGTATCGAAAAAAATAATTTCCAAGCTTTGAGCTACTACCATGCCACCATTCAGAATTGTCATTGTGGGAGGCGGCATCGCAGGCTTCACGGCTGCCATTGCTCTCCGCGGACCCAATAGACACATCACGATTCTGGAGCAGTCAAATTTGAACAAAGAAATTGGGGCGCTAATCTCACTACAACCCAATGCGTCATGGATTGCTCAGTCTCAATGGAATCTGGAGAATTCACTTCTCGATGCCCGGCAAATGGTGGACGAGGGATTTCGCATCTACGACACTGAAGGAAAACTGGTGAACACCCTGCCATTGTTGAAGAAGCAGGGATATGGGGCTGAGCGACTCATGTTTCATCGAAGGGATCTCCACGAGGCATTGAAAAAAGCTGCTCTCTCACGAGAGAGGGCGGGTGATCCGGCCATTGTGCGAGTGGGATCCCGAGTTATTGACTGTGATGCCTTGAAGGGAGTCATCACGTTAGATGGAGGAGAAAAGGTCGAGGGGGATTTGATCGTTGGAGCAGATGGAATGTGAGGCAGTTCCGATGTTTGGTAATAGACTTAATGGCTAATCTGTATGCAAATTTCAGTCATAGTGTACTTCGCAGCCATGTCTTAGAGGACGAACCTCGTCCTATGCCGACTGGACATTCTGGTAGTGTTACCCTCATCCAAGCAACCTCTTTCCATCGACTGACTTTTCAATAGCTTATCGACTACTGGTCTGGAATCAATCCGTGCACCAAAAGTTTGCCTATGCTAACCTTCCTCTAGATACCAACAGAGGTCCTTGAAAGGGAGGAACCCGACTTCTGCGCCAAGATCAATCCGAGAGAGCCTTTCACTTCTATGATTGTAGCTCACGACTGCCGACTCGTCATGGGCCCTGGAAGACAGGGAGAAGTCTATGGAATTGTTGCATTGGTACCAGACAGTATGTGAAGGATTGCTTTGGAACTCTTGCATTCTTATCAAGGTAGTGCTAACTGCTATAGCTCAAATGAATGAGGATCCCAAAGCCAAACAGTCTTGGGTCTCGGAAGGGGATCTTGAAAATATGCTTCGAACGTTCGCCGAGTTCCCATCGTGGGTCAAAAACATCTTCAGGTGGGGGTTTTTGAAACTTTCCTTGGGGACCTTCCACTGACCAAGCATAGACATTCAGCAGACCTTGGTCTTTGGCAGCTACGTGATATTGTAAGTCTATTATTCTTTGTTCTTCTCCTTTTCTCCATTTCCAAATTATAGTCCATATATTGAAGTAAATAAAACACAGGAACCTTTGAAGACATGGCATCGGGGTCGGGTTATTCTCATCGGAGATGCTGCACATGCGATGCTACCCACCCAAGGCCAAGGGGCTAGCCAAGCCATTGAAGATTCAGAAGCTTTGGGAGCGTTCTTTGAGGGTGTCACCAATCCACCCGCTGCCGAGGATCTTTCCCAAATTTTGGAGGTAAGACATAAATTCCGTGTTCCATTTCAACAATAGAATCAACCGCAATTGACGGAACGAATATAGAATATCTTCCAGTCCCGCCACAGTCGCGCCAGCTTGATACAGGCATACAGCCGCCAGGCAGCCAAGCCTGCGACCGCGAAAGGCGATAAAACAGTCACCATGTATGTTTTAAATCAGCTTAGAAGCTATTGATACCGTTATGCTGACTCTGTCTCTTTGCTGTAGGAAACCTGATGAGTTCATGGACTTTAATTGCAAGTATCGAGGTGTAAAACAATGGCAGCAGAAGGAAGTTGTGGCTATCTGATGTTTATAACGAGCAAAATGGAAATCCATGCAGAATTCGCCTTTCCAGTAGTCTATGAAAAAAAACCCAGTCAATCTCGTGACGTCGATCGTATTTGACTTTAAACCCCCACCAAAAGTGGGGCAACGTGCTACCCCATGAATATGATCGCGTATCTGAATTCTGGGGGGAGCTCAAATCAGAATCATCGTATTGGTTGAAGTAGACAATTGTGATCATCTTGGCCGAAGCGCGAAGTGGCCCGCAAAAAAAGCCACGTTCCCGATGGCCTCGGCTTTGGTTTCCCCACATATAAACCTTTTCATTCGCACCAACTTATGAAGTTACCATTTGCGTGTCAATCCAGAAGAATGCATCATAATGTCCGACACGCAAACCCCTCGACGCTCTTTAAGGGGAAAGCCACCAGGGAATCACCACTGCCCTCACTGTGGCAAAGCTTACGAACGGCCTGACCACCTAGCGCGTCATATTGATTCTCGTGAGACTCCTCGATATAGCCAATGACCTATTCCCTGGTATCGGTCCTACTACTGAATTTTGGTTACTGATTCTGAGCTGGGGATACAGATCGCAATGAACGAACTTACCAATGCCCCACCTGTCAACGTGGGTTCAATCGCCGGTGGGTCTAGACTCCAGATTCCAGTGTTGTCGATCGCGATCCCCTAATATATATAGCCAGAGATGTCCTGCAGCGACATCAAGCTGTTCATGAGAAATATGTATCTGAAGGGAAAGCGTCGCACAATCGCTCCCGGGAGCGAGCCTTGGAAGCTTGTGAGGCCTGCGCGACCGCTAAATTAAGTTGCGATAATGAACGACCGTGTCAAGTATGGAAGCCCCGGGTTCGGAGTGAGACGGTGACCGTCCAGATGTCAGTTTACACGTCGTGCTGACTCACTCAACAGCGGTGTCGCTCAAAGCAAACACTGTGCACTGTAAGAACCACGCGCCCATCTCGCCGACCGAGCGTACGCGCATTTCAATTTTCTCCACAGGCAGACTGCCAAGATCCTGACCATCTACCTAATATTCAAGCCATCATTACCACCCCAGAATCAGCTTTGTCGACCTTCAGCACCGCCCCGGTGTCAGATCTATACTCCAATGATAATAATCAAGTTTATGATTCCAATCTCAGTCATCATGAGCTCGCATTGGATCCGTTTCTTCCACAGGAGAACTTCTCGGCATATCCCAGTCTAAATACCTTCCCTGCGTTTTTTGAACAGGTCATGCTACCAAATGTTGAATCTCAGACCTTTCCGTCCGGAACTCAGCAGCCTCGGGGCGTTTTTGACTTCATGCTTGATACAGACTTTCCATTCCCCGAAAATGACCTCTTTGACACGGATTTCATCCCCGATCTTGATCGGATTCTTGATCCCGGGGCATTGGATGTTGGTCTTGGTGATCTTCAAGATACTCAGCTTGAAAACCATCAATCCGCCAGTCGTCGTGCTGCCGCGTTTCAGCGCTCATTCTGGTATGGAACTCCCATTTTTCACTAAACCTTTGATATGCTAAACCCTTTAGGCTGTGGACCCCAGAAAAGAACCAACACGCTTTCAGTGAGGAGAGAAGAATTCCGCTACGAGATGGCGATGATATCTCTGAAAAACATAGGGATAGACTCGAGATTCTGCGCATACCTGGTGGTCTTTCTATGCAGGCACGGGACGACATATTTAAATTGGTCGTGCGCACAGCCGGCTCTCGAGTATCTGTCTCAACGTTCCCTTCTGCTGAATATTTGGATACCCTTATCAAAGTAGGCATTGCGAAGCGGACCGAGACAGACGCATGGATTCACCCATACACATTCTATAATCAGAAACTGAGGCCTGAGCTCTTGACTAGCTTGGTAGCTGCTGGATGTGTTTGCTGTGGATTATCGTCAATCAACAAGACGGGTATCCTTTTACAGGAGATTTCAAGGGTCTCCCTCGCTCAACTTGTGAGACAGAATTTCCCTTAACGTTTCCTAATGCTTGAATTGACCCTGTTCAATCTTAGGTCGAAGACGACAACAGTGTGCTACGTGATCTACAATGGTTGCAAGCCTCGATGTTATGGCTTGATATTGGTATATTCTCTGGTTATAAACGAAAGATGCAAATTGCAGAAAGTTACCTGCAGCCCCTTGTCACAGTAACACATCCAACCATTTATATCTTTTTGAGGCCATAGACTGACTAGCATAGGCCTTCAGACGCGCTGCTGCGTATGACCGATCCACATACTCAGCTATCACGCCTTATTCTGCCGGTGATGATGATGAATTATTGAATAAATCCTGGCATGAATGGGTCCGACAGGAGTCTTTCAAGCGGTATGCTCTATTAAGCGTTCAACGACATAAGGACTTTAGATACTAATCTGCACAGGCTTGCTTACCATCTATTTGGCCACGATGTGGAAGCTGCTATGGCTATGAACCGCCCTGCCTTGACCTCAAACACGGAGCTGACATTGCCCTTCCCCGCAGCTCGGGATTTGTGGCTGGCACCTACGGCGTCTGCTTGGCAAACCCTTTGGATCTCAAAGTATCGAGTTATGGAAATGTCCGATCTCAGCCTGAGAGACTTACTATCTGACCCTTCACTTATTACACATATTCCGGTCGAGGTTGATTTTGACATAGCGAGGTCCGCATTGCTTCATGGCCTGGCTACTCAAGTCTGGGAGTTCCGCCAGCATATGGTATTATCCCAGGGAAACCGGACAGAATCTCGTGCAATAGCAAGACTATGGCTACAGAGCAGACACGACGACTTGTAAGTCAGAACATTGACATTCCAATCCAAGCTTGGATGCAACCACCCGCATACTGATTTATCAATTTCCAAGATATATGACCTTGAAATCTATTCAGGATACCTCATCCTCGCCGCCAGCGGTCAGGATACTATTGAATGAGTTCGTCATGATGTACCTCCACATCGACGTAGACGCAATCCAGCGATTTGTCGGCAAGCTCGGCGAACTCGATGCCTGCCGCGCATACCCTGGCCTTCGCGATTGGAGCAATACGAAAGAAGCACGCTCGGCAATTTGGCATGCAGGGCAGGTGTTGCGTGCCGCAAGATGCGTCGCAACTCATCAACTACGCGGGTTCGATGCCATGGCTATTTATCATGCTGCTTTGGTCTTATGGGTTTACGGTGTCCTGCAGTGCGGTGAAACTAAGCGGCCCGAGGTGAATACACCGATGAGTGAGGAGGACTTGCCCTCGTTGATTTCGCTTGATGGACCAGAAGATCAGAAAAGCAAAGCCTTTCTGGCTCATGGGCTCGGTCGGCCGGGATTGACGATGGCTCAGTCGCGAAGTGGGCACGATGAGGACTTTAGGGTTTTTTGTCAGTTGAGCAAGCCACGACTGGTTATGGCTGTTGCGAAGCAGGTGCTTGAAGGGAACTGCCCCTGCCCTTTCCCCGAAGACTCTTTACCCCCGATGATCCAAAACCTATGTGAACTTCTTGAGGATTTAGGGAATCTTCCATAAATGATAGATATGCCCCTTCCTCGATATCCCGGGTACCTATATTATCTCGGGACCGCTATCCCAGATGCCAATTCCACCCACGCTAACAAATTGGGATTCCCATACCGAGATTGAGATACTTGGCTCAGAGGATTTTCGCTCAGCACCTGACTGTAGTAAGGTTAGGTTCTTGCGCCACATGTACGCTAATGGTTGCCGTTTACAACATGTGACTATCCAATAACACTTGTAATCGATTATAATGACCGATGGAGTTCGAAAACAATGCAACAAAGCCGAACCAATCAAAATAATTTGGCAGTTGCAGCGTCCATCGGATTGTGGGGGGCTTAGTGGACACCCCCACGGGGAAAGAGAGCTGTCGGCAATTGTGGGCGTGGATCCTCTCCCCAGCTTCAAACTTCCACTCCCCCAACCTTACAAGCCACAATCCCCCGCAAAATGGACTTGCGGGGGACAGCTGTCTAGAGAAAAGGCAGGGACTTCCTCTCTGACTCTTTTCTGTTCTCTCACTCACTTCTCCAGTCCAGTGCCTTGGACATGCCTAACATGAACAATTCTGTCCAGAAAGCCAAGGTTGAGTTTTTAGAGGATGTTCAAGTCCAGAAGCATGATAGTGTGGGCAATGTGTTAATTGATGAGAGCGGAGAAGTCCAGCGACTGCCTGTGCCCAGCGATGATCCCAATGATCCTCTCAATTTTTCGAAATGGGAGAAGCTGGGTATTATATTCAGTTGCTGCTGGTTCTGTGAGTCTTGCGGATGATGGGTAATTGAGCAAAGCTAACATAATTTCAAAGCCATCATGTCATTGTCGGTCGTTGGGGGGTTAGGTGCAATTCTTGGTGTTTTCTTTGAGCTTTATGTACCTCAGGGTCATACTACAGCGCAGGTGGTTTGGCTGGCGACGTTCCCTTCACTCTTCGTCGGAATTGGTAATCTCTCCAAATCTTCGTCTTCATTTACCATTGTTAATATCGAAAAGGAAACTACCTGATCCTACCGCTGGGTTTGGTTTACGGTCGGCGTCCTGCGGCGCTAATTTCCATTGTTGTCCTACTTGGATCAACAATTGGCTGTGCCTTGTCACAGACATTCGAGCAGCATCTTGGTCTGCGCATCCTACAAGGCCTGGCAACAGGTGCCACGGAATCAGTACGTTGCAAGCACCTTTTAATGAGCCTGACAAACACTCATGTCTGTTATTTCCTAGCTACTCCCTCTCATGTTATCTGAGGTCACTTTCGTCCATCAACGCGGCATGATTTTCGGTATCTACTGGGCTACCCAGAATGTGGTAACCAGCTGCTTGAACCTTGCTACTTCGTACGAAGCGGCTGCTTTAGGCTGGCGCTGGTTCTACTGGGTGTACGTGATTGCGGTGGGGGTTGGGCTTGTCATTGTTGCACTTGCATGCTTCGAGACTAGATACCAGCGACGCGCACAAATCCGAAATGGTGAATTGATTGTCACTGATGGGTATGGAGTTACTCGAGTCCTCGTGGGAGTCGAAGCGCAGTCGTATTTGGAATCGCAGGAAGCAGACAATGAGTCCTCAATGGATGATGCAGCACGTCCAAAGAAGACATATTTGCAGATGCTCAGTCCAATGGGGTCTTTGTCAAAAAACCCCGGTCGGACTGTCCTCATGGCATGGTTCCACATGATTGAAGCCTTCTCTTCCCCGGGAATTCTTTACGCGACCCTCCTAGCGGCAGTTGTTCTTGGGTCTTCTGTTGGCATCTCGTTGACTTACGATGCCGTTCTTGAAAGTTACGGTTGGTCTGCTGACAGTATAGGCCTGATCAACTTGGGGGGTGTCTTTGGTGGTTTTGGTGGTATGTTATACGCTGGAGTCTTTGGCGATTGGTTTATTCTGAGAATGGCCAAGCGTTCTGGTGGCGTGCATATCCCGGAGCATCGACTGATTCTGCTGATATTGCCTGGGATACTCGCCGTTATCTCACTTCTACTTTACGGGTTCACTGCTGAGAACAATGCTACTTGGGGTGGCCCATACATGGGGTGGACCCTTTTCCAGATAACCTTTGTGTCTGTACTGATTCTTTCAACCTCATTCGCAGCGGACGCCTGGGAAAAGAATCCTGGCCCTGCTTTGGTGGCAGTGGTGGGGACTAAGAACATTATTGCCTTTGGGGTCAGCTATGGGCTGACTCCTATGGTGACAAAGTATAGCTACCCCGCTGCAATGGGAATTTTGGCTGCTGTGACTGGGTCTATTTTTCTGCTTGGTATCCCAGTCTACTTTTTCAATCCCGCTGTGAGTGGAGCCTGTTGTACTTACACTGCAAGACAAAACGTACTGACACAAACTTAGTGGCGACGCTATATGCAACGAAAAAGTGACAAATGATCTGAGGATGGATGGATTCAAGGTTTGCTCGTTGGGTTGATTTGGTTGAAAGTCTTGTTTAATCAATGTTTCCACAAATATCCGTCAAATATAAGCAGTAGTCGCGTACTCGGACTGTCAAATGTTTCCAGCCTTTGGAATATGAGTCAAAGCCTGCCCAGGTGGAATCAACATAGCCAATAGAGCTGATAAAGCAATGCACGATATCCGCCATTCGATTGATTTGATCCGCTCCAGGGCTATTTGGAATACTTGGAATATTTGAATAACTGTTTCTGGATCTTTTTACCAGATTGGGGTGCACTAAAAATCCACCGGGCAACCCCCATGGCTGTGGCCAACGTACGGATATCCACACATGGGTAACTTGCAAGGTTCCCCGCCACAGCTCACTCTTCCAGCCGCACCTGGCCAGTCCTCCGAAATATGGTCCTCTACCAATAGGTAGATAACGAGAGGCCATCCATGCATTGGATTAAAAATCAATTGCCAGCTCATATCTTCATCACTCTCTGAGTCCCTACCCTAAAAATCCCGATTCTTCACGAGTTCTTTCCGATATACCCTTCTTTCTGCTCACCCTGAAGATCAATATCAACATGGGTTCCGTCGATAATACGGCAGCCTTTTGGGTGAAGGCTAATAAATATCTTATGACGACTGGTGTTCCATTTTCTCCTGTTATAATTACTAAGGCTCAGGGCACCCGACTCTATGAGGCCAGTGGCCGATCCATCCTTGACTTCACCTCGGGTCAAATGAGCTCCTTACTCGGCCACTCTCATCCCGAAATTGTGGAAGTGGTGAAACATCATGTCTCTGAGCTGGACCACTTGCTCAGCAACATGATAACCCATCCCGTCATTGAACTGGCAGAACGACTCGCCAAAGTACTGCCTGCGCCTCTGGAGAAATCTTTCTTTCTGAACACTGGATCCGAATCAACCGAAGCAGCTATTAAAATGGCCAAGTGCTATACTGGAAACTTTGAAATAGTCGCCTTCGCAGCGAGCTATCACGGTCTGACTCAGGGCTCAGGATCTGCTACGTACTCTGCTGGTCGCAAACGCGGTGGTCCTTGCATGCCTGGTCAACTTGTCTTCCCTGCACCTTATGCCTACCGCTCGCCTTTCCGTAAACCTGATGGATCCTATGACTGGGAGACAGAGCTGGACTATGGCTGGTCAATGATTGATCGACAAAGCGTGGGCTCTCTCGCAGCGTTTATCATGGAGCCCATCTTGTCAACAGGAGGTATTTTGGATATGCCCGAGGGGTATATGAAACGCATGGTGGCTGAGTGCAAGAAGCGCGGTATGCTAGTCATCATGGATGAAGCACAAACTGGCGTGGGTCGTACCGGTCACATGTTCGCATTCGAGCGAGATGGTATCGTGCCTGATATTCTCGCACTCTCAAAGACCCTAGGCTGTGGTCTTCCTCTTGCTTCTGTTAGCACTACGGCTGAGATTGAGCGCGGCTGTACGGAGGCTGGATTTCTCTGGCTAACGACCCACCTGAATGATCCCCTGACCGCGGCAGTTGGCAACAAGGTGCTCGAGATTGTTGAGCGTGATAGAATCTGCGACCGTGCCACTGAGCGGGGTGCTCAGCTCCGGGAAGGTCTACTTGAGCTAAAAAGGAAATACTGGTGTATTGGTGACGTTCGCGGCCGCGGTCTTCTACAGGGTATTGAGATCATCTCCAATGCCCAGACCAGGGCGCCCGGCTCTGATCTTGGACAGGCGGTCTCCGATCGTGCAATGATGTGCGGTCTCTCGTGCAATGTGGTTAATCTTCCCGGGATGGGTGGCGTATTCCGCCTTGCACCTCCGGTGACTGTAACTGCGGAAGAGATTGAGGAAGGACTTGGGGTTTTGAATGAAGCCTTTGGGTACGTTTTGAAGAAACAAGCAACTGAGTAGTACCCAGGAATCGTGAACTGAGAGATTTCAAGGTCTCCATAGTGCCAATTCCACCTTTCCAATAAACCACACCTCCTCCATACAATTTTCTGTTCAATCTAAATTCTACTCCTCAGCACATGAAACACATAATCCTCGGGATATAATCTCCCAGGGGCCCTTTTTGGAATTATATTAGCGATGGCGCTTGCTATCAATCAGTCTTTAGAGTACCAAATTGGCAAAGGCCATGACACCCAACATTGAATGGCTTATGGGCTAATACTGAACAATGGATCCACATGGGCAGAAGACGGCACATCACCACCTATTGCACAGAGCCTAATAACAATCTGATTTTTAGTTCCTATGATCATACTTGACTCTCCCACATCTCGGCAACATTTTTCCAAGCAGGTAGTTATCACAAAGGCTGTGGACCGCCATTGCATCCACAACCTTGTTTTGGCCAAAGTTCCGGGCATCAAATGTCACAGATAGAGATTGATGTGTTGCAAAATAGTCGGCGGGCTTTTTCTCAGGGCGGCTATTTGGCTTGGAATTTCCAAGTTAACTATGAGAAATCGAAAATGCAACCATTCTTTCTGCTTTGGTTCTCAAGCTTGGAATTCATACCAGTAATGCGCCCGATGTCAGTGTTGGAATTGGGTAAACAAAAAAGTTACGATTCCATACTCAAAGTATTGGTCTTCTGAATGCCAATCATGACATTTCTTAGCGTAAATATGAGGTTTAAAGTGTGTCATTGTGGCTATGCCCCCAAATATTGACCTGATGATCTCGGACAGGGCACCAATCCACGTTGTTGCTGTATGCGCCGTGAGGGGGAAATGCATGTCACCATTAGTATAATTACTAAGTAAATTAGGTGGTATCGGCTCAACCAAGTTCTAGTTAGCCTGAGTTTATTGAGGGATAACACTGGCAGTCAATTAGCTGGGATTTCTAAGATTTCTAAGATTTCTATAATTAATTCAGACTACTAGTAAGTATGCAGTGCTGCGTTGCTACTGAACTAGCAAAGTTCAAATCATTACCCCTCTTTTCTTCTTCGCTGACTTGATGATCTCTTGCTGAATGCCAAATGAATTTCTTTCATTCTACCAATCAATCACTCCCCAAGTGCGTCATGCCAGACTAATTATCCAGCATTCGCGCTGGAGAAGGTGCCGAAAGAGGTGATATTGAATCATTGATTGTCGCACGGGCCTTGGCGGGGGACTAAACACCCTAAACATAGCATCCACAGCGGTTAGAGATTTCGTCTCACTGGCTGCTTCATCAATGTGGGCGCTTCGTCACAACTTCCCTATTCATGATTCGTCCACCCTCTGCATTTTTCCTCCCCACTCATCATCGTCCCTTTCGACAAATTTGTTGGGCATGAGTCGGTCAAGAACGAGAAATTGTTCCCGGGCGACGCGCCCATTGGCCTCACAACCAATCAACACTTTCATCTCTGCCGAGTCGACAGGGGGGGTCGTCTTAGCTGTGCCCAATCCTGCAGTAGCTCATGCACCTGGTGACTAGCCGTGAACAAGGATCGGCTCCCTCATGCACGTCCCCAGAGGGACGAACCCAGTCATTCGTCTATATAGTCCTTTGCACGGCCCGGTGGACTAAATGGAAGTTGCGTCCATAATTTCGTCATCTTGATTTTTTTTTTCTTTTGGTATCATCTGGCTCTGGTAGCTAAGGTGGTTTTTTTTTGTACCTGTTTTAATTTCATTTACTGTTCATTACGCATACCCGTTGATCGGTGTCCATGCACTTTTCCTACTCTCTCAGATACCCATAGAGTTCTGTGTCCTGCAATACGCCACGCTTTCGGACAAGAACCATCGGAAAAACCCAACATCGAGCATATATCAAAATGGCCGACACACTTCGACCTTATCACGCACGATGTCCGCCCCTTCGGCAGGCCCGGGGGACGGTACTTAATACTATAATGGAGGAACCTCGCGAGTCACAGAAGAGCCCACCACAGCAGAAACCGTTAATCAGCCCAAAGTTGACATTAAAGACCACTGGATTAGCAGTACCGACTCACGCTCGCCTTGCTCGACTGATGTCACCTCTTTCGGCGGGTACGGTTTCTTCATGCTGCTCGGATATGGAATGGCAACAACAGATGAAAGGATTTGACGACCTTTACGACGCGACAGATGAGGAAGATATGGATGATGATAACTCGACAGATATCAGTTCTTCGTGTTTCTCTCCTGTAACACGACCATCGAGCCTGATTACGCCAGTTACAAGAAGTTCATATGCCTCGACTGGAAGCCGCAGAAAATCGCTTACGCTCGAGATCCCTCCATCCAGCGTCTGGCCCTCAATTACTGGATGTCACAAGAGCTCACCAGTCCCGCCAACGCCTCCTCCGAAGATTCCTGTTTCTCCCTTAGCACTTTCAATGCTGAGTCGAGCTTTACCTACATCCTTTGCCCCTCCTTCCCTGGATGGAAGTATTTCATCGGATCAAGAATCAAACCTCAGTGCCCTCGCTACTCCTGATACGCACTCTCTTCCCGACTGGGATGCAATGGATATTCACGTTCGACCCGATATGGAGGGAAGCGAGGACGAACTGGATAATGCGAATGCAGATCTCGAGAACATCCCAATTACCATCGAGACTCCGGAAGATGTTGACTGGCGCAACGTCTTGGGAAGCTTCCCACAAATCCCCACAACCCTTCAGAGCTTCGATCAGCCCTCCCGTGAACCAACCCCTTCCGACCAGGGTGTCTTCCTTCCTGATGGTGCTCTGGCGATGCTCCATCACATTCAGCTCGATGGTGCACCGGAGTCTTGGTCAGAGACTTCTGGTAGCAACGACGAGATGTGGCAACTTCAGGCACCCCCGAGTCGTCCTCGTAGTGCAGATGAGGCCACTCCTGCATCGGCGATGTCCAACTACAGCTTCAGTGAACTAAGCATTCCGTCCCCTGGTGGGTTTTTTGCTTCGCTCGCTCCACGTGCACGCCATACTTGGTCCATGGCCCCTTCCAACTTGCCACCGTCTTCAGCGGTTGCCGAGGGATTTTACAATCTGCCATGGCGTCGAGATGACGAAGAGGTTATCGAACAGGTTATCGATTGGCCTCAACGCTCAGAAGACGATGACCCTGTCACTGCAGTACGGGATGAGCAAGGGCCCCCGACTGCCATCCGGCTTCCGTGTGATACTCCAACACAACCAGATACTCGACAGGACAGCCCAATGAGTGCAAACTTTGAGGCAGTTCAAGAGATCCCCCGTTCTGAAAATGTCCCCGAATACGACGAAGGTTATGACCAAGACCTACAAGATCGTGCAGCCGATAGCCTTGATCGAACCAGCGTCTGGCTCTCTGCTCAAGCTACCTACATGTCGGCCTTAAGTGAAACCAATCCGGTCAACGAGATGGACATTGGAATTGCCTCCGAAGTGGAGGAAGAAGAGCCGACATTGGAGTTGGAAGAAAATCCAGTCAGGAAAGCAGTTCGCTTCGTTGAAGGATACCCAGCACCTAGCAGTCCTTTGCCTCCGCTACCTCCGGTGCTTGCTAGCAAAGATCCAATTTACTGGCGCGGATTCCAGTCGATCCGTGAGCGTGCTGACAAGCCTGATGGCTTCTTGCATCGTAACATGCGTTATGACGCTGTCCAATCATTCCGTCTTGGACTGCTTGAAAACCATATCAACTGTCTCACTGGAAAGTACGAACTTGTCTTCCCCGAGCGACCTTCCTACAAGGGGCCTTTCTCAAAGGCACCTCGAAACTCGACTATCGCTTCAGTTCTTGCCGAGAAGGCTCAATTCTCCAAGCTTGAGAAGGAACAACTCGTTCTCGCTCAGCTCTGCGAGCCGATGTGGGCAATGGAATCACTCCGCAATCTCAATGGTGGCAAGCTACTCACAAGTCCCGCTGAGAAGCGCATTGCTCGCACAAACAAGGCCAGCAAAAGCCAAGACCAACCTAAGCAGTCAATGCGTATCCTTGACCTTGGTGGCCAGTCATCATGTGAATGGGCATGGCACGTCGCTCAGGAGTACCCGAATGTCACGGTGTATTCTGTCAACGACAAGACTCAAATTGTCAATAGCGCGATCAAGGGACCATCAAACCACTGCGTGGTATCTGTCGACAATCTTTGGGAACTCCCTTTCGGCGCGAAAAAATTCGACGTGATCACTACACGCTCCCTACACGCCCTCCTCAAGACCGAGTGCCCCGTTGGCTTTGATCGCGACGAATACGACCTCGTTCTCAAGGAGTGCATTCGTTGCCTGAAGCCAGGCGGCTTCTTCGAGTACATGCTCCTTGACGCTGAAATCTCCCGCGCGGGCGCTCAATCGACAAGCTCATCATCTGAGTTCATCTCCAACCTGCGCGCACACGGCTACGACCCAGCAGCTTCAAAAAGCTTCCTTGGCCGTTTGCGCAAATCTGGTTTTGTGGGGATCAAGCGTGCCTGGATGTTCTTACCCGTAGGCATGGAGCCAATCGAAGAGCAGCCGCTTCGGGAAACACCCGCACCTCGAGTGCAAAGCTTGATTGAAGAGTACGAGGCTGTGCAGGGTCCCATTGGCAGCACAGGGGATGTTGCCAGCATTTCGGGATTACTTGGTGGATGGATGTGGGAACAGTGGCTTGTTAAGTTGCGGATCGAGATGGGTCAAGAACGGGGTCAGTTGCTTGAGGGTGTTGGGGCGATTTTTGATGAGGGACGGAAGAACGGAGCGGGCTGGACGTGTTTGTCTGGTTGGGCCATGAAGCCGAAGCATACGAGAGACTGTGCCTGGATTTGAGGCGGGGATGAAGTCGTTTGTAATTCATCTTGATACCTGAACTATTTATGCCCAAGGGCCGTTTATGTAATTTAATGCGAGACGTGAGATAGGAATGATGTTTAAGATGAAATTTTTACGTTGACATGTGTACAGTAGTACATAGTTCGTACGTACTAACCAGAAAAATATACTAGTACACTACCTCTTGAGCACTTTCTCCAGGTGCTTACCTTGGCAGGGGTTCATCCGCACGTGCGTCCGCACGTGCGTCCTCAAGTGCTTGCATGTGCCTATATTTAGTTGGTACACATGCCTGGGCATAGACTCCAGATGTCTGATATTTATCTGGTCCACTGTTTTTTTCTTGAAATATTCCTCACAGAGTCAACTGTTGTACGTGAGTAAATATTCTGGTGGGACCTATCACGTGACTCCATACCCACCGCTGAGCACCCGCATCATCCATCTATCGTTCTTCTGCCCAGCACAAGATCCCCGCGCCTTCAATATTCAAATCGCACTCGTCCTCGACAATCTCCTAGACCCTCCACATCTGTAGTCTCGGTTGATTTCATTTCAATTAAGCTTCACTTCGAACTCCTCCTCACGCGCAAAGGATCATCCTTCAACATCATGCTTTTCTTCAGGTACGGAGCCCAGCTCATTGCGACGGCCATTGCGGCCTCAAATCTTCCCAACAGACACTGAACCTCCTTTCAATAGCTTTTTCAAGACCCTCACCAACCAGACCGTTACTATCGAGCTTAAGAATGATATCCGCATCCGAGGAATCCTGAAGTCGGTTGACCAATACCTGAACATTAAGTTGGACGACGTGGAGGTGCTGGACCTGGCTCAGTACCCCCACCTGTCATCTGTGAAGAACATGTTCATCCGTGGTAGTGTGGTGCGCTATGTGATGCTTCCCCGGTCGGAAGTCGACGTGGGATTGCTGGAGGATGCTACACGGCGGGGTGAGTGATTTTAGGCGACGCTTGGATGGTCCGTTACTACTGTTAACAACAGTAAATGGATCGCCGACCGAGCGCTACCCATCCCTACTAGCCCGGGATTCATGCTAACGACCGCACAGAGGCTGCCAACCAGGTGGGCAAGGCTCGGTAAATGACAATGATTTTAATACCACAATTTAACGCCACATATTTAACTTGTTAATGCCTCTTGACACTTGCGCACGGATTGAGGGGATTAAGAAGAATTCATGGGTCAAAGAGCCCCTCGAGTGCAAGGCTTCTGAAAACATGACCGCAATTCGAAAGAGATCCCACGGCTTAGCATCTCCCTTACCTCTTTTGCCGGTCTTGGCTCTCAATATCTACCTGGTATAGAATCGCATTGGGAAGGCGTTGCTGGAACTACTAGGTACATTTACTTCACTTGATCCGGCTTTTCACAACATGCGAAAGAGTCTGAATTGGCCCATTTAGGTCTGATTTTCTTTCGTTGTATCCAATACCCTTACAAACGTCAAATTTTCAAATCCATTTTTTTCTTCTTTTGCTTGATTAAATCTGTAAATTTGTAGATGTTAATTGGTCATGTGATTTCGTGTCGCTGTCCCACGCGGTTCTCGTTACTGGTTTCCGCACGCCACTCGACCGAGACTTGCTTCACCGGCGTGGGCAAGGCCATCATTCGCGTTGTAAATACTCCAAAGTCGCCATTCACGACATCACAAATCCCGAGTCCGGCGGTTATTGTTCCCCTTGGTTTCATCTTCAGCTTTTCGCTACTAGTCTCAACAATGGCCGGTTTCAACACAAGAAAGGCGCCCACGCCATCCAAGGCGACTCCATCTACCAAGCGCAATTCGAGCATCTTGAGCTTCTTCCAGAAAACCGATAGCCCCCAAGGAGCCAAACAAACGCAACTTCGCATGTCACATTTCGTCACATCCTCCCGATCCCCAAGTTCTGGCCGCACGACCCCATCTTTGCAGCGTGGAAACACTTCTACGAGTGATACAAACGATGGATTGTTCCTGGAGGATAAGAAAGGATATGCAAGGATACAGCAGAGCGCCAGCCAAATTGAGAGAAAATCGAGGGCACGGTCAAAGACTCCAGATGACTTCTGGGGCGAAGATGATGACGCACGAGATAACGAAAATGACGCCGCAGCAAAGCGTCGCAAAACGAACGAGGCAATTGATTTGACTACAAATGGCGAAGAAACAAGCGAAACAAATTCACCAAAACTACCCGTACCCCAAAAGACGACCAGTGGGCCCTTTATCGATGAATCAGACAGCGAATACGAAGACGATATGGACGCCTACCGCGAAATGAAAGATGAACCCCCAGCCGAGTTCAACCCGACATCTACAATATCACCAATCAGTGGCGACGAAGCCCGGGATTCATCTGCCGAGCCTGAGCAGCCGCCATTGGTAAGAGATACGAATTACACCGAAAATGTAGACGAAAATTTTGACGAGGAGGAAGAAGATCAATTTGTAGGGGAGGAGTTTCGAGAATCACCATGGGGGAATGAGGAGGCAACTTTAAAAGCGTCCCTCGACGACATCACGGATGGCTTGAGTCCCGCAGAAGCCGAAGGAATATTTGGCGTTGCTGATCTTACCTGCCCGGCATGCCAGGGACGATTAGCCGGGCTTAATGAACGAGTAAGTTGCTTCTTGATTGCTTCATTACCAATACTGATTGATGCAGCAACGAAACATACATGTAAATGACTGTTTAGACGGAAAGTCCAGTGCCATAACTTTATCTGAATCGATCCCAACGGACATCCCGCCAAAAGTAAATTTACCGACATCAACATCCAAGGAGGAAAATCTGAGCACAGGCTTAACACGAGCTCAACGGGCTGCTATTGCCCGACCTGGCCAACGGAACCCTCATGCTCAAAATAAAGCCAGCAGCCATTCCGCATTCTCGAAGATGATGGCCGGGAATGCAGAAGATACAGCATGGGCAGATGCGGCGGCGCATGAAGTATCTTCTCGTGGAAAACAGGCATATCAACGGACTTGTCCGTTCTACAAGATCATGCCTGGGTTTTCAATCACGGTCGATGCCTTCCGATACGGCGCCGTTGAAGGATGTAATGCCTATTTTCTCAGCCACTTTCACAGCGACCACTACATCGGCCTTAGCAAGTCCTGGTGCCACGGCCCTATCTACTGCAGTCGACCCACGGGCAACCTTGTGCGACAACAACTTCGAGTAGACCCGAAATGGGTCATTGATCTCGACTTTGAGACTACCTCCGAAGTACCTAATACGGGTGGCGTGCAGGTCACTATGATTCACGCCAACCACTGCCCTGGCAGTTCTTTGTTTTTATTTGAGAAAAACTTTGGTAGTGGGCCCAATGCCCGTCGAGAGCGCATACTCCATTGTGGTGACTTTCGCGCTTCGCCAGATCATATACGACATCCGCTTCTATGCCCAAACCCAGTGAATCCAGTTACCGGAAAGCCCAGGCAGCAGCGCATTGACACATGTTACCTGGACACTACTTATCTCAGTCCTAAATATGCGTTCCCAAGCCAGGCACATGTGATCACGGCATGCTCTGAACTATGCATCCGTTTGAATGAAGAGACGGGCGTGGGAGTCGACCTGGGAAAGGCAACAGGTGGTCTGATGAACAAATTTTTATCATCTGTCACTGGGAACGAGCGTGCAAAAGAGTCTCCGCAGGCTGGTGGTCGTCTCTTGATTGTTATTGGGACATACAGTATCGGCAAAGAACGAATCTGCATAGGCATTGCCCGTGCCCTGGGTTCCAAGATCTTCGCCCCACCAGCAAAACAGCGCATCTGTGCCTGCCTTGAAGACCCTGAGCTCTCTGCCCTTCTAACCACAAACCCCAAAGAAGCCCAGGTGCACATGCAGACCCTCTTTGAGATTCGACCAGAAACATTAGCCGACTACCTTGATTCTATGAAACCTCACTTTTCCCGCGTAATCGGGTTTCGGCCCACCGGATGGTCTTATCGGCCCCCCGCAGGACGAATGCTGGAGAACCCGCCCGTACCGACGGTTCTGCGTGGCGAGCACTGGCGGACGCCGTTCACGGTGGACCATCTGACGCCACAGCGCGGTAGCACGCGGGAGAGTGCCTGTTTCGGCGTGCCGTATAGCGAGCATAGCTCTTTTCGAGAACTGACTATGTTCTGTTGTGCTTTACGGATTGGTAAGGTTATTCCCACGGTTAATGTGGGGAGTCAGAAGAGTCGGGATAATATGAAGGCTTGGATGGACAGGTGGGAAGGGGAGAAGAAGCGAAACGGATTGTTTCCTGTTGATGATTGGTGATGATACCCCATGCATACCCCATAGTATACCCCATATATCGATAAAGACACTATTTGACATTTGAAATTCAATAATTGAACAATTTCCATTATGATTCCAATTCGACCGGAAGTCGGATCAGTAACAACCTGAATATTGCCTAATCGAGTAATATGCTCCTACGGACTAGAGTTCAATAGCCAGTTCCGGTGCGCCCCTCTTTCCCAGCCAATCACAGCTTGAATATCTCGTATGTAAGCAGGTCGATCATCTCCAAATCCGCGTCCCGTGATTTGTCCAACGTGATCACCAACTTCGGCCACCAACAACGGCACTTTCCAACTCCAACACTGATTGGCCGATCTTCATCCCCACACCTTTTCCTCTATCCCCAGATACCGAATTCCCTTCCCGTCAACCTTAACCTCGGGGATGCGATCATGACTCTGCATCATCATTCCAGCATAAATACTCTTCGTAATTCGCAAGAAATAGGTCCAAAAATTCAATCCCACCAACTTTGAAACTCCCACCGACATCGAGAAGTGGGATATTCCATTGGACCATTTTCACCATACACAAAACGTATTCTGTGGAGTAACTACATCATCGATTGTCATAGCTAGGCCGATAAGCTTACCTTACCTACCACCGATTGATCGACCTCAGTTCCATTGGGCCTAAGCCCCTACTTCGTCCTATTTTTTTTTCTCATTTCCTTCCATTCGTGTCTGTGAACATTGAATTAGGATGTTGATCTCACTCGAGAACGCCCCATTCCTGGCTGCAGGCTTGCTCCTCGCCTACTTCCTTGTACCCTACCTGCAGCGCTCACGACTGCGCGATATCCCGGCCCCCGGTTTCGCAGCATTCACCAATCTGTGGCTACTTTTGCAAGCTCGCCAGGGTAAACGTTATCTATCTGTCGACGAAGCGCACGCCAAATACGGAAAGCTTGTTCGCATCGCGCCGAAGCATGTCTCCGTTGCCGACGACGAAGCTGTGACCGCCATCTACGGCCATGGAAATGGATTCTTGAAGGCGTGAGTACTCCATTCAGAATAGACCCGGTAGTAGGGTGTGAAAAGTAATTCATTATGACCCAGTCGCTAATCGGTTCGGTATTCTAGTGACTTCTACGACGCTTTCGTCTCCATTCGCCGCGGTCTCTTCAACACCCGTGACCGCCACGAACACACCCGCAAGCGCAAGACTGTCTCACACACATTCAGTGCGAAGTCAATCGGTCAATTCGAGCAGTACATCCACGGCAACATCGAGTTGTTTGTGAAGCAATGGAACAAGCTCTCCGATCTTGAAGCAAACCCGAAGACAGGCTATGCATCCCTCGACGCCCTCAACTGGTTCAACTACCTCGCTTTCGACATCATCGGTGATCTCGCCTTCGGTGCCCCATTCGGCATGCTGGAGAAGGGCAAGGATTTCGCCGAGATGCGCAAAAACCCCAACGAACCACCCAAGTATGTCGCTGCCATCGAGGTCCTGAATCGCCGTGGTGAAGTCTCCGCTACGCTGGGCTGTATGCCGTCTATCATTCCCTTTGCGAAGTACATTCCCGATAAGTTTTTCAGCGAAGGTCTGGCCGCTGTAGAGAATTTGGCCGGTATTGCCATTGCCCGTGTCAATGAGCGCTTGAAGCCTGAGGCTGTTGCCAATAACACCCGTGTGGATCTGCTCGCCCGACTTATGGAGGGCAAGGATGAGACGGGTAGCACTCTTGGTCGGGAGGAACTTACTGCTGAGGCCTTGACACAGCTGATCGCCGGTTCCGACACAACTTCGAACACTGCCTGTGCTATTCTGTACTGGTGTCTCCGTACACCGGGCGTCATTCCCAAGCTCCAGAAGGTCCTGGATGATGCTATTCCCAAGGATATTGACGTACCCACTTTCGCCATGGTCAAGGATATTCCTTACCTGCAGTGGGTCATCTGGGAGACAATGCGCATCCACAGTACCTCTGCAATGGGTCTTCCCCGCGAAATTCCTGCCGGTGCAGCACCGGTCACTATTTCTGGGCACATTTTCGGCCCTGGAGATGTGCTCTCTGTCCCTAGCTACACTATCCATCGCTCAAAGACTATCTGGGGTGATGACGCGGAGGAGTTCGTGCCTGAGCGCTGGAACCCCGAGCGCCTGACCGCGAGACAGAAAGCTGCTTTCATTCCTTTCAGTCACGGCCCCCGTGCGTGTGTTGGGCGGAACATTGCAGAGATGGAGTTGCTTGTCATGGGCGCTACTGTGTTTAGGCAGTTTGAGTTCCAGCTTGAGCAGGATCACCCCATGGAGACACGGGAGGGATTCTTGCGAAAGCCTTTGGGTCTGCAGGTTGGTATGCGGCGCAGAAGAACTCAGCTTTGATTCGGATGATCCTGGGCTGAAGTGTTGTTGATATGATTGGAGCATTGGGTTGGGTTTTCTACGATGAGACGGTGTGTGGTATGACTTTTCATCTCACCGCTGATGACTTTATACGATTTTCATCTGGGGCATCATGATATTGCAAGTGGTGGGTGTGAATATCAAGCTTGACATCTGGATCTGATAGCATTGACAAAAATTGGTTATGTATATATTCTTTCTTTGATGTATTTTCTCAATTCAAGCCACTTTTTTTTTTTCATATGAACCCCAACATTTGAAGACGGGCAGGTTTAAAAGATCCAAGTGTCAGCACTTGAGGGCCACAGAGCTATAAAAGAGGTGTAAGAATATTACAAACTTCAAGATTCGGGCCAACTTGTCCCGAGAAACCCGGGATCCATCAATTCATACCCAGGCGGGTAACGTAAAGTATGGACGGCTCCAGTATTACTCCGTTAATCTGCAGATGCACATACTGGACAGATCGTGTACACTTGTCTTGATCAAAATTATAGTCGGCGAGAGGAAACTCTTTCCATTTGTGGAGTGTTCGCTCTCGAACAATCGGGATATTGGACTTCATGGTGAAAAGAAGCCAAGTAAAAACCACTCGAATTGGGTCTGCAGATTAGCTTAAACAACAGCTTTACATAATGGCATCCGTGGTGGACCAATAGTTCGGAAGATGATCCAATGAAAGCAGTGCATCGTCAGTCAACGCCCACTCAAAATCAGCAAGGAACTGTTCATCCAGAAGGAACGCATCCTGGATGATTCCACCAGCCATATCTTGGTGTGTGTCGATGCCCGATCCAACGGGTCTTGTTTCAGGCACGGCAATAGCCCGTGATTGACAGTATACACTGCCACCAGCAGGTTCCACAACGGATCGAAATCTAGTTGGAGGATCGTATTCATCCCGCCACCACCAGACGGTATCGATGACGGGACTCAGCACCAGCCGCCCGCGTATTCGTAGCACAGTAAATTCAGAGCCGTCTGGCCTGCGAAATGCTTTGTTGCTGTTCCAAACGGCGTTGAGGATGATTACAGTCTTGGATGCCATATCCGCGCTATCGACAGACATTTGCTTAGCGAGGTTGATAGCTGTGAAGAGGGACGAACGCGCGCGAATGGTTTCTAGACCGTGGGAAGCGGCGGGACTTTTCAAGATTCTTAGTAAGGAGGTCGAGGCCAGAAGTAATCCGAAGTGGATCTGAGCGGGTGTCATGGCAAGGCTGCTCACTCGATCGGTCAGGGATTGGATATAGTCGATCAGGTTACATGCTGTAACAAGGACACGTGGAAAGCATGCGCTTGAGACCCATGTTTGAATCTTGTAGAAGTGGAAGTTTTGGATAGCCATGCGACTGAGGAACACATCGAACCTCTCGTCGTCTGTAAATCGGTTAAAATCAACAACGAGATCAATTTCGATAACTGCGCAGTCTTACCAGTTACTGCTTGTAGCTCTAGGTCATCTATCTGACCTTCGAATGTACGAAGTAGAATGTCGAGGGAACGTTCCTGATCCATGGACATTGCGCTTATTCCATTCTCCATCACCGCCTCGCTACATCGACCAACCAATCCCTGGCAGCGAAGCTTGAGCGCCATCCATGGAGCAATCTTATCGAGAATCGCTTGGCGCTGCGTTGGATCTTGAGCCGGGTTGATACGAGGCAGCTGTCCCTTTTGCATACAGACGCTAATATGATCAGTGAACGTTGATGAGATTTATAACCTTACTCATAATCTTACCGGTGGTAGAAAACCTCAGAAAGAGCCCACAGTTCTGACCGACGTAGCAAATCAGCCTCAGAAGGCACGGGCATCTTTCGACGTGAAAACTCGTGACTTGACATCGGGATATGTAGGCCGTTCTGCAAGGCGATATGTAACATCATGCCTGCAATTGTAAAGCTCACATCGGGGTGGTCGCCTTTTGGAAACGGCCATTGTATGATCAACAAGAAAGCCTGGATTGTATGCCAAGCCGGTGACGATGATAAAGCAGACATGAATGCCATTTCAATGATACTTCGTGCCAACGCCATCAACAGTGTTGGATTTTTCGGATAGACCCGACATGAAACACCAATAACCGCCCAAAACAGGAACGGGGATTGGGAATAATAAGCATTGGGTGATGTATGAGGGTCAAGAATGGGAAGGAATTGGGAATAGTGGCGGAAGTACCTAGACAGAGATTAGTAAAGAATATAGATCACATTGGAAGATTCACGAAATTCGAGACATACAATTGGAACAGGTCGTCGATCTCATTCTTTGTGAGCTCGACGCCATTCAAAGTTCTAGCCAGTGTGGCACTCGCATCGCTGTTATCCAATGCCGGCGTCGGGGTCCCCGACCCCAAACTGCTTGGGGCTAGTAGCTGTGGTGGATATGACTCTGGCGATACATGAGAGGAAACTGGAAGCGAGGAGTTATGTGGCTCCCCGCGACTACCTAATTCTGCTGCAGCTGTCAGGAGTGCAATGGGCGACGGGTGTGGATCCGCAGACTGTGATGCTCGCAGCTTTCGCCGCAACTCTTCAGATTCGCGCTGCAAGTCAGAGAGTCGTCTAAGTCGTGCAAATTAGATTCAGGGGGTTAGCCAGCCGATTGTGAAATAAGCATACCTGCGCTTGTGCTCCCTCTTGAAGGGGTCTGAAATGATACATTCCGCCTTGACTTTGCGACACCGCGTACATGGCTCTTCCGGATTCAGGTATACATCACACTTGGCCTGTAAGGCATTAGCACATTGCTTAATACTGGCCCAGATTCAATGACATGTACCTTCTGCTGACGGCACTCTGTGCACGCCTTCTTCCCTTTCTTCAACGGCCTGCAGGGTGTCATATTAGCGACTGACAGGCGAGAGTATTAAGAGACCAGTGCTTACGTAGTCATAGGTCCGGATTGACCGGCAATCAGGCACGATGAGAATGGCGTAACCGGGGTCAAGGTGTGACGAGGCAGGAGAGTTGAGGATGAGGGATGACTCCGGTGCCGGGTAATTTGGCAGATTGAGAGTCCCGGGACCGGCTTTGGCGGTCAACGCTGATTGGTCTAAGCGCGGACCCTGGGCAGCTATGTAGTACTAAGTACTAGTGGCTTCTATTCTAGTCATCACTGTGAAAAGCTTCCTTATTCAAGTTGTTACTGGCACTGTCAAAAAGAAAACCTCCCGAGAAGATCCTTGGCCCTGCATTGCCAATGGAAAATTTCCAACTTTCCAAGTTTCAATCCGCATAACAATACCAAACTCACATAATACACCACCGTTCCGGACTACGACTTCCCTCGCAAGTCAATACAACTTACCACCCGTTCGTGTCCCTTGTATGGCCAACCCGGTGAAACGATACACAACAGCTTTTATGACTCCCCTGGCTTATGGCAGCACAACATGTCGGTATCGGGCCAAGACGGGGTTTTCCATAAGAGGTCATTGCAGGGGCCCAAGTGTACAACCTATAAATCAAGCCATGCTCTCTGCCCCTCGAGTTGGGAACAGGTTGTGCTCTCGTGATGTTAAAGATTTCATGATATCCTCATGTCACACTGGAAACTGCTATAAAATCATTGTCAAGGCCCCCGGGGTTCGTTTGCGAGGGCCTTGGTGACTTGCGGCTAACTGCAGGCTTGACGAATTTGTCATTGTGTAAAATCGCCTGGATAGATGCAGGTTTTGGGGTGTTGGTGGAACGGCGTGCATGACTTCCTCAATTCCTCTCTCGATAAGTCCACGCAAAATTTTGTGTTCATTTCCTTGAAACTCCTGCCTATCTAGGATTGGTGAACTGAAGATTCCATGTGGTGGCGAATGCGATTACCCTTCAGTATGGCCATCTCGTGAACCCTCAAATCTGGTCCACATGGTTTTTTTTTTGTCACTCTTGGGGGCAGTTTTGACTAATTGAATGTCCAGGGGATCTTGAACGTTTCTTTATTCCAAAGTGGCAGCGCCACTGATGGCATGCGGCAATTGAAGATGTGTTCAACGTGACATCAGCGCCACAGGAGAAGACTATATATCACACCCGAACAACCGTGGCGAATGACCATCACAAGCCACACAACGATTTGATATCCCAGCATCAGCTATCGCTAACATGAGCAACGATATTCCTACGGTTGCCGATCTCAAGCAAGCCGTCGAGGCCGGACAACGAATTACACCCGTGGACGTCTCGATGATTTCACACGCGGAAAGTGTGTTAACTGGGCGTGGCCCACTCCGCGGTGGACCAGCTGGTATGCTTTTACATCGCACCAATTGATGGTTGATGAGTATGGCTAATTGCATAGTAGCGACCGCCCAAAGCCTCGCGATGCGACAAATGAACTTTGATGCCCAGCTCGACGAGGTATCTCGTAAGCCGCAGAGCCACATCACACATGAAGATGCACGCGAAATGCAAGCCACAGAGGTAGGTTCACTGTATCATCTGACTAGCACCTTACTTCCAAGGCTCAAGCTTTGAACTCGCCTCGGTGTGGAACTGACAGCAGTTTAGGGCCGTGCATTTGGTCGACCACCTGGTCGAGGTTCCGTGTCTGAACAAGTCCGATCGATCGCCGATCGGAACGAAATCCTCGGGCTACCTCCTGTGCCGACCGAACTGCCGGTCTATGTGACTAAAGATGATGCTCGAGAGGCCCAACGAGCTGAGTCGATGGTGTACGGTGGGCAAATCCCTCGACAAGGCATGGCCGCCCAGATGCAGGTAAGTGGGGGCTCTGAGGTGTTGAGGGAGCTGTTGGATTAATTATTTGATTCTATGCATAGAGCGCTGCGGATAAGATCGATAATGTCCGGCGAGACGAGCCGTGGTAGCGAAGAAGTACCCAGCCACTAGTGACTTGTGATATAAATATGTGAACATCCATTGAATATAGAGGCTTCCAAGATTGGAAGATTGGAAGATTGGAACGAATGGCAACGAAACATCTGTACACAGGGGCTTACCCCCCCAAACCGGGAACAAACTTATGCACGAACATTCAAATGTTCTGAAGCTACCCCACTGTAAGCGGGGGGTAAATGCATCTAATTAGTCGTTCCTAATGGAGTAAGGACGAAGTAAAAAAGAAAAAAAAAATTACAAAAATACAAAAATACAAAAAATGAAGGAAAGAAAAAGAGCACCCTAGTCAAGCGCTAAAAGTTTGGAGTCTATCGCTGAAGCTGCCCCGCTTCAAAGCACTTGAGCATGTATGGAATGATCGACGGAGACCGCATTCCCCAGGTGCCTGCGGTAAAACGCAAAATCACCAACATTTGGACATTTGAATGTTAGCTGACCTCTTTACCTTTTTGACTATGTAATGTCAGACTACTTTTTTCCCCCTACATGTACATGCAGCACTTGAGTCTGACTTTGGACTTACATACTCAAAGTTTACTGTGTGCTCTGTACACAAAAGCTATAGCTGAGAGGGTGCTCCCCGAAAACCGGTCCCCGACAAGGAACGCCCCCTCACGATGATCCTAACATTGGCCCGATGAAGTCCGACGCTAAAAGACAGGTCACTACTCCGTACCCGCATTGATTATCTGACCATTCTGAATTTCTGACCCATTAGCTGGCTTCAAAGGTACGATTGCTATCGGCCTCATTTTCACGATACCCCACATTGAACCAATAAGGTGGATTCTCACACCACGCGTCGGCCGCGGGGAGATCCCGGTGAAAATGAAGCATGTTCGGAATCCCAGGATTCAAAGTGAGGAAAGCGTCTCACGCCCAGATACCTTCTAACCGGCTTACCCTCGTTACCTCGTATGCCTTATGTTTTTTTGCAGAAGGAACTTGGAAGTTGGAACTCTGGCACGGGTAAGCTGTGGCTGGCAGAAAGACTAAGAAGTCTGGAACTAGATCATCTTTTAGCGCGCTCCGTGTGGCTCCGGATTCGAACCTCTTCAGCTCCAGGATGAAAATGAGGGGCTTTTTGTTTTTTTTTTTTGGCTTCTCATATGTACTAAGTTGGCGGGGCTGGAACAATTTGTCATTCGGGAAGTTGAGGATTTGGAATTGGTTTGGGTATGACGCAACGCGCAGTAAAAGCTCTTTTTCTCAGTTCATGTGTACAAAATCAAAATCATAAGAGTTGATCGGATTTTCCTTTAAATACTTTCACCTCTTCCCAAGGTCCTCAACCTAATTCCTCTCATCATCTCTTTCCTCCCACGGTCCTCAACCCAATTCCTATCGTCATCTTTTTGAGAACCTTGTGAGAATCAATTCCATCATGCCTCTCTCCGGACACTGCCTCTGCAAGGCGGTCACTTACACCATCGCCATTGACGAGCCTTTGGTCACTGCCTACGATCACTGCGACGACTGCCAGCGCCAGAGTGGTTCTACCTACTGTACGTCCCAATTGTCACCCCAAATATTACACCTACTAATTTTTTGGTTCCTTTTCTAGCTCTGGTCGCCGTCGTCCCCAAGGCAGCTCTTACCATCAACGGCCCCACCAAGAGCTGGGCTGGCAAGGGTTCCTCTGGCATGGCCGTCCACCGTATCTTCTGTGGCGAATGTGGTTCCCCCATCGCCCACGATCCAGATGCCGCCCCTGAGATCATCGCCATCAAAGCTGGTACCCTGGACTCGGAAATCAAGAAGACCCTGAAGCCGGTACGTGGGGCAATGGAAAATAGAACGCGCCTAGAATGGTGGGGCTAACTTTTTTTTTCTTTTTCCGCAGGACACCGAGATTTGGACTGTTGGCAAGCTTCCCTTCTGCCAGGAGCACCTGGAGAAGCCCTTCACCCACATGCCCCAATAATTGCCCAATTTTAAACACAATACCCTCATGATATGATTAACATGATTCACGGAAATGGAGAAAAAGTGAAAAAGATATTGCAGGAAAGTTTTTTGGGGGGAGATTTCCATCAGTTGTATGGCTTAACGAGATTATCATGACAATAACATCACCCCAATTTCAATCATCTTAGAATCCTCAATTGCTGGCTTCCCGTATTCTAGAGTTTTCCACCCCGTTTCTGGAAATGCCAAATCTCTCTGTCTCGGGGCTGAATCCTTCGTTGCCATACCCCCCAATTCCTACCTCCCAATTCCAGACACAATAATAACACATATACTATCAACTTGTACACTTCATCAGGTTCCCTCCCGAAAGACCGCTCAATCGGATGCAATCGAATTTCCCAAAATTGCCGGATCGCTTACAGAGTAAGCAGCAGTCCTTGTAACAGATGACTTGCTTCCCGTCTTGGACCAAAATGCGGGACTCTATACACTCTCGGTATGCAAGGCCCATATCCCAAAAAATAATCAAGGGAATTCTATCTGTTCCCCTTTTTGATCTTCGGAAGGATGAATTTCGTCCTTCCGTTGGCCATTGTGTAGCCCGGTTAAAGAGCTGCCGATATATGGATCTCGTATAAGAGACAAGATGACCACCGGAAAGATCCATTAAGTTCCCCAGGTGAGATTTGCTGTTTCAATCCAAGGTCCTCGTTTTTGTGGAACTGTGATAGATGTCTTTGCCATTGCACAAGACTGTGCCTGGCCTTGACCCGGATGCTTAATGAGAACCGTGTGGTTGATACCATCCAATATTCAAGGTAAGCAAGGGCCACTAATTGATTAGCTCAGAGCACATGGAAAACTTTGCCGCATCTCCTGACTTTGTAAAGTCGTCAAGCCATATGGGGGAATACGGTTAAGCATGAAGAGAAGCGTTGACTTCCAAGACCAAAAGTTCAATTTCCCCTGTGCGCAGTGTACCTCACTTCATGAAATTGCAATACCGTACAAAGGCGTAATCCCAAAAATATCAGAGGAATTTCCAAATCGACTTCCCCAATGATCGTCTCCACTTCCTCTCTTCCCAATCACCCCACTCAAGCTGTTAACCACTGCCAACATCCCAAATCTGTACGGGACATTCCAGCAAATTCGGGTCGGACAACAAAGACATCCCAACAAGGACCCTCGGATGTAACTTTCAACTCTGGGTGATCTGGCAGTGAGGTCTTTCGCCGTCCATGGCGTTAGCGCCAGATTCGGAAAGAGATATGGGCGCGGGAATGTGATGATGATCCGAAAGCTGTTAGCAAAGTGCGGGGTGCTCCAGGTATAGATAATGATCACTCTGTGGCGATAGGAGGAGGGGGAAAAGGGAAGACGTGTGAAATGTTTATACTTGAAGGTCCTTCGTGCTAATCAAACTTCGCTCTCTGCCAAACTCACAATTATCCCAAATACATTCTCGGTTACCAGAATGAGTCTGTCGAAGCATTTGAAGAGTGGTCTTGGTCAACTACCCAAAAGTGTAAAAGTCCGCTCGACTTGTAATGCCTGTCAGCAAGCCAAGATACGCTGCAGTCATGAGAAACCTTCTTGTCGACGGTGTCAGAAACACAAAATCGAGTGCATCTACAGTGTTTCGCGACGATTAGGACGACCGGCGAAAAAGAAAGACGTCCGACTAGGGGCTGAGGGGCAGGGTAGCAATTCCTCACCTGATACATTCGAAGATATGCAATGTGAACGTGTACGAGCGGCTCGCAGGACGTCGCGCAGAAGAACAAATCGACCAGGCTCGGGAAGCGTGATGCGTCCTCGGGCTGAAAGGATTAAATCCACATCTGGAGATTCATTTTCCACTCCGATCTTACCAGATAATATGGATGATCCCGAAATATCTGCTCATCTTCATGGAATGCACAATGAAATAACATGTCACCAAGCTTTTGACATGGACTTTACGCCCGAAAATTGGACCCAACAACTCATGTCCACACGCCTCAACGATGACTCTATGACCTTAACTCTCGACCAACCGTACGTGGACATTGATCTGGAAGATACATTTGACACAACATCAGATTACATGAGACACTCAGCCCCAATAACCACCCATCCACCAGGAGATCTGTACTTCCCCTCAAATTCTCTAGGATCAGACATGAGCCTAGCCCCGCCAGCCATTGACCATGACCTAAAGGCATTTCACACCCCGGAGCAGATGTCATTACTGGATCTTAAAGACGCTGATCTTACAACATGGTCCTACAACACCCCTAGACCAGATATACAACCGATCCAAGACATATGGGTGCTTGAAAGACCACATCAACCAATCCCCATTCTACTAGACCCTTCGAATTCGAGTTTCTGCCAACTGCAATCACCTGATACAAGTCCCGACAGTAATTTATACTCCCCCGATCAGCGAGATATCGTGAGCCCGTCCCCAGATTCCAGTTGCAGCTGCTACAAGCACGCGATGGGGGAGCTCGGGATACGGTCAAGTCTACGCACTGGACAGGATGGCTCAGTCAGTATTAATGGTATACTCGCATGTCAAAAGAAACTATTATGGCAAACAGAAGTGATTTTGCAATGTAATATGTGTTCGCAGTCCGAGGTGCAGGTCAATATGTTGATGGTTGTTATTGTGGCAATTGACGGTCTTCTTTCAACTCTCGATGCACACACGACGTCCACTGGGGTGGTGAATGATGGGGGGAGTACTTCAATATCTGCACAGTCGCCACATATGGTATGTAAAAAGTCACGGGATATGGAAGGTGGTGATGGTTTTACCAAGTCGCATTTTGATGCCCATCCCCTGCTTGTTGGGGGATATGCTGTTCCGCCCGAGGAGAAGTCTTGTTTCATTTTACAAGTTTTGCAGGGTCGTCTTTCTATGCTTTTATTGACTATTCGGCGGATTCGTGCTTATATGCAGCAGCATTCGACTGCAGTGTTCTCAAGGGGAAGGTTGCTTATGATTATGGAGACTGATCGGAGGCTGCAACTTATTATGATGAAGATTAGGATGGCGGTTAGCTAATCGGGTTTCTCTCTCTTTTTAATGTTCCTATGCATGTTGCTGTAAGTTGAATATTAACCCACTCCTAAAAGTGACCGATCTAATAAATTTGACAATGTCAGAAAATGAGAAGATGAAACTAAACCATAGCGAACCCGTCAATGATAGCAACTTACTAAATTGACAGCTCTGCCAAAATTATGGGGAACTTAGTACTTTGGAAATCCTCCTTCAATGATGAAAAGATTCATTGGTCAGTGACAGCTCTTGATAAAAGTCCCTCCTGATGGCGGGACACCTCTCTTTAGCTTTTTTTTAAAAGCAGCTAAGAGAGTTTTATCATAGAGGTTCCAAGGTGAATGTATTCCAAATGGCCTTTAATCAGCCTCTATTACCGTACATGAGTATGTAATTACATTGTTTCTTGGTCCTGCTTTGATTGTCCATGGAGTGCTCTTGATGGCTTATAGAAATCATTAGCACAAGTGGCTACTAGTAGTTTAACTATCAGCCATGAAGCCTCGCGACTGCAAATCTAGGGACGCAAGTGGAACAAACGCTGTGTCAACCATCTCTTCATTTCAAATCCCGGTTCCAACATGAATGTCGACGGTGCGTAGAGATGGTCTGTGACTTGAAACATTTCGCTTCTGTTAGCAGGAGCAAATCATCATATGATTCAAAGGCTGTATTCTTGCACGTCTTCATTCTACCAGGACTCTCCCTGCCTTCATAATGGAGGATAGTGCACTTCTTGGGGCGTTGTGTCTGGCCTTCAATATCGCGACTCGTTTTACAAATCCTTGGTCGAGTCCCGAGGTCTACTTGGATTTTTTCTTTATTGAGTCATCAATGGATTCATACATGTATGTGGACATCTATCATGATCATAGTATCAAAGCCTCTGGTAGTATATTATCCAGTAACACTGAAGCAGGCGGCAGGGGAAGAAATATGGCGGATGCATCCATGGATATTGTGGGACAACAAAATCACGAGACTCTGCGGGTAATCATACAGGAAGCTTTAGCTCTCCACTCCTTGAAATATTTTCTGTCGTCTTGGAATTGGTCGAGAAAGAACACCGGTCTCATTTCAGTATGGCCATGGACGCTCAAATTCACCGACCCACTGACCCCAGCCAATGACCTTGCCAACGATGGCCTTCTTGATGTCTGACTTGACCACCTTGTCGGGATGGTCGAAGATGAGATTCTCCTTCAAAGCAATGACAGTGTAGACGTAACGGTGTCTGCCATGACCAAGAACAGGGCTAGCGCCGGTATATGGTTTGCCCCGAAGGTTGGGAACGTAACGCCATGCGGAGGTGGTCTGGCATTTCAGGCTGTCCTTAGACACACTGGTCTCCAGCGGGGTTACTGATGTGTGTTGAGGGTTGATTCCCCAGAAAAAGCCGTGGTGGATGGCTGTGAATGGAATAGGCACGTCAATATCCTCACACATAAGGATGTATTCCTTGACGGGTTCGGTGACGTGTGGAGGTGACCACGTCAACTCGGGAATGGAACCGCTGCCATCGTCGGCGAGGGAAGTGTGTTGCAAAAGCAGCTTCGAACCAGATGGACCACATTGGTCACACAGAATAGTCATGTTTGGCTTGGGGATGCTTTCGAATGCTGGACTATAGATGAACTGCCGAGAGTCATGGCTGCGAATAGGGTAGAATAACCGGCCAAGGAAGTACTGCAAGTAATGCAAAACTGTAGCCATTTTGATGGGTGGTATACTGTTGATCCCTCTGAAGTAATGCGATTTTTGGAACGAGAGGTTTTTGGACAAGACAAATATTTCAACGGAAAATAAACATGTTCAAATACTTGACAGAAGATTTAAGGAAAGAACGATGCCGGTCCCGGCCCGTAACCGGCAAGCACGAGTGACTGGCGCCGATTAAAGTTCTTGGCTTGTTTGGTCCAGTTCAACTCTCCATATTTACTATTTACTTTATTTACTCTATTTACTATTTACTATTCACCCATCCTTACATCTTCCATCATCTGCTCCTCTCGCTCTCTGCCCACCTCAATATTTGTTACTATGATGCCGCCACGAAGGGGTCTGTAAAGTGGGTCCGCCCTGTGGTTCCTGGGCGATCAGCGATCAGCGATCAGCGATGACCACATCGTACATCCCCGCCCCGTTTCCGTCGACATCCGGCTTGAAATTCACCGCGATGAAAGCTTAGGCTTTTTACCTCTCAACCTCCCCTCTCCATGCTGCCGAACATCTTCGCTGCTGGTAAACCAGCCCCCGATCCTGCCGAGGGGGTTCAACAAAGGCCCCCTCGGTATGCCGGCGAAGACACCACACCGACAACGCGCCGTGAGATTCTCGGCTGGTATTCCTATGGTATCGCGGCCGAGGTCTTCGCGGTTTGCGGCGTAGGTCCGTATTTTCCCTCATCTTCAACTCTCTCATATCTTCTATCTCTGACTTGTCACTTTAGGTTCCTTTTTGCCTCTCACCCTTGAACAACTGGCGCGCGAACACGGCACACTGCAAACCAGCCACCTGCCCTGCTGGGGTCCACTCGCACCGACAAACGGTACACAGAACGATGAACAGTGTATGGTCGGAGTAATGGGACTTCAGACCACCACTGCCAGTTTTGCCATGTATACCTTTTCGCTAGCAGTGCTTGTTCAGGCATTGACCTTGATTTCTTTTAGTGCGTTAGCGGACTATGGTAAGTTTGCCGATCATTGATGCTTTTAATAGGCGGCAAGATGATTGATTATTGTTTTTTCTTCATCTAGAAAACAACCGGAAAACTTTGCTACTTTTTTTCGGTTTCATGGGTTCAGCCACCAGCATGCTCTTCGCGCTGATCACACCATCAACCTTTCTCCTTGGCTCAGTTTTGGTTATTATTGGCGTCACCTGTCTTGGCTCTTCTTTTGTTGTCCTAAACTCATTTTTACCTGTACTGGTCGCCAACGATCCATCTATCGGGGAGCAAAAAGATGAAGGCGGCGAGATGGCGAACTTCCAAGGCAGCACGAATAATGGTGTCGGCAACGACTCTGACTGGAACGCCTGGGATGAAGAGGACAGTCTGGATGGAATACAAGGAATACATGGTACAAATCGACAAAATCGGTTCGAAGAGGAAAGCCTCAGGGGGAAAGACACCGGGTCTACTCCGGAACTTCAATTGTCTACGAAGATTTCGTCCAGGGGGGTTGGATTTGGATATTGTGCGGCATTATTTGTTCAGGTTCTCAGCATTATCCTACTGATCACGCTTTCCAAAACAAAACTAGCCAAAATATCGGCAACCCTGCCGATGCGCTTTGTCTTACTCTTGGTCGGAGTTTGGTGGTGCATATTCACGTTTGTCACCGGTCGCTGGTTACGCTCTCGACCTGGCCCCCGTTTAGATACGTCATCTAATTCAGGCGCCTCCCGGTGGCGCGCGTGGCTTCGTCTCGTGGGATTTGCATGGAAGTCTCTCTGGCAGACGGTCAAAGTTGCTGTTAAGTTGCGTGAAGCCATCATATTCCTCGTCGCCTGGTTTCTGTTGTCGGATGCCATTGCTACTGTTTCTGGTACAGCCATTCTCTTTGCCCGCACAGAGCTCAAGATGAGCACAACTTCAATCGCTCTGCTGTCAATAACAGCTACTCTGTCAGGCATGACTGGTGCGTTCCTTTGGCCCCTTGTATCCCGACGATTTGGGTTGAAAGCGAACCAGACAATCATTGTCTGTATTGTGTTATTTGAGAGTATTCCACTGTATGGAATGCTAGCCTACATTCCGTTCGTCAAGAATTGGGGTGTTATTGGTCTACAAAAACCATGGGAGATCTTTCCGCTTGCAATTGTTCATGGTGTCGTGTCTGGAGGCCTGGCTTCCTACTGTCGCTCCTTCTTCGGTCTGTTGATTCCTCCTGGGAGTGAAGCTGCATTTTATGCGCTGTATGCCGCCACGGACAAGGGCAGTTCCTTCATCGGACCCGCAGTTGTCGGGATGCTTGTTGACGCGACCGGTCAAGTCCGATCTGGTTTCTTCTTCATCGCAATCTTGATTGTGCTGCCTATCCCCCTAGTCTGGATGGTGAATCCCGACAAGGGACGCTCTGAAGCCCTCGCTATGGCCGAGGCGCTAGGAAAATCACATGACGGACCGGCTGAAGATGCTCAGGAAGCAGAGGGACTTCTCTCTCGTGGGGAATAGACCTGTTCATATTTATGAGGTCTTTCTTGTGGGCTTCTCAGGAACCTCTTAAAGCCACGGCGTGAGTATGTATTTCGGCCTGGTACAAGGTTCCATGACTTTATTGAGGTTATGTTTAGAATTATGATAAAGAGACTACGGCTTCCACCCAAGGCAATTGATCATTGCACAGATTCATTATATAGCAGCCGTCAGAAAAAAAAATACCCGCGGACATCCTACATAGTAGCACATCTGGCAACCTCCAGCTTCCAAGGTACTAGTTTCCCAGCACTTGAAGTGTATGATTTGAAGCATCATCGAGATTCACTTTTACCCGTGAATATATACCCGAGATACATAATCATCGACATCTGGATGCATCAACACATTCACTATAACCACAACTTGCATGTGAATCTCACTAGCTTACCATCACTCATCTTTCTTTATTTCCGCGGACATTCTAACATTTGAACATTTGAACATTTGAATATCTCTTCGGGTAATTAATTTCCAATGTCAAGGGAGGTCTGTGCATCACCCGTCTGCGGGATGTTCGAAAACCCCGGATCGTCACTAAACCCCTGTCAACACTGCTCAAGTGCTCGTCTGATCACCACTCGAACTCCCACCGGACCTCCAAACAGTCTACTGAATCGGAGATCTGGATCTTCTGGAGTTGAAGATTAAGAATTAAGATAAGCAAAGAAGCTGAGCTCGCGGCTAAAATACTAAACGTTTACTGGATTGGCCCCACGAATCCCTGCCACAATATTAGGTTGCTTGATCGGTCAAGGCCAACACCCCGGGCCGACATCTGGACACTCCGCAATCAATGAAAATTGATTTGAAACCTTGAAACGATCCAAGGGAGTTGATGACATTGGACAATTAGGTGTCAATGCCAACCCTGCTGTGATCACACAATTCGTGTGTTGAATTCTCGGCGTGAAGCTCCGTTCTGCAAAGGGAATAGGGGCATTTTGAGGCGTCATTCATCGAATCAGGGTCCAATGACTATGCCTCTTTCTCATTTTAGGACCCTCGCTTCCCCAGAAACTAATCACAACCCGCCGGCCAATTCCTAAACTAGCTCCTACCTAAAACCCCCGCCAATTCTGATAGGTGCAAAATTGAGATCTTTGTTGTACTTCGCATTCCGGCGTGTGGCAAGACACCCTATCCCTTTGTGATCTTACTGGCTGCTCCAGCTTTCTCGTGGATTTCTTTGATCAATTCATGTCTAGATTAGGCTGAATGCATGATGAGATGTCCTTCCTTTGCTACCTTTCTCCACATATTCTTCTCGGAATTTATTCGGGCACGTGGTGGGCCTTGTCGAGAACATGTCAACCAGGAGTTCTTATATCCCTAGTCTTACCCACCCCTTGTCGAGGGTTGGCTGAGTTTTCGTGATCTTTGGAAGAGGTCACTGCACTTGTGTTCGCCATGGCCACTCTCAATCAAACCGCGCTTGCGCTAGAGAAGACGGCCGCCCACCATGTCGAGGATACTCTAGGTCACGGGGCGATCATCGAAGCAAAACAAGCGACCGACGAGGAACATGCCCAGACACTATTTGAGGCACTTCGTGACAATCGCAAGGCTGTTGCGTGGTCTATGTTGATCTCTATGTCAATCATCATGGAGGGATATGATACAATTCTTATGGGAAACTTCTACGGCTATCCCACATTCACACAGAAATACGGAAGCTATTATCCTGCAGCGGCTGCAGCGGACAAATACCAAGTTTCGGCTCCATGGCAAGCGGGTCTCAGCATGGCTAGTACCGTGGGCTGCATCTTTGGTGAGCTCACACTTGCCTCTTAGGAAGATTTAACTGCTGACTCGCCTAGGTGGCATCATGAACGGATACTTTGCGTCGAAATTCGGATACAGAGGTGTTATGATGGTGGCACTAGCATTGCTCACTGCATTCATCTTCATCACCTTTTTCGCTAGCTCAGCTGCTGTCCTCCTCGTTGGTCAAATTCTTTGTGGATTCTCCTGGGGAGTTTTTGCGACAGTTGGACCCGCCTATGCCTCCGAAGTCTGCCCCACCAATCTGCGCGGATACCTCACTGTCTACGTGAACATGTGCTGGGCAATTGGACAACTGATCGCATCAGGCGTGCTATATGGGCTGGTCGGCCGAACAGATGAATGGGGATACCGCATTCCCTTTGCCCTTCAGTGGATCTGGCCGGTGCCATTGATTGTGGTGTGCTGGTTAGCACCTGAGAGTCCATGGTATCTAGTGCGCAAGGATCGGCTCGAGGATGCAAAGCGTAGCATCCGTCGACTTGGAGGAAATAAGACCGAGGATCAAATCAACGGACAACTCGCAATGATGGTGCACACAACCAAGATTGAAGCTGAGATTGAGTCTGGAACAACATACTTCGAGTGCTTCAAGGGAGTGGATTTGCGCCGCACCGAAATCTGCTGCGTAGCGTTCATGGGCCAGATCATGGCTGGTAGTTCTTTCGCATACACACCGACTTATTTCTTCGAACAGGCTGGAATGCAAACCAGCAAATCCTTCCAGTTTGGAGTCGGATGCACAGGTGTGAGCTTTGTAGGCACCGCACTATCCTGGTTCTTAATCACAAAGTTTGGTCGACGGACCCTCTACGTCTGGGGCCAGGGTATGCTTGCAACCGTCCTGTTACTGGTCGGAATTATCAGTGCCGCATCCTCAGCGAACGGGGCTATATGGGCACAGGCGGCACTCTGCATGGTCTGGCTCTTTATATACTCGCTTACAGTCGGGCCAATCGCCTACTCCATCGTATCGGAGATTTCTTCCGTTCGCCTACGAACCTTAACAGTCTGCCTGGCCCGAACAGCCTACCAGCTCATCAACGTCGTCTCGCAAGTCCTGGAGCCATACTTTATGAACCCTACTGCTTGGGACGCGAAGGGTAAGACTGGCTTTTTCTGGGCTGGCACCGCTCTGATTGCCTTTACATGGGCTTTCTTCCGTCTACCCGAACCGAGAGACCGCACGTATGCAGAACTAGACATTCTCTTTGCCACGAAAGTTCCCGCGCGCAAGTTCTCCTCGACCAAGGTTGACGCGTATGCTGCCGTGTCGGCATCTTCTCAGGAGTTTCTTACTCCGAGTCGCGAAGAGGTGGCGCAAGAGGTCAAAGAGTGAAACGGCGTGGTTTAAAGTTTCTGTCTTGTTTATTTTGGATCCGGGCCAGGGCTGTGGCTAATATTGATTGCCGGCTCGGTCTAACGGTCGCATGCAGTATGCACACCTAATTATTGACCGGTAGGGAGTCCTATATGAAACTATTTTATATGACTGGTGGCCCTTTTTACACATGTGCATAGTGTACCCAGGCTACGTATACCATCTAATATTACTACATACGGTGTAAAACTTCAATGTTGGAAACTGAGATACATAAGATGGATCCAGGCAGCACCGGGCACTTGCCACGAACATTTAATGCACGTCTTCCACGTGCGATTACCTGATCCCGATGTCCAGATGTCTGCCTCATGTTGCATTGATATTTTAGGTTGAAGAATACAGATCTTTAATAACACAAACCTCAACATTTGAATGAAACGTTGGTCAACTTCCAACATTGAAGGCTGGAAACTAGCACGAGCCCATAGTTAATTAATATGTCCAAAGTACCTTCTTAGTCATAACTTTCGTTCTCTCGGCTCCAATGCCGATACCTGATTTGTGGCGCTGCATTCATACGTATTCTGTACTTATATATATTAATAACTAGCTGGAACAAGCCTAGTTAGAGCCCAGGTGGCGCCATCCAAATTCATGAAGGAGAATAAGAAAAGGAACAGAGATTTCACTTTTAAGATCGGCATTTCCAAACATCCAAATGTTTCAAGGTTTCTCCATCACCAATATTTGAAATCTGTCTGCATATCTACTAGTACCTACATTAAAGGCAGACTAAAGTTGTGTATTGAGTTCACTAAGTAGCGATCCCCGGGGTGTTTCTTCCCCTTTAGGCCTGAAAAGGAATAGATCCCTGTGCGGAGCAAACATTGAACTAACTGTACTAATGTATGTAGTACTCTGTGCTCTGTACGGAACACCGATACAGTTGTAAAACCTTGGAACATTTTGAATACAAATACCGTGTATTGTCGCGAGTTGTGGAGACATCGACACTCAGATCCCGCCACCACGAGGCCAATCTATATGAATCGCTGCCCACGATCCTATAGTGGGGTGGCGATCAAATTGATTCAAATGCCGACCGTTTGAACGTGGCAAGATGGTAGAGAATAGAGTGAAACAGTTCGGGATAAGACCTATGCACAGTGTGCCTCGGCAGTTTCCACTCAAGTGCTGTCCAGGATTGCTCAATTCATCTCGCTTACAGTACAATAGACCCACTGGCGCCACCGATCGTTTCCAATGTGAGAAGAGGCTGGGGAACAAGGGGATTGTAATCTCAACCAAATGATTAACATTACTCTACAGAGTCAAAATGGCAACAACATTGAAACCATGAGAAACAAGGAGACCAGATCATTGTGATAATTATATATTAGTTTTGCTCTGTCGAAAGTCGTTAAAAAAAAAAAAAATTGGATATAGTACATGAAGCAAAAATACGGCCGTAAAGAAAACATGGAACATTCAAGGCGGGAAAAATACGCCTCATTCATCGCGCACGGACACCCGAACGGACCGTTCAACCTTCCACCCAGTACTCATCGGATTGAGATCCTCTTCACTACTGCTCGTCGGTCCGGGACGCTGGCTACCCATGATCGTAGTCGTAACACCATGATAATCATCATTGTCTGTGCCTGTCCATAACTGCCCTTCTTCGCCATCGGGCTTTGATCGAGTGGAACGGTGGAAGCCCTGCGCCACATTGCTGGATAAGGGAAAAGATCCGGGGCCGGGGGTACGGTTGTTGCGGCTGCGGGAGGCAGAGGATCCATCGCGGAGAAATCTGACAAGGGGGCGGAGGGTGGTAAGACACCCGGCTGTGATTCCTAGGCCGGCTTCAACGTTTGACCAGATGGAGATTTGGTAAGTATTATCTATTTGAAGGCGTTGGTTGTTAGCCGATGCGTCCAATCGGGAAGAAGGAAAGGGGGATGCGGGGGGGGTGGAGGTTGATTCTTACACAAGAATTCAGTGCTTTTGTAATTTTTAACAAAGGGGATGCGAATGATCACGGCGGCGCTCGCGCTGGGGTATTTTATTAGCAATGGTATCTTGAGCGAGTGGCGTTGATAGTGGCGTGACATACATGCAGCCAATTCCTAGGATTCCGACAATGGCCGCCTTGGTGCGGTTGTTCATGCGAAGGTTCCAGATTAATGCGACGGGGAGGAGACCGATGGTAAGGTCCGTGACGGCTGCACCGACACTATACAAGTATGCGATATCGATGAGCAGGTTGGTACTGATGCAGGTGCCGGATTCGGTGAGTCGGTTCCAGAAAAAGTCGACGGGATGACATTGGAAGATGGTGAAGAAAAGAAAGATCATGCCAACAGCAGTGGCGAGAGTGATAGCAGCGTAAAGGATATAGGCATGGACGCGATCCACGGTGATGCGCAAAAGAGTGATGATAATGGATATCTTGGCGACGACACAGGTAACGACATAAAAGATTTGGCCCAGCCACCAACACTAGAACGCGCAATTCGCAAATTAGAAGCTTAGATCTTATGCGACAGAGTGGAAATTGAGTAGAATCATACCAACAAGGCCTTGTGGAAATCATCCTCTCTCCCAACAAAATGAACCAATTTCCGTCCCATTCCGTATTTAACTCCAAGGAAACCACAAATGGCAAAGGCCAGATTAAGAATCATGGCCAATACCATAAAGACATCATCCTTGCCAAATGCCTTTACCACGCGAGTTCGAACAAAGATTCTGAGGCCGACAGAAATGAGCGAGATGGCGAGAAAAACTGCAGTAACGATCAGGATAGCCTGACTACGGCTATCATCGTCCGCTTCCATGGCAGTCCGTGGGAGGAACGCCCATTCGCGTGACCGTATGGCGAGTCGATGTGAAGAGAGGGGGAAGAGGGGGGAAAGGGAGTGGACCAACAAGGCAGGGTGGCGCCCTCGTGGTTTTATGTTTTCATGAAGATCGGATCCATGCTACTGCAGCCCGGCTATTGTGACTTGGAAAACCTGCAGGAGCTCTAGACTTTTGGTTCAGAGTGGAACCCCCCTGCGTTCTGAATAATGATCATCTCATGGTACGAGTGGGGTGGTATTGATTTCTAGGGCCGAGTCTAAATCTGCAGGATCGGCAACACGAAGAGAAACCCTGTAAACTAGCGATCGCGGCAAGTGGAATGCTTTGTAAAAAGCCGGTTTGTAAGCCTATATTTCCGCTTTTGTACACAAGTGCTGTATATACTGGATTTTACAGTGGTTGGCGTGAGAGTAGCCGAGGTAGGACTTTACGGGTTCCAAGGTTCATGCTCGGGTATTCCAATGAGTAGTAGGAAGGAATGGGGAGTTCATGGACAAGATCAGTCTTACGTTTCCCTTGCGCAATGGAATATCTCCGAGCGCCCCGAAGATCTGAAGATCTGGTGATGTGTTTGGCTAGTGCATAGTTGGGTTTCACAAGGCCGGGCGAGGAGCCGCATCTATCCTGAAAGCCGGTAAAGTTCCGGTAAAATCGGTGGCTTTCTTGATGGCTGAAGAGTAAAATACTCGCCAAATATGGAAACCATGGTTTCACGGGTTGTCAATTCGGTCGCTTAGCCAATGCAACATCGCAACCGTGGCATGACGTGGTAGACTTGGGGATTGAAGATAGATAGAAAACGTGGATCCATATGATCGGGGCTTTTGCGATGCCACGAGGGCATCCGCCTTACAGCCGGAATTATGTCGAAAGGAGTAATAAGTAATGCTTGAGGCGTGGAATCGGGAACTTCCACCGACCCAATCAGGGCAGGCGCGAGGGCTGTTGCCCTAACCCGACTACACCTTCCAAAAGGGGCTTAGCGCACATTCCATATTTACCTTCAAGTTGCATAGTGGGCAGATATGCCGCTGTTGTACTCCGTGTTTAACCATTTTTACACCTGTGGATCGACTCGTGGCGTCTTGAATATTGTCCGATTCAACATTCCATCTGCGCTTTGGGCGTCTAGCGTACGCAACTCTGGATCCTCCCCCGTTCGCTAAATCCGCAAATCCTATTGTTGCTGTCCGTGCGCGTCTATTGATACGCTAGAGATCGGGACCCTCGGATCCGCGTCTTCCAGGCAAGGCAAAAACGTGGGAGAATTACAGATCGACATTGTGAACCTCGATGCTTAATCTTCTAAAAAAGGGTCTAGCTTTGCCACTTGAGCAGTGATGTTGGGGAAGTTCGGTACAAACAAGCCTATATATACAGTAATTTTCTGTATTCTGATCCAAGCGATGGTCTATGATCTATGATCTATCTGTCGTGAGTAGTGGAGGTCATGTTTAAGAGCCCCTGAATGACAAGCCCGCTGTCACTCTTGGTAGCTTTTCGCTTCTAGAAGCCTTCCATGGGTTCGTCGTGCGCCACTTCTCCACCGTTCTCTAAGCAGATGGTGTGGCAGAGGCACTGCCAGAAGACGACGTGCCGTTTGTTCCACTAGGGGCACTTCCGCCCGATGATCCGCCTGCAAAAGTGCTGTCTGAGTTCTCGTGGCCGCCGTCGGCATCGTGATAGGCCGCAATGCTGTAATAGGAGTGGTCCGTGTAGTCGGCAGTAGCGTTGATACCAATTTGGATCCACGCGAAGAGACCGTCATCGATATCCTCGCCCAGGTAGACAAACTCAGGGAACGGATCGTAGGAGCTGTCCGCCTGCTCGATGGACCACATATCCTCGGCATTTGATGTAACGGCTTGTATGTTGGTGCTGTAAGGGTATGTAGCCTCCACTGCGGATCGGAGAACCTCATTCCAGAAAAGTTGTCCGATGTGAGCTACGCTACCGGTGCCGACCTCAAGAGTCTTGTTGGGGAAGACGGTTGCATTCAGGTGAGTTAACAGATGTGTGTGGGTGGCACGGTCCTCGTAGTGGCCCGGGAAAATTGTGTCAAAGTTCACAACACCGTCCTGGTTGGTTTGCTGAATACCTCTCAGGTAGGTGCTGTCCCAGCCGTCGCTGGCATAATTTCCGGATTCTGAGATTCCACTGTTCTGGTCAGCATTTGCGAGATTTCATTATGGGTTCAAGAGGGTAACATATTGGCATACCTGTAGACACCAGTGGCGTTGGCTTGCCAGATATCAACCAGAGCACCGGGAACGGGCCGGCAGGTGTTGATGTCAATGTACTGCACCTCCAGAGCAACGTCGACACCATCCGAGTACAACTCCTCCTTCACATTCTCGCGAATGACCTCGCCCCAAACATAGTAGGGACCGTCAGTGACGGTTGGTGTCAAAATGCAACTGGTGTTTGCGCTAAACACGACCGACTCGGGAGTGGCAGCGCTATAGTTGAGAATGTCGGTCTTGTTGTGGTTGATTGCTTCCCATTTCTCGAGAGCAGCCAAATCACGGCGCCATTTCTGGGGGTCTGGTTGAAAGATTCAAGTTAGTACCAGATGCATTGGTCAAAGTGTTATGGCGGTCTCTTACTGGCAGTGACACCACGCTGCTTGCGAAGAGCCTTGACTTTCTCGGCACGACGCGCGATGTTGCGCTTAGCCAATTGACGTGCATGCAAGCTGTTCGCACATCCGCCCAGAGAGCGCTTCGCAGCTTCAGCCGCAAAATCACGGGCGTGTATATCACGCTTCAGGACATGGGGATCGTGCTTTTCGCCAGGGTGGGCGACAGCAGGTGTAGCCAGGCAAGCAGCCGCGACAGCGAGGAGCTTGGACAATTGAACCATGATGAACGATGAAAAAAAGAATGGGACAAAAGCCGTGAAGAAGGGACGAAAAAATTGTGATTGTTTTCTGTTTGACCGGGACTTGATGGGCTACATTTATAAGATTTGGGCATCCTGCTCATATCTTTCGACGCGTCATGTCCTCGGCCAAGAAGATCTTTTCGACCCCAGCCCAACTACCGAATTTGCCCTCTCAATCACGACTCCTCCAGAGGTTGGCAGCCTAGAAGCTTTGAAATCTCCTATACTTGGAGACAAAAGGTGCTTGGCGCCGCGTGTCAGCATAAAAACGCGCCAGAGCCCCACGAGCTTACCTCGACAGGGGCAATGATCATCGCAGAATTGACGAATAAGATATTTTGCATTGAAGACAATCCCCGTTATCCCCAGTGCCCTTCCCGGATCCTATCCACATGCAATAGAAAAGCCGGATTATCAACGGCAATGCTGAGACTGGATTGATGACCCGTGGACCGCGTCAGAGATTAAGACGGTAGAGGCTTGGCGGGTAGCGGAGGGCGTTCTTCTTTTCAATCGCACGCGTGCGGGGTTGTCGACAACACTGATGATAAGATGGAAGTAGGTATATTGATATATTGCTGGCCATCAATTGAGGGAGCGTTATAGAGACCCGAGTTAGAATTTTCATGAAGCTTGGAGCTTATTCTGCACGTGCAGATATTTAACTACAAGACCAACAAGCTCATGTCAAGGCACACTCGTGCGCCTTCAGACATCGGAAGATACTCGGCGATACATAGGAGATGCCAAGGCTCAGACTCGTGGGTAGAAAGTTCGAGTTAATTTCGAGGTCCTTTTGTCTGGACCTAGATTTGACACTTGAGATTTGATCATATGAAACGCGAAACGCGAAACGCGTGTAATATGCACCTGTAAACCCCTGAAACTGAACAAAAAATCTACATGAAGTTTTAAAACTGACATGGCTTCAAAAAGATATAGAATGGGAATGAAATTATGAGTGTGCACAAGTTCCTGGCATAAGGCAGTGAGTGATCTACATACAGCCCTTGAATAGAAGGGACATTTCAGTAGCTTAAATGATTAGCGCAGACTATGTGTGACGTCCACAGGTGGAGCTTCAGTGTCCTTGGGTCACTACGAACTGGCCAATCAGACTAAATTGGGCGTTTGTACAAGTACAGAGTAAAGACAAGCAATTCCGATTGGACAAGATATAGGCAATTCCGATTGGGCAGGAGGTTGACCAATCAGACAACCTTGGATTGATTCAAGAATGTACAAGGCGACGAGTCTCAGTTGGTGTGATATGATACCTTATGTTGAAACTTTCTTGTCGCTGTGAGAGTAATACTTGAGGGGGTTCCACAATGCAGGCTTCCAAGGAACATTCAAGCTACCTATGTGATGAAAACTGACCACACTGGTTTGAAAAGTTCAACGGGCTTCTTGGAACGCCTTTTGCAGGATATCTACTTTAAAAAATGTACATGGACTTGAGAATGGACTTGAGAAGGTTTTGGTGCCTGATTCTGAGTTTTTTTTTGTAAGGATACTATGTACATTAATATCTATAAGTAATGACCTTTCACGGGTGTGTTGAAATAGAGCAATTCGCTATCCTATAGTTATGTATCGTTCATAATCCTGGGGGTACGAGTGGATTGCCGAAGCCGTGTGGCTGGCGGCCCGCCAGGAATCCTGCCGTTGCCAAACCCGAGATCCCGAACACGACAATTTCAAGTCACGAGCTCACGACATTAATTTGAAATCCATCGACATGCCTCACTGAACATCTAAATATTAAAACGGACTTATACGCTCCATGGATCTCGCTAGGTCATTGCCTGAGATGTGATCTTAAAGTTCCTGCTCGGAGTACTGTCATGACGTAACGTGAAATCAAATCGATAGTCGTTGACTCAGCAATCGACTGTATGCATTTGAATATTGCTGGCAATTTTGGATTCGATCTTTTGTTTTACCAATTAAGTGTCAAATGACTAGTTGATTGTTAAAATTGATCTCGTTATGGAAAATACCAACGATCCAGAAATCCCAAGGACACAACCCGTTGGTGATCTACCCCCGCAGGCTGTTCACCGAACATCGACTGTTAGCACACTACACCATAATCAATTCGATGATTCTTTTGTGTCCAGGTATGATGGATGGAAGTCTAGTTTCTATTGATATATGAGGACTTCACAACAAAGACTAATCTTCAACAAGAGTACGTTCATTCTTCAGAAGAGAAGACCATATAGGTCATGTCTCCCGACACCCCCTACGAGAGAGCGAGGTTGAAATTCATACGTGGGATGGTCCGGACGACCCCGAGAATCCTTTCAACTGGAGCAAAAGCTACAAATGGGTGTTGACCTTGACAGTCTGTTTTATGTTAGTAAAAAGAGGGTTCCCTACTGAGAGTCGGGTGCAGTAAGTAGCTAACTGTGAATGTAGATCCATTCTGACAGGTCTTCCTGCTGGGTCATACGGGGAGGGAAACGACTACATGGAGAAACTGTTCCACGTACAGAACACGCCATTCCCCAATTTAGCATGGGCTACAACATCCTGGAACATGGGAGCCGCCTTTTGGCCGCTCATCTTCGTTCCGCTGACCGAATCCACGGGCCGCATGCCGGGATATTTTGTCGCCTATTTTATCCTCGTGATCTCGCTATTCCCATCGGCATTTGCGCAGAATTTTGCAACCCTCGTGGTGACCAGGTTCTTTGGTGGTGGTGCTTCATCCGTCAGCATCAATATCGTTGGTGGTAGCATTAGTGACGTGTGGTACGGCAATGAAGCACGCAGTCTCCCAATGTCACTGTTTGGATTTACCAGTGTTGTTGGAATTGCACTGGGACCATTTGTCGGGGGTGCGATTCAGACCATCAACAAAACCGACCCATGGAGATGGTAAGAGAGGCATGTCAGTTCCTTTTGAGAATCAGACTAACAATAGAAATAGGATATTCTATATCCAAATCATCTATAACGCCGCATTGATCCCAGTCTTCTGGCTTATACTCAGAGAGACTCGTGCTGACGTGATTCTGAAGAAGCGAGCCAAAAAGCTTCGTGAAAAGACCGGCAGGCCAATCTACGCAGAAGCTGACCTGGACACGACCAGTGTATGGAAGCTACTCCAAATTTCGTTCGAGCGACCTACTCGAATGCTTCTGACGGAGCCAGTCGTTATATTCTTCACACTTTGGGTGAGCTTCGCATGGGGGATTCTTTACCTGTTTTTCTCGAGCGTCTCACAGACATATGGCAATAACTATGGCTGGGGTACATTTACCACCGGCCTTGTCCAACTCGCCATCTCTGCCGGTGCAGTGATCGGGACAGTCATCAATCCCTTGCAAGACTGGATTTATCTCCGCTCGGCCAAAAGAAATCGTGAACAACCTGGGCGACCGATCCCCGAAGCTCGCCTTTATACCTCGATCCCTGGTAGCTTACTTTTCGCGGGCGGCTTATTCTGGTACGGATGGGGGAGTGTTGGGGATGGATCCATTCACTGGATTGTGCCAACCCTCGGTATAGGGTGCGCGGGCGTGGGGATTTATAGCATCTATATGGCTGTTGTGAATTATCTCACCGATGCTTATGAGAAGTATGCCGCCTCGGCTCTGTCTGCTGCTTCGTTGGGGCGGAACACATTTGGCGCTTTCCTGCCCCTTGCATCTTACCAACTGTTTCAAACACTGGGCTATGGATGGGCTGGATCACTGCTGGGGTTTGTCGGTATTGCTCTTTCCATTGTACCCGTTGTCTTGGTACTCAAGGGACCGGACATTAGACGCCGCAGCCCGTTCATGCGCGAGTCGATGTTCGACTCGGGAGAGGTTGTTGACTCGGAGGGGCCGGAAAAGGGTGATATCTGATCTCTTGAAGGGTCAAATTAGTATAATATCTCTTGCACAGTAATTTCTGGCACATAGGTATTCCAAGGGCTTACCAGTGGGGTGAATCGGTGCATAACAAGGGACATCACCACTATAATTGAATGTTGTTTTGGGCTTAAAAAAACCCGTGCATCTTCAGGAGGCTGCGGGAAGAGTGGGGTGTAGCACTGCTGAGTCCTGACCCTGAGTGATCGGTCCATGCGGGGAAAGCGTCAGAAAAAGCGCGTTGTTTTGCTTCAAGTTCTTTACCATTAAATTCTTTTCTCCAGATTTCAGCAGTCATCTCCCTTAATTGCATCCTTGAAAATGAGTACTTCTTTCCAAATCAAAAAAAAAAAAAATCATTGGAGCCGGTCGCAGAAATTCACGAAAAATAGCGCGTCACTGGGAAGATCAAGAGTCAAGGCCAACTCGCAATAGTACGACTTAGTACACAACCGGTAAAGATGGCCAATTAACGCATATGACACATGCATAATTGGTGGATGTCACGAACCTAGCAGCTGACGCTAAAGACGCCACTTTCGCATCTAGTGTTAGTATCACAATCCTAGTGTTTGAGAATTTTAGGCGGTACGCGGTGGGCGAATAGGTGGCTGCTTATTCGATTTTCAGGCAACGCAGCCGATGCTTGCATTCTTGCATTTTGGGCCTTTGGCTATATAATCCGATCGTCCCCCAAGCTTCACTTTTCTCGAACTCTGGTCCTACTGTTTACGCTTCAACCACATCATGGTCAACGTCTTTACTACCCTCGTGGGTATCGGCACGCGGACTCTCCACATATTCACCGTCTATCTCCCACTATTATTATGGGCTATTTGGCTTCAAACATACGACTTCCTCATCTTTGTGAGTATTTCTCTCACTTGTAATCTTGATATTCTCAACCTCCTATAAGCCATGCAATTCTAACGGAAAATTGCAATCTGCAGCTTGTGAGCTTTGTTATCCCCAATCGTCGCAAAGGCAAGGTCATTGCTACAGGCCGTCCAGGCCACCAGGGCAACTGGCCGAAATACATTCCTCCCGTCCAGGGCCTCGACAGCCGATCTCCGTGTCCAGGGTATGCATCTTCCAAGTTACTCTCCAGTCTTTTAAAATGTATCATCTGACGCGTATTCCACAGTCTTAACACCCTTGCCAACCATGGTCAGTCAAATCTTGAAATGGGCGTCCCTATTCAAAACCCATATGTGGTTAACAAACGATCCAGATATATTGCCACATGATGGCAAACGCATCACCTACAAGCAACTGTCAAGTGCCATCCAGCATGCATACAATCTTGCACCAACCCTTGCGGACCAGCTCACTGCCTCTGCCGCTGTGCTCGACTAAGGGCGGGGTTGGATCAATCTCTACGATCTAAATGCGCTAGGTGTGAGTAGCGCGCAGCATCAAAAATTTCTCCGAAAGATATAAACTAAAAAATCTTTGACTCGCAGATTGTCCAACACGACGCCTCATTCACGCGTCCTGATATTGCTTTCTGTCCCGACCAAAGCTACCCACACTCCAGCATGGTCGACCATTTCCTCGACCACGCGTCGAACGGCAAAAATTTCACAGTCACTGACTACGCATACTACTCTGGACTTGTGCGCGCCAAGTGCAAGCGCACAAATGGTCAATACTCATTGACATGGAGCTTTCTACACAAGTTTCTAGGTGGGTCGCCCCTCGACTGTCGCAATATTTCTTTGTTTTACTTTCTTCACTTTACTTACTGAATCGTGCCTTGAACTCAGGATCTGGAAGCGCCGCTCTTATGTACGGGGTCTTTGGTGGGGTTGTGGATGACTTAAGGATCTGGTTGACTGAAGAACGTCTTCCGGACGGGTGGGAGCCCAAGTCCAGAGCGCCGTTAGGATGGACTATCACCGTATGTTTCATTCTGTCTATTCTCCTAACTCCTGCTTTGAAGTGTCTGATCAAACCTGCTGACGTTCGTGACGCATGCAGCAAGCTCAAGCCATTTCCCTCGCAGTCGAATTCAACATCAATGAGCAGCAAAAGCTCGCTCCCAAGGATGAAGCTTACCTCCAGTCCAATGAAGGGCAGTTACTCGATCTGTAACGAACTAGTCCATTAATTCTTATACCGTGCTGTTGTGCGCTGATTCATTGCTAACCGCACTTGGTGGAGTACTCAGAAGGGGCGTGGGTAATGCACTCAATCATAGTTCGAAGGTTGCAGGGGAAGATGCCTAGGTAGAGAGATAACCGACAAATTACCTGGGATATATCAATGATCTTCGAATACTAGTACCTAGGGATATAAATCCATCCACTGCAGGTTGCTTGATCACTGAGAAAACTTCGACGACAAAGATGCACATGGAGTACTATTATGAAAAGAGCCGAGATGGAAAATGATCATTTCCAAGGTTCTTGTTCTTTCAAAACATAACGTATAAAAGCGAAATTCTCACCAGGGCTCCTCTCGCCGAACTGAGTACGAATGGAAAGATCCGTGGATTTCAGCCATCAATTCTTACTAGCACGTGGAACATGGAACTATCCACTACGCGACTCCGAGGTACAGTAGACCGCATTCCCTCTCATGGGTATTTTGATAACAAATGGCGTCATGGCGATTGGCAATGAAACCCTCTCTTCCCCCGAGCAATCCCCATTGCTTCAATTTCCATTAGTGCATGACTCTCACAAGGAACTTGGAGATCTTACTTGTAAAGCCAACACCCATTCTGAGCGGAGGTCCATCTTGCATTGTTTCTGAGGGAGTCAGTCAACAGGCAGACAAGCTGCTGCACAGGAGGAAAATCTCACGCATTGTTCAACGCAGTGCACTCGTCCATGTTTACACTTTGGAAGTCGCATTCTTGGGAGGATCCATCATCGCAATATTCAACCTGGACTCCGAAGTCAATCATCGGGTAATCTATTACCATCCAAATCTAGGTATGAATCTGATATATGCATCGCGGATTACCTAGGAGTTACTTACCACAGAGCGATCGTTAGTGACAGGCGCTGCGGAACTGGCGCCAAGGCAAAGGAAGGCGAACGCCGCAGACACGAGACTCATGTAAACCATGACACCAAATCTCTTTCGATATTTTGCAGATTGATTCCAATTCTAACCGTTCACGGGTGTCTTCAGCCGGGGTCTCAAAGGAACCTTCTTGAGCAATTGCCAGTTCAACAGAATTACCGCCGACCTGGGATCAAAGCCAAGGGTTACCAGCCCCTATATAAGTATCATCAGCCTTGGAAAATTCGAGGTTACTGGTTACTCCCGAGCTTTCAGTTCTCCCGCCAGGTTGATTGAAATCTAAGCGTGATACGTTGCACATAATCTCAACGGAAACCGTACATCGGGGCCATTGGAAACTGGACGATAAAACAACCGCCGGGGCCCTGGGGACCTCGAGGGCTGCCATTTCCATACTAACGAGAGAAAATATCGCGCATTGGAATTATTCAAAACTCGCAGCCCCGGTCTGGAGTATAGGCATCTAGAACTTGAGAGTTGGTGCGCATGTTTGGGTTGGGTTCTCCAATAACCCTGGAAGTAAATCTGCCGGCGTTTTCCTAACATGCATCTCGTTCTACAAGGACGAGCGAGCCTAAGGGGCATACACATTATCTCGCACCTCTGTATGGAAAAGAGGAGAACGGGATACTTAGCCTCAGACTGAATAAAAGTCCACCTCGAGCCTTGATATGAGCGAATTTGTAGCACCACGGCTGCGAAATCCCGAGCATCTTGTCGCGGTGCATACGCACTGCGGGAAATCTCACATATCATATGATAAATCGAAGAGTTCCAAATGGTTGTTAAATTCGGAATGATCTGAGATCCTGAATACCAAGGCAAAGCAGACATTCATGGCATTCTTGATATTGGTCATCGCCCACTTTTAGCTCCGTCTCTGGATGGGTATGAAGTTGGATCAGTCATTCGATCGAATCAAATTTGGATTGATGACCCTTTTCGCCACCACTTTTTTTTTTAAAAAAAAACACTCCTAGACCAAGGGGTGCAGATTGAGCAGGCCCCTGTTCAACGGATCATTTCAAAGGACATTGGCGTACCCCTGTCGACCTTTTTTTTTTTTTCCAGATCCAGTTATACGACCTTTCTCTTTTCACCGCTTGAATGCGGTACCGAATTCCCGAGTCGAATTATTTTGCGGACGGCGACAACGGAAGGGGCGATTTATTCGAGCAGCAACGTAAACTGAAACGAAACGGAAGGTGGCAGAGAGGAGGAAGGGAATGAAAAGATGAGAGTGGGGATTCGTCATAGCAGAGGTAAGAAACCACCTCGGAACGGCAAAGTCTCCAGGAAAACGCTGCCAGGCAGACATCACCACCGCGCCTCTCCTCGGGAACTCTTCTTCCCTGGATCTGCCCGGAGATTGTCGGGGCTATTTCTGATGCGTTGTGTGCTTTATTGTTCGCATGAAGAGGGGGGGGGAAGGGGTATCGATGAATTGGGAGAGTATTCGAAGAACAAGGTAATGACGGGTCACACAAGGGAGGCACACGAGTAAATGGTGCGATCGAGCCTGGTGGAAGGTACTAGTGATAGTGATCTTCAATGTTGCAATGTTTGTGGCTTATGTTTTCAATAGTAGGTAAACACACTAAACAAATAGTAGATACGAAACATGTAGCATCAACTTGAATTTAACAAGTTCCCAGCATATACAACGAAGATAGGATTTAGTTTGAGATCCCCTCCAAGCACCCGGCCTTGCCGAATCCCTTGATGGGGAGGTCAGAATCATGACAAGTCAAAACTTATGGCATACTTCGGCGTGCATAAGGACGGCGACATCATACAGTGTGCATGATTCCTTTTGCGACAAGGTGAAGCAGCTGAGAGCAAAGACAACCATTCTGAAAAACCACAACTCATAACCCCCAAATAAAAAACCTACTAGGCGTCCCCAGTAGTAAAAAAAAAAGCCGACAATTCCACAGATCACAATTTGATTTCAACTTCACGGTCAAGAAGACATAGAAGAATCCGTCTCACTGGCGAGAACTTTCAATCCATTCATGTTTTTCAGGACGAGGCTTGCCAGTACAAATAAATGCCTGTCTGTCCTCCGGGTCCTCCCTAGTCCACATTTCACGGGTTGTCCATTCGCTGTTCACAGGCGATTTTAGGTCACGACAGGGACAGCAAGGCCGAATGATCAGGACGAACTTGAGTTTGAAGTGAACCAACAGATCGCAAACAATTTGAGAGCCTTCAGGTACAGGGATAGACCTTTCGCCTCCAGCTCTATCTTGTTATTCCATACTTTCTTCAAAAAAAAATGCCACTGGAGGTCCGGCGGTCCGCTGTTGGTTGACCATTGACGATGCATGGGGGGCCTTGGCGGCACATCGTGGGTCCAGCGGACGGCGGGATTCTGCGGACAATTTTTTTGTCGGATTTCTGGTCTTCGGGCAATGTTCAATTAGAAGTCCGGTTGGATGTGACACACATGAATGCCTCGTCCGATTCGGAACTCATCAACTGTGAGCTAAACACGAAGGATGGTATGCAATTGAGGGCGACGAAGCAACAAGAGCATCGACATCCAAATCGCTGACGTGATGGGTGACAAGTCCGTCACGTATTCATTCAGTTATCACGTTGGCGCAGCGGACGTTGAGGGACCATTGGCATTGTTCATGGAATCGAATGTATAGTATCAACGCCCGTAGTCATCTGAATTACAATCTAAAGCCGCTCTTGGCTTTTTTGAGGAAGGGAGAAAACAAGTGCAGCCTTGTTTACTTTCCGCCGCAGACTCAACAAACGCAAGCCAAGCGGTTCGTTCGATGACGATCCCCTTGACGACAATTGCGGCAAGATGAGAGAGGGATGGGAAATGCTCGTAATGTTCTCTGGAGAAAAAGCTGGAGGGGGGGATTCAGAAGGGGTTTTATACTAAGTACGTAGTCCGCCCGGTGATCGGGGAAACTGTTCTTCCACTCACGACGCGTCTTCGCGTCTTCGCGTCCCAACCCCTATTGTATTTCGATGCGATTTCCCTTCTCATGCAGTACAGATCGCATTCCATCTTGTTCTACCCAAATCCATGAGTAAGAATTTACCCTTACCCCTCCAAGTATACTTCCACTTAGCCTGCACCTCGATCGATGACCCCACGATCTGCCGTGCACTACACAACTACTACTACTCACTAGTGATTCCCAGTCCGACCGTTAAGGACGCGAGATTTGCAGTCTGTACTAGTACATAGTACATATTCAGTACTCCAGAAATAGCTTCAATGTTGGACCATCATTGCATTTAGCTGTCTCCAGGGCTACCCCGTAAGTAATTGATCTATCTAAAAATGATCCCATGATGAATTTCCTCGAGTAAGACAACGACATGAATTTCAAGGTATCATCCACGTAACTCGTGACTCCTAACATCCGACATGGAGCATTTTGTATATTGACCCATGGCATATGCGTCTAACGCCACCTGAGTCCGATCGAGCGACAATGCTCAGCCAAAAAAATCAAAGGGGTTTTTTTTCTTTTCTTTTGGTTTACAATTTTCACGCCCACGAACCCAGCCAAGTAGGTAAAGTTCTGAACTTCGGATCCGGCCCAAGTGCACGCTTGCTCTCCTCAACAGCATTAATCAATGCATCCGCGTACTCTTGACGACTACCACCACCCGATCCCCGCGACCGAAGACGATAAGCCTGCGACAAAACACGACTAACCTCCCATTTCCCATCCTCTTGATCCTCCGGCGATTTAATAACGTCTTCTCTCTCAAACGTCCACCCCGCTTCAGCCGCCACTTCACGAAACTTCTGCGGGGATATAATCGACTGGATATTATCATCGCGATCCAAATTACCGTCTCTGGAGTTGTATTCCGCTTGTGAGATCGCCGCGAGCAAGTGTGGCAGGGCGGCGATATCGCCTTGGATGTCGGTTGAGTACTCCGCAATGCGGAGGTACTTCACTCTGCCGCGGAGAGCTACCAGCAGTGGGGTCAACGCTTCGGCGGATGGGATATACCATGTTGAGCGCGCAAATACGGCGTAGTCATAAAGCGGCTCTGAATCGCTGGACTTGAGGAAGCTTTCGACATCTGATTGATGAAAGGTGATTCGGTCCCCGATCTCAGTTTGCTTCAGCCTATCTTGGGCCTCGCCCAGAGTCATGGGCGCACCTAGTTGGGTTGTCAGCACTTTTCGTTTATGGGGTTCCTTTCCAATGCTTCACGGCAAACTAACCGTAGTCCAGGGGTGCTGGGTCAATTGCCGTGACATGACCCTTCTCTCCCACCAAGTAGGCCATCACCAGTGTGCAATCTCCCTGCCCGCAGCCGATTTCAAGGATCTTCGACCCGGACGGAATGTCCCATGTCTTATAAAGGTCAATTCTGGCCTGGATTTGGGGCTCGGATGACCCGCCCTCGGATATTTTTGCAATGTTAATAACGTCCAAAGACATGATTGTGAGTGGTTGAGTATTCAAGTGTTTGCAAGATTGCGTGGGGTTTGGATCAAGTGAGCACTTAAGTATTGACCGTAGATAGCAAGTAGCCAGTCAAGGTTAAAAAGTTCAATGCTAATGTGTTCCAACATTGAAGGTTGGACTGTTGTGGGGATAGCTGTATATATACCTACTCTATATCACAGGTGCGCCGACGGACCCCCGTGTGCCAGTTTCTTGCTTAGGTCCACGGGTCCAATGTTGGGTGGTGTGTAACCGTGTATTTACTTACTAGCTTCAAATGTTGACTTGGCCTTGTCATTTTTGTCAACTCAGTAAGTTTAACTAAATGACTCAGAATTTTCAAAGCTGACGAAAGAAAGGTAAAAACCAACATTGAAGTGAGTGTTGATTGGAGCATTGAAGCCACTTGCATTGTTTTCGAGTAGTTTAGTAAGAAGCAGATCAGCCCGCAGCACTTGAGAGTGAGTCACGCCCCGAGATAAGCCATATCGAGCTGCATACCGTATTCGCCTTAGTGCGGGGATAAGAACATAGTAGAATTTGTGAATTCACAAATTGCACAATTGATTTGAGGAATCGAGCTGACACCTATCTTTGGAGTCGTAAAGATGACAAGAAAAACCGAGATCCACAGTCCAATTACGGAAACTGCTTCCAAGGTTATTTCTGCGACGCAGTAAATAGCTTACGAAATTCCGAATCACGCCCCAACAAGACGTTAGGCGCATCGAACTCCACCACTGCTCCCTGCCGCAGGAGGGCTACCCCATCGAAGCGCTCAATATGCCGCAACCGATGCACAACTGCAATTACTGTCTGTCCCGCACATTCCTGTTCGATTATCTCCAACATTCGGACCTCCGTTTCCCAGTCTACGTTGCTCGTCGCTTCGTCCAAGATGAGAAGTGGACTCGGGCTGGTCAAGGCCCGGGCGAGTGCCAACAGCTGCTTTTCGCCGTATGACCAATCCAGTGCGTCGAGGTTCGCATCCAGACCACCCTTTTCGCGAATGGGTTCCCATAGTCCCACTTTTTGAATCGCTGCGATAATCTGCTCTTCCGACAATATACCCGTGTGGTCGAAGCTGTCGCGCAGCGTGCCAGGGAGAAAGAAGGGATCTTGTGGGATAACCGTAATTTGTGTGCGGAGTGCGGCGGGATGAATGGTGGAGATATCTACTCCGTCGATGGTGATGCGACCCTCGGTGACTTCCAACATGCGCAAGAGGGACATAATGAGGGAGGTCTTGCCGCTGCCGGAAGGGCCACAGACGGCAATCTTTTGCCCAGCGGGGATGTGCAATGAGAGGCCAGAGAGAATGGTGGAATCGTGGGGACTACATCGAAAGCGACCGAAGAATTGTCAGCATTTGTTCTTGAGATGAGACCAAGGATGATTTTGCCTCCTTGCTTACCCATATCTGGCGTCGACATTCTCGAACCGAATCTCTGCACGCGCCAACCAACCTGCCTCTACGCCCTCAGACGCTTCGGTCGGCGTGTCCGTACTGAACTCCTGCAGGCGCGCCACTGCCCCGAGCGAGATCTCCATCTGGGTCCACGACTCAATAGTTAGGTTCAGGTTCTGACTGATGGAGATGACAAGAGTCAAGGCCACACCGATTCCACCAGCGCTGAAATGATGTTTCAGTGCGGTGATGATTGCGACGAGAACCACGGCAAATAGCATGACTAGCAAGTCCAGCGCCAGCTTGAGGCCCTGCCTTATGCAGATCATCATATAGAATGGCTTCTGGGTGACGTCAAGCTTGGCGAGGCATTGCTTGTGAAATTGTGGCTGCCACTGCATGCTTTGGATCACTAACAGCCCGCTCACAGTCTCTTGGAACTGTGAGAAAAGAAGTGCCTTGGCTTCGATATCCAAGAGGCGAACTTGACGGGAGGTGCGGAGATAGCCGTGTTGGAGAACCCAGATCACGAGTAACATGAATGGGAGCGCGATGGTGATGTATTTGCCTACAACACAGATAATGATCAAGCTAACTACGCATTGAGCCAGTGCTAGATAAATGGTATTAGGAAAAGGATCTTGAGCTTGTGTGTTTTGTGGAGACTTGCCTTCAACAAAGTTTAATGCAGTTGTCGGGAATGCAAAGTCAATGAGTTGCATGTCTTCACTAAAACGGTTCATTATGCTTCCGGTATCTGTTTTCTGGAAGAAACCAAAGGGGGCGCTGGGAGCATTCAGTATTGGCTTCCATGGGCGGTTGAACTCTCGGCTTACCGTAGAACAGATTGCAATAGGTCTGTATGCAGAGCAAGCGAAGTGTTGCCAACAATTTCGATGATCAACATCCTACATGAAAATCAATGACTGATCAGTGCAAGAAAAAGTAGCAGTCTTACCAACACCCGGCACCAAGAGAAGCAATTGCCAGGAGAGTAATGACCGAATAGACACCAAGGTATTTGCCTAGATCCGAATTCGGATCAGTCTCATTTGCATCAGACCACCATTCTAACCAGATGGCTGAATACACAGATTAGTTTGATTGATTTCTTCACAGACAAATGGGCGAACTTACAAGAGAACTGAGTGGTGAAGCCATAGACGACCAAAAATGCCACAAAAAGGCTGACCTGCAGCAACCCTGCCTTGCGGGCGTAATAGCTGTAGATGGACCAGCTACCATCCCGCCTCCCCAGGTTGTCTTTGATAACCGTGGATTCGGAATCGATGTCTCCACTACTTGGCTGTCTGGACAGGGGCGAGGCTTCTGTAGTATTGTTGAGGCCTTGATCATCATCCGGAGCACGTACTTGGTCAAGTTTTTTATCCAGTTGGGAGACTTTATACTCGGGAAATTGGTGAATTAATTCATCGTAAGTGCACTGCAGGGCTTTCCGACCATTTTCAAGCAGAATAACTTCGTCGGCATATGGGAGTAGAGACCCTGTGGATTTTGCATTAACAACAGCCAACCAAGGATTATATCCTATACTCACGGGTATGTGTCGCGAGAACCACGGTTGTGCTTGATCGTCGCAAAATGCCATCCCGACCAAACAGACGCTCACCAACTAGATGCGTATTTTGCGAGTCTAGTCCACTGAATGTATCGTCAAGAACCATATTTGGCAGACGAGAATAGACCGCACGCGCAAGAGCCTTGAGTCAATCAGCATTCACTCGATCAACAACAATATTCCCATGCTGTGTTTCCTCACCACTCGCTGTTTCTGTCCTCCACTAAGTGATATTCCGCCACTCCCAGCCATGTAATTACTTCCCTGGGGAAAGTTGCTGATGTCGTCCGCGAGTCCACATGCCGAGATAGTAACATCATACCACTTCTGGTCCAATGCCGTCCATCCGGTGATGTTGTTCTGGATGGAGCCGTTCATAATCCAGGGGCTCTGCGGACAATAGGATATACCAGCGGGAGTAAGACGCATGGTGCCACTTCCAATCTGAGTCTGGCCCATGATGGTCTCCAAGAAAGCAGATTTTCCACACCCCACCGAGCCCACGATCATAACGATCTTACCAGTAGGTATGGACAGGCTTAAATCTTGAAGGACTGGAGGGCTTTCTGCTGTCCAAGATATGGATGCGTTCTGGAATGACAAGAATTTATTTTCGGATATCGGAATCTCAGAGGTCTTGACAGCCACAGAAACTTTGGAAAGTTCCATGTCGTTGCCGCTCTGCAAGTTGCAGGAACCTTTTTCAACCAAAAGCGATCCTCCACTCAACCTTTCTCGCATGCAATAATTCTGGATTCTGTCAAAGCAGCCGATAGATTGTGTGATTGTGGGTAGTGACTGGATGAACCCCATCAGAGGAGTTGTTAGGATGGAGATAAGAGACAGAGTTGTGAATGCCTGCGTAGTGAGAATTTGCGTATCGTGCTTGGCTGCGGCTATAATCGAATATACCAGGAAAACCGTATACGGGGCAAAGTCCACGGGAACACTCGCTGACCGTGAAAGATTAGGTTAGCACTTCAATTTTCACCTCCACGTTTTCTCTCTTATCCTGAAGTCTTGGAGCTCACATAGCATGACAATTCCCACGATAAGCCTTCGCATCCGTTTTGAGGCATCCAGCTCTGTCTTCCGATACCGAGTAATGATATCAAACAAAATACCTTCTAGTCCCAGCATCTTAACAGCTTTAATATCCCCTAGCATCGAAGTAGTTACTGCCAAACGTTCCTGTATATGACCCACCCACTTCTTCTGCGCAACTCCGCATTTGGCAGAGAGCGGGGTAGTAGCGAAGATACAGCCCACTGCTATGACGGCAGGAAGGACACAGGCAACATACACTTGCATCTCAAGTAGCCAGATAGCAATAACCACAGAGAAGAGAGAGGCCCAAAGCTCATGCAGCGACCGCATACTTGATACGATACGTGTCGTGTCAGTTCCCATCAAGGTGACCGCGTCCCCAGCACTGGAGCTGTTTGTAATCCGGAGTGCCAGTGTCTGCTCATGGATCATGGCGATCAAACCCGATCGGACGGTGGTTGCGAAGCGACTAGCCTCCCGATAATATATCGCCGTGGTGACAGCAAGACCCGTATAAACGAGCGCGTACCCTCCGACTAACGCTCGACCGTATCGCTGGGTCTCTGCAGTTGTCGGAGTACTCATCCAATTGATAGTGGCTGACAGCAGAAAGGGCTGGCAGAAGGTGAAGCCAGCTAGTAGAATGCGGGGGATAATGGCAGAGAGGAGAGGCCGATAGTATGCTCGGAAGGTGGCTTTGATCAGTCGGTACTTCCCATGAGACTTCAACCAGGCCTGTGACAGACGCTCCTCCGCCCGGTCTCCGAGCAACGTTGAGTCAACATCTGGCAGATCATTCAGGGAGATGATGGAGGTATAGCCGTCGCGGAATAGTGGGAGGACCCAGACAAAAAGATTACGCCCCCAGAATCCGTGAAAGATTTCGACTGGAAGACTCTGGTACTGTGGCTGGACGATATTGATTTTCCGAGCGGACTCCAGGACAGTGATTAATACAATAATCATGTAAATCGCTGTGAATAGCCCGCGAGGTATTGGAACAGAGGGGATAAGCCATAATGTACGGAAATGTGGTATGTTGAGAATAGATAGGGCCGAAAAATAGACGATGAGCGTGTCGGACGGTTGTATTGTTCGCTGATCCTCGAGAAAGGAAAGAACGATCGCTGCGAGGGTTGAAGCGACATTAAGCGATGCTGTTGCAGTAGAAATTTTGGTTTGCAGATCTGCGGTTCGCAGTTGGTACACTGTAAAGATAATTTGTAGGACAAGGAGCAGCAATAATAAAGCCTAGTAGTGTGAAAGAGTACTAAGTTAACCTTCTTTGCATACTTTGAAGGCATTGAGACAAATCAAAAACCTTTCGCACGTACCGATTTATAGATTGCAAGAGTGAGGGATTTGGACTTCACGGGCGAACGACCCAAAACCGCGAGTCGAGGGATAAGCCATAGTAAGAATGCAATGGACGGTAAAATGCTGAATATCGAGTTTTCAAATAACAAGGTGAAGTCGAATTCTCGACAGTTAGTATCAACTCGAATCCTGAATTGATTGTCGCTATTGACAGGACAAATGTTCGAAGCCATCCGATCTAAATATTTGAATGATAAATATTTAGCCGCTTTTGAAATTATTTTGATCTTTGCGGGGAAAGAGGCCCTAATTTATGGCCTTCGATCAGAGATAAGACACCATGTGCTTAATAAATCGAGGCGTTTAACTAGCCATAGCTGGTAGTAAGACCACTAGCTACTAGTAGAGATGTGCTGTGGCGGCTTTCACCCCGACGGATCCCCGGTGCTGATTGACATGGGTTCGAACGCGCAATTCCCAAGAATTGCCAATCAACAACACATCCAGCTAGAGCGTCAGCGACTAGTTTGATTTCCGGCAAGGCGGAGTTCTGTAGCATTTTTGCAAAAATGTCAAACAAGGCCGTCCAAGCGTTGGCGTCCTCAAATGAATCCTGGCAAAATGTACTTGAAGACTGAGCGTCGCTGGACCAGCAACTGATAGATCAGCCCACGAAGCACGGCAGTCGCATGATTGAGTCTAGAGTCGGTCGCTTGGCAGAAGAAGCATGATAGAAAACTGTTCGATGGCGTAGATATCAATATCCAAGTAATCGAGGATGCCGCAAATCAGCATTGTCTTGCCCTTGCCGAGATCTCCTTTGATCCATCCAGAGCAGAGTACCGTTAGGGCCACATCGCCACCCCTGGAAGTCTGAATGGTCTGGAACCTAGCTATATGCGTAGTATGTACATTAGGCCCCATTTGGTCTGTTGGACGCGAACCTTATCATCGTGCGGCTCAGTCAGTCGCAGATCGTTCCGACATTTGGTTGCACCGTCCGGAGAGTTGTCCGTTGATTTGTTTTGTCAGTGAGTCTATGACATCGTCTCTCGGGACCAGCTAATAACCTGCAACACATGCCATTTGCTCACCAGGTGCCATGGAGGCTTTCTTGGTGGTCAAAAATGGGGGAATAACGGACAGGAGCTCTTTCGTCTCTTCTCGCCCGTTCAAACCTTGGAATTTTGTTTTCTTGGTCAACTGGTCATTTAGGCTCCTATATACTACTTACATAATTGTTGATTAATATGACCTCTATAGGGTCGGGTATTTGAAAAAAAAAATCTTGAGAACAATTAGTGATAATTGACGAAGGAGTCAAAATTGCAGCACGTTTCCGTCAAATCGTTGACAACAAACAGATACGGTTCGTTCACCTTCGATCCGTATTTTACCTGTATTTTACCCGTATCGAGACCCGTATCGAGACCCACTGGGCAGCGTCACCACCAGTTATTCGCCGTATCGGTACCCCACAATTGCGGACAAGGTCGCTACTTGTTTCAGGCGTAAGATAAACAAAATCAAACGACGTATTGGAGTACGATACCAATAAAAATGCTTAGATTTTGTCATGTCCACTGTTACCGTGTAATACAATGCTCTTGACCATACTGTTTTCCAGAGTTTTACATTACAAGACGCCAAACCATTAGAACCTCCGGGGCTGAAGAGGGGCTCCATTCCAATTCTTCCCGAGACATTACATGTCAACATTGATCTAGGTCATCATTCTTAACGGACAAAAAGCCTTCGTTTTCACAAAATTCAAACTGGCCGAACCTGCCTTCAGTGTGACCTTCTTTACTTCAGAAGGGGTTAACCTCAGCTTAAACCTTCTGTATTCAATTCATCCATTCCAAGGTTACTCTGCCTCGAAGTCCTTCTTCATCTGCTCCTCAAATTTGGCCCACTGGCCCTTTAATTTATAAGCGGAAGCCCAATAATTTCCCTCCTGATCTTTTCCTAAGACGAAAAATCCATCGCCAGGCTTGATAGGGCCATGATTCTCCTGAACGTAAGACGGCCTGCATGGCGCATGTTCGCCTCTGGTGGCCTTGATAGCTGGGGAGAAGTCCAAGTCAAACAGACCGGCCTTGGTCCAATTGGAGAAGCCGACCTGAGCCATTGAACCATCACCGAAAATAGCAATGGGTAGACCATACCCAGCGGTCCGTACTGTGTTATAGTAGGCCTCGTGTTGAGCCTGCGTGCCTTGTGTATTGATGGCGCGCCGAATCTCCCGTGCAACCCGGCTTAAAGGTTTTGATATGACATCGTCTGCCGCTAGTAGTACATTGGCCCAGCCGTAGGCATTGCCGACATATGGGTGTTCGGAGGAATTCGGGATAAGATCGCCCTCGAAAGCTTTGCGGAGGGACATGGCAATGCATGCGGCAACCTGCAAGAGGTCATGAGTGAAAGACTCTTTTCGGAATGAGATTGCGAAGACATACCGTTCTGTTCGGATCCATGCCCATCTCCCCAATCACACAACGCAGGATCCACGCAGTGATGATATCGTTCTCTGTCAAGAACACATTCGATTCGTCTTGGCCATTGGCCACAGCCTCAGCGCGAAGCTCAGCCAGGGCCTTCTCGTGCTGAGGTTGCCAGTATGACTTGGGTACACAGACCATGCGATTCTCTTTCGCTCGGACCAACATATCAAAGCCGTATCCCAAACCCCATTTCAAAATACCTCCAATTCCAGCCAGTCTATCATAAAGAACGTGTTTCTCCTTTGCGGGACGCGAGCCCGTTGCAAATGACTCAAATGGATCAGTATCGTACGGCACTGGGGTGGGGATATCATCCTCCTTGCCCCAAAGCATGGCATTCCAGCCTTCAACGACATATTGCAGACCAAGTGCATCAAAAGCAACATGCTGCCATTGCAGAACTGCAACTGTCTTGTCTGTAAAAGAGTTGACTCGCAGCCCAAGCACAGGCTTTTCTGAGCCGAGGTAGTCATTGATACCGCCTGGTTTGCACCCAGGCCCCCATGCGAGGTCTTGTAACTGGTCCGGGTCGCTCACAATGGCAGGGTGAGTTTGAGGTTTTGGAATTTGAGATGCCCCCGGGTGCAGCGAAGCGGAAATTCCGTGATCGACGTGTACGAAAGAGATTGCTGGCCTTTCGACTGTGAAATTTCCGGGGATGTGCCATTCGATTGAGCCTGAAGTCTGAGAAAAGCAAAAGAACCGTGTTAGTGGGAATATCGCACTACCTAGCAATTGAAACTCACATTCTTTCTGAGACGGCCTCCCAATCTTCGCCATCCATCCCGTTCAACCAGGCGCTCAAGGGATTGTCGCAGGATTTCTGGGTCAAGAACTGCATCAAAGGCTAAAGACACAGCCATATTGTTTCCTTGAACAAGTGGGCTGTTCTCGAAGAAATGCAGCGGTAGCACATGATCACCTGGAATAGTAGCTTCCACGGCCTTCTGTCCAAGTAGTCTATTCATTTTGTCAAATTTCGACTCAAAAGATCATTGGAAAAAGAAAATTAGAATCGAGCTTGAGAAATAGAATCAAAAGATCAATGCAGGAAATATGCAATTAATAAAAAATAATGCAAGATCCCCTGAAAGGAATCAGTATCAGAGTTGGGTGCTTTTGTCATTTTCCATTGTGTTTCCTTTGTGCCCAGGGGCCAAATGAAGTATCCTAAGGCCTATAGAAGTAAGGTTAGTGTTGACAGGTCGCGCTAGTCTGACCCAGGTTGGCAGAGCCCCACAGTCACTAAGGGACCGGCACTCGAGTCTCACGGCCCTATTGGTCCTTGAATTCCCGTTAACAGGGATTTTCTCCGGCTCCCAGGCTAATGATATACTTGGCGAAGGAATTAGTGGGTTACAAGGCTGCTCGCGTGGCGAGCATTTTCTCAAACTTCGCTGTATTTTCTTGGGGGACAAAGCCTTTTCTTTTTAATTTACAAAGTGGATACGAGACGTTTATAAGACAAAGAACCCCATTTGAACCTTTTTCTTATGTAGATTGTCTCTGCAACTACTCCGTACTTCGTACACTCAGTAGCTGTATATGGGAAAATGGACGCAGCAGCAACGATGGCCACGACCCCTGGGATGCTACCCCCAGCCGGTCAAAGTTCACATTTCCACGAACCATACAATCCATTGCAGATTGGAACGGTCATTGCTTTTGGCATCACATATTTCCTTGCAACATGCTTTGTAGGCCTGGGCTATTTCCAAGCCATAAAATTGACAAAAAAGTTTGAGCCGGATCTGAGTAAGGCGTTAGCAATGTTTTTTTTTTTTTTCGAAATGACCATGACTCGCGAGCCAAAGACTAACACAAAGGCAATTCTTTAATAGTCGTCATCACGATTTCCTATGGAGTCTCGCTGTTCTATTTCGTCAGTTTGGTCAACTGTGAGTGAGATGTGGTGCTTTGGAGCAGCTTGAACTGTTCCGCTAACTTGAATTTTCGTCATAGTAATGAAGTACGGGTGGGGAAAACATTTATGGGATGTGTCTTTGGCCGATCTCGTCTCCTTCAATAAGGTGAGACTGTTTTCCGCGAAATGAGATTTAAACGCGTATCCCACTCACACACATTTCTTAGGCGCTGCTTCCCAACACATTGTCATATTTGATATGTCCATCCATTACCAAGATGGCGATCCTGTCCGTTTTATATCGCATCAACCCCTCCATGATATATCGTTCTCTTGTCGTGGCAGTCGGCGTCGCGATTTTCGCCTACACTTTGACGCTATGCACCATCACGGGCGGGCCATGCAACCCTCTCAAATCCGGAACAACGAAATGTCTGGAAAATGTCGCCTTGGCCCAGGCTGTGCTAAACATCGTATCTGACTTTGCTGTGGTGGCTCTGCCAATACCAACCATTCATCGCCTCCAATTATCCCTTAAGCAAAAAGTGACCGTCGGTTGTCTTTTGGCTCTCGGATCCGGGTCAGTTTCTATAATCCACCGTCCTTGTTACTACTTTATTGTCTACCAATGACCCCGGCTAACGCATTCCACAGGGTTGTTGTCTGCTCAATCGCACGCCTGCCCTATGTCATTATATTGGATAAGACCGAGGATCTCACCTACACAGAAGCCATCCTAGGAATATGGTCTCTCATCGAAGTTAACCTCGCTATTATCTGCGCATGTGCGATGCGACTCAAGAAATTGATCGCAACATATCTGCCACGACTATCGCTCTTCTCATCGGGGACGCGTAGTACAGCAAAAATAGCATATGACACGGAGGGAAGTCGGTTCCAAGCAAAAGGCAACAAAAGTCAACACTCATACCAGCTTCATAGTGTCCAGAAAGGGAGCACTGACCCAATATTCGGCCTCAGAGGTATCTCTGTGGACCGCACATATCAAGTGGATATAAAAAAGCTCCGACGGGGACACCAAGGATGGCGGGAGCACACACACGATCTTGCATTGATGAGCATATAGATCGACCTTAAAAATATACCATTATCTAACTGGATTGTAATAGATCAATCAGGAGATTTTTATCCATCAAAGTTTGAAAGAACTCCCTGTGGAGTATCAAATTTCTATCCAAAAGCAGTGTTCACCTGGTGCATCACGTCGTACAACAGTGGGACGGATAATTCTTTCCCGCAACTAAGTCATGGTTCCCATCCTGCAGATGTCCACAACTTATCCCCGCAATGAAACAGCAGCACTCTATATTTCATAATGAATTCATGATTTGACGCAAACAGGAACTTAGAAGCTTCCCCAATAATGCAAATCATAATCCACTCCACCAGGACGCCACAAAGGAGCCGGCGTATAGACCGGAATGGGAGAAGCAGCTGCGAATGAAGAAAAATAAAGTCAGTTACTTGACGTGGCAAATAATGAACGACGAACTTTGGAAGATACTTACTTCCATAGCCAGTACTTGGTAGAGCCCATGTAGGGGTGGTAGGAGCCACCCAATTGGTTGGAGATGCCGTAATTGTGTAGGTGCTGGTATAGGATGAAGGTGACTCCCCATCACTCAGAGACTCGATACCATCATTTGTCCCATAGCTATCATCTCCAGTACCAAAGATGTTGCTAATTTTGTTAACGACCGTAGTACCAGTTTCTGTCCAAACGCTGAAATCCTCAACAGTGACGTTTGTAGCAAATGTCAGATCATTCGCAAAAAAGTAAAGTGGAGGACGTGTAACTCCATTCGCAACAGAGCCGGAGAAATTTTGGAAGAGCAGATTGCTCAGGGTGACCGATCCGGTGTCAGGTGTATAGGTATTCTGCCAGTATTGGTCGATATCCAAGCCGTACAGGCTTGCCAAAGACCGGAAGTTTGAAAAGGTAACGTTTGTAACGTAGCCGGACCCTCCGGGATATGTCTTGATGAATGCAATGTTGTTGCCCTGGATGATGCTGATATTACGTGCCACCTACTGACATTTTAGCTTCAGAAGAATCTTTCCAACAATTGGGAGAGGTTGTGACTCACGATGTTTGATATTTCGGCGGAGACATTCAAACTTCCAATGGATACACCCGAGCCTGCTTGGTTGCATACCAAATTCTCAACCAAGGCGTAGTGAGAGGGACTTTTCACTGAAACGCACTCATCACGATTGGTCACCTTTTCACCCCGGTTAGCACCCGCGGCAGATTTTCTAAAATGCAGTCAAAGGTGCTTACCTCATTGTCATGGATCCAGTAGTTTGTTCCAATAGCGTCGATACCGTCGTAACTACCCAGGTTCGCCCCACGGATGGTCAAATGATAGACTTCGACATTGACAGCAAAGTCGAGGACAATGTGAAACTTGGGACTGTCGACTAGAATCAAGTCATGAATCGCAGCGTCGGTCGGGGAGATCAAACGAACTAAGCGAGGCCGATCTGTGCTGGAGATTTGAAACTGTGTTAGAACATCAAGACTTCACATGTTAGATCCGTTGGCCCACGGGAACTCACTTATCAAGATTTCGATATATATAACCCTGTCCTTGGATTGCGCCTTTGCCATTGGCAGAGTAAAATTCAAAATCAAGAGCTGCACTTCTGTCAGCATGAAATGGTATTCAAATGAAATCACAAACAGATGAGGGAAAGTGTTGACTGACCGTTGACAATGACAAGCACATCTAGCAAAAATTTAGAATCGCCCTCTCCGTTGATAGTTGCATTGATGGCCTCTGTGCCTGCAAATCCGTCGAGTACCAACTCACTGGAAATGGTCCAGTTGCCACCATATGTGGCAGTGATAAGCCCATCCAATTGAAACGCCCAATTTGTGCCATTACTGAGAGTGACTCCTCGCCCAATTAAGTACTCTCCTTCAGGAACAATCAGTCGGCTGCCTGGATGCTTGCGAACGCAATCCGAGAACGCGGTTTCAAGCGCAGTGGCAATATCTGTGGTGTTTCCAGCCTTTGCTCCATAATCAAGAATGTTGCATTCGATCCTCTTGTCCTTGAGAGGAGTTGTAGGACCAACAGGGCCAATGAGCTGACCCACAGTGAGAGGGGCCAACAGGGGTAGTAGGAGAAGGTTTATGAGTTTCATGATTTTGGAATAGAATACCGCTGCCACATGAACGAACGAATCTTTGAAGCGTGACGCGCTGCATTTTTATAATAAATCAGCTCTCACTATTGATTGATTCGAGCCAATTCAAAATAAATTAGATCCGGATGTCGTCAACTAGAATGCCATTCGCTTTCTTAAAGACGCCATAATTCATCCATCCAATCCGCACCTGTATTCGCGCTGCGCTGCATAATGCAAATGAAAGCCAATTTCCTGAAATAAATTAGTTTAAATCTGAGACTGACGTCGAGAATACCCGATTTAGAAATTTTGCCAGGGCTCTCTATAAAGGAAAAACGGGACCTGACGAAAAGTTGATGTCCAGGTACTAGGATTACGAATTGGCCCTGCAGATGACAACATTGTCAGTAGATAATTAACCGAAGGCGGGATATTCAAAATTTAGCGAGAGCGACTGTTTTCAATGATCGCAACATTGAAGTGATGGATATTGAAATCTGGGAATATTTCAGCCAGTTTGAATTCAAGCACATCATCGTTATATGAAATTGCGAGGATTTGATCCCTATTGAACATTTCCAAGGGAAGTTTCTAAATTGGAAGTTGACCATATAATAAAAGGTGGACAAGAAGAAGGGGTGTTGAGAGAAGTGATCGAAAACAGAGAGCTAGAAGAGGTGAAAGAGCGAGTTGGTAGAAGTTACAAGCATAAGCTCCAAAATAAATTAAAACGAACATTTGAAAGCAACAAGAACATTGAAACCATTCAACACTATAAAAGAAGGTAGGGGTTACCACAAGCATCTATGGTGATGGACTGCGGCGGCCGATAGAGGCCATCCCTAGATCAAATCCCAATTTCAACTTTCCGACCGGCAGAAAGGAAATTACGAGTAATTCCAAATTCATATTGGTTTTTGAACTCCATTATGCTCAGGCAGTTCAGCGCTGCATTATACATTAAATCCTTGAACTCTATCATATATTAGTAATGCTATATTGTATTCACTACTTCTCTTTCTCTAGGTAAATTATCACAACAACTGGCAAGAAAGAGAGGCTGAGATCCTAGTCATATAATCCATTCTTAAGTCCCTTCTCAAGACTACATACTCTCAAGTCTACTCTCAAGTCTACTCTCAAGTCTTTTCTCAAGTCTATTCTCAAGTCTATTCTCAAGTCTATTCTAAAAGTGACCCGTATTTAGATCAAATCCCTTAAGATAGTATTCCTATATATGATAAATACAATACAGGCGGGAAACAGGGCGGTGAAGTTAGAAACGGAAATTGAGATTTGACCTAGGGGTGCTATCGGCCGCCATAGATGGACAGTATATATTAGACACATGTGCATACATACCAGTTGACTAGTAATTTAGTTAATGCTTAGGGGGTATTCTTGGTAAGCGTAGTAAAGCGGGATCACCACTTAGAAATCTCCTCCCACTGCTATGGTCTTTATCTTTCTCTCCGTCTTTTGCTGGAATCAGGGAAAATGTCATTGCTTATCATTCCTCGAATAATACAGTCAGATTCAGACTCTCAGCTTCCTCACCACATGTGCAGTCAGCTGGATACCCTGAATCCCGAATACCCCACTTGACCCGCTGACGCGTCCTGACGAGTCACGACTCACGACTCACTTCCCCTCACCTATGCATTTTCAAGTAGGGAAACCTAGCCGACCGTGAGGATTGGGGGTTGACCTCAAATTCCTTAACCTAGGATGCTTTTGAGTCGCACAATCTGTGATTGGATCATAAAACTGTGCGTTGGTAGACGTGTTCACTTTGAATGGTTCGGAAAATACAGAAAAGAGCCCTTGAAGTTCTAGTTCTGGTCAAGTGTGGTTACCATGCAGGCTATACCATGCATAAGAGGCGTTCCTCTCGGGAATTGAGACCCTGAATCTCGAGTCCATTTGGTCTATGCTTTTTGAGCATACGGATGGACATGGTCAGCGCATCGAAAGAATCCGGAGAACCTCTCTTGTCAAAATCCATCTCATTCAAACATCACTCAGCCACTGTGCACTTTCGTCGCAATGCCCGACAACATAGACCCAGAGTCTCCCACTGAAAGTTTCTATCCACTGCGCCCAATCTTCAAACGATACAAATCAGTTTCGGCCGTCGATGTGAAGCAATATGTATTGCAATCCAAATCCTTGTCCCTACAGGAGCTAATGATCAGCTCAGATTCACCAGGGCTTACCCCCCACGCCTGCAGAAGCCGCTGCAAGGATTTACAAAACCAAAGAGGGCGAACTGCCCCCCAGCGCCCCCAAGGGATCTAAGAAGATTCTGACTGCTGCCACGACCTATCTATCATTTGGAGATGAGGAAACAACGGCGACGATCACGGAGTGGGGTCAACACATGCAGATCAGCCGGTATCTTGGCAATGGCTCCCCATCCTTGTACACAATGGACCATGGGGAACTTTCAGAGCCTGCCTTGGGAGCACAACGTAGGTTGGACCTACTCGACATGGCCGAATACCGATTCGGCTTTGGTGCAGATCTCGAGGTGGATTCAGATTCAGTCCTCCAGAGTGAGATTACCACAAGCTGGCTTCGCAACCGATGGCCGCGAGTCGTCATCCAAGAGGAAAAAAAGTGGAAGCTTGTGCAACAGTGGGTTGTCTGTAATGGAGTCGTCATCCAGCAACTTGTGCTACAGAACCTACAGGACGAGGACCTGAAAATTGAATGCCCCGTTAGATTGAATATTTTGATACGCGATACAAACTTTGTCGACACAACAAGGGAATTCAACAAGGAGGGTGATGATAAGCATGAAGAGGGAAGTGGGCCCGGAGGCTACGGATTTGTCAAAATTCATGCTCTCTCACAAGGGCAAGAGAACACAAATGAGGACAGCGATGCGGTAGCGGCCGTCATTGGTCTGTTCATAAACGGAGAGGCAATCGCCAAAGACGAGTTTGAAGTTGGAATAACTCGACGGATTCCAAAACATGGCCAATTCCAGCTGGTGTGTGGTTACAAGCTGGTATTTCTGCCGCACGACAATCTAGAGTGGGGGCGCCTAGTATTGAACTCACAAGATGTGGATATTGATAAGTTCCTCACCGAGACACAGTACAAAGACGACATCCCAAAAAACCACTTTCTATTCGATCGTGAGTTCTTTATAGGGAGAAACGTAGAACATATCCTTTCCGTGTGTATGATCCCCACTACCGACCGCTCTGAAGCTGGCGAAGACGGAGCAACGATGGAGAATGATACCATCGCACTAACGTGCGGCGACATGTCGGGTCATAGGGTCTGCGTGTCAGCAAGCTTGTAGGTACTCACCCACTCAAGCTCTCGTTACAAGATCACTATTCTCATCTCTAATAGCTTCGCATTCAAATTTCTGCTTGGCGTTGCAAGGGAATTAGATCACGGCCATCCTCTGCGAGATCGCATCAAAAAGAGATGCCTGGCGCATCTACGGTGGGTTTTCCAAGTCAGTCAACGACCAACAGACGGGAAGTTCGCGCGGAATTACTGGGTGAATGGCGTTCTCATGTCAGATTCCCCCCAGCTTCTTCCAGACAGCCCGACGGATACTCCATTCCAACTGCTCAAGGCTTATGAATTTTGGAACTTCACATCGGAGGAACCTGAGAGTCGTGCAATTCTTGAAGATCTCCTAGGCCGAAAAGAAGACAACATTGGTGTCCAATGGCTAACTGCTCTTGATGGAGAAAACAAGCGGGGCTTTTTTGCCTGGCCCCATGGACACCGGAGTGGCATTGACTATTTCCGGTTGGACGATCACGTCTGGATCTGGAATGCCATACGTGCTGTCGCTGCTATGAACTCTCTGAAGGCTACTAGTACCAAATCCCCACTTCCGAAATGGGAAATCGAATGGAAGAATCTTATGCGTACATATGAGCCAGGAAGGGTTAAGAGGGAAATCATCCAACGTTTTACCACCATCAATGATCCTGCTAAGCAGCGAATGCTGGCGGTGACGCGTTCTTCACGTGAAACAAGATTCGCGTTCCATTCCCGGGACACAGCGTTATTCTACGAGATCAACAGTGAACGGATGTTAGATGGAACCGATCCACGGTGGTACAGTGCTATGGAAATTCAAAGGCATTTCTTTTCAAATCTGGAGTGGGGCGAGACAGAGAATCCATTATATCACGGCTTGAATATTCTTATGGCCCTGCGAGGCGTCCCACTATATGGGGCTGATGCCGATAAGCTGTTTCAGAGGTCAAAAGAGACCATTGAGAATAGTATACCCATCAATGGCCTTATTCCAGATCAGCTGGACGGTGCCGGTGGAGATGAAGGACCGCCATATCATCGTGATTCTCTACTACATATACCATTTGAAACTCTGTATCTGCTATCAGGCCCCGGGAAAAAGGGATCGCCGGCTTCTGCACAGGAACTAGAAAGCCACAAACCAGAAGATGGCATTCAAGATAGCGCCGCACAACGCCTGGAAAGAACAGTCCCATTCAACGATAAGATCGATGAGAAAAATATCATCAACGTGAAGGAGGAGTGGCTTTACAATTATCCCGATTTTCTGGATTTCGACCCTTCAGATTCCATCGAGGAGCAACTTACTGAGGAGGTTGAATGGAACGAGTCCCTATTGGTTTTGGGGAAAGAGATTCAAGACAGCTGGCCCTACATCTCTTTGTTCCATATATTTCAGGACCTTGTCCTTGAAGCGATATTCTACTGGTGGGATGCACGAAAACCCGGCGATTGGGAATACAAGCCCTGGAGCCCGCCATCATCTGAGTCTCAACATCTAATGATTGACGTTCAAAAGAAGAAATCTCGAGACAAGAAGGCCCTCCGCCTTGACACACGTGTTTTCCAAAGTAACGAGATTGATGACTCATGGGGACGCTTGAAGGAATTACGAGACATTAACAATGCGAAGAAGAGATTGCTCTGGTTCCTGAATGCACCAAGGGACTATGCACTCATGTGCTACCTTGGATCCTCCCCTTCAGAGAGACAACAGATTCGAACTTTCTTTAACAGGCATGTAAACTATGTCATATTCGTCGAAGATAAGACGAATCGAGTGAGGAACCTCTGGGAGACAGAATTTCATTGCGGGTTCTTACAATTGATCAAGAAAGGTGACCATAGCTTGCCACCCGCGACTTGTGAAATGTTGCGACCTGCGATGGACAAGCTACCAGAACTCGATGACTTCAAGCTCGTCCGCGCCGCAGTTAGTTTCCGATTTTGTGGTGATTTCTTTGACCGCTTCTGGACTTGTCACTTCATTGAGAGCTACCCTGGAGAGCGACCGGAGGGTGATATCAAGGCTTTTTTTAGTCGAGATAATAAAAGGCTAGAAGGCCTGTTCTCAGGCGGTAGAGATCATGTCTGGCAGCAACGGAAAATTCTTGAGCTGCTCCTTTTCAACCGCATCCTCGCCCAGATAAACGTTAGCACGCGAGGGATCACAGACAGGATTCGGGAAGAGTTGGCGACCAAGAATGCTGTGCAGAGCCACGGTGAAGAAAAGAAAGGGTTACTGGGCCCCTATGACACGGCAGTCTACTTCAAAACGCTGAAGAAATGGGCATCACTACATGAGATGCTCGAAGTTCTGGACGACGAGCTGGGCAGAATATGGGAAAATGTCAATGCCTGGCAAATGAGGGAACAAGATCGGCGGACAGAGCAGCCAAGGTGGACAAATAATGATGAAAGAAAATACCGCGATGCTCTCAACGCCGTTTTTCTCTTGAGTCAAAACGCTGAACGAGAGCTGCATGGCGAGCGGTCAAAGGTGGCATCCTTCATCAAATCTTTGCAGTATCAGAGCGAGGAGGCCAAAAACAACTATGATCGCCACATGACCGAGCGCAGTTTTCAGCAGAATGACAATGTCAAGTATTTTACTTATGCGACTGTCATCTTCCAGCCCCTGGCATTTGCTGCCAGCATCTACAGCATGCAGAGTTCGCCGCCAACAGAGGTCCTACAGCACATGGTGATATGCTCTGTCGTTGCATTCGTTGTTCTTCTAATAATTGTCATCTCACTCCCATTCTTTCTGCGCCCCAATCAGCTCTGGCATTCCTTTCTTCAGAATCTTGGACCCGTTTTTGATGGGGCTGAGCCAGTCATTTGGTGGTTTGGAGCAGTGGCAGTCGCCGCTGAAAAAGGGTTGTTTTTCAAAAAAGGTGGGTTTGCTTTGTTCAAATACCTTTGGTTCGTGAGACAATCATCCAAACCAAATGTACAACGGAGTGATGTAGAATCTGGATTGAAAATTGGCCACCAGTCAAAAGCCACAGTTTCTTTCCGACAGGCGGTGACCACCTTCGCAGCGCAAGAACCCCTGAATGGGACTGTTGATTGGTGGCATACTCAAGCCCCTGACGCGAACAGTGGGCTTGGTGAGCTTACCCGTATCTCGGTGCCTTGACATTGTTATGGTGGCCTTCTTTTGGCAAATTGATCTCATTTCATATATTTTTTGGTCTTACCACATTGTTTACTTTTCATATATTGATTCTTGTGTCGACGCATTTATCTCATATTTTCCACCTCAATTGGGTATTCTGGCGATTCGAGCAATGGCTGGGTGAGTATCCACCCGATTCCCGAACTACCCGAACAATACTGACTAGTAACGACTAACCATCAGCGATAGCCTATAGGTGATAAGTTGATAACATAACTAGGGGAACAAGACGCTTACAAATGCACTTCTACAAGTATTTCCCCCGCATCTCTTGTGCTATCATTCACGTTTTTTCCACTTCATGCGGTTTGCGTTTTTCTGACTAATATTGCGACTGATGGCGCGTTATCCATTGCGTGCTACTAGTTACTTATCACTCCAACCCCGCCTACTAGCCTATCCTATCGGCTATTTTTTTCTTTTTTTTGGAAATATAAACGACGTGGCATTCCTGTATCTTTAGAAGGCCTAGTCAGATCTCAAATCAATTGGAAGCTCTTTTCATCTTAGTCTTCACTATGGGCAGCATAACCACTCGCTTTTCGAATCCGTTCCAGGATGTCCCGGCGGCCAAAACAGGTACGTTATACCGAGGCGAATCAATTGAAGGACATCGAGAACCTCAATTAACAAAAGCTGGGCAGATGGTCTATCAACCCTTCTTGCGCAGTTCCGAGCCGATACAGACCCCAACAGAACTGATCTTCTCGTTGGCGTGTACAAGACCAACGAAGGGAAAGCATATGTACTACCCAGTGTGAAAGAGGTGAATTGTTCTAAATTCCCGAGTCCTGACAGGGTCACCATACTAAGTATGAGACGTACACGATACAGGCGAAGGAAAGAATAAACAATGATCCTGAATGGCACCATGAGTATCGTCCAACAGCTTTAGGGTCCAGAAATTATAGAGATCTGAGCGCGGAGTTATTCTTTGGGCCCGGTCATCGTCTATTGCGAGAGAAGAGGTAAGTAATTGAACAATGCCTGTACAGAGTTGGAAAAAGCTAAGGACCTCTAAGAATAATTTCGGGCCAAACACTTGGCGCAAGCGGTGGATGCCATGCCGGTGCAGTCTTGTTGAGAGATCATTACGGCCCGTGGAAACAGTCCGGGAATCCAGAGATCTTCCTACCAAGCGAGACCTGGCGTTAGTGATTGCCGAATGCAATAATTCAAAAGAAGTGCTAACAAACTCCAGTCAACCACCCCTTCCTTTTCAAAACTGCAGGAATTAAACCAACTTTTATTCCCTATTTTGACGCCAAGACAAACAAATTCGACTTCACGGCCTTTACAGAAGCCATCAAATCGCTACCAGCTCAATCTGTCATCCTTTTGCAGGCGGGCGCCCAGAACCCAACTGGATGTGATCCAACGCTGGATCAATGGCATGAACTGGCTTCAATCTTCTCTCAGCGTGGCCATTTGGCGTTTTTTGACGCTGCATACCCTGGTTTCGCCTCGGGAGACATCGACACAGACCTTGAAGGTGTTCGCCTTTTCGCCGAGCTGGAGATTCCATTTGTTTTTATCTCAACATATGGAAAGTGCTTTGGACTTTACAGCGAACGCGTTGGTCTCATCTCGATCCTTGCTCCAAACGAGGAAGTCGGAAAGAGAATAGAAGTTCAGATGAGTCTGCTCGCGCGGGCAGAGTCTGGCGCACCGCCTGACTTTGGGGCCACAATTGTTGAAACTGTCTTGTCGGACGAAAATTTGAAGCACCAGTGGCGGCAGGAGGTACGTGATATGGCTAACGCACTAAAGAGCCGTCGAGTCGCGCTCAGAGAAGGATTGGAGAAATTGGAAACCCCAGGTGACTGGCAGCATATCACTGACCAGAACGGAATGTTCTCGTAAGAATACATCTGGGAAAGAAATAATTTCTCAACCTTATCGCTGACTTTCTCTAGGTATGTCGGTCTATCTGTGGAGCAAGTCACTCTCCTACGTGAGAAGTACCATGTTTATTTGCAGGATTCTGGGAGAATTTCTATCGCGTAAGTTGGAGGAACCTTGGAAGTAATTTCCAAAAAGCATGACATTATACTGACAGAATTGGAACAGTGGGCTCAACAAATTCAACATCGAACATACTGCTAGCAGCATTAGCGCCGTGGTGAAGGCAACAACTCCAAATTAAGACAAGGCTTCCTAATTGAAGAGTTCGCCTCCCAAGGTTGGGGATATTTCTAGTCTCTGGCATCTGAGCATAGTACGTTTGAAATTTGAGTTGACCTCATCCATGATGTCCACTGTAGAAAATCACGTATAGTCAGCGTCTTGACCTCGGATGGTTTATTCTTCTCTCAATTGATATGATTTTTTGCAAGTCTTCCAATTCAGACTACACTGATATCAATTGATCTCTCAGGTACTCGATCTATCCCCCAGGATACTCTGAGAAATTATTATCTATGATATCCACGATAAAGATGGCTTGGTAGCATGTATATCACCCTTGATGTTCATCACGAAAGGGACACTACCTTCCCTTTTACGCGGTCATATCAGTTCGATGTGAATAAGAGTTGTCCCCCAAAGCTACCAGCTTGAAGTATCTCGTTATGGTCCGAAGGGGTGCCCTTGAAGCTACTGCACCTTCATAACAACATGTGAGATACGGTGCGGTTTGCAGGATGAGACAAGCTGTATCTTGCGCCATAGCCAGGCTTCTTTGCAACCGCTCAACCTGGGTTTCGAATAGGCTTCTTTGTAATCGGATAATTCCCATGAGAAGTTCCAGGCGAAAAGACCAGAATGTCAAGGCGTGTGCTGCCTTTTGTGTATTTTGAAAGCGGATTTGGTATGTTTCATCCGGAAATGATGGTTTGCAGATTGGGTCCTCCTCGGTGATCTTGCTGGGCATTGGAATATCAGAGTGCCAAAACAAAGGGCCTTGTTGTGATGCTTTCCAATTGTCTTGCCATTCTTCCAGTCGATCAAAGACCGCCCAGTATTGATTTAGAAGGGAGACCGCGGTTTCAATATTGTGACTCCGGAACTCTAGGATTTCTTGGGAGTTCAAATCATGGAATTTACCATGATTAAAGATTTGATCTGTTTGGTGAAGGAGCTGAGGTATCTGCAGCGCAATATCGTGAAGAAGTTCCATTCTGGTTTTTCTGGTTTCCAAGAAGGGCAGGGTTATCCAATCAGCGTCTCCTAGGAAGGTGGGAATACGCTTTCTCAATCCAACTGAAAGCTGGAAAAATTGTCAGCAGAGGCAAGATCGAGGAATGGTGAACGCTTACAAATATACCCCTGAATCCACTAAAAGATTGGCGCATGTGTTGTGAAGAGAAGCTCTCCGGGCCATGGAGCCTAAGAATACTCAACACACCACCTATATGGGCCAACAGGGCTGCATCTGAGTATTCGTTTTCGTTCACAAACTAGACACATCGGTCAGAAAACGAAGTAGAACTTCCTTCATATTGGGTAGCCCGATCCCCACCTCGAATGCCACAAATGCCATGGCTAATAGGAAAATCAAATCAAGATTATGCTTTGGTGGAGCTTGGGGTTGGCCATTCCCTATGGCTTTCTGGAGATGGGGAAGCGACCCTCTCATGGCAGAAGTGTAGGATGACCGTGCAAGGTTTCCTAGGTTTGTATCCTTTTTCAAATTTCCCATATACGTTGTGAGCAGACTGAAGATAGTCAAGTTGAGTGAGTCAATCCGCAAAGATGTGAACGGCAGTAAAGCTCGAATGCATAAAGCCGCACTTGAATAGATGGGTTCATCTTGGAAAATTCGATCGCCGCGGAATATACCCCCAATATTATTAGGTTTGAAGTCTTCAATTAATGCCGAGAAAGTTGAATGTCCAGGAAAATCCAGAGAAATCATATCAGAGGGTCGACTTGGCTCAGTGGCAATTAGTGTAGTACTTCGGCGTAGAAAGTGATCCCAGCTACTTGAGCTCTCAATTTCTGTAGTAGTGGCAGAATTTGACTTTCTTCTGTTTTTTAATGCGTCGACTAGCGCTTTCCTATCAGTCTGCTGCGTCAAATTTGCAGTATTCCGGTTGATAAATGTTCGTGAATCTTTGGGACCACTACATTTGATACTAGCTTTGCAGCACCGGAGACATTCGGGTTTTTGGAGATCACACTTGTTGTTTTCAGCATTTTTCTAGAATGCAATATAATGACTCTGCTAGTAACGGAATGATGTCCATACCTTCTTGCGGCGTCGGCGGCATTCATTGCATCCTTGAGAAGCTCCCGGGTAAAGCGGCATGGCGGGATCTCGTGGTTAGTGGACAACCTGGGAACTTTTGCTGTGGGGAAATCTGTTTATGACCTTGCGCTCAGTTCCTAACAAAAATGGAGTTTGAGCAAATCTCGAGAAGCACGCGTAAAATCATTGTGACCTGTTGTTGTCCAAGGCAAGGAATCCCTTTCCAACGCTAGTCCCAAAAAGGAAGTCACAGCGCCCATGGAATCTTGATGAATCATCATTTGCTGAATAATCATTTAAGCTTTCGATGACCGATCGCTGCGCTAGTCCCAGAATAGAAGTCACAGCGCCTTAGGATGCTGCCGGATGTATAGTCGTGCTTCTGGTTGAATAATCACAGCAACTTTTCATGATCACATCCTGACCACCGATTGATACACTTATAAATCAAAAATTGGGGGGGAAAGAAGATATAAGACAGTAGATTGAGGACATCCATCCGGTGTGTTTTTATATCCAAAATATCCATTTTTTACATACTCTACTTTTTGAATCATCAGCAACCATGAGCCCTCGCACCGCTGTTCTTCTCATCGATCCGCTCAATGATTTCCTCCACCCTGATGGGAAGTTATACCCTCTTGTCAAGGCTAGCCTAGAGTCCTCCAATTCTCTTGAGCATATGCAGCAGCTGGTTGCAGGCGCAAGGCAAGCCCGGATTCCAATCTTCTATGGTCTTCACCAAATCACCAAGGATGGAACTTACTCCGGTTGGAACCACATGAATGGGCAGCAAATTCAAACTCAACGGAGTGGAACATTCTCTGAAGAGTTTGGTGGCCAGATTCTAAATGAACTCGAACCACAGCCTAGCAATGGCGACGTGGTTGTCTCTCGACACTGGATCAGCAGGTGAGCGTTGAAAAACAAGTCACAAGCAGTTCCATTTTGATGTCTTTCAGTTGATACTGATCCAAATTTATAGCTCCTTTGCAAACACCGACTTGGAGTACCAACTTCGTCAACATGACATCACCCATGTGGTGTTGGCCGGGTTGACGACCAACTCATGTGTGGAGTCTACTGCGCGTGCTGCTCGTGAAATGTTAGTAATCGTTGTGCAATTTATACGCTACCATATTAGACCCTGGCTGACAATCTTTGATTTCTCTATGAATAGTGGCTTCCATGTTACTTTGCTGTGAGTTTTTACCCTCTTGGTATTGAATACAGATGGTCTTGGGAGAAGATTAATAATTTCTGAATTAGTACCGATGCAACCGCTGCATTTTCAGTTGAGTTAGAAAAGGCAGCAGTCAATCTGGTTTGGCCAACATTCGCAGACCAGCTTTTGAGCACCAATGAGTGGGTTTCTTCCGTATCGAAAGGGCGCATTTGAGAGTGGAAAGTTCAATGATGGGTTTAGCACAAGGGTGTAATTCGTTGATGGATTCATCGTAGTCTGAGTCTGCACGGTCTTGATGCTCTGTTTCCTTTCTTCGTCCAACCTCGAATGTTTAGTCTAACCACCATATAAATTGAATACCACGAGTCCGAATGCTAGGGACGTCTCAAAGCTCGAACTCAAGTGCTCTCAATGTCGCGATTGGGGGATTCCACAAGAAGAATATCCATTTGCAGGCGAAAATAGCACGCGAATATCAATCTCGTATATTGATAGGTGGAAGACTCATTTAAGGATCTCACCTACTTTCTCGCTGTTTCTTGTACAGCGAGTCTGCGACCTAGGCGTGATCCGGGCACTTGTGTATTTTCAGCTTCCATTTTCAGATGTCCTTATATTTGACACCGACAATAGACCCCCAGAACATTGGAACATGGATCCACTCCAGGATTTGACCATTCTATTTGCTTTGGCTTTGATGTCAGGGGACACCACTGTTATCTCGCTTCGGCTCCACCGAGCCACCGACTCCACAAATCTCGGCCGCGATCGGAGTTCGAATACGGAGAACCCGAACTATCGCGACTTGCAAAAGCCGAGCCTCGGCACTTTCCTCATCTGAGTGGCTGGACCGCTGGGGAATAGTAAAAGGATTCGACCAGTCGTGACTATGCCACTTGAAATTACCTTCATTCGATTTTTGGAGATCGTTCGATATGAAGCAGACAACCTCATATTCTCCGTCTCCAGAGAATGGTATTAGATTGAAGATATGTCCGACAAGACACTGGTATTTCCAACTTGAGAAAATATCTATTTTCATGTAAAAGAAAATTTTACCTTCCAAGATTGGTTTCCGACAGCACTGGTGTTTCATACGCCATCCATTGGTTCTGGAAATCCAGTCTTCAAATGTTAGGATGTCTCATCTTTTAAACGTAAGGAGTGTACATGTATTGCAAACCCTCTCATAATTATATACACGGATCAATCAAATCTTTCAAAATGTTCAGAATATTGTCTATTCAAATGCTCACCCATCAGCTCTATCTGTTGTACAGGGGGGTTGAAACGCAGGCTATGTATAAAAATTCGTAATGTCATAAAAAGGTCTAGGCTTTCGAAGCCTCCTTGGAACCCGTATCATCGCTTTCCATCCCCTTGGCCATCTCAGCATCGACGCCATGGGTATCAGCAACGTGAATCTTTGGTAATGCTCGAGCAATACGAGGCGGGTCGAAAATGCTCTTTGACTGAAGGAAAATCTCGTCGATTTCCTCCAGGGATCGACCATTCGTTTCAGGAAAACAAAAGTAAACAATCGGCACGATCGCGGCATTGAGCACGGCGAAGATGATGTAGTATCGCCATGAAATTGTATCGAAGCCTACAGGCGTGACTTCGGCCAACAGGAAATTGAACATCCATACCGCGGTGGTAGAGACGGCGCTGATGGCAGCTCGAAGCTGCAAGGGGGCTACCTCGGTGGCGTATAAGAAGGTCAATCCGGAAAATCCGACCGTAAAAATGAATTCGAAAACGAAAAGAAAAACAACGGCAGCGATCATAGCTGCGTTGTTGTCACTAAGTGAGTTTGTTCCAGCGAGGATGGCCATCGATACGGACATGCCAGCCGCACTCCATAACATGAGAACACGACGGCCAAGTCGATCAATTGTGAAGTATGCGACGAAGCCGCCCAGCGGCTGGGTGAGGCACATCGATGCTGCCAGGATTCGGGACTGTGTCGCATCCAGCCCAAGGTATTGCTGGAAGATTGTGGTGGCGTAATAGGTGATCAGGTTGATACCGCACATTTGTTGGAACATCTGGCCACAGGCAGCCAGGACGGTACGGTGAAAGAGACGCTGCTCTCCCATCTTGAGTAAGCTGCTGAAAGAGCCGGAGCCGGAGAGAACGAGGGAGGTTTCGATATCACGGATTTCGAGGGTAATCTCTTCGGAGTTTTCGTCCACGTCGGCGAGTGCGGCAAGGATGACTCTGGCTTCTTCGACGCGTCCTTTCTTCACCAACCAACGAGGGGACTCGGGGAAAAACATAACAAAAGATAAGACAACCAAGGAAAGAACGATCTGGAAGGCGAGGGGAAACCGCCATGAGACGGAGCTACCCGTCACAAAGTAAAAACCAAAGTCGATCCAGAGGGAAATGGTGATACCAGCACCGATGAAAATTCCATCAGTCACAACGTGCGCGCCGCGCTTGCTGGGCTTGGAGATTTCTGACTGCCAGACAGGCACGGTAGCAACGTATCCTCCAGTGCCATATCCGATAACCAATCGAGCCACGATAAATTGAGCGAGAGAGAAAGAGCTGGCCATCAAGACCGCTCCGATGAGTGAGATGAGGGTGGTGATAAAGATGATTCGCCGGCGACCAAGGATATCTCCTAATTGAATGCATGACAGGGAACCAAACATTCCCCCAACTGTATATAACGCGACCACAGTTCCTGAAGAAGATAATGTCAGATAAATTCTGTTGACTATGAATATCTGAAGCAAATTGAGGCTAGAGGCATGCTTAATGCATTCCTGATGTCCAATGGACATGGAAATCAATACGTACCTTGGATTGTAGAGTTGTACCGTTCTTCAGCGCCCGTTGTAGTAAGTGTGTTCATCTGAGGAAATTGCTCTGAGAATGCCTTCAAGGTCAAAAGGCCTCCTGTAACACCTTGATTGTATCCATATGTCACGAATGCTGGACAAACAACCAGCCACATGATAGCTCGACTCAAAGCCGGCCCACGAAGCCCAAAGTAAGGCGCCATTATTGCACAATTGTTTCAACAGAACCAAGATCGGAGCTAACTTAAAGTTGGTGATCATGCAAGGTTCATGAAAAAGAGTCACCCCGCCAAGGCTAAACATGAAGCTCAGAGCTTAGAGGTGATTCAATTGATATATACAGCACAGTGAGTTTTGACGGCCATCGGCGTCCCCCGACCAGGCGAAGTTGACAGTTGGCAAAGTGTGGACCGCCCATCCACCCCGGACCGACCATCGCAGTGAATCATTGGCAGTGACCTGGGTCAATCCAGTCCCCGATCCTCGGCATTGTGGAGACCAAACCCACTAAGAAAACCAAAAAGGGAATAATATTAGCTAAAAGGCCTTGATTTCCCCGGATTTCAACCCAGCGGCCCTGCAACTCTGGGGAATCGGGGATCTATGAAACGCAGCTTCGATCCCTTGATCGGGATGCCTAGTTTTAAGCCCAAAACCGCCGAGATATGTGTTTAAAAAAGCTTAAAGGATGCTTCGGTCCGAGATATGAATGTCAAAAGATAGCACAGGCTCCCGACCTACGTGTTAAGGTGCTCCACTTTGTTCCATCGGACCCGGCCGATGACCACTGAGAAGAGAGCTCGGGACACGATAACAAATTGGAATGTCATGAGTATTTGTCCAATCTTACCCCGGATCTTGATGCCCCGTATTCCGACTTGATCCCATACCTTCTAATCCGCTACTTACTACACTTTACGTTGAGCCTACTGGTAATTGCCACCACGCCACCGACACACTAGTTACTCATAGGGAAATTACACCCGTGCGCAAGATAACTTAGTTAAAAGAATTTCAAATGTTGGAAATTCCTTTCCGGGAAAACCCCCCCATCCCCATCTCATTATTCATCACAGTGATTAACATCCTGCATAGAGATACATATGTGCAGATTTAATGACATTGCCAGTTGGGGTTAATGAATGTTGGCCTTGTGGCCTTGATGCCTGTCGCGTCTTGAAAACAACAAACTGCGTCACACTTCCGAGGTTGCCCATGTGCAGGTGGAAATTGGACATTCATTTTCTCACTGAATTGCAAGAAGAACATTTGAATTCATGTCACTCAGTCCAGATGTCGTAAACCTCTTATATTCAAAAATATCTCTCAATGTTGCTTCAAACTATGTCCAGAGGTCGTTATGCGTTGTGCATGTGGACTCCATCGTTACGTAAACATATGTTGTGTGCATGCATTAACTGTGCAAGGTCCCATCCAGATGTCCAGAAACATATTGAACATTCAAAGCCCGAAATTCACTCATGGTTTTGCACTGTAACAACGGGACCCACATATTTTCTTCGTCCCTGAAACACGTACATGATCAAACTAGCGATGAAGACACCCACAAAGATTACCACACTCCAATTGAAGTCCGCAGCTGCAGCAGAAGGGCTCGGCGGCCAGAAAGACCAGAAGAGTGCGAAGCACACGTACATCAAGCCAATGATATTGATGGCCAGTCCAGCTTTTCCCAATGACCAACGTCGAGGGGGAAGAGTTTCAGGGCAAACTATCTTTCGATAGATCACACAGCTGATGGAAATCGCATATGTGTACATGAGAGCTGCCACGTTCAGGGAGATAATGGCGTTAAATGCGACCGACGAGCCAATATAGATAAGGGATAGCAATCCGCTTGCCAAGCAGGAGAGGCCGATAGCACGTACAGGGATTCGACGGCGAGGATCAACGTGTGAAATCCATTTTGCGAAGGGGAGACCCTTGTCCCGGGCAAAAGCATGTGTCTGACGAGCTGTTGATGCGTTGAATAATATATTGCTGAAGATGACCGGGATCAATATGATGGATGTCAACCCATTGACACCGGCTAGGGAGAGTGTGTTTCGCAGAACATAAAGGAATGGGAAACCAGAACTGTCGTTGAGGGATGCTGGAACTGATGGGATTGAGAGCAGTAATCCGACCAGCACAACAATGGCCAAGATCCCATTGCCGAAGTACCCCCACGCAATTGCGATGGGGACATAACGTCCAGCATCCTTCACCTCTTCTGACATGTGTGCAGTGGCATCGGAGCCTGTGTAAACTATGTTAGTCGTTTTTCTTCGAATCATACTCAAATCAACATACTGAGCGATCCATAAATGGCAGAGATTTGCCCGACCATCAAGCTCACTCCAATTGTTGGCCAGGCGCCACCATTGTAGAACTCGGTGAAGACAACTTTAGCGGGTTGATGGGGTGCCATAGCATATAGCGTAACAACCACAATAACCCAGCACATTAGATGCATAGCTAGGAGGAGATTTTGTATTCTTGGCATCCAGCTTGCCGCATGCACATTGAAGAAATAAATGACGGCAATCATCGCCCACACGAAGAGTGTCCCTTGCCAGTTGCGTGGCTGATAAGTTGGATCCCGTATGCTGATCAGGCCTTGGATTATCGTCCCAGTGAGGAAAGACCCGCTAGCTGCACCAGCTTGCCAAGCGAGGACAGACATCCATCCTGAAAGAGAGGGCATTGTTAGTAAAATTCGTACCCAGCGATGAATTGGTGATGATAACCTGTTGTATAGCTCAGGAATTTCTGGTACTTCCTCGGTGCAAACTCCGATACCCAATGATACTGGCCACCAGATGTGGGTGCCATTGAGGCCATCTCTGCAAGGCTAACGATAATAAACCCAAACCCGACGAATGTCCACATGAAAGACCAAAAAAGTCCAGCGAATCCTCCATTTTGAAGGCCTTGCGAGTTAGAGCTGTTGGGAGAGAATCAGAAATGGAGACAGATATTCGTTCGATTCTTTCTTACATCAATACGAATTCCCAAGTGGCCTGAAGAACAGCCGAGAAGCTCAGAGCTGCTAGTGGTCGGAAGTTGCGCTTCGTCCAGTTAGTGATGTTTTCCCTGGCAACCACTCCAACAAGAACAACAATAAATACCTTGAATTCTTGCACTTTGCCCATCCGATGCATGTCATCTTTGTCGTTTGATGTGGCCCCAGAGTCAGGGACAACTTTATTGAGAATTTCTGCTTCCATCATTTGCATTGCCGTAGTTCTGATTTCGGTATCTGTGTTCGAAAAAGTGGATTGTTTATTTGACGCCATCACTTAATGACGTGGCAGCATGTCTGTAGGGCGAGGGTTAGGAGCTCGTAGTCTTCCTATGACTTGGCCTCTTTCCATCCAAGGTAAACACACTCTGGTAGTTGTTATCGTGCTTTTTATTTTGTTTGAGATGAATGAAGGGTGTCAAATGGTATAAGCCTTGAAGAGAGGCTTAAAGGCTTGTCAGTGAATTGGACATCTTCACTTGTGTGTTGTATTACAGCAGTCAGCCGAGATTTTCCATACACGTACCACTGCTCATTTCTTTTGTTCCTTCGAGGTGACTTCTTATAAACTCCATGTAACACACACTTTGTTATTGGCAACATAGACCCATACATTTAGCCACATGGCCTTGGAAGCGCCAGAACGGATGTGATCTATCCGTAGTTGTCAGGTCCCTGTCTTTGTGTCACGGATTGGGGATGATGCGCACTCCAGCAAGGATGGAGTAGTGGGAGACTTGATAGGTCTTCTCGGGTGGGCATCTCCAGCAAGGTTATGTTGAAGAGAGATTTTGTGGCGAGGGATCCATTGTTTCGAACATGAGAAGTCAAGGGAAGGAGTTTCAAATATTTCTTCGGTCCCCAGATTGTCGTTTTGGCTGACGATATTTGCGCGACCGAATGTTCAAACGCTGCAATTCTGTGTTCCCCGACAGCTGTGATTCTTCCGAAAACGAAAGTTTGTCGTCGCTGCATCTTCCCGGGGTCGCTGGTCCAACACCCAATAGAAAATGGAGCTATTCCAAGTTCATTCTAGCCTGCGAATAGTCACCATGGCAATGGAGATGCAAATTCTTTCTAATGTCAAGAAGCCAGAAACTGCCATGGGAAGTGAGCTGTCAGTCCTGGCATCAATTGTGTAACAGCCAACACAAGCCAAAATTTCGCTCACACGCCGGACCCAAAAGACCGGGGGTGAAAAATGAGTCGAGGGTTACATGACCTGGCATATCGATCGTGAAAGTGAAGTCAAACATTCCGGTGCTTGAAAAGCAGTGACAAAGGATGATCAAGGCTACTTGCTGTTCTACCAGCCCAAAGGGTCGCCTCAATACACCAACCCAGCGCCACCGAAATTTACTAGACCAATCAAACCCAGAATGCAAATTCGAGGTGGAGAGAACCCTGCAAACATACTAGTATACATGTAATCTGTCGTGCACAGATAAGCAAAAAATTGGCGAATCCCAATATTGGCCTATGGCCCATTAACGAGGCTCAGACCCGGGACCAGTATTGCATCACATCAGCCCTCCTACTCGGGGTGTCCTTTCTTTATCTTCCCTCAACCATCATCTTTCTTCAGATCCCCCTCTTTCCTGGATATATGCTAGGGACTGTCCCGAGTTTGGCTGAATGATTCTTGCATCGACCTGCATTGTCGGCCATGGCGGTCGCATTTCCTCCAACGCCGCCGGGAATAATACCCCCGCTGACGGTGGATAATGATGAAAACCATAGCGGGCTGATCACAATCATTGTTTCATTTGCTATGTTCCTCGTCTTGGGGTCTTTGGGCATCAGGGTCTACTCTGCCTATACTAGGCGTGTTAGAGGGACCGATGACATTTTCTTCACCTTTATAGTGGTAGGGGACTGCCCAGTACGGATATTACAATTTGACTCAAGTGATCGCTCATTCTTATAGGTTGTCGCCCTGGCACAAATATCTGCAGTATTTGTTTCAGTTCATCTCGGGTGGGGGCAGGCTGCCAAATTGATATTGCCGAACAATGGATTGAAAAAGGTATCTCACACAATTACAAATGTGCCTAGCTTTTGCTTACTGGTGATTATAGGGTGTGTATTCTGCGGACATACTCTATGTTACAATATTGGGGCTATCAAAGGGATCAACTGCCGCGTTCTATCGTACAATAACCATGCGTAACTCGCAATGGATGATACATGGCCTTCTGGGGGTGATCATGCTATGGGGACCGGTGGCGATGTATGATACCTCGATAATCACTGGGGTGGTTGTGTCCATACTAACGAAAGAACGAATAGCATCTTAATCTCTGTTAGATGCGGATGCGACCCTTGGAACGATATCAACAACCACTGTCCAAGTTTCGTAAGTTTTCGAGTACGAGCAAAATGTAGCTATCGTGACAATACTGATTCTGGCGGCCAGTTTCCTAGATGGCAGACAATCACAGCGTTCGACATAATTCTCGAAGTTGCACTATTTCTATACCCAATGAGGGTCATTCCCAAACTCCACACCAGCCTCGATAAGAAGGTAGTTGTCGTTTTGATTTTAAGTTGCCGTGCTATGTATGTCACACCTATATCTCTCAAAAATTGGGTCTGAATTCTTTGTTTTCTTTGCTTTCAGACTAACCAAAATCTTTCTGAAGTCTAATTCCAGTTGCGGCGATGCATCTTCACTATATACACGTACAGGCAGAGTCCTCTGGCCCTACACTCGACGGCACGGTCGCTACCCTTATTGCCGAGATACATGTTGCACTCAGCATCGTCGTCCTCATAGCACCCCTCATGAAGCCATTCATCGCAGCATATGTAGATGAAAATGGGTTGGCATATACAGATGATGTGTCTAAATCCCGAAGTCCCCCCAGCTCACGCACAAGAACAATCAAGGCAATGTTTTCGTCAAAAAGTCGCGACCCCTACCTTTGGACAGAGGACAATTCTTCATGTCTAGGGACACTTGGTCCAGAAAATCAAATAATGAAAAGTGTACAGATCTCTGTTGATCGACAGACATTGGAGCCCCCAGAAAGGTGTGCTTGTTCAAGTCAAAATGAAGACTCGGGGGTTCCTTTGGTTATTCATTAGACACTGCCAAAGACAAGATGCCCTTTCCAAAGTTCGACGCTGAAAATTTTAATATCTTAGCATTAGCCAAATATGGAATTGATGAAATACCACGGACAAAAAAAAAGATAATTCCACTTCACTACTTTGAAACTTTCAGTTGGGAAGTTCAGTCTATTGGCATAGTCAAAGACACCGCACTTGCTCATATGAGGTCAAGCAGCGAGGTCAAATATGCCCTGGTGACGCAAACGTTTTTTTCTGACTTCAATGCTTCGGAAATCAATCCGTGATTTATTTTCCGATTCGCCTGACTAGTAGTTCCCTTCACGGAATCTGCCCGTCCACTTGACCACCTGGTTTATCCACCACGCCTGCGTAAGAGTCTCGTCACCTCCAGCGCGATTTCAGCGTACCAAGCCCACATGCACATGTGCACCATGAACCCCAACCCTGGGATTTGACAATAGGCCATTCCCCACATAAAGTCGTACCTACCATCTTTTATGCAATATTTCTACCGAAGCAACATTTGAACCTACAAATTTGAAGTCTTGGAAGCTCTAATGCCCACAATGGCAGACAGCTCCGCCGAGGACATCTTTGTGGACTCACCGGAAACTTTGCATACGACAACTGACAGAACCGATCACGGATGTCAAACTGAGCTAACGGGAACATCGGGGAACCTTCATCAAGTGAGCAGTGACTCCACCGGCCGGAAGACGTTCGTCGACAGCAGCAGCACCCCCAGGATTATCAGAAGCTCGACTCAGCCAGTTTGCCCTGAACGACACCACCTCCACATCAGAAAAGTCCAAATGTTCGACAATTGTGGGATGGGACGGCGATGATGACCCAGTAGGTACGCCAGGGTGTCTTCTTATATTGGAATCCATATCTTACTGGTTCTGATCTGGCGTCGCTAGGAGAAACCTTTGAACTTCAACACAACGAAAAAATGGGCGATCACAATCACACTTGCATTGATGACTATCTGCGTCACTTTTGCCTCGTCAGTATTTAGTACTGCAACTATCGTCACGGCAAAGCAATTCCACGTCTCACCAGAGGTTATGGTATTGGCGACCAGCCTCTTCGTGTTAGGATTTGCGTTCGGACCTATAATCTTCGGACCCATGTCGGAGTTGTATGGGCGAAAGCGACCGATGTTTTTGGGCCTCTTTGTTTTCGCCATTTTCCAAATCCCCGTTGCTGTCGCACAGAATCTACAGACGATTTTTGTTTGTCGGTTTTTGGGAGGGTTGTTTGCGAGTTCGCCGCTGGCTATTGTGAGTTCAAGTTTCATCCTTCACAATTCTGCGCCTGGTCTTATTTGGTATACTGGGACTTGGCTAAATCGAAAAAAAAAAAACAATCTACTAGGCTGCGGGAATTCTAGCCGACTTGTTTGAGCCCGTTGATCGTGGAATAGCAGTGACAGTCTTTGCAGGGGCAACATTCATCGGTCCTGTCGCTGGTCCAATCGTCGGCGGCTTCATCACCATGTCACATCTAGGATGGCGATGGACAGAGTATATAACAGCAATCATGGCATTCTTCTTTTCCTCACTCGGATACCTTATTATCCCGGAGACATTTGAAGCAACATTATTGACTTGGCGCGCACAAAAGCGCCGCATTGAAACAAACAATTGGGCTCTGCACGCCCAAGCAGAGCAAATGGTCATCAATCCCAAAGACATTGCAACGAGATACCTTTCGCGACCATTTATCATGTTGGCACTTGAGCCGATTTTGACTCTCATCACTCTCTACATGGGTTTTATCTATGCATTTCTGTATCTTTGTTTCGAGGCATATCCCATCGCATTCCAGAGACTACGTGGATGGAACAACGGTGTCGGCGCTCTCCCATTTCTTGGCCTACTGGGTGGTGTGTTGGTCGGCTGTGCAATTACCATTTGGTTTTCTCTGACACGATTCAAACATATTATGGAGCACATGGGACATGTTGAACCTGAAGAGCGTTTACTTCCCATGATGGTCGGCGGCATTCTCCTCCCCACGGGCATGTTCTGGTTTGCATGGACATCTAACCCAGGGATTCTTTGGGTCCCGGAGGTCTTGTCCGGGATATTTCTTGGGTCTGGAGTGTTATTGATATTTATCCAGGTGATTTCTCCCAATGGTGTGCCCTTGGTAGAAAAGCACTGAACATTGCACAAAGTTGTCTAACAAACATCAGGGGTTGAACTATATAATTGATGTCTACACTGTTCACGCGAACTCGGCAATTGCAGCCAACACATTTTTCCGATCATGGTTGGCTGCTGGGTTTCCCTTGTTCGCAAATGCTATGGTATGTCCTTTGTATTTCTGTTTTTCTCATCGCATGCAACTGACTTTGAAACCCCTTGGAACCCTGAAAGTTCCATAATCTCGGGGTCAATTGGGCAATGACCCTTCTTGGGTGTTTGACGGCCATCCTTTTTCCGGTGCCGATCGCGTTTTTTATCTTTGGTCCGAGAATAAGATCTTGGAGCAAATTTAGTACAGGTTAATGATCCTGAAAAGAAATCAACTGTGGGTACTTCTGAAGATGTCCCTTTGCGTGGACACCGGGCCCGCAATGAAGCCTCGATATTGCAAAATACATAGGGGTTGAAAAGTGAACTTTATACATTTAGTCTTGGGTATTTTTAGTCTTGGGTATTCAATGTACATGGTTATGTGTGAGAAAATAATTGTACAATGCATGGAGTTTATCCACATATGTGAAATTGCAGCTGACGTAGGGGAGGCCTTGAATATGTGTAGGAAATAAAGGGATGAAGTAGGGATGAAGCGAGGACTTGATCGCAATCACTCATGCTGGCCCTTCCACAGAAGCCAAGCCACAACAATACATGCCTTCATGATAGCAGCTGTCCACAGAGCCCCCATCATTCCAATCGAGCTGTGTGCCCAGAGCCCACCGAGCACGACTCCGACCAGCAGACAAAGTACAGCGCCAAGTCGACGCATTTCCTCCGCATTGCGAAAGACCTTCAAAGAAAGGAAATCTTCATGGGAGAAGAGATCACAATAGATGCTGGTCAGTACCACACTTGTCAAGCCATTGTATTTCAAGACGCGACTCGCAACCGCTTGGCCACTACTCTGGAAAGCGACCAGAGCAATCGGCAGAAGAATAAGCCAACTCAGAGGTGCATCACGCGCAGGACGAAACACGGTAACGACTGTGGCGGCCACCACGATACAAAGGAACTGTATACAGAATGAAACGGTGATGACCCACCGTAGTCGCGGCGAGAAATAGCGATGGAATGTGGAGAAAAACAACGATCCGAGGCAGAACCCACAGATCGAAACCCCAGATTTGATCCAGCGATCATCATCGGTGCCAACAAGGCCAAGACCAAAGTAGACCGTGTTTCCGGTTTGCATAGAGACGAAGCTTCCCCAGATAAAGACTGCCGAGCTGTCAAGTAGGCCGGTAATAATGTAGCAGATGAGGAGAAGTAAGTCGCCGCGGTGTGTATTGATCTCTTCGCGCAAGTATTTTGAGACAGCCCGGGGCGGTGGACTGCTCAGTAGAGGCTCAGATTCATTTGGCATGGTGGAGGAAAAGAGAGCACTTGAGAATTGGTAAAATAATATACAGTTGATTCTTGGTGGTTTTGTATTCAAATGTTGGGGTAAGGTTCTTTTGGACTCGTGCGGGGGAAGAGTTTTTCTGAGTCTTCGGTCTCCGCACGCACGTGCGGGCAAATAATATATTGCACGTCATAGGTTGACAACTATGGGGCTATGGGGCTATAGCCGCGTTAAGCTTTGAGAATTACATCAAGTCAATTTAATCAAATCATATTACTTGATCAAGGCAATGTCCACGCAAGCAACCGGATAAGTCGGAGGTTTGAGGAGTTTCTTACCCATCGCCCCTTCAGCAGTCTTTCCCGTGCGGGGAGCTTTTAAACCCTTCCACTATTGATCTCACAACATTACAGTGCCGGTTGTACAACTTGTACAACAATTTTCACGATGCACATACTACTTTCAGTCGATCGGTGTTTGGTGTTACTGCAACTACTTTTTGTCCTCGTACATGGAATACCTGCCCCTGATTCTGCGATCCAAAGATTGCTCCAGATCCCTCCTGGTCGGAGTCAAGATGTACTTGGTCTTGGTAACCCACCATTTACACCGGGACATCGCGACCCATTCGACCACAAGGTTGATTCGATAGGTGATGACAGACAGCCATTGCCCTATCGAGGAGGTAACGGAGCTTCCATCGAAGGACCCAGAAATAAGGATCGTGAAAGGCAGAACCCAGATCTGGTGCGACCTCCAAGCACAGATCATGGTAGCATGTCAAATATGAGATGGAGCTTTGCGGATTCGCACGTCCGCATTGAAGTAAGTCACCTTTTCATAATTCTGGTATTCAAATTATCTAACGCCTTTCCTTGCCTAGGAAGGAGGATGGACTCGTCAGACAACCATCCGTGAGTTACCAACGAGCCGCGAACTTGCTGGTGTAAATATGCGGTTGGATGAGGGGGTGTACCGTGAGCTTCATTGGCACACGGAGGCAGAATGGTAAAGCTCTGTCAAAATTTATTTTATGAAAATGATTGGAAGCTTACTTTCATAGGGCATATGTTCTTGCAGGGAGCGTCCGAGTAACCGCACTTGATCCCGATGGTGGTAGTTTTATCGACGACCTCGAAGCCGGTGACCTATGGTACTTCCCCGCAGGATTTCCCCACTCACTTCAAGGCCTGAGTCCCAACGGCACTGAATTCCTCCTCATCTTCGACGATGGCAACTTCTCCGAGGAGTCTACATTTGTGTTGACTGACTGGTTGGGTATGTTCAGATAAATGCCTCATAGTTCCCACTCCCCCGTTAACAAATTTTATGCAGCCCATACTCCAAAATCAGTGCTGGCCGAAAACTTCCGCATGAAGCCTGAAAGATTCCTCTCAATTCCTCCCTCGGAGAAATACATTTTCAAGGGCACAGTCCCGGATAGCATTGATCATGTTAAACCCCCCGGCTTCCACAAGAGCAAGCTCCAGTTCACACACCATATGCATGCCCAAGAACCCATCCGAACAAGTGGCGGTGCAGTGCGAATCACAGATTCCACCAACTTCCCTATCTCAAAAACAGTAGCAGCCGCACACCTCGAAATCGCCCCGGGCGCGCTCCGAGAAATGCATTGGCATCCCAACGCAGACGAGTGGACATACTTCAAAAAGGGACGGGCCCGTGTCACCGTTTTTGCTGCAGAAGGAAACGCCCGCACATTCAACTACATGGCTGGAGACGTGGGTATTGTTCCTCGAAATATGGGTCACTTCATTGAGAACTTGAGTGACGATGAGCCTTTGGAAGTCTTGGAGATTTTCCGTGCGGATAAGTTCCAGGACTTTTCGCTTTTCCAGTGGCTTGGGGAAACGCCTAGGCGGGTTGTGGCGGAACACATCTTTGCTGATGATCCCGAAGCCGCCGAGGAGTTCTTGAAACAAATTCAAGGTGCTGAAAAGGATCCCATTAAGGATATTCGGGCGTAGGTGCCAGTGCCCTCGTTGATTCTCCTGAAGATCCGATGTGCTTGGCTGCTATTTGTTTGTTTGCAAGAAAGACCTTGAAAGATTTGATAATTCATTTGTTTGCTTTTTCCCCCCAGACCAATGTAGATACAGTCAAGCAATGCCAAGGATTGCCAAGAATGCAGCATGGCGGAGTCCGCCGAGAAGCACTACTGTAGGTCCTCTCAACTAGGGCCAAAAAGTACCATTGGAATCATGTTACCTTTAACCAAATCTATCCCCAGGTCTCTCACTCAGACAAATCAATGGTTGCAATTTCAGACATATGCAATTTCGCACTTCCATAAGGCCGCAACGTAACATTGAAATGATCCCCCAGACAAACCCGATCCACCTTCGGAATAGGAGATCCAGGAACAGCACCACGGAACATGGGCCAATCGATCAAACATCCCATCGCAGTCATATGCATCGGTAGAGCACCATCCTGGAATGCAGGTTCAGGAAGAGGGCCAGAGCCGGCTTGGTATTCCAATGTATTGGGATCGATGGCAACATTCCATTCAGTTGAATTGAGAAGAACGTGGTCCTGGGCTTGCGGCGGGTATGTGCCGGTCGGATATTCAGATTCATTGTTGTAAAACTTTGGTGGTCCGGATGTGATGTCGGGCTTGATGTATAGTGCGTAAAGCAGTGGGCCCCTATATACTGAGACGGTGTCGTTGGCACGGGGTGTGATTTGCATCTCCATTCCAAGCGTGTAGGTGAATTTTGTTGTTCCGGATGGAATGGAGAAGTGAATTAATCCTGTGCTTGGGTCTGTGGATGGTGTGTCCAGGCCCTGGATTGAAACGCCTGTCGACCAATTGGGGACACGAAGGTAGAAATCGAAGCTAGTGGCTGCGTTGATTGTATAGGACAAAGTGTTGCCGAAAGGATACTCGGTTTCGCAGTCGACAGATACTCGCTTTCCACCAATGTCCGTTTTTACAGTTCCAGGACTGAGTAGCGCATGGACAAGGCCGGTTGATCCTTTCTTGGCATAGGAGTTCAGAACGAACTTTGGATATCCCTGTGGATGATTGACAGTGCAGCAGGGATAATTTGGCTCAAGAGCAAACGTGTTGGCCTGGGAGTTATCGTCGTAGAATGGTGTAGCGGAAAGGTTCTTGGAAAATGGCTGGTTGGGTTGGGTCATGTACTGGTGACTCCACCAATCTCCCATCAGGGCAGCAGGGAGAGCATTGTAAGCTGTCAGTTCTGCACGGTCCGCGTAATCCGGATCGCCAATTGCGAAGAAGTTGTAAGCTAGAGAGTACATTGTCTCAACGTGTGTGCAAAGTTCAGATCCGTAGTATGGGTTCAGTCCATCGATTCGTTCATCTGCGAGAATGGTGCCACTGGGAGCTCCATGGTACTCGAATGTCCAGTCCACCTTGATCAATTAGTATTCCACTTCATTAGGAAAGCAACTATTACTTACTCCATTTTTGGCTGTCGTCAAAAGGCTGTCGTTTGATGTAAAACGTCTCACCACGGCAGCATACTTCAACCCTGCAATTGAGTCAGTAAGACCAAACAAACACTACTAGGGGTCATAAATAGTCACCCTCAGCAATAGTTACGCCATGCAGAAACTGCCACAAATCATCCGTAACCGACTGTGGAAGATCATAAAAGTCTTCCTTGATATAAGCATCCTCTGTATACCATCCTTCCCATTTATACCCATATTCATGAAGCATATCAAGATTTTCCAACAAAATCTCAGTCTGATTCCCGGGATGGTAATCAATAAGCCACTGCACGCTTACCATCATATCCTCAACTCGGGCACGGAACCACAAGAAATCATCAGCAGAAGGCTTATCACCCTCATGCCAGATGATCCCTGTTCCATTATCTTTCATCATAGTATTCATCAGCCCATTGAATCGCAACATCGCGTCAACAATTGGAGCCTCGTACGTCGAGTTCGCATCAGCAAGATTTGTCAACCCGAGAAATCTGCAAAAGTCCACATTAACATAGCTCACGATGAGACTTCAGCATTGCTGGACTATGGATTGTTTCTCACAAAAGTGTTCGAGCCCAAATCATTCGTTCCCCACTCTCCAGCGTCTCGGGGCCAATCCAGCCATCAGGCTGAATCCGACCGAGCACATTGTCGACAATATCGTGAACTTGCGCTTTGAGACGATCGTCATTCGTAGTGTACGCAAGTGGGACGAGCGCATTGACCCAATAAGGCAACGCCTCATTCAAGTCACTGTATTCTTGATCTCCACCTATCCATGAAGAGTTGGCGACAAAACGGTAGAAGTCATACAAATGGCCTCCTAGACCTGCTGCGGAGGTTTCAAGTTCAGTTTTCAGCCACCCGTTGGGGGTAATGCTGCCTAGTGGGAGAGGGTCGTATACAAATGGGACAACTGGTATCAAGGTTAGTGGAATGAATGCTTCAAATGTTGATGCCCATGATGTCTTCACTTACGCGAGGTAGCCTGCGTAGACGGTATAATGTTGAACGTGGCTGTGAACTGCAAAAGCCGAAGCACCGACCATCCAGAGGAAGGCATCTTGGGACTTTCAAATATTGAGATAAATTTGGAGATGCATAGTCAATCTTCGCTGAAGGGTTCAGTTGCAATAAATACAGTCTTATCTTGATGCGTGGCGAGGTTAGCGGGGTAGCGTCCGCTGTCGATGTACTTGGATCTCTTGTTTAAGCCCGTTAATAGCCCGGCATTTGAAACCTGTGATATAGAAGTCTGAGCGAGAATGAGAAATGTAACGGTCCCCGCGGCTGGAGCCGATACATTCTTAACCGCGGTTACATTGATCGATGTAGGTGAAATGCAGATCTTTGTCTTGGTGGATCTTCTCCGTCGGAATTTTGCCCGAAGGAAGAAGCACGCGGCGATCTACAGTCAGGATTATCATCTATGAATTTCTTACATACAGACGACATTTTGAATTTGGCCAATTCAAGTATTTACTTTCTATACTAGTAGTATGAGATGGCAGTGTGATCATTTCCGTTTGAATTAAAAAAATTATCGATATTTCACATGACATGAAATAAAAAGGTTGCACTCAAGTGCTTCATCTATACATGAATAACAGTCGCGTTCTCCTTGCGAACAAAGTCGAAGAAGCTCTTGAGGTTTTTGTGCCTAGGCTCGCCCACAACAAAAACAGCAGGCTTGCCGTATGGCGCAGGAACAGTAGCGGTCTGGCCACCCTGGTAGGTCTTTCCAGTCCAAACATGCTTATAGGTCTCACCCTGGCCGGGGAAGTACACGCGAACGGTCTTGTGACCAGCATCCAAAACAGGAGCAACATAGAGATCCGCGCCGAGAAAGTAGCTCTCGAAGCTAATCTGCTTCGCCTTCACGTCATTGGGGTGGTAGATGACGGGCATGCGAACAAGGGGCCAGCCAAGGTGCTTGCTTTCGGTATCAAGAATCTGGCGACGGTAAGGACCCAAGCTGGCGAACATGCGAGCATTGTAGGCGTGGTACGCGTATGTGGATGCATTGGTGTAGAATTGTGCGTTGACCTCGGGGACGTTACCCTCGTGCGAGCGGAAGACGGCGCTGGAAACGGCGGAAAGCTCACCCCAGCGACCGAGGAGCTCGGCGGAACGGTTGACGATTCCGTTGCTGTCCCAGGTAGTTGTGTAGCCACCAATCTCGACGTGACCGTGGGCGTAGCCTGAAAGACCCATGTGGCCAAGGACGGTCACGGCAGACTTAATTCCGTCGTTGACGCCCCAGTTGGTGTTTTGATCACCGACCCAGTAGAGGTTCATGTCGCGGTTAGAAGACATGGATGAAGAGCGGTGGAAGATGAGAGCGTCGGCAACGGCGGAGACGTTGTTGCGGAGCTCATTGTTCAAAGCGGACCAGTCACGAGGGTACTGATTGTGGTAGAATCGGGGATCAATGTTCTTGTTGGCGAACTTGGTGTCATCGCTAACGGGGGTGTACTCTCCAAAGTCACACATGTATCCCGAGACATTGGCGCTCCATACCTGGTCGGTAAGAACCTCTTGGAACCAAGACCAGGCAGCGGGGTTGGTGAGATCAACGATACCGGCGTCAATACCGGGACCGCTAGAGATAACAGCAGTGTCGTTGGTGGTGGAATTTTGGATCATGTAGCCACCCTCAGTAGCCTCCAAGTAAAGGTTACGGCGATATCCATCGGGCTTGGTGCTGACATTGGCGATGAAGGGGTTGATGTAAGAGAGAGTGCGCACATTGTGTTGGTCACGCAGGTCCTGGACGAATTTGTTCCAAGTCGGGTACAGATCCGAATCGGCCTCCCAGTTCCACCAAAGACGAGAAATAGTCAGGCCATTCAGGTAGGAAGCGGATTGACTGTGGGTGCCGACCCAATCCTGGAGCCAAATACCGGCAATCGGGCATGAGTGGTTTAATCCATAGTTGACAATCTTGTTGACCTTGGTTTGACCACCCTGGATACCAAGAATGGCACCACTATCGGCCCACTTAGGAATCTCAGGCATGCGACCAGTGTACTCAGTAAGCATAGTGATTGCGTCTAGCATGTTACCTGCCTGCATGAAATAACCGTCCACGGTAAGCGCAGCGTACCGTACAGTAACGGAGCTTGCATTGCGGAAATCGAAGTTGGCATAGGCGGTGCTCTCCTCGGTGAGGTGGAGAACGCGTGCATTAGAAGAGATGTACTGAGGAGTGGCGGAGTAAGTACTGTACTTGTCACCTCCAGAGAAGAAGCTGGAAGCGTTCTCAAGTTCGGTGGTCGGCTGATCACCACGGCCAACACCACCTTCGCGGGAGAAGATAGGCACAGACTGGTTCTTCAGCGAGGCGAATGAAGCTTGTCCACCGAGACCATAGAAGTCTTCGGAAGGCGAAGAGCGGTAGGTAAAGAACAATTTGGTCAAGGCATCTTCCGAGCTGGGGTTGACTTTGATGTTGAAAGCAACCCGATCCGGGAACTGGTGAGAAACATAGAGGGTCAAAGAGAAGCCAGCAGTGGTGTTTGACTTTCCACATCCAGAAAGGGTGCCTTGCACGACTGTAGCGTGGTTGTTGACACTCTCCTTTGACTCGCGCTGGATCACCCTGGTGATGCGCTCAGATGTGCACTTGTCCTCGTCCACATCGGTAATCTTGAAGTTTCCACTTGAATCAATAATCTCATCCAGACCGGCGCTTGCGCTCAAGAACGATGCGCCAGGCACAGTCTCCCAAATTGTTCGGTTTTGACCAGTAACAACTAGATGATTGGCACTCTGGTCAACAGAGAGACTGAAACCACTTCCGAGGTCCAATGGTGCCTGTACCTGTGCCGCGACGGCCGGCGCCGCAAGGGTCGTCCAGATCAAAGTTTTCAACCCAGGCATCTTGCAATTGTTGTTCAAGCCGATGTCGATCGAATTGAAAAAAAGAAATCAGAATGGCCGTCCCTTACCTTTTAACTGTCGTGCATTTCCTCCGACATTGCCGAATAAAGTCCCAGATGACAGTCCGAGCGACCCACTCTGGAAATTATGTTACCCTACGTCACAAAAAGCCCAATCACCGGGTTTTTCCCCATGAAGGCCCCGGTGTTTAATGACGATCAGCTTGTCTGGTGTTGTCAGATGCTGTATGAATGGCTGGTTGCGCCATGAACTCCACAATTGGCGACTCCATCGGCTCGTGTCGAGTTCTCCGCTCGGCAGAGTCCCGATTTCCCCTCCTAAACACATTGCCGTCCCCAGAATCGGGAAAGGAGGGTCCAAATGAACAACGATATGCATGTCCCATTCAACAAGGGGCGAATAAAGATTTGATCAAGACATTCTTCCCCGGAATTCAGCATTCCATCGACGATTTAAGTATTCCCCGGTCGGTATACCGATGTCCCGAGAGGAATTGACTTTCAAATGTAGAAACTGACGAAAGGTGGAGCTGGGGACTCCGCATTAGCCGGCCTTTCGATTTTCCTTTCGAATTTCCTCGTTGTCGTTGGTCAAACGCCAACGTTGAAAAGCACGCCTTGAACGGCTAAAATGACACGGGAATTGCCGCCCGTCGGGAAAGAATGCGCCTCCTACGAAACAATCTTTTGCTCCCTTCCTCAGTCGACCCATCGAGTGTATACTAAACACCCAGGGTCCCGGTTTTTCTGACTAAAATTCCTTTATTTGTGGATCAGTATAGAGTCTAAAACGCCCGATTTCCAAGGTCCCGAATTTTCTCGGGTTTGCTTAGCCGAGGGAAGTATGTACAGCGAATGACCTCATTTCTCCCACACAGGAGTAGTTCCCCAGGAAGTGGGAGTGTCGCTCATCTCAAACTCAATGCTTCCGGCATTCACAATCTCGGCATGGGTCAGTATTGGGAAATTGGCCTTCTTCCCGCCTATCTTCAAGCCCTTTATGTATGGCTTAGCAGGGGCACCTGGGGCACTGATGACAAGGGTCCTGTCGGGTTCGTCTGTCGCCTGGCCACCTGTAGCAGCCTCCGCGGGCCAGTGAATGGTAGTCTTCTCAAAAAATGGCGCCGATACAACATACTCATCACTCGCTGGGTTGACTGGGTAAAACCCTAGAGCTGAGAAGATGTACCAAGCACTCGTCTGGCCCAAATCATCATTACCACTCAGACCAGCGCTCGTGGCATTATAGTTATCCCATGCCACACCGGGAATCGTTTCGGCGGAGCGATCTGGGTATCCAATAACAGAGTAAAGATAAGGAACATGATGGCTGGGTTCGTTTGTCTGATCGTTGTGCCCGCCCTGGAAATATGTATCGAGGCGATCACGCATGGCTTCCCGACCACCAAAAAGTTGAGCCAACCCCTCGAGGTCATGCAAAACATCAAAGGTGTAGACCCAGTCGTCACCTTCCGTCCAACCCCAAGTATTGTTCGCCCAACTCCCGTTCCCATTGCGTGCCTGCATAAACTGGGTTTCGTTGTTCCAGATATTCGCGAAATTTCCGCTCCGAGCCCGAAGGGCATTGATGGTTTCGTTATCTCCACCTGCGTGCTCCCCCACAACGGCACATGCATAATCATCGAATGCATAATCTAGAGTTCGACTTCCAGCCTCCGACCAGCCATCGTTGGAAACCCATCCTTGCTTCATATAGGCCGTGAGTCCTGCTCGAACTTCATAGGAGGTGTTGGGCTCGCGATCATAATAAAGTGTTTCCACATCCCGCACCGGTGGGGTATATGCATCTTTCTTGACTGCATCCCAGGCCTTAGCAATATCAAAATCATGAAAGCCGCGCTCCAAGGCGTTGGCGAGGATAACATCTGCATTTGTAGCAACCATGATGTTGGTTTCGATCATATTGGCCCACATCGGTAGCCAACCAGACCAGTCAAAAATCCGAAGCAGTGTCCGCATCATGCTGTTCACCCGCTCTGGGGCAAATAGTGTGATTAGAGAGTGCTCTGCTCGATAGGTGTCCCAAATGGACCAAGATTGATAATAAGAATCGTTCGCAACGTGGACGCTATCTGTGTATCCAGAATAAAATGTACGGGACTTGCCATCTTCGGAGAGAGGTTCAGAGAAATCACTCGGGTACTGCAGCGCATGAAAAAGTCCAGTATAAAATATCGCAAGCGGATCATGCTCCAAGTCGGTATTGTTGACACCTTCAATAGTCACACGGCCTAACTTTTCGAGCCAAGCATGTTTGATGTTGTCAACAGTATCTTGAAATTTGGTCCTACTCGGTATCTCGATTTCCAAATTCCGCCGTGCCTGCTCCACGCTGACATACGAAATGCCAGTGCGAACCTCCACAGTGGTTACATTCGAGGCAAACTTGACGAAAGCTCCTGTATACTTGCCGGTCCTATCCGTTTGGCCCTGGAGTGTGATGTTACCGTTGGTGACGCCAGCATCTTCAAATGGCTCCGAGAATTGGGAAACGAAATATCCTTTGAAAGAGGATGCATGATCTGGGCCAAGGAGATAGTCTTGTCTTTCTGTGTTATAGCCATATATCTCTCGTGTTTCGCTGTCAATATGAACATCGCCAGTCCAATTCTGACGAGACACCTCAATAAACACCCAAGGCTCTGAGTTTTGCTCATCTTTTGAAGCACTGCAATCCTCGAAGTCAAAACGGAGATGACTCGAATGAGAATCTGCAGACAAGGCGACCTGAATTGACCTGTCGTAATGATCTGACTCCGATCTCATGCCCACCTGAGTCACGGCTCGCTTTCTTGTCCGACCATTCGAGCCCTCTTCAACGTCTTCCGGAACTGCGCCAGCACCGCCTGGATCTGGCCCATCATTTGCATACTGAGCCGTAGCATTCCAGTCACGACCCAAAAGCTGCGTCGCGTCAAGGAGCACCTCGTAAACATAAGGCGTACTCTTTTCATCTTTCTTCTGGAACGCCAGTCCTCGGTTAACAAACAGCGGCTGAACTTCCCCCATCCCGGGTGTCAGCACAACCTGACCTGCCTCTCCCATCCAGATAGCCGGCTGATGAGTAGCCTGAAACCCGTGAATAAGTCGGTCGCTGTAGCTGTAGGGACATTGGGAGATGAAGTTTTCCCGAGTCTGCGGGGTCCATCGTGTCATGCCGAAAGGAGGGGAGACCGAGGGAATCATTCCACCATTGCTATTCGGGGAAGGACCGGAAGTGCCAATGAATGGGTTGACATGGTTTAGTACACCGGTATTCGCATGGTAATCAGGTGTGTCGCGGGTACCACATGTACCGGGTTGACGCGTTGGATGAGCGGGGACAGTCCCCACAAGACCTAAAAGCAATGGTATAACCGTATGCATGTTTCTCGTTATTTCTCGATCGCTTTTGTGATGCATGACTCGACTGCGGTCGAGCTTCGGTCAAAATCCGGGGCCATGGGATTTATATGATTGCAGAAACGAGCTAGGTGATTGCCGTGTCTAGGATTCCACATTCCTCAAATGCCGACTGGTAAGCTTAAGCTCCACAATATTTATCAAAGAGTCAGGGCTCGGGGCTCGGGCTTTCACCTCGTGGGGTCAAAGTAACCTTGTGGCTTTTCAGTGCTGATCGCAATTCTCGCCAAATTGCGGGGTTGGGGTCGCATCGCGCGGGTACTTACTACGTGCCCGGCTTGTACTCCGTGGAGCCGAGAGAAAACATTAAGAATATTTGGACCATTTGCAAAACTAACATAAGCTAATTTGAAATAATGTTAGTTATATAGTACTACTCAGTACTGCTGACAACCTTGAACCTTGAGATAACACACATTATCTGAAGGGGAAATCTTGGAAAGGACTGTTGCCGGTACCTAGCATTCTTATTAAGTACTAGCTTCAATGCTTCAAGTTGTATAGTAGGAATGACTAGCTGTAGTTGCAAAGATCCTCGAGCAGGAGGTATTGATGAATCATGATCTATGATTAATCATTAGGGGTGTACCCGGCACACTGTAATATGATGGTGAGGACTTATTGGGGGAATCGTTATTCAGATGATGAAGCTTAACAAACACTTTAACTATCCGCAAATTTGCGCTATCTAGATTCTCAGCCCGACTTTCATCTAAAATGCCATCTTAATGCTCATCATAATGCCTCAATTCTCACCTTCAAAATCCTCATCCATCTCTGTTAGTTGCTGGGGTTGGGAATCAAGGGTCGGCTGCAAGAAAGAGAAAAGGATGTCAAAATGAGAGACACGAGGATGAGAGACAGTGACTGGGTCTTAGATGAGAGCTGGGTCGATGTTGGCTGGGTCAACGTTAGCTGGATCAACGATAGCTGGGTCGACAAGAGCTGCCTGGGCGAGAGCTGCCTGGGCGAGAGTTGGCTGGATAATAGCTGGCTGAATAGGAGCTGGCTGGATAAGAGCTGCAGACGGAGGTGAAGCTGCTATGAAGCTGCAACGCCTTCCCTTCGATGACCAGTGGCAATTCGCACAGGACGGGAACATAGTGCCCAGACTTGGAACGATAACGCAGGAGGTGAAAGGTCCCATCTTACGCTTGCAGGAGTCACACTCTTGCCCTGGCAACACTTCAATCCCAACGGACTGGGCAACGAGGGATTCAACGTTCTCCAGTCTCTTGTTGACCTTCGTGAAAAACTGGGGACCGGTCAAAGGCCGCCCTTCAATCCTGAGTCCCGGCTCTCGACGGAGGGGTAACTGTCTCAGCGTGTGAATCTTCGATCCGGGGCGACGACCGATTGGTCTGATTCCACGGGTAAACCAGTCCCCGTTCACTGAGACCCACGCCCAATACCCAGGCTGGGTGTCGTTGCCGATCACAGGCGGTGGGTCAAGTGCTGGGGTAGGAGCCTGCATGGCTGACTAGTAATATGCCTTGTGAAGGTACCTATTCAAGGTGACTTGAAACAGTTAGTTAAAAACACTCGAGGGGCTTGGGAATATACTAGTGACTGACTTTGCTTCCGGTTTCCTGATCTGGGATGGCGTGGTCACGTGGTATGGAAACGGATGAAAGAGCAGAAAACAAATGTGAGATGGTTTCATGAGGCTGTAGGGGAAAATCTCTTGACAAGAAAAGAAAACAGTAAACAATTAGGATCTATTGTTGCAAGATTGCGAACCACCAAAGAAAGTTATAGGAGCCACCTGCAGAATACGTGATGCTGGCGTATCGCTCCTCCCCTGCCGTTTTCCTTTGGATACAATTTAGTGTGTTCATTTAATTTGATCGCCATTTTTCATGCGTAGTTAAGATTCTGATATCTTCTGTTCCCACAATTTAAACAATTCCGAATTGACGCTGAGTGAGGTCCACTATTGCCGCTAAAAATAGGAAAGCGGGAACTGGAGTCCAATCAGAAACGCGGCGCCACACAATTTTGGGGGGAAAAAAAAACAAAACCGCCAAGGTATGCGCGGCCATTCCTGACGCGTCCAGGCCGCAATATTAAAGGGCTTGAACTCCTCGCGATAACTTCCAAGCCCCTGTATCTCCTCGCCATATCACGGTCTTTAGCAGAGATTCTCCTTCAAACCTTGGAAGCCTGTTCGCCTTCCCATCATGCCAGCATTATATTCCTCTCTGAATGAGCGGGCGGCCCACATGGCCCCGCACCTTGCCCAACGAAGCCTAAGCGTCGACCATACACAGGCAGTCACACTAGGAATTATGGCCGTCTACGTTGTTGTTATCGCTTTACTTTGGAACCTGCCATATGTTCGATACTCATTATGGCCCTTCAAGGTAAACACTCACACTGACCCTCCCACTCCAACGCTCGACTCCAGCTAACGGGTTAGATGTTGGTTATCGCGTTTCACGAATTCGGACATGCGATCACGGCATGCTGTACAGGCGGACGAGTCGAATCTATCTCTCTTGATCCTCACGAAGGAGGCGTCACACATATGCGAGGAGGAATGTCTGCCATCACACTGCCCGCGGGGTATTTGGGGTCATCCATCATTGGCGCTCTGTTGATCTTTGCGGGATTTGATATTGTGGCTAGTAAAATTGCTAGCATTGTGCTTGGTGTTTGCTTTCTTTTGACCCTTTGGTGGGCTCGGAAGGATTGGTTGACCATCTGCACCGTTCTCCTTGCGGTTGGCTTCCTCGTCGCGTGCTGGTTCATTGCCCATGCTGAAGCCTTAAGGTGGTTCGTCGTAAGTCAAAAGTTGACGTGGGTTTGATTTATCGCTGAGCTTATACTAACCGTGACTACTAGCTATTTATCGGCGTCATGTCCTCCCTCTACAGCGTGTGGGATATTGTAAGTCCCCTTCCCCCTGGCTGCTTTCTTGCGACATCTGCTCATATCGGACTAACATACCACCCCCAGTGCGACGATCTCATTCTCCGCAAAGTCAACAGTTCTGATGCTAGCGTTTTCGCCAAGAAGTATGGAGGATCTTCGCAATGCTGGGGTATCATCTGGTCTATCATCTCTCTTGCTTTCATGGCTATTGGGATTATTGGTGGAATCGCCGCATTTCCCGAGTCCTTCGCGCAGCAAGAGAAAGACTCACAGCATTTTATTCCCACATTTTGATTACGGATTCCATGATATTTACGACTAAAGCTCAATACCCCATTCATGTTTTCTCCAACGTTTTTTTATTGCATCTGGTTCGATTCAGATACACGTGTATTAACAGACAAAATGCAATATTTACTACCAATCTTTGTGTATAAACACCGAGAATAAGTTACCTCTTGTATCCCAAGACACAGTGGTTGACCTTTCAACAGTTCACCTTGTTGGTATGGTCTGTCCAATGCCAAAAGCTGACCATCTTACGTTCTCCAGTCCTTGAACACCAAAGAATCTTCCATCTACCTCTGCACCTTTAAACCGCCTGCCCTACGGGTTAGGGCCGTTGAGTGTTGTGTTATAAGTAGCATCGCTCGGAAGATTGACATAGACTATCGTGCCATTGCCCTCCCGGAAGTCACTCGTAGGGGGTCCCTTGGTGCGATAGCCTCCATGCTGTGTCATCTTGGTCTTTCCAGTTGCAATATCCTTTCTAGCAAGTCCCCTCTCAAAGAATTCCAACGCGGCCAGCGGCTGATAAAAGGGGACCTCATGTCCAGATTCGTAGATGCGCACAAACGTGTACAAGTCGCTCTGTCGAACTTGACCATGAACAATCCCATCGGAAGTAGTGAGATTAACGAAACCTGCCTCTTCGTAACCTGGGGCGTTAATTTCTTTGGCAATGACTTGGCCTCCTAGCCAATTGCAGTTGAAGTCACTGGAGAGGCGTCAGTATCTTCATAATGGCATCCCGCAAGTGATAATAAGGGCACTCACGCATCACCAAAGTACATCACAACCTGTACGCCGGAGTCAATCAACTTCTTCACATCCCCTATCGTCCCATCCATCCGGTCATCGTCACCCGTACTTCCAAAGCTAGTCCCAACAGTATTGGATGATTCGGAAAAGTTCTGGTATGCACCGATGGCTGCCTGAACTGTCGGTGAATTAAGATAATCCACATAAAACTCGTACGGGAACGGATCAGAACTCAGTTCTCGCATATCATACTCATCCCGACCAGAGTAGATGTCGTACATTTCCTCCACCTTTTCAGCACAAAAATCATCTGCCGCTGAGCAGATGTCATTGCGACCGGTGGCATAGCATTCCAAAGTCTGGTCGACACAGTTCCCCTCTCCATAGAGGTTGTTGTACCATTCCGCTTTGATGGATGCATTGTATGGATCGTAGTCATATGTGTTGCCGGGAAACACGGAGAAATTGTAGTAAGCCTGGTACTGGATCAAAGGATCGAACCAGCCATTTCCGATGAATACATTTTCAAGCTCGATGTCGACGGCGCCGGCAATCTTCTTCGCGTTTTGTTCTAAGAAGTACGCTGCGGTGGGTTAATATTGCTTTGTTTGCTTTCTTTGCGGGTAACTTTGTCAGAATTCTTACTGTTGAAGATTGGGCCATAGTGACCTCCATAACTCTCAGTCGCAAAATTGAAACCGCTCTTTGAGTACTGTGGGAATGCACCCATGAAGCCCTGTAGGGTCTTCCACATATTAGGGGCCGCATTAGCTGTCGAGTTGGGAACCAAAGCAATATCGGCCTTGGAGTACGTGCCGCATGTGCCATATTGCTGGGCATAATCTGGGCACGTTGCGTTGGGCAGCTGGATAATATAGCCTTGGTCGTCTTGGTATGCCGGAATCGGAATTGTATAGGAGAACCCGGTTGTGGTGGGTTGATCAATGAAGATCTAACGACGGTTTAATAAAATTCGTGGCAGAGAAACTGACGGGCTGGCCTTACCATGTTGCTCGCGTTGCTCCAAGAATGCGGGTTGTTGTATACATTTCCTTCGTAGTCAACTCCACATGGACCTAACTCTTGAAACAACCCTATCATTGAAGAAGATCCCGGACCTCCATTGATCCAGACTGTAAGGGGGGCCTTGGAAACTGTTAGTTTTTCTCTCTTTGTTATGGATGGATGGATATGATATGATATGATGCAAAATACCTCTTCAGGATCTCCATTTCTAGTCTCAAAAAACCACCTAGAGATCTCCATTAAATTTGTCATTCCTCATCTTCAGATAGCTATCATGTTGCCGCACCCGACACTTGAATTCATAATGACATCCACAGGTCTACACACCGTGAAGTACATATCTGGAATGTCTGCTTACCAAAAGATATGTTCATTCTCGCTAACATCAGCATACCCCGAATAACTCTTCACATTAGGGTCCTGCTCGCAAATCCCAGCCGGGACTTCTTTGTATCGTACATTGATACCAGCATGACCTTCTTTAGTGATCAAGTCCGTCGGCGCGGGAACAAATTGAGCCACAGTATAGCATACAAGCGTAGTCGCCGCTAGGGTGATCTTTGAAAATGCAACCATTTCTCACGAAGTGTCAAATTTTTGAGCAATCCCTCATTTCAGACAACCCCGCTCCAGCTGGGACTTGATCCTATATAACTGTTGCAGATCGCAAGTCCATTGGGAAGGTAGGATCCTGTACATTGCTGAGATCGGCCTTGATTGGTTCCTCCCCCTTTATCTTCTTGAGGGGAAAGTGGAGCGGTCGGAGATCCGTTTATCGCCCGGCACCAGTGTAAATTGTCTTCGAATAACACCATACTAGGCAGCACATTCCCCCCCTTCAATCTCTTGATTGTTGCAGGCCGTTTAGATTGTGGCTTTGCTTTCAAGCTTGATGTGTGATTTCAAGGGACCGTGCACCTGGCGTTTGCGTGGGACGTGGTGATTCCCCCTCTACCGGAGTCTGCCAGGGGGTGGTTTGGAAGCTGTGATGATGCTTGCAGATCATTTCCTTGGTGAGGGGAAGAAAAGCAAGGTACGGATACGGGGTAAGCGATAGGGATCTTATCAATAATCATTGCTTGGTCACATGTGCCTTTGATTCAAGCCTTGGAGATGCCTGCGAGCCCATCCTAGTAAGTAGTACATAGTAATTTCTAAACTGTCCTCTACAGATCTTCCCAGGTGCGATTTTGATCTATTGCCGCCTATATCACGGTATGTGCCCAGGTCTCCGGTGAAATGGATGCATGCATAAGCCCGCGTCGGGCCTCCGGGGAGGCAAAGAAGAGATTCAAGCCCGAGATAGCGATGCACAATTATGCAATTATCCCAGGTTTATGCCACGATACATTTTCCGAAATTAGAGGTATACCGTCGTCAAGCTCTGGCCTTGGTCTTTATCAATAAGATCCATGATCAGGTGAGCCGAGTGAGCCGAGGCCGATTGAGCCGGACATCTGGAGCTTTCTGACATCATTGACTGTTATTTTTGCCATTGCTGGACCTCAGCTACAACTTCAAACATAAGATACTTTAATTTATCCATCTTGTTTCAAATATTCTCTGGCAACATTTGAACTACCCTCTTCAAATGTTCCTCGTGACATAAAATTATCTTTTGTGTGACCAGTCACCGCATACATATATTTCTGCCTAATCTTGCAACTCACCCGATCGCTTGAGCCGCTAGCGTCGATCTCCCGCCCACCATGGCCTCAGTAGCATCGGCTAATGACGGCAGAGAGTCTGAGACGCTGCGGCCTGAACAAACCTCAGAAAATACTAGTGACACAAGCTCAAATTACAACGAACGGGTGCGATTCAATGGCGATGGTCTTGATACCGGCGTCCGAGTCCTAGGTTTGTGATAAAGATTTGAATTCCGCGATCGTGTTGAATGGTAACTAACGTCTTTATCCTCTGACAGGAGATGGACGTCTCGATATTCGGATCAACGAACATAAACCGAGCCTCGCTGGATTGCTGAATCACCTCCAGAACACTCCCATACACTCAGAACGTGAACAGGGCAAGGACACATGTAGCACAAGCAGCCATCCTGGAAGAGACGGCAAACACTTCCCACTACATTTGAACGTCGTCATTCAAGTGATTGGCTCGCGCGGAGATATTCAGCCGTTTCTCGCTCTTGGAAAGGAGTTGAAAGCGCACGGGCATCGCGTCCGACTGGCTACCCACCTCCAATTCCGTCAAAATATCCTCGATGGAGGACTGGAATTCTTCAATATCGGCGGAGACCCGGAGGAGCTGATGGCGTTCATGGTCAAGAATCCTGGACTACTCCCCGGGCTTGCGACTATTAGAAGTGGTGCAATACAGAAGCGGCGGCGTGAGATGAGAGAAATTATTCACGGATGCTGGAAGTCATGTTTTGAAATTGGCGACGGAACAAATATGCATCAGATCAAGGAAGATCTTTGGGGGGATACACCTGATTATCGACGGAGGCCGTTCGTGGCTGATGCCATTATCGCCAACCCTCCCAGCCTAGCGCATATCCATTGTGCTCAGCGGCTTGGGGTACCACTTCATATCATGTTTACGTATGTGATGGCTTCTGACTTGATTCATATCCTTCTTGGACGTGGCTGATCTTTCTAGGATGCCTTGGTCACCTACACAATCCTTTCCTCACCCCTTAGCTGTTATCCACCAACAGGATTGCAAACGCACGGTCGCAAATTTTGTCTCTTATGCGGTTGTCGATATGATGGTTTGGGAGGGATTGGGGGATCTTGTGAATACTTGGCGCAAGAAAAGCCTCTCTCTTGATACATTAGACAGTATGACAGCACCAAGTCTTCTTCACAGGTTACAGGTACCTTGTTCGTATCTCTGGTACGACCAAACTATATATCCATTCTTATACTATTTTTGTTAGCTAACGGCCTTTATTATAGGTCACCGGCTGTGCTGCCGAAGCCAGCTGATTGGGGAGACAACATTGATATTTGTGGATTCAGCTTCCTACCATCTGATTCTGACTATAAACCAACGGAAGAAATCGATGGATTTTTAAAAGCAGGACCACCGCCTATATATGTCGGGTTCGGTTCAATTGTGGTGGATGACCAAGTCAAGCTAACAAAGATTATCTTCGAGGCGGTTCGCAAATCCGGTCAACGAGCAATGATCTCCAAGGGATGGGGTAATCTCGGTATTGACGACGCTGATATTCCAGAGAATATCTTGATAATCGGTAGCGTTCCTCACGACTGGCTATTCCGACAGGTGACATGCGTGATCCACCACGGTGGTGCGGGCACAACAGCCGCTGGCCTGGCGCTTGGACGCCCGACCATCATCATACCGTTTTTTGGAGACCAGGAGTTCTGGGGAGGTATCGTTGCTCGCGCCGGTGCTGGGCCGCTTCCGATACCCCATAAACGTTTGACTGTGGATAAACTTAGCGACGCTATTAACATGGCGCTGAAGGATTCCACAAGAGAAAAGGCACAGGCGATAGCGAAGAAGATGGAGAAGGAATCCGGGGTAAAAGAAGGAGTGCTCAGCTTCCACCGTCAGCTGGATTTGAAGGCGATGCGTTGTTGCATATGCCCTTCTCGCCCTGCTGTATGGCATATGAAACGAACAAAGCTGGGATTCAGCGCATTCGCAGCCTCTGTTTTGGTTGAAATGGGTAGCCTCCAGCCTGAGGACCTAGTTTTGTGAGTTCAATGTGTGCCAGGAAAGTGGACTAATCTTTCACTGACTAGCGTAATAGGAGCCGAGCTATGGAATATGATACATATCGTGATCCAATCGGACCACTAAGTGCCTCCGCCCAGGTCCTGTTCGGGGCAATTTCCAATTTTGTCTCAGGACTTGCAGATGTACCAACCGAAATGATGCTCGATATAGTCTCGGCCGGTAGAGCCATAGGACACGCCCATCCGAAGTTCAAACATCAAAACAAATGGCACCAAAAGCCTCGAAATGAAGATGAACTTGCGAGTGATCAGTCCTCCACAGAGCATACTGCTAACGAGACCCAACAAAACCAGAACGGACTACCTAGCTCAAGTCATGAGCAAGAATTGGAAGCACAAGAATTGGAACAGGATGAAGATGAGGAGATGATGGACTTCGACGGCGACACACTATTCCCTGAAACTGAGCTCGAAAAGAAACATAGTCAGGAGTTGGACAAGTTAAAAACAATGCGCGATGAGATCATGCCCTCGCATGCGCATAATGTGTTTAATGTGGCTGCAAGTCACGGGCGAACTATGTCTATGAAGTTCATTAACGTCGTTATATGGCTTCCCACTGATCTCGCACTCAGCATGTCCAAGGGCTTTCACAATGCCCCAAAGCTATATCATGATCCGATGGTCAAGAGCACCCCAAAGGTTAAGGGAATACGCAGTGGCTTTAGAGCAGCTGGAAGGGTTCGTTGAAGTGGTATTGTGAACTGGTTTCAAGCTCAGTTTACTGACAACTATCAGGAATTCCGCGACGGATGGTACGATGGTGTCACAGGGCTGGTCACCCAGCCTCGATATGGCTACAAAAACAAAGGCACAAAGGGCATGTTCAAGGGGATCGGAAAGGGTATCGGTGGAGTTTTTCTCAAACCCCCAGCTGGTAAGCATGGCAACTACCAATTCATTTCCTTACAAATTGCGCATGAGAATTTCATAAGCTTTTGTGCGGATTCTAACCGGTTTTCTATCAGCTCTTTGGGGGCTGGCGGGCTACCCCTTGAGTGGTGTACGTCGAACACTTTTGGACTCGTTGGGCAGGACCCAAGAATGCCATATCATCATATCTCGTATCGCCCAAGGACGCGAAGAGATGCGAGAGTCCTCGACCGCAGAAAGGGCCAAGGTGGCTCAAAGATGGACTGTGATTGAGGAGAAGCTATGCCAGGGAAGGGATTCCAGTCGACAATGCCCTACTCGTCGAGCACGGCCGGTTTCGAATCCCTAGTAGATACTGGTTGTCTATATCCTTTCTCGGTAATGTCAGTTGGTACAAAGTGACAGCATTTTGTTTTGCATATTTTTTCCGAATTTTCTGACTCGATTATACTTGGAGTCTGGACTGTACATATGATCGGACGGAAAAAAATAACAATGAGAATTGGGTTAATACTCGAGCCATCGGGACCTAGTAGGTGACACTTGTACATGCACAGTCTCGTGGCCATGCACTTGCATCATTGATGTGCACATGTGTGAATCATGGCTGAATCTGACTCCCGGTCTAGCGTTGCTAGATATGGGTATCTTGATCGCACCTTCCTCATTCGAGCATGAATTCTATTACGGAAATGATATGTGTAAAATCAAGTTCGACTACAATTTAAATACGAACCTATTGACGCTCAGAATGACTTCCGGTCTGCACACAGAGGTGGGCGCCACACTGAGGGGAATTATTGAAAAGATCCATCTGCCTATAGGGTTGTTGGGCGATATCGGCATTTTGGGAATTGAAGTGTACGGGTTGGTGGGGGGTGGGGGGTAACCAAGGCCCCTGATGAAGGATGGTTACCAAAGAGACCCCCACTTGGGTACAGGAAGGACAGCCCCTCAGTGGTCCTGGAGGTTGGAGTGGCGGAATAACGGAGAGTCAACTTCGATCTGATGCGAGATTGTGGGTGAATCCGGGGCGCGGTGGGGCCAACATTGCCATCACCATCAAGGCCCGACGGGGGTAGCCCTTTGCTCAAGAATCAAGATAGAGAAGTGGGAGTGGAATGCGGCCCAGGCAAGAGCCAACATGACGCACCGTATCTTAGTGACGGAGATGGGCCAAGGACGAATCTCGGTTACTGGCGCCCCCTTGACCATACCGTTCAATCAATTTTGGCTCCGGCCTCTGGTTGACCCCCGAGACCAAGACATCGTCATTGGGAGATCATAGCTCATCTACTTGGCTAAAGAAGGTTGCCGACTTCCAGTATTGATTAATGGCGAAACTTCATCCCCAGCCACTGTTTCACAACAACCGCTGCCCAGACAATACAAGGATTGTTCCAACCGTGCTGTTCACTGTTGCTGCTTTCGCCGCTGCATGAGAACAGCCAAAGGAATATCGTCGTCGTAGAACTCCACGTCTTCGTCGACGCCAAAGTCGCCAAGGCGCTCCCCTTCAGCATTTCGCCAGGACTCCTCGCCTTCGTCAGAATCATCGCCATACACGGGTCCAGGTCCCCGACCTTCATCACTCTCGTAATTATCTTGTTGAATGCGATCGTGAAATCGCTTGCGTCGTTGGACGTCGGAAAACGGTCTGCGACGATCGATATCATTTTCTTGACGGCGTTTGAATGCTTCAACGGTGTCTCGGGCGGATGAATACGCCTGAAGAGGCCCGTCATGAGGGTCAGTTCGATTCACTGGCCAAGGAATACGATCAGGGTCGGGTGGGGGCCACGAAGATCCAGGATCTATAATAACCGAGGATTAGCAGGTGTCGGGGCCAGGAATCAAATCCTCATACCTTCAAAGCCATTCGTTTCAAACTCCCAGCCAGTGCTACGGTCGGGGCTGGCAGCCAGTGGCCAGAACCAGCTCAAGATCTAGGGCACGTTAGTCAAATCCGGGGATTAGAAGGGGCTGAACAAACATTTGCACTTCCTCCCATTCCCTCTCTGATGTTGGCCCAAATTCCAATATCATAAGGAAACTCATGTTTGTTGATTCGGACCTTGATCCCACCCGGTCCATCAAGATGTCCACCCAGGACGTGGGCTCGCCGGACGAGAGTCTCGTGTCGCTCAATCTCCCAAGACTCAATAAATGTCATATTGAAGGCAAGCGAGTATAGACTTCGGACAAGGAGAATGAAGAGGGCAAAAACGGTAAAGCTGTTGATAACGAACAAAATGAGAAGATGTGCTAGTTGCAAAATGGAGGGACCCATATACTGGAGAAGTTAGTAACCTGCAATTGAAGAGAGATTATTAGCTTACACTTGGCAAGTTTCGGTTAGTCCAGACAATAGAAGCACGCCCCCAAAGAAGAGTCTCAAGGTAAGACATTCCTACAACTGCGTAGAACAGAAACCGGATGAAGTGTGGGAAAGTAAAATGTGAGACGCAATTCGACGTCCACGGACAGTGGTGGTCCATTTTGGGGACACATCTAGATCGTGTCAGTTGGTTTCACATAAGATCAGCAGGATCAAAGTAAATGGAACCTTTGACATGTTTTGCAATGATGAGCCCGCGGTGGCTTATAAGCCTCACATCTGCGGCACCATCGCTGCCGACCCGTAGCCTGGTCTTTCTCCTTCTGATCGGCATTTGCTGATTTTTTCTCCAGAGGCAACCGACCAGGATTTACATAGCATGCCCTGTAGTAGCAAATCCAGATACACGAAGCGAAGATGTTGATTTTCCAAATTTCGTCATTTTGGAGTGGTGCCGACTCAAACCGCCAAAAGAAGTACTGGGATGTGTAGGCGAGGAAGCCGATCAGCACACTGACCGCTGGAACGGCCAGCTGTGAGATTGAGAAATCATCGCCACGCATCTTAGACTTGACAACTTGCTGCGATCGAGAGAAAGCATGAGACAAACATGAGAAAAAGTGAACTCGGTGGACGTGTTGTTTATGCGATGATGACTAAGCGACATCGGATCGCTGACTTCAAACCAAATCCAAATTCCATCTCTTGACTTCATCAATTTCCTTCCAAACTTTTGTTTTCCCTGCATGCTTTTTCTTCTCATCATGTCTATTTTCAACTAGCTTTTCGGAGGGATGAAACTCATGTATACATACATGATAATGATACATCGCGCTCACAATGCCGATTGAGGCCCTTTCTCCAGCCACAGCCCGGGCAATCGGATCTACATCAGTTATCTCCGACCCTTGCTCAGTGGTCAAGGAGCTGATTGACAATGCTTTAGATGCGGACTCATCATCGCTCGTGGTCGAAATATCTCCAAATACCGTGGACGTGATACAGGTTAAAGATAATGGATACGGAATCCCCACTGAAGACCACCCGAATGTCTGCCGGCACACTTACACCAGCAAAATTCAAACACTCGAAGATCTAGATAATGTCGGTGGGAGTTCGTTTGGGTTCCGTGGAGAGGCATTGGCCAGTGTGGCTGAAATGTCTGGCGGCATCACCGTCACTACCCGGACTGCGACAGAAGTTACCGGGCTATGCCTAAAGTACGAGAAGGATGGCCATCTTTCTCAGTATGTAAAAACATGTGAAAATTCCATTTACTGAGAGAATTAACGATCTGCTAGGTCTCAGCGGACATCTCACCCGGTCGGCACGACTGTGCGCATCGTGCACTTTCTCAAGCATATACCTGTCCGCAGACAGCTAGTCTTGAAAAATGCTGCCAAGATACTCACCAAAATCAAAAAATTGCTTCAAGCCTACGCTATTGCTCAGCCTTCCAGGAGGTTCTCGTTGAAAGTTCTCAAGGCGAAAAACGAGAACAACAACTGGACGTACGCACCCAGTACCGGTGCCACACTCTCTGATGCGGCGGGGCAGATTTTTGGCCGAGAGATATCGTCTTGTTGCGTCATTAAGGAAATTTCGCCTGGAACATCTGCTTCTGAAAGCGAACCAAAGCGCAATGGATATGAGGTTCTAGCTTTCCTTCCAAAGGCAGATTCAGGTAATATCTACTTGATATCTTCGCTCAAGCGATATACTGACTTTGCCAGATATTTCCAAACTCAATAGCTGTGGGCAATTCATCAGTGTGGATGATAGGCCATTATCTGCTACCCTGGGCATTGGTCAAAATATCGCCAAACTGTTCAAATCCTACATCCGTGCCAGTTTTTCAAAGGGCGAAGCACCAAAATCAATCAGCGATCCGTTCCTTTGTCTCCAGCTTAGGTGCCCTCGCGGCTCATATGATGTTAACATTGAACCAGGCAAAGATGATGTTTTGTTTGAGGATCATAAAATTGTCATCGCTTTGGTCGAGAGCATGTTCAAGGGACACTACGGGCCAATCGCAGATTCGTGCTCAAAAAGTCCAGTTCAAGGCAAACCTTGCCGTGTACACAAAAGCGACAGGTTTGGCCTCATGCTAGCTCGAAATGAAGTGCAAACAACCGCTGTCAAATCCACAGCAACAAGTGACCTACCCGTTCAGTCTGAACTGACACTCCCCCTGACTCAGGGCGCTCCGCGACTTGAAGCTTCCCCGGTGCAAACGCCCTTTCGGGTCGTTAGTCGGACCTCTCGCGAAGTTGGAAAGTGCACAGCGGCACGTACAGGATCTCCTTCTCTTAATCCCTGGTCTGCCACAAGAATGAATTCATCTCTACGTACTCCAAGGCGGGATATTGTCCCCTGGCCTATCAGTTCAGAAGCTGCCTCCAGTGAATCATCGCCAGCAAGCATTCGGCGCAACGATTCTTGTAGGAATAACCAAATCCTACTCCAAGAAAGTCCCGAACTCATAAGCCCTCCCATCTCGCGACTTGTTTCAACATCACCCGTCACTCGGCGACGACAATCCCAAGCGCAATGGTCGCAGGTCTCCCCAACCCAAACACTCTCAACAAATGATTGCAGAAAGACAGCACGGCAGCGTGACAAGGAACGATATGGCAATGGGGCGCTGGATACATGGTTTGCCAAAACTACACAAGTCTCACTCGCTGAAGATTCTTTGGAGCAGACAGTCGAGCAAGAGCAAATCATACCGACTATATCTCAGCTTGCGCAGGAGAGGTTCGGGACCCAGGCTGGACGCTTAGATCGTATCACTGAAGTCCATTCGCCGGACTCCAGACATGGAGCAAAATCCGGGCAGTCGCCTCGGCCATCTAAGCAGGATCAAAGCACAACCGATACCGGGCATCAAGGTTCTATGGATAGTGGGCGTGGATTTCCAGTCTTAGAAAGATGGGCGGCCAGTCTTCGAGAAGGTTTTACTCCGGAAACTCTTTCTGAAATCGACAAAGCCCTTGACTTCGAGAAGCGCAAGAAGGAAGCCATTCAAAAGCACCGCGCGCGCCCCACGAGCAACAATACACCGTCCAGCTCCCAGGTCAGCGCCAGCAGTTCTCATTCGCCGCATCACAGCCGCTTTCTCAAGGCAAAGGCTGCTTTGGCATCCAATCGGTCATTTTCTACAGACTCAGGGTCTGGTAATTCCCTTTCTCCTCACGATCCAAATTCCCTTTCTCCTAATGATCCAAGGGCCTATCTCATTCGGCAGAATGCCCGGATAGTGTCTAAAGACGATAGCAAGACTTGTCCGGTTCCCAACAACAAGTTGCCCTTTGAGCGCATACCCGAAGGTTATGATGTTCATAGTCTTGGCTCATTAATGCCGATGGACCTATCATTCGTTGAGAAGTCATTTAGGCTCATGGCCCTCCATGATTATTATATACATGACACAGCGGAGGAAACGTTGACAGCATCTGCTATCGAATCTCTAACGCCGCTCTGGAATAAACGACTCAATGGTATCGTCAACATGAGGTACAAGTCGCAGATTTCAGACTTGGAAATCAATGCCCCTGTCTTCATTGACCATCTAAAGCAATTCGATTCATCCTGATATTTGATTTACTCCGAAATTTCAATCCATCGCCAGCCTGCCACAAGATTATATTCCCGCCAGCAGCCTATTTTATCGCCATTTTGCATTATACCCCGGAATTTCCATTGTCTTACTACATATTCTACCGAATCATATCAATAAGAACATCCTTAAAAACCCTGATCGCTTCCGAACATCATCGTGATTTGCTGATCAAATCCACCATAGATTATTACATAATATTGACATCAACGCCTGAGTGCCATACATCATTTCCAACCTTTAAATGTTGGAAGGGTGCCAACTTCTCAAATAATTAAGGAAATTCCAGACTTAACTTCACTCTAAGCCAAGTCGATATGGATGTAGTGAACACCATGATGGAACATGGGCCGGCGCCCTCTAGTCCGCTCCAACCACCACCATTCCACACTTTTAAACCTCAACCACAAGCAACAACGGGCAATGTTGGAATATTGAAATCAACTATTCTCCCCTCATTCAGACTCTATTCAGGTCTATCACTGGCAGCCTTCGTGGCAGCTAAAGTGACCGACCGCGTGGAAGTTAAGGACTGGCTATGGCCGTCAAGCCAAGTTCTCAATGTATGGTGGAGTGCCGTCGGGCGACAAATGTACGAAAAGGGCATCCCGCTTAGTACTGCCTGGGGCAAGCTTAGCTGGACCGAGAAACTTCTTCTTGGATCGGTCACCCTGTGGGGTGTGAGACTGTTTACCCACATCGCGTGCCGGTCTTTGGCTCGTGGGAAAGATGATCCACGCTACGAGGCATGCAAGACAGAGTCCGGGTTTTGGACAACGGCACTATTCAAGATCTTCCTCCCAGAAGCCTTTTTCTTGAGTATTATCTCATTGCCCTTCACCTTACCGTTCCACTCGAGTGGGTCAGCTATTTCGCCTAGTGTGAATTGTTTAAATATGACCCGAGCTTTCGGTGCTGGGTTATTCAGCGCTGGTTTCGCACTGGAGGTGATGTCCGATACTCAACTCGAGCTTCATCGTCAAGAACGCACTGATCTTTGTCAAGATGGCGTTCGGAGCCTCGTTCGTCATCCAAAGTAAGCATCTCTTGCCGACGTCAGTTTCGTTGTATTTACTGATTCCATCTAGCTACCTGGGGGATACTCTCGTTCATCTGTCGTTTGCTGTTCTGAACCTTGCAAACTCCTCTAATCCACTTTTCTTCGTTGGACCCCTCACCAATTACATATTCCTTCGCTTTGTCGGCGGCGATAAACAAACTGAGGCTAGTCAAGAAGAGAGGTATCAAGCTACTGACACGCAAAAGCTTACCCAGTTTCGAGACTGGCAACGTGAGAAGAACAGCCTCTGGCCATCATTAGGAGATCTGATAAGCCCATGGGCATTAGCTGTTTACAGTTGTGGATTGATGGGGGCTTTCGCAGAAGAGATAGTGAGGACTAGTTACAATGCGTGAGAAATTTATGTCATATAAGATGATGTAGGAATTTGTAGACTGGGGTTTCTAATAGCCCTTTCCACCATATTGGTTAATCAAAGGCTGCCCGGTCGCTAAACGATCTATGTTAATCCGAACAATCTCGAGTGATCGCCAGAAATACTCTCTCCCCGACCCACTGATATGCGGGCTGATCTGCACATTTGGCGCATCCCAAAGAGGATGATCAGCAGGTAACGGCTCAGGGTTTGTGACATCCAGCGCGGCGCCACCTAGCACGCCAGACTTCAAAGCATCAATCAAGGCATCTTGGTCGAGCACCTTTCCTCGTGAAATATTGGTCACATATGGCTTGATACCAGAATTCTTCGAGTTCTCAGCTAAAAGCTGGAATTCTTCAGCGCCCAGCAAGTTAGTGGTTTGAGCAGTAAGTGGGACAGAGACGACCAAATGGTCCAAACCGAGAGACAAGAATTCATGAATTTCACTCTTATCTGTTCCATGGTGCCAAGATACAGGAATCGACCCATCGGGATCTCCGGTCCCCGGAACGATAAACCCGGTATCGTGCCGGGATTCCGGTGTCGGGCGGGGAGAAGCCGTGTATGCGTGAACCGTCATGCCTAGTGCCTGAGAAACGCGGGCAACTAGAAATAGTCAATCAGTGGATTCATTTCAGCCAAGTTTGCCGATATTGTAGGGTCCATACTCTGGCGGCCAATGCTTCCATATCCAAGGATTCCAACTCTCTTGCCAACTTGGTCATAACTGTTGTACATCCATGGGGTCTCCTTATCCCATTTGTGCTCCTTCTGTGCCTCGTATAGAACACTGTATTTCCGGGCGGAGACGAGCCAGTTCATGATGGTCCATTCTGCAATTGGTGGACCATGGATACCGGAGCTGGTCGTGAAGGGCACGGCACCACTCTTCAAAATAGGATTGTTCATGAGATGATCCAGACCCGCGGAGAATGTGTGGACAACCTTAAGGCTACGCGCATGTAACATGTTAACAGACTGATCATCTTGCGAAAGGGTTTCGGTTTCAGGTTGCTCACTTTACGGCATCCTCGGGTTCAGGCAAATCGATAAATGTGACAAGAATAGTTGCCTTGCGGAATATCTCTGGACCAGAACGTTAGACTTTGGTAGTCAGCTTCTCCTTTGCGGTCGTGACATACCCGGCGACACTTTTGCACCTCGAGTCACATTATGAAGGGTAAGCTCGACATCGGAGAATTTGCGACGAATGTCGTCCAATAGTACTCCGGGTAGAGGAACATTTAAGATAATGAGCAGATGCTCTCTGGGTCGTGGCGCTTCACCCATATCGACAATGTATTGATAATGCAGATTGACAGATCGTGGATCTCGAGAGGTGCGAGGTACGCAGTTTTAATCCTGTCAATGAAGGGCGGGGTGGGGGCCCCGTAGCCGTTTAAAGCTTAGTATCGAGGATAGGCGAGGCTGCTGATAAAGAACTTCCAATGTGATTCGCTCTCTCCCGTTGTGGAGAGAGAATGGCCATTGGTGAGTTCATTATGGTGCAGGATTGCGCCAGTGTTTGGTTTCTGCCTGAGAAACCTGAGTAACCTGAGAAACATGGCATCCATTGATGGTGCGTTATCAATCAAATCTTTCGCGTTTCTGTGCAACTCTGGTTTTGTACAATTCTTTATCAACGATGCTAACTATGACCAGAAAAGAAAAGAGTCCAATCATCAATCAGAACGGATTTTGTGTTTGCTTACTCTCGGTCCGTCACAGTGGCGTGCAGCTGAAGGACTTCACGCGGTACCCCATGTGAGTTGCACTCGAAAATTTTGAATCACTTGACTCACTCGGGTTATCAAGGCAAATCTCAAATGCTTTTCCACCTTTAAGGCCAAGAGAAACAGACGGCAGAAGTGGATAATAAACACATTGACTATGTACAAAATGAAGATGTCCGTGCAGCATGTGGAGCTGGATGTCAGCTCCACCCAGTTCGCACTCATTTCCGCCTCCCGAGTCTCCGAGTCCCTGAATTTCTGCAGAATGCCAATCTCAACATATTTCCGATTGGACCCCGATCATCCCGCTCAACATGATTCGGAGTTTTTACAGCGATAACAATTGCCTTATATGTAATATGGGAGGGGAGTTGGCAAACGTTCGGTCATTTTGGCTCGAATGGAGGACCCCCTGTACTCCGTAGAACTCAGAAATTACCTTTCGGCTTATGCATGCAGCATGGTTTTGGGTCAAGACTCAAACGACCCTCCAATTTCCTAGACGAACGCGTCTGCCCCTGATCTTTCTGTCTCTCCACGAAGCGCAGAGATACCGTGTTATTGATCGGTATTTTCTCTTTAATCTAGATCGATGAGCCATGTCACTGTGATTCCGTCGTTTCTCTCAAAGCGACCCCACCTTCGTTGCCTTCACGAGGGCATCTCGTGCAGATCTTCACCACGGTCAACGCCACCGAGCCAAGCTTCGAACTGCATTTGGTCAGCCGTGAGCGCTGCTCGGCTGCTATTTCCCCAAAGTTCAGCCGTCGATTCGCGGCTCCCACCCCGTTCTCGCCATCCGCTTCCATTGCCTGACCTAGAATGGGTGTGATCAAATCTCTGCATGTGTACTCCGTACACTACCACACTCTGCGGCTTCGGCTTCTCCTATTGGTCGCACTGGGTATCAAATCACGCTTATCTTGCCTTTGTTTGCGCTGAGGGGCTTCCCCGGACTCTGTTCTAGCCTTCAGCTCTTTATGTTTATGCACCAAGCCCGGTGCCATATGCGCCGGCGGATTTTCACTTGGATTTTCTTCGTGCAGCTACAAATGGTCACAACCTCCCACCATCTTCCTACTCTGGGGATTTGAGCCTTCAATTTTTCTTTCTAGCAAGTTAGAGATACGCCTCACCATGGCTGAATCTCCGCAACCTAAGAATATTCTGAATCGACTTGTTGACGCTTTTCTTAATCGCCACAAAGACTCCTACCCACCCACGATTGCCTACGATGCCGCCGTAGCAGCCCAAAAGAATGAAAGCCCACTTCGCAGTGGCGACGTGGAAAGCCAAACATGGAAGATCGGGTCACTCCATCCAGAGACTCTCATCCCAGCTAACGACAAGCTTCTCATTTTCCGCGCCTTGACAGGTATAGATAGCGTGCCCGCCCTCACAACGGGTGGTTATATACTCCGCAGCGCTCCGAACGTCGGCATCTACACGCGCGTTGTCAGAAACGAAGCCACGGCAGCGCGCGCATACCGCTTCTTCAACAACATGATCAACGTATGCCTGGGAGTTCAGATGCTCGTTGCCGCAGCCTTGACAGCCCTTGGTGCAGCGAGTGGTCCTCACGCCGCCATCACGGCGTTTGGCGCAATCAACACTGTCGTCGCTGGCATTCTGACCTACCTCCGTGGCTCTGGCCTTCCAGATCGCTTGAAGGGTTACCAAAACAAGTGGAAACATGTCCGAGAATACATTGAACAACGCGAACGAGAGTTCTGCTTGATCAATTGCGATCTAGACGTGCAACAAGAAGTGTTTACTGTGGAGACTATGTATCAAGATTTGAAATCGGAAATGGAATCGTCCAGCAGCTCTGGCGATTCGAAAAAGTTACAGCCAGACGACCCTAGACATCGCCGCTCCCTTTTCACCGTGCAAGATGAGCACAATCTTCAAAGAGCTTCGGTGACTCCAGTCAAGCCCCCTACCGCGTCGCATTCTCATAATGAGGATACGGTTGCCCCAGTCGCCGTTTCTGAGGTGGAGTCGGACAAGGCTTAGCTTCTATCCGGTCAAGACTTTCAACTTCCTTCTAAAACAATACCCTTATTGCGACATACTCAACCATTTGCTCATCCTGGGGTTGTGAACGTCTCCGAGCTACTGGCGACTAGAAAGTTCGCCTTTTTCTTAACAATTACTCCTCATATTTGAAATCGCTTCTATTCAACGCAACGCTTGTTTTCTATTCATGTTATTACCAATTTCATTGCGGCCATGTGTGTTACTCATGTCGATAAATATTCGAGAATGAGAACCTATGCATCAATCCACCTGGGCAGACTCAGGGTGGATCATCAGCTTGACCACGCTCAATCATGTTATAATGTCTAAAGATATTCGAAATTTCATATCGTTTCAACTCTCTATTAACATCACCGATGGGTGCAATGTGCTACTGTATAGTTGCCCTTGTCGCAAACACGTTCCTCCCCGCTCGACTCGACGCGCTCGGGCGCGGCCGCACAGTACAGAATCACAGATACGCTACCGAACTTTACACGAAGAAATTCCTCCTAATCACCAGACCAGTTCCCCAAATAGGAAACACGTATTGGACAATCCATTGAGAATCCAGTGCAAAAGTTTTGTGAATAAGCATTCAAACCCGACATTTCTAGCCATCACGTACCAATACCGTAGTAGGCAGATTTCATTTTCTCCGCGACCCACGGAAAACCCGATTCCGGAACACAAGAAATCAACTTCACCCCACCCGATAACACCACAAATACGTGGTCTAAAGGTTTCAATATCTCGCCACTGAACAAAACACGAACACATCCCGCTACCAACCGAAATTCAAAATGTCCTTGGAACTCCAGGATGCAAGTCCTATTGACGCCCAAGACCTTACCGAGGTATTCCTAGCGGCATTCTCAGATCCCTTCAACAGGACCATGTTCCCACTCACAGCAGAATTGCGGCTATGGATAGCTCAAAACTTCATGAACAGCGAAGGACGCGCATCTGAACATGAGGTCTTTTTGAAAGCGACAAATGAACATGGGAAGCCTATTGCGTTCGCGAAATGGGTGCGCCCTTACCATGTGCCTGCAGATCGGGATCTGCAGTCTGATGTGGCCCTCGAGTGGCCAGTGGGTAGTGATAAGGATCTTTGTGATGTGTTCTTTGGAACTATGGGCCATCGTCACCATGAATTGATGGGAGACAGGCCTCACTATTGTGTGTTATATTCTTTTCGCCCCCCTTTTGTCCCCATCTTTGTTTGTTTTTCTGGTGTGACACCACTGACGGTCACAGATCTTGAGATGTTGGGTGTGCACCCTGCTTTCCAAGGCAAGGGACTTGCTTCCAAATTATTGAAGTGGGGACTAGCCAGAGCAGACGAAGAGGGCGTCGAGGTTTATCTTTCCAGTTCTCCTGAGGGAAAGCCTATGTATGAGAGGAACGGATTTCGACCACACAAGTCATTCTCACCATTTCCTGGCTATGAGCAAACGGATATGATTCGCCCAGCCCAACAATGAAACTGGGGAATAAGATTATTGTACTATAAAATTGATGGTGTCTTTGTCCTGTTTTCAATATTAAGGAGACAGTTTCCAAGAGTTCAAAATCGAAGCACAGCGAACACATATACCCGTTTCTCATACTGGGTCTTCATGGCCCGTTCCAGCTAAGCAATGTGGAATTAAAACTTCATTTCCATCTTTCTACGCAGCTGCGTTAGCCTGCGTCTCGGGCAAAGCAATCCAAGCACCAGCGACGACAATCCAAATGGCACCACAGAACCAAACAGGTCCACCGCCAGAAACAGTATTATCAAACGTGGTAATAATGCAAGCAATCATCCCAAACAAACCCCAAAAGAAACCCATAACCCCAATCGAGAATCCACGAGTAGGAGTGGGGAAAATCTCAACCGTATAGATAGTAAGTGTGGCAAAGCCGGCGAAGTGCAAGAAGCTCAAAACACATTCAAACGCCAACAAAGCATCTCGGGACTTGGAGACAGCAGAGAGCAACATAAAAAGCCCTGTCAGAACTGCAATTCCGGCACCGGTGAACCTACGTCCGATGCCCTTGACTTCCATCAAAAGAGCCGCAATAAGCGGACCTGGAATGGCGCAGATGGCGATATACACGTAGCGACTGTATAGATAAGGAGTGTTGACAGTCGTGGAGGTTACTTTAGTAACACCTCTGTTTGCGGAGAGATAGTTCCCAATGTAGGTTTTGTAGAGAATGAATGTCAGACCCATTATAGCCCAGAGAAGGGTGAGAGATATTGTGCCAGCAAGGCCAGTGGAGGAGACGAGGGCCTTGGTGCGAGACTTGGTGCGCAGCTCGGCCTCGGATCCGTTAATTGTAGAGTCGATACGGGCGAACGATGCTTCAGTGATCCAAGTCTGTCGCTTGTTATGTTGAGCAATATCTTTGACTAGCTGGGTGGCTTCTGCATCTCGACGACGGGAAAGCAGGAACTTGGGCGTCTCGTAAAAGGCCAAGGTAAAACGACAGAGGTAGAGGAATAGAGTGATGCACCCGAAGGTCCACCACACATACCGCCAGCCTTTGTTGCTGACGTAGTGACATGAAGAACTGCTGCTGCTGCTGCTGCTGCTGCTGCTACTGCTCGATGAACTGCTGGAGTGTGCCCGCTTGTAGCTCCTAGATGAAAATGAACTACTAGTACTCTCCTCATCGGGACCAGTACCACAGGTGTAAATAGCAATAAAGGCCCTAAGATCAATCAGCATGGACTATCGTATTCGTAAGTTTTGTATCCGCCACTCACCAGCCTACGGCGGACGCGACCAATTGTCCCAACCCCCAGAACACACCCTGCATTGCAACCAAGAATTGATGCGATGCTGGAAGCGACTCTATAAGAATCATCGCATCGACACTCTTGTTGCCAGCTACGGCAAAACCGACAACAAATCCAACGACAGAGAGTCCAGTGAATGAAGGCATGCCGGCACCGACTAAGCCCCCCATTCCCATCAGAACGATGGTGCTCGTGAACATCCACTTCCGACCTAGCACGTCGGACATCATGGGCCAGAAGGTTCCTCCGACAGTTAAGCCGGCGAACAGAGTGATAAATAGATATTGTTCATTGTTGCCTGTAAAGAAGAATTGTGCTTCGTTACTGGCCGAGGGAGCGATAACAAAGAAAGACATAACCCAAAACTACCAACATAAGCGAGTATTCCATACAGATAAGGAAGGGTTTCTTTGACTTACACTGTCAAGAAACCATCCGACGCCGGTCGTCAAAAAGAGAAACCACTGATACTTCCCCATGCCAACATCTAGCAGTGCTTGATTCAACAGTTGAGCTTTAGCTGCAAATACAGCATCGGTGCCAGCATGAGTCTCTGGTGTATGAATCTTCAAACCAAACAAGTTCTTGTGTTCTTTCTCCGATCGAACCCCATATTTAGATGGTTCAGCCTTTTCCACATCATTAATCAGTGTGGATGCAAAGGCACTTTGTGCCTCGATATTTCGGTGTGGTGTTATCGAGTCGTCCTCACTAGACATCTTGACCGATGTATGTGCTAACAAGTACAAACTTGTGTGGAGAAAAGCAATTAAATCAAAAAAAAAAAAAAAGAAGAAGAAGAAGGATTCACGACCCCACCTCAGTAGAGCTTATATAGCCTTTCGAGTAGCTATCTGCACGAGAGCAAAAATCTTTCTGGGCACTGGCCACTTGCTACACTTCGTTCTCGCCAAGAAAAACACCGAGGCCGAGACCGGCGGGTGTGATGAAGACCTCATCCGCCGGTATGCCATCCTATACTACATTATATGTCCTACTGGTTAGCGAAAGACTTTCTTTCTACACGGCCAACGGAGGTCTCCGCGGAGATTGTCTCCGCAGAGGGGTTCTTGCATTGAAAAGAGAAGATCATCACTCTACCGAAGCGGAAAAAATGATCCTATCAGGCAATTCCAGCAGCGTAGTAACCGAATAACGACTAGTATCCGCGGTAGAATGAGGGGGTGAGGAATCCATTATCAATGGGAATGCAGCTATGATTCGACCATGGCCTAGTGGGTGCCGAACTTCCTTTCTCCGAGGATGGCAGGGATAAGAATGGGGTGAGGGGTGGGTATGAACTAGACTTATAGAGTGTTAGTTAAAGCTGGAGCCACTTCGAGGAAAAAGTTTCAACCGACACAGGAGTTTTCATTGGGCTTTAGCTCACCAGGTTCTTAGTAGATTGTGGGCCACGCAAGCTGTTCGGATTTGGGCTGGATGGGTTGATCCACTTCTATCCATCAACATTCACCTGGTCACCGATTGATGGAGGATACAGTACACTGGTCTAGTTGTTCGTTCCGAGCTTTGTACTGTGGTTTTGGATATCTATTAGTAGGTAAAGACCTTTTTGGAATTTGGGCACATTATGCAAACCTCAAGGGTGTTTAAAGAAATGTTGAGCCTAAATCCGAGATGCGGCCGATATTGCTGCATTTGGTTATACGCTCGGGTGTTGGAGCTTGGCGTTGTCCTGGGCTCGAAATCATTGAAATCGGAAGTTCCTTCTCATATGCTCATATCTCGGCTGTTCCTGAAATCGATATCAAGCCTTTCATGGCAATATTCAATGTGAGAACATACAACGTACCAAGTAAAATCAGTCCTCGGGGGGTGAACAAGGTTTGATTCATGATAAAATGGATTGCCTAGTAGTCTCTGCTTTCAAAGTCTTGTACAAGAATTAACTCTTAAAACGAATGAACCTTTGAGGCCTTTGGAATTGAAATGTCAAGGCTCCTTCAGCCTGCAATCAACATTTACATTAGAGTGACCCACCTACTACTATGTAGTAGCATTAACAGTATGTTTAAATGCCACGTACAGATTCTTTTAAGACAAAGTGTTGGCCAGGTCTGATTGGACGGCTCGAGGTCTTGGCATTCAAAAGCGCGCACAGCCCTGCCAATTGTGAAGTTGGGATGTGGTATTATTGACTAAGCGGTGTGGCAGAAAACCAACCCAACCCAAACCAAAACACCTTGGATTCCTATCTTCAACCTCACCGCTTGCTTACAAATTTCTACGCGGGGTTGATGTGGGCATCAAATGACATCACATAAATTGGCTCAAGTTCAAGCAATTGTGGGAAAGATTCCGCATCCAACCTTCAAATACAGCTTTAGTTTTCTAAAAAAAAAAAAAAAAAACCACCAAGAAATTGATTTTCCCTTCCATTCGATTCACGACGTGTCTTGTCCTTGCTTATTAGCGTCATCTAGATAAGTCAAGCTCTACACCAATTACACAAAATGACCAAGATTTTCCTGTGAGTTCAATCATTCGGCATCAGGTCTTTGTTCTAACTGAACCGTAGGACTGGTGTGACGGGCTATATTGCTGGCGACGCCTTGGCGACCCTGTTTGCAAAGCACCCAAACCTCTCCTATTCTGCATTAGTTCGCACGAGGGAAAAAGCAGAGCAGGTCAAATCCCAGTACCCAAACATCCGTATTGTTCTCGGCGATCTCGATGACTCGGCTCTGCTTGAGAGAGAAAGTGCCGCGGCGGATATCGTGCTTCGTACGTGCCAATGAATGCGGAGAACCGAGCACATCACTAATATATTTGAACATGAATCAGATGCTGCAGACGCTTCAGACCACGCAGGTGCTGCAAAGGCAATTGCCGCAGGTCTAGTAGCCGGCCACACGAAAGAGAAACCTGGCTACTGGCTACACACAGGAGGAACCGGGATCTTGACCTTTGCAGACAGCGACAGTGGTAGCTATGGTAACAAAAGCGAAAAAGTATACGACGACTGGGAGGGGGTCGAAGAACTCCTCACACTGCATGACCATGCTTTCCATCGGAATGTAGACCAGCTCGTACTGGAGGCCGGGGCTAAACATGCAGGTGTGCTTAAAACAGCTCTAGTCTGCCCGCCAACTATCTACGGTAATCCCTGATCACAATCCCCTCTCATCCATTCCCACATTAAGCGAGTAAATCTTGACAACTGACTCGTCACTCTCAACAGGTCAGGGCCGTGGTCCATGTTCGCAGCGTGGTCGACAGGTATATGCACTAGCCAACGTGACCCTGCGTCTGAAGAAGGGTCCGATCATTGGAGCGGGGCAGTCAATCTGGAACAATGTCCACATCCACGATCTCAGTGACGTATATCTGCTGCTTGTTGAAGCAGCCATTTCAGGCCGGACTGACAATGGTCTCTGGGGTGCCGGGGCTTACTATCTTACCGAGAATGGGGAACATGTCTGGGGAGAATTGGCACAGCAGACAGCAGAGGCAGCCAGAAAGCTGGGGTACCTGTCAGACGCAAAGTCCGAGCCAATCGATCTGGAAAGTGCCAAGGAATACGCTGGCTTCGAGGCCGTGAGCTGGGGACTAAATTCACGTGGTCGGGCACGACGTGCGCGTGAGATTCTGGGGTGGAAGCCCTCGCGTCCGAGCCTGGTGTCTGAGCTACCAAGTATCTTGCAGAGTGAATGGCAGGCTTTGCAATAAGAGCCGGAAGGTCTGGCCGTGTCTGGCCAGCTAGTACCCCCAATGACACAGGACTGGCCTGTTTCAAAGCCTGCATTGATCTTGGCTCTCGCAAAGAATCAAAACAATTTGCGATGTGATCTGGCATGGTGGTTCGCTTTATGTCTTATGGGATTCTCTGCTTTATTCGGGGATTATGTTGATCAGCTATTATCATAATTCCAGTAAAGGCGTGACTGAAGCCACTTAAAGTTCATGTCCAAATGTCAGATTTCTCAGCCTCGTCAAGTCAGAAAATAACGTCAGTCCAATACGATCGGGAATCGGCCAATTCCCAAATCCAGTCGCAACCGTGACATGGATTTGGCGCCTGTCACTGCACGTCAAAAATCATTTAATTCCGGTCGGGGAGTTGCGGAAACCCGCGGCCCGCGGACCCGGAGCAAGGAGGATTCGCCCGATCGCCGGCTCGGCGAGTCATTAGCCCGACTCGTAACACACTCATCCAGAAGGTCCACTTTACAACACCACTTCACGCTGCTTCACCACACATCTGAAGCCATCGGCCTGAGCTTATCCCAATCTGGAACTAAAATGTCGGCGCGAATTCACCTCAATGAAGTATTTGGTCAGATCGGTGGATCCTGGGAATTCCTCCGCTGGAGTTTAGGCATCGCCTTATTTCCGTTTGGATGTATATAGCCTTTCTGAAATGCGCCCTTACTTTATTCTATCGATTGTTAGACCTGCATACACTGGGGGCTAGACAGGTGCACGAAATTATCTAGTACTTTCATCTGCAAGTCATCTCAACTTCCAACTTCCAAGGCTGTCACAACAACCATAATCATGCCTTCTTCTGCCAATCCTTCGTCCTCGGAGTCGGAGAAGCGAGGCCCTGTCGCGAATAGTAGCAGGCCATCATCTGTCGTGACAGCTGTGTCACCCCCTGATGATGGATTCAGCCTTGGTCGACGGGGTATACTCGTGTTTTTCACCCTATCTGTACTGGCCTTGATGGCCGCGTTGGATGGGACTTCTCTCTCCGTGGCTCTGCCGGTATGTATCCCAATGCACGGGTATACGCATGACTTCAAGCTTAACATTCCTTCTAGACAATCTCCGAGGATCTCAATGGAACTGCCATTGAGGCATTCTGGAGTGGAACTTCCTTCCTGTTAAGTTCAACGGGTATGCAACATTATACCAGCAGCTCGTTCGCGCCGACCTCCATCGCTAACCGTCGACAGTCTTCCAACCTAGCTTTGCCTCTCTCTCCAACATATTTGGCCGACGCCCGATGGTCCTCATTGCCATTCTCTTCTTCTGTATTGGTGCAATCATCTCCGCGATTGCAAACAACTTCACATATATGCTGGTGGGAAGGACTATCCAAGGTGTAGGTGGTGGTGGAATCATCGCCTTGGGCGAAGTCATCATCACGGATATCGTACCACTCCGTCACCGTGGAAAATATTTTGGAATTATGAGCGCCATGTGGAGTCTTGGATCAGTCACAGGTCCGATTTTGGGAGGAGGGTTTGCAGAAAATGTGACTTGGGTAAGAAACAGAAACTCCATAAATTCCTTGTCAAAAGCAGAAGACATACTGATTTTCTTTTTCCAGCGCTGGATTTTTTATATTAATTTCCCCTTCATTGCCGTTGGAGCGACATTCGTATTTCTTTTCTTGAACCTGAAGGTTCTTCCCGGGTCCTTGGCTGAGAAGCTACGCCAAATCGACTACATTGGAACCATTCTGTTTGTCGGAAGTCTTTCCTCTTTCCTGATTCCGATCACATGGGGAGGCGTCTCCTACGCATGGAACTCATGGCATACACTCGTCCCCCTACTCGTTGGTATTGCAGGACTCTTTGCCTTTGCATTTTACGAATATCGCTTCGCCACTGACCCAATAATCCCGCCCTCGGTCTTCGTGAACCGCACAGCAACTGTCTCGTTTATCGGAAGTGTGCTTCAGGGCCTAATTTTATGGTGCACACTCTACTACCTCCCACTTTACTATGAAGCCGTCAAAGAGTTCAGTCCCATTCTCTCGGGTATTGCACTCTTTCCCGAAACATTCACCGTTGCGCCCAGTGCAATGGTCGTTGGTGTTTTGATCACAGTGACTGGGCACTACCGGTGGGCTATCTGGCTAGGCTGGACAGTTTCCACTATCGGGCTTGGATTGATGTGGCTTATCAAGGTGGACACCAGTACATATGGGTGGATTCTGCTCAATCTTGTCCCTGGTCTTGGACTGGGAATTCTGTTCCCTTCTCTCGGGTATGCCGTTCAAGCGTCAGCCGAACCGGATAATCTGGCCATCGCCGTCGCGATGTTCAGTTTCTTCCGTGCACTGGGACAAGCGATCGGTGTTGCGGTTGGAGGAGTTATCTTCCAGAACCGCATGTTTACCAACTTGCTCAAATACCCTGCTCTTGCGCCGATGGCTAGCGCCTACAGCCAGGATGCGTCTGGATTAGTACAAGTGATCAAGGGTATGGCTGATGGTGTGACAAAGTCACAGTTGAAGGAGGCATATACTGATAGCTTGCGCATTGTATGGGTTGTTTGTTGTGGTATCTCGGGAGCCGCTTTGTTGTTCAGTTTGTTGACTGAGTCGTATGACTTAGATCGTGCGCTAGAGACATCTCAGGGTCTGCGAGATGGCAAAGATCAACTTGCTAGTGAGAAGGATATTGAGGCACGCGCTGATCAAGCCATGCAGGAGGAGAACCCGTTAGCTTGGTAAGGAGAAGGAGAATTGGTGACGATTGACGACCCATGCAATGAACTTGAACATACTATAACAATAGCAAATTAGCCCTAATAACCAGCTACTACTATTCAATGATATCTCCAATCATGCATAATGCGATCCATATCTCAAGTTCCCATTTCTCTCAGTCGCATATTCCTCCAGATCATCGGTATACCCAACTCCCCGAATCAATGTCTTGATCCCCTCCCCACGACCGGTCGTCTCCCATGCCTCGACAACGTTCTCAAAATCAACAATCTTGGTAATAAGAGGCTTCAACTCAATCTTCCTCGTAAAGGCAAGTTCAAGTCCCATCTTAAAGTCCCCCGCTGCATACCGAAAGCTCCCCTTGACATTAATCTCATTATCCAGCACCGTCGAAATGGGGAAAACAACACTCCTCTTCCCACGTCCTGTCTGCACAAACGATCCCCCAACTCTTAACGAATAAATGGCCATCTGGATACAGGATTCAACCCCCGTAGCCTCGATGGCAACATCAAACCCAGGTACATCTGACTGAGTAAAATGCGAACTCCGATGCATGCCTCTCAAACATCGCGCATTTTCCTCAGAAGAAAGTCCCTGGTTTGGTATAGCGGTCGAAAACGACAAGCGCCCATTCGGCACAAACGAATGAGCAAAATCAAGCTTCTCCCGACTAACATCCACAGACATGACCGTCGACGCGCCGAACTCCCGCGCAACAGCTGCACACAATAAGCCCACGGTGCCCGCACCGAAGACAACCACTTTATCACCCGGCTGCACGCTTACCTGCCGCACGGCGTGGACGGCCACAGCGAGCGGCTCAATAAGTACGGCCTCGTCAAGACCAAAGGGAATACCCACGCTGAGCGGGATCTTATAGCAGCAGTGGGCAGGTATTTTGTAATATTTGGTCAATGACCCGTGAAAGGGCGGGTCGGCGGCGAATTTCATCGACGGGCAGAGATTATATTTGCCCAGCTTACAGCGACTGCATAGCCGGCAGGGGACACCCGGTTCGATAGCGACAGGGTCACCTGGTTCGAGCTCTGAAACTTCGCGACCAACGGCGTGGACGATGCCAGAGGCTTCATGGCCTACTATGAGGGGCTCGTCTTCTGAAACATATCTGTTGATACAGCCATTTTCGATGCCGCCGTCGAGCCAGAAGTGGACCTGGGAGTGAAGGTTTAGTTTGCTTTAGTGGGCAAAGCTGGCGTATGCAGGTGAATTGGAAGGTGAAAAGTGAAAGGTGGAGCGTACGTCACTGGTACAGACGCCGACATAGGCGATGCGAATGATCACATCGTGAGGATCTTCAATTTTGGGGAGCGGGTGATCTTCAAAACGAATATCTCCTGGTCCGTAGAGTAGACAGGATGGGTTCTGCATGGTGAGGAGTGGGATGTGTGCTGATTCCTTTCACCCGCTCTTATACTCGTCCAATCTTATATGCGGGAAGCCGAGCTAGGACGCTAAAGGCTAGAATCATATGATTGGAAGAATTGGGCGACCTATGAGAAGACGAGAAATAAAGTATTGTCAAACTCGCTGCAAGAGATGAAGAAAGTCGGAGGACAGAAATCCGAGGGGTTGCAGGGTTGCGACTTACAAAGGTCGCATGGGCTAACATCTTCTAATCTTACCTGTGGCCCACTGTGGGGTTAATTAATTATAGAACGACAAGGGTCTGAGTTGCTGGGCATTATGGAAATCCAAAAGTGCCATTGTGGGCTAAAATAATACCAAACACCGTCATTGTCACAAATCAAAGACAATTCGAAAAGGTCATATCGTCGTGAAATAGCAAAATACAAACAACAAATCAAATAATTCATCAACGGCCCATCGCTCGCAGTCGTTCCTTCAGCATGTCCATTTCTTTATCCACTTCCATCGCTGCCCGTTTCTCGGTATTCTCTTTGTCGCTCTCCTTGAGAACCACCGAGCGATACTCGCCATCCCCGTCGGGAGCTCCAACTGTTACCCAAACGAACTTAGTTCCAGGGCTTCCACTTTGGGCCCGCTCTTGAGTACCCTGCCAGTACATCTCTGGCGGTACATCACCGGGAGCCGACCGGGACATTGGACGACCACCGAGGCGACCATGTTTGATCCAGACTTTCAGAACATCCTTGATGAAACTCACTTTCTGAAGGAAAGAATTGGCATCCAGGATTTCTCGAATACGGTCTTCGATGGAGTTGAGCGATTCTCCATTAACAATACTGAGGAAAGTAGCTGCCTCATCTGACGCCACAGCACGCGTATCAAATCCGGATGGGTGCATCTTCCCCTTTGCGGAGAAGTATCGTGCAGCCGAGGGTGAAAGGTGATAGAAGTCGATCCACGGCGAGGAGCTACGGGTACGACCCGGAGCAATGACGAGCTTAGTGTGGTCAGGGAAGTTGAATTGAAAAGCGCCATCTCCAAATCCCCAGATACCAACGTTTCCCAGCCGCTGGTAAAACTTGATGAATTGACCACTGCTATGGCTGGAGACATGATCAGTACCTTCGTCGCCATGGCGACCCAAGGATCCAATCATGTACTTGCCAAACTGGTCGACCAGTTTAACTCGCTTGACCTTCTCCATGTCTGATTTTTCGGCATCTGTTCCAGCATTGGCGCGCAATCTCATCACTCTGGAGGTTCTGGCATCGAACAAGGATGGAGAGATATACCCGCGCCGGATGCCACGGCAACCCAGCAGATCGTCGTCGCGGTTCTCATAGAATTCCACCGGGCTGCCATTCCGAGGGATCAGATATTCTGCCTCAGAATAAGGAATCCCCTTCTCCTCTCCGTTATCCACGCTGCGTGCTTTGCGGCGAATGTGTCTTTCACCATCTCGCACGATGACACTGGAAGCTGGCTGGCCGTTTTCACCCTTGAAGACACACCCTACACTACCATCGTCTAACACGTATCCTATACCGTAACGATTGGTGTAGTCAACCCACTTAATAACGTATGCGTGGGGCTGCTTCCGAGGTCCACTTCTGCGGCGGGTGGATTGGCTGACAAGGTTGGACAACATGAGACGCAATTCGGTGTTGACTTCGCTCAAAGAAGTGCCCGGCAGGATCTCAAAAACATCATCATGATGGAAGAGAGGAGTAAGGCCAAGGCTAGAGCGAGGTTTCGTTGACGACGCCCCTTTGCTGTTAGTCCTTCCGATTCCATGGGAGGTCGATACTGGCTTGGACTGCGTACTCGATGTGAATACTGATTCGGTGGGGCTGATAATTTTTGGTCGCTCTACCCTTTCAGAAGCGATTTTCAAATCAGGTCGAGACAGTGATCGCAATGATGTCTGTCGGCCGCTTAACCTGTCATCCTCTGGCCGCGGCAGTTTGGCTTCCACAATAGGCATGGACGGTCCTTGGCTGGCAGCTTCCAATCTCCGGGATTGGGATCTAGTCTTACCAATAGTCAGACCCGAAGGCATGCTAGTAGATTTGGTCAACTGCGGTCTTTCAATCTCCCGCGTTGACGCTTGGGATGCAGATGCCATCCGTCGAGTTCGGATAGGGCGCTCTGCGAGGCCAGCTGAGGGCATATCGGGAACCGATGGTAGTGCAGGTTGAGACTCTTGCACATCCCTGTAGGGCCTTGCTGATTCATGCTCACCCATTCCCGGAGCCTTTCGAGGAGAGACCATACCAGGTCGGCCCTGCTGACGAAGTGTCGCAGCATGACTCTGTGGCTCCATCCTCCGCTGGTGGGCAGCAGCAAGTGCCGCATTCGTTCGGGTGGCAGCCGTTGTGGTGGTACGAGCGGATACAGCCCGCCTGGATAAGGTACTACTGTCAAAGGGTCCATCTGAGCTGGGAACCACTTTCCGAGTTGACTCTGTAAGACACCAATCGCCCTCAAGGTCATGGGGCCATTGATATACAAAGTCCATGGGTAGGGGAATGGATGGACGGAGGCCTCTGGCATCTTCTGTCTCGCACTCTGAGTAGGCCGATTTCGCGCAGTTTCGCCCTACAGATTTGCGAGCTGTCCCATCCGGTTTGCGTCCAACGCCGCAGAGAGAATAAAAGGCCGCCTTGCAGGAGTGGTAGCGCTGGCTTGGGTCGTCCACCTGGTATACATACCCACGCAGCTTCTCATCCGAGTCTAAGCTATATCCACCAACCATCACGTCACCCCGGGGAGCCTGGTCTTTTAGCCATATTGGCTTGTTAAACCGACAGCTTGCATCTAACTGCCGGGGAATGCAGCCATCATACATGTTGAAGAATGGGTGCTCAACAATGTCATCCGGGTCTGGACGCTCTTCGTCAACAAGATTTAAACATGCACTGACCAAATCTTTGGCTTCTTCGGGAATATGATTGTTGTTTTCCGAGTCTTTCGGCCACACATAGGCCAAGTTGCGGACTTTTTTGTAGATCTCCTCTTGTGTTTTCGATTGGAATGGTGGGTATCCCGTCAACATGGCAAAACAAATCACACCAAGGGACCAGATATCAACCTTCTGCGTGTGGCCACCTTTGCTCTTGTCCAAAACCTCCGGTGCGATATAGTTTGGTGTTCCGCATAATGTGTTTCGTCTTTTGGCATCCTTGTCGGACAGAATCATGGCAGCCAGGCCAAAATCTCCAACTTTGATGTTCATGTTATGGTCGAGAAACAAATTCCCCATCTTCAAATCGCGGTGCGCAACAAATCTCTTGTGTAGGTACTTCATGGCGGCACAGAGTTGAATCATGAATCGTCTTACTTCAGGCAATGATAGGTATCGTCGTTTCCGCACCATATCCATCACTGACCCATTTGGACACAGCTCCAGGACCACATATGTACTTTGCTCAAATGAAAAAGCACGGTAGAACTGCACGACAAATGGGTGTCGCATTTTTGAATGAATCTGTAGCTCGGTTCGAAACTAGTACCTCATTGTCAGCAACATTCACCCCCTTCACACTAAGCATTATGCCTACCTTCTCCTCCATTTTTTTTTGCGGCATCTGAGACTTGACGACCTTCATCGCATACACGCGACCATTGCGCGCTAATGTGCCCTCGTAACAAACCGCAAACCCTCCTTTGCCTAAGAATCCACCAATCGCATATCGCTCTCCGCCTTCCACCGGTTCGGGGACTAATGAGGGCGGTGGATCGGCATGATTCTTGGACGGGGGTTTTTGACTGGCAGCGGTGGCGCTTTTGCTGGCGATTTTTCGCTCCATGATGGGCTTAGGCTTGATCATCTGATTTGTTGATCGCGGTGAGAGAGCGTCCATTATGAAATGTATCGTTTGGTGTTTTCGCAACCGTTCGTATCAAAGTCGTCGCCGCGGTTTCTGAATTACGATCAAAATTTTCAAAAACAAACAACAAGCATTAGGTTCATGAGATGTAGTGAAAATTAAGCAGGTAGGCAGAGGAGGGTATCAAGTTGAGCAAAATTGGTATCCCTGCAACCATCCGAATAGTCAGTTTCAAGACTGCTTATCGAGCTCCACCCGGTCGGCAAACCGAGGCACTTTGGTGAAATTCAGGACAGAATGAGGGATTGGGGAAGCATACCAAAATGCAAAGCGCTAAAGAAGCAAAAAATGTACAAATCGCTCACAGAGCCACCAAGAGTGCGACCCGACTGAGAGTTGGTGGGGAAAGCCTGAAGCCAAAGTGAAGAAGTTGGACCATAATAGTTTTCCCGATTCGGAAATCGATAAACACCAGACATGCTGACATAATAATCACGTGTCGTCCTAGCAGCCTTCCGATCGGCGATAATCTATAGTAGTATCCGTATCATGAAGAGCAATACCTACATATTCAGTATGTATTGTGCAGTTAGATTCTCAATCGTTCACGTGTGCATGCGGTACACGGTGCCCTTCAAATGTTAAATCTACTTACAACGTTCGTCTATATATGTAATAAAGTAGTTTTTTTCTATGTACCAGTTTCCACATATACACATGCGCATAATAACTGGGTAGCTTCGAAACATATCTTTGAAACATATATATACACACTACTACTACTTATGTTGAATCAATGTATTGATGAATGTACATGTAGACTGTGCGTGCACATGTGAGAAGTTTCAATATTTCGTAGGACATCTGGACATCTGGATTATGTATACTGTGCATGTATGTACGATGCATTAGATACACATGCATACTAGGTACCTAATTATTTAATATATACATACTAGATCCATCCATGGGCTTATTATGTCAAATATACTAGGTATTGTGATACGGCAAACAGAGACCAAAGATATATTCATGATCCATTGCTATTACCTGCCAGTCGACATACTAGTAGATGTAAACATTGAAGCAAAGTGCTACATCATTAGAAGAGAGCACTGTAAGCCCTCAGATACATGTTTAATTCCTACTAGTAAGGACGAGCAAATACAACCTACTAGTACTAGTAGTTAGTATACTACTTAGTACTAACTAGGTAACTAAGTTGGTGATCTGACAGCCGCTGAGTCATCCAGGGCAGTGGGGCCCGCGGCGGTACCTGAACAACGTCACAACGTGAGTCAAGCTTGAGGACCAGACAAGCTTCCAAGGTTTGCCTTGATCACAAATCCTACCACAGTCATGTCGCTGACATTAAAATTATCGTCTTTGGCGATTCGCACACTTTCTAAACCAATTGCGGTATGGTCTATAACTGTTTAAGGCGTGGCCTACAAAAAGCTGACATGGATCTATTTGCAAACAGACCCAACTGAAAGCCCAAGCGCGTGAACATGAACGCTTTCGCAATATCTGTGTGTCAATGGCGCAAGCTCTCCACAAGTTTGATATGCGTCTACGGATAGGCTCCATCCGCGACAACACGGCCTCCCAGCGCCAGGCTGCCGCCGAGGCGCAAGCGAAAAAGCACATTCCCACGTCCCCGACAGCGAAGACCGAGGCTGAGACGAAGGCGGAAGAGCATGCAATAGCAAAAGCCAAAGCAGCAGCAGAGGAAGCGGCAAAGCCACACAATTATCGCATTCGCCCCCTCACTGAGTCAAAGGCAATCGAGTCCGGTGCCAACTTCATCAGTGAAAGCTTTCTGTTCCTGGTGGCAGGCGGGTTGATTATTTTCGAGTCATGGCGATCTCGTCGGAAGGAAAGTACTCGTCGGGAAGGTGTGGAAGAGCGTCTCGCTGAGCTAGAGCAGTCTGAGAAGATGGCAAGAGAGGCTTTAGTTGCCTTGGAGAAAGAGCTGCTGGCCCTGCAGGTTGCCCGTGGTGAAAAGCTCAAGTCGACCCATCGCATTCTACCCCGGGCAGTGTGGGCACAGGATCCGGAGCTAGAGGAGCCAGAGGTAGAGCAGACCTGGTGGTCAAGTGTCACTTCATATTTCTCGTTTGGCCAAGAGTCATCAAAAACACCACAGTTGACTTTACCACAAAGTATACCTCAGACTCCAGCGACGCAGGACTCAAATCTAGCGTCTTCTGTTAACAAAAGTGCTACATCTGGGCAAGTTCAAGCTTCTGAGTCAAAGAGCTCATCTTAAGAAGCAACCCTTGTTACATGTCATATATAGAGCGCCTGGGATTTGTGAATACCGTTGTGTTGATTAGAGTTGTTTACTGTTTCATTGGCCTGTGTTAATTTCTGTGGTAATGGTGATGTCTTCTCTACTCATTTTGATATATTAAATCTGTACATTATAACGCACCGCTTTACTTAATTTCCTGACATCCAGCCACAACCTTTTTCTTCTCTTTCACTCACATTTCCAAACATTCAAAGCTTAAATCGCTACCATATGATTGACATGCTTTTCAGGGGTTTCCCTGTCACTGCCCTCTTAGTTTTTGTCTAGATGGTGGTGTTGTTGAAGGTATTTGAGTAAAAGCTTGAAAGCCTAATGTACTTACCAGCACTTGAGGGATTCGAGTAACTGCCTACTACACACTAGTAGTACGTAGTACATTCAATGTTGATGGGGTTCCAAACATAAAACTTGGAACCGATATGTATCTGATACTATGTAACAAAGGAATCGACCACACTTAAATCTCACATATTGCCAAAGCGTGTGCAGGGAACCCGTCAAAGTATCAACTATGATGCATGAGGCTTGAGGGCGCTGAAAACTCTGCAAGTTGGACATTAGGTAGAAAAGTAAAGCCTACGCTTACTGTAGGAAAGTTCTCGTTAGGTTGCATGCCCAATGACGTCGGTGTTGCTATTTCCGACTTGCACGAGCCACCGTAGCCTTATGGGGAATTGTACGAGTACAGCAAGGGAACACAGAACCGCGTACGTAGAAGAAATTGCCAATAAAGTAGTAAATCTCATTGGAAGAGAGAAAGTGGAATTGCGGGTAATTCTTGTCAGAGCCAGAACATTTCATACGAATTCGCCTCCTAAGGCAGCAGCCGACCCAGACCCTTTAATGTGGCGCAGCTTGTTTGCTTGGGTTTGTTCTGTGTACGTAAGTCCGCCCTTCCTCCTTGGTGAGTAGACTCTCAACACTCTTTCAAACAAGTTCCCTGTGAACATATTTCGCCGTTATTTTGACTCTCCATTGTCGCCTGGGCGCGAGATCCGGGAGTTTTGACACATCATGGTAAGCTGATCGTTTCGAAAAGAGCCTCCCCCCCCCCGGTTGAGACATCGAACTCCCGGCACTGACCCCGCGATTGCGACTTAGGGTCAATCACGACGCCCGCAAGGCGGGGAAAAGAAGAGTCGATTCGGGCGCTCTAAAGGAGCTGCTGATATTGGCGATGGCCGACAATCCGGCAAGCCGCAGGTCAAAAAGGCCACCTTTGAAACCTCAAAGAAGAAGGAGATTGGAGTTTCGGACTTGACACTGCTGAGCAAGATCTCTAATGAAGCGATCAATGACAACTTGAAAATGCGATTCGAACATGGCGAGATTTATGTAAGGGGCTCACACACACAATATCGCCGAGCGGGGTGATGCGCGCACGAGGACGGAAGGCTGACAGGTGTCCGAATAGACCTATATCGGCCATGTTTTGGTCTCGGTCAATCCATTCCAAGACCGTGAGTGACTGATTACAAAGTTTTGTATGATTGGAGAAATTGATGTACTGACATCTGCGTCTCTACAGTGGGTATTTACACCGATAAGGTGCTCGATTCCTACCGCGGCAAGAACCGTCTCGAAGTTCCCCCTCACGTATTCGGAGTCGCAGAGTCGTCATACTACAACATGAAATCCTACAAAGATAACCAGTGTGTCATTATTTCGGGCGAGTCCGGTGCTGGAAAGACCGAGGCCGCTAAGCGGATCATGCAATATATCGCCAGTGTCTCTGGGGGCGGCGACTCGTCAATCCAACAGACCAAAGATATGGTGCTGGCCACGAACCCTCTATTAGAGTCATTTGGCAATGCCAAGACACTACGCAACAACAACTCGTCTCGGTTCGGTAAATACTTGGAACTCGAGTTCAATTCCAACGGTGAGCCCGTCGGCGCCAACATCACAAACTACCTGTTGGAGAAGTCGCGAGTTGTCGGTCAGATCACCAACGAACGAAACTTCCACATTTTCTACCAATTCACCAAGGGTGCACCCCAAAAGTATCGAGACAGCTTCGGTATTCAACAACCGCAATCCTATCTATACACGAGCCGGTCGAAATGTTTCGATGTACCCGGAGTCGATGATTTGGCCGAATTCAAGGATACGTTGGATGCGATGCAGATGATTGGCATGAGCGAGGCGGAGCAAGACAATGTTTTCCGCATGCTATCTGCAATTTTGTGGATCGGCAATGTTCAGTTTACCGAAGATGACTCCGGCAATGCTGGTATTACAGACCAGTCTGTGGTAGATTTTGTCGCATATTTAATGGAGGTCGATGCCGAGCAAGTAAACAAGGCCTTGACCATTCGTTTGATGGAGACTGCTCGCGGAGGTCGCAGAGGTTCTGTCTACGAAGTCCCACTTAACACTGTGCAAGCACTGGCCGTTCGGGATGCTTTGGCGAAGGCGATTTACTTCAATCTCTTTGACTGGATTGTGGCTCGTGTCAACCAGTCCTTGGCTGCTCGTGGGTCCGTTGCCAACTCCATTGGTATTCTGGATATCTACGGATTCGAGATTTTCGAAAAGAATTCCTTTGAACAACTCTGCATTAATTATGTCAACGAGAAACTACAGCAAATTTTCATTCAGTTAACCTTGAAGGCAGAGCAAGATGAATATGCCCGTGAACAGATCAAGTGGACTCCTATTGACTACTTTGACAACAAAGTGGTGTGTTCTTTGATCGAGGACAAGCGTCCTCCTGGTGTTTTCGCTGCGCTGAACGACGCCTGTGCCACCGCTCACGCCGATTCTGGTGCTGCTGATAACACTTTTGTTGGTCGTCTGAACTTCCTTTCTCAAAATCCCAACTTCGAAGGTCGCCAAGGCCAATTCATTATCAAGCATTATGCTGGTGACGTGAGTTACGCCATCGAGGGAATGACCGATAAGAACAAGGATCAGTTGTTGAAGGATCTTTTGAACCTGGCTGGATCCAGCAGCAACGAGTTTGTTCATACTCTCTTCCCCAACCAGGTGAACCAGGATGATAAGCGTCGCCCACCCACGGCAGGCGACAAAATCAAGGCCTCTGCCAATGATCTGGTTGCCACGCTGATGAAGGCGCAACCCTCTTACATCCGGACTATTAAGCCTAACGATAACAAGGCTCCTAAAGAGTACAATGTCGGCAATGTGTTGCATCAAATCAAGTATCTTGGTCTTCAAGAGAACGTGCGCATTCGTCGCGCTGGCTTTGCTTACCGTCAAACTTTCGACAAGTTCGTTGAGCGATTTTACCTGTTGTCTCCCAAAACCTCGTACGCTGGTGACTACACATGGACTGGCGATTCAGAATCCGGTGCCAAGCAGATTTTGAAGGATACCAGCATCCCACCAGAAGAGTACCAGATGGGTATTTCAAAGGTCTTTGTGAAGACACCCGAAACTCTCTTTGCCCTCGAGACCATGCGTGATCGCTACTGGCACAATATGGCCATTCGCATCCAGCGCGCTTGGCGTAACTACCTTCGGTACCGTATTGAGTGCGCCATCCGCATTCAGAGGTTCTGGCGCCGTATGACCGGAGGCTTGGAGTTCATCAAAGTACGTGACCAGGGGCACAAAATTCTTCAAGGCCGCAAGGAGCGTCGACGAATGAGTATTCTCGGCTCTCGTCGCTTCCTTGGTGATTACCTTGGTGTGGGCAACAACGGTGGTCCCGGTGAGATGATTCGCAGCGGCGGCAACATCAGCAGCTCGGAAGAGGTTCTCTTCTCTTGCCGCGGAGAGGTGTTGGTGTCCAAGTTCGGTCGTTCCAGTAAACCAGTCCCTCGAATCCTTGTGTTGACCAACCGGCACGTGTACATTGTGGCCCAGGGAATTGTTAACAACCAACTGGTCATTTCGTCTGAACGCACTGTCCCGCTTGGAGCGATCAAGGCCGTTAGCACGTCGAACCTGAAGGATGATTGGTTTTCATTGGTAATTGGAGCCCAAGAACCAGATCCGTTGGTGAACTGCGTTTTCAAGACCGAGTTCTTCACTCACCTAAGCACTGCTCTACGCGGATCCTTGAACCTGAAGATCGGAGACAGTATTGAGTACAACAAGAAGCCTGGTAAGTTGGCCATGGTCAAGACTGTCAAAGACCCAGGGTCCAGCAATGTCGACAGCTACAAGAGTAGCACGATTCACACAACTGCTGGCGAGCCGGCTAGCTCCGTTTCCAAGCCCACCCCACGACCGAAGCCGGTTGCTGCCCGGCCAGTCACCAAGGGCAAGCTGCTCCGCCCTGGTGGCCCAGGAGGTGGTCAGTCGAAGCTCTCTGCTGCTGCTCGTAGACCTGTACCTGCTGCACAGCCCTTGCCTCAATCGACACCCCGACCTGCCCCTGCCCCACAACCAGCCGCACAACCCCGGGTGGTTCCCGTTCCTCAGCCGGTCGCTGCTACTCGGGCCTCACACTCCCACACCTCTTCTACGAGCTCCGTAAGAGCTCCTCCCCCTCCCCCTCCAACCGCACCTCCTGCCTCCAAGAAACCCACCGCCAAGGTCCTGTACGACTTTAACAGCGACCGTGCAAACGAACTTTCCATCAGATCCGGCGACGTTGTGCAGATTGTATCGAAAGAAGGAAACGGTATGTACTCAATCTGTCTTTACATATCTTGAAACTCAGAAACTAACATTGCGTAGGATGGTGGCTATGCATGGACACAGCAACCTCTACCCAAGGCTGGGCGCCTGAAGCCTACCTAGAAGAACAAGTAGCCGCAACTCCCAAACCCGCACCCCCTCCTCCCCCCGCTGTCGCTCCTCGACCAATGCCTACCCCTGTCTCTAATGGAGGCGGAGCTGCTGTGGTCGCCGCGAAGAGCAAACCTGCTCCACCCGCACCCCCTGTCAAGCGACCCAACATGGCTGGCCGGAAACCTGCCCCTCCCCCTGCCCCTCGTGACAGTGCTGTCAGCATCAACTCCGGCGACTCATCTGGAGCAAGTGGCCGCGGTACTCCGAATAGCACCTCCAACGCCAGTTTGGCTGGTGGCTTAGCGGAGGCACTGCGTGCCCGGCAAAATGCGATGCAGGGGAAGCATGATGACGATGACTGGTAGATACTCCAAGCAATATTTCCTTAGTCTCATCTTTCCCGATTCTTTCAGAGGTCTTTTTTTTTGCGCTTAGCGTTAAGGCCCTTTTTTTGTTGTGGTTGATTGATTGATTGTGCTTGTATTGAAAAGAACACCCCTAGCATTTGCGTGCATTCAGGTTTTGATGATGGATGGTCATTCTACCGTTTGTTGGGCATGGTCTTAGCTGGGTTTTTTCCTTTTTTTTTCTTTTACAATTTTTTTTTTCATGCTTCTTTCTTCTCGTTTCTCTTTCTTGACACCCTTCATTTTCTTATTCTTGTTCCCTTCTTCCATTTCTAGGGCCATTTGTAGGCTCTACAAACTAGAAAGTCAAGTTCATTATATACTGTCCGCGCAAGATCCGTTCGATTTCCAATGATGTGTTCATTCATAGATTTCATTGTCTGCATAGCAAATATCTTGGGCGACTCACCCTAAAACCGAGGTGAATGGATCTCTACTCCAGTTGTAGCTAGTAGTAGGCCTGGTATCCGATCGTTTTGCCTTGCCAGCCGATAGGATAGCATAAGTGACAACACCAAGCTTAGAAGAACTTGGAAGCCAAGCTCAAAAGGCCACTGGCGCCGCCAGTTCCACCAAGACCACCACCGGAGCTTCCCATGTACATCTTCATAGCCATCTCAGCGGCGTTGTTAACAGCGGACTGCTTGTCACCGGACTAAAAAGCGAAAGCGAATCAAATTAGCAAAGGCTCTCAAGGACTTCACGAAGCAGAAATCACAACTCACCATGCTAGCACCACCAGACTGCTTCTCATCCCAGAGCTTGCTGGCCTGGGACATGGCCATACCGACCAACTTATTCTTATCGAAGCCGCCATCGCTGGAGCTACCACCACCACCGGTGAACATCTTCAAAGCCTGCATAGCAGCGCCAGCACCAACAGTCGAGGAATCATGGGTCTGACCCTCAGAGCTACCACCGCCATACATGGCCTGGTGAGCCTGCACAGCGTGCTGCTCATCAACCTCGTTATTGCCCTGGGAGTACTGGCTCTTGCGCTCGTTCAGGAAAGACATGGCATTATCGAACATTCCGCTGTGCGAGCTATCACCGTGCGACTCGTTGGCGTGACGGGCCGCGGACGAGAAGTCGTCGCCACCGCTGTACTGGTCCTGGCCCTGGTAGCGTGTATCGCGGTACTCCTGCTGGCCGCCATGGCCACCATTTCCACCTCGGTATTCCTGCTCGCCGCCGCGGCCACCGTTTCCACCACGGTATTCATCGTTTCCACCACGGTATTCCTGCTCGCCGCCACGGCCGCCATTTCCACCACGGTATTCATCGTTTCCACCACGGTATTCCTGCTCACCACCGCGGTACTCTTGGTGACCTTGGCCGTGGTGGCCCTGGCCGTGACCTTGGCCGTGGCGGGGCTCTTCGTTGAAGTTGGCGTTCTGGTCGTAGTAGTTCTGGCCGGAGGAGCCGCCGCCGCCGAACTCTTCGTTGTCGCGGTTGTAAGACATTTTAATTAATTGAGAGATGTGTGATTTTGATGGGGGTTGAGGATGAAAGAGATGATGGAGGGGAAGAGGGAAAGTAGGTGGGAGGGGGGCGGGGTGGTTTATTTACGTTGAGCTTCCCTAGGATATGATTGCTGCGATGTGGCGGGGCGAGTGGAGCCGATCCAGATCGGTGTTCAGCTCGGTTTGAATTACTGGGTTATTTTTGAGGGGAGTTCAGGGCGAGTTCCGTGGTCCGGAGTATAGACCTGGTTTGGGTTGGTATGCATCATGTATGAGCATGTGTGGGCTGTGCTTGACATGGCATCCATGTGTGCTGTGGATGCTGCGACACGTTGTGGTAAGCATGCATTGCCTAACTTGGAAAGGCAAATTCAATAGTCCGATGAGCTGAAAACAAAAAAAAATTGGGAACATGCTACGAGTCCCACTTTCTATAGGTTACCCAAGTGGATACGGAAATCATTGCGAAAAAAAAAAAAAAGGACTGGCTAAGATGCTTGTGTGACATATCCAATGTGATATGCGCTGTACTCTATCTGGAAATTTACTGCAGACATCCAACAACACCAAAAAAGCCCAGGGTATCGAATGCAAGGCAGGACAAGATAAACAAAAAACCCATAAAAAAAGAAGGGCAAAAAAAAAAACCAATGCCAAGAAATGAGAAGAAATCAGAAGAGATGTCAAGGTTAAATACGAAACTGGTCGTGTTCCTCATCGGTCAAACTGCGAAGGAATCGCAATCTTCTCTCTCGGGATCTCAGTATGCACCGCTCGTCTTCACCAAGGCTTGGCTCGTGCAGCCACTCAGGCGGTTGGTCAGCTAGCCCATAGGAAGTATCCCATTGGTGGCGCTCATACTGCATGAACCCGCCAAAGTGGGGGTCTGTGTTTGCGACCCAGATAGTACTGCCATCTGGAGAGTAGTCTGCACCACCAATTTCACCAAAGAAGTCATGCACCTGGCGGGTCTGGTAAAGTTGGGCATCAATGATGGAGATCCGGTCGGCTGGCTCACAGCAGAGCAGTGTGCGCGGACCACCGCCTACAGGCGAGAAGCGAAGAGATCGGTAGCCCGCAATGTCGGAGTCGATAGTTTCCAGAACGCGCCAGGTACGCGCATCCCAGATATTGACTGTTTTGTCCTGGTTGCTAGTGGCGATGTGGCGCATGTCGGGAGACCAGGCGCAGGCAAAGCCGAAGTCACGATGGCCACGGAGAGGGTGAACGGGGCGGCCGGTATCGGCCTCAATAATCCATGCATCTGGGGAGTCACCGATCACCACGCGGAGACGACTATCTGGGGATGTGGCGGTGCAGTTGATCGGACGAGATAGTTCCTGGTCCGAGATAAAGATGTTGGTTTCGCAGTCCAGGATACGCAAGTGTCGATCATTGGATGCAAATACGCAGATCGGCGATCGACCGGTCCGATTGCGAATGATATCCACGTGGCAAGTGATACCTTCGTGGAAATCCGGCGTCACCAAGCCTCGCATTCCGGAGCCCTTTCCATCCGACGATTGCACCGCATACTCCCCACCAAATCCACCGGCAACGGTAAGACCATGTCCAGCCTTCATGCTAGAAATCTTGACAGGGCTAAGGATTCCCACATCTGGGTCTGGACGACTCAGGTCGATGATGCTCTTATAGCTGTCCAGGTCCGGAGCCCATGAGTAGATTTTCGACCGACTAGCAAATTGAACCGTATTATATCCGGTCACTGACATTAGATTGCGCAATTGAAAGTGCTCAATGGAAGCCTTGTGCGCCGTATGCATAGACTTTGCCTGAAAAAAAGACTCGCTCCTAGGCAGTCGTTTTGCTTGGCTGGTGTGTGAATGGTTGGCGTTGTGATTCACATTGTGGTAAGAGGTGTACCAAGTATCGCGAAGTGATCGAGCATCGGCGCGTTTCACTTTCAAAATTTCCGCCCAAGGGATCTGTTGAAGGTCAAAGAAGTCCCTCTTGCTTTTCTGCGGTCGGTAAATGTTTCGAGGTGGTCTCCAATTGATAATCTTGGAGAGTGGGCGAAATTGCGGAGGAATCCGGCCCTCCGAGTGAAATTCAGCCGGTACAATGCGAGATTGAACCATCCAGCGATGGATGAATTCATCAATGGTATGGTTTCGTTCGGTAGCTAGGATTGTTAGACTATTTTCACCACATGTAAGAACTCGACCAATAGCTTACTGGTTGTGTGGATGATGGATGCAGGGTGGGTTTCCATATCCTCCAGTGATTCCTCTGGAATCGGGCCAGGGGCAATAGGGTCCTGGGGTAACTGTGGGGGTTCCACCTCTAGGTCAGGGTCATCATAAGTGACATGATCGTAAAATTCATCCAGATCTACATCGTGTATGGAACCCTCGGGGGAGCGCGTCTGTTTGCGCTGGAAATAGACTTCTTCGCCGGGGTAAAATTTTAAAAGATCCTCCATCTCATCATCTGACCCGGAAGAACACAATGACGTATAGTCCTCAAAGGGAAAGTCGTAGTCCATCACCAAGTCCTTGTGCATATTAGGATGGCTATGTTCGCTTGCAATCGTAGCTGTGTTTTGCCATGTCGCAGTCCGCTCGATAAGATCATTCACGATGCCTTCCATTTGCATATCATGATCCGAGGGGGCAGAGCTAGATGAGGGATCTGGCTCCGACATGCTGCTCTCCGCTTCCAGGTACACTCCCCCTTGATGATCCGTCTCAGAGCTATCCTCATCGGTCTCCAGCGCCATCGATTGGGGATTGTGGAAAGCCGATTGGGCACTACCTGTCATTGCGCTGACGACCTCGGAAACCAGGAAAGAGCTGTTGTCTTCGTTCATGGCGTGGGGATACTGTGAGACAGCAGCCAGAGCGGCAACCCCCACGTTATGTAAACGGCGATCATCCTCGGAGGGTATCCCAGTCCACTGCGAGGCAGGTGAGAAAGCTGGCGAAACGTCCATGCTCGACGAAGCATCACCAAGAGCAGGGTGTCTGTCTGCAGTTGAATCTGACGGAACGTTATTCATACCTCGGTGAGCTGGCACTCTTGCGGTATCACATGACCCATTTCGAGGTATATTCGGGGAGCTGGAATGCACAAGACCGGGCGACGGACGAATAGGTGCAGCGTTTCCGTCACCGAGCATCGCCCGTCATGGGGGAATGGCAAGGAACCCGTATGGGGCGATCGGAGAGGGGGAAAGTGAGCCAAAGGAAAGGAAAAACGAAAAAAAAGAAAAAAAGAGAACTAAAAAAAAGCAAGTCTCTTAAAGAAAATGTGACAAGGCACGAATCCCACGATGCGCACCAAAGTACGGGGTTGATCCCTAAGTGGTCGGCACGTCACAAATGATTGGCAGTGGAGGGGTTACACGGGCTGAAGTAGAGCTGGGCAGGTCTCTTCGACTGGGATCACGGATCCGGTCCTGGTTTCTTGAAGACTAATCAATCGTCTCGCAGGTGACTCGCACTGATGACCCCACTCTGCGTGGCGTAACTCGGCTCCAGCCGATTACTGGGATGCGGGTGAAAATGCAATGCCGCGACGGTTGAAGTCGGCGATCAGATCACGATTACTGCACGAGGGTGGCGCCAGAGCCCTGGAGGGATGTAACTTGTGGTGAGGGTACGGAGAACGGGGTAGCTTCTGACTCCAAAGGAAAGAAAGATGTGGGAATTCTCAACGTGCGGGCCGTTAATTTATTTAAACGGAGCAGCGGATGGGACTGAGCACAGCCGTTTTTTCGGGTTAGCGCCAGTGTCAGAGGAATGGGAAATGTGAAATATGGATCTTCTGGGTAATGTAGGAGACCAAAAGAAAAGGGGATTTTATTCCCAGACGTTTCTAATAATTCTTGTCAAATCTTGCTCATTCCATTCATTCGCTTTGGCACAGACAATGGTGTAAGGTATCCAAGCGGGGAGAAAAAAAAAGACTAACAGTGTCGGTGATCTGATCCCAGGATCAGAAAACGAGGCTGATAGGCGGATGTAAGATGACGAAAGGGGGGTGGGGGAAAGCCCGAAGAATGCACAATGCTGGCGACTTGCAGATGTCCGAATGAACTTCTACCAGCAAGGCGAACCAGGCAACTTTCGGGGTTCAATGATTCAAGTTGGAGCCCGAAGACTTGAATCAGAGAAAATATAAAAAAAGGGTTTTTCCTGTCAAGTTTGAAGTTTTGAAGTTGCTGTTCTCGTGATCCTGATCTTAGTCAGCACGGTCCAAGTTTCTTCCAAGGTTATTGTCTACTTTTTTAAGTAGTTGACTACTACTAGTACTTATCTATTGATCTATTAATGGATGAATGTACATAACTGACTGGTAAATTTCCGAACATAGTAATAATAATCCATTGACATTTTCTTGAAATTGATTGGAATTGGTGGGAATTGAAGCCTCCAGATACCGCTTTTCTTACTAAAATGTGGACCTCGGGAGAGTACGTAAGATCTCTGAAATGAGCATTATAACCTCCTACTACCTGGTACACCAAAATCCAGCTGTTAGCTTGGATAAAGAAATATGTACTATGTGAAATCAAGCACTGCTAGTAATATCGGCTAACAAAGTTGCACAATTACTGTGACTGTGCACTGACAACTAACATTGAAGGATATAAATTCCTGCATTAGTGTTTCCAATATATGGCCCATGTTCTTACATCAAGGATAGAAAATACCAGGTTCAATATTTGCCTACATATACTACATACATAGTAACTTTTGACATCTAGAAGCCTGGGTTTTTGGAGTCAACTGGTGAGGCCAGCACTTCAAAGAGATTGATTTACAGACCTGTAGTACATGTACCCTGGTGGCTGGATGTCAAATCGAATATATACATCTGCACATTTCCCCATGTGTAAGGTTGAACCTTCAATGTTCCACATTACTGCATGTGTATCTATTAAAGGGGGAAAAAATAAAAAGTCTACAGCTTTAAAGGGGTTAGTAGAGCTCGAGTCAGCACATAGATTAAGCTTACTATAGTATAATAGCTCAAGGTGTACATGTATTGGGCTGTTACAGGGTAAGAAGACACTCACAGAGTTCAAGTTGTTATATGTCTATTCTGAATGCCCGCTATGTGAAGGCTGTATCTCAGTGAATAAGTTGATGTCCCAGAATACTTGTAAACAGTTCCCCTTACCTCTCTGATCTTGCATCCCCTAAAAGCTGCCAAGACAATTAATTGACAAGAACGAAAAAGCTAATTCTAGGCTATATAGAGAGCTTCTTACAATAGTTTCTAGATCCAAAGGAGAGGCGAGATCAGGGAAAGACTTCAATATCACGACTTAAAAGCTGGGAGGTACTCTACATGTTTCATCACCCAGTCCCAAAATCTTTGTAGCTATCACATCTTCTCTCTCTGATCTTACCTCCCCTGCAATTTATTTTTCTTATAAATTTAAGAGAATCATCAGGCTACTTCATATCTATATACAAAGCCCTTTTGATCAATTTTTGATCTATAGGGAAAGAAAGATCAGAGAATAGCTTCATTCTTATGACTTATAAGTTGGAAACTGCTCTATACAGTCTAGGTGACTCCCATATTGAACTGATCCTCGCGCGTAATTGGTCGATCCTAAATGACCTGGTTGATCTGGGGTCTGGGGGACGCGTTCAGGGTCTTTCCTGGAGCATAAATACCTCGCTCTTCCCCCCCCCCTCTCCTTCTTTTCTTTTTCCCCTTCCCCAAGTTTCATCACTCTCAAGTCTCCTCTTCACACTTTCAAACTTCAATGTCAAACTTCCTTCTTCTATCTCATCCAAGTTCTTCCTTCTTACTTTGAACTTCCAACTTTCATCCTTCCACACATGCATCCATTAATGCATCATGTCATCCCTTCTTGACATAACTCTCATCTACCAACACATGCATCAATCAATGCAGCATGCCATTCTTCCTTGACACTTCAAGTCTGATCAACCAACACATGCATCAATCAATGCAGCATATCATTCTTCCTTGACACTTCAAGTCTGATCATGTCATGTGGCCAGCCCATCTTCCAATCTTGCTTGGACCAACTTCAAGGTATGTCTCATGAGTCATAATGGCTCTTCCACATATCACTGCTACTGACCTTTTCAATCTTTCAAGTCGTTCATCCATGTCCCTGCTTTCTAGCTCCATCTTTGTTCTTCGGTTTAGTCAAGTCTTCTCTGAACAGGCATCACTCAGCTGGCAATTCCAGTCTGAGTGTCAGGACAAATTCAGTTAAGATGCAGATCATGATAACCAAGAATCAACCAATCAACCAACCAATCCAACATCGTCAACTTGTTCCCTGCAATCTCCACATTCTTCGGTTTAGTCAAGTCTTCTCTGAACAGGCGTCACCAAGCTAACAATAGTCTGGGTGTCAGGACAAATTCAGTTAAGATGCAGATCATGATAACCAAGAATCGACCAACCGACTTAGCATCTCCATGTTGTTCCAACCGGCCCTCGCGTTCATTGGTTTAGTCAAGTCTTCTCTGAACAGGCGTCACTCAGCTGGCAAATCCAGTCTGGGTGTCAGGACAAATTCAGTTGAGATGCAGATCATGATAACCATGGACCTATCAACGCGTTAACACTGTTCTGCCAGGTAAGTTCTCTTCTCTTGTTCTTGTCTTGCTCCTGTCTCAATTTGCATACTGACATCTCATGAGCCTCTTGCCTTCAAATGTTCCCACTCGAGGCGTTGTTCATATCGCCACCGCATTGTTCTTGTTGCAGATTCTCGGACTCCAGATCAAAGCCACGGCCCTCCATCAACACAGTCATGTCTGACAGCAATAATCTAACTGCTGATCACAATTTACCTTGATGGGCTTCAAGGTATGTTCTCAATGCCCATTATTTTTTACTGCCCGCTAACCTTCAAGACAATATTATTCCTTCCAGCTGAACTCACCGAGCGACAACTGTGCTACACTCCATATCTGCTGTGGGCCGACTGACTGTTGGGTCTTGGTTTGGAAAAAACTACTTGGCTGGACAACGGAAATGGGAACAGGATGTGAACTTGATGTACCAGACCACGTTTCATGTGCAGCATGCTCCTTTCACTCTTAGCTCTTGACTTGATTGATCTTAGTAGCTAATGCATGATGGTTCAAGTTCCTCACGTTACAGTCCAGCTCATATTCTGACTTAATTAAGAAATTCAACCACCCGTACATTCAACCCCAGACTGATGAAACTCAAGGTTCCAGTACATCAGTAGTAGGTCATATATCATCAAAAATAATACATTTGATCTCATCTACTTCCTATGTATTGGTAAGTGGTGGGCTAGAAAAACCCCCCCGGTCCCTTTACTAGTCGCGTACTTGCGCAAAAGCTTTGTTACACGAGAAGAGGAAAGAGCGACTCTACCGGTTGGTGTGAAATGATTAGAAAGTCGTTATAAGTCAAAAAGGTCAAGATCATAAATCCCCTTATAGAATGTATTGAGGAGATTAAAACCAAGGAATGCAATGAATTGGGGGTAAAGAAAGGGGGAAGAGAGAGAGGATCAACGGCATCTGGAGAATTTGTGACTCTCACAACTCTCCAAAGAATGTAAATTGTAGATCAATTAGAAGAGGTGACAGAAAAATAAATGGTCCAGGATCATCTGCTCACGGATGCCGTGTCTATACCACTTTCGGCTTGGCCACCAAGCACTGCAGAGAGCAAGAAACATTCGTCTTCAGACCTGTCATATTGCACATAATTGCATGTAGACCGCTCTGCGCATGCGTTCACACACTCTATGAAGGTATAACCGGTCATCAAAGTGACAATTTTGCTAGAACTATAAGAATATTCATAGTTGCAGTCAATAGAAAATGTCACCCCATAAGCCGAATCATCATAAGGGCTCGATAATTGGGCACAAGCCGTAGGAGTAATGGTTGCGGTGGTGGTCTCTGTTATTGAAACAGTCTGGGAGGCTGTTTCAAGGATGGTAGTAGTTGCAGTGATGGTAGTTGTCGCAGAGGCAGTCTCGTCAATAGTTACAGACTCGGTGGACGTTACTGCGGTACTGGCCGTTTGATCTTTGGTGGCAACCCGAGTCACTATAGCAGATGAGGAGGCAGTGGCATAAAAGTATTTGGTGGTCGGTGATGTAAGAGTTCTGGTGACAAAAAGTGGGGTGGATGAAGTCTCATCAATGATTGTCGACGCAGACACAACAACGTGACTGCTGCTGGCTTGGGTCTGATGGATTGTGACACGGCTTGTGGCAGTGACAAATATGGAAGGCTGCTTCTAATAATCAGCTGATCTGCTCACACTTGAGAATTAGAGGGGAAAGAGTGGTAAATAGAGGCATACCGATGCGGTCTGAGAAGCAGTTGTTACTGTGGTGGTTGTGGTAGTAGCAGGTACAACCAGACAGGAGCAGGCACTGCTAAGTTCGCTAGTTGCGATTGTGCTGAATTCGGCCAGCCAGCTACTAAATCGACACTCAGAAGAAGTGCATTCTGACTCTGGTGCTGGACAGCTATCGAACTCTTCTTCGTCATAGAACTCTTCTTCTTGATCGAACTCTTCGTCGTCATAGAACTCTTCTTCTTGATCAGACTCAATCTCAAAATCGACGTTTCTTGGGGCAAGAGTGACCGTGGCAGTTTGAATACTGGTTGCCGTGCTGGTCACGGTAAGATCCGTAATAGTCGTACTCAATGTCGCGGTTTGCGTTGCATAGACTGTGGTGTCTGTTGTGGTGATGTCATCGGTGTTTACCACAGTGCTGGTTACTGTAGTATCAGTTACAGTCGCTGTCACCACATCCACGGTAGTTATAACTTCTGTGGCATCGGTCGTGGTGATGAAATCGGTAGTTTGGACAATATCTTCAATGACGCTCGTAATAGTGACTGGGATAATATCCGTGCTGGAGTACCACGAGGTGACTGTATCTATGACGTTTGAAGTGTCAGTAACAGTAATATCGACTGTTACTGTGTTGGTGATTGTGGAGGTCGCTGCGGTTGCTCTCGGGTAAAAAGTGATGGTTTGGGTCACAGTCTCTTCGATATATGCACTGCAAAATGCACTCGCCTCCGACGAGAATTCCTGGAGTTGAAGCCAAAAGGCATCATTCGCACACTGGTCGGGGAGTCAGACACACGGGAACAATCATCGAACACAAGTGATTTGTCACCTACCTGAGGAAGAGATTGCTTGACGATAGAACCGCTTCCAAGTGGGTGAGCAGATGCGAGCAAAGCTCCCCCCAAGCCCCAATAGACGCGACAAATGCATTTTAATTCTCAGCAAAGAAAGAAAAACGAGTGACTAGAGTTGAACAAGTGGAATGGTTCACGCAGGAACAGGTCTCCCAGGTCTCACTAGGTCAGGGTCCAATGCCCATATGTATCTCCGTCGCTTAAAATTGCCTATGTTCAAAGAAGAGTGCCCCTGAATGAGGCGCAGACTGCCAGTAATCCGGAAAAATAAGCTATTTCTAATCGTAAATGCCATGACTTTCGATTTTCGTACGAAGTAGATGTATTAGTAAACTAGATAGATGTGAAGATTGCAAAATGCGTGAAGCGGCTCTGTGTCAGAACCTCCAGGGCTTGGAAGATTAAGAAAACACGGCCCCAGCCATATAGATGAAAATAGTCAATGAACGACTCCTGGTTCAATGTTCAAATTTTCATATGAGACCCCCACTCGCTTCAAATTCCCTACTCATATCCATCCTATTTTAGCTATTGGTCGCTAGAATTATCGCGGTCGTCGGTTCTTTTGTCCTCTTGGTGCGTTCAAGCCATCTCGCGTATGCGAGCCCCATTAAGGAGCTATGTGGGGCTTCCCGTTCACTAGTTCTGTGACAGAACTTCTGTTATAAGATCCATCATTTGAGGTTAGCCTTCTATCTTCATCTCATCGTACGAGGTGATGGTAAGCAGAGTGGTGTATACAGTATACGGTATAGGCGGTAAGAAATGTGGTTATATAAGCTTTTAAACTTCCATGAGTAATACGTACTAGCTGCTAACTAATCACGCGTGGATCCATCGACCTGACAACCTTGAAAGTCCTCAAAGCCTGGACATCAAATCAAGGCAAGATCTTGACAAAAACAGTTCCAAATTAGCCAGTATAGTAGTCGCTTGCTACCACCGAATCCCAACAAGTCCCTGGATCCTGACCCCGTCCCTAGGTCTCGACTCTCAACTCCCCAACAATGTCCACCCTACACGAACTCCTTCATAGACAGCGACCAGGACAATGGCAAAAGTTCTGGGCCAGACCTTGCGTTTATCTTGCAGAAACTCTATACAGCTGGCATAAACCTATTCCAGCTACGCCACTCACAAATCCCATTGCGGTTGTCTGTATTTCCGATACTCACAACGCCCAAGTCGACATTCCTGATGGAGACATCCTTATCCATGCTGGTGATCTCACACAAGCCGGATCTTTCCAGGAAATCCAGAATATACTCACTTGGCTAGATGGCCTGCCTCATCCTATCAAAATTGTGATTGCTGGTAATCATGAGCTGTTACTTGATTCAACACGGGATGATATTTCTGGTCGAGCAGCCTCTGAGCGAGCTCAACTTGATTGGGGCGGTATAATCTACCTAGAAAACGAGGAAGTGACGGTTTCCTGCCTAAATGGTCGTCAACTCAGGGTCTACGGAAGTCCTTGCACCATCCGCCATGGTAGCTGGGCCTTTCAATATCCTCGAAACCAAGATTTATGGACTAGTTCAGTACCAGATGGAATTGACGTGCTTATTACTCATAGCCCGCCACTTGCTCATCTTGACCTCCTCGGGTTTGGCTGTCCTTATCTCCTACAGACCCTATGGAGAGTACGACCAAAATTACATGTATTTGGCCATGTACATGAAGGTTATGGAACAGACTGGGTGTTGTTCGATGGACTCCAAGGGGCGTATGAGCGTACCGTCGCTGCGGGAGGGGGCCTTTTTAATCTTTTGCTTACAACTTGGGGATTTTTCAAGGCATATTTGCGCCCGCACGTGGAAGCAAAATGCTTGCTTATAAACCCTTCCACCGTTGGAGGTTTGCGGGATGATGAACGAAGGCGACCTATCAAAGCCTTGATCTAAGTTTATAATATTCTAGCTAATTCTAAATCAATACTCTCACCTTCATTTTGACTAGGTGATGAAGACTTCCCGGATAACGACAACATTTGAATAATCAGGCTTGCTTCAACGAAGAGAATCCTCAGCGTCTTCTAAAGGGAAAAAAAGCACTTGAGGGTGACGGCTTGAGCTCGAGAGAAAGGGTCGGGTGAAAGTGATCACACAACTACATTCCAAACTACCTCTGTTCAACTTGCAAAGATTAATAAAGGCAGGAAATTTAATATCAATATATTAAAAGCGACTTTTATACCACAATATAGGCTCAGCCTAGTTTGATTCAAATCCTCACTATACAGAAAAAGAAACCGAATCAGGAAAGATAGATGATAAGAATAAGACACAAATAGATCAAAAATCTCAAAGTCAGCTCACAACAAGAGCACACATGAAACTAGTATATCTCGTGGAGTCATGCACCGTAAGACCCCGGAAGCTGGCAAGTTGAAGAAAGAAGAAGAAAAAAATTCATAACGCCCCAAGATTCGGTATGTGAAATGGGAGAAAATATATCACAGTCGAAAGTGAACTCCTTGCCGGAAAGAACTTGAAATCATAGAAGAAGAAGAGAAGGCACGCTTATTAATAGTCTGAATATGTTTCGTGATGTGAGTACCCGTTTGCCGGGAGATTGGGCTGAGGCCAGGCGCTGGTCCGTGATCGGCGTTCTAAACAGAGATGGTTAGTATGAGTTGAATGTAAAGAGATGCGAGTCAATGTAAAGATTCAAACATACCTCTTTCAAAATCACGCCACCTCTTCATCGTAATCTTCGTGCTGTCGAATTCACCCTCAGCATCACCGTGTCCCTTGTCCTTCTCACCAGCCGTCTTTCGGGTATCACCCCAGCTGAAATCGTCGAATTTCCAGAATGCGTAGGTTGGGAGAACGAAATTCCAGATTGGAAGTGAAAAGAGATAAATGAGCATCCAGAGAACGTAGACGAGGCGGTGAGCCGTGACAACGATCAAAACACCGGGTAGACCCAAAATCAAGGCGAGTAGAACAAGGGGGATGATCTGAACGGGTCTTCTGACGATGGAAGAGATGATCACGTAGATGGTGAAGGAGATTGCAGCGGGGAGAACGAGTGTTCCGACCAGCTCGATAAAAATGACGAATTGCATGCTGAAGCAGAATGTACCGCATAGATCGCGGACAAGAACTAGTTCGAATAAATTGTGGACGGTACTGTTGATCCAGCGGCGGCGCTGGGAGAGGAGAACCATGAACTGATCTGGGACGACTGTTTTGCAGACTGCCTGTGGGACGAAGATCTGCTTGCGCTTCGGGAAAGTTTTCAACATCAGGGTTGTGAGGTAACGATCCTCACCGAGGAGGAGAAGATTCTTCTTGTGCAGGGTATCGACCACGTTCTCAGAGTAGTGCTCCACAATATCAGGATTTGCAAGAATGGGGACCCAGTAGTTTTGGCCACCCTTGGGAGCCTTGATACGGTACATGGAGAAACAACCTGGTAGACAGGTGACACCACCAAAGACAGACTCAAAAGATTTGGCCTGGTGATGGGAAATGAAATATTCGAAGACTTGAATCATGGTGACCCAGCTGTCAGTTTTGTTCGCAATCTTGGTCTCACCGCACAGACCCATGATATCTGGGTCTTTGACCATAGCTGAGACCATGTGTGTTAAGCTGTCAGGGAATACCTTCGTATCGGCATCGACCATCAGGACGACTTCGTAGAAATCTGGAGGCAGGCCGGTCACATTCCACATGCCGTTGAAGATCTCAAACTCAAGCTCAGTCATTCGCTCATCGAACATGACTTTCTGCAAGAACGACATAAGAATGATCTGACTGTCTCGCTTTCCACGGTTACCGGGCTTGGATTGAGTGGACTCGGCAGGGGTACCACACTTGACGATCACCATCATGGGAACTCGCTGTTGCTTCTCAGGTGGGATCATAGAGGTCTCACCATAGTCGTAGAATCCAGTGTAGACTTGAGCCATGTTGTGTCTCTTGGATCCCGTAGCGACCGCGACATACGAAAACGGTTGAACCTCATCGCGGGGAACCACAAAGTCTTTCACCATGCCAAGAACAAAGTCAGGAGTGGAATGATCTTCTCCCTTTCCTTTAATAATACCGTCACAAATCACAAGGATGGTTTTATGGCTGTTTGGGTAGTCGGTCAAGGCAATGGAATCCAGAGTGCTCCGAATACCGTCTTCTCCCTCTGAGTAACAGGTGACCAGGCAGAGAGCATGCGCCAAGGGGTAGCCAAATGGCTCCCATTCAGGTGGAGGCTGAGGAACAACAGATTCGTGAATGAACCCGGCGGGACCAGGGGCATCGTAGTCAGGTGCCATTGTGGAAAATCCATGATCTTGCGAGCCTGGTCCAACCAAACTAGTTCTGCTTGCGGCGGGATTTCGGGAATTTTCCTGGCTCAAAGTACCGCCACTGCTGTTATGGCTCGTTTTGTACATCGTTCCGGTGGTGGTTGAGCTGGGCATAAGTCGGGAGGTTGAGTTCTGGGTGGCCATGGTCACGTAGTTGCTGTGTTGCTTTCCGCCAGCACTGCTGGATCCACCACCCATGACGTAGGGGCTAGAGAAACGAGAGGTGGTTGGGAGGAAGCTGGCGCGTTTGCTCATGCGATCGGGGATTGGAGGATCGGGGATGCGAGGAGCCGGTCGGTAGATGTCGTTGGACCAGTCTTCAATCTGTTGGTTGCGAGTTCTGGCGTCAGAACTCATGCTCGTCCTGTCAGCAGCGAACTTCTTCGCCAAGAACCATTGGAACAGCACGGCAAAAGCGAATTTGACAACGACAATGGACAGAATGAATATCAAGGACACGTAGAGCACAACCTTGGAAGCGATACAGCCGACCGTATCAGTGTCGATGCTTCCGACTTTGATGATCTGCGTCAAACACTGGCCGAGCTTCTTCTCATTTCCACTTTGCAGGTAGTAGGTCAAATCAACGCCCCGGACATCAGGATTCTCGCGAAGATTGTCGAACTTGGCGGGGTAGGAGACCTGGCTCGTGTTGAACCAGCGCAAAAGATCCAAGTCCAAGACACTACCCGAGTACACAGCTAGGTTTCGGCTCAGGTTTTTCGTATCCTCCCATGTGAAATATACATCGCCGGATGGGTTAAGCTTCCAGAATGGTTTCCTTGCAGCGGAGCTAGTGTGGCAAGCCCATCCCTCGTAATAGTCGTCTGTCTTATTGGGCTCGGACGAGCCATCCTGGTTGAAAGCATTGCAAGGGAAGTACCATCCCAAATCTCCATCGGAATTGGTCGGGACACCACCACCATCAACAGCAGTGATCAGACCCTTGCAAGCACCGTTGACTTCCTGGAAGAAGAAGCTGCCATCTTGGCCACCGTATTTGTGCGGCAAATCGTAGAGAACGTTAGAGCCGGAGGGGATCCCTTCCGCAGCAGGATGTGTCGAATCCTCCAGGTTATATGCCTGACCGTGGAAAATCATATAGCCATTACCGACCTCATTGATCTTCAATCGCGTAGTAGCTTTCCCACAGACTGTTGCGGTAAATCCGAAAGTCAGAAATCCCACAAATGCTGCGACCATCAGAATGATGCCGATCAGGCCGATCTTCTCACGCCACGCGGTCCGCTGTTCTTTCTGTGGCATGCCACAGCACTTGAGCACAAAATCCGGTACTAGACAACTGATCAAAGCGCAGTAAACGGTCCAAAGATCCGGCGGACGTGCATCCTCCAAAGCCTTTGCTCGTTTCCGATCTTCGAGGGTCTGTTTTTTGGAGATTCGGCGTGAGGACCTCTTCTTCTTTTTTGAGCGATGTCGACTCGGCCCCCGCTCCATGGGTTGATTAACATTTCCCTGGTTGTATACATCTCTTGATTTCATATCGATGCTCTTGGAGCTATTTGTCTCGGCTTCACCATCTCGATCGAGCAAGGGGTCTTCTCCGGTTGTGGATGGCTGTGTGTTCATATGATGCGACCGTTGGCGATAATGATAATTCGGGTGGTCGGAGTCCACAGTGCGGCGTTCGGGTTTCACCATGGTTTTTTTGCGGCGCACGTCGCCGCCCCGCTCCATGCGGTCTTCGTCCGTGTCGGTCGCTCGCCGATGGCCATGTGAGTGTCGGCGGCGGTGACGGTGGGAGTGAGTCGGTGAAGAGGTCGGGTTGTCGCTGTACTCACCCGTGTCGATATCTCTACGACGCCGACGGGAAGGTTCACGGAAAGCCCGTACCTCTTCGCGCCGAGGCGAGGCCTTGCCTGGCCTTTGAGGCAAAGACATGGTGCTATTACGGGCGATCGGTTAGTTTTGGTTCTGGCTTTGGGTAATTTTTTTTTTTCGCGATTTCATTCTCGCAGCATTCATCGCACTCACTGTTAGCAAGCCCCGCTCATGTACTGGTGATGAATGGGTTTGGAATGTTGAAGATTTGCTGGGTCGGGTTTTGATTGTCTAGAGCATATCCGGTGATCAACAAAGGACTCCGAATCCCCCGCACGGGAATGCAACTGTGATTGTCGGTGCTTGGTATATCTGCGGGTAATATTCTAATGCTGAGAGACGTGCAGAAGAGTGGTGAATCCGTTGGGTGTTTTTTTGCTTGCTGTGGTTTGAGGCTTTGAGCAAAGGTGAGTGTCGCAGTAACTTGTCAAAGGTCTGCGGTCGGCCGGTGCAACGGTGGAGAAATAAACAAAGGTCCACTATAATCTCACGGGGGCAAAAGCGTCAATCAGAAACGAGCGGATCGACCCGAAGGGTTCAAAGGTCCAAATGAAAAATGAAAAATGAAAAAAAAAGTAGCGAGTGACTTTGACGAGGAAGACTTTCAAAAGGCTCTTCCAGTCACGATTTTATTATTCCATTCCTGACTCTGCTTAGTCTGGTACAACCTGGTCTTAAAGATCCAGTACGTGCCAAGGTACTCCATGTACCCAATGTACTATGGTCTCACCAATGAGTGACTTTTCTCGCTTGCAAACTAGTGTAGGCTTCTTCCCCCTTAATTCCCTAAATTATTATTTGACTTGCATTGATTTGTCGCTAGGGGTTCCGGGGTGCATCGCCAATAAGCACAGCCAAAACAGCGGTTGATTGGGTACAAAAAACGCCAGTGGATCCTAAACCCGAGGTCAGGGACCAAATGGAACGAATGACCACCAAGCTTAGACACTTTTCCTCGATTGGGTTTAACCCGAACTTTGACTCGGCGCAAAATAGGAAAAAAAGGAATGCAACGAGTAGTGGAAAGAGTGGTAAAAAGAGTGGTAAAAAGGGGAACTTCTGCCGAGAATTGGCAAGTTAGACTAGTTCCGCTTGGGCTTTTCTTCTAGTCACGGGGTCATCGACTTTGATTTTCCCCAAGTGCTTGGATGATCTATTTTCAGACCTTCGCCACTACCCGAGTTCTGGATTTTTGGAATGGGTTGCACAAATTCAAATGTCGCTTTCGAAATCTTGGATTTGATTTTGGGGGGGTTCTAGCCCATAGACCCACCAAATAGAAGGGGAGAAAAAAAAACTATCACAAAGCCCCCTTCAATGGTGGAATAGACACTTACCGAGTACGGAGTACTATACGGAGCACGATGCGGAGTACCAGAGCAAGTCATTGAGTTTCTTATTATGGATTTATGTACTGGTACGTATTTTATGTATTATGTATTATGTTTTATGTGTGCCAAGCTCTAAGTGCTGTAGACCCTGCATACAATACCGTATCTGCTCTTACTAATTACATGCTACAGTTACCGTACCTAGTACTTGTGCCCTGTCACATTACAATCGCCACCGCTCGGTCCATAAGCTATAACCTTGTACATAAAAACTCCTCCAGGGGCTCAATATCAGGATTCATGGTCCACCTTACATTCCCTTTGAAATGCAATACCGGTTGAGGCGCCGTGAGATCTATCCAATTCCAAGCTTTTTGTCAAGGCTCATCATGATGGTAATGACAACACGTCAGCCATCAACAAAGTTCTCGAAGGGGAATCCCTGTTTGGGATCAGGGGTCAAACTACTCAGAGGATCGACAGACTGGCGGATGATCATCACGGCATCTATACCATACCGACTGGCAATATTCAAATTGAACGTTCCAATTACACCGTGAATTTAACATATCTAAAACTATACTCCCTACGCAGTATTCCACCATGTTGACATCCATACTACCTGAGATTCTACTCTCGATCAAGTAGTAAACTCAACTTCGCCGGATCTCGTAGGAATCCACGGATCATCGTGCCATGGCCTGGGCTGTGCATGGGAGCCATGTCCACGTTCCTCCCGTTCAAACTGGAATGCATGCATCTGACAGAGATCATACACTGACCAGTGGGGCTGGTATGCGTGAGCCGCGAGGGAGAACATTTGAAGACGGATAATCTCATAAGCAGGCAAAAAGAAGTGAACTGAGAGTGAATTGAAAATCAGGATTTCGTCATCTCCTCGTTTGATGTTGTCAAGATGATATGATATGTATCATGGTTTTGTGTAGCGTTGGCCATGTCCAATGTAGTCCACATGTACATGTGAGAATGCTTCCTACTACTGTCCCGCTAGTTAAGACGTCCAGCAAGGAGCCCCTTCGACCCCATTATTGAAGGTCCGAACGACGGGCCGTGCGAAGTGGACATTAGGGGCAAGCTTGGAACTCAATTGAATCGAATGTCAATCTGCAACATTTGAATTGATCGGTGAACCGAAATCCGAAATCACAATTCGACTTCGATACTCGGTATCCGTTACCGGACTAACTCGGTGGGAAGTCCAGAATACAAAAAAACCGAAAGGATCATGGATCTTACCGAATGCCGGGTGCCTAATTCAGTGTCCAAGCTAAATATGTAAATATAGAAATGGTGTCATCCTGTCGACAGAAAATCCCCGAACGGTGATTGTCAGGGTTCCAGATGTCACTGGGAAAAATAAAATAAAATAATTTGAATAAAAGGCCCTGACTCACCTGCCACGTCTAGTGGTAAGCTGAACCGGAGATACCGGCAAAAGAGCCTTGCGAACTAAATGTAGCTAAAATACAGAATCCACTGGAGTTCATTACCCCAAGCCCTTGAGGGTTGGTGAGATGCACCCAATTCCCCGTTGGTCACTAGTCTTTGCCGCCGTGCCCCAGCGTCCCGTCCCCCGATATCGAGGTGCGATCATCCGAGGGCTCCACTGAGATTACGGTGATAGGGCACGAAGTGGGTTGCATGAAAGCTGGAATGACATTTGGAGGCTCAGCCGAAAACCGTGGAGAAAAAAAAAAAAGAAAGAAAAGCGACAGGTTTAGATCGATCCGACAGGTACCTTGAACGTCCACATGTGGTAGGTCTTTCTCGTGTTTGGGGCTTGGGGGGGGGAGCGGCTGAGAATATATACCACAATTTTTGAAAAGTATTGACAATCATTAAAAACTTTCTCACAGATCAGAGTTGACTCCGCGTGTTCGAAGGTGGAGTCTCAATGGTTCAGAGTGGGACAAGTGTACATGTGGGAATTTCTCCAGTTCCTTTTTAGCCTTTAGGTATTTAATACGAGCCTTAAGCTCCAGTGAGGACGGAGTGAGAGATGCCCGAAAACGGATCAGTATATTAATAGCTCGCTACTAGTATACTAAAAACTGAACCCCAGAGGACGAGGAGAATTCATCCAAGTTTACCATGGTAGAACAATCCAACAGTGAATGGATCAAAGGCAGGAAAAGCCAATAGCTTTTCCCTTCAAGGAGCACACTAGCGATGTAAAGTGGGGATTCGACCCTTTTTTACCCTTTTTTTTTTTCTCTTATTCTTTTGATTTCCCTTTTATTCTGATTTTATTCTCTTTTCTATTTCTTTTGGGATTTTAATTTGATTTTAATTCTTTTTTTTCCCCCTTGGCTTCTTTGTCGTTGGCTGAAACATCACCTCTTTTCCCCCTCCCTCGCTTCTCGAGAAGAGAAAAGTTCAATACCGTCATGTGTCATGTTCGTCATTTTTCATTTGACCCTCAAATGTGAAGATTCAAAGATCTGGTTTTATTTCATTTTATTCCAAAGTCTCCTAAACATTTTAAACCAAGAAACTCCACTTCAAGCTGGGGACTTGCTTTGGTCTCCACCGGTTTTGACCGCCCAGTCACAAGCTCTCATTCACAGTCGGACTTAATCCCCAATTCCCCCCCCTCGAAACAATAAAAAAAAAGAGTAAGAGCTGCAGTCAACCTTCTCATGTGGTAATATAAGTTCACCTTTTCACACTCGTTTGCGGAAACTGGTTATCGTTATCGTTATCAACACGTTCGCTTTTTTATCATGGCTTATTCAGTGGCCAACCACTTGCCCTCACCTCCCCCAGCTTATCTCCGGGACTCTCCTCCACCTTCGCACAACTCCACGCCGCGAACAATTCCAAACCGTCCACAGAACTTGAGCCGCATTCGACCTGCTGTCTCAATTACCACTGATCATGCTGAATCTCCAGTGGTCCAAAACTCCCCTCGATCCCCAGTCAAGATCGACAGTGGAGTCAATTTACCCCAGGCTTCTAGCGTGATCATCGAGAGTGTCCCTCATGGCCCACCAACCCCACGACTAGAACTCCCAGAGTTTGCCCGCATGTCACTACGGGAGCCTTCTCCACCCCAAGATTGGGATATCACATATCCCCCTCGAAAGGACTCTCGGGCACCTTACTCACAGTCTCATGCTTATGATCCAGCCAGCAGTGGATCATGGTCTGCCGGAGAAACACATTTGAAAGAGGATGCCCAAGACTCTCTCAAGAAGAGCGACTCCTCTCGTGGCAGCTGGGAAAGTGTGGCTATAGTTTCCGATGCTTACGAGCCTCTCGCTTATCACCACCAGCAACAACAGGTCACACAGGGGGCGAAGCGTGCCACCGTAGGCATGAACCTGACAGAGCACCCTTCCGGCTCGACTGGGAACCTAGCCGTCCAACGATCCAGAATCGCCCGCCCCTTGTCAACGTATTCGTCTGGATCAGACGGTGTGGTTGCTCACCGACGCAATCTCTCGGCCTCACCGTACATGCATGGCCGGTCGTCATCGAGAAACTCCACCGCGTCACCAGATAACCGCTCTGGCTCATTCTTAGATCTGCTCAATACCTCCTACCCACAGCCCGGTCCCAGTGTGGCTCAGTTTGATAACTCGCATCTTCGATCCTCGGTCGGAAACAACGCGTCGTTGTTAAGCCACAAGCAAACATTTGAGATGTATCTGGCGAATGTGAAGAAAACCGATTCACCGAGTGTGCAGTACGAGTTTGCTGTGTTCATGATCAACTCCATGCACGAAATGCCAAATGTGGATCTCGAGGATTCAAACTCCATCACGCGATCCCGCTTGCTCCAGGAAGCCAAATCCATTCTCCAGCGTCTCGCTGACCGCAGCTATCCCTTTGCACAATACTATCTTGCTGACGGGCTTGCGTCTGGATTATTCAACAAGGGAAAAGAAGATTATGACCGTGCATTCTCTCTCTTTGTTGCCGCCAGCAAACACGGCCACGTGGAGGCCTGTTACCGTACTGCTCTTTGCTATGAGTTTGGCTGGGGGACACGGCCAGACGGTGGTCGTGCAGTCCAGTTCTACCGCCAGGCTGCATCAAAGAACCACCCGGGTGCCATGTCCCGCATGGCGAAAGCTTGCTTGGCAGGCGACATGGGACTAGGCAAGCGCTATCGAGAGGGAATCAAGTGGATGAAGCGGGCGACCGAGACATCCGACACGCAATACAACTCGGCCCCATATGAACTTGGACTCCTACATGAAACTGGCTTCGGAGATGATATTTTCCAAGATGTTTCCTACGCGGCGCAATTATTCACCAAGTCCGCAGAACTGGGTCATGTCGAAGCGTCTTACCGAATGGGCGATGCCTATGAGCACGGGAAACTCAACTGTCCCCGTGATCCTGCTCTGAGTATTCACTTCTACACCATGGCCGCACGGCACGAACACCCACTCGCCATGATGGCATTATGTGCATGGTACATGGTTGGTGCGGAGCCGGTTCTTGAGAAAGACGAGGATGAGGCCTACGAATGGGCTAGACGCGCAGCCGAAGCCGGTATGTCCCAAATTGACGTTTGCTAGCACGGGTCGTTTTTTTCCTTTCTAACACACCTTTCCAACACAGGTCTCGTTAAAGCCCAATACGCAGTCGGATACTTTACTGAAATGGGGATGGGCTGCCGTCGTGACGTTCTCGAGGCAAACGTCTGGTATGTCAAAGCTGCCGAGCAAGGCGATGAGCGCGCCAAGCTACGTATCTCTGCAATCCGAGCCGCAGCAGATGGCGCCAGCGCTGCAATTGGTACTCGGAATGGAGGTCATTTCAAGAAAGACAAAGGCAACCAGGCACAGGGTGAGTACATGTTCATCTCCTCTTTCATCACCACACATGACGCATATTAACAAGATTAGATGTCACCAAAACAAAGCAAAAGCGGTTCACTATTTTTTGATTCTATCATTTTGATACATTTCCGTGACCTGGACATCCAGGAAACATTCCTTTTACGCCCGATGCATACCCGTCCCTTGATTCCGATTTCCCGATTTCCTATCCTTGATGTTTGATCATGATATTCCCACTCTGCATACGCCGCACCCGCAACACTTCTTTGACACTATTCAATCATTCTGCTTTATTACATAATCTGCATCTCAAGCTCGAAACATTTTGGGCCTGAACCACTTCATCTTCCTCCCCCTTCCTTTCATTTCTGCCGTTTCATCTCCATTTGTTCTGCCATCTTCATTTTTGCATCCAGCATTCCGAACAAGCGATCAATATTAATGTACAGCGCATATCCACTCATTTCCTTTGCTTTTCGTCATCTTATAGGCAGCTCTCGCATCCTGCTTTTTCCAGTTGACCATTCCTTGCATTTTAAGGTATTCATGATTTTATTCATGATTTTTGTTTCCTCTTTGTTCCGGTGCAATAATCTCAATTTTATCTTGTTTTCTCGCCTCATGAATCGATTTTTCTATGGGCATATACGTCCTTCCCAATTATCTTCAGCTTATACGTTGGATCTCTCTCGGCGTTCTACTTTTGTTTCTGCCTTTGTTTCTGCTTCTGTCTTTGATTCTGAGTCCGATCCCGATCCTCTCTTGGTTTAACCAGGATTACTAGTAGTCGCAGGGCAGTTTATTTGCCGCGATTGAATTGCGAATGCAAAAATTTACAGACCCTCTTTGATTCATTATCTTTCCATCTTTAACCAGAGACTTTACCCCAATTGAAAGCCACTCATTCAGTCTACTGTATAAACTGGAGTGAAGGGTACTAGACCACCCTATTCTTTTATTTATTTTTTGCTTGTAGCCTAGTAGGAAGTATGTAAGTCAATCTCATTCTTTCCCATCAATTGTTTTTTTCTTTTCTTTGACCAAGTAATGACAAAGCTTGCCAGTATGTACAGAATAATTGTCTTTCTTTTCTTTGGTGGCCCTCGTCATCTCATATAAGATCTTGCCATCCGGTCCCAACATTTAAGCTTCTCTTGCCCTGGGTCCAACTTTGAAGTAATACTCTCCATATACTCCCCAACTATTATCTCAATAGGTCTCAGTCGACGATCCCCTATCAATCCTTCAGGGAAGCAATCCACTCTAGGGACTCTGTGTATTTAAAATACACCAACCATGAGAGTCTCCCTCACTCTACTTCCCATTGCCTGTCTGGCCAACTTCATTTCTGCCGGTCCGGCCGCCTATGAAGTCTGCCATCACGTGTGCGCAAAGCTCGTTATGGCCTGCTACTCCGCTGCGGACTCTAATTGGGGGAATGCTCTTGTATCAAGGGCAACTGCTCCTGTCCTCCTTTGTAACTCATCTTTTAGTCATTGTCAATCAGCCTGTGCCAACGTGCGCCTGATTCCGTTACTACCTTGACAATGAATGGTGCTGAGACTCAGGGACATTTCTGGCCATACTGTTGGAGTTATTTTCTTCTGGGGGTTTTTTTTGGAAATCGGGGTAAGAAATTTGATTTCAAAGGTTCCATATCAATGTTCCTTTGAAGGTTGGATTTTAAAATTTCAGCATAATAATATTATGCAATTCTGTATATTCATCGCGTCTTTACTCAAGGAAGCCACCACTTCATTGTGTTTGGGTAGTTTGCATATGCCACATACAGAATGTCGATCTTAACCTCGGCTCCCCAGATGATCTTATACATTTCAAGGTTGTAGGAAGCGTTGCGCCTGGAAAACAACTTTGTCTTCTTAATGCCAATATGGACATGTTCAATTCAAATCCAACAAGTTTTAGGAGATCAATTCCATCTCTCAGTATTTCTGACAAGCCTCACTGAGCAGCAAAACATATACCCAAGACCAACGGAGCATTTGTGGGGATCAAGAGTCAACCCCGCAAGTACTCCAGACTCCAGCCATCCCCAACCACCAGGCAAAATTAAACGCAGCTCGGTTTCTTTTTCGGTAAATTCAGACTATTAGCAGGGGTACGATCTTTTAAGCGGGATGACTTTAGGAATGCGGGCCAGCTGTTCCTTGATTGATGGAAATACCCCGATTGCATCACGCTTGTCTCTAGATGTCCTGATGAGTCCAGAAAAAGGACATCTCCGGCGGGATAGAAGCTTGGCCTGATCTACTGAATCTCCGATTGAATACGTCAACAGTATACTTAAAAAGTCCTGCTACCCCATTTCTTGAGCAATCCAATGAGCTCAACTTCTTCTTTCGCACCCGGACAGATCAATTGATCCAAAATGAAGCTCTCACACATACTCACTTTCGTAGCTACAGCTACAGCAGCATCTTTGGGTCCCCGATCCCACTCTTCCCCCCAGCTCCAGCAGCTGTATCCGACGTCACAATCTTCACTCCACCAACAGATTACAATCTCCCCCGGACTCTCTACGCTCGCACAATCCAACTACCCAATGGCGACCTACTCTCAACTTGGGAGAATTACTCTCCAGAGCCACCCCTAGTCTACTTCCCCATCTACCGCTCGACCGATTTCGGTAAGACATGGGCTGCCTACTCAAACGTCACGGACAAGGTCAATGGATATGGACTGCGATACCAGCCCTTCCTGTACTATCTTTCTGAGTCTATCGGCTCATTCAAGGCGGGCACGCTACTGCTGGCGGGAAATAGCATCCCCGAGGACCTCTCCTCCACCCACATTGAGTTGTATGCTTCGCATGACGATGGGTTGACCTGGAGCTTCGTCAGCCACATCGCCAGTGGTGGAGAGGCGGAGCCCGACAATGGACTGACCCCAGTCTGGGAGCCTTTCCTTATGACCTAGTGAGTGTCCCGTGGATTTTATTGAAAAGGAGGTCTGCTAATGTAGTTACTAGCAATGGGCAGTTGGTCTGTTACTACTCGGATCAACGGGATAATGCGACTTATGGACAGAAGCTTGTTCACCAGGTTTCTTCCGACTTGAAGAAATGGGGACCCGTTGTCAATGATGTGTAAGAAATAACTCGTCCCGCGTCATCCTCCTGCTATCTTCCCTCTGCGATCAAGACTAACATTTAATAACAATATCAGTGCCTACCCAACATACACTGATCGCCCCGGAATGCCAACGGTAGCCAAAGTAAGTCCAACCCACCACCCGTATCCACTATACACCCTCTAACAGTGGCTGCAGCTCCCGAACGGAAAGTACATTTTCATGCACGAGTACGGATCCTTCTTCAACACATCAGACTACTCCTTCCCGGTCTACTACCGCATCTCCGCAAACCCACTCGACTTCAACTCCGCAGAGGGAATTCAGTTGGTCGCGACAGATGGTACAAAGCCCACTTCCTCCCCATACGTAACCTGGACACCATACGGTGGTGAACATGGCACCATCATTGCGAACGGGCAGTCCTCCACATCCATCTTCATCAACCAGGCACTTGGGGCTGGCGAGTGGACTGAAGTTGCCACACCCGAGGTTGCGGCTTATTCGCGGTCTTTGAGAGTTTTGGAGGAGGGAGATGGTAACTGGTTGGTTCTTACTGGCGGTGGAGATTCAGCTGCCACCACAGATAACTTGGTTAGTGTTAGTGTTTTGAACTTGAAGGGATTGGTGTAATTCATCGATCTAAACAAGTCGATTCTGGGTGGAGCCTTGAAATTGTTGATGCTTGTAGATATTCAAGCCCGGAAAATAATTATCCTGTTCTGAAAATCAACTACAGTTCATCTCATGCAAAAATCTTGCAGGTGTTGGAAGATCCAGGTAGACTTCGGCTTCCCTTAGGATAACCTAGGCTCAAGATGATTGGCAAATATTGACTGCTGGGCATGATTACTTACTACTAGTAGTAGGTAGATTTTCAACTTATATGGTATTCTCCGAACATTAATTTTCAAAATAACCCCAGTTGTTAGCGGGAGTATACCATCGGGTGGTTCATCACTCCAAATAGTGACCCACTGCTAGTAGACACTCTCAACTAACACTTTCAAGTTATCAGGAGAAGTGAACCATCAATGTGACCTATTCTGGTCACATGGTCTGCTCCTGGACTTAAGTCTGAGTGCAGCGCGTGTTGGTTTTGGTAGTTAGTCTGAGGAAGTGAGAGCTTCTCTTTCCTTTCCTCTCTCCTTCCTTTCCTCCTCATTCCCCCTTAGTGACGAACCACAATCACAGCTTGGATTCTTCCCCTTCTTTCCCCCAGGTTTACATTAAGACACTGCGATGGAGACTCTGGGAGTAGAGGACTTTTTTCAAGTCGTCAATTCGAGCTGGGAGAAATTGCTTGAAGACCGTCATAAGTGGGCTCCAGACCTGAAAATTGTATGGGGCCGTGGTGTGTCCGGTCGCAATGGGATTGGGAACGGCTGAACCAGACTACGCGACGGCAATGTTGGCGCTGAAGAGGCTCTTGTGTATCGACTGCAACGAGTCAATACCCTAGATCGCCCACTGTTAGGAGAATACGAAATCGAGCTCTATGCGTGAAGGAGATTAGCAGAAAGTGTTAGCTAATTGTTATCTTATTTCAGATCTTGTTCCCAAATCCCGATGTGCGCCAAATAAGCTTAGAAGTGGATCAAAGCCAAATCCCGATAAACATCATCAACCAACATTTGAATGAGTCAGAGAAGCAGATTCGGTTTTGTTTATTGAGTCACATAAAAACACGAGCACATAAATAGTAGGAGCTCCGCAAAAGCAATTGCGTTCCAGCACCATCAAGATTTTCCCATAATTGCCTCCAACTGGCAGCATCTCACCATGACTTCCAATTACACATACTCATTCTTCCGCATCCCCAAGACAGACGGAATCGACATCTCTGCCCAAAAATATCGAGATCTACGCTTGAAAGCCCTTCAAGCCTCACCCCACTCCTTCTCATCCACCTACGCGATTGAAGCAGCCTTCACCGATACCGAATGGATCGAACGCCTAACTCTTCCCGGTCGCGAAGTCTTCATCTGTGCCGCAACCCCAGTCAACCACGACCAATCACGTCCCGATGACATCCAATGGATCGGCCAAGTCACCTTGCGAGGACCCGCATCCAGCGCTGATTTTGAATTGCCCGCGGAAGCTGCGCAGCCTCCCCAGAAATCCGATGACGAGGAAGAGCGGTGGCAGATGCTGAGTCTGTTTACCCTTCCAGATCACCGCGGTCAAGGCCTTGGAGGCAAACTGTGCAAAGAAGCTATTGAATATCTTCGGTCATATCAGTCATCTCCTCCGAATATTCAAGTGCGTCTCATCGTGAAGGCGGGTAATGATGTTACGGTGGAGTTGTACCGGCGTCTTGGGTTCATTCACGCTGGGAAGGCGACTCTTGTGGAAGCGATGATTGCAAATGGCGATGAGCACCTTATTCCCAAAGATTCTATTCCTCCCAGGTTCTTTGAAAGGGGAGGGTTGATTATGCTGTCTCGTATATCGCGCTCATAGTATTTAGAATCAATTGAATAGAAGATTTTAGACTGGGTGCTTGCATGTGTACTTTCATCATTAAACAATAATTTCTGGGGCAAGATCAAGCAAGCAAGCAATGATAAATTGTCAATTATAAGAGATCATTGTCTCTATGGTTGCTAAAAAGGGCCCACTATAATATCGAAATAACTAAGGTCAAAACTATTTGCCGAAATGCTTCAACTCCAAGTACCTGGTCAGAGGGAAAGAAAGAGCAGTAACAACAAACGTAAATTCATTGGCAATATCACCATTGCCAATCAATTTTGCAAGAGGTCCAACAAACCACGTTTCTGACATGCCCATGCACCACGCCACGACACCGAGGAGGAATGCAACAGCAGCACCAATACCCAGCGGGAGTCTGGCAGGGTCATTCCATCCTTCCAAATCATAATTGGCAAAGTTGCCCTTGCGGAAGATATAGTGCTCCTCAAATAGAATCACAGCGTAACTCGTGCACCAGTATCCCAGCAAACTCAAGAAGTTTTGCAAATAAGTGTTCAGCTTTTGACGACCTCCAATCGATAGTGCCAAGATACACACGAAGCAGAAGAGTGTCCACAGGATTCGAGGAACGCGTCCGAAAGGTCGGGACAGCTGTTGGAATGAGATGGCAGAACTATAGATGCTGATAACGTTGACATTGATGCCGGATAGGACGAGGAGGGTCAGGAGGAATTTCGCAAATCCGCGAGGATATAACATGTCCTGGATCAAGTAGCCGATTCCCTGATCGTACGCAGCAGCCCATTCGGGTTTGTTGTTCAATGCCGAAGCTGCAATACATCCGGCAATCATTCCGATGGATGTTGGGATGCCAATACCAAAGGTGGTCATGAAGAAGACCTTGACACGGCTAACATCGGCAGGGTAGTGGACATAGTAATCGCTGGCCATTGTACACCATGACGCGCTGGATCCGTAGACCACGGCAATCAAACTGAGAACCGAGCCTGAGAAATTCAAACCCGTCACGGTGGCGGGAGCTGTATTGTCTGCGTACTGGCCAATCTCTCCGAAAATGACCAGAAAAATGATGAAGAAGACCAACCAGGCCCATCTCTCATAGATCAAAATTGCTTTCAATCCGACCAATGAGACAATCAGGGCAACAACGGCCAGAATGACAATTCCCAGAATCAAGGAGACGTGACCGTCAGAGACAGCAGTCAAAGCTAAGCCTCCCACAATACAAGCAACGGCGGCCCAACCCAGTTGCTGGATACCATTGAGCAGAGCGACTAGCTTATTAGGCCACCAACCGAAACTGTATCGAGAGACACTGATCTGTCGAAGGCCAGTAGCGGCGCCAAAGGTCGCGCAAAATCCACTCAAAGACGCCGCGAGTAAAGAGACGAAGATGGTGATGAGAATGGATTGCTTCAGTGTCAAACCAAACTCCCAGCCAAGGAAGCCAGTCGCGAAGCAAGAGACGTTCAGGGTGCCACTTGCCCAGAGCAATGCCATGGATAGCTCTTCCACCCAGTGGACGGGTCGTTTGTCCTCTGGACGTTTTCGTGTGATGGCTTCGGACTCCAGGCCCAGTCTCTTGTCCATCCTGGCCTCGAAGGCTCGGATCTTGGCTAGAAAGCCGGTCTCGTGCGCAGGAGTGACATTGTTGTCGGTTGAATTTCCCTCGAGGGAGCTCTGGTCGACAGTCGAATAATTGGCCTTTTCAAGGCCCTTTTCCGCATCGATAGCCATTGCTGTCCACGGGGTGGAGGGAGATGTGTAGAGAGAGGATGGTGGAATGGGGGAATGAGGGAAAAAATGTCTTCCAAGCGAAATTTAAAGTAGTGCACGTGGACGGCGCACCAACGAGCGCTACTTACTGCGGGGGAAAGATAAGCTGCGGACTCCGGACGCCACCTCCTACTTGATTGGTTTACAGGGTTTATCGAGATAATTTCCCCAACAACAGGGACTAGAACCTGCAGTAGCATGTGGCACATTCTTGATTAACATACTAGTATATGATTGTCGCGATGATATGAGATACTACTAGTACTGATTTCGATTGCAATGTTCTAGAAGACATTCAGAACACGATATAGACTTATCAGTATCTTATCAAGCCCTTATCGGGCTTCTCCATGGTTCAAAAGTTCAGGTGGAGATAAAATCTCTTATCTTTGCTCGGATAAGGTTAGAACTTAGGAACGCTTACCCGTCTGGGGTCTTGCTCTTTTGCCTCGATCACTTCTTTGCCCCCTTGCCACCGCACAGGGCCAGCTGACAGCTGAACCAACACCAAAATACCCGAGGCCAGTTGTAACCCTCTGTCCAACGATATTTTGCTTCGCTTGGAAGGCGCTCGATCCTTGTATTAAACTCTTGGCTTACCGCGCCCGACTCCTCAACACATGCCTTAAAAGGGAGATCTCAGCCTCTCAGGAATCGACGTTAATTTATAACACGCATGTATATTAACGCCAATCTCTAACTTTAATGCACAAGCGGCCCAGTCTTGGTCATCTGAACCGCCAAATCTATAATTCATTCTTATCCGATAAATGAAAAGAAAACTTATCATCTAGATTGGATACAAGAGAAGCTGATCCCTATATGTTCTATTTCGGTGTTTGTGTGGCCCAGTGTGGGACAGGGGATCACGTGACCTGCGGCCAGCGGCTGCGGGCTACGGTGTAAACCTACATAGTAGGGTGATTACGATCCTTCAATTCATCTCCAAGCTTCTTATTGTCTTACTAAATCTAGCAGAGCATCCTTCTTCCACCCGTATAGCCATGATGACCATGAACTGCTTTGCCCTAATTCTTCCGATCAGGAATGGCACGTGCAGTGACTCTTCACCGATGACCCCGAATGGTTCCGGCTTTCCCCTTGCGTATGCTCGTAACAGACTCAAAACTCTGCAGTGCTCGCCTTCGCAACGAAATGGTCGCGGGCACTCACGGTGCACGAGAACCACAGGTGGATTACTGTGGATCAGATCTTCGAGATCCCGATCCGAATCTACCCTTGTCACCCGGGTGTGCCTGAAAATGAAGTCATGAATGTGTCAGCAAGCTAGAGTCTATGACAACATTGAAGCTTCGCATATAACTCAAAAACACTCATTATCCCAATGTCTTTTGTAAAGCTGATCTTACAGGTCTCAATTGACGAAACAGCTGTGGCCTCCGGAACAAACTAACGCCCGCAAATATGCCATTTCGGTTCCTGGGCGCTTTGCGCATCGAACATCGAGCCGTGTGCCCACCCTTCGCTACCTACAAGCAACGACTGATTCCTACATCGTTGTCAACACATCTTCAGTGCAGATACCATGCCACGCAAATCCAACATACAGAAGCCTTTCACAAGTCCGACGCAGACAAGAATCGTGTCATAATTCTTGGTTCGGGCTGGAGCGGCTACAATCTGTCGCGCCGACTTTCTCCGTCCTTTTCGCCAATCGTGATCTCCCCTCGTTCCTATTTTGTCTTTACGCCTCTCCTCACCGATACGGCAAGTGGATCTCTTGATTTCTCCAATATAGTCGAGCCCGTGCGTGATCCGCATGCCAAAGTCGACTATATTCAAGCCGCGGCAAGATCGATTAATCTGAAGAATAAGACCATTCTATGCGAAGCAACTGTGGTCAAGAGCGGTGTCACCGAGGCACAAGTCCCGCAGCATGGAAATCGTTCGTGGGAGCAGGGCGAGATGTTCGAGGTACCATATGACAAACTTGTTATTGCGGTAGGCGCTGTGAGCCAGACCTTTGGGACTCCTGGTGTCAAAGAAAACGCCTTCTTCTTCAAAGACATTGGTGACGCTAAGCGTGTGAAACGTCGCGTACGTGAGTGCTTTGAGTTGGCCGTCCTTCCGACCACATCCCCTGAAATGCGAAAATGGTTGCTTCATTGGGCGATTGTCGGCGCGGGTCCCACTGGCGTTGAGCTAGCGGCGTCACTGCGTGATTTTATCTACAAGGATATGATGAAACTCTATCCCGCTCTGCAAGGCATTCCTAAGATCAGTCTCTATGATGTTTCCCCCAATGTTTTGTCCTCATTTGACGAATCCCTCTCCCGGTACGCCATGGAGACTATGAAGAGTGAAGGCATTGATATCAAGACTTCTCACCATGTTGAAAGCCTTCGATGGGGAGCACCAGGCGACCACCCACCTCACGAGATGGATCCGAAGCGCTGTCTCACCCTTACAACTAAGGAAGAAGGCGAAGTTGGAGTCGGAGCTTGCGTGTGGGCAACAGGAAATAAAATGGGAGAATTCATCGACTCCCTTGACAACATCGACGAATTTCCCATCGACTCGGTTGAGACAAGTAGCTCACTTGCACCCAATGATGAGCAGCAATCTTTGTGGAAGTTCAAAAAGTTCACCAAAACAGGTGCTTTGCTTGTTGACGGACACCTTCGAGTGCAGCTACAAGACGATTCCGGCCGCATCGCAGTTCTGCAAGACGTCTTCGCGACAGGGGATAATGCTATGCTTGAGACTGGATCACCTCCCGCCACGGCACAGGCTGCATTCCAAGAAGCCAAATGGTTGGCAACAAGGATGAACAAAAATGATGTGGGCCAGACTTCAGCCTTCTCGTTCCGCAATATGGGAACCATGGCTTATCTGGGTAACCAGCGAGCACTGATGCAGATTCCTCATAATGACGAGAATGGAAATCGCAAAAACTACCTACCTGAAGGTATCACGGGTAGGATGGCTTCATTGGTTTGGAACGCAGCGTACATTACCATGACCATCAGTTGGCGCAACAAACTACGGGTTGCATTCCGATGGACTCTCAACAGAATCTTTGGGAGAGACATATCGCGTTTTTGATCGTGTAGTATTTTTTAGTATACTCCACTCTAAAAATATTAGATACCCCGTGAAATATTGAATCATGTGTTTGAATTCGAAATGAAAAACTGCATAAATTCCCAAGGTTGACCTCCAGGAATATGTAATAATTTGGAACATCTTATAACGTATAACGGAAGCCAGGTATTTGCTTGTCTGTCCGGTTGTTCTGCAATTCAACGACGTCGCCAGCACCTTCGGTGCTCTCGGCAACTTCATTCGAGTTCCGTCTTCTGTTTTCCCAGACATAGTACACAAATAGCAAGCCTAGGAAGAAGATTCCGAGAACTAATCCACACAAGGAAGCTTCAATTCCGCTCTGTTGAAAATTGCGTAAGTAAAAAGGAAGAGATTAATGATTAAATGGTTGGATAACGTACCGAGTATTTCGGACTTTGAGATGCGAAGAAGAATTGAGGTCCAACAATGTTACCTACACAGTAGGCGGCAAAGATGGCAACACTAATTGTACTTCTTTTGGTCGCTCCGGCGACATTGGAAGTAACAATACTCAAGCTCAGGGGGATGTTTACTGCAAACGCAGCAACGAAGGCTAGACCAAGCAATTTGGCCACCCTGTGAGTGTCATTGAGTGTGTAGATCAGAACGATTCCGATCACGGCAACAATCACGTTGAGCATCATAGCCATGATACGCGATGATTTGATGTAGGTAGCGATCGCTGCGGTGGTGATCAGAAACACCAATTGGGATGCACCCATTGGCATCTGCAGCAACAGAGACTTGAAGTCGGAGTATCCAAAGCCTGCAATGATGATTGCGGAGAACTAAAAAACAAACCATGTTAGTATATTTGAGCAATATGAGCCGCGGTACATATTGTAACTGCTTACGCTAGTAAGGCCTCCATTGCAGAGGTTCACACAGAAGGTGTAGAGAACGAGCAACCAAGCCTGTGGATCCCTGACAGCCTCGCGGACTTGACTCCAGTCAAACACCTCTGTGGCCTCCGTAGAGCTTGTCTTGTCCTTCATTGTTCGCTGCACTGCAATCTTGCGTTCGGTTTGTGTCAGGAAGGATGCTGTCGCAGGAGAGTCGGGGAGGACGAAGAAGAGGAGGATGGCGTAGCCCGAGGTGATGCCACCAAGCACGAGGAACAACAGACGCCAGCTCTGCAGGCTTGAAGCGGAGTTTCCAATTCCCCATGCAATCACACCTCCGATGAGGTTGGCCATGCAGTTTCCAATGAACCATGCGCCCTGACTGAGAGTTGGGGGTTAGTTCTGCTGACTATATTCTTGTATTTCTTTGGCCCGCGATTTCTGAGTGTCACGTTGACTTACCGAGCAGGTTGCTCTTCTCTTTTGTAGAACATTCCTGTGATGAGACCAAATCCTGGTGCGACAGCAGCTTCACCAACTCCAAGGAAGAATCGCACGGTGATCAAGCCACCGTAATTCTGGCAGGCAGCATGGCACATAAGAATTCCTCCCCAGATAAAGCTAGATCAACAAATGTTAGAGAGAAAATCAAGCCGGGCTGGGGATCACGATACTTACACAGATACAGCAAGGTACTTTCCCAAAGGAAGGCGGACGATCAAATAGGAGGTAGGCCAAGCCCAAGCCAAGTAGCCAAAGTAAAAGATTGCCGAGCACCATGTATATTGTTGGCCAACAAGGCCCTAGAGATGAATGTCAACACATGCATGTGGACGGTGAAAGAGTCATCAAAGCCTCAGGGGAGAGCTTAGCGTGGGTTTGAAACAAGTTCTTACCAGATCTTCTCTCAGGTTCAAGAGTGTCGCTTGGCTGAGTGCCAATTTATCCATGTACTGTAACATATAACAGATTCCCATAACAGGGATCATACTGTATAGAGATCAGGACTTGTGCTTCTCTTTTCAAATGTTCATTTTGACAATGTCAAAGTTAGTAGCAAGTTGGTTGAACTCACAATAAATCCAATTTCCGTAGTAGTCGACGCTCCTCCTCAGGGGATGCTTCATATAATTCCACAACCTCCCCGACACTGGCATCTTGTCCAATCTCATCGACATAGCTTGTCTTCTCATCGTAGCCTGAAGGCTCTTGTAATTTACTCATGGTGAAAGTATATAGTCAATCAATTGATTGTATAGAAGTTGATAGAAAAAAAAACTAACCCCAGAAAAGGATATTGAATTGGTCTATATACCCTAACTTTGAATTGACATAAACGCGTACGAGTTCTAAGGTTCGAGGCGTAAAGTATACGGAGCTCGAGATTGGCCTGTCCAATTTGAAAGATAAGATGCCATGAAGATGATCTCGCTTGCCAATTATTGCCATTTTCTGTTTTCGTGAAGACTATAGTGACATTCTCGTGGACATGTTGGAAGATAGTGAATTCGTAAGACGATAAGATAGAGATAAGTAGTCGTTCTTTTCTATGTAGAATGCTTCCAAAGGTTCCCCTATCAATGACCTGTGACTTTCCCGCGGGGAAATGACCCTTGGAAGGCGGGGAAGTCACGTAGAGGAGTGGCAATACAGTGGTCCAAGCCACTGGAGATGACCAGGTCGGCAAAGGAAGAGCCTTTGATCAATCGGTTAGAAGACGAGGAGAAGAGAGGGGGGCAAAAAGGTACGCGGTAGATGCGGAATGATATCAGGTCGGCAAATCCAGGCCTGTTGATTGGTTGATTTTAGCCTCAAGCCACGAGTTCGGCAAATTCGCAACATTGAAGTCTAAAATCCGGGTGATCGGAAGGATCGGATTGGTGGACGTTGCTTCTTGATAAGTTGTGCAACCCCATACTGGATAAGAGCGGAATTGTGGTGTATTGTGGTGAGTTGTGGTGAGTTGTGAATTGTGAGCATTAGTCTACCCAATTACACTTCACACGCTGTGGCTTGGTCCGCTTGGATACCCAAAGATTAGAAATCCATACTGTCACATCCGGTGACTATCTGACCTGTTCCAATACAATTCCCTCGAGTTCCAAAGTTATGAAGCACGGATCTCATAACTCTCGTCTTATGCAGAATGGGGAAGTTCCAAGGTTGGGGTAAAATGGGAAAACCAGAATATATAAGGGAACCATGACTTCGCCTTGATAATAGAAGCAATTTCTAAACATTTGAACTCAGATCCACTTCAAATATTCAAACAACCATCAATAGCAACGCACAAATGACCGTGGTTCCTGTCTCAGTTTCGCCCAGTGAGGCCCAAATTGCCGTCGATGAGGCATTGGAGAAAGTTGCGAAGCAGCTTCGTGATCTAAATCATTACGTAAGGATTTTGCTATTGAATATTCCCGCGATTTCCGCGTGAGCCAATGACTACAGTCAAGCTAACTCGCAATTCGATAACTTCTTAGATCTGGTCAAACCCCGAATTAGCTTATGAAGAGCACAAGGCACATGACGCAATCTGTGATTTCCTTGAGAGCCAGGGTTTTACTGTTACAAGACATGCCTTTGGTGTCGACACTTCGTTCGAATGTATCAGTGGAACAGAGGGCCGAATGATCAACTTCAATGCGGAATATGATGCGTTGCCCGACATTGGACACGCTTGTGGACACAACCTGATTGCTACTAGCAGTATTGCGGCCTTTCTGGCCCTGAGTCACCTGCAAAAGAAGTTTGGATTGGGTGGTAGAATTCAGCTTCTGGGTACGCCTGCCGAGGAGAATGGCGGCGGAAAGGCCAAGCTTCTCGACGCCGGAGCTTATAAGGGAGTCGACATCTCCTTGATGAGTCATGGTGGTCCATCAAATATGACTGGAACTCCAAGTGATGGTTGCGCCGGTGTATTGATGAACGCCCGCAAGGAGCTCCATGTCGAATACTTTGGAAAGAACGCCCACGCAGGTGGTAACCCCTGGGATGGCGTCAACGCCCTTGACGCGTTGGTTCAAGCCTATAACGGTATTTCGACTTTGCGCCAGCAGATCTTGCCCGATGAACGTATCCACGGAGCGTTCCTTGATGTCCCCAAGGTCGCTAATGTGATCCCCGCGTACACCAAGTCTTACTGGCAGATTCGCAGCCCGTCATTGAATGGATTGAACAGTCTTATTGCCCGAGTCCGGGCCTGCGTGGAGGGGGCTGCTGTGATTACGGGCTGCACAGTGAAGATTGTTGAGTGAGTGGTGACAAATGCCGAGGTTGTACTCGATATGAACTTGAAGCGCTAATGAAGATGAATCTACAGAGAGGGACTTTACACCGACGTCGTTTTGAACTCGACTTTGTGCGAGCGATTCACAGAAAATATGCGCGGCTATAAGAGAGAGATTATTCAAAAGTACGACAAGGTCTTGACCGGTAGTTCCGACGTCGGAAACGTGAGCTACGCAGTTGCCACTCTCCACAGCATGTTTAGCATTCGCGCCCCCGAAGGATGCTTCCCGCATCACCCTAGCTTCACTGCTTGTGCTGGTACGGACGAGGCTCACGAGGAGGCTCTTCTGACTGGTAAGGGTCTGGCCCTTACCGGATGGGATATGTTGACCGATGATAAACTTTTCGAATCTGCCAAGTCCCAGTGGGAAGGACAGATTCTGCCCAAGGCTTGAATGGGAGATCCCTACAAGGCTTGGGCTGATACCATGGTATTGTCATACAAGATGGGTGGCCCAATTACCACATTGCAAGGATCAAAGAGGGCTTGGTCTGACATTCAGGGCTTTCTCTGGTTTGATCCTCTTCCCTTGCTTGGTGTCAGCTGTCATCAGAATCCAATTAATAAGTAACTAAATTTAAGAATATATCTAAAACTTCATACATCTACCATATAGTTCCTCATTCTTCCGATCATTTTAAGGCTTGACATTGAAGCATACATAGCCTTTCTTTGGCTTACGGGGCTATAAAGTGACTTGTTTCCCTTGGCCATTTCTGCACGTGGCAGTACCCTTGGAACGAAGCTTGGAACTTTCCAACATTGAACTGTCCTGTTCACCCGGCCTCTAATTCCACTCTGCTGCCGGAACGAAATGTCCGTTATAAACTCACCAAGCAGCATCAAAAAAGTGGACGGATATGTGGCCCACTATAGATCCTCCATCGTCGGTATCAGTCTCTCTTTGGGCTCGGTGGCCACCATTCTCATTGCTCTGCGAATCTACACCTACTTCTTTATCGTTCGCCGGCAAGGTGGCTGGATAATTCTGCTAGCAATATTCGCTTGGGTTCGTGATACCGAGTACAACTGAAGACGGGTTCGTTCCACGATTCAAGGCTGAAAACTTCTGAGTTGAATTCTAGGTCTTAGGGGTGCCCGCCACTGTGATCGATTGCTACACGTCGTACAACCCAGATTTCTTCAACTCCCAATCCCTCCCCGGCGTTGCCGCGACATTTAGTTAGTGGTCCGTTGGATTTGCCAAGCTAGGCGTCACACTTTACATTCTCCAAATCCAAGGTCGAACCAATAAACTTGGTAAACGGATTCTACTCGCGGCGGTGGGAATGAATTTCATTTGCTGCATTTTGAACACGCCTCTTATTCTCTTGCAACTACAAACCCACCAAGTTGGCTCTCGAACTATCATGTTTGGATCTGGTGAGTCCAGGTTCTGTCATCTACAACTCGCTCTCTGAATCTTGAGGTTCTAACCATACTGATAATCAATAGCATGGAGTGCTCTCACGGACATCCTACTAGCCATATACCCATTATTCATCATTTGGAAGCTTCAGATGAGTTTACAGCCCAAAATCTTACTCTCATGCTTGATGGGCCTCGGCATTGTCGGAGCAGCGTGTGGTATAACTAAGGCTGTAGTAATCGGTACTAGAAGACATACCTGTAAGGATACCCCCAATTATTCTTGTCCCACTCGAAGCAATCTTCGCAGACTCGTTCTTTAGGCTAACTCTGAGCATTAAAAATTTTCCAGATGATGTTGCACCCTTGGTCATTCTTACGATAATTGAGCTAGAACTAGTTCAAATTACTTCGGCGGCGGCTCCACTTTGGCCTCTCATGAAGCATATCAGTTCAAAAAAGACCTCCAAAGACGTCGAACGTGTTAGTTCGTTGATCAAATTGAAAGATATAGGGACTAGGCAAGATGAAAGCCAAGAGGTCTTAGTGGCACCTGGACGAATCTTGTTAACCAACCATCTAAGCGTGCAACGTGAAAGGGTTTAAAGAGAATCAAGTAATATTATTTTAATCGACAACTCTATGAACTCGAGGGATCACAAAGTTTATTACTATCAATTTTGTAGACATAAAGCTATCTTCCAGACCTATAATCCATGCTGCGTCGTATACTATTGCCAAATCCATTCGCATACGGGCCTTCCGGTCTTCTAGAGGCTTGAGTCGAAACAGGTAACAAGCTAGGTCCATAACCCAAATCAAGACTCCTGCTGGATCGGGCCATACTGAACCTCTTTTCAATCTCCAATGACGGCATATTATCAACACACTCATTCGAGGTTGTATCTCGGTGAGAAAAGGACAGCCAGCGTCGGCCACGGAAGAAATCGGAAATGTCATCCACGGATAGTGCAACGAGAATAAGAGGAATCGAAATAGCAAAGCCAACTCCAAAGGTATACTTGGCCACGTATGCGAGATCCAACCCATCGAATTCTTGCAAATTAATCGTGAAAATGGAAGAAATGAAACTTAATGGCAGAAAGACAATAGTCACAATGGTAAAGACCATAATTGTCTTGCTTTGACGACTCGTCCCAGCTGCTTGGTCTCGAGCGAAACGAGCTTCGAAGGCGTTGGCATGTTTCTGTTTGAGATCAAGTAAATCGGTAATAGAGTGGTAGATGCGTTCAGCTTGTTTATCCATGCGGTCGATATCTTTCAAATGCATGTCTATCATGCGCTGCTGATCCTTGAATCTTTTTTTAACTTCCAATTGCGATTTATTCTGTCCTTGATAGGTGTCGCAGATCACTTCTTGAAAGTCAGCAAGGACATTCTTCTGTTGCTCAAGCACAGTTCGAATCATGTTAAGCTCGTCCTTGATGTCTTTTATTTCGGCTAGAAGATCGGTTTCCTCTCCAATGTCAAGAAGATCATCGACGAAAAGCGGTGAACCATCACCATCAGAATAATCATTATCATTATTAGGATTCACTTCCTCGGGGACGTCATGGGCAGTCTTGCCGCGGGTAGATTGGTTCATTCTTCTATGGCTCTTTATCCAGCTGGATGCCTGAGCAGAGGCATGATTGAAACGGTTGAACAATAGCGTCTCCCGATCAGTGGCTATACCAATGGAAGACTCAAACATGTCCATGAATTGATACTGATCGTCACCCATTCGATGTCTGTCAAAAACACCGGAGCATCGATTGGTGATGAGAGTTGCCAGATCGTAGACCGATTTTACAGGCTCGCGAGTCTTAGAATTTATATCCTCAATGATGCCCTCGAGGACGTTCAGTGGGTCATTCTTTGGTTGGTCCCATCTTTGTGGGAAACTGGTCACAAGGAGATTTCCCGTTACCCACATCCATAATTGATCGACCATGAATATCTTCGGGTCGTTTGCTGTTCTTTCGCACCCAGGGCCCTTGGTTTGGTATCGATACACGACCTGATCCTGGTCCCGACCCTGTGTGTCAATATTGGGATAAAAGAATTGATCCAATGTGCGGCGCATATGAAGTGAAGTGTTAGAAGACAAGAGATGCGCATCAAGTAGCATTTCGTCTCGTGTGCGAGTTCTCTTGAGATTTTGACCATCAAAACTCAGTGTTTCAGTCCGTCTTATCGCTTCCTCCATCTTGGTTCTTCGTTCCGTGGATTCGAAGTGCAGGTATGGCATAAAAACACTGATGTTATATGTAGAGACTAGGACATTGGGATCCTTGCATAAATTCCATGGAGACTTTTCTTTTGGTTCGGCTTTGGGGGTCCCAGGATTGCTCCCTGGTTTGCCACGCTTTTGATTTTGCTTGTTCTTCGAGGCACCTTGATTTCCTCCGTCGGTCGAACCTCCCCGGTCTGCTTTTCCGCTCAGTCCTTTCGGTTCCTCTGGCTTTTTCTCTTCTCGATATCTCAAGATAGGAGTAGCCTGACACAAAGGCCTCATATATCGAGAATGGGTCTTTTGACCTCTGTGAGACCATGTAAAAGATTTCTCAATACTTTTGAATCCCTCAACATCGTGAGCTCCTCCTTCAATAAAGAATTTAGTCAACAGCGCTTCGATCCAGCTTAGTTCATTCACAGGCAGATGGATCCACCTAAATGCTGAAACTGGAGAGACTGTCATAGCTGGCTTGCGCGGATTCACAGTGTCTCGGCCATAAAGTAAGTTGAAAACCGACATCCTTGTAATTCGGTTATTGTTATGGTAGTCGCCAAAATCGACAATTGTGCTGTCAAAGGCAGCAGCGGCTTGCTTGGCGTCTTCGGAGAGCACCTCAACATTGTTGACCGGATTCAACATTAGAACGATGTCCTTTCTCTTGAACTGTGCTGCGCGTAGAAATGGAGTGCTTCCAAAGTTATCCCTGATTTGTCTTTTGACCTCTGGTCTTTCCAATAACAGTTCTACAACTTTTGTGTGGCCTCCCTGAGCGGCGTGATGCAAAGGCGTGGTTCCATTCAAGAGCTGGTTATTGACAAGCGCGCCGGCTTGCAGCAAGATTGCCACGATATCTTCGTGTCCACTGTCAGAAGAATAGTGAAGAGGTGTCCAGCCACCATCACTAGGCCGATTAACGTCAGCCCCATGACTCAGGAGCAATTTGACCATATCTGCGCGGTTGTGTGCAGTGGCAACGTGCAAGGCAGTTTTCCCTCGCAACTCAGTACTATCAATCTCCGCCTTTGGGCCCCCATCTGGCCTACTAAGCAGTAGCTCCGCGAAACGGACATTACCGCTCATACTTGACCAGTGTAGCGGGGTCCGACCCAGCTCATCCTGGCCTTCGACACCATCGATCTTGATGTTCGTCCTCAGTAAAAGCTTCACAACATCGTCGCCCCATCCCCAAGTACAGGTTTTATCAGCGGCAAGATTGTGTAGCACATTCCTTTTTCTCAGGTCGCGGGCGTTGACATTGCCGCGAACGATCAGAAGCTGTAGGATGTCCACATGGTTCTTCCACGCTGCCATCATGAGCGCGGTGCGCCCTTCTTTATCCGCGCTATCGGGCGATGCGCCAGCGTCTAGGAGCAATTTCACAATTTGAAAATGATCTCTTTCCACGGCGCGAAGAAGGGGAGAGAGTCTGTTGCCCTCCACTTCGATTTTGGCGCCGATCTTCAGGAGGTACTCTGTTGTCGCGATGCTATTGCGCTCAGCGCTGCGCATGAGCGCAATACGGAGGAAATTGTCGGAGAATTGGCCATAGTCGTGCGCTAGGCTGATGATCTTGTGCAGAGCATCAACGTCGTCATTCTCAACGGAGCGCAGCAGTCGTGGTTCGAGACGCTCGTGGCCTTCACTAGTCATGCTGGAGCGTGACATGGCGCTCAGCTGGAAGGGTATAAAAGGATTAATGGTGTTTTTTTCCGGCTTTTCTTCTTTGCCCAACTGGTCCAGCAATTGATTAGGACATTATTGGCGCTGTGAAGGCTGTTCTTTTCACCGTGTTTCTCGCCACGAGCAGTGGGGGAAATGAAAATATTAAGGTTCTCATTAGTGTCAAGAATATTATTATGTAAGGGCAGGGATCAACGGTCTAAGCCATTTCCATCTCCCTGCAAGTTATAATAAGCGTAGCCTCGGCCTTCGTATTCCAGGTTGCCTTGTTTTTGTGGGGCGGAAAACTTCCACTTCAAATGTAGAGTGTTAGATTCAGGGTCCTATTGGGGTCCAAACATGTCAGAATGAAGGGAGATCAATCAGAAAAACAAAGTAGATAAGATGGAATGCTCTTCAATGTTAACAGTTGAATATCATATATTACTTTATTTTATAGTTTGATGCTCAGGTTCCATGGTAGATACCCGAGTCCTCTTAACTAGAAGGTCACATGGAGAATTTATACGTGCAGATATTAAAATCTCTATTTTTTCCAAGTAGTCTCCGCTCAAAATACAATAAGGACAAATTATGGGAAGTAGAGGGGGATCCAAGAAGAAGAAAAGAAAAGGGCTCGAAACCACGGGGGATATGCTATGCCTTCTTCCATGCCTCTTCAATACATTTAAATGGTTTGCTTTTCCTCGTTGCCCTGTGTATCACGCCGTGCCGACCCCGTGGTTCATGTCACCAATATGCGCCTATCCACAAACATCCAAAGGGTGGTGAAAAAAAAAATGAAATAAAACAAAAGGGCCAAATATAGCCGAAGGGAGTGGTTGTGTGATAACACCACAATGCTGCTAGAGGCGAATGAACAATCCGGTAAATTAGAAAAAGAAAAAAGGAAAAGAAAAGAAAAGAAAAAAACCGGGCAGAGAGGCAAAGAAGGTTAAGAGGAAGAAAGTGTTTAATGCTTCTTGCCCTTCTTAGGAACCTCCTTTAAGATGTCATCGAAACTCATGTTGGGATTGAACCGACTGATGGGACGGGCAGGAGGTTCAAGTGGGGCAATGCCAGCGGGCAATGGCAAAGCCTCCAATCCAGGATAAATTGAGTGACGGTGCTGCTCAGACCGTGCTGCAGCCGCGGGAGAGCGTTGACGAGGAATAGCAGGCGGAGGTGGTGTCAGGCCACCGTGAGGCATGTTCAACATGTGATGCGGTTGTTGTTCGGAAGAAGAGCCGGCCGATGACTGCTGAGCTGGGTAGGGTGAGGAGATTGAAGATTCATCCTCTTCCCAATCCTCATTGGACGGAGGCTCAATCAATTGACCAGCCTCGGCCCATTGTTCAGCAAGCTGCCAACAATGACTCCGACGGTAGACACCTTCGACACCATTGATGACCACATCAGAAGGTAAACTAACAACACCTGCACCACCAGCAACACCAAACCAACTGCGAGCAGTCTTTGTATCGTTTTGGATCCAAGGGGCTCCACCGCGAGGGGCAATGGAGAGGAAGTACTCAACACCCTCGGTGAATCGGACCTCGGGAACGTCCACAACCAACATGGGAAGGGACTGAATGACGGCGTAGAGGAAAATCCATTGACCACAGCGGAGATCGGTGATATCCTCGAGGGTCTTGCCAGCAGCAGAGCGTCGCTCAAATTGCATGAAGCTTTCGATAAAGGTAGTGGGCCGCATGCTCTCCCGAGTGTAAGAGTCCATCAACACAGCATTGATGTCGGAGTTCTTGAGCTTCTTGCTTCGCAACTTGGTGGCCTTCTTCGGTTCCAGAGGCTTGCGATGCAGTACTTGCAACGATGGGATCTGAGGAACGTCGAACGGAATGGGAGGAAGAACAGGAGGAGTACTGCGATCATATTCGCTAAGAATGTGGCGAAGAGCACGGAGGGTGACATCCTTCAGATCAGTAGAAGAGTTGTCACCACCAGAGCCAGAGGCATCAATGGTGCGGGTGGTGAGGGAAGTACGATCAACCAACAGATCGTAGAGGTCGGTGAAATCGTGGTACAAGTCCAAGAGGAGCTGACGATTCAATCCACTCTCCTCGAACTCGTTCTTCTTTGATCGGGCCTTGGGCGGCCAGCTGCCATACTTCTGTCGGTAAAACTGCATGGTAAAGCGGCGGAATTCAAAGAATCCAGCCTTCCAGTTCTTGAAGCGGAGGATTTTGCTTTCCATCGAGGTGGCCGAGTTCGCGCTACCAGAGAAAACGGATGGGAAGTCGAAATCCTCCAATTTGGAGTAAAGACCACGCAGACGAGTGTCAAGGTCAATGAATCCACGCTCGAGGCGCTTCTGGGTGATGGGATGAATGAAGGTATACTTTGGGCTTCGGAGTTGCTTGATTTCATCAAGCTTTCCGACACCGTGCACGAATCCTTCCAAGTAGAGAGGGAAGTACCGCAGGCGTTCACCAAGGACAATGGCCTCGATAGTCTTTTCCCGACTCTTACGCACATCAGCCAAGCGTAGTTCATCGCAGTAATTGCTGAAGCTGGAGGTGGCTGTTTCACCAAAGTTAGAGCCGTCCAAGTTGGTGAATTCAAATCGGGCCAACAGAACCGCGACATCCATGAAGATACTGAACAGGGATGAAGACTTGGGGCTAGAGATAAGCGATTGGCCCAGAAGGAAAGCGAAAAGGTTGCGGAATAGGAGCAGATTGTCGGCATCCTCTTGTGTCAGGCGACATTGCGGGTTCGAAACGTCACTGTTGAGAGGAATTGGCAGGTATAGATGCAGTTCCGGAGCTTCATCGATTCCATCATCAAAGGCCATGCGTTGGCTGCCTTGGCTATCGTTGTCATTGTCTGCAGACCGGTCCAGCGGGGTCAAAGGAGGCGAGACGAGGGAGAGGGTGCGGGCGGGCTGCTCCAGACCGGTGGCTTTGGCGTCGGTGCCACGGGCAAGGTAGGTAAGGGAGGGAGATTCGGCGAAGATGGTAGAGTCGACCTTGAAGGATGCCGAACGGCCGGTGGTTTGAGGGAACAAGTAGACATAAGTATCACCTTGTTCATTCCATAGCTCGGGGATCTGGTTCGGAAGAAACTTGTTAGTAAGATACACATTTTGGGGGTTTGATTCCCAGCAGGTCAAAAAGTAGATAAAAATCAAATAATCCCGACGTACCTGTTCTCCTCGTAGCAAGGGTCCTAGATCGTAGAGGACTTTCTGGTCCAACCCAGCAATCCAAGCACTCGGGGCGGTGGCCGCAGGGGGCCGCTTATCCACGGAACTGGCGCGCGACCGAGCACCCATACCCGGCATCCAACTTCTACGCTTCGATGGCGTGCTGGGACGGGAATCTGGTGTAGAACCCGGGATGGCCAACCCTGCCATACTGGAAGGTCTGCTCATGTCGCGACCCCTGCTCTGAGGTCGGCCGGTTGTTGGGGAGCTCGGGGCACTATTGGCCAAGTCGGTGTTTACCGCGAGCAAGGATGGTGGGGGTTGCAAGCTCTCCAGGTCGAAGTCCAAAGGCGCCGAATTGGGGACGGTTCGGGGCTCTGTGGAGGAGAAGACGGCATTTGGTGTCGAGACATGACGAGTTGGTCGGGAGCTGCTTCTTTGGCGAGATTTTGAGTCGGAAGGCTTGAAGCCAGGTGAACTGCCCGGTGATGCAGCGGTCGCATTTTGATCCTTGTGACTGCTACCCAGCGAGAAAAGAGACGAGATGCGCTTCGCCGACTTAACGGGAGCTGACAACATCTTTGTCACAGGGTATAAATTGAGGAATTGGTGTGGGGATAAGGAGGTCGAAGGTTTTAGAGGCGACCAAGGCGCAGGGCAAAGAAAAAACCAGGTGAGATCAAGCCCGCATAGGAAAGCAGGAATGAGTTGTAGTAGAGGGGGGAGACCAGGGGAGTTTTGGGGAATGGATCGGCAGGAGGGATTGCACAAGAATGGCAGGGAGAAACGGTACGAGTGGGAATGAAGCCGCAGTACCGTGACTTTTTTTTTTTCTCTCTCAAAATATCAGTATTAAGTGAGACAACTGAAAGCCGTTGAGACCAAGTGTATAAGTCAAAAGAAAGAGAGAATTAAGGAAAAGAGAAAAGATAAAAAAAAAAAAGATAAAGCGGATCAGGGGGGTTCGTTTCAGGAGATTGGAAGTTGTATATAGAGTTGGGGATAATTTTTTTTTTTTTAACTTACACATGAAGCCTTACGCAAAAGCCCCCAAAACCCATAAAAGAATTTAAAAAAAGCAGGTAAAAAACGGTAATGAGCTTCGATCTGGTTCCTTTCCATGCCAATAATAGCTCGATAATGGGTCCCTTGGCCGTGCATGTCGTGGTGGATCCCCCGGAAAACCTGTTAATACGCGGTATTCAATATTGGATATGAAATTAAATAAACATTTATTCAAATGTTTTTGATGTTTAGATGCATTGAACATTTGACCCTACTTGAGCTAACTAGTAGCCAGTATATTCAAAATTATGTGAAGTTGTACTGGGGCCAACATTTGAAAGGTTAGGCTGACTTCTATGAATAGTATGCGCTTAAGGTTGCTGACTCCCGATATATAGGTACATATAAGCACTTGAGAGCTTCCAAAGGGGCCTTGAGTATACATTAGTTCCACTATGTATATATATAGTAAACATTTGAATGTTTGGCAGGTGTAGATATTCCAAGTATACCTAGTAGTAATTCATGAATGTCAACTGGTACCTATTACTTCATATATATGTCTGATTTCCAACCTTGAAAATATTGAACAATCCGAATGTTTCTATCATAAATCTTTCCTACTTGAACCAGTTGATTTCATGTCCCGATCCGATCGATGAAATACAGCGTAAAATGGGGCAGTTGGAACGCTAGTCATTTAAATGCATTCATTGCATTAATTGCATGGAGCACCTTACCATAAGTGAGACATTGGCCACATTGAACGCGAAAAAAAAAGCTTGTATCAATCAACTTGGAAAAATTATGATAGATTGAAAAAAAAAAAGAAATATTCAAGGCCTTTCAGTGTTTCCCGTACCTGTTCCTGAACCATCGGAGTAACTCTGCGTAACCTTGGAAATTTCAGCCAAGTTGTTCGTTTTGTTCGTTTTGTTCGTTTTATTCAGTTTAATATTTGACTTTGTGGTTCCACCTTCGCTTCCACGGATCTCGGTTCTGCTCCATTTTATGGACACCTTTTGAAGCCCCAATGCTTTCTCCATATCTATCGGTCCAATTGACCTTGACCCATTGAATATTGCTATTATTTTCTACACAAAATGCCACCCATGGACCAAATTGACCTTTCGACTGGTTGGCCGAACCCCACGCTCCTCCCCGCCCCCGAACTCCTCCGCTCCGCCTCAACTGTCCTAACCGACCCCTCCATTGCCCACCCGGCATTAGGCTATGGCCCCGACGAAGGCTATGAGCCTCTACGTGTCCACATTGCCCAATGGATGGAATCCTTTTATCAACCTCGCCACCCGATCTCTTCTAAGCGCATTTGCATCACCGGCGGAGCCAGCCAGAGCCTCGCCTGTATCTTGGCTGTATTCACCGACCCCGTGTACACGCGGAATGTCTGGCAGGTTGATCCCACCTATTTCCTAGCTGGCCGCATATTCGACGACGCTGGCTTTGCTGGGCGAGTGCGGGCAGTGCCCGAGGATGACGAAGGGATCGATCTAGATTTCTTGGAAAGCGGATTGCGTGCGTCCGAGGATCAGGCTGCCGCCAAAGGCAATGTCACGCCGGTAATAAGGCCAAGACAACCCAAAAAAAAAAGTGGCAGGGATCACTTTAGAAGGAAAGTGATACTTTGCATACCGAGACTGTGGACTGACTTGACCCATACATTAGAAAATTAAACCGCCTCGATCATGGCGCAAGATCTACAAACATGTTATCTATGCCGTCCCCACATTTGCGAACCCGTCGACTAAGATCATGTCCCTGCACCACCGGGAGCAACTGATCCGGCTGGCCCGGAAGTACGATGCTCTGGTGGTGACTGACGATGTTTATGATCACTTACAGTGGTCCTCCATTGCCGGTAGTAAACTGCCATCGGCCGACCGTGCTTTTGTCCCACGTTTAGTTGATGTGGACCGCTATGTGGACGGTGGCCCTGTGGATGAATGGGGCCACGCAATAAGCAATGGCAGTTTCAGTAAACTTATTGGACCCGGAGTCCGCACGGGATGGGCGGAAGCATCTGAAAAGGTGGCCTACGGTTTATCGCAAGTGTAAGTTGTCTTCCGTCATCTCTGTTATCATCTATACAGTATAATTCTTTGTGCGGAGTATATCGAAATGAAGTTGGGCTGGGGCGTGGGTAGGCTGACGTGACAATAGAGGCTCGTCTCGGTCTGGTGGAGCACCCTCCCAGATGACCTCGACCTTTATCGACCAACTCCTTGTCACTGGATTTTTGGAACAACATATCCGTGATACCTTACAGCCCGCATATGCAGAGCGGTATCACGATCTGACATCTGCTATTAAAGAATACCTGGCACCACTGGGCGTCAGTTTTGAGGCCCCAACTAACGGGGTGGCGGGCGGTTATTTCATTTGGCTTACCCTTCCAGCTCCACTTCGCGCGGCAGATGTCGTAAAGCAAGCTGATTGCGACGAAAATCTGCGCTTAGCGGCTGGTGATGTGTTCCAGGTGGCTGGTGATACCGAAGCAGCCAGCGATCGCTTCACCAACCACCTTCGTTTGTGCTTCGCGTGGGTAGAGCCGCGTGATCTAACCGAAGGAGTGCGTAGACTTGCACGCGTCCTGAAACAAATGCTCTAAATAAGCACATCTGCCTAGATGTCCAGCCTCGATTGTGGTATTGCCACAGCCTGGAAGGGTACGGAACTTGACGGTCCGTTCCGGTTGAGAGGACGCGCGGCCATGGGACCCAAACCCCATACAAAATGAGCCCCAGTTCCCTAGATAGTACTAGAACGGGTCCCAAATGGATCCAGGTACGGAGTACAGGGTTGTTCCGTACGAGTACTCATGGAATACTGTAACTAATCCATGAATTTTACACTGGGACGATGGGCACAATAGTGGATAGTTAATGTAATTCGTAAGGAAATTTTGACTAAGCCAGAGTTGGAGATTTGAACCGGATGCTTAGTCACATTGCATAAAACCGTGTTCCGTGGAGCATCGTACAATCAACAACAGTTCCTCGGATGTGATATGATCTGCATGCATCAAAATTGGCAGGTCAGAACCGAGCAGTCAGAGAGCAAATGAGGTTATCGCATTCGTACATCTCTAGTCCATGCACAAATCTTGACTATGTACATGTGCACTAGCCCAAATGGGGAGGTACCATTATTCAGGGGCAAAGCTTGGCGAACAGTTTACTTGACGATGGAGTATGGAGTACGGAATACCTAAAGATGACAAGATCCTTCCATGGATTCTATTCTGGCCCGAAGACGTTTGGCCTTGAAGCTGTGCCGTGGATGCCATCATCAAGAATCTCAGAATCTCCGGTTCCCCTCCCCGCGTCTCGGGAATGCACATACTTGACATCCGCACCCCTAACAACCAAACAAAAAAACACAGACCTTGGAACTTTGTCCAGTCTACACGTGCCCCTCATTATTGGTTGTCTGTTGCAAGTTGCGCCCACCGAATCATGCCGGAGGTCCCGAGTGACTTGCCGAGAATGGCGGGAGCTCTAGGCGCCGGCTTGCCCCCTGATGTGTGACCCGTTGCCATCGAAGGGGGTCAATCGGGCTCCACAGGGCAACGCGCTTGATCGGCCATACCAGGGGAACGAAAATAAGCAGGGACCGTCCCTCCCACCTACGTATCCTTCAATGGAATGGTCCAGGAAATAACAACCCGTGCAAATCAGAGCCCCTGGAGAAGGCATCGAGAGAAACACGCTCCTCCCATGCGACGGAGGAATGCATACCCTGTGTAGGATGGGAGAGATTAAGGGAGGGTATATTAGCAACGTAGAGCCTTCAATCCCAGTATTTCTGGAATTTCCTTTCTCTTGCTTTTGCTCTACTTTGGGGCTTTTCGTATATCCCAAAACAGCAATCCAGTTGTGTGCTGAACGTGCCATTGTGATATTTCCATTTCCAAGCTTGAATAACCCCCTCTCTGTGCCTATTTCTGTATTTCATTCTTGATCAAGGCAAAGTGATCGCTGGAAAAGCGAGCTTCTTTGAGAAATTTACGGAGTAGCGACTCCCGAGTCTACCTGCGACATCCGGCTCAGTGATTAGCTGCTTGAGCGTTTCAAGTTCCTGACTATCGCGTTTCAAGGGTCAAAGCCAGACCCTCGGTGGGGCTGCTGTGATTGGTGGAGTGTGGATTTAGAAAGCAGCGCCGGCGCATGCGATAGGCTAAACCCGTGATTCAGGGACAACTCGTGCAGGGACCAATTCAGCTGTGAGTACTTGATTTTCTTTTCTTTGCGCTTCCAACTTGTCATTGTTCTCTTCTCTCTTTATTCTCTTCTTTTCTTGTGGGCATCTTGCTGTTTCCTACATTCACTCCTTTTTCTATTCTTCTGGAAGGGAAGTTACAGATCGCGATTTCTGCAATCTATACTCAAGCCTGGTGCTGCCTTCACATTCAATCGTTCTGCGAACGCAATTCCCCTTTTTGCCCTACAGTCCACTCTTTCTTTATATTTCTATATCTTTTTCTTCTTTGCTTGCCTCAAGCACCAACGGCTTACAATTTTAACCTTCCAGTACTGGTTACTGAACGGTTTCATCTTTAAGGGTCTTTTATTTCTTACCCACGATCGTTTCGCTGCAGGTCCAGCGATAGTCATCTTGACGATGGCCAAGTTTCAATCATCAATTATGCTATTCTTAGCCCATTTGATTTTATTGTTGGGTCTACCGACTGCCCTGGTGGGCGCGGTCCCAATGAGCCCAGTCCCCAATAGCCTTGATGTTTCCAAACGGGCCACATCAAGCTACTGGATGGCTAACATTAAGCGCCAGGGTGTGGCGCCCTTTAACTCCAATGCAGACTACAAGGTTTTCCGCAACGTCAAGGATTTCGGCGCTAAGGGTATGTTATCACAAGCACACCGACAAGTTGGATTTCGCCGAGGCTAATCTTGATACAGGTGACGGCTCTACTGATGATACCGCTGCAATTAACAAGGCCATCTCCTCTGGAGATCGCTGTGGTAAGGGCTGTGACTCGTCCACCACCACCCCAGCTATCGTCTACTTCCCGCCCGGTACCTATGTCGTGTCCAAGCCCATCGTCCAATATTATTATACTCAAATCGTTGGCGATGCTACGGATCTTCCCATTATCAAGGCCGCTGCTGCCTTCGCTGGCATGGCTGTCATCGATGCCGATCCATACGAAGATGATGGTGCAAACTGGTTCACCAATCAAAACAACTTCTTCCGTGGTGTTCGTAACCTAGTCATTGACTTGACTGCCATGCCCAAGGGCTCTGGTGCTGGTATTCACTGGCAAGTCGGCCAGGCTACCAGTCTGCAGAATATCCGATTCGAGATGGTCAAGGGTGGCGGCTCCGCTAACAAGCAGGAAGGTATCTTCATGGACAATGGCTCCGGTGGTTTCATGTCCGACTTGACTTTCAATGGTGGTAACTACGGCATGTTTCTGGGTAACCAGCAGTTCACTACGCGCAACTTGACTTTTAACGACTGCAACACCGCTATTTTCATGAACTGGAACTGGGCATGGACTTTCAAGTCGGTTCAGATCAACAACTGTGAGGTTGGCCTAAACATGTCTACCTCGCCTTCCAACCAGACCGTTGGTTCCGTCATGCTGCTCGACAGTACGCTCACCAACACCCCTACTGGAATTGTTACCGCCTGGACTGAAAAGAGCATTCCAGTTGGCGGTGGCACTTTGGTCCTCGACAACGTCGACTTCTCTGGCTCCAAGGTTGCTATTGCCGGTATCGATGGAAACACCATTTTGACTGGTGGCTCTGTTGTCGCCAACTGGGTGCAGGGCAACACCTACACTCCCGGATCTGCAGTCAGCAAGCGTGCAGTCCAGGTTGAGGCGGACACCGATGTTGTTACTGTGACTGAAACTGTCATGAAGACCATTGAAGCCTGCCCCGCAACTTACGCTTCAGCCACTCTCGCCAGTAACAACGAACAGTCTACTAGCCAGTCGACTCTCCTTTTCCCTACTGGTTCCGAGGAGCGAACTGTCGCCTCCGTGCCTCCCGTTGGCACTGGCGTTGTTGCTTCAGTCACAAGTGCCGGCGAGAGTATTCCCGCTGTTGTAGCGACCCCCAAGCCAGCTACCACCAAGGAGGTCACGTTGGTTCCCTCCGGCGAGAATACTGTCGTTGCGACTGGGGCTGCCGAGGTCACCTCTGCCGCGACTGCCACAGTCAAGAACATCGGTGGTACTGGAACTGGTGGAGTCTCTGCCAGCATCTCTGCTGCCCAGAGCTCCTACCCCGCCAGTTATGGCTCTGGATCCAGTGGCAGCACCGGCACCTGTGGTGCTAACCAAGCTGTCGAATCTGCTCGCACTCAGGCTGCTATCAAGGCCTCTTCCAAGCCAGCTAGTCTCCTTGTCGATGGCGCAGTTTTCGAAAAGTCCAAGCCCTTGTATGAGACTGTCCCTGCTTCCTCCTTTATCAGTGTCAAGTCTGCTGGTGCCAAGGGTGATGGCTCTACCGATGACACCAAGATTATTCAAAAGGTTCTCGATAGTGCCACTGCTGACCAGGTCGTGTACTTTGACCACGGTGCCTATGTCATTACCGACACCATCAAGATCCCTAAGGACATCAAGATCACTGGTGAGATCTGGCCCATGATCATGGCTCATGGCAGCAAGTTCGCCGACCAGCAGAACCCTATCCCTGCTATCCAAGTTGGCCAGAAGGGCGAGACCGGTTCCGTTGAGATCAGCGACCTCGTTATTATGACCAAGGGTGCTGCCCCCGGTGCTATTCTCATGGAATGGAACGTCGCCGCTTCTACTCAAGGCTCCGCTGGTATGTGGGATGTGCACTTCCGCATTGGTGGTGCCGCTGGATCGGATCTGCAGAGCGACACCTGCCCTAAGACTCCTAAAGTCAAGACTACCCCCAAGGCCGAATGTATGGCTGCTTTCTTGCTTCTCCACGTCACCGAGAAGGCCAGCGCCTACCTCGAGAACACCTGGATGTGGACTGCCGATCACGAGCTTGATCTTGCCAGCCACGCCCAGCTCAACGTTTACACTGGCCGTGGTATTCTGATTGAATCCCAAGGCCCCGTCTGGCTGTGGGGTACATCGTCCGAGCACCACCAGTTGTACAACTACCAGGTCTCGAATGCCGAGAACGTCTTCATGGGTCTCATTCAGACCGAGACACCCTATTATCAATCTAACCCTGGCGCTCTCACCCCATTCACACCCCAGCCCAAGAAGTGGAACGATCCCGATTTCGCCACTTGCACCACCGCCTCCTGTCGCAAGTCATGGGGTCTGCGGGTTCTCAACTCCTCCAAGACCTACATCTACGGTGCTGGTCTGTACAGCTTTTTTGAAAACTACGCTCAGACCTGTCTCAACTCGGAGGACTGCCAAGAGAACATTCTCGAGGTCGATTGCTCTGACGTCCAGATCTACGGACTTACCACTAAGGCATCCGTTAACATGGTCACTTCCTCCAGCGGCAAGAGCATGGTTCCCGAGCGCCCGAACAAGAGTACATATGGCTCGACCATTGCCCTTTTCGAACAAACCGTCTAGATACGTGGTTCAAGTTTCACTTAGACATTTGCATTTCTCGCCATTTTCGTTCCAGTCCATTATTCCTCCTTTCTTCTTCTCCTTTCTCTGCTTTCTTTGTCTCCATCTTTACCACCATGGCTTATTTATGTCATGTGTGAAGTAGGCCCTTCTTCTTCTTTACTTCCTCTTCCTGTAACTACTGTTTTAGATTACAGTGGATCAGTGGATTTGGTGCTCGTTCAAGAAAAACGGTACCGCATTGGAGGCCTTATTTGATACCATCAGGGTTTTATTTGTATGACGAGATCATTAATAGATATGTGATCCAACAATGATAAATGGCATAAGTTATAACATTTTATTTCAGTATCAATCATCATGTCGTAGTATCTATATACTTGGAACATTCTCGAGTCGTTAAATCGGATATGAACTTATAGAGAACTCGGAGTCATCACAGAAGCAGAAAGTTGAAGTCATTGGGCCGTTCCCTTGCCAAGTCGATCCAAGAAGCAAGCCGCTGATCCGGTAAATTCCACCAAGTCTCCAAAAACTCCAGAACCCTCGCGCGATCCAATGTCCGACTGAGTCGCATCACATCTTTGAAAGCACTCTCCACAAACTTCTGACTCGGCCGATCACCCCTCACCTCCGTCCCCGCAATAAAAAGCGGCCACACAAAGTCCTGGGCCCACATGCCGTTCCTCGTCTCGGAAAGACGGCGCACATGGCTCAAGATCTGATCACGCGCATGTTCCACGTCGATGACCGTACCACGGATCTGCGGGAAAGCCTGGGCGCTGTAGATCAGGTTTGCGTGGTAGAACATCCAGACGACAAGTTCGAAGTCTGCGCGATCGGACTCGGACCAGAAGTTGACTTTTTGGCTAAGGCGGAAGCTCTTAATGCGTGCGGACTCGATCTGGGAGTGGATGTCTTCGATTTGAGAGTAAGGGAGCAGAGTCTGGGAGCGGGTTTGGAGGCGCTCCAGTTGGGTGATTTGGTGGATGATGCGGATAAAGTCTGCGACTGCGGCGTCTTCGGTGCTTGTGGGTGCGGTGCTAAGGTTACTGATTACGTTCATGTCGTCGAAGGCGGTTAGATGAGTCCAAACGGAGGTGGAGTAAAACTCTTGAAGAAGGAATTCTTGGATGCGGAGGAGTTGCTGGTGGAGGTAGGATTGACTTTCTCCGACAAGGATCAGCTCACGTGCAGCGAGGAGATGAATCTTCCATCCTGACGACTGGGCCGAAAGAAGTTGATTGTTGCATAGGATGAGCACTGAAGCCAATGTCATGGACGCGTCCGGGCTGGATTGCGACGGAGGCGAGGCCGTCAAGTCGCTCAGTTCCTTGGCAAGACGCGCAAGGGCTTTGTTCTGGTATGCATTTGAGATATCCTGGAACCTGACGAACCAAGGATCTTCTGCAGGATACTGAGAAGCTAAGTCATGCGCAGCAAGAGCAAGGACAGATGAAAGCACCGTCTCTGAGTTCTCGGCCAGAGGTAAAATAATTTGTCTCCAGGGGTTCTCCGGTCCATCGATCCAAGCCAGTCGATGCGCAACCCGTTCCTTGAACCACGCAAGCAGTCGTGAAGCATGTGGAGGCCGGGGACCCGACAGACTAAGATCAATAGACGGCGAACCCATCAGACTTACCGGCGAAAGAGGCTGAGTCCTCAAGAAATTCATCTCACCAGACCGAATCAGCTCAACCGGTGTGCCACCACTGCCTGCAGTACTGACAACCGAAAACTGATTAGAAGATGCCTCGGGGCCTTCACGCACTGGGATCATTTGTCCCTGCAATCTACCACGACTCGCGACACCTTGGCCCCATTTCAGCTGCAGGCCGTAGCCCGGACACTCAAGATTGCGCTTCCCACATTTTGTACAACCCGGTAAGCTGCGATCGCATTTTATGCGCCGCCTTTGGCAGGTTGGACAATCTAGATTTTCCATATTAGCCACCGGCACACCTGGACACTAAGATTGGGGGGGGGGGGGAATATATGCGGTCATACCTTTTGTGGGTGGGGGTTGCGTAGGCCGCTTTGACATGTCCCCATCTGGTGGGGGGATCAAAAGAACCCAGTCACGACCAAGACTGGACCTATTGAACACGGTGCTTTTGCGGGATATTTGGGGGAATTATGCTGACTTGAGGGCTTGAGGATTCTCCCGAGGTTTAAAGGTTGTGAATCGTGATGGAAATCCATGGGGTTAGTCAGCGGGCTAATCCTGATTAGGACATGGTGTCAATTAGAACGCAAATTGATTGGACGAAGAGTCGCATGGAATCTTTGGAATCTTTGGAATCTTCTTTTCTTCTGTGGGTATCCATTCTATGGAGCAATTGGGGGGGAAATATTGGGTACTAAAATACAAGTACCGAGTACAGAGTAAAGAGAGGGCAAATTTCTGATCTTTATGATTATAATGTTATGTAATGATAATGCCATGTTAAAAAATTATGAGACGCTATAATTCCACTGGCAAGTGGATGATCCAAGGGCAGATACAATATTGATATGAGGGAATATACAGTTTGGCTATGAACAAATGTGCTACAGATACTCAAAAAGACAGCAAAGAAATCTTTGGACCTTTTTTTTTTCCATTTACAGCTCCTTCTTGAGGAAGTGCTCCGGCTTGTGCGTGGTCTCGTAGTCGACGTGGACGTAGGCACGTTCGACATCAGGCAAGGACTCAAGCTTGATCTGCAGCTCCTCGGCGACATCGTGGGTTGCGCGAAGAGTAGCGCCCGCATCCATGACAATGTCGACCTCGACGAGCAAACGAGGACCGGAGGTGTAAGCACGGACGGTGTCGATGGCTGTGATCATAGGGGAGTGGGTCATAGCTATGAATGGTCAGTAACATATTCTTCGAAAGAAAACAAAATGAGGCGACTTACAGATATAAGTGATCAGCTGCTGCATCTTGGTGTCCGCAGTGACACCGATAAGCAGCTGGAACTCGCCGTAGGCGGAGTGCACCCACAACCCGCTGACAATCAAAGACAGGATGATAGCGCCCATGGGATCAATCCACCAGCGGACCTTACTACCCAGAATGGAAGTCATAACACCGACTCCGTTGATGAGCAGGTCGTTCCGGTGATCCTCCCACAAAATACGAATCTGCGAAACCTGGTTGCGCAAAGCAAAGCAGTACAGGAAGAGAGCGAGCTTAGTGAAGAAGGCAACAGAGACGGCGATGACAGAGGGCAGGTGGAAGGCAGAGCGAAGGGTGTCGGAACCCTCGGCAATCTCGCGGAAGGAGAAGGCGATGATGATGAGCGAAACAGCAGTCATGATGCAACAGAAGCAGATGTTTCCAGCGGTCTCAATACGGGCCTTTCCAGCAGGGAACTTTCGAGGATCGACTCGGTTGACGGCTTTGTTGCACAGTAGTAGAGTGAGGTTGGAGAGGGGATCGAAGACGGCATCAGCCATGGTGGTGAACAGTGACAAGGATCCGGAGGAGACGGCACCGTAAATCTGAACACCACAGAGAATAATGTTTGCGGCGAAACTGGCGTACACGGCAATTTTGTACTTGAGACTGTTCTCACTGTTCAATTCACGGGCGGCACGCACATGCTCCTCCACGGGCTTCAGCATGCGCTCGATGTTTTCATTCTGGTTTTCGTAAAAGCCCTGCAGCTTGCGTGTGACAAGTGCCTGCTTGCCCATCACACCCGTTTTTTGCATCATCTCCATGACCCTTGTGTTGTCGGTGGTGGAATCCCGCTTCCGCGAAGTATTGGCCTTCATCTGTCGGATTTCGTCCTCGGTCTTAAGCTTAGAGGCGAGCTGGAAAGGATCGCTCTCTGCAGTGTATCGAGGTGGGAGTTGACCCTCTTCATCGGGGGTACCGGAGCGGTTCTGAACGGTTGATTCGTGCTCGAGGGCGCTCGATGTGCCCTCATTGTAAGAGCGGGGAGTCATTCTGTCCGGGGTGCGGTGCGATGAGTTTGGGCTGCTGCTATGCAGATGCTGCAAGGCGTGCGGGTGGTTGGAGAGACTCTGGCGAATGTGTTCCTCCATGATGACGGGTTAGTATATAAAGAATGAAATGAAGAATGAAGGTGAGCAAGGGGGAAAAAGCAATTATTCCAAGGCCTCTAAATGGAGGAAAAAGAAAAAAAGGGACTACGGGACTAGTGTTCCGTGGGTCCTGCTTGGCGGTCCGTTATCAACCAACAGTGAACACCAACATCAAATCATATCAAGTCATCAAATGCCACAGGATTAAAGCACGCAATACCTTTTACCTATCGGCGATAATGTTTGTTTGGGATGATGTCGACAACCCCGTGTGCGACGGGCTGTGAAATCTGCCGTCAAGAAAAGCCCAATTTCCGTGCTCTGTCGCGTTCATACGGAGAGAAAATAAGAGGTCTCCTTGCTCGTTCCCACGGTCGTAATCCTCGGCCACTTTATATTATGACAACTCGGACGTCTGGAGGTACCCTGAGCGTATTGTTCACAGCCCCGAAGATGAAGGAATTGAAGAAAAGATTGACCACTGGTATGATAATTGAGACTCACAAATTGTCACGCAGATTAGTTGCATAAAACCCCAGCCTATCTTCAAGACTGGCTGCACAAGAATCCGACCATAAAGCTCACCAGACCACTTTCTCTGCTGATGGTCGGCCTTGAGAATTGACCGGTCTTACGTGGATACATGCCTTTGATGAAGCCAGCAAAGATAGGATAGGAAAAGGCGGCAAAAACTTCCAGATATTCTGTTTAAAGCAGAGGTTTCTCGAAGATATCCTACCTATTCGACAGAACGTCCTGTCTCTTGATTTACTACATGCAATATGTATACCAGTTGACATACCTGGGTTAGAAGGAAACGAATATCTCTCCAACCACATTGAAGGTTATCTTTGCTACCTTCCTGATACGGCTTAGCTTTAGTGCGCCCTGTCTGCGACATTGTCAGCATTTGAAACTCGGATAAGTATTTGGATATTCAAATGTTGACACTCCTTCGGCCAATGTTTCTCTCATTCATTCTATTAAATTGATATTTAAACCCTGGAACTTCAAACATGGGCTCAACATCAAAGGTGTCATTAATTCCCTGGGATCCTCTCTCCGAGCCTCACCGAGAACGGCTGTATCAACAGCGGGTAGAATGCTCCTGGGATATGGACAAAGTCAACGAAATATGGAAAGATGCACAGCTCAGAGGTGAAAAATGCATATACTGGATTGTGAGTGACATTGAGCCTGTTCGAATAAAATTATGGCTTTTCAAATTCGGTAATGATAATAACAGACATACAGGTCCTCGAAACCGATGAGTCAGAGCAGAACCCCGACTCAAAGCTGATAGACACAGCTGCCTCTATCAACGCAGTACCACGCCAACCTTCGAAAACACAGTTCCAGCCCATTGGGCATATCTCTCTGGATTCCAAAAATGAGGAATCGGCGCATGTTGATCTCGATATCCCAAGTACCGGTGTTTTCTGGATCAAGTCTTTCTTTGTCCGGCAGTCTGTCCAGGGCAAAGGAACGGGACGTGCGGCCATGGATGAAGTCGAGAGTATGGCTGCCAGGGAGCCACTTTGGGCTAGGACCCTGATGCTGTCTACGATAGAAGGGGGTGATCAGGTTAGAGAGGATTTTGCAAAGGCCACATATGGGTCCGTTCCAAAGGTACGTAGGCATGACAGAGTCCAAATTGGGGTGATCGGTACCTACTAGTATTGACAGCTGACATTTGAGAAGATCGTCAACGAGGACTGGTATAGTAGACGGGGGTACAGAGGTATCAAAATTGTGCAAAACTTCTTTGATGTCAGAGATAGAAGTGGGAAGAAGTGGGATGCTAAGGCCATATTCATGCGTAAAGATATTTCTTGATGCCTTTCCAAAACTTCAAGATTGAATGAAGCTTGGGGTGGTACGCGGTACCTGTCTACTATTGACCTGCATTCATCAGGTGTGAATACGTCAAGCACTTGAGTATTTCCAACCTTCAATGACTGGTTATTTGTATCTACCAAATAGGTGGGCTCTGCCTTATTGTGCTTCGGGTGCTTATTAAAATTTCAATATTCTGCTTTCATCAAGCTTTAAATGTTCATTAGATAACTCTCATCACATGTGCAAAGATAAGTGATAAGCAGCTTGGATACTCTGCTAGGTCTCTATATACAGATACAGATACACCTAAATCTCCTCAGACAAATGTTCTAGTAAGTCTCAATCTACAGAAAACGGCCTCATCAGTTGTCACCAACAAGGTACTTGAACACGTTCTCTACCCAGCTCAACTTTTCCTCGGCGGATCCATTGACAGGGATCGTCACGGAGGTAGCAACAGCAGTCGAAGTGGCCACGGAGCCAGAGGAACGGAGCTGGGTCGCAAATGTAGTGCTAGCGGAGACAGAGGTTGTCTCGGGGGAAGCAGAGATTGCAATGGCAGCCGAGCTGGTGGTCTCAACTGCAGCAGGAGTCTCGGTGGAAGTAGCGAACTCAACTGGAGTGGATGACTCGGTGGAAGTGGGGGTCTCGGTAGAAACAGTTGAAGATGAAGAAGATGAAGAGGTGGATGAGGTGGAAGAAATGGACGAAGATACACTAGTTGAGGAACTGGTCTGGGCGGAAGTGGTGGAGGTGGTGCTGGTAGAAGCCGAGCTAGAACCAGACCCATCGACAGTAAAGTCGACACAAGACTCATAGGTCTGATCAATGGACTCGGCGTACCAGTACCACTGTAGCACACAAGTTCCACCAGTAGTGCACTGGTCACCCAGGTCATCAGGAATAGTAACGCTGAACTGAGTGTTGTTTGCTGCCACGCCAGTTGAGACAGAAGCATAAACAGACCAAGAGATCAACGGGGTACCGATGACAGTGTTGGAAGAAGTATCGACAACAGAGACGTTGGCGACACCAGTATGCGGAGCTTGAATGGTGACCTCAAAGTCCACTGTCTCACCTGCCGTGTACGAGTAGGTAACATTATTGTCAGCATACTTGAAGCCCTTGCACAGCCAGGCATCGCACTCGGCAGCATTGTAGTCGCTTTGTGTGTCGGCAACTTGGAGCATGGTCTGGACATTTCCGTAGATATCAGCTGTCTCCATATCGTAGGCTTGTTGACCGCAGGCAGCTTCGAAGGCAGAGCCAGGGTAACGGGGCGTTGGGCTGGTGACGAAGCCATGGCCGTGGACTAGAGGAATAAGTCCAGCAAGGGCAGCGAGAGGAGTGAATTGCTTCATTTTGGCCGGGAAAGAATGAAATTGATCGGTAAACCGGTGCCGTTCAAGTATATAGCGAATGGAAAGAACGAAAAGACTGCACGGTCACAGACCGGAGAAAAAGAATGTAGTAAGAAGGGTTGAAAAGAATAGACCAGCTTTGAGGAGCACAAAACCCAGGCCACGATAACCATGACTTAAATAGATTTGCCTTCTTTTTTCCATTGGTAATCTCGACCCTGTCAGCATAGAAGCTTAATCAACTACAAACAAGTCGAAAGTACCAAGGGAATTGATCCACTGTGGAAGCTGTCAATCAAGCATACTGGAAAATCACGTTGAAACACTTGAACCCCTGATGCACCAAAAGGGACCATTCCTCCCCACCAGGAGGCGCGTGGTGAGACCGGCGATATTGCTTGTCGGGAGATTTTCGGATTTTTTGTCGAATTTTTTGACATTTCAGATATTTCGGACATTCCAGCCTGATCTATCGCACCAGTACTCCGTACATGCATCCGTGAGGTCGATGTTCCTGCTAGGGCTTGCCAAGGCTGGTTCCACGCGCCGGTCAGGTTTCAGGTTAAATAGACCGCATCGCACCGAAACAGGAGTCCATGAGATGCCTAATGGTGATTGCTGGGAATATTGATCGGTCAAATAATGCCGACCCTGATGAAATAAAATTGTGAATCATGTCAATATGGACATGCCAGACAAGCAAAATATTGGCAAACGTGGGTCCCCGGATGACTCGGGCACATTCTCCATTTTTAGCCTTGGGTGACGGGTCTCTGCCAGTTTGATTAAGGTTGATTCAGGGACCGAATTGTGGAGTCTAGAGAGCTGATCAATTGTTCAATTCCAGTTGACAACCTCTCTAGCTTAAGAAGCGTGGTCTTAGTACATGCTGGATGTGGGTTTTTCGTATCTTTGTAAAGTCAAGAATAGGTGCCTGACAATCCTTTGAACTCGACTTTTAGATCGGAACTAGCTACAATCATCATGTCTGCGTTTGACTTGAAATACGTGGAGAGGGGGTTATTCTTTAACATCATCCGCAGATTGAAATCAATGCTCGAGCGAGGCATCCCGAGAAAAATGACAGAATAGTAATGACGACAAGATGCCTGCATACAGTTAAAGCAACAAACACACTCAAAAACAACAAGCTAAAAAAAATTACCAATAAAACGCTCGGGTCGAGGGTATCAATCATCTACAACGAACCTTCACAGCTCGCCCAATCAAACTATGCATGCTCCGATTGGATATGAACCATCACGTTCGCCCTAATCAGCATTGACTCGATTCCGCTCCGCACCAGAATCATGTGTAGCATGATTATCAGCGAAAGGGTTCCCAACTTCAAAGTCCGATGCCTGGTACTCGTATGCTTCATGTGTATCTCTGACTGTGTTGATACGACCATTCGTCATGCCCGTATCATCCAATTCAATCAAAGGTGATGTGGTCGCCTCCTGGCGCGCACCTGATGCCATGACCGGAGAAACGGTCGGCCCGGCATTAGAATTGACAGGAGGACTTGTCGAGCCTCTGGCTTGGCGCGCCTTCAGCATGGCACGCTGCTGGTTCGAAAGCGCGACGGAGACTACATCATTGCATTCGATCAAGGTAAGAAGGGTGTCCTCGTCTGGAGGGGGGTTGTTCTCGTGTATATAGGATTGGATAAGTCGCGAAGATGTTCGGCATCGATCGGTAAATTCCTTGATGAGCTCGTTCTCGTCCATCTCTGCTGCGGGTGTCATCTGAACGAATTGCGTGAGCAATTTCGCAGAATTCCGTGCCTCCTCCACGCGTGCCGCCAGTTCACCTGGAGAGGTGACGTACGCGGAGGGAGGGGGTACTTGGCCATAGGCGCCCGGGCGCGGTGGCGGGACCGGGGCCATCTGAGCGTTGTACCCATGTCTCGCTTGGGGAAAGCGATCAGTCTGTGGGAGTCGGTGGTGAGCATGCATGTTTTTGGGGGCGATGGGTAAAACATACTACTTACAAAGGACCGGTCGCCCTTGGTTTTCTCCTTAGCCCACATCTGCAGGAGCTCCTGGAGATCTTCATCGTCTTGCTTGGTAGTCTCGAGGGTGATCAGATATTGGCGCAGGTAGTGTTGCACGTGCCAGTCTCGACCGTAGCGTAGTAGCTCCTTGATGGTTGTGACGAATTTGGTATCAAAGTTGCGGGTAAAGGTGTGACCTGGGTTGTCCCCCAGAATGCGGGCGACCATAATCGCATTGTACTGGACATGGTTTGAGATTCTGGTTGGCGTTTTCAGGTATTTGCGAATACGGTAGGCGGCTTCCTTGGCAGCGGCGGGGCTAGACTCGGCGAGTTCAACGATGCGAGGGAGGTGGACAAATTCATTTCCTTGCTGAAGAGGTAAGAAAAGTAAGCCATGCGTTCATATGCTCAGAACGTAGGAAGAGGAGTGTTTGACGGAAGCACTACATACCGCTTCCTCTGGGTTGGTGTTGGATTCGCAAAAGGTTTTCTGAGGTGCGCACAGGTCAGTTTAAAAGAATATCTCATAGCCAAAGACTTTCATAGACATTTCACATACCAATTCCCGAGCCAGATTGGCTTCAGGTGAGTCATCGTCATGGGCGGGGGCCTCGTTGTCGCTTGAGGCAGCTGGAGAGCCTATGACGGTTATTAGTGATTATTGCGGGGAGGAACGGGAAAGTGCACGCACTGTCTCGGCTCTTCAATTTGTCCAAAAAGCGATTCATTGTGAGTGATGGGTTAAGGGTAAGTGTAAAAGTGAGAAAGTGGAAGAGTTTCAGTTTCAAGAGTTCGGGGGCTAAACGCTAATTTTATTAAGAACCGTGGACTAGCATTAGTCTCGTGTAGGGTCCATGCTCCGGTACATGTATATAAGCATAGTATATTCGATGCACATGTGTGTGGCAAACGATCTTCAACGGCTACGTGGACTCCGCGTCAATTCTTTTAAACGATCAAGGATGTTACTATTTCCGTCCCTTGGTTCTCTTAATTCATAATCTTTTCACCTTTTTTCCCCCCCCCCTTTCCCCCTTTTTCTTTCGGCATTTTGAGGCTCTGGCTCGCATCTAACCTTACCCGGATTTAACTAGAACTCGGGTTGATCTCGGATTCTCGGTTACATTCAACCTTGGAATATACCGAGCAACTGTACTAACTACTAGTGCTAGTATCCATCAAATCTACTAGAAATTTTGCACACCAAGAATCTCTTATTCAATAACTTCATACTTTTCCTTCAAATGCGTGATGATGTACCCAAGTGTGGCGGAGGCAGCAAGATTCGCACCGCCAAGCCTGCTCGGACTCCGCCCACACAATACATATCTTATGGCACACCCAAGGACGAATCCAAGGGAGTCTTGGCCAGGCAGCAATCACTCCGTAGACAATGAAGTATATCACTCATCATGCAAGGCATCTGCCATTTCTCCCAATGTATCAAAACGCCAATCAAAGATAGGAGCTACCTCTCGGTTCCCCATCGTGGCACCGGGTCTCTCGATCCACACTGACCGGATCCCCGCCCGGGATGCGGGTTGATGATCATGAAACTGGCTCTGTGCCGTCTGCAAGATCTGCTCTGGTTCGACACCAAAGTCTGCCTGTACAGCTTTCTTCATGTACTCAAAGTTCCGCGCATCGGGCTTATAGGAGCCGACGTGTTCAGCAGTTATAATTAGATCAAAGGGAAATCCTTGTAGACTGCCAGCATTGGACTGGGCAAAGGAAGCACGGTCGACATTGGAGAGGATCACGAGTTTATATTGCTTTTGGAGACGATGCAGGGCTTCGACTGTATCGGGGAAGGCGGGCCAAGTGCCCACTGACTCGCCGAATTGGATGCTTTCCTCATCGCTTGGAGGAGGGAGGTCCAATCGTTGGGCGAGGCGAGGATGTATGGTTGTGAGGAGCTGAGAGTATGGCTTGTCTGGGGTCAGACGTTGCTGTTCGCTTTCCAGCTCATGGTAGATAGTCAACAGATGCTTGCGAGTAAATTCGGTCTTGTTGGCTTTGAGGATCGGTTGGAGTGCAGTAATAATTCCACCTTCCCAGTCAATCAGCGTGCCGTATACATCAAAGCAGAGAAGACGGTAGTCTGATAAGCGGGACATGATGCTTAGTATGTTTGAGTGGTGTGTCTTCGGACTCAAGACACAGTAAGAATCTTTGACTTGCCAGAATTCTCCCCGAGGGTAAGTACTAGGATCTACGTCCAAAACCGAGCCCCGCACCATGTGTTCCCCGCCGATCTTCAGTTATCAAGTCCACAGGTTTGAGCTGATTTGATACTATTTTGATATACAACTTGAACCATACTGGAACCCTTAGTATGTGCAATGTTTTTTAAGTCGTAAAAAAAAACATAGTGATATTATTTCAGAATGTCCATCATTCTTGATCACCAATCGAGGGAGAAAGTACACAAGGACAAGATCTATAACGTTTCAAGTTTGCACAGAAGAGGAACCACGTTTGTATCATGATCAGATCGGGCAGTACAGAATACTATGTTTTGTCCGGAGCCGCGCTTTAAACTTTTTATTTGGTTCTCCTCCGTGTTGGTACCATGACCTGAAAAATCTTGTATGATCCGGTATCATTTCCGTTCCAACATACAGATGCGCAAGAACTCCGGCCAGCCCGTCCACGGCGATCCTTTTTCTTATCACCGTTCAACATCCCTTCCCCTTGCGATCCGTTTAAGCCTCAATGACGGCCTGGCGGATCTGAGAGCCACGCTGGCGGGAAGACAGGCGAACCTTGTCCTCCTTGGGGGCCTTCTTGACCTCCTCGTTGGCCTCAGTGAGGATCAACTCGATGTGGCAGGGGTTGGTCATGTAGGGGTTGATCTAATTCATATGTTAGGGAAAGCTCAATCTTTGGGCCGAAACGGAAGAGATTGGGGGGAAACGTACACGACCGTGAGCACGGTAAGTGCGACGGCGGCCCTTGGGAGCCTGGTTAACCTGGATGCGCTGGACAACAAGGTTGCCGGTGTCGAGACCCTTGGTATCGGCGTTGGCCTCGGCGTTCTTGAGGAGGTCGATCAGGAACTCGGCGGACTTGACGGGCCAGCGGGCCTTGGAGACACCGAACTGCTTGCCTAGAGACGAAAACTGTCAGTCGATTGTTCGATAGCCCAGATCCACACGTTGAATTTTTCTTTTTTTTTCCCGAGCGGCAACGGTATCCCAGAATCGCACAAAATATTCCACCTCCCGGCAAATAACCCTCTCGAATGCGCATTCGCATATTGTCGTATTAATGGCGAATAGTCCATACACCAGTTGCCCACCCAATGTAATCCCCCTTAACACCGTTGCCTCGCGAAAATTCATTCCAACGTTGAAACATAAAAAAAAATCGATCCGAACTCACCCTGAGCGGTGCGACCGGTGGAACCGGCGTAACGGCGCATGGGAACAGCCATCGACTTCTTGGTGACGTTGTCGAGGTAGGTGAGAGCCTTCTGCAGCTTCATGCCGTTGATGGCCTGAGCGGTCTCACGGGTGTTCTTGAAGCTGACGCGGAGGTAAGAGCCCCGGGCACGGGCGCTCTTAGCGTTTTCGATCTCCTGGGCGGCGTAACGGACCTGTAGAACGAACAAAGCCGTTAGTATTCATGGTGGTTGTTGGATGAGTGGTGATGGATTTTTTCGATATGCAAGTGGACAAGGTGCATTTGTCCATGTATTCGATGTTTAATGGGTGATGAATGGCCTCTAGGAAGTCGTTCGGGATAGATCGAGAGCTTGGGGGTGCAAAACTCACCATCTTGAAGGAGTTGGCGAGGGGAAGTCGATGGTCCTCGGTGTCGGGATGATGTTGTCGCTTTTCGTCTTCGACCGCTAACGCTAGAACTCCAAGTTTGGTGCGGTTTTTTTCGCTCTTGGCGTGCGGGCCCTAAGCGAGCCCTAACGCTAGCCGTTTGTAGTAATTTATTAGATAAGCACTGTCACCCTTTGCTGAGTCATCTTCTTATCTTTTATCTTAGGCTTCTTATCTCTAACCTCAGGCAGAGAGGCTGTCCATCTCTGGTCTACAAGTTTCACAAGTTTGAGATTTGAGATATTCGATCACTTGAAAAGAAAAGTAGAGTAGTCACAAGCATCAAATTCATTTATTTCTATCTTTGGGCTCTGACCCAACCACAAATCATATCTATGCCCGCTTCTGCTCTGGTACTTGTGTAATCAACTCTCCCTTCTCCACCGCAGATCGCAGATTATCTAGGACGAGGATCTCCATCTCCTTTTGAGTCTCATAGGTGTTCGTACCAATGTGCGGCAACAACATGACACGCGGGTTATTTACCAAACCGGCCTCAATGGCAGGCTCCTTCTCGTATACATCCAGACCGGCAGATCGAACCTGTCGCCATAACCGGTTAGCAAAATTCACCAAATAATGTAGCTATCAATTCAAATATTTTATGCAAAAGAGCATACCTTTCCAGACTCAATCGCAGCGACCAGCGCCTTCTCATCGATCAGAGCTCCACGTGCCGTATTCACAATAACTACACCATCCTTCATTTTGGTAAACTCCTTGGCGCCAATAATGTGTCTTGTCGATGCGTTCAGTGCCAGATTCAAGCTGAAGACATCGGCATTGGCCAAAAGCTCATCGAATGAGACATATGTCGCGCCACCCTCCAGTTCCGCAGGAAGCTGGGAGCGGTTGTGGTATTGGATCTTCATGCCGAAAGCCTTGGCCCGCGCAGCCATTTCCTATTGATCAATTAGCCAATCCGTCAAATCCGAGCTCGGTATACATATACTACTCACGCGACCAATTCCACCCATGCCCAAAATTCCCAAGACTTTACCCTGGGGGTCATTGCCCAGGGTTGTTTGTCCTTGCCAAGTGCCTATTATTGATATCCCCGTCAGTAAAGCTCTGCCTTTCACAGATCCTGGTCTCCTTTGGGCAATCTTTTTTTCCCCACTCACCAGCTCGAAGGGCAGCCTGGGGCACCCAAGCCTGACGAAGCGCGCCAATCATAAGGAAAATGCCCACATCGGCGGTGGCATTATTCACTGCAACGGGAGTGCTCGAGACGGCAATATTCTTTTGCGAGCAGGTTGCGACATCAAGATTGTCGTATCCGGCGCCATTGTGACAGATATACTTGACTGACTGGGGCAACACAGCGAGCAGCTCCGCATCGAAATTTCCGGTGTACTAATGGATGAATTAATTTTCGGTCCGCTGGTGATTTTATTGTCAGATTTGAATGCGCACCTTATTAGAGGTATTTGATCGGTAGATGGCGACCACATCGTCGTAGTGTCCTGCCTTGCAATTCTTGATGAACTCCTCACGGGTGCCGCTGGGGAATTCCTGCGCTTGTTAGCGGACTCTTTGCGAAATCGGTACGCGATATGCGATATGCGATATGGATGCGCATTTACCTTGAGGTTCAGAATAGAGGATAGACTCTCCCACTCCTTGCGCGCGTGGGTAATAGCTCCGATAAGGAGAGCGGCTTGAGAAGGCATTTTGTTTGTGCCTAGGCAATTTTATGCGCGATGAGCTCATGCGTGACTATTGGCCTGGGAGTAGTGTCGCATACTTACTGTGGTTCAATGATAGAAATGACTTTTGCTCAGTTGTAAAGAGGATGGCAATGAAATTAATTTCAAGAGAAGAAAAGAAAAAGAAAGGAGCAAGTACTGGCTATAGCTTGGTTACCAAACCCCGCGGTCTCCAACTAAAGTGGAGCATGATCTTGTGGAAGTTGTATTCCGGCAATTGAAATCATACTATAGTCGCCCAGATGACACTCATCATTACTAGTAGTTACCAGTACAGTAGTACTATTTAGTTGACTACAATCCTGTTACGAATCACATATCACTAGATTCACTCATACTAGATATCTACATTTTCTATTTCTGAACAATCGAAGTCATTCATAGCAATGACATGTTTAACCCCCACGGTCTCTCATCGGCTATTGATGATTGCCATGTTTGGGCCAATAACCGACCGGAGTAAATCCGTGGGTCTTGAGCCAACCGCATCTTTCCCCACGCCTGCAGTGGGGGGAGCAATGAGGGGGAATTTCAGATGCCGCTTTTCAAATTGAGCTCCTCCATTTAGTTCGTTTTCTTGCTCTTCGTTTCTTGAATTCTCTTACAGGTTCTCACTCCTAATTCTATAACCAAATTATACACCATGGCAGAGACATCCGCGACCGTACTCGTCCTTCACGGCGCAAAGGACCTCCGAGTGGTAAGTTCTAAGCTTCAGAAGCTCAGATTCCTAGATTTCCCAAACTAACCCATGACTCCAGGAGAAACGCACCGTCTCAGCACCATCCGGCAGCGAGGTCCAAGTTGCCATCCAAGCAACCGGCCTCTGTGGCTCAGATCTACACTACTATGCCCACGGCCGTAACGGCGACTTCGTCGTCCGCGAGCCAATGTGTCTCGGCCACGAATCCGCCGGCACAATCACTGCCATCGGACCCAACGTAACCACCCACAAAGTCGGCGACCGCGTCGCCCTAGAAGTCGGTCTTCCCTGCCGCAAATGCGCCCTCTGCCAACAAGGCCGTTACAACATTTGTCCTCAAATGCAGTTCCGCAGCAGTGCAAAGGTTTTCCCCCACCTCGATGGCACGCTCATGGAGCGCACAAACCACCCAGCCGAGCTGTGCCACGCTCTCCCCGCAAATGTTACTGACGCCGGCGGTGCTCTCGTGGAGCCCCTCGCTGTCTGCCTCCACGCTATCCGCCGCTCACGCCCTCCAACTAAGGAACAAGTTCAGATCGCCAGCTCAACAGGTGAAGCCACGGCGGCCCTTGTCCTCGGCGCTGGCGCTATCGGTCTCCTTCTCGCCTCTGCACTAGCCGCAAGTGAGAATTTCACCTCCATCGTCGTGGCCGATATCGATGCTTCGCGTCTCGAGATCGCTGCTTCCCTCGGTTTGGGCCTGAAGACTTTCCTCATCCCTCGCGGAGATCCTGCGAACCCTCCTCCCGCCAAGGATGCCCCACACGCTGAGCAGACTGCTTGGGCATTCGCCAGTGCACAGAAGGTCGCTACTTCCCTTATCGCTGCTGCAGGTACTGACGGTGGACTGACTGTTCCCGGATTCAACCGCGTCTACGATTGCACTGGTGTGCCTTCTTGTGTGCAGGCGGGTGTCTATGCATCTCAGCCCGGTGGTGTGCTTGTCCAGATTGGCATGGGTAACCCCATCCAAACTCTCCCCGTTGGCGCAGCAGCTCTTCGCGAGGTCGATATCATTGGTACATTCCGCTATGATGGACATGCATACCCCGCTGCCATTGCCTTGTTGGCCAGTGGTAAGATGCAGACGACCGAGGCAAAGGTCGTTACCCACCGGGTCAGCCTTGAGGATGGAGCGAGGGCGTTTGCGCTTGCCGGAAAGGGAGTCGACGAGGATGGAAAGCCAGTTGTCAAGGTTATTATTCAGGGCCCCAGCGAACATGCTAAGGCTAGCCTTTGATTGGCCTTTTCTATTTGATTTTTCTTTTGTGTATAGGCGGCTTGTGACGAGATGATGACTGAAAATACCCGTTGTGAAAGTAGTAGATGAGGGCCTGAGTTGCAAAATTCAAGAATGTGATTTTATAAAATTTTGATTGGATTTCCGCCCATCAGCTGAATGCCTAGTATGTACTAGTATATGTGTATCTTCCCATACATATAAGTAGTAGGGATTTCACGCACACGAAGTTTTCTAGAGAGACCAAGTGGATGCATACCCATGCTTATTCAAATGTTGTAGCCATATTTGATTTCAATCAATTGATTCATCCACAATCAATCCCGGTTTTGATCTTGAAGTATGGTTTTGATAAAGTTTCTCCATTTCTTTTCATTCACAATCGGGTATATAGAATAATATTTATTTCAATCCTCCGGCTAGTAGAAGGCTTTGGCCTGTCATGTATCCCGTGGTCACGAGCATCGTAACAACATTAGCCGTCTCTTCCACAGTACCCAAGCGACCTATCGGAATGCCAGCAGCCACCTCAGGGATCGCAGCAGCATTAGGGATCATGCCAGTCTCGCCAATCATAGCAGGGGCGACATCATTGACACTGATATTGTGTTCCGCGAGGCGAGTAGAAAGGTTCTTCATCATGCCGGTAAGACCGCCCTTGGAAGCAGCATAATCTGAGAAAAAGAAGAAACGATATTAGAACCAAGACACCCAAGTACACTACCCATACAAGGACTCAGAGGTACTCACGACATCCATTAATGCCACCCCCAGACGCGGCGATGGAAGACATGAACACAATTCGTCCCCATCTCTGACTCTTCATATGTTCAACGACACCCTTTACAAGGATAAAAGACGCGCGCAGGTTGATGTTCATCGTGTAATCGAACTCTTCCAGCGTAATGTCCCAGACGTTGGGGAATCGCTTGCCGTACCCCGCATTTGAGACCAAGATATCAGGTCGCTGGCCGTGTTCGGCATCAATCTGTTTAAACATCGCCTCCATCTGATCAGCAGATCCAACATCGACCCGATGGATTGAAATGCGCAGCTTGTGCTCCGCATATTTGGACTGTAAATCTGCGACGATCTTGTTCATCGCGTCTAGGTTGGTCGCGTAAGTAAGGGCGAGATTGACGCCACGCTCTGCCAGCTGTCCTGCGCAAGCTGCTCCGATTCTGGAATCGATCATGGTTAATATCTGTCGTCGGGGATGGTTCGGTATTGAACACCAGGCTAAGACTTACCCTCCCGATGCGCCGGTGATGAGAGCCAATCGGCCCCGAATCTCGTTGAGTGAGGACATCGTGTACAAAATGAGGATATACAGTAAATTGAAAGTTGAGAGGAAAAGACTGTCAGATCACAAGATAGACAGAAAATTGGGGTAGATAGAAGTATGTTGTTGTACAGTACAGATTGGCCTCGGTTACCCCTCGGCGGAGTCGGGGGAGCTCCGCAGCCCCGCTTCAAAGGCCGCTCCGCCCTACGGCAATTGACCGCAACGCCAGGCCCACAAGGGCTAAAAAAAATTAGAACAGAAGGTTGCTGCTCATGTCCCCAAGCCAAGTGGACGGCTGCCAGGCCTGCGAACGATCTTGTCCGGGTTGGTATGGATCAGATGGGTTCTGGAACGTGTCCAGCCCTAAAAGACCACCGGATATTTGGTCACCCGAAACATAGTCACCCACAGCCTCGAGATCTAGCCACGAGAAATCGTTCGCAGGACTGAAATCCATGTATGATGGATCTGCAACTGGGTTTGACAAGGTCTGCATTGCAAACTCAGTGCTTTGTGGCGTCTCAGCGGACGTTGTCATGGCTGTTGGCTTGGCTTTCCAGAGAAGTTCGAGGAGACGGGAGTAACGCGATCCGATGTCATCAGGACCAGCGCTCGCTTGTTTGAGGACTTCGGTGGTCCTTGCGACTAGGCCCTGGACTTTGGCTTCTTCAGAAGGAAGCATCATTCCGAATGAGCGGGCCTTGTAGAGGAAGACGGCAGAATAGATTCCATATCTAGGATCAAGTTAGTAATTTCTCCCATATGAAAACACAGATATCCTCTTACAGATAGAATCGAAGGGGCATAAAATGTAGATGCCTTTCAGGATCAACCGAGTCCACAAGAATAGTCAAGTAAGCCTTGGCCGCATCAACAGACTCGTAGATGAAACGAGAGTCCTGCATTGAGGCAACATTCTTGAAAGTAGACCTTAGCTGCTCTCTATGAGAAGCCCCATCTATCTTTGTTGAGGCCAAAGACTGTGAAATTGCAGCTTGGAATGCAAAGGCGGTTGTATAAAGCCTGAGGTACTCATATGATAGCTGCAATGTGGCCCGCATAGCGGGTGAACCTGGTGGGTGTAAGAATTATAAGAATCATAGAGAAAAAGGATAATAAACTCACAATCCAAGGGTCCCCAAAGAGACTTCCATCTTAAAATGGCAAGGCGGAAGTCATCCACATATTTAACATAATCTCCCATCAACATCATCTGGTTACTCGTGCGCATGCCAGAATACAAGACTTCATGGACATTCCCATAGAGCTGTGTGAGATCTAGCATGGCCTGGAAGATTTTTGAGTAATCTTCATCACCGTCGTTGGCTGGCTGTAGCGAAGGGAAATCCTGGCTAACGAGACCGGTCATTGGGCCCGGACCCCGCGACCAGAACGCACGTCCAATACGCACCGATATCAACCGATCCGAGACATAGCAGCTAGCCCATGCTAATCGACGACGAGCCTCGGTCGCCTGGTCGCCGTATGGATCTCCTCGGAAAGATGTGCGATCAAGTCCAATAAAGTAGCCCGAGCGGAGGGCCAGCCCGACATGCATCCACGCAGCGCGGTCCTCCTCTCCACGGCCAACACGCTCAATACGTGATCGAAGGCCGTGGGGCTCCCACTCAGCTAACAAAAGAAGAGCCTCAATAGCATCCACATCGCAGTCAGCACCAGCAGAAATTCCGGAGATCAGTTCCAGCATGTATTTTGAGCAGCATTCATGAATTTCGGGTCGGTCGTGCAGATCTTTCGAAGCAATGGTGACAATGGCTGTAAGAAGGTATTTCTCATTCGCGGCAAATTCGTCCAGCGCAGACCGCTCAAAGTATTTTCGGGGGACTAACGGGAGATACGGATGAAAGTTTTCCGCATATCGAGTAACCAGTTGCCATACCGTCGTAGGGTCTAAAGACCGAGACTGGACAAGCCGGTAAGCTCTGATTCCGGTGCTCGGGGCGTTGTAATCTGCCACGATACTATTTCGCAGCCCATTGTGCGCTGAAAAGCTGCCTGACTTGGACCGCGCATGATCGCGACCTCGCTCTGTAGGCGCACTCGCGCTTTGGGTGGCGATATCTGTTAAACACTGCCAGGCATCAGATGGGTTACGAGGTACCGAGTCAATTGAGGTATCTTCCTCGACGGCGACCGAAGCCGCCCCTCCTGCGGGTGGATTTGGTGGGAGAAAGACTACTGGCCCAGAATAAGACGCAGATGGTGCACGACGAGCCTCCGAGCTTGCAGGGCTAGAAGTTCCTTCCGAGTCTTTACTAGGTGATTGATTGGCCGCTGGGGTGAAATTCTTGATCTTGTTTTTGCGGATTCGTCGACCCCCGCGATTCGAGCCGCCGAGCACACATTCACGGTGTTCCCGAACGCAGCGCTGACAAGGCGGCTTCCCGGTACCATTGCTGTCACTATGCGGGATCAGCGGGAACGCCCAGGATGCAGATCCCCGAAGTCAGGGATCTATCTAGTTTTGGGGGGAGGGAAATGCCGCAAGACTTACAGGTCACATCGCGATTTGCGCTGGCGGCAGTGTAGACAAGCCCGGGACACGCGCTTGACGGTATGGTCGGGCGGCTGAGACGCGACCTGCGGGGACTCCATGTCGTTCGGCCGCTAGAGCTTAGAATCAATTATTGTGGCATGATAGGGAATTGTGAAAAGACAAAGGCCGACTTGCTTGTTGAGACCCACAGAGCTGGGGTCAGCTTGGGGTCATTACTCATCTCTCCGCGTGGTCGATGGCTTTTTTTTGCGGGGAAATTAAGATTCCAAACCTACGAGTATGAGGTAGTTACAACAATGCTTCCACTTGCTTTCTTTGCCACAATCTTTGCACTCTTATTTACAACGCTCTTTATTCTGCGGTCATTTCTTTGTTTATTGCCTGCTTTCTTTACTCACAAGCTCATGCAACATTATTTTCAAAGGATAGGGACTCCTTAGTCGAGTCAATTGCCGTCGGCTATTGAGTCGGCAACGGGAATTGCTCCATTAATCATTCACAGGGAAGGTAGTTATGTATAGCCCTCCAGGGCGGCTGATTGTAAAAGGGTCAACTGGTCGATACTATTCTAGCTATTTATCAAATGTTCAGTCCATAAATACTATTAATTATGTAGGTAGCACAAAGTCTATATATAGTTTGCCTAAATAATATGAAGATTGGGCATAGTACATAATCTACTCCTAGTAGTCAACTGGTAATGGATCATGTGACATCTGGATGCTTCACGTTTGAAATTTGCTGCCTGCAATACCAGGCCTCAAATTGATGTTTCTTTCCAAACAATCGCACAACCTCATACATTTACTCTGTACATATACTAGTATTCAATTTCTTTCACATTGAGCCCAAGGGTTTCCAATGTTATCGTTATCATATCAATCTTCATGAATCATATGATAACCTGGAAATGATCTGGTGGGCTCACTCCGCCGCCACCTGTGTCAACTTCATGGTCCGTGGTTTCTGATTGACAATGTCTGAAACATGCCGACAAAGCCAATGTTTGAAAGAGTCCGCGACAAAGGCCCTGGCCAAGCTTTGGCTTCTGGTAGCTCTATAGTAGTGGAGCTTTTCATACAGTAGTTCATTCACTTTGAAATGACAGGCCTCCCTATACTGGATCCTTGACCCTCAAGGGCGTTACGCCGGTCGGCAGTGCTGCAAGGTTTTCCTTGCCAGCTCCGTCCGCAACCCCGTCCAGCAAATCAGAGGGCTGGCTTTTTAAGTGCCTGCGTCCTTGAGAAACACTGATTTTACCCCTGGTCATCAGTGAACTGACACTCTGATTGGCCATGATACGTTTGCTAGCGCCATGAAGATATTGTTCTCTGGTCCAAACAGTGGCTGAAGGATAGAAACCACTTTCGGGCATGACCTGTCAAGGCCTGTCATCTGAGATGCACTGATTTAAATGCTTTTAATACTGACCCCTTGCCCCTAGAAAGCTTGGTCCTGATGTTTGAAAGCAGTTCATCTTCCCGTCTTCTCTGCGTTTGCCGATCGGCTGGTTCCTCGGTTTTGGTTCTATAGACTATTTCTACTCAGGTTCAAGCGTTGATCGCGTAGACATTTCTTTTCCATTTCTGGATTTGTTTTCTTTTTATTTCTCTCTCTCTCTCTGCATTTGCAAACTTCTTCTATTCGTTGCCTCTACCTCTTTTCTTCGCCCATTTTTCACCTTGACCAAGATTTCCGTGTTTTTCCTCAACCTCCCTTGCTGCATTCCTCGGCCCTGGACGATGCCTTTCACGCCAAGTGGGCAACTGCAAATCCGTACCCGCACCATTCGTTTTTAAAGATCGACTGTTTAGCTGTCGTCATTTTCAGCGTTTGTTGACCGACCGCATCTCTTCTAGGCTTCATTGTCATTCACGCAGGACAATGGGCTTTGGGGTTGCCTCAATACACTTCCAAATCCAGTAACCTCCCATCGCCGCCTATACCGTTCCAAGGTTCCCATATCAACTCAGTTCAATTCGCTCATACTCTCTTGTCGCCTTTCCCACAATCATTCCCCACAATCATCCAGCACCCTCCGCAGCTATATGCAAGTCAACCTTTGAAAAGTCGTTCATTCTCTACAACCTACCAAACCCAGATCTGCGATCTGCGGTTTTCAAGTTGTCCTACATCTTACAACTCATCTCAGCGTCAAGGTTATCCTTTCCAGTCGACCTGACCCATACATAGCCCTTCAGCAAGTCTGGGGCACTTCAATGGCTGCGCCTTTCTCGGATCTCGCGCCACGAGGCTACGGACCGAATGTGTCGTATATTTTTGAATACTCGAGGGGCCTGAATGGCGTGAACGTTCCCCTCGATGTGCTGATTGCCCGTGTGATCTACTCCTCGATCATTGTCTTGGCCGTCATTGTTTTCTCCGGCCGCATCGCGCAAATAAGCCACGCCTATCTCCGTCTGATTACCGCTTCTTCGTCAAATCAGCGACAACAAACATACTGGAGTCGCGAGCAATCAACATGGTGGGCCTGGTTGAAGAAACAATTTCTATATGCTCCGTTGGGGAGAAAGAGACATAACAGGGAGGTTCAGCTTTCGTCGGCTATTGGGATGGGTACCTTACCGTCCCGGTTTCAGACCATCTTGATCACCTTGTATTTGACAAGTCAAGTCGTTTATTGTCTATTGCTCGATTACGCAACCAATGAGAAGCAAGCCCTGATAGCAGAGCTGCGTGGACGCTCTGGGACGCTGGCAGTCTTCAACATGGTGCCGCTTTTTCTCCTGGCGTCTCGCAATAATCCTTTGATATCCATTCTGAATATCAGCTTCGACACATATAATCTTCTTCATCGATGGCTAGGTCGCATTATTGTTCTTGAGACCATCACCCATACTGCTGCATGGGCTGTTAATGCTTGCGCCGAGCAAAACTTTAATGAGATGCTCGCACGTTTGAGGGATACTCCCTTTTTTAGCTGGGGCTTGCTTGGAACTTGCGCCATGATTTGCCTGGCCCTGCACTCTCCTTCCCCAATCCGCCATGCTTTTTATGAGATCTTCCTGCATTTGCACCAGCTATTCGCCCTGTTGGCGTTTGTCGGCGTGTATCTCCATCTCAAACTAGACTCTCTACCGCAGAAACCCTGGATTGATGCCGTTGCTTTGATTTGGATCTTGGAGCGCAGCACCAGACTCCTCCGCCTTGCTTATCTCAACCTCTCACCCAAACACGGAAGTACTCGTATGACCGTCGAGGCCCTCCCAGGCGAAGCATGCCGAGTCACCTTCCATCTCCCAAAGCGCGTGGACATCCAACCAGGCTGTCACGTCTTTGCCTACATTCCTTGCGTATCCTGGTGGATGTCCCACCCCTTCTCCATCGCCTGGGCTGATCCCCGGAGCATAACCAATGACCACACGCAATACCTCGACTCCAAACCAGACTTCACCCCTCCTCTAACCCCCTCCTCCATCGAGAAACAAGGCTTCGATCTCTCCTTCGAGCCTCTAGACAACCGCCCCCGTCCAACAGACATATCCCTCATAATAAGCGCCCGGCAAGGCATGACCCGCGCTCTTTACAACCTCGCTCGCTCAAAACCAAACCAAACCCTCCACAGCTCCGGCTTCATCGAAGGCCCCTACGGCTCTCACCCCGCCAACGCCGCAAGTTACGGCACCGCAATCCTCTTCTCCGCCGGCGCAGGAATAACCCACCACCTGCTCTACACCCGCGATCTGCTTCTCCGCTCCGCCTCCGAAACAGCAGCAACCCGCCGCATCTATCTCATCTGGTCCGTCCGCTCCACAGACCATCTAGCCTGGGTGAGTAAATGGATGGACCAGATATTGAAATTGCCCATGCGCCGCGATATCCTCGTCGTCAAGTTGTTTGTCTCAAAGCCACGGCGCGCTGCGGATATCGTCTCGCCTTCTAAGACTGTGCAGATGTTTTCCGGTCGGTGCAGACCTGATGTTGTGCTGGATGAAATCATGCCGAAGAGAGTGGGTGCTTCGCTCGTTTCGGTTTGTGGACCAGGAGCCTTTGCGGATGAGGTCAGGATGGCGGCTAGAGAGAGGATTGGAAGAGGGGCTGTGGTTGATTTTGTGGAAGAGGCTTTTACGTGGTAGACTAGATTAGATCCTTCCCTTCCTCTTTATTCGTCTCTCTGTCTTCAGATTTCTATTCATTGTTTTTAGATTTTATTTATGCTTTATAGTCTTGACGGATATTATTATCATATATTTTCATTGTCTTTTTCTCACCTTATCAACTGCCGAGGTCAAGATTTACCCACATGTGGGCAATCAACTGTATGATACTAGTACTTAGTAGGTATGAAGCTTGGAGTGTTGTAATGTTCAATGAGTAGTGTATTCATGTAATGGTTCTAATATAATCTAGAACTCTTCAAAAAGCCTTCCAATGCAAGTATGAGTGGGAGAGGTATAAACATCTAGTATGTATAAGAAATGTGAACATCCAATAGAGTCAAAATCGAGCAGGTCTCGCAGAAGTCCAAAAAATGTGTGAAAAAAAAAAGAAGAATAAACAAGAAAACGGGACATTTTAATGTATAAACAGAAAGAGAGGAGTAAAGAAAAGAGTCTCAAGCCAATTAAGAGCTCTTGTTGCGGTTACCCTTGGGAACACGGGCAACCCAGTAAATAAACACGGCCATGCAGATGTTGAAGATGATGTACACCCACATAAGGCCAAAGTTGCGCCACGCATCCGAGTAGGAACTGCCCACGGCCGCGAGGTAGGTGTCAGTCGTGTCGATGGTGCAGAAAGCGCAGTCAGAGGTGGCATTGGGGTTTTGGATGTATCCACCATAGGTGTCCCTGTAAGAGGACAGGTACTGGTAGCAAGTATCGCCAGGGGGAGGGTTCATCTTGAGGAACTCGACGGCTCCGCAGACTGCATCTGTGCCGGAGACACCGGTGGACAACATTGCAGAGACAAGATACGTGAAGGGAGAGACACGGTACATGAAGATCCAGAAGCGCGGCATTTCCGAGGGTGTAGCAAGGACACCACAGAAGATGAGGCAGAGGGAGAAGAACAGGTTGGCAAGGTTACCACCAGTCTCGGCAAGCTCAATACCGGCGATGATCATGTGGGCAAAGGTGGAGGTGAAAAGAAGGAAAGACCAGACCAGGAGGAACATGAGGGCTCCGCGCTCGTGAACGGCATCGGTGGGTTCGGCGTTACGGTAAAGACCAATGGGGTAGTACCAGCAAACGAAGATGAGGACAGCAGCGAGGGTATTCCAAGGAAGTTCGACGATGATGTTGGAAGCCATGAATGCCTGCCAAGAGTATGTCTTGGAGGGGCGCTCGCGAACCTCGTAGAGGGAGCGCTGAGTGCAGAAGTGGGGCATGATCTGTTGAACCAGATTACCGAAGATGGTCATCAGCATGAAGATACTGAACATCTGGTTCTGGAGACCCTGGAGACTGTTCTCGGCCTGGAAGAAGGAGAAACCAATGTAGAGCGCGGTGAGAATCGACAAGGCAGCCTTAGAGTAGATGTAGATCGGAGTGCGCCAGTATTGACTGAAGACACGTTTCAGACATTCGTAGAGTTGGACAGAGAAAGGAGCAGCGAATTCATTGTAGCTAGCGGCATCGTTGGCGGGTTCAGTGGTGGGCTTGACAGAGAGGGTGCTCTTCAATTCGGCCAGGTGATCGTGCACAGCTTGGCGCTCGGGAGATGTCTTCCAGACAGCAGGCCAGTCAATCTCAGAGTGGGTTCCCGGAGCAGCACCAATGACTTCAAGCATCCATTCGGCGGGGTTGGCATCACTGGGGAGCGGGGAGGCACCGTTCTTCTCAAAGTAATTGGACAATGTGGAGGACTTCTCGCCAATATCACCAAAGTAAACAGTTCTTCCACCGCGAGCAAGGAAGAGCAAGCGATCGAAACGCTGGAAGAGCATGGCAGAGGGCTGGTGGATAGTGCAGAGAATAGCCTGACCGTGCTTGGTCAAGGTGTCGATGAGATCAAGAATAGACCAAGAAGTCTGACTGTCAAGACCGGATGTGGGTTCGTCCAAGAAGAGAAGCAATTGAGGCTTGGCAGCAAGTTCAACACCGATGGTAAGACGCTTGCGCTGCTCAACGTTGAGACCCTCACCAGGAACACCGACAATGGCATCGGCATAAGTTTCCATTCCCAAAAGCTTGATGACCTCCTCGACGTAGTCCAATTTCTCCTGTCGAGAGACCTCGGCAGGCTGACGAAGGATAGCACTGAACCGAAGAGCCTCACGAACGGTGGTAGTGTACAAGTGCAAGTCTTGCTGCTGAACGTAGCCAGTCTTGCGCTGGAAAGACTGGTCACGCTGGCGACCGTCAACTAACATCTCTCCGGTCACCACACCCATAGTAACACGAGTAGCAAGGACGTCCAAGAGTGTAGTCTTACCAGCACCAGACACACCCATCAAAGCTGTGCAAGTGCCAGGCTTAACCCAACCATCAACGTGATCCAGGATACGGCGTTCTTCGCTCTTGATCTTGATATCGTAGCAAACATCCTGCCATTGGAAAATAGCCGTCTGGCGTTGAATGCCGCCGGTGACTTCCTCACTGCCAGTCTCGTTGGTCTTCTCAGCAGGGCTAACAACCTCAGTGCTTTCAATATCTCCAGTCTCGACGTGCTTGGGAGTCTGTCCACGACGGAAGAGCAAGACCTCGCCCTTGGACTTGGACTCGGAGATGTACTCGGTGGTAATGAGATGAGTAGCCAAGAAGAAGAACATGAAAGCGAACATAATACCAAGGTTTCTCCACTTGTGGCTGTCATAGTATTCGAAGCTCGTAGAGAGATAATCGGTACCCGAGACATACTGTGATCCAGCGGTGGCACCGGTAGTGGAGCAGATCTTGTAGGCAATTGACAAAGCGTCGTAAGCACCACCTGTCGGAACCATAGAGGTCGTCTTGCATAGGAACGTGCGGCCATGGAACTCATTGACCATCAAGGACTCGAATCCGTAGGCAATGGGATCAATGTAGTTCATCCATCGGGACCAACCAAGCATGTCACGGGTGGGAATCGTGAAACCAGTGTAAATAACCAGACCCAGGATCAGGATGGCAGCAGGCACCAGAGCCTGTGACAAAGTTCGGGAGGATGAAGCGATGGAACGGAAGATCATAGACATAGTCAAGGTTGTCATCAAGGAGAACAGCAGGAAGAAGAAGAAAGCACCGGGTTCGCGGCGAAGATTCGTCATAAAGTATAAAGTCACGTTGAAGGTTATGGTGTTGAGGAGCTTATATGGCATGTCACACAACATGGAAGCAATGGCCTCTGCGAAGGGATGGTATAAGGCATAACGAGATTGTTTTTCGACGATGGGACGTTGCGCGTAAAGAGTTAAGATCTGATTGGTTTGATTAGTAAATTTTTGGTGTTTTTAAAAGTTGACTGTGGTTCAAGGACTTACTTCGAGGGCACTGGAGAAGGCATTCATGAGGACGGCGAAGAAAAGAAGAGCACCACGAGAGAAGAAGCTGTCGGTGTTGTCTTGAAGATTGAAGAAGACGGAACCGATGACCAAGGCCATGATAAAGTTACCAATGAGTTGAGACAGAGTCAGACTGGCATCACCCTTGAGACGTTGGAAACCACGAACCATGCAGAGGTTGACCTGCTGCATAATAGACATTGTGAAAGGGGACTTGGCACGCTGGTTCTTATCCTGCATAGCCTTGCGGCCAACAATGAACTTTTGCAGAGCCTCTCCGCCGAGGGGATAGCTCTGTTCGTAGTCTTCAATCTCCTTGATCAGGTTGCGGTACTCCTTGCTGTTCTTCCAGGCGGCAGCGAACTCGTCGGGGGTGCGGGGGACCAAGTTCTCAAAGCCGGGGCGCACAACACGCTCATGAGGACTGGTGAGTGAGGTCAAGAAATCGGCATCAGTCTGACGCTCGGGACAATCGTAACCCATGTTGACGAAGAAACTCTTGGCCTCATTGGTGCGACCGAAGTAGATCTGTCGACCCTCGTACAAAACGGTGACCTTATCGAAGACATCGTAGGCACTTTGGGAGGCTTGGTAGATAGCGACCGCACAGGTGGTACCAGAGTACTTGGTCATCAAGTTCAGAGTCTTACAGAACTCCAGAGCGTTGGCACTGTCCAGACCACGGGTACTGTTATCCCAGCACTGGAGGGGGCTACCACAGAGGGTGACCTCGGCGATACTGACACGCTTGCGCTCACCACCAGAAACACCACGAACGAAATCGTTACCAACCTTGGTGTTAATGGTGTGGGACAGACCAAGCATGGCCATGACGACATCACGCATGTGCTCTGCATATTGCTCGCGGGAGACACCCTCCGGGCGGTTGCGAGGAGCACGGGCCAATGCGGCGAATTTCAAGGTGTCACCAACCGAAAGCTGGGGAAAGTGAACGTCGGTTTCGGCGGTATAGATGGCCTCACCGCGGAATTGGTTCTTCATCTGCTTGTCGGAGATACCCTGGTAGTTCATCTTGGATGTGGGGTCCTTGTAGATACCGTTCATCTCTCCGGCCAAAGTCTTGAGAAAGGTTGAGCAACCGCTACCGGGACGGCCCAGCACGACAAGCATCTCACCACTCTTGACCAGACCGTCGAATTCGCGCAGAATCTGAATCTTTTGCTTGCCAGTACCAGTTGCCATGCGGGCCAAAGCTCCAATCTGGAAGATGGAGTTGAAGACATCCTTCTGGTAATCCGTGGGACTACCAAAACCGTGCACACTGAGATTGCGGAAAGAGACACCTGCCTGGCGTTGCGGGTAGCGTTCAGGGTCCCGTGAGGTCAGGGCCAACAAGTTCTTCATCCAATTGCGGGCACGGAAATTAGGACTGGCGGGGTTGAGAGTCGAATCCTCCTTGGTTTCCAAGAATGTGTTCTCGCCTTCCATGGTGGAGAAGCGAGTTGACTCGCGGGTTAGCCTGCGAGCGAGGCGAGTCACTTCCTCGTCAATCAGATCCTCATCGGCGGTATCGATCCGCTTCTCCTCCTCCCCCATCATAGTATCCTCGGTACTGACACTGGCGGCAGGGTCATGGCGGCGTACCTCTCGGCTCACCGAGACTGATTGATCAGCCTCGGTAAGGTTGGGGTTAATCGTCCCCAGTAGCGACATTTTGAGCTTTGCTGTGTGTCGCAATTATGGGGATGTTGTTATATTTTTGGAATCCCAGCTCAATGGCAAAGTAAGATATATTAGGAAATCACCATCAATTGACGCGTGGTGTGGCGGGTAAATAAGATATAGTTGTTTTCGGATAAGTGAGTGTTAGAGTTTTCGTATTAAAAGCGACGGATTAGGTGATTAGGAAGTAATTGAATGTCGAAAAAAAGGGGGGGCGAATATAAGAAAAAAAAAAAAGGGACGAGGTTAATAGATGAGTTAAATGAGCGGAGCCCCAGAGGATAAATAAGAAATTGAAAAGAAAAAAAAAATCTCAAGTTACTAGTAACTTGAAACTCGGGACCGGGTGAATTTGGGAACTTGGTCCGGCACACGGGCTCGCCGGTCATAAGCAAAAGCCGGGGTCCGTGAATGCATGGAAAATGAATCAGATTGGATGCCTAAACCAATCACTTTCGCATAATCTAATCATTGAATTCAAGAGTGGAGATTGATTACGCGAGTCATGAATACTATTGTCCTATTCTGGGTACGGTTTTTTTGTACTTTCTGACCTATAGAAAATTAGAAAATACATAGGTACTTGGCAACTTGAAACTGTAAAAAGACCAGATTCTGAAGTTACTAGTAGTTCTTATATACATGGTAGTATGAGGTGCTATGTTGAGTACTATACACTTCATATAATCAGCGTACTACTAAAGTCTGAAACTAAGAAAAATCCCCGATACACGTGCCCCACGGTTCTAGAAGGCAAACATCTCCCAAAGGCCCAACTTCCATTCTTTTTTTCATTATCAGAAAAGGGAAAATAGTGGGCCGGAGTGGCCCATTTCCGACCAGTCAGACCCACAACGGATGATCCATTCTTGCTCCATCCGCTCGGATGCAAGGGAGTCCGTCCTTCCGGCATGACTCAGCCCCTATTTTCGTCCGTGAAAATGGACGAATTCGGTCGAATCTATACATGTATGCATCAAGAATTTACTGCTTGCGAATCTGTTCCTTCTTCTCCCGGCATGTAAGCGACAAGGATCATACCTTGTTTAAGGCATCCAGCAAAACCTTGGAACACATCATCGGATGACTACCGTATACGTACTGTAAATAACTGACTATATACCCTTCAAGTATACGGCATGCATAGTATGTAGCTACTCCCACAGTAGGGATCAATGTCGGTATAGACCAAATTAATTGATTAGTACCAGCCTTGGAAGAAGACAATCTCGTACACATGCATCACCTGGTTGATGTCACAACATTTGAAGATTTCAAATGTTTGGAAGCTGCAGGGTCTCAATTTCAGGGCTTGGATAACCAAGCAATGTGAAAAGTCGGAATTTTGGGTTTTCCGTTTCAGATTTACTTCAGATCCCAAGCAAAACTCTTATGATACATTATGATGAAGTCCCCTCGTCCTCTTCTTCATCATCTTCCACAATAGGCTCCACCAAAAGATTACCACCCCGCCCGATCTTATCACGGATCGTCCCGCCATCTTCCACTGCATACACCGCCCGGGGCATAGGTGAAATCAGACGAAACATATACTGGTGTTCAAATCCTGCTGGTGCAGACACCACCGAGGTCTCGTCTGCCTTTAATTCTTCGTAACATTCCACAACTGCGTAGAGCTCTTCCATTTCAGCGTCGGATTTGAATCGACGCACGATCCGCTCTCCAGACGGTAGTCGCACGCTAATGCGCACCACATCCTTGGCATCGGTCCCTGGCTCCTGGCGTAAGGCCTGGGCCCGCCATTGCTTCCACTGAGCCAGATCACGCTGTCTTTTCTCCTCCGCAGCTTGGCGATCTGCTAACTCCTGCGCCTCTCGCTGTTGGGCCGCCTCTGCTTCCCGACGTTCACGAGCCCGCTCCCGGTCAATCGCCAGGGATCGCTCGTAAGCCGAATCTTGCTGTTCTCTCAGGCTGCGAGATGCCTGTTGCTCTGCTCTAGTAGACCGAATGCGCTCCAGAGGCTCCTGGTTCGAAGAGATGGCAGTGCGAAGCCGGTTCGCAAACTCAGCCGGTGCAGTGATTCCCGCAATGCGGCCTACAACCGACATCGCCGTCGATGATACGTTCGGAGTATGTACGATCACCGCCGCAAATGGGAACTTGGTGATCCGCAGTGAGTTGGCTACCTGGTATGCCTCGGAATCCCGAACATTTCCTCCCCATACTAAAAGGTTGTTCCGCGGGTCGTTGATGAACTCCAATAACTCCGGCGCTAGCAAAGTGTCTCGTACCCAACCATTTGTATCGTCATGCTCGGGCGAAATCAGAATCACCACTAAGAACTTCAAGTCACGGTGGGCCTTCTCCAGCGCCATGTTATATCCATTTTCCAAAAATGGGATCGGATGGGACCCATGTTCCTCTTCAAACTCACGAATGAATCGGGCTGCGGTATCTTTTGGCCCAAGGGAGCGGCGGCCAGTAGTATTTCGTCGTGTTCCCTGCAGGGCCGGGTTTGCAGTAACATTAAATAGTCGGGGTAAGAAAGGAAATAATGTCCCGAACAGACGAAACGAACTGCATAGAAGTCGATAGACCAGATTGAAGGGTGTGAATAATAGAGCGATAATAAATGGTGGGCGGTAGATAGGCTGGTCCCCGGATTGAGTATCGACTCTGGGAGCTGGATCTGCGGTCCGGGCACCTAGTAGTGACAGCTGCTCGGTGATATCCTCGGTCATCAAGTTCCGTGTTTGGCGATTAGGTTGGGGAGGTGGAGATTGGGGAAGTGCTGCGCGCGCTTCTTCAACAATATCTGGACCTTCGCCATCAAAGAACTTGGCGATAGCAATCTAGCGTGGGGTAAGTGAGCTGCATGGGAGCTCTGATAAGTAGAGTGGCACTCACCTGAACATTCCATTGTGACCGGCGCAATAATGGAATCGCGTCTGTTAATTCTTGACCAGTGACAGAGGTATATGTCTCAAGAGCAGTTCTCTCACTGTCTGAGAGCTGATCGAGGTCAAGGTCCGACGTGGACATGGTGGCTGATAGGTGGCAGGCGTGACTTGACCAGGCCAAGAGGACATGGTGGACTGGCAATTAAGGACACCGCCCGTACATGCCATACACACCGCCTTCCGGGGTTGGGTAGGCAAATAGACTTTGACCCGATCTATAGAAACACATGATCAATCCAATCATTGAATATGAGAGAGTGTTTGTTGAAAGGGGCCCAGATTATTTATCATCTGATGTGGTATGTAATCATGCTGCATAGATAACAAATAATATCATAGTCCGAAGGTTGTTCTACTATATATAACACTTTCAACCTTGGAAGGGACATAGATTACATCATGTCGAGATAAGAGAATCCGGGGCGTATCTGTTTAATTTCCGAAATATATATGGACGTATCAACATCAATTGGGACAAGTGGCGGGAACTTCATTCATGTGCATGATGTGACTTCAAACCCCTACAGAACTTTTTTATAGATCCTTGAACCTTCAATGCTGGAAGATACATAGACAATTATGAACATTGAATCTTTGAAGGCTACGATCAACACGCTTATTTCGAACATGAATGTACCTGCGGCATATGCAGTTCTTTGATATGGGCAACATTTACTTATGAAGCCAACTGGCATCCATTTCAAAAGCCCTGCTATATGTAGGGGAAAATATCGAGAATATTTCGAGATATGAATCGTATAGAATGGCACTAATTTTTTTTAATCAATTCATGAATAAATATGTATTTGGAAAGTATGTACTACTAGTTCTAATAAAGTTCCACATACACATGTGCGCTCCAGGGCTCAATGTGGTGGTCGAGTACCTGATAGTATAGATTCGATCGCGGGCCTGACCGCCTGGTCCGTGCACACTCACCCTTCACTCAAGTTCATTCATCGCCCCGCGTCTTCTTCTATCGTATCTATCGACTTCCTGTCCTGAATTACGGGAGGACGAGTCTCATTGGGTCTCATATTCTTATTGGCGTGGTGCCTCACCGTATTTCTATCCCCACTTCTTGTCCTTACCTCGATCCGCTCGTGACGATCATAACGCGACAATCTGCCAAACCGCCCGTAGGATAGGTGTCACATCACAAGGAATGTGGCTACCTCTCGGTCGACTCAATACTTTCGTCCCTAGCCCCGGTTCAATGGAGATCCTACTTCGCTGATCCGTCCTGTCTTGTCGGTCCCAGCTGCTCCCAACCATGGCCTCCTCCGGCAAGCCTGCTCTGGATGATTCCCGTCGCACGACGGGATCGCCAAAAATGAAGACCCGAGGTGAGTGTATCGCAATGCATCCCAAGTCGCGGATAATCTTAAATGGAAAGATGAGATGGAGTCGAGGACCGAATCCATATGCTCTGGATTGTTGCTCATTGAGAACCGTGAACAGAGAACGCGAAAGATACACTATGTCGCAATGTGACCATCTACGGCCGGTGTCGCTATGAAGATAAAGGTACATCTCCGATGTTTGGATGGAAATGTTGAGGGGTTTGGATTTGATCTGATGAATCTCTTCAATCAGGCTGTGCTTTCAATCATGACCTCCAGAAAGTGAACGCGGCACACCAGTCGGATAGGTAAATCAATCAGTAAACCCAGATTCGAGCTGCAAGCTGATCACCTTTTCTTCTTCTCTGTACCAGCAACAAGAAACGATTTAATGTGGACTCACCAAGCTTCACCCCCTCTCTTTTATCGGGAAATGGTGCCTCTGCGCCCAAGAAATCCACCATCTCTCCGAAAGCTGCCAGCGCGGCCCCATTTCAACCTAGAGTTGCCGCATCCCGTATGCCCTCCGATTCGGACCCATATACATCTCCGCTGACTGGCAAAGGCTCCAACACCAGTACCCCGAGACAAGAAACAGGAACTCCTGATTGGATGGAGGTGCAGGAGTTTGTCCCGCAGGGCTTTGATGCCGCACATGTGGTAGGTCGCATCGCTCCTTCCTCCCTTGTAGGCTTTGAGATCCCTCAATTCTTTGGTTTGAAAGAATATCCTTCGGGAAACATACCACTGCAATCATGTTGGGACCTCACTACAGCCGCTCTAGCCGAAGCTTGAACGCTTTGTACGATGACTGGGGTTCAGTTCCGGTCCCGGATTGGAGCCGATACAAATACCGCAGCTCTAGCTTGAACTTCTATCCGACTAACACATCTTTCCAGCCATCTCTTCAAGGCAACGGGAACGGGTCCATCGCTGCCGCAGGTGCATTTGACCCATTTGTAACAGGCTCACCTCTTTCTGCCGCGGGGGGCGTTGGTCAAATTTCCACCAATCCATACGCACATGATGCCGCTTTGGGAGGAGCTACTTTCTTTGCAAGCCAAACCGGCTTCCAGCAACCGGTATGCTGCCATCCGGTCTATATCGGTATTTCTAGTGGTCTAATCTGATCTGGTCTTGTTACAGGTCCAATATCATCTCTATGCTCCTATCGGCCCTCATAATCAGAATACACTTGGTTACCAGCGCAACGTTCACGATCTATTCCTCCCCAACGACTTCCGAGAAGAGCTGCAGAAAAAAGCTGCCGCCACTTTGCAAACATTGCCCAGTGCGTTGTCCTGGTACCATGACTTTTGGGAGATTGAAAAGCTAAATTTTTTCCCTTCGATCTAGACACACAACTTCCTGCGCAAGTGGACTATTTCCACTCCCTCGTGCCATTGGATTTGAGCCATCAAAAGAACGCAACGACATTCGGCTACCCTAGCTGGGTGTATAAAGCGCAATCAAGCAAGGATGGTAATTTCTATGTACTTCGTCGGCTTGAAGGTAGGATCATCCCCTTGGTAATTCCTGGAAAAGTTGCTCACTGACAAAACTAGGATTTCGTTTGACCAACGAAAAGGCCATCCGATCTGTTCAAGCCTGGAAGCGTGTCTGCAGTGGCAGTGTGGTGACTGTTCATGATGCATTCACCAGTCGAAGCTTCCAAGACAGCTCGCTTATCTTCGTCACCGACTATCATCCACTTTCCAAAACACTATCCGAACAGCATCTGGGAACTGGAAATCGCTTCCAGGGCCGCCACAACACGCACATCCCTGAGCAGGTTCTCTGGGGCTACATGACCCAGATCGCAAATGCCTTGAAGGCAATCCATACTAATGGTCTCGCAGCACGAGTTTTGGAAGCTAGTAAAGTTCTTCTAACAGGCAAAAACCGAATTCGCCTGAACTCGTGCTCCATCCTCGATGTGGTCCAATTTGACACCCAGCGATCCGTCGCGGACCTGCAGCGCCAGGATCTAGTCAATTTCGGACAGCTGATTGTCACTCTGGGTGCCAATTCGCCTAATGTGATGCACAACACAACCAAGTCCATGGACCACTTCACACGTGCATACAGCCAGCAGATGAAGAACTCCGTCTTTTGGCTATTGGGTGGGCTCCAAAAGGACCAAGATCGCACCATCGACATTTTCATCACCGGCATTTCTTCTCAGCTGATGTCGACTTTTGACTCGGCACTACACCTTGATGATCAACTTACATCCGATCTCAGCCGTGAGCTTGAGAATGGACGCTTAGTGCGTCTGATGACTAAATTGAACCTCGTCAATGAACGTCCCGAATACGATCATGACCGGCAGTGGTCTGAGAGCGGAGAACGGTACTTCTTGAAGATATTCCGAGACTACGTCTTTCACCAAGTGGATGCTCAAGGGGATCCAGTGGTTGATCTCGGGCACGTGTTGACTTGTCTGAACAAGCTCGATGCAGGTAGCGATGAAAAGGTCACACTGGTCAGCCGAGATGAACAAAGCTGTTTTATTGTCAGCTATAAGGAAGTCAAGAAAGCTCTTGAATCCTCTTTCCAGGCCCTGATGAAGCCGACAAGAAGGTTGCACTAAGCAGCCCGGCTTTTATCCCTGATGTCTGTAGAACTTGGAAGGGGCGTCTTTCTATCTGTCGAGTTTATTTTGAGTCATCTTTGTTTCCCCCCCTTCTTCTATCTATTTCACAGGCATCCCGGCGATCCGAGCCTTCTGAAATTTTCACCGTCTCGTTACCCTTTGTTTTACTCGACACACAAATGCTTCCGGCCATGCGGCTCGCACATTCACGGGAAATACACACTGATAAATGAAGAAAATCAATAGCTACTATACGCATTCTAGTAAATGTAGAGCATGCATGCTGCTATAGCCCCTCCTTCACAGCTCCATCCTGGCATCCAAGTTCATCCACTCTCTCAACATTTCCACCGTAACCTTGTCATTTCCTCGTTCTTTTCCTTTGACCTTTCCACTCACAATCTTCGGTGGAATCAGAATACGTTCCAAAACATGTATAACCCCATCACTGGCCAAAACATCCAGCGTCCTTGGCTCCCAGAACCCATTGACCCTAAAGTCAACCGCCGAGTCTCTCCATAAAATGTCCACCGTAACATCATAACCATCCAGCAACGTTGGAGATACCACATGTACCACCGGGTAGTTCCCTCCATTTCCACCTGGACCCTTCAGGCCAATCTTCTCCTGGGCCACCACCTCAACCCCACATTCGTCAACTTTCCCCTTCTCCCCGTAGATAACATCCGAATAGATCGTCTTATCCAGAACAAGATGATATTTAAGCAGATACCGTAAGCACTCTTCACCCTGAGGCGAGAAAAGGAACGCGTTCACACGTGGTCCTAATGCACGGAATGCATCATTCGTGGGTGCAAAGGTCGTGCCGGTGGTTCTTTGTGTGGCGTTCAGATGGCTGTCCAGGCCCGTATGGGAGAGCGCGAGGGCAAAAGTACTGAATTGCTCGGGAATGATGCTGAGTATTGCTTTTGTTGTTGGGGGTGGGTTTAGAGGGACATCGATGTAATGAATGATGCCGTTTTTGGCAATCTATAGGAGTCATCAGCTTTTGATAGTCAAAATCAAGAAACAGAAACTGGTGCTTACTATATCGCCTGTTACTATACTGGTTTCTCCGTTTAGTAGGACTGAATGCCGAACCATATCCACGCGAAGTCGTTGAGGCAGCTCTTTGCCTTGATTCTTATCTTTGTCCTTGCCGTCCTTGTCTTTGTCTTTGTCCTTATCCTTATCCTTTTTTTCTCCCTTCGCTTTTCCTGGAACAGTAACATTCAGTGCAGTGGGAAGCGTTTGATGCTCGAAAACCTGGAGTTCTTTAATAGAGTAACTCCCCAGAACAACATGGTAGTACAGCATCTCGGTTGTGACAAAAGCTGATGCCGACCCCGAAGATGATCCAGAGCGCGACTCGTCATCGCGAAGAGTGTGAAGTTCTTCTCTGTGCTATCAAGCAGCTTGGCCAGATCGCTCTCTTTCCCAATTGTATCTGCAAGCCGTTTGGTTTCATTACCTTGGCTTATCAATTCCCAGATGGTGCTGTTTGACAGACACTGACATGGTGGGTCGCATGGATTTTCACAAGGAAAATCGGGATCTGGCGAAGATGGTTGGCCAGGTCTTGGGCGTTTGGGGTATCCAGGCCAGGGTGTATAGCCATTTTTCTCATTCTGGAAGAGATTGGTACTGTGGTGGAGGCTCGTATCAACTCCTAGTATACTGGATCTTGAATTATCAGCTATTTCCTGATCTGCCTTGGTCAAGGCAGCGAGTGTCGCCCATAGCGATTCTGTATAATCGATATCTTCTGCTTCGACTCTACGTTCCAGAAAATCTTCACGTAGAGCTTGAGGCCTTGATTTTACCAAGGCAGAGCATAAAGCCACCAACTGCAGCAAAAGTGTTAGAGATCGCATGATGGAAAGAGATAAGTAGATGTCTCAAACTCTGTGAATGTTAAAACAAACCGAACGCGCTCGGAAATTTGACTCTTTTACATTGATCTCTCTTCTGACGCACGTCGAGTCTATCCAGGTTGTACTACTTGAGTGGTTTCTCAGGCTCCCCGTGACAACAGGAATGCAACGAATTGCTTTTTAACGGTCACTTCGGACATATTGAAGACCCAGCCAGACTGTGTATGGTAGCACGGACACATCACTGAAATAAAATTCACGGGCAATCGCGACCAGCACTAGTCAATTGATTTCAGATGTGTCGGATCTCAACCTTGAATCTGAGGGAGCACAATACGGGGGAGTCCACCGAATCAAATACTGAAGTTCTGGCATTTATCCTTGTTTCAAACAAATTATGTACAAAATTTCCACTGCATCCCTCTAGTCCAGGTCTGGGATGGGCAGTCCGTTGACAATCTTGACCTTGCGACCAAGCTTATCAAGCGCAATCATGGAGTTCTTTGCACGCAGGTCAGCTGTCTCGGAGTCAGACACTAGCACAAAGTCGTAAGTGAGCAGGGCGTGGCCCTCTGGAACGTTATATTTCTTCGCAATCTCCGGGCCGGCCTTGCCAATATCAACGGTCAAGGAATCCTTGACACCGAAGACAGCATCCGAAGTCTCGTAGGGATCGTTGCGGAGGTATAGAGCACTGTCAAATTAGTTAGTATGGCGATGCACAGAATGTATAGGCATTGGGGGGGGGGGGGGGGGAGGAAATGCTTCGCTGTGCGAGGGTCAAACATACGTGATCAAGTGATCGTAACCTTCCTTCTGGAACATGAAGTGCATGTGTGAAGGGCGGTACGGGTGACGGTGCAACTTGGTCAACAATCGTCCAACGGGACCATCGTGAGGAATAGGATATGGTACAGGTGTAATGGCCTTGAACCAGAAAACGCCACTTTTATCAGAGCGCATAATACAGCGTCCATCAGGCTCGTCCCGACCCGCATACTGCACATCATAATGGCCCGTGCTATCGGTCTCCCAGATATCAATCTTGACATTGTCAACCGGGCGGCCCTGCATGTCCTTCAGTGTACAAACAACGAGCAAGGGTTCACCCTTGGGGTCATGCGACATAGAGTCACCGGCTGGCATCTCTTCGGCGTCATGGGTGTGGAAGGGACCGAGGACGGTACCCTCGGTGGAACCGACGGGCTTGGGGTGATCAATTGAGTCGACAAGGATGGAGAGACCGAGAACATCTGATAGAAGAATGAACTCTTGACGGACTTCGGTACAGATTTGGCCTACTTCGGTCAGGAAGCGGAGACCAGTCATCCATTCGTCGGTGCTGAGGCGTGTTTCACGAGCGAAGTCGTGGAGGTGTGTTACAAGGCGCTCGAGGACGTACTTCATGCGTTGATCTTCGCAAAGGGAGTTGATTGTGATGACATTCTCGGTAATGTTTTCAACCGTGAGGTTCTTCATTGGGGGGATCTTGACCTTGGAGGGATCCATGGTGATTTGCGCAAGGACTGCGGTGCAATAGATAATAGAGCAAGGATTGTGGTTATAGATATAACCTTGGCTTGGGAGATTTACTTGTGAAATCAACAAGGTAGTAAAGAATTGAAGTTGAAACTAGCAGAAATGAAATCCGGGGATCGTTGAGTATTATTATATCGTCACTGTTTCCGAACCCGGACTCGGCGGCAATTCCGGCGGGAGTTTGGTGGGGTGAAAAGCGCAAGCTATCATTTTTTCCTCTTTTCCCGCTTTTTTTCTACTGGGTAATGACTGGGTCTTGTGGATAAAAAGTGTTATTCGAAAGCGTGTTGCCCACTTGGTTCGTTCACAATTCTTGTGTATATGGGGCTTTTTCACCCCGCAAGAATGCCCCGCCCAGTCAGCGCAGCGGAATTACTGTGCTACTGAACCCACCGGCAATGGATTCGTTGATCTATGCCGAACGTTGTAACTAAATATAATAGTTGAGCAATTCCTCTAAGTGCTACTCTGCTATTTCAAAATGGCAACTGGGTAGAATCTCATGAACTTCAAATGTAAGCTAGAGGGACTCATCACTCATGCATGTGGGCTTGTACGGATGAGAATATAACCGGCTCTCCAACATTCCAACCTTTTTTTTATGGTAATCTTGGTCAGCATGCTCTAAGCTGGAGTGGGGCAAAACGGTGGATGTATATCCGAAGAATGATCATAAGGGGAAAAACACCTCGGGTTCCAAGATTTAGGACACTAAATCTGATTGAAAATGATTTCTAGAGCTGCAGTTGCAACATTGAAAGTATTTAAGGTTTATGCAGGTCTATATCCGTGTGGGGTGATCCGGGGTATTCAAATAGTTTGGAGTTGCAGTTGGAGTAAGATGTACATGTCATAATTGGCCTAAGACTTATTCACTGTACACTGACCACTTTCATAACACAGACATTCAGAGCCAGGACTGGATTTCAAACTGCCAGCAGGCTTCATTCCTAAAACGCCAAAAAATCGTATGATCAGCCATGATAGATAGAACAAAAGAAAAAAAGAATTAAAAAAATAAAACTCCGAGCCATCGCTGTTCAAACATCACAGAGTCTTGCGCTCAAACGAGAAAGTCAATGATATGTATCGCAAGTCATATTATAGATGTATTTAGCTTGCTTGATTGAACCCCTCTTGCTGCCAGTCATCGGCCTGTAGCTGGCTATTGCCACTGCCACTGCCACTGCCACTGCCGTGGTTGGCATATGCGGCGGCCGCAGCACTACCCACGGCACTCATGGCGGTATGCTTCTCCATCTCCGTTGTGCTCATCATGTATAGCACCACGAAGAGCAGAATATGAAGTGCAAAGCAGTACCCAGCAAATAGATTGCGACTGGTCCGGTTCGCCATGACAATGCGAGTGATTGAGAAAACGATCCGTTCAGGGAGACTCATGCGCTTGTATGCACGCGCCGACTCACGACCTCGGAAGGCAGCAAATGGAGAGATCCGGGCCTCATACGCCGACTGGTACCGATCCATGGATAGCCCGGAAGGTGTGTCCGACGAGTTATATACGGATGTAGAGCTGGGTGCGTTTGCGTATGAGGAAGCAGAGGTGGATGCACCCTGGCCGCGGCTGTATGTGGAAACATATCGAGTCTTCTCATAGAGACTCAAGTTATCCTTCTGGAGTGACGCGACCTCTTGCCTCAAGGATTTGACAGTAACGTAAAGATTGGAGAGTTCCTCTTCAAGTTCTGCATTCTTCTTCTTGAAACGATCCCGCTGAGCTTGGATCATGGGCAGAAGACCGGATCCACCACCCACGGCTTCTCCGGCACGGATAGCATCCATGGTATTCGCCGATACGGCGCTTTGGTCAAAGCCAGATATAATCGACGACGTCGGAGATGCCGCACCTCGGCGAGATGAATGCGGGTATCGAGAAGAGTAGGTCCCCGCCACGGACATGGCGGATGGGGGGAATGCGTTGGCAGCCTCTTGCTGTACACGCAACAGATCATTCTCCAAAGTGGACGATAAGCTTCGGGATTTCTCCAATTCTGCTTTAGTTGCTGAAAGATCGCCACGCATGGCTTCAAGTTGACCTTGAATGTCACGCGACGATACCCGCAGCACAGTAAGGTCATCCGTCAATTTCTTGTTTCGAGCCAGCAAAAGTTGTTCTAGGGAGTTATTCCCCTTGGTAGAGTCACCATTGGTATTCGCTGCATTGTCCTTGCCCGCAGCCTCGGCCACCTCGTCATCATCACCGGCCGTAAATTCGATCGATTTGATCATCTCCAGTTCTCGGCGAATTTCATCATAGTCCGCAACCTTATTCAGGCGAGCACGCAGCTCGTCTCTCTCCACCGTAGCCTTTGATGCATTTCTCTCCGCCTGGTGGAGCTTGCCCTCCCAGGTGTGTCGTGTCGAGTCCTTGTCATAGCGTGCAGCATCCAGCTTGCGTAGCAGAGCAGAGTTCTCCGACTGGAGACGTTGGTATGATGGATCATCCTCAATTGAAGTTGGCTGATCGGGGTGGGAGTGAGATACGGCCTGAGCCAGCTCTAGTCGTAGTTGCTCATTCCGCGCTTCCACATCTGCCAATCTCAAGCTGGTTTTCTCCAAATCGGAGGAAACCAGCTCCAATTCCGCAGCGGTCGCACCATTGCGAGCCCCGTCGTTTTCGTCGTCTTCGCCCATGCGTTGGGAAACCTCATAGCTTGCTTTGAGTTCCTTGATCAGCCGTTCTTGGTTTTCCACCTTCTCTTCCAAGCTCTTCTCCTTTGCGGCCCAATTATTTGTCTTCTCCGTCAACACGGCCTCCCAGGATGCCTCAATCTCCTTGGCCCTGGCCTCTTGGTTGTCTTCCAACTTCTTCCGCGCGGCCCGCTCCTCCTGGAGGCGCTTCTCCGTTTCCTCTTGTTGCCTAGTCAGACGATCGACTGATTGTTGTAACTGATCTCGCTCGGATGTTAACCTCGGAACGGTTTCTTCGGATAGGACCAATGAATCCACTGAGGCCTCGAGGAGTGGGTAGGGATCGGGAGCTTCGGATAGGGAGGAATATAGCTGGAGGAAGGAAGAAGAGGACGCCTTTCCTTGGTTTGTCAAGACATCGATAAATGATTGGTATGCCTTGAGTAGACCCTTGTGCTCTGTGAGCTTGCCTTGATCATCAAGTTTCTTGAAGTCTTTTGTCTTTTGCGCCAAGTCCTTTCTTTGGACGAGGGATTCCCGTTGGTATTCAACGATATCAGAGGCGGCGGTGTCGAGCTTAGCGATGGTGCTAGCTAGGTCAATTCCTGGTCAAGTGTTAGTCGTAAGTGGCCAGATGGCTTCTTCATGGTTGTTTAGGCCACTTACCACGCCAAGCAGCAATGGCACGCTGGAACTTGTTTGTCTCCTCGGAGAGTTTAGTAGGTACCTCTGGCGATGCATCTTGCTGTTCCTGGGCGGCAAGGCCCTCTGTAATGGCAAAGGAGTCCATAACCAGCGTTCAGCTCAAATGAGCGCGATTCACCCCACACCGAAACACAGAAATGTAATGATGGGGAAACCGCGCGGAGCTGCAACAGGACACGCGGCGCACGGGCCGATAATCTTCCGATTTAAATAGGACTTGGTCCTTTGAGGGGGAGAGTTGTTTAGAAACGTAATTTCTGAGAAAGTGAAGGCAATCTAGTAATCATATGGTGTATGTTCTTGGGATTGTCTTCGTTGACTTGTCAAAGTGGTTGCCTTGATAAGCCGTTGACTGTGTCTCTCTCTCTCTCTCTCTCTCTGTCTCTGTTCCTGATTTAGTATGGGAAAGTGGCCCCCTGAACCTTAGATTTGGCCCCAAGTTCCTGACCGCCTTCCCAGCTCATCTTCAATACTGCGCGGGGACTAAGGCCCTCCTACAAGCTAGCCATCATGGCTTCAGATGATGGATTAGGCCCTCGTAAGCGGCGCAGGGTTGCTCCTGCAGGGTCAGATCCCTACGTCTTACGTTCATTGTTCGAGAATGTACCGGTGGAGACCGAGGACAACAGTGACGTTTACATCACCTGTGTTGAGTACTGGGGTAAGCTACCCATGACGTGGTTCTGGAGAGCTGTCCACTAACCACATAACAATCTATAGAGCAGAACCTGTATATTGGAACCTCAGCAGCAGAGGTGTTACACTTTGTTTGCCTTCCACCCGCTTCCGACGACTCAAATGAGCCTACCTTTATATTGGCATCGCGATTGCCTATCCCATTCCAGACCACACCCTCAAACAGTGACCAGCACGGTGTCCAGCAAATTGTTATACTTGCTTCTGTGGGGAAAGCTTGCATACTTTGCAATGGCACGGTTACCTTCTACATGCTACCAGAGCTCAGTCCGGCATTCGGCAACACCAAAGTTAATCAATGCCGATGGATCGGCGGCTTGGATCTCGATCAGAATGCCGAGTCTGGGGAAAAACCAGTGGTAATGATTGCGGCGCACAACAACATCATGCTAGTTCAAATTGGGGATGAAGCGCGTCGCATCAAAAAGATTGGGTTTCCTGGGTGCTTAGTCGCAGCTCGCAGAGGCACAATTGCATGCGCGGCTGACTCTCATTCGTACTCGCTGCTTGAAGTGGAACACCAGCAGAAGATTCCCTTGTTCCCTATCTCATCCTCGAATGAAGTCTTTGATTCTGGAAAAGTGGAAGACATTGTGCCGGGGCCCCAGACGCCTCTCAAGCGATCTCCTTCGTCATCCTACCCAAGCTCTCCTCCTGCTGATTCACATGCTCATGGCAGAAGTAGCAGTTTGAATGCATTTGCGGGAATGTTACAGCCACATGCACAGACACCTCAACAAGCTCGGTCGCCTTCACCCTCGGGAACCCCGGATCCCTTCACGGCCACCGGGACACCCCGTCGATCAAGTTCGGAAGAGAGAGAGAATGAAACCCCCCCAAAGAAACCTACAGACAGCACCCAGAATGAATCTCCACCAGCAGTTGCCGAGGGCGCAAAACCACTACCTCCATTACCTACAACACAAATCTCAAAACAACTACAACCCCATGTGGTTTCGCCGACCCCCTCGGAATTTCTTCTTGTAACCGGAACCGAAGAAACGGAACCTGGAGTGGGTATGTTTGTAGACTTGGATGGTGAGGTTGTGCGGGGGACCATTAGTTTTCATCGTTATCCTAAGTCCGTGATCATTGATGCCGGGGAGGACGACCAATTTCTCCAGCCCAACGATGATTCCAAGGATGAGTTTGTGCTTGCCATCATTGAAGAAGAAAACGACAAGAATCGACTTGAGATCCAACGCTGGGATGATGATCCGGCGGAAATTGAACGCCAAAAGCGATGGATGGATATACCCTCACCTGGAGTAAAACCCGCTCGGGTTGGCCTGCGGCATACAATTTGCCCCAGCCAATTTGAGCTAGAGGGTATTGGGCAACTTTTGCGAATGACTCGTCTTAAAACCCCTTTGCTTTCACCCCACGTACCAACGGCAGACCCTCGAACACAAGCATCCATTGAGCACCTTCAGAAAGAAGAGGAACTTTTTGAGTCCCAGGAATTAACAGACTCTGAGGGTGCCAAAAAAGGCGAAGCAAGGCCAGGTCGGGGCTGGGAGGCGCAACGAAATGCCGAAGAGGCAAAATTTGCTCATGGACTGGGCAACCTCCAAAGCAGTCTCATACTGTGGTCAGGATCCCAGATATGGCGGATTGTAAAGAATCCCTTGGTGGTTCAGCTTGAAGGCTCGTTACAGCAAGCCCAGTATACCAATGATAGCGGGCACATTATTCTGCAGCGGGACTCCATCATGGCTTTGATGATGTCAATTCGGGATATTGAGCCCCGAAACGAATCAGAATTCATCGGTCTCGGTTACGTGAAGCAGAAAGCAAGTCTTTTGTTGTTTGGAGACCTTTTGTCTATGCCTTCCGATCACCGAAGCGAGTCTGTGATCAAAGCTACCGAACAAGCCCTTGTGGCTGGTGACCTGGACCCGCGCCTGGCCTTGCTATTCATTCCTTTGCTTCGACGTGAGGTTTTACAGGGCCCTCAGGGGATTTGGGTACACTCCGGACTCGCAGATCTGACACAAAAGTATATACAACAGGTGGAAAAAGTAAACAACGAGCTGCCCGCCTCAACTGCCATTAACGGTCCTGTGCTGAATATGGTGAAGCGATTCCTTTTCTCTTGGCAGCAAAAGAGAGGTTACGGTAGCATCACGGATGAGACTTTTGTCTTAGATAGCACCGATGCCGCTCTTCTTCATCTTGTTTTAGAACAGGACGCCGATGTAAATGCGAGCAAGCGGACTAAGTTATCGACTCGTACCGAGTTAAATCGGCTGGTGGATAATTGGAAGGGAAACTTCGAGAGGGCTGTGGCGCTGTTAGAGCAATATCAGAGGCTCTACATCTTGAGTCGTCTGTATCAGAGCCAGAAGATGTCTCACAACGTTCTCAACACATGGCGGAGAATAGTTGACGGTGAACCTGATGCTGGTGGGGAGCTCACTGCGCCAGGCGTAGAGGCCCAGATGCGCAAGTATTTGGTCAATATCAAGAATGTCCAGCTGGTGGAAGAATATGGATCTTGGCTTGCTGGGCGAAACCCTAGCCTGGGTGTGCAGGTCTTTGCGGACAACTCTAGTCGTGTGCGGCTAGAGCCTGCGGACGTTGTCACTCTGCTCAAGGAAAAGGCCCCTAACGCTGTCCAGGTTTACCTGGAGCATCTAGTCTTTGCCAAAAACGTGAGTTCTACCAACGAGCCCTTTAATCGATTAATGACTGACACTATTCACAGTACACTCAATATGCCGACGATCTCATCTCATACTATCTCGATGAAGTACTGTCTGTGCTGAAGTCTTCATCCGCCGCACGGGATTCTCTCTCGGATTCATACTCAACCTACCGGTCTCTGCGTCCTCCCAAGCCTACCTACCTTAATTTCATCACAGAGAACACGCCCAGTGAGCCCTGGTGGCAGTCTCGGCTTCGCCTACTACAGCTGCTGAGCGGCACCTCTGGCACTCAATTTTCGTCTACACCTGTCCCTTCGGGCATCACATACTCTATCCCAAACGTGCTGGCACGTATTGAGCCCTTCCAAGACGAGCTTGTCTCAGAATGCATTATCTTGGACGGTCTACAGGGCCATCACCGTGCAGCTCTCCGCCTTCTAACCCATGGCCTGGGAGACTACGACTCCGCCATTCGATACTGCTTCTTTGGCGGACCACAAACCTCAAGCTCATCTCGGGCCGAGCCCGAACTTGCCGACCACTCTTTACAATCAGAACTTTTTCGCCATTTGCTTGATGAATTCTTGCAAATCCAAGATCTATCAGATCGTATCGAGAGAACTAGTGACCTCCTCGCTCGTTTTGCAGCTTGGTTCGACGTCCGTGAAGTTTTGGACCTTGTCCCCGAGGATTGGAGTGTCGATATTCTAGGTGGTTTCTTGGTGCACGTTTTCCGAACCCTCGTCTCTCAAACGCGCGAAGCTCGTATAGAGCGTGCCCTCAGTGCAGGTCTCAACTTACGCGTGGGTGTTGATTATAATGATAACATGGAGAAAGCCGGGCCTTGGGTAGAAGATGGAGAGGGGCTTCGACGCTTGGTGGGTGGAGCTCCGTCACTTCCTGCTCCGACTGATGGTAACGACGATGATGGAGAATTTGGGGAAGTGGTTTCGCCTGAGGCCGGAGGTGATTAGATGGCCATTGTACAATTGGGCCTTTGACTTTAAGATACCTATTTGTACAATTTAATTCGGTTTGTGATACTGAAACATAATGGACTAAAGGCAAATCAATCACGGTGGTTGTTTGGTTCGGCAATCTGCACTTGAAGTATCTCGTGTGCATTCTTATGATCATGTATTTCATGCCTAGTAGTTTCTCTAGGAGACAGAGGACTCGTACCAAGATCAGGTATGCAGTAAGGTCTTTTATCATGCATTAATTCTCAGATGAAAGGATAAAAGAATATTTCGTGGTGCATTCGTTCCCTTCGTAGCTCCCAATGAGCGGGCTCCCCACTACAGAGTCAGGGTCCATTGGTTTTCTTTTTTGTTAAGATGACCAAGGGGGTTATCACGGCCGTCCCCAGAGTAGCCGGTCATATTGCATTCAGTGACTGAAATGAAATGAGAAAGGTCTTACTCCTCGGGCTGCACAAACGGATTGGGGATTTCCTCGCTTCCATCCGCAGGCGAGATGAGCACGATGAGTGTACCACGAGCAACGATCAAACCCAACGGGCGAGTCGTCTGGTTACCCTCATCATCTGGAAGAAGTTAGTTTTGGTAAGTAGACTTTTGTCAGATGGTGATCAGAAACTCACCACGCATGGATTCCTTGACATCGTCGAGGACAAGATTCATGAGCTGATCATAACCCTTGAGAGTTCCAGTTACTAGTCACAAATCAGCAATTGATCTCTGGTAAATCCAACCTCGTTGAGAGGTGGTTTTTTTTTTCTCTTGAAAGACGTTAAAATGAAGCATAATAAAAGACTCACCTTCACGACCACCATTAAACTTGACCTGGACCTCCTTGTCCATATATTTGTTGAGATCGAGGATGTTTTCCTTCTTGGGCTTCTCCTGTGCACCGCCACTAGCGCCACTTTTCTGCTGGGGCTGACGGCCACCGCCGCGACCACCACCACCACCACGACCTCGGAATGAACCTCGTTCGGACATTATGGTCTGAGCGGGGCTTATGAAAATGGGGGAGGGGTGGAAGAAAAAGGGGGGGAAATAAACCAATGAAAATTCACTAAGCCCGGATAGGAGAAGTAGACCGGAACTGCAGCTCAAAGGGAGGTGGAATCAAACGTTCAGTCAAGTTGCGAGGGGGTCAAGTCAGTATGGACAGTATGAGGGATTTTCAAGATTGTTTGCAGTTGGACTGATAACGATAAGTGTTCAAGTTCCCGCTGGGGAAGTTTCCGCTGTTACTGTACTATTACCGCCCCGGGGATCCGAATTGCTGGGAGCGGTAAAGAGCGGAGGACTTATTTCGCGTGTATCGTGGTATTCCACAATACCCTGTCATTTGGTAATTTTGCTCCAGGCATCATCATTTCCATCAGACTATCATACTCAGCATCATAAGTCGTCATTAGAGTGGAGGGTCAAAAGGCTTGTTTAGGGGGATCGACATATATAGAAATCTTGATGTGAGAATCAAAACGAGAGTGGACTTTGTATTACATGTATGATTCCATGGTATATGGAGTAACCCTCGAACACACAGTGCACGGGGCATATATGGCTGGTTCAGGCCTCAGCGGAAAGCCCCGGCGGGACTCCGCTGCGTGATTCGGTCCTGGTCCTCTGGGTCCTCTGCGTTTTTGTCTTTTTCCCTTGAGAGGGGAGACCTGTGCACCAACTCGTTTTCCTTTTCCTAACTCTCGGTAAACTTCTAACCCAATCTATCTACCATTCTATCCTGCCCGCCCCCATTCACTGCGCTCCGCCCTACTCTCCGCCGGGGCCGATTCGCAGACAGCCTTTCAACTCTTTCCGTTCCCGCCCCTGGGTCTTAACTCTTTTTTCCCCTTCTACTTCACCCTCCCCAGCTTATCCGAACCCCCCCCCCCCCCCATATCCATCGATCGGGACTCCGACACTCCTGGTGGGCATCAAGAGGCAAAACTCGCCGTTCCTGAATGCCTCTTATCCAATTCCACTATGGAGTCCCGCCCCGCGACCACGGAGCTGTCTAACAAACGGCCTCGGTCTCCCACGACCGACCAGCAGCCACAATCCAAGGTGGCCAAAACCCATTCCAATCACCTCCAAATAAATTACCTCGCGCGACAATGCCCCGAAAACCTTCCACTCGTTTCCTCCGAAGACAACATGCCCTCGATCATTCACCTGATCGGAGAATATGATGGAGTGCTTCAACGCCATGAGAGCATCGCCGGTAACTTGGGCGCATGTCCTCTGGGTCCCATTTTGATCAAGCGCTTTGAACGCTTGTTCGATGGGCCTCCGCGCGTGATCAAGGCGCATGAAAAGGATGAATCAACGGTGACTTGGTTGGATGTTGTCGAGTTCGCCAAAAGCAACCCTGACCAGTTCAATCTGGAGAAAGCTCGCAACGGTGCGCGCATCTGCCAGTTCTACACCAAGCAGTGTCGCGTGGAGATCAGCGAGGAAGACCATTTGTTGATCGCATCGGGCATGCCCCAGAGGATGATCCCCCCACAGCCGATCATCGAGGATGAAGAGAAGGAGTTGGGCGCACTGGAAATCCTAGAAAAGAACCTCCAGCAAATCACTCAGACCGCAGATCAAAGTAAGTTAGCAACTTATTCTCCCTATTATTCACACTCCTGGTCGACATCAGAGGAATTACACCTTTCCCAGGTGCCTCTGACCCAAGTCCGCTACATACTCGGTTCCTGAACAGAGTACAAACTCAATTCCTGGAAGAAGTACATACTCAGGTCCGGGAGAGAGTACATACTCATTTCTTAGAGAGGGTACTCACTCAAGTTCTAGGGAGAGAGAGTATAAATACATCTTCATGACTTAGATCTAACCTTTCGTTATAGCGTCTGCCCGAGCACGTCAGCTTAGTTACCGTCTGAGAAACCGCCGCACCGCGATAATGAGCCGCCGCCAGAACGATGCGACTCTGCAGTCTCGTCCTGGAGAGACACGGCGCGAATCCAACGGTCTTCCGTCCCATGCTTCCCCGTTAAGCGGCTTTGTTGCTGTCAATGCGGCTCGAGCTGAGGCCGAGGCCGCCGAAGACAATCCGCTTTCAGCACAATTCGCTTTCTCACACCCCAATACTGATAATGTCACAATCATAAATGGAACCTCGATCAAAGGCGCATCACCGACTACTCGCGCTGAGTTGATGAAGAAGTTCTTTACTACCGCCGATCGTCAGGCACGAGGCTACGATGACGCTACAACACCTATCGTCAATCCTTTATCTCGGCCTCGACCTCAGGCGCCAGAGGATCCGGCGAACTTCAACAACACTGTTTACAGTAGCAGTGCCTCCAGCCCGGCGGTGCCTATCCCCAGCACCCCATCCTCCCTGTTACCCCCGCCCAAGTCCACCCCTCAGGACAAAGACGATGGCGGACCGTACAAACTAGAGATGGTAGCCCGTATGGAGGAGATGGTCCGCGGCGAGCGGATAACGCCACCGTGTGATCGATGTCGTCGACTCCACATGGACTGCCTGAAGAACTTGACCGCTTGCGTAGGCTGCACAAAGAAGCATGCCAAGTGCTCTTGGCGAGACGTGAAGGAGGTGGAGATTCGCGCAGCCTGGGCTCCATCCGCCACCGCACGAGAAGCCATGGAGGTAGACATGAACCGCACCTACGCTTTCCCTCCACAGCGCCCTTCTCCCAGCTCCCGGGCCTCTGCTGAGCGTCCCACGGGTCCATATGACACCGCCTACGCTCACCATCACCGCCGTGAATCAGCGCCAAGTGCCCCTCAAATGGTACCAGCCGCGGGTGGTGTTCCAATGAACCTTCCGTCTTCCGAAAACTCCCCCCGCAGAGCCGTGAGTGAGACCGAGAGTAACGGTCGGCCGCACCATGGGCCCGCGCCTCGACATGCTGAGGAAGAGGATCCAGATGCGAATCAGCGATTGGTGCAGGCGATTATGGATACCGTCGATCACCATACCCGTGTCGCAGCCGCTGTGGAGGAGAAGGAAAGGGGTGCTGAGCGTTATTCGGATCGTGGGGATGCTCCTCATGACCGCGATATGGATCGGGACCGAAATCAGGACCAAGAACGGGATCGGGATCGGGATCGGGATCGGGACCAGGACCGGGACCGAGAAAGACGGATCTTGCAGACTTGAGTTGTCTAGCATGAAGTATTCGCGTGAAATTTGATATCCTCTTACATATTTGTTCTAGTTTTTATGTATGTATTACTATGATGAGCGCTGGCGAATCGGGGTCCACTACTTGGGATGTTTATCTTTTTACTGCATGTATGTATTATACTAGTATCCATGGAAGTTTATTGTTACCTACAACATTGAAGCCTTGGTCACTGCGCGTATGAGTTATGAATGATGATGAGTACCCAAGCGTAGTAGTACGGGGCCCAGTACATTATGAGTCAAGTACCTAGGCCTCTCAAGGAGTTTCCTTTCTTTTCATTTTTCTGCTTCCCTTCATGTTAATAACGCGACAATACGTATTTAGCGCGTGAAAGGTAATACCAAATATTTCTTTTGCTTGTACTACATCTCCACTTTTGCACCCTTGTGGGCCGTGCCCCTAGGACTCCAGTTCCTCTTTCAAGTCCACCTTTACCGGGCAAATCCACTTTGCTGAGTTTTTTGGACTGTCCATACCGGTAGATTCGGCTCTGGATCGTTTCACGTTACAACTTCTGTGCGAGATTTACATACACGCACGGCACGGGTTCCAAGCCCATATCTCTTTTATCAATTCAGGTTGCTAGACATATTATGTGGCTGAGTACTCATCACTAAAGTCGGCTAACGTGAATTATCAAAATGGCGTCTGCCAAGCAACCTGAACTGGCGTCCGCCATGAAGCCCGCTGTCGCTGGTATCTGTTATGACTCTCCAGATTGGGAACAGTTGCCCGCCACCCCGATTCTTAGCATCCTGCAATTGAAATTTGTTTCAGAGGTCAATTTGGAGGATATCTCACAGACAGTCTCAGTTCTTTGGCGAAAGTCTGTCGAATTTGTGTCGACTATTCCTGGCTTCCAAGAACTATACTGGGCGCCCGTCGACCAAAGTGCAGCCACGATCATGGTTTTGATCCAATGGGACAGTGGGAAGGCTTGGAGTCGGTTCCAGTGTTCCTTGGGCTTTACCATGCTTCTGGGATACCTGGAAAACGTTACGAACCGCTGTATGCAGCTTACTCTTCCTGATTTTCTCTCTACTGGCTTTTGCTTAGAGTTATTTTCCTACAACTTCCCGGTCTCGCAAAACGCACCCGAGGAACGTCAATCCGACTTCAAAGCACGTTGGAATTCATTGTTCGATGTACACTCAATGCATAACATGATATTCGCCTATGGAGGGTGGATAGAAGACGATTATCGAAGTTATAAAAAGGGAATTTGTATTCCAGCCCTTCTTGTAGAAGGCTTTAAGGTCGAGAACCATTATTTTGGTGGCTTCGTGTTCAAGAAAACTAATACTCTCCTACAAATTTCCCATGAAATCATCGATCAACTTGCAGTTCTAGCAAGTGAGGCGACTTATATGGCCACTTGCAAGACTAAACAAATGCGCTATGAAGGAAGGGATCTTGCGACCAAAAAGCCATCGCCTAGCCTTCCTTCCAACCAATCCACTTGGAGATACCCGCTTTTGGGTACGCCAGTGAATCGGCAATGCGACCTGGAGGATTCTGATCGTCTCGACCCTGAAGATCGAGTACATATACAATCAATCGAAGAGTCGTTTGTTCGCGGGAATAAACGCCTTGTGCATAGTCCAGCCGGTACTTGGACACAGATGGGGTCTTTAAACCAGTACGAAGTGGATAATCATGTGCCCATACGTACTCGTGAATCGAAAGCCGTACTGGAAGTGATCTCTTTCCGGCTTTTGCACCCCAGTTCCTCTTTCGACAATTTGTTCGCTGGATTTCGAGTTGCCGTTTGGAAACTACGAGACAACCCTGGCCTCTGGCGAGCCTCCGATAACGATGATCCCTCCCAAATTTTCCTACTAGCAAGTATGTGTCTCCATCATTATAATTCAAAACGTCAACTTATCAAGCTAGATCTCGGCGATATAAAGTCCGCATCGTGGGGGGATAAGGAACGTTTTCATCGCCTTATTCACGATTTTGAATTTGCATGCAGAGGTACAATTGAAGATCTATCATATATGCAAATTCCCGGTCCAGATATATCAGGATCAGGAACAGGTATAGGTCCCCATATTCTTGAGTTTACGATTTTTCACATCGCAAATTATGACCTTCGTGCATTCGAATACGCGTATCAGAACTTGATTAAGTATGTCCATTTCCCGGATATTCACTACTCCTTCCTACATGTTCGCTCATGATTTCGCCTATTAGAACAACGCGCGTCCAGAGGCTATACGGGGGTACGTTCAATTACGTCCAGTTTAACGCAGTGAGCGACGTGGGTAGAGATTATGACGCAGATTTGCAAACAACCAAATTCACCACTGTTTGGAGGTGGCAGAGTGGCTCGGGTGGACAAAAGCAGTGGTACGACGAGTTCGCCAGCCGCTCTCAAAGTGAGTATGAAAGGCTAGGGCATATCATTGACTGGCTTCGTACTGTCTTCAAGAGTGCCCATAATGTTCTTCTGAATATTGAGCCCAGCGATTCAGCCCTTCCAGATGTCGGTCAGGGATGAATTAGTTATATTCAAATGGCCACTCACTTGATTTTTGTTGAAAATTGGGCTTGGCTCATTGAGTGCAGTGCTTGGTATACATAGAGAAACTTCAATGTTGTCTTTACTAGTACACATGTTATGTACATATAGTACATACACATGAATGCATACATACATAGGAATCATAACATCAATCAATTGAAGTGGAAATCCCCGCCGTTCTTTAGAGCATACTCAAGTGCTCGATAAACATTAGGCGAGGTTTGAATTGATGCAAATCTGGACCATTGAAAATTCAAATATTTTTGAGCTCGCATGGTGACACTGAATTGCTGGCTAAGCGATCGTACTAGCTACACCAAGCCAACATTTAAAATTGCGATTCTTCTTCAACTCTTTCGAATGTTCCTTTCGAGGTTTGAATTGCCTGTGTCTATACACGTGGATCTAGGTAAGGCTGGACGAGAACCTTGGAATCAGAATTTGAACGTTAGGTAGAAACTTATCAACACAAATGGTTCAAACATTGAATACTTAACCGAATTGATGGTGGAACCTTCAATGTTAGCAGGTTGCGGGAACATATACGTACCTGGGTAGACTTCGCACGGGCATGAACCCGCTTAGAATTCGGAAATCCACATGTGCAAAATCACCCGCCTTCCAAGGTTGGAACCTTCAAATGATTGGAAGTACTAAAGCAATTGAGTTCTATTAGCTATGTATCTTGTAATATGATAGAAATTACCAGGAAGTAGAGATGTGAAGTATCGTATTTGAAAGGAGTAAGTGTCTTCAATGTTATAAGAGAGGCGCGAACACGATAAGCGTACGAAGGTATCATTAGGGATATAATGCTCAAGCAGGATCAGCTGATATGAAGAACAGCCCGGGTGGTCTAGTGGTATGATTCGCGCTTAGGGCAGCAACTCCTAAGCACTCCTGCGCGAGGTCCCGTGTTCGATCCACGGCTCGGGCCTGTTATCTTTTTTTTATTTTGTCAATTAATTTTTTTTTTTCAATTGATCTATCTATTTACCTGACAATTTAGTTTTGACTCATTTTTAGCGAATTGGGAAGATCTGATAGTTATCTTCTGAATCCCTGAATATTCTTTCAGGGGTTGGATTTTGTTTCTCTTCGACTACTGCAAGCCACTGCATATCAATAGCGATCCCTCGATTTCAATCCACTCACCCAACTAGAAGCTATGTGAAATATCACCCACCCAGAAAAGGACCTCAAATTATGAATCCAAAATTTTGGTTCTGCTTTAGACATATGCATGCTCTTAGCTTCTGTCTGCGAAAATTATGCGGCCTCTGCGAATGGTCATGTCCTCGACTGCAGTGTGATTAATCCAATGCTAACCTCGCCCACATACTACCATATCCATCCAAGACCCTAGGAAACACCAATTGACTTACTTCCTTATCTAAACATTCAGTATAGCAAGCCTTGGAATTGGTCACCGTCAGCCAGCACGTGCTCAGAACGTGCCGATTCAACCGGTCTGGCTCCAGGGCTATCGTTTCTGGTTTCGCCAGTTGCAGAAAAAACGGTGAAGGCTCGCTTAAGGTCTAACTCTCAAGATTCCTGACATGTGTGAGCCCGGTGTTACTATTCTAGTAGTTATCTAGAGCTTGTCGATATCCACCCTGACTTATTATAGAATGCTAACTACTAGTAGCGTAGAGGTTCCGAGCTCCGTCTTACTACCTAGGGTATTCCTTCTTCCCCCTCCAGCTTGGCAATCCCAACATTAGAACTCCCATCGGGTACATTGACCCTGGGACTCAGGCCCTTTCTCTCACTAGTCTCCCCCACGGGCCTCCATATCTTCGCTCCTATGCCGTCATTCCAAGATCTCCGCAACACCGCGTGGTTACAGGACAGTAGGGGATATAGCACCCCCCACAACGAATTGAAAAAAGGTAGTATGATTTGACGACTGAAAATCTTATCAAGATCAGATGACGCGCATGTGCGTCTTGTTAGTTTGAGCAACAAAAACTGACGTGTGGCTCACAGTGCTGTCTCGTGCTCCATTGGGTCGGCAGCAGCAACACACAGCGAGTCATGAACAATTCAATGCTGGGCTTCACGATCGAAGGGAAAAAGTACGGGAAATACCCGACCCGGAGAGCTATTTAGAGTTTTATTTATTTATACGTTATGCAGTGTTGAAGCCAGAGGTTACTTATTCATACATTGATTCGGCCGGTTTACCCTAATCTCGGTACTCAAGTGCTCCGAGTGGAGAAAAAGAGGGGGTATACGAAAGAAGACTTTGGACTTGATCCTTCTCGTGTCGAGCAAGAAATTAGTCTGCGATTAAACTTTGTACCCCCCGGCACCGTGATAGATGTATCGCAATTAGAAGCTTGGCTTCGATGGAAGATGCAACGAATCCACCTTCGGTCGGGTAAATAAGCCGGTTACCCTAGGACCTCTCTTTAGTACCAAGCTCCAAGGTTAAAGATAGGTACTGTGGCTGACTTAATAGAACAAGTAAAAAAAAAAAAAAAAAAAAAAAAAGAGTAAGACGGACCAGATGCCGATTTCAGTAATGCAGGTAATATTGGACAGTGTTACTGCTTCCAAGGTTAGGAAAGTTGCAGCCACACCGGAAGCTTCCAGCCCCCGCCAACCCCCCCCCCCGCAAACCTTGGAAGTGGACTTGTGTATTACTGAATCTCGCTTGCAATCAATGTAAGAAAAACCAAAAGAATCAAAAATAAAGGAGTATGTTTGTTACGAATCCTGCGACGACTCTACCCAATGATCTTATCAATTAGCAATATAACCACATCCTGCGTTGGCGCCCCGGTTTTTAATTAGCGAATTGACCCTGGTTGCATCTCTGCACACTAACCTTCACGGGAATTCTTCATGACCATCTTTAACCGCTCAACAGCCATGGCAGGATCCGACATTTATTAATAGCCCGGAGAATTCAACGAAGGTTTGCCTTTGCATTGGGCTACGACCCCCCGGGTCTTCAGTGTTTTGGTTAGCGCGTTGCTATCTGGATTTAGTCAAAGTTGTTCAGGGCCAGCAACGAATGAGATGGTGAAGAGGCTGGTCAGGCTAAATTCGGCGCGTCCCCGGTCCAATCACACGCATCCGTTAACCACCTATCCCTGCTAGTACCTGCAGCCTGCATCGATCCTTTTGGGATTTTCGTTTTTTTTTTAGCTACATTTTCTCTGATTTGTTTCGAGTGAGACGAGTTGTTTCTATAATTGAGCTCTTCATGATAATGGCTTTCTATTGTAATCACCACCGACTCTATATGTACTGGGCTTCCCAGCCCGACGGTTTCATTATCCACCCCCCCCTCTCTCACCTCCCCCTCCAACGAGTCATTCCTTTCCTTCAATTCTTAATTCTCCAAACAGTCAGCCTGGTGCTGCAAAGGACCTAAAACCCCTCTAATCTTGCAAAATCACCCTCTACTATCGCACCCGCCGCTATTCTTCAAAAAAGTCTACCATACAAACTTACACTCAATCTGGGAAAGATATACGCCATGTACATCCTACCCTGGCTTCTCTCCTTGGCAGCAGTATCAAGTGCTGCTCCTGCAAACTTCTTCGATGATGCCTATGACTTCTCCGAAGAGCTTCTGGGATACTATGGCAAAGTTAGCCAAAAGATCAACCAAATAAGGCACACGTCGAGCTCTTCCGTGGAATGCGATACATCCAAAATATCGCTTCCGTCTTATGCATCCAGCCTCCCAAGCCCGACTGGCCTCAAGCCCCTGTATGTGGCTCTTGGAAGAGGAACACAGGTACGCACATTGTTTTTCCCCCTTTTGAATTCTATTTTATTTGGAGTTCAATCTTGTTAGTCTACTAGACCAGTGGTTGATGTTTTTTTAGAACTATACCTGTGCCGATTCCACCACGAGCTCTGCCCCCGTAGCCATTGGTGCGGTCGCAAACCTCTACAACGCCACTTGTATTGCCGCCAACTACCCGGAGGTTCTGCAGATGCTCCCCAGTGTTACCTATACGATTTCCCTACCAACGAATGAGTATGCGACCTTCCCACCTGCCAACATTGAGTTGATGGGTCACCACTTCTTCTACAACTCTACCACGCCGGAATTCAACCTCGATACCACCACCGAGAAACAATATGGTATTGCAATGACGAACAAGATTGACTCAATTGCGGCACCTTCCACTGCCACCAAGGGTGAATATGGTGCTGTCACTTGGCTCTACCTGAAGACTGTATCTGGTACCGTCGGCGATTACAAAGCCGTCTACCGAGTCGATACTGCTGCAGGATCTGCCCCTACTACGTGTGAGGGAATGCAGTCTGCATTTGAAATTCAATATGCAGCACTTTATTACTTCTTTGGCTAGGATGGGCTTGGGTTCATATTGTTCTGTTCTGTACATAGAGAGGTATTTTGTTTATAGGTGGAATTATTAATTCCACGATCGATTAGTCTAGTCCGCATATCATTACCCTTATTTGTTTATGAATTTTTATTCAATGTTGCATACCAACGAGAGGGAGTGTATCAGTTGCCTCCAATTGCCGGGTCTAACAGATTCAAATGCTGGGTGGTTGCATCGCATCGCATCGGATCTCACATTTAAGCGTTCACGTCACAGTGTCGATTTTTGGAGGTTTTGAAAATTTGAAACTGGAGATGACTGTGATTAAACAGCTGAATCCATCTCTTTTATCAACTTTGGCAATCGATATCTTGAATACTGTGATTATTCTTGCCTTGTGAAAGTAGATGTAAATGCAGGGTTGTCAGACACCACGTGACCTCGCTATAGAAGGATCCAGGATTCGGGTCATGTGATGAATCCACATCTGGCTAAATACGCTAAACCAGAAGTAGTCTAGCGCTTTTCTGATTTTCTGAAAGATCCAACGAGCGTAAAAAAAATCTCGACCGCATCAACGAGCAGCAACGGCCCTCACCCGCAACTCGACAGAGCATACTCGGTCGATCAAAATACAGCTGCTGAACTTATTGATTACGATCAATTTGTCAATTTCTTTCAATTCAAGTCGGCTCTCTTTTCGAGACCCTCTCCCAACTTTTTTTCCGGTTTGAGCATTCAGTTAGCTCAATCCTCCAACTCCTCCGACTTTCGAGTTTTAACAACTACACATTATCTTCACAATGGGTTTCGGCGCTCCTCGTGGTCGCGGTGGCTTCGGTGGTGACCGCGGCGGTGGTCGTGGTGGACGTGGTGGTGGCTTCGGTGGTGACCGTGGCGGCCGTGGTGGTGGCAGAGGTTTGTGATCCGATTCTAATCCCCCAAGACAGGAGGCTCTGCCTTTCAGCGCATCAAGTTAGACAGTCTTGCTGATTCTCGTCCCTTTTGAAGGTGGTTTCGGTGGCCGTGGTGGTGGTCGCGGTGGCTTCGGTGACCGTGGTGGCCGTGGTGGTGGTCGCGGTGCTCCCCGTGGTGGCCGTGGTGCTCCCCGTGGTGGCCGTGGTGGTGCCGCTGGTGCCCGTGGTGGTGCTAAGGTTATCATCGTAAGTTTTCTCACCTTAAAAGCTATGGAAAAAACCGATTTTTTTGCAAGTCTTCAGTCGCTAACCAGGTTTTCTTTCTTCTCTACACAGGAGCCCCACCGTCACGCCGGTGTCTTCGTTGCCCGCGGTGGTAAGGAGGATCTGCTTGTTACCAAGAACTTGACTCCCGGTGAGGCCGTTTACGGTGAGAAGCGTATCTCCGTCGAGGGTCCCGCTGGTGAGGATGGTGCTGTCACCAAGGTCGAGTACCGTGTGTGGAACCCCTTCCGTTCCAAGTTGGCTGCCGGTATTCTCGGTGGTTTGGACAACGTCCACATGAAGCCCGGTTCCAAGGTTCTTTACATTGGTGGTGCCTCCGGTACCTCCGTCTCTCACGTTGCTGATATCGTTGGCCCTACCGGTAACGTTTACGCCGTCGAGTTCTCCCACCGCTCTGGCCGTGACCTGATTGGCATGGCTACTCACCGTACCAACGTCATCCCCATCGTTGAGGACGCCAGACATCCCTTGCGCTACAGGATGTTGGTGCCTATGGTGGACGTCATCTTCGCCGATGTGGCTCAACCAGATCGTTCGTATTTCCTGACCCGAAGAGACAAATGACACAACGCTAATTCCTTTTACAGAAGCTCGTATCGTTGGCCTCAACGCCCACATGTTCCTCAAGGACCAGGGTGGTGTCCTTATCTCCATCAAGGCCAGCTGTATCGACTCTACTGCCGCTGCCGATGTTGTTTTCTCCCGTGAGGTCCAGAAGATGCGCGAGGAGAAGATCAAGCCCAAGGAGCAGCTTACCCTGGAGCCCTTCGAGCGTGACCACTGTATCGTTGGTGGTATCTACACTCGCTCGTCATAGAGAGGTGGTTGTTTAATTGGTGGTCATGTCTTTCTCCTAAATGTTCTCTTTCAATTTATCCTCAGGCGTCCTGTGTTATGCTATCTGTATCCAATGCTTATCTTCTTGTGACTGGTTATCTCTGCCCATGTACTTTTGCTTGCGTCACAAAAATCTAGGTTCCACGTCTGGGAAAATGCACACCATGAAAATGATAAAGTGTCTTCGTAATGGCTATAAGGCCTGTAAAGTCTACTTTAAAAACCAAGGCTTTCAGAAGCCCGAGGCAATGAGTTTGATATTACAGCACCGCGCACGAGGCGCCGGTCACGTGTGTTCATTTTAATAACTACTATACTGTAGTATAGTTACTGTAACTATGTCTGGAGCTTGTCACTACTAGTCATAGTTAACTAGTACATAGCACTTGAATAGTATTGGATAACTTGTCACCTTAGATACTCTGTGCCTAATTTCCAAGGTTGCTACTGCTTTTCTATGTACTAGGCGAATATATGGCCTATGCGCGATATTTGAGGGGGAAAACGAAATGAAAAACCAAACACGAAACACGAAACGAATCATCACTATAGAGGCTATGCGCGGTAATGAAGCAAGAACACAAAACGCAGAACGCAAAATGGCGACCACGTATTCCAGTACGATCTTGGAGAATCAGTTGAATTGAACTAGCTCTTACCTCACCTCTCTCTCTCTCTCGCTCGTTTAGATTATTGCTATTCGAAAGCAATCTCTCTATAAATTCCATCTCTACCTCCTTCTTTCCATATTTCTACTACTTTCTGTACCACTGAATCCACTGCTTTATGACATACACACACGTGCAACGTGCAATCCGGACAGTTTCTTTCGTGAATCGCTATCACACCTTACCTATCTATTCGGAGACAACGTGTGTGGGCATGAAGATGTATGTAATCTTGGCGAGGAAGGAAGCTACAGATAGCCCCCGAACACTATTACATGATCGTAATTTGTATGTGGATCTTCGTGCTGCATGGGCACCTTTAGGGCTAGTCACCTGAGTAGATGAGAGTTTGAACTTGAAGGTATAGGAGTTGGAAGTATACTGGAGATATTGGGACTGTAAGCTTCCTCGATAGTAGACCCTATAGAGGAATTTTGATAACTGCATCAATATAACCCCTTCTAATCTTGTTCCCAAGTATTCACCTACCTAGCGTAGTGGAGGCGTTACTGCAGGGAAATAAGCGAAACGTGATATACCAAGCGAGGTTGTACGACTTGGATGTGTATATGTATAATGCCCGCCTACCATGAAGAAATTAATCCAGCCAGTGCTTCTTCTTTGTGCACCTTTTCGCATTTGAAACCTCCGATTCTGTCTCCTATCTCTGTGCAGGTGTGGTTCCCCACACTCCGTCTATCTGAGCACTCGAGAGTCGACAGCCAACGAGTATCTCTCATTCTACTAAGTTTCGGGGAGAAATTAAGTAGAACCAGGTTCAATTGAATTATGCTGCAGAAACGATCATTCCAACGAAGAGTGTTCACCAATGAGACTTGAGAAAATTTCTCAGATTTCTTGAGATAGAGCCTATGTACCATGTTATGTACACTCAACTTCTAAATATATGTGGTATAGAATACTATATCTTTACAAAATACCTTCCAAAAATCCTTCAAATGTTTTCCACCAGTCTCCCATGTCAACTATTTTCCGGGGCTCTCATCGGGGCTCTCATCGGACTTTCCCCGCGTTCCGAGCAGCCAGGCCAGTGGTTCGGCAGTCGGATTTCTCACCGAGTTTCAACACTCGGAACATCAGATGTACGTGGGAGACTCCACACCGTCGGTATCCTTGGTATAGTGCCAATAAATATCTTTCTAAGCTGATTTTGAGACTGCGAGAACCGAAGGACATCTCGGACTAGTCGAGATGCCCTCTAGTTAACTAGCTAGCAGTAGCTGTATAGGTGCTCTCGAACTTGATAATGTAGGATAATTTTTACCTAGGTAAGTCGAATAGGACTCTCCCCTGGATAAAAAGTGGCCTCAAGGTGCAGTAATATTGTCAGATTTCATCATTGGCTGAATTCAAAGATTGCCCTTCGGTGGTGCGTGGGGGGAAGGGAGACTTCGCCGCAACCCCGCGGGGTCCAATCTTGGAAGACCTGGGCACATGCATGACAGTAGTATATAAGTAGTACATCGGAACGTCCCCGTGTTGCACAATTGAAATATCCCAATTTATCCCTACATTGACCTTCTCTGTCCACTCTTCCTGTTTACTTCTTGTTCACCCCCACAGACCTAATACTCAACCATTGCCTCGCCCGATATGTCGATCCTCATCACTGGCGCTGGTGGTTACGTTGGGCAAGAACTGGCCGCTGCCTTCCTTGCCAGTACACCTGCTACGACCACTGTTACAATCACCGATGTCGTTGAACCAGCAGTCCCCAAGTCAGCCACAGCGCATGCCAGCCGTCTATCTTGTATTCAGGCAGATCTCACATCACCCAAAGAGGTTGACGAATTGATCAGTGCCTCCCGCCCATTCGAGACCGTATACCTTCTCCATGGAATCATGTCCAGCGGCGCCGAGGCAAACTTCGAGCTGGGAACAAGAGTCAATCTCGACTCGACGCGTTACATCCTTGACCGACTACGTGTTACCATGCCTGGTGTAAAGGTGGTCTTCACCTCTTCGTTAGCAGTCTACGGCCTCGCACCACCAGGCCTCCTCCCAGACGAGTCCAACTTCCCACCCGTACCCTCAACCTCCTATGGATCTCAAAAGCTCATTATCGAGACCTTGGTAACCGACTACTCCCGCCGCGGATTTCTCGATGGCCGCTCCGTGAGACTTCCAACTGTGACTGTCCGTGCAGGCGCTCCCACACAAGCTGCAAGCAGTTTTGCCAGCGATATTATTCGTGAACCTTTCCACGGCAAGAAGGCTATTCTGCCCGTGGGAAGAGATGTCGAAATGTGGATCTGCTCGCCGCACACTATTGTCAAGAACTTGATGCATGCGCGTGATGTCCCGGCTGAGGCATTCGGCACGTCACGATCGGTCAATTTGCCTGGACTGAAAGTCAGTGTCCAAGAGATGTTGGATGCACTGGAGACCATTGGCGGTAAGGAGCGACGGGCGTTGGTGGAGGAGAAGTTTGACGCTGCGGTGGACAAAATTGTGCAGACATGGACTCCTCAATTCTCCAATGAGAGAGCCCTCAGCCTTGGGTTTTCACCAGATATTTCTATGGAGGAGAATGTTCGACACTTTGCTAGTGCATTTGTGTAGGTTGTAGGCTCCTAATTGAGGAGCGAGACCGGAGACTCGAGAGCCAATGAATTGAGCCGGATTTGAGGTGATATGTGGCAACCATATTTGGAGCTGATTTAGGATGGATAAATGATGAAATATCCGGCGATAGTGCGTACATGAGTATAAACACACTTAATTATCCAATGAACTTCGAAAAACACCGATTGAAAGCAGAAATGCACCTTTAAGTTGGGGAAAGGAAGTAATCGGGACGAGTTGGAAAAACGGGTCATGTGATTGGCTGGCGCGCCGGGCGAACAATTTGACTTCCGAACTTCAACCTCAGGGCGAAGTCCAGCTCTTCTCTCCATCCCCTTCTCCCCCCCCTCTCCACACACCTTATAAAATCGCAATGGCTTCTCGGCGCCTAGCTTTCAACCTTAACCAGGCTCTGAAGAGCCGTGCGGCTCTGAAGTCCATTCAGCCCGTGAAGCGTGGTTTTGCTTCGCCCGTTACATTGCCCTCTACCACCCAGTCCACCACCCTCTCCAACGGATTCACGGTACATACGGTCGCCTCAATCATTCCTCAAAACGTCGCTAATGCCTTCTAGATCGCCACTGAGCACTCACCATGGGCTCAGACCTCTACTGTCGGTGTCTGGATTGATTCCGGTAGCCGGTCAGAGACTGACAAGACCAACGGAACCGCCCACTTCCTTGAGCACCTTGCCTTCAAGGTTCGACCGCATCGATTCCGATCATTATGAGACAGAAAAATCTAACAGTATCTATTTGTAGGGCACCAACAAGCGCTCGCAGCACCAATTGGAGCTTGAGATTGAGAACATGGGCGCTCACCTTAACGCCTACACCTCGGTACGACCGGAAAACCCATTGCATGGCATCAATCGAATTAAAAAGCTAACTATAGATAAAACAATAGCGCGAGAACACCGTCTACTACGCCAAGTCCTTCAACGCCGATGTCCCCAAGGCCGTCGACATTCTCTCCGATATTCTCCAGAACTCTAAGCTCGAGGCCGGTGCCATCGAGCGCGAGCGCGATGTCATCCTGCGCGAGCAGGAGGAGGTTGACAAGCAGCTTGAGGAGGTTGTCTTCGACCACCTTCACGCCACCGCTTACCAGGGCCAGCCCCTCGGCCGCACCATCCTCGGTCCCAAGGAGAACATCCAGACCATCACCCGTGAAAACCTGACCGACTACATCAAGACCAACTACACTGCTGACCGCATGGTTCTTGTTGGTGCCGGTGGTATCCCCCACGAGCAGCTTGTTCGTCTTGCTGAGGAGCACTTCGGTAGCCTCCCCAGCAAGGCCCCTACTTCCGCTGCTCAGGCCCTCACTGCCGAGATGAAGCGCACCCCCGAGTTCATTGGCTCTGAGGTTCGTCTCCGTGACGACACCATCCCCTCTGCTCACATTGCTCTCGCCGTTGAGGGTGTTAGCTGGAAGGATGATGATTACTTCACTGCCCTTGTTGCCCAGGCTATTGTTGGTAACTGGGACCGTGCTATGGGCCAGTCTTCTTTCCTTGGCAGCAAGCTCAGCTCCCACGTCAGCCACCACGGCCTCGCTAACAGCTTCATGAGCTTCTCCACCAGCTACAGCGACACTGGGTAAGATCTTTTCTTTCTTTCGCGATTCTGTTTCGAATACAAAAAAAAAAAAAACCTCGGCCCTTGAATAACGAAGCTAACCTTGTCTCTTTTCCCTGTATAGTCTCTGGGGTATCTACCTTGTTTCCGAGAACCTGACCAACCTTGATGACTTGATCCACTTCACTCTCCGTGAGTGGACTCGTCTGTGCAGCGAGGTCAGCCCTGCTGAAGTTGAGCGCGCCAAGGCTCAGCTCAAGGCTTCCATCCTCCTCTCCCTTGACGGCACCACCGCCGTTGCCGAGGACATTGGTCGCCAGATCATCACCACCGGCCGCCGCCTCAGCCCCGAGGATGTTGAGCGTGTTGTCAGCCAGATCACCTCGAAGGACATTATGGACTTCGCCACCCGCAAGCTGTGGGATCAGGACGTTGCCATGAGCGCCGTCGGTAGCATCGAGGGTGTCCTTGACTACCAGCGCATCCGCTCTGACATGTCCCGCAACCTGTCTTAATTTACCCGTTGTTTTTGACTTTGCGAAAGAAAGACGGCTCTCTAACGCTCGGGCTTGAGTGTTGGTGGGTTTGGTTTGAATGTACTATCAATCATTGCCTTGGGTTGTTGTTAGACCCTGTTTTGTGTGCGTGTGAAATAGCAAATAATGCTTTGCCTTAGTAGACTATGCAACGATGACCACCTTCCAGTAACGATACATATACCCAGCTAATAATCCTTCAAGAGATATTTCTGAGTGGTATCTAATCTAAATGTACATCAGTCAGATTGAATGAACAGCGGAGTCTATCTAAAAGAATCCAATGAACTCCGGTAAAGAATAGATTCCAAAGTTGCTTCGTACCCCCATGAATTCCTGAGAAACATTCAACAGCATTTGAAGAGTGGAAACATGTACTCTGGCTTACATCGACCCACTTTTGATGGCGTATGGTCCGGTATGGATAGTAGTGCACATCAAATCTCTTATATGATCCACTGGTACCAATAGTTTACAATTGAAGGCTAGAATATCATTCTGAAAGGGAAACCGATGAAGCCAATTGCCAATTTCAAGGATTTGAGTGACAACATTGCAAAACCATGAGCCAGAGGGCTACAGCATCCGTCCTGACGTCGACAAGCAGCTCCGTCGTGAACTATGCGGGTCCCATAATGACATCTGGAATGGACGCTCAGAAAATTCGCGGAGCTTAGTATACATATAATCAAGTTTTGCTGTACATTCTGTTCATTTAGATCAAAGCTTTGAACTCACTACTTCGTCTCATGTTTCCAAAGCTGTCGGTTCGAGTTTTTTTTTCTTATTATTATCTCACTTTTGATAACCACAGCTACTTTAGTTGTCCATGTTGGAAGAAAATTGCGTCCCGCCGAACGATTACCTAATCCTGCGCATCATCTCCAGCTTTTTTTTCGACGTCGGATTCGATTGCATCTCTCAGCGTATCTACAATCACAATGGGAAAACGTGGAGGCAAGAAGGTGTGTACACTAATCGGTGCTCTCAATTTGAGGAAACAGTTGAGCTAATACCTGTTCGTCCACTAGTTCAGCCGTGGTGGTGGTCGTGGCGGCGGCGGCCGTCGCAACGATAACTGGCAAACAATTACCAGAGACAACGAAAAGCTCGAGCGCTATTACAATGAGCCGGAGTTCCTTGCCGATGATGAGAGAGAGGCTTTCTGGACTCATCTCCAGCGGGACCTTCCCAACAGCTTCCGCTTCACTGGCTCTCGTGGGTAAGTTCTGAGCTCTTCCATCCCACATTTGCGCCTATACTGCTCCCGCAAATTTTGAATGATTCTGATCGTTGCCCCCATCTTTCTAGCCATGCGCTCGCTGTTCAGAAACGTCTCAGAGACTTTTACGTCCCCGAAATCACCTCAATCAAGTATGAGGGCGAGTTCGTTGACCCGCCGCGCCCGGTTTCGTGGTACCCGGACCAGCTTGCTTGGTGGATGACAACCCCCAAGCAGGTCATTCGCCGGTTTTCCCCCTTCTCTTCCTTCCAGAAGTTCCTTGTTGCCGAGACCGAAGTCGGAAATATCAGTCGTCAGGAAGTTGTCAGCATGATTCCTCCCCTTCTCATGGACCTCCACCCTGGTATGACCTGCCTGGATATGTGCGCTGCACCCGGAAGCAAGTCTTGCCAGCTGATGGAGCTGATCCACGCCGGCGAGGAGGATTCTATCAAGGAAGTTTCCCAAAAGGTTAAGGAAGGCACTGCCGCTCCTGAGCCCCTTGGCCCAGAAGGATTGAACGACGACGGCCGTACCTCTGGTCTGTTGATCGCCAACGACAGTGATTACAAGCGTGCGCACATGCTTATCCACCAAATGAAGCGCTTGAGCTCGCCGAATTTGATTGTCACCAACCACGATGCTACAATGTACCCGTCCATCAAGCTTCCCCCACTTCCTTCTACTGATGGTAAGCCCCAGAAGGGCCGCTACTTGAAGTTCGATCGCATTCTTGCCGATGTACCTTGCTCAGGTGACGGTACTGCTCGTAAGAATTATAATGTCTGGAAGGATTGGAACCCCGCCAATGGTCTTGGACTCCACCTCACCCAGGTTAAGATTTTGATCCGTGCCTTGCAGATGCTGAAGGTGGGTGGACGTGTTGTCTACTCTACCTGCAGTATGAACCCAGTTGAGAACGAGGCGGTTGTTGCTTGCGCCATCGAGCGCTGCGGCGGCGCCGCTAACGTCAAAATCATTGATTGTAGCCAGGAGTTGCCCGGTCTCAAGCGGGCACCTGGTCTGAAGACCTGGAAGGTCATGGACCGTGAAGGTCGCATCTGGTCTAGCTGGAAGGACGTTGAAGGCCACAGGGATCAGGAGGGCGCTGAGGGTCTCGCTAGATTCTCCGAGAGCTTGTTCCCTCCCAGCGGAGAGAACGCTGATCTGCCGCTTGAGCGCTGCATGCGTGTCTACCCTCACCACCAGGATACCGGTGGCTTCTTCATCACTGTCCTTGAGAAGACAGCTGAGATCAAGGCCAAGGCCGTGGATCACTCTGCTATCATCGCCAAGGTGGCCCCCAAGGCCCCCATCGCCGATCTCGTTGCGGAGCTCGATTCCCGCAAGAACGACGATGGCGCCGAGCCCTACAAGAAGCTGGATGCCCTTGATGGTGTTGCCGTTCTCGACGAAGAGACTAAGACAGAACTTGCAAAGAACGAGACTGTAGCTGAGGCAACAAACCAGCTCCCGTACTCCGCGACCCTTGATGCCCCTGCTTCCACCCTTCCTGAGAAGCGTGGTGCTGAGGACCTGGAAGACTCTATTCCAGCCAAGAAGACCAAGCTCGACGACGGAAGCGAGGCTCTCGTTGGTGATCGCCCCATTCACAAGCCTGCCCCCGCGGTCATTGAGCAGTCTGGTGGTGACAGCACCCCTGCTCCCATCTCCGATCGGCCCTTGAAGAAGAAGGCGCCCCAGGAGGACCCGTATAAGTACCTGGATCCCCACCACGAGGAGCTTGACCCAATTTACAAGTTCTACGGACTGTCTGAGCGGTTCCCACGTGACCGTTTCATGGTTCGTAATGCTGATGCTACTCCTTCAAGAACTGTCTACTACACCAGCGCTTTGGCCCGTGATATTCTCACCCAGAACGAGGGCTCTGGTATGAAGTTCGTTCACTGTGGTGTCAAGATGTTCGTGAAGCAGGACGCGCAGCGTGAGAATGTGTGCCGTTGGCGCATCCAGACTGATGGTCTGAAGATCATCGAGCCCTGGTTGGGTCCTGCCCGAACCGTTGTTCTTACTAAGAAGGAGACCCTGCGCAAGCTTCTTGTACAGATGTTCCCCAAGGTCAATGATGGAGCTTGGAAGGATCTGGGTGAGATCGGCGAGCAAGTTCGGGATATCGAGATGGGTTGCAGTATCCTGCGCGTCGAGCCTAACGGCAAGGATGATGGTCTCACCGAGCCTATGGTGCTGCCTCTGTGGCGCTCCCTATACTCTCTGAACCTCATGCTTCCCAAGGAAGAGCGCCGTGCTATGCTGCTGCGTATCTTCAACGATGATACCCCGCTGGTCAACCCGCAGAAGAACTTCCCCAAGCCTGGTGTGGACAGCTCGGCCGCAGAGTCTTCCGCCGCAGAGACTCCGGTCGAGTCTACTGCCGGCGCCGAGGACGCTGCTTTAAAGAATGAGAACATGCAGATTGGCCAGGATGAACAAGAATATGTTGACAGCCGCGAGACCTACACCAAGGCTAACGACGAGGAGGATAGAGCCAACACCACTGTTTAAAGCCCCAATTATGTTTAGACATCTACCCAGGGAATGTTGTTCGTCCTTATTTAAAATGATTTTTATTTATTTATTTCAATGTACTAAAAAGCAATTATCATGGAGGGTTACCACTTTGAGACAAGATACCTGCATATGCTTCCAACGATTCAAATAACTTGGAACAGTAAACATCATACATAGGTAATTTAGAAGGGATTTGGACTTAGCCGAGCTCAACGAGTCTTGCATCATAAGATGTTCTGATGTTCTGATGTTCTGACGTTCAAATGTTCGGAGAATCGTCGGCGGGTAAATTGGGGGGTAAAGGGACCCCCGCAGATGAGCTTGGAATTTAATTTAGAAGTCGTGCATGGTCCATGTCTTATTTCTCCTCTTGGTACGGAGTCTTCGGAAGATTAATATCTTAATATCTTAATATGTAGTAAGATGTTAGTTAATATCCAATGTTGGAGAAGTTCAATTCGGTAAATAGTAAAGTAGGGTCGGTTCAATGTTTACAATTGAATTTTCGGAATTCGTAGTGCAAGCCTAAGTTAAGACCTTCGCAAACCACACTGATCTCTTACAAATCAACAACATGAAGATCAGATAATGATATTCCTGCAAGGAACTAATCATCCAGACGCAGGCCAAGCTTGACTATGCGAGAAACGGGAAAATTGCGGCGGGAGAACCTTGGACCCTCCGTAAGGAAGATCTTCATTCCAGTTACCCTGTACGTCGCGCATGCATTTCATCTACGACGTTACCCTTCGAGCGGAGCATCGGCAACGACTGGCCAATTCCCCGCCTTTGCCCCTGTCTATCTGTCAATGAGGAAACAAGAAAATCCCCCGTGCGGGTACTTTGGAAATGGCGCATCATATCGGCATTGAATACTCCGAGTATTCATCCGGAGCTTGTTTGATTTGCCTGTCGATCGTGACCTCGTTCTGAGGAAAGTCCGGGGTGAAAAGGACAATGCGTGTCTGCCCTATAAGAATACGATTGACCCCTTGCTTGGAAGATGCGGGGAAAAAGGAAAAGAAAAAAGAAATAAGAAACCTTCTCTATCCTTGCAAGGGTCATCTTTGGACAAGATGAAGCTCCTGTCTGTTTTGGCTGCGGCGTCGCTGGCAGCCTCAGCAACTGGTGCTGCCATTAGCCATAAGCTAAATGGATTCACTCTAACGGAGCACCCAGACGCTGAGAAACGCGCTCTGTTGCAGAAATATGTAGGTAATGGATGGTTGAAAAAAGGAGGGATTGACTGCTTATAGATGAATGCTAATCACTAGAACTACTACTAGGTCACCTGGGATGAAAACTCCATTTTTGTCAACGGGGAGCGAGTGATGCTGTTTTCTGGAGAATTCCATCCCTTCAGACTTCCTGTCCCAACACTTTACATCGATATTTTCCAAAAAGTAAAGGCTCTTGGTTTCAATTGCGTCTCATTCTATGTCGATTGGGCTCTGTTGGAGGGTAACCCTGGCCACTATCGTGCCGATGGCATTTTTGCCCTGGACAATTTCTTCGATGCTGCCAAAGAGGCTGGTATTTATCTACTAGCTCGTCCAGGCCCCTATATTAATGCCGAGGCCTCTGGAGGTGGTTTCCCAGGCTGGATTCAGCGGGTTAACGGTACTTTACGTACCAGCTCTCCCGCATACCTGGATGCAACCGATAAGTACGACATTTCAATCAGTTTGGAGGCTCATGATACTGACAAGGAGTCAATAGCTACATGGCCAACGTTGGTGCGACCATTGCGAAGGCGCAGATTACCAATGGAGGCCCAGTCATCCTGTTCCAGCCCGAGAATGAGTATTCTGGAGCTTGCTGTGGAGATACCGACTTCCCAGACCCAGCTTACATGCAATACGTCGAGGACCAAGCGAGAAACGCAGGTATTGTTGTGCCGCTTATGAATAATGATGCCGGAGCTGAGGGACACAACGCCCCCGGCACTGGTGAAGGTTCCGTTGATATCTGTATGTTAAACACCTCCTTTCTGTATGAGTCTACTGCTAACATGCCTTAGATGGTCACGATTCTTATCCTCTGGGCTTTGATTGTGATGCTCCTTATACTTGGACTGCAGGAGACTTGCCTACCGACTTCTATGAGCTCCACATGGAACAGTCCCCGACAACACCTTATTCTCTTGTTGAGGTAGGCAGAAAGTGTTGATAACGACAAAAATGGCCATGTTCTAACACGTTCCAGTTCCAAGGTGGAGCCTTTGACCCCTGGGGAGGCAATGGTTTCCTGGCTTGCTCTGAGCTCCTCAACTACCAATTCGAAAGGGTCTTTTATAAGAACAACTTCAGCTTCCGAGTTGCTTTCCTGAACCTCTACATGGTACGTATAGCTTCTACGTCAAGGCTTTAAATATGTATTAACGTTTGTCTATATAGATCTTTGGTGGCACCAATTGGGGAAACCTCGGTCACCCCGGAGGCTACACCTCCTATGATTACGGCTCTGCCATTTCCGAGTCGAGAAACATTACTCGCCAGAAGTACAGCGAACTCAAGCTGATTGGAAACTTCCAAAAGGTTTCTCCAGCATACCTGTTGACCACCCCCGGTAATCTCAGCACCACCGCCTACACGACAAGCTCAGACATTGCTGTCACTCCTCTTATTGGAAGCAATGGCTCTGCTACTTCGTTCTTTGTTGTTCGGCACTCTGATTATTCCAGCCATGCTTCGGTTGAGTACAAGCTCAAGGTCCCTACCAGTGCTGGTACCCTTACCATTCCCCAGCTAAGTGGTAGTTTGACTCTTGGTGACCGTGACTCGAAGATCCATGTCGTGGATTACAATGTGGCTGGCACAAACATTCTATACTCGACAGCTGAGGTGTTCACTTGGAAGGAGGTTCCAAGTGGAAAGGTTCTTGTTCTCTATGGAGACGTCGGGGAACACCATGAGCTTGCAATTTCTGGTGCATCAAGCGCCACTGTAGTAGAAGGATCATCATCAGGAGTAACTTCCAAGAAAGTCGGCAAGGCAGTTGTCATTGGCTGGGATGTTTCCACAACTCGTCGAATTGTTGAAATTGGTGACCTAAAGGTCCTACTTCTGGGTAAGTGATGGCAATATGTGGAAAGAGTTTATTTTTGACGAGAAGGCAAACTAACAAGTTCATAGATCGTTACTCTGCGTACAACTACTGGGTCCCTCAAGTGTCATCCTCATCAGACAGCACTGGTTACAGCACACAGACTACCGTTGCTTCTTCTATCATTGTCAAGGCGGGATACCTCGTCCGAACTGCGTACTTATCAGGAAGTCAGCTTCATTTGACTGCGGACTTCAACGCTACCACTGCGGTTGAAGTGATCGGCGCCCCATCAGCGGCTAAGACCCTTTACATAAATGGTCAGCAAGCCAAGTTTACCACTAAGAATGGTATTTGGTCCACCAGTGTCAGCTATACCGCACCAAAGGTTGTGCTCCCAACATTGAAGAGCCTTTCATTCAAGTATCTCGATACTCTGCCTGAAATTCAGAACACCTACGACGACTCCGCATGGACGAATGCGGATCACACCTACACAAACAACTCTGTCAACCCATTGAACACACCAACTTCTCTATACTCATCTGACTATGGTTACCACACCGGATATCTCTTGTATCGTGGCCACTTTGTCGCCACGGGCGTTGAAAAGTCATTCCTTGTCCACCTACAGGGCGGAACTGCCTTTGGTGCCAGTATCTGGCTCAACGACACCTTGGTTGGCTCATGGGACGGAAACAGCATTACAGAGGACTACAATGCGACTGCGACTTTGCCCACCTTGAAAGCTGGCAAGCCATATGTCCTCACAATCGTGATCGACAACATGGGTTTGGATGAGGACTGGACAGTCGGCAGTGACGAGACGAAGGATCCTCGCGGTATCCTCAACTACACACTTACCGGCCGAGCTGCCGACGCCATCACCTGGAAGCTGACCGGCAACCTGGGCGGTGAAAACTACCAGGACCTTATCAGAGGTCCTCTCAACGAGGGTGGATTGTACATCGAGAGAGAAGGCTACCACCAGCCCTCGCCCCCAAGCAGCAACTGGGAAACCAGCAGCCCCTTCACAGGCTTCTCGAAGCCCGGTATTGGATTCTACAGTACAAGCTTCGACCTGGATCTCCCGACTGGCTACGATACCCCGCTGTACTTCAACTTCCAGAATTCCACTTCGCCGCCGCCTTCTTATCGGGTGCAGCTGTATGTCAATGGGTACCAGTACGGCAAGTTCGTGAACAACGTTGGTCCCCAGACCAGCTACTATGTTCCTGAAGGAATTCTCAACTACCAGGGTACCAACTGGTTGGGATTGACTCTCTGGGGCGTGGATGATGGTGCCAAGCTGGAGGGCTTGGAGTTGGTAGCTGCACACCCTGTGCTTTCTGCCTTGACTGGCGTTGAGTCAGTAGATCAGCCCAAGTGGCAGAAGAGAGCTGGGGCATACTGATGTGGAGGTAAGAAGTTTGAGCGAGAGATGTATAGCCTACTACTACATAGCTTCAATGTTAGTTCCAAGGTTGTTGAATGCTATCCAATTAAATTCATGAATCATCATTAATTCACCGCTTAGTCATACAAAGACGCGTGGTGCCAAGCTTTCCCAGACGCCACTGTGGCGCAGAGAGTGAAAACGTGGCGCAACATGACTCAGAGCTCGGATTTATCTGGTGCCCGAGATTTTTCGGACTTCACTGCCCAATTTGATCTGTTCCATCGTAGATCCGGCTCAGATACTTCGCCTCCCCGAGCTGTGAAGACTCCATTGTTCTCGGATATGCATATTTCGGATACGGGGAATTCCCAATATACTCAACTCTCGGAGTTATCAGGGTCCCGGTGGCGCCGAATTCTTGTAGGGCTTAGAAAGGCGGGGATTCATTGGTGGTACGTGTAACTGTGGCTGATAGCAACTAAGTACCTACTAGTAGGTATTTTTGGTTGCCTAGATAAAACAAGTATATAAAGAACTCGATCTCTCATCAATTCAAACTTGACCACACCAACTCTTCTCCTTCCTCCTTCTCACCTTACTTTCCAAATATCTCAACCTTCACCTTTTTCATATCTCACCACAACCACACTTCGAAGCCTGTTGATAAATCAAGATGGCATCCATCTACGATTTAAACCACCCACTAAAATGGGACTCTGAGTTGAGGGATCTCGAAGATCACCCGTTCTTCTCTCGTGGAGGTCATCACCACGGCCCTCACCACGGTCCTCACGCTCACCATGGACCCCCTGGTCCTCGTCCTTTCTGGGCCTATGGAGGTCCACCCCACCACGGCCATCATGGTCACCATGGCCCCCCTCCTCCCTTCTGGGGATATGGAGGCCCCGCTGAACACGGCCACCGCGGCCGTCACCACCGCCACGGACGCCGCGGCGAGTCAGAGCAGCCCGAAAACAATGAAGAAGTCAACGTAGTTGCCGAGCAGAACGCCGAGGCGACATCTTCCACTGAGAAGGTCCCCGAGGACCAAGACAAAGAGGTGAACTCCTCTTCTGAGTCCGATTCCGATAACCACCGCGGCTGCCGCAAAGACAAGCACAAGGGCGGCAAGGGTCGTCACGGCCACGACCACGTTCGCGGATTCGGCAGAGGTGGACGCGGCGGTAGATGCGGCAAGGGTCGGCACGGACAAGACCCTGAATTTGGATCCTTCGATCCCGGATATCCTTACCACGGCCCTCACTACAGTCCTGAAGCTCACCACGGCCCTCACCACGGATTCCACCATGGACCCCCTGGTCCTCCCCCTCCCTTCTGGGGATATGGAGGCCCAGCAGCAGGTCCTGGCCCATGGGGCCCTCATCATCACCACCATGCACACCCCATGTTCGGCTTCGGCGGTCCGATGGGCGCAATGGGCCACAAAGGCCACAAGGGACACAAGGGCCCTAAGGGTCACAAGGGTCATAAGGGTCACAAGGAAGGACGCCGTGGTCGTGGCATGCGCCACGGTGGACCCAAAGCAGATTTCATGCGCCAGCTCAGCGCATTCTTTGGATTCCCCCTTGGCCCTCGCAATGATGTCGAATTCCAGCCCTCCGTTGATGTCTTCGACACCCCGGCCAACTACATTGTGCACGTTTCACTGCCCGGTGCGAAGAAGAGCGACGTCAACATCGACTATGATACCCAAGAGTCTGTTCTCCGCCTTACCGGCACTGTCCACCGACCCAACATGGACGAGAGCCTGCAGCAGGGTCTGGTGATGGAGGAGCGAGCCCGCGAGGTGGGAACTTTCGAACGCGAGATTCGTCTTGGTTCGCGCTGCGCTCCAGCCCCTGTCATTGTCGAAGGAATTGTCGCCATACTCGAGGATGGTGTTTTGAATGTGACCATTCCGAAGACCGAGGAGTCGGAGTCGAACAAGTCAGTTCCTATTGAAGTTGGAAATGTCGATGCTGTCCAGGAGAAGGATGCTATGATGATGGATGAGCACGTGGACCGGGCTCTTACCCCTGGCGAGTCGGAGGAGAGCGAGTCTGAGGAAGAGGCGCGGGAGTACGTTAAGATTGCTGTGCAGTAGATTATTGCGCAGTAGAAGGATAGGAACAAATTGCGAACTATGATGAGGGCGTTTGGACTCGATTTGAAATGTATCTTAATAGTGAATTTTGCGGATTGAATAAAAGATCGTCACTCGTTTCTAACATTTGAACACGAGTGATATACACGAACATCTATGGATCTTAATATTTTCCTGTAAAATGTGTATGTAAGTAACCAATTATATCCAGATGTCTAGACAATCTTGGAATCCTTTTGGGGGAAAAGTTGAAAAACAAGAAAAGGTAGCACCTACTAGTACTATAAATATTGTTGTTCAAGCTTTGTTCATGTAGAAAGAATACCCTCGCCGCTCAAAAACCCAGTGTTTCGGCCAAGTTAACCACTCCTGGAACTCAGGTCGAATCTTGCTTTCAACATCTTGAAGTAATTGCCAGCTTAGACCATTTGTTACCCAAATATCATCCACGAGATGAATTAGAGCACACCAGTAAGCCAAAATAACCAAAGCCGCAGGTTCATGTGCTTGAAGGTCATCATGGAATATTTTAGTCAGGGGATGCGCAAAGAGGAACATCATGCCCCATTCGACACGCGTGCCTGCGAGCTCAAGGGATCGAGCCGCTCTTTCGAGGGCTTCAATAGCAATGATATACTCCTTTCGACGATCTGGTGGATCACTCGCAGTGCCAGAATCACCATTTGTCTGGCCAGGTTGAGCTTCCACGGGTGCAAATGGGTAGTTATCAATGAATACCCGTAATTGAGAAACCTGTGGCCAGAAATCCAAAGGTAGCAAAGATTGAGAAAGCTGTGCTGGACTGATACAGACATGCAAGTTAGTATTTCGGCCAAGCTTTCCTAATTCATACACTGATTCGGATGCATACCTAGGAATAATCTCCGGATCTACAAGCCAAACCGAGTTTACTAGAGCAGCTAATTGGGATTTCCGGACCGAATGTATGAATGGGGCCATGAGGACCTGGAGTCCCTTGACATTTCCAAACAAGTCCAGCACATTTGAGATCGGGGCCGGCCATCGAGTAACACCCAGTCGGATTGGAGTCCCCATCAAATGAACGTTTATCATGCTTGCAAAACAAAAGACGGGTTGCCAGTTTTTGGAATTAAGAGGCAAGGCGATAATCTCTCGGAACGCTTGAAGTCCCGTCGTAATATGATAAGCCGATGCCTTGACATATCGCTCTTTTTGCTGAGAATTTGTCGCCAGGTATGCGCGATGCAAAGCCCCGATAGCCAAGAGACCATTCATCACATATGGGCTAGCGTAGCCCTCAATGGGCATGATGACGCGCCAAACATAGCGTGCATCTTCACGGACAGTTAGTGTGTCGCACGTCACAGTGCAATAGTGGTGCATTAATTCAATATCTAGTGTCCAGTCCTCTGGGGCCCTTGATATGGAATTGACCGGAGGTGTTTCGGACAAAATACCGAGGAGATCAAATTTTTGGTCAGTTTGCATCCCATTGCCGTGATAACTGACAGGTGTCCCCACATTGCTGATGGGCGGGTAAACATGCGGCTGTGTCAAGGACCGGGTCTGGGGTAGTGACTGGGGTTGAGACTGGGTCGCCGGAGATGCCGGAGACGCAGAAGACATCTGAGTGGAGTCCTGTGGCTCAGTCGAAGCGATGAACTCGCAGGAGATGCCATGTTTAACACAATTGACGCAAGGATAGCTCTCATCGCACTATGAACAAGCACGAGTAAAAATGTAAGAGGAGAGGTCAATTGAATAGGCAGGGCGGAAAAACCTTTAATCTTCTCCTTTTACAGTTAGCGCAACCATTTCTGGACTTGCGATGCGTCCTCCGAGGCCCCATTATATCGACCGACTTGCAGGAGAAGCTAATGAAAGGGAAAAAGGGCATGAGTCGTCTGGGTTATACGGACACGGATACGGGGGTGGCAGAATTGGATACCGCTTGATCAGGTAATACGGACTCGAATACGCATTTCTTCTTGGAACATTTCACTTTGATCCACTTGAACGCGCTTGCTACCGCTTGACCCACCTACAAGTCCACACTGACGAGTCAGAGCTGCCCGAGAAGAATCAATATACGTACTCGGTACTATACTCCTCGTATTTTTCTCTGAAGTTATTGGCTTGCAATTTTCTCTTCTTTGGCTTACGACCACACCGGATTTTCTTGGAGGAACACCAAACCAATTGGCTTTCAGGAACCAAATCTTATCTTGGCAGGTGGATATGAAAAAGGGTCGCGCGCATCAAAAATAGATGAAAATTCATATAATCTTGAAAATACATATACAATGATATAATACCGCCTTGAGTCCCGTGTTCCTCTTTCCAAGGTTCTTCGTCGTTTTTCCCCTTCAAGATCCTGCGAGTTCCTCATCAAATTTCACATAAAGCATGAATCGCAGTAATTTATACGGCTATGAGCCGTCCATAGTGGCAGCCGCCATCTTCGTTGTCCTCTTCCTTTGCACAGCAGCCTTCCATGTCTGGCAACTCACAAGGGCACGATGCTGGTACTTCATCCCATTTGTCATCGGAGGCATCTGTACGTTCACGTGAATCTTGATGTAAAGAGATGGGTCTCGGGTTGATGCTAATCAACTCAAACAGTTCAAGTAATTGGATACGCCTGTCGAATTGTTGCCCATAACGACCTGAGCTCCGTCACCGTCTACGCCCTTCAGTCTATCCTGACTCTCTTGGCTCCGACATTATACGCGGCTTCCGTGTACATGGTCCTTGGACGCTTGGTGCATTACCTCCATGCCGAAAACTTGAGTGTTGTTAGGCCGAACTGGATGACCAAAATTTTCGTTGGTGGTGATATCTTCTCCTTTTTGCTTCAAGCAGGAGGTAAGTGACAACAGTGAAGCCTCTAGGAGGCACCCTCTCTTGACAACATACACTAATATACAAATACATCATAGGCGGTGGTCTTATGGCAAGCAAGAAAACCAGCACCAGAAACACCGGAAGTAACGTGGTCATTGGAGGTCTTGTGGTCCAGCTCCTCTTCTTCGGCTTTTTCGTCATAACCGCAGCTCTCTTCCACACCCGTATCAACAAGTTCCCAACCCCTAAATCCTCGGAGGAGCGCGAATTGACGCAGCATCAAGGTTGGAAGAAGCGGAACTGGGTCACTGTGCTTATCGCACTATACATTGTCAGCATTTTGATTTTGGTTCGGTCCGTATTCCGCCTGATTGAGTACAAATATGGCTTTGATGGGTATATCATGACTCACGAAGTGTTCTCCTATATCTTTGATGCCACAATCATGTTTATCGCTATGGTCACGATGAATATCTATCATCCGGCGGTTATTTTGGGAGATGGAAAGAGTGCAATGGTTGAAGAGACATATGAGCTGCCGCATTAGATTTAAATAAAATTGCATGGGAGTGATTATGCTTAATGTCTTCAATATTGAAAGTGCTTCAAACATTTGAATGTTGATCATTTGAATCCAAGAATCTTCTAATGTAGAATATCGAGGCCAGATTCTTTATTCCAAAGGTCTTTCAATTGATATTTGGGTAATATAAATCCTATCTAAACTGACCTAGATACCAGGGCATTATACCTCCAGAAGGCCACCCGCTTACCTTCTAGGATCCACCAAGTCTACCTAAAGCTCTCCCAGCCCACCTGGTCAGGTGCCAGTATAGTTTGCTCCTATCGCTCCTATCGACCGGGTCCTACCTAGTATCTATATAGTATCATTGTATTGACATCTGGACAATTCGCACGTACTCTAAGAAAACTTCTCACTTTCAAATCTCTTTCCTTTCCTTTCTCCTCATCCATCCCTACATAAACTTTTCACCACTGTTTAATTTGGCTGAACCGATTTTTTCTTATCCAACATGGCTTCTCCAATCGATCCCGACTTGGTAAGTAACTACACCCATGTGGATGAAAGGTTTGATGATTGGAGAAGAACTTGATGACTTGAAGTTCAACTTGATCTTATCTTCAATCCTATGAAAGTGGTCTTAGTAACAAAAACTGTATAGACCCTCGCTGTTTCTTCTCGTACTACTCCTCCCCCCGCTGCCCCCAATGACACCAAGTACCGGAGGGAGTACAGATATCTCTATGTCCGTGACGTCCGAGCCAATTTTGAAACTGCTAGAGCCAACTATGAAATGTCCAAGGCAGCTGTCTCGACTGCCAGGGCCAACTACGAGGCTGCCAAAACTCTTATCAACGCGGTCGAAAAGACTAGTGCGACTTCCAAGCGTGATTCAGCTAAGATACGGGAATTGTTTGCCAAGCGTGATGCGGCTACCAAGCGCAATGCGGAGGCCAGCCCTAATGATGCAGAGGAAGAGAAGACTCAGAAGAGTAAGTTGGTTTCTGACGTATTTCTTAAACGAGCCGCCATTTTCTGTCGTTGATGGACAAAACTGATCATGTTTATAGAGAACAAGAGTGAAGAGTCCCCCGAATAGTCTGAAAACAGACTGTGATACCGAGACCTAACCATCAAAACGGGGCCTTTTTCACCACAAAGGCTTACGATTTGCTTCAATAAGATGGTTGTCTTTTACCAGAATGAGTTCTCAGCCTATTTTTACGCCCTCTACCATGAGACAAAGCCTTGTTGCCAAAGAATTGTGCAAGACGTCTCCGCAGTGTCCCCATATGTTCAGCTTTTGTGTTCCCTTTCGTTTACAAGCGAAACGTTTAGCTTTGATTTGATAATTTCCTACCGCTAGTGTTTAGCACGCACTTCAAATGTTCGCACCTTTTGCGAGAATTATCCGGAATGAAAGTGGTCTACACACAGAGATACAGATGGGCCTCAGAACTGACAGAATACAACTCGTAGTAGAAATCTGAAAAGCTAGCTAGACATCGTATCTAGCCTCTCGCCGCTATGGGCATAAAGGTTGACATGCCTCAAATACTCTAACATACCCGCGGACAGCTTACCTATGCTTATATTATTATGTATAGAGTCGTAGACTTCAAATGTTTACAACAGTATCTCTAAACCTTGGAACTTAGTCTGTAATCTTGGAACAATACTTATTATGATATTTTATAATTATTTTCGAATTGTGAAGAAGAAAAAAAGAACATTTCAACCGGCGCTGATGTCAAAGTCAAGCTATCATGATTCATCACCTCACTTATTTCGTTTATGTATGATTGTAAACTGCTCTTGGTGCGAAAGAGCTTTTTTTCCTACTGCGACTCCATGGCTGCGATGCGTTCAACAACTCTGGAGACGAATGCAGAACCTGCCAGTGACTCCATATTCTCTGTGGGATTGGCATTGGATATCTTTCCCTCGATTTCCGGTTCAAACTTCACAGGTGTAAGCATTGTAGTGTGCAAATTTATACCTCGAGTACAAAAATCCCTTTATCGCGAGAGCTTCATGTGGCGGTTCACATCCTTGTAGAGCAGGTATCGGAATGGGCCAGGGCCACCGGCATAACAGGCCTGCGGGCAGAAAGCGCGCAACCACATAAAGTCACCGGCCTCAACCTCAACCCAGTCCTGGTTCAGTCGGTAAACGGCCTTTCCTTCCAAGACATATAGTCCGTGCTCCATAACATGGGTCTCGGCGAAGGGAATGACACCACCGGGCTGGAAGGTCACAATGGTGACGTGCATATCGTGACGGAGATCAGTCGGGTCCACAAAGCGAGTAGTCGCCCACGAGCCATCGGTATCCGGCATCACGGTGGGCGCGATTTCCTTTTCGTTAAGGAAGAGTGGGGTGGGGTAATCGAGTCCATCCACAGCTTCATATGTTTTCCGGACCCAGTGGAACCGGGCGGTAGCGGAGCCCGTGTTGCGGAGGGACCAGCCGCTCTTCGGAGGGAGATAAGCGTAGCCGCCTTCGGCGAGGGTGTGTGCTTGTCCGTCCAGGGTCACGGTGACTTCGCCTTCGACGACGAAGAGGACTCCCTGTGCACCGTCATCGAGTTCGGCACGATCGCTTCCACCGCCCGGTTGGACTTCCATGATATATTGGGAGAAGGTTTCGGCGAAGCCTGATAGCGGACGGGCGATCACCCATAACCGTGTCTGGTCCCAGAAGGGAAGGAAGCTGGTGACGATATCGCTGAAGGTGCCCTTGGGGATGACGGCGTAGGCTTCGGTGAACATGGCACGGTCGGTGAGGATCTGGGTCTGGGGTGGCAGTCCGCCGGTTGGTGCATAGTAGGCACCGATCTTCTTGTCGTTAACCATGGTGGGGGTGTTTGTGATTTGGGATTTGTGAAAGTGTTGTATAGGTCGAGGATGAGTTTAGATGGGAGAAATTCGCGACGAACGGTAGGGGTGGAATTGGTTATTTAGCTCTTGAAAAATAGCAGCCCCGCACATTAAATGGCAAATTCTCCTTGATTCTCTGGTCCACTTGAAAACCCGGCGTTGACCGTAGTACGCGGGGAAGACCGAAGATCGGGAAAACTCCGACGAAAAGACCCGGATCCACTTGATAAGCGGCTCCATCTTTATCTACTTCATTACTATACAACCGCTTCATACTGGCAACTTCAATGTTGATCAGAGAAAGAAATAATAGAAACAACTTTGAAAGATCATGAAGACAAGTTGAAAGAATCCAGCATGTCATTTTTGCAATATGTAACTATTGATTTTTTTTCAGCTTTTAACCAATGTTGGAATGTCTGCGTATATACTTTTCCATGTGCTGATGATTCCCCACATGTGCATTTCAACATTGAACAAACACTACTTATGTACTGTTACTTTCATGTTCTAACTCTATTATATATTTTCTGTGACAGAAATCTTCCTGGATATCGCAGTGTTTACGGATGCTTTGATCAGGTAAGCCTTCTTTGTGAGAAGAAAGTGCCCCTTATAAAACGAAAGCATGAGATGAGGAATCATGCATACTAATGGAATTATGTGAAGTCTCTAGATCCACACAAAACTCATATAGAATGAGAGATGTATTATGTGTGACTGAGCTCTCCAAGGAATTGTGAATCACAGAGAAATCAAAGGTTGATGCTCCTGGGGAGTCCCCTTATAAAACCAGAGGTTAGGTGTAGACATATCATGTGATCGTTTAGCCCTCCTCAAATCCGCGCGTTTCCCATAGAAGCTTAGGGTTGAAGCCTTCAGGGAGTTTTATACTGGGTAGTATCGTGCGAGCCAAAGCCTCGCACTTTCTTATAGAACAGGATCTCTCATCAATATCCCCTTCCCCCTCCCCCAATTCGGAATTGAAAAGCAAGTATCGCGCGATATACCTACTAGTAGGTACAGCTACCAGGTACTATAGTATAATACTACTGATAGTGAGTGCAACCCCTATACAATCTTAATAATTGTTAGGGCAAAGCCAAACGGTATCGAATCGATACCTGAAAGCTCAGGTTGAGCTCTAAACAAGGCAAACCCGTCAAACAATATCCGATATATTCAAATCAAACTGCCTTCCTCTAGCCAGAAATCCCAGAGTGAGTACTATCGTCGCTGATGTCGACACCCTCATCGTTATGATCTCTTTTGTCCCAAGGCCAGAACTGTTAGTATGGCATCAGATGTCGGCTTATCAGATTATCTCTAGGCTCCCAAGAGAACATCGTCTCAGACTTGCTCGAAGCAAAGATCGAAGAAACCGATGCCCAAAGGGATTATCTACTACGGTTGAACAAGAGTCTACCAAGAACGGATTTATTGAAGCCAATGAAAAGGGCAAACTCATCAAAAGCTGCCTGAACAAACAACTTGGGCCCTTAAATAATCAGTAACGGTGCCAGTCTGACACAGTCGGAATGGTAGAACACAACCAGAGAAATTTAACTGAGGACTGAGATGAAGATGTCGCGTGTCAAAGAATCCAGTATCCGGAGAATCAGGGCCTCCTAGAGAGGGCTAATCGAGACACAACCATTCCCCGTGTGATGTTTGCTGCTATTTCAATGGGAGAGCATCAATTGATCCAAGAAAACTGTCAAGGAGATGTATGGTATTAAAAATCGAAGTGGACCCCCACGTTTCCCCCGCATCGGGGCTTTTCTGATCGGATTTGAGTTTCCGACTTAGATTTATCATTTATCCACGACCGTCCACCCTCAATTCTCTCGAGTATTTGCTCAATCTGTCCTTTAAAACGTGTCTCGTCAATTAAAGATGACGGACTTGGCTAGTATTCGCTGGGGTATCATCAGTACGAAGAATCCCTTTTCCTCGGTTTAAACGAGAGAACCTCCAATTGAGATTCTTACTAAGATTTTTTTGTAGCCACTGGCCTAATATCTTCCTGGTTTGTCGAGGATCTACTTCTTACTCAAACTGATGCAAAAGTCAACCATATTGTTCATGCCATTGGTGCATCTACCCTCGAAAAAGGACAAAAGTTTGCAGCGCAATACTGTCCGATTCAGAACCCAACAATCTACGACTCCTACGAAAAAGTCTACAGCGACCCAGAAGTAGATGTCGTTTATATTGGCACACCTCACGGTCTGCACTATGAAGAATGTATGAAAGCGATCGCTGCGGGTAAAAACATATTGTGTGAGAAAGCCTTCACAATGAACGCGAAGCAAGCGAGGGAGATCTTCGAAGCCGCCGAGAAAAAGAACGTTTACATCGCAGAAGCAATGTGGCTTCGTCATCGGCCAATTTATCTCAAGCTACGAGAGCTCATACATGAGAATAAGATCATCGGGGACGTAACGCGAGTGTTCTCGGATTTTGCCTCCGAAATCGATATACCATCTCTTCCACCGACATCTCGATATCGAGACCTGGCACTCGGAGCCGGGTCGTTGTTAGACATTGGAGTCTATTCTTTGACCTGGTTAGCTATGGCACTTGAAAAGAATGGGAACAATGTGGAAATGCCCAAGATCTTGGCTTCGCAAACCCATGAAGAAGGCATTGAAGTTGCCACGAGTGCGATTCTTCAGTACCCCCGAGGAGCGCTGGGTATCGCAAGCTGCACTACCAAGACCAAGGGGTCCCCTGGAAAGATATTTGCTGTGATTCATGGAACAAAGGGCCATATTGAGGTTTCGGGCAACGCACCATCTTTCCCAGAATCGTTTACTGTGTGGGAAAGGCAGGCCGATCCCGGGACTGCGGAAAAGGTCTTGTTCGATAAGGAGCAGTACAAGAACAAGACATATACGTTTCCAAAAGTGGGACGGGGCTTTATCTGGGAGGCAGATAACACTGCATTGGATGTTTTGGAGGGACGAAAGCAAAGTCATTTTGTGCCCTGGGCGACCACTATTCGGCTGCTTGATATTATGGATGAGATTAGACGCCAGGGAGGAACTGTTTATCCAGGGGAGTGATATTAGTATGCTGCTTGATTGGATACGAATGAAGAATACCTATCACCTCACAAGCCCTGGAGTATACTCGGATAGATCAAAATGATCAATTCCTTATAGTTGGAGTAGGAGTGGGGCGATGATGACGCTCCCATGGGCTTGTGGGGTAGAGATTTGTCTAGTAAACAAAAAACATGGGAATTCCGTAAGAAATTGAACCTGCACATTTTCGGATTGAAATTCATTGTGGATGTATACCTAGGGATCAAAGTCTTATGAAAGTAAATAAATAAAAGAAATAAAAGAAATCAGAAATTTTTTCAAGTGTCGACTTGTGCTCGAGGCCTCGAGTCAATAAGCAACATTGAATTTGCCCCACACGTCGCTGATCCATTCACCAGCCACCTCTTTTTCGACATTTGCATCACATTTGCACCTCCCCCTCGATCAATTGAAATCTTCTCCAACTTCCATTCCACTTTCATATATATACAGTTTGACCTCACATTCCAGCTGCACTGGACACCTATTTATCATCTCAAAGTGGATTCAAACCGCATGTTTTAGCTTTGCGACACCAGTCCGGGCTTATCAGATCATCTCAGCGATCGTCCCAAGTCCAAAGCAAACATTAAACCCACCAAAACCAACCCAAACCATGGATTCCGTTCCATTCCACGATGAAGTAAACCTCGATACAGCAAACTTCATCCCTTCAAGCGACAAGACCCACCATATTTTCTCCTCCCACCTCCAAAAACGCTACACAACGCTCTCCATCCCCTCTACCTACAGCGGTAGTTGTAACCCGGGAACTGTTGTCGGAATTGTGCTAGGCACCGTCGGTGGCCTCGTCTTAATCCTTTACTTGACCTTCCTCGCCTTGAATCCCGGTGGCCTCGCGCGCGGAGTGGGCTCCTCCACGGTCGATGAAGAGGTCGTGGTCACCAGTAGACGGGGACCATCACTGCGCCGACATGGCGATACGATCGAGGTGGTTGAGGAGCGCGACTACAGGGACAGCTATAGGCGCAGACCTAGTCCGCGGGATCGAGATGATGATCGGATTGTCGTTGAGGAGTCCATGACCGGCACGGCGACCTCCGATGGGCGAGATGTGATTGAAGTACTCGAAGAAGAATCATCAGCGATATCCTCTGTATCCACTCGGCCTCCGAGAAGACAAAGAAATCGATCGGGAGTGAGGACAATTGATCCGCTGGACTATGGTGGTGAGAGTGAGTATGGAGGGAGTCGATATCGGTGATCTTTTGCTATCCGATCAAAGAAGAGAGATATCCCCGGCATGAGGGGTTGTGCCTTTCCTTTGATATCAATGACAAGGGATGTTGTCAAGGGCCCGACTTCTTGAGTTGGCAATGATTTTTATGATGGAGTTTCGACCAGCGATGCCGGCAATACTTTGTTCTATTTTCCAAAACTTATGTATGATTTCTGTGAACATGATACTACTAGCTATACAATTTGATGATAATGTGATACCCGTTACAAATGATACCCCGATTGAAACCTCAGGTCGCAAAGAATACGTTCCCCGTTTGCTTGAATCCTGGGAGGCTGCGGGCTCCCACCCATGGATGGTTTTCTCAACTGGGATCCATTTCCAAGGTTGGACTAGTACGGTGTTAGCAACATTCAATGTACACACTTCCAGTGCATATGTGTAGAGTACATTATCAAATGTTGAAGACCTCGAGATCTTTATTGAACGGGTGACTGCATAGATTGGTGTTGTGAAATAAAAAAAAATTGTTCCCGAGAAGACCTCGGAGACCTCAGGATTTAGGAACATTGAACCTTATGGGGACCACCTGAGCATCTTCAAAGTTACGAGTCGGTATGGGCTTTGAAATGGATAAAAATAAAATTTGAAACCAATTGTACAAAACTAGAATTTCCCTTTCCAGTTACAGAAATAACGCCAGGTCCCGAGGTCCATTTTGCGCCGGCAGGAATGAATGAAAGTCAGCCACATGTGCGAAAAACGCCAACACGGGACATCTTATAGTTCCAAAGCAGACCCCCAAAGTATAAGTCTGAGCGAAAGGGAGAAAAAAAAAAACAAGACCATAAAGTCATACTTCAAATACAAAGAGTCAAAAGTGTCAAGTCCTTTATGATACCGCATCCGGCGAAGACCACACCACCCTTTAAAAGAGCATCTCGAGACAACAACAGACCGTCAAACAGCCGAGCAGTCCTTTAAAAAAAAGTAAGCAAGTGCTGAGGAAACGCTTTTAGATCTGCTAGTACTAGCGGGTACTTACCTGCGCAAATGCCACCAGCGGAGCCCATGCCACGGTTACCTTGGTTTTGATTTTGATAGTAGCCCTGGGGCTGTTGCTGCTGGTAATACTGTGGCTGGCCCTGCTGTTGGTAGTACTGTGGCCCCTGCTGATAAGGCTGAGGTTGTTGATAACCTTGCGGTTGCTGTTGATAATTGTAGCCTTGTTGGCCCTGTTGATAGAACTCCGATGCAGCGCCAGGCGGTGGAGATTGATAGCCCTGTTGCTGCTGTTGACCATACTCTCCTTGGTATGCCGGTTGGGGATACGAAGGAGGAGGACTTGTCTGGTTCATTGTTAGTTGAAGGCCAGGCTGTAGATTGATATCGGGGGTTTAAGCACCGGCTTATTGTAAGACATCTCCGGGGATCTCAAGAGTGGAGCCGCTGTCCGATCGATCTGCAGTGTGGAGATATGTGGGTTTTCAGGGTCTGGTCATATACAAGTGATGTTTAAAAAAACGTCGATGAGTCACCGATAGTTCCGAATATGCCGACAGATGAGATTCTTGTCGAAGACTGTTCTTCCAAGGACGGGGTTGAAGTGACGCTGTAGGCGGTCGTGGTAGGCAGAAAAATAAACTAAGCCACCTCGGAGTACGTAGGCGCTTAGCTGAAACCTTCAAGTTAGGTAACAAGATTCTATAGCCTTGAGCCAAAATGAATACCACAAGTAACCATGAAAAAAAGGATAAATCGATTCTGGCTTTTGGGAAACAGAAAGGACGCTGTCCAGATGAATTAAATCACAAAAAAAAAAAGTACAAATAAAAAATGCTTAACTGCACGCAATATGCGACGAATGTGAACAAACTATTAGCAATCGATCGAAAATTGAAATTTATGCCTCGTCCTCCAAGGTCGCAGCCTTGAGGTCTTCAGCAGCATCAGTAACAGCGTCTTGCTCCTGGGCCAGCTCGGCCTCAGCTGTGGGGGCCGCATTGGCCTTGGCTACCTTCTTCGCAGCGTCGGTACGACCATTGGTCTTCTCCTCAGCGCTGGTCTCTTCGGCTTCAAGTCGGGCAATCTCCTCCTTGGCCTTGGCGATGTTCTTTTAAAAAAATACCGTGTTAGTTAATGCTAAATGATCAATTCATAGAGGAGAGGAGGGGTGTGGGATAGAGAGAAGAAATAAACTCACCTCTTCGGTCTTGCTGGCCTGAGTGCTCTTCCACTCAGTGATCTTAGCAGCAAGCTTCTCAATGGCAGCAGGGACATCAGACTGGTTCATGGGAGGGTCAATCTTGACCTTGCTGAAATCCTCGATGATGCCAACGTTCATGTTGAACTTAGTTGCCTCGGGACCAGCGGCACCCTTCTTGCCACCCTTCTTGCCCTTCTTGCCACCGCTGCCAACAAAGTAGTCCTCCTCATCGTCCTTGCGCACAACCTTCATACCCTTAATAGCAGAGTCTTCCACAGTGCGGCCGACACCGGCACGGAAGTTGCTACCTTCATCCTTCTTGTCACTGAGACCAAGAGCAGCAAAGTCGTAAGAGGGCGAGAAATGGCGAATCAGTCCCTGGGCAGTCAGGATCTCATCAACATAGGCGGGGTTTGAAGCTTCCTCAAGCTTCTTGTCAGCGACCTTCTTGCGCTTCTCACGCTCAAAGGCATCACGCTCAGCCTTCTGGCGCTCACGGCGCGCACGGTAAGCCTCGTCCTCGTAATCCTTGTAGGCACGACGAGCCTTGAAGTAGTTGTCCTTAATCTCGCGGATAGCAGCGAACTTCTTCTGTTGGTCGTTGCGCAGCTTGGTACGCTCGTCGCGGAGGGCGTTCAGATTCTTGTAAACACCGTCCTGCTCGGCCTTGATGGCATCGAGCTCCTTCTGGATCTCGCCGTACTTGTCGCCGAGAGCCTTCGCCTCGGGGTTATCCATTGTCTTTCTAAGCTCCGAGATCTGCGCCTTGAGGTCGTTGATACCCTTCTGGGCATCCTCGAGACCAGCAAAGCCCTTGCGCTGCTTGCGCAACTGGGAGATATCAGTCAGAGCCTTGCGCTCATCCACCAATCGCAAAGTACCAGAGTCGACTTGCTTTTCGAGGCGGGCGATCTCCCGGTCGATCTCTTCAACATTCTTGAAGGACATCTTGCCGCGGGAGTTGTTCTGCTCGGCGATACGAGCCTTCAGGGTTGACTCCAGACCATTGATCTTCTCCTGGATGCTAGCGCGGGAGGATTTGAAGCCGGACTGCTTCTGGCGGATCGAGGAGAGTTCGGCGCGGAGTTCCTGCTGCTTCTTGACGACAGGAGAGTCCTGGTTGTTAGGCTTGGCGCTGTCCAGCTTGGCCTTAACTTGGTTCTGTTTGAATGCGAGTTAGCCATTGGTCAGATATTCAAGCCCGAGATCGTGGGAGTTGACTCCGGAAATCAAAAAGAAAAGAAAAAAAACAATAGGGAATGGTGGGGAAGCATGAGGAACATGATGCCACCATGGCCTCCAACATCATTTTGCCAATGCGCACAGTTTGTGAGATCAGATCGAAGACAAAAGCAATTGAAAGTAAAAACGAAAATTAGTATCATACCAGCTTCTCCTGGGCAGCGGTGTGCTCCTTCTCGGCCTGAGCCAAACTGGATTTGTAGGTATCCTCATCGGGCTTGGTGGGCTTAACCCGGGCCTCCACAGGGGTGGTTTCAGCCATTGCGAAGGGATGTGAAGCGAAGAAAATAAAAGAAGGAAAGAATCGCCTCACAGGAGTGAAGATAAGAGAAAGAAAGGAAAAGACCGAAAGAGAGAAGTAAATAACCCACGAGGGGGAAAGGAGAATTAAAACGGTTCGGTCAGTTTCTCCGCTTTTGCTAAACTCATCCGCCTGGCAGAAAGTTCCCGCCGATTTTTCGTCTCATGTCACTCTTCTCAGTTTCCACGCGCGCTACCACATAACATCTGTCTTTGTGACATTTCTCTATCCTACTTCTCCCTCCACCTGTGAATCTCTCGTCGGAGCTCACTTATTTCACTATGGATGGTGAAATTGCCCAGCGTAGTGGTGATGAGGCCGACAAGGAGATGACCCGCCTCTGGCGCACATGGCGAACCGTTTATGAGATGCTGTCAGACCGAGTGAGTTTTTTTCCTTCTAAGGATATGTGAAGACACATGAAGCTTTACAGAGGCGCTAGCGTCTTTCAGCAGGACACGGACTGATCAGTTCTGCAACCGCACTTAGGGCTACGAGGTTTCCGACGACGAGCTCCAACTTTCATTGATCGATTTCAAATACAAATATGCTGACCCTATGGGCTACCCCGAGTATGAAATTACTCCTTTCCTTCAATCTGACAAGCTTGTCATCTTCAATCCATTGGCATATGCGCCCTGTGAGGTACAAGATCCAATTTGACTGACGCGCATTCCCCTACCAGCCGCACCAAAATGAAAATTCAGGCACGCCCCACTGAGGAGATGAAGTTGAAATATACAGCTCTCCCCAGTAAATCCAACCCCAACCCCCAGCCCGACTGCGGTACTATCTACGTTGACTTCTGCCCCGACTCCTCCGGTGTTGGTACCAAGCAAGTGCGCGCATTCAACCACATCGTTGACGAGAGCAACTTCCACACCGGTGTCTTCATCACTCAAACCCCCATCTCGCCCTCTGCCGTTCGTCTGCTCAGCGGTATCCCCGGTCGTATCTGTGAGCACTTCCAGGAGCAGGATCTGCTGGTCAATATCACCCGCCACGAGCTCGTGCCCAAACATGTCCTCCTCAGCCCTGAGGAGAAGGCGCGTCTGCTTGAGCGATACCGTTTGAAGGAGAGCCAGCTTCCACGTATGCAGGTCTCGGACCCCGTAGCCCGTTATTTGGGATTGCGTCGTGGTCAAGTTGTGAAGATCATCCGCAAGTCAGAGACTGCGGGTCGCTATGCCAGTTATCGATGGGTGATTTAAGGGACGAGTGAGAGTCAGAAAATACGGAGCCTTTAGATGGGTCAAATTGAATCTCCGTGGGAAACAATTGGGCTTTTTTTGTTATGGACGAAATAGACACCATCGATCTTAAAGATCGAAAAAACCCCGAGGGAAACTGGGAACCCACCGCATGCGCATTTCGACCTCCCACTCCGACATGAACCCGCTACCACACACCCCAATCAGCAGTTTTGTCAGATGCTAGGGAGAGTCGGGCACGGAGTTCGTTCGTTTTTAATTTTGTTGACTGCACCACACAAACGAAACAAAAAAAAGTTGTATTATGGGCAGCATGGCGTACTTGGCGATTTCTTTCCGCGAGGAGGGAGGGGGTTTCCGACCTTTCCATTACATAGTAATGCTCTGCTGTACTTATGGTTGAGCAAGACTAATTCACTATTCATACATTACTTTTCATGCTTGATTTTATAAAAAAGATGCTGATAGTACTAGTAGTATGTTCATTGTTCATGGCTTCGTTCCGCGTGATGTACAGTACGGTACAAATAGGATTTAAACAGATTGAAAAGGGACTCAACACCAACCCTAAGAAAAGAAACAACACCAAACCCCTGGGTATAATAAACCCCAATCCAGCCCGCTAATCTACTCCTACCGAATTCGATTCAAACTCCCGAGGGCTCCATAATCCATTCCGAACCCATTGCTCCACCCAGAATCGCATTTCATAAGGATATCAAAGTAAAATCAAACATAAATAAGAAAAAGTGTTCAATGAGTAGGTGGGGGGCTCTCCGATAAGAGCCCACCTACATCATGCAGCTCAACATCAAGTGAGACATCTGGTGCAGCTCGGTAAGGTGGAAGGGTATGTTGAGCTCGGGTATTCGCACTCGGAGCAAGAGGTGAAAGAAACCGGGGAGTACTAGGTGTCCGGCCGGTTGATCGGGATGGTAAAACGCCTAGATCTTCTAAAAAGGCTCTTCCTCCCCGAGATGGGCGATTCGCTTGTGTAGGTGAATCTGCATTCTGTGTAATGCGTAAATTTGAGTGGTGTTGTTGAATTTCTTTGTCTTGGTCTAAAAGACCGCCGACATCAAAGAACGACACTCGTGGGGAAGAAAGGGTGGATTGTGATAGCGTGGGCTTTTCGCGTGGAGACTGATTGGTCTTGATGTACTCTCGCGGGCTGATATTCATTTCCAGGCTATCAGTATTCGATACACGGTCGTCATCTGAAGGCCGGCTTTGTTGGAAAGACCACGATGGGTCGAGGGAGCCGGTACGCGCAACGAGTAATGGTATCGGCGGTGCAGGCATAGTTATGGGCACAGTGGAGTGTGACTTATCCGACGAGGACGCACTCGGGTGTAGCTTGGGGTCGAGCCTTATACCAAGGCCACCAGCAAGATCACTATCACTGCCCCATTGGTGCTGCATCACAGTGTTGCGACGAACATAGCCGTTATCTATGCTTTCACTGACGGAGGCGGAGGCCATATCGCGCTTGTATTTGAGTTTCTTAACGCCACGGTCGCGGACAAAGGAACCTATGACGAGGGCATTGGAGACGGCTGTTGCGGCGAGAATTTCGAGAGAGGCGATGAGGGAGCGATAGGGTTGATTTCCGCGCCGTTCAATGACGGAGGGGACACGGTAGCTGGTTATTCCGACTAGGAGGAGAGAGAGACAAAACAGGATGACTAGGCCAATTTTGCGTTTGACAGGCATTTGGGACATGATGACGATTGGGACAGGAAAAGCGATGAGAAGAAGGTCGGTAATGATGTCGCAAGTACCCATTGTGATAAGCTGCGCATAACCACAGCGGCATCTTGGACCGGGATTTGGAATGACCTGCCAGTAGTCTTCGAATGGTTGACATTCAGCTAGAGTTGCGATCACAACGGCTACCAGCGTCGAGGCCAAGAAGAAGTGAACGAAGCGTAGGAAGATCGCGGTTGATCGACGTGAGACCATGCCCGTGACTCGTTCCAGAAATTCACAGACAGTGAGCTTGGCCGTCCAAATACTAGGATGATCGTTTCAAATCAGTACGACACAGTTGACCCGACGGACTGGGGGCATGTCTCACAAGATCGCATAGAATATCCTTGCTACCAACACAAGTTTACTTCCCAACTTTCGTTCCGATATTTGTTCATCTGTCAAACCGGCCGTCTGAACGTTGTTCGTACCATAGGTCAAGACGAAATGTACCAAGACCATGCGAGAGACAAGGGGGATCACGCTGAGCGCCATCACTTTGTCCTCGGGAAAGAAGCGCTCCATGCGCACATAGCGGCCGCATAGACGAACGATAATGATAGCCAGAGAAAAAGCGGTGGCCCACCAGCTCATCAACAAAGCCGGATTAATCTCTTCGCGGGATTCGTAGGCGGGAGGAATTTGGGAGTAAAGGCCGCGTACGACTATAGATGACTCCATGATCCCCCGCCGCCTCCGAAGAGGGGCCTTTTGCAATTCTGTGGTGAATTCAATCTTTGTGCGTCATCAAACTGCTCACCCAGGACGTACACACGATCTTTTACATGTCGCACGTGAGAAGCATCAAAGATTCGTGGATTCAAGGTGTTGAGACTCGGTGGGGAACGTGAAGTGGCACTAGTAGGGGCGATCCGCGAAGCCCACTAGGTTATCTCCGGGGAAATGGGGGTGCAGCTTGTGCCCCAGTTAGATAAAGAGCTCAATACCACTCTTTGTTGCAGAGGCGATATTTTGTAAGTGAAACGAATATGCCGCACAAGCAAGGCCAGTTGCCAAATAAGAGAGGAAGAGAGAGGGGAAATCGAAGAATCGGTGAGTCCCGGAGAAACAAGTAAAGTGAGGTCCAGCCTTGATTGCGAGGGCGAAAAAAGCGACAACGCGATGATAACAAAACGAGCCAGTGATATGCTTCGTGCTAATCTCCTTCCTAACCTATGGACATAAACAGAGGAAGATCCATCGCATACCTTAACCCGAGCAGATAGGATGACTCTGATTCGCGCAATCAACTGGGAATGAGCTATTCCACCACCATCCTAGTCAAGCTGACGCCAGCGGGTAAATCAGTGGGAAACCAAAACCGGGTCATTGGTTTTGGGGGAAAATCGGAGGATCCATCGAGTATTCGGGCATCATTGGTTCAGATCTGCGGTGTAGAAAGCCAAGTTGTTTGGTCCGGAGTCCGGGAGCTTTGACCTTGATGGAGAGTACATGCTGCGACATGTGAAATTGGCAGTATCGAGAGAGATACAAAGCAACTGAGATACAGAGATACAGGAACATTTGAAAGTTATCTCCAGTATTGATGCTGATTAGCTTTACCATGGTCCATACTCCATGTGGCGAGCTGTTAGTCCGAGGTTGTGCAATGCTGTACAGTCCATATCTGTACACGTGAGAGTTGCCTAATCCAGGGCTCCTAATATGGAAACAGCAGCCTCGCGCTTATCCTGATTGGGGGTTTTTTAGATGGCCTAGAACGGATATATCAGCTGATAACAGAACCTTTTGAGCCTTCAAGGTTCTTATCGAGCCTATGATCTATCGTCTACTAGTAAATTTTGGATAGGAAACAGAATGGCGTTGAACAAAACAAAGACCCCGGAAACAATAGAAGGCCATTGTTAGCATTCGGGGCAACGGAGCACGCGACATAGATACGAGACATCAATACTAGTTAATATTGCCTCACAGCCTCCATCTTACGCCCCAGTACACTAGTGGAGCCTCGCCATTCAGTTAAAGTCCGACAGTCCAATCAGAATGAATTCAAAACTCAAGTGCTGATAAGCTAGATAAATTTCTGGATAAAATAGCCTGTACATATAAACAATCAAAAGTTGGGCCTAGCTTCAAACACTTGAATCAAATTTATATAGGAAGTTGTTATCATGTGAATGGCCGGGGATGTATAAATGAGTGCAAGTAAAGAGCGCCACACAGTCAAATTTCCAGATAAAGTAGTAAGCACTTATCCAGATGTCTCTAGGCCCTAGTACCCCTGAATGTATCCAACCTTGGAAGTGTACATGTTGACTATGTACGTGCTTAATACTTGGAATGGGCATATACTCTGTACTCAAGATGAGTACCTACCCAGATACTTGAGATAGATTTTGACCGTATCGTACTCACTGATCCATCTCCTACTTTTCAACTAACATTTGAACAACTGGGGAACTCAGGTGACAAAAAAAAAACACAGGCACCCATGTACTAAAGGTGGATAAAGGGGGAGATATGTCCCTGGAAATATAGTAGAGATAATCTCCCAAACTCTATTTAATCGTATGCACATGTGACATTTGAACCTTGGGGGAAGGGGGGGTTCTCAAGTTACCCAACCACTGCAGCGGCCGCATCCTCCCGCCGCTCTTCGTCCCGAAGCGACTGAATGCCGACTCCCGCCTGCAATCCAGCCAGAACAACCCGCAGCTCCTGCAGGAACCTGGTGACCTCCGTTTCAGTACCAACGGTGATCCGAATACAGCCCTCACATCCATACTCCTTACCGCGGAACCGCACCACAACCCCACGCTTCTCTGCCAACGCCTCATACGCTGCTAGCGCGACCACGTTGCTTGGTTTCCCGGTGCTATCCAAAATCTCCACCAACAAGAAATTCGCGTCATTCCCGCCCAGGAACCGCCCAACACCGGAAATCTGCGGTAATTCGCGGAGCAAACGCTCGCGCTGCGCGACAATCTGCTCACGGTACTGGCGCATCACCGCCATATTGGGGCCCGTCAATGCAGCGGTCGCGAGCGCGCTGGTCGGGCTAGAGATGTTGTAGGGGGCCTTGAGGCTGTTCAGGAGTCGTGCGATCTCGGGGCTGGTGAAGGCAACGCCGAGACGGATGCCGGCAAGACCAAATGCCTTGCTGAGGGTCTGCATGACCGCTAAATTGGGCCACTCGGTGACCCACTCGGCCAAACTGGAGCCATCCTCAGCGAAATCGATGTATGCCTCATCAACGATCACTATGCCATTCCATGTAGGGTGTTCCAGCACCTTGCGAATATCCTCCTTGCGGATCAGGTTGGCGGTCGGGTTGCCCGGAGAGCAGATATACACGAGTTTGATGGAGGGGTCGGCGGATAGGGCCTCATTGACCTTGTCGGCCTGCAGCTGGAAGCCGTTGTTCACATCCAACGGCACCTTGACTATGTCGATATCGTTAACCTGGGCGCTCACGCTGTACATTCCGTAAGTCGGTGGGCATGTAAGGATTTTGTCCTTGCCCGGTGTGCAGAAGCATCGTAGCATCGCATCGATAGCCTCATCGGACCCAACACCTACGAACAGGCTCTCGGGCTTTAGGGTCTTTTGTGTGTGGTGGTGAGTATTGCGGAGATTGCAGAAGAGCTGCTTAAGTTCGATCTGGTGACTATAGAGTTCAAAGAAGGGTTAGGAGATCCCCCATAAAGTCTCAATGAATAAATGGGGACCTTACGGATCGGGGTATCGGTTCAAGCCCAGGAAATCAATCTCGGGCTTGGAGGCGCCTGTCGCATCGCCGGTCTTCGAGGCCTGCAGGGCACCCTCGCTGTTCAGTGCTAGACCGGGGCCGTAGGCATTCTCATTCGCATCCAGCAGGACGTTAGTCCCATCGTCTTTGTAGTCACTGATTCGTTAGCGCGAGAGCGAGATCGGAGATCGCATTCCGGGCCGACCTACTCTCTGGCGCAGCGATAGGGCTGCAATTGCAGAATATTAGGTCGAGCGCATTTTGACAAGTCGAATGGTGATGTTCTGGAAGCCATTGTGGGTGAGAATATGTTTAGACAAGATATTAAGTGCAGAAGCAAAAGTTGGTGGGGTGGCGGGGATTTAAGGTGATCACCGAGAAAGCGGAATCGTTCGAGTCATCCGCATTGGAATGACTCAGACAAACAACATGAAATCTGCGGTCAGATTGATAAGACAATGAATACATCGTACTAGCATTAGAATCAATTGCGCATATTTCAAACTTATCAGAGCCATTACTTTCGCCTAGTACTATCAAACACACACTTTACAGCTTTGACGAGCAACCTCTTTTGGGTGCTATATGTATTATTTTTTTTTGCAAATGCATAGATGTCGGATACAATGATTGGGAACAAAAGTGCCACACAACGCCCCACAAATGCCTGTCTTCTCCTGATGACTTGGACAATATGCCACAGGTTTATTTTACTCATCCTTTTTGTCAACTTTTGAAGACTCCCTTTTAGCCTCCTCTGTAGCCGCAGCCTTGGCAACGGCTTGCGACTTTCTGTGCTTTTCGCGCTTCTCCTTGATATAGTTCCAACTCTTGCCAATACCTGCAGTCAAAGGACCCTTAATGGTCTGGATTGTGCTGGGCCAGCGAATTGTCTTCATGATCGACGTAGAAACCTCCTCTTGCAGCTTCTCATCACTGGCAATACGGCGCTCAAAGGGGCCTCCCTGGGGTCGACGGACGATATCTTGTGTGTCGTTGTTTTCGGCCATCATTTTGTTGAACTCGACACGAGGGATTGAGTACCGGCCCTGGTATTGGAAGTATAGCTTATCACGGAACGATTCAGGAAGACGGCGGACCATATTTCCACGCCGAATCGGGTCCATATCCTGTGCCATCCCCATGATGGCATCCGGGTCGTCGATCCAATTTTCTTGGCTGCATCGAGGATCTTGGAAGGAGACATTTGGCATGTTGTTGATGAGTGGGGCGTATAGACGTCGGAAGTGTGCCATCTGCCCCGACACAATGTTGCGCACCTTGCCGGGATCCTCTGCTGGTAGCACCATGCGCAGGTCGCCCATATAACTGATCCCCGCGATGGTACTATAGAGCTCAAACTCGCTGAAACGCTCAGGGAGCAGGAGTAAGGCCACGCGCAGAGCGGACAAGAGATTCATCTGATTGGCCAATCGCACTTTAGGATGGTCGCGAAGGATCTTGACAGGCTTTTGCAAGCGGCCGGCCAGATATAAAGTATCCCATCGGGTAAGGTCCTGGCACAGGGTATCCAGATTCACAACGCCGTATTTAATCAGTGTTCCGCTTACTGTAATATGGGTGTTGAAGTAGACACCAGCCCCAAATCGATCCTGGACCTGGGAAACTGCATACGAACCGAGGGAGCCCAACCCGGAATAATGATCGCGGTGTTGGGTCAGGTTAAGATCATGCCAGTGTTGAGAGTAGGATACTCCGAAAATGAAGTCAATCATCTTTCCGGGCCCCTGTTGCATATTCTTGATGGCAGCTGGCGCTGAGGGATGGGTTGGGGTCGAGGAAGCTGCACTGCCATTCTGTGCAAAGACTCCCGATCCATAGGCAAACGCATAGCGAATCGGTGCCCGAAATTGCCACAGAATCTGTCGCAAAGCTTCTTTGAATTCCTGATTGATTATCATATGTTGATTGACTCCAAAGTCCTTCGACGGAAGCTCGGAGAAGTTGGAGATTTGTAGGTTCGGGTTTTCGTCCCAGTCCGTATCGGACAACGATGGGGATGTAGAGAATGATGCCGTTGACGATAATTTGGAGGGAACATTGTACAATAATGATGATTTTAAAGGAGTGGCATTCGCTGGTCGGATCAAAGGAGAGTCTAGACTCGAGCGGGAATCGATTGCGAAACAACGAACCGAAGCGGGCAGCCTCGGGAGAGCCAAATAACGAAGGCGAGCCCGACAGAGAGAGATGGGGGCGCTACCCCGAGAAACCACCTAAAATCAGTGTTAACATGACATGTCCTTCCTCCAGTATCTGTTTCGATCAAATTTGGGGTTGAGGTTCCGACGTACGGCTGATCGCATGGAAGCGGCTTCGGATAAGGAGCGGAGCGCACGGCTCAAGATAAGTAGATCAGGAAAGATGACAGCCCCGGAATCAAGGAGCGTAGATGAAGGGAAGGTCAATTGGCCAGAGCAGAGGGCTTAATTCAAGTCCCAAGCTAATTCAACAATAAATTCCCAGAAAGACTCCCGTGAGTCTGACGTCGGAAGCGATGACATAATATCGTCACGTGAACCCGCGTTTCGCATAACAACGCTATCAACAAGTGTAAACAGACCGTATCAACATCGACCAACCCCGCGCCCTCGACAACCAGCACCGGCTTTTGACTCCCGCGACCCGGGACTGAGGACCGACTGTGTTGTATCCGCCAAATATCTACAACCATGGGCTCAGAAATGGATACGTTCACGGCTCGCCTGGCCAGTTTCGACGTTGTGCTCAAACCTGAGAAGCGGAGATCCTCGGGCGTCAAAGGTCCCAGATTCATCGCATGGCCTCATTCAAAGCCATCGCCAGCAGAGGTACTCATTATGCCATGACGAAAATTTACAATCCAGCTAACCACAATGGTTTTTTCTTCAGTTGGCGCAAGCAGGCTTCTTCTACAAACCCTACGAGAGCAACCCCGACAACACAACGTGTTTTGAGTGCGGCCGCGCATTAGATGGATGGGAAGAGGAGGATAACCCGATTACAGAGCATCTGAAGCATTCTCCAGACTGTGGATGGGCGATTACTATGGACATTCAACAGAACAGCTCCAATCCTTCAGCTATCGAGGACCCGACTAGCGAGCGCATCGCCCAAGCGCGGTTGGCAACATTTGGCTCAGCGTGGCCTCACGATGAGAAACACGGCTGGGTCTGTCAGTCTGAGAAGGTAAATTCTAACCTTCGGTCTCATTTTCACTGGAACACACTCTGATGAAAGACAACAGATGGTTGAAGGTGGCTGGTATTTCTGCCCGACAGAAGAGAGCAACGACTTGGCCAGCTGTGCCTACTGTAAGCTCTCTTTGGATGGCTGGGAGCCCAAAGATGATCCATTGTAAGTCCCGGTCGTTCCTTCCTGTTGCAGAAGACAAAATCTGACACTTTCCCAGCGAGGAACACTACCGCCGCTCGTCAGAGTGTTCATTTTTCGTGTTTGCACAGCCCCCGGCAAAGAAAGGCAAAGGACCGAAGTCAAAAAAGCCTCGCGTTTCGAAGGCCTCCTCTCGTCTATCTACCCAGTCCATCGGCACTACCGCATCTGAAACCCCGGAAGTGGACTTGGACGAGTCAATGGACCAAAGCATCATGTCACAAGCCAGCGTGAAACCGAAAACTACAAAGAAAGGAGCAAAGGGAAAGGGTAAATCCAGCAAGAACAAAAAAGATGAAGTAGAGGCCGAGAGTCAAATGGAGATTGAGAGTGTTGAACCCGAGCAGGCGGAGACAGAAGCCCCCAAAACGAAACGCACAGGCCGAGGAAGAAAAAGAATCAGTGAGGAAATCTCACGGGATGAGTCCGAGCCAGTGCCCGAGCCCAAGCAACAATCAATCGAACCACCTAATAAGCGCCGCAACACAAGAACTCGAAGCAGTAGCGTCTCTCAGTCCTACAACTATGAAAATGATCATGATATGCCGGACATTGGTTCTGTCGATGAAGAGCCCCATGAGGAACCCAAGAAGGGCGGCAAGGGATCGAAGAAGGGGACCAGCAAGAGCCGTAAGGCTTCAGATGTCTCAGCCACGTCCAAGTCTACCTCTAAATCTCGCCTGGAGAGGAATTCGGAGTTGGGTGCATCTATCGAGGCAGGTCTCGAAGCAGAATTGCCAGACCCGGTCGAGCCTGAACCACCGGTGCAGCCAGAGCCTGAGCCGGAGGCCGAAGTCGAGCCGGCCCCTCGTACTTCTAAAAAGACCAAAACAAGCAAGAAGACTAAAGCCGCCAAAGCGGCTGAGCAACAAGCGCAGGAGTTGAAAGACTCTATGGACCTCGATAATCAATCTGAGAAACAACCCGAGGCCGTTGCTGAACCCGAAGCTGACGCCATGGAGGTCACGGAAGAGCAAGCTGAACCAGCTCCTAAGGTCAAGGCCACCAAGGGTCCTAAGAAGAAGGGAACCAAAAAGGCGAAGAAAGAAGAGAGCAAGTCAAGGGCCTTGACATCACGAGAATCTTCCGAAAACAAGCCCACAACTGAAAATCAAGTTATGGAAGAGCAACATGAATCATTTATATCAGTTGAGATCGTCAAACAAAACATGGAGCCTCAACCCAAGCCTCAACCCCAGCCTCAACCCGAGTCCGAACCAGAGCCCCAGCCTGAGCCAGAAGTGGCAACTCCTGAGAAGCCTGCCACCAAAAAGTCATCGAAGAAGGAAGACAAGGCAAATAAACCCAAGAAGTCGAAAAAGAAGGAACCATCTCCTCCCCCCGAACCGGTTATGGAAGAGATGATTGAGGAGCCCAGTCCAGAGAAGTCCGAACCTGTGTCTCCATCTGTAGACGAAGAATGGGGAACACCAGATGATCTACCGGACCAAGTCGAGATGGTTGCACCTGCAGAGCCTTCTCCGGAACCTTCTCTGGAGCCCTCTCCACAGCCCTCGCCGGAGCCCTCTCCTGAACCGCAGACTAAACAGCGGACGCCTGTGCCTCCCAAGACAGTCAAACGCTACAGCGATATTCCCCAGGAGGAGCGTCTCACGGAGTCTATTGCGAAACCACGAACTTCTCGAGGAAGTATGCAGAGAGCGTCTCGTGGTTCAAAGCGATCCGTTTCGCCTCTTCCACCCGCATACCAGCACACACCATCAATGTCTCCACAATCATCGGATGCCGAAAATCGACCCCCCTCATCTCGACTTTCAGTTTCCCGCCCAGTTCTTCCGCCAGCGGAGCCGCGGGATCGGACTCCGCGAACAGCAGCTACCCCATCACCATCCAAACGCAACTTCAACGGTGGATTTGCGGCTTCTGCTCATCCCTGGACTCCGGTGGATATTGATGAAGCGCTATTCGGAGAGGCCAGTGACAAGGAGAATGCCGATCTTTCTGGACTGTTCAAGGGCATGAAGCGAGGACTGACTAGCCCTGAGAAGAAAATGACAGTGGAAGAGTGGATCAAGTGGAATGCGAAGAACGGAGAAGAGCGGCTCAAGCGTGAATGCGAGCGGCTCGTCAGCCAGTTTGAGAAAGAAGGAAGTCGAGGCATGCAACGACTCGAGGCCATTGATTGTATTGATTAAACGAGCATACGCGTTTCCTAGGTGTTTGGTTATTTTATTTGGTATGGATCTGGCGTCTTTTGGCGGCGCCCTAGGGGTCTTTCATGATGGTTGAATATGGTCACATTTTTTCTGCTTTGATTATTCAATGCCAATAATTTTTTTGAACCCACGCCGATGTTGTCGTGGGTTACCATATACAGGTCTTGCGTACGTAGTACTGGTAGACATAAGATGTTTTAAAAAAAAAACGCCCCCACAAGATAAAATATGAACTGGAACGCCATGGGTATCATAAACAGGTCCCGTATCCCCAAAATCCCAGTCGTCTTTAGGCGATAATTCCCAACCGGCCTTCCCAGCCATCATCTTCCTTCTTAACGCCATCGCCACCCTTCCGACGCTTTTCATTCCGCTTGCGCCTCCGCTCCTCCCTCTCCTTCGCATCAATCTCCTCCCGCTCCCGCAGACGTTCTCCAAGATCCAACTGCCACGCCTTCCTCTCCTCTTCCTCCCTAACTCTCTTCCGACGCATCAACATTCTCAACCGCTCCCGCACCTCGCCAACCGAGGCGCGCATAACATCTCCACTCTGCCCCGTCGCAATCAAATGCTGCTTGCTGTTGTAGTGCTCCACAAGTTGAATATTATCCTTGAACGTGAGATCACAGTCCGCACAGTAGAATCCCGCTCCGCGACCGCGCTTTCCGAGCGCCGATCCCGCCGGCACCATGGTTGTCTTGCCAACCATGGAGGCCACATCCAGTCGTTTATTGCGGGCAGAGGTAGCCTCGAGGGAGCTGAAGTCGACCGGGGCATGGTACTTCTTGCCGAGTAGTTTGGCTTCGTAGCGGGCTCTGCCTTCGGCTTTACGCTTGGTTTCTTCGTCGGCGGCCTTTTTGCTGTATTCTTCGCGATCCCAGGTTTTGCGGAATTCTGTGTCTGAGGCCGGGGGCCCGGAAGAATTGGGTTTGGACATTTTGGTGGGTGTGTAGTGTGAAGCAGTGGGAGAAAAAGAAGCTTGAGATGGAAAGTCAAGTTGGAGGTTTAAGCTTGGTGCTCAATCTGTATTAGGTAAGCGGGCTTCGCAATTTACACTTGGGAGTTCCTTGGAGTTTGTCCTTGTGACGATTGTCGATGTAAAGTCATTGTTTTGCTACTGATTACATTTTCGAAATTCGACATCTGAAGTCTTCAAGTTCAAAGTGACAGAAGTACGGTTCATCGGGATTACTAGTAGTGGCTTGAATGATATGGTTGCTGCCTCACAAGTTACTCCTCCAATCGCAGGCAACCTCCAAATCAACCTCACACCATCACATAACCGATGCAAACCATCATTTATAACTATTAGCCTATAAAGGACAACAATGCAAATGGAGCTACAATACAGGCAGCCATTTTGTGGACCTCCAAGTTCTTCTTAAGCAAGTCTGAGCCGCTTTCTTCTAAATGAAACCTCGTCTTACCATCTTCACAAAACAAACCAAATGGAAACCTCAACAACCCCACAGTCCGCCATCACACCTGGGCTTAAGCTACTAGCCTTTCCCACTGAAATACACTTCCAAATCGCTTCTTATCTCTCTTACCCTGATGCACTGGCTCTAAAACACACAAGTCGCCATTTCTATGGTGCGGTGAATACAAACGTGCGCCTCAAAGTCCAATGGCTTGTCGAGCGTTTCGAGCGCAAACTGGAATGTCCGATGGAGAAATGCTCCTTTCGTACCGACGAGGACTTCTGTAACAAACAGGTTCGTCGCATAATGGAAAAGCGCCGACGGCATCTCGAGTGTCGACCTATACCTGGTGGTTGTTGGGTAGTAGAGGGCCAATCATGTCGAGCCAGTGTGGTGCTGTCGTGGTATGCGAGAGATCGGGGACAAAAGATTGTCTTCAAGCGGAGCCGTTTATGGATGCGACAAGGTCGGTGAATGAGCCATGCTCTGTTCATGTTCAGTTGCTAACGTAGTGCTTGGGGTGCAGCTGTAATCTTCGATCTTTTTGTGGTAGTGATAAAAATTCTCTGGATGATATTTCTATGGTGTGTCCGCTTGGTTGGGTTTTGTGGGCGGGATCCAGCTGCTAACTGGTAATAGGGTTTTCTTTGATGCATTGACTTACACGCTTGATCTCTGGCCAGGTCTTGCGGAATGGGTTCCATATCTCCATGGATAATATTTTGAAAAAGAGAATCGCGCTCGGAAAACTCACTCGGAGCTTTTTTGACACGACATCTTATATTGAGGACAGACATGTCACATGCCCCTAACGCGAAGAATATCATAAGCATCCGAGAAAGCTGAAGAGATTGTTCACTTGAGACATATCATCATGCAAGCTACATACATGATATGCATGTGTGTTGACCTATCTGTGGGTTAAACATGCAATATCTGGTACGCACCCATTACCAGCACTATTTTTTATCGATTATTATCGAGTAATGCATAATTGATAATTTTTGAATTATGAACGGATATGAATCAGACTAGCATGATATTGAGCGCAGTTTCAACTGCCAACTTGGGGGGAACACATGTGCAGACTTCTTGCTGCACATGTGTATGTACTTCTTCGCATAGCCAGCTCTTATTTTGGGCTCAAGCTATAGAACCTTGATCATGCGATTGACTAATATAATTATGGTCTTTCAATTGAAGAAAGCTTTGAAGTAAGTTGGTTATATGTAAACTATCAACATTTGAAGAAGCTTTTACTTTATTTCCTAGCATTTAAGCCTCGATATGATAAACTGATGGCAGGCTTTAAAGTAGTTTGGCTTGGTGGAGCTCGGGACAACCTTATTTTCCCTTAAATCAACAAACCCGTCCAAAGTTGATTCGAAGATCAATTTATGAAGTCGTTCAACAATTGCGCATGTAAGTAGCTGCAGTAATCGATTGGCTCTGATCCCAAGAACCAAACATTTGAACAATGGTTTTTCTCTAGATTTTGGCAACTTGGTCAACTGGTTGAGTGCATTGCTTATTACAGCTCCAATCCTGATTATCGTTACTGACGTCACAACGACGTACTTTCAGATTGCATACAAAAGCACTGCCAAAGCTACTGAAACTGGACTTCTTCTCTCTCTCAATTCCATACCTCAATTCAATCAACTCATTCATCATGTCCGCCTCTATCAACACTAGCACGGGCCAACATGCCGTTGACCCATACACAAACCAGAACAGCGAGGATCCTCCTCTGCCGCAAAAGATCGAAGACCTAGCCGCGTTCATCTCAGAAGTCAAGTTTGGCATGCTCACCGCAATGGAGCCAGAGAATGAATACTTGACTTCCCGGTGCATGGCCTTGGCTGCACAGGTAATCCCCAGCTCAATTCTCCAACTTCAATGAACCCTCAAAAGATCTTTTCAAGCTAACAATCGTCTCAACAGGAGCACGGCGGTATCGACCTCATTTTCCATACAAACCTCTTCTCTGGCAAAATTTTGGACCTCACCCTACACCCCAAAGAAACCAATATGTCTTTCCTAGACCCAATCAGCGGTGCCTGGGCAAGCATATCGGGTAAAGCAAGTGTTATCGCCGATCCGGCCACAGTACAGAAGTACTATACGCCAACACTAAAAGCTTGGCTAGGCGATTTGGGTGACGGTGTGCACAATGGTGAAGCCACAGACCCGCGAATCGGGCTTATCAAACTGGAGGCCGTACTTGCAACCCACGTTGTTGCACAAAAGGGAATCATTGGTAGGGCTGTGGATACAGTTAAGGGAGCTGTAAATGGGAGCGTTCCTCCTATCAACTCTATTCGGGAGATTAGTGCCCAGGAATTGGCTGAATGTAGGTATTCAACTCCCTTGGTAATGTGGATATAAGCTGACAATCACCTTAGGGCGCCGAACACACCAGGCATAGGAGAAACTTGTGCCAATTAGAATGAGCATAGATACCTATTTTTAGTCAACTCATAATGAATGCTTTGACATGTTTGGAACTTGCGAATCGGCGAGGCAAGGAAATCCAATTGCAGAAGTTGGCCGAGTACCGTAGTCCTTCAGATGCCGGCAAGAAGTAAGGCTTCACAGCACTTGAGCCTTCTTGCAAGTCGTTACACCATCTGTTCAAAGGTTTTTTTTATCATCAAACTCCAGATGTCTAATCGTGTATCGACAGAAGTGTGTATTGTTCCAAGGATTTGTACATATCACCTACTATGTAGTAGGTAGTGGTAACAACATAGCTGCACACCATTCACCGTTGGAATTCTTAGAAAAAACACATCACGATCCTACTTCACTGCACTCCTTTTACAAGAAGAAGGGAGGGGGGGGGGGGGGATGGATAAGAGTTCTTTATTGTATATTACAGGGCATGTCTGATAGGCCCTGGGTAAAAAATAAAACAAAAATTGCAAACAACATTGAAATAAGACAATAACAGTAATGGGTATATGGGTAAACGCTGCACGATAATAAAATAAAGATAAAAATAATAATAGGAATAACCATCACAATGATTTGAGTCCCCAGGGTAAAAATGACTTAAATCTGAGAGAAATGTGGGTTAGAAGAGATCGTATGAGAAAGAAGGAATAATTCACGTACCAGTCTCAAAGGGAGACTTGTTGGGACTCTGCCCCCATGGAGCAGCATTGCAATGGCCTTCTGCGGCGTCGCCTGGAGCTTGCGGTACGCCTCCCGGATATGACGGGGTTCGATTGGCGTGCGGCCTTCCTCAGGCGGGTCGAACAGGCCAGTCTCCCGCTTGCGCTTCTTGGCGCTCTCTCCGGTGGTTTCCGCGCCGCCGCGGTTCTTCTCATGGTCCTCGCGCTCTTTGACCTTCAGCGCTTCCTCGGTCAGAGTCTGGACGATTTCGAAGGTAAGGAAACCGAGGATGTCGACGATATCGTCGTTTGGCTTCGACTCGGTGACAATGCCGAACCCGGCCCACTCGCGGAACCGCTTGCTCTTGCGGTAGGTGAATGATGCTTGGCGGCATTCAGACCAGAAGACGTACTCTTCCCTCGTCATGTGTTTGGTGCGCTCATCGGCGGCAGCCAGACGCTGGAGAGTCGCGTAATTCTGCTCCTCCTCTTCTTCGTCCTCTTCGTCATCGCGCTCGGGAATCTGGACCGAGAAAAAGCTGTGCACGTCCCATGCCAGTCCGACCTTGGCGCGTTTGTTCTTGGGTTTGGCGGCTACATCCTGCGGACCAGCCACAACCCCAGCCGCGTCGTCAGCAGCGGCAAAGTCAGCCGCATCGGCACCGCCCTTGTCGTCGGAATCCTTGACGTTCTTGCGGACATCTTTCCAGGACAGGAAAGTACGGAGACGAGAAACTTTGGCTTTATCGTGACGAATCAGAAAGATCAGGTCGTCGGTTGAGATGGAGCGCGATCCTCGACGAGTCGCTAGGTGAGTGCTGCGGCCCAACTATGACATGATTAGCTAGACGACTTAGATATTCTTAGGAAAGAAAAAACTCACAATTTCAAGCACCTGTTGACGTGTGATGTCCTCAATCAAAGTGGTTGTTTCGATGGAGGGTTCGGCGGTTTCTCCGGATACGAACATCATCTTAATAAGCATGTTAACCATCAATCGTCTTCCGAAAGTTGTCATCAGTTTCTTGGTCAACTTCATCAGCTGCAGCTTGCTCGGCTGCATCTTCATTGGCAGGTTCTTCATTGGCAGGTTCTTCATTGGCAGGTTCTTCATTGGCAGGTTCTTCATTGGCAGGTTCTTCATTGGCAGGTTCTTCATTGGCGGGGTCTTCATTGGCGGGGTCTTCATTGGCGGGATCTTGATCGATTGATATGTCATCAGCTGCGATAGGAGAGGAGCGCCAAAACTCCGAGGAGTCGCTATCGCCATCGCTATCCGAAGCATCGTAATGATCCGCATTATCTTTATTGTCTGTCGCAAGAGGATTCACACCGCAATGATGGGCAATGAGACTAGCGGAACCTGGAAGAGGTGAACCACTGCCTTCAATTAACTTGCCAGTGGAATCGCGAAACAGTCCTTTGTAGGCTGAAGACCGGAATTTGCGAAAGCGTCTTCGTTGAGAAATGTGGGTCTCCGTTTGGCTTTCCACATCCGCGTCGTATCCGGAGTCGTATCCGGAAGTATCAGTATCACACAGGGAGGTGGCCATAGGATCGGTTTGCATAGAGTCGGCAAGAATTTCCATGGGAGAGCTCAAGGTTCGTGTGTTTTCGGAAACAATGCACAAATATTCCTTGCCCTCAGTGTTGTCCGTCTCGGTGTCAGACTTAACACGAGCAATCCAAGAGTCGGATTCCTCAGTAGCCAGATTGATGATATTTGACAGCGAGATGGTCAAATATGAGCGTATGGGGGAGGAATCACAGATGCGTAAACAAGGCGAGCCCTGAGACTGAAATCAACTCGAAGGCAGAAAGCAGTGTATGTGTTCAAGGGGGAAAAGCTTGCGGTTTCGTAGATGATGATGAAGCTCGACAATCAAGCTCGACAATGGATAAGCCAAGTGATGGGTTCGAGTTTCAAAGTCACGGAGGGGCGAGGGGGGAAGACCAGAAGAAAGATTCACGCCTCAGATGTAAGAGAACGGAATGAAGAAAGCCAGGAGTCGTGAACCGCCCGCTTATAAAGCGAGTTCCTGTTCTTTTCAACATTCCATTAATGGCTTCACTCGCACATGGTCTCTCAAGCCCACACTCTCTCAAGCCCACGTCGCCTTCCCCGGCCCTCACGACCCTGAACACAGACACCTGCCTTTCAATCCCGTGTGCATTAAGCACAAATCCGGCACTTGCTGCCTCACAATTCATATCAAGAAAGTTTGCCGGACTTTCTGCTCCGGTACCGATATGCAGGATATCACAATTGCCGCAGGCGAAGAATACGCCATGACATTGGAACCAAAGCCTTGAAGCTCAACTTCAAGACAACGAAGAAGAAGGAGAAGAAGAAGACCAAGAAACTATAAAGGATATTGAATCACCATAACACGGGGAATTACTCACCTGCTGAATCTCCTGACGATACTTTGGCTGACGATCCGAGCTCATGATGCCGGTAGCTCGTCACTGCAGCAAGTGTCTTGCGATCTGATAGCTCCAGTTCACGACGACGTCGAAGGAGGATTGAAAAGTATGAGAGGAAAGAAGAATTCAACAGATAATTTTGAAAGTACCACCTCAAAAGGCGATTCCCATTGATTGTGGAGAACAGTTGCAAAGTGAGACGCGTTGAGAAGGGTTCTTGAAGAAAGATGGATTTCATGCAAAGGGTAAGTTGGAGTCGCCGATAACGACGGGTACGATAAGCCAGATCTCGGATCCCGGAAGAACAGTTTTGCCGACATTAGGCGGTCAGTGACGATGGAATCTGCCGCGGGGCAGTCAAATTATTTCCGAAGGCTGAAGAGGCACACTACTTCGTCAATTGGTCTTTTTTAACTTGCATATTACACCATGTTGCACCTTGTTGGTCTCGGTCTTGCCGATGAGACAGATATTACTGTCCGCGGTCTGGAAATTGTCAAGCGTGCCGAGCGGGTTTATCTGGAGGCATACACTGCTATCCTTCTAGTAGACAAGTCGAAGCTTGTAAGTGTTTATTCGTGGATCCTTGGGACCTGTTTAGGGACTTTGGTTTCTAGGGAAATGACTGATTTTTGATTTGTTGATGTGTAGGAAGCATTCTACGGCCGAGAAGTCATTGAGGCCGACCGCGAATTAGTAGAAAGCGGCAGCGATGAGATCCTTGCCGGAGCAGACAAAGTAGACATTGCATTCCTTGTCGTCGGTGATCCATTCGGGTATGTCACAGGCAATATCATCTGCATCGAAGGCACAAGCATATATCTAATGACCTTCCAGCGCAACAACCCACACCGATCTCGTCCTCCGCGCCCGCGAACTCAATATCCAAACTAACGTCGTTCCCAATGCCTCCATCATGTCCGGAATTGGCTGCACAGGCCTCCAGCTCTACAACTTCGGCCAAACAGTCAGCATGGTCTTCTTCCTCGACAACTGGCGTCCCGCCTCGTTCTACGACCGTGTTGCTGAGAACGTGCAGATCGGTCTGCATACGCTCGTCCTGCTCGACATTAAAGTGAAGGAACAGTCAATGGAGAACCTGGCGCGTGGTCGTCGTATCTACGAGCCACCACGTTATATGACTGTTGCGCAATGCGCGCAGCAGATGCTGGAGGTTGAGGAGGACCGCAAGGAGGGTGTCTGTGCGCCAGATCGCCTGGCAATGGGAGCTGCGCGAGTTGGTGCGCCGGACCAGAAGCTGGTTGTTGGTACTTTGACCGAGCTGGCTGAGGTTGAGATGGGCGCTCCCTTGCATAGTCTCGTGCTCCTCGGACGGAGAACACACGATCTTGAGAGGGATTACATTCGCCAGTTTGCTGTTGATCAAGCGACCTTCGATGCCAGTTATGTGAAGTACTATGGCAAGAGCTCATAAAATACGATACCTAGGACACGAATTAGATGAATAAAATTCAAGTTTATGCATATTTACAAGTGATAGTGTGATCAAGGACTTTCGAGGTATTGAAGATGGTCTATTATGATTTTTGAGGTAGGTAGTAGCATAGGAACTTTGAGTCCCGTCCCTCTGGATCAGATCTGACCAGATAAAACCCGGAGTCTATATTCTAATGACCACAGCAGTGTCATTTTCTCCTTCTCACGCGCTCGCTTCAAATCGAAGAAAGGGTAGATGGCAAGGAAACATATGAAACATGAAAGCAGGAACGTCGCAGGGACATTAGACAAAACAAAAATACCGCAGTAAAATGAGAATGCAAAAAGAACAATGGTATCCAGACGAGGCAAAAAACGACAAAGGACGGATGCAAAGAGTACCTTAAGCTGCGGAGATATCGATTGCCTGTGCCGTAGCAAAAAAACCACACAGCGATATCAATCACGACGGCCAAGGCAATGTTCTGGAAAACATAAAAAATCAAAAAATCAAAGACCCACCGCACCGACACCGGGTGACATGCAAAAGTGTGAAGCAATGTACAGCTTAAGAGGAGCGAAAAATGAATATACGTATCACATCACTAGTGTCCCTGTTCCAGGACCTCATCCTCCTCGCCAGGGAGGAGAATTTCATGACCAGAGCCCTCATACACGAAAATGGCAGCAACGCAGCCAAAGACGGACACCAAGGCAACTAACCACCAAGCGAAACCAACCATGCCAACATCTAAACCGTATCCGTACCACGCACCCGAGAAAATGGGACCGATGGTTCGGAAGGCAGAGGACACGGACTGGCCAATGCCGTGAATCGTTCCAAGGACCGATGGGTGTGGCGAGCAGTTGTTGAGCAGAATAATAGAAGTAGGAAGGGTGAAGGTTCGTGCAGTGACTTGGCAGAAGAGCACAACAATAATCCACACCCAAACCCATGGACCGTTGGCCTGGCCGGGAGGTGGAGTACTAGAAGGAGCTAAGGCGATGTAAGGTGCCAATGCATAGGCCAGTGGGAAGAGGGAGAGGAAGTATTGGTAACTCTTGGCCGTACCCAATCGGCCGTTGATGGAGGGGTAGATGGTGAACTGGAGGAACATGCCAATGACACCGAGAATAGCGGTCGCAAAACCAACGCTTTGAGGAAGCATACCAAGGCCACCGGTGAAGGCGAAGGGCATGCTCTGGACGGGGCTTGCGGGATCAGAGGGATCGTAGCGGGGGGTCGACAAGAATAGCAGCCAGAGGTTGTTGAAAGCACCCATTTGGAAATCGAAGAACGCCTGTGCGATAAGGGTGCACATGACGTTCTTGGTCCAGATTCGGCGGAATGATAACACGCGCTTGACGCGGATAGGCTTGCTAGCCTTCTCCTCGAGTTCATAGCTCTCGGAGCGATCCAAGGCACCGGCAAGTAGGGGACCATTCTCCTCGTACTCGCGGAAAGGGAGCCGGGAGTACAGAGGCGAGGAAGTACCGACCACGCGTCGGACAACGCGAGCGAAAAGCTTCATAGCGAAAGCTCCCAGGCCTGGCTTGCCCTTGCAAGAAAGAAGTGTCTCTTCCAAGCCATAAGCCACCAAGCATGCACAGACCGACAAGAAGACAAAGTTGGCAAACATGGGGAGCGAATAAGGGTAACGCTCCAGCCACTGAACGCCATTCTCGCCTCCAAAAGACGAGTTCGGGCCGAACAAGCGGGGGTAACTCTTCACAGGGTCGGCTAACATACCACCCATGACTATGCGAAAGGATGTATTAGTATGATTCCTTGGCAAAAAACTGTTTCAACGAGCGGGAGAGGCGAGGCAATCTTACCAGGACCAAACAAGGACGCAATGTTAAATCCAATGGGCAAAATTAAGAAAGCGCGTGAATGGAATCTCTTCTCCTTCACGTTCTCGGCAATCATAGTTCTGATAATTCCAACAGTTCCGTTGATAGCACCACCAAACGAGCGCCAGAACACGGCCTGCGCGAACGACGTCGAGAAAGCGACACCCAAACAAGACACAGCTGTTCCACATAGACCTACAAGCAGGACGAATCTCCGACCACCCCACTCAGCATCCGCCACACGACCCCATGGGATGGCCGTCGCAAACTGGGCGGCAGTGAAAGCGCCCTGGAGGATACCAGCCTGGGTAGCAACGTCGGAGTCGGAGAGGTTCTCATCGAAGGACTTGAGCTGATAGAACATATAGGCCTGCAGCGAGGCGATTTGCAAAAAGTCAAAGACACGACAGAGACCTAGCAGACCCAATTGGCCCTTCCGAGGTAGCGACATCCAAGTAACGGGAGCGGGACGAGCGGGAGGTTCGGTGGACATGGTCGACTGCTGCATGGCCAGGAGCTGGCCCTGACTCTGCGAGCGGCTGCGCACATGTTGGTTCTTCTGACCGTCCAAATCCATTGAGGTATTGCGAATCATATCGTGGTCATCGAAACTTGGAGTGTCGGAGGAGGGGCTCTCGTCAACACTGGCGAGAGAGATCTGGGACTCGCGGCGACGTCGAGGAGGTTGAGCAGCTTCGGAGGATTCGCCGTTACCGTTGCCCTGTATTAAATGATGGTAACCACTCGACCACGAAGTCGTACGCGCGTGGCGAGCATTACTTGGTTTATGGCTCTGAGACCTCGCAGGCATGACCCAGGAATGTATATGTAAGCCGGGAGTCGGGGCTAAGAGAGGAGTCGTGCCGAATGGAGACCAACGACGTCAGGTTGCGACACTCCCTTTTGGTTTCGTGTAATTTTGGTTTTTTGGGGATAAAAGGGTCCGAGTATAATTGGTCCACTGGGTGAAAAGTGAGGAGTATAAAACACCAAGGAAATACTAAGAAGGTTGCAGTTGAGTAACGAGTATCAAGAGGGGATTCTTCTCTCTGGAAAAAAAAAAAAATAGTAACCAGAAAAACGAAATGAAGAAGAAAAGATCGTCTTTTGTTGCCGTTTCGTGTATGTAGTTTGTTTGAGGATCCCCTTTTTTTTTTTTGCCATGACCCGTTTCGTATTTCAGTACGAATGATACAAGGGAAATTATAAGGAAATTAAGGAAAATGGAAAATAAGAAAAAATACTCCGTAACGATCAGATGTATTTGACTCCATACAGTTTATTTGCCTGGTCCACAAGGGGCCCATTACGTACCCCCAAGTAAATCGTCAATGCATAGACTATACTAGTACTTCATAAGTAAACTTACCTCTATAAACAATCAATATCTAGATCTCTTCCAAAGCTGATTCTCTTCTGGTACTGAACCCAAAAACCAACCTTGGAAAGAACCAAAGTAAAAAAGAAAGAAACCTTCGTATTTCATACTCCATACAGCAATACACAGATCAACAAAACGGGGGCTTGCGACGACCGATCCACTTCTATTCCCGAGTCCACTCCCTTACACTTGTAACTCGCCAGTCCAGGCCGTGCATCTCCGGAAAACTCTTGGCATTTCTTCACTAGGTGTTCCAATTGACATACAACTTCGTATAATTTACTCCAATTCCAAACAGCCTTTTAGAAGAATCGGGTATAGTGTCCGCAACGGGTCCCTCTACGTAACTCACTAACCTGGACAAAGTTGGCTGTGTTGGCCAAGACTTAGCGCGCCTCTAGAAGCTTTTGGGTCCTTGGATCAGAGAGGGGCTTATGTATGGTCGACGCGGCTTTATGTACTTTTATTTTCTTTTCTCATCCTTGACCCTGATTAAATTCAACTCCGTCATGTAGCTACTATAGCAAGCCACGCGGGTCCAAACGCCTCTGGCGCAGTATACTTGTGAAGTGTTATAGGTGGATAATAATAAAAAATAGTGCAGACATCGCCATTCACCAACGCATTTAATCAATTACTAGTAAATACGTAGAATAAAAATGGAGAAATCCAAAAAAAAAGTAACAAGTCAATATTAATCAATCAGTGATTCTCCGTACCGGAGTAGCGATAGCCGATAACTTCTCTAACGTACCCACACATGGAGAAGACAAGTGTTCTATAATCTCAACCAAGTAAATGATCGACTTTCTTCCCGACGAGCATCAGCTTGAGACTCCACGTTTCAGCTCTACATTGTGAACAGAAAGATCAGCTACAGGGCATGCCAAATAAGCTGTCTAAAGCTGTCTACATGAATCACACTGTTAAAATCCGATGACCAAGTAGATAGATCGATCAGCCGAGGGATCCGGCACCAATTTCCCGCCACTGACAGCACTAAGCTACGCACTTGAAAGGCTCAGCTCGGCGCCTCTCAGTACGGATAACCAAAAAAAGAAAACCAAAGATCTTTTCTTGGCCCGTTGATAGGCGCTACCCAATCACTCACAAAAACAGGGTTCTACAATCAATCAATGCTCTCCCGCTTCCCTAGCCCCTCTTTTTTCTTCCCTGGAGTTTCGACAAAACCTTCCGGAGTGGAGATTAGGAGGTCCGAATCGGCCTTTTTCGGCGGGAGCGAGAGAGTTCATGGTTCTCAACGATAGTGTCGCATAGCTTGTCATTTTTCTCAGTTCGTGAGCCCCATTTCAATAATAGAGGGGCAAAGAAGCGAGCGCAAAAAGTCCGAAAGCGCCTCCAGAGAGGACGCGTATACGTACGAGACTTTTCTCGGATTCGGCATTTGGGTCACGTATTATACAATACAAATAATACACAGAAAAAAAGTAAAATCGAAAAAAGCATCAAGTGCCGACTTGGCTTTGAAATGTCAGATTAGGATGACATAAGAGCTCGGGGTATTGTAACTTGGTATTGGTATTTCCGTAACTTTTTACAGAGGCTATGCCATTTTCGTTCCGTGATAGAATCTCAGGGATCGTCGGGATTCGAGTATATACAGGGGGAGGTGATATCCCAGGGAGAAATGAAATGTAAATCAAATGACAGGCGCAAGCAATGCAATGCAGGTATACAGTGAAAAAGGAAAGAGGGGTGAGAAAAGGGGGAAAGGGAAAAGGGCCAAGGGTCTATTCCGTCCGCTGTCGTCTGTGATTGGGACTACGATCCGCAAGTGGGAAGTAGTGACCTTCATCCCCTCCGGTCCACCGCCTCCAGTTCCACCAGGGTAGATCGCTGGAGTGACGAGCGGACTTTCTCTCAGCCATGCCGTTCAACGGCTCAGCTGACTCGGAATCATCCAGCGGATCCAGCCGCTGCTCTCGTTGATGGTAGCGGAAGGCATAGTAGCCTCCTCCGAGGAGAGGAATTATTAATAATACCACACCAGCCCAAAGATAAATTGGATTAGAGGTCCAGCTCTTGTGGTAGACCGTGGTCGAGGCATGCGGCAAGCTCGAGGGATATTGCCAAATGGACCCGTCGTGCTCTGGGTCGACCCATGGCACAGTGTTGACGCCCACCGGGGGGATGAACGGGCTAGCTTGTTCCTCGCCAGGGAAACCAAATCCGGGCGCATCCAAACAAGTCTCATCTTGGCAAAACTCACGCAGCTCCGGGGATGGAACAAACGTGTACTTGATCTCAGATCGACCAAGAACTTCACCAGTCTTGTCAATTGCCTCGGCACGGGTCCATGGGTAGAAGCTAGTGTTGGTGTACTCGGTCTCAAAGCCGGTCTTCTCGATATTGTCCAAAAGCGTCCAGGGTCCAGTCATATTCTCGGCTCCAAAGAATCGCCAATCTTGAACGCGCGTGGCGCCGTTCCAACTGACGTAGAAGGTTGTCGGTGAAAATGGATCCGCAGTACGAGAGTATGTCCAAAGCGCGGGCGAATCGGTGGGGTTTCCTTCCCACTCAAACTTCATCGCGCGATAGTTCATGACCGGGTCGGCGGCAATTGTAGCCCAGAATACAATATTGCCTTCGTCGTCATGTTCCGAAATATAACGGTTGTTGCCCCAACCCATCATGACATTCTTGTTCGGTAGTCGCTGGAGGTTACCCTGACTGGAGCTGATCAGGTCATGGATCAAGGGACGATAATCGCGAATCTGGAGCGCCGTGTTGTCAACGTGATCGATAAGGATGATCATACCACCGGAGTACGCATGCGTCCGGTTGTATCCGTTAAAACCATTATTATATAGTGAAACCACCGAATGAGTGGCATTCTCGAAAAGCCAACGCGCATCATGTTGCTGCGAAAAGCTAAAGTTGATATTGCGGAAGGTCGGTTTCGCGCCGTGCAATCGCCAAACAACTGATCCGTCCTTGCCGGAAATCTTATAAATGGCGCAAGTGTGACGCGAAGAGATCAGATAGTCGCCGTCGTTATTCTTGTCGATAGAGTTGATATGGAAGTAATCCCAGGGCTCGTGCACGTTCAATCCCGTTCCGGAGGTATCCGTGTGGGCGGGATAGGTGTAACTCATGGACGGATCGACGTGATCGAGAGACCGCCATTCGAAAAGTACCTTGCTCGTTTCCACATCCACCTCCTGGAAGACACTCTCCATCAACCAGCCCATACCGGTCTTGATGTTCCACGGGGTCATGTCGAACTGACGCTGTTGGTAAACGGTCATCAAGGCGGATTTTCCGTTGTTGATTGGCATGAACTCGTGCATGTCGCTAGATGCCATTCCGCCGCCGGGTTGGACGGATCGCGCGATGCGGTAGGTGTTGTCCATGATAATGCCATGTCCGCGACAGTAGCCTTTCTGTTGGTTGCCTTGGAAGAAGCACAAGTGGTCTGCGCCATTATATTGGCACACATGGAATCCGTGAGAATTGCCTGGTCCTGATACGCCCCAGCCGCTCCATACTAGCTCCTATTTCACCGAAAAAAAGTATAAGTCAGCTCTTTCCGGTCCTTTGATCCGCATGGTCGCGCCAAGGTTGGGAGTCCAATCATACTCCTTTGGTGTCAAAAATATAGGGTCCCGGATTTTGAGCCTCGTAAGGTGTGATAAAGATGTAACCGGGACTGAGCTTTTCGGGTACGCTGTGGTCGACTTTGAAGACGGGAGGAAAGATGTCTGGTCTCTGCGCGTTGAAGTAAGGTTAAGAAAATGGTTCAAACAAGGGCTGAATGGCGTGATCGGCATATTGAAGACTTGGCTTACCGATTTAAAGAACGACACCGGATCCTCTGCGACAACGCTGACAACGTATAGAAGCAATCCAAGAAGGATCGCAAGGGAGGGTGTCCTCACGGAGGAATAGATAGTGGCGACCATGGGATCCCTCTTCACATCACTCCGCGCACACAATAAAGAAAAAAAAGGGACAATAGCGCTATGTCAATGAAGCCAAGGGGGAAATGCGATTCAAGCGACCAGTATGCAAGGGGAGAGATCTGAAGCATTTACGAAAGAATCCATCAGGAGAACGATCGACGGGGGAAGAGAAGAAGGGTACGAGGCCCACCATCTGTCACTAGCGGAGTAGAAATCAGTGGGGAGTGACGACAACCGGTGACGATTGGCCGAACCAAAGTGGTTTCGGCACCGATAAAGACGCAGAAGAGTGCTTATCTGCTGCTCAAGGCTTGCCAAGAGAGCCAAGTTTTGTAGTTCATAAGCTAATGACGAAGTCTTTTTGCGGGGAGGTATTTTTGGATTTCTCGTATAGAGGCTTCTATGATCTTATCACTGTATGTTCATCGTATAAAAACAATAATGGGGTTTTAAGGTCATCTACACTATCACTTTTTAACGCCAACTAAACACTTAGATTTCCTTCAGCTTTTCTGCAATCGGGGGGGGTGGCTACCGTATGGTACGGGTAAGGTAAGGCCCCGCAGGCCACGTAGACCCCAGGGACAGAACCGGTTGTAACACAAGGTATACTAGTATAGATGTAACATGAGAACAAACGCCTTCAAACTACTACAAGCTTTCTAACTTGGGCGCTATGTAGTATTCTTTCAATTCAATCTCTAAAAACTTGGAGAAGCCAAAAAATCATCAAAATCAAAGCTTAATACCTCGAAACCGAATTCATACTGAAATATTGAAAATCCACGCCACAATTGAAGATTTATTTCCACGTGTGTGGCTTGATCTTTCCGGCATGACCCAGTTTTTTCTTCTTTTTTTTCAATTTTCCAGTTTTCTTAGGTGCTTTGGGAGTGTTTGGTCCTTTTTTTAGGGACGGTCCCCCTCCCGGCACGTAAGCCACAACGCCGAAGCTAGGGCATGCAAGTTCGTACGCGCGGTCTTTTCCAGATTGCATACGCAAGTGATGCACGCAGTCTAAGAAACATCTGATACAATTTCTTGTACTGCTCAAACATCGGACTTGATTGTATCTTGTATCACATCAAGTGGGAATTAACCGGACTTCCAGTTTAACCGGTCCTGATTTGTCGTACAAATCGGATCTCCAGATTCTAATGGAACAGGGTCCAACCCCCGTATTTCTCTACATACAACTCCGTAGTAACCGTGATATAGTATACTGACTAGTCACTGCGACCATGTTGTAACCCCGCCGGAGTTTAACAAGGACATATAATAGTATGTAGTACTACGTATACTACCGATCATAGAATAACCGTGCATATCAATAGTAATATACGAAAATTCATCAGTACACATGATCTCAATTGCTCATACACTTCGTACTCTAGAAAGATTAAAACCTACACGTATACACATGTATCAACCCAAAAATAAGACCCAGCGCCTCGCTCCTGAAACACAAACGAATGCGAAAAAAAATCGGAAAAAAAAAAAAAGAGAGATCAATTCCTCTACGCGCCATGTTTCAATTTTCCCACGCAAGTTGGATGACGTTGCCCCCGAAAGCCAGAAGCCCAAAGTAGGTAAGCGCGCGTAATTCGGAAAAGGCCGTTCAAGAAGAGTAATTAACCCCATCGGGACACGCCAAGCCGCTAGTAAGCCAAGCAATCTCCCTGGCATGCGGCGTCAGATGCTACGAATACGAACCTCCGTGGGTCCTGTTTCCCTTTGTATACGTGTCGCCCCTGATTTACCCAGCACAACTTGGACCCTGCGATCGCAAAGATTTCAGGGAAGGGGTTGTGGGTTGCGGTTAAGCTTTGGGTTTTTTCTTTTTTCTTTTTTGATTTTGGCGGGGTGTACACTGTAAGTTGTACATATTGAAGTCCATGATTCATGATTTATGCTTTATGCTTTCGATAGGTCAGATTTTATTGAAGTGTATACGTACGCGTGGCAAATAAAGATCTAGTATCCTGTTCACTACGCATTAGCTGTCGGTTTTTCTGTTTCTACGCGCGTTTACAAGAAATCCAAGGGAAAAGGGTCGCCCCTTGCGTGGAATGTGATGCACAATAACGTATGTAGATGTCATTTTTATAATCCGTTCCTCAGCCGAGGATTCTCCAATGTGGCTTAACCAATGCAAAATATCAAGCACCAAGGGTGCTAGGAATGATCAAAACAAAAGGTTTCAAAATATGAGTATGTACCAAAAAAGAAAATTGAACAATTACCGACTGCAACCAACTGCAATCAGGCCAGACACACAAAAAGGGGAATATTATAGCCAATAAACAAATGAAACCGTAGCCCAGAAACAGAAGTAAATAATAAGGGACCACGAAAATGCGTACCCTTCTCAGTAGAGCGCCTGCGCACACTGTTGAAGGAGTACTAGTAGTGAAAGAATGTTGCCCAGTCATAGAAAGTTATGCTGTTGTCCGATTTACCGGGCAAAGCGCTTCCAGGCCAAGGTAGCGGCCAAACCGGTGGCCAAAAGGGTACCACCAACAGTGACGGCCTGCAAAGCGGCGTTCATCATCTGGTGACGGTTGCGGGTGCTGCAGCGCTTGTAGAAGTCGGCCATGTCGTTTCCGCGGGGGAAGGGGGTATCGGGCACATCCTCCTCGAGGAACTCGGCGAGAGGACCCCAGCCGTCGTTGATGTTGTACTCCAGAAGACGCTCTGGGGGAACCATAGCACGGACCTCGGCGACGTGGTCGTTGTAAACCTGCTTGCCCTGACCGGGGAAATCACCACGGAAGAAAGTCTCGAAGAACTTGTTCAACATGGGGTAGTACATGCCGGCGGCCCAGCTGAAGTTCGAAACGAACTTGTGCTCGGGGTCGCTGACACGCCAGAAGACAGTCTTCATGACGGATCTGTTTCCAAGAAATCCTATTAGCTTTGAATTCGGATGTTACGGAATTGATGTATGGGAACGTACGCGTGCCATGGGTCAACATCGCGGGTGGTCAGGATGACCTTAGCATTGGGGTAAGCCTCAATGAGCTCCTTGGCGAAAGCACAGGCGGGCCAGTCACAGACGGCCTGGCAGTCACCCAAAAGCTGATCCCACTCCTTGCGGCCGAACTCGCCGATACCCTTGTACTTGGCGTTCAGGGCATCGTGCCACATGAGGCAGTCGGGCGGGTTCTCAACCGAGGCGCACATCATGTGGTAGCACTTTCCGTATCCCAGACGCTCCAGGGCCTTGCGCATAGCTAATAAAGGACACGCGAGTCAGTTTTGATATTCGGTGCGATTGACGAGAGAGAAGAGACAGGTTGGAATCCAAACTCACAGGCAGTACCAGTACGGCCGACACCCAGGGCCAGCACCTTCATGGGCACAGTGCGGTGGCACTTGCGACGGTCTATGTTGGTGTCATCGGTAAAGACATCAGTCCAGGGCTGAGGAGCCAGGTTGTCTGAAAGTTGCAAAGACATAATGATATAGTATAGAGTTGAAGAAACAACAACTGGAAGCTCTGGAAAGAATGGAAAGTTTGTGAAAGGGAAAGGGGAGATCCAAGTGGATAAATATAAGAAGAAAAAAAAAGTAAATAATAAAATAAAATAAAATATGTAAAATAATAAAAGAGGGGACCGACAATTCGAAAAAGTCTAGAATGGGTGGTTTGGAGTAAGGTTGATATGGTGATAAGGGGGGGGGGAGGGGAGGAGAGAAAGAAAGAAACCCAGAAGGGAAATAAAATAAAATACAGTTGATCTCTCGACAAGATCGATTAGAACAGATAAGTTAGGAAAGTGGATATCTGTCAAGCAATGCGAAGCCAATCAGCTTGAAGAAGCTCACCCACTTCTTTCACAAGTTCCAAGGGCCATCGACCCCCGCGAGTGGCGACGTTTCCACTCTCCGTTCCTCTCCCTGTCAATCCCTTCCTTAATTCTTGGCCGAAAAGAGCATTTTGTGACCCTTGGCAATTCATGCAGTTTATTTTGGGGTTTCCATGCGAGTTCTGAGTCAAGTCCACGTATACCGACGTCTGTGGCCATGTAACTTTTGGCGCTTTTCGCAAGTGAAAAGGGTATAGTTGAGGCGCAGAGCGAACAAGACGTCACAGGCTGACGCAGGGATGTCAGGGATTGTCAGGGGGTGGAGACATTGTAATGGTTTTGTTACACGAAATCTCCGTTACATGACTGCCAAGCCCGCCATCCACGTACAACTCGGCAATAGACAGGTGAATGCGTGTTGATCAACAGGAAATCTTTTAAAAACTTTTTCCCGGTGTTGGGGACGATCCGTGCGGGTTGACAGCGTTGATTGGTCGTCAAGCGGGGAAAGGCAACGCGTCCCTGGAAAGTGGAGAATGCGCCTGAGAGAAACGGAAAATCTGCGGGAATTAGAGTATTCTCTCGTTCAAAATACGAAAATCCACTTCCTTCTGGAAAAAAAAAAAAAAAAAGGATAGCGAGTCTTTCGGTGTCGCAAGTATATAGGTTGTATAGTCGGTAAAATGTTGGATAGGTAGAAAAAAAGTGATCCAAGGTTCCAATCAACCCAACTTCCAACTTCTCGTTTCAAAGTTTCCCTGTGAGAAAGCTGAACTCTCTGAGCCGATCCCTCATCCGTCTGGGTCCAGGGGCACGAGACAATTGGATCCAAACCTCGGGTTCCGTCCTCCGTTCTCCGTATAATCAAATCAGTGGCGCACCACTAGCTCCGCGGATTGATTGTATTGGAAGGTACTCGTGGTCGAGACCAACGGGTCACTTGTTTCCACTTTCGCCAAGGAACAAGGAAGAAAATCACATTCCTTCTTCGGGATCGACATTGGTCTGAACAGGGTTTCCAACTTTGTGAGCTTGTGATTGAGAGCGGGGCCTCCTCTTTTCTTCTTTTGTAACAAGTCGGGGCGGTGCAAGAGAATAATTAAAGCGAGAAAAAAAAGGGGGATAGACCCATCTCCCGTGCGATACCAAGAAATCAAGTCCGTTTGAAATGAACTGATCGGGTATGATCCGCCCGAGGGCTGGAGAGTTGAAGTGATCGTCCCGTTTGTGAAGCGGCCGGTGATTGAAGATCAAGAGATATTGAATGCTTCGGTGTTGTTTCATAGGTTGCTCTATACAACCTAAGAACTTGTCGGTATGGAGGAGAGTTTGGCATCTGTCGAGTAAATTTGGGGTACGGGGAGGTATCTGGAGTAAGTGACTGTATTGGGTGAGTGTAGTTATATGGGTTCGTCAGTCATAGACTCTCATGCGACCATCGTGTGTGCGACACTCTCTGGTCCCAACATATTAGGACCAGAGATGAAAGTAGCAAATTCACATAGAAAATATGAAGAAATAAAAAAATAAAAACCAGAAAGAAAAAAGAAAAAAGAAAAAAGGTCAGGGTCTCACTCAGGGTCATTCAGGGTCCTGCAGGGGAAGGGAGGCGATTATATGGGGGATGCCAAGACCTCACCATCGCGTTCGCCATCGATGAGCACGATCACCTCACGCAGTGCCAAGTCCGCTAGGGAGGTCGACGAGGTTGATTTTAGCATTTCCAATCTAATCAAAGCTTAGTTGCGTGCTTGACTCACTGGGAACTCTCATCCCCCGCCTCATATGCATCGGCAGTGAATAACGGCAGTTGGGTTGATGCAGGCGGCAACGTTTTGGTGAGGCTGTCAGAGGTTCCCGATTCAGGGTCCAAAGTCCAAGGGTCCAAGAGAATACGACCACGTCTTGGCATTGACTTTCACATTGGCTGCTGATTTCGACATCCGCCCTAAAGTGTTGGCATTTGGTGGAAATTGGCCCAGCAATCCTTACCAATTGACCAGAGAAATTAGCATCCACATCTAAAGCGGCTTGCTGCGATGTATGTACTCCTGGTAAATGTCCACAAAATTCAGACATGACACCAAAGTCTAGTGACAGACTTCTTTTGGGCATTGGTAGTTGGCTTTTGGTTTAGTCTAATCAATATTGCACTGCGCTATGGTCAGTATGTCTCAATCTTATTCTTAATCTGAGACATCATACCCACATCATAGATCATATAACCTATAGATCTACAACGTCAATCATATTGTGGATCTTGTGGATATTTTGGTCTCGCAACTCATTGACATGATAGATATTAACTATGGTTCTCACGCTGGGGGGTTTGAACGAGGTCTGACTGATCATCTAGCACCAATATCAAACCAAGTTGTTAGTACTCACTCCGCACACACTACTGGTATAAATGGAAGCAGATCTGAGGCTCAAAATAGGGGTTTCACTCTTCAATGTTGAGGCTTGCCTCCAGACCAAGGCTCAATTATCCCCGGTGACAAGCCAGACTCGGCATGTATCAGAATTACAATTGGCAATTCTTCTCCCTGTGCCGAGTCAATTGTGATATTACCACACAACTCTATACTCATTTCGGCAAGTTTTAGCCCGCAGAAGCTTTGAGTGAGCTCCATATTCAGACATCAGATATACTACAGTACTCCAGGGCTTTCTTAGAGTGTTCAAACATTCAAATGTTGGGCCCTGCTAACGATTACTAGAGATCAATATCCAAGGGGAAAGACTGCTAGCACAGAGAGGCTTTTCAACCGTCACGTTGCACCGTCTGTTGAAGTCCATCGCCTCGTTCGGCTCTACTTTACTGGGGACCTGTCCCTATTGCCCAGGTGGACATCCCGTCGCCAAGAACCACATGCTGTCTTCTCCCTCCCGCGACGGCATCACTTTCGATGGATTCCCTGCCCTTCGAAACGGTGATGGGCGCCAATAGATGAGCTCTGGCGGTCTGAGTGGCAGTCTGGTCAGAGCCTCATTCACTGTAAAGGCTGGATACACTGGCGGAATGGAGGGACAGCGGTCTGACGAAATGTCTGTCATTCAGAACATCAGACTGGCTCTCTCGGCGGCCAATCTCCATTGAGATTATTTGATGCGATTCATGCGAGTCTGGGTTATCCTGTCTGGCAGGATGTCTGCAGATACCGCTAAGCAGAACAGCCTTGCCCAAAAGAACCTCTGCATTCCTTCATCCTCATTCATATTCATCGGTCAAACACATTTGCATGCCCACAAGAACTCCCTGTCAGCGCCCAGCACGTCGAGGACCAAAGCAGTCAACTGTCTACCATCAACCAAGCCAGAATTACTTTCTCAAAAGAGCGCACAAGCCTTGAAACATGTACACAACTGCTTAGCTTAGCACGTCCTCGTACCCCTGGGAGGTCTTGGGAGGGCAGGCTTTGCCTATACTCCCATGGACGTTAGTTAATAACACGTACTACACAAACACTCATTTATTTCCATACCCTGTTGTACATCCTAGTACTGGAAATTTGGAGAATGTACATATAGCTAGTATATACTCCATGTGTGCATACTGCATCCAACCTTCAAATAGATAGTTTAGTATTTGAGAGGCCACATTCAAATGTTTGTTAATTTAAAGCGAAGAGCAAAATATGTCCACAACATAGTATTAATTTGTACACTATGAAATTTGAATACCCTTGAGCCTTAAGTACCTTGGGTACCTGAATACTTACTAGTGACAGGTCACTACTGTGGCCTATGTAATGTTATGTTTGGTCTTGTGAGTATCCCCCTCGTATTTCCTGCCAGGGACGTATTTTCAGTTTTTATCGACATAATTTATGACAGTTTAAATGGGGGTTTTTCTTGGAGAAATTCAGTAACTGAAGTCGGAGTAGATGCGGAAGTGGAGCAGCTCCATCGCCCCCTCAATCCACCGGAGCACCTAATCTTGACATTCCCCTATATTCACCCCCCAGTATTTCCAAAATGCCTCCTTCGGCACAAACTGTGAGTTTGCTGATAGTCTGACTCTTTGAATCTCTGTCGATACTACGTCCTCAATGATACTGTACACTCTTCCGGTCCAGGCTGGCTGCCTAGAGCTACCCCGCACTGCTATCATCACTCACCTGCAGCCTGCGATTTTCTGCGAGCGGACACAAACAAGATGGACACGAATCAAGCTAATAACGCGGTCTCAAAGACTAGATTGATATCTACGCTGCGCCTCCTTATCCCGCGTCTCCGCCTCGTTCAGAAGAAAGACACGGCCTCTTCCGTTGTCCAGCGTCGCGAATTATCTCAACTTCTTAGTGAAGGACGCGAAGCATCAGCGCGCATCCGAGTCGAGAATGTAATCTCAACCGACATTGCCGTGGAAGTGATGGAGATGGTGGAGCTCTACTGCGAGTTGCTTCTGGCGCGTGCCAATGTGCTGGACCAGCTCGCATTCGGAGAGAAGGGCACCCGTGCTAGATTGCGCGCCAAGGAACTTTGGAAGCGAAATAATCAAGCGCAAACCGGAGGATCATCGAGCACAGCAACAGCTGCGGAGAGCTCTGGGTCTCTGTTTGGATTTGGCTGGTTTTCGGGTTCGCAAAAGAAAGAGGCTAGCCCATCTGCGACCGGCGCAAATCACACCGATGATGCCTTGACCGACGAGGAGAATGCTTATATGGATACTGCATTGGATGAAGCGGCTGTGGCTATTTTCTACGCGTGGCATCGCTTCCCACATGAACTGCGCGAGTTAACTATGCTTCGGACCATGCTTGGAGAACGATATGGCAAAGAATTCATGGCGCTGGCACAGGACAACAAAATCGACTCGGCAAAGGTGCCTGAGCGACTTTTGAAGGGGTTGCGATTGCGACCTCCTGGGCCGGAGCTGGTGGAGAGTTATCTGCGAGAGATTGCGAAAGCATATGGAATCCCATGGCCCGCAGAAGAGGATTTGGAACTCCAGGAAGAGCTTGGCGATGCCCCGCCGGAATATGTGGACGATCAAGGTGACGATGATAATGGGGATCTACCGCAGACCCCAAGTAAACAACAGGGAGATCGACCTAATTTCTCCGAGGCTAGACGAGCCTCTGAGACCAGTGAATTGAACAAAGCCACTCCTCCACGGGGTCAAGCTACGGGACGCAGCCCCGTCATTGTGGCACCCCCTGCTCCTAGGACAGACAATCCAAACCCACGAGTCAAAGTCCCTGGGGCAGATCAAGAGGGTGGGAAACCCACCAAGCAAGAATCTACAGCACAGAGCAAAAGCAATAGTAGTGGGATTCCCGAGCTGGATGAGCTTACACGGCGGTTTGCAGACCTCAAGAGAAAACCTTAGGTATTTCGACAATTGAATTAGTTCAAGTTTGATTTGAATTTTCCAACAATGCATACTTGCGATCACCCAGGATCTCCCAAGATTCTTTTCTTTTTTTTCTTGTATAATCTCAGGTGCGAGTGCCTTGAACTGGGCCAATTTCCAACAGAACCGACTCTGTTTGTTTGGACATCAAGCCACTTCATTTCGGCAGAGTAAAGATACATTGTGATGAAGGACTCGGAGTGTATAAGAAATGGACTTCTTGCCGTATTCAAATCGGGGCTATCAACAAATCCTTCGACTTTGAACTTGGACCCACCGAACTAGCAGCAACCCTGCATTATTTCCCCCCTCAATGTGATTTCTGATTTCCCCATGAAAATTAGACTATAATCAATGGCAGGATTTAAAGCCAATGCAAGACAAGACGAGATGTCACTCGGGCCGTTGAAACTAAAAAAAAAAGGCGGGACCATTCCCGCTTGGGTAAAGGTCCACATTTGAATCTCGATTCGATGCATCACAGGACGATAACACGAGCTTTCACCCAACCATGTCGCACATTTATATGAAATAAACGCCAACCCCTCAAATCGGTACTTGATCTTGCCTTAACGAAATCCAGGTCCCTCTCGTAGGGTTCCCCTATTTATCCCCATACCCCAAAAAAACCACGGCCAACTCAATCTGCCTGTTCCCCCGATTATCCCTCCGATCCGATCCTTACCCGTCAGCCCCAGCCATGCCCGTCTACATGATCCACGGATTCCGCTGGCCCCGCGCTGGTTTCACCGGAATCCGTGTCTACGTCGTACTTCACAACCTTGAAGAAGCTGCCGCCGAGTACATCCAGCAACCACTCACGTCAGAGCTATTGACCGAGTCCTTCCAAAAGACACAACCCGATCTGATCGCCCGTCTACCCGAACTGCGCTTTATCGAGCAATACGATCCGTACGACGAAACAAGTAACACCGTGAGCCAGGACTATGCCTATGTGGCATCCAAGGTCTTGACCATTCCTGATGGCGGTGCTTCGGTGCCGGATAGCGCGGGCCCCGGGTTGAATATTGCGGATTGTGTCGAGCAGGGATCGGGCTTGTCGCAGGATGAGTCGGAGGCGCTGGAAGAATTGCGCAATCGTTTAGCGCCGGAGGAGAAGATCGGGTGGTTTATGGTGTACAATGGTGATCCGGATCGATATTATCCGCCATCAGAAGAGGAGGAGGATAGTGAGGAAGAGTATTATGATGATGAGGATAGCTATGTCGATGAGAAATCGACGGCGCCGTCGGAAGCTGCGACTGAACCAAGTACCCCAGTCAGTTATACGGTATGTGGCGCCTAGAGTTTATCCCGCCTTTTCCTTTCTGGTTCAATCTTCTCTTGGAATGTCCAGTTTGCTAACGATCGGATTTTCACAGTCTCGATTGACAAGACTTTGGAATCGGATGAGCTCATCATAGGAATCATCATTGAATTCCTTGCTTATAGCAAACCCAACCCCCCCGGATATAATGCCTACGAATAATGATCTTTTGAATAGTATATTGTTTCTGTTTTCGTTCATGCGGTACATTGTTATGCACTTGTTCAAAGTTTGACGGGTTTTACGCCTTATGCTTGTTGATAGCCCCAGATCCTTGCTAATATCTCCATCCCTCGCCTCATCTGCCCTTTTTTATTTGCTTGCGACCGATCAGATACTTGCTGAGTATATTAATAAGCTATTTGGCCCAGTATATTCAAATTTTTGGTATACATTTTTTTCATCAATTTGTTCTACTCTGATAACATCGGAGGCGGTGTAGAAAGGCAGTATGTCGGAGGGGAGCTTCACGATAACGGAAATCGCGGAGAACATCTTCAAGCCGTGCACTCTCCAAGCCACCAAGACTCGATGCTTACCAGGTGATCGGGTATTTACAATGGTGCTTTCATTTATCCTCGTTCAGAACCGCCAGTCAGTATGCCCCTATCTAAGGAGAAATATACCATCTATGGTCTAAGCTGACAGCCGATATAGGGGCAAAACGCGCCTGGCGAAATGGTACGCCCCATACAGTGTGAGTGCTAGCATCGTGGTTCTTTCATCTTATTCCCACATGAGCTAACCAATGGATTCTAGGACGAAGAAAAAGTGAAGCTTAAGGGCGAGGTCCGTCGCAACCATACCACCACTTCCGCTCTGGATCGGTAATCAACTAACGCCCCTCCAGGTCCACCGTCTTGTCGCTCCCCGAGATCAGAAATACCAGTCAAACTTTGTGGAATTCCGTCGAAGTACCAAAGTGGTTTACCGACGATACGCGGGACTCTTCTTCTGCGTCTGTGTGGACGCCAATGATAACGAGCTAGCGTACCTGGAAGCTATCCACTTCTTCGTCGAGGTGCTGGATCAATTCTTCGGCAATGTGTGTGAATTGGATTTGGTGTTCAATTTCTACAAGGTGCGTTGGAACGGGAAGGGTATATTGACTGGAGATTAGTATGCTGATTGTTGGCATGGGTTAATAGGTCTACGCTATCCTTGACGAAGTCTTTCTCGCCGGCGAGATCGAAGAAACGAGCAAGCAGGTTGTGCTCACGCGACTCGAGCACTTGGACAAATTGGAATAAGGCCAGGGCTGAAGTGGATGGTGGTTGATTCTGTGGGATAGGGATGCATCAGCGCATACATATGGGACGCGGAGTTTTGGAGTTTCAATTTCCATGGTGGAGTTATGTCAATATTAATGTTATCTGTAAAATGCACAGGATTTATGGATCTCCAGTTACGATTCATCTTGTATCAACTTGAAGGGTGATGGTTGGCCACCAAAGGTCGTTTAGTTCACATGTGCCATCGAGGCTTATGTCTTTACTACTACCAGTACTTGTTTGAAAGAGCCAATTATCTACCAGTAACACTCCTAATACCCACAGGTAAAGAGCAGCTCGCATTTCTCTAGGTAAGTACGTTTCTAGTAGCCCTGGGGGTATACTTTGAAATGTACATACTAAGCACTTTAAACTTGGGGTGGGTATACGTACACTCAGTACTCAAGATGCGTACCTACTAGGTCCTTGGAGAAGAGTACAAATCTAGTACTTATCAGACAACAAGTTTGACCATTGATCAAGTGGGGTCTAGTGACACGCAAAATTTTTGGCTTAAGAGTACAAAAACGATCTCGCGTGCGGACCTCGTGACGAAAACCCCCTCCTTAACTCGCGCGTAGCCTTACAAGGTTTTCGACCACTTTCTACCGCCGCTGTGGTATTATCGGAGCGCGGTGTGGCAGGAAGTAGCACTTAATTTCATTACTTTCCAACTCCCGAGCCGCAAAGGAGGAGATAGGCTCATGTCCTGTTAATCGCCATTCCTTGAGTCTTGCAAATTCCGTTTCTCAATGACTAGTTAGTGGACCTCTTGGATTGATTGCTTGTTTGTATTTAGGTAAGATACTTGTTTTGGAAATTTCAAGGTTGTTACCTACTAGATACTATGGGATCATTTATCTAAAATCAATCAGGGAGCCTTATCCTGCTCTGTTTTCCACTCGGTCTCTACTACTAGTAGTAGTGAAGCACTTTGTGCATACGGTATACCAATGCATCATGGTCATGATTGGTTCAAAGTCCAAGTGGATCTTGTCCGTTTTAGGAACTTGACGGGAGTGGGTCCAAGATGGTCAACGCTGATTCACTGAACAGGTCAACGAGTATAAATCAAGGGCAAGGCCTTCATTTGACAGAAATTTGCTCTCTACACAATCGAAAGCAAGAGAATATGTCACCAGAGAACGTTCACCCTGCGACTCAGGCGCTCCACGCCGATGATCGTTTGAACTTGGTGACCGACGTTGCACCGCCGATACATCTATCCACGATCTTCAGATACCCAGATGATCCCAACGAGCTAATCGTCTCCGAAGATCCGGTGGTATGTGATTGATTATTTCCTTCAATAATTTTGCACAAGACAACAAAGTATACTGATACTGTGATTAGGCAGAGTTCAACGGGAAAAATTTCGTTTATGCACGTGAATTCGCACCAAACCAGACTCGCTTCGAGGCTGTCATCTCGTCGCTGACCAAGGGCAATGCAGTCAGCTATGCCACCGGACTGGCAGCACTTCACGCTGCATTAACACTGCTAAACCCACGTCGCATCGCAGTCGGCGAGGGTTACCACGGTAGTCATGAGGTGATTTCAGTGGTTTCCCGTCTATCCGGGCTTCAAAAGCTCAGCCTTGATTGCCCAGCCGAGGATCTAAATGAAGGAGATGTCATTCTTCTTGAGACGCCCATCAACCCATTAGGAACGGCATTCAGCATCGAGGAGTACGCCAAGAAGGCGCACTCGCGAGGCGCATACTTGATTGTTGACAGTACATTCGCACCGCCAGGTCTACAAGACCCATTCCTGTGGGGAGCGGATATTATTCAACATTCCGGGTCCAAATATTTCGGTGGACATAGCGATCTTCTATGTGGTGTCCTTGTCACCAAGCGAGCGGACTGGACAAAGCAACTTTTCGAGGACCGACTTGCTCTGGGCAATGTTCTCGGGAACATGGAGAGTTGGCTTGGAGTTCGGAGTTTGCGGACCTTGGAGGTTCGTGTTCAGCGTGCGAGCCAGAATTCTGCGAAGTTGATTTCGTGGCTTGATGCTGCGCTGAATGCTCCATCGCCTGCACCTGGCTCGGAGGAGGCGATCGTGCAGACGGTGCTGCAAAAGATATATCACGCCAGTCTTCAGAAGGAGCCTTGGTTGAAGAAGCAGATGCCCAATGGATTTGGGCCTGTTTTCTCGATTGTTATGCACCGGGAGGAATATGCTAAGCATTTTCCGAGTAAGCTGCACTACTTCCAGCATGCAACAAGTCTCGGCGGAGTGGAATCTTTGATCGAGTGGCGGGCGTTGTCTGATCCCAAAGTGGATCGGAAATTGCTGAGGATCAGTATAGGTCTGGAAAGCTGGGAGGACTTAAAGAATGATCTGTTCCAAGCATTTCAAGCCCTATGTGAATGATTTCTCTGTAATTACTTGAAAAAGGTTGCTGGGTTATCAAATATGAAGATCAAATCCAAAGCCAGTCTCGACCTAAATGACCAATGTCGAAGATCCATCGCGATCGAGCTGCTGGCGAATCTTGTAGCCAATATTCTTGTAGAATCTTGGCTGCGTTGACAGCATTTAGACAATTGGTGAGAGTCCAGAATTTCTCTAGACAGCTCACCAGAAAAGTCCTCTGAGCTTCCCACTGGCATTCCATCCCAGCCACGAAGATTGGCCAGAGAATGCACTTGAATAAAGCCGGATCATCCTTCAAAGAGTCAATCAAGCCCAATAACTCCGAGACAAGATCATCCTGTGCGGTGTTCTCCTCCGCTATGGCATTAAGAACCCTTCCGCCATATAGAAGAGACCCCAATTTGTATGCTTGTGATAACAGGTAGAGGTTTGTAGTATCTTGGGGTGATGAGTCTCGAGACTGCTGTAGACCCGAAGCCCAGGCATAACAATCAAATTCCTGAATGAGCTTCAGCAATGATGCTGTATCCTCCTTGCTAGAGATGGCCGTGACAGAATCGAGCATCGTAGATGCTGTGATACTATCTCGTTGCGCAGAAAGGCATTGGATAGCTGTTAGTAGATATTCCGGACACCCGAGAAAAGACTTTTCAATTGTTTCTTGGGGTTCAATTCCCTGTAAGTTGAAAGAGCTGGACTTTGAAAGTAACTTGGGCCGTGAAAAGGTAGCCCCGAGAGTTTCAATTCTGTTTCTGGTGATTAGCTTATTAAATGGCAACATGTTAACCAATAATGACTCACAGATGAATTTGTTTAGTGATAAACCCCCTTATCTCTTGCAAAGTCTCGCCTGGTCCTTGATTGACCCCGGCAGGGCTTCCAGACGGCAGATAAGTAGAAGCAATCAACTTTTTTGCACCCTCGAGATGAAAATTCCAGCCATCGCTGCCGGACTCGATCAAATCCAAGAATACCAACAGAAATATGCTGGCGACTATCGTGTCTTGCTTGTAATTTCGGTTATCGCGCAAATAGTGGGATAATGATTCTATAGCCTGCTGCTTGAAGGAAAGTGCATCCCTATTGGCGTTGACGAGCCTCAGCTCTGTTGGAAGTTCAGCCTGGTCGAAAGACTGGCCTGAGTTAACATGGTGTCGAGCCGCAAGTGCCAAAAGAGCCTTTAGAAGAACCGGGTCCTTCAGACCAAGAGAAATGAGACTCCTGAATGGATTCTTATTGCTGTCATATACTATGAACAGTTTGCAAATGCGCTCATTATCTGTGATACGGGTTAATGTATGCAGTGTGGATCTGATTGAGAAGCAAGTAATCATACAATAATCAATATAATATCGTGATGTTCGGTCCAGATGTAGAAATGATGGATTCTGGAGAACAAACGATGGGTCTGGTATGGTGTTTAATGAGAAATCTGTATCAAGATCAGCATCTCTCAAACAAAGACATTCGCTTGCCATCAGAATTGCATGAAGACTTTCATACAGATGATACTACTTACTATTGAAATTCAAGCTTCCAGATTGTCCATGGGCACATTGAATCATTGACTGCCTTGAACTTATCAAAGCAGACTTCTTATCATCATGATCGGGTACACCACTGTTCGGAAATGACCGACCCTGCATCTTCCCGCGAATCGCAACGCCCTTAACCCACCGAAAGGGTCTTTTGTCGAAACACTCCAAGCCAGCCTTTTGGCATTTCGCACAAGGCACACCGGACTGGTCACATTGAATGCGCCGATTGCGGCAAGTGTAGCATGGCTCAATTTTCTGATCCATTGGATGTGAGTTGAAAGTGGCAAGTATCTTTCCTCTCGAGGCTCTGCAGTGATAGCAATCCGCTTACTAATACACTCAATATTGTAGATTGAGACTCGAGAGTCGAGACTCAAGAGCTCAGGGAGTTATTTACTACCCCTCAACATCTTCAGGTTTATCACCGTGGTCATGAATCCCACTCCAAAGCAGATCCTCGATATTGAGGATGCTCTAGTCACTGATGATAACCCACCGCGTTATATCAACGACGGTACTCTCGACTATGAGCGATGCGCTAGACTACACAATTACCTGGTCGCGTACGACTGGATGGCTCGCCACAGAACAGATACGCCTAAACTAGATGCGCTAGCTCGCGAAAAGTGGTTTTGGGCTGAATCAAATGAAGGTATACAAGCCACTCGTGAGCGTCTTATTCCGTCACTCAATTCGTTCCTAGATTTGATATACGACCCTGAGCCTGAATTCTTCTACTGGGTCGGGGGTCTTATAATGAGTTTTGAAGACGGAATTCTACCCTATGAATAGAACGAGCCCGAAGACCGGTTTGTTGTGATCTATGATACCCATATAGATCTATTGGATCGCACCATCTTGGTGAGACAAAAGGAAGCAGTGTTGTGGATTTTGTTTCTAAGAGACGTGGACAAACACCAAAGACACCAAGTCCAAAGCATATTTAAATAGTCGAGTAGTGCTATTTTATGTTGGAGGGCCATTCTGAGCACATTCATCTATCGTGAATCCACTCTCGGTTGTCGCATCACCTTCCTCGACAATGAATGTCGCTGCTCCAGTATAAAAGGCCTTACCCTCGACTTGAACCACAACAGACTGCCTTGCTACTCCGTGATCACCCTTCAGCAAGATGTCATCATTCACGATCGAAGCAATGAAAGCCCCAGTATCAAATCGGTTTGACACTAAAGAGTTGTAAGCCCACCTCTGTCCTCGCGGTCTCACATTCTTCGCATTTGCCAATGCCATGCGAGCCGTGACACATGAGCCAGTCGGCGATCGGTCAATCTGGTTCTCAGCGAAGAAACAGAGACCAGTTTCCTTACCATCAACGCCATCAGGCCGTGACCCAATATCACGATCCACAAGCATGACAGAGTACAGGAAAGAAAGTCTCTCGTCCTCAGGATGGCGCAGTGCAGTGATAACATCAGGATTAGTAACGAGGTGGGCCTTGAGTTTTTTCACGGCGCCCGCAACAGACGCAAGGTCAACCTTGCTTAGCCCATCTGCGAATCCTAAATCCCGAGCATCAGCGAGAGCATAAAAGGCTCCACCGTAGGCAATATCAAGCTTGATTGAATCTCGGCCATTCAGCTCCGGCCACGCGACATCCTTGGGAATAGGAATCACAAGATCAATCGCAGCAGCATACGCCGGCGTAGAAAGAAAAGTGACCGGGCGCGAGGGATCGGATTTTTCCCCATCAGGAGTAGTAGGTACACTAACACGGACCAAGCCGCATGGAGCATGGACGTTGACCACAACCTCATTGGTTGCGGGGATGACTTTTAATGTGTTCCGCTTAGGGAATACGGTCAAGTCATGAGTATCGACCAGGAAACGGCCTAGGGCTATCGTGGCATGTCCGCACATGGTGGAGAAGCCGCCATTGTGCGTGAACAGTGTTCCGATGTGTGCCTCCCCCGTTTGGACGAGTTCTGTATCTGGGATGATGATCGCGCCGTACATGTCGTAGTGGCCGCGAGGCTCGAGCATGATGCGCTTGCGAATATTGTCATATTGTAACTTGGCTTGATCGCGTTGTTCCAATAGTGTTCCTTGAAGATTGGGGAAGCCTGAATAGATGATTCGGGTTGCTTCGCCGGTGGTGTGCATGTCGATGCACTTGATCACCTCGCCCGAGGGGCTGTTGTTGAACATCTGAGCTAAATCCATGATGGGATTGATTGATTGATGCAGGAAGGCCTGGAAATCATCAACAAGGATTCAGAGATAACGTGGAGTAAAAATATAACTCCAAGTGAGTCAAGTCACTCAACGGGTGGGGAAAAGAAAGCCGAGATTGACATCGGTTGCCGCCTCCGAGTTGCCGATCTTTGAGTGGAAGATTGCTTGTTCGGGTGATCTCTCCGCGCTTGATATCGCTAATATCATACTTCAATATTGGGTAGTACAACATTTGGAGAATAGGATCTCTTGGGAATATTTGTCGTAATATATGGAACTTTCACTTAGGTACCTGCAGTTGCTGGTTTTGAAGTAACATTCGTTTAGTAGCTACTGGGTTACAAATTGGGCTTCTACGACCTTAAGCAGGAACATTTCATGGAACATTCAACATTGAACCAAACAAATATCAAAATTGTCTCTTCCATATCCGGTCATCCTGCCCTATTATCGAAAAATATAGCCGAAATTAGATCTATGGCCCAAAAGAGTAAATAGTTAACGAGGCCACGAACTCGGTCGCACTGTTTACATGGCGACATCGGGGATCCACATGAACCTTGGAGCCAATCAAAGGGTCTAAGAAACTCGCTACAGGAGAATAATTTAAGCGTGGCAGAAGTCACATCTGAAGAATAGTGTATATATAGAGCGTACAGGCCCCACAAGGTAAGATTAGGGTCGGAGTAGGCGACAGTCAGAATTTGTGACTCTTGAGACCAAGGACAGAGAGAAGGTGATTGGCGCTAAAATGGACTAAAATGGGGCTTCATTATACTCTGTCAGCGCTGATTGGTCCGCTCGGTTCATGACATCATAACCCGAGCTCTTCACCCGCGCCATACCCGATTGGGATGATTTAGGATGATTTGGATTGTTTGGTTCTGCTTAGTTCTGCTTAGTTTGTACTTTGGGATCAGGAATGAAAAATGTTTCAGCTGATGCTATCTTTGGATGGGAATGGTTCAATATGTAGAGAATTAGAAGGATGGAAATACTATATCTAGGGTCTTCGCGCACACTTCTCTTTTGAAAAGTACACACATTCATTACTCCCTCGTTTATATCGACACTCGACTCTCTAGTTCTTGCGAGCATCTATCACAGTATGTATACCACGTGGTTAATCTCCGACGCCAACTATGAATTTGGCTAATCTGATCTACCTTAGGTCTTTTCTACATCTTTCTCGCTTATCTCATCCTCCTACCAACCACATCATGCCTCCCGCCATGCACACCATCCACACTCTCTCAACCTTTGCCAAGCGAAGCGGCACCAACTACTCTCTCTATATCATTGCTATTATGGCTGGCTGCATTGTTACCTGTCTCATCGGCTTCTCTCTTTACAGCATGTACGCTGGCCTTGGTGAAAACAGCCAACAGGGACTTGAGCCTTCCAACGAGCAGAGGAGATATATGCGTGAGGTTCACCAGCGGAATCTCAATGAACTTGCTTTCATAGCACGACGACCGGATATGATTATTCCAGTTCATGAAAAGGACATGAACTATTGAACATTTCCAAGGTTGGATGCATAACCTTGGATAAGGCATAGGAGTATATGGGGCAATCAATTGGCGTTTCGGTCTGGGCTTTCAATGCACATGTGCATGTGGATGTACATCATGTTCTTATGTATATCATGTCGATCTAAAAAGCATATAACGTTCGACATCTATCTTCTAAGATGGAGATCAATTTTGAAGAAAATAATCTTTAAGAATTATCGAGCCTTATCTACGTCCTCATCCGGGATCGCAAACGAAAGTACAGTACATGTAGTAAATATGATGTAAATGTAAATTTGAAACCGTTTTTCCTATATCCAACCAAAAAAAGAACCATGCAAATCAAGAAGGGAAAGGATATTCAAGAAGCGTAAAAACAAATGCCGAGCCAAGGTATATAAATCGTAAAAGGCTGAAAAAAATGGCAACGTCGGAGGTCGTCATGAAAGCATCCAAGGATGGGAAGAAATTTAAAAAAGGGGTATGTAGAAAAAGAAGTAAGGTGACAATAGATGCAAAATGGATGCAGAGAATTGAAAAAGATGCATGTCTGACGTGGAAGATCCACGGATGAGGTGCACAGGACATTGCAAGATTGACTTGCAGTATTCGTAGAAAAAGGTCATCTGACTATTTCGAGACAGATTTAGAAGTTCATGGCCAGAGCAGCCACGGCACCGAAGACCAAGCTGATTATGGAGACGGCAGCGCTGGAGGCACCGTTGGCGCTGGCGGTGGTGGAGGAGGCGGCAGAAGTATCGCTGCTAGACCCAGTGGAGGAGATCTCCGCAGCACCGGTAGGGTTGAAGATTTGCGGGCGGTAGGTGTAGCTCATGCTGGGGGTGGGGCTAAACTTGGGCAGTCTAGTGCTAGAGCTGTACTGAGAGGTGGAGGTGAGTGTAGAAGTGGGGTGAGAAGTGTGAGTAGAAGTGGAGACTGAGGTCGAGGTGGTTGAGGGAGCAGAAGTCGAAGTGCTAGTTGAAGTGGGAGTCTCGGTAGTGCTGGTGGTAGTCGGGGTAGGGGTAGAAGTGGAGGTAGAGGTGCTGATGCTGGTGCTGGTGCTGGTGCTCGAGGGAGCAACTGTGCTAGTGGGGACCGACACAGTCTCGCTTGCACTGGAACCACTGCTCTCGATATCAAAGACAACAATCTTGGCCTTGGAGCCGTTGGAGGCAGTGACAACGCAGCCAGTGGCACCGCCGGCGCCAGTGAAGACATCGGGGGCACTCATCTCATTGACAGCCATGGTAGAAGGGTCAATACGGCAAGGCAAGCCGTTGCAGTCGTCACCATCACACTCGATCTCAATACCAAACTCAGGTCTGACATCACGGAAAGGAGTGGTGGGTTCAAGGTAGATGGGGTTCCAGCCAATCTTCACGTAGGTGTTGCCCTCACCATCGGTGTTAGCACCAGCGGTGTAAGGAGACCAGTTACCAACGGGGTTAGCATTGGTACCCCAGACGCAGCCCTCCTCAGCAGTGACACCGGGAGCATTGATGTAGTACTGGGCAGCAGTAGAGCACCAGTAAGACATGCCAGGCACAGCCAGGGTAGTCAACTCCTCCACCAGGGTCGGGATCAGCATGGCCTCGTTTCCAGGCAGCACAGTCTGACAGAAAGATACAGCCTGGCTGGCCTTGTTGTGCGCCGACACAACACCAGTTCCATCCTCACAGTAAGGATTGTTGGGGAATGGCTTCTGGATGTCACCATTCTCATCACAGTACAAGCCACCGTTCTATATATCAGCTGTCAGTGGCGATCCCCCTTGCATATGACAAATTTACTAGTGTAATTTAAACTCACCATAGACATGGGGTATGTGTAAGAGGTAGCCTCGGGGTCCCACTGCATGGACACTTGACCAGCAGGGCAAGCGTAGGGGCAGTAGTTGCCAGGCTTACAAGGCTGGTTGGGGCTCATAGCCCATCCAGCGTTCTCTTCATTGGGAGTGACGGCGACCAATCCAGCATCAGTAGGGAACTGGCATTGTCCACTCTTCTTCTGGAGAGTTGTAGTCTCGGGGACGGTACGAGCCTCATGGTGCTGGGCATGGTGGTGACCGTGATGAGCGGCTTCGACACTGGCAATGAGAGCGACAAGCGCGGCGGCTCGGGCGGGAGAAATATCGAACTTCATATCTGCTGAAAAAGAAGGGTAAAGAGCGAATGAATAAGAATGTAAAAATTCAGAAAAAAACGAGTGACTGGGCAACAAAGGCCGGAATTGGTGGGACACAGAGCTCACGGAGTAAAGGTCTACAAAACAGAGAAAAGAAGGAATGGGGGGAAAGCGAGACACAAAAGGGCCACAGAAGCCATCAGCCGGTTCAGAGCCAAATCAGGGTAAGAGCGGATTATCCACAGCAAGACGACCCTGAATGGCCCCTGAGCTAAACCTTGTTGACGATCCAACCCTAATCAGGGTACTTCAGCGACCGGTTTCTTGGGGTCTAATTACTTTGCATGCTGGCCATGACCCCTGATTCAAACCCCACTAGTCATTTTAGCGTGCTGTAGCGTCAGGGGTAGTTCATAATTGGACCAATGATGGTAACGTTTCCCCGATGGTTCATGCTTGGCAGGTGGAGAAAGACCAATAAGCCGCAATCAATGCGTTTAATTGTGGAGTAATGAACCCGTTCTTCCTCCGTGCAAAGAAAATCCTCGTGGGCTAGATATTTCGTGGAGAAAAAGAAAAGAGAGAAAAAAAAAGCAAGAGAAGAGAGACGGGAAAAGCAATGAATGGGAAAAAAGACTCGGATCAGTCAGCATGAACATTATATCAGCAGCAACATTTGAAAAGAATCAACAATGATAAAGTCACCACTGAGAGTATTTCACTTTGCCGACAACTCCGAGGTCCGCAATATTCGGCATTAGCACCGGTCATGGTCAATCCCAATAAAACCCCCAATCTCTTCCTCGGTTTGATATAATCTAGGCCCGCTGATCATGATAGATCGGTCTCTATGGGACCCAAACTTTGGAAAAAGCGGGTGATTCTCGTGGTCCCAAAGGCAATTGAAGGGGCTTACTATTGCCATACAACCACAGAGAGGGCATCCGGTTCAAATTTTATCCATACTCAAGTGTATAGTCTACTCAATGGTGCCAAGCTAAGACGTTTATCATGGGTCTTGTCCAAAGCTTGGTCTTGTACGGAGTACGGGGTAATTTCAATGTTTTTCTATGATATGAATCTACGCAGGTAAGATCTCTAATATTTCCCTTTTTAGACACGATGATCACCCTTCATGAATCGATGACCGGTTGCCCCTTTGTTTGGATACTCAATGCTTATGAAACCAAATCCTGTCGACCTAGAAGAGTAAGGGATCACCGTAAGAAATGACTTTCAGCCTTGCTCAGCACATGGTAACAGAATCATGGTGTATTATAACCTCGAAATTTGGGGCCAATTCGTTAGTGCCGATTCAGTAGCCCAACATTTGAATGTTTGGAAGCTATTCATCTACACTGCCTCCAGATGTCGGTCGACCCATGTGGGGTCCGTATTAACGCTTGAATATAATTTCCTCCAAGTCATATTGATCAGAGCTACGCACGCTCCCGAGTCCAATGCAGGCAACAGAATGTCTCGAATATAGAGTTATGAAGTCTATATGGAACCAAGATATCATTCAACTAGGACCGGTATAGGGAGTGGGTCATTAATTCAAATGTTGTCGACAGCGAAGTAAGGTTCGCAGACGACAATGTTATCAATCGATGGAAACGTTTAGTATGTATAGTGACTGGTTCTCCTATATATTCCCTCCGTGGGGATATTTAGTCTAAGAAGACGTGAGGTCTTGTTACAATCTACATATAAATCTGACGTTTACATTGTAAATATCATTGGAACGGCTCTTACGTAGATGCAGAAGTTAAAAAAGGCCGTTGTATCACGGTGATCATTAGTGGAGAGGTACCCTTTGACGTGCTGCAAGGATAATTCCAAGGTTATGACTTGTGGCGCGGTATATGCATCTTAACCCCACCATTGGCTTGCATGTGGGGTTCATGCATATAATGATAGTTGACAGGTCTTAACGTCACAAAAAAGTTTTTTTTTTTTTTTATGAATTGACGATTAGTCTCATAGTCAAGTTGCGGACGAAGAAGAGTAACGGAGAGGAAGGAGCTACTTGTTAGCACTGGAATACTACAACATAGATTAACATACCTGTCCATCGCTGAGTGTCTGAGAGCAGTGATGAGAAAATGGCTATTGCATGGATATTTTCTATCACTGTGAGTCTGCTCCGATTTATAGTTGACGTATAAAGTTATTGCTTACTAGTATAGATTGAAGTATTTTCCTTACATCCTATTAATCGATGAATGTTGTCAATCGCTTGAGAATTCAAATAGGTTTCCCTGGGAACAGTTCAGGAAGGGAAACAATAAGTGGCATCAGGAAGCAAGAGGAGAAACAGGGAGAGCAATGATCAAAAGTCACAGCGATACCAGTAAGTAAAGGGAAAATGCTAAGGGCTCCCTTATATTTAATAATTTGAGGATAAATTCCATCCTGGCACCCACGTAGTCCAACTGGTTCCACCCTTCGGGACCTCAGCCAGCTCTGGATTTGCGGCCCCCACTTCAGGTACACTGGGCCCATCCACGATGGGGATACTGAGTAGTACGGCGAGCCTAAGAGTCGAAGCCTAAGTTGAGTGACAGCGAGAAAGTGCGCCGCGGACCTACTACAAAGTATCTGCCCCCTTTTTTTCTTCTTTTTCTTAAATTATGAAGCTATTTTATTTTTATCTATTTGATTTTATTTGATTTTGATTTTTGAAATTCCGGGGGGAGTTCTTAGTATGAAGCCGTGATGCCATCATGCATCGATGGCGGGAGCGAGTGACTTGTTTCTTGGGAAATCTTTACGTATTTGTGCTTTTTACCTCCCTAGAAGCTCCTGGTTCGATTCCAGGATGGATCGTTTCTTTATTTTCTTTCTTCACCATATAATCCTGTTATGAATGGTAGTATATACAGTCTCATAACTTACAGGGGCAGTTTATAACTTATACCTACTAGTTAAGTACAGACTTCGAGTTCTGAATCATGTTTTCGTCTGCTGATTTCCAATTTAACCTTGGAAACACCTTTAAACATCATACATCACCAGGCTGAGCCTGCAGCGTGGTCCACCCGTTGAAAGCCGCATCAACTGCATCTCTCCACCCCCACGCAATACAATAATGTCTTGCCAGAAGCTGCCACTCTTCAACCTCATCTAACATCTCAAGACGAGAAACCCGGTTCTTCTCTCCCTCACTCACCCACCGCTCCCAAAGAAACTCTATATCAGCAACAGCCTGCCCGCTCCCGAATCCGTGCCCGTGCAACCGAGTCCGCTGCGCCTTCAACGTGGCATACTTACTCAATGTCTTGAGCTGAATACCCCGCGACGCAAGATTCCACACCATCGTCTGACCAAAAGCATCATCTGGGCGAATAGGTTCGTATAGAATCAACCCAAGGGAACTGGTCGGGCCAAAAAGTCGTTCCGTGAAGAACGAGACTACTGACTCCGCTTCCGTTGGTGAAAGGTATATCAGACAGCACTCCGAGATCAATAGTGTTGGAAGACTTGTGTCTACGCCCGGAATCATCTCTGTCGGAGAGCTGCTGGAGGATAGGGCGCGTAGGTCAAGAGGGTGGATATGATAGAATGGAGAATGGAGCGCATCACCAGCCTCTGATACAGTCACATCCTGACTGGACGAGTCAATCCCCAACGCTTTCTGTAATGATGGTGTAGATCGGATCGCATGAATTTTTGTAGTGGTGTTAACAGCGAAATCGAGTTCGTGATAGATGAGATCGGAGGGCTGTCGCGAGGCAAGGAGACGAAAGACTCGCGTATCCGACCCAGCACCAAGGGAGATTATCTGTTTCTTATTTTGTGGCGCATCGGGTGAATATGGGCCGAGGAATTGTGTGACGAGTTGATCGATGGCAGTGGTGCGAACGTAGGTTCCTATTGGGGAGCTCATGTTAGTCCCCGAGGGTGCTGGTTTTGTTTTAGGGGAAACCCGCCACTCACCTCGATTGATGATCGGAAACCTCCTCGTTGCATTTCCAGGGGCCGTCAAGGCTGTGACGTATGGGTCATTGAGATATCCCAGCTCAACGGCGCTGAGGCGGGAGACACTGGCGTCATTGTCGGTACCCTGCACGACGCGATCCTTGCCAGTTGGGCGCGTGTCGTTATCGCCGAGTCCACGAAGGCCTCCACGGCCTCTACCCTGGCCTCGTCGGAGAGAGTTTAGATTGGGGATTCGCGGTGCGGCCATGGAGGGCGTAACGAGGGGACGTGGAGGAAGCTCAGGAAGCTCGAGAAGCTTGGACGGTGGGGGTGCCCCACGCGAATAGCGTCACCCGAACTGGAGATAGGCCTTTTGATCTCCAAAAATCTACCACAAGGCCGAGTTTGTCAGCTCATTGGAAATAATGGGATTTTATTCTTAATCTCACGCATCCATGTATCATAGTGCTCACAATCTAAGTAACTTCTAAACAGCTGCATAGTAGTTAAATACTAATACAAGGCTGGTTAGTAAATCACACTTCTTTAGATTTAACACGCAGCTGTAGCTTGATAGCTCGAGTAACGATGCTTTATAATTTTTACGCCAACGTATTGTCATTGGTAGCATGTAATAAAGCTTTTCATCGAATGTCTATAGTCTATTTTCACGCGCTAAACATACACAAAGTTGTTGCGGCAAAGCGGGCAAGTGCTCTGGTTGCTGCTCTTGAACCATCGGAACAGACAGACAGAGTGGAAGGTATTTTTGCAAGTGGCGCATCGTTTGTTCGGCGTCTGCATGTCAGTAGAGATCACCGAGTAGCAGATAGCACACTCGCTCTGTCCCTTCAAAGCACCCTGGACGTTGCGTCGGAACGCCAACAATCCATCGACCAGGCTGCCATTTGCGAACATGATCACACCCTGGATCGTGAGCAGCCAGCTCTTCCATTTCTTTTCGTCCACTAGAACGCGACTGCGGCCAACCACGAGGGCTGGGTGGAGGGGATATGCAGGGGGAAGAGAGATGGAGATGGATACGGGAGGCGATTCCTCATCCACTGGAATGCTGGCGATAATCTCCGCTGTGCGTGGCGACATCTTGACAGCCAGAGCTCGCTCCTCATTTGGATCTTGAGTATCAACCCACTCCGTGACAGCTCGAAGTGCCTTATCAACCACCAATGGTGATATCTAGTTATCCATTAGCTTTATTTGTGTATTAGCATCGTGAACCCGGTGTCACTCACGTGTTTCTCCGTCCACGATTCCACAGGTCCTTTGATCCGCTTTTGGGTATCAATCCACCAATTCTTGGTCATGTTCGCCAAGTGCCTTAAGCAAAGATAGTACAGATGCACTAGGAGCCATTCTGTCTCTTTCTCGGCGTTTTCTGAGTTATCGGGCTCGAAAGTCTGGATCTCAATCTTGGATGCATCAGTGATTTTGTTCTGTGAATTTTGCAGGAATTTAAACATGAATTCTAGCAGAGGTATCAAGATATTGTTTTCCTTGATGCTAGCTGCGTAATATTCTTGGACCGGAAGTGACTGTTCTTAATGTTAGATCGGCGCTCCACAAAAATCTCGGATGGAGTACATACCGCATTGGTAAAGTGATCAAAGACCACCTTCCAGCTCAGAAGGTATGATCTTATGCTTGTCCACATCTTGTCATCACCGTATGACTTTGAGATCATATCCATGGTTGGCGTCTCAAGCAGAAGGGATATGAGCTCGTCGGGTAAACCGACTGCAGTCTTGGACAATGCCACATCAAATGAGATCTGTTCTTGGGCCTGAGGGATGTAACGGTGAAGAATGGTATACGCAGTTCGTTGGACAGCGCGGCTGTGAGCAGTCAAAAGATGGAAGGCTCCACTGACATCGTCGAGCTTATCAACTGGAACTCCGTTGATCAAGCGGCGTAGGAGCTCAACTGCGACATCTCGGGGTTGATGGAATGTTGTTGATGAGTCTACAATATGTAAGCGCACAGAATTACCAATATATGAACAAGATGCAACTTACCAAACTTTCCAATGGTTGAGACCAGCTCATTGGAGAGAGCAGTCTTACGCTCCAACCAGGAATCTTGGAGGTCATCATTGCTGTCGCCCTCGGCCATGGCCTTCAAACGTGCAAATAGCCTGAAAGAAGATACTAGCAAGGGTAGACCCTCTTCTCCTCCACTGGCTTCCTTGAAGATAAGGCTCAAGGCCTCCATAATGTCCTCCCAGTGTGAGCCGTAAATATCATTAAGACCAGGAAGAATGAACACCAGGGTCTGTAGAATCTCTGCTTTCAAACCAACCGAGGTAATTTCAGATTGGAGACATTCAATGAGGTTTTTGGTAAGGAAAACCAGTCTCTGGGTGGGAATGGTTGACACGACGTCTTCCTCTCCAGACAGCAAAATATTGAGAAATGCAAGCTTTCGCAACCCTGCATCAAATTAGATTTCAAGCACATTAAAATTCACACCAAGACACTTACCCTGCAAGGAGGAACCATCTGGTTTGAGACCAGTAGAATCAGCAACGAGTTCATTGCAAATTCGGTTTCCAATAGGATTGGATAAGATTGAGCTTCGCAAGGCAGCAAACCATGCCGCTGAGCGGATTGCATTAGCACTCCGTGCCTCTCTGCAAATCTTGGCAACCTCATCAGTAGACTTGTATGTTTCAAACCCATCCACCGAAGTCATCAATTTGACGAAAGCTTGGCCCGCACGATAGTCCATGGGAGACGTTCCATTGAGGCTCTCGAGCTTGTTCTCCCAGAAGGAGATCAAAAGTGAGGAAACAGAGGTCTCTGGTGAAGACTTTAGGGGTACCTTTGAGTGGGCCCAGTCACTGACCACTTTGCGTCCCTGGAATACGAGCTCCAAATATTCCTCACGCTGATCAGCTAGCTCAAGGCCCGAAATTCCATTGCAGTTTTCGATGCTCAGATCATCGTCAATTAGTTGAACTGCCAATGGGAGGAAGTAAAGGAGAGTTTCCAGATCTGTATTTTCCAGTTTTGAAGCAATATCAAAGGTCGACAATGCTTTGATAGAGAATACAGTCAAGCGGAATGCAGCAGTGCAACGATCTGAGTCTCTGGGAATTTCAAGGTGCAGTGTCTTTAAGGACTCCGAAATATCACGCTGGATTAAGTTGACAGTACCCAGTAGCGGACTGGTGATGGCCGTTGATGTTCGAGGTGGAAGTTGTAGGAAAGGCATCATCGCATCCTCCCAAGCACTACGAGAAGGCAAAATATCCTTGACGGTGTAATCCTTGTTTGTCTCAATTTCTTGCATCAGGTCTTCTGCGATAGCAAAAAGAGAATCGATACTATTTAGGTGTTAGCAAAGAATAGATTTTGGAGGAAAGGGTTAGGATCACTCACGACAAAGATTCCTCACTTGCATGGCCAAGCCCTTGACGCAGAATCTCGATTTTGGAAGTGGTGGTCAAATCGCCAACCACAGTTTCCTTGAAAGACTTTATCAAAGATTCGGTCAGAGTATGAATTTCTTCTGAAGGTGATTCTGTGAGATATAATAATTTTCCGTTTAGCTTCGAACCATTGGGCCCATTTTGAAAGTCTTTGACAGCAGTTGGTGCAGTCTTTCCGAGGTGAGAAAGGCCATACAACACGTCCAGAATTTTGTCTTCTTGAGACAGCGCATCGATGATAGACAAGAATATCTGATCCATTAGACCACTACGAGAGGTCTGGTTCTGAAGAACAGAAGTTATGATCGGCCAGTGAGAAGCGCTTCCTCTGCACGCCTTATCCAGAGCTCGCATGACAAGGGATGATAGCTTATTCTGATCACCGACCTCATTGAAATCAAGGCTGGCGAAGAGAGTCTGCAAGATGTGCGCGTTGGAATGTTCAGGATCAAGTTCCATAGTTCGTTCAACCACCTTTTCAAAGCTAGAGGAAAATCCATCCCACTCGCGGCATGCCAAGATGATTGCAATAAGCCTATCACCAGAAGGTGAGAACAAAAGATCAGGTGCATCTGTTTGGACAAAATTGATGAGATCCTGAGATCCCTTTGCGACACAGGGATTGTTCCGTACACATTCTTCTATGACTCCAGCCGCTCCATATGGTTTGCCGTTGCGAGAACGCAGGACTTCCAGGCAGCTTTCGAGAAGGAATAAATTCGATTTCTCGAGGATCCCTTGAGCGAGCTGTTCGCTTTCCAAGTCTGAGACTCTCGAAAGAAGTGCGGGCCCCAGCACAAAAAATCGACGTGCTTCAGCACACACCGCGTCTTGAGACGAGCGGAAGGTGTTCGATTGTTCGGGAGATGACAGCTTCACAGCTTCCAACAATTCATGAGATAACTTCGTCCACAGTGACTCGAATTGTTGGCTTTGGCCGTGGCAAATAAGCGTAAGAAGATAATCCGCACAAATATCCTGAGCAGTCGATGAAGGAAGTGACCACTGGCCCATTTCAGAGCTAGGACGCACATACTGTGCAACCAGAGGTGACAACCTTGTTTCAATAAACTCGGGTCTTTGATCCTGTGGCATGAGAAGACCAAGCCAAGCCCCAACACGGATATAAGATTTCCACCCGGTAGTGAGATTTTGCCGTGGTTCTTCTCTTGAAACCAAACCCTCTTGAAAAGCTTCCGTCAAAGCCGTCGCGCTGGAAATCTTGACTGTTTCGTCAGTGGACGTTTTGTCAGCTCCCGCGAGAACCACCTTTGGGATGATCCGAAGTAATTTATCCAAATTTGTCCAGAAATTTGCCAGGCCGCCCTGCGATCCTTTTTGGATGTATTGACGCAGCCTTTTTGAAGCCGAGGTTTTTCCAGTGTAGTCATCAGTCCATACTTGTGGTCGTGATGAGGTCAAGAGAAGAAGAGATTCTGACAGCTCGGAGCCAGAGCCGATTTGTGGGATCGACAGAGACTTGCCAATAATGGCTGCACTTAGGAGCTTCCAGTCAATCCAGCCAGGCTCTCGAGAGATGGCTGACCGTAGAACAATATAGATTGATCGGCGAACAAACGGGTCTTCGTGATTGCAAAATCCCCATAGGGACTTACTCCCAAGGAGGTCCTCAATCTCGGCCAGATTTCTTTGCAGGTCATCATCTGGCGAGTTTCCTGTTATTCGAGTTAGAATTGAGCTTCAACTGGCACTGATTTCGGATCCAAGTATACCTAAAATGCGATTGAAAAGCATCAACGCGGATCCCACAACGCGAGCATATTTTGCCTCGGCATCATCCCGTTTGACTGTTCGCTCATCACTCAAAGTCAAGGGTGACTGACGGAGGAGAACATCGTCGATAAACTCCAAAGTGGAACTTTGATAGATCTTCCATACATTGTTCCTCTTCTCTTCTGTGGAGAAGATGGCAGTGAAAGATTCCAATGCGGAGCGTTGAACTGGTCGGTCATTGTCATAGATTCCTGCGAGCCACACGCCTATAACTCTGGGCAGATGCGGGGCAATTCTTTTGCCAACCAGTGCAGAAATTGAGCCCTGCAAAGTATGAGCTAGTTGCCTGACTCGTCTTGAAATATCAATTGAGGCCCTGGGGTATATTTTGACCTAGAAGATGTGTCAGTCATATTTTGTATTTATGGTAAGGCCAGTTGTATAGTATACCCATGCTTCTAAAAATCCATCATCCAACGTTCCCTTCTTCTCTCGTATAGCTGAAACATGTTCCTTCAGTTCCTCCAGAGCTTTCGTTCGTGTGATATCGTCTTTCTTCTGTAAATTCTTGAATGCAATCACCAGTCGCTGCTCTGATATGCGAGAAAGATCCGGCGGTTCCGTAATGTAAGTAAGTGCAGACGGTTGCCGCCCATCATTGCCAGCTGTCCCAGAGAATCCTCCAAATGAGCCAAAGGCTCCAGCAGCCGCACGACTGCTGGAAGCCTGCGATTTGAACTTTTTGCTCATGTGGGGTATGAGGTCAGCGGGAATAGTGGGGGAGTTGATTCGGTGGTGGATGAAATTGGACCGGCACGTCTCCCGGGGAGAATGACTGGTGACCTGGCCCAAGTCTGACTACTTCAAATAGATCTCCTTCAGATACTGATCGTTCTTCAGTCACAATGAACGCTGGGGAGGAAAGATCCATTGAGATTTGATGATTTGATAATCAAACCCACCTCGGCCACCCGATAGGGAAGTCACGTGGGCTTGTGTCATTGCTATCCCAAAGAGGAAAAGATCCAGGCAGCGGAGTCCGGCCTGGAGCTTCAAGTTCCTTCCATCTCTTCCTTCTTGCACTGCTTCTGCGCGTCGGGAACATCAGCCACCATGAAGTTTTTCATTGAGTATGATGTCCCAGGATTTCTTTGCTGTTCTGTATATCCGTTCACTGACTTTTATTTCAAAATAGGGATCTTCCGGTGCTGTTCCCGTATCCGCGCATCTACCCCGAGCAATATGCATACATGTGTGATCTCAAAAAGACCCTCGATGCCGGGGGTCACTGTGTTCTGGAGATGCCCTCGGGAACGGGCAAAACAATCTCCCTGCTCTCGCTGATTGTCGCCTATCAACAACACTACCCAGAACACAGGAAGCTCATTTATTGTTCACGAACAATGTCCGAGATCGAGAAGGCACTGGCGGAGCTCAAGGCTTTAATGAAACATCGCACACAAGAGCTTGGATTTGAAGAGGAGTTTCGCGCCTTGGGACTCACCAGTCGGAAAAACCTCTGCCTTCATCCATCAGTAAAACGAGAGAAAAGTGGTACTGTGGTTGACGCGAGGTGTCGGAGCTTGACAGCAGGATTTGTCAAGGAAAAGAAAGAACGCGGTGAAGAAGTGGATCTCTGCGTATATCATGATGTTTGTTTTGCTGTCTTTGATCAGTCATTTGCCGTTGTCTGACTTGGTTTAGAATCTCGACCTTCTCGAACCACACAACCTTCTTCCCCCGGGTGTCTTCACTCTTGATGACCTTCTTCGATATGGAGAGGAGCACAAGCAGTGTCCATACTTTTCCGCTCGCCGAATGGTATGGTGTCTCAGGTTCTACGCAACAATGTGCTTCAATTCTAATTACGATGGCAGATGCCCTGGTGCAACGTGATCATCTACTCCTACCACTACCTCCTCGATCCCAAGATTGCCGAGCGGGTGTCCCGAGAGCTCTCAAAGGACTGCATCGTGGTTTTCGACGAAGCCCATAACATCGATAACGTCTGTATTGAGGCCCTGAGTATTGATATCAGCGAAGATTCTCTCCGCAAGGCCACAAGAGGCGCATCCAACCTGGAGCGCAAAATCGAGGAAATGAAGAGCACAGATGCCGAGAAGCTTCAAAATGAATACTCAAAACTAGTGGAGGGGTTACAACAAGCGGAACAGGCTCGAGAGGAGGATCAATTCATCTCAAATCCAGTTTTGCCGGACGATCTGCTGAAAGAAGCTGTACCCGGTAATATTCGCCGCGCTGAGCATTTCATCTCCTTCCTAAAGAGATTTATCGAATATCTCAAGACTCGGATGAAGGTCACACACACCATCTCAGAAACGCCACCTTCTTTTCTGACGCACTTGAAAGACCTCACATATATCGAGCGCAAGCCTTTAAGATTTTGCGCAGAGCGACTGACATCGCTTGTGCGAACACTGGAACTCATGAACATTGAAGATTACCAGCCACTTCAAGAAGTCGCAACTTTTGCGACTCTTGTTGCGACTTATGATAAAGGGTTTGTCCTTATCCTTGAGCCGTTCGAATCTGAAGCAGCTACGGTACCGAATCCCATTTTGCACTTTACTTGCTTGGATGCCGCAATTGCTATCAAGCCTGTTTTGGACCGTTTCAGCTCTGTGGTTATTACATCCGGAACTTTATCCCCTCTTGAAATGTACCCAAAGATGCTAGGATTTACTGCGGTCATGCAAGAATCATACAGTATGACCCTAGCACGGCGGTCTTTCTTACCTATGATTGTCACCCGAGGATCTGACCAGGCCCAAGTCTCTTCGTCCTTTGGCATTCGCAATGACCCCGGTGTAGTGCGAAACTACGGGACGCTTCTGACGGAGTTTTCACGGATCACGCCGGACGGCATTGTTGTTTTCTTCCCTTCTTATCTTTACATGGAGTCCATAATCAGTATGTGGCAAGGTATGGGTATCCTGGATCAAATCTGGAATTACAAATTGATTCTTGTCGAAACCCCCGACGCGCAAGAGTCCTCTCTCGCCCTTGAAACTTACCGCACGGCCTGTTGCAATGGACGTGGTGCCATCTTGCTCTGTGTCGCTCGAGGGAAAGTGTCGGAGGGTATCGATTTCGATCATCACTATGGCCGTGCTGTGCTATGCATCGGTGTACCCTTCCAGTATACGGAATCCCGCATTCTCAAGGCCCGACTGGAGTTCTTGCGCGAGAATTACCGTATTAGAGAGAATGACTTCTTGTCTTTCGACGCCATGCGACACGCCGCTCAGTGTCTTGGTCGCGTTCTCCGTGGTAAGGATGACTACGGTGTCATGGTGTTGGCAGATCGCCGTTTCGAACGTAAACGTCCCCAACTTCCAAAATGGATCAACCAAGCGATGCTGGATAGTGAGACAAATCTCAGCACGGATATGGCTGTTTCTATTGCGAAGAACTTCCTACGCACCATGGCACAGCCTTTCAAAGCTAAGGATCAAGAGGGTATTTCTACCTGGAGCTTGGCTGATATTGAACGCCATGAAGCCAAGCGCAAGTCTGAAGAAGAGCGTATCACGCAGCAGCAGTTTGCAAACGGCCACAAAATGGACGGCATTGTTAAATCTACCGCGCTTGAAGTAGTTGAGGATGAGTATGATGACGATATTGATGAGGATCTCATGATGCTTGATCCGAAGTAAGCTCTGCCCTATTTCATGTCATTTCTTATTATTTTTTATATGGTACATAGTAGTTATGGTGTCCAGGGTGGACATTCAGGGGCGTTTGTGAATAGGGCATCAAGGCATATACATAGCATGGACGGTGTTGGGTCTGAACAAAATTGACATCTCAGGATGCTGGCCTACCTAAACGTCTCAATCAGAATAACAAATACAATATCTAGTATTTTCCCACGGGGTTTCTTTGTCAAAGGAACTTGGTAGTTCATGTGAGAATCATTCCTAAAATATGGGGGAACAGGATACACAGACGTGAATCGTGATCATGTAAAGGTAATGTAAAGGAGGTCAATACCGAAAATGAATGCCTTCAATAAAGTCATCTGTTGTTATGGGAAACGCGCGATTTTGTGACTATCATTATTCTGCCGGTCCAATCAATGCCATTCAGACTCATTCTCAAGTGCTTGTCTGTTTAAGCTACCAGTATGGATTATCCATACCTGCTGACGAGTCTACTATTAGCTACCGCTGGCCACATTATATTCCACACCAAATTCTACACTGTCTAGAGTCGCGGGCCCAAATGATACTCGAAAGTAGTAGGTCAATTTCTAACTTGTCTATTAGAATGCTTTACTTGAATAGAAATTACTAGGTGAATAAGTTGAAACCTCTATTTGACTAGAAAAAATATGCTTATATGAACAGGGTAGGCACTTTTGTGTTTCCGCTGAACAGAACTCCGGAATCATCAACACATCAAGATGGCACAAAATGATAACAAAAAAAGAAGAAAAAACAAAAGGCGGAGGATACAAGATTTTCAAAAAATGAATATACAGATAAATGGAACACAGGTTGAGGAAGCAAGCCCAGTATCTTATCATCTATGCAACGGGAGCAAGGACATCGAAGGCACCGGTTCCAACAGTACCAGCACGACCAACAACAATCCTAGCACTGGGACCCTTCAGGTTCTCAACATCTCTCTCGAGCACGGCTTCCTTAAGAGCACCAACTGTGGTCTCGAAAGACATACGAGCGAAGGCTGAGGTGGAATCCTTCACTAAGCCGTTACGGCTGAAGGCCTTGAATCCACCGGACTGGGTCATCACATCACCAATCAAGTTCAAGTGACGGTTGTCAACGGAGATACTGTGACCCTTGAAAACGGCGTCCATTTCGCGAACAATAGTAGCGCGAGCAGCTTCAACACCGTAGTAGTGGAGCATGTCATGAACAGAGTTACAGTAGATCGAGTGTGGCTTGATGATATCCTGGTAATCTCGCATTGCGAGCAGGTTGACACCCTCAGTGAGAACAGTCGCAGGCTCGTTCTTGATCACGTCACCATCGACGTAGATGCAGTTTCCGAGGCTTGGGATGGACTGGATCACAGCGTAGTGAGCGGCAGCCTCAACCAAGGGAAGAAGCAGAAGCTTGGGTGTCTCAATGTCGTATTGCAGCTGGATTGAGCATGAGGTACCCTTCTTGGGATCAAACTTGAACTTCGTAATTTCCTCAAACCTGCCCTTAACATCGTCCTCGCGCGTGTTGCTATCCTCGTCATCTGAGTCGTCATCCGAGTCATCGGCGTCGACATCACCCTTTGATTTAGAGGAAGTATCGTTCTCTTCATCGTCTTCATCCTCTGAAGAGTCTTGTCGATTGATGATATCTTGCTCATCATCATCCGGTCCTTCATATGACACCTGGTTGTTTCGGTTGTTGTTTCCGCGGGATCGCTTGGCGTCATCCTCATCATCTTCATTATCATCCTCGGCAGGTTCGGCGTCACGATCAGGACCACTGGGGGCCTCCTGGATCCTGCCGATCGAGACACCAATTTCGGGTTGGGCAGTTGAGGACTTGGTTCCAGTCTTATCTTCATTTCGCTTCTTCAGCTCAGCCTTGGTGAGCTTCACTAAACGTGGAATGAACTTGTTTTGTAGGGCGTTCTGCACATCCTTGATTTGGATAGCATACTCATTGGTGTACTCTTCGGCAGGGAAGAAGGTGACATCGATGTCGTAGATCTTGGCTCTCGAATAGCCCACACCAGCTCCAATCCGCTCCTTCACCTGGACCTTGTCAACAACCTCAGCGACGCTGAGCTTGCTAATAGCCTTGGCAAACTTCTCTGCGTGTTCCTTGGGGATCTCGTCGTTGAGAAGAAGAGTCATGGTGGGTGTCATAATGGACGCACTGGCAGTCATGACAATTTCACGAAGACGGGGAATACCCAGGGTGACGTTCTTTGCGGAGTGACCAGCCAAATGGAAAGTGTTCAGAGTCATCTGTGTTGACGGCTCACCAACGGACTGACCAGCCATGATACCGACTGCCTCACCAGGATCGATAATCGACTTCATATACTTCATGTTCATCAAAGCATCAAATGTCTTCTTGGACAGCTTCTTCTGGAAATCACCCACGAATTTGGAGACTCCGTCAGCTTCCTTCTTCTTATCCTTGAAAAGGTTGTCGGGGTTCGCGTCCGTGTACTGTAAATGAAATATGTCAATAAAATCCGGGATACTTAGGGAACGGGCATCAATCAGTCATACCTTCTTGAGCGCCTGAGCAAAGGCCTCGGATGTACTGCCAAGGTAACCTCCAGGGTGATACTGAGACAGAACGGGATCCATAGCGTCGAGCTTTCCGGTCTTCCGAACCTTCTTCATTGCCTCCTTGTGCCATGTTGCGACTTCATCCTTTGCCAGAGTGCTGTGGTAATGGGCTTGAACTTGCTCAACAATGGACTCGTGGTTCTCAGCAAGGAAGCCGAAATCTTTCAGATGGACCTGTTTGGTGATGTCGAGACCGTCCTCACCATACAAGAACTGAACAATAGATCCATCGGCCGCCTCGCGAACAGAGGAGTCGTACTGCGCGCTCAGACCCTCCATACCCTTGATCAAACAACGTTGCAGATAACCGGAACGGGATGTCTTGACGGCGGTATCAATCAGACCTTCACGACCGGCCATTGCGTGGAAGTAGTATTCCTGGGGCTTGATACCAGTCAAGAAACGACCAGACACATAACCACCGGCAATGGGGTGGGTTTCGTACGCTCGGAATGATGGCAATGTTTTACCACTGATCATAACCGGCACACGACGACCCTCCAGAACCTGCTGTCCAAGATTGCAAGAAATCAGGTTGGCATTGACACCAGAACCCTTGGCACCAGAAATTGTCATAGACTGCATCTGGTTCCACGGGAAAGGCTTCGCAAGACCTGCAGGCAGACAGGCCTTGGTAATGTCCGAAGAAAGTTGGGCAGATCGGGAGTTGGAAACACTATCCAGTCCACTTTGCTTGTCATCATCACGAAGCACACCTTCGAGTCGGAGTTTCAGCTCAGACTCTTGATCAGGCACCGACGTCTTGTCAAGCGTCACATACTTCAGAGCAACCTCACGACCCATTTGGGCTGCAGTGCTCAATTTCTCCTTACGCATGCGATCACCCTCCTTGGTTAATCGGAGATCATCAATACCGCAAGTAAACGCGCGCATGTTCAAGAACCTGGTAAGTAGGCGACCGAGGATACTCATCAGCTTTCCAGCGATTGTGTGGCCATAAACTTCATGGATAGCATCAATCAAACCACCAGCAGACGGTCCAAGCTGCTTCTTATCAAGAATACCACACAAGAACTCTCCGTCCTTGAAGATGACATCACCCTCTTCGCTGCCCTCTCCCCACCGATTAGCAGGGGTTGAGGACGAGCCCTTAAGGGTGAGACCCGCATGCTGCGCAGGCCGAATGTTCTTCAGAATTGTGGTAATGATCTGCTTGCCAGTCCACAGGTATTTAGGCTTGATAAAGGCTGGTTCCACTAGTTGAATGCGATCACCGACAATGTGCGAATTCTCGGGTCTCAAGCAATTGTACAAAAGTTGGTGGTAGTCCTCCTCGTCGAAGAAACTATCACGGCAAGTGAGCCAAGTTCCCATTGAAATATGATCTTGAATCAGACCTCTCAACGGCTTGCCGGAAGTGGCAACCAGGTATTGGTGGTCTGCATCAGCCAACATCCGCGCCTCTGCTTGAGCAAGCTCGTTTTGGGGGAAATGCATGTTCATTTCATCACCATCGAAATCAGCGTTGTAGGTGTTACAGTTTGCATAGTGCATGCGAATGGTTCTCTCATTAGGAAGCACACGAGCCTTGTGTCCCATGATGGAAGGCTTGTGAAGTGTGGGCTGACGGTTCATGAGGACATAATCACCGGTTGTCAGATGGCGGTATACCTTCTTATTCCGCGATCCCTTCTGCCGCCAGTTTGATGGTGCTAGCAATTGATTGGCAAGCGCCGTACGCTCATCCAGGCTCTTGAACTTCAGGTTGATGACTTGACCGTTCTCGTTCTCAATTGCTGCAGCACCGGGGTACTTGTCGGGTCCATTGATCACAGCCTCCTTCAACTCCCAGAAGTTGTGGTTTGTCACGGGTTCCGGGAAAGTCAACTTCTTCGCGAAGACGAGTGGAACACCGATTTCGTTGGTCTCAAGATTCGGATCGGGCGAGATAACACTACGGGCAGCGAAGTTGACACGCTTACCCATCATGTTCTTTCGGAACAATCCTTCCTTCTTCTCCAGAAGCTGCTTGATACCATTGGGCAACGCAGCTACTGCTGAGCCCGTGACAGCAGTTCGCTCTTTATCAATCAGTCCGTTGACATGGTCCTGAAGAGCAACAATTGCCTGAAGAAGGTCGCCATAATTTCGTACACGCATCATGCCCATCTCTTCATCATCCTTGTTCTGGATTTCTTTGCTGATCTGGTTTATCAAATCACACTGCTTAATGATCGAGTTGAATGCGGTGTTCTGCTGTGATTCCATAATCGCACCTGCGCCTTGAGCAGCAGCTGGGCGGAATTTGTTGGGGGGAATGATAAGGCTCCTGATAAAGAACATATCGGCACTGACGACCTTTGCTCCCTTTGCGACTGGCTGACCATTGTAAACAAGTTGCAGGACCTCGCCGTCCTTGGCGAAAAGTAGTTTCAAGCAACTGTAGACCTCGGAGGAAGTCATGAACTCCTGTCCAAAAGAGGTCTGGTTTGTCACAGCAGCCCCACGCCGAATTTCTTCCTCGGCACCATGAGCTTCTGAAACCACACTCTCAGAGCGGGTGCCATTCACCTTGGCAGCCTTCCTTTCGGAATCGAGGAGGACCAGGGGGTTGGGGGCCTGGAATCCACCGTGCAGCATAGCCAATTTCGACTTTTCGGGGAGTGCTTTCTTGAAGATCTTGTTGTAGCGGTCCTTTCGGTAAGAAGGAGAGATACTTGATTTCAATGTTAGCCAATTGCGCAAACTAAAGAGCCGGGGTTATTCCTGACATACCCATTGCAGTTGGCGCATTTGCGATTGCTGTTGATGTCCTTAAGGAAGTTCTTAACCAGGTCTCGTCTCTGCTCTGCAGCAATGGGGTTCTTTGCGCCGGCCATTAGACCAACCAGTCTTCCATCTTTCTTGGCTGCATTGATGGAGCGATCGACGTAGGCTATGCGCTTTTCCATTATAGATTCGATATCTTCCTCATCATCGGAATCGTCTTCCTTGCTGGGTTTGGATGTAGCTCCCTTGAAGGATCCCATTGAATCGACCACGGCGACTTCATCGACAAGACCAAACTGCAAAAGGCGCAGCTTGCAGCTGTACATGTTGACCTCTGCGCGAGACATCTGCAGGCGATGACAGTACACGCACTGGGCCCGCAAAAGGCGATAGATATGATCGAAGAAAGTGACATTGTAAACGGGGATAGGAAGCTCAATGTGACCAGCGTGACCAGTGCAAGACCAAGAATTTTGACGGCATGTAGTACACCTGATAGGCCCAAATTTCTCTAGATTAGACATTGACTTGACGCATGAAATGTAGTGAGAGAAGTCAGAAACTTACACATGGTCACCCCATGCACCCATTGCAGGGTCATAGAGACCACCGGGGACTGGGTTGTTGAAAGAATCCAAGGTTGGAGTATTGTGAATTCTTTTCACCGACAGCTTTTTAATCTCTTCATCGGAGTAGACGGTAAAGGCAACCCCGGCAATGCTCGAGGCGACCGGGCGCGAAAAGGTCGTCATTGTGCCCTGTAGCTCAGTGGAGCAACAGAAAACGCAGACGGTGCGAAGTCGTCTCGAAAAAGAGGTTCTCCAAGTACATCTACTGCGGAAGAGTTGAAACCTCGAGGGCAACTTTTTTTTCTGCCCCGATCCACCGCCTACTCCCGTTTTGGGCAACTACGACCAGTGATCAGTGCTTGCCTGGATTAATCTTAGCTTGACGGTCACTCCGCGCCTTCCTTCCACTTTTTTTCTCGCTCTCTCCTTCCTTTGGTGCAACCCGCTTCCAGGCTACGCGAGATCCGCGCCTCGCAATTAGCCATGGCGGACGCATCGGGAAACGCGCTGAAGCGTCCTCACCCTGAGGATGAAGGCGACAACTCTCAGAAAAGAACCCGTTCAAACAATGGATCTCCTGTACCGGGCTCGGCTGGTGCTCCCAAACGAGACATTGAGAAGATGATTGCCGAAGCACGAGCCAAGGCAGAAGCCGTACGCGCTCGGCTGCAAGCTGCGCGCGGCGGTGCGACACCCCCCGTGCCCCCGGCAGAGTCCAGCCCAAGTCCCGCACCACCCGCATCGACACCTGCCTTATCCAGATTAGAGCAGATGAAAGCAAGAGTAGCAGCGGCTACGGCGAAGGCCAACGCACCTCCTCAGCGACCCGAACCACCCGCGCACTCATACCAACAACCCCAAGCATTCGACGATGATAGTTTTTCAAAAGCTCGCGGTGGTCTCGATGTTGGCCTTCATCCAGCGCTACTTTCGGACGCTACTCCGGATTTCCGGGGTAGCAAAGGCCGCCAGCAGTCGAAGGGCGACCGAGCAGGAAATCGTGGCAAGCAACTTGATTTATCTGGGCCATCTCTTGAGGAGATCAGAAACAATCCCTATTTCGATCCTAGCCTTGGGCCGAAGGCAACTCTTGCCAAGCCTCGACAGGCTCGGGAGCTTGCGTTCAACCAGAAAGGCAAATATATTCAACAAGCGGCAGCGCTGCGTCGGGCAGAGCAGTTGGAGGCTATGAAAAAGCGAATTGCCGAGCGAGCTCGTCTGGCCGGCATCGATGAGGATATGGATGTAGAGAAGGCATACGTTGTACCCGCTCCTCCAGCCTTGGAATGGTGGGATGAGAAGTTTATTGACGGCAGCGACTATGCTACCATTGATGACCCAGCCACCTTGAAAATCGATACCGTCATTACCCACTATATCCAACACCCCATTCAACTTGAACCACCACAGGAGAAGCATGTGCCCACTCAGAAGGCAATGTTCCTCACACCAAAGGAACAAGCAAAGATTCGTCGACAACGCCGCATGGCAGACTTGAAGGAACAACAAGCAAAGATTCGATTGGGTCTCGAGCCAGCACCGCCGCCCAAGGTCAAGAAGTCCAATTTGATGCGAGTATTGGGAGAACAAGCAGTCAAGGATCCAACGGCCGTGGAAGCCCAGGTGAACAGAGAGATTGCGGAGCGTAAAGCGCAGCATGAGCTTATGAACGAAGAGCGCAAGTTGACCCCAGACCAACGACGCGAGAAATTGGAGGCTCAACAAGAAAAAGATTCAGCTTTGGGTATCTTCATGTCGGTCTACCGAATTGACAGTCTTGCAAGTGGTCGAAACCGTTTTAAGATTGGCAAGAATGCGGAACAAAATAAATTGACAGGAATTTGCATCGTGCATCCAAGGCTAAACCTCGTCATTGTTGAGGGAGGAAAGCACTCCGTGAATAATTACCGGAAATTGATGCTCAACCGAGTTGATTGGACTGAAAACCCTGGCCCAACCACATCAGACCGCAACCGCGAAAGCGAGCCGTTGTGGTTGTCTACGGAAGATGACAAGGGTGAATCACGAGACTTTAGTCAGAATACCTGCAACCTCATCTGGGAAGGTCAATCCAAGTCTCGTTTATTCAAGAGATGGGTGGGAGCGAGGGTCTGCGATACAGACTCAGAGGCCAAGGCTGCTTTGGCCCGCACCAACACTGAAAATTTCTGGACCTTGGCGAAGAGTTTCAAGCCAGCGGAGTATTAAAGCATAGCTACTAGGGACAATATGGTGTTCCTTTTTTTTTTCCGACCATGTGTGAACATCAATTCTTATCTTATGAATATGTACTATTTTATCCTCTCTAGTTTCAATGAGCCCATGTCATAAATTTTCACAGGACTACAGTATCACAAACTTTTAAACAATGCACCATACAAATATAGAACCCGCTCCTAAATGCAAAATATGTATAACCAGATCACGTCACCAATATTCGAGGTGAGCGCAGAAAATAGACAATATGTAGCAGATAGCCAGATTAAGAAGGAGGAGGTCCTTGGTGGCCGTTGCTCAAGTTCCGCAACATATCCAACTGGGCCTTGACTTGGTCGAAATTCATAGCTGGATTCTGCTGTTGACCTTGAGCGGGAGCTTGGGGTTGTTGGGGCTGCTGGGGTTGCTGATATTGCTGTTGCAGCTGCTGCTGCTGCTGCTGTTGCTGCTGCAAGGCGGCTAAGAATAGAGGATTGATATGTGCCTGCGCAGGAATTCCAGGCTGGAACGGGTTTGGCTGAGGAAAAGCTTGCGCGAAGGGGAATTGGAAGGGAAATTGTGCGGGGGGTGCACCTTGAGGCGCCTGCGCTTGCTGCTGAGGCGCATATTGTTGTGCGTATTGTTGGGCAAATTGCTGGTACTGAGCATAACCCTGGGGCATGCCGTAGGTAGTTTGCTGTTGGGGGTAGGCGGGCTGCTGCTGCTGCTGCTGCTGCTGTGGGTACGCTTGATGCTGTTGCGGGTATGCGGGTTGGCCGTAGGGGGGCTGCTGGTGCTGGACAACCGGTGCAGGCTGACTCTGGCCATAAGAGGAACTGCCACCCTGTGGGTAGGGCCGACGATCCTGGTCTTGTTCCCTGGATCCGCCTCTGCCACCACCTCGTCCACCACGACCTCCTCGTCCGCCGCGGTCAGTGGCTCGGCCACGACCACGGGCGCCGCCACGGGGACCAGATCCACTCTCAACGGGCGCTTCGTGGGAGCCCATCATTTCATGTAGATTTTTGGGGCGCGCAAGAGGCGTGTACCCTTCTTCGCCACCCTCGTCGTAACTGAGCTCTGTCTGGCCGAGCTTCGAAGGTCCTGGGGGTCCTCTCTTTGGCTTTCCACCATCTCTGGCTTCCTTTCTCTCCTGTCGCTTTTGCTTCAACTGCCGCTTGTAATCGGCCTCCGCCTCATCGTCAGAGAATTCCATCTCCTCATCAGCGACCTCCTCATCGTGGAAGTTCGATGCATCACTGCCCTTCATGCCCTTAAGCGGTTGGGTGAACACGAAAGTAGAGTGCGCCTGGACGTAGTAGATGGGCATGTCCCTCACCAAGCCCTTTTCTTGCACTTCTGCTGCAGTTGAGAACATCACAGTGTACAGGGGGTGCTCAACTCTGCCCAAGGTCTCTGATACAACACCCATGACCTTGCGGTCCTCGGAACAGAGCAGGGAACCCGATTCAAGGACTTGGTATTCTCCAGAGGTGTTGGCCTCGACGAGGACGGCATTGTCAATAGCCGCTTGAACCTTTCCAAGATAGACGATTGTCATCTCGGGGGTGATCTCCACATCCGGAACAGGCAAAACGTCTTCAGCAACCTCGTTTGTTGAACGAATATAGCCACCAGATTTGCCCTTGCCATCACCTTCATCGTCAGAGCCACCTTCGGCCATCATCAGAATCCGAGCCTGTTCTTCGGCAGTGAGGATTGGGTAGTCTTCGTCGTCGCTGTCATCAGAATCGGAGGATGAACTATCCGAGGACGATTCGTATGGGGAAGAGTCTACCTCCCATTCAGGGTGTTCTTCCTCTTCCTCTGCTTGCGCATTTTCCGACTGGCCTTCTGCGATTGCATTTGCATTCTCGGTGATGCTAGACTCGGGCTTCTGATCAACCTCCATTGCCTCACCGTGGATTTCCTCCGCTGATTCCTGCTTAGCCATGGAATCGTTGGTCTCCTCAACCTTCACCGGGAACACGTTGGTATCCTCCACTTTCGTGACTGTGGGCTCGTTGGTCTCCTCCAATTCGACTGAAGGCTCGCCAACCTTTTCCTCAGCGGCATGTGTTTGGGGCTCTTGCTGGACGGTGGTCGACATAGCGGGCTGTGCCGATTGTTCGGCGGACTGATCATTGGGACCACTGACAAAACCAAGGCCAGGGATCATAGGGGTCATAGGGGTAGAAGTCGAGGATTGAGCGGGAGTCTCGGTAGCTGAACTGTCTACTGACATTTCCGTATCCATAGAAGTATTTGCGACAGGCGGCGTATCGATTGTGTAAGATTGGTTCGAGGAAGCGCCGTCACTGGCACCCGCGGCCTCAGCAAACTGAGCAGGGGAGTTATGTTGAGTATTCTGTTGGTCACTCATGATGAAAGAATTAAGGGACCAAAATATATGGTCCTGAGAAGTATGTTGCGACCTAAGAGTACGCTCGAAAAAAAAAAGTCCTGGTAACTTTTTTTTTGCGGGTCTACTTTAATTGCCAAAGCGGTCGCAATAAAAAGATCCATTACCCCAAGCTGCTTGATTCACCGCCCGTTATACCGCTCTAACGCCTTACATTGCAATGTTCAATGACAATCAATAGACATCACGTTCTACAAAGTGCTTAGTACTGTTGTATAGTATATTGAAAAAAAAAAAAAAAAAAAAAAAAAACTAAGCTTACAGATTACTAAGTAATGTCTCAGCTTACAGTGGGTGCTCGATTCGACTACATACTAGTAGTAAGGATCAAATTCTGCCCGATGGAATTTATCTATCGGCTGCCGTAGCTCCCGCTTATCGCTATCTTAGCGCAGAAACACCGGAGTTAAACACATCTTCAACAACTAACACAAAAATGGCTGGAGGGAATGATCCAGGTTCTGGGCCTGCTTCTAGCGTGCCTAAGAAATCACGGTAAGTGTTCAGGCTTTTAGCTTGGGAAGATTCAAGTTAAGTGGTTAATCATCTCCAAATCTAGTCCCCCACCATCTCCGTTCTACCTACCCTTAAACATTACGCTCTACGCCTTCCTCTTTGTCAATGGCCTTGCAGCATTTTATGCCCCAATCCAGGACTGCGACGAGGTCTTCAATTTCTGGGAACCGGCTCATTATCTACAACATGGATACGGACTTCAGACATGGGAATATTCCCCGGTATACTCTATTCGAAGCTGGCTTTATGTGTCGCTTCACGCCGTGGTCGGCAAGCTGAGCTCATTGATTGTCTTTTCCAAGACCACTGAGTTCTATATGATTCGAATGTTCATGGCTATCTTCTGTGCTGCTTGTCAGACCCGACTCTACTCTTCGATCTGTCGAACCCTCAATCCTCGCATCGGCCTCTTGTTCCTCACAATCGTCGTCTTCAGTCCCGGCATGTTCCACGCGTCCACGGCTTTCCTGCCATCCACTTTCACCATGTACACATCTATGCTTGGTCTGGCCGCCTTCCTGGACTTGAAAGGTGGACCAAAGATTGCTCAGGGTATCATGTGGTTTTCTCTTGGCGCAATTGTCGGTTGGCCCTTCGCCGGTGCACTCATTGTGCCTCTTCTGGCTGAGGAAGCTATTATTGCCCTTCTTTCTGGGTCTGTAGGCTCATTTGTCTTGGCCGTTCTCGATGGTGCTGTCAGGTGTCTGGGCATTGCCGTATGTCCTTCATCTATATTTTATTAAGAAATAATCAAGGATTCTAACTTGCTCTTTAGGCTCTCGAGGTCGGAGTCGACTATGCTTTCTTCCGCAAACTTGTCCTTGTTCCTTGGAATATTGTGGCCTATAACGTTTTTGGGGGCCAAGGTAAAGGACCTGAGATCTTTGGCATCGAGCCTTGGACATTTTACATCCGAAACCTGCTGATTAACTTCAATGTTTGGTTTGTTCTCGCTTTGATGACTGCTCCGCTTCTGGTCCTTCAGGTCATTTTTAGCTCTCAGCCTTCCTCTGTACAGAAATTCCGGCGCTCGATAACACTTGCTGCGCCTTTCTACATGTGGTTTGGTATCTTCACAGCCCAACCTCACAAGGAAGAGCGCTTTATGTACCCGTCCTATCCATTCCTTGCCCTAAACGCGGCTCTTTCCTTTCACCTTATTCTCACCTACCTTGGTTCCAGCGATCCAAAGGCAATCATCAGCCGTATTCCGACAAAGATCAAGCTTATCGGAGCTTTGTATGTCATCATACTGGCTGTCAATGTCGGGATGCTACGCATTCTGGGAATGGTGACTGCTTACAATGCCCCTCTGAAGGTCCTTGAACCATTGCAGCAGGTAAATGTGACGGAAACAGGAGCCTCTGTCTGCTTGGGCAAGGAGTGGTACCGCTTCCCATCCTCATACTTTCTTCAAAACGATATGCGTGCGAAATTCATTCGAAGCGAGTTCAACGGTCTGCTCCCAGGCGAATTTCCTGAAGCGCCAAGCCCCTTCGGCCGATTAGAAGGAGCTTCGGAAATCCCGTCTGGTATGAACGACCTTAATATGGAAGATCCGGACAAATATGTAGGCATAGAAATTCCTGGAAAATATGACCTCGTGGTACTAATCATATTCTACAGATTGATATTTCTGAATGCTCTTTCTTGATCGACTCCTACTTCCCGGGACGTGAGGAGACCGAGCTGGAACCTCACTATGTTCTCGATACGGACCAATGGGAAGCTCTCTCTTGTGCGAGCTTCCTAGATACGGCTCGGACTAGCTTAATAGGGCGGTTAATCTGGGTCCCAGATTTGCCCTTTATTCCTGCTCAATTCCAGCGCAAGTGGGGCCAGTATTGCCTCCTCCAGCGCAAGGCCGACACCAACATTTGAATGTATAGTGTAAAATCTTGATTCTGAAAGCCCAGTGCATGCAACCCACCAATTGAACATAAATTCCAAATTATCTCGCGTTACGCAACACTCCCACAGCTTCCAAGGTTTTATTATTCACTAAGGGATATTTCCTCCCACTGCGACTGCAAAGTTGGGGTATAGTTTATCACCAGACCTTACCCAATGCGGAGAAGAAATCCCCGTTGAGTTTTAAAATAAAACGATAAGACACTCTCCCCTCAACGTAGAGAAACTATGTCATATTCTGCAATTGCAACTTCCCTTGTCCAGCCATAGGCTCGTCCTTTGCAAGCTTCGGATCTAACGGCCGGAAATGGACACTCTCCCCCTCTTTGATCCCAACGACTGCATGTGCCTACGCCTACTCGCGACAAGGGTGTTGCTCGCATCCGATTGACAGGAAAGGCAGTTGACAGGAGAAATGTGTCGTTATCAAGCTGGTCAAATCAAACCGCTGGTGACATTTGTTCACCAATGTGGACTCTCCCCAGTCTTCCCCAGATCTCGAATGACTACATAAGGCGACATTCAAGCCTGGATTTCTGTTTTAGGAAATCAATCACGACTTTTCAAATCCCTTCACCTCACCATGGTATTGGATATAGAATATCTCCAAAGGATAGCTCAGTCTATCAATTTGAAAAAAGACCTCGTCGGTGTATTTTTAGCCCTCAATATCTGCGCCTATGCAATCGTCTTCGTCGTGCAGAAATGGAAAGCTTCCAGCAAATTATCGAGATCTTCCAGTCCTGATCTAGAAAAACCAACATCGAGATCAATTGGCAAAGAAAAGGTCACACGAAACCTTGGAGGTAAAGTATCTTCCTGACTCTTTGATTTATACGTTTAATCTGACAATCTATGCACAGAATGGACGCCATCTAATTTCAAACGACCGACCGCAAAACCATACCTTGACTGGGATGTTCACACTTCCAAGCCGATTCCTTACCGACCATTTCGATATGGCCCGTAAGTCCACGATTCCAGTATGGTGTGTCGCTTCTCTAATGCAAACCAGAAAGTATTTTACCACAATGGGCTTGCGGAGTATGAAATTCGATGAATGGATTGGTAAGAGATAGTATATCCAAGTTGATAGATAAATATAGAGCGCTAACTAACATGCTCATTAAATGCAGAACTAGACAACCACTATCTGAAATTCCACGCGGATAAAGCTAAGCGCATCGAAGAGCGTGGTGAGAAATGTTATGGCACAGCACCTGAAGCCATGGACGGTGCGATTGAACTCTTGGAAGAACTGTAAGGCTCCCATGTCTATACTATCCACCTTTTTCTTTCTCTATCGGCTGCTCTTTCCAGCAATCAAACTAATCTTGGAAATTTATAAAGATGCGACTATCTCCCCGAGAGATACCCATCGATGTTCACAAAGACTCCCACCGGCATAACCAACAAAGTAACCCAAGAAACCTTCAACATAGTCCAACGGCCCCTCTCAGAAGATCCAATGGCAACAGCCGCCCGCCTAATCCAAGACGACCTAGCCCTCATGATCGAAAAACCAGATGGAGAATACTACCTCCTAGCCGGCGCAATCCTCCTCGCCGGATTCTGGCGTCTAAGCGACAAATTCGGGATGCCATTATCAGAAATCCATACATCAGGCGACGTGCCCCAATTCCAAGAGAAGCTCGAACGAGGGATGAAGAATTTCTTCCGTCGGCTCAAACCCGAGGAACCCGTTTTGCGAAATAACTACTTTATCCAGGTAGATGATCAGCTGGCATGGTCGCCCAGTATCGGGTCCGAGGATGCGGAGGTTGTATCGTGGAATACGGCGGAGAAGAATCGAGCTATTGAGCATCATTTCTTTCGATCGGAACGCCAGTCTTTGAGACGGTTGCCCAGGTCTGGGGCTGTTGTTTTCACTATTCGGACCTATTTTGAGCCTATTACCGAGATTGTGAAAGAGGATTATGTGCCTGGGAGGTTGGCTTCTGCTGTTCGAAGTTGGGGGGATGATGTTTCAAGGTATAAAGGCAAGGAGAAGTATCAGGAGGTTTTGTTGGACTATTTAGATCGGAAACATAATGAGCAAGTAGCTTTGGGACTGAAGGTGGATAAAGAGGGCGAGGTGCGAAGTTATCCATATTAATGCTGAAGTTGTATAAGGACTTTATTTGATCATTTGAAGTCTGCATGTGCATGGATGTGTTCCACGTATAATAAATTTGGTGCAATGCCATACAAAACTGTAGAATTAAGAGCTCCCCAACGAATGTGTATGTGCATATGCAATTTGAACCTTACTATATCCCGGCTGGTGGTGCTGTTCTTTGGCGGCCGTGATTTCGTCGGTCTAGAGCCCATTCCCGTTCTTCGCGCCAGGTACAATCGTCGCGAAATTCGCAAATCCGGCACTTCCATGCATCTGCGATGTTGACTCCAATGGGATCGCGCTGGCCTCGCCACCACTCCATTTGATCTGTGATGTAAGATGTCATATTTTGAGGATCGAAGAGGAAGGATCTGCTTCCTAGATGTTTGGGCTGCAAATCTTCCGTCTGGGCTGAGGAGAGGAACCGTGCGGTCAGCACAGGAGATAGGAGAGTTGAATATTCCTCAAGGGTAGCTGGCTGGGTGTGTGATGGAATGGACGGTGCAACAGGCTCTGCTTCTGAGATGGATGGCATAAAAGTGAAACGAAGCTGGTCTTTCATGTAGCTCCATAGTTTGAAAAGATTGCCGTGGGCCAAAAGAATGCTGGTTGAGTTTTGGCTGGCTGGTGGTACCGGGCTGGATGAAACTACAGAGCCAGAGTCATGAGAGATTCTTCGTGCATCTTCAGGTGTGGGGGACTCCCCAAGATCGAACTCTTGGAAGGAGAGTGTATCGAAGAATTCATCATTCAGGCCTCCAACTTCGGATACGAAGGCATCTGAGAATGGACGTTCGGGGTCAAGTTTGTACCGCGCGGCAAGTAACTCCATAGTCACTTCGTCACTCGTTAGCATGCGATTAAGCATGTGGTAATAAAGCTGCAGCTGGAGAGAGGTGGGTCGGAAGGATGTGCTCTTGACGGTAGGGATTGAGCGACTTGCTCTCGTCTTCACATCAGTCATATATATCCGAGGGAGATCATAAACAGCTGGTGAGATTGTTTGGGCAGAGGGTACCTGTTCGGCATCGACATTTTCGGTCTGGCCTAAATCCGCCAGTCTCCTTCCGCCCTGGGAGGAAGATAACAAAAAATCCGACAAGGACATTTGATACTCTGGTAAAGCAGCTCTTGACCTCTCTGCATCCTCGTAGAAGCTAGCAGCTGTAGCTTCAAGCTCCGAGTCGGGGCATTCGTAGGATAACTGATCAATGACTCCATTGACCAGCTCCCCATCAACCACGCCCCAAACCTCAAGCTCACGTGTGATGCCATACTGGCGCAGAATTCGCAGCCCTTGTATCACATTCCATATGCGTAGAGCCCATGCATCCTCCTTCGTAGTAATGTCCACAGGGACGGTAGTATAAACCTCATCCTCGAGCGTCTTGTGCACCGAGCTCCCCTTCTTCATGGCCGCAGTTCTCCTTTTCCTCCCATGCTTCGTCAATGTATACCAGTATTGTAGCTCACACCAGGCAGGCGAAACCAAATCAGTGACTGAGAAAGCCTTATTGGGGGGTTTTCGAAAGCGCTCGACTGGGGACCGAGTATCCAACGTCGGTGCTACCTGCTCGTGCTGCGTCCACTCTTGTTCGCGTGCCGCAACGCGTTCTCGTTCTCGTTCTCTGCCTTCGGTTGAATTAGAGTGTTCCACTAAACGCTTCGGATGTCAACGCGTCAGTCAGTCCTATTCAAGATCTCGGTCCGGCAAAACTGAACAGTCAATAGTCAAGTCACACATACCAAACGTGGTGGCCCTGTTGTCTGCGCCCTGGTTTGCCATTTGCGCCATTCCACTGCGCGGCTTTGTGTCCTCCCATGGTCGCTGACTCGACCTCCACGGTGAACCAGGCTTCTCCCTACCCAGTACCTTAGGCAGCCGGCCACCTGGGGATTGCACAATGGCATCCTCAATGTCCGTGACTGACGTCGCAACAACCGCAGGTTGGGGAGATCCAAATCTGGTTGTAGCAATATAATTACTCTGGGTCGTCGCGATCGTGGGGCCAGGTGTGAGCCTGGGTGTAGCGAAGGATGAGGTTGGGGTGGCGTCGGATTCGGCGGGCGCGTGCTCCGCGACGGCTTTGGTGAGCAATTGATTCAGAATATCTTCTTCGTCGGGTGTGAAGTCGGATCCGTAGTCGCTGTCGGAATCTTCACGCTGTTTCAATTTCGATAGGCAGGACATGCCTGCGACTGTCAAGGGGGCTCATGTCCTATGTGGCATGCGAAATTTGGAGATGCGGGGTGCGTCATTGCGCGTTGGAGGCAACAACAGCGCAACAGCCCAAAGCGGTCGAGTAAACCGATCAACGTGATTGGGAGACGGAGAGTCACCAACCAATAAGATCGCATTCAAGTTTTGATCTTTGTACTTAAAACATACAGTAACCGTAGCAAGTTTGGTGACACTTTCAAGTTGAAACTTGAAGTCATAGTACGAGATCTCCAGTTACTACAACACGACCTAATTATATAGTCATCTATAACCAAACACACTACTACCAATATATATGTAAATTTCGAAGCTCAAAAAAGGCTGGGTCTATTGCGAAATCTATGGTCTAAGGTTTAACTTGGTATCTGCGAAATGCAACGCCAGTCGGGGCATCAAGTCTATATGTACATGTATGCCGAATTCAAAATCCAAACAACGCTATTTTATGCGGGCTGGCCAGCAGGAATTAGATTCCCGGGCATCCCATGTGATGAAACGGCTTCAAACTCAGCCTCCTCTTGCTGCACCTCACGCGCAGCCTTCTGGTTCAACCAACTCAGGTACGTCTGCCAACCAACGGCAATAACTCCCGAGAAGACATTCCGGAACTCTGGTGGCACGTACATGATGCTGAATGCCGTGACGCCGGGCCAGAGCTTAACGCTGTTGGTAATGCTGACGGGAAGAGCCTTCTTCAAGCGCTCCCAGGTCTCCTCAAAGGTAGCACCTGCGAGAAGGGAGTGCACGCTGAAGAAGTAGGAATTAAAGACGGGGGTGAAACAGATCTGCTGCACGGTGACCTTGGTCAAGACCGAGAGCAGCTTAGATGAATAGTTGAAATTATTGTGGAGGAACCAGAACCTGGGAGAAAGTCAGCCTTGATGTACCAAACTTTTTTGTGTCGGGTATAGATCTAGTATACATCAGATCATGGGAAATGTACTCACCATTTATATGATGGGATACTGGAGCCTGCACCCACGATCAAATGCCGGACTGTTCTCCATGGGTCGTAGCTGCTCACAAAGCTCGGCTTATTTTCGTCCTCGTCCTTTGACCCCGCGGGTGCTTTGGACGTGGTTTGGTCATCATCCACCGGTGCGGGTTTCTCCGATGGGAATAGCAACTGCGCACTCAAGTCACCGCACAGGTAAATGACAATGGAGCTCCACAGCTGTGTCTGGTATGGCCGTTCCCTCTGCACACGAGCATACCACCTCCCAAACTTCCCCAGCGGTCCCGCTTTTATGATCTCGCCCAGTCTCTGGGACCTTGTCAATGTTGTTGTAGTATGCGACGCGGCTGCTACACCTGCGGCGGTGGCAGCGGTATTCTGGGGGGAAGAAGACGGTGAAGGGGTGGGTGGCGATGAAGACGAAGGGTTGGAGCCCGGTTTCCCATGCTTGTTGTTCAGTGACAAGGCATCCTCCACGGCTTTTCCTTCGAGAGTCTCAGGCTTCGAGGCCTGGGCAGAATTGTGTCGTCGAGGCTGTCGCACCCGGCGCAAAGGCAATCGTGCCGGGGTAATTGGCCGCGGTCGCGGACCGATCGCAAACGCCGACGCTTGCGCAGCGAGTCCTCTCTGAAAGAAACTCATGCCGAATACTCCGAGCACGCTCGTCTATTGCTGGAGTAATGATCGAGGAAGAATAAACCCCCCAAGGCGAGATGACCCAGCCTATCGGGCAGGCTGTCCGATTGTGGCGATAAGAGCAAAATGCAAAGACCGAAGACCGATAATCGGAAGGCTTGGCCGGGAGATTCAGGCTCGATAGAAACAGGTTCATCAAAGAGAATGATCCTCTGTATGAGGTGAAGGAGTGACAAAATCTAGAAAATAAAAGTAGGAAATGACTCACGGGGAAAATGCAATAATTAACAATGAGGCACGTAGTACACGCAAGAATAAGATACATGAACTCGGCACTCGGGTGCCGTGATTCCCCGATTGAGCCCGATCAAATCAACTACTAGTAAGTCCGATCTAGAAGTTCGAGATCTACTAGTAGATACATGCTTACTACGAAATCAATATTTTGTTCAATATTTGTCATTTTTTTTATCAATTATTCAATAGAATTAAATGGTTCCAGCCTCTAATGGGAACGCCGTTTTTTTAGAGATGCGTATATACATGAACTCATCCCCGGGTAAAGTCAATATCGGGTATAAAGTAGACAGAAACTCAACAAATTTTGACCGCCAAATGCAATGACAACATGAATGGTGTGAGATAGAAGGATGCAATGAAAAGAACAATTTTATGTGGCAAAAGCCCCTTTCAAGGGTACTTAGTGCAGGTCCAGCAATGTAAGAGATGCATAGGTGATTAGTTTTTGAAGGACTCCTTGGTGTTGACACGGTCCAAATCGAAGGGATTGCCCTCATAAGTTGGAACACGGTGCAATGTAGAGGTAGTAGAGTGAGCACGGCTGCGGCTGCGTGTCACAACAGGCTCTTCCGAATCGGACTCGCTTGACACAGACTCGTGTGGGGCAGGAGCCTCGGTACGGTCGTATGTGATCTTCTCGTCTTCCTCGGGAGCAGCCTGGGCCTTCTCCTGGATACTGCGCATGAATGCATCAGACTGAGCAGCAAACTTGCAGCGCTTGCGAATGGCAGCGCCGTACTTGTAGAACAGGAATGGGAATGGAACACAAGCGAGAGCGAGGAACGCGGGAATGCAGGATGCCCAGTGGATACCGAGGTTGTCGTACATATAGGTGGTGAACAGAGGGAATGCGGCACCGAAGCAAGAACGCAGGACGGAGTTAGCGGCCAAGACGGAGGCCGCGAAGATGGTGTATGCGTCGATCAGGTAGTTCATGATACCCAGGAATACCAGCACCATTCCGAATCCAAATGGCGCACCAGCGATAATACTGACTGACCAGTGGATCGAGGGATAGTTGGTCCAGGCAAACCAGAACAGACCAATAGGGATCGCAACGGAAGCAACCATGACGGGTGGCAGACGGGCCTCGGGGGGAGCGAAGCCATCGTGCTCGTCTTGAGTCTTGATATAGCGCTTGTTGTCCCAAAGACTGTAAAGCACGGCAAGAAGCATACCGACCATGATACCAAGGAAAGCCAGTCCACTCACACCCTGGTTCCAGCCACGGTACTCCTCATAGACAATGGGGAATGCCGCAAACATCATGTACAGGGTACCATAAACAATGGCCATATAAAGAGACAATAGGAAGACAATAGGCTCACGGAATAAAAGAATCCAGGGGCGAGACAAAGCAATCTTGAAGGCTTCCCCAAGGGAGACCTTGCCCTGATCGATATCAACCTTGCTCTGGTAGACCTTGCCCGAGAGCTTAGAAAGTCTCTCTGCACGGCGACGAAGGAGGACAGGCGCGTAGGTCTCAGGGATGAGCAAAGAGCCAATAATCCACACAAATCCAGAGAAAGCGGCCAGGAATCCCATCACCCATCGCCAACCAGCGTTCATTCCCAAGAAACCACCAATGATAGGGCCGAGGACGGGACCAAGGAAAGGCGCGGCAGCAAAGAGACTCATAGCGACACCTCTCTGCTTAGCAGGGAACATGTCGGCAATAACACCACCGGCATTGGTGAGTGGTGAGGATCCAAAGGCACCGGCGAAGAAACGCAGAATAACAAGCGTATATACATTCTGCGCACCGGCAGTACCAGCGTTGAATGCTGTGAGAGCAGCGTATGTTGTGACGAAAAGAATCTGGCGACCAAACAACTCGCTCATGGGAGCCCAAAGCACTGGTCCGACGGCGAAACCTAAGACGAAAAACGAGACACCGAGCGTGGCGATCTCATCTCCAATGCCAAATTCCTCTTCAATCTGCAAAACACCACCAGTGTATGCAGAGGAGACCAGTGACACGGCCAGTGTCGCGAATGCGACCAACATAGTATATGACCATTTCTTTGTCTCGCTGAAAAGCATTGGGTTACGAGGATCATTGTCGATCCACATCACGGCGTAGGGGTCATCTTCGGTTCCGGAGCCTGGGTATGGGTATTCGATGATTTCTTGAGTGACGACACCTTGGTCAAAGACCAATCGCCAGAATGGGATCTTGGTGGGAGCCGTGGGCTCTATGTTGGCGACTTCGTGAGTCTTGTCGTCGCCTGCCATGAGGGGCAGTGTTATATATTAGTATATGCCGATGATTCTTTGTGGTTGTGTGAAGCAAGCGGGTGTCGATAGTGAGTTTGTTGTAGTTGTAGGTAACTCGTAACAGTGAGCTTTGAGGGGGTTTGTTTAGTGTGGGCCGTTTGCGGGGGGTAAAGAGGGTCCGAATGGAGAGAGGTATGTCGCCACACTTGTATTATTGATTGGGAAATTATTTGAAGGTAGATTTACAGAAAGAGAGATCGCATTGCAAATCCAGGGCAGTGGCTCCTATTTAATTATGGTGAGTAGACGACGACTTCATCGTGGCGTTCTTTTTTTCTCGCTTTTCTTGCCCATCCAAGGTTGAAGGTCCGGACCTACGCCGGTGTTGGGGATTTATACATGATCCGTGCGTATTAATGAAGAATAACTGCTTGCCGAGGGCACAATTAACCCTTGATCCGTCCTTAGAACCTTGAAGATTCAAAAAAAGAAAGAAATTTTAAAACTCTAGGACCCACTAATGTAGCCACTTCGGAGCTCGCCATGTGCCAAGAACCTTGGAACATTATTTATACATCAGCGGCTTTATCCAGCTTTCTCACGTTGAAATCCGGAATCGTCAAGGCCAGCGATTGCCAGATTGCAAGACATAATAATTATCTACTACAGTATACTAGTATATCAGTAGATGTACACAAGAGACCATGTGAGAATTTAACCGGTTGCAAATGCAAAAATGCCTGCCAAGATGCAAACGTCAAGCATCACGTGGTTTATGCCGGGTATTTAGCCACGTTCATTTATGCACCGGGTACTCGGCACGGCTATGATTGGTCACGGGAGCGGGAAGCATTTATAATCTCATCCGCGATGAATTACTAGAATATGCAACTACTGCATGAAATATGATCAGTCAATGATCGATATAGAATGACTTCTCTAAAACAAATGCCCTAAAAACTTGTACATATGCGTGACCCGAGGTTATGCGAGTGTTTTCAAGGTTACCACAGATCTGAGTAGATAACTAGTACGGAGCAGTATGCATCCATGAATCGGATATAAACATCTACAAAACACGGACTTTTTCAGGTTTCATGTAGGCTGCAGTGTGATGACATTTTTCTCCATCGGGCCTAGCAGAGCTCAAAATCCCCCGAATCCCGACTCGGGTGCAAGGGCCATACCCGTCACTAGAAGTTGGTTGGCTTAATTCCGCCACGACGGCCGGTGATTACCATTAACTCCACCGGGTTAGAGAAGACAACCTAATCTCCCCCAAGTCCCATTTCCAGGCACCACTTACTGAGAGCTCCGCTTACGGATAACTCCGTATGTACTAACTCCATACCTGGTTGCTTTCAAATCTGAAAAGTGGATACTTCCACATGGCAAGTGTAATCCGGAGATTGATAATCAAAGTTTTGTGCCTTTATTCCGAAGATTGTGTTTGATAGCGCATAAAAGTCGAATGATCGATTTCACAAATACATGCATGTTTCAGCCTTGCAGCACTGCCCAGGTGGGGCATAACTCATGTCTTGGAATTGTCACCTTGTGCTCATGACTCTTAGACTAGTCGACCTATCAGTACAGAGACAATTGAATTATAGAAACCTTGGAAATTTCGCCGTGGGTTCTTTCATCAACGTACTCCAGTATATATGTCGACATCGCCATCCAAGAACTTTCAAATATAGTGTCAAGGGTATCTCGACAAATGAGGAGAATCAAAGCTTCACAATATTGGGCAGGACTTGGGATTCGAATGTGGCTCAAAAGAACAGGCTCACGGATCAACGTGATCGCTGAAAGGCCTGAGTCCAGATCCCCAAGTTAAAAAATAGGCTAAACCATCTACGTTAGTCTCACCAGTATACTAAAAAATAAAAATAAAAATAAAAAAAAAGACCCCAAATCTGTGGAGATTGCCATGCTCGTATCGGGGTGACCTGATAGGTGGACTCCGCATTTGATGCACTTGTACACGCGCGTTGAGAATCGTGATCCAGTCAATTTCGTAGCAGCTGAGCCTCGTACTTTGATTCTCTTTGCTCCCAAACGGTCCAAACCACAATGAGACCCGGAGCTCGCTCCTCTCCTGAAATTCACTCCTGCATTTCTCAGCCCAGTAATATACCATCGATTTTCTCTCTCCTCCCGACTTCATCATTCTGCCCCCATTCCAATCATTTCTATTTTCTTACAGAAGTATAATGTCTAGTAGCGACGGACTCGGTCCTGTCCTTGTTACCGGCGGCAATGGCTTCATAGCCCACCACATCATCGCGAAAATTCTTGAGGAGGCGCCTAACTGCGAAATTCACTCAATCGACATAAATATCGACCGCAATCGTCATTCTAATCCAAATATCCACTACCATCTCGGTGATTTATCCTGTGCTGCCGACGTGCAGCGCATCATGCAGCTCGCTCGCCCTGTCACCATTTTCCACACCGCATCTCCCGAGTTCTCCGATGCCCCCGAGTCAGCGTACCGCGGCATAATCGTCGACGGTGCCCATCATCTTATAGAAGCCGCGGTTAAGGTGAATACCGTGCGGGCCCTGGTCAACACCTCGACCATAGGCGTTATCAACGACAACCATACCGATCTCGTCGATGCCACAGAGGAAATGCCAATCCTGCGCCCTCCACAACAAAAGCGCCTATACTGCATCGCGAAAGCAGATGCCGAAGACATAATCCAAGCTGCTAATCGTAACAGTGGCCAAGACGACCAGGGTATCCTGACTTGCTCGCTCCGACCAAACCTTGCATTCGGCGAGCATGATGCTGGCGCCTTGGGCAAGATGTTTGCCGTCGCACGCCAGGGCAAGTCCCGTTTCCAGATGGGCGATGGTCAGAACCCGTACGATTTCGTCTACGTTGGAAACCTTGCCGATGCACACCTCCTAGCCGCCCATGCCCTTCTCAAAGCCTGGGGTAAGCCCCCGCAGACCGGCGATTCTGCGGGGCGTGTCGATGGTGAATGCTTTCACATCACGAACGAAGACCCCTGGCTCTTCTGGGACTTTCAGCGGGCCGTTTCTGCTCTAACGGGAAACCCAATACGGCCCGAGGATATCATTGTTATCCCGAAATGGGTCGGGCTAACGCTTGGATTTGTGAATGAGTGGGTTGCGTGGTTGGTCTATGGCAAGACTGCCAATATGAGTCGTGAGGGGATTCGGTTTAGTACCCTTATCCGCACACTCAATGGAAGCAAGGCCAGGCGGGTGCTTGGATATCGCCCGAAGGTGGGTGTCCAAGAAGGCCTGGAGCGGAGTGTGCGATGGTTTATGGAAAACGCTTAGGGTCTGTGCCTTCTTACACGGAAGGTGGACAATCTTGACTACTAACTGGATAGAAGCCCATTTGTATGAAACGGCAAATAGTTGAACATAATAGTAAATAGCGAGGCTTAGGCTGTACTTGTGGAATTCCTGTAACCGGTAAAAGGTCTGCGGTGTCTTGGATAGCGCCGTGTATAGCAAGATTGACAGTCGGGTTACTGTGCACATATGGGTGTCTAGTTGAGGTGCCATTATCTCATCTACTTTTTCCAAGGTTCGTTTAAGGCGCTCTGTTCAGCTGCTGAATTGTCTTGCACATCGTCATGAATGATACTACGCATCCATACACTACTAACTAGGTGCCTCAGGTGTAATATCTCGCCTTAGGCCCCAGTTCTAACGTCTGTAGTAGCCTTAGGCCTCAATTTGCGTTCTGGACGTGTCGGTTTTGTGTGCCCCACTTCCTAATGGGTCCAGGGACTCAACAAGCTCAGAATGCTGTATATCTGTGATCCTGAAACTGAAAACGGTTGTTCTATCATGAAACACGCATCGATCGATTCTTCAAGCTACTCCAAAAAAGCTAATGTAATTTTTCTCTCCAGATTTTACATACAACAAGAAAGATCAAGACATTAAAATTCGATTCATAGTCTAACGGACCCACATCTAATGATGACGTTTTGGTCAGTGCGTCGCGCATCACCGGCGCGCCAGGCTGCAGGAAAAGACAAGGGAATTTGCCAGTTGTCGGAAACGGTGATGGCTGGTTTTTCAAGGGCAAAACATCTGGTTGGCGTGCCCTCGTGGGATCGTGGTGCCTAGTCCCCAAGGTCGGGGAAAGGCGCTTTCTACAAGTATGTATGACTCATGGGTGAGCAGTGAGCTAGGACCAAGAAGTCCCTTTGTCTACAGACAAAGCCAACTTCAAATACCACTATTCTACGCCATAGAATCAGTTGAACCTTGGATCGAACGCGTTGATCTGACATTTACAATAAAGGTATGCCGGTCTTCTTCTTTGGCGAGTTAGGATTCGTAATCTGTATAGAATATTCTACAGTAGACTCAGTATAGCAAATCCTCTACGTAGGTTCAGGGGACCCAGATTTGGGCACTTGGAAACAAAGAAGCGGGTAGGACGCATTTGTGACACAGAGTAAGCCAAAGGAATTATGTGTGGGCTGCAATAGTAGCAGATGCGAAGGGGGAAGGGTCACGCGTCCACATGGGGAGAGGGGGCTTGGAACGAAACGTCAACGACGCGGTTGTGGATCACAACAAGACCGACGCGTGTCCGAACCATTGCAACGGTCTACTCCAGACGATTGCGAGATTTACAAGAACGTGGATGGAATGAAGTTGGTTAGGTAATTGATCGCATTTGGGCGACTGTCATAAAACGATGCTCGCTAAGGCACCGCGCTGAGGAAATTAATCCTTTGATGTACATAACCACCACTTCGCCATCCCATGGTAAGGGTATGTCTGTGGAAAATCGCAAAAGGTAAAAAAGCAAATTCAGAACCAACCCGGTTCCGAAACCCATTCATTTGAAAGCAGAAACCCATAGTGTATCGCCATATTCATAAAAAGAAAACCCCGATCGCCTTCCCGGAAGTTCAACAAGAAAAATCAACCAGATTAGCGCATTTAAGAGCGCTCGCCACGCAGGCGACGGGCCAGCTGGATGTCCTTGGACTGGATGGTGACACGCTTGGCGTGGATGGCACACAGGTTGGTGTCCTCGAACAGGGAGACGAGGTAGGCCTCAACGGACTCCTGGAGAGCACCGATGGCAGAGGACTGGAAGCGGAGGTCGGACTTGAAGTCCTGGGCGATCTCACGAACCAGACGCTGGAAGGGGAGCTTGCGGATCAGGAGCTCAGTGGACTTCTGGTAGCGACGGATCTCACGGAGAGCGACGGTACCTGGAATGGGATATTAGTAACATGTAACAAGGCTGAAGTGGATTGAGAGTAAGGTTGACATACCGGGCTTGTAACGGTGGGGCTTCTTGACACCTCCGGTGGAGGGAGCGGCCTTGCGAGCGGCCTTGGAGGCGAGCTGCTTACGGGGAGCCTTGCCACCAGTGGACTTACCTGTGAAGAGGAAGTGATATTAGTAAAAATGTTTCTTTGAAGTTTTGGGAAGTTTGACGCGTCATCGCGTCCTTCAGCCAAACTAGGTAAAGTCGCCTCACCCCTTCGAGGCGGGGACGACGATACCAAGGAGGCAGTGAAGGCAAAGCGAAGCGAGGTAAAAGTGAAGTAGTGAAGTACTTACGGGCAGTCTGCTTGGTACGAGCCATTTTTCCAAATTTGAGTTGATGGAAAAAAGTGGATTTGTTGATGAAAGTTGTCGATGGAGATGGTTGTCGATGATTGAGAAAGAGAAGAGAAAGACGGGTGGGGGAAGAGTATTTGTACCGATGGGAAAGAGTGTGATCTGAGAGCAAGGAATATTGGCCAATCAGCGCACGGGATCCAGATCAACCAAGTATGAGCGGGAAGGCTTAGTGATGCGCGGGTTTGATCGGTTTGTATTGATTTGCGGTTCCATCACATATTCCACCTAAGCGAGTGGTCCGTCCGTATCAGCCAATCAGCGTCCAGGATCACGGATCACGGAATACCTCGCGTACATTCTCTTTGATCCTGACCACCCACATTGATCAATTTCTGATCTACACGTCTCATATCATTCTTGATACTGTATACATACTTGCTGATTTTTTTAGAATTTTGATCTACGTGTTTTGAAGGTGAAATGAGTAAATGATCAGAATCATGAGGCGGCTTCCTGAGTCTATTCGGTTGAGAGGGGCCCGGTAGATCACGCCTGCCGGATCGGATCCTCAACGCTGATTGGCTGATCTTCTCACTAGCGTGTGATTTCCCAGTCCCCGCGTCCTCACTTGTTTCTGATACAAATATCTCCTGCCCCGGAACCTCCATCCGCTTTTTCCCTTCAATTCATTCTCGACAACTTCAACAACTTCGGTTTTCTTTCTAATTTCAAAACCAAAACCCCACTTTTAAATCACATTCATCATGTCTGGCCGTAAGTCTTTCACACAACTTCCCAACCTTGTTTTCACTTTTCAATCAAATACGGGAAACATGTTTCAAATCCAGACGCGTTCTTTTTGACTAACGCGTTCTTCTCTCATCAGGTGGAAAGGGTGGCAAGGGTCTCGGCAAGGGTGGTGCCAAGCGTCACCGCAAGATTTTGCGTGACAACATCCAGGGTATCACTAAGCCCGCTATCCGCCGTCTCGCTCGTCGTGGTGGTGTCAAGCGTATTTCCGCCATGATCTACGAGGAGACCCGCGGTGTCCTCAAGACCTTCCTCGAGGGTGTTATCCGTGACGCCGTCACCTACACTGAGCACGCCAAGCGCAAGACTGTCACTTCTCTCGATGTTGTCTACGCTCTCAAGCGCCAGGGCCGTAAGTTTCTTCCGACGCGTCTTCTCATGTTTTGCAACGCGTCTCTAACATTGATCTTCTCAGGTACCCTCTACGGTTTCGGTGGCTAAGCGTCTCGTATCTTTTCTCTTTTCCGGGTTGTTACAAACGGTATGATGGGACGTTGGGGTGTTCTCTGATTTTCTTTATCGACATGGGTCTTTGGGTTTGACATTTTTTTTACAACGATTACCACTTTTTGCGTCCACTATGGGTCTGCTAGTGTTCGCTTTTGAGCTTTCCTGTATCATAGCGGCCTCATCAAATGGCTGGCACCACTCAGATGGTGGGATCTACACTCTATTGCGAGCTGATCCGATACGAATACAACTATCTTGAAACTCAATATTTTCCTCGTAACTTGATTCCTCTGTAATGTCTTTTGGTTCCTTACTAAGGCGTGTTGTTTTGATTTTACGTGGCGGAGGGGCTTTGACGCGTCTGTTTCCACATCCTGCACGTCCATACTATGTCGCCACATCTTAGGTATCATTATGTGCGATCTCCTCATTTCAAGGTTAAAGCACCTTGCTCCTATGCTCTCAATTCTTCACGTAGCGTGTACTTAGTATAGTACTTTGAGAATTTATGTACGCGTCCACTTGATCTCCAGTCTCTCTCCATCTACTAGTAATTTACCAGTCCCCCGAGGTTATCTTCGGTACATGCATACCCACGTGTCGAGGTATTGAAGTTTCATTTTCATAAATGTAGACACAATTTCGAAGTAAATCAATTTTGCACCAATTAATTACTTTCTAAATTCTGTGCTGTCCACGGGTGTGTATTCGGTATGCTTGTGCTTTGTATTCAAATGTCATTTTCATAGACATGATGGGAAATTTTGGTTGTGTTGATTGTGTTGGTAAAGATGGAGTAGGTATGTCCAGTAGATATATATCGAACAATGGTGAAAGTAATAACTTGGAAACTAAAATCTTCTAAAACGTAATAGTCATTATAAAACTGATATGTAAATGATCAAAATCCTTTGAAAAATCCAAATCCAAGGTTTATTTCCCAAAAAGTCCCAAGTCACGGCCGTGGAAGACCAAAAAGTCGCTGGAAGTGGTGAGGTTGAACCTATTTTTGGACCAAAGTTGAACCCCCGAATCCGGAAGTTCAACCCCTCCAAAATGGGGGTTCAACTTTCCAGCTTACCAGTTGACCTACCGGCGCCTGTGCCAACGCCCCCCACCAATACTTTGTGTACAAAATGGGGGAAAAAATGACACGCGACCGAGTGAAATTATGCGAAAAAATGTAAAGTGATATTTATATCCACAGGATCTACGGGAATAGAGGCGGAGTCGCAGAATTCTGTTCGATGCTGGCTGTTGCAGTCGCACGCATGGACAGCGCGACCGAAGTCAGTTTCAAGGACAAGACGAAATACCTACTACACACAAGCAACAGACAGCATCCAATGTTGTTTTTCAATGATCAAAGTGGCAAAGGGGTTGATTAATGGAAAGAAAATTTGTTGGGGCATACTAAGTGTCTGCAATACCAGCGAGGCAGAGATGATCAGAAGCCATGTTACCGAGAAGTTGACCATGTACACGCGCACACAAAAATTCATTATTTTCCAACACTTGAACCAAGCAGTCCAACCTACATGCACTGTGAAATGTACCGAGAAAATGCCTCCAAGTTTGAACCACAGCCACCTTTACTGGCCGGCAATCTCAACCATACCATAGCCCTCGACTTGGGCACCCAAGAACTCACCCGAGAAAGTAACAAAACCCCCATAAGCAGCCCCCGATGCCGAAGGACCCACAGAAAGCTGGTCTTCAGTGATGCTAATAATCCTGAGCGTCGAAATATAATCTGGAATGAGAACAGTCCAAGCAAGCGGGTACGTCTTGTCAGTAGCAGAGCTATACCAAGTGTGTTCCGAATCAGGAGTGCAAGACACGCCGACAAGAGTTAGTGACCCCTTCGAGGTACGGATGGTAGCCAAGCGCTCATCAGAACCATTATCTGCCCGATCGCCTGCCCAGATACTGAGCTTAAATCCGCCGGGCATGTGCAGATGGAACCAGGTCCAGTTGCTGTAAAGACCCCCGCTGCCCCAATATCGATCGTACCACGTCAAAGAATGCCGACTGTCGACATGGATCTTCTGATCGTTGATGGTCATAGTGCCATAAGTCTTACAGGCGGGAAGAGCCCACCCGTAGGCTTTTCCATCGTCGAGGATGTTGATATCGGGGCCGCCTGTGACCAGTGGCAGCGTGGAGAGGTGGTAGATGAGATCGAATGTCACGTCATCTTGTGTACTGTGGGTGCGCATGGCGGCGAGGTTGTCACCAGAGATACCCTCGAAGCCGTTTCCACCGATACCCACGACCAGATGAAAGAAGTCAGAGGAGGGATATGATCCATTGCCGACCTGCACGAAGGAATGGTATTCCAAGCTGTCCAAGTCCAACACAGATGCACGGTAGAGGTCTCGCTGCCCACCCGAGTTCACGTAATGAGATATCACGAAGTACTGATGACCATTTTTTGCGCTGATGAGAGAGCCCGTCCACCAGGAGCCATGGTTGTGTGTTAGCTGGGAGGTGGCGAGGGTTTGAAGAGAGGGGACTCGCTTGGAAACCTGGGACTTGAATTAAACGGCGCTTCGTATGTATCGCACGCGGTGCAGAACAAACCTGGACGTCGGTCAATTTCTCGGGCTCTAACCGATACCAATTAGTAGCCCTCACTGCCAATGCCAGGATGAAAAATAGGAGCAGTCGCATAATGCCCGAGTCTGAGTAAAGTTGAGAGTAAAGTGAAGAGAGAATGATAATGGCAATGGGGCACAATATGGAGAATAGATCGTGAAAAGCGGGATGAGGAGCGAGTAAAGACGAAGGGACAACCGCGAGAGAAACCAGCAGGCCATAGTGAGTGGTATTGAGGTAAAACTCAATTATATTGTAACACAATCGGAAATATTGGGTGAGCAGAGAGAGACAGTCGGTTTAGTCCTGACGCGAGTCTTGCAAAGCACTAATTGCCTCTGCGATATTGACCATATCATCTACTCTCGCTGCAGGGCCTCCCCACCGCACATATCCTTCCCCATCGACAGCCCAATGGCCACTAGACTGCCATCTACTACCACTCTCCGTTGGCCGATTCCAAACTCCCTTCTCTTTACCCATCTTGAAGACTGCCAACAGCCCCCCTGGACTGAAAAGATGGCCCCAGGAAATGACCCCCAAACCCCATGATGCATAAATCTCACGGTCGGCATCAACAATTACCCTGACAGATCCAGCACCTCCAACGGCACCTAGCCAGTCATCTGTTGACTGTTGATCACTATGAGAAACAGCGACGAAGTTGATCTCAGGGTGCTCGGTGGCTGCAGTACGCATTTCCCGGAACGCGACTTCAGAGACTTTAGAAAGATGGAGGTGTAGGGTCAGTTTTTATTTTCATTTTTTTCTTGACCATTCGCTTATTCCATAGAAGACTTTGCAGAACACAGACCTGGGCACCCGCAGTGTCGGAGAAATGATAGAATGGTTGGGTTTCCATTTTCAAATGGGAGCGCCAAATGTGGAGAAGACGGTGCTTTATCGCCGATTTGGGGTGGTTGCGATGTTTGAATATACGAGGGCGAACGCCATGAGGCAAGCTCTTTGGACAGACCCATGCCGTGCGAGTTGGTAAAACCTTCTGTTCAAAGTTGATGGCTAATAGTGTAAGTTGGTTGTTGGACTTGGCAGTAGCATCCGTTTACAAGCCAGTGCAGAACAGTACTCCACTCGCCACGTGACCTTATACAATTGTGCTTGTGCAGCCACATGTCAGGTGGCATATGAATTTATGCATGACAACTGTTGGAAAAAATTTGCATTTTCTTGCCTTGTGATTGACGATAATGTTGATTTTTCAGCATAACAAGCGACCAAAAAAGGCTGGATTTGACTTATCAATCAGTCGGAGATGACATCCTCGGTCCCTTGATTTTGGTAGTAATTCCGGGTGATCCCTTGTGGCTTTCAGGTGGATATCTACGGTGCCACCCTCCCCACGCAAGTTTAATCTTCAAAGTTCCATGGATGCTTATCTGAAAAGAACACATATCCAATACCGGGAGTTATCTGCCGCGTTACAGATGATATGCATATAGTCTATAAATTTTTTTAATTTTTTTTTCATGTAGGAGTAATGTGATTCACATGTGAAATATGATTCATCTACTGTATACGATCTGTATAGTAGACATGGCAGATTTGACAGCAATACCAAGTAATACAGAGTTGAAAGAACTCCGCTGGTATTCAAGACAGACCCTCGAAATGGCTAGTAACTGACAAACTGAATCGAGTGGAGGGCACGGTTACGAATATCACCACGACGTGTCTCAGATCGAAGTGGATTGTGGGATCCCAGGGCGCCACCACGAGGGAAACAAAGCCAATCACCCTATCAGAATTAGGCGATCGTCTCTTGCAATCCAGTGCTCTGAGATAATGGGCTTGATTGGGCTAAACAGGGTTGAGAGTCAGCTCTGGTGTGTTATGAAAATCTCGAAAACTCTGCGGACACGCAGCTCGGCTCTGCTGTCCATCGAATCAAGGCGAGTTTTGAATTTTCAAGCTACCAGGAATGAATGGATATCGAGGCCCAGACCAACCTATAAACGAGGCCAAGGGGCTTTTTCTTGTTTTGTCAATGAGATTGATTTGTTCTACACTATAACCTAGTGGTCTACAAAATACCCAGTAGGCAACCGCATGAAGTATTTACTAGTAGTATCCCCTGCGTGTCTTACAGATGTCACTCGTGTAAATCACGATTGTAGAACATTCTGGTTCATCGTTTTCAGTGAGTTTGTCACATTCTAAAAATATCAAGGATGGTGTGTACATTGTTTATCCCCGTCTGAGTCAAAGTCGATTTTTTTTTCTTGAAGTATAAAGATCAAAAGCCTATATCGGGACAAGTCGGGAATGTGCAGGGTCTGTGAAACAGTCAAAGCACGGGTGTGTTAGATGCTGACAGCATATCTAAACTACAACCCTGGAAGAAGATTTAAGAATCCAAATAATCAAATAATCAAGATGCAACCCAAACGGAGAAAACTCAACAGGAAAAATTCGATTCCGTGTGCAATGCAACAGATGATTTGCTGTCCAACGGAGAATCCCGGTGCCGAGTTGCCGGAGGACGCTAGAAGGATTCCAGAAGGTCTGTGGCTTCGAAAAGTTCCCTGCAGGCTCGATACACAATACCACTAGCGTCCTTACACGGCGTATCCGCACATACCATCGTTGTGGCTGTGTCCTTCAGCACCCAAACCCACCAATCAATTGCATTGAAAAATCTCTTCTGCATTAGCCTGGTTGCTATTTTGCGCTTTTGCAATCGCCAAACCTCACAGGGCTGGACTCGGTGCCGTTCCCCCGTGAGGATTAAGGTGCTGACAAGCTAAAATTTTTTTTCCCTGTCGTTTGACATGGCAGAGAGAAAATTTTTTCCTGCATCTGCTGCAGGGGATAATCCCGTGTCCCAGCTTGACGGGCACGAGCTGATGACAGGCACGGAGCGGAGCGCAGTTCGTATACGTGGTGCCTTGCGTGGTTTTACTTAGTAAAGGAATTTTGTTATTTTGTTATTTTGTTTCGTATACAGTGTACTCCGTTGTTCGTAATAATAAACGAGGGAATGCATAGGGCAACTACTGTAAATGCCAAAGGTGGGCCAAAGATCAAGATCTGGCCACTTTTCCCCAGACAAGGCCACGTTTTCTGTCTCGGATTCGGATCCAAGAATAAACCAAATACCGAAATTTTTTTGTCAGGATCGAGGAATGTACGCACTAGTCGTGAACGCTACATCTGAAATTCTGGACTCTGGTTTTGCTTGGTCCAGACTCTTCGGTAGATACGGCACCCCGGACCCGCGTCTCGGCGCCCCGGCCGGGTGCACCAAAGTACTCACGCCGACCGAATCTCTTACTGTATCAGTGGAGATCTCGTCAGATACAGATACAGAAACAGAAACGTACAGAAATAAAGAAAAAGAGGGCTTAGGCACTGATTCTAACAATTAGTCGCATTTTTCTAATTTTCTTTCTTCCCACTTGAGTCACCCTGGCGTTATTAAGTTAGGCCGTTAGACCCGACTTGCCCAGATCCCGCGCTTGTGGGAGACATCTCCGGTCGGGAGCACACCACGACACTCGGGCCTCCCCCGGAGGTCGCCCGTCCGATCTGATATTGCCTTGAATTGTTTGAATTTACTGCGCTAAAAAAAAGGCCAGTTTTCCCTTGTCTCTGTACTACCATACCACGCTATTATAGTCGGTATTTTATGCGCATGGATCCGCATGATTAACCTCGAATCGGTCGGGAGTCACCCGAGCATAGTGAAAGAATTTTCCTTTGAAACAGACCACACTAGTTAGCTGTTCGGTGAGTCAGGGTATTGAGAATAGGAGTCATCAATGAATAATCCATTTTCTTTTTCTCACTTTGCCAATCAAGGAAATGGAATTAATTAATTCATTAATTTCGGACCATTATTATGGTCATGTGAACTATGTAGGCAGTAGGCAAAAAACTGGAGATAAACTGGAGACTCGACTCGATGCACTATCAGGCCACGGGCCATGTGACCCCTAACCTTGGTTCTTCCAAGGTAGAATGTGTACTCTATAGCCGAAGCGACCTAGTCTCACCATTTTTTAACGGATCCGAACGAGGCTCCTACGACCGAGCCGCAAGATCGAGGGAACTGCGGGATCAGCTGACCCCTCCCCATCCTACACCAGCTGACACCGTAACTCGCGTCTGAATTCCTGAATGGGGGCCTTTATTCGGCTTTGGGTTGAAACTGACTATTGTTGGAATTTCAGTATTTAGTATTTAGTATTTAGTATTTACATTTGTTGTATAACACCATCGGTTTACGAGAGAAAGGTATTATATCGATTGACCTGCCTAGATAGGTCTAGTCATCTCACCCATGTGTTTTTAAGAATTATAATCAAATAATTTTTTTTTTTCCCTTTTACCCCAGAATGCAGGAGACGCCCAACGGGAAGGGGGGAAAACTGGGATTTGTGGCTTAGCCCCAGGTGGCTTACGGGATTAGAATGCACATTATTCATCATTTCATTATTATTCATCAACGTAAAATTCTTGTAAATCAGTAACGGGTAGTACGGCAGCCACTAAACTCGATCAGATCACGCGGAAATAAAAAACCCCTGTGGCTCAGCCCTGTCGAATAGGGTCCTAAAATTGGAGGTCCCCATCGCCTATTCTGTACTAGCTTATAGATTGGCTCGGTCTGCAGGAATCTTTCCATTTCTAAGCGAATGTGCAGTAACTAACTAGCTAACTAAGTATGTACTAGCAAGTATTGGGAGATTCTAGGAGATTCTCGATCTTGGTTGTCTTTTTTGATTATTTGATTATATGACTCTTTCGGAGATACCGGGATCATGCAGGCAGAACTTTTTTTTTTCATTCTGGAATAATCAAGAATTCCTTATTCATGGCATTTGAATTACTTTTTTCGGTCTTTGATATTTGAAATCAGATGAAAGGAAATGACTTGATGCTGTGATTACTTATTTAGTAAATTGATAAAGTTAGGTGGGGTTTTTGTGGCTGATTTCGGAAAGCCCACCCAAACCATAGAGAGCAGTTGTTAAGGGGATATACATGATAGAGAGGGAAAAGAGTAGGAAGATCGCATCAGAGACCAAAACGGGAGAGGAAAATGAAATGCAAAAAATTAAATAAAAAATAAAACATGGAATTCCCCAAAATAGGCAATTCTGGGAAAATTTTCTTTAAAAATTCCTATTATTATGCACAGACAGCGTCCGGTAGATCAGTGGATCCGACAAACCCCGGTAGGACAAGTCCGCGGTACATTCTAACGTATTATTCAGTATATTCAGTATGCTTGGTAACCATTCGTACGAAAGATAACCGCTATCGCCCGAAAGGGATAGATTACGGCCGATCGCTCGGTCACCATACAGAAAAATACGGAAATATTAACGGAGAGACCGATCAAGCAGGTGTACTGTGCTCCACTATGCCAGCCCATTGGGTCTCCCTAGCGGCCCCGAATGGGAGAACGTCATGTACTAAACGTATGTGGAAGCCATCGATCTTTCTGTTCTTAAGCCCAGCTCTTTCCCTCCCGTCCTTCCTTCATTTGATCTTCATTACTCATAACTGATATTCACATACTTGATATTACTCTTGACTGATATTATTTTATTTCCCATATAATATCCTCCCCAAAGGTAATTTGACTCATCTTCCCCATCATTCCCATCCGACTCATCCCACATCCAGACTTTCTCTAACCTTTCCCAATAACCAGACTTGAACATATTAAGGTTCACCCGGTTCCATCTATCTTTACGATCACGAGCCACTCTCGACGTTTCCAGACTCTTCGCATTATTCTCTCTACCCAACGAACTTTGGTCCCAGAACCAAAGCACTAAAACCGATCGGACTTTCGCCCAAGGATCTCTCGGACCTTAAGCCGTCGGAATTCCAACTATAAAAGCTCGCCATCCCCGGTGGCGAACACCTTCCACCCCATTCTCCACTCGCTGACGTCCTATACGTGATAACATAATGTTTATGTATCCACGTAAGGGTCTCATCACCGATCCATACAACCAAGAAGACATCATCATACAAGACGATCAGTTCCCACCCGAGTTCGCTGAGAACTCTCAGCAGTACCAGCAATCGTACTTGCAACCACCTTTCCAGTACCAAGAGAACCAGTTCGCCTCTCCGCCCTCCTCCGCTCCGTCCTCACCCACTTTCTCTTCCCCGACCTTCTCCATTACACACCCACCTCAGGCGCTTGACAGCCAGTCTTACGGGGCTCCTTCGATGACCCCGGCCTCTTCCTATAATCCGTCCTTGGACATTCAGAGCTCTGCCTCGCCACCATCACAGCAATATCTGTCACAATACCCTCAATACTATTCGCCCATGTTGGCCCAACCGCCTCTAGCTCCCAGCAACCAAGCTTGGGATGGCAACTTGCAGCTGTTGAGCCCCGCTCGCATTCCTTCCTACCCCCAGAAGGCCTCTCCTAGCTCGACTTCTTCACGATCTGCACCCATCTCTCAACATCGACGATCTGATAGCTCTAACAAGCCGCTCCCCACACCGGTGCAGACTCCTCTCCAGAACTCTTTCTTGGCGCCGGCATTCCAAAATTACGACCCATTGATCAATGATGGGAGCAGTGTGGAAGCCGAGTTTGCGATGAGACGGGCGATTATCGACCAGCAATATAAGCACCAACATTCATCCCCTCCTCAGCACCAGCAGGGCGAGTACTCGCATTCTTTGGCTCCCTCCGTTTCTACTGTCAGCCAGAATTCGCCAGTGACCCCGCAGACTACTCTTGACGAGCTTGAGGACGCTTCCAAGTCGATGACCAATGGTGAGACCCGATTTCCTGAATTTGACCGGTGGATGGACCAGTACTTACAAAGCGACGTATTCTCAGAATACGCCAACGGTAACGCTGGAATGCCAATTGGCGTCACTAAGCTCAACCGCACCATCTCCGATATTTACCAAGACGAGCTTTACAACCCATCCATGATGGCCGCTCCCCAGATGTCCAAGCCGATGAGCCAGAATTCGATGGCTTCTCGCAATGTTATCGCCGACCGATTGCAGGCTGCTAACCAGGGCCACATGTCTGCTCGCTCCCAGTCCCCAGTTTCTGGCATGATTAAGCGCGAACGATCACCCTTCCGCCAAAACTCTCCGTTCACATCCGATATGAATGCGTCCGGTTTGCAACCGCAGATGGCTACGAGCGTTCCCATGTCTCACAATGGCATGTCTATCGCTTCTACGATGAGCCAGAGTGATCTAAAGACCATGTCCCCCAAGGATGCGGTCTTGGATTTCAACGAGGGTGAAGATGCCGCTATGGCTCCTCTTTTCCCTCCCCAGCAGGCCGATTTCAACCTTGGTGATGCCCTTGGACTGCGCCGCGAGAGCTCAGGATCATCGCTTCAGCCAGCTTTGACCACCATGGACGCATTCCCTTCCCAATACGCCCCGGTCCCGCAAGCGCCTTTCGCTTTCGCTCAGCAAAGCCACCACCCTCATAATTACATGCAGCAGCAGTCTAAGCTCATTTCCGACCTTCCTCGGGTGGACTCCAACGGTAGCGATCTACACTCTTCTGCGGATATGACCCCGCAAGCTCACGCCAAGCCAATCTCCCGACCCACCAACACCAATTCAGACGCGGGCACTTACACCTGTACCTATCATGGCTGTACCCTTCGATTTGAATCGCCTGCTAAGCTTCAGCGACACAAGCGTGAGGCGCACCGACAGACTTCCCCTGGTGGTCATTTGATTACTCGGGATACTTCGCTACGCAATTCTCAGGCGGGCCCGCACAAGTGCGAGCGTCTCAACCCATCTACTGGAAAGCCTTGCAATTCTGTCTTCTCTCGCCCTTACGATCTGACTCGTCATGAGGATACGATCCACAATGCACGCAAGCTCAAGGTACGGTGCCACTTGTGCACCGAAGAGAAGACATTTAGTCGCAACGACGCTCTCACCCGACACATGCGGGTGGTGCACCCAGAGGTTGATTGGCCAGGCAAGCAGCGTCGCCGGGGAAGAGATTGAGTTATCCGAAGGGGGATGGGATTATCATCATCATGACGATTAAACCCTTTCATCCTTTCTTTTTTTCTTTCTCTATCTCATTTTCACCAGTGAGGTCTGACGTCACACCAATCCCGATCCAGAGAAGGGACCCACACTGCGTCCCAGATCGTCGGTGCCCATTTCCATTTTGGGTCTGCGGACTGCCGATTATTGAGGCCTTGTGGCCTGAACACCCTCGGCCACTGACGTCATCTTCGAGTTTGTCCTTCACCGTTCGGGCTGACGTCGACTATACGTCGACGATCGAATCACAATAACACAGAATGACGCACCCCACCCTCACACTATGGATGGCTTCCCCCATGCCCCCCTGCCTCGCCTGACGTGTGCGGGTATCTTGGCACCTCACCGATCCATGTTCGCACATTCTCCCAAGAAAATGAAATTGGCATGTACCCCGTCTGTATAGGCCTGTTTCGTGGGTTTCAATTGCTTGCATCTTTTTCATGTCTGTTACGATACTCATTTTTCACTTGTATTATTATCCAATCCTCCTTGTTTATGATCTCACGCGATGATGTTTCCTTTTTTGCATGCAATTATCCTTCGCATTGGCTGGTGCTTTTTTTGTTATTTCGAATATTCGAAAAGGGCGGTGTTATATACTAAAAAGGCTCCGTACAATCTTGGCTCTTTTTTTCTACCATTTTTTTTCATTGGTTACTTGTACCATATGGCCAAAAAAAATTGTGTATACTATGGGAAAGCGGATTGGGAATTGTATAGCTTTTTGATAGATTCTGAACATTGAACTTCAAACATTTCGAACCATCTTTTCCAATCAATCCACCTCCGTAAGCTTTTTTATTTGTTTTCTTACTAGTACGTAGATTGTTAACTGGCAGTCAATTGTAACCCGTACCCGTTGAACATTTGAAACCCGCCGATGAAAGGGGGTCAATTGGGAACTTATCGCGTCTATGACCTATAGACTTACAGCTAGGGGAAGGTACTTTGGAACTTCCAAGCCATGAATCCACCCGCCCCACCTTCAGCTGCTTCAATCCACCAAAGGACTTGAAACACCCCCCCCCGTCGGCAGTCTGCACAGATCACCATCCCAGCTAGTAGGTACAGTAGCCGCCCGCGGCCTGCGGAACAAAACACAAAATAAGCCTTGTCACCAATAACAATGCCGATCGGACCCTCCCCATGTACAAGGTCGTGTATATGGGTCGCATGTACGGAGGCTAGTAAGCTTCGACCCTTGTAGAATGACCATGTAAACAGCAAAAAGGAGCGAAAATCAATAACCTCGTACTCCGTAGCTGGTTAGCAAATGGCCCCCGCAAGCACCACAACCCATTTTAGCCTATAGTAGTATTTCCCCTTGTCCTCTTTTTCTTCCTGCCCCCATCTCATCTCTTAGGTACCTCTTCTCTCTTATCCTTGCCCTACCTTCCAGAAGTAGTTGGTACTTCTTTCGGAAGACAATGTCCATAGACAGGAATAAGATCGGGTTTTCGTAGCCGGAGTTTAGGATCGAACCCCTCTTCTCCTTGTTGCCAAATACAATTTTTGAGTCAGTTATGCCGGTAAAGAAAGTTGAATCAAAACCTTATCTGTGTGTGTGGACATGGCCTAATAAGGGAATTCCGACTCCGTAGCTACTAGTAGATCCATGACTAGTGTTGTATTTTGTTACTTTATGTAGATAACGGCCGACGACTCGACCACGACCCCTCGATCCCTCGATCTACATCAATTTGATGACGCGAGCTTAGAGATAAATGATTAATACCAGACACATTGTATGATAATAAATGAATCACAACTGAGTAATCCAAGAAAAAATTAATCTATTCTGGTGCCTGCTAATATGTAAGGAAGTCGAAACACGAATCCAAGCTCCATATACTCCATCCGATTGGCAACTTAGCACAAACAATTGAATTTGACCTCATCCACGAAACATCCAGTGGAATCCAAAACGATAGGCCCAATATCGCATATCACAATCCCACCCAACCGAAAATGGCAAGAAGAGGGGGGTATCAGCTCCCAAGTCCACGTACGATGTGCATAACATGTGTCGAAAAAGAAAAAGAAAAAGTGGAGTAGAACAAAAGGAAACCAGTCTAAAAAAGCCACAAAAACAAATGATTCATGTACACAAAATAGGGTCATACGGAGATGTGGACCCAAGCCCAACCCCGGCTCTTTTCTCCAGGTCTCTGATGCAATCATCTAAGACATTATGTAGACAAAGAAGACCCCAAAAAGGAATGGAAACTCATTGGAAAAGGATTGGGTTTCCACTTGCGTTTGGTGTCATCTTTTTCCCCAGTTGGTCCCCACATGTGGAGTGTGTGGCTTTCAGATTATGCGATTAAGCGATTATCATTGCTATACTGGGGCAACATTGGATGTACATTATTGCCCGTAGTGGCTACATACATTCCACATGTAGTACTCCGTACTCAGCTAGGACCCACTAGGCTACCCGAGTCCGTTATGTATTCCGTCCGTATGAGGGGTGGGTTATCGATAACGGAAATATGGGACTCGAGTGTATTTCTCTGTATTTCTCTGTATTCATCGGTATGTGGCTGTGCGGATGACTAAGGAGGTGGTATTTTTTGAACGGCGTAATTTGGCTAAACCGCTTTCGGATGAGTGGGGCTTGTTGACGAAGTGGGATGTTCAAGTTGGATGTGGCTTGCAAGGTGGCTTTTTGGGAGTGGTGTGTTTCGAGTTTCGTGTACATGTTTGCTATTAATAGAGTTGGATAGTGGCAGGGATTGGATCGTGGGTGGTGCACATGTGTTGTTTTGGGTTTGTATAGCAGGTGCCTACAAGTATGTATTGTTCCAAGGTTGTGTTGGTAATAATTTTACTGCATCTTGTGGTGGCGATGCTGGAACATTTGAAAACAGAAAACTGGAAGCAACTGGGTATATTTCAAGTTTTCGGTGAATCACCTGGCCATGTTGATATTCTGAGCTCAAGATGAGGTAAACGGTTGTCAAGTGAAGTTTAAAATCTAAAAAGTTAGATCGGTACTTGTGACTTGCTAACAATCACATGATGGGCACGAGACCAAGCTTGAATTGAGTGAGTCACAGTAGTTGGAGAACTCACAAGAAGGATATAGCAAGATTTGGAAAAGCTGAAGAGAATGCAAAATCTGTTCTTCATTAAAATAGGAATAGCTAGCAAATGCAAATTGGCTGTACATCTAAGAGAAACTTAACTGTCGTATATACTATATTCCCTCTTTATAACCTCCAGGGCTTTTCATCATTGGGCCTTGAACCGTATAGCAAGATTCCCAAAACCTCCCCCATTCGCCCCCGATCGCTCATGGGCACTATGCCTTAGTACTTGCTTCATCTCCTCACTTCCAACCATCTCAACATACTCCGCAGCACTACCCCAAGCCCCCCTCGCCTCAGGATCAGCCCCATGCTCCAACAACCACCGAACCCGTCCCACCGCACCGGCCATCACGGCATACATAATAGGGTGATGCACAACCACCCTCGACTGGCCCATCTGATTCACATCCGCCCCCCTCTCGACAAGCAGCTCCATAATTGGAATTCGACTGGCATCAAACTCCTTAGTTATAACACTCCGCGGCATGATGCCAGGTGAGCAAGCCCCCGCTGCAAAGTGCAGTGGAGTACCATAATGAATCGATGCCCCGGCATTCAGAAGTAAGCGCACCGCATCGACAGACCCCCGCGCCGCAGCCGCTTCCAGCGCGGCACAAGATTGCGGATGAGGCGGACCGGCGATATCACTATCGTGGTGAGCGCCTAGATTTGGATTTGCGCCGTGCGCGAGAAACCAACACAGCACGGGCAGATGGGTTACTACTTTTGGAAGCAGGAGTGTTCCATAATCACCGGGGAAATTGGGGCCCCAGCCCGACTGCGCGAGAAGTTCGAAGAGGTCGATTTGGCAATCTGGTGGTGCGGAGAGAATGTGAGCGGGAGTGTTAGGGGTTATTGGTGCGCCGGTTGAAAGGAGATAACGGGCGATCTCGACATGGCCGGACTCGAGCGACAATATGAGACCGTGGTGGAGGAATGCGCGGGAGCGGGATTGTTGAGAAACGAGCGCGTGGACTGTGTGAATGTCGCCCGATCGACAGGCGGATTCAAAGGAGGCAAAGACAGTGGCTATCTCGTTCAGGAAGTTGCGCTGTTCCAACTCTGGTTCCGCGGCTAGAGGTAGTATTGTCGCTGCTGGTGGGAAGCTTGGCGCTATAAAAGATAGGCGGTTGTTCACGTGGCCCATTCCTAGTTCTCGCTCCTCGTCTGCTCGCCTTGATGGCTCTTGATGCATCATTATGCCTACTTCGCTGAATGACATTGTTGGATTTTTGGCAGATTAGATGGGGAAGTTGAAATCAACCGGCAATCTTGTGGGGAGAGCCTCATGCCTTTTAAGGATTAGTCTCGTAGGCGGTCCGATGACTCAGCATGAGACTGGTCGAAAAGATGACCTGTTCCATGTTTTATCTGCATCAAGGAGATTTTTCCAATGTGATTTGAAGAGTTCCCGTTGCATTTTCCTCCGTATTTGATAGATCTTACTTCCGATAGCCCATTTTAAGGTGCATAATCGATCCATGGATCACTCATACAACTTGCATGGAATACCCGTACTTGACCCCACTGCACAACAATCAAGTTATTTTGCACTTCCAGTACTTGAGGGATTTGAGAGCTTGCTCTGCACGCTTTGAAATTTTGTTGTTCTTTATAAAAAAAAAAGGAATAATATGTTCATTACCGGCTTATAACCCAGCTTGTTATAGAAGAAAAAAAATACATAAAGTGGAAAAAACAAAACAAAGAAAGACAAGGAGACTATGAATAACCTCGGTTCGACCGACGAGCCTGCTCGCGTGAGGAATCAAAATCACCAGTGGTCTCAACGGTCGTCTCAATCTCGGTCTGAGTAAATATCTTTCCGTCCGGGATGATAATCCGATCCTCACTCGAATTATCCCGCTCCCCAGCACCAATCTGCGTACCCAAACCAACATCATCATCATCTCCGCCGCGCATAGTGTTCATAGTGATTTGATTCGGATCGGTCACTTTAGTGAACCCGGATCCGTACTTCCGAGCATCGGTGTTGCCCGACCATGGACCGTACTTGCGTCCACTGCTGTACTCGCCGATGAAGCGGGGAATGAAGCGAGAAGCGATGGCCTTGAAGGAAGGGATTGAGGCCGCAAAGATGCCGACGTTGGTTTCGATGACGGACCAGTACATGGCACCGCTGATGGCGTATGTGTAATCGGCGGAGGTGAGCATGGCAGGGATGTAGGTAATTCGGATGATAGATGAGATACAGGCACTGGAGGCGCATGTTAGAAGAGACAGAAAGTGGGGGTGAATGAGGAGATAGGAGGATGATTCGACGTACAAGAGACCCAAACAGAGAATAAAGACAAGCGCAATCTTCTGCTTTTGGGGCATTTGTAGCTTGAAGATTACTCGCACAGGTAATGTGTAAGTCAACAGATCGGTCAGAATGTTTAGAGCCGCGTTGCAGAGATAGAAGACGTTGATGTTCACGCATGTTCCTGGGCCGGTACTAGTCCAGGCCATGCTGACCGGTGTGCATTGAAAGGCGGCAACCAGCACGAAGGAACCGGCCTGACAGATAATAACACCTATCATGATCCAGGAGATCCGAGTGAGATAGCGGTCTCCGAGTCTAGTATAAAACCACAAGACGGAGGTCTTGATGAATCCAAGACATGCAAGATAGAACATTGAACTCAACCAAACCGCCTAAGGAGTATTATTAGTCGATAGTAATGTGTGAGTAAATACTGCACGTGAGAGCCTTACAAAGGAGTAGTTTAGAAGTAAGCTCTTATCGGTATATTCATAGTGTTGACCAAGTCCATTTTTGACAGCTGATACTTGTTAGATTTGATTGAAAAAAGTTCATCGTATTTGGTGAACTTACCAGAAATTACAGCTCCGATGAATGCCCAAGCAAGAAGCTAGTAGATTCAGGTTAGTACATGTCGTGAGATTTTCCAAGGGTTGAGGTTCCCCCCTTACAGCAGCTCCTATGATAAGATCTGGAATCGAATCATCAGTATAGTGTCCTCAAATAAGATAAATGAAGCATTACTCACAGTCATCGACACCCATTTTACCCAATACATAGACTCGAGCAAAGAGCCTCAGCGCCAAAACGATAAATGTCAAGATGGCGAATGCTAGACAAATGCCCAAGACCACCGGTCCTTGAGAACCATGATCGCTTGTCACCTGCATGATTGAAAAAGAAGAGAGAGAAAGAAAACGAGTGAATGTAACTGGAAACCAGCAAAAAAGAGAAAATAAGATTAGAGAAACCAGATTAAGGCATGTATGTGCTATACGCAAGAGTCGTCTTTGTATGCCACCAGGACAAGAAATAGAAGTTGATGTCTATAGCATCAAAGGGAGAAGAAAAAGGGAAACATAAAACACCAGGCCAGAATCTGGAACATGAACCACTTTATCCCACTGCAGATATGCACGTCCCCTATACACGAACGAGAACGAAAGGCATTATCCTAGAAGATTCTGATCCACAACAAGAAAAGGGATTGACAAAAGCCAAACCAAAAGAAAAGAAAGCTGCCGATCAATGGTACAAATGTCTTCAGGCCTCGGCTAGGCTTCTCCCCGACCATTGAGACCCGATTTTATCCAAGGGCTTTCAGAGTGGTGATTCGTTCAGCTGCAGAATGCTCGAGTTCTCTCCAAACGTGGGATCCACATAACAGGGATATTTTGGTGTTTGAGCATGCTAAATACCCACACTAAAGGATTTCTTAGCACGAGAAGAGGACGTTGGTACAGGTGGAGTTTGTGGTTTATGCTAGCAGGGATGCTTAACGTCTCGCTGATCATTGCTGTTCAGGGTTAATAGACTGGAAAAGATACGAGAATAATATTGAAAGGAGGTTTGAAAAGTGTATATCTGTCAAGAGCCCGTTAATATTTACAAACCTTGGAATGTTTCTATAAGTAGATGATCTCGATAGCATCGTATCGCATCTCATCTCATCGTCTCAGGAAGTTGGAACGGGAGCGTGGGGCTCCGGTGTATTTCCCCATAGAAAAATTTCCCAACTGCCTACTTGGGATTTAGTCCGTGTAGTTCCTGGTTATGAATTCAAGTCAAGACGATCTTAATTCAAGTAGATCCGTACTTTTTGTTGACAGTAAACCTACTAGTAAGTAACCTTTGACAGGACGCCGCCAGAGTTTAATGTGAAGCTAAGAAAAAGCGAAGAAAAGGAAAAAAAAAGGAAAAAAAGTGGTTCTCAAACTTTTTGGCATGCTAGTTTGAAATTCAAGTCTCTATCAAAGGAGAAAAGAAAAATATGATACATGGTGAGGGGGAAAAAGTTGATTCTCGTTTCAGGGGTCCCTCAGTTGCCCTTTGGTTCCGTTCCACTTCGCAATAAGCCCCACTACTGAAGCCATAGCAGAAGCTAACGCACCTCGATCTGCAGGAGGACCCATTCCCCCCCTCCCCGACCCGTCCAGAGAGGAGAAGGAGAAAGAACAAGAAAAAGAAAGGTGGAACATTGCTTTTGTCCCATTGTCCAATTATGGTCATGCCAATAGCCGTTAAGCGAGATTGGCTGCAAAAACCCCCGAAGGTACACGACGCTGACGACGAAATAGCTTCTTTTGAGTTTGTCTATTTTTTTTGACAGCTCGGAACTGTTGATGCCCTGGAATCAGAGTTTTCAAGGGCTCATCACCAAAAAAAAGTACAATCCCAGTTCGCTTACTACATACTCTAGAATACTTCACACCAGCTTGGACCCTTCGTTCTCTCCCCAGTGGACCAAGTGCGCAGTAACAGACCACAATAACGGAGTCCATTATGGAGATGGCCCCATGGTCCGATGACCCCCGATACATGATGCCCATCAACCGTGCCGGACTGCCACTCCCGTCGCATCATTGCCTCCTTTCGGTACAAAGTGTGCGATGCCGGATTGCCAAGGTATCGATCACCGTTGGATCGACACTCGTTTACTCAACCCGCGAATCATGTATCATCTAAACTTGAGCCGAAGACCTGACTCGAGAAAAGTGGAGGTTTGGCCCATGATCATTGAAACCTTCTCGCTAAAAGATTTAGGGCGAGTCAGACGGACACTATTGAACACCCGGATGGAACATGACAGGTAGTGGAGAAAGCCCCCTGAAAAAGCATCTGGGTGTTCAATATTGTACAGCTCAACCTACCATGTAGACAGAGATTGCGTTACGGAGTAGTACATTGATCTTCATTCAAGTCCTTGATGTTCCTGAGTTGGTCCGTTCACTTGAACACGTAACCAACCGCGTGCCCATTATCATCAACCTCCAGATGTCGTCTTTGACGGGCCGTTAATGACATTTCTCCGAGTTTATTGCATATTGACTCGAGTATGCACTATGTGTCTGGAGCTCGAACTCGTGGGCCTTAATTGACAAGCCGAACCCCTGAATAGAAGCATTCAATTGGCCTACATGGGGCAGCAGGATTCACTGGCAGTTCAAATTGCAAGAATGTACTCTAGATGGTGGAACTAGTGCTTTTTACTCCGAGCCCTACTTACTTCAAAAGTACGGAGTACATACTCCGTATAGACGGAGTATATCCGTAGGAACGTAAATAGCAGACTTCTGTTGACAGGAACCTTTCTCCTAGTGGACCCAGACAACTGCCGATCTTTGTTCCACCAGACAACTTTTGGCTCCGCAATGCTCCTTTGAACGGATTGGCAATTAGAAGTCCAATTTCTCTCTTTGACGATCCTCGTTTTATGGAGAATTCTAGACTGCACTTATTCTTTTCCGAACTCCAATGTATAACCAGTTTTCATGCCTTCCAGAGCCTCCGAAATGACACCCCCACAGGTTCAAGCGCCATAGCGCAGAAACTAGGCTGTACAATAAAGAATGATGATAATAAAAAAAGGGGAGAATTGACCCAGAAAGCACAGGAGATGAGCAATTGGTCCCCAAAACCGTTAGACTAGACCCAGTCAAGTGCAGTAACTAAAGTACTAGCAACTCGCCGCAAGTGGGCACACCTACGCTGTTAAGCCAATGACTACACTCTTCTTACGGATACACATGCAAGAATCTTTGAACAGAGGGGCTATCTGTAGCCTGCTTTGAGTATTTTGAAAGCTGCTTCCCACATTTATTTTCTTCAGTACTTCGTACTTCGTACATTGGGAATTTTATTTCCTCAGATGCTGGCATTTGTCTGTTAACCATGGGTCTTGCCAATGTGCTGTCACTGTTGACAGTGACAAATGTCCTTTTGCCTCTCGTTGCATACTTTGTGTTTAAGATTGTGTACCAAATCGTTTATTATCGCTTTTTCCACCCACTTTCTGCTTTCCCCGGTCCGTTCTGGGCGTCTGTGACTCGACTCTGGATTGCAAGCCAGAACTTGAAAGAGATTGAGTACCTGACTTGCCATGAGCTTTCAAAGAAATATGGTAAGCTCTTCGCGCAAACATAACGTGTCTGTTCCCGAACAATGATTGATTTGGCTGCTCTCCATAGGACCTGTCGTTCGAATTACTCCCACGTTGCTGCTGGTCAGCGACCACTCCAAGCTCCCAGAGGTCTACCACCGCAATGCCGACAAAACCGGACACTATATCACCGGCAGTTTTGGAGAAACTGAAAGCCTGTTCAACATGAGATCGCACAAGACTCATTCCGTCTTCAGGAAACACGTCGCCGGACCTGTAAGCTCACACAGGCGCATAATAATCTAAAAGCTTCTATACTAACAAAATAAAATAGTACAGCTTCACCAACATCAAGCGCATGGAACCGTTAATCGACGCCCGAATCGAAGAATGGAGCACCAAGCTCGACGACACATTCGTCAAATCCGGTGAATCCTTCGACTTCGCCTGGTGGGCAGTGTAAGCTTCATTCTTTTCCCCCTCCAACTCGCCCCAAAACTAACCCTCAAAATAGCTACATGGCCTACGACATCATCAGCGAAATCGGCTTCGGAGCTCCCTTCGGCTTCATCGAAAAGGGCGAAGACATCGGCGGCCTAATCCAAGGCTTCCACGACGGCCTCCCAGCATTCGGCCTCCTCGCCCGCCTACACCCCTTCACATCCTGGATCAAAACCACCTTCCTAAAGAAATACCTCGTAGCCACACCATCCGACGACTCCGGAATCGGCGTCCTCATGCGCTTCCGCGACAAGCTAATCAGCGAGCGCCTCGAAGACATCAAATCCGGCAACAAGGCCCAGCGCGTCGATCTCCTCCAAATGCTCCTCGAAGCACGCACAGACGAAGACAAGCCACTTGACCTCGAATACATCCGCGCAGAAGTCCTTCTCGTCCTCCTCGCCGGCGCTGACACAACCGGAACCGCATTCCAGGCCATGGTCCAGTTCCTGATGGAGAACCCAGACGCCTACAAGCGTATGATGGACGAGATTGATGCCGCTTCCCAGAAGGGTCTTTTGTCCGAGATGCCGCAGTACGATGAAGTCCTCGCCCATCTCCCATTTTATGTGGGCTGTGTCAAGGAGACTATGCGTCTTTGCCCTTCTGCGCCGAACATTTTCCCGCGGTATGTGGCTGAGCCGGGATTGGAGCTCTTTGGTAAGTTTGCGCCGGCTGGGACGGAGATTTCGTGTAACCCGTACCTTGTGCATCGGGATCCGGCACTTTATGGGGATGATGCCGAGGAATTCAGACCCGAGAGGTGGTTGGATGAGGAGCGGGCGAAGCTGTATAATAAGTATAATATGGCGTTTGGGTATGGGTCGCGGGTTTGCCTGGGTAGGGATATTGCGATGATGGAGCTGTTCAAGGGCCCTTTGCAGGTGAGTTTTACCGAAATCTTTGATATGAGTTGGAAGGTTTTTGTTTTCTAATCGATTTTTTTGAATTTTTTTTAGTTCTTCCGCTCCTACAAGCCTGAGCCTGTCAAGGGCAAGCCCGAGGCCAAGTTTGTGGTGAAGGGTGGTGTTGGGTACTGGAAGGATGTTTGGTTGACTATCTCGAAGAGAGAGACCAAGGCCCAGTGAGATTGGGAACCTGCTATTTCAGTGAATGTACAGTTTTTTTCCCGACATCTGGAGATTTAAATGAATAGATATAGAATGTTTGAATCCGAGTTCCTTGTGAATCGTCTCAAGTACATTATAGTAAGAATGGCAAGTAAAAACATTGAATGCGACCGGTGGAAGAAAATGGCGACGTCTACCAGTACTTAGTACTTACTAATACTTACATGTAGTACTTGCATTGTCAAAAAGTACTAGTAATTGAAACAAATCGACCAATAAAAGAAGTATGCCGGCTGACATAAATCAATCATTATGCATATATCCGTGAGCCAATCATAGTATTGACTAGCCAGGAAGACATGTATAGTCCGCAAAGGTTGGTATATGTAGATCAGCACACGCCAATACTCAACCTGTGAGTCATTTAGCATGCATGGGCAAGTGCAGTAGAAGAACAAAACAGGCTTGAATTTATCAATATGTAACGTAATGTATCATCAGAATTAACAAGAAAAGCCGAGACAATTTTTTGGTTCCGTCTTTTCGACTGCCCGAAATTCACAAGTATTGCTTAACATGCTACTCGATCGACTTGATACCCATGACCGCATCCTAGAAGACAATATTAATAACCGGACCATAACAAAACAAGTGGTAATGGTGGTACTTACTCTGGCAACTTTGTACAAGGGTGTGATACCAGTCCAGTATTCGAACTATCAAAATCATTAGCATTGTACTCCGAATCAAGAGAAAAGATAGAACATACCTGGTGCACGCCTTGACCAACAAGAACCTCCAATCCAGGGATCGTCTTCCAGCCCGCACCGGAAGCCAGCTCCATCAGCGCTGTCACGGAGGGCTTGTAGGCCATTTCGAGAAGCACACGAGGAGACTCAGTCGATGTACCATCGGTCTTGGCACTCTCAAACATCTTGCTGAGAGTTTCACGCATGGCGGGATCAATGGGACGGTCTGCGGGGATAGTGCCGACAGCGACATGAGGAACGGTGTCAATTTGAGCGTGGTTATCCACGATGCGGATGTTGTAGCTGGACGGGAAAGTCGAAACCATACCCTCAAGCTTGCTGGCGGTACGCCCGACCACGTAGATAGGAGAGTAACCCATGTGGTGAAGGGCAAAGATAGCAGCACGGGCAGTACCGCCGCCACCAACGACAACAGCGCTTTCGGTGCCGCTTGATCCGTAGATACCCTCGTTGCGCAGGGATTGAATCATACCTTGCCAGTCGGTGTTGTATCCGACAAGCTTGCGCTTACCGGCGGCGTCCACGGGAACGATGGTGTTGACGGCACCGATGATCTCGGCCTCCTGGGCGACTTCATCCAAAAGAGGCATGATGTCGAGCTTGAGGGGAATAGTCACGGAGGCACCGCCGAATTCAGGAGCGTGGATGAAGTCCTTGACTTCCTCCACGTTTGTAGTCTCGATGCGACCATACTCATGAGGGAGTCCCATCTCGGCAAAGAGGGTGTTGTGAAGGGCGGGCGAGCGGGACTGGGAGACAGGAGAGCCAAAGATGGCGTATTTCTCGGTCTTGATCTCACCCATAAGTGAGAGACCCTTGCGGATCTCAGTTGCAGACAGCTGGCCAGGCGCCGCCTTGAAGGGCAGGCTTGGGTGAGACACAGGGGTCATGAAAGCATTGAGAATGCGGCTAAGCTGGCCGTTGTCACCCATGTTGATGGCGATCAACGGGACACTGTGTGCCTGTGCAGCCCAGTTCTTGAACTTGCGCAGAGCAGTGTTATCATCAAGGCTCTTGGCAACGCCCACAAGCTTGATTACATCACCGTACTCCAAAGCACGGTTGTAGGAGGGAATCCAAGACATGTTAGCCCAAGACAGCTTTCCGAGCGGGTCATGGTGGGACGCAATAATCTTGGAGTGACCCTTGATCTCAGCGACGGCGCGGAGCATCTCATCGGGAAAGGCAATCTCAAGATCCACAAACTCAGCTCCAGCGCGGAATGCTAACCGGTACAGTTGCATGGCAGCATCGTGAGCATCATCGGGGAAGCGACCACCCTGGCTCTTGGTGCGAATGGTGAAAATAAGGGGCAGAGAAACGCGCTTGCGGAGGAAAGACATTTGCTCATTGACATAGTCCAGGGAAGGAATGTCACCATCCGCGTTGGGATCCTTCAGCAGATCAACGCGCAGCTCCACAGCATCAGATCCAATGCAGGCCTGAGTCAGGATCTCGCTGCACTGACGCAGATCAGGCAGGGTCAAAGAGACGAAGAAACTGTGCTCCTTCTTCTTGATAGCATCGAGTTGATCCACTTGACCGGTAACCACCTTCATGAAACGGTCGAAGTCTTCCGATGCTAGCGCAAGCTCCGTTGTATTAGAGTGCTGGCTGTAGTACTGGATGTTGCTGCATTGTTGGAACCAAGGCTTCCGGCGCAGCCACACTCCCATCATGTCCTCCACGTAGGCGGGACGGGTCTTGTCGATGTTCAAGAAGTCCATGACAAGGTTAATGTCACGCATGACCAGAAGGACATTGCCCTTGCTCTGGTGCCATTCGGTCAAAAGCTTTCGGGCCTCGGGCATCTCTACCACACCACCACCGCACGCGAACACGTAACCGTTTGGTCGATCTTGCATGCAACGCTTGAGCGTAGCGAGCTCTGCATCGCGGAATCCTTCCCAGCCGCGCTGTTTAATCATTTCGGGAATAGTCATGCCTTCTGTTGCCTCAAGATCGTTGTCGAGATCGATAAAGGGCCTGTCAAGACTCTTGGCAACCCAGCTGCCGGTGGTAGTCTTGCCAGCACCACGCATGCCGATGATGAAAATGGATGCACTGGCCTTTTCTTCCTGGGTCGAAACAGTTGACTCATGCTCAGTCAACTCCTTTCCATCAAGGTTCACGTCCCAGATCTGCTTCAGAGCATCCCACCATGCGGGCCAGGTCTTACCGACACATTCCTTCTCAAGAATCAGAGTAGACTGAGGAGCAACAAGGGACAGGACACTGAAGCTGAAAGCAACACGGTGATCATCGTAACAGTAAATACCACCGGAGGGGAATCGAAGGGTGGAGCGATCAATACCATCAATCTCCAGACCGTCATCATGTTCACGGCAGACCACGCCAAACTTGGCTAATTCGTCCTTCATGGCCTTGATACGGTTACATTCCTTGACGCGCTGGTTTGCAATTCCATAGATACGGGTTGTGTGATTTGTGCCCTCGCCACGGGCAACAGCTGCGAGAACAGAGGCAGTGAGGAAAGCATCCGTCATGGGCTCCATATCCACGTTGGCAAGGGGACGGAGAATGCCGCTACTGGGGCCGGTAACGGTAGTAGAGTTGTCGCTTTGTTCAACCACGCAGCCCATGGGCCTGAGAACATCAACTGCGAAGCGAGCATCGCCCTGGAGCGACTTGGAGCCAATGTTGGGAACGGTGCACTTTGTGCCTGTGATGGCTGCAATTGCCAGAGGATAGGTTGCGGAGCTAGCATCGCTCTCAACGACATACTCGGCAGGGTTCACGTAATGACCCTGAGGAATGTGGTAAGTGTGCTCCTCGGTGGTGGACTTCTTCACATCAATGCCGAAAGATCGCATCATGGCAGTAGTCATGTCAATGTAAGGCTGGGAGATAGGCTTGCCTCCAACCAGTCTCAAAGTCACAGGCTCCTTGGCGTAGGGAGCACACATGAGCAACGATGACACATACTGAGAAGAAACTTTAGCAGCCAAGTTGATGTTGCCTCCAGCAAAGCCACCGGAAGCGGCAATCTTAAGGGGCAAACTGCCCTTGCGCTCCATGTACTCGACACCAGCTCCGTTGACAGTCAAAGCATCAACAAGATCACCAATGGGCCTTTGCTTCATTCGGTTGTTACCGGTGAGGATACTGGCATCCACAGTGCTAGGAGTGGCGAGGGTTGCCACAGTGGTCAGGAATCTGGAAGCGGTTCCAGCGTTACCGAGGTAAAGAGCTGATGGGCTGGCAACAATGTTTCCACCCTTTCCGTTAACAACAAGAACTTCACCCTCCTCTTCCCAAGAGAAAGTTGCAGCTCCCAACTTCTCGAGGGCGTTCAACATGACCTCGGTGTCATCGGAGTGTAGGAGGTTCTTGACACGGCAAGTGCCAGAGCCGAGAGCAGCAAGAACCAAGGCACGGTTCGAAATGGACTTGGATCCGGGGGGTGTGCATGTCACGCTAAGAGACTTGGGCACACCAGGATGGACTTCAACGCTGGGAGCCAGAACGATGCGAATTTCTTGGTTGGAGACGGTGCTGGCTCTGGGCTCATGAGTGCGTCCAATGGCAGACAGCAGGACAACCTTCTTCTTGGGACCGTCGTTCTTTTTATCAAGTGCCATGTTGAATATCAGTTGATCAACAGAGCAGTGTTTGCCTGCAGTCAATTTACGCACACGAGAGTCCTTCATTGAAGTGGGCAGGCCGTAGGCTGAGATACACTTAACAATACGGGCGACCGCGACACCCTTCAAGATTCCCAGGTGTCGGGCGAGCTCAGCCTCCTTGACCATACCAATCGCAACGCACTCTCCGTGGAGAATCTGAGGAGTCAAAATAGCCTCAATGGCGTGGCCAATGGAGTGACCCCAGTTCAGCAGGTTTCGGAGACCACCTTCACGCTCGTCCGCAGACACAACGAAGGCCTTGTGACGAGCTGAAGCTAAGATTCTAGCCTTCAAAATGTCACGGATGCCGTCGAAACGGCCCTGGCCAGGCTTAACCTCGCTGCGGACAGCATTAAGAATGGTATCCGCGTTGTCCTCAAGCGCGGTAAATTCCTCTTCGCTCGAGATCGCGGCGGTCTTGATAACCTCTGCCATGCCATTGATAAACTCTCGCGCAGGGAGGGTCTCTAAGAATTCCAGATCGATGTAGATCCTTGATGGCTGCCAAATGGCACCAATCAGGTTCTTTCCGAGGGGTGTATCAATGGCAGTCTTACCTCCAATGGAGGAATCCACCATGGCAAGCAGGGTAGTGGGGACTTGCACAACGCGAACACCGCGCATGTAGGTTGCAGCAATGAATCCAGTCAGATCACCAATAACACCACCACCCAGCGCAATGACAACGGTATCACGGCCACATGGCGGGCTTTGGCTCAACATCCAATCTTCGATGTCGGCCTTTGTCTGTCTAGACTTTGAGCTTTCACCTGGAGCGGCATTGTAGACGAGGAGGCGAGGGGTGGGGGATACGGAGGCGGCGGCGGTTTCGAAGGCCTTTTGGAAACTAGGAGTATAGATAGAGCCGAGGTTGGTATCGGTGATGAGGACATAGGTGGTGGAGGGCAAGCCGTTGACCAGGTCTGCCGCGACGTAGTTGCGCCACAAACCAAAATCAGCGACAATGCTCTCCTGGCCCAGGATGCTGATTTTGGTGGGCTCGGTCATGGTGGAGGGCACAGAGGGCGTCGTGATGTTATCTGAGGGATTGAGTTCTACTCTCAATTCATTCTACCATTGTGTTAGTATAACCCTCTTCTCGGTGACTGAATTGGCGGGATTTCCCCCACCGACGGAGCTAGCGACGCAAGGTGCGCACAATTCTGGGGGAATATAAGCCCAAAACTTGTGAAGGAAGAACAAAAAAAAAGACAATTGCTTACCTGGACCGCCGTACAAAGTGTCAGCTTATTATTTCAAGAAATGCGACCAGGATGATAGAAGTAACGGTCAGTTGACTCAAATCTTTCCCCTCCGACTTCGCGGCAGTTCGGTCTTTACCGCCCGATGACTCAGTGCGGTGGCCGGCCACTGTTAATACTAGTAATCCACTACTAGTACCAGTTAAGTTACTAACTACAGTACTAGTTACTAGTAGTTTGCTGTGATTTACGGACGCACGGAGCACTCGGTGATGATTCATAAGATGATCGTCGAGGATGTGACTGGTCAGTTGGGGTAGAAAACATGATAAAAATTGCTTCGCCCCCTCGCATACCTAGTCGATAATTAATATAGGTTGTTTGTTGTACATACCGAGCAAGCCCTAGGTAAACATGCTGGTTAGTAGGCAGTATGTAGTACATAATGAATGGCTTTCAAGGTTGTACGGGATAATCTTCAAAGATCATTTCCGTATTGGGATAGACTACGAGTGATGATGATGCATGAAGCAAAAACGCAAATGGTTTATAGATTTTTAGAGTAACACCAAACGCCTTTTCTACCGTAAGCCCCTTTCGTTGGTTTTTGATGCTCATGAATCCAACATTTGAAGTGGATTAGTCCAACCTTCTACTAGTAACGTCCATAGCCTCCACCTCCACCTCCACCACCACCGCCACCACGGTTTCCTCGGTATCCAGAGTACCCTTGGTTTTGACCTCGTGACCTACCTCCGCGGTAGCCACCGCCGCCTCTGCCCCGGTTGTCGTGAGATCCGTAGTTGTGATGTCCGCCATACTGACCCTGGCTCTGATGACCCTGGTAGTCTCTAGGGGGATACTGGTGGGACATCCCACCATGAGGGGGTGGGGGTGGACCTCGGGAGTAGTCACCAGCGCCCTGTTGTGGGGGTACCCAGCCGGGAGCCATCATTGGCATTCCACCTTGTTGACCACCCTGTGGACCACCTTGACCACCTTGACCCCCATTCATGAAGCGAGGGTCAAGATGCGCCGCGAAAGGGTTAGGACGACCTCCACCGTAGTCCATACGGCCACCTCGGCCTCGGCCTTGCAATGGAGCACCTCCGAATTGGCGGCCCGAATGCTGAGCGCGGCCCTTGACTGCACGAACATCGGCTGAGTTCAGCATAGGCGTTGAGAACTTCACGCCTCGTAGTAGCATGGACTTGTGCAAGTGAGAGGACTTGGGAATAGTGTAATTAACCCTGGGATAAAGTCAGTATCATTGCGATATACCTAAAGTTGGGGCTGAAACTTACGTGAGGGTGCGGTCATCATCGAGACTAGGCATGCCGTAGTCCTCTAGGTTGGAGACCAGGGAGCCATGGGGGATATACGTGTCGCTACGTTCGACTATTCCAGCCAAGCCATCGCTCACACGCATGTTTAACTTGTGTTGAGGCGGACCGGGTTTCTTGGAGTAGAAGTTGGCGACAAGGTCTTGGTAAAGAGGATTCTGATCGGATAGTAGTAACACCTCCTGACCATGGGTGTTGCGAACCCGTTCTTCTTCAGTGAGGAGAGGATACTTCTTCTCCATAGCAGCCAAAAGACGCTTCTCGTCTATGAAAGGAAGCAGGACCACGCCCTGCCACGCGAATTTCTTGCCATTAAGGTCCACGGGGAAATCCTCGGGGTAAAAATCAATAATTTCGCTTTCCGGATTGCTCATGAGGTCGTGGAACACTTCAGGCAATGCGTGGTTAGAGGCTGCTGGCAAGACTCCCATCAGCTGCTCAAATGGCTTGAATGCTTGGCCTTTGCTGAACTCCAGCACAATGTCACCAATGTCAACAAAGTCCGCAGCAAACGGAGCATAGTGGTATGGGTAATACCAAGTCCAGGAAGGACACCCCTGGAAATAATAGAGTAGTACCCAGGCGAGACCCTCAGCATAAGCACGTGCAACCTTGTGGCGGAACTCGTGGTCTTCGGGATCAACACCGAATTTCTGCTCGTAGTAACGATCAGCATAACCAGGCTCCCAAAGTCGAACGCTGTCCTGAGGCTCCTCGTTCTCCTTGGGCTTGACGGGTGGGGGAGGAGGCGAGTCTCTTCCAGGAGTTCCGGTTTCATCATCTTCTTTCTTTTCGACTTCTCCGTCGGCCTTTCTCTTTCCAAGAACAGCAGGCGAGTCAGCAGCATCTGTCAAGGCCTCCTCACTCTCCGCCGAGACTGGCGCCTCGGCGGCCGGTTCAGCCTGCGGGCCCCTCATCAGTTTACTTTTAAGCACAGCGGCGGCACTCTTGTTCTCCATATTAGCACGGTACACAGCACCCCGGTTCACGACCATGGTGTGAGTCAGCTCTCTGGTCTCCTTGTCTAAGTGGCCCCGGCCCGGGGTGATCAGTTCCAATCCTTGAGGCGGAGCATTGTCATCGCCACCTTGAGCATTGTGGTGTGCTGGGTTACCATAATTCGGGGAACTGCGTCTTCGCTTGCTGGCGTGTTCACTATTCCGAGCTCTCTCCTGTTCCTCACGTCTCTTCTGGTTCGCCGCCTTTCTCTCCTCGCCCTGTCTACGGCGCCGGAAGATTGCATCTTCTTGTTTGGCGACGCCTTGCAAAATGAGTTGAGCTCTGGAGAAATTGACCTGTCCATCCTCCGTCAGATAGCCTCCCATAGCAGGAATATTATCACGCCAGATAGCGATGAGGGTATCAATGCCGTTTTCACGGACATCTAGCGCAGGAAGATGAGGTAAGAAATCGTTCCCAACAAAGAAACACATGAAGACCCAATCGTCCAAAGCTCGCTCGAGATCGAAGGGGAATGGTTGCTGAGGGACTTGCAATTCAGCGGCCAAATATTCTCTCAGAACCGAAACGTGTAACCAAATGAAGGGTTTGAGTGGAACTGCGTTTTGCTTTTCATCGAATTCTCCGCTCTTCTCCTTCGCACGACCAGTACACTCTTCAGCCTTATGGCCAGGCTGACCACACAGTTTACAGCCCCGAGGCTTTGATTCTTGGAAGAAAACATCCTCACGCAGAACTCGGAAATGGGGTTCGTGAGTTCCGAGTCCAAGCATGATAAGATCAGCATCCTAGCAGACGGCGTTAGACTTATAGACCTGCAGTTTACGAATGAAGATCAAACTTACAAGACCATAAATGACGTGACGGGTGTTGGGATCATGCTCCGGCGATGCTCTTTGTGACCGAACAAATTCCATAATCTTATGCTCACCCTCTCCTGGCACTGTCGCGTCCGAGATAATGATTTTCATCTGATACAAAGATTTAGCAATGTGATATTTTAGAGTAAACGGGGAACGCATATCTTACCTTCTCCCAAGCAGGGTCAGTGTTCAGTTTGTAGGCAATCCAATAACGTAGAGACGCAGCAAGAATATCCATGAAGGGAGTACCGGGGGTGATGACGTTGCTGTCCCAGGTCTTGTGCACGACTTGTTCCTGCATGACAGCGTCCTCACCTCTCGCGGCGCGCTGCTTCGCGAGAAGCTTCTGGAGCTCCTCCTTCTTCTCATCATTCTCCTGGGCCTCTTGTGCGGATCGGAATCGACGGGAACGCTGCTGGTTCATCTTCGCTCTCGGAGCAACACCATCTGTTAGGGATGAGATTAGTTATACTGGTGCCATGAGTAATTTCGAGATCAGGAATTTATTAATGTAATATGCGCATACGTACCGATAGCAATCATAAGGAGTTTCCTAGGACGGACCATGTTGACAACTCGATCGGTATACTTGAAGATCTCCAACATCATCTCCTGCTCGTTTGCTGGCGGCGGTCGACCTTCGGGATGAGTGCAAGGATGCACAATACCGTTCATGTCCAGATACAAGTTGTCCATCTCTTCTCCGTTGGGGTTCGGGCGCGTAGTGTCGACCGGGATTTCTTCACCATTCACCTCCTGCGGTAGTTCCTCGATCACCGAGGAGATGATTTTTGGGTACTTGTTGGAAAGCCATCGGAACAGCGCGGGGACACCCATAGTGGCGATGCGACAAGTAGCTTAGCTCAGATGTTTCGTGAATTCGGTGCGGCGCGGGAATGCGACTGCCGCTGGGATTGACGATGTCTCGGGGACTCGGAGCTGCACGAAAACCCGACCTTGAACTTTGGATAGTTGTCACTTGGCAAAGAACAAAATATGGCAAGTGTAAAACAGAAGCAACCGTGTCAAAAATCACGGCGCAGATTGCGGGTGTCGAAAGAAATTTGAAGTCTCTGCGGCGAGTTTATTTCCGGCGCTGACCTTAGTCATGCAAGAGCCATTGATGATCGATGATGGGGAGGTACAAGAGACCGTGTGGGGATCACGTGATAAGGTCAGGTGGACTGGGTCGCGCGAATACTTCGCCGAACCGACTGAGCGAATCGCCGGAGCTCTTCATGAGTGATCTCGAAATCACTCTCCCCCGAGCCTTTATCTCGTAGGAAAAAACTTTCGAAGGGAATTGTGAAGGTAGTTGGTCCAGTAATCTTGTAAGACTCATTGATGTGAATCTTTTGGGCAGATCCAATACTTTCGCCTTGCATCGTCCAATTCTCTAGTGTGATCCTACCAAGTTTCTTCGTGATATTCACCGTGATCACAGATCTCGTTTGTCCATGAGATTCGGTCAGCCAAAATTGCGCATCTTTTTTCAGTTTCCCCGGGCCCTCGGAAAGACCAATTTCCAGCACAACGCTGGGCCACTGGGCAGGAATCGGAACGGGCGAGGGCTGCCAGTCCCCATCGGAACGCTTTGTGCGGCCGCCGCTTGTGGCTTCGCTGCCAATGCTATAAATCAGGCGACTTGCCTGCCTAAGCTGCCAGGCATCGACTAAGCTCGCCAATCCCCCCCCCCGCGACCTGGTGAGGATTGGAAGCCATCTGTAAAATCAATGATTGGGATGAGATGAAATATGACTTTACAAGTTTACTTAGTGTTCCTTCCTGGAAACACCGAAGGAAGGCACGATGGTCAACACCATCAAATACAAAATACCCAGAGCCTTGCCCGTGAGACTCATGTAATTTAATGGTCCGACGACATTGTGCTTTCCCGCGCCATCGATATCTTGGTGTCCGAGCAGGAAGACCTTCTATTTTCAAAATATCTTCAGCCATGATGATATCTGGGTGGCTGTGTAAAATGGTCAAATTGAAATGGTAATGGAGATTAGTATGATATCGGATATAATGGGATGAAGAACTTAATTGGTTGATGACGATAAGAAAAACAGGAGAGATTCGAGCAGGGTTAAAAGCAGAGCTAAGGTATGTAGCAAGCAACATTTGAACCTTGGATTGGATGTGGGGTACTACGTACATTATACGTACTACTGTATGTGTACTATTTATTGCATCAGTGCATAGGAGTTCGTTCACGCAAAGTACAGTGTAGAGTACAGCGTCAAGTACCGCATCATGTACAGCGCAGAGTACAGCAAGTACGAGCACAGTATAAACAGAGGAAATAAAGGATACTTAGTATGATATGTATCATGATCTTCCTGCCAGGATACCTTAAAAAAGTATACAACCTACTAGTAAGCAAACAAAAGACCGGCAGAAGAAAAATCTTGTCCAAATCTGGTTAGAGGGGTGTGTTATTAGCAAAACGGGGTGTGGTTGGGTAGTAAAGTCCTTTTTTGTATTTTGTAGCAAGCTACCGAATGTAGAAGGCGGTATGTTGCAGGTATATGCCAGCTTTACCGCAGTCGGCTTGGTCGAGTCCACCCCGTTTGTTGATCTTGACCTCCCTTCGATGCCTCTTTATTCCTGCGCCTATGGTCGGCGATGACCATGATATTGAATTGCAATTACGATGTTCCGAATCCTTGAGTCGCAAGCTCCGGCCAAACAAACGGCAACGGACACAATCGACGTGCTGAGCAACAGGCTACAAAGCGCTACCCTACTGGAAGATCGACGGGCTGCGATCCAAGGCTTGCGAAGCTTCGCAAAACTATATCCGGCGTCTGTAGCATCGGGAGGCCTGCGATCTTTGATCACCTGCTTGCACAATGACAGTGAAGACCCGGACACTATCAAGGTGGTCCTTGAGACCCTTTTGATGCTATTCACCCCAGATGAGAACAGCGTCAGTAGTAGATTGAAACCCCCACACGCAGCTTATAATTGCTTGCTGACTTTCTATTCGTCACAGCCCGAAGCGTCAGACGAAATAGCTCTATGGCTGGCAGATGAGTTTACTCAGGTACGACAATCTTACTAGGGTTTGAAAGACCGACCTAACATTGAAATAGCGACAAGACAATATTACAATCTTGCTTGATCTTCTAGAAAGCAAAGACTTTTATTCACGTTTATATGCCCTTCAGTTGATGTCCCATATTTCTGGCGCGAGACCAGAACGAACGCAAGAGTGCATCTTCACAGCACCATTGGGTATTTCCCGACTGGTGGGTGTGCTAACGGATGCTAGAGAGCCAGTTCGAAATGGTATGATTGGTTTGACATCTTCATTTCTCATAATGAAAAGGGGGCAAATACTAATAAATATCATTGAATATAGAAGCTCTCCTCCTCCTCATTGTCTTGACCCCCTCTTCTGAAGAATTGCAGAAACTCGTTGCCTTCGAAAATACATTTGAGATTTTGTTTTCTTTGATCGAATCGGAAGGCCACCTCACTAATGGAACCGAGGTCGTGGAGGACTGTTTGTCCTTACTCGCCCACTTGTTGAGGCACAACATCTCCAACCAGTCATATTTCCGGGAGACGGGTTGCATACAAAAAGTGACAAAACTACTTGTCGAATGTCAGCAATATCAAGAGCATGACGAAGCTCCCCCCCAGTGGGCTCTTGTACAGCGAGATAAAAATGTTTGGGGTCTCTTGTCTATCGTTCAATTATTCTTGATTCGTGGTGGCAAGGGTACCCCGAGCAATCAGACTGCTTTTTGGCAACATGGCGTGACAGAACAAGTGCTAAGCATAGCATTTGGTCAAAAGTTCAGTGTCAATGTCACATCAAAAGCACTAGCAACATGCGCTGATCTGATCCGTGGAAATCCACCATTACAAGAACGGTTTGGGGATATTGAAGTCTCCTGGGGCTCACAAGCCACGGCTGTCAATGGTGGGGCGGAGCCAGAGCGAATCAATGTCATTGAAGCCTTTTTGAAATTGAGCCTCGAGCCAGCCCCCAATCACATGTTAGATGCACGCCTTGCAGCCTGTGAGTGCATGAAAGCATTCTTTGCCCACCATGCGGGCATTCGCATGCATGTGCTTCGGCGCGCAATTGAAGGACATACAAGTGGACAGGACCGCATTCCAAATATTCTATCCGTGTTGCTGATAGCACCCGAATCACGAGGCAATGCAGATCCATACCAAGTCTGGATGGCATGTGTTCTTATGTATCACCTCATTCTTGACGATACCGAAGCAAAGGCAACAGCAATGGAAGTCACGGAGGGCGATGCTGAGAGTGGTGAAGAAGTCGTCACCAGCGTCCAGTTGGTGGTTGGGAACTTGATCACTGGGTTGCAGCGTGGTGACGACGAAAGAATTACAGTTGGATATCTGATGCTGCTTTGCGGCTGGCTCTATGAGGATCTGGATGTTGTGAATGATCTCCTCGGAGAAGGAAGTAGCATTCAAACTCTGCTCCAGGAAATCAAGCATCCAAGAACGCCCAGCAAGTTAATCCCTGGGCTTTGTACAGCTCTACTGGGTATCATCTATGAGTTCTCTACCAAGGATTCACCTATTCCCCGAGTCACTTTACACAAGTTACTTCTTGAGCAACTTGGTAGAGAGCAGTATATTGACAAGATCACGAAGCTAAGGGAATGTCCATTGATCCGAGATTTTGAGGTTCTTCCCCAAACGGCTGCCGGCCAACTTGAAGGTGGATTACCTGAAGTGTTCTTTGATCGATCTTTCGTCGAGTTCATTAAGGATAACTTCAGTCGGTTGACTCGATCTATTGATCGCGAACCGGGCTTTGAGATTTCAATTGTTGCCAATGGTGTTGAAAAGGGTGTCTCGCGGGAACTCGTGGACTCTCTACGTGCAGAGCTGGAAGAACGGAGTCAATCAATTCAAAAATTGGAAACGGATCTTGTTGATGTCCAGCGAAAGCTTGAACAAGAGTTATCCGATCATCGGAAAACAAAAGAATCAAGTTCATGGGAGATCTCCAAAGCCCAGCAGACGCAACAGCATCTTCAATACAGTCGCGACCAAGATCTGGCAAAGCTGGAAGAGCAGCACAAACAGTCAAAAAATACCTTGCTCAAACAGCATGGGGAGCAACTACAGGCCATCGATAATCAATTGAAACAGGCCTCGGCTGAGTATGAAAGAAAGAGCGCCAAGCTCCGAGAGCACCATGAAAAAGAAACTACCGGATTCCACAAGACTATCCAAAAATTGGAATCGGAGCTTTCCAAGACTCGGGAACGCCACACAGCCGAAGTCAATAGCTTGAAACAGACTATTCAGGATATGCAGCAGTCCATCAACCAGTCAACAAAAGATCACTCGGGCGAGATGGTTCGCTTGCAAAAGACAATCCAGGAGTTGAATTCGGCTATTGGTCAATCTAAAGAAAGTCATGCTAAAGAGGTTGCAATCATCAAGAAGGCGATGCAGGATTCAGAGTCCACTGTTGGACAGTCCAAAGAACTTCACGCTAGCGAGATTGCTGGGTTGCAGGAAACCATCCAGAAATTGGAATCAACTTTCAGTCAGTCCAAAGAAGATCATGCAGACCAGGTCGCAGATCTACAAAACAAGTTGGAAAACTTAGAGTCTCTTATCTCTTCCAGAGACAGCCAACATGGAGCAGAAGTCTCAGACTTCAAGGAGCAGATCGTAAATCTGGAGTCGACACTGACCACTGCCAAAGAGCAGCATGAAACCAGGAATGCCGATCTCACAAATATCATCGAAGGCCTGCGATCGGATCTTGATAAGATCAAAAAGAAGTCCATCAAGGATGCTGAGACGGCTACGGAAGGTGTATCGTCCCAGCTTTCTCAATTAGAGACGCGCGCTACCGAAGCGGAACGCAAGGCAAAGGAGGCCGAGTCGCAAGCTCAGATTGCTACCCAGGCATTGAAAGAGGTTCAAGCTCTATTTGAAAAAGCACAATTAGATGCCAAAGAGAAAGACGAAGCTCGCCAAGCCACCCAATCGGAATTAGAGGACCTACTTATTGTCTTTGGCGATCTGGAAGCCAAGAGAAATGAGGACAAGGTATGTTGGAAGCCATACTAATTAAAATCTGGTTTATTTACTAATATTTAAATTAGCAACGCCTCAAAGACTTGGGTCAGGAAATCTCAGAGGATGAAGATGAAGATGACGAGAACGATGAGGATGAGGATGACGCAGAGGAGTAGACAAAACATTTGTACATACTGCAGCTCGCATGATACACATAGCTTGACCCAAGTGTGCCAACCGAAGCTTTAGCATTCATATTCTTCATTTGATTTCCTTTTTTTGTATAACTTACATGAAGTGGACTCCGTTCTTGTGACTGTATAGTTCATTCAAGGCGGTAAGCGGGATAATCGGCAAAAAATGCGGGCTTTTAGTGGGGTGACTCACTCTTCTTTTTATCTGCCCCTCGTCCCCCCTTCGTTGGAATTCCTCAATCCACCAACGCCATGTCGATCGAATTTCCCGCCGAGGAGGAGCTTGTACTCAAGCGGTGGAGGGAGATTGATGCCTTCAACCGCCAGGTTGAGCTATCCCGTGGCCGTGAACCTTATACTTTTTACGACGGCCCGCCTTTCGCAACCGGCCTTCCGCACTATGGCCATTTACTGGCATCCACTATCAAGGACATTATCCCCAGATATTGGTCGATGAAGGGTTACTATGTTGAACGTCGTTTCGGATGGGATACCCATGGTCTGCCTATCGAATATGAGATCGACAAGAAACTTGGCATGTCTGGTTTGCAGGCAGTCGAGAAGTTCGGCATTGAAAAGTACAATGAGGAGTGCCGGGCTATTGTTATGCGATTTGCTGGGGAATGGCGCCAGACCATTGAGCGCTTGGGTCGCTGGATTGACTTCGACAATGACTACAAGGTGCGCTCGAATTCCAAGTTATGGCCATTCGTATTTTCGTATTCTATGCTGACAAGAAATTTTGCTTTACCAAATAGACTATGAACACATCCTTTATGGAATCCGTCTGGTGGGTTCTCAAAGAGCTTTTCGATAAGGACATGGTCTACCGCGGCTACCGAGTTATGCCTTACTCGACTGCCCTCAACACCCCGCTCAGCAACTTTGAGGCTCAGCAAAACTACAAAGATGTGCAAGATCCTGCAGTCGTTGTGACATTCCCTCTCTTGGACGACCCGGAAACCTGTCTGCTGGCTTGGACAACCACACCGTGGACTCTCCCCTCCCACACTGGTCTGTGCGCCCACCCCGATTTCGAGTATGTCAAGATCTACGACGAGGCCACCAAGAAGAACTACATTCTTCTCGAGTCTTTGCTCCGCACTATCTACAAGGATCCGAAGAAGGCCAAGTACAAGGTTGTCGATCGCCTCAAGGGATCCGACATGCTAGGATGGAAATATGAACCCCTCTTTGACTACTTCTACGAGGAGTTCAAGGACCACGGTTTCCGTGTCCTGAATGATCGATATGTCACTGCTGAGGATGGTGTTGGTATTGTCCACCAATCTCCCGCATTCGGTGAGGACGATTACAAGGTTGCTGTTGACCACGGAGTTGTCGATCCGACTCGTCCTCCTCCTAACCCAGTTGACCCGAACGGTTGCTTCACCGAGGAGGTCCGTGACTTCGTCGGTCAGCACGTCAAGGCCGCTGATAAGGGAATTATCAAGCATCTCAAGGGAACTGGCCGTGTCCTTGTTGATAGCCAGATTACTCACAGTTACCCCTTCTGCTGGAGATCTGACACCCCTCTGATCTACCGAGCTGTGCCTGCTTGGTTCGTGAAGGTCACACCCATCATTCCTCAGATGCTTGACGGCATCGAGAAGTCCCACTGGGTCCCTGCTGCGGTAAAGGAGAAGAGATTCACTAGTTGGATTAAGAACGCTCGCGATTGGAACATCTCCCGGAATCGTTTCTGGGGAACTCCTCTCCCACTGTGGGTCAGCGATGACTACAAGGAGGTTGTCGCCGTGGGAAGTGTCGAGGAGCTCAAGAAGCTTAGTGGCTACGAGGGTGATCTTACTGACCTTCACCGTGACAAGGTGGATCATATCACTATTCCCAGCAAACAGGGCAAGGGTGTTCTTCGTCGCGTCGAAGAAGTCTTTGACTGCTGGTTTGAGTCGGGCAGCATGCCATACGCCTCCCAGCATTATCCCTTTGAGAACAAAGACCAATTTGAGAAGAGTTTCCCCGGTGACTTCATTGCCGAGGGCCTGGACCAGACACGAGGAGTAAGCAAAAAACCCTCATCTATATTAGTAACTATATTTATGCTGACATGATAATATTAGTGGTTCTATGTTATGTGTGTCATTGGTCAACACTTGACAGGCAAGATTCCCTTCAAAAACTGCGTTGTGAACGGAATCGTGCTTGCCGAAGACGGCAAAAAGATGTCAAAGAGACTTAAGAACTACCCAGATCCCACACTTGTCATTGATCGTTATGGCTCGGATGCTCTGCGTCTTTACCTCATTAACTCCCCTGTCGTCCGTGCAGAGCCACTTCGATTCAAGGAATCAGGTGTCAAGGAAATTGTCGCCAAGGTTCTTCTTCCTCTGTGGAACAGCTACAAATTCTTCGAGGGTCAGGTGACCCTGTTGAAGAAGGCTTCCGACATTGAATATGTCTTCGATCCCAAGGCCGAGGCCACAAACACTAATGTCATGGACCGTTGGATTCTGGCAAGTTGCCAGAGTCTTCTCAAGTTTGTCAATGAGGAGATGGCAGGTTACCGTCTGTACACCGTCGTGCCCCGCCTTCTGGGATTGATCGAGAACACCACCAACTGGTACATTCGATTCAACCGTAAGCGCTTGAAGGGCGAGAACGGAGTCGATGACACTTTGCATGCTCTGAACACACTTTTCGAGGTTCTCTTCACTCTGGTCAGAGGCCTGGCCCCCTTCACCCCCTTCATTACCGACAGCATTTACCTGCGCCTGCTTCCTCACATTCCTGAATCTCTTCGCGCTGAAGATAGCCGCAGCGTCCACTTCCTTCCTTTCCCCGAGGTTCGCCAAGAGCTGTTTGATGAGGTTGTGGAGCGCAGAGTCGCACGCATGCAGAAAGTGATCGAACTCGGCCGTATCTCCCGCGAGCGCCGATCGATCGGCCTGAAGACCCCACTCAAGTCGCTTGTCGTGATCCACCAAGATCAAGAATACTTGGATGATGTCAAGTCCCTAGAGGGCTATATCACGGAGGAGCTCAATGTTCTTGAAATTGTACTCTCGTCCGACGAGGACAAATACAACGTCCAGTACAGTGTCAATGCTGACTGGCCTACTCTGGGCAAGAAGTTAAAGAAGGACGTTCAGAAGGTTAAGAAGGCCTTGCCCTCGCTCACCAGCGAGGAAGTCAAGAAGTACGTTACCGAAAAGAAGATCCTAGTCGACGGCATTGAGTTGGTTGAAGGTGATCTTGTTGTGAAGCGAGGCATCAAGGAGGACTCCGGCTCATCTGGCATGGAGACCAACACTGATGCGGATGTCATGACTATCCTCGACGCAAACCTTTACCCGGAGCTTGCGCACCAGGGTATCGGTCGTGAGATCATCAACCGCCTCCAACGTCTCCGTAAAAAGGCAGGCCTTGTTGCTACTGACGACGTGAAGATGGAGTACACCGTAATCTCTGATCCCGAGAACATTGGCCTCAGCGAGGTCTTCAAGTCGCAATCTCATGCCATTGAGAAGGCCGTTCGTCGCCCTCTGGATGAGCGTGCGTTGGTTGATGGCAAGGCCCCTGTCCCCGAGGAAGAGGGAACTATCGAGCAGGAAGAGCAAGAAGTGCAAAATGCAACTTTCTTGTTGCGCTTGGTCAAGCTGTAGAGTGTCAAAGTTTTGACTACAACCTCAAAGAAGAAGAAAGAATTACAATTCCCATGATATGCTTTCATAAATGACATCTACATATTCGTTTCATCATAAAATTCCTTTTCGAGCACTTATACCAGTAGTATGTAAGACCAGTATGTTACACTGGACACTAGTAATCTGATCTCTAGGATCGGATTCTTCGTGGTCGACGGTTTGTGAATCAAATCTAGTAATTCTATATCCAGTGGTCAATCCATCTGACCCCTTTTGGCATAAGTGCTCCGGTCTCTAATATGACCTCCGAATCTCCAAAGTGAAGCAAGAAAAGGAATACCCAGCCCTAGACTGAGAAAACCTATCAAGCTATTACCCCAGCCATACCCCAGCTTATCATAAAGGTTTCCTCCGAAAAGTGGGAACACACCACCAAACAAGGATTGTATCAAAGACACAGCTGCCATAGCGGATGCCGAATTTGACCCGTAAAAGTCTATCACGTACATGTGAACATTGATGATACCCATGAGAAATCCTGCGTAGAAGATGGCGCAACCAAGATCCGGCATAATCCAGGGAAGCGTCTTTTCCGCCGACCATCCATACCAGAACATGCCAGTAGGAACTAATAGCGCTCCTAGTAACATGGTCGGCAGTCTGAAATCCGGAGAGCCCGCACCCCCATTCCGCGCAGATAGTCTTTCGTAAATTTTGTCATTGGCGTAAGAGCAAATCTGTGCACCGGCAACGGCGCCGATACCCAGAGCAATATAGTTCAGACTTCCTAAGGATTCAGATTCCCGATATTTCGTTGTCCATAGTGTTGGGAAAGTAGTCTCAACTATATAGGACACTCCATTCAAGAATCCCAAATACAGTGCTAGTGTCTGAATAAGTAGTTGGGTCCCAAGAAGACGCAAGGGTCGTATAACAGATCGTTGTAGTGTTTGGCGCACGGAATGATTGTACTGGTGAGTAACATAGAGCTCCCGGGGGTCTCCCGCTCGCTGAAGCCTTTCCAGCTTTCGCTGTAAAATCAAAGGTGCATAAGATTCCTGCAGAAGAAAACAGGTAGCCAGTTGTACCGCTGCATCCCAGATAGAGATTGCATAAAAAATCCATCGCCATGTTGTGTGTTGTGTCACAAAGCCACCGATTATTGGCCCAACTACCGGGCCTAATATGGGCAACGCGGAATATATGGCGGCAGCTGTTCCCAGATTATCTGACTGGTAACAATCGGCGAGAACCCCGGCTCCAATACTTGCTGTAGTAGAGCTCCCTAGTCCAGCTAAGAAGCGAAAGACGAGTAATTGAGAGCTTGATTTGGAGAATCCGCATACCGTATTGAAGACCAAGAACCACAAATTACTGAGCTGGGCCACCCAGATTCGCCCATAGCGTTCTGAAAAAGGCGAGAGAAAAAGGGGACCTACGGCGTAGCCCAGGGCAAAGATGGATAATGTAAACTGTCTTTCAGAGAGAGATTCGATCTTGAGGTCGGATCCGATTTCGGCTAGTGCTGGCGCTGTCATTGTGGATGCTAGCGGAGAAATACTCGCGAGAAGAGAAATCATGATGATAACACGGGTTTTCTTCGCATTGCTCCAATTTTGGGGGTTTTCAGGATCTTGATCGTTATCCCAACTGACCTATATAGCCATAGTTAGTATGCAATGGATGTGTTTGTAAGACAACTATCACCAGTTGACGAGAGGGTCTCGTTTACCAAGTTGGGATCATCTGAAGATGTAGAGCTTGTGACCGGAGAACCAGAAACTCCTTTCTCAACACAAGAGACATCGCTTTCGTGCCCTTTGACTAGCATTTTCAGAAATGGCAGAAAAGAGTAACGACTACTAGTAATCGTATCTTATTCTTCTGTCAAGCTATTGCGAGTCGTCAAGAAACATTTGAAGGTGTACATGTGTGAAAGAGGTAGAACGGATCGAAGTATTCAGGGGAACTTGTCCTTTTTTCCGCCCCTAACAACACAAATTACAGAACATTTGAAAAATTGAACCATTTGACCCGTTTTGTGAACATTGGTGGACCGAGATGGGCTGTAAGTTTCGTTACGCACGGGATTGATTTCTAGACGTGGATCATCAGGTCTCCAGAGCCGGTGGAGACATGTGGACAACATTTGAAAATTTGAAAACATTTGAAAGTGGATCGAGCTGAAGCCAAATATATGGGCTTTCAGCAGATCGCATTTCAAGTGATACAGATCGGGTAATTACACTTCACTACATACAGGATTGCTTTTCTAGGTCGATCTCCAGCTACATACGAGTTTTAGCGCGGTTAGAGCTCCACAATGGCAAGCCATATTGGAATAGTTTGAATCAATTGATATTTTCAGGGGCTTCCTTTAGCTATGTGTACCACATGTGCAGTGAGAAATACCATTAGCGATGAAAGTTGCATTCCGAAGCTGCCAGTGCTTTCTGGCCCTGGAACTCACATTGAGTTACAGGCTTATCGAAATTTTCTGGGTTTGAGATCCATACCAAGGCGCACAAGAATTCTTGAATAGCCTGATATATCTCATGCCCCCTTAGCTGTGCGTCATCCCAAGAAACCTCTAACAAAAGATAATCACCAGGCAAAAGAGATGGAAACCAGACAAGCCCAAGATCAGACCGGCTCAAGACCTCCAGCATCTCTACTGGAGCTGCGGGCTCGCCATCGACGTTCTCAGATGACGGAGGTGAAGGCAGCCAATCGAAAAGCTGACGCTGAAGAATATCTCGGACTGCAGCCGCATCTGCAAGCCCATGTACTGAATCTTGCTCCAGTGAACTAATTATTGCATCCAGAGGGGCATGGCAGTAGCGGTCGATATCTTGCTGCTTCTTTTGCATTCGTTGTAGGAACTGCAAAGTTGTCTCGTTGGGTTCCACACGAATACGATTAATCGTCTTTTGAAAAGTCGGTCCTCCAATATCTAGCGGGCTCACAGTTGGCGGAACAGAAGTCGAATTCTCTTCCATAGAAGGCCATGCCCGTCCAGACTCATCACTCACAAACACTGCCTCATCTGCTCCAGTTTTGTAGATGTTGAGAAGTGCACATGCGGACTTGGCGACAATGGGTGGCGACAGCTCCCATTTTGACTTCAAGGCACGAATGAATGGCAAGTGAATTTTGTAAAAGAAGCCCATAGTTCCACAGCTGCGATCGCCATCTAATAGTACTCGCTCTCCGGGATGGGATTGTGAACCATCTTCATGGCACCAGCCATGGTCGTCTCCTTTGAACCAGCGTGGTGCCCGTTGCTGAGGCCAAAAGTCTTTCTGAATGGCACCCAGTCCACGGAGCTGATTAACATGGTAATCCACGGCCTCTTGGGCTTCTCGACTTTCACGATATGCTTGGTAGAACGATGCAAATTCACGAAAAGCGCAGAGGGATGGCGGCATTTTGCCTTGCAGTAATTGGTTCAGATCTTGATACCATCTATGCATCACCATGCCATCAAACATGACATGATGCATATGCAAGACCACACCTGTGGCTTTGCAATTGTCAATTGGTAGAACGGTGCATTTGAGCAAAGGACCAGAGAGCTGCACATGATCATAGGTCGAGTCGTTCAATCGATAAGTTGGAATATCATCAATGCTTGCCAAGCTACTGCCAGTAGTGATCTGGGTATCTAGCCACCTATCATTAGGACGCATGATGACGTATAGCTGTGAATCATTACCGCAGGCCATGTGCGTTGCTCGAAGCATGGGATTCCGCTTAATCCACAACTTGATGGTGGCTTCCACCTCTGCTGTCGACACAGATCGGACCACCAAAGAGTGGCGGTGGTTCCAAGATTGTGATCTCCCACCTCTGGTCATCAGCTTCATGCAGTCAGACAATGGGAGTAGGTCTTCCATATCATCCCACCCAAATCCTAATGGCGTCAGATGTCCAACTGCTTGATTCCTTGTGACTTGCATGTGCTCAGTATGTCCTTTTATATGCATCATGTTCGAAGCCATAGAACTATCCCAAGGAAGAGATCTGGGCGGTGCTGGGTTATTGGCGAGAAGAGGTTTGCGTGCAAGATAGCCCATTAGCTTTCTGAGGGTATTATTTTCCACCAAGTCCGTCATGCTGACACTTCTGTGTAGGGTTTTCCGAATTTGACCGGTAAGCTGAATGAGAGTCATGCTATCCGCAATCTTGTGGAATGATTCATCGAAATCTACCTCGGAAAGCTTCTGGCCAGAGAAATGAACCCAGATAGACGTCAACTGTGATTCTAATGACTGGCAAGAATCGTCGATCACAGGTAAGCTCGCGAGAGAATCGAGATATTCCATCACCCAGCGTCGAAGAACCAATTTTTGCACCTTTCCAGTTGTGGTGGTTGGAAAAGTATCCCGGCCGAGATCTCTTTGCACATCGAGCACCCTGGCGGGGGCGAATCCAGGGGTCAACTCGGAAAGCGCCATTGCTTTGAGCTCGTTTCCAGATAGAACTGAGGGTCCCGCCTGCTGAACAACGGCAATAGGAACTTCCCCAGCAAGATCATCCGGGATTCCAATAACGTAGGCCTGATTAAACTAGTCAGCGCATATGGACACATCACTGGTCAGGATTGGGTACCTACATTGACACCCTTGGCCTTACGCAGACAATTCTCAATCTTCGCAGGCGAGATATTTTCTCCACCTCGAATAATGATGTCTTTATACCGCCCAGGGATGTAGACATATCCTCCCTCATCCATGTAGGCTTGGTCACCAGTCGCTACCCAGTTGACACCATCTTCCTGGTAGCATGCATCACTGTCCATCCCGAGATAGCCGTTGAAAACAGGGACGCCGCCTTGATGGAGCTCCCCAAGCTGGCCATACCCGATAGCCACGCGTTTTCCAGGCTCACAAATTTTGATCCTGGATCCGGAACACACTCGACCAGAGGAAATATCCCCAGTATGTTGCCAAGCATTGATGTCTTTTACATTCATCAAAGTGACTACGCCCTCGGTCAGGCCGTAGCCGACACATAATCTCTTCGGCGTCAACGCTTTGCATGTTTCAATAATCCTAGGAAATGACGGTGCACCGCCCAACGTGATTGAAGACAGCGTAGAGAAGCCTGTCGTCGGGGAGGACGGATGTTCGGCAATTGCTTGGACCATCATGGGAACGCATGGTGCATGGACATTCGTGCCCTGCAAAATGGCTTGGATACTCGATGCGGCGTCGAAACTGGGACTAGGGAATACAACAGTGGCACCCGCTAGCCAGCCTGCCAAGCTAAATGCAATGCCGAAAATGTGAAAGCTGGGTAGATGTTGACATATAGTATGTCCTGGAGCAATGTGAAAGGTTTGCCCCAGCTGCACTGCAGGCGCACTGAGATTGAGAGATGTCTGGGGGCACGCTTTGGGCCGCGATGTCGTGCCGCTACTGAAAAGAAGGACGGCAGAATCTTGGGGACTGGCATTGAAGCCCGGAGAGAGATCAATATCATCCGGAGAGCTTGACATAACATCTGATACCAAGGCCCAGCCATCGGGTAGCTGCTCAGTGGATTCATCAGAGAGCAAGCATCGAAAGATGTCCTGCTCGTGTCCCTTGGGTAGAATTTCCTCGACTTGCGCAGCCAAGGCATCCGTGGCGACTAGTACCGCCCCTGCATTTGCCTGCTTTAGAAGGTACAGTGCCTCTTCCGGTTGGGAAATAGTGCGTGGGTCTAAAGGCACAAAACGACACCCTAGGTGCATTGATGCCCAGAATGCCAGGCACCATTCGAATTGGTTGAAAAGAAAAGTAACAACGGAACTGTTTCGGGTCACACCTCGAGACGAGAGAGCTCTTGCAAATCTCAAGCTAGCAAGGTGCAGTTGTTGATATGTCAATCTTAAGTTGCATGGCCCTTCGGATTTTGCTTCATTGAAATAACTGGGGATTTTCGGCTGATGGAGTGAAAGAATCACTTCATGATCATGGTATCGGGCGGCGGCCTGGGACAACAAAAAACTGAGATTCCCAGAAGGTGCTTCGAATTCTCGATCCCACGTCTCCGCGCGGCCAGGATAGAATTGGACTTGATTTCCCATATTGCCGTGATACTGCACAGCTCTTAGACAGCACAGGATAAACAGAAGAGGAACAGAGTGCCACTCAGATTTGCCTCCAAATGTACCCTTTTCTTCTTCTGTTACAAATTTCAATTAACATCATGAATTACGCTAGTAATTGCTCTTACGATAGGAAGCCCCGCTGTTCAGCTGAAAATTTTGTAGAAAAGATCAATGAGGAGATCGGCATGGTCGCCAAGTAATAGCGCAGAACACCCCACTTTGTCGTTCTTCTACTCGAGGTGTGGCTGAATATATCGATCCTTGAGATGTCCGATCCGATCGCCATGTTTCTGGCGCAGAGTGCACATGTGGTGAGCGCCGATCGAACACTGAAGTAGTCAGTGGAGTCAGTGGAGTGGAGCTCATCCGGACCCTTCAAGTTATCTGCAACTTAGCGCGAACCTTGAAATCACTAGTGCTTGGAAAAGGTCTCCGGATGTTCCAAGAGTTCCTTCCTATTTTTCCTTTGATCTTACTCCCGGGAGTACGGCGGCCGATAACCGCCACCCTACTGCCATAACCCAATTTCAATTTCTAACTTCACCGTCCTGTTTTTCACCCGTATTGTATTTATTACATGCAGGAACATCTTAAGGGATTTGATATAAATAGTTTGTACGGGTCACTTTTAGAATAGACTTGAAAATAGACTTGAGAAGGGACTTGAGAATGTATTGATTATAGAGCTCGAGGACTCGTATAATGCAGTTCAAGGATTCAAAATAGAAGGAAGTACAGGGATTCAACGCATAATGGAGTTGAAGGATTCCGTATATAATGCAGCGCTGTATATAATGTAGTTCAAAAACAAATATGAATTCGGAATTACTCGTAATTTACTTTCTGCCAGTCGGAAAGTTGAAATTGATTATTGGGTTATGGCAGTAGGGTGGCGGTCAGGGCCGCGGGCTAGTATTCAATGTTGGTACTAGTATTTTACAAGGGTACCTAGAAATGGCCCATTTCAAATGTTACTAGTACTAAACAAATACAAGGTGCCCGTCCATACACTCGGAATCAATCTTTATTTGAAATCAAAGAACATTCACTACCTTATTGGCAAATACTTCTCAGTCCGTACATTATTTGAGAAAAAGATAAATGTCAATTTAAATGAGTGGCATCAATTGGTAATATGTAATTATTTGGTAGTCGCTCCGAGCTTACTCGGCTCACAGTGGCTGTTGATACGCCACCTCATACCCGGAAAATTGACATTGGGAAAGAGGTCGATCCGCGTTCGCTGGGTTTGAAAGCCACGCAGCCGCACACATGAATTCGGTTGTGACTTTTTGTACTTCTCTTCTGCTCAAGAGTGCATCGTCGAAAGTCACGTTAAGATGCAGCAAGTTACCATCCTTGATGAAGGGAAACCATACGAAGCCCAGATTGCTCCGGCTGTCATCATTGACAAGCTTCATGACATCGGTACCACTCTCGCTGTACTGCTCTAGAAGCCAATCAAAGGCCTGCCGCCGATAGACGGTGTCCATCAATGACACATCAGTAGCACCTTTCTCAGTATCCATTTCTTTGAGCCTCCGATTGATTTGATTAAGCGGGGCGTGCGCATGAATCGCAAGTTGATCTTGTTCGCTCTGGACATGTTGCAAAAGCTGAATAGCAGTCTCGTTTTCGTCAATCCGAATGCGGCTGACAGTATAGGTCAGCGTTGGTCCGTCGACTTCTAACATGTTGTTTGCGAGGCCGCCTTGAGCGTTGTCTGCGAGTGGCCAGGTCCTGCCTGACAAAAGATTGTTGAATATTGCCTCAGAGGCTTTGGTTTGCCGAACATTCACAAGAGCACACGCAGTCATGGCTATGATAGGTGCACTAATGGTGAATTGGGACTTCATGGCTGCAAGTTCGGTCAACCGCAAATAGCAGTTGGTCCCCTGCATCCCACAAGACTTATCCACGGCTCCCACAGGCATTGTCCCAGGTACAATTTCTTGTACATCAAGGGATATTTCCGTGCTGACTGATGCGTCCGGGGGCCATATGGCATTCTTGGAAGACGAGATGCCGCTGAGTCGGGAAACATGGAAGTCGACCGCTTCTTCGGCAGATCGGGAGCTTCGGTATTCGTAATACTGTTCAGCGAAGTCTTTGTAAGGAACGAACTGGAGGGATGAGTCTCCATTGTGATTGAACATTTGTTTCAGGTCCTGAAGCCATCTGATCAAAGACAAAGCATCATATAGAGCGTGGTGGAAATGCATCACGAGAGCATGAGCGGTAGGATTTTGCGTTTTCAGGATGGCAATCTTGAAAAACGGACCTGTAGCATTCACATAGTCGTACTCAGGGTCGTTCAGTCTATATTGAATCGCAGCTTTCAGGTCCTGGACTTCACCAGCGTGAAGGATTTGGTGTTTGAGCCATTGTGCATGAGGCCGCATGACCAAAACTACCTCTAAATCCTCACTGCACACCACGGATGTACATCGGAGCAAGGGATGGCGTGTGAGCCATGTCTCCAAAGTTGATAAAAGTTGTGCTTCACTCATAGATTTCTCAACTGACCAAGTGAAGCGGAAGTTCCACGCCGTAGGCCTCGATCGATCGCGAGAAAAGTTGCTTGAATAATCTGTCATCGGGAAGATAGACTCTACATCGCCCCGTTCCAACCCCAATTCTTGAAGTTTGATGTTCACGAGGTCCTCATGGAGAAATTTATCAGATTCCCAGGCCAGCGGAGATGTATTCACAAGTGAACGCTTTTCGACTGGAGATTCGCTCACAGGAAGATTGGGTGGCAACTTCTCCATACTGAGGAATGTAGCCTGCTCATGAATTGTTGTATGGATGGTAAGCAATTTGAATGTGAGATTCAAACTTCTTTGAGCCGCGATATGCAGAAACTGAATAATCATTGTGCTGTCGGTAAAAGAGCGAATCGGTCTGTTCTGGTCAATCTCCTCCACCGATAGACCAGATACAGCGGACCAACAAGCTGTCAGCTCGGACAAAATATCACTAGCTTCCAGTTTCTTGGGTGCAACTTGATCCAGGTAGTCGATGACCCATTCTCGAAGAGATGCCTTTTGGATCTTACCGGAGGTTGTGGTGGGGTAACAATCTTTATCAAGATCATTTTTCAAGTCCAGAATCATCGTAGGCGCGAATGAACGTCCTAGTTCCGCGGCCACGATTGACAGGATCTCAGAGGTTGTCATCTGAGTGATGTTCTGAGTCTGGACTATGGCGATGGGTACTTCCCCTGCAACTGGGTCGGGAATGCCTATAGCACAAGCAGCCTCATTCAAAAGTCAGCATGAAAACGTAGTTTTAAAATAGAAATAAGCAGTGTGGATGTGGAAAAAGCTCACATGGATATGGGGAAACTTAAGCAAACATTGCTCGATTTTTGCGGGAGAAATATTTTCTCCACCACGGATGATGAGATCCTTGTATCTTCCGAGCAAGTACACTCGTCCCTGGCTGTCCATGTAACCCTGGTCCCCAGTAGCGCACCAGTTCACACCGTCCTTGCTGTAGCAACAGGCATTGTCTTCAGCAGTGGCACTCAGATAGCCCGAGATAACTGGAGGGCCTCCTTGATGCAGCTCGCCTATCTCGCCTCGCTGCACAGCATCTCTGGTCCCAAAACGACACATGCGCAATTTTGCTCCTGCGATGGCCCTTCCAAGACATACATAGCCGTCCACCACATCTGATTGGGAGGAGCCCATGGCATGAATCAAGGTTGCAACTCCTTCAGTCATGCCATACCCCGCGGTAATTTGTTGTGTCCCAAAGGCCCTGCATACGTCCACCATATCCGGGGATATAGAAGTACCGCCAAGAATAATGTGATACGGCGCTGGTAAAGGATGATCTTGGGATAGCGCGTATGCTTTCATGGCCTGCGCCATAGCTGGAACACATGGCATATGAGTTTTCAAATTCGACCTGAGGGCGTTGAATGAAGCTGCGACATCGAACGAGATACTGGGAAATATCACAGTCGCCCCTGACAGCCAGAAGGCCAGTGTCATCACCACACTGAATACGTGAAATGAGGGTAAATGTTGGCAGAGAGGCTGATTTGGCGTGACACCGAAGTGGTCGGCCAGGGCAAGCGCAGGAGTCACGATGGTGATGGAAGTGTGGGGGCAGACCTTAGGCCGAGAAGTGGTGCCGCTAGTGCATAGTAACAATATTATGTCGTTCGGGGCCAGATGCGTAATTGAGGGAGATGACTCTGGCACTGTCTCCATCAACTGAGGCAGGGTGATCCATCCAGATGGGAGGTCATTGCTTTTGGTAGTAGAGACAATGCATTTGAAAATGGATTCCTCAAGATTGTGAGCCAAAATACTGTCGACTGCACTCAACATGGATTTGTCCGAAACAAAGATGTGTCGTGCTTCGACTTTCTCCAGAATGTATCGCGCATCGTCTTGCCGACTCAACATACGAGGATCAAGAGGAACAAAATGAGCCCCTAGCCTGACCGTCGCAAGGAAGATAAGAGGCCATTCGGCTTGATTGAAGAGAAAGGCAGCTACTCGGGTTCCGCGCTGAATCCCGACCGTTGAAAGAGAGGTTGCTAGTTTAACGCTGGCTTCTTGTAGTTGAGCGAAAGACCATCGCACGTTCCCAATGCCAAGCAGACCCTTCTGATGCATCGACTCGACTGCATCGCGATGAGGGTGTTGCTGTGTAACCTGATCTAGCAACGTAATCACATCATCTTGAGGTGCTTTCTGCCTGTAATCCAAGTCTTCGGCCAAAAGCGCCGAAGAAGTTGAGGTCTCATTTAACATGATAAATCACCGCTGGATCAGATCCCGACAAAGGATGGTTGAGTGGATGGGTATCAATTGATGTTTTTGCGACTAAGAATTTCACAGGCTGAATATTTGAGGGCTTGTGCTTTTGAAAACACTTTGTAGAATTCATTTATCTTTCATTGATCCATCATCGACCACACCGAGCTCCCCACCTGGGCTTGTAACTAACCGGCCCTTACATATAATGGAATAATTCCATTATGTAAGGGCCGGTTAGAAGATTTCAATAATGGCGCTACTGTACTAGTATGTAGATCGTTTGGTAACTGATCTACGGGGGCCGATAACCGCCACCCTACTGCCATAACCCAAGTTCAATTTCTAACTTCACCGCCCTGTTTCAATGTTCCCGCCCGTATTGTATTTATCACATGCAGGAACATCTTAAGGGATTTGATCTAAATACGGGTCACTTTTAGAATACACTTGAGAATACACTTGAGAAGGGACTTGGGAAGGGACTTAAGAATGGATTGATCAATTATAGAATTCAAGGATTCAATGTATAATGCAGTTCAACATTAAAAGATTCAAAATAGAAGGAAGTACAGGGATTCAACGTATAATGGAGTTCAAAAACAAATATGAATTTGGAATTACTCGTAATTTACTTTCTGCCGGTCGGAAAGTTGAAATTGGGTTATGGCCCATGGCCCATGGGACATGGCAGTAGGGTGACGGGTCACGGGGGCCGCCGTACTGATCCGTTTTCTTCAGATACATGTACGAAAAATGGAAAGTGGGCTTAAGTTTTCACAGATCCACCTTAATTAGTATCTCGTGTTCATTTTACACTATAACCAAATTGGCTAGAGATCGTGCGATGATCCACCGCCACTCAAAGCCAAGACGGGTAGTTGATCTTGACTATTGAACTGTGGGCGTCCGGCGGACTATAGCACGCATTGGCGGATGGTCGTGCAAATGATCGACGACCGATCATCTCCGTCAACAAATACGCGATCTGCTCAAAGCCCAACCATTTGGCCATAGCGTGAGCTACTTCGTATTTTCCAACTGTCTCCACCGATTTTAGACCTGAGGTCAAGATCTACACTGCTGAAGAATTAGATAGAATATAGACCATATAGAAGGCACCTCGCTAGATTCATTAGCCCTGTTCTTGATAGTCTAGTGAGTCAATACGAAGGCCAGGAAATCTAAACAATGGCTACGAACGCAGTCGCTTACGATACGACCAAATTCCGAATCTTAATGCTTCATGGTGAGATTAATATTGACGAAATTTTACCCAAAGACTTGTGCTTGTTACTAAATTAGATAAAAATTTCAGGATTTGGTGGCAGTGGATCGGAATTTCACGCAAAATCCAGCCCTATATCTAAAAGAATTTCTGAACTACTCATCCCAGAAATTCTCGACGATTTCCCCGGAGGCATTGAGTTTCTGTACCCCAATGCGCCCTTGGCTCTTGAGCCGCCGATAGGCTTTGCTGAGCATGTCGCTGAGAACGACATGGACCCCACAGCTCTGGCCTGGTGGTATGGCCGAGATACCGTGAGCAGATACGGAGGTATCGAAAACTCACTTCTTTTTGTCGCAAATTACATCCATGGACGACCTATTCATGGGATAATCGGGTTTTCTCAGGGTGCCTGCCTTTCTGGGATGATCTGCTCTCTACTCGAATGCAGCAGCAATCCGGAAAAGGCAGCTGCTGCCCGGTATCAGAATCTACCCGTGGACACTTTCTTAGACCTCCCAGGTCAAGAGTCTCTGAGATTCTTCATCGGAATCGGCGGATATCGTGGTACATTAGAGTATTACGGGAGTTTATACTCATGGCCCATAGAGACACCGAGCTGTCACGCATTAGGCAGCATGGACTCCATCGTGAAAAACTACCAGACCATGGACTTGGCACACAGTTTCACATCATACGAACTGGTTCATTTCTATGGGTGTCACTACGTTCCCAGGGGCCGTGCAAGTGTGGACTCTTTAGCGCGCTTTGCATTCAAAAACTCGATTGGGGAGCCTGGAGGCCATTGGTCTCAATTCCCACCTGTTGCAAGCACATGGAGCCAATCTGATGGCGATGAGGCTCGAAGTACCATGTGTGGGTCTGATCGGTCTGTGGGAATATTTGCAGCCAGAAGAGAATGGAAAAGGCCTAAAGTTACCCGGAGCCGAGGTATACGATTCCCTAGTCGTGCGAAGACTCGCAATTCCTCGCCAATGGGACACCCACCGAGCCACTAGCTGCATACTGAACGCAGTCAATTCTCACAACGCCCTTGGCTCTAAGATTGCATCTAAACATCAATAGTATGGACACAGATTTTGAAACACCAAGGTATCCATTCTCCAGATAAAAAAAAGATGAATTAGACTCGCTGAATTTGCGCCAAAAATGTTTGAATAACAGAGGTTCCAAGGTTCCTCTGGGATAATGAAATGTAATCCGGATAACCATCCGAGTAGATTCCGTGCTTCCGTTCAACCCCTTTTAGAGGCAGCCTGGACGGGTCAGTCAATGATATAGATCAGAGAAATAGCTTGAGAGAGCGGTCTTACGAGGAAACAATCCTTCAGTCTCAGGAACTCCTTGGCACACATATCCTTGTGAACGGAGCTGTAGTCCGAAACCACACATTTGCCGTATGCCGCAGCCTGGCAAACCGGAATTAGCTTAGCTGATGTTGGGGTTCTGGCCAACACATACCTCCACAGAGCACTGAGCAGCAGCCTTGGCAAGTTTTTCAACTGGACGGGTTTTTGTGGGCATTTTGAGAAGATGTGGACAATTTAATGGACTGTGCTAATCTGAAAACAAGCAGATATGGAATCTTGAAGGTTAGAATTAGATCAGGCATTTTGGCCTGAGGCACAAGCATATTGGCCTTATGTAAGCATACCTCCACGTGATTGTGGAGCTGTTTCTGTCGCGACCACCACAACAACCCGAGCTACTGGCTCATGGCGCTGGTTTGACCTTGGACTTTTTCTTTTTTTCCCCTTAAGCCTTTGGATCGCAGACAGGTATCTGCGCTTGTTCCATTTAACCGGGCTTGTCCCGCTTTCGCAATGATTTATTTGGTCCGTCGGCTCTATGACCCAGATGCGACAAGCGCGCCTTAAGTCGCGAAATTTCGATGCCTCCGATATCCTCCCAGCGGCGCGACTTCACCGAAGAGAAGCAGTCCCTCTCAGATGATGGTATGAATTCATACTCCCCTTAAATTGGGCTTAGGAGTTCTCAATCTTACCTCAAATTCAAATCTTAGATGTTGGCTTTCTCTACCAAGTTATCACTCGCGCCGAAGGGAAACCCGAGGCTGCAAAAACCCCGTTCCGAGCGCTTTTTGCTGCTTACGACGAGGCAGTCAGTGAACATGGCGTTGATCCTGATCCGGGCCATGCCTGTTTGGGCTTTTTGTTCAAGATGGGAAGCAAGAATATCGAAGGACTGACACTCTTCGACAAATTTGAAAATACGCTTCAACATATGGGAATTGTAATTGAGATGGGCGACGAAGGCTCGACAGGCTTCAATGATACAGTGGCAGATAGTCATTACTTGGACGACGGCATTCATAGCCACAATGGCCACCAACATCACCCAAACCCCATCACAAATGGCACCCCAATCACACCGAGGAGACGTGCATCATTCAACACCACAATGGATATTGGCGAGGATGCTACACAACGCAGTTTTATTGAACGGCCGAGCTCTAGATCTTCTATGTCACGACTTCAAACCGGGAAACCCGACTTTGCAAAGCATAAACTGTCACCAAAACTCAACGCCTCCAATTCCACACCTCAATCGCCAGACCGCACACAGTTGATCGCTCAGTTTTTAGACGTCGGACGTCGATTGATAAGCAGATTCGATAGTGTCCAGAATAAAAAAGTGGATCCAGAAGAGGCGCCTTTGACGAACGGAGTGCTTGCGCGGGCGGCTGTTGACCGTGAGCGCTCTCAGAGAATGGTAGCTTCTTCACAATCCCGGCACACACCTTCTGTTACCTCTTCGGACAGTGCGGAATCCGAGGATTCATATTCCAGTGTGCCAGAAGCGGAGCATGACTCGGTTGACAAGCAACCACCACCACCCGAAAACATTTACCAACCCCAAATCTCCGATATGCTTCGGGATGCTGATACTTTCAACATGTACCGACAGCGGGCGATTCATCGCACGATATTTCGGCAATGGTTTAAACGCGCTTTCCAGGCTTCTCAGACCCGTGAGAAGAGGGAATCCATTGCTATAAATCGTGACCGTGGCACCTTGCTTCGACAGGCGTTCGAGCCATGGCTTGCAATAATTCAGCAAAAACGGCATGCCGCTAGAACGGACCGTTTCTTTAAACACCTTGATGAACGTGCCAATCGTGCTCGGAATCTATATTTGATGACGAAAGCATTCACCCACTGGGCCCAATTCACATCCGAAGAAGTTGCTCGGACATCTGCAGCTCGGCGGCATGTTCTGAGTATCAAATACTTCAATGCTTGGCGTGAGATCACTGCTGTGAACGAGCTAAAAGCACAGCGTTTTGCGTTGCAGAGACCATTTAACAAGTGGCGCAAAAAGCTTTTGAATGTCAAGCAGGCCGAGGGTCAAGCGGTCACGATGCACCAGAAGAGTTTACAACATGCCTCATATTGGCAATGGTTCTGGGGCTTTTGTGAGCGTCGTGCGCCTGAATGGTATGATTACCGGCTCAAGAGGCGCTCGCTTCTTTACTGGTTGCAAAACTTTCGCACCAATCGAGAGCGTGATCACGAGATAGCTGTGCATAACAGGCGATGCGCCCTAGGATCCGCGCTTCAAGTGTGGTCACAGAGGGTAAGAGCAATTGGATCTGCACAACAGCTAGCCGAAAAAACTCAGCGCCACTTAGCCTTGACAGAAGCTTTTGGTGAATGGAAGATTCAGTCTCGGCTAGCCCCCGCAGCCTCTCGAATCACAGATATGGTGGATACCAGGGTACTTCGAAATGCTCTCTCAAAATGGATTTCTCGGGCTCGAATGATGGAGCGAGCACAGGAGCTGGATCAACAGAGAATCCAGCGTAATGCATGGACTTCTTGGAATGATACACTGCGCTGCTTAGCTCTCCGTGCGCGGATTGATGAGCGGTTGAAAATGGAAATCATGTACAAGTGGATTGTTATGGAAAGATTCCAGCTTATGCGCAGAATCCACGAGCAGCGTATCAAACGAGAAGTGTTTACTCGATTTGTTACGAACACTCGAGATACCTACACACGGTTGTTGTTTAATGCGGAAGCTCACGAGGAGAATCGGACAGAAGATCTGGCACGTTCCAAATTAGCTCTCTGGCGAGAACGACTGGTAATCCAACGTGAGCGCGAGTATACTGCCTTTGAGTTCTATGCCCCTAGGCTGGCACAAGAATCTCTTATGGCTTGGAGATCGAAACATGAGCAAAATAAGAAGATGGAAGGGTGGGCCAACGATGCACGCTTTTACTTTTTGATGAAGCGAACCTTGCAGGATTGGCGTCAAGCCACACTAGACTCTGCCAAGCGACGGCGAAAGGAAGCATATGCCAAAGTGCGAAGAAAGATCAAGATGAATTTAGCTTCTAATGCCCTCGCCACTTGGAGGTCCAAAACCCATGCTATCATGGACATGGACCAGCAAGCCGAAGATGTTGATCGTGGCAAAGTGCTTGAAGATTCATTTGAGTGCTTCTCTCGATGGCATGGCAAAGCTTTGAAAAGAGTACAGGATTACCAGGATGCTGATTATCACTATCTGCGTCAAGTAGCCTTTGACCAACTCATCCAAATGTCGGAGACCTTTGTCATTCGCCGTGAGATGGAAGACGAAGCAGATAATTTCCATCGCGCCCACATTCTCCAACAAGCCGGAGGAGCACTTCGCAAGCTAAGCCTGCGAATTTTCCAGATGAGGAACACAGTCGAGACTTCTGAAGCAATGCGTGAACGGACCTTAAGAAAACATTCGAGAAATTACTTCCGTCACTGGTTAGAGGAGGCCCGACTCAAATTCGAAGCACGGGACTCACCGGGCCCCTCGTTGGGCCCATCACTGACTCCCGGTCGATTCTCCAATGCCCCTCACGTCAATGGGAATGGAGCCTTGTTTGACCCGTGGTACCGGAATCCAGCTGAGACCCCCTTTAAACTTGCCGATATCACTGCAACTTCCCAAGAGCACGTCTCCGCAAGCCCACTAGCCACTCCGAACTACCTGACATCGCCATCCAAGCGAGCTGCACGCGCGAGAGCACTGGCCCAGATGTCCAACACCCCCGCCACCCCCTTACACACCCCATTTGCTAGCCGGCTGCTACGTGCTGAGTCCTCTACCGGGCGATCCGCTTCCTCTCTACGACCTCGTACTGGCCGTGGGAATTCCATCGCAACAAGTGTTCGATTCGCGGACGACGATCTTCCCGAGTCCCCGACAGACGGTCGCAAATCTGCAAGTCGACGGCCTTGACCCTCTTCCTTTTCCTCCCATATACAACCCCCCACCCTCCATACCTCATGTTAATGTAACTGCGATGGCCCTAGAGGTCCCTGTACATCCTTGACGACTATACTTTCTTCCTCACATCCTTTGCGATCCTTGTTTTTTTTTCTCTTTGTCGTTTTTGTCTCAGCATGCATATGAGCCGGCGCAGCATATACGGGGTTGGTGGGTTTTTTGGACTCTGTTTGGGTCTTTGGGTATACTATGTATTTTCTGGACATGATTGAATGTGATGATCAGCATATGGAATCTCTACTACTAGTAGTTAGCGACGTGGGCCTTTAAAAGAGTGAAATGCAGCTTATAGCTGTTAAATCCGATTGTCCCTTTGTAGATGAACCCAGTACCTCTTGATCGCGATAAATCCTTATCGGGATAGCTTGTAGCATCTGACAGCTATCTTTAGCCCACAAGCTTATATTTAGCTATTGATTTTTTTTTTTTTTTTCGTTGAATGGATTCCATATTCTGAATTTCTTGCACATGTGAGTACTCAAATCTGAGCCTGAAAAAGGAGTCAAGAAGTTTACCAAGAGATGAGGACTGGAACGTGTGCAAAGACGATCTTCATCAATGGTCGCACCAAGTGGAGTGTGGAGCAAGAGAGCGTAATCAACCTCCCGCTTTGATCCCCTGCGCATGTTTCCAAGACCACTCAGCCCCAGAATCTACAGCTGAAATTGAAGTCTTTGCTTTTTGTTCTTCGGCGTCTCTCTTTCCCAACGAATATCTGGGACCTGGCAATGGTGTAACGTGGTCCTCAGCGCAACGAGCGTCCACCATTCAACCCACCCGCTATGCGAGCGGTACTGCCGGGGAGACCCCCAGCGAAGCTCCAGTCGTTCAGCACTGCGCTGTGGGATGGACTACGTGTGATTGTAAGGCAAAAGGCCCTGAGTTTCTCGCCCACATCATGCCTGCTTCTCCAAGTTGCCTTGTTCGCTAACCTCGCCTCGTGTTACAATAGGCATACATATCTGGCCACGCGCTGGTCATCCTCGGCGGTCCACAGACACTCCTCCAAACGATCTACGTTGATGATACCGATAAACTCGAAGCGATAACCATTAATGAGACATCGGGAAAAATCGCAGTGTGCGGTGGTTCGGATGTCTTCGTATACCAACCGTGGAGTATCCAGGGCGAGACACCTAAGGTACATACACCAGGAGTTCCGCTCACTGGAGCTTTCCTTTACATGTTACTACATTGCCTGAACAGAAGAGCCGGTTGACTGACTCGGGAATATTATATAGTGGTCCCTCCTCCACATTTTCCGCGCTGACGATGACGAGCCGACCCGTACCATATCGTGGGGCTCGCCGAATGAGCTGCTAGTTGGTAGCTCCCGCCTCGCCCTTTGGATTCTCGATGACACACCACGCTCAGTATGGCAGCGGAAGCTTCCAGGGCCGTTAAAATTTGCGCAGTTCTCTCCCGATGCGGCCTTGATAGTGACGGTGGGACAATATGACCGCCTTGCTAAGGTATGGAGACGACTAGCCTATGGACCAAATGAAGTGCGGTTCGAGGTCTCCTATCTTCCTCACCCACATGTGATTACGGGAATGCATTGGCGACTACCATACCACCGAGAGCAATCAGTCGAAAATGTTCTTTACACCCTTTGCGCCGACAATAAAATCCGGGTATGGGCCGTTACGGATCACCATGCTCTTTCCCCGTTGCAATTTTGGGCGGAGATCGACATGGAAGCATCTGTTCAGCCTCGAGATGCATCGGAAAAGCATGAGGGACCACAAAGACGGTACGGATTTATTCTAGATAGTCGGGATTTCTGTGCCGCAACAGAGCGCGCTGTTGAACGCAACTCTGGCAACAAGGAAAACCACGCGTTAGAACATCTTATTGAAGTCGCGAACAAAAGTCCTGAAATTTGCATGGTGATTGATGGCCAAGGTCATATATCGGCATGGGCATTGGAAGACATTGGCTCGAAGGCGAAAACAAAATTGAGCGTCTTCAATATCCTGCATGTCGAAAATTTGAACTTTGGATTTATGTCAAGCTTGGGAGCTCAGGAAGACTATGCCCAGATACATGCCTTCCAAAGCAACACATCTGACGATAGACTCAGTATCATTCTACATCACTTTGATGGCCGGATTGAGTGGTACGACTCGAAGGTGGATGTTTTCTTCGATCCTGCCCCTCGGAAGAATCGAATTATGCCCAAAGCATCCTGGTCTGGACATACTGCCCCCGTGAAGAAGATTGTGCGAAATGCAACTGGCGACACGCTTATTTCAAGAACGGACGAAAATAAGGCCATGATCTGGAAGCAAAAGAGACGGGAGGGCGGATCAATGCTCATTCACCAGAGCGTATTGTTATCCGATGAACATATTCACCGGACGTGTATGATTGAGAATGGCGATTTTCTTGTCAATCTCCACCATAATGGAATTTCGCTGTATGATTACAGCTCCTATCATGCCAAAAGATTGGCACATCTACCATTCAACCTATCAAGCAAGCCTCTATGCGTGCTTCCACTTCCCACTCCAGATGCAAGCCCAGGCTTAGCTTATGTGGCGACTATTGGTGCCGATATGAACGGCATAGCATGGGAGCTTCAATGGGATCCTCAAGAAAAGCAACAAAATCCCGGAAAGGGACAGGATGGTTGTCAGCTACGCAAATTTTGCACGTTTAGTATGGGACTGCAGGAAGATTTGGCCTATATTCTACCTGTAGACCCAGCAGGACCCAAAGCCGAAACATCAGGATCTTTTGATACATTTGCTCCCGATATTGCTCTCTCCTACACCCACAGTGGTATCGTACGCACATGGACGGCCAAGGTTGACCGTCAAAAATCTCAAGTGGAATGGCTACTGAAATCGACAGTTGAGACTGGGATTGAGAACCCTTCGCTGGCTAGTGGAAGCTCCATCCGCAAGGCCGCGCTCGTGGACAAAGATCGGACTCACTTGACTATTTGGGACACTAACAATGCTCAATTGGAGTTTGAAGAGCATTTTGCTCAACATGATATCATAAGAGACCTTGATTGGACCTCTACCCCAGACAAGCAATCAATATTGGCCGTTGGCTTTCCTCATAAGGTCATTCTACTGTCTCAACTACGCTATGACTATCTGGACTCCAATCCCTCGTGGACCCAGATTCGTGAGATTTGGATTCGAGACCTCACCCCTCATCCCATTGGTGATTCTTGCTGGCTCACCCACGGTCATCTCATCATTGGTGCTGGAAACCAACTGTTTGTTTATGATAAGGATATTGATGTTGCAGATCATCTGGTTTCTGGACTGCGCATTCCATCTCGTGGTCAGCCAACAGTTGATCTTTTCGACGTTGTCAGTCGCTTGAATGGACCGCTGCCCGTCTTTCACCCCCAGTTCCTGGCGCAGTGTATTCTGGCAGGCAAGTCAGCTTTGGTCCATGCGATTTTGATGGGCCTCCACAGGAAATTAAAATTTTACTCCGAGGGAGACGACTTGGATGGGTTCTTAGACATGCCTTTGGAGAGCTTCTATGATGAACGAGAGGTACGTAACGGCACTAGACGTATGCATTTTTTCGAATCTAACAGTCACAGGCACTCCAAACAGTCACCTCTAAAGAGATGCGCTCCTCCTTCATCGATGCCTCGGGCGAAGAGGAGGAATCCCTGGTCATTGATGAAAATATTGCTGCGATTCTCAACGAGAACCTTGCACGCATTGCATTGCCACAACTTTCCAGTCATGAGCAGTTCAGACTTGTAGATACAATTGAGTGTGCTGCGACCGTAGAAAAACATCGACGGTCGATGGATGACAATGCGGCACGCTATCTCCTTTTCTTCCGGCAGCACATGCTGCGAAAGATCCAAGGAGTAGCGAACAAGGACCGAGTGTCATGGAGAGAAATTGTTTGGGCTTTCCATAGTGGCAGCCAAGACATCCTCACAGATCTTGTCTCTCGCCAATTCAATGGAAAATTGACCTGGAAGGCTGCTCGAGAGAGCGGCTTGTTCATGTGGTTATCGGACTTGACATCTGTGGTACGTTTGTCCCCTCATCAGCTTTGCGCTCATATTGACTGACTCCATTCTAGAGAGCACAACTCGAGTCTGTAGCTAAAAACGAGTATACCAAAACGGAGGAGAGGAATCCCATTGATTGTTCTCTATTCTATCTTGCACTTGGAAAGAAGAACATTTTGCAGGGTCTTTGGCGAATTGCACATTGGCATCGAGAGCAAGCACCTACCCAACGATTGCTTGCCAATGACTTCAAAGAGGCACGGTGGAAGACTTCCGCACTAAAAAATGCCTACGCACTGCTTGGGAAACGGCGGTTTGGTGAGTTGGACAAATCAAATATCAGTCGTTTTCGATTACAACTAACGATATTCATAGAATATGCCGCGTCATTTTTCTTGCTAGCTGACCATTTGCGAGATGCCGCCAACGTTGTCGCTAACCAAATGGGTGACATTCAACTCGCAGTTGCAATCACTCGAGCTTACGAAGGGGACAAGGGTCCAGTCCTCCGAGAGCTTCTAGAGGAGAGAGTTCTGCCAGAGGCTGCTTCAGAGGGCAATCGCTGGCAAGCCTCTTGGGCTTTCTGGATGCTTGGACGGCGGGACATGGCCGTTCGAGCACTCATCGTAAGTCATATCGACTATCTTAACGAGCCAGTGAACTAATATGAATTTACTAGTCCCCGATCGAGACTCTCCTCTTACCAACGCCAGTTTCACCAGGGAGCCCAGGAAGAGTTACCCTGCAGTCTAAATCCTACCTTTCTAATGACCCCGCCCTGGTTGTTCTTTACCAACAGCTTCGCGAGAAGACACTCCAAACGCTCAAAGGCGCATCCCAAGTCCGGCCGGTCGAAGAGTGGGAATTTGTCCTCCGTAACGCTCGACTCTACGACCGAATGGGTTGCGATTTCCTCGCTCTAGATCTAGTCCGGCACTGGGAGTTCCTGGGCATACCCCCAACTTCCAAAACGCTACAAAACCAGCCTGCCCTTGAAATCAACCAGGATGGTGTCGATTACCGGAAGCTACTCCGGCGCCGAGGCAGTTTGGTTGTCGCTGATTTGCCATTTCGACAGGCGGATTCTGCATCTGTTGATGCAAATAAGACCGCAGTTGCTGATGAAACTCAGCAAAAGCTTCCAGAGAAACCGAAGCCAAAGCCGCCTCCAACTATGTTTCATGAGCCTGACTCTAACTCCTTGCTGGATAGCTTTGGGTTCTAGACCGAGGCAAAATACTTCCAAATGTTGCAGTGCATACCCTCGTTCTTGTATTTTCTGGATTGTATCGGCACCTATAAAGCGTTTAAGCAAATTCAATACCATTTTCTACAATCATAAATTCTCAGCGATCCTATATCCATGGATGTTCTATCTGTGACCCGATTTGGCCTTTATTGTCGGAATCCCAGTGCCAGTTCAACATCAATCAATGAACGAGATGAGCCTGTCTCCGCCTAAGGGCCCATCATCTATGGTGTCAAGCTCAAGTCCATGAGCTCAAGTTTTTATCCCCGAGGTCAAGTGCTGTTAGGTAGATGTCCAAATAGGCTAGTAGGGATGAGGACTTGACATGATCAAATGATATATTCTTCTTGATTTTAACTATAAACAGAGCTATTTTCTAAAGACACAAGCACCATGCATATAAGACAGCCCAACCTTCCCAAGCTCTTCCAGGACATCCACGCCTAGCTGCTATGGCACCCCCTAATAATACAAACGCGCAACCCGATTCCGCAGGACAGACAACTTCCGCCTGGAGAGAACAGTCCCGTTGGCCGGTGCAGTGGCATTTGCAGGCAAAGTCCCGTTCAATTGACGAGTAGCATTGGTCTTCCCAGAAACCAAATTGATACCGTGCTCCTTGCTCCTCAACTCCTCCATAATGCGATGCACAATCTCCTCACTCTCCAAGTGTCCAACATTGTCCACACGGCTTTCTTCCTCGGGCTCACGCTCAGAGTGCTCTGTCTGCGCCAGGTGCCACGAATTGGCATTCGAGCCTGGTGATTGGACATTGGCTGTGTGCTGAATAGAAGCCGTTTCATCGATGCGGGGGATATCTTGCTGTTGATCGGCCAGCGACTCAGATTCGGACTCAGTATCAATATTAGACCCGGCTTGGGTTTGGGTTTGATGCTGGTGTAATTCTTTTATTTGTTTCTCGTTGTCGTTTGGCTCGCCCTCGCAAACGAGTTGGATCCAGACATCGCTGTATGCAACGAAGTTGCGCTCGTGGCACTCGCTGACTTCGACGCCACCGTGCAATTCCTTTGATAGGAGTGGGTCGTCGATGCATTCTGGGACCTCGTGGATGGTGATATTGCAGTTTGGGCTGTTCTCTGGTGGGAAGGGGTGGCCCTTTTCGTTGGAGAGAAGCTCGGCATCTATGGAGATGGCGCTGACGAGGTTGTGCTCGTAGGATGGGACGCCGACTTGTGTGCAGGTACCTGCGGGGACTTTTGTTGTGCGGACGGTTTCTTCGTAGTTCTCGTATGTGCTCAGGTCGGCGAAGGGCTCGCCTGGGCAAGATGGGTAGAAATGTGTCCAGACGCGGGCCGTGGTGGCAGCGTGGATGGGTGTGGAGAGGAGGATAAGGGTTTTGAGTGTGGAATGCATGGCTGCCAAGCTCGAGGTTGAGGTTTGAGCACTGGGGTATATGGAAATAGTATGATCTGATAGATTGGAGTGTTCCAATTCAAGGGTGTCTGTTTGGGTTTTCAGTAGATGCTTCAAGGCTTGTTCTTATATATGGTTCGATCATTCCTTTACGTGGGAATTACGATTATTGAGAAGGCGGGGGAATGACTGGAATGGCGATGAGATTGATCTGAAACGCGACTAGGATGCTGGTTGACAGCGTGACGAGGTTCAAATGTGCGATGGGTGAATTTTCTACATCATACTCAGTGGCGGGAGCGTGTGAAGGCTTGCATGGGCGCCAGTTAGAAGCCAGATCGAGCATTCCAATCCCAAATTGGATAGAGGGATGTCGATCCAGGACCGTATTGGGGTCTTTAATTGCTGGTTAGGAATGCCAGAGCGATTTCACATTCCAGAATATGGCGGGCGGCTTTTCAGGAGGCTTGCTTGTGGGCGGTGCTGTCTGGAGCAACTGATGGCTTGAGTCATCATTGGAAGGATCTTCATCGGTTGATGTCAAAATATAACGATCGGCATCCCGATCTAGTGAATTGAATTGTTCCCTTAAAGAGAGGAAACAGCAAGATATGATGTTGTCATGTACATAGTAGTAATAAGGAGTCACCTCACAAAACATTAGTAGAAACAGATTACCTCCTTTTCTTATCTTCCTCAACAATAGGTGGTTGATATTTCAAGATAGATTCACCTGTTTCATACCCAGTGATCGTGTTCGAGCGTCTGCCTCTTCCTTTTTTGATTGTCTGAATCTGCCGATCCACTTCCTCCAAGTCTCCTTCCGAAGTGACGGTACTCAATGCCTTGATGCGTGGAGCACTAGCGGGCCCAGTTGATCTGCTGCGGCTGCTTTCCCGACTCTCTGGTTCACTCGGCGGCATGCTCTTCAATCTAGATTGATAAGCATCAAGATTGTATGAATCAGACGGAATTTCAGCATCAACATCTGGCATAATGCCAAATCCGAGATCGTCGATGGTCTTGGTCACCCGTTCGGAAAGCGATTCACGATGGGCCTGTAAATCAACCAAAGAGGAAGATGAAAGTGGGTTGAGGGCCACAAGGAGCGGTGGAAGAGATTTAATGATGTCCATGCCAACTTCACCAAATCGGAGAGCTGCGAAACTGACGAATACCATAAAGCCATAAAAGCTCATCGCAAATACCCAAAGAGAGACAAAGTTAGGAACATATGTGTTTGCTGCCATCCACCAAGGAACCGAGTGGGTGTAATAGCCATCGTAGCGATTGTAACGGAGCCACGCAGTCACGATTATGGTATAGTAGGCGTAGAGAGTGGGTGCCAATCCCATAGCGACCAGGATTTTCCAAGTGCCGACCACATCGTGTCCTTGCAATTTCACCACTGAAGCAGCAAGTGCACGTCGCCTTTTCTTTTCCGAAATAACTTTTGTTGTGACAAACACAGGCCAGAAAAGCAAGACACCAGGAAGTGTACCAATACTCAAGGCTAGAAGCTTGCAGAGGCGATAAAACAAGGTGATGAATCCAAGCCACCAAGGCTTTTCCTCAAGATTTCCCCATTCCACCTGGTGATCCTTAATTCCAAGCGATTCCAAGCGCCGGTTGTAGTCGGTGACTGCCTTTCGGAGACTCTTGACCTGAGGATCATCCCGATGCCGAGTGTACCCCTTCAGTAAACGGCGATTGAACTCAATCACCAGGGGAAGAGGGATCTTCTTGCTAATTGGGTTATACAGCTTCCGCGTAGACTGAACCAAGATCAGGGTTTCATGATCTGGGCTGATCTGTGTGACAGACTCTAAACCCTCATAGATGGTTTCGAGAAGAGAGCCGACAGCATTGCGCTTGCTGGTGCCGCCGGCCTTGAAGGCTTCAACCTGATCAGGGTGCACATGGATGGGCCGGCCAAACTCAATGACACCGCGGGATCGGAACTTGTGGGCATGGAAATAGTTCATGCCACATGGAACAATAGATAATCCACAGCCTGGGTCCTGAGCTAGAGCCCCAAGGGACATCAGGGCAGCACCGGCTTTCAGCGGCAGCAAGTTAGAGCGATCATGACTACCTCCCTCGGGGAAAATTCCGATACAGCCTCCATTCGAGAGCTCCTCGTAGACTGCCGCGAACATTTGACTTTGGTCAACGTGAGGGGCAATCTTGAAAGTTGCGCCTTTGCGACCGTCTTCAGAGAAGGGCGCGTCAAATGGCTTCTTGAGCCTCAAAGATGTAGGACCAAGTATCTCTTCAATCGAGGCAGTCTGAGGCCCAGTAGGACCTTTAACGGTGAGCGAGCCGCCAGTCATAAATTCCGGTTGGGTGAAATCGGTATCGATGCCATTCACCAAGGCCGGGTCGTTTTCAGGATCGGGAAGATAGACCCTGCCCTTTCCAGGTTTAGCCAAATCCATGGATCGGACCACTGGGAGAGCACCCATGCATGATGCTAGAGTGCCAATATAGGGCTCGTTCATGGATTTCTGAGCAATGAGGAAAGAGACACGTCGCTTCGCCTGCGACTTCAGCAGGTGCATCAAAATAGCCGAATCAACGAACTGATTGGCATGAGGGGCTGCAACAATTAGGACTGGACCTCTCTCCGGAATTCTCCATGCTCCTCGGGGATAGATCTCGCGAAAGAAGAGGTCCAGCGCGCAGGTAAAGAGCCACAGAACCAAGTCATACAGCCACGGGATCATCCGGCGGGAAACGCCTCGACCCGCCATGATCGGCGAGTGTTCTTGGAAGTAGCGAACACAAGCCGCTGGGATAACTTATTAATTAAGATTATTTTGATTCTCCTTTTCTTTTTTTTCCCAGCGTGTTTGGGGACATCTGGATTCTGCAGGTGGAGACGATATGCAGAGACGTTGCACGTTTGAAGGAAAAAAAGTGGGCTTTAAACCCGAGGGGCGGGAAATCGGGGATTTTGATTACTTTGGCTCGTGAGTCGTACCTCTGTATGAATCGTACGATGAAACCAAGAAAAAAAAAATCATATGCATCGATACCAAGGTCATTTTCTTGGATTTTTTTGTTTCCTGGATTACAACTGACATATGTTATAAAATACAACAAGGTAAAGAATTAATCATGTCGCCATAAAGTTGACAATTCGCGTCCCAAATTCGCAATTTAAACGGCATCAGAGTCAGAGTCAGAGTCGGATCCAGACTCAGGGCCATTGCTCTGGCCAGCTGCCTCGCCGATGGCACCCACGCCACCACCGGGGAAATCACAGTCGAGTTGGAAGGAAACGAATCCAGGATCCAGGAAATCGGGGAGACACACGCCCTGAACAACGGGCTGGTGATCGAAGGGCATGAAGTAGTCGGAATCACCGGCGCAGTTGTCGTTGTTCCAGACGTGGACACCATTGCAGAAGAGGGCGTCCTTGGTGTCGATGTAGGCCTTGAACGCGAAGTTGTCGATACTCCAGTCACGGTTGACGGTGGTCTTGTCACAAGTCACAGTGGTAGCAGTGACACTGGCCTTGAACTTGGGTTCACCGTGAACTGGAACACCGACGTCGCAGGTCTCCCAAGATTGAAACTCAAGACTCGCGATAGGCAGGCCGGCGTGGGCGACCGCGAGAATAGCCGCAGAGACGAGAGTCTAGATTTGCTTGTCAGAAAATAATGAAAGGTGATGCAAAGATTGAGCCTTCCTTACTGTGGTGAAATGCATCTTGTGAGGAGTTGATTGGTTTGCTGCGAACGCGATCGTTGTCGAAGGGCCGAGGTTGTCGAGGTTGTCGATTGGTCGTATGTCGTCGAAGAATAAACAGCTACCACGCGATCGCGGCTCGCGCCATTTATGTAGTAAAGCTGTAGGGAGCGATAGGACGCGAAGGGCGCCTGGCCCTGGTCAACATTATCTTGCTCCAATAGAAATAGGGCTTGGGTGTAGATGGAATGCAGGCCAGCGCGATCAAGCGCCTAGATGAGTTGGAATGCGAAGATCTAACAAAAACATCATGCGAGACCCTGTTGATCATCCTGAAGAATGGGAGGAAACTGGTGTCTACAGGGCCTTAATTAAAGGGTCTGAGCAGATGCCTCATGCAGGAACACGTCCTTGAAAGGGCAACGTCGCACCTCGCATACTCCGCAACGATCAATCACCTTTTGGAGTAGAACAAAAGCAATTTTCAATGTAAATCATTCAAATTAAAATTGGGGAATATTCCTGTTGATTACTTTTTGAGCAATGTGATTTGCAGTGTGTACTGTGATAACCCAGTTCGAAGGCTTTAAACTATTATATGGTTTGTCTCGGCGCAGGGGTTAACCCCTTGTCAAACGACCTCATCTGACGATCTTCAAGGATCAAATCCATTAATCACTAGAGAGTCTTAAAAATACCGATCAATACAAGCTGAGACGACCAGTCCAATCTAATAGACAACCCACTCAGTACTTGAACTCCTGCTTAACAAGGCTTTCACTAAGCTTCCACAATCTTTCCGCCTCTGTAGGGTCCCGACCCCAGCACTTGTAGCTGTCCAGGTCCGAAACTTGGCTGTCTACTAGGTATCGACCGTTGGCTATCACATTGTTAGCCAGTTTATTATTTATCCTGGGTTAAATTATGCTCTTTTGTCACTCACTTTTCATCGATACGGATTCATCAAATGCCGCAAAGACGTAGGTTGCAACACCCTGCTGTTGAGTCTTTAAATTGAAGCCGGTGTAGAAACTGGGCAGGGCAAGTTCCAGCCCAATTTTGCCTTCGAATCATATTAGCAGGGTCCTTCAATCTTTGTTTCACAGGTGAACAAGTCAGCAACCAACCAGCACCTACCAAGTTCAGGCCATGCAGAGGCTTCAAGATGAGAACTGAGATTGGTGCGAATGACTCCAGGATGAAGGCTCACGGAGATCAGTCCTTTGCTCGCAAGTTTCGTAGCAAGCGAGACAGAGAATAACATATTCGCTGACTTGGACTGGCCATAGGCAAACCACCGATTGTAGGGTGAGATCTACATATTCATGCAAATTTGTTAATATATGATCGATCGCAACCGCATCTCAGAATGATATATATTCGGTGCATATATGCTATGCCCTCACTTACCTCGAAGTTCATGTCTTCAAATCTCACACGGGATAATTCGTGGCCATTGCTTGAGACGTTGATCACCCGACTAGTCTGACTTCCATCTTCCGTGATCAACTTGTCGATAATCAAGTTTGTGAAGAGAAAATGGCCAATGTGGTTGACTCCGAATTGAAGCTCGATGCCATCTGCGGTTTGACTGTGAGGTACTGCCATGATGCCTGAGCTATTGACGAGCACATCGATATGCGGAACATCATCATAGTTGTTGACTTCCTCGGCGGCTTCACGTATGTGAGCTTGTGAGGCCAAGTCGAGCTTGAGGATACGGGTAACCACCACGGGCGCGATAGCTTTGATTGATGCGGCGACTGGCTCGAGCTTAGAAATATCTCGAGAGGCAAGGATGATCATGGATGGCCCATGGGGAGCAATGGTTGTGGCAAACTCAGCACCAAGACTTCCCACAGACGGACCAGTTATGAGAACAATCTTGCCCCGGATAGCGTTGGAACAGATGGCAGCGACCTCATCGCCGGTTGTTTCGAATCCGAAGGTAGACATGATGGGAGTTATTTTCTGGTAAGATGATTGAACTTGGAGGAATTAGCTTGCTGGATGAAGATGAGATGTTGAGAAACGAAGAGAACTTATAGCTTTCAGATGTTCAAAATGTTCACTCAGTGGATGTTGTAACTTGTTGAAACTGCACGAACAGTACAGCTGATCATTTCCCGATTCGGTCAATTTACACAGAACCAGCAACCAAATCGGGATTAGCGCGTGGAGAATCGGAGATAAGCACTTTGGAAGCCTTAAAGCCTTGACGTGGAACTAAATACCTCGTCACTTTCCACTTTCTCTCATTTTCCTATCCATCAACTGCCTAGAACAGAACTATGAATTTATCAGCAGAAGTGATATTTCCTGTAGGTTCTTCCGGCAATGACGACCCCTGCATCTTCAAGTATGATATCGGCCCTACTGCTTCAAAAGTGGCGAAGAACAGGGGAAGGCCGAAAGGAAGTACGTGAATTCATTCTTGTCTGATCTTTCAGGAAACTGACTCGTACAGGCACAAATCGCCGAGTCTCCCAACGGAAACTGAAACAACCTGCTTTCGAGTTCGTTCATATTGAGGGCCATGCCGGTATCCCAGATGCCGATTCGCGTACCATGATCCGGAGACGAGTCATGATCAATCATATCAACCAACGTAAGAAAGTTGATGGGAGACGCGTCTTGAATCCTGGACTTCCTCCAATGATTGCTGGTGTTGACCCTTTTAATACATTGCCGATTCGGCTTGAGCCATACGCACATGACCTTTTGAAATACTGTGAGTTGTCAGAATATGTACATAACGCGAAGGATTTACTAATACGCAATCATAGATATCACCTCTGGATGGCAGAAATACTATTCTATTGAGAAGCATACTGCGTTTAACCCAATAACGGAGTATTGGATATCTCTCGTAATGGTTGATGATGCTTTTTTGCACACAATTCTCGGGTGTGCTGATTTGCACTTCTTCCCGGGTAAAGCACCTCAGGCTTCCCTCACAACTATAAAGCATTTAAATGCTGCGATTTCAATTGTGAACAAGCGCATCGAGAATAATGAGATTCCCACGGACGCAACTTTGGTTATCGTTGCCACAATGGCTCTTATGGAGGTCAGAACTTCACCACCCCACAGACGTGTTAGGTACAATGAATTCTCACCAACCCTACGATAGAAGCACCAAGGTTCTCATGAAAATTGGACTATTCATATGAAGGGACTCCAGAAATTAGTCGCCCTCCGAGGTGGGTTGGAGTCGCTGGAATCGCAACCTCTTGCAATGGGGAAATTATACAGGTATGTGATGTCCAACCTCTTTCCTACTGCTTCCTGGCACTTACTGATAACTCTCTCTGTATCTTGAAGAGCCGATCTGGCAGGCTCTATAGATGCTGGCCAAGAACCTTACTTTTCAAGTCGAGGGCTTTCAACGCCCCTCAAACCTGATCCACAATTCCTAAGTTCTGGGTTTCAAATGCTGAACTCTATGAACCAATTCGATGACACTCTTGTATCCTGTATTCTAAATGCAGCTGATATCATGTCATCTTTGAGACTGCTGAACCCAAAAAGCTCCCACACGGAAGCAGCCAGGATTCGCTATTGTTCCACAGCTCTACAGTACACCCTTCTTTCGGTCCACTATATGGATCCAATCCATGAAATCTGCCGGCTGTCTCTCCTTTTGCTTTCAGAAATGCTGGTCAACGAAAGCTTATTAGTCTTTCCCAAATATGAAAAGCTAATTGCTAAAATTTGGGACATTCACGATGCCTCAAATTTCCACTTCCAGATTCCACCAGAATTCAAACTATGGGTGTTTATTATTGTTGCATCTTGCACGACTTCACAACAGACAAGGAGGAATTCTCTACGTGTTGTTTCCCAGGCTGCTTTGACACTGGATGTGTCAACAATCGAGCAGGCAGAATCTACGTTGAAGATATTCTTATGGGATTCTGCCCTGGAGACTGATGTATATAAATTCTCATTCGGCACGTTCTGTCCGAAGACAGCAACCCAAGCCCACGGGCCACATCCAGAATCTTACGTGACGGACCGGGAACATGATTGACTGGTTTCCAGTAGTGGAGCTGATTCACCAGTGAAAGAAAAGGAAGCAAAAAAAGGGACGAGGCGGGATCGAACCACCGACTTCATGATTTGCAATCATGCAATCTACCACTGATTTATCGCCCCTTTGTGGCAAATTCGCCAAATTTGGCTTCATCAGTTCTTGCGATCAGATCCAACTATAGCTGAAGCACAGACCAAGTAATCCTGGTCGAAAACATAAACATTTGGACACAAGTTACATAAGCCCTATGTATTCAAAGCCGCATCAAATTAACCCTCACGCCAACATTACAGTGCAATCTCAAGAACATTAGTGAGTGCTTAGAGGTACATAACATTTGAAAGTAGTATGTAGCGTAGGTTGAACCGCAAGACTGACACCTGTGCACCAAGCTCAAGCCCTGGAGGATGTAAAGTCTGGAGCCTTGGAATATAGAGCTGGAATGAAGCAGTGCTGGAGGGAAGTTTTTTAACCTCATACTTAGGTATGGGATTGAGAGACGTGGAAGATATAGAACAAAGAGAGTTGAATGCATAACTACATACCAGCAGATACAAAATAAAAAAAATCGCTATTTGCAAGAAAGTTGGGGGGAATAGAAAAGAAAGAAACAGCGTCGAGTCCGACTTTTCCTCCATTCCATAACATGAGTGTCGGCCGAGATACGCATTAGAGAAGAAAAGGAAAGATAAAAAACAAACAAACAAGGTATATGCGAACAAGGGAAATAAACATATCCGTCATGTAATCTCCTAAGCAGAGACGTATTTTCCACCGACCAATTTGCGGCTCGTTGGGACCTCTTGCCAGCTAGCTGGGGCAGGGGATTGTTTTCCGGTATCAGCGAAAGGATCAATTTCTTGCTGAGTGGATTCCGAAACCGCACGACTGACCCCAAGTCGGGAGGCAGATTCGGTAGAGTGGAGCTCGAACTTGGCCTCGATATTGCCCCTACGAGGGCCAGGGGTGGATGTGGAGAAACGCACAAGGAACTTTCCATCATCACCAGAGCCAGGTGCCTTGACTTCAAGCTCGGGAATCCTCCAGGTGACCGTGGAATTCTTGCGGCGGAAAGTAGCACCGGAGTTAGGGTGCATGACAGCGCTGGTGGCATGGGCGATACTTTCGCGCGGTTGCTTGGTGATCTCGTCTTCGGAAGCTACATCCAAGCCGACAGTCAAAATCACGTTCTTCAAAGTGATTGATTGCACAGGCTGGGAAACAAAAGCTGGATTGAGAGAGTAAAAGACAATGGCACTGGCTTGAGATCCCTGAAGATTCCAAGCTGGTTTGAAGATGACAGGGCAGTATGACGATGAGTTGCTCTGGTCAAGATGCAATTGGTACTTGAATGCTACCGTAGGCATGGGCCGAGAAATACTGCCCAGCTGGAGGTTGTATTCGCCTCGCTTCTCATCGCCGGTGTCTTTGCTGGTTTCCTGGACAAAGTGTGGGTTCGCAGCGACCTTCTCTAGTATGGGGAAATTATCGAGACGAATGCGCAAGGAGTCTGCTGCAAAGCCAGGGGCGACATTGTGGGCAAGAGCAAGCTCGCCTGTCACAAAGGACTTGGTTACCTTGCCCTCTGAAAACCAAGCATTGACTGTCTCGATGATTGATGCATTCAAACCGGGCTCGTAAAGTTCAGGGTGCATACTGAAGGTCTGCCCGTGCGTAGTATGCCCGGAGCGGACTGAGGTTGTATCCGAAATAGCATGGTCGTCCGTTACAGTACTCAAAGAGGGGGTGTGCCTGATTGGAGAGGATGGGGAGTACGCATCGGGCGCCATTTGATTTGGAGCCAATTCGGTTCCTGGGTTTGCAATGAAGACCGTATTGCGAACATCACGGCGACCGCGGATAGTGCCTGCATTCCGTCTCATGACAGACTGCGGAGCCCGCAAGCGAAGAGTATTCGCCATTTCATCCATGGCTTGCTTAGCCTGGTTTTCGTCTTCGAAAATGGGCTGATCACGGATTGTCAAGTTCATACCCGACTCATCCAGCCCAGCGGCTTCCCTCTGCGCACGGGTAACCTCATCTACAGTCGAGGGTCGTTCAGTAAATCCTTCCGAATCAACATGTGAAGGATCAGTGCCATTCCTGACGATTCCAGCGCGGGCTTCTGGAGAGGTACCGTTTGTCGTAGAGGAGTATGGCTGTGCAATTGGAACGGGAGCAAGAGCCTCCCCTGCCGTCTGATCCCGAGACATGCTGGAGGTTCGTGCATAATCATCGTCAGTCATCGATGTCCCGGGACGATCTGCGGTGGAAGGAGGCGATTCGGGAATTTGCATATCTCTCGATGAGTCGGACCTCTTGAATGGCGCAAATGGACTGCGCTTCTTTTCTGCTTTCCTATCAAAGGTTGACCCCGATGGCACAACCATGCTCTTCCGTCTGCCCATGACTGTACCGAGTCGCCTGAGTCCTCCCAATGCGGTGTTTCGTGGCTGTGCTTCTGGGACTATGTGAACGTTAATATTTCAAGTCAAAAGTCCAGTGTGGGTTTGAATGCTCACCAGGTGTTGTTGGAGTAGACGTCTGTCTATCGGACCTTTCCGACCGTTGGCTAGCCGCATCATCTTGACTTCGAGAGGGAGGTGCAAGCGGTGTGCTAGTTGGGGTCTCAAAGGCCGAATGAGGGGGTGGGGCAGGAGGCGTCTCGGGGAGGGGAGGCTCTCCTCGAGGGACGGCAGGCGAGGCCGGGATGCGGTTTCCTTTCATCTTTGCAGCGAATGTTTGAATCTCATCTGCAGTCTGCACGTTCAGGAGAACATTCAGACAGCTCTCGGCAGCCTGCCGGCCGCGTTCAACTGAATCAACCTCGTGGGTCTCCAGTTGTGTGAGCACATCTCGCAGATGATTGAGACGACCTTCGTCTGCAGCTTGGAGTTGTTCAAATACGAAAGGTGCACGCGAGTCCCACTGTTGGCTGACCTCTTCCGCGGCAGCGACTGCAATTGCGAGCTGTTTAGGGTTCTTGGTGCTCTTCTTTTTGGCCTTTTCCACTTTGTCCTGGGATGACTCGATATTCTTGGCCAATCCCGCTAAATTGCTTTGGATTCCAGGCATTGATTGCATATCATGGTTTTTGGTGCTGTATTCCCTGAGAGGGCGTTCAACATCTTCTTCGATCTTCGTCGCAAGGGTCTCGTGTGAAGAGGCGAGCGCCTCGGTCGCGGTAAGGATGCGCTGCCAAGGGATTTGAAAAACACTGAATAATAGTTAGAGCTACACACTCTCTTCTCATCCTAGGGGGTGACTCGTCAGGTGCATATTGAACATACCCGAGTGCCGCACCATTGTCCAGGCTTGAGCGATTCGCCAGCTTGCGCAAACCTTGGGTATACGCCTCCTCCACACGACGACGCTCCTGGGGCCAGAAAGTCAGAATTCATACCCCGCAATGATCAAGAATGTGACCTGGGGAAACTGGCGGGAAATGGAGCTTGGCTTCATCGTACCTGAAGAAAGTCTGCAATGTCCGCATGGATCTTGTTAATTATTCGGATGCGATCGGTGAGAACATGTGTAGCTTGGCTAGGGTGTAAGGTGGCCTAAAGGATGGTGATTCCCCCTTGTCAATATATTGTAGCTTGGACCGAGGACTTTGAGCTGTGAGGATTTGAACTTACCAGCAACGCTGGATATTCCTGTCGAGATAGCTCCATGGTTTCAAGGTTGAGGGCTAGTAAAACGCACCAGGCGCATAACCAGGAAGAAAATAGCGACAGCGGGGTTGGAATTGTTGAGATGTTCAAGACCAGTAATGCCGGAATGAGATTGAAGGTGAGTGGCATTCGATCGCCGCCGAAGACGGGGAAATGGCTGGTCACTGGGGGATGACGGATGGGGGCGGGTGAACGAGGAAGGCGGTAGGGGGGAATTGGATGACCTAGAGCCGCGGTATTACACTGTGAATCGTGATACAATACACTGTGAATCTATACTGTGGGCTACAAGAGGCAATCTACAGAAAATCTTACTTAAAACATCGCTATGTAATTCATTTTGATCTCCAGAGGGTGTTAGAGGGTGTATGGTTCTATGCTGAATAACGGCAGTATATTCATTTATGTGCCTTAGGCAGACAAACCGGGGAACATGTCGATCTATACCGGATAGCATGATTATGTGCCTACATCTTAATGTAGGTACAGAACACACTATTTAGATGCCCTTCGCGTTTCCGTAAGCAACATGGGGAAATATTGGCCCCATTACAGTTACAGTATGAAGAGCAATACTATTGTTCTTTCCCCGTTGCAATCACTAAATAACCAATCAAGCCACCTTCTCCGCTCATGGATCACATGACATCATTGTCCAGGTCCCACAGTTGTTTTGTCACCTGCACTTATTGTGCGGTTCCACAATTCGGTCGAAGATTCCGTTTATACATTGTTCCAGCTATGGATTGGCACAAAGATCTGGGGTTCACAGATCGATTACGAGCCATCCAGTCTCTGTCAGTCAGAGTCTTTCAACATGGATGATTAATATTCACTTACACTCTCCATCCCAGCACTTTAGCCTATCAGCAAGCATCTTCCCAGGATGCCTTCGCCGAGGCCCAAGCTCAGGCTAGGCAATTTGAGATTGAGGCATACGACCATGCTACCTCAAAGGTCCGTCTCATAGAGATTTTGAGTTTTATTCTCCGGTGACCTTGACCTATTAGTTAATTCCATGATTATTGCAGGAAAAATATGATCAGATATGTCAAAAGGCAATTGATGCAGCAGAGGCTACCAGTTCTTTAATCGTGTCTAACAACACCTCAACAAGCCCAGACCAGGATATATTCCCGGACACTGGACCTTCAGATGGATCAGCGCCAGGAGAGACATTTGGCCAGTATAAATCATGCTTTCATCATTTTGGAGGACTTCATTCCACAATTTACCGGTCTAAAGCAGACAATGGATTGATGCTGGCCATCAAGATCACTATTCCACATCTCATGACGGCCCCCCACGATGCTCATCGTGAGGTTCGACTCCTCCGTGAGGCATCCAACCAATACGTTATTCCCTTGATCGACACATTCAAATTAGATGAAGGTCGATTAGCCTTGGTTTTCCCATTCCTCCGGTTCGACTTCGACCACTTATTGCGGAGGGACATGGTCACCGCCACCCAGACCCGATCTATCCTACGAGATATGTTCTCTGGCCTTGCGCACATTCACAAATTGGGAATCATTCATCGTGACATCAAGCCGTCTAATATTCTTATGGACTTGCCCAACGGACCCGCATATCTGGCCGATTTTGGGATTTCCTGGAAGGAAGGAGACCCTGGGTCAGAGCGGTCAGATTCCAAAATCACCGATGTGGGCACGACCTGCTACCGGGCCCCGGAGATTCTATTTGGGCATCGGGGATATGACAGGGCTCTGGATCTCTGGGCGGCAGGTTGCGTGGTTGCGGAATCCACCGTCGTAGGCCATCGGTCATTATTTGATTCCGGGCCCCTGGGCAGTGATCTGTCCCTGATCCACTCCATCTTCCAGACGCTAGGGACACCAGATCAAAATAGCTGGCCTGTAAGTACATTCTGTTCCCACGTGGGAGATTGAGCCAAGACGCTGGAAATAACCAGCAAATAGGGAGTCCATGTGCTGCCAGATTGGGGCAAGGTGGAATTCCACCCCTTTGCGGCGCAGTCTTGGGATGACATCTTGCCTGGTGCATCGTCCAAGGGCCGGGACCTAGTTCAGCAATTAGTTTGCTACGAGAGCAGTCAACGACTCTCTGCCGACGAGGTTAGTGACAGGAAATTGCAATACCCGATTCTCAACGGTCGCTCATTAATATGCGCAGGCCCTCCACCACCCGTATTTCTCCACACCTTAATCTCGATGACGGGACCGCCACAGGAATGCCCCTCTCTCTCTCTCTCTCAGCCACAAATTGTGACAAGACTTGTGCCTGGCAGCCGGCCCAATTTACCGCCCAATCCCCATCCTCCTGGGACCAGGTTTAAAAACGCCCCTGGGAAATATGCCATCAATGATAGATTCTTGAATACCAATTTATCCTCGACATTATTGTTTTCAAGCTTGAAGGCTGAATAGAAATGAAATTATTGTAAACAATTGGAATCCCGAAGAGAGAATGAATTCTCATAATTTTGGTTTTATAAGAATTTGGCGTTTCCGAACAATTCCCGGCAGGACCGGAAATTAACAGCTGAAGCGACGGATCAATGAGAAGCGATGAGGAGCCGAGGATGAAACAATCAAATCAGCGGGATTTGAGTCCGTGCGGGTTTACAAGGGTCCTTGCACTACTTTGGCCTTTTGGGGGCCACACAAGTCTTTCCATAAAGCCTTGGACTGTTGTATTTAGAAATAAATAGTATCCTGTTATTGGAAAAGAAGACTGGAAAATTATAAGAAATATTCATGAATTTGGGAATTTGGGAATTTCCACACGTTTTCAAACGGTTCAATTGCGACTGGAAATCGAGATCTGGGATGGGAATATATGGAGTAAGTTCAATACCAGGAACCGTATTGACTTGGCCAATCGTATTGAGAGAAAACACAGATCCCCACCAAATTGAGTTAATCTCGCCGTAAAATACAGGTCCATATCAAAGTAAATGCAACTCATTTCGCTTCCTCGTGGGAATCATTTCGGCTTATTGGCACCGCTGATCAATTGATGCACTGGGACTCTCCCATTTTTTCCACCTTACACTCATTTCTACGACCTGGAAGTCGTTATCCCTTCGTTTCTTTTCCATCTTTAGACTGGTATCTCGGGCCGGGCTCGATCGATCGTGGTCGTCCATTCTTTTACTTTGCACCACATTCCACACAACGCGGGTGTGGACTTCCTCAGCAGCGCGATTTTAGATCCCCCGGACTCGCGTTGGCATTTAACAAAATCGTGGTTCTGAGAACCTTTTCACTCCGGAGTGAAACATCGCTTTTGTCTCAATTCATCTTCCTTTCCTTTCAATACTATTCAGAATTGGGAGTTGAACGCCATCATGGTACATGGGCATGCATATAAACATGGCCACCCCTTCGAGGCGCTCCTGGAGGGGCGGGGCCATAATGACCATAATAATGAAGACGTGATAGTCTACACCACTGTCGACGTAGCTGATGACCAAACCGAAAATGCCGACACAAAGACTGCGTCGGAAACTAGTAACAATCTTGTCGGCGTTGGTCCGGCTGTCGCTGCTACTGCTAGCGCTACCACGACAAAGAGCGACGAGACCAAGACCACAGCCGAGGCTACGAAAACTACCGCAGAGGTCAAAACCACCACCAAAGAGGATAAAACAATCACTCAGGAGTCTGAAAAACAGACGACGGCGAAGGAAACCACTACCTCGGAGACTGAGAAGGCAAAGACCACAACGCATGCCACCACGACTGAGCACACGGAGGCCATCACCACTGCCACGGAAGAGACACGGACGGCCACGAGTGCGACTCAAACCTCCTTTGTAACTTCAACCTCATCAACTTCGGCCGACTCTACCCAGAGTCTAGATAGTCTTGGTCACGCTGTGACTGATAGTGCATCTTCCACATCCACCATTTCAGCTGCTTCGTCGACCTCGACATCAGTAACTTCAGGGTCGACGGGTATGTCCTCTGGTGCCAAAGCTGGTGTGGCTATCGGTGTCATTCTGGGCGTGGGCGTGATTGCAGCTCTGATCTTCTTCATTGTTCGAAAGAAAAGACGGTACCAGGCGGATGACCCTCCAATGGAAGAGAGGTTGTTCAGCGCGCAGAACTTGCCCCCTTTCCCACAAGCCGCCAGGCCGATGACTCCATCGACAGCCCCCCAACTGAAAGTTCGCCCGATCACCCAATTCGCACCCGATCTTAGCAATAGTGCTTCCTTCAACTCGGCTAGTACCGCCGTTGCTGGAACAGGTGCCGGTGCAGCACTCGTTTCCCGTAACCTGACTGGTGATATTCCACCTCCAACTCCTCCAAAGTCTGCCGGTATCTCCCCGAACCCCTTCACTGACCCGGTTAATCCCTTCAACACCGGCAATGAACCTTTCTCCGACCAGTCTCGGGTCCTGACATCAAGTTCAGGCCCCTCAGAACCCGCAATGGCAGCAACGGCTGCCGGGGCCGCAGCCCTGGGCGCAGCTGGTGTAATTTCTCATGAATCTGACGGAGAGCATTTAATTCGACCGGGATCAATAGAATCAGACGTCCGTCCACCAAACTCACCAAGCCCCGTTAGCGTCGATGGTGAATCCGTTTCATCGGTGGCAATGACGGCTGGCAGCTTTGCTGGAGGTGTCGCTGCCGGTGCTGGTCCGGGGCCATTGAACGTATACCGTGTGCAAATGGACTACAGCCCCCTGAACGACGATGAGCTGCCGCTCCAAACCGGTACACTCGTTCGAATGCTTTATGAATACAACGATGGATGGGTAAGTATCTCTTGAACAATCAATTCTCCCGGACGCAAAAGAAATTCATTAACATCCCTTCGCAGGCTCTGTGCGTGCGCCTTGATCGTTCTCAGCAAGGAGTTGCTCCTAGAACCTGCCTATCTGCCCGCCCTGTCAAGCCCCGCCCCCGCCCACCACCCGGTGCCCCTGGCCCAGGCCCGCGCGGCCCACCCATGATGGGCCCTAATGGCCGCCCAATATCGCCGGCAGGTCGCGGTCCCCCCTCAGGCCGATTCTATCCTACAGATATGCGACCAAGATCACCAGGCGGTTACAATCAACGCCACCCACAACCCGGCCGTAACATGTCCCCAGTCGGACAGTTCCCAGTTCCTCGATCGATGAGTCCCGGCCCTAGAGCAATGTCCCCAGGACCTGGACCTGGCATGCGCCCCGGTCCTGGTCCACGGGCGATGTCCCCTGGCCCGCGATCAATGAGCCCCGGCCCCTACGGCGGCCCTGGAATGCAGCGACCCGTGATCCCTGTCAACCAACGGCAACGCAGCAACAGTGCTGGAAATGTATCCCCACCCCACATTAGTGCCATGGCTCCTCCCCGCCCGAGTCCACTGGCAGTGGCTACAGCACAGCCTCCTGCTCCTCCTTCTCCTCCTCCTGCAGGCGATCTACCTGATATACCCAGTTCTGGATCTCCCAGCTCTGCGCCAAGTTCGCCTCCTGGATCCCAGATTGCCAGGAAACCCGTTCACGTGGACTTCTAGTCTGCTGTTAATGACCAAATATACCCCCCTCTTGAGCTGAGCTCCGTTCCATTGCAGATTTTGTGTTGAAGACGTACGTCCTCGTCTACGTCCCGCTGGACGGAATGAGCCTACTTCTACGACTCGCTTTGTGTGTTGGCGACGAACAATCTTTTGTATCTCTCTGTATACTGATACCGTTATACTGTTTTAACTTGCTTGATTCTACCCCATTTTCTTGTCTGTTCGCATGGTAGTTTCCTACTCTGCTTTGTCTTATGTGTAACTTCACAGTCTTGCAATGTTAGCCCCGTTTTCAAATATCTCTTTCTGACTTCCCTCTTTATCTTCTACATTCAAGGCTACTATGTTGCCTTCACTTCCTTTTAGAGGACATTTTCGATCAAATATTTCCCTTGCTCTTGACCACATGATTCTTGACCGCGAATGAATGAAAACCCCAGAACTCTGTACCAATTGAAATATCATGTACCAGTTCATACTTGATAAAATTGAGTAGTTTTTCCAAAGTCATTTCTATAACCGGTGCATTGAATTAATAAAACGAGCCCCGCTATCGCTTGATTGCGCTGAAAGATATGAAGTCTAACAAATTTCGACATAATACTGTACGTCTCGCATCTCTTTTTCTATTTACAGATGAGGTACTTTTGCACTCGCAAGAACGAGGTTCACAATACTCACAAGACCCTCGCCAAGAATGAGACCAGAAGCCAAGACAACAACAGTCGACGAAGCGGCATCTGCCTTCTCGCTTGCTTGTTGAGCCGAGGAAGATCCTGCTTGCGCAGAAGTTGGATCCGCCTGGGCAACTGTTCCACCAGCAGAATCTGTTTGCACAGAAGGGCCCTCATTGGAATGCAGATGATCAGGGGAGGCGTGCTTACGAGCCCACCACCAAGCAATGATTCCACCGATGACTCTTGCGAGCGTAAAAGAAGGAACATTAAAAATACCAACGGCAACCGCAATGCCACCGGGAATCCAGTCTCTCCATGCAGGAGGTTTCCCACCATGCGCGAAAGCAGGAGAAGCAGCGGCGATCCGGAGTGCTGTAAGACCCATCCATATGGTACCAGCTATGGCGGAGGCCTGCCACGCCATATCCGGTAATCCCTGCCCAGTGACAAGTCGAGCAGTGAAAATCCAAACGTATGCCGTAGGAGTCTGGAACATCTCGCCCGGGATCTCATATACATTAACATACATTTTGTACACGGCAGTCGAGAGGACGGCTCCAACAACACTTCCGATCATTTGACCGTAAAACTGGGCTTTGGGGCTCGCGCCTAATAGGTGGCCGGTTTTGAGGTCCTGCATCATGTCGCCGGCTTGCAGAGCACCAGACTCGGAGACTGCACCTGCTAGCAAGTTCGTTACCAGGGCTGTGCGCCGGGAAAAATGGGATGCCGGTGTTGCGAGAGAGAAGAGGAGTTGTGTCAATTTGCTGATTCCGGATACGGGGTTGAGATCTGTTTCGCCGAGGGCTCGGACACCCATTATAGAGAGGAGGACGGCGAGAAGGGTGGCGAGGCTTGACAATACCGGGGATATAATATCGCCAAAGACCCAATGCATACATACGACGTTCAGTATAAGTGTGAGAGGTAGCAGAATGACCACCGTGCGGGTTGAGATGAGCTGGGACGGTGGGGCATCATCCTCTTCTTCCGCCTCCAATGCAGAAGAATGGTGATCATGATTCAGAGCAGAGTAGTTGACATATGAGTGTTCGTGAGACTGCGATTGCAGCCGAAACGCGATCCATTGACCCAAGCGAGTAGAGCGGAACCAGGCGATCCATTTAGGAGCATGCTTTAACAAAGGCTTGACAATAAGCCAGCCCAGACTGACCAGGGAATCAGCCAGCATAATTGCCAGTGAGATCCACACGATCCAAGCTTTGCTTCCATCTTCCCAACTGTCTACGGGCCCCGGGGCCCACCCCCGTGCCTTGGCAAGAGGCGAGAGAATGCCCCATCCAATGACGGCACCAAAAAGCATATGCATACATGTCGACGGGCCCATGATTATTCCCTGACCAATATATGCAGGCGATGGATTAAGAGTCCAAAGCCAATTGTGAGCGAGGCCCACCCCAAATAAGGGAATATCGCGGACCAAGGGTACGAAATAAGAGAATAGAGTCTATAAATGTTAGTTGACGGCTGGACAAAGTTCGCCATGAACAAGCATTGAGTCTTACATAGATACCGGAGACTACAAATGCACCGACGAGCAGACGCATCTTCGACCGCCAATCCTTTTTATCAGTTGCTTGATCTTCAGCCTCGCCATCTTTCAGCAAGAGACCTCGTGATTCATTCGAGGCTGACTGTGCGTTTTCAGTCTCAGTTCCCTGGGTCAGCTCAATAGGTCGGTTTTGGACTTCCACTGGAACCTTCTCATCCTTCCCGGTACCATGGAGAACTCGAAGCATCAATGCAGACGCAGTGCCACTTGGGAATCGCAACTTCTCCCGTACGATAACCTCCTTGCGTAGCGGAACCGCGAAAACAACACCAAATAAACACACCCCAAGACTCCAAACTACAAGTTTCCAGAACCCGAGCTTGAGGGGCCCGCCCTCGCCATCCCCGCCATCGCCCGTCGGCCCATCTTCACCATCTTTCAGCAGGAATTCTAAAGCAGGAATCACCCCGACAAACCCGCACCCAAGTGGCATGGTCCCCACGGCTCCCGCGACGGTCTGAATTAGGACATTTTCGATCGGTGTAAACGGGAAAGATAGCTGTTTAGACAGAACTTTGAAAACCGAAAAGCCGATCAAGGCAGAGGGCATGGCCATCGTGCTGATCCATCCCGTCTGAAGGCCGAAATAGGTGTTTGAAAAGGTAATCAGCGCTCCAATTATGAGGCCGACGATGAGTGAGCGAGGGGTGAAGCTCTGTGCGGAGGTGGTGCTCGCGTGCGGAGTCGGTGTGTCACCATTCTGGATATCTGGGTGCTCACCGGGGGAGGTTGATTCATCTTGCCCCCGGTTCAGTGGCTCGGAGGCATCGCCTGCCATGCTGAGGGTCTGGTAATTCATCGGCCCAGCAGATTCATGGTGGGAGGGACGAGTCAAAAGCCGATGGGGAATTGGATTGATAAGCTGCGGACTCGGATGATTAATGATAAGATCACATGACGTCACTTTCTCATTGGTCAGTGGTGATCTATACGATTACTGAAGAATACCAAAACAACAATGTTCATCCATGGCTACTAAGTAAGGAAAAACCAGTGGAACCTAATTTCGGTTAGAACTGACTTGTCTGATGATTTTTCTGGAATTCATTCAATGTTCCACTGAGCCCCACTGCCAAGTGCCAGCATGAGGTTAGTCCCCGGCATTCAGAAATCGGGATCTAAACCCAATTGGGACATGCTCCTATAGTCCAAGACTCCATGTCGATTTCAACGACTATTTAACCCCTTGAGACCACAACTAAATTCGTTTCTCTTAAGAAGTGGATTATTCTCTCATTCTTCCCTCTCTGCTCAGGTGTGATTTGAATCCAAGTCTCTCTTTTCTTTTCTTTTTCTTTCTACCTTTTATACTTTCAACCTTCTTCCTGTACCGCCAGTAAGTCCACTACTAGGTAGTCATTGTCAATCTGCAGCATGGCCGGAACTACAGAGGCCAAATTAAGAAAGAGGCACGAAAATGAACCAAACTCTGTCCCGGTGATAGAGTCTCCCAGGGTAAAGTCTGATGACTTTGCATTGGAGCATATCACCGGAGGCTGGCAACCTGGTATGGATTCAAAGGTTGACTACTCTGGTCATTTTGAATTTGGCGGCTCATTGGGTTGCCTTGGATTGATGATTGGATTCCCATTGTTAATGTACTATATGTGGATTGGTGCCACTTACTATGATGGGAAGCTGCCTTGGCCTGAACCTGATCAGTCCTTGGTAGATTTTGGGAAGCATCTGGGCCATCTCGTCTACACTGGCGCTTTCCCTCACCAGCGCGCGTGGCGTATCTATTGGACATACTTCATTTTCGAAGCTGCCTGCTATGTCTTGATGCCTGGATTCACCTGCTACGGGAAACCTCTGGCTCATTTAGGAGGAAAGCAGTTGAAGTACCATTGCTCTGCCTATGCCAGCTTTTACTTGACTATCGTCGTCATGGCTGTTTTGCACGGCACTGGCATGTTTCCCATCTATACGTTCCTAGATGAGTTTGGTCCCCTCATGTCTGTTGCAATCCTTTCTGGCTATATCAATAGTCTCATCACCTATACCCAGGCCTTTGTTCGTGGCACTCAGCACCGCATTACTGGTTACCCGATCTACGACTTCTTCATGGGTGCTGAACTGAACCCGCGACTGTTCGGAATCTTAGACTTGAAGATGTTCTACGAGGTCCGAATCCCGTGGTTCATTCTTTTTGGCCTGAGTTGTGCAGCTGCCACCCGGCAGTACGAAAGATATGGCTATGTCTCCGGTGAAGTGCTGTTCCTAGTCATGGCCCATTACACATACGCCAACGCATGCTCTAAAGCAGAGCACCTTATCACCACAACCTGGGATATGTATCAAGAGAAGCTTGGATTCATGTTGACATTCTGGAACCTGGCCGGTGTTCCCTTGTCCTACTGTCACTGCACATTGTACCTTGCAAACCACGATCCATCCACCTATGCGTGGAGCAAACCCGCACTGGCCGCATTCTTCATCTCCTATCTATTTGTCTACTGGGTCTGGGACACGGCCAATGGACAGAAGAACTCTTTCCGGATGATGGAGCGGGGAACGTGGGTGAAGCGCAACACTTTCCCACAACTCCCCTGGCAAGAAATCCACAACGCAAAGACCATTGTTTCTGAGAATGGAGATACCATTCTTGTCGATGGATGGTATGGATTGGCGCGAAAGGTCCATTACAGCTGTGATATGTTTTTCGCCATTTCCTGGGGTCTGATCACTGGCTTTGAGAGTCCCTTTCCGTGGTTTTATCCTGTCTTCTTTTGCATTATGATTACGCACCGTGCTATGCGTGATATCAACAAGTGCAGACACAAGTACGGTGCTTCGTGGACGGAATACGAGAGACAGGTGCCTTATCTTTTCATCCCGGTTTGTTTCCCCTCCAGCTCTTTTGGATAACGTTTACTAATTATTCAATAGTATGTCATTTGAGTTACAAGCCATGGCAAGAAACTCACAATTAAGATTAAAAACGTCATAATCGTCTTCATATTATCACCTCAAAATTTCATATCGTCAATTATATCCTCACTGTGGAATAAAGTAGTGTTTAGAGAAATTTAAATGCTTTCGGTGATTCCAAGGTTGAACTTTCTGAAAGGTTAGATAAACTTGGAAACAAACCTACTGTAAGAACGAGCGGACTTGATAGAATTAGGTCCATCTAAACCCACGCTAGTCTAGATGGCGTAAGGTGGACCGAATGGTCCCGTTTCTTCTCCCAGATCGGCCAATAGGAGACCCGTGTTGAAGTCACATGACTGTAGTTTGCACCAGTTGAATGTTTGTTAGGTTTGGTGTTAGTTTCTGCCACACTGCCTTGTTAATAAAACCACACCCTAGTTTTCAAAGTTGCCAGGCTACGCGCGCTTTTGGGTGCCGAGACTTCTACCATCCAATCATATTTGGCCAAAAGTGGTTTTAAGAAAAACATACGCGTGGCATTTTAAATACCTACTGATTACCAAGTCTCGCTTTCTTTCTTGTCTCACAACCATGCCGCAACATTGTGCTGATTGATTACTTGTTCTTCGAGCAGGCTCCAGATGTCCTATGAACTGAAAATGAAGTCAAATTATTTGATAGATATAACGACAGCCAGAGGGCCATTAATAGCAAAACTTAGCACGGAGCTTCTGTGCTGGGGAATCATACACTCAGAGTAAAGGAAATACGAAAAAAAATCCGTTGGTAGGCATTAGCAGATCTAAATCCATGGGACACATGGTATCAAAGGGGATTGAAGTCGGATCAGACCCTGGTTGCACGGGTGGTTTTATCGTAAAAATCCAGGGTCATTGCTGCGAGGAAGCAAGGAATGTCTTTCCTTTCCTGTACCCAGAACTTCAACAAAGGTTTGATCTCCATAGCGAAGAGACTGTTGTTTCCACCGGAAAGCTTCATCGACCCATTCTCACCATCAAAAAGAATGGAATTCTCTTCGCCGTTGCCCATACTTCCTGGCCCACGAGAGTCGGCGGAGGCACCAGGGTCACCATGTCGGTACTCTGGGGACAGATGGAACATGGATGTAACACGTACTCGGCCATTGGGGAGAATATCAAGCTTATAGCCAAGAAGGGAGGCAACGGCCTCTCTGAACTCAGTGGCCTTGGCAGAGTAGATTTCCCTCAAGCGGCGATTGCGTTTCTCCTTGTCAGCAATAACGCCCTCCATTTCTTGGATTTCGAGCTTAAGGCTCTCGAGCGTGCTAACGGGGGCAACCCTGACTCCAGCAGGGTTGCCCTGTAGTTGGGCAAGAAGATCCCGGTTTTCTGATTGAAGAGTCCTGAGGGTCGTCATTTTGATCTTCTCGGCTTCCGCTGTGGGGTTGTCTCGTAGTTCCAAAACACGAGTCCGGGTCTTGGCTTTGAGTGACCTTAACTGGGATTTGGCAGCATCCAGCTCTTTCTTGGCAAGGGCCGTACCCTGTTCTGATTTGGAGAGCGCCTCTTGCAGCTTACGATTCTTCCGGGTAAGCACCGAGAGACGTTCACTTTCAGCTGCACTGTCTGCTGGTGACAGCGGACGCTTAGTGCCTTGGGACTGTGGCTTTTCCTGAGGTGGCGCTTCCCGTGTGGACAGCTCCTCGTGAACCTTGTGGAGCTCGGCACGATACTCATCCACCAATTGCTGCAATTGTGCGATCTGGGCAGCCTTTTGTTCATCGAATTGGCTCTGCTCTGCATTCATAGTCGATTCTTCCTCGTCGAAAGTCTTAAGCTGCGCACGTAGATACTCAACCTCCTTCACTGCCAGAACTCGTTGACGTTCCAGTCGACCCCGAGCACGAGCATCTGCTCCTGCGGGTGCACTTACAGAAGAGGCTGTATTTGCGGTCGCGCGAGCCGTTTCCAACTCTTGGCATATCTTAACTTTCTCGTCTTCCAGAGCCCTGATCGCTTCATCTTTTTCCAGGAACTGGGCCTCAACGGCGCCAAGGCGGTCAATGAAAGTTGCTTTCTCAATTCGCTCCTGAACAAGGGCTTTGACAATCGCCTCGGGGGAGTCGAATTCCGTAGGCTGGTCGTTCTCTTCCAGAAGGCTTGCCCATGACTGACGTTCGTCCTCTAGGACTTGTTTCTGAATCTGAAGGGTTTCAAGCTCCGCCTCGACGCCTTGCATGAGCTGTAGTTTATTTTCAAGTGATCTCTTCTGTTCATCGACCACCTGGACATTCTTCTGAACCTTTCGTAGGTGTTGTAATTCTGTTACTTGTTCCCTGTTTGTTGTCTCCAGCTCGCGAAGATGGGTGACTTGTTCAGTAAGCTCTCTCTTGAGAACCAGAAGAGCTTCTGCATCGTTGCCTTCTGCTTTTAACCGGATATTCTCGGACTCGAGATCAGCGACCTCGGCCTCTCGTTGGCTTAACTTCTCCTGGGTTGCTTGTTGGGCCGTTCGCGCCTCAAGAAGATCATTTTGGAGCTCCTGGATAGTATTCTGGAGGGAAACCCGGACTGTTTCCAACTCGCTGATCTGGTATTTGGATTGGCGTTGGTGGTCGGAGGCTTGGGCTTGGGTTTCCGTAAGTTCTTCCTGAATCATTTGGACTTCATCTTGAAGGTTCCTGTTCTTTCGGTCTAGGCTGGCTTTCTCATTCAGGGCTTGTTCTTGGATGTCCTTCAACTCCTTCACAACGGCTTCGGTTTTCTGGGTAGCACGGGTATTTGCGGTCTCAGAAGCCTAGAGTAAACAAGTCATTAGCTATGGAATCATCATGCGACGAAACAGGAAAGGAATGCATACCTGTGCCCTTTTAAAATCAGCGTCTGCTTTCAACTGGAGATCCCGTGTCTCTTTCTCGAATCGAAGGGTCTGTAGGTCTCGTTCTTGCTTGATACTTTCTAACTCGTATCTGAGAGTGCTGACTTGAACGCGCAACTCATCCTTTTCCGCATCTGTATTTCTAATTTCAGTTTCTCTTTGTTCTTCTCCTGGGTGTGTTCCTCTTACCATGTGCTGGGGGAGGTGGCGGCGGAGGGTGGACAGAGCGAACGGATTGGCCCATATAACTTTGTCCCAGATTGCTTTGTCCGAAGAGACTTCTCCGTGAACCAGGCGGCGGGCCTGTTGGCGTGGTAGGTGAGCCAAAGCCAGCGATAAGCTGCGATGCCGGGCGCGTGTTTTCGCCGGGGTCCATGATGCCCTGTTGACGGGATCGTCAGTCTTCAAGTTGTAGGAGCCCGAGATTAGACAAACAAACTCACCTAAGCAAGCAGCATAGAGGCTTTAAAAAAAACCTCACAAGCCCAGTTTAAATCAATGTGATCGTATACTGATTTTACAAGGAACAAACCCCCAGTTGGTTGAGCCAAAGTGTTGCGCGGGCAAGTTGTTTGGAACTTAGTCAGCGAGCGGGAGCTACCGCACTGGGTTTAGTGCCAAAATTTTAAAGAAATTATTTCGAGTCTGATTTCTTCTCAAGCACACACCGAGCCCAATTCAACTTTCTCCACCAAACCCCCCGATACTTTTATACATCCGACAAAATGGGCAAGGACCGTGTCGAAAAGAAGGAGAAGAAGGAGAAGAAGGAGAAGCGTGCCGACAAGGACGGTGTCGCCAAGGTCAAGAAGGAAAAGAAGGAAAAGAAGGATAAGACCGTTCTCGCCGATGCGGTAGAGAAGGAGATTGCCTCCCAGGAGATGGAGGGTGTTGAGGCTTCTTCTCCCGTCAAGCCCGAGGCTGAGGTTGAGGACGTTGAGATGGCCATTGACCGTCCCACCGGTGCTCATGTGCCTTTCGCCAACCCTCTGGTTGAGGATAAGAACGCCAAGAAGGTCCTCAAGAGCGTCAAGAAGGGTAAGCTTTCAATCTCTCCTCTGTGAACTTGACAATTGTCTGTCTGCATTTGGCATTATTCAACTGTGAAAGAGTTTTCCGCTTTGCATGGCACGGCAGTGACTCCGAAACAACGCCAGCGCAAAATTCTTTGCGCTCGCCGGGCAGGCTTTTTATATACCGACTTTTGTCTATTTTTCAACTGAGCTATTGCTAATCCGTCTTATTTCCGAATCAGCCGCTGTCAACAAGTCCCTCAAGCGCGGTGTTAAGGAAGTCGTCAAGGCTCTCCGCAAATCTCCCATTCCCGCCGCCAACGTTTCCGTCGAGATCCCCAGCGGAGTCGTTATTCTCGCCGCCGATATCTCCCCCATGGATGTCATCTCTCACATTCCCGTCTTGTGCGAGGACCACGGTATTCCCTACGTTTTCGTCTCTTCCCGCGCCGAGCTCGGTGCCTCCGCCGCCACCAAGCGCCCCACCAGTGTGGTTATGGTGACCCCCCAGTCTGCCAAGAAGAACAAGAAGGATCTCGATGCCGGTGCCGACAGCGAGGACTTCAGCAAGGTCTTCGAGGAGCTCAGCAAGCTTGCGGAGAAGGAGCTCAAGAAGGTGACCGTTTAAAAGGATCGCTTGGATTGTGTCTGTTTTCTCTATTCTTTCCCACTGTTAGCTGCTGGTGGGGTTCTCTTATTGTACAGGTTTATGTTCTTGATAGGACCGTGCATGTCTTCGGGGGTCCGGCCTTGGGTTTCTTTTTTGTTCCATCTTTTTGCTCTAGTGCAGCTCGGCGTTTCTTCAACGGTGTATGAAAAGGCAGGAAAAGAATTTCAATGAGAAATTACCCCATAAATTGACTTGTTCCTGGTAATATGAATCAGCTCCTATGTGGGCCTTTGAGTGCAGCTAAGGCTAAGATGGGTCCCCATGTGTTCTTTAATATGACCGTACCTACTAGTCCAGATACAGGCACCGTTTCTCGTCCTGGGCTCTTCACATGGCCTCGGTTTATAAAATGTCAATTGCATCAGGATGGATTGATGTTGCACTTATGATTGACTAATGAGCCGAGAAGTTGATCTTGTAAAGAAGTAAAAAACTTTCAACGGAAACAATATAGCAGTTACACAACGCCCAGTCAACTTAGAGTCAATGACAGGAAGATAGCGAATGCAGTGGCACAAGGCAATACTAGACGATCGGCCTTGCATCACGCCCGAACTAGTCATCAAGTGGCGTTTAATCATTCCACGGCGATCAATCTGATCAATCCTTTCTCCTCTCTTAATCCCAACAAGGGGGTCAGATATCACATACCTTGAAACTGTACAAATCAAAACGTAGCCAACCACCGCTCGATCCCCTCGGGAGATATATGTAGTTTATTTAGAGACTCGTTTTCGCTTGCTGTGTCCCTGACTTGAATTCTCAGGGGTTCTTGTCATACGCGCGATCAATGGCGGGCTTTGACAGCCCTTGCGGGGCATTTCTTTGGTCAATTAACCCTTCGCCCTACCTCAGATTGATCGTGTGTTAAAAGAAACTGGGTGCCCCGTGTCGCACGTCTTTGACATTTTGTCCTTGAAGTCGTGTGCTCCATGCCATGAACTTCTTCTCAATACGACCATATTAATTAACGCCGCATTTTCCCCATCATATTATCTTCTGAATACCTTTATCTGAGCAAGATGCTCACTTTCAAGCCTCTATACTGGTCTCTCATTGCGTTGATCTTGACAATTCTTCACCCCGCCGCATCCCATCCTACCCAAACTTCCAAATGGGGAAAAGCCACTCATCTCGAAGACCGACACAAACATGGGGTACGGAGAGTCTTTGAAGAACACTTGACAGATTCATTACCAAAATTATCTAAGGACTCATCCAGCCAGGTCAGTCCAAGCCACGTATCTTCCGCTACAATGCGCGTTTTTCAAGGGGGTTGGAAATCAGACATAACTGACAAGGTATACATTCTATTTTAGAAACAGACTGATTCCACAATGGAGACCCAACACGAGGCAAACTTTGAGCGAGGACAAACAAGCTATCTTTATGAACGAGATGCAACTTCGGAGAAATCAATTGTCTCAGCCCTGTTACCCACCTCATCTATATCTCAGAGACTATACCGACACTGGAAACACCCACAAGCCGACCATTACGAATCATTGTGGAAGACAACCAGTGCCCCCTCAACCAAACATTATGGAGAAATGCTTGGGCAACCTAAAAAGGAGAAAAGCAATTTCATTGGATCGTCGTCGTTGGACCTCTCATCCGGGAACTACATTTCGTTCCTTTCATACAGAATTTCTTTTCCGTTCTTAAAATCCGCACCCGTTTATTTCCCCCAGTTCCCTTTGCCGGGGATTTTCACCACGATTATGCTTCTACTCGCTTTGGTATGGATTGCGATCCTGACTATTGGGTTGGTGGAGGTGGGTACCTACTTATGGAACCGAGGACAAATTGCTCAGCTTGCGGGTGAAAGCGATGAGATGGCGCGGGACAACTCAGAAAGCAGGGTCGACGAATTGATCAAAGCGCCATTACAGGTTCTTGTCAGTCCAAGAATTCCTAGATGCGAAGTTGTCAGACACCAAAATGAGAATGTGCTGCTGTCGACGAACTCGACAAGAAACTCGGAATCCGGTTCTGAGGCGGAAGAATCTCGCATGCCTTGAAACGCATTTCAAGATCCGCGGACTCTTCCACCAAACCAAATGGATTTACTTTCGTAACATGTATATAAGTTAAGATAAAGAGCCGTCTGGATGTGAATACTCGAGGGTTTTCTTCAATATTCGTAATGACTTTTGAAATTTTGTAAAGATCTAAATATACATCCATGGTAACCAGACCATTCACCGTACATAAATATTGATTGATATATTCATCATAACCACGGCCGCAGGTCGGAGTTCAAAATAAGATAATCGCTTGTTCGCTTGACCATAAAAATAATTCAAAAATATCATCCAAGTCCTAAGCCAAGGGGATTGATGGGCTTGAAAGGACTTAAGCACGCTGATCAGTCTCCAAAACGTCATATGGAGTCTGGGAGTTGACTCCCTTCTGACGAGGAACTCCGGAATCATATGCACTCTTAGCATTTCCATGTTGGAATTTGTTGATGGCAGCACGACCAGGGTCCTGCTCGGAGCCGAGCTCAGCGTCGAAGCTAGCATTGGCATCACCAGAGGAAAAACCGCCCTCATGAAGGTTCCGGCCATCAGGCTTAGAGTGCTGGTATCCGTCGGTCACATCAGCCACGTATGATGGAGCCTGACCACCATTGTACTGGCTGCTGCCACTGGCGTGGGCCTGGTTGCCGGCATTGATACCCAGATCCTGCTTCGCGGCAGTAGAGCCTCCAGCGTAGCCGCTGATGTGGGTGCCTGGGAATTTGCCCTGTCCACCTAGAGCTTCAGGGTACTTTTGCTGTGCCTCGGGGTTGCCACGGATGCCACCGACTGGGGCGGAGGGAAGAGTCTGGGAGGCGGAGTTGGTGGTCTTGAGGTTGGACGAGGAGAAGTCCTCTGGCTGGGCACCGCGGTTCTGGCTGAATGTGCCACCTTGGCGGACGGACTCAGCTGCAAGGGAGCCGGTCGGGACGGGACCTGCGGGCTCTTCGATGGGTTGTTGAGTAGCACGGGGGTCTGTGGTGACCTTAGTGCTGCGGGGACCGGGAGCGATGGGAGTTCCTTGAAGATCCATGTTGATTGTAGATAGCTTTTTTTTGGAAAGATATTTGTGTGGTTGTGTGGTTCAACGTCAACAGGAAAATTGTATGTGAAGTAGTAGTAGTAGTAGGCGGTTTGAATAATTTGAGATTCTATACTTCCTTTAGACCATGCGACATCTCGAACTATATAGCATTTCTTTCAGGAGAGCTATCAACTTAACAACGATATCACGCCAAGTGATGTCACATTGACGATGACAATGCAGTACTGCTACATACTACATTATGTATGTACATGCTGCCCTTTCTTGCTCATTTAAGATAAGTAACGTCAGTTATTTTTTGATCGATGTGGCGGATTGGTACATTGGAGACAAGGAACAGTGGAGCTCCAGCCTGCTTTTGGAAGACAGACTTGTTATCTCTGCTTTCACCAGGGTCCAGTTTTAACGCGCTTATTCTATTGAGGAGTCATAGGTTCATCAGATTCCTCGATGCTGGCGTGATCAAAACTGGGCAGAGATGATATCAAGTTGGAGATTGACGTCAAATCCAGAACATTCTCGAACAAACGCTGCAAACATCGACTCTTGCCTCATTGGGGATTCCGTGCTCACGTTTCAAACGTAAATGGAAATGTAATAATTCCCATTTAAGAACGAGTGAGGTTTCTTGGTGTTAGTCTCTATGTTGATTGGACAATTGATTTTTCCAAGCCGGCTGTGGCAAACCTGGCTCGTTGTTTCGAAGCATCTCGACGGCGAAGCCGCAACCTTAAAAAAACCATAAGACGCTAACTTTGTTTCCATGGATTGGATTTTATGTAACCAGGCAGCTGGAAACATCCATATTCAAAGTAGGTATAGGTATGGAACATTGAAGAGATAATCTTGCCACTTGGGAGTCTTTGTTTTTGCAAGATTGTTACGTAGGTGTAGGTATTAAGGTCAAATCGCTATGAAATTTATTCATTCATCCATGCAGGTGGGCCATGGCTCATAAAATAGCTATCATACATATTGGATTCTGTAGTCCACATTTAACTCTTTAACGGGTAGTAGCATCAGAAGGCAAGTGATCGAGGCCCTCGGTAGCTTGACGGCCAACATTTCCAGGAGCGGTGTTCTTATGCAATGCGTTTCCGTCAACACGGACACTGCTCTGAGCAGTAGTAGAACCCTCTAATCCGCTGTTGGGGTCGTAAGAAATCGGGCCCGAAATCCCGCCTGATCCGACGTTCACAGTGCGCTGATCAGCCGAGTTCCAATCGCTGGCAACTGGGGGCTGGTCTGGTAGAGGCAGGTTGGCCTTGGTCTCGTCAATCTGCTTCGACTTGTTGGTGTTTTGATCGATAATAGACTAAAGTTTGATGCATCATTAGCCGAATTCTTTTGTAGCAGAGACAGGATTGATTCTCACCTTCATTTGTGAAACATCAGAGTCAGCGGGGACATTTCCACCGTGCTTTTGGGAGATCTTGGATTCTTCCTTGCGGAGATCCTGGCGAGTGGTGTGGAAGGTAGCGTCGGACATTTTGGAATATGGATATGGATGTATTTTGAGAAATATGGGAAAATTGTTGGTAGATAGAGGAAAGAAGAATTGAAGGAAGTTGGTGTTTAAAAGTAGATAAAAACTTTCTGGTGGTTGATATATGCATCTATGAGGCCGGCCGTACAGCGATTCTTATAGGCGGAAACTCTCTCTGTGACGTTTATTTCTGAATGACGACATTATGGCAATACCCGCCATGGATGCCATCAGTTCCCCACCGAAACCAGCATGAGATAACAAATTGTACTCTGGCAACTTGTTGAAACGATTCTGCCCGGTTTCTAGAATGTGTGGTCCGTAAGTCGACCGAGCTCTTCAACCTTCGATTAGCGTCATGGCGCAGGATCACTGGTGGCGAGACCAATGGGGCAGTGGGTCACGTCGCATTTCCCTGATCGACATATAATCAAGTGTTATTAAGTGTAACTTATGACAAAAATGGAGATTTTCCTATCATGACCCATGTGTAGAGCGTGCTTTTCGTAGAAAATCTCTCGAGTCTCTGACGGTGCTTCTATGTCATGACCCCCGCTTCGCTGGACCATCTTTCGTTCATTCAACTTTCGATGCATCCTGATCAATTTGATCGATAGTCTCGATTGAGAAAGTATTGAGGTCTGATCCTGGTCGATTGATCCCGACTAAGCTTATTCATGTAGCACGTGAAGTAGTTCTCCATACATACTAAGTTATAGGAGCTTGGAAGTCGATTTAGTCAGGGGCTCGGACTTAATTATCACTTCCCCTTGGCCACCTTAGAGCCGCATTTCAACCCCGACTCCTGAGTCCTGAGTCCTGATACATCGAAATAACGAAGGAAGAGCTGGCCACACAGATAATACTGCACTAGAGCTCAGGTTTTGTGCTTGTCCAATTTTTTAAATGCAAATTCATTTTTTTTGCTGTAAAAACGTGCTTGTAACTTGTAAGGAAAAAAGCCAAGTCTACTAATCTTGGATGATTACTAAAATCAATCGACCTTGATCAGCACCGCCTTCTGTGCTGGGCTGGCAGAAAATGTTGCTTATCGCAAACGCAAGTCAAGACCGATTGTGCCGCTGTGCGTGTAGAGAGATCGCGAATTGTTGGTCATTTGACCCATAACGATTAAATATCTGTCAGAATGCCTCGAGATCCATTGATCGGATTGGTTGGCAAGGTTCGCGATCCAAAACTTCCACCTTCACGAAACCCCGCTAACCATGTGAGGGGCAGCCATCAAGTGGTAAATCTACGACCTTGAACAGTTTGACGGATGCGACATCCAAAGTTGGTCAGTTTGTCGTTATCGCCTGCCTTGTTTGCATGTGCTAATCGATTCCTATTTCCCAACAGGCAACTTCCCGTACGTTTACATTGCAATGAACCACCGCTTATCATCATGCGCCAATTACTGACCCCGCCAGCTTTACCACAATCGATCCCCAGCGAGCTATCGGATACCTTCAAATTGACTGCGCTTGTTTGCGACACGGTGTCTCAGATAAATGTGCGCCGAATTACGGTGGCTGCAATGAGGGACGGCGCTCCGTTCCTATCGAATTGTTGGACGTAGCCGGACTTGTCCCAGGCGCACACCAAGGTCGAGGATTGGGAAATAAATTCTTGGATGACCTGCGACACGCGGATGCGCTGATTCATGTGGTGGACGCGAGTGGTACGACTGACGCCGAGGGAAAGGCGACACGTGGATATGATCCCTCAGTAGACATTGAATGGCTACGAGGAGAGATTGTACGATGGGTGTTGGGCAACTTGATGGAAAAATGGTGAGTTCATTGACCTCCGGAAACAAGTTGTATATATGGGCCTAACAGGTGAAATTCAGGGGCTCTATCAGACGGAGACATATCGCAATTAGTTCGTGAACCTCTTCAACACACGCGGGATTTCCCATTAACACATAACACAGAGGGCAACCCCGTCGACACATTACAGGGTCAATTCTCAGGATACGGCAGTACCTCATCAATCGTGGCGCGAACTCTTGACAAGCTGAATCTGAAAGAGCCTTTGGAGCATTGGTCGGATGAGACCGTCCAGGTCGTGGTTGAGGCTTTCATTGATGAAAAGTTCCCAACGGTGTTTGCGTTGAACAAGATCGATCACCCGGATGCGGACAAGGTGAGTTGAGCCAAGTGAAACAATACGGGACTATACTAACCCAAAAACAGAACGTCAGCAAGATTGCCAAAATGCAAGATCCCCAGAGCATTGTACTTTGCTCGGCTATATCAGAGGTATTCCTTCGACGACTCGCTAAACAAGAATACATCAAGTATGTTGAAGGCAGTGAGTTTGTGGATACACGGGAAGACCTAATTGAGATGGGTGATCCGGACGGAGGAGGACTGAAAGAAATGGATGAAAAGTTGAAGACGTAAGTTGACCAAATGAAAACGACAATATTCTCGTGCTAAATGTGAGAATAGTCGCGTGGAAAACTTGAAAGATATGGTGTTATATCGATTCGGATCAACAGGTGTAGTACAATGTCTTTCACGAGCGGCAGAGGTGTTGGGTTTGGTGCCCATTTTCCCTGTACGGAATGTCGCAACCTTCGGCTCTGGTAATGGAAGCGCTGTCTTCCGCGACTGTGTTTTGGTCAAGAAGTAAGTGACTATGACAGGCGAAACCAATCAATTTCTAACGTGCCACAGAAACAGCACAGTGGGTGATGTAGCCCGAAAAGTGATGGGCGATGTACCTATTTCCTACATTGAAGGAATTGGGGGCACTCGAGTATCGGAGGACGATATGGTTGGAGTTGGCAAAAACGATGTAAGTTCTTTCAATCTCGCTCTTCAGACATGGGAAGCTAATCTGCAAAATCAGATCTTGACGTTCAAGGTGGGACGGTAAAACATAGCTACTCCATGAACGGTATACGCGAAATAGATAAATCAAAAGGCAGAGAAATGTACTGGGGTTGAGTACCTTCAACTATACATAGTATAGGGCTAATAGGGCGGCGGGAGAGGCTATGAATAACTGCATTGCCATTTTTGATGATCTAACCCGACTATACGGCCATGGGTATCCTCAGACCCAGGACGCCCTTATGCTCTTGGTCAAGATGTACTGGGAACAGGGCACGGAGGAAATGATGACGAACTAGAGGCTAAGCTCTAGGAGAACTGGTGACTGGGTCAGGTCTAGCGAAAGTGTACATATAAGCGTGAACCTAGGCCCTGAAGTACAGGAAGGCTTACTAACATTGAACTAGTCCTGCTGAGTAGCTAGTAGCCTATTCCAGCCCTGGAGGCTGGGGTACTTACTTGTGCTGGCGTCTTGCCGGCTGTATTCGGCTGGTCCATTGATCGAGGCACCAGCTTCTTGCAGTGTCGGAATGATCATGTCGTTGTTTCTGGATCTTCTCTGCAAGTGTCGGCCATCAAAGTGACGCATCTTCCTTTCCCCTCCGAATAAGCCTTCCTCCCAATTCCAAGGTTAGGGTGGTTCCAACTTCCGAGCTACATAGAGGAAAAGCGATAAAAGGGAAGTGGGTCAAGGTCGACCCTTATATTTCCAAATTCATAGAAACTATGACAAAATATGAACAGGAAGAAAAATGGACAAAAAATACAGAGTCATCATTTATTAGAAAGTCAATGGCCCTTCTATATGGTGAAATTTAATCAGCATTCAAAGACTCAATATCAAGAGGACTCGAGTATCTAGGCTCTCACCTGCGCCCGCTCATCATTCATGCCAATAATGGGCTCTGGAGCTGCTGGGTGCTCCGCCTTGGCTTTTTTGCCAAATTCCGACCCGCCTCTCTGTGTTGTGCTCTGTGACTTAGTCTTGTCTGCGACTCCTTCATTTTGCTGCCTTTCTTTCATGGCCGAGGCGGCTGCGTTTGACGGAATGTCATATGTGTCTCCTCTCTTAGATCTTTGAGTGGAATGATCATCCTTTGAGCTGCCTTCCCACTTTTTCGTGACGGATTCATATCGTACGCCACCGAGTGCAAGAAAAGCTGGTTGGGAGGAGGCTTTTCTCAGTAGAAGAGAGGGCCGAGCTTGGGCGATAGTGGTGTGTAGCTTCATGGTCGATTTGCGACAGGCTCACAAGTTTTGGGACATTGGAATATAGTATGAAGAGCTCAAATCCCCGAGTCTCTTTTACCTTGATAGTTACGCGGGCGAAACTTTGAATTACCTGAAGATTATGACGTTTCCAATGGTCATTCATGGGCCATGGCACCTAAGCAGGCTTATCGATAAGAGCTTTTCGCCTTCGACAATAAGAGATGATTGCTTGGGAATAGTAAACATGCAAATAATTTTCATGTCTCCTTTAGATACTGGGAAAAATTCCTCTCCTTTTTTTGCCTCCATGTGCTCTATCGTCTACACCGTGTAATTTACAGCAAGCTCGCGCGTGGACATCTATTCTTTTGGACCGACAATATATGGCTTACTAAGCATACCGTTGCGGGTCCGCGATTGAGCTTGCCGCTTGAGCCAGCTTCATCAATACCTTCAAAGGACAACCTGAATTGGCATTCATCGAAGCCACGGAATAGAGCCTTTAAAGCCTCAATATAACGAACAGTATATTCTGTTTCTCTCTGATTCTACCTGGACAGAAGACACTCTCCACCAAACAGCCCTGGAGGTTATCAAGTCAACACAATGAAGCGGGAATACCTTCCACTAGATTCCCTACTAGCCTGGTTAAGGCTGAATGGTATTGCTACAAACGGCGTTGCTGTACAAAAACTCGACTCGGGTGATTCTGAGACAGACAAGGGCAACGCGATCATAGCCACGGCAGATAGGTCCAACGATACCGATGACGAACAGATCCTCCTCCAGATCCCACGGGACTTGGTATTATCATTAGAATCAGTGTATGATTACTCCAAATCTGACCGGGATCTCCGCGAAGTACTGGAGGCAGTAGGGGACTCTGGCAGGGTATGAAAAAAAACACGACTCTCACCCTTCAAAAAAAGAATGATAAATTAACGATTATTCAACAGACAGCAAGAGGTGCAATCATGATTTTCCTTCTTGTTCAAGCCACACACAACAGTCCGCAACAGCAACGGCGGATCGGAGTCTCTAATCCTTGGACTGAGTATATCAAGTTTCTGCCGTCTTCTTTCTCTTTGCCCACCTTTTGGTCTGAAGAGGAAAGGGAGCTGCTGCGGGGAACTTCTCTTGAGGCTGCAGTAGATGCTAAATGGAACTCGCTTCAAAAAGAATTCGAGTTTTTCCACGAGAACACGAAAGACGTCGCTTGGTGTCAGCAGTGCTGGTGGGCCGAAAGTCCAGATGGACTGACCTTTGAGGATTGGAGATATGTCGATGCGGCGTATCGATCACGCATGCTGGATCTACCGGGGAGTGGGCATTCTATGGTGCCATGTGTCGATATGGTCAATCATATGGCGGGCACCGCAGTTACGGCACTCTATGATGCGGATTCTGAAGGAAACGCAGTTTTGAAATTGCGCCTTGGAAAGACTTTACAAACAGGCGAAGAAGTGACGATCTCGTAAGTAATTATTCCAGTATTCAAGTTGCGGTCAATTTAATTTGAACATTGAAACAGAGACTAACAATCCGGGTTAGATACGGCGATAAAAAGGCTGCTTCGGAGATGATCTTCTCCTATGGATTTCTAGATGGTGACATGGTTGAAACGACCCAAGTCATGCTAGACATGAATTTTCCCGAGGCTGATCCTCTTGGCGTTGCTAAGAAAATGATCTGCAAAGATACTCCTGGAATCCGGGTTTCGGATGCCTCTCAAGACCCGGCGACTACCAGTCTGACATCATTGAATGTATCGGGAAACATTATTTGGGATAGTCCACTGGTCTGGTGGTTAAGCGTGAATGAAGAAGACGGACTTGAAATTGGGATCGCACAAACTACCGACGGAGGGAGGGAGTTAGAAGCGCATTGGAAGGGCGAGAAGATTCCATCGTCCGATCAGCTCATTCATCATCTTAGCATTGATCCCTTGGTAGATATTTTCCGACTCCGTGCAGTTGTTCTGGTACTTGAACGTCTTGAATCGCAATTGATACTTCTACTTGAGACAACCCAAGTCTTGGAAGCTGTCCGTGAAGACCCGGCAATGCTGAGAAGTATGTTCAGACCTGAGATTTTCGACATGGTTTTTCGACTACGGAAGCTCGAAGCCACATTATTGCGAAATGCAGTTGAGAAGCTCACGGAACAGGTAAGGCGTCATCCCCGACATAACGTGCCCCAAAGCCAAGAACGGCTCCACTATTATGATCTGCGCTAATAATGAAACTTAGAAAAATGAGCTGGTGAAGTCTGAGACTGTTGCTAGTTACCTTGAGCAGGCTCAAACAGAGGAGGTTGAGGATTTCTCATAAACCAGCCATAGCTACAGCCTCATTCCATAGATCCAATAACTCAAAAAGGAACAAGTACCCAGGTGGTGATCATGCATTTCAGCAAAGAACCGAAATAATCAGGCGAACGGACCCCGCAAGATCTTTGGCCCAAGCCGAAGCCACATCTCCACCCTACGAACCCGTAGTCTGGAGACTAGTCAACGCGGAATTCAACGCCATCAAATACATTTACAGTATATTACAGAGTACATAAGTACCTGTAAAAAGAGAGTTGGGCCAGAATCCCACTGGGATCAGAAAATTCCAGGCTATGACGTTGGTTTGAGAGGTGATCTACAACCTAGGGCGGGTTGAGAACTAGGGCTGGCTTTCAACTAAAGCTTACAGCTGTACAATCCTCTGTGTAGGAAGCTCTGATGTGGACGCCGTGGTCACTATGATGCGATAGAATTCTGTTTTCAGGACACAAAGTCACGGGAATCTTCTGTATCAAGATGTTTCCAAATCCACGAGAACGGGCTGTCATTTAGAGTGTTCACCACATCCATGGTACAAGCCCAACACTTATTTTGCTCGGTATTAGATTTCGGCAGTCATTTTGGACGCAAATGGTAAAGTATTGACAAGATGAACAAAGAATGAACACATCAGCAGGACCCTGACTAGTTCATCCCCGCAGGGAAAAAAAGATCGCCTGCGAGCCGGATGTTACGGGTGTGGGTCTTAAGTGGGGGGAACCTTCTCTTAACCGTGGATTTCAATAGCTTTCGCGATTCTCTCGGTGTCTCGGGAAAAACTCGCAGTTGAACAGATCAAGTTTCAGAGCTGTCTAACCTTGGCTGAATTTCCCGTCTCTTATGATTAATCCATGGCGCTGATTTGACCCAAGAACCAGATAATCTTGGCTGTCATGAACCTTTGCATAGGTAAACCTTCAAAATTCATGCATATTCTCTGTTTTTCCTCTTGTTGCAGTAAACAGCGATCTCGCCACTTGTTTCGGATGACTGAGCAATGGTTGGAAAACCTTCGCTAAGGTTTATAGGTTGATAGTGGCGAAGTTCGGAGACGGGATCGATAGTGCTGTACGGAGTACAGACGGTATAGTGCATTACTGCTCGAGACACGGAGGTCCGTCCACTAAGTCATCAGTTGCCCCCTTTTTTGGGAATTTGGGAATTTTGGGAATTTTGGTGGTTTTCTTGGAGAAGATATGGGGCCAAGAGCCGAAGTATTGTCATCCGTTACATGCGCGGGGTTGAATCGGTGACCCAAACAAATTCCTCAAAGGCAAAATGACTTCGGAAGAGGAACATCGGATACGGAAACCTGCATGTCACAGCTCCAAGGAGTCAAGGACCTTGGGTGATGATCAAGAGAATGGGATTTCACGGTAGGAATAAAGTTTCTAACGGATGGAATGCCTCGTTTCATTTGTCGAATGCGTAATCAAAAAGTCTTGGACTCTGTAACTCACTAGGTTAACTAGTGAGTTCCTTGTGCCCCATGTTCGTCAGCAATTTACCGGTACGGAAACTGTGGAGTCCGGGGGAGCCTCGGGAGGATCCCACGATCTCCAGCGTGACAGAAATAGAGAACTTTCATATTGAAGAACAGGAGTACAGCAGGTTTGCAAGAGGGTATGAAAATGTCGAAATATAAAAGAAAAAAAAAAGATATTGAGAGGATCCTTGGACATAAGTGGAGACGTTACAAAGAGCAAAAGGAGGGAAATGATTAACCTTTGCAGCCGATACATGAGATTACAATGCAATTACATGCGATTACATGAGATACATGACGGTACCTGCAACTAATGAATTCTGATTGGTCAAACAAGCCAAAAAGGAAGCAAAATTCCCCACACTGACTCAGCATCCAGGCATCGGGTTTCGGTTCCCCTCCCCCAAATCCCCCATATTCTTTAACGTTTCACATTCCTCAAATTTGTACAAAAACCTCTACCTCCCTGTAACAACGAAACGACAAACCACCTCAAATCAAACCACCTCAACTCACTCACCTACTCATCATCATATCGAAACCCCCTCAACGACTTCAGTGACCGAGGCGGCCGGTGCGCCTGCCACGTCGATACGAAAAATGCCCGGAATTTTACCCATGAAAGTGATCAAGGTCGGCGGCACAGGCGTACAAAGTCGAATCGCCCAAGCCTGTGACCGTTGTCGAAGCAAAAAAATCCGCTGCGATGGTATTCGACCATGCTGTACACAATGCGCCCATGTCGGATTCGAATGTAAAACGAGCGATAAACTGAGCCGTCGGGCCTTCCCTCGAGGATATACTGAGTCTTTGGAAGAGCGAGTGCGCGCTCTGGAAACCGAAGTGAAAGAGTTGAAGGGCTTGCTAGACGAGAAAGACGAGAAGATTGACGTTTTGTCGCGGATACACTCTTTTTCGCCATCGCAACGCGCGGCCCCCATTCGATCCCCCTCCACATCCACGACAATTCAATCTACCCCGGATGAATACGAGGGCGTCATTGAGGTCGAAAAAGTGGCTCGCCAATCTCCGATGCAATCTTCCGATAATCCCTTTACCGCCCTATGCAGCACTCAAGGCTTTGCCGGTATGGTCTATCCTGTTATTTCAGGACGAATATATCCAGCTAATTCAAAAATATCATAGGGGTACTGACGGATGCCTTGTTGAGCCAAGGAAAATCGACAGCGAAACTTGCAACGAATGCGCTGACAAAATTGTCTCCCCCCGTGTCTCGTGGCATGCTCAACCAGCCTATCAGGACTCCACCTCGTCTGGTATCCGACCAACTTATTAATATATTTTTCCAAGAATGGGCGCCTTTGTACCCGGCAGTGCATCGTCCAACCATTTTGAAGGCTTATGAGCAGTATCTGAATGGCTCGGACTCATTGAGAAACGACGTTCATATGATGGCTCAGTTGAATTTGATATTCGGAATTGCGGCTCTTTCGTCGAGTGTGAGTGAGACCTTGACTTAAAATACCTGTGCACAATTGAAACATCTACTAACTGCCCTAAAGTCAAGAACTAACCAAGACCCTGCCTTTTTTGAGGAGAATTGGTCAACTCCCGTGGATTCATTTTCCGGCGAAACATCAATGAAGAGTTTACAGTGTCTCGTTCTCGCCCAGGTTTACTGCATGACTAAGACCGACTACCGCAGCCTATTGCGCTATCGTGCTCTGGCTGTGGATGTTTGTCATCAGCTTGGACTTCATCAAAATGTCGAGGCATCGAACCCGCTGGAAGCGGAAACCCACAAGAAAGTTTTCTGGTGTCAATATGTGCTTGACCGCTTCACGTCTGCTCTGACGGGGATGCCAGTTCTTCTGCGCGAGTCTGATATTGAGACTGAATATCCTATCGATGTCGATGACGAGTACGTTACCGAGACCGGCTTTTTGCCAACTCTCCCTGGCGAGTCCACCCGTCTTTCTAGTGCCCTTGCGCTTTTCGGGGTCTCCCGAATTTTGAACAAGGCTTTGGAGGACCTGTACCCTTCTAAAGCTGGTTATAAAATTTATGTGTCAAAGATGCGTGTTGTGACAGAGCAGTTGGATGGATGGCTCCAAACGCTACCTCCTCACCTTCGCCTTGAGTTCTCTCAAGACAAGCCCAGCACCAATGTGACAAGCAGTCGCTCGCCCCTTTTGGTTCGTTTCCCCACGTAGCTGGTCGGATCAAACATTATGCTAATTTTATCCCAGTCTCTTGTGTACTTCTTCATCCGCTCCCTGATTCATCGCCCTGCCGTGTGTTTCGCCGACGAAAATCTGCGTTCTCGATCAGTTCTAGCATTGGCCGATTCCTCGAAGCATACCATTCAAATTTTGCAACTACTTGATGAACGGCGGCTGTGTCTCTCGTTTAGTTTCAACCGCAAAGAATTGTTGTTTTTCTCTGGCCTTGGAATTCTGTGGCAGACCATGGGCCTAAAGCGCGATAGCAAGCTGGCAAAAGAGAGTCAGAAACTCCTCGCCACGGCGGCCCAGCAATTGGAAGCAGAGTCGACTGCAGCGGCTGCTGAATTTGGTCAGCTCATTAATACTTTGATGCCATTCGACAAGCAAGCACATGCGATGGCAGCTCCTGATAAACCATCCAGATCTCCGAAGAAGCATCTTCAATCACTCAAATCTCGTATTTCATCCGGCATGGGTCGAAACCAAGCTAAGCAGGCCTCACCTTCACGACGGAATACAGTCTCGGGCGCCACTGTCCCGGACGTTGCTCAATCTCTTCGATCTCCTAGTTGGAACAGCCTACCCCCTCCACAACAGGATCATATGTCGAACCCACAACATTTTCAAAATGTTAGACATTCTTTGGATCTTTCCTCGGATGCTCACATGATGTCATCTACGGGGTACGATTACAGTCGAGACTTCTCCAGCTCAACCCCATCCGATGCCACGAATGGCGCCATCACAATGGCAGATTGGGAGTATGTTCTTAGTGATATGGATCGGGGATATTCAAACATCTTCACTGGAATATATGGTGGCAAGGAATGCGGAGAAGACCCCGGACCTTTTGCATCTATCACGGCTGAGTATAACCGGAAGCCCAATGATGGCACGCTCGCCATTCCTTCCCCGACCGATATGGTCAAATTATCACCCGAGTCGTGGTCCGCCAGCAGTGGGGACTTTGCGCCCCACCAGGAGCATACCGCACAGAGCGTATTGAGTTACTCGGGGGAAAGTATGAGCAGTGAGGACAATCTGCAGTCACTCGGCGATATTTCGGGCCGCCCGGAGGATATGGGTCTTTTTGATCCATTTCAGTCACTTTCAATGCCGCCTAAAGAAGACATTGATGAGCTGGCTCTAGTCAACGGTTGGGACCGTCGGCTAGTTGTTTGATATTTTTTTTTTATATATATTTTCTTGATGCTGGGTGTTTGTGATCATGATACCTCGGAGGGCGTTCTTATTGTGCAGTTTTCCTTCGTTCTCGGCGTTTTGAACATTGTGGTTTGGATATTTGGTCATTTTACTTTGGATATACGGCCTTTTTACTTGGTATATGTTATGACTCCATATGAATTCAAGCACACTGTGTATACTTATGCGAACGCTGCGTTCATTCGAATACATAGTTCATATCACCTGAGATCCTTGACATCTAGAAATGAGCAATCATTTAGGCTCATTTACACTACCTTCCATGCTTCCACGTTTCCTTCACCGGAAGCCGGCCTCGGGATTCGCGGGGATCATGGATAAATCAACCGGACGACGAGTCAATGAGCCGTTGCCAAGCTCCAGCCGAGCTGTACTCACTGGCGTGAGTAAAAGTCTCAAGCTTTTTGCACGGCTTCCACGGTGCCACCTATCTCATCACTTCCTTAAATTCAACGTGCTTCCTTTGTGTTTTTGACTACAATTTGCCACCAGGAACTCGGTCACAAGGTCTTTAGTCGACGAAACTGGCTTGCCACCAGAATTTCTGGTGCATTTGCGGTCTAGGTTCTCGCAAAGCTGGATCCCACTTCCCCGGAACCTGTCGGATACACCAATGATAATGTTCCAAGCGGTCCCCACTTCCCCAGACTCTCACGTTTTTTGACGGATATCTCCGCCGACCTGGAGAGGGGAGTTCGTATGGCTGAATGAACGTGTCATCGTTTTCCTGCTTTGTCGATTTATCCGTTTTCCAAGAGTTACCAAAACTATGCAGGCAAGTTTTGAGTCTTGGCCTAGTCATAGGTACTAGAAGTATAAGAATGCCATGTCAGGTTCCGAAGGATTGGGATTGGTACGCAAAGACGGACTTGAAAATAGCCTCTCTCTAATGCGCAATATTCTGTTTCGCAATCATGTTCGAGAAAATGTTCCACAAACGGCCGCAGAGCATCAGTACGAATGGCGAGGCTCCTAGGGAGTCGGTATCTACCGTTGAACGTGAGAAAAATGCTGGTGATCTGGTCGATACTCCCATCCCTCTCTTTACAATTCGATCTTTTATCATGGGCATTTTCGTGTCTATGGGAGGCTTCCTGTTTGGTTACGATACCGGTCAAATCTCAGGCTTCCTTGAAATGCCGAATTTCCTAATGCGTTATGGCGAACCTACGGGAGATGGATCCTATCATTTCACCAATGTCCGCTCTGGTCTTATTGTTGCTCTGGTAAGTCATATACCTGTAATACTTCATGGACCGATCTAACTTGTCCCTTTCCAGCTATCAATTGGTACCTTGATCGGAGCTCTGGTTGCAGCACCGATCGCTGATCGAGTGGGACGGAAATGGTCTATCAGTGCATGGTGTATCATGCTCATGGTCGGAGTCACTGTCCAGATTTCATCTCCCTCTGGCAAATGGTATCAATTTGCCATGGGTCGTTGGGTAACCGGTCTAGGAGTCGGCGCACTCTCTCTACTTGTGCCCATGTATCAAGCCGAGTCGGGCCCGAGACACATCAGAGGATCGTTGATCAGTACCTACCAGCTGTTCATCACACTCGGAATCTTCGTCGCCAATTGTATAAATTTTGGTACAGAGAAGCGCAACGATACTGGATCGTGGCGTATTCCGTTGGGTATCACCTATCTTTGGGCTTTAGTTCTCGGTCTCGGAATGATGTTCTTCCCCGAGAGCCCTCGCTACGATTACCGGCACGGCAAAGTAGACCAGGCCATGAATAACCTGTCCAAGATTTACGGTGTTCCTCGAAACCATCGTGCCCTCCAATTCGAGTTCGCTGAAATCAAAGAAAAGTACGACGAAGAAGTTCGCAATGGTAAAGTCACTTGGGTCCAGCTCTTCAAAGCTCCAACAATGGGTTACCGTGTCGCGGTAGGCGTTGCCCTTCAGGCCCTTCAGCAGCTCACTGGCGCAAACTACTTCTTCTACTACGGCACGACGGTTTTCGCAGGAGCCGGAATTCAAAACAGCTACGTAACGCAGATGATTCTGGGTGGCGTAAACTTTGGCACCACATTCCTCGGTCTATACCTCATTGAGCACTACGGACGTCGTCGCTCCCTCATAGCAGGCGCACTATGGATGTTCGTCTGCTTCATGATCTTCGCCTCGGTGGGCCACTTCTCTCTAGACCGCCAACACCCTGAGCAAACCAAGTCTGCCGGTGTAGCAATGGTAGTCTTCGCCTGTCTCTTCATCCTCGGCTTCGCGAGTACATGGGGTCCGATGGTCTGGACAATTGTCGCAGAGTTATACCCATCACAATATCGGGCTCGTGGAATGTCTCTCGCCACAGCATCGAACTGGCTTTGGAATTTCCTGCTGGCCTTTTTCACGCCGTTTATTACCAGTGCAATTGACTTCCGGTATGGATATGTTTTCGCCGGATGTCTTTTCCTTGCGGCAGGGCTGGTCTACTTCGCTGTTATTGAGGGCCAGGGCCGTACTCTTGAGGAGATTGACACTATGTATCTCATGAAGGTTAAGCCGTGGAATAGCTCTAAGTTTGTTTTCCCGGCCGACCCGGCCATTATTCGGGGGTCATTTGATAAGGGCGCAGAAGGGGTTGGCGCTACGTCGCATATCCCGGATGCTACTACTGAGTTACAGGAGGATGGGCATGCGGTGCCGCAGACGCAGCCGGGTCCATCGACAGAGGCACGACAGGAATTGTAGTTGTTCCAACTATGGGTCATTACTTTAAGTATACGATGTATTTATGCTCTCTTTTGCTTTCGAGTTACTGCTTTTGAGGGAGTTTTCTACGCTGGTTTATTGATACAACAAAATATAACTAAATGTCTAATAAAGAAAAAATCGTTGAAATTCACATTTTAATTTTATTCCCACCCAAGGGGCTCGCTTACAACCTTGATACCGATTTCTGGATCAAAATCCCATCCAAATACCGAGTCATACTGTCAACATCCTCCAGTTCACCAACCCATCCAATATACTGATCCGGCCGCAGAATGAACATCGCGCCACGAACTCGATCAACACCCCACCTTTCGTATCCCTTTCCATCACAGTCTTTATCCCAGATACAGGGATCATCACACCAGATCTTCTCATAGCCCCAGCCCATAATAGGGTCAAATGGACGCAAACTCTCCGGAAAATCAAAGAACTCCACTTCCGTCCATGGAGCACTATGAATAGTCAAGGTATCAACAAGGCTATCAAATCGCCCCGGGATAGACACATAACGCGTCAAAACAGAGGGTCTCGACTCATCAAAACCAGCCAGATACTGCCCAAGATCATCAACCCGCGCCTTCTGCTCCTTCACACGCATATCGCCCGCCAAAACAACCAGTCTGAACGGCCCATTACTCTCCATAATCCTCATGGACCATCTAATCGTCGCATCAGCCGGCTGACGCAGTTTCGCAGATGGAACACGCTCCCCAGGAACCAGATTGGCCGCAAAAGCCGGTCCCTCATGCTCGTTCCCATCCTTGCAAACCAACACACTATCACCATAAAACGTCTTCACGCCATCTGCGAAATCCTGGAACTCCACTGCAATCTTCATCATATTCTGCGTCTTATCCGGCACCCCGTTCCCAGGCGGCTTAGCCTCGTCAGTAAACTGCGTCGACCACGCCTTATCGAATTCCAGCAATCGCTCCGCAATCTGATGTCTTTCTTCGTTGTACGTGCTCAGGATTTCGGGGTCAGCTACCCCGGCTACGACCAAAGCCACTTTCCACCCGATGTTGAACCCGTCTTGCATGCTAACGTTCATCCCCAGGCCTACCTTGGGCGAGTGCGTGTGCACCGCGTCGCCGGCAAGAAAGGCATGATCACCCTTTGCGAATGTCGGCGCAATCCGCTGGCCAATCTGGTATGCATTCCACCAGTCCAGAATCTGGAAGTCAAAGGTGTATGGAGCAAGTATGGCCTGGATGCGCGCTTTGATTTGCTCGGGTGTGATCGTTGAGCGATCAAAGCGGCCGTTGGTGATCTCGTCGTTGGCGACGTGGACGGGGACGTAGAAACGGACGAGTTTTCTTTCGCGGGGAATGAGAAGCATAGTGCCTTTGGGGCTGGTTACCGAGCCCAGTCTACGGATATCGGCTGATTGCAGTCTCATTAGTGGACTTTCAGGCAAACGATGATTTTCTGCCTTTGTCGGATCTTTCTTTCTCGGTACTCACGAAAATTGCTTATAGGCACGACATCGATCACACCCCTTCATGGCCAATATTAGCGGTCTAGTCGGGATTTCTGGTATCAAGGAATTTGACAAACCAGATGTGCTCCGTACTCGCGCCTTCAAACGGAATATCCAGTTGCTTTCTCGTCCAGCTATGCGCTCCATCGCAACCGATAATATACTTCGCCTTGATATTTTCCTTCCTTGCACGTCTGCTCCTACGTTGCCTCGTCAAATCCTCCCACTCCTCGTCGCACAAGTTACCAGGGATAGTGATACTATCCTCAGGACCAGAATGTCGCAGGCCGACAGTAATCGGATACTCATTGTCGCTTTCCGGTGTTTCATCATACTCGAAAGTCTCCGCAAGCACACCACGCTCCACATGAATATCCGAATGCTCTCTAATACTATCCAGCACAAAGCGCTCGAGGCGAGCTTGGGTCAAAAGCATATGGTGATATGGCGATTCGAAGACCTGGCCTGCGGTAATGGGACCTTGACGGATCAATTTGCCTTCGGGCCCAGGTACCTATGAGCATAAACATCGACCGACTTCGTCAGTTTGGGTCTTTTGACATATTACCAAGTAGTTCAGTTGGGAGTTTTATATATCGACTAACCCAGAATCCAGGCTCCACAGCCAGATGGCCCTCGTTTTCTACTTTGCTGTAGATGCCCATACTGTCAAAGAGTTCCAAGGTCCGCATACGGATTCCATCGGCGTGTCCGGTAAACACCTTTGTGGGGCGTTTATCGACGATACGGGTTCGGATCCCGTAGCGTGCCATCCAGTAGGCGACCATCAGACCAGATGGTCCGGCGCCGAGAATGATTCTGAATATTCATCATCAGGTGTGTTCCGTTCCAGTGAAGATGCGGGAAGGAAAGTTCAAGTCTCACACATCGGTTTCTGACTCGGAAACGAATTTGTTCGCCGACATTATGAAGATGTAGCTAATTGTTGGTAAAGTACGGGCTCAGCAGCACTTGAGAGGAGCAAAGGTCGAAATATTCAGCCGTGTCGTGAAATCTGCCCAATCCGACTTAGCTTAGGAAGTTACAAAGAAAATGAGAAATAGAAAGGGCTATGTATAAAGAGGAACGAAAAGAATTGACTTAGTCAACTATTAGTTGTGCTACCTAGATTCGGTCTTCTTTAAAAATGTTTGAGCATTATATCAGTAGTAGTGACTCCTCGGGTGAATTTGCCACGGCCCCGGGGGCCATATCCACAGTTATTGAAAGCGTCCCGGGTTAACCCATACAATCTATGAATCCATGCTAAGTCAACTCATGTCTCCGCGCTGACGCATAGCTGACGCATGCGCTGACTAGAGCGAGTTAGCCTCGAGGAACATTGAGCATCCATTTCGGAATTCTTTCATGTCTTTCTAAACTTGGAAGTTGAGTATAGAGATTTTTCAAGGTTCTAATCTTTTTTTGACCTTGATCTACATAAATTTTAAAGAATTTTACTTTTACTTTCGGCTTCATAAAAGATTCAGCCGCTTGAGCCAGGTAGCTTTGACCTTCACTTCAATGTTGAGTGTTGGATTGGAAAAGTGGAGAATGTCCACCAGAACAAGTAGCGGGGTATAGTCACTAGCCGGTTTAGAAGGACATGTGTATACAGTATGTGGCATTTCCCCGCTCTTGGGATTATTTAAAGCAATTCAGACTAGTCTTTCTGATGTGGCCAAGTCCGTGAAATCAACCGCTGGTCTTCTAGGTACATGTGTTGATGCTACTAGTATATTGGCTTTTGTCCACAGCGCCTATAGTATGTACGACATTAAGTATGTGAAGCCACCTGGCATTACGACCACGCTGAGTCAAGGATAAGTGACACCGGAAATTTAAAAATCAGCTAAGAATAAAAAGAATTCCAGAGAATTCAAAAAGTTTGAAAGATCATCCACTTTCCAAGTATAAAAAAGTGCGCAAAAACATGGCATTCGGGCTTTCCAGCACATGGTTTTCTATGTCAAAGTAGAATATCTAAACCCGGAGCAGACTTATTCCATCAAGACACCAACATTGAAGGCATAAGCAATGTTGTACACCTCCATGCATTTGCCCAGGTACCACCAACACGCCTTTGTAACGCCAAAAGCCAAAAGTCCCGGATGCTGGTACATGGTACAATCTACGAGAGTGATCTTTCAAATAGCAAGCAATCTTGTATGACAATGTTATGCACGTAGACATTTCACCATTTAGAAGCAGTATCCTTGACCCACACTTCATAATCCTCGGGAATTTTCCCCAAAAGCTCAACCTGCAATTGGTATTCCTCTTCGGTCATGCAAAATGCATCCTTTGCGAAAGACTCCACCATCAATCTCATATCCCTCCCCCAGATCGCGTTCTCCCGAGCCCCCAGCTCATGCTCATATCGCTCGAAGCCGTCTTGGTTGGCAGGATAAATATCAACTTCCTTTTCCAGCGCGTCCGACCAGATCCTTGCAATCTCAGAACCCTTGTAAGCTTTCTGCGACCCAACAGGCACATGTTTCCCCACCCATCTCCCACTTCCATCAACAAAAACATTCTTAACCGCAAGCGCAATGTCCGACGGCGACACACGACTAACGCCATTTTCGCCCAGCGGCTCATCATACATACCGCTCTCAATCAAAGACTTCTTTGCTCTCAAGTCATTGATGAAGAAAAGACTCGGACGAATCACAGTCCATGTGAAAGGAAAGTCACCATATACCAGCTTTTGCTCCGTCAGAATCTTCACGAGGACATGTCCTGCCGAACAATTCCGCAGAATCCACTGCGCACCTTCGGGAGATGCAAAATCTGCGCAGGCGGAGAGGTAAATGAGATGCTTGACTGATTTTGCTCGAGAAAGACAATCAAAACAGTTCATTGTTGTGAAGAGCTCGTCTTCACCGGTCAAACATAGAAAAACTGTGTCGACCTCGTGTTGCGTGAGGAGTCCCTGGAACCATGTCGGATCTCGGACGGAACCCTCCTCCACGATGAAAGTGGCCGCGTTGGAATTTGGAAGAGATGCTTTCAAGCGGCTAGCATTTGAAGTTGGGAGAATAACTCGTGTTTCTTCCAGTCGGTCAAGGAGAGGAAGGAGCTCTTGTCCAATGTGCCCGGAGGCTGCAGTAATCAAAATGGTGCGCGTCATTTTTATAGGATAGAATGGTATTTGAGCGGAATAATGGAAACAATTTTCACAGATGCCCAGACGACCTCTTAAACTTATATTCAAATGTTGAGATAAAAATTACAGTCATAAACGAATACATACTACGCATGACTAGTGTAATCATGACACCTGTAAGCAGGTAAATATCGGTGTTAAGCACGATTGCTTCCGTCAACCCCGCGGTGGAACATCGTTGGGAGCGGAGAGTCGGAACGGAGAGTCGGGGGACGGAGTTCATACATAAAGCGATCTCCGATCCGGTGCCTCTGGAGTTAAAGGCCACTAAAATAATAATTGGAGGGGGCCAAAAGAGTGCAGTTCGAGCTGAAAAACAGTGTTTTAATTCAACATTGAACGTTTCTGGAGAAATGCAGCTTCTAACTCGGAAATATGGTAAAAGAGACATTTCGGGACGTACGTAGTATGAGCTTGCCCCTTTGGACGCATTTCTCTCTTAACTATTGCTCGTCGCTGAGGTTGACAGAACCTTGGAAAGTATATCATGATTGACAGTCGATCACCCGGTAGATCAAGTCGGCATCTCGAGAATCCTGCTTCTTGAACAGCCGCGTGTCGTGGGGCATGCAGGAGACCTTTTTTGGGAGCTAAGGAGCATATGTAACAGATAACATGTACTTCATAAATTTTGCTCCGTTTTCTTTGCCAGCATAAATTCGGTCTTCTAAGCTAGTCACGGTTATCTGAAAATTACTAACATTGAATTATCTATTGGGTACTAGTAGTTGTGATGCAGATATGAGTACTAGTTTGCAAAATCCAGGGTCACATGGATTACCTTTATCTTGTAGAAAGACAATAGAATTCATTGCATAATTTTATTATTCGAGAACTAGGGGCTCACCGAATCTTTGTCAATAATCCAATTTGAAATGATCTGAAGTTGTATGACTCCTAAGTAAGTTCAGGGCTTGTATGGAAGGGAAAAACCGCACCCCAAATCATTATCAAGCATATAGTGAATCACGAGGTCAAGCTTGAAACTCAGTCAACATGAAATTGTTTAATTTTTTTCTCTCATACATTTCCTCAACAAGCTCCATAACTTCCCCAGCGTGAGCGAATCATCACGGAGATAATCCGCCCCAAAAGCAAAAAAATCCTCCGCATTTCTCGCAAAAAGCCGTTGACTAAAAAAACAAAAGTCATCACATCAAGCTGATCAATATCCCCACAAGCTCCATCTGAGTTAACATAAGATCTCCCTTGCATTGGGCAACATTCCAATGAGAGCATTTTCGGAGCTTGGGAGGATCCAAGTATGTGACTTACCACATAGGGCAGCGGGGCGGGATGATCTTCGGGGAGAAAGGGTGCGCCTACACAACGACTGTCCGGCACTTTCTGTCATGCGAGCCTATCCCTGGCCTGATGAAGCCAGGAGACCAGTTGGACGTGAAAGAGAAAGCGTCAAGCCAAACTTGGAAGCAGTCTAGCGCGAAACTCGGTCTCAAAACTCGGTGGCATACCACAAAAGGGTCGTGTCTGAAGTACGACCTTTCATACCAGTTATTCTAATCGTATGTACCATTTCCCCACGATGTTTGGGATCGTGTGTTCATATCCATTGCCACATGACTCCACTTTGGGGCCCACGGAAGGGTTTCCGGGACTCGTCTCGGTATGCTGCGAAAGCCATTGGTCCGGGGATGGGGTGGTCGTCCTGATCCTGGAGGGTGAGCTTTCGTCCTTGATTCTTAAGGAATGCCTTGTACGTTGTACCCAATGGGCGCGTTACACCATAACTTTCTTGATCTGTAAGATAGGGTGATGTCAGGGCCAGTTTCACAGCATAACAGGTAAAGTAATGTCCGTGCCCAAAGCTCTTTTTTCCCCTTATATCTACCATGCCGGTGATACCCCCTCCTAGTCTAGAATCACTATTTAATTTCTCCCTTGTTCTCTAATTGTGTCTAACCGTGTTACATATGGGCAGGGTGTTTGTTTCTATACCAGTCAGCAGGCGCTCGTGTGCCTCAGTCGACAATTTGTGGACACAGTTCACTCCACGATACCCTCCACCACCCCGTCATCGAGACATATCAAGATCAGGCCAAGTCAATTGATTCAACCCGGTCTCTTGCTGCTCAAATTATGAATTCAGCCGACGTCGAAAAAGTCCATGAATCACCTTCTTTGCATAGCTTGAGCCCATTCGAGCTAGAAAGTACACCTACCAAGTCCAGTCATGACGCCGTTCTTGGATCAAAACCCCAGTCAAGGCTGGAGCGATGGTTGATCCGCTTCAATGTGGAGACCCGTGGAATTGAAAGAGTTCCTGTCGAGGAGCGAGAGCCAACAACGGCATCCTCATCATTGCATATGTTTCTGATGTGGTTTAGCATGGCTTTGGCTACTAACAATATCATTGTCGGATCCCTGGGGACATTCTTGATGGGTCTCAGTTTCAAGGATGCAGCATTGTGTGCAGTCTTTGGAAATTTGACCGGAGTTTTTCTTGTTGGATATATGAGTACCTGGGGCCCGCAAAGTGGAAATCGCACCTTGGTATGCTTTGTCTCTTAAACTGTTCAAACTTGAATATTTCTGACGGATGCAGATCGTCAGTCGATATTTCATGGGCTACTATCCGAGCAAAGTCTGCTGTGCTTTGAACATTTTCACCAATCTTGGCTATAGCATGATAAACAGTGTTGTTGGTGGCCAAGTCATATCCATGGTATCTGGAGAACGTATTTCCGTGCTGGTGGGTATCGTGGTTGTTGCTTTCACTAGTTGGGTCATGGCCATGTTCGGGATGCGGATTTTCGAAATTTACGAACGGTAAGGCTGATAGCCAAGAAAATGGCACTCTGATATGAATCAAAACTAATAAGATTACAGATTTGCCTGGCTTCCTCAATTGATGGTCTTATGCGTCATGTTGGGCTCAGCCGGTCCTCATTTCGACTTCAACGTCCATACTCCAGTCCCACAGGGGCAATTAAATGCCAAGCGTATCACCTACTTTTCCCTGTGCCTCTCCATTGCCATCGCTTGGGCACCCCTTGCTGCCGACTACTACGTTTACTACCCGCCGAACGTCCAGCGTTGGAAAACCTTCACTGTTACCGTCCTCGGATGCGGGCAAGCTATGATAATTACACTTCTGATTGGCAACGGACTTGGAACTGTCCTCGCAAGTTCACCTTCTTACCTCGTGAAATATGGTAACACCCCTGGTGGCCTATTGATGACAGCGTATGATTCTCTCGGAGGGTTTGGGAAATTCTGCGCCGTGGTCAATGTCCTCGCCCTCGTTGCAAATAACACCCCGGGCGCCTATTCGATGGGAATGAACCTGCAGATGCTAGGAGCCTGGTTCCAAAAAGTCCCCCAGCCTATCTTCACGACTCTCGCTACTGTTATTTACACCGCTTGCGCCATGGGCGGACGCAACTCGCTGTATCAGATTTTCAAGAGCTTCTTGCCGCTAATCGGATATTGGGTAATTATCTGGATTGTGATCGTTATGGAAGAGGACTTTTTCTTCCGCAGGTCATCAGGTTACGACTGGTCAGCATGGAACAACCCGCGAAAACTCCCCCTGGGTATCGCGGCTGGAACTGCTTTTTTGGTCGGTTGGGGTGGTGCGATCGTCGGCATGGTATGCATCCAACTTCTTTCGGAGCAAGAACTTTGCATCCTTGTCCAACCAACTCTATTCAACTCACTAACGACTCCCTATAGGATCAAGCATATTACTCTGGCGTCCTTGCCCAAGTGACTGGGGGCTCGGATCTCGGTCTGTGGGTGGGGGCGGGCTTCACTGCTGTGGCATTCCCACCACTGAGAGTGTTGGAGAAATGGTACATCGGGCGCTAATCTTCCCGATCTGGACGATCGAACGACAAGATTTGGACTGGACTGTGCGCTTGATGAGGTATGTATCAGGGTGCATGTGCATTTGCAAGCTGGCAAGCTTGGGACCCCGGTCCGCGGCATGGATCTACACCGATCCGTTCCTCCCCGCTCCATACTGAATAGATGGATGCGTACATACTCACACGATACCGAATGTAATGAGGAGATTTTGAGGGATTTGTTGAAAATGGTGTATTTTATATTACTGATGTGAGATTTATGTGAGATTATGTCCAGGACTTAGTGTTTATTTCCAAATTAGAGAAGAAAAAAAGAAGAGCTTCAAGTAACCGACATATGATCCACTTTGTCAGCAAATCAGCAAATCAGAACCTCAATAAACAAATGCACTGGCAGCACTGCATATTTGTATACGACACCCCACTCTCCCCGCTAACCACCATCGGCACTTTTTAAGCCCCCAAAGCCCCAGGGCTCATTTAAAACTCGGCCGTGGCGCCCAATTATTTTGTGTGGCTGCATTGTACACCCAATATTCGTTTTCTACTTCTTTGAAGTCTCATGTCCACTTGGCCAAAATACATTCATCCCACCACGTTTCTATAATGGAAAACCTCACAACTTGGCCTGGGAGTCAACCACTCTCTGAAGCTGCCGGAGCTCTATTTACAACCCCGTTACAGCAATGGCTTCCGTTTGCCGCGGTCTCCCTGTTGATCGGGTGGCCCCTTTTGACCACTTCGCTGCGCTACAAACGGCTGCACCAGCTTGAGAAGAAATACAACTTTCCAACCCGTGAATCTATGGCCAAAATGACCGATGAACAAGCCTACGAAATCCAACTAGCTATCGGACAGCTCGAGTTCCCATTCATGTTTGTGAAGGCATTGCAGTTCGCTCTGTTCAGGGTATGAAGCCCCCAGATAGCCCCTCCCCCTTCGTTGCAATCTCCCTCTATGTACACTTTCAGGTGTACGACCCATATACAGGTCTATACATGAGATGTACTAGTAGAATCCACAACTTCCACATCCTATCAACAAAAAACCAAAAAGAAAAAGGGAAAATAAGAAAATACAAAAGAAAACGCTAACCACCCCTCAGACATACGGCATCCCTTCAATCTCGCACCTCCTAACCAAAACCTCCCAATTCTCCAACCCAGAAACATCCCTAAAACGCTACACAGACACAAGCGCCCTCGTCAACGAAATGGTCGCAAACAGCCCGACCTCCCTCCGCGCCTTCACATCCTTAGCCCGCACCCGCTTCCTGCACAGCGGATACCGCGCCTCAGGCAAGATCCTCGACACAGACATGCTCTACACACTCGCCCTGTTCGCACTCGAGCCCATCAAATTCATCAACCGCTTCGAGTGGCGCGAGCTCAGCCAATTGGAACAGTGTGCCATCGGCACGTTCTGGAAGAGCGTCGGTGATGCACTGGGAATTCCATTTGACGATTTGCCCTCCGGGAAAGCCGGGTTTCAGGATGGTCTGCAGTGGCTTGAGGAGATTAGTGCCTGGAGTAAGGTGTATGAGGCTAAGTACATGGTTCCTGATGTTAAGAATCGGGAGACAGCGGATCAGACTACGGATGTCATTGTTTATATGCTGCCGACGGCGTTGCATGGTGCTGGGCTGCAGTTTGTCTCGTTTATGATGGATGATCGGTTGAGGAAGGCTATGCTGTATGTTCTCGATTACTTCATCGTTCAATATCGGGTTTCGGATTTCCTGGGGGCCATTTACTGATGTTGGTGCATAGATATGACCCGCCCACTGCATTGATGTCAACCGTCTTCGCAAGCTTGCTTAGCGTGCGGAAACTTTTCTTGCGCTATTTCATGCTCCCACGACCATCTTTCATGAAGGTGTTGAATGTTTCGCCGCAGCCTGATGAAAAGAACCGCTTCTTCTTGAAGAACTGGGAAGCTGCGCCTTACTACGTCAAGCCGACTTTCTGGAATCGGTGGGGTCCTACCGCCTGGTTGACCTGGGCGCTGGGTCGCCCTGTTCCTGGAGATGAGGGAGACAAGTATTATCCTACAGGGTACCACATCAATGACATTGGACCTAAGTACTTTGAAGGGAAGGGGCAGAAGGCTATTGAGCAGACTATGGAGGAGTTGAAGGTGTTTAGAACGGGTAAGTGTCCATTCCACTAGATACTAGTATCGGGTGTACTGCCCAGGTAGCCCAGCTGCCCAGGTGTATAGTACATAGTATAGAAGTACATAGTACATAGTACATAGTACATAGCTTGGCTGAAAGATGCCTATCTACTACTAGTATGTAGTGCATAGTAGCTCTGGAAATACTAGGTGGAATACAAAAGTGGATTACTCGAACCAAACCCTTGGATCATAAGTTGACAATTAATAAGTCATTTCCTTAATTGTTTTTTTTTTCCACTATGTGCTATTCTGGCCTCGGGACGGACAAGCTAAAACCCAAGATCCACTGGCAGGAAAATAGAGACAGGATAAGGTGAAAATTAGGAGCGCTCAAACAAAATACTGGGTCGCAGGCCCCAATTTGAGCCAGCATCCGAAAAAGATAGAGAATGTAAGCTTATCAAGGGTATTACTGCGAGCAAATCTCAACATTGGGAAGATATTTAAACCTCCTCCTCGACAACACCCTCCTCGGCGTAGTACTCTTCCTCGCCCTCGGAGACGGAGGCATCCTGGTACTGCTGGTACTCGGAAACCAAGTCGTTCATGTTGCTCTCAGCCTCAGTGAACTCCATCTCGTCCATACCCTCACCAGTGTACCAGTGCAAGAAAGCCTTGCGACGGAACATGGCAGAGAACTGATCACCGATACGCTTGAAGAGCTCCTGGATGGAGGTAGAGTTACCGACGAAGGTGGAGGCCATCTTGAGGTTCTTGGGGGGAACGGAGCAGAGAGCGGTCTGGACGTTGTTGGGGATCCACTCAACGAAGTAGCTCTGGTTCTTGTTCTGGATGTTGCGCATCTGGTCCTCAACCTCCTTCATGGAGATCTTACCGCGGAAGAGAGCAGAGCAAGTGAGGTAACGACCGTTACGGAAGTCAGAGGCAGCCATCATGTTCTTGGGGTCGAACATCTGCTGGGTGAGCTCAGGGACGCTCAGGTTGCGGTACTGGTGGCTACCACGGCTGGTCAAGGGAGCGAATCCGACCATGAAGAAGTGGAGACGGGGGAAGGGAACCATGTTGACAGCCAGCTTGCGGAGATCGGAGTTGAGCTGACCGGGGAAACGGAGGGAAGTGGTGACACCGGACATGACGGCGGAGACCAGGTGGTTCAGGTCACCGTAGGAGGGGGAGGAGAGCTTGAGAGTACGCATGCAGATATCGTACAGAGCCTGTAAACAAACAAATAACAACTGTTAGTACGTTGCTTCAAGTCGGACCACGCAATTTCTCAACACATACCTCGTTATCGATACAGAAGGTCTCGTCGGAGTGCTCAACAAGCTGGTGAACGGAGAGAGTGGCGTTGTAAGGCTCAACAACGGTGTCGGACACCTTGGGGGAGGGAACGACGGAGAAAGTAGCCATCATACGGTCGGGGAACTCCTCACGGATCTTGGAGATGAGGAGCGTACCCATACCGGCACCGGTACCACCACCAAGGGAGTGGGTGATCTGGAAACCCTGGAGGCAGTCACAGCCCTCGGCCTCACGACGGACAACATCGATAACGCTGTCGACGAGCTCGGCACCCTCGGTGTAGTGACCCTTAGCCCAGTTGTTACCGGCACCGGACTGACCGAAAACAAAGTTGTCGGGGCGGAAGAGCTTGCCGAAGGGACCGGCACGGACAGCGTCCATGGTACCGGGCTCCAAATCGACGAGGACGGCACGGGGAACGTAACGGTTGCCGCTGGCCTATTCAAAATAAACATTAGAGAAAATTTGACGCGTATGTTCTGTTAGTTTTACACTCACCTCGTTGAAGTAGACGTTCATGCGCTCCAACTGGAGGTCGGATTCACCGGCGAAGCTAGAAAATATCAGACCGCCATTTCGACCTCCCAACCACATCCATATTCAAACTCACTTTCCATCGGCATCGAGACCGTGCTCGCCAGCAATGGTTTGCCTAGAGTTCAGTCAGTAAAACGGTTCAACCAGCTAGCAATTGATGATTGTTGTTTCCAACACGTACCAGAAAGCGGCACCAATTTGGTTACCCTAATCACCCAGCGGCTGTTCAGTATTCACATCCTCCCAATATATCATAGCCTCGAGATCATTTCGATTGAATCGCACTTACACATTGGCCGGTCTGGAGGTGGACCTATATGGGTGAAAAGTTGGAGGTTAGCACGGACTTTGAACAGGTGGGGGGGACGTGGTTCAGGGGGTCGGGAAGTCAACAAAGACGCGTTTTTGGGGAGAGCAGACGTACAATCTCACGCATGATGAAGTTTGGTGAAGATGGTTAAACTTCGAGAATTGAGGGTATGGAAAATGAAGTAGAGGAATGACCGAGGGTCAAGAAGATGGGAAAGGAGAAAGTAGGTGAGCGGTGTGTGTGCGTGGGGATCAACAACAACTTCTTTTGCTCTCAGGGGGGGGGGATCGCCCGATCAGGACTAGTGGGGATCACGGGACCAGTCAGCGGTCGAACCGCAAGGTGCGAACCACAATTGATCGTTTTTGGTCGTGGAGTCTAAACATTCGTTGGGCACGCCTCTCGAGTACTTTGTAAAAAAGTACCATTGATGCCTTCCAGACATATCATGTTTCACTGACTAGTATTATACAATATGGATTTCCCGATGTTTTTTTTTTTACTCCTTCGTCTCGGTCGGCTCGGTGGTCTCAGGCTTAGGGACCTCCTTCGCCTTCTCCTTCTCCAACCAGTTCCCGAACTCATCCAGGCGCTGTTCCTCTTCTTCGTTATCCGCATGAATACCGTGCTCAGCCATCTCCTCGAGGGCTGCACGTCGCTCATTGGTCTTTTTAAATTTCTCGCGTCCCTCAGACACATAAGCTTCAACGCGGGTGCCACCAAAGAATCGCCCGTCCATGACTTTAACACACTCCCGGGCGGATTCGGGATCGGCGAACCGGACACTGACAACACCCTCAGGCTCCTTGTCGTAGAGCACAACGTTGGTGACTTCGCCAACTTTGGCACACTCGTCACGAATATCTTCCTTGATATCCAGGATGGCAGCGACGTCCTCCTGTTCATTGGTTAGGTCAAACGGATCACAAGTAGAGAGCATAAAGTAATCAAATGACTTACCTGCAACTCCTCCAAAGTAAACATGTGCTTCAAAATTACGATTTTGTCCTGTTTGGACTTCGTTTCTGGAATAGCTGAGGGATCATCATCGTCCCAGTCCGCCAATTTACTGTTCCAATTAGCATATGGTCAACAGCCTCCTGAACACCGAACATGCCACTCACCTGTTAAGCCTTGCTGTCCGCGCAATGATCTTCTTTTTATCCCGCATATTTGTCTTTGGCGGTGCGTCCTGCTGAGCCTTGTACGAAAAGTCGGCAGCCTGGATCTTCATAGGCCCCTGTGGACCTGGCTGGCCCAGTCGGAATTCAGTCTCATCAAGCATCTGAATGGCCAGGTTAACCGATTCAGGGCGGAAATACACGACCAGTGCTTCGCCCTTGAAATTTCCATCGTCATCCATGTACATTTTAATTCGTGGGCGACCGCTGTCGATTTCCTCGGCAATGACACCGCATTTGGAGAAGACTTCTCTGATCTCTTCCAGTTGGACATCGAGAGGGATAGAGGATATGAATAACGCGGTGTTTACGCGCTGTTTCTTGGGCTTTTGAGTAGTTTCCTATAGTCCTCCGTCCGATATCGTTAATGTCTGTAAGGACGGTCGCCCGAACAGTCGACGGGATAGCTATGGCATTCGTTGCGACTACTCACGTCATCCTGCTGCTTGCGCTTCTTCCGGTCGCGAGGGTGAATCTCTTCGTCTTCCTCATCCATCCCTGCAACCTTGTATGCTTCTTGTTGCTGGCGGAGTAAATCTTCATCGACCTATAGAAGCTAAAGCCTTAGCATCGCGTTTGAGCTCGAAACTATTTGATCGATTTGCGCCAGCGACGACAGGGCGCGCATATGGTAGAAACGACACTAGACATACCGTCTGCACCCATCGCTTCAGGGCATTATCAAAAACAAACTCCTGTCCATCATCCGTCTCGAGTATGAACTTGTTATCAAGCTTCGAGAACGAAACCCGGTGGTCGCTGTCGAATTCGGAGGGATCGAGTGGGAACTGGTGCCCAGGTCCATGGTCGGGAACTGGAGAAGCCATTTGAAGGCCTGAAACTGTGCGCAATTGGCGATGGAAGATTATATCCGAAATGAAGTTTTGTTGAGAGAGGTTGACGTATTCGAATTTCAGTTGAAGACGCTGTCGGGGGTCTTGCGGGAGAGCTTGAGCTTTTTGCGATTTGCGGAGCTTGCAATCCAATGCCCGCATCACATGGGCCCAAAGGTGCCGTGGATCATCGCAAACCTTCATTGGTCCGTTCTACTTCTACTTTTTTTTTATGTTACAACTTTACGGCATAGACAAGTAAATTTGGTATGGCTTTTTTCATTTTATTCATATAAAAAAGGGTATCTATCACAGAATGGGAATAAAGAAATAAAGTTGAAAAAAAAAAGAAAGAAGGATATGGTCCTTAAAGAATTCCAAATGGAAATGCCATGCAAAGAGAAGAAAAAGAAAAGAAAGCGACAAAGTCAAAGCCCCTTATATGCTCAAGCGCCGTCAAGGAAAGAAAAAAGAGAATTAATATAAAGAATGTCTATTTCGCAAGGAAATTAGGCCTTGGTGTCAATGGTGGTAGCGTTCTCGCCGGTCGGTGTCATGGTCCGCTTGGAGCCAGTCTCACTGGCCTCAATACCATTGACAATATCACGAGTGACCTCGACATAATCATAGGCAAACTCGCCAATCTCGGCATCATCGATACCCATGATCTCATCCTCCTCGGGAGCACGAAGGCTGCATCCAGGGATGAGGTTGAGAACGAAGAGGATGATGCATGTTCCGACAAAAGAGTAGGCAGCACCGGACATGGAGTCTGCGAGCTGGTAGCCGAGCTGAATGTAGTTCTTGTTGATCCAGCCACCGGGAATGTCAGTGGCACCATCCAGGTGAGCAATGTAGTCAGCAGCAAAGAGTCCAGTCAGCAGGTTGCCGACCAGACCACCAATGCCGTGGACAGCGAAGATATCCAGAGCATCATCAACGCCCAGCACGAACTTCAACTTTGTAGCGTAGTTGCAAGCGACGGCACCGACAACACCGAAGATGAAAGCAGCCCATGGGGTAACGAAGCCAGAACCGGGAGTAATAGCGACCAGACCAGCGATAACACCGGAGCAGAAGCCGACCGTGGACCACTTGCGCTCGAGGCGGTAATCCAGGAGACACCAGGTTACACCACCGACCGAGGCGGCCAGGTTGGTCACGACAGCGGCCATAACGGCACGCAGGTTAGCAGCCAAAGCGGAACCGGCATTGAAGCCGAACCAGCCGACCCAGAGGAAGACAGTGCCGATAACAACGTGGGTGACGTTGTGAGGGCGGTAATTAAGCTCATGAGTACCGTGACCACGACGCTTGCCCAGCATCAAGGAGTAAGCGAGGGCAGCACAGCCTGAGGAAATGTGGACAGGAGTACCACCGGCGAAGTCCAATCCACCCATCTTGTAAACCCAACCCGAAGAGTTCCATGTCCAGCAGGCGATAGGATCGTAGATGACAGTCGACCAAACGAACATGAAGATGATACAGGGAAGCATGCGGCCACGCTCAGCAATGGCACCGGCAGCAAGGGCAACACTATCGTAGAGGCGTTAGTCAGTCTCGATGCGCGTGCAGTGGGGTTTTGAGGGCTTGGGTTACTCACGTAATAGCGGCGAACATGCCCTGGAAAATGCAGAATAGAATATCGGGAACCGCGGTACTTCCCACAGATGGAGCAGCCAAAACGTTTCTCAAGCCAATGTTCTCCAAATCACCAATGAACTTTCCAGCAGTGTGGGAGAAAGATAGCGAGTAACCCCAGAAGAACCATTGGAACGACACCACACCGACCGACATGATAGACAGCCAAATGAGTGATAATGCTGACTTTCGTCGTGCGAGACCGGAGTAGAAGAATCTAGACAGTTGTATTAGCATTGGGACTATCGAGGCATGATGGAAGTATCTCCGTACCCAACACCCGGAATCATGAGCAAAACCAAAGCGGACGAGGTAATAACCCAGGCAATATCACCACCCTACATCAAGATGCCATGTCAGCTGTTGTCGATTGAGAAAGGTATGGCAGGTATTCGATCGAAGCATACATTGTAGTAGATGTTCAGATTCTCGGTCAACGAGTCACCGCCGGTACTGATGGTACCATTGTAGGTAACCGACATTGTGAACCCCGATTAAAGTGGTACTTCAGGTTTCACAAAGCCCACAATAACGCTAAGGGGAAGGTTCAACTCAGATGGAACCCAGATAAGAAGGGAAAACAGATCCCAAAGTGTATCGAGGGACGGAAAAGGGGAGGATAGGTCGAGACAGGTGATTTAAGAAAGGCAGGAGAGCTGTTCAAAGTGGAAAAAGGAGGATTGAGAAATGATAGATCAAACATGCAGGGACATGGCTAATAATTTAAATAGCGAGACGCACTGTCCGGGACGAGATCAAACGGGGAAGTCTCCACCATCGGACACTAGAAGGCCAAGAACCCCGATCTTAGTTTGATAGTGGAAACCAAGTCGTGGTCATTGTAATTGCTATGAATTATCCAATCTAAGCGATTACAGTGGCCAATACAAGCCCCATTTCGCCATGTCGGGATGTGAATGGGCAGCTTTCCATGGACCCAACCGGGGGATTACGGGTCCCGGTCAGTACTACTAGTATTTAGTACTATACTTTCTTTTTTTTATGGCCCCATCAACATCAAACTCCTATCAATGCACAATTGAATGCATTTTGAATGTCTTTATCTGTCAGTGGGCTACAAGCACAACGTTTCAGCTGAAATAACAAGTATGCACAACATGAACTAGGATTGAAATTCGCCGAGAACGGGAGTCATTTTTTTTTTCAGAGCGGAATCCCAAGTAAAGTTCACATTTTTCCGTCAGCTTTGCATGAACTGATAAGCAGGGGGGGATTAAAAAGGCAATAGATTGATTGATTAGAAGCAGAAGTGACAGGAAGAGGCGAATAATGGGAATTCATCCACAATCCAGGTCCGCGCAGTCAGATCGACGTCTGCGACTGGCTGTAGATATGAGGTTGACCGCCCCACCAATCAGAGCCCGTTGCTTATCTACAGATTCCCCCAGATTGTACAGTCATCTCTACTCAATCCTGTCAATCTTCTGCGCTTATTGCGCAACATTATGTCTGATTTAAAAAAATATTGCCCTGGATATTATTAAATTCCTAATCTCTTTTTTTCTTCTCTTGCTCTGTGACATTTCTTTTTTGTCAATGTAATAACTTATTACTTGTATACAAAAAAAAAAAAAAAGAACCCACTGTGGATACGGAGACTCTTCAGGAGGCTCTTATCAGACAGTCCCGATCAGCCAATCAGCATCAAAGTAAACCGTTCTGCCTTATCGCGGGCCCCTACGCTCAACCGCTCGCACCCAAATTCCCAGAAGGCACGTTTCGTATTCCATTCCAACTACTTCCTCTCGGTCATCACTCCTTCCGATACCATGACCCGGCGCCTCTTACGACACCACTCGAATGTGCCAAGACAAAATGCTTCCGAGTACTTGCAACCTGGGAAATCCCTACAGGGCTATATTCTATGAGTGACTGGGTAATTCGAAATCAAAGCTCGACAAGTCCCAAAAAAGATCGTGATGAGCGATGAGCAATGATCATCCTGGCCCCTGGCAGGGTTCTAAAAGGTTTCACAGTAACCGGCTAGGCTGTGCTCCATATGGAATAGACATTCTCCAATTCGGAAACACCAGGTCCATAAGCAGGTACAAGCGTACAACCTACACCCGGTTTGCCCGAGAACGCATGGGGCGGGAAATTTTATATGCCACGCGGTCCGGGGGTGCCAAGCCCAGATAAGCCTCGCACCCTTCATTGGCCGGGGCTTTGCTCGCTTCGGCATCCCGAGTGGGCGCTTGGCAAGCCCCCCGCGGAGAAATATCCTGACCTCTAGCCTCTTGTGGCTGACGTGGAGATGCAGCATGTATCATGACACTATTGGAAGAAGGATTAAGCCCCTCGCTTGGCAATCTCCGGGGTCGTGACTTCTAAGGTTGTAGTGTATGAGGGATTAAGTCACAAGCCCTACTAGTCTTGAATCAGGTAGACCTCAGAGCACCTGACAACGTTATTCGGATGTTCATATTCCTTAAACAACAGTCAAATGATCGTTTGCCTGTTTCAGATGTGCAAATTTAAACTCTCCTATCCTCTTTAAGATCGTCGACAATAAGATTCAATCTATGGATCCATTGATCGACGTACCCTGAAGCCCACGATGATCTGCACGCAGATCGGAGGGCTCTCATGCATCAATGCTCGATTTATCCCAAAGCAATCTTGAACTAGTCTTTTTCGTGGGCTCCGTGTTTCCGTACGCCTCTATGAGTGGAGAGGAATCTTCAAGTCAACCAATAGATCTGCATATGCATGTACAAATTGCATAGTCAGGAAAAAAAAGAATATCAGAAAGAACCTTCATAGATCCATTTTTAATAAAAATAGACCACATGTGCAAGCTTGGAATTCGTACACATGATGTATAGATCCTACTAGATCATCTTACGAATCTTTCCAGCCTTTCCAAACTTTGAAGTTTTCAATTTCCATATTAAATGACGTGTTAACAAATTTATACGCATTTGAATGGTGCATTAAACGGTGAGAGTTGTCTATAGGATTCGGAATGTTATCAGTATATTTTCAATAGTCATACCGGTTCTCCTTAAGTTGAATTTTTTCCATAGCATAAAAGTATCTCAAAAATAAGGTTTATACACATATAGCCAACATTTGAATTGATACTATATACTAATACTGTCATAACTTCACTTCATTCAAAAAACAGATGTTTCGTAATTTCATCGCACGATGTCTGTCCTCCAGTTCCATAAAAGTGAGCCCAATAATCGGTCAACTAGCCAGCGTACAGGGAACCGTAAGGGCGAGATGCAGTGCGGCGCATATAGGTACCAATCGTCATCGTTATCGATGCTCTGTGGACTCGACAACCTTGTGGACTCGTAGTACTCAGGGTAGAAGCCGCTGTCCTCCCAGTCAATGACCCCGGTGACCACGTAAAAGTCGGTATTTTCTGGATCTTCTTGCACCATGATGTTACATTTCTTCAAATCAGCATGGGTAAATACAGACCCATGTAAATTTTCAATGTCTTCTTTCAAGAAAGATCGGAGTAACTTGACGTAAAAAGGACTGGCGCGATGCTTTGCGGAGAACTGCAATTCGGTAAACCCCCTGGCTGTGGTTATGCCTTTGTACGAGAGATTTTCCATAATGCGCCAGTCTTTGACTCCTTCTCCGCGAAGGCCACCAAGTTCAGCTCCGTCCTCCTGGCGTAAGTTTCTTAGGCGAGAGAATATGGCCTCCAATTGGTTCTGTATAGATAGTTTCCCTTCATGGGATAAGCGCGGCCATACCTTTTGCAACGTGGTTCCCGGAACATAGGACATGAACATGACGCCAATATGGCCAAGCGTAATGAGACCATGAGGTTTGGGAATTGGTAAGTCGGGTGCATTTTCAGCGAGATATTGGAGATTGTGGTACTCAGTGAAATCCTCATGGCAGGAAAAGGTCTTGATGATAAGATCGTCGCTGCATCTGACTACAGCACCATTTCGAATGCTAAGCTGGAATATTATGTCGGAATTCAAGATCAGGTCGTTCAAAGCTGCTGGAACTGATTTTTTTTCAGGTGAACCATCTGCCGTAAGGTGTTGATTGAGGAGCGCTGACGCCTGAGAAGATAGTGGGTAGATTATGCTAGCGGCTTTGACAGCATCAATTTTTCTGCAAAGCCAGTCAAGCGGTTTTGCTGGTTTTTGCGTCACTGGCGTGCTTTCCAAAGATATAGCCTTCTCTTCTTTGGGCTTTGCCCATCTGTATAGCCGATCGTATTCCGCGGGGAAATTGTCGCGCAAGTTGATTTCGGGCTGAGAAAGTACTTTATCTTGAAGGCCATAAACGGTTCTGAAGTTTAGCTGAGTGGCCTCGGATAGGCCTTCGTATTGCCCAACCCGGTGTGCAGCGACATATTTTGTCCCGACCACAGATAGCAGGTCTGCCGCGGGGTCCTTCTCCAGCGCCTGGCGGAAGGATTCCATCAAATCGCGATTCCACGTTTCAGCCTCGGCTCTATCAACGCATTTGGGAAGAGACTTTCGCTTATCCATAGCCGTTTCCATTTAAGAGGCTATACACTGTCTGTCGAATGAGTACTCATGTTCGGTAATACATACCAGGCTCCAGCACATGAGGTTGCCGAAGCGGATCAATTCTCGGCATGATTCGTGAACTACTAGTAGTACTAGTATGTATTCAATTGTTTTGGGCCAGAAAAAAGGTCAAAACTGACCCTCTTCAATCAAAATTATCTTTACAACTCTAGTATAAGTGCTATACAACATAGAAAAGATAATCTTTAGGTCACTTCAACTCTATGTAAGTTTGATCTGTATAATTATGATTATGATTTAGATGATTGTTAGATGATTGCGGTATGGAAATGTTCGGTATGGAAATGTTCAGTCTAGAAATTGAACTTGATCAATTGATGTTTTTGAGCGTCTTTATCATTACTGAGTCTGAGCGCCCTCATACGTACATAAAAGCGGCGGTATCCCAACTAGGAAATCCCTACCCGTCTAAGAAGATCCGGTACGTATAGTGACCTACTAGTGTTTAAGAATTGCCCAGTTCACATTGTCTGCTCGCTAGAATCCAAAAATGACTGTTCAGTTATCCAAACATCAAATCATTACAGATATCTCGATATCAACGACCAGAATATTGACATGTTCAGCAACTTTGGAACATTAGTTGTAGCCGCCCTGGTTGTAACCCTGGTTGGAACCGCCATTGCCGGAGCCTCCCTGGTTGAATCCATCATCATCATCGTTGTTCGATGACTGGAAGCCTCCTTGACTGAATCCTCCTTGGCCAGAGCCACCCTTGTTGGATCCTCCCTGGTTGAAGCCTCCCTGACTGAAGCCGTCATCATCATTGTTGTTCGATGACTGGAAGCCTCCCTGGCTAAATCCTCCTTGGCCAGAACCACCCTTATTGGATCCTCCCTGGTTGGATCCTCCCTGGTTGAAGCCTCCCTGGTTGAAGCCTCCCTGGTTGAATCCATCATCATCATTGTTGTTCGACGACTGGAAGCCTCCCTGGCTAAATCCTCCCTGGTTGGAACCACCTTGATTGGATCCTCCCTGGTTGAAGCCTCCCTGATTAAAGCCATCATCATTATCGTTGTTCGACGACTGGAAGCCTCCCTGGTTGGAAGTGCTCTTGTTAGAGCCTCCTTGGTTGAATCCTCCCTGGTTGGAGGAATTGTTGCCAAAACCAGAATCATTGTTTGACACGGGCTGATAGTCGTCGTTGGAAGAATCGTTGCCAAAACCAGAGTCGTTGTTTGACACGGACTCGAAGTCGTCGTTGCCAGATCGGTTGGATTTGAACATGGTTATTGATGTAAATGTGTTCAAGTGTTTGATATAGGTTTAATAACGATGAAGAGGTCAAAACTTTGGTTTGAAGGTTTGGATGTATAAAAGAGCTGTTGGTTCTGAAGATGACCTTGGGAGAAGAGTTGGATAAGATATAGCTCTAGGTAGGATCATTTGGGTCTACATATACCCCGCTAAGCTTCTGCCAAGGTTTTGTAGATCTACGTCAGTATTGACCTATACAGAGGCAGGAAAGTGCCCGTGTCAGGTTGGGGATTGTTTCGCCGGCAATTCTCAGAGCGGGGTATGCGCCAAAGTCAACTGGTAGAGTTTCTGCAATCAAAGGTGATTGGAAGCGAGGAAAGCAATGTCTCTATTTATTCTTTGGTTTTTCCTTGTTTGAAAAGTTGCCTTTATCTCTGGAAGAAATAGGCGACCCTGTACGAAGTTAATGACGTTGCCTGCAAAGGAGTTTTCCCTTTGCGTTTACAATGATTTACTAGCGTATAAACTAGTATGTAGTACATTAGTATACAATTTTGGACATCAGATACGTCGTGATCGCTAAAAAGGGTGCAATAATACATTCCCAGCGAATAATTCAGGATATCACACAGTTTGATAGTGATCTGCTTCTGCTCAAGTTTGCGTTGATGTAACTTGAAGTCGCGATTTGAATACAGAGATGTTCGATACCAGTAGTATGTAACTCCTTGTTCGGGACTAGTGCTTTCCCCCGCATGAATAACTCTTCGGTGGCTTAGATTGCATCTTCACTTTACCACCATTCTAATTCTCAGATCCGGATTCCTTGCTAAACGAAATCCAGCCACAAAGTCATCCGTTGCGTCAAATGAAATATACAGAATCGCTCACACCCCTCTTTCTTCGAGAATGGTGGATTTTGGCGAGCCCTGATGTGCACGCACCTGCATGCGCTTTACACTCCCGAGGGGAGTCATCAAAGACTCTGCGCCCCAGGGAACGAGTCCAACGCCACGAAATGCTTTTAAGCTTCGGTCTGCACTCTCGTCACCCTCCCTCGGACTCGGATATGCGATGACTCTTTGTGATTTGAGTTACCCTTGATACACCAAGTGCCCACCAACCACCATCCAGTACTTGATCTACATCGGAAAACAATATCACCAGTCTACTATTGGCCAAGACTATACGAGGTTGAGGCTGGGGGGTTGTTGTGGCTCACTTATTGTAAGAAATAGGTCACTCGGCCGCGGGATCTCCGCCCACAATCATCTACGGCCCGTCGGCCATTGAGGACTCGATTTTCTGATAAATCAGAGAAAGTTCAGGTGGACCCTTGCCCCTCTGTTGAGCTCCACGTGGGCTTTTAAACAAAGCCACTGGGGCTGATGACACCATGCGATCGCCGATCTGAGACATATGGCTAGCTGATGCGTCGCTTCGAGTTATCTGAGAACTGTGAGGGGCGAAAAACCATCTTCTGCCTTTCTGATAAGACACAAGTGTTGAGGAAAACTCCATCAGGCTGCTCCTGGAATCAATACGCAAACATCAAGGGTTGATGACAATATCCTGGCTTGTGAGCTTAGGACAAGATTTAAACCTAGGGATTTTCAAGCTCTTGTTTTTGAGTCCTCTCAATGACTTCCGTCTTCAAGTTCTAGCACACCACAATAGAGACCACCGAAGCCAGAATGCCCGAAAACCCCGCCACAGCTTCCTCCCTTGCTTGATCTGTCTGAGTGCTGCATCCTCTAGTACCAGGAACCAAGTGCCCCTCCTGGTCGTGATCACTCGGCCATGGATGCTGTATTCTATTCATACCTAGAGAGCCTATCAAACTCAAGGGCCAGTAAAGCTGCAACCTATCACAAAGTGGGTTCTCGACTTCCCCGGCACCCACCTCTAATCCGTGCAAGAAAATTTGCGAGCCAGTATTACTATGCTTTTCGGATAGGGCGTTTCCTGTTTCATCTTTACGTTTGTCTTGACATTCGATAAACTGATTCCGGAATACCATCTTCTCGCTTACTAGAAGATTTTCTAATCATGTACTAGGCTCGGAAGAAATCCCTTGGGAGCTTCTCAAGGTAAAACTATGGCGAAGAGAAGGCACTGGCCTATGTACTACCGGTATGCATTACATGATATACAGTACGATGTAGGTTTTCTCTAGAATGAATTGTAGTTATAAAGTGTTCAAAAGTGGTGCCGCCAATATTGAGCATTCTAGGTGCATTTTACTACTAGTAGCCTTCAATGCTAGGTACCGAGAAGTATGCGTGAATAAATTTCGAAGTACTGCCCTATATGTAAATACTAACATTTGAATACATATCTATGGATTGATTGTATACACATGTATAGGTAGTACTTTAATGTCACATACTGAATAGCAAGTGCCGACATTTTGAATACATACTACTCATTACATGTAAGTATCCACATAACGGTATGCGCAAGATGGATATGTAGTAAACACCTAGGTAGTAGACGATTTTCCAGTCTAGGCTCGATGAATGCTCACACAACATCAATGGATTAAACCTTAGAATCCGCATACACGAGTGTTATGTGTGCACAGTATATGTACTAGTACTTAAGATAGTACTGGCGTACCTACTCGTAGTAGGTAAGTATACATCCATGGAGTTTAATATAGATGCCTAACATTTGGATGCATGTGCTGAAAATTGATCCAAGTGTCGTTGGATCATATCCATAGATCCTTGTAAACTCTCACAATAACCTTGAAAGTGTTCGTGGTCAGCCCTGGAGGCAACATGATCAGCGCTCATCTCAGCATGGGACACCCGTTTAATCTAATTAATATAATCCCCGACGCTCATTGCCTGCCACGTAAGTAACTCTGACTGTACAAACGAGCTGAAAGTGGCAATATTCAAGGCCGATCTGGTCTGTTGCAGCTGAAACGGTTGAAAAACCAGTTTATGGTGTATAAAAAAATTAATGGGGAGCCACCCCGGAATGCGACCCCATTGGCTCGGCCCCGCCACGCACCGCCACACGCCCCTATCACCTTTCAAGCTTCATCCCCATTGCGAAAGGTGATCCCTCCTGCACGCAGCACAACACGGCCCCTAACTCCACCATGGAGCACCCCGACATCGCCAGCCAGGATTCCGATGGCTCGGGCTCCTCGGATGAGTTTCCCTCACAATATCCTTTGAGGGCCAACTCATCCTTCGTGGAAGCCTTTGATCCGCAAATCCAGACACCTGCCACCACAATCACCTCCTCTCCCCCATCAGCCCATTCCCCTAATCTAACCTCATGGTCTACTACACCGTCAACACGTCCACGAGGGGCTAGTGTTGGAGCATCTTTAGCACTCGAGGCACCCGATGGCCTGGCGATGTCTGCAGATCCGCGACAGCGTCCCTCCGCCCCCGCGAGGACCCCATCCAATACATATGCTCCCCAGCGACGACCACCACAATACATCAGTCTTCAGCAAACCGACCGGGCGCGCTCCGCTTCAGCGAAACGCGGTACCCGACGCGACCCGAATGCCCAATATCGTGCCCAGGAAAAGGCGTATGTGCAGAGGATTCGCGCCAATCCGCAGGCTTGGTCCCATCACTTCAACGACACTCAGGCGAACAACATGATGCTTGGCGATGCAGATCTAGAGGAACCCTCTCCTTCATCTGAGGCGCCTTTCGAAGATGACCCCTACGACCCCGATACCCAACTCTTTCTTCCACACGATAATCTGCCCACAACGGAAGAACTACGCCACCCCAAAAACCAAGAGCGTCTCGAATGGCATTCTATGTTAGCTTCGGTTTTGAAGGGAGATGTGGTCAAACAAGAGAAACAACGATTGCTGGGGTCCACAGAATCCAACCGATCAGCGGCTTTGAGCCAAGCTCTTTGGATCGGTGTTAAGGCGAGAACATGTGGACGGAGTCTTCCTCTTCAGCAAAAGATCATTGAAGATTCCCGCCGCCAACTAGGTCCCAATATTGAGGACATCATCAACTTCCAGATCAAGGGTGAAACTGAAATTGGAAAGGCACCAGGGCAGCAAGTGAAAGATGTCGTGGAGAAAATCGAGCGCTGCGAGAGACTGTATTCCACCCGGAAGGAAATGGAAGTTGCCAATCCTCGCGCAGCTTCGGAAGAATACTACTCGAGCCATGAAGCGATCTTTGCCTGGCACAACATCACAGCCCTCATTAATACAGAATTGGCTGTATTGCAAAGCTGGGTCGGCAACGATGCCCTCGACTTCAGTCAGTCTAGACCAAAACCGTATGGTAGCGATTTGTCTGATGATCTTTCCTTCTTGGATCGTATTATGAAGGAAGACGGTCTGAAGACACTTCAGGGTGATCATAGCATGCTTCAGGGTATCGGCGAGGTTATTCAGAAGGCCAAGAGCACTTTGATCGAGAATTCGGAAGCCTTTGCGATACGCCATCTACCACCTTATATTGAAGAACTTCTCACACTTATCAACTTCCCTTCACGCTTGATTCAAGAAATCATTCGCGTCCGCCTATCATACGCGAAGAACATGAAAGACCCGGCTCAGCAGTCACCAATCCTGGTAGACCAAATGATCTCGCAATTCCAGATCTTGATGAAACTAGCCGTTGAAATCAAGCAACGCTATCTGGCCATCTCAATTCCTCAGCCCGGCTGGGATCTACCACCTTGTGTCGATGAAAACTTTGATTCGGTGGTTCTCGATGCCATGAAGTACTATTTCCGTCTCCTGAACTGGAAACTCAACGCCAACAAGAACACATTCAAAGAAGCCGAAATTTTGGAGCAGGAGTGGGAGTACTCTTATGATATTGGACGACAACTTGAAAGTGGCGATGTCGAGGTGGCTGAGCAGTTCAGGTAAGTACCAAGAAGATGCAACTCATAACAAGGTGCTAATAAGGAAACAGTGCTTTAACTGCCAAGTCCCTTCAACGACTTATGATCCACTTTGAGCGTGAGCTTGTACCGCGAGATAATGAAACTGTCGCGGACATGGACAAGCGTTATAAAAGTATTTTGGACTCTACGCGTATTCGTCAACGGAAGCTCTACCGATTCTCGAGATTTTTGTGCCAGTTGTTTGAGAATGCCACTGAGTATAACATCACTACTGATATTGCATACGAATTTTTTGAGGCTTTGCTCATTTCAGACCACTTCCTGGTCACCTCACCTAACTCGGTTGGCCAGAAAGGCGTCTATTTGATTGCCCACCATTCATTATGGGACCGCCCGACTGATATCCAAGGCATTCTCGCTACATCCTTCCGGGAAGATGGCATCACCCCGGATGTTCCTCAGATCCCATATGTCCTTGTCATTCGCCCAGAAAAGCCAATGGCTTGGGCAGGAAAAGAGATGCAGATTGATATCTTGGAGCAGCCCACGGATGTCCGCCTTGGTAAGCTTCGACTTGTTGTCGAGGGTTTGCAAGAGCGATTGCAGAATGCAAGATTAGAGTTGACGCATCTCACCGGTATTCAATTGGACATGGCAATTGAGCAGCGAGCTAACCTTGGTCGTGTAAACGTGGAGTTGAACAAGATCAAGAAGATCTCTTTCAAGCTTTCCATGGCAATCATGGACAGTGTGGCTGTTCTTAAAAAGCAATTGCGAGACAAGACGTGGGAAAACAATGAGCTGATTCAAGCTTGTTACGCTTTTGCAACCGAGTTTGGAAAGCGTTCCTCCAACTACGTCGATGCCAACAGACGCGCTATGAACAGTGCCCGCTTAGTGGAGCTATCCCTCGATTGGGTCTCTTTCATCTGTGATGAGTGTGATGCTGCCGACCGGAAAACGTTCAAATGGGCGGTTGCTGCCCTTGAATTTGCAATGGCTATCACTTCTAGCCGCCATCTTCTCTCTCTGGATGAGGAACAGTTTGCCCGTCTCCGACTGAAAGTTGCAGGCTGTATGTCTCTTCTCATCTCTCATTTCGATATCATGGGTGCTCGATCATCCCTCGCAGCCCAAGCAGAAAAACAGCGAATGGAGGAGCGGGCCGGAGCCCGGAAGGCTGGCGTTGGCCGGATTTTGAGCGATGAAGAAGCATCCAAGCTTATCCGTGACCAACGGTTTGCCCGTGTGACCGAGATTGAAGACAGTAGAGTTGAAGAGTCTGCCAAACGCCAAGCATTGGGAAGGGTGCTGGAAGGTTCCAACGAGGCCGACCGTTCTCTTACTGTCCTCTCATCATCTGCCACTAATGTTAACTTGCGTTGGCAGCAAGGCCAGTTTATTGGTGGTGGTACATTTGGATCCGTCTATGTTGCTATCAATCTTGACAGCAATTACCTGATGGCTGTCAAGGAGATCCGCTTGCAGGATCCTCAGCTGATCCCCAAGATCGCGCAACAAATTCGCGATGAAATGGGTGTGCTTGAGGTATTGGATCACCCGAACATTGTCTCCTACCATGGTATCGAAGTGCATCGTGACAAGGTTTATATCTTTATGGAGTATTGTTCAGGTGGCTCGCTTGCCAGCTTACTGGAGCATGGTCGGGTTGAGGACGAAACAGTAATCATGGTTTATGCGCTCCAACTCGTGGAGGGGCTGGCCTATTTGCACCAAGCAGGTATTGTGCATCGGGACATTAAGCCCGAGAACATCCTTCTGGACCACAATGGTATTATCAAATACGTGGATTTCGGTGCAGCCAAGATTATCGCTCGATCAGGCCGCACAGTGGCTCCATCGGACGGGCCTAACGGTAACAAAGACCCCCTCATTGGGAAGGATGCCCAGATTACGAATCAACGTAAGACCCAAAAGACCACTACTGGTACCCCCATGTACATGTCGCCGGAAGTGATCCGTGGTGACTCTGCCCACACTCAAAGCGCCGTGGACATTTGGTCTTTGGGCTGTGTGATCCTCGAAATGGCCACCGGCCGCCGGCCATGGTCTACCCTTGATAACGAATGGGCAATCATGTACAACATCGCCCAAGGCAACCAACCTGCTCTCCCAAGCCGTGACCAGCTGAGCGAAATGGGCCTTGAGTTCCTGCGACGCTGCTTTGAATGTGATCCCCTTCGCCGAATTACGGCTGCTGAACTTCTTCAGCATGAGTGGATTGTCTCCATCCGCCAACAGATAGTGGTTGAGCCTTCCACCCCCAGCAGTGAAGCCGGGGGTAGCTACAGTAGCTCCGGCTCGAACAGCCGGCAGAATTCAACCTATGGAGGATTCTGAAGATCTTTTTTCTGACCTCTTATTTTCCCCAATACTTGCTTGCATTCGTCTCCACATGGCAACCTTGTGCTTTTTTTCTGGGATGAATTTTTTCCGACCATCGTGTTCAGTCCATTTGAACACCCTCGCTCAATCTCGAATTGACTTCTACATCCTCGAACGACATCGCATTTGATACCCCCCATGTCCCTTGTTTTCTCATGACGCTTTCTGCTTCTCCTCATATCTCTTTTCCCACTGCTTTTGTTACATTTCGGCCTGCATATACGAAGTCAGATCTACGTACCCTTTTTTTGTTTATTGTTTGGTGTTGGCATCGGTTTTTGATTTTGTGCATGAGGTATCTGGTGTATGAACCGGGACGACATATTAAGATTTTCAGTCAAAGCGTGCATATATGCAATTTCAATTCTCATTTTCCATGCCTGAACTTGTTTTTTTCCATAAGGTTCCCAAGGCCTACGTAGAATGACTCGCTTTACAAAGAATCAAGACGATTGTCCCAAGCGGACTGGAGAGTCTGGAGAGAAGTTCTCGGAACTGAAAATTGAGTGTTTTCACCAAAATGCAGCTTATGAACTGCACAAATATCCCAAATATCCCAAATGACAAGTCCTGAAAGAAATGAAGTGATGTTAAAAGAAGTATTGAAAGAATAGACTGTCCTCGAAAGAAACCCCAAGTTCGCCGGTGAAGGAATATAACGCCATTCATAGTCGTGAGGCATGAGAAAAGATACAATTTGGCAGTGCCGAGGGCTGGAGCGTGGGCCAACGGGGTATAAGAATTTCGGACTTCGTCGAACAGCCATGATTGCGGGAAGTGGTCAGTTAAGTATGGCATCGAGAGTGGAGGAATGGTAGTCGAGGGAGAATCGAGAAGATGCAAAAAGTGGTCATAGCAGATGAGTCGTGCGGTACCAGGAAGCGCTGCTTGGCCTTGGTATTTCAAAAAGAAGGAGAGGAGGAACGAGAACAAAGACATGGAGTGCAGCCAGCGCCAGCAGTCGAACTCGACGAGCCTAGCGGAACTCGACTGCTGGCGCACATCCATGATCCTCGACGTGCTTGAGTTCAAGTTGTTGAAACCTTGACGGGTCAGCGTGAAACTCGTCTTCATAATAGACGGGGGTATATAAGTATAGGTGAAATATATAAATCGAACATACCGTTCGCTCTTAGCATGGAAATAGACACCGCTGACGGATCCCTCTATCTGATTGAAACAAATATAGTAGAAGCCTTCAAAACTAGCACCGGAGATAGTTCGTACGCGGTGGTCAGGAACAAGGAAATACTCCTTCCACCTCATAAACACGTGCTCCCGCTGTGCAAAGTTACGGTACGTGAAGTCAGTTCGCTTCGCCTGTTTGGCAAGCGGTTTCCAGGCCGGAAACCGGGACCAGTGATGTATGTCTGTCTTTTCGTTGGCACCCCATTCTTCATTCCGAGTTTGAAAGGTGTGTTTGGTGCCAATTATTTCGCCTTCAAAGAATGTCGTTAGAGTAGGATGGTCCTCAGTAAGGCCCTGGATGCGCAGGTAGCCACACAAATAGGATTCGGCCATGTCCACGTGCTTGATCTCCACGTCAACGTTATATACTTGTCGATCCGACTGCTGAGTTCCGACGAATCGACTTCCGGAGCGGAGAAATGACGAGGAATGGTTTGGCAACATCTGTAGATAAATTCCGACGTTATTAGTCAATTTACGGCCAAATAATACGTAAAGTAAACTCCAATATTCAAGGCCGGAAGCATACCCTAACGCTTGAAAATTCATAACGCAGTAGTGACGAGTTGGGCGGCGTGACGGGCGACTGGCTACGAGAGCACGACTCCATCGGCGAAGTAGATCTGGGGGGTCCAGTCTCTTCCTCCGCAGTGGCTATCTTCCTCTCCACTCTCAGCGGGTCGGTCGCCAACAGAGCCGTGCCATCGTCGGAGCGACTCAGTACTGACGGCGCAGAGACACTGGCAGGTGAGAGCACATCCTCCAAGCCATCGCGCGTGTCTAGCTCATCTGACTCGTCTTCCCAGGCCGAAATTCGATCGAGTTCCGGGGGACAAGTGCGGGTGGAGATCACCTCGGCGATCGAAGTCGGGTTGTTGTCGCTCGGGGTTGGCATTGGGGGTGAGGTGGATCAGAAAGAGGGGGTAGACATTGGATCGTAGGGCGCGCTTAAATCAAAGAGTCAATCAAAAGCAGCAAAAAGATGAGGGAAGCAGGAAAGAGAAAGGAAGGGGATGGATGGATGATCTTTAAAGGCTTTTACCCGGGGGGCGGACCATCTCAGATGGGGTCATGCGAGCGCATAGCGCGGGGGAGGCGTTTTTTTAAAGCCTGAGGCACCACATTTACGTCAGGCACGCAAGATTGCATAACACACAGACCTTTCTCATGTCTGCAATTGCTAATTTGATGGTCATGGAATGTACTCAAAGTCTAGGGTTGTGCATAAAAAGGAGAATAAATGTTGAAAAGTGAACGCGTTGTCGATTTACATTATTCTTTTTTGGGTAGCTGCATGGTTCCATACGGCTACCAGGTGGAACCCTTCATAAAACGCCCGGTATCATAAATCAAATATTACCACTTGTTCTCCACTGACTATGCTAGTTAATAGGCTTAATCTATTCAAATGAGTCAGCAATAGTACGGGCCACAAAGGTCTGATATATGGATTTACCTTGAAGTGGAGCGAAATGAGCGAAAAGATCAGCGCCTTTAGGTCCTGGACAAGGTAGTAGAATACCCGCAGTCCTTCAGGGTCAGCCGACTCTGTCACATCCACCAATGAGCCGATTTTCGCGGTCTATCACAGAGATGAGTTAGATATTGAGTCCCTTTCCGGTTTCTTTGAAGTCACTCCTACCTCAAATGAGATGTGCTCACTACCCAGTCGGATTTCCAGCTCTTGGCGGCCATCCTTGTTCTTCTGCGGCCACTTGGAGTCGTCCTCCCTAGGTAGGGTCAGCATTGCATGCGAGTAGCTTATTCGTATTGGCAACGTACTTCATGATCTCGCTTTCCTTGATGATGCGCCTGATCTCCTGGATCATCGCGGAGCTCACGCACACTGTATTTCGACCCGTCAGGTTATCGGCATATGTTCGGAGGGAGTTTCGTAACTTACTCTCTTTGCGGATGAGGGAGTCATTGCGGTAGTTGGAATTGTTCGCGTATCGGACAGCGGCGCTGCTTCCATCGGCGATGGTGCGGAAATCGAATTCTAGAATCAAATTAGCACACTGGATATACCAAGCTGCGGAGGAGAAGGAACCCACCTAGAAACTCATGCCCGAACCGCCCAGAGTGACCTGAGCTGCGGAGCTGTCAGCAACGCAGGGAAACCTGGGCTCACATTGTGTAATCTCTTACTAGTAACGAAGGTAAAAAGTCTCGTTTGTCGACATCTTGTGGGTAGAGCTGTCAACTGAAGAAGATGCTGCATTGCTATTGCGAGCAGTCAAAGGCGGAAGAACGTGGTCGGGCTTAGTCATCCACACAGACGGGGCAAAAGGGACAGGTTGATGCTTCCCCCCCATCGCGCATCTCAATGATTTGATGATTTCCAGGTTGGCGACGGGTGTTGGATTTACTCTAATTGCGCGTCTTTGAAATTGCCCTGATCTACTTTCTCCGGGAGTCTCTCCTTATTGTGCGTTTTCTCACATCTATGCAGTAAATTGCTAGGTGTCCATACCCAAAACATTCCCCCGTACTGACAACTTACCAGCTCTCCTTCGTCCCGTCGCCTCAATCCCCTGCCCACGATGGCGTCCTACCTTGAAAATGCATACAGCTTGATCCACATGGACAACACAGCCGATCAGCCCACCTTACAGGAGCTGCGGCTGCAGTTGGAAAAGGGCAATGATGAGACCAAGTTGGAGACAATGCGGACGATCATCACGATCTTGCTCAACGGAAACCCAATGCCAGATCTGCTAATGCACATCATTCGTTTTGTGATGCCCTCTAAGAGCAAACCCTTGAAGAAATTGCTGTATTTCTACTATGAGATCTGCCCCAAGCTCGACGCCTCCGGCAAGCTGAAGCAGGAGATGATCCTGGTCTGGTAAGGAGGCCTCTTAGCCAATGTTCTTTGTCTCTACCATACTGACATATTCTGCAGCAATGGCATCCGTAACGATCTGCAGCACGCCAACGAATATATCCGAGGAAACACCCTCCGCTTCTTGTGCAAACTCCGCGAACCCGAACTCATCGAGCCCCTCCTGTCCTCGGCCCGCTCGTGTCTGGAACACCGCCATGCCTACGTACGAAAGAACGCCGCCTGGGCTGTGGCCTCGATTTTCCAGCACTCCGAGTCTCTTATTCCCGATGCCCCCGAACTCCTCCAAACCTTCCTTGAATCGGAGACCGACAGCACCTGCAAGCGCAATGCGTTTGCAGCACTCGTGTCCATCAGCCACCAGAAGGCGCTTGAGTACCTCGGCACAACCTTCGATACTATCCCCAATACCGATGAGTTGCTTCAACTGGCAGAGCTGGAATTCCTGCGCAAGGATGCGGTCCAGAACCCTCAAAACAAGGTGGGTCCACTAACCAACGGAACCAAGTTGCGATATGCTAACGAACGACTAGTCGCGTTACCTCAAACTCATGCTTGAGCTTCTCGATGCCCCAACAAGCACCGTGGTTTATGAGGCTGCCACCTCCCTTACTGCCTTGACAAGCAACCCCGTCGCCGTGAAAGCGTCCGCCGCTAAGCTCATTGAACTCGCTATTAAGGAGGCCGATAACAACGTCAAGCTTATTGTGCTGGATCGTGTGGATCAACTGCGTATTCGCAATGAGGGTGTGCTGGAGGATTTGACAATGGAGATCCTCCGCGTCCTCTCCAGCCCTGATATTGATGTCCGCAGAAAGGCCCTGGGCATTGCATTGGAAATGGTTTCGAGCAAGAATGTCGAAGAAATCGTTATGCTGCTCAAGAAAGAACTCGCGAAGACTGTGGATGAACAATATGAACAGGTATATACTTTTTTCCTTTTTTTTATATGTCTGATGAACTTTCTAACCATACGCAGAACAACGAATACCGTCAGCTCCTCGTGCAGTCAATACACACTTGTGCCATCAAGTTTTCTGAGATCGCCGCTAGCGTGGTTGATCTGCTTATGGACTTTATTGCTGACTTCAACAACAACTCTGCTGTGGATGTTATCTCATTCGTCAAGGAGGTTGTTGAGAAGTTCCCCGATCTGCGTGGAGCTATTGTTAATCGCCTGGTCTCGACCTTGAGTGAGGTTCGGGCCGGTAAGGTCTACCGTGGCGTCCTCTGGGTTGTTGGAGAATACTCTTTGGAAGAGAAGGATATTCGCGGGGCCTGGAAGAATATTCGCGCCAGTCTTGGCGAGATCCCGATCCTAGCCTCCGAGCAACGCCTGCTCGATGAGGTCCCGGAGGACAACGCACTGCTCCTCCAAGAACAGACGAACGGTCAAGCTAAGAGCGCTCCCACTGGCTCTCGCAAGGTTTTGGCAGATGGCACCTACGCTACCGAGAGTGCTCTTACCAGCCAGTCTGCTGCCGCTGCTCGCCTTGAGGCTGTCAAGGCCGCACAGAAGCCTCCGCTGCGTCAACTCATCTTGGATGGTGACTATTATCTGTCTACTGTGCTTTCGTCCACGCTCACCAAGCTCGTGATGCGCCACTCCGAGGTGTCGCAGGATACCGCTCGTACTAACGCCCTTCGCGCGGAGGCTATGTTGATCATGATCTCCATCCTGCGCGTTGGCCAATCCCATTTCGTCAAGGCACCTATTGATGAGGACTCTGTTGACCGCGTTATGACATGTATCCGCTCCCTGGCTGAATTCTCCGAAAAGAGGGAGCTCGAGGCTACCTTCCTGGAGGATACCCGCAAGGCATTCCGCGACATGGTCCAGGTGGAGGACAAGAAGCGAGCCGCCAAGGAGGCGGTCGAGAAGGCTAAGACGGCCGTTCAGGTCGACGATTGTATTCCATTCCGCCAATTCACCAAGAAGAACACCGTCGAGGGAGCCGAGGAGATTGAGATGGATCTCGTCAAGGCCACTGGTGGTGATTCTGTTGTTGAAAATGTTTCTTCCAAGTTGAACCGGGTGGTGCAGTTGACTGGTTTCTCCGATTCTGTCTACGCTGAGGCCTACGTGACTGTTCACCAGTTCGATATCGTTCTGGATGTCTTGCTGGTCAACCAGACCAACGAGACTTTGCAGAACCTGTCCGTGGAGTTTGCTACTCTGGGTGATCTCAAGGTTGTTGAGCGCCCATCCACACACAACCTGGGCCCTCGCGACTTCTTGAATGTTCAAGCGACCGTGAAGGTGTCTTCCACTGACACCGGTGTGATCTTTGGTAACATTGTCTACGACGGTGCCAGCTCCACCGAGACCCATGTGGTCATTCTCAACGACATCCATGCCGACATCATGGACTACATCCAGCCCGCCCATTGCACCGAGACCCAGTTCCGCACCATGTGGACCGAGTTTGAGTGGGAGAACAAGGTCAACATCAACTCCAAGGCCAAGACCCTCCGAGAATTCCTGAAGCAACTTATGGAGAGCACGAACATGGCCTGCCTGACCCCCGATGCTTCTCTGAAGGGTGATTGTCGGTTCTTGTCTGCCAACCTCTACGCCAGGAGCGTATTCGGTATGTTTTTCCCCCCGCTTTCCCCCTTAATCAATATGACTAGATGACTAACTTTACTAGGCGAGGACGCTTTGGCCAATCTGAGCATTGAAAAGGAGGGTGACGATGGACCAATCACCGGCTTTGTTCGGATCAGAAGTCGCTCGCAAGGCCTGGCCCTAAGCCTAGGTTCCTTGAAGGGCCTCAAGGCCGCGGCGGCATGAGTAGATTTTTAACATTCCGTTTTTCATTGTTTCCAGCGGGTTGCAGTATATGTCTTCCTATTTTAACTTGTTTTCCTTTTTTCTTTTCTTATTTTTGAATTCCTTTCTCCCTTCTCCAAGACCAATTTGAGGGGTCATACCTATCAGGGAGTCAAAAAATAGATAATGATTGGCCGTGCACTGGGCAGACTATCAATATAACCTGTGTATCAGTATATCAGTAGCCAGTACATGCATGTGTAGTCCTGGATGTAATAATCTGGTAATCTGGTAAGATGTACTGCTGATTGAGAATTTCCACTGAGTGAGTTCACGTAAGCTCCTTCGGAGGTTTGTTAAGGTCTGTTCGAGCTATGCACTGCCCAGGGTCTTGGCTGTCCACTGAAAGCGATGGGAGCGGGATTAGGGGAAGTGGGGTCCGTCAGTATCGAATCACTGTCGATCTCTGGACACTATACATGCAGAAAAGAGAGGAATAAAACGTTAAATACCAAATGCACTCCGTACTAGTAGTTTACTCCGTAGTTTCGGATTGAAAACTCTGGGCCCCATAAGTGGGCGGAAAAACTGTGATAGGGAGGGTTGATATGAAAACCTATTGGTCGCAATGGTCAATATGATTTATGCGTGTGAAGTTGACAGAGTCCTTAGATGAAAGAGCGTGTTTCATATATCTGCAATGCTAAATACTCCATGTGAATAATGCATACCAGAAAGGTTATGCACCATCATCTACATGTTTGTACCGAGTAAAAATCTTCTTTCTCCAGAAGGTCGTATTTCATTCTTCAAGTCTACTAACCTCCTTTGATACACGATGAAGAAGTTCACCTTCCTGCTGGTCGGGCTACCCTTGGTGCTCTGTTTCAATCACCCGGGGCTATTGGTTTCTAGCAGCGATGTGGAGAGACTTCAGGAGAAGATTGCAGCGAAACTGGACCCGTGGACTACTTGCTGGGAGGTGTTGACATCCATGGACTCTGGTAACGTTCCGTACACTCCTCAAGCTGTTAGCGCCGTGGACCGTGATACAGAGGGCGATACTGCAGCCAACGCCTATCTTCTTTGGGAAGATGCAACAGCCGCATTCGCTCTTGCGCTTCGTTGGAAAGTTGAGGGGAATACCTCGTTTGCCGATGCAGCTGCCGATATTTTGACTGCCTGGGCCGGGAATCTCACTTCAATTGGTGCGAACGACGATCAGTACTTGGTCGCTGGACTGCAGGGCCACGAGCTGGCGAATGCTGGAGAGTTACTGCGTGACTACCCTCCTTTTAAAAAGAGCGGACTCGCTTCTTTCCAGGCAATGATGCAGAAAGTTTTTCTGGAAAAGAACTTGTATTTTTTGAACCATCTTGATGGCTCGGAGCACAATGTGAAGCATTTCTTTGCCAATTGGGAGCTTGCCCAGGTTGCTTCGGCCATGGCTATTGGAGTCTTGACAAACAACCAGACGACGTGGGACTTTGCGATCAATTATTTCAAGCACGGAAGTGGTAACGGCGCGATCAATAATGCAGTCACAAATATCGTGGAAGAGCCTGGGACTGGTCGCCCTCTTGGCCAAGGACAGGAGGAAGGTCGAGATCAGGGGCATTCAGCGTTGGACTATGCTCTCCTCGGCGTTATCGCTCAGCAAGCATGGAATCAAGGTGAAGACTTGTACTCGTACAATGACAGTCGCATTCTCCTCGGGTAAGATACCTTCCCCCTCTAGCTTTTTTCCACTTTACTGACGCCACGCAGTGCCGAATACTTCGCGCGTTACAATCTCGGATACGATGTTCCTTTCGAAAATTACACTAACGGGATTGTCAGCTATACTGAGATATCCAGTGAGTCTCGTGGCAATGTAAGGTGGGCATGGGAAGTGCTTTACAACCACTATGTTATGATCAAAGGACAATCTGCTCCTTGGACCACGAGATACCGGAATAAAACCTTGGAAACTTGGAATGGTCTGGAGATTGGCTCCGGGGCCTACGGTAGCGCATCAGTTTCATATTACTACGATACTATGGGCTGGGGCACTATCTTGTATCACCTCAATGACACTGACGTGGCCTCGGCTCGCGCGGCCTATTCTTCATTGCTAGACTTGACGCTATCTACAAGTGTGTCAACTTCGAGTGTACCAACTTCGAGTGTACCAACTTCGAGTGTACCAACTTCGAGTGTACCAACTTCGAGTGTACCAACTTCGAGTGTACCAACTTCGAGTGTACCAACTTCGAGTGTACTAGCTTCGAGTGTACCAATCTCAAGCTTGCCTAAGTCCTCAAATGAGTCATCTCCTACCTCTCAAGCCTCTCTCTCTCCACCATCAAAATCCTCCCCGTCGGCAGGAAATGTTGCTCCACTGGCTCCTGAAGCCTGTGGGAAAGCAGCTGTTCCGACTTCAATAGAGACTGAAGCTTCAACAACGACTAATTCGATTGACTCGGAATCCTTCCATGAATCCTGGAAGCATCACCTACACGCACATGGATATGGACATGTGCATGTCCACTAGGCAAATCATATACCTGATGGGTACCGCCTACAGCTTTAATAGAGCTTCGGACTGCTAAACTTCAGCTCTCGTCTCTAATGTTTATTTTGATGCTATTATGCATGGTTTGGACTTTTCAACTGCGTGCCCATGTACTATATTCAGCCCAGGTAGCTTACTAGAATCGGATAAGAGCAAGATACACATATTGATTTCTTCGAAGATCTGCCAGCAGTTCTCCTTCAAGTGTTGACTATCAACTCTCGTGAACCTCATGAACACCGAAACCAAACAAAGTAAAAACACAGAGTCAAAACCAGAGAAATGTAGAAATGCAGAAATGAACGTCGCTAAAACTGAAAGAAAAGCAATCAAAGAATATCACTAGGCGAGGAAGCTGGCATTGTTCGAGGGCCGCTGATCAAGCTTGGTGGCCGTTCTCGCCCAGTATCGAAGTCCAAGAGTCCGCTGGTCAACCTCTAGTATCGAGGGATGCAAACGCCGGCGTTCCACTCAGTGGCGCCAACACATTGCCAGCCATCACAGCAAGAGGGACCGCTGCTGCGGCAGGCAACCTTGTAGTCTATCGAAAGAATTAGTGTCCTGTGCTTGATTCAAAAAGATTTCTCGGATAAGTCTTACTGCCAACACAGGTGCGCTTTTCAAGGGTATCTGGGGAAGGAGTCGCAGTTGCAACGGCAGCCAAGGTAGCAATAATAACGGTGGTGAACTGCATTTTGAAGGTTGAAATTGGTATTTGTTGGAGTTATTTATTGGATTGGATTAGACTTGAGTGAGCTGGCTGATGATGTTCAATTTTCGAGGAAATCTCCTCCTATTTAATGGTCACTTCGGTCTAATTCACAGAGTTGATACTGTGATGTATAGTTAACTACTAGTATACAAATTACCAATTCGGGACGTCCTCTCGATGGAAACCCCAGGTCTAGAAGGCGGTCAAGTTTGAACACTTTACCATTTCCCCATTTGGGGTGAACAGCTTATTGAATTCCAACTCGAATCTCCATCACCTCAGCAAAGCCACAATGTAAAGGGGCCAATAAATAGTCCCCAAGAACGGAGTAAAAGAAATTGACTTAATCTATTCTTAGTCGCTTACTCCATAACATCCCTGTAAGCACCCGAAAATGGGGGTCAAACCCACTTTACCGCCTACTTAGAACAGGTTAGAGATAGTGAACGAAACAAAGAAGCTGCGCTTGGCCCCCAGGAACCCGGAACGACGCGGCATTTAGATCTGCGACTTCTCCAGCCTTCATATCCTTATCCTCTCGTGCAATTCTCTTTTTACCTTGCCATGCGTTGATTTGATTTTCAAACCCTCATATCCTCATATTCACCCCAAGAATGTCGTCCGACTCGTCTCCAGAGCAGCCGGCACAGCTCGAGCATGACTCCACTCTCCGAGTCGATAAGTCGGTCTCTTTAACCATTGGCAGTGACTCACTCCTGATTGTCGGTATGAAATGGTTCATCTCCAGCAGCGGAAGCTGTAAAGAAAAGTTCTTCCCATCATGCTAACTTGATAAGACGAGCGTCCTCACAAATCAAGCCGTGGCTGCTGCGGATTGCGCAAATCAGGTAAGCTAGGACCCTCAAGTTTACGCCACAGTAGCAGCGCACCATATCGCGCATCTCGTGCAATAGTGCTAATCGCATTCTCTCACTTAGGAAATTCCAAATCGCCAAGTGCGATCTCTCTATATAATATTCTAGATGTTCAAGCGGAACCTTCCAACCTCACCATCACCTACGCGGAGTCGTCATCCAAGGCAGATGTCGCCGTCGCAACTATCCACTACTCTGTCAGCGATAAAGAGCACCCCACAGTGGAGGCTTGGGCGGCCAAGCTGCTCGACCTTGCCTACGTAAATGCGCAGCGTACAAGGCGACTGAAGATCCTAATCAATCCCTTCGGTGGTCAAGGAAAAGCCGTGGCACTGTACCAGAAAGAGGCGGCCCCGATTTTCGCTGCCGCTGGATGCAAGCTTGACGTCCAGACTACGGAACGTCAAGGGCACGCCATTGAAATCGCGGAACAGATTGATGTCAATGCCTACGATGCGATCGTCTGTTGCTCGGGTGACGGTCTGCCCTACGAAGTGTTCAACGGATTGGGCAAGCGACCCAACGCCCGTGAGGCATTGGCCAAGCTACCCGTTGCACTGCTACCCTGTGGGTCTGGAAACGCAATGACCTGGAGCTGCTTCGGCACAGGGAGTGTCTCGGTCGCTGCATTGGCCGTCGTGAAGGGCCGACGCACTCCGTTGGACCTGATGTCCATCTCGCAGAAGGGCAGCCGCACGCTTTCGTTCCTTTCGACATCGTTCGGAATTGTGGCGGAGTCTGACCTAGGCACTGATAACATTCGGTGGATGGGCGCTCAGCGATTTACCTACGGATACCTGGCTCGCGTCATGGCCAATCGGGTCTGGCCTTGTGATCTTGCCATCAAGGTCGATATCGATGATAAGGAGGCGATTAAGAAGCACTATTCGGAGTATACCAGTCGCGAACAGGATCCATTGGCCGATGTTCAGCGAATTGAGGCTGCAGAGAAGTCGCCTGCATTGCCCGAGTTGCAGTACGGTGATGTCTCGGATGACGTTCCCGCAGACTGGGAGGTTGTCCCCGGCGACAAGATGGGCAATTTCTATGCCGGAAACATGGCGATTGTGACCAAAGACGCCAATTTCTTCCCTGCGTCGCTGCCGAACGATGGTTTTATGGATATCCTCACGGTTGATGGTACGATCAGTCGCGTGACCTCGCTTGGGATGATTTCCGAGGTCTCCACCGGTAGCTTCTTCCATCGGCCTGAAGTGAAGATTCGCAAAGCAACCGCTTTCCGCTTGGTGCCCCATCAGAAAGAGGGTTATATCAGCATCGACGGCGAGTCGATCCCATTCGAAGCCCTCCAGGTTGAGATTCACCCCGGCTTGGGCACTATTTTGTCCAAGTCTGGCAACCGCTATGAGGCTGATGGGCCTAGTATATGATGACTTTATAAAAAAGCCTGTTGTGTCAGTTTTCGGTACATCCTTACACTATCGGGTCTTGTCATTTGTTCATGATACCCCTGCGCAAAGAATTGATTTGTGATCGTTTTTGAGAACTTTCAAATGTTCGCTGTGCCTGCTAGATTCTGGAGCGGGTTTTATAGCTCTCGTATTCCAGTATAGATATTAATATAGTCATTTCCCCTTTCTGCTTCTCCTTCTGGTGTCTCTACGCTAGGGTTTTTGAAAATTTCCACAGATTTCCTGACAAAATCAACTTTTAGGTGTATTCATAGTCTCGCTAGGAAATGCTGTACATAAAAAATTCCATCAAATGGCGTAGATCTAGCTAGCATGCACATACCATTTATTAATCAAATCCACCCCATTCTCCATCGGTATCCTCTTCATCATCAGGATTGACCCGAACCCGCAGACCCCACTCAATCAACCGATCATCATCCAGCGCCTCGGCAACCCTTGTGCGCACAGGCTTGTAGGGGCTCTCGGAGCGCAGCTTCTCCAACGGCCGCAAGATCAGTTCCATGGGGATATCACCCTTGATCTTGCGCTCACCCTCTTCTCCCTCAAACTCAAGAACCTTCTCCAACTCATCAATCCAGATATCCGAGACGTGATAACGCAGTCCATCGGGTCCATGTGGCATGGGAACGAAGTCTGCCTCGATATCCTCTTCCGGCTGATCAACATCGTAGTTCAATGGGCAGAGCGGTCCCTCCTCAATAATATCAATGTAAGCGGCGAGATCGGCCCATTTCTCATTTACATCGGCATCCTTATCCTCGGCCTCGGCCTCGGCGGCGGCGGCGGCAGCGGCGGCAGCAGCAGCCTTCTTCTGCTTCTTTCCGTTGCCCTTCTTAGCGGCGTCTTCGCGCTTGCGCTTCTTGCCGTCGGCTTTTGTGCTCTTGTTGTCCTTGACGAAGACACTGAATGCCACGCCGATGTAGCAACGGATCAGGAAAAGGTACTTATCCAGACGCAGGCGGTCGATGGAGTGGTAGTCTCGACCGATGGTGATCCAGAAAGCGCGCAGGAAGCGGTGAAGAGTGGCATGGGGGAGGTTGGGAACGATGTGGTAGGAAATTGCGCGGGCGAGGGCTTGTTGGGTGAGAGGTCGGTCGGAGTGGAAGAAGCCTAATAATGTTTGCGCATGAGTAAATGATGCTTCTTTTCGCTTGCATACAAGACTCTTGAGAACAAAAGTTTGAGTTTCGTCACGCACAGAAAAATAGACCCTTCCAGAGCTTGAGCAGGTCGACAAGACTGAGGTCAGTCTTTGAGGTCAGGAATAATGTGAGAGATTCAACCGCTTTGTCGCGGACTTTCTTGTCTGCAGAGATAATTAGTTTTGGGGCGCTTTTTTGTCTGGGGTGGCGCGCTTGGTCACTGGGTTCATTCTTACCGCTCGAGGCGAGGTCCCTTACAAAGGGGGTCTTCTGTATATCGGCCATTTTGTCGTCAATTGCGAATCGGTTCGATGAAGCTGCGGGTTCCGATAAAAAATAATTTTTGATACCGGCGATTGGGTTTGCGCGGTTTGCATAGTTTGCATTGTAGGTACATAGACCATTTTGATTGGTTGCCATGGGTGGCGCCTGAGGTGTCAAGGGATATCGGCGAGCTCAGTTTATCGTATTTCTAACGTTCATGATTCTACATATTCTTGGTCTTCCTGAATATTATTGTTCTAACTTAAAACTATTTTGATTCCGCTATATTGCATTGAATATGTGAGGTGACTATTGGTCAAATGACCATTGTCCATATTCGTTCTGCACAGTCCAATGTAGTAATGTTGGCAGGGAAAATCCGCGATCTTGACATCATGACTTTGGTTCTCCCCAAATTGGATTGCAGCAGCCCTGGTTCCTCTCTCGGGGAGCTTGAGCTCAGGAGAGAACCAGTTCAAGTACCCCCAGTGGTTCCAGACTCTAGATTACATCCACTGAAATTTTTGTTCCCTTTCCGTGGTTCCTATCAATTAATCACCATCTCCCATCTGCAGTTCTCCAGCTGAATGTTTCACTGTACATCCTCTCTGTCAAATTCTTCGTAGCTCATCCCCAAGATCCTCATCAATCTCTTTCACTTGCTTGGTCGTCTTTTCTCAAAATGGCTGAACAAGCTGAAGACCTCGAGATCTCCGAAGCGAGCTCCCCTCACGAGTCAGAGGAAGGCATATCCCACGGGCCACGCGAATCCCACGGCAGCTCAGAGGCACTAGCTGAAGATGACCGGACTATCTTTGCGCACATGCGCCCCGAAGAGCGCGAGGAGCTTACTCGTATCGCCTCTAATTTCCCACGCCATCGGACCGCCGATTCTGATCTCAGCGGAATGACCGACGTGGAACGAAAGGATACAATAGAGGGCTTGGAGCTGGGGGACCCCGTCCTTGATCCGACAAGTGACCAGTTTGACCACTACAAATGGGCTCGTATGATGTTGAAATTGATGGACAAAGAAGGTGTTCCTCTACGCAAATCGACCGGCATAGTGTTTGAGAATCTCAACATCTCGGGAACTGGGTCTGCGCTTCAGTATCAGAATAATGTGGGCTCAGTTCCTCTCGCCCCATTCCGTCCCCAAGAGTATTTCTCTTGCGTGAAAAATGTACCACAGAAACAGATCTTACGGGACTTTGATGGTGTGCTTAAAACTGGTGAGCTGCTTATTGTCCTGGGGCGGCCTGGTAGTGGTTGTTCTACTTTTCTCAAGTCAATCACCGGAGAGCTCCATGGACTGAAAGTTGAGAAGGATTCCGATATTCAGTTCAATGGAATTCGTATGGAGAAGATGTACAAAGAATTCAAAGGCGAAGTCTTGTACAACCAGGAGGTGGATAAGCACTTCCCTCATCTTACTGTTGGCCAAACACTGGAGTTCGCCGCCGCGGCTCGGACTCCGGAGAACAGACTCTGTGGAATATCTCGGACAAACTACGCCAAGAAGATTACGCAAGTTGCCATGGCTGTGCTTGGTTTGAGCCATACATATAACACGAAAGGTATGTGATTGTCCAATGTAGATGAATATTGCCTTACATCTATCTAGTCGGCGATGACTACATCCGAGGTGTCTCGGGTGGTGAACGGAAGCGAGTCAGGTACGTACTCACATACCCTCATTTCTTAAAGACCAGCGTAGCTAACAGGTTTTCTTTAGTATCGCTGAGATGGCTTGTATGTCTCTACTACTTGCTAGCCAACTTTGATCTCAACTGCTGACCATTCATAGTATCTGGAGCTCCAGTGGGAGCTTGGGACAACAGCACCCGAGGCTTAGACTCTGCAAGTGCTCTGGAATTTGTCAAAGCCTTACGAGTATCTGCCAATCTCACTGGTAGCTGTCACTCTGTTGCCATTTATCAAGCTTCTCAGGCTATTTACGACGTCTTCAACAAAGTAATCGTTCTCTATGAGGGACGACAAATTTTCTTCGGGCGATGCAGCGAAGCCCGAGAGTATTTTATCGAAATGGGCTGGGACTGCCCTCCACGACAAACCACGGGCGACTTTCTCACGTCAGTGACCAACCCGTCAGAAAGAAAAGTTCGAGAAGGAATACAAAATGTCCCCCGCTCGCCGGACGATTTTGTTAAATACTGGAAGAGCAGTCCTCATTACGCATCGCTCCTGAAGGAGATCTCCCAGTACCGAGAAAAGTATCCACTGGGAGGAGATGCTGAAAGGGAATTTGATGAGACGAAAAGGCAACGACAAGCCAAGCATATGCGTCCAAAGAGTCCTTACATCATTACCATTCCGATGCAGGTTCGTCTTTGTGTGAAAAGAGCTTACCAACGGTATGTCGATATTTTTGATGCTCTGTGTATCTTAATTCGAGGGTTTTCACTGACTCTCTTGATAAAGTATTTGGAACGACAAACCATCTACACTGACAACTGTTATCGGGCGAATATTCATGTCCTTGATCATTGGTTCAATCTATTTTGGGACCCCCAATGCATCTGCCGGCTTCCAAAGCAAAGGTGCAGCCCTGTTTTTCTCTGTATTGATGAATGCTCTTATCAGTATTACCGAAATCAACTCGCTTTACGATCAACGACCCATCATTGAGAAACAAGCCTCCTATGCCTTTGTCCACCCGTTTACAGAGGCATTGGGGGGCATTGTTGCCGACATACCCGTCAAGTTTGTGTCAGCGGTTGTATTCAACATAATCTTTTATTTCTTGGCTAGCCTGGTGAGTCCAATGCCTTTCCATTGAATATCAAATACTAACAAAGACACAGAGATATGAACCCTCGCAGTTCTTCATATTCTTTCTCTTTACTTTTCTCAGCACTCTTACCATGTCGGGCGTATTCAGAACCTTAGCTGCATCTACAAAAACTCTTGCCCAAGCCATGTCCATGGCAGGCGTGATTGTACTTGCGATTGTCATCTATACAGGTTTTGTTATCACAGCACCTGAGATGGCCAAAATCCCATGGTTCAGCTGGATTCGCTGGATCAATCCAATCTTCTACACATTTGAAGCGCTAATCGCTAACGAATTCCACGGTCGCCAATTTGAATGCTCTTCATTTGTGCCCGCCTATCCGACTTTAACGGGTGACTCTTTTATTTGTGCAGTCCGAGGTGCTGTTGCAGGAGAAAGAACTGTGTCTGGAGATGCCTTTATCCAAACACAGTACTCCTACTCATATGCGCACGAGTGGAGGAATCTCGGAATTCTTATCGGTTTCTGGATTTTCTTCATGGCGCTTTATCTCATTGCCTCGGAGTTGAATTCTTCTACTTCATCTACGGCCGAATACCTTGTTTTCCGGAGAGGCCATGTGCCCGCTCATCTACGTCATCTGGAAAGTGGCAGTGATAGCTCTGCTGAGGTAACGCCAGTTTCCAAGGACTCTAAGAAGGAAGATGAGACTTCTGTTATTCCATCTTCACACGACATATTTACCTGGCGGAACGTTTGCTTCGATATCCCAGTCAAGGGTGGCGAGCGGCGTCTTCTGGACAATGTATCTGGATGGGTTAAACCCGGTACCCTCACAGCGTTGATGGGTGTCTCCGGAGCTGGAAAGACAACATTGCTAGACGTTCTTGCGAAGCGTGTCTCCATTGGTATTGTAACGGGCGATATGCTCGTGAATGGAAAGCCACTTGATACAAGTTTCCAAAGAAAGACTGGTTATGTCCAGCAGCAGGATTTACACCTTCCTACCAACACGGTGAGAGAAGCGCTACGATTCAGTGCAATGTTGCGTCAGCCTAGTTCTGTGTCCAAGAAAGAGAAGTACGATTATGTCGAGGATGTAATTCAGATGCTTGGCATGCAAGACTTTGCAGATGCTGTTGTTGGTTCTCCTGGCGAAGGCTTGAACGTTGAACAGAGAAAGCTGTTGACAATTGGTGTCGAGTTGGCTGCTAAGCCAGCACTTCTAATATTCTTGGACGAGCCAACCAGTGGACTTGATTCCCAGAGCTCGTGGGCCATCTGCTCTTTCTTAAGAAAGTTGGCCGAGCATGGACAAGCTGTCCTCAGTACTATTCACCAGCCGAGTGCCCTACTCTTCCAGGAGTTCGACCGTTTGCTATTCCTTGCAAAAGGAGGTAGAACGGTGTACTTTGGTGGTATTGGTGACCAGTCACGCACTCTTCTGGATTATTTTGAAACCAATGGAGCCCGTGTCTGTGGCTCTTCAGAGAATGTAAGTACTATAAATCTTTCCTCAACTCGACAAATCCTAACCCAAAAAAAAAAACCAGCCAGCAGAATACATGCTTGAAATTATCGGCGCCGGAGCTTCTGGCAAAGCCAGTAAGGACTGGGCCATTGTCTGGAAAGAGAGCCAAGAAGCAAATAATGTGCAATCCGAATTGAATCGAATCCATGAAGAGCGAGCTTCAGCAGCCAGCACCGACCAAGGAGACCAGAAGGGTGAATATGCCATGCCTTTTACTCAACAGCTACTCTGCGTAACCCACCGCTCCTTCCAAGCCTTCTGGCGTGAACCATCCTACGTGTGGGCAAAAATCATGCTAGCAACGCTGTCATCCTTGTTTATCGGCTTTACTTTCTTCAATCCAGATAGCTCTCTTCAAGGCTTCCAAGATGTCATCTTCTCGGCCTTCATGCTATGCTCCATCTTCTCAACACTGGTACAGTCTATCATGCCCAAATTCGTGGTCCAACGATCTCTCTATGAAGTCCGCGAGAGGCCCTCAAAGGCCTATTCATGGGCTGCATTCCTTATTGCAAATGTCATAGTCGAGATCCCATACCAGGTGTTTGCCGCCATTATCGCTTGGGCGTGTTACTACTTCCCAATCTATGGAGCGGGTCAAGCACCAAACCGCCAGGGTCTCATGCTTCTCTTCGTGGTCCAGTTCTACATTTTCACGTCCACCTTTGCCGCCCTGGTGATTTCGGCTTTGCCGGATGCTGAGACGGGTGGTACTATTGCGACGCTGATGTTCATCATGACACTTACCTTCAACGGTGTCATGCAGGTGCCAAGTGCCTTGCCCGGATTCTGGATCTTCATGTACCGCGCCTCTCCATTGACATACTTGATTGCTGGAGTTACGGCTAACGGCTTACACGGTCGGGCAATTCATTGTTCAACAGCTGAGCTGAGCGTGTTCAATCCACCGGCTGGATTGACATGTGGCGATTATTTGGACCCCTATGTTACTGCTGCTGGTGGCCAACTTTACAATCCTTCGGCCACGAGCGGCTGTCAGTATTGCCAGTTAACTGATGCTGATCAGTATCTGGCTTTGAGCAACATTTGTAAGTTCTATGCATTCTTTGTGTGGTACGCATACTGACTCTGTGTAGACTATAGTGAACGGTGGCGCAACTTTGGCATTGGATGGGTTTACATCGTGTTCAATATCTGCGGTACGGTACTGATGTACTACATGTTCCGCGTCAAGCACTATAACCCTACATCCTTGGTCCGTGGGATTCGTCAAGGTGCCTCGCTCGTCTGTCGTGTATTCAAGCGTCGGTCTGGAGAGACACCTATAGGAAAGGAGGCAAGCAATGGACGCCTGGTTTGAGTCGACAATTTCTTTACCCTGGAGGCTATGCATGTTCCTCCTATTCGAGAATTCATTCACAACAAGCAGTAGAAGCAAACACATACTGTTTAATTGGATTTTCCTATATTGCCAGATCCCATAACTTGATCCACTGCCTGCTTGAGATAAGGGTACCATCGCTCGTCAAGCACACTTACAATAGCAGCAATAAGCTTCGCCGGTCTACCACCAAAATACCAGCAAGCCTCCATCCGCTTCATGATCACACAGTAATGTGCAAGAAGAATTAAGGCGCCAGGATGCTTCTCAAATATAAGATCAAAAAATGCATCATCAAGCCGTACGCACCACAGCCCCAGAATATTCCACGTACTCAGGTCAATCCTGGTTGTTTCACGGTTCATATACGCGAATGCATCGGCCAGCGCATTTGCTCCACCTTGGTAGACAGATATCACATGGTCTGACCAAGACCCGTCCTTGGGAACGATGGACATGAAATGATCCAGATAACCAAGTTTGCTATCACCCACATTGAGCTCAATCTCCCATGCGTCGCTAAGAGCACCAACGGGCCCAGTTTCAATCCTACCCCATAGATCACTAAGCATCTCACATCCACACCGAATAAATGATAGCCATTGGGGTAAAATTAACTGTTTCTCTTGGGTACCTTTACTTGCATCACAAACGAGAAGTAGTGAGTTTTCATCATTATCCAATTCTGTCGCAAATGAAAACACGACAAGAAGATATGCGAATGCCACTAGGGCATCACAATTATATGACGTAGGGTTTTCAATCTCGTGTCGGAAAAGCGGAAGTGCGGAGTCCTGGTGCGAGTATGCACGGACGATGAAAATCTCCCTCTGTGTAGGGTATATGTGTGCCATGTGTAACGATGTGCAAGCTAGGATACCGTGTAAGAGAAATGGGTGTTCGTATGCAAGATCCGCAATGACGTTAATCCAAATGGATTCCGTTCGAGAGTCTTTCGCAAAGCTTTTCCATGAGGAATAAAAGTACTGCTCCAGTGCTATGGAGTCGATCGCGTCCAGTTCGTGCTTGTCTTGCATTTTGCGGATATAGGACGATGTTGGGGGGATGTGAGGGCACGGATCGGGCCAGGTATCTTTATTACTGGTAAAATATCGGAGCATGTTTCCTCGGAAGAATGTTTGTAATGGGGTTCGAGACCAATCTCGGCTTGGGTCTCCTTTACAGCCGTGCTTGGAAGGCCAGTGTGTTTCCATTCTTTTTGTAGAGACGCACAGATATTCACAACCTGGAGCGTCACATTTCCATCCCTGTTCGAGGGGAAGATAGGGGATTGGGAAATCCTCTTCTTGTGGATCGCCCACTTCCTCTGGCTTTTTTAATTTGAAGTTGCTTGTATATAGAGTGTATGGCCGTCGTTCTTCACTGTGGAGTTGGTGGATGTCTTTCAGGTGCCGGGCAACTCCCCCCGGTTTGATAGCATGGCGGCATATTGTACATATGAGCACTTCATACTTGGAGAAGTATTTGAGCAACCGTGGAGGTGAAGCAAGGGCCGTATTGCGCAATTCTTTCGCCTCGATTTGTGAGGTTATAAATAAGCCCCGGTTCTCCGAAGAAGGCAAGGTGGGGAACCTTCTGGGCATAGTCCGGGTGCTGGCAGGCAATCTCGGATCTTTGTTACTCTATCCGTGGCTTTTTTTAACAAGAGGAGCCATGGAAGAAAAAAAGGATTAATCGGAGGAAGTTGGATGCAGAAGGAGTAAGCCGTACTAGTAGCCTGTAGGAATGGGACTCCACGCTAACCGCAATGGGTCTCAGGTGGGAACCAATCAAAATCGTGTTTTCCAACGGTGCCGTTCTACGCTAGTACAGTATAGGCTCTAGGGCAAAGGGGCTATCAGGCAGGATTCAGATCCTCCTATTTACATCGAAAATCCAGTATGCTCTTTAATCTTGGCTCTATTATCCTTGTTCTGGCTCTTTCTTGAGCCAATGAGGTCTGTTCATCTCGCCGGTGCCGTTCTGGTTATCGCGTAACATCTGTAAAATCGGGGAGATCGTTTGCCCGTGGAGTCTGATGATCATGCTTCTTCGGAGGTATAATCTGTCCGATTCTACATAGACCATAAGCTAAAGAACTATGAAAAGTATAAGTATCTCTGTGTTTGCAGCTCTCTGACAAGTCTCAAGCAATCCACATACTCAAATTCCTATAAAGCTCTTTTGATAATCATACCGTTATGCCATCTACACTTCAACGTAGTGTGCTTGTCACTGGTGGGACCATTGGTTTGGGATACCAATGTGCACTAGCCATAGCGCGCAGCTGCCCAACCTTCCAAATCATCATCGCCTCTCGCACTGACAACGGCGCCGCTGAAACCATCAACAAGCTCCTCAACCAAGACAATACCCGCTTCATGAGTCTAGATCTGTCCAGTCTCGCCAATATCCGCTCTTTTGCCACAACCTGGAAAGCAGCCAATCTCCCTCCCATCTACTCACTTGTCCTCAACGCCGCTCTCCAATTTCCAGGTGCAGCCGAATACACCAAGGACGGGTTCGAGAAGACCTTCGGCATCAACCACGTTGGACACGCTCTGTTCTTCTCCCTACTCCGCCCTCATCTTGCTGACACCGCGCGAGTCGTCATCACTGGAAGTGGAACGCATGACCCAGCCATGAAATCCGGCATGCCAGACGCGATTTACACCACGGCGGAGGATCTCGCACATCCGCCAGCCAAGTATACCAACTCCAACGGCCGACAGCACTACACGAATACCAAGCTGGCCAATGTGCTGTACATGTTTGCGCTGGATCGCCGCTTTGCAGCGATCAATGAAAAGTCCGGGAGGCACTGGACCGCCACGGTGATGGATCCCGGTCTGATGCCTGGGACTGGACTTGCGCGGGAAGGAAATGGAATTGAGAGGTTTCTGTGGAAACGAGTCCTGCCGCATATCATACCGCTGTTGCGTCTTCTTTTATCGGATAATGTTCATACGACTCGGGAGTCTGGGGAGGCGTTGGCACGGTTGGCTGTTGGGAAGGATGTGGAGGGGGTCAGCGGACGGTATTTTGAGGGGCTGAGAGAGATTCCTTCTAGTAAGGACAGTCTTGATGAGGCCAAGCAGGAGGACCTTTGGAGGTGGACCATTGATACTGTAGCTCGTGATGAAGAAAAGGCGGCGTTTTCTTTTGAAGGTTTACTTCAATGATTTTCGCCATATACGCTTGGCCCTAAAGACTCACTTGAAACATTTGAACGTTGATAACTCCAGCCCAATTTGAGTGCAGACTCAGAAGCTTACTGCCCCACTTGAGTGTATGAATTTGTTGTTTTTTTTCACGACGAATTTTGAAATTTTGAAAACCCTCCAAGGTTAAGGCTCAGATCCATGAATTTGATTAGGGACATCCAGTGGAAACTATTTCCCAGATTTTTTTATAATATCTTTAACTTTAGAAAAAGAATTTGAAAAGGGCTTGAAAACCTTGGAAGAAAATCTCGAATTTTTTGGAAATCGCAGAAAGTATGGTGGTGTAGTCTTGTGTGTTATAGGGGTATATATTTGACGGTGTAGGGTTCCAAAGTTACATAAAATTGGAATATCTTGAAAAATTTGCAAATCAACCTTAAAATCTGGGAGTGATTTAGAACAGAAGTCATATCCAACTGACCAAGCCTTCAAGCATTTTTACTATCCAGATGAATATGAGGCTAATGGGGGCAAATATTGTGAATTGGGCTTCTCATGTGAACCTGGTGGGGAGTGTTGGACTCGGGAAATGTGCTCATAAAAAGTGTCTGGCTATGTAGCGTAAATTCGAGCTCCCTTACATGAACTAGCATCATTGGTCTAGTGGTAGAATTCGTCGTTGCCATCGACGAGGCCCGTGTTCGATTCACGGATGATGCATTTCTTTTTTTTCTCTTTCTTTTTGGTTATATTGCACGCTACATTCAGGCGGCAGGCCCACTTGATCTATGCATTCAACCTCTTCTGTGTGCTCAACTTTAATGTGATTGAATCTCATTTTTTTGTCTCAATGTATTTTCCAAGGTTTTTTTTCTTCGCAGCGGGGAAGGTTCCAATACATCAATCATTCCTACATAAAGCAAAAGACAAACTAGATGGCATACATACATGCTGTAAATCCAGATAAGCCAACCCTGAACACTTAAAATAGATATAAAATGCCAACATGCTACTCCAGTTGCATGAAGCCTTAGATCCACACCCAAGGTTATAGTCTCACTCGATTATAAAAAGGACAAGGGGGTATTGTGCATAAGATGACGAACGCCAGAACGCTGGGAAGGGGAATGTCGTAACCAAAAAAGTCAGGGAAGAGAGAGAGAGAGAGAGAGAGAGGCCAAGGACCAAGCATGTGTCCTGGGCCAGATCGTAACGGAGCGAGGGGAAACGTCAAGAGCCGCATCATACAGACGGCCTCGCAACCACCAATGCATTGATAACATGCCCAGTCTTCCAGCCCTGGTTAACCAGTGACTCATGCTCTTTCAGCATATGACCCAAGTAAGCAATTCGTACTCGCTGGTAATTCGCAAGCTAAGGAAAACCCGTCAGTCAACCAAGAAAAACTCCAGGAAAGGGAAGGAAGGAAGAAATGATAAAAAGAACCAAACACCACACATACCCCTGCTTCCTGATGTACCTTCCTCGCCAGAAAGCCCACACTCTGACTCTTACCAACCAACATCATTAAATCCTGTCCATCACGATCACTCAATCGTGCGAACACGCGGATCAAATCCCGCTCACTAGTCTTCCCCTTCTCATCGCGCCGCCGCTCCAAAGCCTGCGCAGAAATCAACTCATCACCCGACGCATCATCCGTCGCCAACCTACCATCCGAATCATCCTCCCTCACAGACCCAGGCGAAATCACCGCCAGGCGCTCACCATTTCCCTCACCCGCACCGACGATGTTCTCCGGATCACTAACGATACACTGCGGCAAGCGGTACAGCACGCCCTGTTCATCGTAGCACCCTTCACAGAGATCGCCCGTCGGCACAGTGACGCCGATGGCATCGACGATCCCCTGCGCCGTAACGAGGTCACCGGCCTGCATGAGCGAGATTGCGCTCGAAAGCGCAGCCCATATCTCCAGGCGGCCGGTGACGCGGGTCTCGAAGAACTCGCGGCGTTCGCGGTCGAGGTCGGCGCGCGTCCACATCCGACGCTTGCTGTTCCATGTGTGCGGGCGCACGGGCTCGTTGTAGTGCTGGTCTAGTGGGAGGTTGGGGGCCCGCTGGGAGCGGCGGTGGCGGGTTGTTTGTGCTGTGGAGTCGGGGTCGGCATCGTGGGTTGTTTGGGTTTGGGTTGTGTGAGCTTCGGCTCGGTCTTGGAAATTGTTTGGGGGTTGGTCATCATCGTCACGCGATGGGGAAGAGGCGCAGCATCCCTGGATAGGTTAGATTTATGGGGTTTACTATTTATGGAGGTTTGGTGCGTGAGGGGGTAATTGGTGTTGGGGGATGTGGGCCGTGGCAATGCGGAGGTGGGAAGTCGTGTGACAGATGATTAGGGATGACGGAGTTGTGTTCTTGCTCCTCTCTTGGAGAATAGAGGGGGGTGATATTGTAGAAGTGGGCTTTTAAGGAAAGACTTACCATCTTGTATGCGACATAGACATTCCATATGCTAAGGAGGAGAGGGGACGGAGAGAGGGGCCGAACGGAGTGGATATGAGGATCCAAGCGGAATTAAAAATATCCCCTTTCACTAACAACTTGAAAGAAATGGGTTGGATTTAACCTTGGAAAAACCTTGACCTTTGGCCCTTGAACCTGGAAGTTGAAACCTTGGAAAGCCTTGCACTAATGGGAAAGTTGCCAAATGGCCAGATAAATCCAGGTGAACATTCCACGGACTCGAAGCTTTGAAATGTTGGATCAAGCATTTATGACGGGCCGATTCGTCCGATTTAATTGTCTCAGCGGCAAAGCTGGATTGGCTATAGCCTATAGTTACACTAGTAGATGTATCATCTATTTTACCAAAAAAAAATATAAAACAGATAGAATATTTTCAAGCTTCAATCTCTGTGCTTCATTCTTCGTCGTCCTCGTCGTCGCTGCCGAAAATCGCCTTGAAGATAGCATCGCCTGGCCGCTCCGCCTCGAGCGCTTCATTGTGCTCGGGCTCCACAACAGGTGCTGCCAGTGGCGCACTGCCTGCACTAGGCGCGGCAACCGGCTGGCGACCTGATTCAATCATGATCATGTCCATGACCTCCTGCGAAATCAAGTCCCGAGTTTTGGAGTCGGTCTGGTAGCCACCCGACTGAAAACGAGTACCGGGAGCTTTAGAGTCACCCGAACGGCCCCCGGGGTCAAGCTGTACATGATCGGGGGGCTTGACGTTGAACCGCTTACAGAGAAGACGGGTCGGAAAGAAACTGTATGTACTTCGGGTCATTTGACCGAACATTCCAATCTTGGCAGCAGCTACAGCTGGGTCATCAGGCTTCTCAGCAGGCCGACTGAGCGGGGTATCGGAAGAATCTGGCGCATCGGAGACAATCTTCGGCCCTGATGAAGCCGAGGTAAACCGGGATGCCATTACCCCAGACATGGGCTTGAACACCTCAGCAGCCCGGGCGAATTCCTGCATCTCGGTCACCCATTCCTCCGTGCTGGATCCAGGAACTCGGTCGGGTAAAGTCTCGCGAAGGCCGGCCCGGATCTCGATGAAGGTACGGTAGCGAGCGCGTTTTGCCTCATCCTCTGCATAGGGCATCCACCCGCTCACACCTCGCGTCAAGGCCTGCACCGCAGTTTGCTTGTCCAAGCTCGGGACGAGATCCCAAAGATCTCGCCGTCGATCGGATTCCGATAGTTCATAACCCTTGGGCGCCTTTTCACTCATGGCAGGTGGGAGATTGGTTTTCCCAGTGAGCTTGGCAATCCGCTCGCGGGCCTCTGGTGTCATCCAATCGAAAATGGATTTGCCCGGTAGTTGATCCTCGCCCAGAACCGCAGCTCTGGAGGTCGGGTTGAGAACGGATGCCTTGGCTGCATCCCCCGTAGAGACATATTCCGATTTGCGCTCAGCTGCGGATTGCCTCGCAGATTTCCAGCCCTCTGGAACCTGCGGAGGGTCATATTTCTTCTCGGAGATAGATAAACTCATAAGACTGTCGGCGAGAACGAATCCGTCCAGCGGTAATCGTCCATCACGACATTTTCGGAATCCGCCCGCACTACGAGCAGCTGCGATCTTTTTGGATATGAAGACAGGCTTGGCATTGAGCAAGGGATTTGACGATGCAATGGCCGGCTTTGTATCTTTCGCTTTTTTCTTTTTGCCTCCAATAGTCTTTGTGTAAGAGATCTGAGGACCCAGAGAGTAGGGGTCTTCATCGTCAGACCCGGTATCATTGAGAATGCCGACACCAAAGCCTCCACGTTGTGGTTTCTTTACCGTTTTCTTCTTGGTAGCCAGGCGATCCCCAAAGAATGAGTCGGAATCATCGTCCTCATCTTGAGCGGGCCCACTAGGCTTTTCTAAATGCGTTTCCCCCAAGAAGCCGAGGCCCTTGTGGTCTGTCTTGCGAATGAAAGCGACCATGGGCGGGTTCTCCGGGGCAAAGAGGTACGTCTCCTCTGAGGCACCCGGCGCCGCATTCTCATCCAGATTGGCCTTGCGTCGCACTTTAGGTCCAATGCCCTGCCCTTCTCTCCAGCCCATCTTTTTCAGTAGCTTCACTCCCATTGTTTCTCCGCCGGTTTTCAGCAGATCCATGAGACCCGCCCTGCGAGTGGCATCCGTCTCGGTAGATCCAAACCCCGCGAATCCCTCCGTTGTATTGAGATTCCACGATTCTTCTTGCTCTCGTAGATCCTCCTCATCCATAAAATCCTCCGGTCGTTGCTCGGTTCGTTTCGCATCCCGGGCGCGATTCTGGCGGGACGAGACAAATGTCGCGGGCGTCCATCCTTCTTTAGAGCCGACCGTATTGAAGTATCTGAAATCTGTTAGCATAATGCGCGCATCGCCTTGAGATCTTTATGTGGAACGTACCCAGCACTGAAGCCACCAGTAAAGGCGCCGTGTAATCGCTTCCGGCCTCTCTCATCAGTCACGTCTTGTTTCCAGACTGGCAGGTAAGAGCCGTCGTCGCGCGCTCCCTCCTCCAGTGGAGGTAGCGGAGTTCCATAGATAGCATAGGGCGAGTGAGATAAATCGGCCTCGAAGGCTGCGCGAGGGCGCTTTGAGGCCATGCTCGAGGTAAGAAGTGGGAAGGTTCATGATTCGTGGAAATCCCACAGCGGGACCTTAGCTGTTCTTGAACCAATCATAGCAATGCTGAGTCAAAGGAACTTTATCTGCAGAAATAGTTAACTACCCTAACTAACTATACTATGGAGTATATGTAAGGCTTCAAATAAGTGATGCCATGAGTAATTTTGCTGGGCTTCTTGTAATTTGAAAATACTTGGAAAAATCTATGAGAGTGACAAGGAAGTTGCTGTTTCACTGTGGTGTTATAACTTATGCGTGTTTTGCCCTTTTGGAAGCTACGAGGATCACGAGTTCTTTCCTCTTTCGTTTGGTGAAACCCATTTCTCTCTTGGATTTCTCTGCCACGCCCCTTGCCAATAATTCAACACCACTTGTTGAAAACTTAAGGGACTATGCGCGCTCTGTGAAGCCAAGGCCAATCGGGATTGGCTCATTTCCCCTTCCCCCTAAGAAACGTGCGTGCAAGTAATGACTAGTAGTCTCCCCATTTATCCCCATTTACTACATGAGTGTCTGTGGTTTTTTTCGCCACATGATTTCCCTAGTTGTCGGTTGAAAAGTACTAGGAGATGGAAGTAGGCACTGAGCAGTACTGAGGTAGCCGTACTGTACTAGTAGACCTTTGTTAAAGAGATCTTACTTCTCGATATCTTAGACCGCTAGACAGATTTCCGTCAAAAGGTTTCCCAATATCAGGAGAAGCATGGCCAGCACTCCCCAACGGGCTCACAGCAACAGTGTTACTTTAATCAACCACACCAAGCGGTGATTCTCAATTGATTATGTTGTATAATATGAGCCTCATGTGATAGGTATTGCAAGTCATACATTGGACTAGCCACTAGTGATGGTGACCTACAGAAACATGCACTTGAGGGCCTGAGGGTTGAGGTCAAGACAAGAAACACGCTACCGGATGCAGAGAGTCATTTCAGACAGGAGGGCTTATATGAGCCTGATACTTCAGTCCAAATTTGTCGTAGTACAACTTTCCATGGACTTAGTCCGGCAGGCTTGCTCAGTCGGCTTAAGATCGTAAAGTCAGCACCAAGACGGCGGAAAGATTGTAAGCTACCGGTGGCGGTACACTTTGGGTATTTGAAACGCTAAATCGGGGATTTCTCTCGAGAGTGAACTATTGGCTCTTGCCTCACACGACTTTGCTATGTCCTACTTGGATGTTGGTTTCACAGATGCCTGAGAAGGTATTCAATGTTCCGAGTTTCCGGGGTAGTTTTTCTCCTACGAGGATATCTGGTAAATTGTACCACCTGTAGATATCCCGGGGTCAGTGGTAGACTGAGGACATTTTGACCGACGAAACTCCGTCTAGATTGGATATGCCGGGGATGGACCCTTGGAAATATGGTATTTGATGCCCGATACTTGGATTCTTCAGCCATGGAGTCTTTCAGCCCCAAGGACTCTCTGGTGGGTCTTTGGTGCCAATCAGAGATTTGCCCACGCGGCTGGAAGTTACACTTTCCTCACCTTCCTGATAGAAATATTGAAGTTTGATTCCAAACGATCTGTTGGAAATAGAAAAAAAAGCGGTGAATCTGTTAATTGTAGTACCTTGGTTCTCTCATTGTAGCTTCGAGGTCTAAAACCCACCGGCCCGAATTACCGAGAGATAGCGCAAGTCTAGACACATCGTATGTACAAACTGAATATCAAGATTAATCAATTGATCAGCGGGATGATTACTGTTAATTCGGATAATTCTTTGCGCATGATCCAATAGAAGATTATGGATTGGAAAGAGAATGCACCTAGTGGATTGAGTTTGAACTTTGCCCATGGTTTTTGGCTGTATGACATTACACGTGGCACGTGGCGTGAGATGTCAAGTTCTACGTGGCTTCCATGCCTTCTCTTGCCTTTACTTTTTTTGTTCGAATCCGGTACTTGGTACTGCCAAGCTCTGGGGACGGAGTTGAACTTCTCTTCTCCGTAGAAAACGCGTTGGATATGGACCTTGAACCATGGAACTGGCCCCATCTGGCACTTATCTCTAACCCCAGAGCCCGGAGTTCCTGGCATTTTGACCGAGACTCGGGAAATAGAACCGTAAGTGGTTCCCAGACAAAAGTAAAACATGAAAAAAGGCCAGCTCTCCACGTGTGGAGGACAGATAAGTGGAGAGCACCGTGCCCTGCGCTAGCAGGGCAGGTGGCGAGCAGCGTCGAACGGGTGGAACGATGGTGTCAAGGGCTCGCCAAGAACCCTTTTTCTTTGTTGAACACGACCAGAAACATCTGACCGTTATCCGTGAATATCCTGCATGGAAATAGCCTGGAAGGCGAAAGGGAATCAGTTATCGCAGTGACCAAAGTCCCAATAAGAGAAGCGTATGTAAAGTGTAATCTTAATTTCGTCCGTCGGGTGTGCGCCGGTGCCCCGCCGCGGGAAATCCCACTATTCTAGAACGGGGTTAATACCCCAGGTCGCTTCGCTTGAGTGGAGACACAATGGGAAAGTCGAATGGTCAGTGCTAAAACAAAAAACGCTAAAGCAAAACATTCTAGCCCCCGGGGATTGATCCAGTCGGGATTTGTCCAATGTAGACTTTTCTCGAATAAGGCAATACCCCCGGGATGGCAGCAAACCCTGGTTGTGATCAGTGGCAACCAGATTCAATATTAAATTGCAAGATGGTGAAATTTGTGGTCTGTGCTAAAGCGCCCTTTGCCAATTGTCTTGTCCTGAAGCTTATTTGAACTAAGCCTCAAATACTACCTTGAACGCCACTGGACGTTCCTTGGCCACTTATTCGCCCCCCCCTCCCCGGTTAGATGAACAAGATTTGGGACTCTAGTTTCTGTTCTAACCAAATTAAGGGTAGCTCCGTTGTACAGCTCCCCCTCGCCTTCCAATAATAAAGAGAGGAAAAAGCCAATCGGGGACACCGCATGACCGGGAGATAGTATGATCGCGTGAGGATAACTGAGGGTGGATTTGCGGCAATTGGCTCGTTAACCACGTTCTTGCCAAGCCAGAGCCCGTTGAAGTGAAGAGAGAGAGGAGAAAAAAAAAATCGCAATTGTGAAATAAGCCTTCAAAAATGATTTGTAAATAAATTCAGACAAATGTCTTAGTTAAGGAGGGGTAAAAGAGAAAGGAATTGAAATCCGTGAAATTGGCCAATTCCAAGTGAAGTAACTGCATATGATAAGCCTACGCCACCTTCGGCCTCAGCCGAGTGTACTTTGCATTGACTTATCGGAGTTCGTATAACTTCAATGTTATCTTGGCGTTGCTTATTGCAATCTATCGGGTAGTCACGGGCGTGGCTCAAATGCAAATGCAGATAAATGAAAATAAATAAAAAATAAAAATAAATAAATAATCAAATACATATAGTAATTTCAAAAAAAAAAAATTTATTCCGCTTGCGGGTTTTACCTTTAGCTTTGACTGGGGTTGATATCTGCGCTAGTCGGTAGCGTTGACCAAATTACCACGCTATCTCGTTCGCCCTGTGTCGCCCCGTAGAATAAAGTCACCACAAGGTCACTTTGTTTCTGCTTTTTTTTTCTTCTCATTCTCTTCGTCGATACCCCCCTTGAGATTCTGACTGGCATTATCTACGCCTACTCGGTGGCGTCGATCAATCTGCCACGTTAGCTCCCCTACCTATCTCACATAAGTGGGCACTACACCTTTAATTTCTCTTCTCTTTTACTGTTTTATTATTGCCTTTCACCATGTCTATGCTTCCTGGCCCTATGGCCATCACGGCCCCGACAGAACAGATCAACGAGTCAGGTCTCGACTCCGATGAGGTTCGCAAGATGTCCCTGAGTGCCAACCACCCTGGTGTGCGCCAACGTCTATGGGGTTTGCAAGCGCGTCTGGACCCAACCGTCACCTATGAGGAATTCACCTACTGGGCCAAGGTTGAGCGTGAGATGGAACTCGAAGAGGGTCGTCGCTACAACGCTCTTACTGCCGGCCAGGGAATGTGGGCATCCATCAAGGGCTACTTTGACCTGAACCATATTGAGAAGATCAAGAAGATTGAGGCCGACAACTCCCGTGCGCTGCAGAGCCACGAGGAGGTGACCAATTGGTCCAAGGATGAGAAGGAGCCCGTCGTCAAGGATGATGACGGTACCACCCCGATCGAGCCTAGCCACACCCACGAATACGATGCCGAATGGCGAACAGCTGCCCGAGCCCTGCGTACTGCTAGCTGGGGAGGTATCTTCTACTTGATTACCACCGATATTCTGGGTTGGGGTCAGACTCCTTACGTCTTTGCCAACACTGGTTACGGACTTGGTGTCGGTATCTTCATTCTCATGGGTCTTGCTGCCGCTGGTTCGGGATGGATGATCTGGAGAACCTTCCTGGGTTTGGACTCGTCTCGTTTCCCCGTTCTCAGCTTCGGTGATCCATACTTCCGTCTCTTTGGTCCTGGTGCTCGCCACTTCATCAACATTACCCAATCCCTCCAGATGTTCCTTACCGTCGCTGTCGTCCTGCTTGGTCAGACCTATCTGATTGCCCAGCTCGCCGGAAGTGTCAACCTTTGCTTCATCGCCTGCGGTATTATTGGTTTGGTTGTCAGTATTGCCAGTGGTTACATGCGATCCCTTAAGCACCTTGGTTGGTTCTGTAACTTGTCGGTGTGGATCAACGTTATTTCCTTCATCATCATGTGAGTAAATGATTCCTATGATCCAACCTTTTTGGTTGATTGTACTAACGTGATACAATAGCTGCGTTGCTGCGGCCAAATACGGACCCGATCCCACTGCTGCTGTCACCAGCGGTATTTTGCCCAAGTCATGGGCAACTGACCCCGTCCCAGTCAAGACCTTCGTTGGCACCCCTCCTGCCGAATACCAACAGACTGATTCGAACCTGTTTGCTGCTCAGTTCAACGGAATTAACAGCATGGTTTGTAAGTTGTTTCTTCATACAATTAATTTTGCCTCACGAATATCAGCTAACGATTTACGTTTTGTTAGACGCCTACTCCGGAGCTCTGCTGTTCGTTGCTTTCCTGTCTGAGATGCGCCAGCCTTTGGACTTCTGGAAGGCCGTCTTCCTCGCCCAGGGCTTCATTACCGTTATCTACGTTTTCTTCGGTGCCTTCGTAAGTCTCTTACCACGCCTATTTACAAAACCAAAAAAAAAGAAAAAAGGAAAAAAAAAAACTAACATTCCCCAGGCCTACTCCTACTACGGACAGTACAGTTACTCCACCATCACCCAGACCGTCAAGCCACTGAGCCTCCAAACCGTGAGTAACGTGCTCTCCCTCATCACCGGCTGGCTCGCCGTCTTCCTCTACTTCAACGTCGGCATGAAGACCGTATACCTCGAAGTCTGCCAGGAACTCCTCAAGGCCCCCCCAATCACCACCAAGAAGGGCAAGTACTTCTGGTGGGGTCTCGGTCCCTTCTACTGGATCCTCGCCTTCATCATCGCCATGTCCGTCCCCCAGTTCAGTGCCTTCACCAACTTCGTCGGAGGTCTCTTCAGTCTGAACTTCACATACTCCTTTGCCGGTGTCATGTACTTCGGTTACGCCGTCCAGGAAGGTGCCAGACTCCCCGGTGAGGGATTCGACCCCTACACCGGTGAGACCACCCGCTTCGACAACGGTATCAAGAGATGGACTCGTGGTTTCATCAAGAACTGGTACATGACCATTCCCAGTCTTATCTTCACCCTTGCTGGTTTCGCTGCTTCGGGTATGGGTACCTGGGCCGCTGTCAAGGCTCTCGAGGCCGCTTTCGGCCCTGGTGGCTCGGTTTTGAGTTCTTGGACTTGCACCAACCCTTACTACACTGGTTAAGGAGCATCTATCTGCTGGAGTTGTAGTCTCTGCAAAATATGTCCTTCAAGATTAAGTAGATCGGTTTTGGTCAGCTTGCTGATGAGCCAACCGATTGATTTTATGATAGTGATTAATAATTATGTATTCTTTTTTGAATTGCTCTTGGACACGAAAAAGTAGAGCGTAACTTTCAACAGCATAAAATTTTGTAGGCAAGCAGGGCTGTTGCCTAGGTGATTTGGAAGTTCTGACGCGCATTTCACATAATATTTTTCGACCCCCAATGCCAAATGCATATCATGTGCACCGATTGCTCTTTTCAGAAGCTTGAGGTTTATGAGGTCTAATATTTCTCTTCCACCACTAAACATTGAATTTCTTCACATTTACCCGAGTAGATACCAAACAGCCGATTTCCCCGCTTTGAGTATCGAAATTCAACCATCATAAATCTCAACATTGAAGTATTAATATACTCGAATCTCAGTTTCTTTGGATGTTCCCACTAGCCAGCTATTTATCATGGACTTGTCGGCCTGGCGGTCGAATTGTCACTTCCACTTTCACTTCCACTATCACTTTCGAACACCGTCATCATCATCGTCCTCGTCCTCGTCCTCTTCACTGTCTTGCTCCCATCTTGGTGCACGAATAATGGTGTGTTTAGACAACGACTCTTCTATCTTCTTCCCCGTGTTACAAAGATTAAAGCCTTGTTTCACATAATCCTGGAGAGCCTGTCTTTGGAGAGAATCTTCATGAGTCGGATGAACGCGGGCGCCCCTAACACACTGTATGATCCTAGATATATGCAAGATCAAACCGAACTCGTCTAGCATCCGAGAGAACTCATTGCTGATCCTCTTATTACCGTCTAGCAGCCAGTTTTGACTAGAGCTTGATAGTATGTGTATGTAGGTGTGTCGGACAAATCTAACTGATTTATGAAAGAGTAAAAGCTCAAAGAGTCTTTCCATCCGAAGACCACGGTACCCAGATTCTTCCATCTCTTGGTCCGCCTATTAGGTAGCAATCAATATGTTAGTTTCATATACGAGGAGTCATAAGGATTAATCAGGCCAAGTCGTAGGCTCGACTTTGGAAGGAACGGACCAAGATGTGGCTGAATCTAGCCGAAGTGCCGCCCCTGCTGCTAGCAGTGTCCAGAATACCAATACCCGGGGTAGGAGGCTGTTGGACAAGCATCTTACGCCAGCTAGCATTTTTCCGTGTGAATGCAGCCACGCCCGAGTGATCTTTGGTCATCATAAAGGCAGAAAGTCTGAAGTCTTGCCAATTGTCCGGTTCATTATTGAAGGGAAAAGACGAGTTAATCGTCTTTGTCAAGATCGGGTTGAATATTTGTATTCCAGTTCCCCACTCTGACTCTTGGATGGGGGTAAAGAACAAGGTCTTTTGGATTGAGGGTGAATGGGCGATCAAGTCCGCCCATTTGTGACAGACTCGTTGCGCAGATACGAGAAGCGTGCGCATATCCGTTTGAACCAGAATCATTTCCAGAATCTCCATAGTATTCAAGGCTTGGTTTGCTGATTCTATACCCATCTTGGGCAGATCTTGGGTGACAGGTTCATCTTTTGGGGGTTCTTCAACGCCAGTTGCTGTTCTTTTGGCTGGCCCTGGCCCATCTTCATAGTCGAAGAGGGAAGATATGAAATCTTGAATTCTTCTTTTCACGCCCATGCTGGCTTTGTTTTTTCAGAAGCTGCTTGGCTTTCGGACGTTCAGATCTGGGAATTAGGGTGACTTGAGGGTTTTATGTGCCAAGCATTAAGATGAAATGTCTCACATTCCGAGTGACTCCTGGCACTGCCAAGACAATGCTCCGTCAAGACATGGCTGTAAGTAGCTTAGAGCGCAGGGTGCAAGCGTTATGTCTCCGGAGTTGCATTATTTGGATAAATCAATAATATAAGATGTGATAATTCCAAGCGAAATAGGTACAATAGTTATACATATTTTTGGCTTCATGGGAAAACAAATGTGAAAAAAAAACAACAACCAGCGATGTATGAAAAAGGGACAATTATCGCCTGGTATTCAGCTGGCGTATGCCGTGCTCATTCATTTTCAAAGAGTACTGATGTGTGTTTTTAAGTGGAGTCTAATGCCACGCAAAAAGTTTGGCTTAAGAGTACACAAAAATCTCGCGTGCGGACCTCGAGACGAAGACCCCCTCCTAAAGTCGCGCGCAGCCTTACAATAATTCCGGAAATTTTCTGCCACCCTTGACCGTCGCCGTGGTAATATCAATTCGCGGCGTGGTAGGAACTCAACCTCCCCACCTTCCAACTCCTCTTACTTCCCACGTCTTGAGCAAGATCTTAAGTAAAGAAATTTCTAACGAGGAAGAACAACAGAGAAGCATCTTTCCCTGCCAGCTCGGGCTCGGGAATGAAAGTCTATCTGCGTTGATTGCGAATGCTACTTTAAAATGAACAAATATTTGGAAAAGAAATCCTTGGCCACGATCTCTTTGTTTCCTGAACTTTGAACTCTATGGATTCCAGAGTCAAGTTTCTTTGGCCGTGGTAATCATGCACATGCGGGCTTCAGTCAGAGTCTTTCCAATTGGTGCAGCCGTATTTGGAAGTGCTTTGCGGGGGGACATTCTATGAAAAGAAACAAAACTCAGGGTCAAGTTTTTCAAAGGGAGAAAAAAGAACCTGTTAGAAGGGAAATGAGTCTTTGTCCTTGAAACTATTTTTGGACGGTTGTTCAGCTTTTTTCCAATTCTCGATTTTCGTCGAGAAAGTATCTCTTTGTTCTCTCTTGATCTCTCGAATCTCGATGAATCGACAATAAATCATTTAATAGCCCGACCACACTTCTTGCACCAGAAAGACGGTCTATGAAATTTTTACATTAAACAACTTTTCCAATTTCATCTTCTTCATTCTCCGAATTTGCAATGCCCGCTCCACGCAAAACCACCAAGAGGCCGGTCTCGCATGCTGTACCTGACAACAAAAGATCCAAGCGACCAAATCCAAAGACCGAGCCCAAGACAATCTCTAAGAGCACATCCAAGACCACATCTAAGACCGTTTCTAAGACTTCCACCAAGCGACCCATCAATACCACCAGAGGCTGGAGCGTGAATGAAACAGGCAGCCGTGAATTGTCAGCAGTAGGATACTTACTTCACGGCTTGAATATTGCTCTGTTCATATCAGCCTTCTGGCAGTGATCTTAACGCCCAGATTGCTAGATGCCGTGAGCATATCGAAGAGAATATTCACCCTGGGTTCTTTGAGATGCGTTTGCGGAGATATTTGAAGCTTAAAAAGAAGAAGAGTGAGTAATCGTTTTAACACTTGATCCGACTGTAGGCTAATTAAATTTACAGAGATATCAAGGCATCTCAGGCTCCGGACCTGAGCTGTCCTGTCATTCAGCGGCTACAGTCGTTGAAGAAGCTCGCAATGGACCTTGAGAAGTTTGGGGATAAGAATGATGAGGTTTCCATGATAATACTGGTATACGAGAACAACATAACAGACACCCTGACCCTTAGTGGTCAATACATTCCTTGCTGTGGAAGTCAACGCAAGTGTGAAAGGACAAGACTACTTGCTTCCAAACTTGGTTCTCATGCATGTTGCGGTGCGCCCTGGCGGTGCGACCAACAACCGGCCTCCAGCCTCGTCTTTCTGGTAACTGGCTTCGGCACAGGCCATTCTATTGCTCTTAGCCGGATAATTTGAGAATCCTGGATATTGGCAATGATATGACTGAGATAGCTACTGCAATACGGGCTTATTGTGATCCTATTCATGCTATACCTCCGCTTGTTCTTGGGCTACCTTGTATGGACTGTGCAGAAGTTATTTGCTTGGCTCTATTGGGCAAGTTGTACAGATTTTGTTTCTTCAATATTTCTTGCGTTCTACTTTCTTTTGATTCTGTTATCAACATCGCAGATTTGGTTTTGTTTTGCTCTAGTTCAGTCCTATTTATTCCAGGGAGGATTGGTTTTTGAGATTTAGATGAGTAACTACCAATACCGGTCGTTAACTAATTACTTTGAAATGATAAATTATATTAAAAACCAGAACCTCATTTCCAGAGGAGAAAAAAAACAATATCTATCATAGTGTACAAATACTTTTCCGCCTCAGGGGGAAGGGGGGAGGGGAGGGCAATGAAATACCCAGCATTAGACAAACAGTATTCACAAATCCACCCTCTCAATTTTACCCACGAGATTTCAATAAAAATCAAGGCACAATTGAAAGCAATAGTGTCGAATATAGTATGAGTTCAACGAAGACACATTAGTGAGCAGTCTCTGCAGATGAGCTCTCGATATCGCGGGTCTTCTTTCGCCTCAATCCTAGCTTTTTCCGCATATTAACTGCTCTCACTTGGAATGCCCTCTTCCGTCGTCGCGCAGGGTAATTTATAGGACTTTCACCTCCGGTAAAAATTGCCATGTCGTATACCAATGCACCAAATAGTGCACCACTGATATCGGCACACCATGGACCCCAGACCCACCAAGCATGGGTTTCTCGGAAGACGTTACCACCCCAACCAGCCATGAGAACGACCAGCCGTGGGCCAAAATCGCGTGCGCAGTTGAAACAGCTACAGAAATGTGTATTAGTAAATTTTTGTTCAGAGGAGAAAAGAGAGGGAGATGTCTTCCATACCCTCCAGTATTATAACCAAGTGCAAGAACCACAACAGTGATGAGAATCCCAAGTATAAAAGCCTGCATTCCTGCCCCGGGCGGAGAATTGGTATCATCACCCAGAGCGACAATAGCACCAAACAATATTGCGCTACCAAGAAACTCGGTAAAAAACGCAGTAGCCGGATGAACGAAAGCTTTCGGCGCGGTAATCATAGCCTCAGCCGAAAGACCGGCATTCTGCGGCGTCTGTGTTTCGGCCGCAACATTCATTATGGCGTCATGGTAGATCGCATAGGCGATTCCACCGGCGGTGATAGCCCCGAGAAGCTGTGCAGCTATGTATATGACGACCTTGCGTGCGGGGAAACCACGGAAAACAGACAATGCGATAGAAAATGCCGGATTGAGGTGTCCACCAGATGTACCACCCGCGATGTAGATAGCCACCATGAAGCCGAATCCCCATGCTACACTTTGAGACATGTAGCTTCCAGCTTCGCCGGATGATGTGAAGTTAGATAAGGTTGCGCAAAGGCCAATTGTCATTGCGACGGTGATCTGCGACCGAAATGTCAGCATATGTGAAAGAATATTCTGCAAATCAGGGAAACTTACTCCAAGCCATTCAGCCAAAGGTTCTCGTAGATAGTGACGGATTTTAGACCAGGTATTGAAGAAGCCTTCATCCGAATCATTGGAGCCGTTGTTCTTGGACTGTGGTTTGTTTAGGTCTGGATTGTGTCCATTGGGCCCAGCCAACTTGTCCTCTTTCCTATCCTCTGGCAAGGCTCCATGCTGCATGCCTGGTCGCACAATATGGGGGAGCGGCTGTGCCAAACTCCATGTTGGCGAATCTTCTTCCCTTCCATACTGCGGGTTGTATAGTCGATAATCGTCTCCAACGTATGCATTGCTGGCAGGGTTTGACGCGCCGGGGCCGGCTAAACTGAATGTCGGGTTGTTGCCGGCACCTTCGTTCTTGCTACCCTCTTCTTCAGTGCCGCCTGGCGCTTCGTACTCTTGCGGGTCCATATCTAATTCGTTATTAGTATCTGTGAACGGATTTTTCGGAAGATTTTAGTCACTCACCATGGACCTCACCGTTCTCAGGATTTCTAGACATTCTTAGCGGTAAGAAATATTTGACGCGACCTAGGGAGGCGAGAGGAAGACCTTTTAAAGAAAAAAAAACCCCATTGAATGATGCATGAATTCATGTGGAGCATTGGAACTGTTAAAAATGGGTCCACGACCTTGGAAGAACGAGACCCTGGTACGTCACCGTTTACTTGATAACATCCATGGATACCGTGCCGATCATTTGAGGCGGCAATGCTCCCGCGAATGTAAATCAGTCTTCAAATTTCTTAATTCAATGACAGAAAAATGATTGAATTTTCGCCAGGCAAGACAGGGATTTTTTTCTGCACGGATACATCTTGTCAATTTACTTTCTTGGTCACTGTTGGCGTTCTCCCATTCATCCATGGGTCTAGAACGGGAACAGACTCACCGAGCAGGAAATCTATGAATTCTTGCACGTCATCTGCACATGTGGACCAAGATTTATTTTCGCCGCAGAGTTTCCATAAACTGACTCTCACAGAATGACAGACCGCATGTTGTTCGAACTTGGCACTTGTAAAAGCAGATTTGCAAAGAGTCAAGCGTGAGTTGTAACTTTGAAGCTCGTGATTCGTGAATGACTCGTGCGTAGTTGACTAATCAGGCTAGCGTGTTTCCTAATCAGGGCTAGCGTCTTGTTTATCCATATGTTCCTCATTTTTCTCCCTTTCCTCTATCTTTATATATGGAGGTTTTGATAATGGACGATAGCTATGATTGAGACCTCAGAGATTGTAATTAAAGTTCAAAGGGTTACGAATACGGATGAAACTATAAAGTGTGAAAATTTGTTTTGTGGAAATGTGAGGGATATGCGCGTGAATTCTTGGATCATGATAGCGCGTCAGGTCTTGAGACATGAGGATTTGAACGTCAATTAAGAACACTGCCCAGCTGCAATCCTCTGTTGCATGGAAACACCATGCGCCAAGGGGCCATCATCAAGAATTGTAGATCGACGGACATCTCTGGCCGTCATTGTATCGGTGTATGGATTAGCCCGATGCATAGATTGTCTGATACTTCTTAGTGTCTGCTTGATATCAAAGTAAAGGGATCGGGCTCACCGGTTGTCCCACCAAACCATATCCCCGCCGTCTTTCCATTCCATGGAGAAAACATACTGACTTGGTTAGCAATCAAAAATCATTCTTGAAGGCAACACCAAACAAACCTTTGACTGAGTACAATGGTCAATAAGTTCCCAAATCAACTTTTGGCTTTCTTGGAAGCTTCTCCCCAAAATCATTTTCGCATGTGCCGCGAGGTATAATGTCTTGCGTCCATCAGGGGCCACTTGGACTAGCCGATGAAATGCCGGTGGCTTTGCCTTGACTTCATGAGGCAAGGGATTTCCAAACACCTCTGGTGATGCGAGTTTCCTAGAATGCCAGAGACTAAGCAGTGTGAGATCAATATTTTTCTGGAAAATTCTGGCTTTTTTTTCAGAAAAGCTTACTCATGCTCAACAATGAGATCTTCAATCTCGTCCTTTCTACTTTGGGGAAGATCCTCATAGGCTTGGCGAATATCCGCAAAATGAGTCCAAGATCCTTCTTGAACGGGAGTTCCGTGAGAAAGCAAAATTGAATACTTGGATCGTTGTTGATGGTATGTTGAGTCTGTGTGCCACAAGGCGTTACCCAGGCTGTGATGCCATCTTCGACTATCTCGCTTGACTAAAGACCCATCCAACTCGATGCTAGAAAGCGTCAATCTTCGAATCATATACCTATTGAATTTGAAAAACTCACTTCCCCACATCAAATAGCAGTGGCTCCCCTAAACGGTCATTCTCTCGGCCATAGAAAAAAGGGTTGATCTCCAAATCTTTCCCAAGTTGCTGAGAGAAAGCAATGTGATGTTCATTGTCTAATCCGGTATTTCTGAATATTAGGACAGCGTATTTGTCTTGCAAGGCAACCAACTAATTATACCGTTAGCCAGCCACTCAACAAACAGATACTTTCACGTTCACACTGACCTGTGCTACAGTTTCGGGTAAAATAGGCTTGCTCCAATCAACACCAAAGACCTCTGCGCCGAATAATGACCCATGAGACTGGATTACGGGTCTTATAGTCAGTGCTCCCTGTTGGATGGTATGGTTGACATTATCACCCGGTCGTGGAGGGCATGTAGTCGCATACGAGCGGAATTTGATATGATCCAAAGCCATAACAGTGATAATGTATTGAAGAAAACAGTGCATTTAATCCAAGATATCATGTTTCGTCGTCTGTTTTAAGATATCTGAGCTCGTCTTCCTTATCTTAGGCGGGAAAGAAGCCGTGCGGCCCGCACCCGACAATCCCGATCAATAGATGGGCGATGGTCAATGATAAGCCCAAAACAATGCAAGTTACTTCAATTTGCCCTTCTCCGTTGCTCAAATTCGAAAAATTAAAACCATCAACCCTTTCGAAGCTTTCAAATCAAAATGTCTGATCCTGATGCTGTCTTGATAACCGCTGGTCCATACCAGTTCCTCGCCCACTTCGAGCAATCTGCACCCAAAACGGTCGAACTCTTTCGCTCCTTATTACCCTACAAACAAAAGATCATTCATGTGCGATGGAGTGGAGAGGGAATGTGGATTCCATTAGGCGAGACCGACTTCGGTGTTCCATTCGAGAATCACACGGCACATCCATCTGCGGGGCAAATTCTGTTATACCCTGGCGGATTTTCTGAAACAGAGTTCCTGTTTTGTTATGGCGGAGTTTCTTTTGCTAGCAAGATGGGTCCTTTAGCTGCCAACCATTTCCTCACTATTGTGCAAGGAAAAGAAAACCTGCGAGCCCTGGGAGAGCTAGTGCTGTGGAAGGGGGCGCAAGATGTTATGTTCGAGATGGTCAGTGACGTTAAGTAAGTTTGCCTTGGACAGATTAGCAGCGTAACTGGATGTAATACCTAACTAACGGTATCCATTTAGATTAAAACAGCTTAACAGAGGGTCAAATGCCAAGTTATAGATATAGAGTTGAAGTCCTCCAGCTCCAGTTGCGGGCTTGAATATAACAACTCGGGGAGATTTCTGGGAAATATTCCCAACATTGCACGTAGAACCTTCAAAGGAACTACCTAATGTTGAAATATTTTAGAGAGCCAAATATGTCTACGGGCGCTATATACTCCCGATGTTCCAATCCGAAGGATACTCAAGCCCCTCGAGAAGGTTTCCCGCCCAATCAACTCCCGAATCATTCATCATCTCCAGCAATGATTGGAAAGCGTCATTGTTGACCCCTTGATCATTTCCATTCTCTTCATCACAAGAATCAAGCACAAGAGACGAAGCATAATGAACAGTTCCCTGGAAGTCACGTGCAGTATGAAAACTGGCGATTGAACAGACACCGTCAAATATTTCAATTGCAAGATGAAGTAGCTTTGCGAGAATGGAGTTTGAGCCCTTGGGAAGACGTCTTGAAATCACCAGAGAATTGTGAAACGTTCTGATTTGAAGATTTTCTGGATAGTTCAAGCATTAATTTATGTAAAACGCGTGCCGTGGGGGGGCTACTCACCATCAATAATGCCCCTGATGTAGCAAAGGGCTAAAAATGTTATCGCAAATGTATGTGAAATCCATGTAGAATCAACGGCACAGAACAGGCGGTCGATTGAACGAGAGTCGACATGATAAGAGTCATTGGGAAATGTAGATTTGTCTTGTGAATCAAGGTCCCAAACAAATTCTGCTCCAAAGATTGACAATGAAAGTATCATCTGCGCAGCCGAGGTAAGGCTTATCTTGAGTATTTGATGTAAAGATGTCAACAGCGACTCATCTGGAAGCTTGGTTTCTACAGATAAAAGTGGTGTCAAGGAAGCACTATTCAAAGATAGCCGATACCACTGCAACCCGAGTTAGAGATTTTGAAAATTTGAAACCGCATGGCACCAGTCAACATACTCTGATGGAATTAAAGGGTAGCTGGTTATGTCTCAACCCTGTGCTCTCTGTGAAATTTCAGCATCAAGATAATCGTATCACTAGTTTGATGACATACCCAAACGAACAAACCAGGCTCTTTAAAAAGATCAGTACGAAATGGCAAATTTTCTCGCGTGGATTTTCCTTACCTTTCCCACTCAACTAGCTCCTCGTTGAGTTTTAACAGGCGAGCTAGGCCAATTTGACGACCTGTAGCATCTCCAGAATTGCGCATCGCATCATTCACGACTGCCACAAGCTCGACAAGTCCAGCGACCCGAATGTCGCCCGGATATTGGGACTGTTCATGTGAGCAGAATGCTTGGGCCATTCTTACGGATATCTCCCGGTCAAAATCCACAGACGCGGGAAAGCCAGATGTCAACATGAGGTTAAAGTTGCACGTTAACAAGTTGTAGTAAACACGTAATCTCTCAACGCGTTCTGCTGATATCTTCTTTCCACTTTTGTCAAATGGAGCCATAGCTGAGTGATTCAAGCCCACCAAATGAGCATATCGCATTGCTAACCCCAAAACGGCACCGGCACTTATTTCGTTATATCGGGTTCTGGGAAACCGCGAGACGGAACCACCGTTTTCAGATTCTTCCTCTTCCTCTCGAGTGCAAGGCATCCATTGTGCGTATAATAAAAGCACACGGATCGCATCTAGTGTCACATCCGAAGGTGTCGGTCGGAGAAGCAATCGAGATACCGCTTTATCCAGTAACTTTGTGAGCTCGTTGAAATTTTGATGAGTAACCACATTGGAATCTCTATTTGAAAAGAAGCAAGGATTAGTTTGAATTTGCAGAATCCAGTGGTTGATCTCACGGAAAATTTCCTTTAAACCAGAACCTAGCACCAATTGAGCAAATTGCCAAAATTAAAGTCGGGGAGTGAAGATCTGACTCCGCCCAAGAATAGCGTGTACTCTCACTGAGCACGGGGGCAGAAGAATGACAATGGTTGAAGAATCTGCTTTGATTTCAGTTACTAGTTTCGTGAATGAAGACTCGGTTGGTAGATGTGTACATGTCAATTGCTCTTTGGGCATCCTTCACAGTTAGTAGACCTCGTCTTATAGGATCAAACGAGCGTAGTCTTGCGTATATCGAGGTTGATGGAGTAGAATCATACACATCGTCATGCTTTGATAATTCTTTTAGAGAGCGAAGTGTTGCAATCGGGGGGCCTAGATTAATCCCATCCATGCCAGGCATAGTTGTGCTTGTTTGACTCGGTGACACAGTTGGCATATCTTCGGCGCGTTTCACATATTCACTTGGGACTGGAGGGCTGATCAAATCGACAGGTGTAACCGGCTTCTCGAATTGGGCCTTCTCAAGTTCAAGGATTCGTGTCTCATGTTTGATGACTCTAATTTGAAGTTAGCTCTCCAAGGCGATAAAAATACATGCCAGTCATCACATAATACCGGCTGTGAAGATCCACGACCAGTTGTGCCAAATTACTTGGACTTGTCCCGTCTAAAAATGGTCCGTCGTTAGTTTCAAAGGAGCATTGCAGTCCAAGCTTTAAGCATCTTTCACACGGGGCCTGTAGGCTAGGGGTCGTAACCGCGGAGGGTGAGCACTTTTGCTTCCTAGCGCGGCACTAAGCAGTGGCATGTCAGAATTGTGCCTTTACTTAAATTCCAGATGTCGCTCACTTGTAAACAAGCCCGAGAAATGCGGGAAGCCTTTACTGGACGAGCATTGTCATAACCGTAATCATCGGGTATAGAGCAGGGCCGAGCGCGAGATGTCATACTGGCACTGGTATCCACAAGTTTGAAAGATGTAAAGACCAGAATACGCGCATGCCTCTCGCGGTAAGGGCCATAATGCTCTCTTTGGAGCTTATCGGCCTCATCTTCGCTTTGATAACAACATGCACGCTGATTGGTCAAAATGATCACATCCGGGATGCGGCCGAAGCCCGAAGCGGGGCGAAAAGACCGGGATCGAGAGCGAAGGAAACAAGCAAAGAAACATAGAAGAAATAGCGATACACGAGATACTAATTACTCAATGACTCAAAATTGCGCTGATAATCCGTTCTCAAACAGGTCACGTGCTGATATGTCGGCATGCCAACCAATTGAGGCCCAGCAAGTATGGCATTAAATGACGTCATCTCTAACTATAGCGACTCTACTACTATGCACCTAGTTCCTCAAACATAGCAGTGATTTAAATTGATCAAAACTATCAAGGAAAGTAGGGAAATAATATTTGAGCTCATATGTGATCATCCAACTTCTAGATTCTATCAGATATCTTCTGCCACGTACTCTTCGGCTCCTACGATTTTGATTAGCATTGTTTGATAACGGAGGTATTCACATGACTTACGCCACTTGTCACTTCAATGGAAGATCCAGAAAAAAAGTCCATGTCCATGTAGCTGACCATCTTAGACTTCTTACAGAACTTGTAGCCGAAAAACAACCCTGCAAACAGAGGCACTGGGAAATAGGTGGTGATAAATGTCGAGGTGTTGAACGTATGAACTACATGCAATTAGCTGGAGATGTCTTCAAAGAAAGGCAACGATCGAGTTGTAAGTCTTACTGAAGGAACCAAAACCACCAAAGATGATAACCATGATACAAATTGTCATTCCATCTGAAGACACAATCATTAGTGTTCGCCTAGGCTCGGAGTGTTTCCAGACTCACAATATGAAAGATAAGGCTGGAAAGGTGCCCTGTAGGGTAAATTTTTGCGGTCCAATCCCTGTGTCTTAAGACCTTTGTTCCATCGAATGCTTGTCCAGAGAATACCAGTCCATGAAATCATTCCACACATCGCCGTCATGTTTGAAACTTGAGTATGTCAGTAAGGTCGCCATTATAAATGAAAACCAAAGAATAATCCTCACAGTAGCCAAAAACCGTTCCCGCCTTGCCCTTAGCAGCAGCCATAAAAGACAGCAATGCAAATGCACCACAGAAAATGAAACAAACCCAAGGAAATCCGTCTTTTCGTGTCTTGAGGAATATTCTTGGGGCATGGCCTCGTGCGGCAAGTCCATATAATGTGCGCGTAGAAACAAAAAGATCCGCGGTTCCTGCAGACCAAGCACTAGTTAGGATGGCCGCATTGATAACAGATGGCAAGACAGAAATTCCCGCATTCTGTTTCGAAACTTTAGTCTTCATTTTGTGTCTCAAAGAGTGCATTATGGAATTTACCTCAATTGCAATGACAAATGGACTCTTTGCCGCAGTTGAGGAGAGATTAAGTGATGAGTCGGTCGGAGAGACAAGTAGACCGACCATAAAGGCACTGCAGAGATAGACTGTGAAAATTCCAGTAAGCAAAAATATCGGGAAATTGTATGGGATTGCAACATACACAAAACAAGTCTGATCCAGACACTCTTAATTGCCCGTGGCACATTTCTTCGGGGCTATAAAATGTTAGATAGGGCCGCTTCTAAGAAAATATTTAGACCTCACATCAGCAGTCTCTGCAGCTGCAATTGCAGTAATTTCTGTGCCGATGAATGCAAATGCAGCATTTATGAGAACTACCAGAGAGATTTATAAGTCATAGGTCCTTTCAATCAAATAAATCGATGGAGCGCTTACCGCTGAAAAAGCCAAGAAAACGTCCTTTGGCACCTCCTATAATAAAAAGAGTTGAGCGAGTTCCACAGCTGCTTGGTTATATTGAGACTTACCAATCCCATCATATTGAACAAATCCACCAGTCTCTTTCCAAAATTTGAACCCAATAGCTTCGTGGTTGGGACCACCACCGGCACTAATGATGATCCCAGTGATGATCAGGCCGAGGATTGTGATAACCTAGGAAATTACGTGTCAGCCACCAAGCCAATTTGACAAGAAGAGGTACTAAGATCGAGCATGGTTTTTTAACCTCCTCACTTACCTTGATAGAACAAAAATAAAACTCCATTTCGCCAAAAACGCGAGTTCCTGCCAAATTCACAAGATACTGTGAGCAGAAATTAGTACTTGGATGCCATGATGAATAACGACAATACTCACCACTACTATCAACATCAATCCTACCCACATTGCATTGTTACAAATTCCAGATGTACATGTGGAATCTGTAAGTCCTGCTGGGGTCCAGTATGTAATAAGAACAGCAGCCGCGGATATCTCTGCCGGAAGGACGACTGTAAGATTAATTTAGTTTTTTGGAAATGAATAAACACCATGCGATCTGTCGTACCAATATAACTAGAAGCTTTGTGTCAGCAATGATTATAAAAAAGAAAAAGGAGAAAGTTGCTTACTTGAACCAGAATAGTACACCCATCGCAAATCCCAGCTCGGGTGAATTGAATCGGCCCGCAAGCGCAAACTGGCCTCCCGGGATGGGAAATTGAGAGGTCATTTCGCCCAAAGCCACCTAAGAGCTGTAAGTAGATGTAAATATTGTGCATGAATACCGGGAAACTTACCATCACCGAGTACAAAAGAGAAGCCATGATACAGTATCCAAGAAGCAATCCAGCGGGGCCTCCATTTTCAAGATCGCCTCCAGTGCCTAAGAAGAGACCCGTTCCAATCACACCTCCAATGGCAATCATTTGGCTGTTTCAAGAGTAAGTATTCTTTCAGTGCATTCGAAATTATTTGAATCTCACAGGTGACGCGGCTTTGAAATGTTAGCGACACGTTTTGCAACTCATTCTGTAGGAAGAATATACCTTCAGTTGTCGCTGAAGACCATGATTGCTGCTTGTATTTTCAACGGCGCCAACAGCAATGGGCACTTCATTGGTATCATTGTAAGCTAGGACTTTCTTTTCCTGTGGATGTGGTTAGTTGCAGCAAGATGTACGGTAGAGGGGAAGGAAATGCATACGTCTTGAATCATTTTGACAAAACAGGACTCGTCATTTCGAAAGGAGCACGATTGAGGACAGAGCCTCTATGATATACTAGAGCCCTCCAGTATTAAGAACCTAAGAACTTAGATAAACAAACCATGGAATCATGAATGGATCTTGTCCGGCGCTCCACAGATAAGGTCATTGATAACGTCGATAACGGCGCGGCCCCATCGGCCATTTCCCGCTCTTATCAGTATCCTCGTGTCGGGCTGGGCACCGATCTTGCCGAACAGTACAATACATGATAGATGCCTTCGTCTTCAAACTTTGTTTGATTGCGGTGTCACTTACTTTCAAGATCTGTTTATACCTCGAGCTCAACATGGAAATTCCTCGTCAAAAACGGCCTCTTCGACCCGGAATCTATGCCCCATTGCCCACATTCTTTGACAATAATCAAGAAATCGACTATGAAACATACAAATCCCATTTACTGAGTACAGCTCTCTCTCTTTTGATTGAAAAATAAAACACAAAATTAACTTTTCTTCCTTAGACTTGGCAACTAAGGGAATGGGTAGGCTGTCTCACTACTTTGGAAATACTGCTAGCTTACACTTCAGTAGTCCCAGTATGTGCTGGCTCTCTGGGTGAAGCAGTGCATTTGGTAAGACATGAATGATGAAAAATGCAAAATCTTTCAAACAGCTAACAGTGCTCAGAGCTTTGAAGAAAGAACGAGTCTCATTCGATTTATCCGAGCAACATTGGACGAAGCAGGTCTCCAGTCCACTCCCATTGTGGCAGGTGTGGGAGGTCTAAGCACGAGAGAAACTATTCAACTATCCAAAGCAGCAGCAGAGGCAGGAGCGTAAGTACCATTAACCTTTTTTTTGTTATGGATCTCTAACGGCTTTTAGAGATGCTGGCATGGTGATTCTTCCTGCTTATTACGCCGCGAGCCTTAACACCGATTCGGAGCAGGTTATCCAATACTATGTTGACATTTGTGCTGCATCACCGGTAAGATGAGGAGAATTGCATCGTGAACCAGTATTTATAGGCGAACTAATCATGAACTAGATCCCGTTGCTTCTATACAATTTTCCCTCTAATGCAGGTGGTCAAGACATGTCCTCAGAAGTCATAAGCGCAGTGATAAAGGAAAGCCCTAATCTATGCGGCCTGAAATTAACGTGAGCACCTTGCGAGAGAAAAGAAATACATTGCCAAGTACTAAAATAAAGTATACAAACAGTTGCGGTGGCAGTATTGGCAAGCTCATCCGTCTCAAGGCTGCGATTTCTGAAGATTCAACTATCAACGACAGTAGAAGCTTTCCTTTCCTTCTCCTTGATGGATTAATCGCCGATCTTACACCCTGGATGCAGTGTGGGGGTCATGGCACTGTGAGCGGTATACCGAATTTTGCACCAAATGCTTCCCTGAGGTTATGGGAGTTGCTCAACTTATCATCTCCGTCAAAAGATGACGTAGGAGAAGCCGCAAAGATCCAAGCGATTCTTTCAAGAGCTGATGCAGCTGCTGTTCCGGGTGGTATTCGTGCGATGAGTGAGTGTACTAGTGTTTACGATAACCTAGGTCTTGTTTACTGATCACTTTTAGAATATGCTTTGCACAAGATGCACGGATATGGGATCGCTCCGCGGAAACCTCTTTTACCGTTGAAGGAGGCCGAGGGTGAATTTTTTATGACGGCTTTGGATGAGATGATTGAACTAGAGAATGAGATCAAGCGACCAACAACCAGGTGCTGAGAACCAGTGAACATGCTACAAAAGTATGTACTGAGCATTAGAAGAGATACCAAGGACATGCTTGAGCGTTTGAATAACTTAGATTTCTAAACTGAAATCCATGAAAAGAATCTTAAGAATTGATAGTTCACCTAAATAGAAAGACTGTATGAGCTCTTCCTAATATTCTTATTAATGAACTTGAGAATATAATCATGTTGTTGATAAATCTGGGGCCTTTGTCGAATTCCAATGTTGATTAATAATCAACATCGTATGTGCACCGTCATCACTTTTCCCTATACGGGCTTTTGAAATCATGTGGTATGTAGTACTACAAGTGTATAATAGTTGCAAGACTGAAGACCTGAATATTTCACGAGTATTCAAAATGGGGTTTCAGAATACTAGTGACTAGAACATTGATCAAATTGCCTGGCTTCATACGCTTGCTGCATCATGGCTGGTGACACCATTCCCAAACTTGCAGTCCTGATTGATGCGGACAACGCGCGGTACTCCATTCTCAATCTTCTTCTCTCTGAAATTGCCAAATACGGGACAGCTCATGCCAAACGAGCCTATGGAGACTGGAGCAGCCCAGATTTGCAGGGCTGGAAGGACGTGCTGCTTAAGCAATCGGTCCAACCGATCCAACAGTTCGCATATACTCACGGCAAGAATGCGACTGACTCGGCCATGATCATAGACGCAATGGATCTCTTATACTCTAGTCGGTATGACGGATTCTGTCTTGTCTCAAGCGATAGTGACTTCACTCGGTTAGCTGCTCGTATCCGCGAGGCGGGACTTATTGTGTACGGACTCGGCGAGCGGAAAACGCCTCAACCCTTTGTTGCTGCGTGCGATAAGTTTATTTACACCGAAAATCTCGTGCATGTCGATAAGCTCGTACCGCATTCTGCTAGTGTCATCAGGCCTGGAAATCCTTCGCCGGGTAAAAAGGCAGAAAAAGATGAGCACTTAGCAGACCACTTGCGAACAGCGGTAGAGGCATCCTCAAATGATGATGGATGGGCTATGCTATCTGATGTCGGTAACCTTCTCACGAAGAAACACCCTGATTTTGACTCCCGTACCTATGGATACCACAAGCTTAGTGATTTAATCACCGCGTTGTCTTCAAAGTTTGAAACCAGCCGCCGGTCCCTTCGAAAAGGCTCGCCTACGGAGTTTTTCGTGCGCGATAAGCATCGGAAACCTGAAAATCGTGCTTAAAAATGGTACATGGATGTAGGCATCATGTACTTATATTAGTGGTGTTACCGTGTTAGTGTATCACTTTCTCAATTTTATCAACTCTCATTCGCGGGCCGGATCAAGTGATAAACCAAAGGCTTACGTTTAAATGAAGGTGAGAAGCAACCAAACTCAATGTCCTCGATGGAAACAAATAGAAGGACTTGTTTGAATATGTAGTCGCGTGCACTAATTGAAAACTCCATTTTTGGTATTATTGGAAAAAGTCGGAGTAATGATAATCCGGAAATTGGGGGCGGATTGCGGAGTTACTAGCTTATCAATATGGGGTTTACCGATCGTCTCCAAGGTTCCAACTTCTTTCTTACCACAACAATATGGGCGAACAACTACGAGTCGGGGGAAATCCAAGTAGGCGCTGGATTTCCTCAACTCTTATAACCTTTGCGTTATTTTTTATCGTTATCTTGACCTATTCGAACACATGGACAAACTCACCTGGGGGGAGGTTCTTCGGCACGAGACCTGGCAAAGATTGTCCATCGGCGCCCGCACCTGCACCAACCGGGGCCAAATTTGAGTCTGGGTTTGACATGACCAAGAGCTGGGCACAACTCAGTCCCTACAAAAGCGCCGACTGGGGTGTTCCCAAGGGCGTTCCCCAAGGAGAACGATGTGAGCTATCTCAGGTCCATATCTTGCATCGCCATGCTCAGCGATATCCAACTGGCATGCCCATGGATGGCCAGGTCATTGAAAATTTCCTTGACAAACTCAACGGAACTGTCGCAACCGGACCATTGGAGTTCCTCAATAGCTGGAAAAACGTCCTTGGTCTGGACGAGCTGATGCGGACAGGTGCCTCTACCGAAGCTACCTCCGGAGCTCACTTCTGGCTTCAGTATGGTAGACTTTTGTACCGTGCTACGCCTGAAAATGTTGTTGCGTGGAATCCATCATTGAATGTTTTTCCCAACGGGACAGCCCGTCCGAAGCCCTTCTTCCGCGCCACTGATCAACATCGGATCTTGGAGAGTGCGCGTTGGTGGTTGAGTAAGTGCTCAAAGTCCCGCCCATCCCTGCCCCCCTCCCCCCAGAAAACATTTACTGACCTACACGAAAAGGCGGCTTTTTCGGAAATATAGGTGCCCATGCTTCATATGACCAATATGATCTACTGGCCATTCCTGAGAAGATTTTATTCAACAACACACTGGCTTCATACTACTCCTGTCCCGGTGGCCCAGGTGATCAGAGCAACGGAGACAAAACCTCAAAAACCTTTGTTGCCCGTTACCTCAAGGACGCTCGCTCTCGCTTGTCACCTTACTTTCCTCCCGATTTCGATTTGACTATTATTGATGTCCTTGCCATGCAAACAATATGTGTTTACGAAGAGACCAGTCTGGCTGGCTCCAAATTCTGCTCTCTTTTTACCGAACAAGAGTGGAAAAATTTTGCCTACAACCTTGACATACAGTACTACGGCAACTGGGGCTTCGGTTCACCCGTGGGCCGTGCCCAGGGTATAGGCTACGTCATGGAACTTGCCGCTCGTCTAGAGGAGAAGCTCATCCCCTCCAGTGATACCAGCCTGAACTCCACTTACGATAATAACCCTGACACATTTCCTCTACGACAACCCTTTTATATGGACATGTCTCACGACAGCACAATGATAGCTGTGATGGCCGCGTTGAATCTTGAGTACTTCAAATATCCGAGCCCGGCAGGATTGCCTGGTGATGTTGATCACGCCCCGGAACATACGCAGAAAATCAGCGATGCTACGCCATTTGGTGCTCGTTTTATGACTGAAGTTTGGACTTGCCCAAATGATATCACCTTCGACACCTTGGACCCTGTCCTTTACTCCAACCCCAACTTGGAGTCGACTGAGGACACTACCAAGTACATTCGCTTCATGCTGAATGATGCGCCTTTACCAATGACCGGAGTTATTGGCTGTGAGGGGTCCACGAATGGCTTCTGCGCGCTTGACAATTTCTTGACCGGTATACCCGAGCTTAAGAGAAGAGCAAATTACCGAGAGGCTTGTTTTGGTTATTACATTAACCGCACCGAGCCCATTCTTTTTGAATAGATGCCATTACCCATGAAGCTAGATTTCTTTCGCGTTTTCCAATGATTGCATATTCCAAACTTTAGCTGCATTTCAAGCAGGAGCTTTCTTTTCGTGTTCAAATTGATATTTCTTTCACATCATTGGATTTCTATAACAACTCATGATATATGATTCCAAGGTTCCAAATACCAATATTATGATTCCAATAAACCTTTTGCCCATCCGTTTCTAAATTCCACTATTGGTATCTTGGTGCTAGTAGTGGATCGGTGATAGCCGATCCCCTACCTCGAACCCAAATATCCACAATTTTCGAAGCACCCGCATCATGATCGGAATCCACAACAAAATACCATCCGTAAAAAGCACCGGTCACGCAGGCATGGTTGGGGAAAACCTTGGCAATCTGCCCAACCTTCAACGGGATGCTCTTCTTATCCTCAGATTGCCAAGCAACAATACCGTGTTCCTGGCTGATTCGATCGACAATCAATCGTGAAGTCTCCACTTCCTCCCCCAGCCCCCAGGAGGAGAGCACACCCCACCCGGGATAACTCGCACAAGGCTCCCTCGCCAGCGCCAAAGTTCCAGCCGCCAGAAGAGCCTCTGCCTTCTCCCGCTCCCCATCATTATAAACGCTGCAAACTTCTGCAACTACCGAAAGCGCGATTTCATCCTCGAGTCTCCCAGCACCGTCCCTTGCATGCGTCGACAACTGCTGCATATCGAGAATGGGGTAGCAGCCAGCATGCAACTCGATTGTGACATGCGCATCCTCCTCCCGAAGCAATGCCTTCAGCTCTTCGGCCTCGGCGGACGAAGAAGAAACGCCCTCAGCATGCGGAACAAGGTTATTCGAAGAAACAACCTGCGGCGTAGCTCCAACACTAATGATCAGTTCTCGCCCCTGGGGAAGAAGGTGTCTCCACCGGCTCAACGCATCCTTGCACCCCCGAATCTCGCTGCTCAGATACCCCATCGCCTCTGCGGCGGTCTTTGCACCGTAACTCAGACTACTATGCGAGTAGAGTCCCAGCAAGGAGACATAGCCTTCTTTCTCCGCGTCGGCTAGTTTCTCGAGTAATCCATTCTTGTTCAGCGAGATAGGCGGAAGACCGGCACGGTGATAGCCCGTATCGACCTTAATGAAGACGCAGACTGGGAAGCCTGCGATCTCGAAAAACTTCTTCAAGTACGATACTTGATCTGGATGATCGATCATCACAGTGATGCTTCCTTCGCCAAGCAGTTTAGCTAGCTCCGCGATGCGGGTAACATGTGAAGGTACCAGCGGGATACCGTAGAGCACGTTGATCTGCTGGGATTTCTTCAAGTCTTGCAAGAGAGGCACCAAAGTTTCAATCTCGAGGACTGTAGAAGTAATGAATTTGGCGGTAGGGCTTGTTTTGTCCACTTGCATTTCCGTGACTTCGATTGTCTGATACGATGTCTGTTAGCTTCAACTGCTTATGGATGGATGATTTGTAGGGCTGGCTTTACTTTGTGTGTCTTGACATGAGCTCGGAAAGCAACTCCAAGTTGTTTCACTGTTTGCTTCATTCGTTCACAGTGTCGGCGGATGATAGCTACATCGAGTACCGCGGCTGGTTTGGGGACATCGGCGAGGTCTTTGCCAATATAAAAGTTGGTCAAGTCCTCCTTTGTGGGGTATGTTGTAGCCATGATATATGAATTGTGCTCAAGTAACTCTTTATTTTTTCTTGTTTCTCTCTGAAGCGGTTTTGAATGGTGACGGCAATTTCGATTGATGTTGTAAACGCTTTAGATGTTTATGACTCGTTTTGGGTCCGCGACCCTGCGGGGTGACCGCTTCCACGTCCAGTATGTGGGGCGCGGTTGGCCGAACCAAAGTTCAATTACTTATCTCTAAACAATAAAGTAGCAGGAAGCCAGTAAGGAAAAGTTGATTTATGCAGCAGAATGTAAGTATAAGGCTTCACTGTCTGACATTTGCACAGCATGATCGTCAAACATTACCCGTGGACCTAGAATGCATGGTGAGAGTGAGAGTGAGAGTTGGGACTATGGATGGATATTAGTACCTAGTACTACTTACTCTTCAGGTCCGAGAACCTCAATTCAAGCATGTATCTAGACATTTATCGATTGAAGAGTTGCAATGTGCCAGGTGGATCAATTACATACCTCGTAGTACAGGTGTGGATAAAAGCGAGAGTTGCGACTTTTTCAATGTTTATTAGAGTATGGTGAGGTGGTATATTCAAGGTTTGCCTTGCCGTAGATTACCAGTAACATTGAAGTTGGAGGCTAAAAGACAGGGTTATTCCAATATTGACGCCAGTATTTACAGTACCAAGATCACTAACACTGTGCAGTTTACCAATTCCAACAGAAGCCCAACCCTGCTGACTGGCTTGTTCAGTTCTTTGCCCTTTGTTCATTTCGGGCATAAAAAGTGGGATTGGGCCAATGACGGTAACATTTGAATATGACCCGGTGATCGGCATGGGCCCTTGGCAGTCTGTTCTTTGACAAAACCAGCATATTAGTATTAGGTACACTGGAGTATCTACTGACTAGTATCTAGGTCCGCTATCATAGAGCATTGGTCGCTTTAGTATTTCACATCTAAGGAATGGTCTAAGGGAGTAAATCGCTGCCGAGTGGAGCAGCGATTTATCTTTGGCAAATGGGATAAGTAGTGCCTTTTCAAGAACAGTGAAATTTTGTCCCTAAGTATGTAGCGCATCCCTATCGCCGGGTGCATTCAGAAATTCGTTGAATCATTAAGCCACAGAATTGGGAACCTCCTGTGGTAAACTCCACGGCCTTGCCACTCAAGCTATCACCAATTGCCCACCTCGTATGGTTCAGTGCCACGAAGGCAGAACATTTCCTCGGGGGACCTGATCGGGAAGATGAAAGAGGGGTTATTCGCTTAACAGCCTCCAATCTGCTCCTGGTGCACCTCCAAGGTGTCACCGTCGGCCATATCAAGCTAAATCGCCTCAAAGTGTCAGAATATCTCAGTCATTCATGGGGTCAAGAAATTCAAAGAGAGAACATACACCATCGGGAGTATCGTCGGGACGCACGCGGGTGCCATCGAACAAGAACCGAACAGTGGCAATCTGCTTGCCTTGACGATCGCAGAAGGCGTCCATGAGCTTCTTCAGAGGTGTGGAGCGCTTAATCTTGAAAAAGACCTCGTTGTTGTTATCGGTGACCTTGATGTTGAGGTGCTCGACAGGAGCAGCAGGGGCACCCTGCTCGCCTTCAGACATTTTGTAGCTGGATCGCCGTTAGACGTGATCGTGGCCTACCAGGCGCGGGGTGCTTACTTTGTAGGCGAAAGAAAATGGCACTAGGATAGGAAATTGAGGATCCAGATCTGGATCAAGGAGTTATGTTAATATACTGGCGCAATAAATATGGGAGTGTGATGTTGGATCAATTTCGAAGGTGGACTTACCAGAGAGGAAGAATCGCGTGAGTGGGAGGAAGAGGAAGTGGAAGAGGCAGAAGAGAAAAAACCAGCAGAAAGATACCGCCCGCGCCACCGCCCATAGAGGCGACAAACCCCATTTGCTCCCATTGCCGCTTTTCGATGAGCTTCTTCTACATCCGTTTGCTAGGGAAACAACATTTGTATTCCACTACAACCCAAAGGCCAAGATATAACCATATTGAAAATGGTAGGGTCAATCAAAACCAGCAAATTACTTGTGGACTAAAAGCTTGCTGCAGGGGAATCTGAAGCAAGATCTGTCGCACGACACGCCGTGTCATCCGCGTGCCGTATGCCTTGCTTTCCCTCCACAGATAGTCAAATGAAACTTTTGTGCTGACCTTTAGTACATAGTGTGCTATCCAAAGTAAATATATTGAAGAACGACCTCTAATCAGCTTTTCACATACTAATAGGCCCAGATTGTTTGAACAAGAATTCCTGGCAAGAAGAAAAATGCCAGGCTCAGATTGACGCCCTCTACGAATGTTGCAACGCATTTTACCAGGAGCGTGGAGACAAAGCCTCAGTGGTGAGCTGTCCTAAAGCAAACCTACTGCATTTAAAGATGAGACAGCGGGCACAGGCAGCAGAGAAGGAGAAGAGTTGAATTAGACAAGAGCTTTGGTGAATTTTCTTTATTTCTTTCTTGATATGCATTGTAAATAAAATGACGGCATTGGCATTGGCATGTACCAGCCCCTTCCAAGCTAAGCTCCCATTCAGTAGGAACCAGACTATTTGCAAGGACTGGCGGTTCTTCTAAGACAATCTTGAGCACGCAGAGAGGCCTCAAGGACCTGAACAAACATTGAATGAATTCGTTCCGAGACTCTAATGAAAGCCTATAGACATTTGTGGAAAAAAAAGAAGAAAGAAGGAAAGAAAAAAAAAATTGTGCATCTTAAATAGTAGATCCCGTGCCGAACGCGCTAAACTACTTTGGGGGGAACGCGCCCTCAGCCAAAAGAGACAAACACGAATGGCTGCCCTTGGGCCTTTTCTCTCTCCATCAACAACAGGAGCTCACGAATCATGGCTCCTCTCACAAGGTCTTCTCGCACCTTGCGGTCGCAGGTTTGTTTGCTCTCATGCGTTCGTCACTTTTCTCCATCCCACTAACACCTTCACCAGGTTCAACCAGCGCCCAAGACATCAGAAATCATCAACATTGACGACGACGACGAGGAGCGCATGGATGAGGGCCAGAGCTTCGAAAGTGGAGATGAGCTAGAGGAAGGGACTGAGGAAGAGATTGAGGAAGACGAAATGGACGAGGAGATGGACGATGTCAATGGCGAGATCTCGGAGACAGGGTCCGGCTTTCCAGTTTTGGATCACAATCTGAAGTCTATGATGAGCTTTGCAAGTGGAGCCCCAGGTATGTTATGGCTCAATGAACTCTCCCCGTCATGTCATCTTCTACCTGGAAAGGGGTTTTAGCTCACTGAATAGACTCGCCTCAGTTGTTCACCGCTGCCGGCGCGCAGGAAGCTCTCCACCCACTTCGCCGCACCGCCGACCGTGTCACTCGTCAGATTGAGGCCTACGCCGACAAGCTCGATCAATTCAAGCGCAAGAACACCACCGACGAGTTTCAAAGCATTCAGGCAGCCTACAAGCTAGTGGAAAGTTACCGAGACCTCGCACAGAATGGCATCCAGGATTTGATCAAACAGCAAACCCTCAAGCGCGCGAAGGCCGGATTCCGACAGAGCGGTGGGAGTGACGCAAAGGACGGTGAAGATGTGCTAAGATTGCAGTACGAGGCTGATACTTGGCGTCTACTTCTCAATCTCATCAGTATCGATGACCCGGCCAGTCGCGCCAGCTTCAAAGAAGGTCAGCGAACAGCATTCCAGAACCTGCACCGGTACTCGACAGATCGCGAAATCTGGCAAGAATTCATGAACTCCGATCACTATGCCGTCGAGTGTGTTCTTTCGATGAGATGGTTGGAGGAGACAGCGAAGACAGGGCCCCAGGAGTTGGACGGTTTGATCGCCGACATGGAAGCGCAAGCGGAAAGAGGCCAGGGTCTGTGGGCTCATGGATGGCTGTTCACGAAAGAAGCCATCAAGGGACACAAGCGACTGCGCGCCTGGCCGCAACCGCTGGAGCCGAACGATCCGAGCATTTCACGCTCTCTGTTGAGCAATGACACGCAACGGCCCTTGGTAACACAGCTCGACCCAGATGCTCTTACTCGGCAAAAGAACGATCTGCAGCCCCAGGATGAGTTCTTCGAGCGAGCCACATGGATGACCTGCTGGAAGATGCTCAGACAGGGCGAGAACTGGACCAAAATTCGGGAATGGGCGCATGGTCGCCTCGAGAACTGGAGGGCTGTCAGTCTCTGTGGTGCTAGCGTCGATTCAAACACCCCCAAAACAAGGACACCTGTTGACGATGGGATGACTCGCATGATGAACAGCCGTTCCCACGACTCATGGCGTGCTGCTTGCGCTGCTCTGACACGAAGCCCGAAGACAGATGAGTTCCAGCGTGCTGTGTATGCCCTCCTCTGTGGTGAATCAGAGCCCGCAAACACAGCCTGCAGTACATGGGATGATTTCCTTTACGTCTACTTGAACCGTGTTGTGCTTTCACGCTATCGTGGTTTCTGTAATCAGTTCCAGCACAAGCTCAGCCATTCTCCTACCTCTCCTGTTGCATTCAAGCCCGAGCCAGCTGGCCATGCCGACCTGCGGAAGTTCATTGAATACCTGCGAGGCAACGAGCGTGTCGGTTATGAGGCACGCAATCCCTTCCGTGGCATCCAAGCTGCAATTCTTAGCAAGAGCTATGAATCCTACTTCTCATTACTTGCAAAGGCAGTATCTCAAGTTAACATCGACCACTTTGGAGCGTCCTCTATTGTTCCCGCTGTAAATGGAGTGCCCGTGGAGGAATCTTTCATCATCGCTGCAGACGACGACGAGGCCTTGAAAATGGCTACCCACATCTATGTTGTCGTTCAATCTATCGGATATGCTCCCTCCGACACTCAATTCCACGAAACAGCTTCCATAATGGTGACAGGATACCTTTCAAACCTGGAAGAAAGGGGTCTATATGATCTCGTACCCCTTTATGCGTCTCTTCTTCCGACGGACATGTGCCACAGTGTCTTCTCAAAGGTTTTGATTGAGATCACCGACCCCACAGACAGAAAGCAGCAAATTCGTCAAATGCAAAAGCATGGCATCGATGTTGAAGCTGTTCTGGATGCTCAGTGGTCGTGGCTCAGCGCTGGTGTTTCTTCGATTGAGCATTCTAGCAATGTTACCGGATACTCACGAGTGGTCCGGCGACCGGACGGTACCCGGGTACTGATGCCGCCAAAGAAGGACTTGATTGGTACTGCTATTGCAGACGAGGACGAGAAAATGATACGCAGTCTAGAGTGGCTTCGCTCTGCTGGTGGACAATGGTCTAAGATTTGCAAGCTTGGAGCTTGGCTCTACCGCAAATTCTTTGGTATGGCTTCCTATTTTCCTTCCATTTCATTGTATTAATACTAACTTTCACAGTCGCTGGTAAGCTTGCTGCCGCTCGTGAGTTGAGCCAGCGTATGAATCTGTCAATGGTGTCACAAGAAAGTTTTGGCATGGACATCTTTGAATTTCCAGTCTTCGACCACCTGTTGCAGGACGATTCTGCGCCAGCTAGCCCATCAAAGTCTAAGAGGAATAGCCTTCACCGTCGCAGTCTCTCGAGCACCAATGGTGGTTTAAGTAACGGCAACAGTGCTTACCAAAAAGCTACTCGGATGTACAATCTTGAAACTCTTGCTTTTGGATTCGATGCCCTGGAGCAATTTGCTCTTGCCTACGATCAAATCTCCAAGTAAGTGTATCCCACCCGTGATGTTGAAAAACCATATCTAAAAAATTTTTAGGACCAAGCGTCGCAGAGATTCGGGAGCGGTCAAGGATTCTCTGCAGGATTTAGCAGCCTTGCTGGAGCAAGCGGAGACTAATGTTGGCTTGGTTGTAGATGAATGGCTTGTCAAAGCCGAGGATGGTAAGTCTTTCCCTCCAATGGGCGCGTGTGCTCTTACTAATTCCATGACAGCCGAGGAAGAAAGCGATTATGAGCACATTCGCCAAACCTATCTTCCAGACCTGATTTTGGATTACCATAATGCTCTCTACTATGCCAGCCATTCCCTCGAGAAGCCTCTCTTGTTGGCTCAGTGCATGACGGTATCCATTTGGGTCGCCAGCACCCCGCATCTGACCCGCAGCTTCACTGAGTCGAAGCGTATGTCGGAGCTTATGGACGCCTTGGCCTTGTCCAGCAAAGCCATGGTTCTCACCGACCCGAAGGAAGATCGGGTCTATGATAATGGGCAGACATTGGGCATCTGGCGGGTGAGTGGGCCGGAGAATGATGAGGCTGTGTTCGAGCCACGCAAGTAAATTGTGTGACGGTAATCTTGTATTGTGTACATTAGCGGGTGCCCAGGTGGCAAGCAAGGGACGGAACCTAAGCCCGGATATGACAATGAGTGGGCAGGATTTATTATTCACGTATGGATAGGATTTAGAGATTAAACTGCATGAATCACTGCAATTTGCCAATCGACAATTAAGCTCATCAGCAATTATTTTCTTCCTGAAACGTTTGCTTCTTGGAATTTTTCAAAATGTGTTTAATTCTCATCACTTTCAACTTTTTTCCCATTCTCGAAATTACATTTCTTAATTTTATGACTCGTCGACATAAGGATTCGTCAGCCTAAATCCCTCGGCAAGTCAATGTTGACAATCTCAGGTGCTGCAATCAAATCACTCATATGGCTCCATCAATGTATTCGCCAACACTTTAGCCGGGAAATCCTCCTCCCCGAGCGCTGTTGTGTGAGCCCACGGCTTCAATCCGTTTTCCCGACGGATCGTGGCGGCGAAACACCCGCTCCAGTGGTGGCGCGGGAAATGCGCAGAAACGTCCTTGATGGTATCCGGATGGACAAGATCGGCATAAGAGCCGGTGTTATCTAAACGAAGAAGAAAAAAATTCAGATGATCAGTCAATAGCTCCACTTTAGCAGGAAGAAAAAGAAAAAAACTTTAAACAGCGGGTGACAGAAGGATACAAAAAAAAAAAAAGTAGGGAAGACATATCGGCTCTGACGCTAGGACTCATGACATATGACATAACGCATAGAAGATGTACCTAGCGGTGCAAGATCATAGAATCATGGCATCGGCAAACAGTTGAAGTTGCAAGTAGATTACCCGCTTTGATTCCCAAAGAGGGAAAGGACAAGACCAAGAAGTACCAAGAGCGTGGCAGTGCAGCAATATAATGTACTACATAGTCTCAAACCCGGTGCTTCTAGCCGCTCCCGTGGCGGGATAAGGTTTTGGGTTGTGGGTAATTTTTTTCTTGCTTCTCTGTATACCGTAACGGAGTACGGATACGGAGGTGGAAAAGAGATCTGAGTACTTACCAAAGATGGTCGCAAGCTGCAAAAGTTGTCCCACGGCTGTAATCTTCCCAACCTGACACAGGTCCTGATGGCGAATGATAGCCTCGGCCACGGACTCGGCCTGCTCTCGCGGTGCGGCGGACCCACTACTAGCACTACTACCTTGACTACCTTCACTATCTTGCAGTAGCTGCAACGCTAGAAAGCCGCCATAGAACTCGAAGCTCAAGTGCGTGGCCTTGATGTTTGTTTCGGTTGTGCCGATATCATGCAAGACGCAAGCGAGGAAGTATGTCTCGTCGGAGAAAGCCCAATCATCGAATGAGAGGCGGTGCTTCTTGATTGCGAGGCCGAAGTGGTATACGCGCAGCGAGTGGTTGTAGGTTGGCTCGGGTAGCTGGGCTTTGGCGTAGGCGTTGATGCGTTGGGCTAGAGCGGTGGTGGGGATGGGGGTTTCGCTGACGGGGATTGGGGGTGGGTTGGCGTGGAGGCGTGGATACTCCGGCGTCGAGGTTAGGAGGGCCGTGGCCGAGGCGGGGACGGCGGTGAGGCCATATTCATGGATTGGGTTGCTCATTTTCTTTGATAGAAACCTTGAAGGATTCTTTGAAGGTTGGGCGATGGTTGATTGATTTCCAAGGAACGCTTGAGCTGTACAGTAGATTCAAGCACTGAGTGAGTATTCCAAAGTGGTGAGTCACTGGGGCGGGATGACAAAATGCATATGTTTTTGGCTTTACGAGGCAATTTATACCCGGAGTATTACCCCAAGTGCTTATGGTATATGTATATCACTAAGTAAAGTATATGAGACATTTGGAGTAGTACAGTCAGATATAGCTCTCTTCCTGGTTTTATATTCGTGAGGTTCCTGGTGTTACCTAAGTAGAGTTCGCAAGTTTATATAGGGTTTTTTGTAGAGGTGATTTGCATGGAAATATGTACTAATTTATAATGTACTAGTATTGTATTTTATTGCCGTGAACTGGGTATAATCGGACACTATATCTGCATAGTTAACGGTTTGGGTTGATTATGCATAAAACCTGCCCAGTCTGAACCGGTTTAAGCTCGAATTGGGTATCTGTACGGAGTTCGGTGGAATAAACGGTGGAATAAACTTCACACAGTGCCAAGTGGATCCAATACGATGGATTACATTATCTTAAGAGACGTCATTCCCAAGCAGAGAAAAGATGGAGGAAAAAAAAGGAAAAAAAAAAAGAAAAAAAGAAAAAAAGAGGAAAATGATGTGCCTCTAATGGATCCCTATTCGCTCCTTAACACTCTTTGGCTCTCCGCAGTGCCCCGGGGCGATGGGGCTTGGCAAAACACCTGAATGAGGCAGTGCAAATGATGGCGTACAATTACCCCCTTCGTGCTCCGCCGGCGCTCCGTTCCCTTTGGCTTCCGGAAATTCTTTATGTTAGTCCCCAGCTTCTTCATAAACAATAATTCCAGGTTACTCAAGGAGAATCGCGTTGATCTCTGAATATCGTTTTCCTTCTTCTGGGGCTGTGTTTAGCCAAGTGGAACCACCCGTCCTGCAAGAGCGGGTACTGGCAATTGCAAGAGAGGAGAAAAAAACAAAAAAGACAAACAATTATTGGATTTATTGGAAAAGTCGAGACCCGGGTGGATACCAAGGGGGAGAAGCCCTTTTTGCTCTCGTTGGCTCTGGCTTGGCTTGTCAACTTTTAGTGCCGCGCGAGTAGGAAGCACTCTAAACTCTCTCTGTTTTCGGACTGAACCACATCGCCTCCTTTCTACACTTACTACTCACTTTCCCCCTGCTGTGACTTCATCACTTGCCAATTTCAAGATTCGACCCCGGGCCCATGGAAACCACAACTCTCCCACACCTTTGTGACTACTCAAGATCGACTTGAGCTACAAGGAGAGCAAAACAAAGTCCAGAACTCATCTACATTTCTGGAATTCCATCACATCTTTATCCATGCAAAAACATCCTTCTTCTAAGGCCCCGCCCACATAAACGGCGCTTCGTTTCTTCAATTCAACACCATGTCCGAGTCGCATCCCTATGGCGACGAGCCTGGCCAACAGGGCGTGACACCCCTGCGCAGAGAACGAGCACCTACAATCACAATCGATACATCCGCCGTGAATTCGCCCGACATCAGTGAACCCCCAGTTCAAATACTCTCTAGTCCGCCTCAGCCAACGGTCAAGCTCTCCACCGATCTCGTCGAATCCGACACACACGCCCTCAGCAGTGCGAGCAATGCCTCCCCAACCGATTTGCGGTCCAGCGCATCCATCCGCTCCAATGCCTCTTCCGAAGGCCGAGATCGCGAACGAGAAGACCGCCCAACATCCCCTCATAATATTTCATCTCACAAGGCCAAGCCCTCCGAGGCCCATTCGAACTATCTGTCCGTCCCTGGAACACGGTCTCGCGGCAACTCCTTGGAGTCAGAGGATACCAGCCAGTCATTAAGCACCTATGGCGGAGATACATACGTGCCCACCGCGTCTCACAGCTCGCGGTCTGATCTTAATAAGAACCACCATAACGTCGACGACGAGGATGCCCTTACCCCGGACCCAGGCCGAGAAGAGGAGTTCCAGGTGGAAAATAATAAATTTGCCTTTTCTCCCGGGCAGTTGAATAAGCTGCTCAATCCCAAGAGTTTCGCTGCGTTTCGTGCACTTGGTGGAATGCGCGGTCTGGAAAAGGGGTTACGCACGAATGTACAAAGCGGCCTGAGCGTGGACGAAACGACGCTTGACGGAGCTGTGAGCTTCGAGGAAGCTACCACCACCAGTGCTACGACCAAGGCCTCCTCTCCGATAGACTCCCCGCCCGGCACAGGGGCAATCGTTACCGAGTCAGACCAGTCCTTTGGAGATCGACGACGCGTATACGGGACTAATATATTACCGGAGAGAAAACTCAAGACAATTTGGGAATTGGCTTGGATAGCATACAACGACAAGGTACTCATTCTACTGACAATTGCCGCTGTCATATCTCTTGCTGTCGGCATTCCTCAGTCTCTACACCCTGCCAATGGAGAACCAGGCGTGGAATGGGTCGAGGGTTTGGCAATTCTGATTGCCATCATCATTGTGGTCGTGGTTGGAGCGGCCAATGATTGGCAGAAAGAACGACAATTTGCGAAGCTCAATAAGAAAAAGGAAAACAGACTAGTGAAGGTTATTCGGTCCGGCCAGACAGCTGAACTCTCAATCCATGACCTTGTTGTTGGAGATGTCATGCACATCGAGCCAGGTGATATGGTCCCCGTGGATGGCATTTTGATCGCTGGCCATGACGTGAAATGTGATGAATCTTCGGCTACTGGCGAGTCGGATATTATGCGAAAAACTCCTGCCGATGAAGTCTATCGGGCGATTGAACACCACGAAGATTTGAAAAAGATGGACCCGTTCATCATTTCGGGCGCAAAGGTCTCCGAGGGCTTGGGTACATTCCTGGTCACTGCGACAGGTGTAAATACCACCCATGGTCGAACATTGATGTCCCTTCAAGAGGAAGGTGAGACGACTCCTTTGCAAACCAAGCTCAACAAGCTGGCTGAATTGATTGCCAAGCTTGGTCTGGCATCTGGTTTGCTGTTGTTTGTCGTGCTTTTCATCAAGTTCCTTGTTAGATTGAAGGACGTCGATGGCGGTGCATCCGCCAAGGGCCAGGACTTCCTCCAAATTTTCATTGTTGCCGTGACTATTGTTGTCGTTGCAGTTCCCGAGGGTTTACCGCTGGCGGTGACACTCGCTCTGGCGTTTGCGACAACGAGAATGATTAAAGATAACAATCTGGTTCGTTTCCTCAAGGCTTGCGAGACAATGGGTAACGCTACGACTATCTGCGCCGACAAGACTGGAACTCTTACCGAAAACAAAATGTCAGCTGTTTCTGCCACAATCGGCACAACCTCTCGTTTTGGAGATAAACCGTCAGGCCCTTCATCGGAACAATATGAAGATGTCTCAGCTGCCGAGTTCGTTAAAGCACTTTCGCCCTCCGTTAAGGATCTCCTTCTCAAGCACATCGTCTTGAACTCAACTGCCTTCGAAGGAGAGCAGGAAGGTGTCAAACAATTTATTGGATCCAAGACCGAGACCGCGCTGCTGTCGTTTGCGCGTGAACATCTTGGAATGGGACCTCCTGCTGAGGGTCGTGCTAGTGCGAAGCTTGCGCAGATGTTCCCCTTTGATTCTAGTCGCAAGTGCATGGCTGTTGTGGTTCAACTAGAGAACGGAAAATATCGTATGCTGGTCAAGGGTGCTGCTGAGATTCTGATGTCCAAGTCAACCCGAATTATTCGTGATCCCACTGCTGAGTTATCTGAAGTACCCATTACCGAGGATAACCGTAATACCTTGGATACCATAATGTCGAGTTACACATCTCGCTCATTGCGGTGTATCGCCCTTGTGTACCGGGACTTTGAACAGTGGCCTCCTCGTGGAGCAGCAACCCAGGAAAACGATCGGAACATGGCTGTTTTTGAGTCTGTTTTCAAGGACATGTCTATTTTCGGTTTGTTTGGTATTCAGGATCCGGTCCGACAGGGCGTTGCGGAAGCTGTTCATACTTGCCAACGTGCTGGTGTCTTTGTGCGCATGGTGACTGGTGACAACATCAATACGGCCAAAGCCATTGCCCAGGAGTGCGGTATCTACACCCCCGGTGGTATTGCTATTGAAGGTCCTCAATTCCGCAAGTTGAGCTCGAAACAAATGAATCAAATCATCCCGAGATTGCAGGTTATTGCAAGATCCAGTCCTGACGACAAGAAGCTCCTGGTCAACCAACTCAAGAAGTTAGGTGAAACCGTGGCTGTGACTGGTGACGGTACCAATGATGCCCAGGCACTCAAGAACGCTGATGTCGGTTTCGCGATGGGCGTCACAGGAACTGAAGTTGCCAAGGAAGCTTCGGACATTATCTTGATGGATGATAACTTTGCGTCCATTGTGAAAGCTATGGCTTGGGGTCGCACGGTTAGTGATGCGGTGAAGAAGTTCCTTCAGGTATGTAGTAGTATACCCCCGATTGATCCCATTGACTGGCGACTAATCAGATTTACTAGTTCCAAATTACTGTGAACATCACCGCTGTCATTCTTACATTTGTTTCTGCAGTTGCCAGCAGCTCAGAGGATTCGGTTCTCAGTGCGGTCCAGCTGTTATGGGTCAACTTGATCATGGACACCTTTGCCGCCCTTGCACTTGCAACGGATCCCCCATCACCATATGTTCTCGACCGCAGACCCGAATCAAAATCCTCTCCACTTATTACCGTTACTATGTGGAAAATGATTACTGGACAGGCGATCTACCAATTGGTGGTGACCTTCGTATTGAACTTTGCCGGTCGATCCATATTTTCCTGGGATGAAGGAATCAACCAAACTGTGGTTTTCAACACTTTTGTATTTATGCAAATTTTCAACCAGTATAACTCTCGCCGCATCGACAACAAATTCAACATCATGGAAGGGGTTTGGCGAAACAAGTGGTTCATTGGAATCCAAATCATCATCATTGGAGGTCAGGTATTGATCATCTTTATTGGTGGCCAAGCCTTCTCTGTCAAGCGCCTCGACCAGGGATCCCAATGGGCTGTCAGCTTGGTTCTTGGAGCTCTTTCATTGCCCATCGCCGTGGTCATCCGTCTTATCCCCGACTCCTTCGCTAGCAAACTTGTCCCGCACTTCTGGCATCGCAAGAAGGCTAGCCCTGAGCTTGTTGTCTCTGACGAGGACCGTCGCTACGAGTGGAACCCAGCCTTGGAGGAGATCCGCGACCAGCTTGCCTTTATCAAGACTGTTCGCGGTGGTCGCTTGAGACACATCCGTCACAAGCTCCAGCATCCCCAGGAATTCCTTCCTCGATCCCGGAGTGGATCTCGGTCCCGAGAATCTTCGGTTCCACCTACGCCAAATGCCGATGACAACGGAAGCCCGCCGCCTCAGCCTGCGACCCCGGAGTCTCGCTCCCGACGCAATACCCGCTCCCGATCCAACTCCACATTCGGACCCGCCGCTGCCATGGCTGGCATTGTGGCCGGCAGTATCGCTGGATGGTCGCCAATTGAGCGGAGCCACGATGATGCGGACTCCATGACGTTCCCGACTATCGGCTCTCACCGTGGATTAGAAAACCAGCGCGGCATTGAAGTCCATCCCGACACGACAGCTGAAGATCGCATCTTTGCTGAATACTCTGCCAATTCCAAGACACCACCCAGTCAGAATCCAGATCTAACCCCTTTCTTTGAACATGCTCCTACCACGGAACGAGCACCCTCCAGCCGAGGCCGCCGATCTCTTTCTCAGCGCTCCCGATCGAGTCTGAGCCCATCTCAGGTATAACCTGTGATTTGTTTTTCTTTCCCACGCATTTAAAATAAAAAAGCGCATACTTCTACGAGCGGCGTTGGTGTTCTTTCCCTTGATTTTTTTTTCTTAACCACATATACCTGGCCTTAATGGCTTGTTTGTTTTGCTTCTTTTGAGTACTGTCGATTTCCTTTTGTTCCTTTTACCTTGGTCTATCGCTTTCCAAGGCTTAATTGGCATGCGGCGTTGCGTCAGTCCCCCTCATAGACCCTTCTCTTGCATGGATTCTATTTGCATTCTCGGGGACTGCTGGGTTTTGTTTCTGTGAGATATTTTGGTATACACACGACAAGGTCGTCAACCTCCAGTTTTTGTCTTTTCTTTTTTTTTTCACATCGTCCTTACGACAGACAATACCACTCTAGTCCTGATTGACAGTTGACACTTTGTCTTCATTCATTGTTCTTATAGAGAACCTTTCCCGTAATCATATTAAAGACATCGTCGTTGAGGCACTATCATACTAAGCTTCCAAAGTGACAAATTCAGGCCCTGCGCGCAAAGGAGACCTTGTAGATTTGCATCTGACAATATCATTTCTTTCCAGTCTTTTATTCACGCGCTCCAGCCCAAGGATACACAAATGATGAATGGTAATAAACAGACATATAAGGACCTTTCTTCTCAGAGCAAGCAAACGAGATTGAAGAAATAAGTCGGTCCGACTTCTCCATATCAATATGAGAACTGCTACATGATTAGCTTCCAGTGCATTACCAAAAAGAAAGGTACGCAAAAGAAAAGGGTGAAACTCACAACGCAGATGAGATCTTGCTCTCGTAAGAACCGGCAAGATCAGTCCAACCCAGATCATTAAAATACGCCGCCATGCCACGGGCAAGCTGGCCATCATTCTCCCCCATACAAGGGACATACAACTTCGGGTCCGGCTCCGCCGAACCAGCCCTCAGCTCCCAATTGAAAGTCAACCCGCTCCTCCCATCGCTCTGCTCAGGCTGACCAAGCTCATAAGTCGACCGCGACCCCTCCGGAATATCCAGCCGGCTCCAGAACTGCCTCAGATGCTCCAAACCCCGCTGATTATTCTTACTAGAGCTCAACCGCCCACCCAAAGTCCACATATCGCTGATCCGCTCAAACGTCACCTCCGGATCAGCAATGTAGACCTTCAACCGCGAAGAGCCCACCTCATCACAATCCCAGCTCAAAATACAAACATTCTCCAACAGCCCCCGCTCCACCAGGTACTCCTCGATCATGGCAAAGGCAGGCGAGGCCTTGATCTCGGCGCTTCCGCTGCCCACAGCGTCCAGCACGAGGCGGCCTGCCGGCAAGCCCGTCGCGCGCGCCTTGAGCAGCGGGAACAGGTACATCTTCAGTGAGTTGTTGGAGGCGCTTTTGAGGTCCCAGGCCACCATGTATTGCGTCGTGGCTAGCCCGGTCTCCTGGCCTGCCAGGGCAGCTTTATCCTGGGTTGTGAGGCCCAGTTTGTTGGTGAAGTGGTTGTACCAGTATAAGTCGTTGGTGGCTCCGCCCAGGGCCAGTTTGGACATCAGCTCGGCGGTCATCAGCTGGTTGTATGGGTCGCGGGGTGTGCCTGCCAGCGAGCTGCTGGGCTCGAAGTCGTAGCGCAGGGTTGATTTTCCATCTTGGTAGTTGACGCTCAGTTCGAATGAGCGGCCGCCCGGTACGGCGCTGGTGATTTGGCTCAGGCCTGGGCGAGGGTATAGACCCAGGGCGGGGAGGACAAATCGGTAGATATAGCAGAGGTGCTCGTACTGATCGTGTGTAGAGCAGCCCACCACGTCGAGCAGGCGGTTGGTTAAAGGTGCGATGTCGTGCCACCATAATTGTTGGTCCTCGGTTCTGAAATCGAGGGACCTTGAGAGAACGCCTTCAGGTGTGTTGATTGACGCCATAGCTCTTTCCTATTAATTTTGAAGTGATAGGAATCGCGAATCGCACTGACAATCCAGAGTACGGTATTTATCCTGGGAATTTGCTTGGGGAGTTTTAAAATTTTTTTTTTTTCAATGTAAACAACAAGAGCTATTGATTAAACCTTGGGAAGTCCACAAGTGTATGGAGTAGCCTGATGGACCAAACATTGAAAGCTCGCAGTTCTTCCGTTCTAGGCTTTTTTTCTTTCCTTTTTAAAAGTGGGCCTATTCATGGTTTGTTTGGAGCGATCTACACTTCACTTGTACGTAACAAGATGGAGCTATTCCGAAGCCCCAGAGGTTTGCAAGAAAAAGTCGATCAGATCCAGATTAGCTGCTCAGGTGAATACCCAATCAATCCAGCCTCCTTTGTTTTTCTTCAGGGATTTTTCTCTTGATACTAGTATCCACTTAATAAACCCACTTAATTCATCCACTTCATTTCATCATTTTGTACGCTTGTCCGGGAAAATTTCAAACAATACGGTTTTTTTTTGTCATACAAGCGTGGTATTGTCACGTCATGGTAAAGCTACAGGTCCATTGGGACTCTACAGGTTTCTAATCCAAACAAAAGTTTTGAAAAGCTTCATTTTTCTGCATCAAAAAAAAAGTCACCTATCAACTGCTTGGACTGAGCCACCTTTGGAAATCTTCGGCATTCCCTGAGATGGAACTCCCCTGGCTGCTGGTCTCCCTGGCAGCAGGATGTATCATATTGAGAACCATATATCGTCTCTATTTACACCCATTAAGCAAAATACCTGGTCCCAAGTTCGCAGCCATCAGCGGACTCTACGAGTTCTACTATGACGTTGTTAAGGGAGGCACCTTCATCTGGGAGGTAGAAAAAATGCACCACAAATATGGTCCTATCGTGCGCATCAACCCCCATGAAGTCCACATCATTGATCCGGACTTCTACGACGAAATCTACGCGTCAGGCTCACGCCGGCGCGACAAGGATCCACGCCAAGTGGCCATGTTTGGTGCGCCCGGTTCTATGGCCGCAACCATAGGCCACGATCAGCACAAAATGCGCCGCGGCCTTGTCCGCGGGCATTTTTCCCGCAAAGCCATTGTCAACATCGAATCTCTCGTCCAAGAGAAACTGGATAAGATGATCGAGCTGTTTCAAGGCGCGCACAAGAAACTTTCCGTGGTTAACACAAGCGATGCATTTGCTGCCCTGACAGCTGATATTATTGCAGTTTACGCGCTGGGCGTTGACCTCGACTTTCTCGATGAGCCGGACTTTAAGAATGACTTTCAACAGGCATCTGTCGAGCTAGATATGCTCTGCCACGTTTTCAAGTTCTTCCCTTGGCTTGCTAAATTGGCGCAGAGCATTCCCGATAGCGTTGTTCGTTATTTGCAGCCCAGTGCCGATAGTCTCTTGTTGGTACAGAAGACTATACATGACCAGTCGGTGGCATCGCTTCAAAAGGCATCGCAGGGCTCTGAAAATGAATCTCAAGGAAACATTTTTGACTCTCTCAGTCACACTTCTGTTCCACTTCGGGAGCGTACCCTGTCTAGACTGCAAGACGAGGGCCTAATTCTTCTTGCGGCTGGAACTGAGACCACGGCGAGAGCATTGGCTGTGTGTGCGTTCCATCTAGCGACAAATAAGCTACTAATGCAAAAGTTGCGATCCGAGCTGAAGGACGTGATGCCTTCGCCGGATTCCCATCCAACCTGGGCTCAGCTCGAACGTCTCCCTTATCTGGTAAGATGCTCGCTTCTCTCTCTCTATTATCATCTACTAACTACGTTCCTAGACCGCAGTTGTGAAGGAGTCTCTTCGACTATCTTTCGGGGCAGTCGGCCGACTTTCACGCGTGGCCCCAGATGAAACACTTCAGTATCAACAATACAGCATCCCGCCGAATGTATGTGTCAGAAATGATTTTTGAGAGGCTCTTTCAATTACTAATAAACAATTACAGACTCCCGTTAGCTGCTCATCATACTTCATTCATATGAATCCTGAAATATTTCCGGAGCCTGAAAACTTCGAGCCTGAACGTTGGTTACGAGCTGCCGAGCGTGGGGATAAGCTACATCGACACCTGGTGGCATTTTCTTCCGGCAGTAGGCAGTGCGTTGGCATGAAGTGAGTGTTCCATGGGCAATTATAACATATGATATATATCAGCTAACTTTCACACAGCCTCGCTTACTGCCAGATGTACTTGACCATCGCGGCGCTTGCACGCCAGTTTGACATGGACCTTCATGAAACCACGGTTCGCGATGTCATGGTCGGTCGTGACTATATTTCACCATTTCCGACTGATGGAGTAGGTAACATCAAAGTTAAATTTTCAGATGTAGCGCAGGATTGAGAGGGGAGGTTTCCGGTATAGAATGAATTATCAATAGATTGAAACATTTGTTTGAATGATGCTGCTCTAATGTTGACCAAAAATTGTCTGTGGTCAGAGCGATATAACCTCAAGTGCTTGGATCAGCTGGTCAATGAAAATACAATGCCTGCACATGTGCACATGCAAGATAAAAATTGGAGAGCAGTACCAGGCATCTCTAAATCTGAAGTTTTTTAAGAGACATCTAGATACAGGGCGCCGTCACGTAAGAAATAATATGTCAATCGAATGTACCGCACGGGCCGGGATCTTACCGGTATTGGGCGGGAAAAAGACGGCCATCTGTGTAGTGCCAGTGATACTCCGATTTGATAAACCTGACTAGCAGTTCGCAAAAGCCACCAAACCACACCGAATAAAGCCGATTTCACGCCACAAAAAGGGCCCGTAATCGCCTGAACTCTCACTAGCAGTAACATCTCCGATGCTAAGGGTGTGGATAATTACAGACAGTCAGAGATTTTAACACATGCAAATATGGAGTATCCTGACATCATTTCATGATCTTCAGTTCCCAAGACCATTGGCGCCGAAACTGATGACAAAATTACGACCTAGGACAAATCGAGCTTCATTGCCTTGTTCAAACTTCAGGGTATACGGACATCGACCAGAATCCGGTTCGTGTTGGGTGGATCGATACCTTGGCGACCCACCCATACTTTACAATTACCTAGCTTGCTTCATTTTCACCACATGGTTTACAGTTGACTCCCTATGTGGGTCTCGAATCGGTGATTTCCGTGGTTCCCACGGCTCACAAGATCGGCAAGCGGCATGCAAGTTGGTTGTGTACATAGATTGATTATTTGGCATCTGGGTCGACCCAGAACTCATCCCGGGCAAAATTTGGTACAGCATTCATATGACATCTGGACGAACCATTTAACGATATCAGAAAACATAAACAAAAACATGGATTCCGGCTGGCCCAATCTTCCAGGCTTTCTCGCCAAGGAACATATGCTTCTTGAAAGCGAAAAAATCATCAGGCCAGCTGCAAACGACCAATTGGCTCAAATCAGCAAAATATCCATCCCAGGCTCCGCAAGGAGACTTGAAGATGTTCTCGAAGACGCAAAGGAGATCTTCTCACTCGGCTTTCGAGTCGGCAACCCGCGATTCTTCTCGTTTGTTCCCTCCCCGGCTTCACCCTGGTCTTGGGTCGGAGACAGTTTAACATCCGCGTACAACCCATTCGGTGGGTGTTTCGAAGCTGCGTCGGGCGTTTGTCAAGTGGAAGAAACCTTAATTGCCTGGGTCGCAGAGCAATTTGGGCTTCCGAAAACAGCCGGAGGACAGTTTGTATCTGGAGGCTCAATAGCGAATTTGACTGCCTTGACAGTCGCTCGCGATCAGCTTTTAGAGGATGGCGAGGCGCGACTTAAGGGTGTTGCATACATTTCAAGCCAGACTCACTTCTGCATCAAAAAGGCACTGAAGATCATGGGCCTCTCAGATCACCAGGTCCGGGTTATTGATGTCGATAACAATTTTTGCATCAATACAGCGCTTCTTGAAAAAGCTATCCTAAATGACATTGACTCGGGCCTCAAACCGTTCGTCGTCATTGCTACCTGTGGAACCACCAACACGGGGAGTATCGATCCCCTGGCTGAGATCTCAGCCATTACCAAAACATATGGCATGTGGATGCACGTCGACGCTGCGTTCGGTGGTTCTGTGGCCTTTTCATATTCCCGGCGCGATGTGATCTCAGGAATCGGCCAAGCAGACAGCATCGCATGGGATGCGCATAAATGGCTTTTCCAAACACACGGTTGCGGTGCTGCGATCTTCCGCGAAAAATTCAAAGCCCTCAAGAGCTTCGCGTCAACGGCCACATACGTGCAAGACGTTGACGAGTGCGCGGACCAAAATCCATGGAACTACGGGATTGAGCTCACTCGACCGGCTCGGCATATGCGATTGTGGTTTTCCTTACAAGTCATGGGCATGGAAATGATCGACCAGATGATATCGCATGGCTTCGCAATCTCTGAATATGCGGAAGAGGAGCTAAGGAAATGCAGCGGCTGGGAGATCCTATCTTCAAGCTCCCTGGCCATCCTTAATTTCCGCTTTGCACCTCTAGGCTTGAAAGAGCCGACTCTGGATGCCATCAACACTCAAATATCTTCCCAGTTGATGGCCCGTAACGTGGCTGTTATTTTCACAACGAAACTCAATGGGATGGTTTCTCTGCGCATGTGCACCATTAACCCTGAAACGACCCGAGATGATATTGCGGATGTTGTCAAGGCACTGGATGATGCTGCAAAGGAAATTCTCACGCAAATTGGATTGAACGGAGTCTGAATGCATAATCTTGGACGTATGAGCGTTTGTACATAAAATAAATTTTGTTCCTGTATTTAGTCTACCTTGATTTCAAAAGTTTCTTCCACAAGCGTTAAATTCATTCATATCAATTGATAGCTTTTTATTCAAACATTCAGATCTTAGATTTCCAATTCTTTCCTTTCCTACATGCATACTTGTGAATGTATTGTTGTACGGTGTACCCAATGTGGCAGAATTCAACCCAGCCATCTCCTTTACCAGAGCTGCCTATTAGGCTATACTATATCCGCAAGGACCGCAACTACTGAGAACTTATGCCGATCTACTCCGTAGATGATATGTGGAGCTGTAACTAGGGAAAGTGGAGTCTGTTTACTTCTCGGTTTCAGAATTGTTGGGCCAAGACACGGATGATTCTGTACTGGAATATTCGCGAATTCGACTAGGCTTATACACGGAGCGATCTGCATAAAAGCGGTCTGATACCTGACGCTTTGGGTAACGCCACACGCGATACCACGAGCAACGCCCCACAGTTTGCATCTCGTCCTCCCGAATCTCGATCATCTAAGACTTTTCTTTACACGAAGAACGCTACCCACAGCTATCCACATGAAAAGTAAGATGAAGAGATTTTTTTCTCCAGCCACACATGCCCCTGCAAGCTAGTTGATGGATCAAAATCCCGTGTTGACGAGTTTGATCGGAAGAATTTCTTACATGAACTTCAAACATGGTATTTGTATTACCGTATTACAGCACGGGGTAATTTACAGTGACAGTAACATTGATGCTCCTAGCTTCCCTCTTTGATGTGGAAACGCGGATTCGAATAGATGGATATTCTCGTACAAAAGTTGACATGTACCTGTTGAACCATGGGATACAAGACTCATGGGTCGTATGAATAAGTACCAATGACAGCTTTTCAGCAGCAACAACCTCAATTATAACAACAATGTCAATGAGCGTGGGCTGCGTGGCTGCCCTGGAATCGAGTATCTCCACCCTTGAAGCTAATATTCAGGGTTTTGTTAGTCCTGTATTATTACTTACGGACTACGGACTACGGAGTTCAAGATTTCTTGAGACGGATCTTTCATCCGCCCCACTAGGGATCGGTGAGTGGCATTAGCTTTCTTTGCAGTTCCTTGAAGTGAGATTCCCCACTGTGACGGTCGATCCTTCAGCTGAATACGAGAAGAAAATGGCCTCTTTGCTAATGAGGACCTGAGATAGCTCCCCTTGAGCTAGGCATACCCACTGTGGCGGTTCATCTCGGCTTGATAGCACACATGTGCAGCAATTGGGCCGTGTTAAGCGATAACCTCGGTGACACCATCCCCCTCTTATCGGGCTCAAAACACCAAGTGCATCTTGGGATACTTTCGTGGAGCCCACTTGAGAGAAGACCTACGAACGAGAAAATATTTTCCCGAACTACCTATACCAGAAATCTCGAAATTTCAAATCAATTACGTGACTCACCATGAGAATCTGTGTGTTACATTCCTCGGAGGAAGGTGGAGACAGTGTGGAGGATTCACAAGAGCTCTGGCCTGATGTGGGAGTTTACGCGCCCCGACACGTCGTGGAGAACAAGTATATCAAGAAACCAACGGCCAAGGAACAGATCGATGAAGCCGTGGCCGAGGGTTATGATTTCTACTTCCAGTTCCTGTGGGGAACGCACGATGATACCGTGAGTGGTATCGATGCCATTAAGTATTTTGAAACGCTCAAGGTGCCCTCAGCTGGTATTCGAGGCTGGGAACGAAACCGGTCCAAGGTCGCTTTCTACACTGAGGCCAGGAAGCAGGGATTCCCACCTGTGCCGGGTGTGGACAAATTCCCCTTATTTGTCAAGCCCGCCTTCAGCTATGCCAGTCTCCTCATCGACCAACACTCTTTATGTCAGAATGAGACAGACTTGGCACTGGCTATCAGTCGTTTGAACACTGGAATGCGAGAGGCACGGGCTCGCAGGGCTGTTGGTTTGGGCTACGCTGACCCGGAAGAATTTGTTCGGGCTTGTGAAGAGGCTGGACGGGACAGCGACGACGTTGTTGTCCAGGAGTACATTGACGGGCAAGAATACTCAGTTGTGGTTCTTGCAATGGGCGAGATCCCCGTGCCCATGCCTCCCCAGCGGGCCAGACTACCTGCCGACAAGAAGTTCCTCACATTCGATGCCAAGTTTGATGGTGAATCGGGCTATGAGCTGTTGAATGAAGCAGAGAACCCCGCTTTGTACCATCACCTCCAAGAGACAGCCGTGCAAGGCTTCAAAGCTGGAAGAATGGCAACGAACAACATGGGATGTGATGTGGATATGCGCATTGGACCGGATGGAAAGGCCATTGTCATTGAGGTTGATCCTATGCCTGTGTGGTTCTTGGCCCCCGGAAACAAATTTGAAGATACGGATGTCAAGCAAGGTCTTGCAGGTCACCAGAGGGCGGCTGTCAATATCTTCATTACCAACCATTTCCTCCGCAACCCTGATCCTAGAAGAATGAAGGAGCTCAGCGAGCTGGAGGCATTCTATGACAACTGCAGTTCGCGTTACGATCAGACAAAATCATTCACCCAGGCCAAGCAAGCTGCTGCTAAAATTACTCAAGATATTTCTTACAACGGAACTATTTTGGATCTTGGCTGCAAGACTGGATTGTTTGGTCAGAATCTACGTGAACAGCAAAAGGCTGCGAGCGATAGTCAGCGATTAATTGGAGTTGACATTTCAAACAAGATGTTGGAGATCTGCCGACAATCTGGACGCTATGATGAGCTCTTCCATCGCTCGATCTTAGAGTTCTTGGCCGACTACAACAACCCTGTTGACCATGTTATCAGCCTGTCTGCTTTCCAACATCTGGCTGTGCCAGAGTTGGACTTCGTTTTGGCACGGTGCTTCCAACTAGCGCGACAGTCTGTCACCATTACAGTCGATAAGAAGGAAGAGAAATCAGAGGATTCAACGGCCTTCTTTTTGGATCACACTGAAGATGTGAAATCCCTGGGATTGCCATTTGGATGGCACCTTGTTACGCAGATTGAAGAGGAAGGAAGCACTCTGTTGCGGTTCGAAAAACGCTAGATTTCCAAGGCTGCATCATCATAATTCAAATACCATCATATTCATATCCAACACGAAAGTAAATGCTCCAGCTCTCAAACTTATAGTTTATTACACTCCACTGCTATATATTGTCGCGTCAGTAATTTAGAGTACATAGGTTCATCTATCTTTCAAAATTAATAGTTCAAATGTTTATCACGGTCTTGGCAAATATACTAAAATAAAATAAAAAATGTAAATAAATCCTGTCATTGATTAAAACCAAGTACCGGATGCCAATGCTCCGTAGGCTCCGTCATATCTCTCCGATGCCAGCCCCATAGTTTTTTACCTGCTTGGCTGACCCACACGGGCCACGAACCCTAGATCAGCACAGAACTATTGAATCGGGCGTGATGCCATCGAGCTTTGGACCCACTCATGCATGCACGTCGCCTAAAGAGGCCAAGCAGAATACCCAGGAAAAGCCAAGCTTGATCCACATTACTTTTTTGTTGAATATTTGTCTTTCCTTCAGCTCAGATCTACTTATTGCTTTGATCTTTCCCGCCAAGTCACGGAATAAATTGACGGGGTGTTAAGAGCGGCCCGCAGATGCTTAGCGTCCTTCCAAGGTTATAACATTTTGATTTGTTTTTGTTTTACTCTTTTTGCAGTCCTTCAAATTGTACACACACCATGGATAATACAAGAGAGGTTTGGGGCTATAAGTGGCGAGCATCACTGCCATTTCTTATGGTATGTGTATCTATTGCTGGCTTTACCGGTAAGTGTTAGGACTGCGCGTGTCACATTACCCACGAGGCGATGCCGCCCATACAAAGAAAGACCTTTTGATAGAAGAAATTAAATCTGACTTATCACTATCTTGCTTGAAGAAACATTCTGCTATGGCTTCATTGTACCCATTTTGCCTTATATGGTCGAGAAGCGCAATCACATTGATCCCTCCAAAACTCAAGAAGTGACTTATCTACTGCTCATGTGCTACGCTCTCGTGTCCACCATTTCTTCAATTTTTATCGGTCACCTAGCAGACAAATTTCATTCGCGTAAAGGCCCTTTGATCTTTTCGCTGGTTTTAACTCTTATCGGCACCATCGCTTTGGCTGTTTCTCAAAATTGTAAGTTTCAAACTTTCTTCGCAGGAACAAGAACCTCAACTATCAATGAAACGCGTTTTTTGACCACTCTTCTTCATTTAACAGTGGCTGGGATGTTTATTGGCAGAATCCTGCAGGCAATCGGTGGAACAGCGGCATGGATCGTCGGTTTCGCTACACTGAGAGATTCCATCGATTCAAAACATATCGGGAAGACATTTGGCATCGTGCGCAGCTGTGTCAGCCTCGGTGCTCTGGCTGGACCCGCGGTCTCGGGTGTCTTACTCGAACTCACTGGCTATTGGATCACTTGGGGTAGTATTCTGCTTATCCTCGCGATCGATGTGGTGATGCGGCTCTTGATGGTGGAGAAACGCAGCCAGGCGCCGAATTCGAATACCGTCGATAATGACAATGGAGAAGGAAATCGTGATCCAGAATCTGGGGATGAGACCAGCCCTCTGCTATCTGGTGACATCGAGCAATCCTCGGATTCCCGTCTGGATGATGGGAGAAAAGATACAAACGTGCAAGTGGAATCTTTCTTCAGAGTCATTTGCTTACAGCCAAGAGTTATCACTGCTCTGCTATGCTCGGTTGTCTACACTGCAATTCTTGCTAGCTACAGCACGACCATTCCTCTTCATGTAAAGGATGCTTTTGGCTGGGGCAGTCTTCAAACTGGACTGCTGTTCATGGGATTAGAAGGCCCGATCATATTGGCTAGTCCTCTTTACGGCTGGCTCCGTGACAGAGTTGGTACACGAATTCCCGCTACACTTGGATTTGGGCTTCTAGCTCCATTGCTATGGCTAGTGGGCGCCGCAGATCAAAAGGGATTCCCTTGGTCAACCCCTCAAAGCTCGGCAGAGTCCACCTATATTTGGGCCATTATTGCTATTGGATTTGTCACCAATCTGATGAGCAGCATTTCAACTATTGAGACAACATGTGAGCACTTCCAAGATCGTAACCTTTCATTACTTTCAAAGCTAATTCGAAATGAAACAGGTGCCGTTGACGAGGCTGAGGAAAAGAAGCCAGGGATTTTCGGTCCCAACGGTGGATACAACCGAACTTATTCTTTGTCTACGTTGAGCGCTTCTGCGGGAATGCTAGTTGGATCTTTCTTCTCAGGTTCATTGTCCGATGCCATCGGATATTATTATATGAACGCTATATTAGGTATGCTCGCCAGCACTTGAAATTCATGCCATTACTAACATTCTTCCAGCTGGAATTTCCCTATTAATGTCAATCATGGCATTAGTTTGCTTAGGAGGCAAGCCTTCAAAATAGATTTGAGAGACTGTTGGAGAGAAGAGACGTGCGATGACCGCCTTTGAGCCTTGTTACTAGAAACTTACGAAATTGATGTACAGGAAAAACCGTAGGGTTTCGTCCTATGAGAACCATTATCTGCGATGTCTTTGAATATAATGTGTATGATGAGGGATTAGACTGAGAAAATACAATGTTGGAGAAATAGAACGAAAGCAAATTGTTCCAAATGTCTTTGATACACTCCAAGGCTGTAACTGGTCAGCACGACAAAAATATCTTGGGTCATACTATGAATATACCATGAAAATTAGAGCTGGGAAGCGCTAGGAATTGCACGCCTTGCCCGCATTCGCCTACTGGCTGGATACTATCAATTACCCCACCTGTTAAAGGCTGTGGATCATGCGATGGGAATAAAGAGAAATTGGAAATGAAAATGAAAATTCCTAAATTCCCTGATAACCCTTCAGCTTGATCTATCAGACCTGGTTATTATAATCCTCTAAGCTCATTCGGAAAATTCACCTGCACATGGTGGGGTACTACCGCCCATAACCAACCCCGCTTCTCCGTTCACCCCCATCATTTGCAGCCAGTGAGACGCGAAAAGGATTCGACACAACCTTTGTTGAAAATTATGAGCGATGGAGGCCCAAATAACCTTGGGATCGGGGTCGGGGATATCGACCCGGCAGTGCTGAGAGGTATCGTACAATCCCAAGGCCTCCGAGTCGACAACCTCAAATTGTTCGCATGTTGACGATCTTCAAGAACTACCAGAAGTATGCAAGGTCATATCTATCAAGACGCGTGGTGAAAGTTTTTGGGCGCACACTGGTCGCATCGACGTCTTGCTTCCTGATGGAACAGCACAGGCATTCTTCGTCAAGGTTATCACGACAGAACTGGGCATGAATGTGACCAGAAGTGAGTTCCAGTCAATGACTGCGATACATAACGTTTTACCAGAATTTGTTCCAAAGCCAATTGCTTGCGGTACCTTCAGTACAATACCAGATACCTACTTCTTCCTCTGTCAATTTCGAGAAATGGGCTCCGAAATGCCCGACCCTCACAAATTTGCCGCTCTTCTGTCATCTCTACACGAAAAAAGCATATCGCCAAATGGGAAGTTTGGATTTCATACCACCACCTACGCTGGAAACCTACCCCAGTACGTGGGATGGGAAGATAGCTGGGAGGCGTTTTTCGCGAAGTCCATGAGACAGGCGCTTGATTTGGAGATCGCAAGGAAAGGGCCCAGTGAGGAACTCGACGCTCTCTGCCTTGCTCTATTCGAAAAAGTCATTCCAAGACTTTTGGGGCCTCTTGAGAGTGATGGCAGAAAAGTCAAACCGTCGCTTGTTCATGGAGACTTATGGTATGGAAATGCAGGGATCGATATCACCAAAGATAATCAACCTTTGGTCTTTGATGCATGCTGCTTTTTTGCGCATAATGAATGTAAGTTCTTCCACTGAGGACTTTAGTCCCCATGCTAATTTGAAAAAAAGATGAGTTTGGTCAATGGCGGCCGGTCTGCAATAGGTTTGGGAATGACTATGTTGCTGCATACAACAAGTTTATACCAATTTCGGAGCCACAAGAGGACTTTGATGGCCGTTTGGATCTGTATAGGCTGTAAGATATCCATGTCTCCTTGAATACTCGCGATTATATCTGGCTAATAATAAGCCAGGAGGTTTGATACACACGTATCGGCGCTTTTTCCTGAAAAAGAGGAACTTCGCACACAGTGAGGACTGCTCTCAACCCACCACCTTGCCTGACGACTAATTCTGTTAACAGAGTCCTTGATGTTATGAGGGACTTGGTCCAGAGATACGGCTAGCTTATGGCAGCTTTGTCGATATCTGTTATCCAGTAAAAATGGCTCAACTATCGCAGTTCTATCTTTTGTCGCTCATAAGTATGAGCTGCGCCTCCTCGATGATTTCTGGTTTCTCGATCAACTCTCTCAGGGGCCGTAGAGGTATGTAAACTTTGGAACCCCAGAGGGAGGATATAAATTTTCAAATGTTATTTAAAAGGTAGAACTATCCAGAGCAGTTTGAGGCGATTCCTCTGAATATCGCAATGCTGAGCGCAAAAGAACCGTATGACAATGTTCATGAGCATCAGATTCAGAGCATGTATGAAAGCTACTCTATTCTGGGAATAGTCTGCATCCACTGAGAACCAATCACGTGAGTATTGTGTAATCATTAGTATCCTCCAACCTCGGATCCGAGCCCGTGCTGACATTTACACAAGTAACATAACAGCCGCTCAAGTGGGAAAAAGCCCCACACGTCAGAGAAAAGCATACAGTTGATGATGTATACGCAACGCTAGCAACAAACACAATGACCTAGTCTGTCCAAACAGATGACTTCAACTTCTCCTCGTTCTCCTTAGCCTTGGCCAGTTCCTCACGCTCACGATTCCGCCTCTTAATCTCCTGCTCCTTCATGGCCCGATCATAAGCCCGCTCCTCCTCCGTACGCTTCGGCGCCCGAATACCCAATGCACCCGCAATAAGACGACCAGCGACAGCAGTCTGCTTCTCCGGGCGCCTAGCTGGACCGGAACTAGAACCTCCCTGCCCACCAGCAATAGGTGAGCCCAACCTCACATGACCCCAGGGCTCTGAAGTTTGCTGCGAGATAGGCGTGGGTGGGGGATCGAGTGGGCCTTCCGTGCTCAAGGTAGGAGAAAGGATGGATGGTGAAGCAGCGGAAGGGGGCTCGTCGTCTGAAAGGTCGGCCTCGTCTTCCCATGAATCCGCAACGGGCTCTTTAGCTTTCTTTGTTGGCTTTGGCTTTGAGTTGGACGTAGTGGAGTTCGACGAAAGACCCTTCACCGTAGGTCGTGAGATGTCCTGCACCGGACCTTTTTCGCCAATGGATAGCCTGCGGAGCGTGTCCTGCAACTCAGCGCTCGGATCAGACATGGTGCGGTGGGGTTGGGAGGGACCGGGGGAGATATCGAGGTGGAAGCGGGCAAAATCGAGTTTTTGTGCGCGGGGGTCGCTTGTAGGTGAGAAGTTATATATAGATTTTCCCGTATGAAATCCCGTAGGGAGCAAAGAAATAGTATGTATGCTCCTATGCAAGTAAAGAAGATTAAAGGTGATGGCGTCAGAGCGACTAGCGCAACCTTGGTCGATCGTGGAGAAATGTCGGGGCTAGACCAACCTGGGCGGTACCGCTGCCTTAAACGGGAGGCATCACATGGGTTCCCCAAGATCGAAGCAGGTTTTTGATTTACAGTTTTCAGGTTCAGGTGCTTGAAACACCGGCTGTTTGAAGTAGATCCATTCACGAGGTTGCCGAGGTTAGGACTTGATCCTGTATCACCGACTCTAATATCTGATATAATTTGAACAATATTTACTCTATAGCTCTAAGGAATCTACCCAAAGAAGTGTTCCTTCAACATACATTCGACTGTACAATGCACTTTCCAAGCCCAGTTATTGTTGGGCGAGTGCAATGACCTTTTTTGCTGCCTCTCCAAACCCATCGAATGCATGGAGAGGAAGCCCACTCTCGGCAATCTAAACCGGTGTTTGTTAGCCAACTCAAGTGCTGGTGCTAATGTTTCGTGGAGACGACCTACCATTTTCTGACCAAGCTCCTCATTTGTTCCACGCAAGCGCACCACGACAGGCACCTGCATATGCAAGTCTCGGAATGCTAGAATGATACCCTCTGCGATCATGTCGCAGCGTGTCAAACCGCCAAAGATATTAACGAAGATTGCCTTGACTCGTGGGTCGGAACAGATAATTCGGAAGGAAGCTTTGACTGTCTCCGAGGTAGCCTTGCCACCAGTGTCAAGGAAATTGGCACAGTGACCACCGTGAATAGTGAGGGCATCAACAGTGTTCATGGCAAGCCCTGCCCCGTTCACTACCAATCCTGTTAGTTACAAATAGGTGACCAACGGGGTTGGCAAATAAGCATACCGAGTGTTCCAATGCTACCTTCGCCTTCAAGCCTGTGTTTTGTTAGTGCTGCCCAATTTACAATTTTGGCAAAACTTACTTGACATAGACTATTCCATCCTTCTCAGCTTCAACCTCCTCGGCGACTTCCTCGGCAGTGTTTCGCAAAGAGTGAATCTCTTCCTGGCGCCCCGAGCTTCGGAATGCGGCGTCATCAAACCCAAATCGAGCGCCATGAACTTCCAAGTGACCACTAGCAGAAGTTCCAACCCGAGTCTCTAGCACGAAGGCCTCCTTCTCCTTGTATATTTGCCACAGAGCTTGGATCAGGGTTGCGAGCTTGCCTTGGGCTGATGATGGAAGGCCAACGTGTGAAGCCACGTCAGAAATAAGGGAGTTGTTTCCGAGCTCAGTTTCGGTGTAGCTGAATGGAAAACTGCGAGACTGGGTAGGATTGAACTTTGCGTTGGGAGATGCAACGACGCATGGCGATAAAGAAGTACGGTCAACTGAGATGGAGATAGACACGTCGGAAGGAGAAGTCTGCTCGTTGACAGGAACAGACTTCTGCTTCAGAATGTCAAATGCCTGAAACTGCTTGATGTAGAGTCCGCGTTTCTGCTGAGCTGGTCTGAACACCGGGGTGACACGTCTCATTGTATGAATTCCGCGCTTTTGGGCGCCTGGACCTGAAGAAGCCTGCGGGATGTTAGCATAGTTCTGCAAAACCACACGTGGAACTTACCTGTGCGACAGGCCTGCTTGCTCCAGTGCCTAGCAGTGTCTTCATTCCCTCGCCAAACTTCTCGGGGTGATTGACCATGACAGCACCAGCACGTTCAAGTGCTTGGTACTTAGTCTGACCGTCTGGCTCTCCGGGTGCACACCAAGCACCAGCATGTCCCATGATCCGACCTGGTGGCGCTTCCAAGCCACCAACGAGGGCCATAATAGGCCTGCATATGGTAAGCCAAGAACCTGCAAGACTCTATGAGCAATGACTTACTTTGGGTTAGCAGTTCGCTGCCGGTAGTCCTTGATCCAATCCGCGGCATCCATTTCAGCAGTGCCACCAATCTCACCAACAAGAATAATTCCCGCAGTATCAGAATCGTGCTCGAAGATCTTGAGAGCGTCCACAAAGTTAGTACCAGCTAACACATCTCCACCCATGCTGATACAGAGACTTTGCCCCAGTCCAGCTCGAGTTGTTGATGCGACAGTCTCATAGCTTAGTGTTCCAGACTTGGCCACAATGCCGATATTGCCTGGTGCGAAACAAGGCAAGGGCTGGAAACCGATGCGACACTTGCCGATCGCCGATATGATACCAGGACAGTTTGCACCGACAAGTCGAGTCTTAGATTGTGTTTGCAGCATAGAATGAATCTGTAATTACAATTAGAAACAAAAACGGAGAACCAGTTCAAAATCGAAGGTTACTGACCCGGAGAATGTCATGGATAGGAACGTGTTCAGCCACAGCCACCACCAACGGGATTTCTGCCTCAATTGCCTCCTCAATGGCCTTTGCAGTCTGGTTTCCTGGAACATAAATTGCAGATGCATCAGGCTTGGCTCGTTCTTGAGCCTAAACGAGCGTCATTTCTCATTAGCTCCAGTAGAGATTTCAAATGGAGGTAGTGTAATTGCGTACCGCTTTGACAGAAGGGAAGATTGGGAGCCCCAGGTGTTCACCTTCAACCCCAGGTTTCACCCCTCCGACAATTTTGGTGCCCCATTCCAACGACTCTTGGACATTAGCAGTCGCCTGCCGTCCTTTGCGTGGGTTAGCGAAGCAGGAAATGTGCATTGGAGTCTGCAAGTACCTACCAGTAAACCCTTGAAACAGCACTTTCGTATGAGCTCCAATCTTAAGGTTGTGAAGGGTATCGGCATAATTAGCGTGGCGCGGGGATGTGGAAAAGCTCCGAGTCAAGCGCAGTCCCGTCCGGGGGGCGCGTCTTGGCAGGGAATGCAGCGCCATGTTCGGGATTATTTTCTGTGTGATCTACGCAGTGAATAACTCATGCGTTCAATTGGTCGTTCGCTGCTTTATATGCTCCAATGGCTCCCGGTTCTCGCACGTCGTCTGTTGAGTCGGAGTCGGCTATTGATCTCGAAGTCGGCTATATCCGGTTTCGGGCCTTCCCCGCACCGAAGATGCCGTTAGTTGATGCCTGGCGGTTCAGGCAGAGAAGTTTAAAGAAACCTAACCTTCGAACTATGTTTATACATAGATGGAAAATACGTATACATGGGTTGTGAAAATGGTAAGCTTCATCTTAAGAGGTAGCAACAGGAGTACTGAGGTAAAAGATGTTGCAGTATGTCGAACTTTTTGTCCGCGAACTGATTTCCAACCATATTTTTTGTCCATACTGCTCCAGGCGCCGGGGACGCAATTCGATTTCGCCGAGGTCACAAACCAAGAAGACCAATGACTATAATCCAGTCTCAAATTATGTCAGCTTGAAGTTTGAAGCTTTTGGATGTGTTGCTCAGGTGGGAAACATACGGAAACCCAAATCTCACCCGTAGAAGAATTTGGCAAACTTGGAATGCAGCACAAGCTCAATGCTTTGTAGCAGTACCTTGCAGAAAGTATCAGCGCTCAGACTCAACAATAATAAGGAGTACCCGGGGCTCTGCAGATGAAAATGATATTAGCTACACACTTCGTGGAGCCGCGGCTGCTGTCTTCGGGTTTGTTCGTATCTGATGTAAGTTAGTCTCAATGGAGGATGTCGTGGATATCAATATCGAAAGAATGAGTGCAATGCCACATTTGCATTCCAAGCATATCAAGATACATATGTATGTGATTTAAAAGTAGGGTAATAGTGTAAGATGAACATTGGGACAGCTGGAGGTTAATTGCACTCAGCTTCGTGAGATTTCTTTGACGGTAATAACTGTGACCCCATTGGGCCTGGAGACCAGGCAAGGGAATCTATCGCATGTTGATTTGCACCAACTAATTTTCCACAACATTATGCCATTGACTTTCGACTCCATTTACTCGTTCCCCATGAACCTTGAGGAGAAAATTTTTGTACGAGAGTGATAAGCTGCTTCTACTGTATGAATGGTACAATTTTCAAATCTACCAGGAACAGGGGGAACAAAAGATCAGGAGAAAAAGCTGTATTAGAAATGCATTTATCTCATCCCATTGAAAAATGTCGTCCCATATCAATGCCTCTATACTCTACATGCTCTCCTCTCTCTGATCCCATCAGCCCAAAAATTACAAAGGAAAAAAAAAAAAAAGGAAACGAACCGTCTATATCCAGATCATGTTTATTGTCATCTAAAATTATTCTCAGACACATAGGGGACAAAAGATCAGAGATACATCAGGTTTGTAGCTTATGAGGCTGTTGTAGCAATTGAGATGGAGCAACCTGGTTGGTCGATCCTAAGCGACCTGGTTGATCTGGGGGGTACCCCCAGCATCTTCCCTGGGGTATAAATACTGCGTTCCCCCCCCCCCTCTTCCTCTTCCCCTTTCTTTCCTTCCTTTCTTCCCCACCACCAATTTTTTGTTTCTTTGGACTTTCTTCCATTCCATTCATGCATCAACCTTGGACATCTACCATGCATCCATCACATGCTTCCATCATGCATCCATCTTATACAAGATACATCACATGATATCATCTCATACTTCTATCATACATCTATCTCATACAACATACATAACATGATATCATCTCATGCTTCCATCATGCATCCATCTCATACAACATACAGCACATGATATCATCTGATGCTTCCATCATGCATCTATCTCAGATATCAATCTGTATCTACTCTCTTTGACACTGTCTTGCTGATCAATGGGCTTCAAGGTATTGTTTACAATGCTGGTTCCCTAAGACTTCACACTGACTTCTCAGAGACCATACTGGTCAACAATATATCCAGCTTGGCTCGATAAGCTTCAAGAAAACAAAACAAAAAAACACAAAAACACAAAACACAAAACACAAAACACAAAAAAAGAAACACAAAAAAAAAACACAAAAAAAAAACACAAAAAAAAAAACAAAGTCTTGGGGTTATTCGGATTCGGTCAATGGCAAAGAACAACATGCAGCGTGGAGGCACAATCTGCAGGGCCATTGACTTCAGCGATGAGGAAGCATCGAGTGTCTGAGATGTGATTTGGGAAAAAGAACAAAACAACAAAACAGAACACACAAAACAAAAAAGAAAAAAACAAAAAACAAAAAAAAAGCCTTGAGGTTATTCGGTCAATGGCAAAGAACGACATGCAGCGTGGAGGCACAATCTGCAGGGCCATTGACTCTAGCGATGAGGAAGCATCGAATCGAGTGTCTGAGACGTGATTTAAAAAAAAAAAAATACAATCAAAAAATAAAACAATCAAAAACAAAAAAGGACTCATTGCTAGAGAAGCATTGAGTAAATGAAACAAGATTTGAAGAACAAAAAAGAAACAAAATACAACAAAATACAACAAAAGAAAAAAAAGAAAAAAAAAACCCCAAAAAAGAATTCAGGAGCAACAATCCCTTGAGGCCATCGGGTCAGTGGCAAAGAACGACATGCAGCGTGGAGGCACAATCTGCAGGGCCACTGACTCCAGCGATGAGGAAGCATCGAATCGAGTGTCTGAGACGTGATTTGGAAAAAAAAAAAAAAAAAAAAAAAAAACAACAACAACAACAAGAACAACAAGATCATCATCATTCAGCAGACAAGACGAAGGAAAAGAAGAAACAGTTCTCGAAAGTCTCCCACAGGACTTGCAATCGATCGCTCCGAATCTTGGAACACCATCTCCTCAGAACGCTGCACTCGTGCTCATCGACGGCATTGATACTTCATCCGTCTCTCGTTCTTCTTGTCTGGTTACTACTCGATGGATTGAAGAAGGAACTTCGGCAATATGTGCCTTGTCTGCCTGGTTTTTCATGTTGTGTTGATGAGAAATATGTATTTATTTTGGACATTGTGCCATTGTTTACAATGGCTGCAGCGGCTGTTCATATGGGAAGGGAGCTTTCTGGGTGTACTTGAAGTGAAGGTTACTGTTTATGTTGATTTGATGCCTTCACTTGCTTCTGGTTATGAGACCCATGTTTCTCTGCCTCTTCTTTTCTGCGTTCAATTATCAGTGTCCGTCAATATTCCGACACAGGAACAACCAGCACTTTGTAGGTCAACATTGAAAACTTGCAGACATTTCCAATTGACACTTTCTTCTTGTTTAATTGCATATCACGTAATTGGACAACATTCAAATGTTTCTTAGTAGCAATTAAATCTTTGAATTGCATGTGGCTTCAATGTTGACGGAACACGAATAATTTTCAAGTTTTCGTTGTTGAAGGTTCCAAAGCACTTGAGTTCGAATAGAACATTCAAGAAGGGCCACATGGTTTGAGGCTGGTTACTGCATATGTACATACTCATGTGCAAGTGCTACATAAGTACTAGTTGACTACTATTGAAGCCAGAGAACCCTGGATGTCGATGTGCATCTGGACTGTCAACTGGTACATATGTCAAATGTTCAACATTGATCAATTGACTCGTTGTTGAAATTATATTCAAGTGTTTGAGATTTGTTCATTCGGACACCATGTGGATGAAAAACTTCAACATTGAATGTCAACTGGAAATATATATTCCTGTTGTACAGTGTGTAAAATGAAAGTAGGTACTGGTAGTGATTGATTATTTATACAATTTCAGTTCGATCTGCCCCTTCAACATTACTATTGAGAATAAATAATTAGCAACCTCGAGTTGGAAGAAAAAAAATCAAGAAAGCCATGAGAAGCCCTGGGCTGAACAAACCTTGACGAAGCATTCTCCCAATGTTGATTCAACGAGACCATTTTTATGATCGCATCATTATTATCCCCGGCCGGCATCCTCGATTGTTCATGACTCGCGATAAGCTGAGCGGAATCCGTCGAGCCCCGACGCGCACAGCTACTCAAATGGCTGCGCATGAACTGATTTCGACCCTCACTCGATGATGTAGGACCATCATAGATATGAGCAGATTGCTGATCGGTTTTGCGGTGGCGGTTGAAATATCCTTTGACGGAAGACGAGTTCCGGCGAGTCCAGCTCGTCAGCACGTTAACCGCTGGAAGACAGGCGCAGATTAAGCCGAATCCCACTTCAGCATTTCTGCGAGGAGGAATAAATTAGTCTATCTTGAACCCCAGAACGATAATGATGTTGATTCCCTCAGAAGGGTGACGAAACGTACGCTGTCAAGATTGATTTCATAAACTTTGTGGTTGCATCGGGCTGGTTTCTCTCATGAATCCCGATAACCATTCTGTAAAGACTGAAGGCCACAGCCACACCACCAAGACCAAGGAGGACGATGACCTTGATCTTCTTCCAGAACGGCATCTGCAACTTCCAGGTGAAGGCCACTGGGAAGGCGAAAATGGCGGCGTCTGTGACCGTGCCGATGACGGAGTCGGCGATAATGACACCGGGCTGACTGAGACATGTCGCGTTTGCTTTTTCAGATTGAATCCAATAAGCAGAGACTGGAACGCAGATGAAGATTTTAATAAATGTGATGATCGTGTAGTAGCCGATGACTGTGCCGAGCAGGACGTATAATGATACCATGGCCCTGTAGTAAGGTTGGAAGACTCTGATCAGAATGGTAATTAGGCTAATTTTCACGAACAATGCCGTTGGGGCATAGAGAGCTGTGGCAACATAGGAGATCTGCGAAAAAGCAGGTTAGTGAATAGTTCCAGTAGTACAATTCGAAAGGTTCTTGCCTTGATGCATTGCTGGTATTGGTCTAGGCCCAGTTCTTCGTGGTGAATAGAGCACCCAGAAAAGCCATCTATAGGAAACATGTAAGCCAAAGAAAAGTCCAAATTTTGGGTTGATCTGCGATCGAACATACAGATTAAGGCATTGGTGCAATACCCCATAAAAAGGAACTGACGATCAAAACTATCAGTCAGAATAGATATGCGAGATTTCTGGCGACAGAACGTACCCATCCAATAAAACAAGATGCTGAGTAAGATATTAGCATGGGTCAAATGTGACATGTCGGTCGCATACATACCATCATCGATGCCGAGCCCATTCATGAGCTTCCATCGCACGAAAATTCTTAGAAACACAAAGGGAGTGACGATGACAATGCAGAGAATCTGTGTTGCGTAATTAATCAGGAACAGAGTATTCCTATCGTGGACTGTTTTGGACATGACATGGGGTGCAAAAGAGTGGCGCGTGTCATAGGGGTTAAGAATTTCAAACCCCGGCATAACCCCAGTTCCACCGAGATCGCTTGAGGTTAGTCAGCGAGATCCGATCGCCACTCATGACGTGGCAGACACGGGATATTCATTTGATCTCTATACACACTTTCTGGGAATCCATTTGCATCTCAGGGGTGGTTGATTTACTAATTTGAGTCGTTCTAGTATCTCTGTTCCTCACATTTCTTTGCATCTTTCTCTCTATCTGACTAGCAGCCGCTACTGAAACGCCACATGTACCCCAGGTCTTGGAGGTGAGAAGTGGATCCTGATTAACCAATTAGGAACCCCCGTCTACGCCTAATCTATGCCAAGTCCGATATCTCGATCTCGTCCAGTGTCTATCCACTCATTCCATTGAACCCATCAATTGACAATCATCATCAAAATGGCATTGCATTCAGAAATGGAGTATATAGCAGAAATATTAACCAAGCACAAAAACCCAAAGAACCGAGATCCGAAATCAATATTCATTGAGATGCAACTTCTTCCCGACAAACCGCCTCTTCTCCGGTGTTGCCCTCTGGTCCCGCTCAGCATTCACACCCTTAAGCGCGTGGAGTAGCATTCCAGCATCGAAGAACCCATCTAGAATAAAATCAGTCTCAGATTCAAGCGGTGTCAAAAGGGGGTATACTCACATCCTCCCATTCCATCATCTTCCAGCTCCGCACTATCAGTCGTCGTACCAGGCGTCTCGGTACCACCATAGACAATTCTCCCTCGGCGCTGGAGATCAGACTGAAGTTGCTCGGCCAAGGCCTCCGTCTCACGGGCACGGCTTGTCCGGGGACTGGTAGTCTTGCGATTGGTAGCGCGTAGAAGTTTCCGGATCTCAAATAAATACGATTCAAGCGTCTGCATCAAACGAGAGGTTTGTCTGTGTTTGGAGGAAGCACAGAAAGAAATACTCTCGTCCTTGATAATATAGCCAATTCCGAATCCATCAGCAGACGTAGGCCCGAAGCCAAAATGGCGCAGACACGGGTTTCCGCAGTTTGAGGTCGATAGGATGGTGTTGTTAATCTTGTCCCAGCCTGCATCACTGAAGATGGCGGGCGAAGGTGGCGAGGCGGTTCTGTAGCCACGACTACTGCCACTGGCGGGGGAGGAGAGCCCGTCGTCTGAGACAGCAGAGAGTTTGGGGGAGTCGTTGCTTTCACTGGGGCTGGAGTACTCGACGGAACTGGTATCGTGGAAGAAACCATCGTCGAAGGAGCGTTGCCACAGACAGTATAGTGCGTATAAGTGGCGATCCTGTCCTTCGCCCTTGGAGCAGTCTTTTGTAATGGCGGTGTGTCGCTGGGTCGCGGTGCGGAGGGAATCTATCTTTTTCTCGGCGGGGTTTTCACCCCAGAACGTGCGTACAAAGTCTAGGCATTCAGGTGTGACAGTGCGGACTGCTTCCGTGCGGCCATGGAGGAAAAATTTGGTCATTGCTGGTTCGTACGTATTTTCGACGCGGCCGTAGAGGCCGTAGTAGGCTGCCTGGAAGGCCATCTGTACGAACGCATCAGGGGAGAATCCCATGGAGGTGATAAAGTTCTTTCCAAAGCCCTCAAAGTCGAGGACTTGGAACTCGTGTTGGTGTAACAGATCTGAAAGGTGGGATTCGGCGAAACGAAGGGCAATGTTGAGTTCGGGTACCATGTCCCATTCCAACTTGCGTGGGGTGGTGCTGACGTTTCCAAAGCTACGGGGATCGCGCTTGGCTGGGTCAGGACTAGAAGTTGCCCAGAGACTCGGAGCTTGACCATTGATTGTCTTGGCGAAACGAAGGATCGTATCCGTATAGACATCACTGGCAAATCGCAGAACAGTGTGACCATCAACGCCCGTATGCTCGAAATTGATACCCGCGCTTCCGTTCTTGCACACGATGATCTGCAGCTTATCGTACCATCGGTTGGTACAAGTGCCTACCTGAACGCCCTTGACTACCTCACTGGTACCGCAAAGCATGTTTGCGCAGAGCTCGCCGGTATTAGAGGGCTCCGTGTCATCAAGGCAAAGCACAAACAACGCGGTATCAACAATATTAAGGCACTCGGCATTGTTTGACGAGGGATCCTTGGTCATTATATCTCGTAGACCTGACCAGACCTTTCGATTCTCTGTGCTAAGAACGCCCAAGGCGCCTTTGGCAGCTTCTTGGAGGGGAGTTTGGGCTGCGTCGTCAACGATAACATGCAGATTGAGTGCGATGTCACGTTCAGTCATGATGAGATCGCTGTTGTCATCCAAGACGTCAAACCAGTAGAACTGACCTCTGCACATCACGACAATGTGTTTCGCCTCTGGGTCTTGACTGATGACACAGCCATTGTCAGTGGGAAGACGTGCCGTTCCAAAGAGTCGCGAGTACTGATACATGCACAGCGGGGTCCCCCGCACAGTGTCAGGCGGGAGCTCTTCTCTTCGGACGGCACGTACAAACGACAAGGCCGATGCAACCAACGATGCAGCGCGAGTGACTTGATTATTGCGAGCAGGTGTCGGGTCATCCTCCAGCAGGAAGAACGGGTTCAAGTTCAAGACGACGGCTATTTGCGAAATCAGCTACATTCAAAATGCCCAGTAGAGGTGTGCGACTTACAGCTATCAAAATTCAAATACGAGTCGTACCCTTAGGACTAGGTCAGTTTTCTTTAGTTCTTTTTACAAAAAAACAGACAAATCTTACAGAACTGTTCAATGAAGCTTGTTTTTGAAGAAGCGTAGTTCTTCAATTTCTCCTGGAGGGCAGGCCCATCATTTTTCAAAAATTCCCGAACAGCTGCCTTGGTCTCCTCATGCTCACTCGGAGTTTGCAAGGCAACAAGAGCGTCCAAATGCCGACGACACGTATCCTCCAAATCGGGAATAGGAAGTTTCGGCAAAGAATCCTGATTCGCAAAGGTTAAGCCCTTTTTCTTGGGCTTGTGAATCTCAACAGCCTCTGATTCGGGCCGATCGGCCGAGACATTCGGCCTCATGACCGTATGTCCCGACAGATCTGAGGATTTAGCATCGGGATTCATCGCATTACCAAGTGGTTTGGGTGCGGTGAAAAAGCGAACTGCCATGGACGAATAAGACATGGTGTTAGTGGGTGGAGCTAGACTCGATCAGGTGTAGCGACAAGCAAGGTGAGTTGGGAGGGAGAGGAGCCGTAGAGCAGTGCGGTAGAAATAATGGCAGTCTTGGAGGCAGTATGATGGCATTGAAGCTACCTCACTGGGACGGAATTTCAAGAAGAAAGGAAGTAAACCAAACACAAGGGTGACAGCAAAAGTCAAATGATCGGCTTGGGGGCCCGAAGCACATGTTATATACAGTAGGTGAGTAGAAACCCATATCACATCCCTCAGACCCCACTAAGAAATTTGACAACTGTGTTTTTTTTGGGTCGAACTAGGCTCGGGTTGAAGGGAACGGGCAAAGGGACTAGACTTACGGGTGCTAGGGTCTTGACAAAACGCGGGATGTGGAGTTTTGGGGGGTTCGCTGGGGCGCTCGAGACGCAGTGATAGCGCCGGAGGAACGGATGCTGTCAGATGATTTAGCTCAGTAAGCTAACTTAGCTTGGCGGTCCACCTCTATCAGCCAGGACTGGAAGAATTGAGCAATTCCTAGAGCCCCTAGAGCTCATACTTGGATCCGACAAGGAGGTAGGAAGCGACAGGAGAGATGGAGTCGCTTACCGATGTAGTTAGGCACAAGGCTGGTTCAAGGTTGGTTCATTTGACAGAGACGAACGTGGGGTTGAGCTAGCTGCAGAGCTACTGTACAGACGCGAAAACCTAGATTAGTGACAAATGAGCACCAGGATAGATTACAAGACACTGGTAAATATAGCAGAAGGATTTCGCTTGTTATTAAAACTAATCCACAGTGCGGGATAAGTGGAGTGTAGAGGGACCTGGTCTACGATGACGTCTCGGGTGAATGGAGCTTCGAAGCTTTAGTGGATTGGGGTGTTTGTGTTAATTGTGTTATTTGCTTTGTTTGTTTTGTTTGCATTGATTCACTATGGGGCACACGTGATCAGGCATTCATCTCACATTGTACATCACATTGGGGGGCCGTATTTTTCTATCCACAAATGGGCACAAGATCGCTAGGAGACACCAGAGTCCAAAAAAGGAATATTCACAATTGGTAAAAGGATTCCACATGTCCTTCTGCCGAGGGAGATACGGCATCAGGTACCTTCGCAGTACATACAACCTCTTCGGGAGCGTGCCCCCGAAGATAGGTACCCGATGCCGATCTCTTCCCGGAGGTCCGGGCGAGGTCACACCGGGTAGGACATGCAGAATATCAAGAATTGAAGATAAAGAAAAAATGATAACTGAAAATGCAAAAAGTGAATGCAACTAACTTTGTTGGGAGGTGGATGAAAATGTTCAAGGGAGGGAGAGAGGCTTGCAATCACTCCAAGCAGCCTCATGGGAAGGATATAGGATTCCTTGGAGGCAGAAGGTATACAGACATGCTTAAGCGGTGTAGGTGGCACCTCCATCAGGCTGCAGAACGTTGTCACCGTATTCACCGCCGACGTTACCGACTGGCGAGTAGTTGCAAACGGTGAATGGCAAGGCATCGCTGGAGTCAACGTCGCCTAGAGGGTCACAGACCACAGTAGCACAGCCAACGTGAGTTGTAGCCTTCCACACAATTTGACTGAAGTGACCCCACTTGTCAAAGTCAGACATGCTGGGGTCGGACTCGCCGTAAGGGGTGGGGAAGTATTCGATCTCATCGTTGTACATCAGATTGGTGATCATAACACCGACATCGCTGGCTGTGACACCGTATCCGATGTTCTGACCGTAGCCGCCGCCATCGATTGAGCTGCAAGGGGGGAATAAGAATCAGTTTCATGTTTCAGGATGATCGGCTGGGTGCAGAATAAACGGGGTGACTTACGTATCATGCTCATAGGTACAACGAGCGGCAAGGGTGTAAGCGCTAGACTCAAGATCGGCAGACCACTCAAGCGAGGAGACGGAGTGGTTGCTGCGGTGAATGTTGTGGTTGTAAAGCACCTGTTGCTGGTAGGCGTTGGTGGCAGAGGCGGTGGCAGTGGAGGCGCTGGAGGTCGAGGTAGCCAGGGTCGACGAAGCTGCGGAAGGCTCAATAGTCGAAGTCCAAGCGGTAGAGTAGTAGGAAGTCGAGGCGGCCTCGGTCGGCGCAGCCTGAGCCACCGAGGTGGTAGTGGTGTCGGGAGGGACGGTGGATTTCTTATACAGGTCGGTATTGACCTCGACGGTAGCGGCGGGGGTAGTCGAAGTCTCGGCGACAGACACAGAGGTGGTCACAGCGTCGGGCACAGAGGTGGTGGTCTCAAACACAAAAGGCACCTTCTTGACAGCGGGAACAGTCTCGGTAACGGTGGGCGCGGTAATGGTCTCGGTGACGGTGACGGTGGTCCAGTCGGTAACGTAAACACGCTTCTCAAAGGCGCTGACACAGCCAGCGGCCAAAGCCGCAATCAACAAAGTAGAGCGCATGGCGATCACAAATCAAGGTTTCTTAACGCTTCTCCAGGAAGATTGTTATAGGTAGTTTCTTTGGATGGTCAACACGCAGATCGACTGCGTGGACTAAAAAAGAGTGATTGTTTGAGCGCTGATAAAGGAATGACAGGCTCGAACACTTATTTTTCCTTCAAACGAGTGAAAGGGAAAAAAACAAGTGTGATCGAGCTTTGAAGTTGGATTGAAGAGCGATAAGGTGGAGAGAGAGAAGGGGAGGAAAGTCGAAGTAGATGTAGAAAGGGGAGGGAAGCTAAGTGGATTTTGTGGGGCCGTGCGATTCCAGGGTAAAATTGCGTTTAATTGATTTGGGGGAAATTGCACTTTTTTCCCAAGCTTTCTCGTTTGATATTCGATTTTGTTTATATGAAGAATAATAATGAAAAACTCACTCTCAAACGCCCTGTCTATCTATACTTATTGCTTTTTCATTATTCTTTCCAACCTCACGAGAAACTGTCTGGCTCATACCAGAACCCGCCACTCGCAGGCGTGGGACATTCTACATTCCAACGCGTCTCCGAAACGATTCGGATTGGCCCGTCCTAACAGCAAGAGGCTGGGCTATGGAGCAACACGAAAATCACCTTAAATTATTCTCCGGGGCTTTCCAAAGAGTTTTACTACAGCAGAAAAAAAAAAAGAAGAGAGTACAACTTTTGCATCAAAGCAAAATTGAAATTATTCTGGCCCCAGATGGCCCTGAAATGACCCTGTGGGCGGATCCTCAATCACACACGAACCCCACTACTTATAGCGCCGCTCTTCTCCGTTTTAGGGGCCCACGCTAACTGTAGCTGCCGCGCGTACAGGGATCGTTGATTTACGCAAGGCCCAGAAAGTGCCGGTTTCACGAAATCACAGATCGTGATTTTTTTTTCAGTTTCGGTTTGTTGGTCCCGTGCCAATCAAACAAAAAAAATAATAGGATGGAGACCTAGACAGGTACACGGGGGAAAGGACAAAGCATATTTCATATTAAGGCTATATAGTACGGAGTATGGCGCACACTAAGGGGTACAGGATCCAGGCACGAGTTTCAAAGTGATTTCATGTGTTGATCGTCTTACACCAATCACATTGACCTACGGGAGATTATCCACCACAACGGCGCATACGCTAAGAAACTTGGCTTCGGGTCTGGTCCATTCGGCAACGCCACTCTGCACGGTTGTGATTTAGGATTGATTAAATGGTAGACGCGATGTAATGTAACGTGTTTCAGCCTTTAAATTATGCTACCACAATCTCGAATCAGTCAGATCCCACTGCTCAGTTGTGCAACGATGTCATACCGTCTGAAGCTTATAGCTTGCAGCAGTATATAGGTAAATGGGGAACAGCACTAGTTTGTGTACACTTAGGGCTTGGGTCAACACAGGATAAAACAAGGAAGTTCAATAATTGAGTTCAGTCCACATGATATCACCGCCGATCGTAGCAATCAAGCCTTTTTTCTCTTTCTCTTTATGACCGAAATTTGGGCAAAGCGTAGATCCGATCATAATTATGCCAATTTCGGGGGTGACAGGGATTAATTAGCCATGGGCAAAATGGGGCAGACGGAATACGGAGTACAAAGTGTGCTCAAATTACCAAGGACCTCGGGGATATGAAGTCAAAAAAACATAACATCCTGAATTTCTTTCTTATTTTTTTTGACGGGAAAATCTAGGCCCTGTGAGTAACCTTATATGCTGTGTAGACAATGTGAGCTTCTCTATATGGGGTTTGTGATATTCCCAACCTCACTCATAATTAGGGAGTGCTCAACCCAAGTTGTACAGAGTGCGGTAGCTACGGTAGCTACTACCGCTGCTTCCGATGGTTGAGATCCCGTGACGCTGCTTCTCCTAGTGATTCATTAGTACATCTACCCCACAAGGCCGCTTATTTCCACGCACTGGGCTTGTGGTTTAGTGGTATAATACTCCCTTAGCATGGGAGTGGTCCGGGGTTCGATTCCCCGCGAGTCCATTTTTTTGGAATTTTTTCTCCGCTATAACTGGAAAGAGGCATTTTATTACTCTGAACTGGTTTTATTTCGATTTATTGATACTTCTTCTAATGAGAGACCGCAAGTCTGTACAATTGGGTCGCTAAGGCCTCGCAATAGCAAGCCCGCTTGGTGCCACGACCTTAGCGTGTTTGGCTTGTTTACCTTTGCTCGGCCCCACCCGAGTAGATCTATCATTTCACTTTGAGGTTGATCGATTATGTCCTACTTCTCCTGATTCTTGTGAGGGACTTGACTAATGACCAAAATAAGATAAGCAACAAAGGGAACATTTTTCAAGAATCTTTCATGGAAATCAACACGTAGCAAAGGAAAAGAGAGAGGAGCCTAGGGAGCCGGACGAGAAAACAATAACATGCCCAAATAGGATAATAAATTCAATAAACGTAAAGTCAAAAGGAAGAATTCTTGTGCAGACCCCATCACAAGGCTGAAGAAAAAGAATGCATCTGCAGCCATTGGGGGTTCAGTACAAAACTGACGGCGTAGAGGTTTCCCTATCTTCAGATGTAAGAAGTCACCACGGGAATTTGCGGGGCTAGAAATATGAAACTCAGTCACACAACCTTGCTTGTCAAAAAGGAACAACACAAGCTTTTGGACGTGATGGTCACGAGTATCAAAGACTCCGAGTTCTGTTAGCAAGCATTGACCTTGAGTGATGAAGGAGTAATAATGGATGTGGTTGGCACCCATGAAGGGATAGATTCGGTTAATTACAACAGAAAAGTCGCCGACAAGAAGAAATGAATCAGAGATTTCTTTCAGCCAGGAAGGAATGTCCTCGGCACTGTTTCCGCTGGCTCGGGGTTCAGACCAATTGAGCGCCGTGGCAATAATGATGAAGATTATCTCGCTCGAGTTGACCATTCGGCAACCACTCAACACTTGCAGGAACACCCATGAACCGGGGCCATAACATCTTGTAAAGTGACCTAGCAGATGATTTGAATATAATCTTGCGCATATGCTAAAAATTGAATAACAAAGCCTTGAATACTATTTAATACTAGCACTAAGCGTCCAAGTGGCAACATTGCGTGATGTTTGCGCCGAGTGTTGTAGGCTGAGCTCTGCTCTGTATGCATACCATCTCACTCAGGGATGTGACCAATCCTACTAGACTCGCTAAGTTAAAAGGGCCGAAGAGTAAGTATCTGATCGGAACCTCGGAAGTTAAAGGCCAAGTAAAGGCGGAGAAAATTCGCTATATTATTGAAGGTTGATCTTGTCAACCGTCCCTTTGAGCCACCATGGCGCCAGCCCTTCGGGTCCTGGGTATCATACAGGTACCCAGACTCCAGGCTGTCACAATAAGGGACATTTGTACAAACGCCTCCTAGATAAAAATGACAAATCATAATATAAACCGCCCCAGCATTGTAAATCAACTACCAAGAGAATGAAAAGAGGATGACTCTCGGTCTCTAAAGATCCACCACCTTGCACGACCCGGCTTCACACGCAAGCAAATAGTTCTTCGCTGGCTCGGCAGCCTTCAGCTCTTTGTACATCGGGTTGCGCGACTTCAGCCAGAAAGACTGGTTTCCCACAAAGTCCTTCAAGTGAGAAGGCCGAATATCCACCAGCGAGGATACAGCGACCGCGGAAGAAACACTTCTACCGGTCTCCTTTCGAAGCCGTTTCTTTAGGAGGTTATATGCGGACTGGGGCGCGTCATTCTGACTATCTTGACGTGATCCGGGAAGTTTAGGGATATCAGCGGTAGCAAAGACCCCTGTTATAGCACGGGTACCCGTTTGTAGGCCCACAATAACGTCCAACATGCCAACAAAAAGGAATGGGTGTTGCATGATCTCGACTGCAAACGAGTTCAGAGTCTGTCGCGCCATAATACGATATTCTGGATCGTCAAGGAGTGCCGCCAGTCGCAAAAGGTTCCGCGCAATGACTGCATTGACAGAGGGTGTGGCTGATTCGGTGCCAGTTTTCAATCGGAGAAGTGGGCCGGGCATTCCGGGAGTCATGGCGGACGGAGTGTTATAATAACCGGCCGGTGTCGATCCATTGGTGGCAAGGAAATTATCGTTCAGGTATTCTAATAATAATGTCAGTTATAGGGCAGCGAGGGTTGTCCGAGGTACAGGAGAGGCTTACTCTGTAGCCGCTCCGCGAATTGCAAATAGCTATCATCAAAGGTAGCTTCGTACATATCCAGCAAGCCACCGATGAAATACGCATAGTCATCGGCAAAGCCTGGAGTATCTCCCCGGCTGCCATCGCGGTAAATGCGCCACAACTTTCCGGTCGCTTTGTCGAAGAGATTATCTTTGATGAAATGGATTGCCTTAGCGGCAGAGTCTCGGCATTGAGTTGCTTTTGAGCTCTCGATTTCTTCGAACAAGACACTGCATTTTGCCAACGCGCCGATCGCCAACCCATTCCAGCCCACGATAATCTTATCGTCCAGGTCGGGTCGACCGCGGGTTTTTTCGCGGTGCTCACGTAGCTTTTGTTTCCCGCCTTTGATCATTTTCACCACTTCTTCCTCACTTAGGCCAAAGTCCTTGGCAAGTTTGCTTGGAGTCGCTCGAACTAACAAGACATTCTGGTTCATGAACTCATCATGAGGGTCGTATTCAGCGGCAACGTTTCCATCTGGCAGCACACCCCAATGACGAGCACACACTGGTGCATCTCGCGTACCGAGCACCTGAGTGAGCTCCTTCATTGACCAAACATAAAATGCGCCTTCTCGTTTCTCCGTATCATTCGGGTTGGGAAAGCTATCAGCATCTTCAGAGGAGAAAAAGCCCCCGGTGGGTGATTGTAAAGGAGCAGTTGTCAAGTAAGTGGCTAAGTCGTAAACAGTTCCAAGCAATTCAGGGTCGGTAGTTAATCGGAACGCATCCACATAGACATCCAGCAGCTGCGCCTGGTCGTATAGCATCTTTTCAAAATGAGGGAGGCTCCAGTTAGCTGTTACACTATATCGCGAAAAGCCGTGACCGATATGATCCCTAATACCACCACGAGCCATGTTCACTAGCGTTGTGACGGCCATAGCAGTCGCTTTCTCACACTCATCTTGTCCCACCATATCCACAACCTGACTGGGGTATGTACCCAGCCGCAGAAGGAAACCAAGATTCGCCGGCGTGGGAAATTTAGGTGCTCGGCCAAATCCCCCATTGATAGAATCATATCGGGAGGCAAAATGCTGGTAAGCCTCTTCCAAGAGCTCCAGGTCTAGATCTTCGTCTGTTTCACGCTCTGTGTGGGTTGAATGGGTTCCTTCCTCGGCGAACTCTCGTAACTGTTTCGTAATGTCCTTTGCGCTCTCCACGCAACGTTGCTGCTGTGTCACCCAGACGTCCCGCAGTTTCTCTAAAATTTCGACAAATCCAATTGTTTCTGGGCCTAGCATTGTGGTTGAGTTTGGACCAGACCAATAGGTTCCTCCGAATACGGGCTCCAGGTCTGGGGTGAGGAAAACGTTTAGAGGCCAACCGCCGGAACCTGTGGTTGCCTGCACGTAATTCATGTAGATATCGTCAATATCCGGTCGCTCTTCTCGATCAACTTTAATCGGGACAAAAGATTCGTTCAAAATAGCAGCAACTTCTGAGGACATAAACGACTCCTTCTCCATGACATGGCACCCTAACGATTGTTAGAATATATGCACATGATGACAGGGACTTTTGATCAACGCACAGTGGCAAGCCGAGTATCCAATGCTGAGAAATATCAAGCGGTTCTGCTTTTTGGCGAGGTTTATCGATTCTGCGTCCCATAGCTGCCATGCTACGGGGTTATTAATGTGGCCCCTCACCTGCGGTGAAGTTAGTATGCCAGAGTCCTTTCGCTTCCAAGTGAGAATGAGGGACCCTACATAGGGGGATCGGCTGTTCTGGAGTCTGTTGACCAGCTTGGGCCTTGTTTCTGCCATCTCGTGGTCCGACTGCATGCTGGACGTTGCCATCTCGACGGGTTCCGATAGTTGCGGTGCGGGGGAGGCCGCGGGAGGCGTGATAAGCTATATCGGAGCTGAGTCGGAAGTACTAACGGAATCCGGCAAGGTATCAAGGTTGAATACTACCCCGCGGGTGTGACCAGAGCAAGTTAGCGAGTCAGGGTGGTACAAGTACAGGGGGTGCACAACTGGAAGTGGGGGTAGTAGGCAACGACTGGGCAGAGCGGGCGAACGGGAGATCGTCCCTGTGCGTCATGGATGCATCAGGAATGTCACGTGCTGGGTACGGTCGCATTGATTCAGTTGATCAATGTGATTTCCTATCTATTGAATTCAAGAATAGAAAGATAAGTATACTTGAATGCAATGGACATATGTAAGTGGTATGATAGTAAAATCTTTCATTGGTTGAAGATCCATTTAAATGGGGGATCCTGGGGTATCGTGGGTACATCTAATCATCTTCCATCAGCTCGGCCAACTCTCGCTCCTCCTCTTCCGTGAGCAACGCATCAGTACTCGGCTCAGGCTCTACTACCGCAGGGCCCTTCTTTGCCAATTCCACGGCCTTCTGGAGTTCATCGGGACGAAGAGACCATTGGCGAATGGTACCATCGATACCCGCGCTAACCACTGTGGAGCCCACTAGAACTAGCCCAGTAACTTCTTCAAAATGGCCAGAAAACACGTGATGAAGCTCTCCAGTCTGCCAAAAGTTAGTTTCTTGTTTCAATGTGAGTAAAGTGGTTAAATAGTATAAACATACCGATCTATTCCACACCCGCACTTCTTCATCCCGGCAGGCCGTGACCACCCAACCGCCAGCCTCATGAACAACAATATCTCGAACAAAGTCAGGGTGTTCCAAAGTGAAATTAGGCTTCCAGCCATCTGCCCGAATTAAACATTTGGCAGTCTTGTCGGCGGACACAGTCCAAAGATCTCCATCCTGGTCGAAGAATAGCTTGTACACGCTGGTTTCATGGGGGAGGAGTGGCTCTGCGGCATCTCCACCATCGAAGATTTTAAACTGTCGGATTTCTCGATCACTTCCAGCACTGAAGACTAAAGCCTCAGATTCCTCTACTTCTGGGTCAAGGATCAAATCCTGAATTCCTCGAGTGTGACCCTTGAATGTTTCGGTGCGCTGGCCACTGGCAATGTTGAAAACCAGAACTTGAGCATCAGCGCCACCAGTAATGAGAAGATCCTCTCCACGTAGTCGAGCACTCATAACAGCTCGGACGAAGTCTGCGTGACCTTCATACTTTTGCCGAGGTTGCCCTGAGGCAACATCCCAACTCCAGACAGACTTGTCCCAACATCCAGCAAACAAAAGCTTTCCATCTGGACTCAAACATAGACTTGTCAGAGGAGCTGTAGGACCTTTGTATAATGCAGCTGTTTCGCCTGTCTGCAACTCATTTTTTTAGAATCAATCCCAAAATGGCGGGGTATACATAGTAGCTTACCTCGAGCACTACTCTTCTAACAACACCACTACTTTGAGCAACATAGATTGAGTTCGAATTGCTCGGATCAGGGTGAATAGCAAGAATCTTGCTGGGTAATCGAATAGGGTTTCCATTGGAATTCTGAGACTTGGCGTCTTTCCTCTGCTGGTCATCCAAGGCAGCACTATAGCGAATTAGCGAGTCATTCCCAGCCTCCTTACCTCGGAGAATTCACAATTCACTACCAAGGAAGGTAAGTTTCACTTACGAGGTCTGGAAGAAGTGGTCTCTATGAGATGAAGTTGTCATATTTCTTTTCCAATTCTTTTTTAAACGAATTCCGTATAAAAGAATAAAAGAAAGGGGGGTAAAGTTGGATCTGTCACATAAATCGACCCACACAAGTTCTTGCGCACAGTCAAGACCTGCTATCCAAGCTCCTCCAGTCTCCCGTAATCGAATCCACCAAAACCCGCAGATTCTGCTTCCTACGCTTCTTTCTCTTTCTCTTCTCTTCTCATCTTACCCACTTTTCACCTTTTCTCCCTCTTTTCGCTTTATTTTTCTTCTGTTTCTTTTCTCACTCATCCATTGCGCGAGTTCGCGCAGCCCCCAACAAGATGGATATGAACCACCTCATAGGGTCAGTCATCTGCACCTCCTGGGAAGGGTTTGTGCGGCTGGGCTGGAGTTAACACCTGGCAGTCAGCGTTTCAACCTGATCTCGAAGAGTGACATTCGGTAAGCTCAACCATTTTGATTCACTGCTGCTCATAGCTAATTGAATACCAGCTACGTTGGCACACTCCATGAAATTAACCCAGAAGCCTCCACAATCGCGTTGGAAAATGTCCTTTCTCATGGTACTGAGGGCCGTCGAGGAAATGGCAACGACCTTCCTCCGTCCAGCAACGTTTACGAGTACATCGTATTCCGAGGCAGTGACGTAAAGGACATCAGCATCGCGGACGAGGAGAAGGAGGAGACTGCACAGGCTGAACCCCCTCGTGTCCCTGACGACCCCGCAATCTTAGGAGTAAGTCTCACGCGATCTTTCTCCCTCTTCATTGAACCCCGGCTTGGACCTTTCCGGTCGGCCACTTGATCTTATGATGAAGTATTTTCGGATGTAAACACATTTCTTGTCTGAATGCGCAAAACCATGTTGCTATTTTCCGTTGCCTTCCTTCTGATCGATCAATATTTCCATCTTGGCTATATTTATTTGCTTTTTGTCAAGATTCAATAAACTGACTCGAAGACAATTTAGAACATGTCGCGACCGGGTCCTGTGTCGGGTCCGGAGCCGGTTCCTGGCCCTGGTCTTCCTCAAGGAACTCCTCAACAGCCACAGGGAGCTCAGCCAGTACAACAGTACCCAGTCCCCTTCCCTGGTGGACAATATCCCCCAGCCCCCTATGGACAACGATATGATCCCCGGTTCCTTCCCGGTCCCAATGGCCCTGCCCCTGGTTTCCCACCTTACGGCATGCCTCCTCACGGTGGCCCTCCTCATGGTGGTCCCCAGGGATGGTACCCTCCCCCTGGTCCTTTCCCTCCAGGACAATTCCCACCCAATATGCCGATGGGTCCCCACGGTCAGCATATGCCACCTCAGCAGCGTCCCGGCCCCCCTGGTGTGCCACCTCCTCGCGCTACCTCGGAACTCCCTGTTGGTGACAAGGCAACCAGCAAGCCCTCTACTCCTGCTGCTCAGGTTGCGCCGACTCCTCCAGTGGAGTCTAAGCCCTCCGTTGCTGAGGCTATGCATGGCATGACTGGACCTACTGCCGTTCCGGTCAATACTCAGAAGAGCGGTCGAGTTGTGCCGGCCGTTCCAATTGCCGCTCCCAAGTCTATTGCCCCCGTTGTCCCGGAAAACAATGCTTCCATCGCAGATGCCACAGCTGCTGCTACTGCCGCGGTTGCCGCTGCAATGGCTAAGCTGCCTCAGCCGGGCATGCAAAAGAAGCCCGGCCAGACCGATGGCTCTATTGACGGACTTGCTCGTAAGATGAATGACATGCGGCCTTACGATGGACCTCGTGCCCCCCGCGGTGGTAACCAGCACCCTCACCCCCACCCTCATCCTCGTGGCGGACGCGGTGGAGCTCCCCGTGCCCCACACAAGAAGATTGAGGTTCCCGAGTCCGACTATGACTTCCAGACTGCGAATGCCAGGTTCAACAAGCAAGATATGGTGAAGGAGGCTATTGCTACCGGCGCTCCTGCTCTTGAGGCTGAGTCCCATGCCAACGCAAGCATTGGGGCTGAGGCCGCGGGCGAAAGTGACCCTACTGGCGCTTCGCTTTACAACCGTACTTCATCTTTCTTCGATAACATCTCCAGCGAAGCACGCGATCGTGAGGACAACTTTGCTGTCCGTCCCGGTGGTCGCGAATGGCGTGGTGAGGAAGAAAAGCGAAACATCGAGACCTTCGGTCAAGGCAGTGTTGACGGTTACCGTGGTCGGGGTCGCGGCCGAGGTTACGGCCGTGGCCGTGGTTATAGCCGTGGTTATGGTAACCGTGGCTACGGTGGTCGTGGTCGTGGTGGCAGTGGTCGCCCCTCATCCCAGTCTACCGGTGTCCCTTCATTGGGCTAAACCAAGCTCGATTCCACACGACCCTTCCGTTCATCCTCTCTGTTTTCTTGGGTCTTGGCATGGCCATACCTATGAATGAAACGAATACTTATGCTTGAAATCTTTTTTGTCTTTTGGCGCAATGGGAATGAATCATGGATAGGGCATCCTGGGACGGCAATGCGTTGAGTTTGCTTTTCCTTTTCTCAAGGCAATATTGGTGTTACATTTTGCGCCTCGATATTTGTGATTTTGCTTTTTTTTTTTTTTATCTTTTTTTCTTTTTTATCACTCCAAGCATACCCTCTACAGCGTTTCTATTGATATCCCTTGTTTGGCTGGGTATCTTACCCCGTCGCGCTATGAAGACGCACGGAGTGTTGCATGCAGGGCACTTAGCATGAGTCCAGGTCTGTGACCTTTCGCGCATGTACAATAACACATTCGGAGACCGCTCCAACCAATCAAAAAAGGAAAAAAGAGGGCCATTTGGTCTATAATCAACTCCCAAACGTATGCTGTCAACATATCTGAATAGCTATAGTATGCACCATAATAATATAGAAGAGTAGGAAAATTGCTGCGGTGCCCAATCTGTCCAAACCCCCTTCCGAGGTCCCGTCCTGATGTACTCAAAAGTGCCTGTTGATATGGAAGCAGTCGAATGGATGTCACAACGCTTGGAACTTTTCTTCTCTTTCTTCAAATGTTCTGTTTTCCTCTCTGTCTTCGTCTTCACTCGTCCTCCTTCTCGTTCTCTTTCCTAACTAGCACTTGAGCTTCATAGACTGGTCATTATCTCTGCATGTGAACTATGACACTCTATCTCTATTACATACCTCAATATAAGATGTCCTTTCACCTAGGTACACTCTATTACCTTCTCTTTCTGGCCATGACACCCGGGGGCCCAATATGTCCATCAATTGATAGAAAAAGAAGTTTCTGTTACTCTGCCTGTCTTGATATGTAGGCACCTGGGCCTGCTATACCAATGTACTAGAGGAAGAGGAGACTATCCACTTCGACGCCTCTCGGGTCGCCTTTGCAGGTACATAGGTGTATCACACATACTCAAGTGCTGCGAGGCGTACCTGGATTTAAGAGACGGTGGATATTAATCGACTATTAATGATGTTTTATACGAATATGGCGGCTATGAATGGACATAAGGGGCGGCCAGGGGAGAAGCAATGAACATACTACTACTAGTATATATGCAAATGTGCTGTATGACACAAATTAAATTTCAAGACTCCAGATGTCAACTTGTCATTGAGTGCTGGACGCAAAAAACAATCTTTTCCTCTTATAGTAGTAAGTACTATTATTCATGACAAACTTTTCAATATAGTATACGAGAAACTCCTGTTGATTAAGGAGAATAGGCTAAATGTGTACTATCTACTACAGCTTTTAATTGTAGTGGGGGCAGAGTGAGAAGGCCGACAGTGTGACTGACTTCTCTTGCCCACCTTTTTCAGCAGTGTGTCCTTTGAAAAACCTCTCCGGTTAGGATGTGGCTTGTCAACGCCAAAACATTCGAGCTAAAATCATTTATCGACGAGGAAAGTCCTCCGCCCTACGCAATCCTCTCCCACACATGGGGAGACCCGGAGGAGGAGATTAGCTTTCAGGATTTAAACCTCTGGGCCACTGGAAAAGATTTCAAGGGGCTTAAGCGGGTCGGCTGGCGGAAAGTACGGCGAGCGTGTGCCCAAGCACTAGAACGCAGACTCTCTTACATCTGGATTGATACTTGTTGCATCGATAAGTCCAGCAGTGCTGAGCTTCAGGAGGCTATAAACTCCATGTTTGCCTATTACGCCAGCTCCGCTATATGCTTTGCCTACCTTGTTGACGTTGATATACTTAAACCCCACGATTCTGTTTTCGATCAACAGTTTCGACAGGCACGATGGTTTACCCGAGGCTGGACCTTACAGGAGCTTTTGGCCCCGACAAAAATTCACTTTTTCAATCGCGTGTGGGATAGCATCAGCGACAAGAAAAACCTCCAGGCACTTATCACAGACATCACGGGCATTAATCCCCAGTTTATGACCAACCCGCACCAGGCTTCTGTGGCTGAACGAATGGCATGGGCGGCAAAACGACAAACCACCAGACGTGAGGATATGGCATATTGCCTCCTAGGCTTGTTCCAAGTGAATATGCCATTGCTGTATGGTGAAGGCAACAGGGCATTTGAAAGGCTCCAAGAAGAGATTCTGAGATCAAATGAGGATGCCTCTATCCATATCTGGGGAAGACAAGGCCATTCAAGCTATACTGAGTTTGATTTTAAAATTGAAAGTCAACAAGATATGGGCAAAAGGCTTAGTTTTGTGCATTCTATATTACTGGCACCGCATCCAGAGTATTTCCGGATTGTTGGACTTGGTATGACGGCCAACGCGTTAAGATTTAAACCACCATCCTTTACCATGGGCCAAAGAGGCTTGACTGCACAGCTACGGATGAGAGCCGACCCAAATTACGAGGGTATTGCGTATGCTATTCCAAACGTGTCAACCAGGCAGGCGATTCTGGCAATACCATTGATTTCCATCAGTTGTGGCAATGATTGTGATGGAGAAGAAATCCACAACGAATACTACCGGCCAATTTGGTGCAAACCCATCTATCTATCTTCGAAGTTTTTGGACGAATCACACTATGAGGAGATTCTCATCCGTCGTCGCCCCAAGAATAAGTGCAAGTTCTTCAATCTTCCATTCCGACTGGATATAAGGTATTCAGAGAAACTCACTCTAATGGGGGTTTATCCACCCAGCCCCGTCGGAAACACGTTTGTTTTACTCTCAAAGAATCCAGCGAGATTAAATGAAGAGAAGTTCGAAACCCCCGGGAGACCTATTACCTCACAGAACGCACACGTTGGCAGAAGATTCTTCCACATAAATATCAATAAAGTCGGCCTCGTTGTCCCTGCACTAGTTGTTGTGGATTATCGTGTTCAGCCAGCCGAGAGTGACATGCATGCACCCTGGGATTTTTCCGGACATCCAAGGTGCGGCTGTATATTGGAATGCCGCGTCTTCAAGCCTTTAGGTCCTTCTTTCTCAATGGAAACGGTGCTTTCTTTCATGAAAAAATCCCCGGAGAAATGGGAAGAGATTCCACATAAATGGGACGGAACTCACAAATATTACAATGTGGATGACCGGGACAACTTGCTAGAAATCCATGTTACACAGGCTCACTCCGAAGAAGTGCCGTCCATTGTGGTGGGCCTGGTACCTCGTGAATCTGTGCATACTGAAGGCGAACATCGATCCTTTATCTCCAAGCGACAGACATGGCGATTTACCGCGGGTTTTTTCCGCAATACCTTCGTAGGTGTTGGGAGTTGGGCAGATTACCTCGACGTTTATCCCTACAAGAAGGACATGAAACATGTTAAAAAGCTCATCAGTCATATGAATCACCCGGGAGTGAAGATATTGGTCATTGACGATAGGGGTCTTGTTAAAGAGCCTACGAGAGAGGCCTACAAAGGATATATTTCTGATGAGTCCGAGGAGTGGAGCCCCAGTGAACATGACGAGGATGACACCGAGGAGTGGGATCAAGATAGTAGTGACGAAGATTCGGTGCGATATTCGAAGGAAAGAAAAGACATGATACGTCGATATTTGTCGCCAAACGGTGGCCTTTAGCGAATGTTATCAATTGATTGATATTGGTAGTATATGTAGTGTTCTGGATGCCGCTGACTGCGTACGGTACTTGAGCATTTCAGGGATCAGCGATGTTGAAGCACTCGTCAAAGAGACACATAAATTCGAGAGTCGCTATACTCTGCGACTTATCTTTGGACGAGATGTACCCAAAGATGAAGGTTCCCGACAATTAATAAATGTATCGTGAGCGCAGTCCACGTTTCAAGGCGCAGAATATTACCGCTTCGACATTGCTACCTCAGGGACGGTGATATCAAATTGTTCATTTGAATCAGGCCGAAGCGATGTAAAAAGCCATTCTATCTAACGGCGGCACCGCGAAGCTGATTGTTTTTGATGGTGAAGGCCACGGGTTCCCGCGAGGGGCAGAGAATGCACTCCGAGCTGTGCGAGAAGAAACCGAGTGGTGGCGCCGCAGTCTAGTAGTTCAACAGACCCGTGTGCGCTGGAGCGTTGTCCATTCACTCGTGGTTTTCGGCTTGATGGCCTGGAGTCCTTTATGGAAGAAATTATGTTGATTATTCTCTCAAAATTATTAGTGATTCGCTTTCTATTTAAATTTGCGAGTGTTGGTTTGGTAGTATGTACGGTTGCCTCAAGTCAGTGTTTATCTAAATCCCTTCTCCATATCGAAATATCGAAAGCTTCCAAGTTTTTCACATGTACAAAGCACTTGCTGAATATCTAGACACTATCCACTTCAGTAACATGGGCCTCCTCCTTCTCCTCCAATTCACGGGGCAATGTCAGCTCTTGGTGTGCTGTAACATGTTAGTGTACGAAATATTTTCAAACGATGAGAACGATAAAGATTAAACTTACTCTTGAACTTCCGAGCCGGGATACCTTGCCGGAACATGACCTGAATCTCTTCAAGTGTGCGCCCAGACGTCTCAGGCAGGAAGAAAAATATCCAAATAGAAGCCGCAACCATCAAACTACCATAAATGAAGCCGACCTTGGCGCTCAGCCCGGCGGCATCTGTATCGAACAGATATGGGAAGGTAAATGTGACCAACCAGCTGCAGAACCAATTAGCGCCAGTCGAGGTCGCCATAAGCTTGCTGCGGTTGGGGCCGGTAGAGATCTCGGATGTAACAACCCAGACGACTGGTCCAAGTGCCAGGTTGAAGACAATCATGAAGATGTATACCATGCCTACAATCGTTTGATCAATACCCAATGTCTTGTCAGTTGCCGTTCCGGCTCCACCGACGATTAGCAACACGACTGCCACTGCAATGGTTGATATGAGCATCATCGGGCGACGGCCGAATCGCTCTACGCAGTACTGGTTGAGCCAGACTGCGGGCATTGGAACCAGGTAGAGTCCCATCTGGATGAGAAACGAGTTTGTCATCCCAATAGCACTGAAGAAAACGATACCATAACTGGTAATAAAGTTGATACCCGATGCTTGTTGCCATGCTATCCTCGAGAGGTTAGTTTAGGCAAAACACTTCGAATTCAGAGCAATGGACTCTACTAACCTTGCAGTGCCATTCCCAGGTATGCCTTCCGTCCATCAACATTCCATTTCAACAAGTCCATCCAAGATCCCTCGGTCTGTCGTTCTTCTTCAATGAGACCCGTGATGTGCAGGATTTCGCTTTCAACGAAATCGGGCCGGTCTCCATGTAAGCGGCGAAGAGACCTCCTCGCTTTCTCCACCTCTCCTTTATTCAACAACCACCGAGGGGATTCCGGAGCGAATAAGATCAGACCGGGGACAAGGATTATGGGGAAGATCAGCTGAACGGCCATGGGAATGCGGTAGGCGCCGCTATCTTGACGGGTCTTGGTCGAATTGTCGACAACCACTCCAAACAGCAGACCAAGTCCTACACTGAATTGGTATAGGGAGACCAAAGCTCCCCGGAACTGAGCCGGAGCGCAATCTGCTACATAAAGGGGAACTAGGCATGAGATCAAGCCCACGGCGTAACCTAGAAATAGAATTTAGCAACAGTCACGACCGCGATATAGACCTTGTAGGTACTAGTAGCATTGAATGGACAACTCAAAGCTCACCCAGTAGAAGACGACCAACTATAAGCAATCCCAAATCATCGGCAGCGACTTGGAAGATCACGCCAGCGACTACAAAAGCGCTGGACACAAATAGACCTCCACGGCGGCCAATCCTATCACCTACCACAAATGACGAGACGGCACCGACGAACTCGCCAACATTGATGATACTGGTTGTGAGAGATTGCATGCTTGCACTCAGGGCATAAGCATCCGTCGCAGCGTCGTAATGGCCATATTCTTTAATAAACGGCTCCATAGCCAGGATGCCTAGGCAAGTAATGAGCTTAAATCCAGAGGAAAGCTAGTGAGCGAATCATGCTTTCACATACCAGAGTAATAGGACGAATCAAAACCAAATTGGAAGGCAGCAATGGTAACGAACGAGCAAATGGCAATAGCGCGCCATTCAGCACGAATGGCAGCCGCGACCGACATTTGGGACGACATCTCGCAAAAGGAGCCAAGACAGATAGGAGAACCGATCTCAAGATATTCAGGGGACGAACATGGCCGTTCCTGTGACCTTATATATGCCCCCCAAAAAAAGCCCAACGTTTCCAATTTTTCCCCCGGGTTTTCCCAGGAAAGTTGGGGTTCAAGTTGCGGAGAAGTGAGTCCTACAGTGGACTAGACCAGATCAATTCGCCGAACGGAAACACGCAATTTAGCCGACTAGAGTTTGTCATCTCACTCGCTGATTGGCCAATTCTCGGCTGTGTTGTCCAGCTTAGTTAAGCTTATTCTACAAGTATTCCAGACCTCAATGATCAATCCATCTTTACTCTTATTCCAGTCCGCTCTTTCTATTTACCTCGGGAACTGCTTTTAAGCAGCCGAATTCACCAAAAGCCAAAAGAATTATCCGCCCGAAGATTTAATCCCGGGTGTCGCCGTGTTGACCTTGCTAGAGCCGAACCAAACATGGCCGAACAGTTAGCTTTACCGACCGATGTCGGGAGAGGTTTAGTGGAAGTGTTGCTTCCCACAAAGACTACTCCTTCTTATGAGCAGCGCGTGATCGGTAAAGAAAGTGAGATTGAGGGGATTGAGGAGTTTCGGGGGATTCCGTATGGCATTGTTCCTTCGAGATGGCAGCATGCTTCGTTGCGGGATCGCTTGCCTACGGATATCTTTCATGCCACGAAGAATGGGTGAGTGAATGTCTCAAGACTTTGAAATCCATACATCCTATACTTATTCGAAAGTCACTGACATGACCTGCGATGAAGGCCTCGCTGCCCACAGCCCCAAGAGCCTAACAACAGTGATTTCTTCCAGTCCCATCTTGACTTCCCCAGCGATGTCACGGAATCCGAGTTCGAATGTCTGAATCTCTTCATTACAAGACCTAGTGCATCTGCCCTGACTGGTGCGGCTATCAATCCTAAAACAGCTAAGCTTCCAGTCTACGTATACATTCATGGCGGAGCATACAGTTTCGGCGCCGGAACAGATCCCATGTGGGGTAAGTGTTTATTTATCTTTAAAGTCCAATCTCACCATCACCACAGAAGCGGTAGCTAACAAACCTTCAGATCCTGCCAGGCTAGTTAAAAGATCCATCGATCTACAGTCACCCATTATAGTCGCAACAATCAACTACAGACTAAATATCTTCGGCTTCGGGGCGTCCTCCGAGATCATCCAAGGCCAGAACCCAGAGGGACAGTTAAGAGGTTGCAACTTCGGTCTCACGGACCAACGTATCGCTATCCGATGGGTCCACGAGAACATAGCGGCCTTTGGTGGAAACGCGAACCAAGTGACAGTGGGCGGCCAGTCTGCAGGCGGGAGCTCTTCGCATGCGCATATTTCACAGGCAGTTTTTGGGAAACAGGAACCTCTTGTTCATCGCGCGATTATTCAATCTGGTGCTGTGGGCGTTTTGGGCCCCATCTCGATGGACGTGGCTGACGAGCGGTGGAATACGTTTTGTGCCCAGTTGAATGCACCGGGGGAATCCGCGTCTCCTTCTCGTTTGGAGTATATGGTGGATTTGCCAGCTGACAGGATCTTGGAAGCATTCCGAGAGCTGAGGTGGATGGTTAGTCCTCTCGTTGTAGATGACTTGACCTTGTCAAATGGATCTGATGGGCTTCCGAGATGGAATATACACCTTGATGGCCCCGATAAACATCTGACCCGGAGTCTTCCTGGCGATGATTTTGAGCCGATTGCCGTGCTTATTGGAGATACGGACCTCGAGGTAAGCTACAAATGCTTATTTAGCAGCTATGGTATATGTCAACTGACAACTTTGCAACACTTACCAGGGCACTATTCATGCTGATCAAGTCTCCAAAATTAAAAGCTTCACTCAACTCCAAGAAGCTCTAGTCCAAGGAGTCGACTCTCGTGAATTCATCGACGAATTCCTTACAGTCTACGGCCTAAAGTCCGATACCTCTCTACCCGACCTCCACGAACAAATCTACCACTTCTTATCCGACCTCCAATTTGGTCATCCGGTGCAACTTGCTCGAGACGAATTGACCGACTGGGACCATCAGTCCTCGGATACAGAGAAAGGAATAAATCTCAAAGACATAAAGCGTCCTACAGTGGTACAGTCATTCCGTGCAAATGTCGGAAACCCGTTCCCAGGACCAAACTACCAGAAGGCTCACCACTGCGTCGATCTGATCTACATCTACGATTCCTTCGCGGAGGCACTACGCGCTGCAGATGAGGAACTTCCCGCAGATGCCATCACGAACGATACTCTGGTTGAGCGTGTTCAAGGAGATTGGATTCGATTTATCGCGGCTGCGGTGACGGGGTATCAGGATGGTTTCGCGACGGTCTACAATGCGGATAGGTCGACGTCCACGGTGGATATGGCGTCTGATCCGGAGTGGTCAGTGAGAAAAGACCGATTTGACTTCTTGCATAAGTACCAGGCTTCAGCGCAGCAGGCAATGAAGGCGTTGTGTGGAAATGGGCATTCTTTCTAACTTTCAAGTCGGATATGAAAGGTAACACCTTGGAATTGTGTTATGCGTGCTCATCTGTAGAGCGATGCGATAATGCACTGATCGTCCATGTACATTTAAATCCATCATTCCTCATTCCCTACTTATCGGGCCAACCTGTAGCCCCCTATAACCTGGTATCCAACGATAAGGCAGACTTTCTGGATCCAAAGATTCCTCCAAGGGAATATCAGCTTGCATATCATCTCCATCAGGCTGCCCCATATTATACGAGAGAGCCCGACGAATGAACTTAGCAAAAGTATGTTGGTAGTCCATATTTGTCGTGGCGACAAACTTATCCAAAACCTGCAAGTTGATCGCACAGTTGCGCATGATCAGATCGTCCGATTGACGACCCAGTTTCCGGGCGAGGATCAGGAATATGAAGGAGGATTGGAGGAAGTAGGTTCCGAAGAACCTGTACATGAGACAAAGTCGGGGGTCGACTTGGAGGATATATCGTGCAACCTGGTTCATCAGTTCGACTGGGTTAGTCGCTCATTGTCATCGAGGAAAGATTTCAATATTTTTTGATGTGGGCGACTGGACTTACGTTTGCACAGGCTACTGCGTGCTCGCCGGCCGTGATGAAGTCAGAGGATGCTTGCCAGGCGTGATCTTTGTACATCCGGACTATATCCATTGGACCGTGTAGAAGGACAAACATGCAATGGTACATGTGAAGGCCATAGTATGCTACCTTTGGGATCCCCGGCGGAGGAGGTTGGGTGCATTCTGGGACTGCGATTTTGTAGAACTCCGGGCCCACCAGTGCAGTAAATGATGTGAACCATTGCTCAAGGTTGAGGAGAATATTTGCTTTGATTTCGGAGAGGAACTTCTCGTTCGTATTGAATGTTGGATGCTGACAAAGGAAGCGATGTTCGAGGATCTCCCCCAGTATCCTGTAAAGGTTCAGGTCAAATTTATGCAAGGAACTGATCCAGGTATAGTGTACCTACTTTGACAGCGGTAGGTAGATACCAAGCATATCGAGACTACCGACGCGGTAGCAGAGCATGGTCCCTTGGAAATTGATCTCCGGGGCTCTTAGTAATGGACCTGGCAAAATCCAGACTGTGTCAGGCGACGGAGTGGGAAGAAGTTGGCATTCTTGGTCTGGGATGCGCGGTCGTTCGTTAAATGATAGCGCCACATGTCTATCAATGATATATGACGCCCACCATAGCCTAAAGGAAATTAGCATTAGGGCCAAAGGTGGTTTAGTTGAGTATAGTAGAGTGTAACTTACCTTCTCCTTTCCTCCCTGTCATCCTCGCTAAGAATCGGCGAGTCCTTATAAAGCTGTAATTCCTGCACAATAAAACCAAGGAATGCAAGCCAATAATGTAAGCTTGACTCCACCGACTGCTCACTAGGAGAGATACTTGTCATAATGAACGCCGTCAACGCATCATCAAAGACATGATCTGCACCGGGCAATGTTCTCGGATGGAAATAATGAATTAATTTGTCGAATAAATACCGGCCTAACGCGGCCCGTTCTTTTGAGGTCGATTCAGGGAGAGCAGATGATTCATCAGAGGGCATAAAGCATGCAACACCTAGATCCGGTGAGCCAACATTCATAGATCCTGAACCAAGGAGGGCATCACATACACAATATTGACAGAAGCAGAGTTGGCTCTGTTGGTCGTGGAGCACACTGATTGAGTAATCTTTCTCGTCGAACCAGTAAAGCATGGAATTCCTGATTGGGTGAGGTAAAAAAATGTTCTAAGAGTCGACATGCCTCATATCGAGTGAGATGTATTGTAGAATTGCTGACAAAATGAAATATCCCATATAAGCAAAGAGTCCAGAAATCCAACTCGATTGATTGCAATCGGCCCTTTCTACTAGTACTCACCGTGCATGTTCCCTGTCTGGCTTCAAGATCGAAAAATCATGAAGGCAGTCTAACACTGGGTAATCAATAGCATCCTGACATAAGCAGCATTAGACAACCAAAGTAAAAGTATTCAAGCAATGCAATTTACCGAATCAATAGTAGAAGGTGAATGAGGAATTTCCTTTCTAGTAGATTTCCTGCCCCTTTTCTTTATCGGGCGATCAGAGGTGCATCGGATTTGCAATCCTATAGAAAAAAACGGTCAAGGCCGATCCATTATTGCAGGGAAGAAAAAAGCGGGGACAATACGCTTGCACCGCACACACCCCTGAGGTTGTGGAGAGCACTTCAGTTTGTGGCCATGACACTGGTCACATGCAGACTCGGTCCTCTTATCCATGTTACATGCATTGCCCGAAGATATAGGAAAGATATAGGAGAAGGTATTTGGCAAGGAAGAAAGAACCACGTAGTGGAACAGCCAAGACGTCTATCATCACCGCCTTGGTCACCGTGCGAAATGAAATGAAATTTTGTGTGGTGAATCACGCTAATGCTTCAGAATTGGGCTTGTAAAAATTGTTTTGATATTGGAGGAAGTGAGTTCTCTGGTTGAGATTGTAGCTATCCGTGAATCAATAATGATTCGATCTTTGAGGCTTTTCGCAGGCTCGAATGCTGAGTAATTGCAGTTCATGGCTGCATCGGGCGCTCAAAAGCCATAATGATTTCAGCAGATTCAAGTGTTGATACATGTATCCCTAGATCTCGTCTTCAGAACGCAACCGAGATGTAAACGGCTAGCAGTATCAATCATGCTGGTACGTGGTTCCCAAGTCCAATCTCCAGTGTACTTGGATGATTATCTGATGATCTGATTATCTTCACAATCGCCCATACCGGGAAATCACTTATCCATCTTCGCATGAGATCCTAGTAGATACTAATACACACACATGCAATGCCAAGGCAACATTCAAATAAGAAAAAAAAAGTGGTATTGAGATCAACACTGATAGGTATCAAGGACACGTCAGAACGCCAATAAGGAACAAAATTAAGCAAGTCCTCCAACTGGAGGGATTGCACCAATGGAGAATCTCCAAGGTACACTAATCATATACCAGTCCTCTTTTTTCTAAAATGAGGAACTGCGGATTTGGTAAAGGAAAACAACAAACGATCGCTGATGAGAAAGACAACATGACTTTGCCATCCTTGTAAATCCGTGCGCTAAAAGCAGCCCAAACGCGAAAAAGGGTATCGGAGGTAGAACGCAAAGTCAGCCTCCGCTTCAAACTCCTGTCCGAGCCTTTCTTTCTCGGACAGAGCCGGCGGAAGACTTTTCAACGCTTCTCGCCTGAACCCAAGAGAGTGTATGAGAAACGATGCAAGCCAATAATGAATGCGCATGATGGATCACCAGACCAGGATATAGATAAGATAGAAGCCAACATAACCAACTGATGCCCGGGGTAATTGAATATCAACAAGAAAATGACTTAAAAAATGAAAGTGAAAATACCAATATTTTCATTGAAGGGGGACATAAGAGCACTATGCAACCATATGTCTAGGAATGATGCGACGATATAAAGAGCAAGTGGCTGGTTGAAAGGCATATACAAAATGCAAGGATGTTAAACCCTGCGAAGGGTTCCAACCTCAAGTTGGAGGGGGTGGTGCGCCACAGGGCTATATCAATGGGAGAATATCCCAAGCTCGAGGTGGGCGAATATCAGAGCAAGCTCTTGATAGGGGGGGAAGAAAGAGGATAGATCAATTCGATGATATAATTGATTTTCGCAAGCCATGGCTTTTAATGAGGTGCCTTCATGACCATCTTGCCATTGGCACGTTTATATGCCATCTCGACGCCGAGCTCAGCCATCAAGGCTGCACGACTCTCCGCGGAGAAATCTCGGTATGCATTTGGGTTCGGCTCGGTATCTGGCCTCATACCGTTCTGCATGGAGCGGTCATCAATTCCGAAAGAATCTTCGTGAGTGCGCTTGGTACCAATCGGCCCTGTGTGGTAGAGCATCCGCTTGCCTGTGAATGAATCGTAGCCTCCAGGGCTTGGCGGCACACTCTCGATAGATGGCTGCACATTGGCGTATTCACTGGCCAAGGCTTTCATTCCGGCATGAGGCATATTCGGTGTCTGGTCATGGCGCATCATATGGGCTGGTGGCAGATATTGGGAGGGATCTTGAATCAAATAGGGTATAGGCTTTGCTGCTTCCACGCGGTATTGGTTCATATTGTTCTTGGGGTAACCATTTTGGATTTGCTGGCCCATGGGATAACCAGCGGGAGTCATCTCGTACTCCGAAGCGTTGGATGGGTGACGAATATTAGCATAGCCTGTATGAGGCGAATACATAGCAGGAGGTGGAGGAGTGGGCGGCATGTGAGCAGCAGCAGGGTAATGAGTTGATGTTGAGCCAAAGGAAATATGTGATTGATAGGATGGGGTTGGGGCGTGAGCTATGGCGGGTGGCATTGGTCGCTGGTAAGGTGGTGGACAAGCAAAGCCATAATCTTGACCTGACGACCGCCGTTGAATTTCGGGTCCATATCCGTATGGTGATTCCGCTGTGCTGGTATGACTATTTGATCGAGGACGTTCCACGGACTGTGCCACGTAGTGATCAGGTGTTGAGAATCGGTTGGCCCGAGGATATACCGCCGGATTCCTCTCCTCGTGGTAAGTGAAGTCTGGATCGTGCTTGTCGCCCCGGCGTCTCATCCGAACATCACGACGAATGCGAACACGGCATCCCTGCTCGGCGATTATCCTGCTCAACGAAGTGCTCGTAGCTAGGCCAGGGAACTTCTTCGCACTGTAGACGATAAAGGGGAGGGATTTGACTTCGAAACGGAAGTGTAAGAATGATTGTGGGGAGCCAGGCTTCGTGATATTGGGACTGGCGACTTGATTCGGAAGTGGCAGGTCCGAGTCCTTGTCAGTATCATTCGCATCCTTAATCTCCTCGTACAAATGGAAGGCTAATCGGTATCGACCCTCGTGTCGTACCGATAAGTCGGGGAAAATGAAATATCCTGCTTGCATTGGACGATCGAGATATGCAACACCAGCTACTGGTACACCGGTCAAAACAGGGCATGAGGCGGGTCCAGCCATTCGTCCATGAGCCGTGTTCCGCGCATTTTCCAATGTCGCATAGAGGAAGAAGTTTGCATTATAGGCGAAAGTGATATCTTGCAGTATTTCAGTATTACCTTCGCGTTCGAATATGCGTAATTCCACCACGGGAGGCGGGTCGACAGGACGTCGGTCGGCGGAGGCTACAAAGCAGGTCAGTATGGAGAGGGAGGGACGGATCCACACGAAAACAATTTGGACAAGACTAACATTTGGCTCCAGCACCACAAGCTCTAGCACGTTCTGGCTGTTGCATAACAACCATTTGGTAGTGGAGTTCTCTACCATCGCGCGTCACCCGTTTGGTGTGTGTTTGCGACTCTGGCGGAAACTTGGAATTGTGCCTCCCCATCATCGCGAGTGTTGCCATATCGGCGGTAGATATTGTGATCTCAACCCTCTCCTTCGGGTGTTAATCTTTTTGGGATTTCAGGGCTGACGCTATCGGCGGGAGCAGCATCAGTAAGAGCGACAGGGGGAAGGGAAAAAATAGACAAGTTTGTGGGGGCGTAGAGGTGGACGATTGGGTTGACCATTCGGTTGTTCTCGGGGGCGCGCGACGTACAAATCCAATTCAATTCAATCCACGGATCGCCTCGTGGGAGTTGAGGATGGACGCGACTCAGGAAGAAAGCAGGTTCAATGTTCCCTGGTTCCAACCGGTCGATCGGGTCGACCCTGGGGCACGATCGCAGGCGGTCAATCGATGACGGTCGGCTGTGGCTGGGGACATGCGAGAATGAGGGCTGAGGGGGATAATTTCAAATAAAAAGATGCCAGGGGATTTTCCCTGTGAGCGATTATATTATAAAATTCCTTTAAGCATCCCGGGAGGAAGATGAAAGAGAGGGAGAATGTGGAAAGGCGAAAAGAAGAAGGGGAGAGGGGAGTGGTGACACGCAACTCGTCCATTGGTGACTTACAAGGTACGAGTTCCTTGTATAATCCACGGCGGTATGTCCCAAGTCCCTACACTGTACCGGTAATGATACGACAGGCCCCCACTGTTACCGTACACCAACTTTTCCCAAGATTTATTACCAAGATTACTCGATTTGGTGGGTTTTTACGATCGTTTCTTTGCTTGAAATACGAGTCTATGTATCAAACAAAGGTATCGCATTCACTCTTTAATACTCCGAAAAGAGAGAAAGAGAAAAAAAAAGAGAGATCGAGATCGGAGATCTTGGAATGTGTTATCATCGGAATCATAAATCAAGGAATAAAAAGAATTACAAAAGTGAATAAATCTACTCCTTACACAGAATTACCTACTAGTGAGCACTATAACAACTACATACTCCGGAGAGACGAACGGGGATGAATAATCCAGGAGATCAGAACTTGAAGGGAACGGTACAAGATTTGGAAATTATAAAAAAAAAATGGATATATTCAAATGTTTTAAAAATGATTTTCGGGGCTGTCGAATTTCTACTCCGTAGTTATCGCGATCTGCGGTTTCAAGCAAAGCTTCCAAGGTTTGTAAGGAAACTAGCGTATGGTCCAGTTCAGTGCTAGCGTATGTTCTTAGGGCTTGGTGTCCAATCGATGATCGAATCATATCCTCATCTGCTTGTCTTTCCCCCTCTAGATCCCGAAATACATGATCGATTCCCTACCTTCCGGTCCTTGGGACAGGTCTCGTCGATCGTCTGGTTGAACATTCTTCTCGATCTGGAGCAAACGGGGATCCTCCATGTTCCCCGGCTTCGTGCTGTCTCTTATCCCACCCAGTCCAACGGACCGGTCACCGTGGCTTTTTATGTTTGTTTTTTTTTTTCGTTTCTCTTGCATCTTTGTCTCCAGGGTCTATGTATAGACCAGGGTTGTCTAGACTTGATCGAATGAAATCCATTTGTACCTATTAGCATAACTTTTTTGTATTACCTTTTTTGCAAGCATTAGGGTCTAGGCAGGCAAACTAAACAGGCGAATGCCGTCATTTTCTTCTTTTTTCTTTCTTCCTCAGCTGACGTGGTTAGGCCTAAATACCGATCATGTATTGTTGTTTGGCTAAAAATTACCTCCGTTTTATCGTGAAAAGCAGAGACATGATGGATCTCTTAAAATAGGACAATTATGATTTTGAAATCCTTGAATTTCCTTCCCTTAACCCGTTGAACTAAGTCTTTTCTCCTTCTCCTTTTTGCCATGGACACCCCATCTTGGCGGCATCACAATTACACCCAATGATATCCTAGTCGGTGGTGGTCCAAGAACCGAACTAGGCAACTTTAGGTGAGAAGGCGTCCTTTGCAAACTGCCCATTGGCCCCACCTGTGGGCCGTGAGGCCGTGAATTCTGATCTGCATCTTGATGATTTTGTTAAAATCCCTGATTCCCCTCCTTATACACCAAGGCAGGTCATGATCCAACTGCAGCTCGGCAGGTGATTTGCTGCCAATGATGACCTTTTTTTTTTCTTTGTACGGAGTATTAATACGAAAGCGAATTGCCCACTATCCTAGCTGCTTCTGTGGCTGCATTGAAGAAGCGCCCAGAGAGAGGGTTTTTTCCCCCTCTCCTGTATCGTACGTTATCTACATAACTAGTCAGGGTTCATCCTAGAAAATAAGTTTCAGAGCTGTAGCGACATTTAAACTACCTACAGGGTACTCCGTATTTCAAGGTGAGATACATGATTCAAACCTTCCCAACCCTCTCGAATAATCCGTGGCACCTTGGATGATCTTTCATCTCCACTTAGAGACGGACCGCACCGTGTACAAAGCCACTGCTCCAGTCGGCCCAATGTTTCCGATTACCATGATTACCATACGTGACTGTTTTGTAAATGGATTTTAGTTCCTGCAAATCTCTCTGGTAACACAACGCACCTGTACCCTTCGGAGAGATACCTCTGGCCTCGACTGCTAAGCTTAAGATCTCTTCCAAGGTTCAAATTCGTTTTTGTTTGTGGGGGAAAGAATGAGTCTTGGGAGTACATCATCAGAAATCATGCTTTTCAACGCTAAGAAGAAGTGGAGTACATTATGTTAGTTGTCTTGATCTTGATTCGTTACTTCTAATACTTTTCTTTTACTAGGTGTAATTCCTCACTGGAGCCCTCTTTTTCAATCTACTCGGGGTCTGGATCCATGTCTCGTCTGACGGAGAACATTGAAATACAGGAGCATTGGAACTCGAGGACATCAAAGGTCCAACTTCATCCACTTTAGGGTTGCGAGAGTCGATCCGGGCATGAGGCATGATCACTGAGAATCATGCATCCATATTCACGCTCTACAGTACACTACAGAAGGGGTGCGCCGGTGTCTTTTTACCAAATCTAGCCTATGCTGCTTCGGACTTGAACCGATTAGTTAGTACAAACGTTCGGCCCGATGAAATCATAACGGACAGGGATCATTATAACGGTCGCTAAGTCGGGCCATCGACCCTACTATACCTAGTACACAACCAAAATAAAAAGGACGCACACTTTGCACAAGCCTAGAATTAAACGGGATTTGCAGGGGTCTGCTAGGCCCACAGCATTCATACCCACCATTTGCACCCACGTAAATCATTGACCACGTGTGATTAGCTAGTATGTACTCCCGAGGTCCGTACACTGGATATTACTCTGGATCAAAGAAATCAATAGAACATTTTTGTATTAGAATTCATTTGAATGTATGTACTAGTAAGGAGTAATATTAAACAACAGCTTTCTTCCGTATAATCCAAAATCATCCAGACCAACCTTAGAAAGGTAATTTTCACTCTTATTGCAAGTCAGGTGAGGAGAATCAATATGCACGTAACCTGGCCTATGCCTAGTATAGTATAGTCGCTAAAAAATCTCCTGTCCTCCATTCCAAACAGAGAATTCTCTCGCTCGAGCTCGCTCCGAACTGTCATTTTCAGCCAAATTTGGCCTTGAAGGGTATTTCGCTGACCTGACTACGGTCGCAAGTGCGCTTTTCAAGTAACGAGTTTCAACGACTGTCAAAACTGAACATAGAAGACACTCGAGTGCTAATTTAAGGGGGTAAACAAACTCCGTGGCTGGCAAAAGAATGCATTAACATGCATGTAAATCCAGGTCCCACTTTTTGATTCCACCAGTCTTGTTCCAAGCCCTAGAGGTTTCTCGAGCATCTCCTGAGGTCAGTATGAATCGTCTAGATGAGAGACATGACTCGGGGATCCGAGTCCATGGCTAGCCGCATGCAAGCTGCAAGTCTTAGCCTCTCGGTTCATAATCTTTTTATTTTCTTTTTCTTCGTAATCGATAGATTTCATCCGGATGTTTTTAGACCGCTATTTATGGATTACCGTGTATTAGGGCCCATACTCCCACGTGGACTGCAGAACCGTCGCGTCTACTCCTCGTCTAATACTGTAGTTCGACGACTGTGACATCCAATGGAAATTAGTAGGATCGACATGGCCAAGACTTGCCTCATGATGAACAAAGAATTCGAACATGTGCTCCCGGACCTTTTCCAGTGGCCTATTACTGTACGGAGTATAGTACGGAGTAAAGCAAAATTACTTCGTACACTAAAATACATGGATTTTAGTCAACAAGTATCGTGAATGCCCAGAGGCTTCTTCAAATGCACTAGTAATCTTACCAGTAGTACGCACTCCATACTTGGTTTTGAAGATCAAGGATGGGCTGATCGCTTCCGGTTTCGGTATTTGGGAGCGACCTTTGTTCGCCCTTGAGTCTTTATCAAATTATCATATGGACTATCTTGATCGCCTCATATAGTACTACCTACCTTGACATTCAATGTTCCATAATGAATACTATGTACCCTGGTAACTGACCTGACTTACTCCAAGGTTTGTGTACAGCACATTCCGTTAACGCGGACTATAATCCAAGAATCTACTATAGTATGCATCGTATCGATAAACCAGTCCCACGCCACCGCCACAGCCCTGGAGTGCGGTGTGCAAATCGATCATGATCGCCTGATTTTGTGGTATGTGACTTATGCGATCGACCGCATAATATCACTACTGCGTGGCGTAAATGACCTTGATTGTGCATTTTTACACTTGAAACATCATTCGGACCTTGACTATGGCGCATGGCTTGCAGTATGAATAATTTCGTAAAATGTATACAAGGCAATCGAGTCACATACCGGGCTCAAACACCCGTCCAAATGTGTCGAGGCGTTCAAATGTTACGACTGAGAATACTTACATGGTCACTTGTTCAGTCCTCTCCATGACCAAGCTCTTCGTATATTTTAATTTCAAGGTTGGAGGTAACGAACGGACCCCTTGGCCCCATTATTCTGGTCGAGGGATCCCGAGGTCGGAAATATTCTCCGAGTTCATGAGGAATCCACTGGTGGCGGAATCGGGTTGATCTTCTTCGCACAGAGCCTGTTCGTGGGTCTTCATTTTGGTTTGGGTTTGAACTTAATACAAATACTTTTTTGCGATTGGTATCTTGTGTCTGTAGACACTCAACGTTGAAGTGCTGAATCACCAACTCAACTTTGGAATTTGGCTGGGGGTTGATCGAAAAAATAGGTGCACATGTGTAGAACGTAACAGAACTTGTCAAATGGCGGGTTGGCCCATATAGTTGACATGTAGATAGAATTTAGTATCTAAATTACCTTTGCAAAGGGCAATGTTTTGCTAGTTAAAAATATACTACATTTGCAAATCCTTTTCCCAGCACCAATGCTGCTTCAAATGACCCGATACTCTCAGGAGCTCAATGTTAGAGTATTTCTACCGTGTGGTAGTTTTATAAATCAAAAATAATCAAAGGTGGTGGAGTTCTTGAAGTATGAAGATTTTGCCTATTAACTGTTATATAGAGCAATGCGCAAAAAAAAGCGATAAATTTTGGGTATCCCCTTCTGCACCATTTTGAGAAAATTGCTTCACCACCGCCCCAAAAATAATTCTAAATTTCTGAAATTTACATGACTTCATCTTCAGGTCATTTAAGATTCGAGTCTATGATCTTAAAGGAAAATATTTATTATTGGGGGTGTAATGGTTATAAAGCTGTGTAGGCCACCTGTGGGGTTGTCTAGTACTCTACTTCAGCGGATCAGAGTACTTTGGCGTGTGCTTAATTTTATACATATATACTCTAAGACTAAAAAGTGGCAAGAGGCTCATACTAAAATGGAAGGGAAAAGGTCTCGATTGCCAGACATTATCCTTGAGTATATACTGCGTACTAGTACTGTGCCAAGCGATCAATTAACCAAGTCTCTCCACCTACTTCTACCCCCAAACCAAATAATCCAATCCACAATCATCCTCCCGGGCCTCAAAACCAGTGTATGTAAATGAGTGTCTGGATAAGTACACACCTAAGCTACTAGTTGCTCTCAATGCTTGAAGAACTTGGAAGTTCAGTCATTTCCAAGGTTGAACAGTGGTTGGAATTGGTTAGTTGCATGTCAACTGGTGATACTTGAACATATTTTGATGATTGCATCTGTATAGACCTCCCCGTAAATCAAACCCGAAATCTGGATGCATATTAGTATCTTCGCACAGCACCATGAATCCATCATATATTATTTAACTATATAGTGCTTTGGTAAAGTAAGAATCAGAATTGACTGAACTTACTAGAATATATCGAACGAGACTGGTCTTACAGTTCAATTGAAAGGTGCTGATGTCAACGGGTGATTGGCCCCACATGACATGGGAAGAACCGCGTCTGTAAAGCCCCCGAGCTTCTCCCTCCTATGGATCTTCTATCAGTTCTGCCAGGCTTCGCGACAAAACCATACGCACATCTGCTGCCCTCATTAGAGCGCAGCAGACTCACTACCGTCGACCTTATCACGCTTGACACGCTTGAGATCGCGAAACGCGCCCATGTTCCCCCCGCAGACGTCCGGCGCTTTTGCGCCCGCGTCATCGAGGCGCTGCACGCCGACGTCGGTTTCCAGAAAACGAATTCCGGCATAGAATCCACGGAAGACGATGACTCCAGTTCAAGTGTTGGTCCAGATGCTGAATTTAGTCTCCGCCCGTCGTCCGAGCTTCAGTCGTCGCGATGCGGTATGATCAGCACCCTGGACCCCGCAATGGATGCGCTCTTGGGAGGCGGCATTCAAACGGGATATTTGACCGAGGTGACAGGTGAAAGGTTTGTGGGGATAAAAATTGTCCAATGCCATCACATTCTGACCAATTTTTTGTCTGTAGTGGTAGCGGCAAGACCCAATTCCTCTTGAGCCTTCTTCTGGCAGTTCAGCTGGCCGAACCCCGTGGCTTACAGAAACGTGCCATCTACATATCAACGGAGCATGTCTTGGCCACAAATCGTCTCTCCCAATTACTCGAATGCCATCCATACCTCTCAAGTCTCCCTGCCGACCAGGCCCCGACGCTCGAAAATGTTCTCTCTATTAACGCGATGGATATGGAGACTCAAGACCATATCCTCAATTACCAGCTCCCCGTTGCAATTGCAAGATACGATGTGGGCCTGGTCATAATCGACTCTATTACATCAAACTACCGCGCCGAGAACAACGACCACAGCGCAGTATCTCTCTCTACCCGATCCACCGAGCTCGCCAGGCTAGGCCAGATGCTCCGCAATCTCGCAGCAAAAGAGAACATCGCAATCGTTATCGCAAATCAAGTCTCGGACCGATTCGGACCACTCGAAAACGTCACCGACGAGCTCATATCAGCCACATTTCCACTTGCATCGAGTCCAACAGGAGGCCCGGATTCCGGCATTGCCTCGCCAATTCCCCCAAACGTAGCCGATATTCCGGCCCCATCCACACAGTCACAGCAAGATGCTCCCCCTTCCTCGTCCGAAGATTCGTCACAAACCCCAGCGGAGGAAGACCCGTTCTCGGGATTATATGCCATCGGTGATCCAGCTCGGATCAAATTCATGACTCTTATGCACCAGGAGCGGTTCTTTACTGGCTGGGGAGACACTAGATACCCCGTTGAATCGTCTCTTAAGACCCCAGCAATGGGCTATTTCTGGTCGACGCAGATTGCGTGTCGCATTGCGCTGAAAAAGGAAACTCGCTCTCTATACGTGCCTTGGGATGGTGGATATCCTTTATCCACGCCTTTAGACCAGATGGATCCCCCCGAAGAGAAGGTGGAGGAGGTATTTGAGGTATCCGAGGAAAAGCCTGGCTTTGAAACGGCACGACAGACGCATACAGGGGAATTAGAAGCTGAATCAGAGGCCCTAACCTCAGAAAAACCGCCTCCTCCCCTATCTCCCAGGAAACCCATAAAGGCATCGGAACCAGAACCAGAACCGGAACCATTCCAACGGTCCGTATCTGCATTTGTCCCCGAGCCAGAGCAAACCACAAGACGAATCATGAAAGTGGTATTTGCTCCTTGGACTGGCGGAGTGGAGCCGGTGACCAATGAGATGGAATGGCCACCCAGACCAAAAATTAGTGAGACTGCGTTTGAGATTTGGGAAGGCGGATTGCGGAGTATTGATCCAGAAGAGTGATCTATATCTACTTTTTTGAACGTAATAGACTTGAGCATTTGGGGGTATGCGTCTCGTCATCTTGTTTGTACCAGCATAGCACGGATATTGATAATTGCATAAACGCGCAGAATTATTTTTAAAAATAGTAGTTAGGTGCTATTACCTAGGTATCAATCAGCTTTCTTCCTCCTGGAAACATTGCCTATTCTTCATCTCTCTTCTTGACTTTTGTTTTCTTTCCACCCCTGAAATACGTCAGCAAGTCGACATACAAAAGAGTAAGCCTAGGAATCCCCTTCTGCAGCAAAGGCCACGTGCACTAAGACACCAGTTCCCATTCGGTATGATTCCTGCTCGGAAGTTCAACAAGGCCCTACCTGGACAAATATCAGTCTGTTCCTGAAGAGAAAAGTACCTGCACCTAGTTTTAGGCACTAAGGCACCCCGACGTCAATGGGCTTTGATTAGACCATTTTTCACGTATGAGGGGTTGGCCATATTTCCTGGCTTATACATATACAGAATCGGAAAGAAGGCCTACCATCGAGCGAAGAATAACACCAAGATGTCTACATGGCAGGTATCGCCATCTGGCAGATATCCTATGAGGATGAAAGGGAGGAGGCCAGACTGATTTGCAATCGCCAGGCCACGCGCAGTACACCAATACAATGGGACACAGGCACCAGCCCTTCCTTCCCAAGCCTTCTTTTCGTCAGATCTCATATAGCTGTATCCAGTGACTGTTGATCTCAAACCAAAGGACAAGTCAGTGGAGGTAGTAACGAGTAATAAAGGTATGGACGAGCTCAGATCACCAGCACGATGTCCCGCTTCTTAAGGCTGTTTCTGTTATCCTCTCAAGTGTGGGTAGTCATTTTACAGGCCATATCAGTGATGGTAGTATTGAGCAAGTATGTTCTAAGCTTCAAATATTGGAGATTGGAACAAGGGCTTGCTATTTAATCGAATATTGATATGGATGAAAGAGAGCAATAAACAATCTACATATGTATAGAGCAGCATTAAATCTTACATGTACGCTACAATTTGCCGCAAACCTTGGAACATTGATAGACAGAACACGAGTACTTTAAAATGTTCCGACTACACATGCTACATACATGTATCTAGATCGAGTATAAATAGAAAGCCCTGCGTGGATCATTAGTAGGTTCGTACTACGACACATAAATAGTACTCCACTTCACACATACCGCATACACATCAACATTGGAAGAAGCATCCAAACAAAGCCATTTGAATGCACATTGTCTTCATTTAAACGTTTCCCCCAAACACGTCAACACGTTCAAATGTTCAATCCCGATCGTTTACATTTATACTTCTGCTGCCTGAAACCAATGAAACGGCCCCAATATCCAATCCCAATCCCGCATCTACCCCGCAACCCGGTTTTCCAACGGCTGTCTCCATTTTCCTTGTTTTATAACCTCTCACGTCACAAGACTAACAATGTTGCCACTGATCCACTGTGCATTTCTGCGCTACCTACAGGTCTCGAGGTTTGAGGGGAGTTTTTCCATTTTCAACTCTTATTCTTCTATACTAGTGATCTGGACCGGCGCTGCGATGAGCTATGGTCTTTCGGATTTCGATGACCTGAATCGCTTGCAAATACTCAAGGCTGCTGCCTAGACAGACATTGGGGAGCAGTTCAATCCATGCTGATACCATATCTGGGTATAGGGTTGTGTGCACGCACGTGCGTGATGCGACTTGTTCCAACAGAAGAAAGCTGTGCCATGTCAACCCTCGAACACCGCCTGCTTTGCTTAGGGCTGGTTTTTATGCTTTCAATGGGACTAACATGATTTTCAAAACCACGACAGGACCATACTACGATCGGACAAAACGGAACGATTTGATAATCAACATGATTCAGGATTAAGATTTCAAAAGGATCATTATTTCATCCCCCGCAAGATCGTCTCCCCATTGCTCAACTCATATGAAGAGAACACAAACAAGAAATCCAGACAATCTAAAGACCAGACCAGCGACGAGGCTCTATGGTTCTTGCTCTTCAAACCAACCATTCTTGGCATCTATGCCTCGTCCAAGTCTCAAATCTCACAATGTTTTGTGTATGCGCGACAACAAGTGTACACAGATCATAAAAATATCACGACAATCAAAAAAAAAAAAAAGAAACTCGACATCATAAAGCAACGATAAATTTTCGCTCCCAAGTCCAAACAATGAGAAATATGCATATGTTTTACCATCTATTTGGCAATCTGGGCAGGACGAACACCCAGGCCGTTGGTGTTGCGGAAGAAGAGCACACCCTGGCTCTCGCCCTGGGCACCCTCCATAGGCTCAACCCACTGGCAGGTACGGGCGCTGGTCCACATGGCCTTGAAGAAGCCAGTCCAGCCGGTCGAGGCCTCGGTACGGTAGTGAGTGCCCATGACAGACTTGATGGCATCGCTGGCCTCGTCGGCGTTATAGAAGGGGATGTTGCTGACATAGTGGTGCAGAACGTGAGTCTCGATGATACCGTGGAAGATGTGACGGCCAACAAAACCGAAGTCACGGTCAATAGTGGCGGCGGCACCACGGGCGAAGTTCCAGACCTCGGGCTGGTAGTGGGGGAGAGTAGGGTCGGTGTGCTGCAAGAAGGTAATGGCAACTATATGAACGTTAGAACTGCTGATACTTTGATCTATCAAGGAGTTTGATAGAAGAGAAGAGAGAGAATAAAAGACTTACCGAGCCAGTGGTTCACCCAGAGGTAGGGGATACCGTACCAGACGAGCAGATTGAGCCATCCGAACTTGGAACCAATGGTGTACAGGAGAGCACCGGTGAGGAAAAGACCGAGATCACTCAGGGCAATCAGCTTGGCATCCTTGGCCTCGTACAGAGGGCTAGCGGGGTTGAAGTGGTTGACACCACCGAACCATCCGTTGGCCTTGCCCTTACCGCGTCCCTCGGGCTGCTTCTGGTGGTTGTTGTGACCAGTGACGTTGGTGGCCAGGTACATGAGCCAGCCGAACAGCTGCTGAGCAAGCAAGTTGGAAGCAGTCAGGATGGGGGTCTCCTCCATGAGCTCACCGAGCTCGTGCAGAGCACGGCCGGTACGGGAGGCATACTCCTCACGGGTCTTGGGAACGAAGACCATGTCACGGGCAAGGTTACCAGTGGCCTTGTGGTGCTTTCCGTGGGAGATCTTCCAGGAGAAGTAAGGCACGAGCAGGAGAGAGTGGCAGAACCATCCAACGGTGTCGTTCAGCACCTTTGAGGGGGAGAAAGCCTGGTGACCACACTCGTGGGCCAAGACCCAGACACCGGTACCGACCAGACCCTGGACAATGGTGTACAGGGTCCACAGAGCCACACGGGCGGGCATGAAGGGGACAGTCTCGGGAGTGACATAGTTGTGGAAGAGGTAAAAGACGGATCCCAGAATGACAAAGTCCCGGAAGACATAGTACAGACTGGTGATGGCAGAACGGTGGAAGCAGTGAGCGGGGATGGCATCACGGATCTGCTTGATGGTGAAGTCGGGGATCTTGAACTCATTGCCATAGGTATCGACCATCTTGCTGGCCTCCTGGTCCGAGGCCATGGACGACAGTGAAGTCGACGAGGGGGACTGACGGGGGCTGTCAAAGGGAGAAGCCGAGACCGAGTTGGGCATGGACGACTCGGTGGTGGGGTTGCGACGCAGCGCAGTGCGCTTGGGAACAGCGGTCGACGACATTGCAAAGTCCAGGAATTAAAAAAAAAAAAAATCTACACAGCCAATCTGCACTTGGACACTTCGGTTGCTATAACACGGGTTCGTTGTCCAAATCGAATGGAAAACGAAAGTTCCTCAAACGTTGTTGGGAAGGGAGAGGAGGTATGAGTTTGCGGTGGATTGAATCCAGGCAATTCTCTGAAAGACTATACGAATGGAAATGGGTCAGTTCTTTGATCGGCCAGTCCGAGGATTGAATGCATCAACACGCACCTAAGGATGATTTTTTTTTTTGCTCCTGGTTACACAAGGTCCAAGATTGTCGATTATCCCCAAGAGAAGCACACAGGAGGGGGAAGAAGGAGTTAAAAAAGAAATTTGCTTGACGCTAACCCCAGGCTAGAGAAGGTAAACGAACCGAGCAAAGAAAAAAAGAACAGAAAAGGAAGAAGATCAGCTTTTGGAATGTAAAGAGAAAAGAGAATGAAAAGGGACCAAAACTGGGGGTCCATGGGTCCGTGGGGATATGGTATTGGTGTATTTTTGGCGTATGGTTATGGTATGAACCCATACATGATCTTCAGCCTTGGATCGCTTATTTGCCCCTTTTTCCTGGTAAATAGAGGTGTAATTAATGTAATTATGGTAAACCACATCTGCAAAAAGAAGGGAAAAAACCTCCCCCAATCCCCACCTGAATCCATCCCCATCGGAATTGACAGTCAAGGTTTGATTCTTTTATTCTTTTATTCTTTTTTTTTTTTTTTTTTTTTTCTTTTTCCAACATCTACAATCCATATCATCTCCTGACATTGATTTCATGAGTGACAATCTCAGACAAAAATCTCTGATTCCAAGGTTTCCTCCTTCCTGCATGAACTCCTCAGCCGATCTCGTAACATTGCATCCACCCCCTTAGGTGAGCTGTCATTGGATTATGTTGAGCAGATCGGGGGCGCCACCAGCTGGGAATTAAACATGAAAAAATACACGGCCCCACCACAAGTGGTTCTTCAGGCCTGGGGGAACTAAGAAACTAGTAATTAGTGTACATTAGTACGGAGTATAGATACGGGAAAAGTGGAAAAAATTGTCTACATGTATCGTGGCGACAACCGGGATCGGTCCTAAACCTAATTAGGATCTCAACATTTACCCGGAAATTTACTCATTGTATAGACGATGGCAAAGAGAGAGAAAAATGGAAATCCACGAATAATGGGCAGCAGACAAGATGGCTGTTCGCGGATTCTGGTCCGAGTGGTTCCTATAGACTTGATTCCTATTGAAACATTGAAATGATAAGAGACACATGGACTGATCTAGGCATTTCATATCTGATAAAGAAAAACTCAAATGTGATACATACAACCTTAGTACCTTGCAATTTTACCAAAAGCCTCAAACCTTCAACTTCCTGATATTCACATGCGGGGCCTACGATCGACTTTGCCTCGGCGGGTCATTTTCGTGCTGGTATGCTTGTCACGTAGATTGGTCCACGGTGGCAATTTTGAATTGGCGGCATGTGAGATTTCTATTTTTCTTTCGTTTGGAGTATTTGGTACGGAAAGGGTAATTTCCATGAAAATTTTACCTACAAGGGCGAAGCATAGTACTACTAGTATAGGTGTAGATGTATTCGATATATGAATGGTAAAACCTTGAAATAAGTAAATATGGATTGGTAGAAATGAACTATACTACTATACTCTCTTAACTCTTCCTCTTAAATAAACCAGCCAATTCTAGACCTTTGAAATAGTATGATTTAGATCAGCTATATAGACGGTGTAGGATTGGGGAGAGTATAACATTTGCACTCGGCCGGTGAAGGTGGGCTTGTTGGGCCGTGGCCGGACCCGCTATTTGTTTTGTTGAGAACACCCCACCAATCAGCGGGCCCCCACTCCGGTAATTTTGCAAAACACGAAACAGGGGCGGGCTTGGTCTGTTGCCCAGTTGAATGGACATAATGCAATTTTTATATGGAAAGTATCCTAAAGTACCCACGGACCACCACACATACAATGTACTTATATGAAATTGGGAGTTGATGACAGCTCCGTGGAACACAGCCTCCCTAATCTATGCCCTATAGTGGTACAATTTCAAATATTCATGTCTCGTAGATTCTATATACACGTCCGTCTCAAGTGCTGCCAATACGCGCAAGACCCAGGAGTTAAAAAAGCAAGAAAATGAAAAATAATCAGTGCACCTCAGCTCGTCGCTCTGAATCCACCAGCCACGAAGCCCCACCGGGACTGCCCGAAGCGCTGAGGCTGACCGTGGTCTTGCGCAGATCTGGCAGCACCAGAACCGTCTCCCCGTGGTTGCGATAATCCACTTCACAGGGAATCGGCTGTCGCTGGTTTGGCCCCGCGGGGGCTCCCGTGGTGGAATCTGGTTTGACTACGGGGGGTTGCGAATTCGCTGGGGCAAATGTCCGGATCTCCAGGCCGGGCAGAAGGAGATGACCGGGCTTCTGGGGGAGGAGAAGAATGGTGAAGGTGGTGGTTTCTCCATCACGTGCGAGGAAGTTACCCCGTCGACGACCACCCAGGAGCCACAGCTCAGGGTTGGCATGTACCTCGTAGGAACATTCGAGGGGCTGCCCCGCATACTCCTGGGTGGTTGGGGAGCACCAACGGCGGGTGTGGCGAAGGGTGAGCTCAGCTGGAATCATTTGGCCAACGGCCGCATGGAAGGAGCCAGCAGAGGACCCATCAAGCCCTGGCGAAAGTTGTAGCTGCAGCTCGGCCGTATGAACCACTTGAATCTCGGGGATTTCAACCGGGATGATGATACAGCGGGTGGGGATAGTGGGTTGGGTTGGCAATCGAATGATAGAGTTACTCTGTGGGGAAGGGGGGTTAATACCAAGAAAAGCCCAGGAAATGAATTAGTGGGGATGCATAACGAATCAACTTACCTCGTGCCACGCCATAAGCCACTGGCGCACTTCCTCGGTGCGCTCCTTGAGCCCGTCCAACAATTCATCCCACCGCACAGTCCGGTACGAGAGCATCTCCAATTCTCTCACAAGGCCAATCACTTCCATGTCCGAGGTGGAAAGTCGGGCCCGGAAACTACCGACGAGATGTGACGCAAGTAGAGATGCATATTGACTGTACGGGCTGGACTCAATTGCGGCCACAAACAACTTCTCAATCGCATCAAAACATTCGTCATCCACGCAGGTGAAGTCAACCCGTAGACGAAGACTGCGCTTCCCCGGAGCAGGAACATCAGTCGATGTAGCCGCCGCGTTTTCCAACGAACGAATCTTGTAAAGGAGGGACGCAGGCTGCTTTGGGAAAACGTCAAGCGCGACGGGGCCCGTGATACTAGATTGCACGTCATAGGCCTCGGAGCTGGGCAGGCTGCAATTGGTGATTCGGAGAGGGATCAGCATAGCGGGGCTGACTGTGAAACGTGAGAAGAGGATTTCATCTTTGAATATGTCCTGCACGTTGACTGATATGGGGAGCGTGGCAACAATGTTATGCACCGTTGAAGAAGCGAATAGGCCCTTTTCGGTCTCATATGTGACCTCTGCTCGTGCGGAAAGCGTTGTGAATGCTTCTTCCACAGTGTAGGGGATTCGTAGTCGCACAAATGATTGAGCCGGTAGGTGCGTAAACTCAATAAGTCCGGGATCACTATTTGTCACAAGTTCTAGCGCACCCTCCACGACTTCTGCCTCTGCAATTCGAAGGCGGAGTCCTGCTGTCGCCGGCCGCACACGAACGGTGCCACTTTTGATTTCATTTCGCCCACTGGAGAGTTCCAGCTCCAGAGTACGCATAGCCTCTAAATTGATCAAGTGCGGCGACACTATCTTGGCCTGCAGTCCATCTGGTGGAGGGTAACAATATACGTATGGACGGTGATCCGCGCCCTCTGCATCATCTGTCTCCCGGAAACCAACCGGCAAGTATGAATGTTGGTTGCTGTTGAATGCAAACACAAGGTTTCCAGATTTCATCTCAACCCGGTCCACGAGATATTTGCCTTGAAGAGTAGTCTAAATTAAAATTAGCCACACAAATTCACGATCGCATGCTGTCATGTTAGCAAAAGCAATGTCGACTTACCGGAGAATCAATGAGAATCTTCGTCTTCGTAGATTTAATCACAAAGTTTGTGGATCCTTCAATCCAGTGCTCTGCATTTTGGGAGGAGCCAGCACTGATCAGCCTAACCTTGATTGAATCAATCTCAATTCGTGGTCCGAGTAAAAAGCGCAATCCCATCTGGATCTGAAATCCGTCCTTGTCCTCATAGAGTCGGATTGCAGGGTCAACTTCAAGGTCCGCAAAGAAATCAACCAAAGATGTCGTGACGTCCTTCTGTAGACATCCCAGACCCTGGAAAAGATCAGAAACATACTCAGAAAGCTGTTCCTGTTCTAACATTGAAGCCGGCGTAGAAAGGGCTCTCTGTTTTTCGGAGAGCCGCGACTGCGAATATGAAGCGAACTTGGAGAGCAACTTCAATACCATGCGGACATAGTCCTCATGGCGTTTGAGTTCTTTCAGACACCGCGCATAGAGCTCGAGCATGCTACCTTCTAGGACCGTCCAAAATTTACTGCCGTAAAATGGAGCCATTTGATGGAAATATGAAGCAGCTGTCTCATAATCACCTTGGCGGAACCGGAGGATGGCGATATCGGCGAGTGCGAGTTCAGCAGAGTTAGCACGACTTGCTGCCATATTATGACAAATAATGCGGTCGGTGAGATTCTCATAAGAAGACAAGTATGTATCTTTGGATTTCAATGCGCCCTTTAAGGCTGGCAATTCGACGCCAACCAGAGAAGACTGCTTTGTTTTTATGTTCTCCTCTGGCTTCGATTCGCCATCATCATCCAAGGAGACGTTTGACAGACCACTTGCCCCAGAACGATGACTATCATCAAAGAGAAGGCCAAGGTCTGTCCATTTCTCCGACCAGCCGCGTCGGCGTGCGATTTCCTCGAGGGATCTCCTGGCAAATAGGAACAGTGCACCTCTTCCAGATGCTAGCTGCTCTGAGCCCGTCTTTTGAGTGATAACAGGAGCTGACTTCGGATGCTCCAAAGTCATTCTGCGCTGGAGTGAACTAACATCAGACATATCCTGCGTCATCGGGCGACCAGGGCGAGAGGGACCTGTAGTCCGACGAGGCACCTCGGCGCGGCTTTCTGTCGTCAGCGCACCGGAGCTCGAGGCACCGGCAACCTGCGCCACTGCATGGAGAGAGGATTCTGGAATTGTAAGGCTGGTAGTGAATGTTTGATCAAGGATCTGCAGGGCCGCCGAGTACGCCCAAGAAGAAACAGTATTGTCGATAAAGTTTGACTTGGCATCGTTTTCCACGTCTTCCAACCCAGCCTCGAGATCATAACGGAGGGTTCGCGCGGCGAGACTAATGAACTCCGTGGACCTCTCACAAATCTCAGAAAGCAGCATGAGGTTTTCTGGTTTCTTATCCCGGGTTGGCGTCTCATTTCCAAGGAGAGACGGAGCTCTTGCAGCCCGTAAAAGTAAAGCGAGTTGTCGAGAAAAGAGATAGGTGCGAAAGTTGAAGATAGAGATATTGCTTCCCAGAATCATTTCACGATACGGCAGTTTGGTGGAAATGAGTGGGTAATCTTCTGGTCTTATTTGCAGCTCGGGAAGCTCAGTATCCTGACCGTCGACAGCGGGGCCAGCCTCCAGTGTCTTTTTGGCTTCTTGGATCAGAATACTGGTGGAAGTGAGAAGTTCACCACCATGTTGTCCACCATTTCCATCGACTTGATCTCGAATGGCCGCATCCAAGCCGACAGATAGCTCATCATACCCTACCAAGGCATCATCGAAAAGACCAACATTCTCGAATCCACGTGCGAGACCCTCTTTGAGTATAAAAAAGGTACAGAAGTTCCACCCGGGAAGACTGCGTTGGGAATCCTTCTCCTTGATGTCTTCCTCATATTGGGCCACACGAAGATCAAAAGACGCTAGAATTCCATTCTTCATCTTGTCAATCAAGTCTTCCAGCTGCTCAGCCAATTCAGGGGATTTGGTCGTTCCGGCCTTGGGCAACCGCAGCTGTGCCACACGATCCACAGCAGTCTTAGACGACCCATTGAAGTCGGCCTTGACCTTCTCTAAGATGGTAGTTGTACCCCGGCCCCATTTCGAGGTGGTTGTTGGTGTCTTGTCCGCGCCTTCTCCGTCCTGAACCACATGTAGAATGAGCCACTCGAAGGCATCGTGTTTTTCTTGACTACTTCCTGCGGTTCCAGTCCCGGTGGACTGCGAAGTGCTCGATGCTCCCTGAGCCTTGATCCAATCGCGTAATGTTTTGCGCGCCGTAGCTTTGTAGGTGTCGTTATCGTCACAGCGCAGGAGGAAGACCTTCAGGTATGGAGTTTGTCGCAAGCCAGGGATCTGGTGTCGCCTGTGTGTCACTGTACCGGCGCCATCACTAGACTGTTTAGGTTCAATACTCTCAGTCTGCGCGGAGACGAAGCCGATGCGGAGCGATTCGATTGACCGAACGGGGCGGGTTGGTGATTTCCAGTGGAGGTTCTTCAGGGGGAGCTTTGATTCAATAATGGATTGGATTTGAGGAAATAGACCCGATGGATCCGTGTATTCAACTATTCCGTATAGCTACTAGTCAGCATCGTTCAAAATCCCAGAGTGCTCATACTCGGGGGGTCGTTACCGGTCACATTGCTCGAGGCCGCTTGCGAGGGGTCCATGATTCCCGGGCGCAATTCGGGAGAAAGCCAATGGCACTCAAAGCATTCCGATCTTAGTACTAAAAATTGGCATTCACCTCGGTATGCCTCGAGAAAATATCGGTCGTGAAGTCGCGGGGTTGTTGAGGTTGCAAACTCCCCGAGGACAGCTCTCTATGGGACGCACAGGCCCACCACATCTTGGCATTGTCTATACTAACTTGAACTTACCACGGGTGGAGGCACGGCGCCTCACCAGTGCTTAAATCAAACATTGAATGATCCCACGCCCAATCATGGCTATTGGTTCACCAAAAGCCTACTTTGAAGCTCGAATTTGGAAAATTTACATAAATATTGATTGGTCTATGCTCACATGCAATACAAAAGGCCAGCAAGGGCCGTGCTTCTGCAAGCTTGAATGTATATGTAGTCGTACCCTGTCATTATACGCAAAATGTAACAAAACAATAGAAAGAGTGCCAGTAGGGGGGTAGATGGGGGTGTTAAACTCGCTCAGATAGAAACACCGAATTCGCAAAAAATGAAATAAAAGGGGGAAAACAGGGAAAAAAAGACAAAGGAAATCCTAAATACCTATTTCCACAGCCTGCTGTGCGTAGCGAGTCTTCACAAAATCAAAGCTGTCCATGACGCCTTGCCAAATTCCAGGCACATAATTCCGTACCCACGCACAAATAACAAGGAGAAGAAGGGGAATCTGAAGAGAGTTAGTTCAACGTTCTTTGTGGTCAAGTACAGATGCTGAAGGAACTTACCCAAATGAAATAGAGGTTTCGGTCGCTACCCAGACCCTTCATGCGACGGGCTTGGTGCTCCCGAAGGTGCTTCTGCTGCTCCCGCGAGATGAGATTCTTCCCAATGGTGATATCCTTGAGTTCATCCTTCGCTGATCTTGGGCGCTCTTGGATAGCAGCAGCAGCGGCAGCGGCTGCAGCCGCAGCTGCAGAACTTGAGGCAGCAGCAGCAGTGTTCTGAGCTTCGAAATGTTGATCTAATGCAGCTTCTGTCGCCGCATGTAAAAGAGATGACTTCTTAATATCGGCATCATCCTCACGAGCCTGTTGGTGCGGGTACAGCTCATCGTACGAGGGTGGCTGTGTATGGGTTGGGGCGGTGTTGCCCTTCAGGTAATCCCACCACCCGTCGGCCACTGGACGATGGGGCACAAGATTGGTGATGCGACGCATCATCTGATTGGTCTGATAGTCTGGTAAAGCGGGCATTGGAGGTAAAGCAGGCATTGGAGGCAGAGCAGGAATATTGGGGAAAGCGTTAGCCATACTCTGTTGGAAGTGATTGATCTGGGCAGCCAGCTGATTACGCCAAGCGACGACTGCTGCAGGCGGAGTAAAGCCTGGGGCATCTGTGTGAGCCACAGCTTGCTCACCGACATCAGCAACTGGAGGTATGATGTCTTGGTGCATGCTCGATCGTCGAGAGGAGCTGAATTGCAGAGGCATGTCGTCGGAGTCGTCGCTATCATAGTATTCACTGTCGTCCAGCTCTTCCGAATCATCAACTGCATGGCCAAGGGACTCAGAGGCAGACGATGCCTCCCAGAGGGAGCTGAGCGAAGCAGAGCTGCTATGCCTGCGGCGCGAAGTGAGAGATCCGACGCTGCGAGAGCGGTAATTACGAGAAGGCAGCAAAGCGGCCTGGTGCGTGGGTAGGGACGTAGCCAGGTCGGCAGGAGTGAAACCACGCACACTCCGGGCATTGGCGTTGGCACCAGCCAGACGGAGTCGATGAACAATGTGGGCATGACTGTGAAGAGCGGCCAGATGCATTGGCGTATTGCCAGTGTTGTCTTGTACATCGGGGTTCGCGCCACGAGCCAACAGCCCCGCAACAAACCTAGTCAGGCCCAACGAGGCGGCAAAATGCAGGAGAGACTGCCCAGTTGTGCTGCGAGAGTTAAAGCGAGGTGGCCTCGGGCTGTCGTCAAGATCGATGAACTCAAGGTATGTCAGCATCTTAGAATCAAGATCGCTGAGTTTACCCTGGGCCTCCATTCCTGGTACTTGGCGCTGATGACCTCCAGAGGAACCACCCTGCATGTCTTTCTGCATATTCAAGAAGGCGTTCGGATCGCTCCCCATGATTTGCTGGGCCGTTTGGAATGCGTCTGCCTGGCTGCCCAATTTCTGACCAAGAATGTTGAGAGCCAGACGATACATCTGAAGTTCACGATCATCCACGTATCGGAAGAAGAGTTGTTGCTTGGGCATGAGAGGCTGAGATTGCTGCACTTGACCAAAAGTCGGGTGTTCGTGTTTGAACATAACCGACACCAGGCCTGGCTGGAGTGCGGGCGGGGTCAAACAGTTTAGACATTTGTCTCCCCAGAATGTTGTGGTAGTGGCAAGGGTATCACCAAAGACAACCTCCATACCAGGGTAGAAACCGCTACCCAACAATGTGACTTCCGTGCCTCCAATAATTGACCCTTCTGCTGGTACCAGCTTATGGATTACGGAGGGCAAACGACTGGGTGTCGCGGCAAGGGGAGGCCATATTTGGCTCGCGGGATTGGCACCAAGTGCAAGCGCAAGGTTTGAATCCTGGAAGCCGTTGCGCCCAGAGCCACCAGGTGTCCCTGGACGACTAGGCTGAGCAGAGTTGGGTGCTGATCCTAGAGGCTGGTGAGCCAAGCTATCTAGGCTTTGGCGCTGAGCAGGTGTGGGATTAAAGAAGGGGTTATTGTCATTGCTTTGATTGGGGGTCGGTGGTCCGTTTCCGTATGGTCCGTTCATGGATGAAGGTGTCACAAACGGCCGTTCTGTCGGGGAAGCATATCCACGAGCCGCTGCAAGCTGTGCAGCACTCATTGCAGATGATGATGATTGCGGTGTTTCCATCCTCGTCATAGTCAACTCCGACGGCAGTCTTCCAGAACTGCTGTGCTTCCGACGTTTGGTCTGTGGGCCAGGAAAATCGGTTGGCGATGCCTGCCGAGACAAGCTTCGGGAATTGTGTGAAGTGGCAGGAGCGCCATTTGAAGGGCCTTGAACAGCGGCAAACGAACTGGGTGTAAGCTGGTACTGCGAGTTGAACCGTTGTTGAAGACCCTGGAGATCGGTAGGCGACTGAGGCGAGGCAAACGCACCATTCGCACCTTTGACATTATCGGGGTTCGACCCTGACGAGAACACACCAACTCCAGGCAGCTGAGTTCCATCTGGCAATGACGGCGAGGGACCTGTTGGTACTGGAGCCGAAGGAGCCTGTGTCTTATGGTCGTCGGTGATCATGATTGAATTGGTGATTGCCTGAGCAATGACATTGTTCAAATGATCCTTAATAGTGAAAATAACCTGGAACCCAAGCTTCTCGTTTTGGTGTCGACAGTAACAAGCGATTCGCATCGGAAGCTCTACCTGCATCGATCCTTGAGGAGTCGGTTGCATGTCATAGCCAGTTGAGGTATTTTTGGTCGGTTCAGTCCATTCCTTAATCTCGCTTGTGTTGAAGACAATGACCCTCTTTTCCTCATCTTTTTGGAAAAGTTCATCCTCTTCCGGTTTCCGTTGCTTCTTCCGGGAGGCACGTTTTCGTTCTCGCTGTATACATCCTCCGCAAATTACCACATCTCCACCTTCCAATGGCTGGTCTTCTTTCGAGCCGTTCCCGCTTTGATATCTTTCACCCCTTGTGCGCGCAAAAGCTCGTTTTAATTTTTCATGATCCTGCATTGCACTGGTACAGACCAGACTGGTATATAGTTGCAAAGTATCGGGGGAAGGTTCGGTAGCAGCAGAAGCGAGAAATTTGAGTTTAGAGATGGTGTGAGACGGAAGGCGCAGTTTCTTCACGCTGGCCGGCAGCGGGGAGAGCGTTAATCGGATCGGAATCTGGGTTTCAACGCGAGATTTGAGGGACGTTGGATGCACCGTGAGAATGGGTTGTACCGAGTTAGTGTTATCCACCGGGAGAGCCGGCGATGAGCCAAAGTTTACCGGGAATGGGTATGAAGCGGGCGAGCCAAAGTTCATACTGGGCGACATTGCCTGGTTGAGTGGAGAGTGCCCATTCATGTTAATACCACCAAAGCTTTCTTCCAGTAGTGAGGATGGGGATTGGTTGCCCCATTGCGGAGCAGCCAGCCTCTCCGAATCATTGCGGAATGTGCCTGAAAATGGGGACTGCTCTTTAAGCCCAAAGGAGTAGTACGGCGATCCCGGAGCCGGGGCCTGCTGCAGCGGGTTAGAATCAATTCCTGCCTGAAACTTCCAATATTGTAACATGACTCACCGAAGACCTAGCGGCTGGGGCCTCGTTTGATGGGGGTAGGGCGGGGGCTGTGGAAGGACTCCAGAACTGTGACTTAGATCCGCTCGGGGGGTTGGCTTGTGGCGGGTTCTCAATCTTCAGCGGGCTTGGACTGCTGGCAGCGCTCTCGAAATCAAAGGCCGCATCCATAGCCTTGTTGCTTGACTCCAAATCGGGGTCCATAGAGAAGCCGTCCATGGGGTAAGACGGTTCAATGTTGAACGGCGACTCTTCCTTCACAGACGACAGTTCAGGACGCATCCAGTCCTCTGTTGGGAAACCGGCGGAGGTCAACGGATTTTCGCTATGAGCGGCGGAGTTTGTTGAGGCGATTGAGGCATGGCGGATATGGGTTCGTGGGGACTCGGATGAAGAGCTACGGCTCGAATTGTCTGGCGACTCTGCTGGCGACTCTGCTGCCATCACTGGTGGTTGTCTCAGGGGGTGTTGGTCTTGATAAGCCTTTGACGACTCCGGTGCGGCATTTGAACGGCTGTGGGTGACATGGGCGAAGAGATCATCAAAATCACCTCCAGCAGACCCTGAGGGCATCTCGAGGTTTGTCGGGTCGAGAAAATCCATATTGGCGTTGCGGAAGGTAGACTCCATCTCGTCGTCCATTATGATGGGGTCCAGGGCAGGGAATGTCGGCGAGGAAGGTACGTCTGATGGTCCCATAATTCGTTTGCCCTTCTCTTGTATCTGAATCGACAGGTGTTTAAAGCGACCAACCACCCTCCAGTCCTCTTCACTTTGGATGTTGCGATTGTCGCGTGGGTGGTGGGATAGCGATCGGGGAAAGACGGGGTTCACGGAGGAAATAAGATCTGGGACCAAATGATAGGGGGCTTTTCCTTTTTCACGCAGTGTACCAGGACCGGTCGTCTATGACCATGGCTCCTGGAACAAGATGTGAGGCTAGAAAGGCGGGAAACGGTTGGGATATGTAAAGTTGCTGGGGTAAAGAAAGCGACTGCCTGTGTGGAGTCGAGAAAGGAGAGCGGGAAAAGTGTGAGCGCGGATCCAGGCCGGCAGAAACGGGAACGTGCGAGGGGGGCGAATTATAACAATTACTTTGTTAATTATTGTGGGATTAAGAAATTCAATGAAATAAGATAAGGGTGAGATGTAAAGATTTCCGAGGTCGATCATATATACACCTCAGCTTACAGAGATCAAAATCTTGCCAATGGTTAATGCAATAGTCAAGTACTAGTACAATAGAACAATACGGTGTGGATGTTGATACCTGAGGCAGTGATTGGCGGTGACCAATACAGGTGACAGGTTCAGTAATAAGTGAATAACTGTACTGCAATCTGCAATGCATGCTTCGTTCCTCTTCCCTTCTATTCTACTCGGATTCCTCGGACGCGTTCGTCATTTTGGATCTACAGGAGATCATCGCAACCCGTGTGACTCCCGATATGACTTCGTGTGTCGGCTTGGGAGAAATGCGCGCCGACTGTACTGGGAATGATCCTAACCCCCTAGCGGCACCGAGTACAGATAGACCGGGGAGTGATTGGATGCAGGCTTGCGTTACTGAATTTTAATCATTATCGTGCTTCTTTTGTGTCACATCAAGTGCACATGTGTGCCACTATCTTGTCATGCAGGCCTCTCTGAGCAATATTGATTATAAGACATCATCATTAATGCATATCGCCTGCTCTCTTGGGCATGATCGGCTCTTTGCTATCAACCCCATTCGTTGCCGCAGATATCCAATTCATACTGAGTACCAATTGTAACGTGGGAATTCACGTACTTAGACATGTTCTCCCTTCCCCCGCCTCCCCCCCCCCCCCCGCCTCCCCAAACATTGAATAGCAAACACAATAATAAACGTGGGGTTGATTCAATCCAGAGAACAAATAACGATTGCATATTTTGCGACGTGCAGGCTTATCGGCTCAAAAGCCACTATTGACTTTTCATACGCGGCCAGATCCCAAGGTTCACGGATCCTCGAGGTCAAGGCGTCTTGACAGCTCGCCTTGGCTGCATGAGGGGGGCTTCCTAATGTACGCATTGCACTTTCCCTAGGAACAAAACCTTCGGAGGGCCTAGTTCTCTTATGTACAAAGGTGAACAACGCTTTATGGATGACGCCCTATCTGATAGCGCCAGTCATCTTTATCGAAACGCCTACCTAGATAGTCACCAATGACCATTGAAAGTGACGAAATTACTAAGGGGGCCAGCAGGTCAGACATTGTCATAGGCCCCACGCCACAGGCCTCTCTCTTCTTGACCAGGCCAGAGACTCACTTTAACAATGGCTCCATACCGATAGTACTTCTAGAGCCTCGAATTAATGGAGCGCTCTCGGACTTCTCCATACGCTGCGTGCCGAGCCCACCGGCGGTTTCAGACTAATTCTCCGCTGCAGTTGCCCCTTGATTCCGGCCGGTCAAGACCAGAAACCCCCACCCCCCAAAAAAACCGTCAAATCGGACATGCTGGCCTGGTTCATCATTTTTATGAGCAATGCTCAATTTCAAAAGTCCTGAATTATGACCATCATACCAGCAGTTAAAGGCTCAACCACCAGTTTTCGTGACTGACGCGTGGTGACTTTCAAAAGCTTAACAATAGACACTGCAATGCTGACCATGACTCTGTCTAAATTAGTTTGACGTTTGACAGCCCACTAGTGTCAATTGATTTTGTTTCCAAGCATACATACTACGGAGTAATTGATTGAAAGTTCCATAGTTGACATCTGGTTGAGACCATCCCAAGCCTCCATAACCTTCCATGTGGCTATACCCCTGACAAGGACCAAGCTTTGTGATCCTAGCACGAAATTGCTCTTACCGAAAGCTTTGATATCAGCTTGGCAGGGCAGAGAGTGCAGGTGTCGATATCTCAGGTACCCTGCAGGGACCAGCCAATTGACAGGGTTGGGCGAAAGGGTGAAACCCATAACGTCGCAGAGAGCCGCCGAAGATCGACCGCCACTGATTAGTGGTTTGAGCATGCCCTAAACGTCTCCAGAGCAATTTAAAGGTTATACACCTTAATTAATGTGGCTTTTTAACAAGACCCTCGGCGCTTTGAAGACATTGCTGTTCATCTATCTCACACCTCGGCGAACTACCTGTTTGGTCGATGGAGATTCTCCACCTATGGCCAAACATCAAGCCTGTGGATACGCCTGAAAACCATGAAAATGGAGAATCAATTGAATTAAGGACGTTCAAACATGTCATATCTGCCATCGAAGTGGACTCATTGGTTCGGGTATCATGACCCGAAAGCAGCCATGCCCGGCCTAGCGAGCGATGAAGCTGGATATAAAGGTGATCAACGGGCGGCCTTTACGAACTGATTTTTCTTCGATCACCAGTCTTTTCTGTTCCATTCTTTCTTTTCTTCAGGTCTAGTACCTTTCGTTCTCTTCATCGGGTTGACTTGACGTCCCCATTTTTGTCATTCTTTTTTCCCTCCGACTACGTTCTTTCGTGGATCCAAACGCTGTGCGTTCATTTTCAAAAATCAACTGAAACATGTCTTTGTCTAAGATTACTGGATTGATCCTCGGATCTGCTGCCTTGGTGGCCGGCCACGGCTACGTGAGTGGAGTCGTGGTTGATGATGTCTACTACGGTGGCTACATCGTCACCGAGTACCCCTACGAGAGTGATCCCCCTGAGATCATTGCCTGGTCGGAGCAGGAGACTGATTTGGGTTACATCGATGGCTCTGAATACGCCAACTCCAACATCATCTGTCACAAGGACGCCCAGCCGGGTGCTTTGGAAGCCCCTGTTACAGCCGGTGGCTCCGTCGAACTTCAATGGACCACCTGGCCCACAAGCCATCACGGCCCTGTGATTACCTATATGGCCAACTGCAACGGTGACTGTGCCGACGTGGACAAGACTACTTTGGAGTTCTTCAAGATCGACCAGGGTGGTCTTGTCAGCGACACCACCGAGCCGGGCACCTGGGCGACTGACAACCTCATCGCCAACAACAACAGCCGCACTGTCACTGTCCCCAGCGACATCGCTGACGGAAACTACGTTCTCCGCCACGAGATTATCGCCCTGCACTCAGCCGAGGAGACCGATGGTGCTCAGAACTACCCTCAATGTATCAACCTGAAGGTCACCGGCGGTGGTAGTGCCACTCCTTCCGGTGTCCTGGGTACGGCGCTGTACAAGAACACCGACCCCGGTATTCTGATCAACATTTACACCTCCCTAAGCACCTACGATATCCCCGGCCCAACCCTGTACACTGCCGGTGCCGCCGCAGCTACTACATCAGCTACCACCACCGCTGCCGCCGCCGCCACTACCTCCTCTGCTGCCGCAGTCACCACCACTGCTGCCGCAGCCACCACCGCAAGCGCCGAGACCACCACCAGCTCTGCATCATCCGTGGACTCAGTTGTGCACACAACTACCCCTAGCGCATCCATCGTCAGTGCCTCCCCAACCTGGAGCCCCTCCTCCCTCCCACCCTTCTCCAACTCCACCCGCGCATGGCGTCCCTCTTTCACCCGCCAGCCCGGTTCCCGCGTGACCTCTGCTCCCACTCAGGTCGCCGCCTCCACTGGCGCTCAGCTGCCATCTACCACTGCCATTACCACTGCCACCCCCGTCGTGATCACCCTCACCGAGACCAGCACCTCCTGGGTCACCGAACTGGTTACTCATACTGACTCGTCTGTTGTACAGACCACCAGCGCTGTCCCAGTCGTTGTCGCCGTCACTACTACCATCACCGATGGAAGCGCGCCGACCGAGACCTCCTCTCCCAGCACAGCCTCTGGCTCTAGCTCTAGCTCTTCTGGCTCTTCCAGCTCTGGATCTGGCTCTGAGTCCTCCGGTTCCGGCTCCGGCTCCGTCACCACCACGAGCGTGGCCTCCACAACCAGCTCGGCTGAATCATCAGACTATGACTCCAGCGACTGGACCACCTACCTCAGCTCCTTGACTGCTGCTGAGGTCCTCCAGCTCCTGCGCCAGACCTTCAAGTGGCTCGTCAGCAACGACAAGGTGCACGCTCGTGACATTACTATGTCCTAGACTGGTGTTTGACAATGATTGGGGTTTTTGGAAATGAGCAGAAAGCGATCTGTTTATGGATTTGATTCTTCTGGGCTTGGATCGGGTATCCAGTCATAAGGTTTTACTCTTTGGAGTGCCCTTCATGCAACGACAATACTTTGTATAGAGGTATATATTGTTGCTTTTTGTTTATTCTTCTTCCTCCTCTTTTATGGGAGATGAGATGGTTGTGTCCTAGCCATCTTTTTATACTTTTTCTACGAATGGAACTACTAGACTGCTCAATATTGTTTTTTGGCATATCTAAGGCTTAAAGACATTTGCATTACCGGTAACCTTGGAAGGTTATACAAGAAATCTAGTTAACTACTAATTTCTTGCGTGCACAGACATCTCCAGGGGCTGAAAGTGGCCGGCCTTCTGTAGACCCAATTCGGGACCCACTTGCCACGCTACATACTAGTATGATCTCCATGTTTGGTCTGTTTGCATGACTATGGGCCTGGGCTTCGCCGCCTTTCTTATCCCTACTACGCGTTATTGATAGGATTCATGGTCTCGCTATTGGGAATAATTCATTGAATCTCATGCTGGTATTCATCATCATAGAACAAGGTTCATATGATGCTGATATGCATTTTTGAGATTATCTGGTTTCAAAGATCTATTTCTTTTTCTTAGTCTTGTCCACCACATCAATCCATTGACTCTTGAGCCCACGACGCGTGAGAGCTGTATCGAGAACCTTGCGCTGATCACCCTGCACTAGGACCTCCATGACTCCCTTGGGATAACCGACAGCTTGTGTCACGCTAGTGCTACTGGCACATTTCTTTTGAAGCTCCTCTGCCAAAAGGGCGGGGATAATTCCGAAGACTTCTAGGTTGGAAACTCTCGTGATGGTCTTCGAACCAGTCCTCTTCTCCAGAGTGACCACTGCCTTCGGTGTGGCACCTGCCTTGGGCTTCACGTCGGCAAGAGTTTGTCCAGGCTTGAGGATCGCATAGTAAGGCTGTAAGAATGTGTGATCTTCAATCACACGCTTGAGTAGCCCGTCGCGGGTGACCATTTTTCGCTTAAGAGTTGACAGGTCCTCAGAGGAAGAAGATGAATAGATGGTGTTGGCAAGGTAGGGGTTGAGGTTAATGATGCGTCGGTTGTCGATAGAGACCAGAGGAGGGTTTTGTGACTGGACGTATTGGTCTAAGTGGGTAGATACCTCGGAATATTTGTAGTAGTTCTTCGGGCTGGTGGTAGAAAGAGCGGGGAAAATGTCTGGCACCAATTTTTGGGTTGGCCGGTACAGAGTCTGAACATTCAGTGTCTGTCCCATCGAGGGATCTGCGCCCCCAGATATGACAGGCTTCCTGCCATCGGAAGGAGGCGAGTCTAGTGCGTCCTTTGACGGAAGCTTGTATGGGACGAATCTTTGAACACGCCAGTCATCAAAGTCAATATCCAAGATGAATGTCTCTGAGTTACCTCGATCTTTAGACTTGACCATCTTCAACTTATCGAGATGCTTGATGAACTTCTTAACACTCTTCCAGCTTGTCTTTTTGATGTTGTAGAAAGAGGCTTGTTGTGCGGAGTAGATTGGAAGGTAGGGTGTGATCAGGTTCTCGATCAGTAGGGAGGGTGACACGGGAAAAGTAAGCCCGTGGTTAGTGGCCATAGGGTTATCTAGTTTGAGCTTGTAGAGAGCGAAAACGAAGGCCTTGATGAAAGCATTGTCGATGTCTGTATAAAGGTCAGCACACCACGATGATAAAAAAGGATTGCGTTGTTAACGAATACATACCACTTGTTGTAGGCTCCTCCATAGCCGGTTCTTCAACTTCAGGCGCATCCTCAACAACGTCACCGGTTGGAGCGTCCTCCAGGTTGAGATTACCGACGGCCTCCTCAACTCCGCCTTCAGCCTCCTCTGTCTCCTCCGCCTCCTCGTCCCAACCCTTCAGGTATTCAGGAGCTGGACGTCCCGGTAGAGATGATGAGCTCCAAGCCCAGAGTTCATCACCCTCCCAATGTAGACCTCGGACGGCAACTCCCTTTGTTCCTTGGACCTCTCCAAGCGTGGAGACATCAATCTCACACACGCCCACAAACAGCGGCACGCTGTGTCTATCCAGACCGGCAACAGCCACCACGGCTCCCTGAACAGCTCTCTCGGGGAAGGGCGGCTCATTAGCAAGCCCGGGAGTCATCAAATCTGCGCCGGCATGGAGCTTTTGCATCACCATCTCCGGTGTGTATAACAAGGCCACCAAGTCTGGGTTCGCCCATAATGAGTAAACGGTCGGGTAAAGGCGCTTATCAGAACCGGGTCCGTGTTCGATCTTGAACCAGAGCACACGCTCCTCCTCGTCTCCATGTGCACCGACGTACACAATGCCCTGCACCTCTCGGAGGTCTGGACCGGCGGTGGTTGTAAAGCGTGCAGTCAAGGCATTCTCTGGGAGGAGTGCATTGCGTACGGCACTAAGGCTCGGGGCTGTACTCGGCGCGGCGGTTGATGTCTCTGCGGATGTGGAAGGCACGGTAATTTGATAGTCTTTAATGATCTGATCGGCGATTTTTCTCCGGTCGGAAGATCGAAGGGGGGAAAGGTTTTTGATCTAATAGGCTGTCAGTATTCTGCCCTTCTGTTCTTCATAATGCTCTGTTGAGATAGCAAGGAGGGGTAGTGCGGGGAGGGCGACCACAGACGGTGGGCTTCTTCTTGAACATCTTGATGGACAAGGGCAGATAATTATGAAACAAGGATTTGAAACTTTGGGAATATGTGGGCAATACTCCCTCAAGCTATCCGAGGTGGAAGAAGAACAAAGAGAGGTGTGAAGAATGCAAAGTTGGGGAGATTTCTGAACGACCACAAAAAAAAACACGATATGTAACCGTCCAAGTTCCCCACCTTAAGCTTGAGATGGCTGCGGCTCCTGATGGGTTCCAATTTGAAGGTTTCCACATTTGCCTTTATTATATAAAATAAAAATACACTACTAGACATTAACTACATATTACACCCAATTAGATTCTCTGAATAGATTAATGTTCATCATCTAAAGTAATACCAGGTCCAATATGACACCTCATGACTCACAACCGAACAATAAAGGCTAGTATTCTTTTATATAAAGTTAGGAGCGAATCATTTACTAGTAATTTTACGACATTGGTTGATCATTAGAAATTGAACTCCAGGTGAACTAAGGTTCTCCATGTGCGCCTGGAGAGTGCCAAGTACATCCATACTATGTGTACCGAGATACTCTTTTGGTCGTTCAAAGTATTCAAATGTTTTCTTTCAAAGGCAATGTTGCACATGTTGACTAGATTTATGAATCGCCTGGATACAAATTTCAACACATAACTTTACTTTGGAAGGCTGTCAAGCTTATTCCAAGATGGCATTCAATGTTTACCATTCAAATGTTTGAAACATATAGAGCATAAGAAATATACATAGCATTTGAACAAAAGGGAATGTGTACTATATTAGAAATAGCACTCCAGTATCCAATGAGATTCCGAATCTCCGAGCGTCGGAGATAGCCCGACGCCGGACTCTTGTGTAACCGGTTTTCCCATAACTTTCCAGGGTAACATCTCCCAACTGAAATCGATCATTGATCTTCACACCTTCAACAGACCAGTTGACCTCAGAGGTTAAAGATATTCATCACTAAAATGCCAGTCTACCACGTTGGTATGGAATCAGTCCGCTGCTGAACTCAGGAGCATCCCCGCACTCCACTCCACCCGCAACGATGATGCGGGGGATGGAGCGCCACCTTCGTTCAAACAATGTTGACTTAACTGACACCACCAAATTGACAGTCCTCTTCCGCCTCAAGACAGGTGTGACTCAAAGTCAAATCGACACATGGGCTCAGACTGCCAAAGCAATGGTGGGAAAGATTCCTGGTTAGTTCGCCATTTAATGTTTTCACCAGCAACAGAGTCTCTCAATTGTCCACTGGGCATAACCCAGACCTGAAATCAGAAGATTGACATCACATCGTTGCTCCAGGTCTTGTCTCTCTTGAAGCGAATACCCCGTTGCCAATCTGTGTGCCCCGCGCCAAGGGATTTGATATGGGACTGGTGGCTGTCCTGGAGAAGAAAGAGCACATCGCTGAATATGCTGTGCACCCCGCCCATCTGGAGTATGTTTCCAGTCCACGAGCTAGAATCAAGATTAGTACTGATGAAATACTTAGAGTTCACAAGATGCGCGAAGAGCTATGTGATGATACTTTGGCCTATGATCTGGAGTTCTAATGTGAGCGATTGTCATTGGAATGTTTGTTATATTTGATATCCAAGTAAAATCTTGGAGGCTTCTGGAGAAATCACTTCATATGACCGAATGAAACAACATTCATGAATTGCACATGTGCGCATTAAGGTCGTATACCTGGGCAAGTCACTCCATAAACAGGGCGTCAATATCTTAAAACTTCAACTTAAAGTGTTGCGACTATATGATCGTACACATAATCACTTCCACAACAAAATCCTAAAAAGGTCGAAGATTGATGATTCCCTCTGTTCCGAAAGAAGATCAAGCCCCATCAGCCGCGATACAGCCACCTGTGCAGTACGAACAGCGTAACTAGTATCAACGCAGCTATAATGTGGAATCTCCACGAAGTCCCCGACCAAAGCAAGATTGGAGGTGTTTGGCGGTATAACTTGCGGGCGGTCATTCTGTGACCGAATAAGCAACATGGCTGTCATCCGCGGCATGACTCGTGGAATAGTTGTGGTTCTCGAAGGCTGAGAAACAAAACGTAGATGTCCCAACAGTTCTTTGGTGATCTCTGCCCCGGAACAATTATGCATCGGCTTCTGGACATACTCCCCCAGACGCCTGGGAAATAGAGCAAAGCCCCAGAAAATGCGAACATTCGATGGCTGGTGAATAAAGACCGGTTGTGTGGGTATACAACAACTCAATTTCCACGGGCTTTCTTTGAGCAAAACAATGGACCCGCCATCGGTGTCATTGTGGGTGTGCAAATCGACATATTCTATCAGACCGGGGTCTGATGTGGTGATTGTGAAAGACTCCAATATGGATTCCGACTCACGGGTACAGAAGTTGTAGGGGTTGCCCAGCATTTCATTTCGGGTTCCGATTTCCAGCCAAATTGCCCAGTTCTCATCCAGCTCGTCGTAGGGCTCAAGTGAATGGCGACCTGGGGGATGGTCGTTGGTTCCTCTTGTCATGCCTGAGGCGGTAGAACCGGGGGCTATGATGACAACATCGTCCGGACAGATTTTTTGCTGCATTTGGAATCCGTTCTGGATCATGCGAAGTTGGGAGATGGTTTCCTGACCGTCTCGGATTGTTGAAACGATGTCTGTTATCGTTGTATCGAAGTGGAAATCCACGCCCAGGCTTTGGAGGTGTAGAAATAAAGGTAGGAATATTGAGTCTTGTTGGTAATATCCGGTGATGTCTAGACAGCTTAAGATGCTCAGACTATGGAAGCCACTAAGATGCTGACGAAGGGCACGTTTGAATTCAATTGCGCTGTGCCATGGTTGAAATCCGAACCTGGAAAACATCAGTCCGAAAAGACTTCAATTGAAGTCTGAAATAATACATACTGAGCGGACCAGATGGTCCAGAAGGTACTTTGGAAGAACGAGTTCGGCAAAAAGTCTCGGATCTGATTCCTTCCAAGGCGTTTCTCGCTCTTCAGCATGAACAAGATCAACTCCAGACGATGCTTGGTGTTCAAATTCAACGAATTCGTATGAATATCATTCAGAACATGATTCTTTTGAACTAAGAAGCGAGTGCGACCTTTGTGCTGATTAGCACGACCCGTCTGCGCTGATTGGATATCATCCAAAACACTGTGCCCTAGGCGATTCACCGAAGGCACCAGGCCCAGGAGCTCTTTCAAGGGGTTTCCAGCCGGAACAGGCAAGCATCCTGCAAACTGATCATAGCCATGAATGGGATCGCCGTTGTTGTGCAGAACTTGGCCCATTGAAAGATGGGAATCCAAGATATGTACCTTGGACGCAGGAACATTGGCAAACTGCACCAAGTACAGCGCGGACGCTAAAGATGCAGTTCCGCTACCCAGAATCCAAGCCTCGGTTTGGTCGGGGGATCGCCTGTATTGACCACGTTCGTTCATAATGCTGGACTTACTCCCCAGGCTTTCATTGAGTATCGAAATATTGAGCCGTGAGAATCATGATGCTTGAGGTTGAATAGGCTAGTCGTGATGTTCATACGAATATATGGTACGTCAGCTAGAGTTGACGGTAGACATGACTAACAAATCCATGACTGTGTGGAACGCCACTGAGCTCGCGCGAACTAATCAAAAAATGTACTCTCGAGGTCCTGGCTCGGGTACCAAGGATGACAGAGCAGCTACCCGCGGGACAAACAATCATTTACGACTAAATGAACCTTGAAAGGCCTGGATCCGAGTCTATTGCAGACGGGAGTTGAGCCTAGATGAGGTCAGATAGCTATTAATGTATGTGGCTTCGGCTCCGAGTCTCCGACCTCGGGCAAAAGACCCAAGTTAGCTCACTACAAGTGCACATGTGCACATCCGTATATATGATTTGAACAGTTTGAATGCAGTATAACACATTTATTGTCATTAACCATTTGACAAAAACGCCGAGAAGGAATTCGCCCTATGTTTTGAACATGGCCCATTGGGCGGCCTGTTCCTATCACACTTTTAAGTTCCGCCCAATGACTAGAATAAAGAAAAGAAATTCGAGACAACAGTTATTGATATGATGGTCAGGAGCCTTACTCCTTAGCATCAACCTTCTTAGCGGGACGGTCGCCAGCTTCGTCATCACGGGAACGCTTCTCGCCGGTGCTCTGGATGACGGGGACACCACTAGAAAAGCACAATTAGCCGACAAACTCCTAGATGTAGATCAAGATAGCAATCCACTTACCGGGCATCCTTCTCCTGACGGGGCTCCTTGAAGCCGCTCTTCTGGTCATCATCACGGCGCTCGCGCCAGTCGCGACCATCGCGGTCACCACCGCGACCACCACGGCCACCACGGCCGCCGCGTCCACGACCTCCACGACCGCCACGTCCTCCACGGCCACCGCGACCACCGCGGTTGCCGCGGCCATTTCGGCCGGGCTGAACATTGCCGTTCTTAATCTCCTCAACCTTCTCCTCGCAGTACTCCTTCTTGCTCTTGATGATAAGCTCCTTGCCATTCCACTGGGGCTTGGCCTCGAGAGCCAAGAACTCCTTTTGCTTATCCTCGGAGACAAACTCGACGAAAACACTGCCCTTGAAGCCTCGGTCATCACCGCGACGCAGGCGGATGGCGTTGATAGGTCCGTAAGCCTCGAAGAACTTCTCAATATCGAACTGGGTAGAAGGCTCCTCCCGTCCGAAGCCCTTGGCGTAGATGCTGCGGGGCATGGTCTTGTCCTCCCACACCTTGACGCGCGCATCATCGACCTCAGTGGTGACTGACTCGGGCAGGGGAATCTTGCGCTTCACGGCAGTGTCATTGTCAACAAGCTCAACGGTCTCTGCGGTCTTTAGGGCCTCGACGACGGCGGAAAAGGGTTGGAATCGGCGCATGCGCTGGAAAGAGTGCAGCAGCTCGAGGGGAACAGCGTTGTTGGCGCTACCGCCAACCTTGGAGAGCAGGAACTTGTCCAAGGGCAAGTTGGAGTCAGAAAGGTAAAACTCGACCTACGAGTCGTCGCATCAGCAATCTGTTTCTTTTTATGAGTCACTATTCCTTCCGGGTTTCCATACCTGCTTGCGGATCTGAACGGGGTCGTCAGTCTCCTCCTGGGTGGAGGCGTCAAACTTGGCAGCGTTACGGGTGTTGCGACCGCGCGACTCCTGCTTCTGGGGCTTCTCTGTGCTCTGCTCGGACTGTTCAGACTTCTCGCCCAGCTTGGCGGCCGCGGCGACGATGCGAGCCTCCTCAGTGTCTTCCTGGGTGGTCTTCTCGGCGCCGCTCTCGCCCTTCAGCTCGCTCAAAACCTGCTGGACATCCTTCTCGGCCTCCACATTGGTAGCGGGCTTCTGTTCGTCGGCCATTGCTGCGAATAATGTATTTGAAGGAATTCCGTTAAGAGGTTCAAGACGGATCAAAGAAAAGCGGAAAGATGACTCGGCTGTTGAGATGACTCAACGATAGAATCAGCGATTGAGGTCACAAATGTGGACTTTCGAAGCTTGACGCGATGCGACCGATTATCAGTGAAGTAAATTAAGATCGGATACACGAGAATGATAAGAGGGAGCTGGACGCGGGGATTGAATTTTCGGATTTTTTTTTCGGAGCTATCTCGTCGCCTGAGGCATTAACGCTAGCCCTAGAATGGATAAATGTGGGCCAGTGAAGTACATGAACATTGAAGTAACATGATGTACATGATAGTACATGATAGCACATCGCATAGCATGTAACATGTATCATTAAATGTTTAGAATAATAAGCCAGGAAACTCCATATTACCTTCTGTAATGTAGGCCACGCATATTAAGCCTGACTTCCAGATGTCACCGTAATCGTCGAACACTGGAAGGACGGGTGGTGAATGCTTATCGTGCCTGCCGCATTGATTTAAGGCCGAGTCTAGCATTTGAACTCGCAACTCACATAAATCTTTCCTTATGCCACTTCGATTGTCCTTCATTGTCCAGCCTGTATTCTCATCTCTATTTCTCTTTACATATAATATGCAGGTCCGAAATTCACCTCTTCTGATCGAATCAGTTGCTTGAGTTTATACGCTGCATGTACTACCTCTATCCAATGAGAGGTGGAGCTGAAGCTAACAAAAGATAGGAATCCACGCCGTCTTTCTTCGCTCGTGAACCGATTGTCATAAGCCTCCGAGAGCGCATGCGTCAAACCAATTCTAGCTGAGCCTTGGACTTTGACCGCTTCCTTCAGCATGGCAGGAGAGGTAGATCCTGGGGTTGTCACAAGTCAATGGCCTACCAGAGACGTAGGGGACTCCCCAGTTGCCCTCGTGAAATATTCTAACCTTGGAACCCATATGCCAGATTATCTATCTCGCTTTTGTCGGGCCCTTTATCCTGGCGGCTGCGATGGAATGGATTCTATGGCTGGCAGCATTCATATATTGCTTGTATAAAGTCTACCAAAAAGCAGATCATTGGAGCATCCAGGCGATGGCGGTGGTTATGGTTATTCTGTTCACTTTGTTACGGTAAGCTTTTCAACTGCCAGTTCAAACAACCTGTGGTGAGTCTCGAGCTGATGGCGATTTTTGATAGCCTTGCGTTTCTTCTCGTCATGATCTTCACCCTACCATTGCCACCGCAAATGACTCAATACTTCCCGTCTGAAGTCTCTGATGGCTTCCAGTGGTTCGCCTTCTGGTCTTTCTCCGCACTCCTCGTTGGACCCTGGATGTTTTGTGTGTATAGACTGATCACTCACTCCCTTGGAAGATCGAAAAGAATCAAAGAAGTTTTGGACGATCGAACCGCCCCCAAGACAGTGGTTGTAATGCCGGTGTACAAAGAAGATGCGGTGGTTCTGATCAAAGCAATCAACTCGGTTGTCGACTGCGATTACCCAGCCTATTGTATCCACGTATTCCTGTCATGGGATGGGGATACAGTGGACGAGCCATATCTTCAAGTGATCCGGCATCTGGGAATTCCAATATCGTTACCAGTCTATCCACCGAGCATTGATGTTTGCTATAGGGGTGCTCGGATTACGGTTTCTCGCTTCAAGCATGGGGGCAAACGGCACTGCCAAAAGCAAACATTCAAGCTCATCGATAAAGTATACAAAGAATATCTGAAGAGATATGACGATCTTTTTGTTTTGTTCATCGACTCCGACTGCATCCTTGACCGGGTATGCTTGCAAAATTTCATGTATGATATGGAACTGAAGCCAGGAAGCAAACACAACATGCTGGCCATGACGGGCATCATCACTTCTACGACGGAAAAAAACACTCTTCTTACAATTCTTCAAGACATGGAGTACATTCATGGACAACTTTTCGAGCGTTCAGTCGAGTCCGGCTGTGGTGCTGTGACCTGCCTACCGGGGGCATTGACAATTTTAAGATTTTCTGCGTTTCGTAAAATGGCCAAATACTATTTTGCAGACAAGGCAGAGCAGTGCGATGACCTCTTCGATTTTGGCAAGTGTCACCTTGGTGAAGATAGGTGGCTCACTCACCTTTTCATGATTGGAGCCAAGGAACCATATCAAATCCAAATGTGCACCGGTGCCTTTTGCAAAACCGAGGCTGTACAAACATTCGGTAGTCTTCTGAAGCAACGACGTCGCTGGTTCTTGGGATTTATTACCAACGAAGTATGTATGATCACCGATGTCAGATTGTGGAAACAGTATCCGCTGCTGTGTTTGGTTCGCTTCGCACAAAACACCATTCGAACCACCACTCTGTTGTTTTACATGATGGCTATTTCCTTGATTACAACCTCGAAAAAGGCTGATGATTTACCGGTCGGTTTCATTGGGGTCTCACTTGGCTTAAACTATTTGCTGATGTTGTACTTTGGGCTTCGTCTCAAACGCTACAAATCATGGCTGTACCCGATCATGTTCGTCTTGAACCCGATATTTAACTGGATCTACATGATGTACGGGATCTTCACTGCAGGTCAGCGTACCTGGGGAGGACCACGAGCAGATGCTGCAGCTGCTGATGGCCGAACAACCCCCGAGGAAGCGGTTGAACAAGCCAGAGACCAGGGAGATGAGTTCAATGTTGACATCAAGACTTTCCGTACAAGCGATGTGAGACGGCGATCAGTTCCAATTCGTCCATCAAGCCACGTCGAAGGCCGCTTTGCCCCCTCGGAGCAGATGCTCGACGATTTCTACATGGATGTTCCTGATGCCTCAGGTATAAATCGGCGACAGGGTATACGTATACCGGCAGACTTTGCTCAGATCAGGCCGCCCCAGGTATTCCGAGACTCGTCGGAATCGGTCTTCACGGCATCTTCTGAAGGCGCATCAAACATGGTTCGAACACCCCGCAATGTTGAGAGCTTGATGAGTGAGGAAGACCAGCGGAAGCTACACTTTGCCCGTCAAGCTCGGTTATCTAGTGATGCGTCTCCAATGGATGAAGGTAAAGATGAGAAAGAAATCGGCTCCAACTATGACGGGGACTGGCCTGCTGACCCGGAGCCTATCTTGTTGATTCCCGGGGCCTTCGAACCCCCTCCGCTTAACACTCGTCCCGAACGTCGCCGATACATCTTGGAGGAATCTATCGTTGAGGACTCTCGTGAAGACATTGCGCTCCAGAGACTACCCGAGCACATGCAAAGAGGATCGCGATCCCTTGATCCGCCCCAAGACATGGTATAATGACGGGGTTCTGCCCTGACGTCAATTCCAGATGATGCTTTTTTGTTCCACTTTTTGTTCCTTCTTTTGTTCCTTCTTTTGTTAACCCATGACTCGGACATTATTATTAATGCATAATCATAATCCCAGTGCCTCTTTTTCATATCCCCAGCCTCATACATTGTTTCACCACCTTTCCGGTTTTGACCTGTTATCCCAAAAAAAAACTCCCGACAGCAAATGAACATATCATGCAGGGGTACCTGAGCAGCGGAATATTTTTACACCAGGTTAATAATGTATGTACCAAGTCATGCTCCAATAACATCGGCTGTAGTGGTCAAATGTGGATTCTGTGGACCATTATGTAACGTCATCTGGGCGGTCAGGAAGTGAAATATTTTTCTGCTGAGCGGTGAAGGCGGAGGAATCAACTAGTAACCGCTGGAAAATTCCATGGCCATACAGTCTGGATAGATGGCAAATGTAGGCTGTATATAGTCTTAGAGAAGTGTAATTAAAAGAATAAGATCTATTCTTTGACTGTTTTAAGTATTCTATTTTACTACTCTTTCTTCCAAATTCATTATACCCCCCCAAAAATTTTGCCAGACCGCTCCATCATCCTGGTATCGCAGTTTTATCCCCGCCCAATAATAAGAGTGGAGTGGCGTGCAAATTCTCCCCTCCAAAACTTCCCTTTTCTGTGATCCTCTCTCCTTCATCCTCCCACCCACATATCCACACCTCCATTTACTCCCTCCTATCAGCCCACAATGTCTGTTGTCGGTATTGATTTCGGTGCGCAGAGCACCAAGATTGGTGTTGCCAGAAACAAGGGTATCGATATTGTGAGTGTTTGCCCCGCCTATCGTTGCGGGACCCCTCGTCCCTTGAGATTGCGACCACCCTATAACCAACCTGTCGATTTTATACTGACCAAAATTCCTATTGGATTTGATAGATTGCCAATGAAGTTTCCAACCGTCAGACCCCGTAAGTTACTGCGATCGCGCTTACCTGACATCATCCCCTGTCAGATTTTTTTTTTTTTTTTTCACTTGCCGGAGCCAACCATAACTGACTCAAAAATTTGTGCCCAACAGTTCCCTCGTTGGATTCAGCGCCCGCAGCAGACACATTGGTGAGGCCGCCAAGACACAAGAGACCTCCAACCTCAAGAACACCATTGGCTCTTTGAAGCGCCTGATCGGCCGCCCCTTCGATGACCCCGATGTCAAGCTCGAGCAGCAATACAACAGCGCCACCATCTGTGATGTTAACGGATTGGCCGGTGTTGAGGTTAACTACCTCGGAAAGAAGGAAAAGTTCACAGCAACTCAGTTGGTTGCTATGTACTTGACCAAGATCAAGGATATCACTTCCAAGGAGCTCCGTCTCCCAGTGTCTGATGTCACCCTCAGTGTCCCCGCCTGGTTCACCGATGTGCAGCGCCGGGCTATGATCGATGCTGGTGATATTGCTGGCCTGAACGTTCTCCGCCTGGTCAACGACACCACTGCCACCGCTCTCGGTTACGGTATCACCAAGCTCGACCTGCCCGGCCCCGATGAGAAGCCTCGCCGTGTGGTCTTCGTCGACATCGGTGCCAGTGATTACACTGCCTCCGTCGTTGAGTTCCGCAAGGGTGAGCTTAACGTCAAGGCCACCACCTGCGACCGTCACTTCGGTGGTCGTAACTTCGATATCGCTCTTACTGAGCGATTCGCCGATGAGTTCAAGGAGAAGTACAACATTGACATCCGCACTCACCCCAAGGCCTGGTCTCGTACCGTTGCCGCCGCCGAGAAGATGAAGAAGGTTATGTCGGCCAACCCCCAGGCTCCCCTGAGCATCGAGTCTTTAATGGATGATGTCGATGTCAAGACTATGGTCAAGCGTGAGGAGCTCGAGGAGATGGTTAAGCCTCTCCTGGACCGACTTACCGTTCCCATTGAGCAGGCTCTTGCCGAGGCCAAGCTCACCGTCGAGGATATTGACCACGTCGAGATGGTCGGTGGTTGCACTCGTGTCCCTGCCATCAAGGAGATCATCTCCAAGTTCTTCAACAAGAGCCTTTCCTTCACTCTCAACCAGGATGAGGCCATTGCTCGTGGTTGTGCTTTCTGCTGTGCTACTCTCTCTCCCGTTTTCCGTGTCCGTGACTTCGCTGTTCACGACATTGTCAACTACCCCATCGACTTCACTTGGGAGCAGTCCCCCGAGATCCCTGATGAGGACACCAACCTCACTGTTTTCGGTCGCGGAAACGTCATGCCCTCCACCAAGATCCTTACTTTCTACCGCAAGCAGCCCTTCGATCTCGAGGCTCGCTACTCCAAGCCCGAGGGTCTTCCCGGAAAGATTAACCCCTGGATCGGCCGTTTCTCCGTCAAGGGTGTCCAGGCCGACGCCAACAACGACTTCATGATCTGCAAGCTCAAGGCTCGCCTGAACCTCCACGGAATCCTGAACGTTGAGTCCGGATACTACGTTGAGGATATGGAAGTTGAGGAGCCTATCAACGAAGAGGGCGACGTGAGTTTTTCTTCCCTCTCCTATACACAATTGATAAATCGATTTTCCTCCATACTGACAAAATATATCTTTTTAGGCCATGGATACCGATGCCAACGGTGAGGAGCAGCCCAAGAAGACCCGCAAGGTCAAGAAGCAGGTTCGCAAGGGCGATCTGCCCATTGTCTCCGGTGTCGGCGGCATTGACGCCACTGTCAAGGAGGCTCTCCAGGAGCGTGAGAACGCTATGTACATGGAGGACAAGCTCGTTGCCGAGACCGACGAGAAGAAGAACGAGCTTGAGGCTTCCATCTACGAGCTGCGTGATAAGATCGAGGGTGTTTACGCCGAGTTCGCCAGCGAGGAGGAGAAGGAGAAGCTCCGTTCCAAGCTGATGGCCACCGAGGACTGGCTCTACGAGGAGGGTGACGACACCACCAAGTCTGTCTACGTTGCCAAGATGGACGACATTCGCTTCATCTCCGGACCCATCATTCAGCGCTACAAGGAGAAGGTTGACTCTGAGCGCCAGGCTGTTCTGAAGGCTGAGGAGGAGGCCGCCGCTAAGCGACGCGCCGAGCTCGATGCCAAGAAGAAGGCCGAGGATGAGGCCAAGAAGGCTGAGGAGGAAAAGAAGGCCGCCGAGGGTGACGCCGAGATGAAGGACGCACCCGAGGGTGATGCCGAGGCTGAACAGAAGCAGTAGATTGGACATAAATCTTTGATCTGACCTGTTTCTTTTTTCCTTTATTTCCCCTTCTTATCCCACTGTTACTTTGACATGGGCGCTGTGGCCTTGATTGATTTATAACGATTGGAAGCGACGCTCACATGATGACGAAAAGGCTCAAGAGATATTTTTCACGGACTCTAGACCCGATCAACTGGTTTTTGTTATTATAGTTGATCAACATTGTTTTCTTTGTTTATGGCACCCCGTTTATGATGTAGATCGCTTTTTTCCCCAAATGAATAGATGACTTTCCATGTCTATGAGAATTCAAATGTTATATTTGCTTTTTTTCTTTTCTTGATAAGCAAAAATTCAACCGCAAGTTTGGTCATGACCAATTTGTTCGTACCGTACGACGTACAAATGATTGGAACTGTGTTAGTCTTCATTGTTACGAGTGCCAGGTTCGGATCATCGTCGATCCAGTTCCCTGTTCCTGTCACGATCTGCACCATTAAGGCTGTTTCACCTACGAACTCCAGTCATACTCTAAATAAGCCTATTTCACGGGAGAGTTCGTATATCTAGCCTTCAAATGTTTGCAATCTTCGTATCCGGTCATCCTGCCGCTCGTATCAAATTTGTCTAGGCATGATTCATCAGCTTTGCCAAGATTCGGATATAAAATTCCTACGGAAACCCATGGTTCGCTTAAAAAAATTCTAGTAGAACGAACCCCTATTGTACATGGAAGACATAGCAAAAAACTCCAAGTCTTGAATGGTAATCTTTATCTCCCAGATCGGCAACGTGTCGTGTGGCCGGATAGTGCCGGGTGTACAAGCCGCATTGACTGAGAAAAAGCCATTGAGTCCCTCATTTCCCTCTGTGTTCTATTGTGGGTCTGAGCCCCAGTTGACTTGCATCTTGGCATCTGCCAAGATCTGGGACATTTTTTTTTCGTTTTTAACAGGGTCCTCGACTCAGGGATACGCCAAAATTCTTGAAAAATAAGAGTTTCCCCCTGATTTCTCCAGAAACCACACGCTAAAATTAAAAATCGTCTTCTAATTCTAATTCTGCTTTGTTAGCCTCGCTTGGAGCAGGATCCGAGCTTACACGCCATAAAACCCAAGGGCCATGCTAGGCTGAAATGGAGCGGGGCCAAGCTGGGAAATCCGGCACGCGATAGCTGCATTTAGAATTGGACCCCCTGTATACATGCTACACATACTACACATACAAGGCACCAAGCATAGCAAGGGGGTTACAGCCGTGCAATTGTGACCTTCCTCTCCACATCGTATTCGTATCATATTTCCTCTCTATCCGAAACCTTTTCTCCCTGTCGCATGAGTTCTACTCCGTACGGAGTAGCGGGGCCCACGGGGCAGGGACCGCTGATCGCGGGAAACTTTACAATTCGCCATGAATATGGAGTATCATGATCAACTTCTTCCCCTTCTCTTCCCCTATTTCTCTAAACCCTACACCCTATACCCTTATCCGTTGTCTCCTTGTCAGCAGATCCAGTCTATCCTTGGGTTCCAACCTTGGAACAGTGGGGATATCCATCCATTACAAGCCCCGCCCAAAGCCACCTAGTCACCGAATTTGTCCCTTTTAAAATCCCATTGCTCACCGGATTGGTCGGATAGATCATCGCTGGTTCTTGCGGAGTCCGCTCGTGAGCCTGCTTTGGCCCTTTTTTTCTTTCCCTGCATCTTATTTCTCTCTTAAACTTCTTCTCAATCTTACTATTTGATCCTTTCCCACGTACATATCGCTCCCGCCCTACGGTTCGGCCCATCCGTTGTATATACGCCTTATCCCTCGATACAGGTTGACAGCATACATAGGCTTCCCCCTCGTGCTGCTCCGAAAATAAAGCTGTTACTGTATATATGTGCATCAGTCCATTCCAGCTCTTATAAGGGAAAAAAAAGTCCTGGCCACAAAAGAAAAAAGAAGAACCACATCACGTCCAGCCCCCAGCATGAGAACAACCGAGTCCTCGTGCGCAGACCCGTCAACTTTATAATAGACGCCTCCCCCCAAACCCTTGGCCGGAGATGCAGTGGCGAGCGCTGCTCCAGGCCGCCGTCCCTGCACTCTGGTTCACAACGGCCACAGCCCTACCCAACACCAATCCCTCCAACCACCCACAAGACCTCCACATTCGAACCAGCCAACCAAACTCAGAACCCGAACCCGAACCTGTGCCCGAATCCTCCAACACACCATGGACAGACCCAACACTCACCGACCCGCTCTGGCTCAAATACGGACTGAACGCCTCAGCCGAATATAAATACTTCCACGAACCCGGCCGCGACGACATCCTCGGCCACTACGACATCCGCTTCTTCACCAGCCCCGTCTCCGACACCCTGCGCGCCGAAACCCTCACCCACATGATCCGCGCCTACCTAAACTTCTTCAACGAAAATGACCTGGAAACCTGGATCGCCCACGGCACCCTGCTGGGCTGGTGGTGGAACGGCCGCATCCTACCCTGGGACTGGGACATGGACACGCAGGTGCCCGACACCACGCTCGCTTACCTGGCGGACCACTATAACCAGACGATCGTCGAGTATACGGCGCCGGACTCGCGTGAGAAGAGGCAGTACCTGCTTGATGTGAATCCGTGGGCGAGACAGCGCGAGCATGGGCTCGGCCATAATATTATTGATGCGCGCTGGATCGATATTGATACGGGGCTCTATATTGATATTACCGGGTTGAGTCTTTTGAAGCCCGTTGAGGAGCCCGGGATTTGGGGGTGCAAGAATTTTCACAAGTATCAGATTGGGGATCTTTACCCGTTACGGCGGACGTCTTTTGAGGGCGTGAAGGCTATGGTGCCGTTTGGGTATGATTTGGTTTTGCTCGAGGAGTATTCGGAGAAGGCTTTGATTAATACCAAGTTTCATAAGTGAGTTATGGTTTTTTGAGGAGAGTGTGGATTTGAATGTTTTGCTAACGGGCTTCATAGTCATACTTGGTTCCCTGAGCTCGCAGAGTGGATTTCGGATGAAGTCTTGGCTAAATTGAGCCTCAAGATGTCTTCTACGTTTGATGATGACAGGCAGTATGAGTGATTGATTGATCATTCTCGCTTCGTTGTCATTTAAGCTAATACACCTCCCTGCGCCCTCTTCTTGTCTACTTCCTCCATACTTGACCCTTCTCGCACTCCTCCTTCAATCTCTTGCATCGTGCATATTCATTCATCATTGGTCCATCCAGAGCTGCACATGTGAGCATGTTCTTGGACTAATCTTGGGGCATTCGCCTAATCTCTTGTATATATGGCATTTTGGTTGGCCCGGCTGGGAAACCTCTTCTTTCAATATTGGTTGCATATGTTTTCATCGGGCAGGGCGTTCGACGGGACCTGGTTCAAAATCTGTATTTTTTGACTTGAATATCCCCGTGTCTATATCAATTGGTTCATTTGAAAAAATCATGGAGACTTTTGCTTTTGAATATTCTTCTCCGCGAGCAGCTCAATTCAGCCCTGAATTGTTCATAGCTCACGGCCGGTCGATATTAAGGTTTATGGGAGTCGTCGTAAGCTCGTCAGCGCTAACGCGCCATTTCGTCCGAAAAATCTCTCAGGCCAAATTTAAATGAGCCTGCACAAATCCCCGGGGTCCAAGGTTATTCCAAGGTTCATTATCAATGTTGGTCTTCAAGATTTGTTACTTATTCGCCAAGAGAGAAAGTGTGTTCTTTTGCTGAGTAGACAAGGTTTTTTTGAGAATGCGGGGTCAGTTGCTTAATTGCATTAAGAAACTGATCGCGTATCGTGGAAGTTGGAAACGATTGATCGGGGGCTTGGGGATTTGAGTTTGTCAATGGCGACATATTACGAGATTCTCTCGTACGCGCTTCAGAGCCTACGTACTTGTCTTAGCTGCATTTGCACTAAGACGCTTAGATCCATGCGTGCCGAGAGACTGATCAGATGGAATCAGTATTGATATTGACACATAGGACACGCGGAGTGAATAGTACCTATTGCTACATAATCAAAGCGTCAGGGTAAACTTTGCCCCACAATACTACGTACTGTAGAGTCTAGTGCTGTCTATCACATGATAGAATGCGGGGAACCTTGACCCTGAGCTCTTTCTTGATTGCTTCCAAGGTTTATGCCAATCATTGGCATTTCAGTGTTGGGGCCGTGGTCGCGATATATGCCGAGATTATCTTTTACGGTGACCATAGTGACTGATATTCATCATACTGGCATAGAAAATCGTGATCTCTCATTTGAAAAATTGAATCAAAACAACATGAAGCAAACCACGAGCCTACTTCTCACAAACATCAAAGTCAAAGGGCGCTTGAGAAATTACGCCTTCAACTCCTCAAGTGCTTCTTTCATACCCACATAAGCCTTTACCGACAGAATGGCGGAACTTGCATTCTTCGTCGCAACTTTACCCTGAGCTGCCCTCGAACCCGCCTGAACAGCCGATGCCCGCGGCCGGCGAATACTATCCCAGACCTTCAAGATACCCGGAACACTGTCACGGTCACAGGAATTTTCAAATAGAACATTGAGGCCCTCAACGTCCTCGAGAGCCTGATTGGTTCCTTGGGCTTGATAAGGCACCATGGCATGAGCAGCGTCGCCGATGAGAACGGCCCGGCCTTTGAAGTACGTGGGTAAAGGCTCCTGGTCCCGGACCTGGAATAGAGCCACTTGCGGGACTTGACTAGATGAGCGGCTCTAGTAAGCCTAGCAACCAGCAATCCTCCGGATACCTAGTATCACTCACCTGAAGACTTGTTTCAGCCACTTGGGGAAATCGTGCATCTCATCCAACAACTCCTGTACAGTTCCCTCGGCGTTCCAAGAGTATTCCAACTTGGCCGGATTCTTGAGAGTGGAATCCGGGACCGCACAGACAAAGTTCAGCAGCCCGTGTCCCTGGCAGGGGTACATGATTATGTTGCGATTGCCCTTATCGCCGGCGGCTATGATTGCTATGAAGGTCCCGTCGTCGTAGTTGTACATAGCTGGCATATCTCCTTGTGCCAATATGACGCTCTTGACGACATCCATTGGAACGACGAACCGATACATCGAAAGACCGGATGGCGTGGGTTCTGGATGTGAAGCCGGGATTACAGCTGCGCGGACCGTTGAACGAATGCCATCGGCGCCTGGAAGAAGAAAACGGGTGTTATTCAACTTCAACCGACAAATATTTCCTTTTTATTCAATATGAATTTTCACGCAACTTACCGATAACCAGATCAGCCTCGACAAAGCTTCCATCTGCAAATCCAATGATTCCAGCCTCCGGGTCAACGCTCACGGCGTGGGAGTTGTATACAATCTCGATAGCCTCTCCTTCCCCATCCACACCTGTCACCCGTCGCATCAACGCATCCTTCAGATCCTGCCGATACACAAGCCACATACTCGGCTCTCCATCTGGCCCAACAGGTATGAGTGACTTGCTCATTTCCTCCTCATGGATATTGTATGTACGGTACCCGGCATTGACCACCGCGCGGATTTCCTCCCTATCGATCCCGAGCTGCCTGACAATAGAAATACCGTTGACACCAAGTCCGAATCCTGCAGACGTTTCCCGTGAGTCTGGGCCCCGACGCTCGTAGACGGTGATGCTGTAGTCTTGATTTTTCCGGAGAAATGCAGCGGCGGCGAGGCCGGCGATTCCCCCGCCTATTATGGCGACGTGGAGCTTGCAGGAGGCGCAGTAGGAGGGCATTTTGACGGAGCGGGATTGGATGTCAAGATTTGACGAATGCAGATGTTATGTTGGGTTGTTAGTGGCTAGTAGTAGACCAGGAGTACTAGAGAACAGCACTGGTCTGCTGTAGAACAGGAATTGCAGGGATGAGAACCTTCAAATGGGAAGATAAGGCTATTTTTCTAGGGTCAGCCGCCCCTCAATCAAGGGTTGCTAGTTGATTTAGGTCGTACAAGTGTCACAAAACAACGTGGTATTAAACCCGAAGAAGGCAAGCTTGCATGGCCATTCCCTCGCGAGCTCGATCGGGATTGGTCAATTTGTCTTCAGTGCATATGGGATTAAATTATCCAGCGAATCACCATGCATTGTATCCCGCTTTTATACTGACAGGACGGGAAATAAGGTATCGCCGTGTACCTGATTTGCATAACCCCGCATGAGCTCGGAATGAAATTCTTCTAATCATCATTATCTCATTTGAAACTTTCTTGTCTCTAGTTCATCCCTTCTTGGCATGAAGCTTCAGGTATTGCGAGAGAAGCTCCTTCGCAGTCTCCGAGAATGGCACAAATTGCCACCCAAACACTTTATGTGTATCATCAGCATCCAACCTCCATTTGATTGCCGGTAGAGTCCCTTCCATAGGCAATTCTTTGTTCAAGACTTGTTCAGGAAAATGCTCTCTGCAAATTTTCTGAATGTCTATATCCCACTCAACACCATCCGGCGTGTCGGACGACAAGATATACTCCGAGTTTCCCGGGACATGGGTTCTGTTAATTGCGTCCACATGAGCTCGCGCAACATCGGCAACGTGCACAGGAGTGCCGACATAAGGGAAAGGTGAGTTGCGCGACGAATCAAGTGCAGGTGCAAGGACGCTAGCCCGTGTGCCTTGGTTAAGGTTATCCGACGTCGCAGCAGGGTCGAAGTCAAGACGAGTGTCGGGCCCAATGACGACCGACGGCAACAGGTTGACAAAATCGAATTGAGGCTGGGTGTCGCGTACAAAGTTTCTTGTCGCAGTTCGAGCAAGGGCTTTGGAGGCCCAGTAGGCTTCCATGGCGGTTTCATATGGGCCGTCCATGTTGTCGTTGATGTCATTTACTAGAAAGCCTTGTTAGAAAGTCTTATATATGGGCTAATGACTTGATGTTACCATTGTAGAGTCTTTCGTTGTCAGGTTTCATATTCCATTCATATGGAATCAAGGTGACACCTCATTTAATTATCAGCTTTATCCATTGGTTGACGAAATAAGACGAATTACTCACACGAGGATGTCAGCACCACGCGGCGGACGGAAGGCTGGCGAGCAGCAGCTTCTAGAACGGCCATGACCATAGAGACCGCCGGTTTGACAATTCCTTCAACAAGATTGTCGGCCTGTTTGCAGAGTGTTAGCATACAGGAGAGATGCAAATTGATGGGAAATGATGGATGAATTACCGAAAAGCCCAGAGGCGAGGCCAGATGGATGATAGTAGCGATTCCATCAAAGTGTGGGACAAACGCATCTGGTTCCAGGAAGTCCGGGATAACGACAAAGACAAGTTGCGCGTTATCAACACTGCTATTGATGGCGGGGTGTCGCTTCAATTCGACGACCGATTCTCTTTTGCGCACCACTGCGCGAACATTGTACCCTCTTTTAAGGGCCAAGAGGAGTGTTTGGAACCCGATGTATCCAGTGACACCAGTGATCTGTGCTTTCAAATGTTGTGTATGAGGACTCAAAACTCTATATGTATCTCCAATGGCATGGACGCGAAGAACCAATGACTTACAAAGACACGATTGTCGCATACGGACCTTGCCATATTTGCCGATATTGAGCCTTAGAATGAAAGAATTTTCTGAAGAAGAAGATCTGAGATTTCTTTTGACGTTGTGGGGGAATCCGACTTATCATATAGCTGCTGACCGGAGCTTGGCTTGAAGCTTGGCTTGGTCCTTGGGGCTTTACTGTAGGCTGCCATGCCCCACCCGCAGGCAACAAGCAGGACTGCCCCACTATGTATCGATTCCAAAGTTCATTCCAACGTGCAAAATGGCATCGTAGATGCTTTTCGGTGGATAAACTTAGGTTCATCCTTTCATTACGAGAGCAGAATTGAAGTTAAAATTTCAGTGTTGAGTTAACTACCTGTTCCTCTGGCTTCGTGCTGGTACAAGTGCTGGTGCAAGTGCGGGTGCGGGTGCGGGTGCGGCATCATCCAGAAGAGCATACTAGTAGTAAGTTCAGATCGATCAAATAATCGATAAAAGCGGATAAACGATAAATCAAGAAAGATCATGTGATCTGGCGGCTATAAGCTGAGGAATCGCGTGAGTTTGACAGGAGTGTAAAGCGGTCAAAATAAGACGCATTGTACGCTGCACTGAGTAGTTGACAGACCTCGGTCCATGAGTCCATGTAATGGTACGGTATTCCTGAAATACATGGCATCCGTATTTATAATACCGTTCAACGCCAAAGTGGCCATGCGGCCCATGCCTTGGTGTTATTGACTGTCTTCCTCAAGCCAACGCTAGCGCTTACCCGGAGTCGGAGTTGGAGTCTGACAAAACAATGAGTCAAATCAAGACCCACTACGAATTGTTGGAGTTGTGCGGAGAAATAAACTCGGTATTCTGAGTCCTTCCTAAACCTTCTAAGCTCTGATGTCTCATTAAACCTACATACTACCACGTCAACCTCTGGATTTTTACCTTCCATCAAAATATTCAAGATGTCTCAAAACGGAGCCACCACTCTCACAAGCTCATCGCCATTTATCGTGGTGGACGGTGTCCCCAATGTTCGCGACATTGGAGGCCACGCATGTCAGCCACCACCCACCGTAACATCCCTCGCGAACACAAACGAGACCCCAGCAAAAAGTTGGTGCACTCGATCAGGCCTCCTGTTCCGCGCCGCACAGCCATCTCAAATCACCCCACTGGGAACGGAGACACTGACCCAAAAACTCAACATCCGAGATATCTTCGACCTCCGTTCGCAGCAAGAAATAGAGCTCCTTCTCGCCCGATCTTCCGACTCTCTTATTGATATCCCGGGGACAACCCGCTACGCGGTGCCAGTTTTCCCAGTCAAGGACGCCTCCCCAGGCGCTCTGGCAAAGCGATATGGAATTACAGCAGAGGGAGGCGTGAATGATGAAGCGGTCATGAAGGGCTTTGCTCAAGCCTACGAAGGCATCGCGCGCAGCGCGGGAGAAACAGATAGCTTCCGCACGATTATGCTTCAGATTCTGAATAATCCTGATACCCCGCTTTTGTTCCACTGCACTGCGGGTAAGGATCGGACGGGTGTGTTTGCTGCACTGCTTCTCAAGCTATGTGGGGTTGCGGACGAGGTCATCGCGGCTGATTATGGGCTGACGAAGGAAGGATTGGGGGCTTGGGGGGAGTATTTGATCCGGCGTATTTTGGAGAAAGGGGAGGTTTCGACTCGGGAACAGGCGGAAGCTCTTATGGGTAGTGATCCGGGCTGTATGAGGGCGTTTTTGACTGATGTTGTGGAAGCAAAATTCGGGGGCGCACGGAGATACTTTGTCGATTTTTGTGGATTTCAAGAAAATGAGCTTGATCGAATCATCGCGATCATGGCCGTTCCGAATATGACGCAGAAATAGGTTGCAGCATGAATGGATCTTTTGGTGGTGGCATGTATAGATAGATTTGAGAATAAATACAGATAGCCACATGTGGATTATGGTCGGTTAGTGTTGATTTGACTCAAGTGCTGCTGCCTCTTTTACAGTGTTCACATCGTTCCTTGCCAGGATTGACTTCCCCCACTACCTGGATCAGGGCAGCTTCGATATTAGTTGAATCGGATCCAACTTTCGTCCACAAAGCTCCTGCACCCCATGCGAGATTCTTGCCTCTTAGTGTGAGTTCTTGTTTCAGAGGCGTTTCTCTCAACATTTCAATTAGATGCGTTTTACACTGCTCTCCTTTCCAGGCCATAGGAAAGGCTGTACTTTCCATGATTTTGGCCCAGGGACCCGGGGGTAAAACATCAGTCCCACTTTTTGGAGCGGGAAGAGTTGTTGGTATGCCATGTGTGGTTGATTTCGGATCACTCTCATAACTAGGATAAGATATTAGTAAGTAACTTCCAAATTAAACATTTATTGGACTTACGCTAGATCAGTGCTTGGTTCGCCCGCATTTGTATTATCATCTTGATTTGAACTCATGTTGGCTTGGGTGAGAGATGAAGACGGTGGGTGCTTAATATTAGTCTGTTTGCCCCGCTTTCCTTACTCCTTATCTTTCTGATCGGCTTCCTCTGTAGAGCACTCTTCTGATGAGCTCATGTTGGGTTGTTTTGTAGATGATTGAGTGTTTTGTGACAAGAGAGTCTGTTTTTGTGAGTTCTGAAGATAGATGAGAACTGCTTATTCCGAAGAAAAAACTATAGGAAGAATGGAAAGAAGATTGAAAAGAAGATGGGAAAGGATTGCAAGTGAGAGATGAAAGATTGGTGAGGGGCTGTGCAAGTGAGAGATAAAAGAGATGGGTCATGCAGGTAAAAGGACTGCAAATGAGGGATGAAAGAGATGGGTGATGCAGATGAAGAAAAAATGGAATGGACAGAAGATGAAAAAGAGCTCATCACGAGCTCGATTTGGAGAAACTCAGTAACCAAGTTACTGAATGGACCGAAACCCTGAATAATAAAAGTCAAGCATTTGAAGCAGCTATGGAGCATAATCCAGATAGCCTTACTGCGACAGAGCGGGCTACTGCTGAGCAACGTACCGACTTTTGTTTCCGGGTAGCTACTACTCTTCCCTTGGAGTACAAGAACTTGACTTCGGATGCCTTGAAGGTTGCTGAGGAGCTAAAGAAGGGGATCAAGACTGTATCTGGCTTGACTTCCGGGTTTGGACTTTACGAGCCTGGGATTCTATGCATACTACATAGACATGCGCACCAGTCTTTCAAATGCCCAAGTCACACTTCATGAGATCAACTGCCCTGGAGTAGGTGAATCGAAAATTGAATAATACGCGAATACCAGCCTAACTTGACAGATGTTATAATAGAAGCAGCGCATAGATATTTTGAGGAATACGGTCACAGACGACATCTGGATCATATAGTCTAGTAAACTAGCAACATTGAAAGAGACTTAGGTTTGACTGATCAAAAAATATACATAAGAAAACACATCTAAAATCTAGGATTTCCAAGGATCATCACGCATCAACAGACATCCGACCCAAGATCTTTCGGATCGCAAGATTCTCGCCTAATCCCTGGTTCTCCAGCTCTCCAATCATCTCCAAGGCCTCCATCTTGAGACTAGCAACAAATTCCCGAGTATAATCAAAAGTATTGGTACTTTCCATATACGCAACCGCATATCTCTTTAGATCATCATCCTGGGACTTCTGTTTCAGAACATTGATCAACTGCCGATTGGTAGGATTCGACCGAATGCTGTGAATAATCGGGAAAGAGAATTTGCCTTCCGTAAGATCTTCGCAAAGACCCTTCTTCTGCAAATAGCTCGGTGATTTCAGGTTCAGATAGTCATCACAAATTTGGAAGATAATGCCAAACAATCGAACGATTGGAACAAAATCCACCTTCACAGTACTGCCAATCTGAAGTAGCTCAATGGCCAGACAAAACAGGGCTCCTGTTTTGTTGGTGACCATATCCAGATATTCACTCTCTGTGGGGCAGATGAGAGAATCGCGCCAAAAGACATCCATACCCTGGCCGCGATGCAGGTGAATCAGGGCATCAACGTAAATTTCGATCGCTCTTGGGTTCTTCATTTTCTGGATCTCCTGTAATGCGAGGAAATATACATAGTTTCCAGAATTGAATGTTTGTGCCGTGCCGAATATGTTGTGCGCTACTGGCTGGCCCCGTCGTAGTAGAGAATTATCTTCGATATCGTCGACGAGTAATGAAGCCGTATGAAGCATGGAAATGACCTTCTCAACAGTCTGTAAATGCTCTGGAGGGACTTGGAGCCAGACATTAAAAGCCTGGATGAATGCGGATCTCATGTTTTTCCCCGGCAGGGTCTCGAGGTAATCGAACGGTCCCAGAAGAATCTTTTCTTGTTCAATAGACCATTCTGGACGTTGGCCAAGACTGGCGGCGCGGATGGTGCGGAGTGGTTTTGTCTCCGTGCTGTCTGGCGGGTGTTCTTCATGCATCTGTGGCTTGCTATCGTGGATGTTCCCTTTGACCGACAGCTGTTCAGGGGGGCTTGTATTCACTTCACCAACATCTGTCTGGATGTCTTTGACATGAAGCTCATGATTCTCAGGAGTATTCTCTGAGATACCATTAATATCAGAGCCATCTGTTTCAGATCCGTCTGTTCGAGAGCCGTTCGTCTCAGGGCCATTTGTTTCAGAGCCGTGCGTCTCGGAGCCGTGAGTTTCAAGACAGTAGTCTCCAGGGCCATCTGCACCCTTGATTTGGACTCCAAGAGGCTCGGGATGATATATATTTACCCCATTGGCAATATGGGAAGTAGATTCTCGCCCATCCCCCTGGGGCATATCAGCTGCACACTTCAATGCAGCCAAGGTGTATGCCTGCGACAGTATTTCCGATTCATAAGTGACTTTCTCAACCCAGAGACGTTCCGAGCCCACCAAAGTGTCTGAACGTAGAACCGAGCAACCATCTCGGATTGCCGTTAGAAGCTGATGAGAAGGTGCATCGGAGAATTCAAATTTAGCCGCATATGTAAGAATGAGGACCGCGTATGAGGTTTCCTCCTTTGAGCCTTTGGTGCCCCATGAACCAGTCCGACTCTGTTGATGCAGGACTGAGATTGTCATGTCATGGAGCAGTGCAATGAGGTCTTCCTCCAGAGCCTCCCTCAGGGACAGTAATTGGGAAGTTTGCCATAGCTCATGCAGGCGGGCAATGGCTTGAGTCATGAGCATCCATGAGTAGAAGGGGGAAAGGTTCTATGTTTCAGTCAGCATGGAACTCCTCTCTCTTATCGGGGTCGGATATTCGTACCCATTTATCGCGGACTTTCAATTCAGATTCTCTGAAGTGTGTGTACAGAAAACGGGTTGCCTTCTCAATTTGAGGTGCATACTGAGTCGGGTCACTGGTGTGGAGTAGTGCCAGTAGAACATTGCAGTTCGCTGAAAAACTCGGGTCACGTTCGTGTGGATAGGTTTTAAAATGATGATCGGCTTCAAATGCCTTCAGCATAGCATCCGGTGACACCTCTTGTTCAAGCAGATTGAGTACGAGAATGGTCTTGGCTGTATCATCTGCATCCGCGCAAACATTAGGAACGAAGCCCATGGTTCCTTGGTTTGCAACAAGAGTATTGTAAAGAAACGAGCGAGCTTTCTGAACACTTGGTAGTGATTTCAGATCCAAGCCAAAGTCGGCTTCGAGAAGTGTGGACAGCGTCCAAGTGATTTCAAAAATAGTGGATGGGAAAGCACTTGGCACGCCCCCGGAGCCCTTTCCAGACGCGTCTTGAATGACGTGGCGGAGGTATTCCTCACACTCATCATCCCACTCTGCAGCATGCATGAGCACCGCGGCGGTGGATGAGGGTGACGCCATAAATGAGCCATTGACCTTGTGATGATGCACACGGTCAAAGTCGATCAGACCAATAAATGCCTCCAATGAATGCAGAGCGGTCGTCTGAACAGGTGCGTAGAGGAACTCGGGCTTAAATCGAGCCAATTTATGGTCCCGGACTGCATACAGTCGATCGCGTCCAGGGAAGGAAAACACAATGTTTTCTGCTTCCAGATAGCCCAGCAACGCGGGGACAAGAATCTCAAACCCGACATGTAGTGTGGAATCCACATCCCATGCTTGGAGTAGCGCTTGCAAGGCCAGTGTCGCCCGATCGATACGCCCTTGGAGACTTTCATGCGAGATGGTGCTGTTTTGAAGAGGTGTGTTGAGATGTCGCTTCAGTGACAATAATGATGCAGCGGTATTGAGAATTCCATCAATCTGTGAAGCGTACGTGATCCAGCTTCCGTCCGCAAGTTGATTATCCAGAATATACCCAAAGCACTCGGGGAATAGCCATGTATTCTGCTCACATACGGACTTCCGGATCATTGACACCCATGCAGTATCATAGATGGCGGGACTCATGAAGCCCAATCCATGGGAGTCTTCAATGCGCTCGGTCAATTGGTTGACCAGCACCGCTGCTGATTGATGCAACAAGGTAGAGTCCATTGTAGTAAATTTCCAGTATACTTACTATCTAAAACACCTGCCCTGGTGCAGGTGGTGACTATATCCTCAAAGGCCCTGGTTTTCCCCACGTTGACTGGATACGTTCACTTGCGACCCCTCTTACTTTGATCTTTATATTAATAATATTATCATTGATAACAAATTATCTCCGCATCATGATAATTACCTTCACCGTTGAGTTTTTCAAAGCTGACATTCACACGTGCATCCTTCATCCCACTCCTCTCAACAGCTTCGTTTCGATACTACATACTTCTGAATCCTGAAACTTCCCACAGCCCCACTGTGGGCCGTCAAAGTAAACTTCCCCGCTAGCAAGGTCCGACATTTGACCGCATCCATAGGGCTTTCTACGATTGCTACTGAGGTGATGTGCTTACTGCTTACCCCTCAGTAACGAATAGGAACGGCATCCTTCACGGAGGAACTAAACCCAAATCAACGGGATGTTGCACATTAGAGTAAGCTGATGGGATGCAGGGCTTCTTGCCAAGTAAATGTGGAGCACTTGAGGCAAATACACTTCGTCAGCCTCCGCGTTAACGCAGGATCCGTATGTAACGGTATGTTAGCTCGCTGCAAACTAGTAGGTCAGTATGTACTAGTAATATTACGGTAATACGTAATATTACCTGCTATATACTCACTTTCTGCAGGTATCCATCATTTCTGCCTTTTTATGCCACCTCTTCACTCCAATCATTGGACAGTTCCATGACGAGATCCATTGCCGTTGCTAACACCATCTGAGAAACCCGATGTCGCGTATTACCCCAAACAAAACCACCCCCACTCTTTACGAGGGCCTTATTTTGGCCAAGACCGACCGCTGCGCCCCATGCACACAGGCTGCCACCGAAATGAAGATGCTTCCTGCAAGGCCAAGAGCCTCGATCTGCCGATTTCTTGGTTTATGACTTATTTGGGGAAGAATTTGGCGATTGGACAGAGGGCACGGTCTGGGATATCAATCAGTCTCCAGCAAAGGAGCCAGACAAATGAGGATTTTGTGAAACCATCAGTGAGGGGTAGAGATCCTACCCAGGAATGAGGGGTTTGAGCGCCTTCCTTCGACTATTCATTCTACTATTTTCCGACGAGGTTCTCTTGTCAGCAAGGGAACGCCTTCGACGCCACAAGGTGGACGTGGACGTGGACACCGAAATATATCCGTTTCTTTCGGACCAGAAACTACCACCCCGGTTCCAAGATTACTTCTGAGGTTTCTTGCGACTTCGAAACTATATACTTCTGCTGGGTGGTGATAGTTTTTTTTGTACACTTCGAAACTCTCCAACGCATCCACTCAGCATGGCGCTCTCGGCGATCCTCAGCCTATCTCTCTCTCAGGCGATCGTGCTATCGATAGGTGTGGTATGTTGTTTCATGGGATCGGACTCGAGATCTTCAATGTTCTCGTGAGACTTGAATTGCTAACTTCAATTTAATTCAAGCTCCTAACTTACGTGGCTGGAACTGCCATATACCGAATCTACTTCCACCCGCTGTCCAAATATCCAGGTCCGAAACTGGCAGCTGCAACACGTTTGTGGTGGACATGGCACCAGCTCCGCGGTAAATTCCCATTAACTGTGCATGAATTGCATCTGAAGTATGGCGAAATTGTCCGAATTGCACCCTGTGAACTCTCTTTTACAGGAGCCGACGCATGGAAGGAAATCTATGGATTTCGCAGTGGCCTGCCAGAGAATCGCAAGGATCCAGGCGAGAACACGGACGCCGACAAAAGACATCCAACAATTATCAATGCCGATCGCAAAACTCACGGTGATTTGCGTAAGCTACTTTCCAATGCTTTTTCGGATAAGGTATTGAAGGGTCAAGAGCCTGTATTGTTGCATTACATCGATCTCCTTGTCAATCGATTGCAAGAGGTGGTGGAAAGTAACGAGCCAGTGGATATTGTGAAGTGGTTCAACGTATGTAGTAGTATACCGAGACGTGAAAAGACAACATCACTGACAATATGGATAGTATGTGACTTTTGACATCATTGGTCATTTGGCTTTCTATGAACCCTTTGACTGCTTGAAGAACACCGAGTATCATCCGTGGATGTCTATGATATTCAACGCCATTATGTACGTGCACTATATTCGCACTTTCCAGCGATTCATCGATGTCCGCTCCATTATCCTAGCAGTCATGCCTAAACGCATTGTTGAGCGCCGAAAATGGCATATCGGGCTAGTCGCAGAGAAGGTGAAGCGCCGCAAACAGCAGCATCCTGACTACATTGACTTCATGAGCCACTTGATCCAAGCCGAGGAGAAAGGACATTTAACGGATCCCGATCTTGTAGCCAATGCAAACCTTATGGTTATTGCTGGCAGTGAGACGACGGCGACAATCTTGTCTGGAACAGTCTATTATCTGTGCACACACCCTCATGTGATGCAGAAGCTACTTGAAGAGGTCCGCACCTCATTTGCTGCTAGTGACGAGATTAACATTGCGCGAATCAGCAAGCTCAAGTATATCAATGCGGTGATTGATGAGTCTTTCCGTCTCTACCCACCGGCCGCTGGAAGTCATCCTCGCATTACGCCTCCTGAGGGGGCTTATATCATGGGCCAATGGTTACCAGGCAATGTACGTATCAACTTCCTCTTCCGCCCAATCATGTCTAATATGTAAGCCATAGACATCAATGGGCATGGCTCAATATGCTGTGTTCCGCTCTCCCGCCAATTTCAAAGATCCCGAGCTCTACCTCCCCGAGAGGTGGTTGGATACCGAAGGGCCATATGCTGATGATAAGCGGGATGCCCTCCAACCATTCTCTTTCGGGCCCCGAAACTGCATTGGCAGAAAGTATGAACTCTAATCTACCTGGTTGGGTTGAAGGATCGCAATGCTAACCTCGCTCTTACTCGTTTAGCTTGGCGAATATTGAACTGAGATTGATTCTTGCAAAGATGCTCTGGCATTTCAATCTAGAATTGGAACCGGAGTGTATCAATTGGCCGAAAGATCAATATATCTACACTTCATGGGAGAAGATTCCCCTGAAGATCCGAATTACGGCACGAAAGTGATATGATGGGCTTGGAAAGCAGGAAAGGGAATGTGCATCCAATGTTCAAAGTCAGTCTATTGTATACTTGGTAGAAATTGTCTCAGAATTCAAGAATCACTAAGCCTCTCTTTGCAATGTCTCATTTCTTCATTCTCATTAATCCAAAATTTAAATAAATCTCAAAATCTGATATCACCTCGCATTCATATCCATTGTAGTGAGTGGTCAAAAGTCACACACCGTACATACCAGTAGATAAGAATATCTCGGTCAACAAATGTGGTTAACAAGAGTTCCCCGACGGCCCAGCCCAAATTCATCCCGCGCGATGTAACAGTGCGCGTGGCGTCCCATGCGTTCAAGGATTTGAGTTCCGGGGATTCATGCAGAACTGCAGAAGGATCAACGCCTCCAAAGTTAAACATGATGAGATTCCTTGCAAGTTGCAGCTAAAAGCCGATTACAAGTGGTATTTACCGGTACTGGTATCCATGTTGTAATTCTCCGGTATTACCAAATACCCGGTATAGTAGCCATAGTAGATTCGGCATATGTGAGAGAAAGGCAGGGGGGAAACGGAATGATAATTGGAGAAAGGCTTTCAACTATCCTGTTCAACAACTATCGGGCCATGTCTGCTTCGAAAGTAGCAGCCATCTGCTGCGTTTTGCAGACGGCGATTCTCTGCCAATTTTACCCTACGCAATCAAAGACCGCAATTTCAAGTTTATCTGTGGTTCTATACTTTTTCTTGTTTCTCAGCTGGAAGCTCTATCTATGGCCTCTCTGGCTCAGTCCCTTGCGTAATCTGCCCGAGCCTTCGGTAAGTAGGCCAGCGATGGCGTGGAAAGCAACTTGAAATCAAGATCACTGACAATTGGCGTTTTAGGGTGGGCACCGATTTTCCGGCCATGTGAAGCTGGTCCCAAATGAGCGATCAGGAATGCCTTTACAGGAATGGATTAATGAAGTGCCCAATACCGGGCTGATTCGATATCGCATGCGATTTAACAAAGAGGTGGTCTTTGTCACCAATCCCAAGGGCCTTTCCGAGGTGTTGGTTCAAAAGAACTATGAATTTTCGAAGCCATACAAACTACGGAAGGGACTCGGTCGAATTCTGGGGGTTGGATTGCTTATTGCTGAGGGGGAGGAACATAAGGTATGCTTGTGTACTCGATATTCTTACGAAACTAGGGGAAAGAGAAACATCAATTCAGGCGATCTGGTATTCTGGTATTATGGAATGCTAACATAGGATTCTTACAAACAGAGACAACGCAAGCTCCTAATGCCAGCCTTTTCCCACCGACACATCAAAAACCTCTATCCAATCTTCTGGGAAAAATCCGTTGTGCTGGCCCAAGAGATAAACGCGAACATCGAGAGAAATGTGGACAAATCGAGTGAAGTCTTCGATGTCGGGGACTGGCTAGCACGGGCTACCTTGGATATCTTAGGTGCAGCTGGGCTTGGGGAGGAGTTTGACACGCTTCACCATCCAGATAACGAGATAGTTCGGGCCTACCGAGATGTCTTTGAGCAAAAGCCTCCTAATAGCCTTGTGGGAATTGGAATGTTCTTGTTGCGCGAGGCCCTCACATCGACACTAAATCTACAGCGGAATGACAGCATCTCCGTGGCTACCAAGACCCTGACAGGTGTGGCGCGGAAACTCATCGGCCGAAAAAGGGAAGTCGGTACTGAAAAACTGGAAAGCGATGGCAAGGATATCATTTCCGTGGCTCTGGCGTCGGGGGCTTTCACGGACTCAATGTTGGAAAACCATCTGTTGACTTTCCTAGCCGCCGGACACGAGACTACAGCGACGTCTATGACGTGGGCCCTGTATGCCCTATGCATATATCCTGCCGTCCAGCAGCGACTAAGGGAGGAGGTGCGAGACAAATTGCCGCGGGTTTTGGATGATGCTCCGGCTCTTCCTATGACAGCCGAGCTGTTGGACAGTCTTCCGTATTTGCATGCCGTCTGCAACGAGGTCTTCCGGATTTATCCCCCAGCCGGCATGACTCGACGTGTGGCAGTCAACAATACCTCTATCTTGGGGCAGTTTATTCCCGCTGGTACAGAGATCGTGGTCTCCCCAAGAGCGATGAATGTGTCGCGAGAACTGTGGGGCGAAGACGCCGCCGTTTTTAACCCGGATCGATGGCTCGGGCCGAACCGAGCCAATACTGGAGGAGGAACGACCAACTTTTCCTTTATGACTTTTCTTCATGGTAAATGTGGCTCTATTGCCTCTCTGAATCGCTTTGCTAATATGGATTTGTAGGCCCACGGTCTTGTATAGGACAAGGATTTGCTCGTGGCGAGTTTGCCAGTCTACTTGCGGCGTTGGTAGGCACTTTTGAGATGACTTTAGCTCAGGATCCAGATATAGTTATCGAGACGGGGCTGACTTCTCGGCCAAAAGGAGGATTACGAGTGAGATTCAGTCCTGTCAAGCCAATGTGAGCTAAAATGTTTGAGCATTGGTAGTTTTATAGATAAAACATAAATCAATTATCAAATTTCATCCGTATATCTCTTCCAATAGAATGTGTAAGCAGTACCTGCAGAATTGGATATCATCTACTGCCTGCTATAAGTATACCAAAGACCAAAATCTCACTCTATCTCCTCCATTGGCTGATGGGGGGACAGATCTGACATCACATCCTTTCCGAAATCCTGCAATCCGACCCGAATCCAATCAGGAAGCGCTCGTGTCGGTGGTGAGATATAAGCCAAGGCAGGCGTCATCCGATTTTGCGCCCGCCCACTCCAAAGTATCTCGGTAATCAGTGAGCCGACATCATTGGGCCCCAAGAGCGTGACAGATGCTGGCGTCTTTATGCCGCGAAACATCTTGGTTTGTACAGCCGAGGGTGCCATACAGGACATTCTCACAGCGGGTGCCTTGTAGACATGTCGCAGCTCTGTCTGGAGACCTTCGTATATAGCCAATGCAGCAGCTTTGGTGGCAGCATAATCCACCACGCCAGATGTGGCTAAATGACCTGCTTGTGAGGCCATTATGAGGAAGTGGCCATGATTATGTGTGACCATTGAAGGAAGAAAGATCTGCGCTGTCCAGATCAGAGCAAGATTGTTGACAGCGAATGTCCTGGGACCTGTTAGTATGGGAAGATATGATAAAGTCTGGGTCCTCACAGTTCAATATCGCGTGGCGTGGCATGGAGTAGGGGTTTGCCACGACAGATACCTGCATTGGCTACTACACAGGTAGGATCACCGACGTCTCTATATCAAGGTAAGCTCTTGCTCTTGGCCAATTAGGATACAAGGGGTTTCAATGCTGGAAGCACACACCGACGGACAGTCTCGGCGACAGATTCAAACTCGGTTCTATTAGTCAAGTCGCATCGGTAATAGTGAACGTTTTTCGCTGAACGAATATATCAGCTATATAAGTCTTTCATTTGTAAGTGTTCAAGGTGGATTCTCACGAGCATCATATGTCAAAGGCCGAATATCAATCACAATAACGGTGGTACCGCGTTCAGCCAGCTTCTGGACTGTCGCTGCACCAATACCATCTGAGCCCCCTGTAACTAGCACAACCTCTTTTTTCCAATCGAAAGTGGCTTCAACTCCATTATTTAGAGCTCGAGAGTTGAGATATTTGTTGAGCCGGTAAGCCGTCCACAATAGACTCAAGGGAATCAAATTCCAAGCCATCGGCTGTCGGATAGCCTGAGAGGCCAGATTTGCCAAATGTGTAGCCATGATAAGTCAGTCGAGGATTTTGTTCATCTCAAGCAACATTAGTGATGGACCTCAAGGGACCAGGTGTATTATATGCAGGAAGTGGATACCCCCGCATGTAATATTTACAAGCGGATACATGGTGTTTTGAGCGAAACGTGAGAAGCCGTTTATGTATAGAGGAAAATTACGGTAATATTCATGATCGGAGAGGATCCGTCGGGCATGACTATAATTAAATGATTAAATTGATAGAATCAACTACTGGCTTGATGCTCGGCCTAAAGTCGGGCACTTGGAATCTTACCCGCCGTTCATACACGCTAATCGAAACTTTACGAAGAAACTACACCCCTTCAAATGTTTACTTGGGAGGGAAATCGTCACCCAGTCGGCAGTTGAAAGGTCATGACTCATGCTGCTAGGTACCATTTTGTCAATTACTAGATTATGAAACTAAATGAATGGCCGACAATCAGGTAACAAGTCATCTCACAATTCTGTCAACAAAAAAGATCCAGGCGTCCCCCTGGAGGTGTGGACTATTGCGAGAAAATGTGCTATAATCATAGGCGGTTAAAAAAATATGGGTAAATGAATGGTCAATTTCTGGGAGGACTTGGTAGGACTTGTGGCTCATGCCTTTCTTGTCAATGGGGGCGAAAAATGATAAATGATGTAAAAAAGGAACAAGGAAACAGAAAAAAAGCCAACCTAATATGCTGCCTTGACCGTTTTATTAAACAGTTTTTCAAGTCCAGTTATGATCATGAGTGCTGCGAGTTAATATTTGATATTTATATCACATTTACAACGGGGAATATTCCAATTCAATGTCAACACAAGAGACGCAGGGCTATATAGAAGTTATCTCCGTCGCTCACTTATCTCCGCGCTGACAAACACTAGCGTAGAAGGCCGTCGAATTCGCTATCTAATCAGACTCATCAAATATATTTGCTAAAGGCCGACTCTCTCATTCTCTTCACGCGCTTTCCGTTATCGATCACATATCGTCAGAACATACTACTATAAAAAGCTCATAATGGAGTCCAGTCCACCCTTTGAGCTAACGGTGCACCACCAAGGCACCGCGCATAAATTCAACCTCCCATCAACCGCAACACTGCAAGACCTCGGCTCCGAAATCGAAGCGACACTGAACATTCCAATCTCGAATCAAAAGCTCCTCATAGCCCCAAAGCCAGGCCTAAAAAAGGCCCCCTACCCACCCACACCACTCAGCGAACTCCCTCTCTCATCACCCAAATTCAAAGTCACTCTTCTCGGCGCCCCAGCCCAGGACATCGCCGATCTTCACAAACAATCCTCAGATACCAAGAAACGCGAAGAAGCCCGCATCTCCGCTCTCGCAGCCGCCCGTCGAACCAACAAAGCCAACGCAGGCCGCATAGCTGGCGGAGGTGGCGTCCACACCCTCTCCTCCTCGAGCAATAACTACACTTTCGCCCGTTGCCTCCCTCTCTCCTACCTCCCCAACCCAGATCGCGCCCTCAAGTTCCTAGAACGTCTCCGCGATGACCCCGGTATTCGCGCCGCGATGGCAAAACACAAGTTCTCCGTGCCTCTCCTCACAGAAATGAATCCCGCAGAGCACACCACCAGCGAGTCGCGCACCCTCGGTCTGAACAGGAATAAAGGCGAGGTGATCGAGCTGCGTCTGCGCACAGATGCGTACGACGGTTACCGTGATTATAGAACCATTCGCAAGACCTTGTGTCACGAGTTGGCGCATTGTGTGTTTGGGCCGCACGATCGGGATTTCTGGGATTTGACGTCACAGATTGAGAAAGAGGTCGAGAGGGCGGACTGGAAGTCGGGCGGGAATCGCTTGACGCAGAATGAGTTTTATAATCCTGGGGACTGGGAGAGCATGCAAGCTGGAGAGGAGGAATTTGATGAATGTGGGTGGACTGGAGGTGAATTTGTGCTTGGGGGTTTGAGGGATGGGGGCTCGTCTTCTGGATCTACGGGGTCTGGAGCTGAGTCTAGAAGAGACATTATTGCCCGTGCTGTTGAGGAGAGGATGAAGAAGAAGGAGAGTAATAAGGATAACCAGGATGATTCGCGATGAATGTTTGCATCCATGGATTTTGTATACCGCCATGCCTTTTTCCAACCCTGCATATCTCGTTTTGACGTCTTGAATTGATACCCTGCACTGTGCACGTGATGATAACGCTTCTTTCATATTTGACCTAGTACTAGGTATCCTGTGCATGCTTATTATTCCTACTAATATGTAATTATTGATCTTTTGCTATTTATTACGATGGAAAGGCGTATTCAAAGTGTATGTGGCTTGATTTGACCATTTTATATAAACCTTGCCGGGCCGAACGACTATTTAAAAGCCAGTTTCCTATGATAAATGATTTACAGCTGCTCGTTGACGAAAAGACCAGCCATACCCTGGCCAGTACCGATACACATACTAGTAACCAAGACCTTCTTCTTGGTTCGGCGTGCCTCGCTCAAGATAGTAGAGACCTGTCGCGCACCAGTAGCACCCAATGGGTGACCAAGAGCAATGGCACCACCACGGGGATTCACCTTGGCATGGTCGAGGCCAAGGTTCTGGATACAGTAGACAGCCATCGAGGCGAACGCCTCGTTGATCTCATAGATATCGATGTCGTTCTTGTCCAGATTGAACTTGCTAAGAAGTTTGGGGATAGCAGCAGTAGGGCCGATACCCATCACGCGTGGGGGCACACCAGCAACAGTGGCGCCACAGAACTTAGCCAGGATAGGCTGGTTGAGCTCGATAGCCTTGGAGCGGCGCATCAGAAGAACAGCAGCAGCTAAAAATGCATCATCATGTCAGCACGTGCGTCATGTTAAGAAATAATCACAAGAGAGAAACATACCACCATCAGTAACTTGACTAGAGTTTCCACCAGTCGACTTATCACCAAACTGCGGGAATGCAGGCCGGATCTTGGACAAGGACTCGAAAGTAGTTCCAGGTCGGATTCCCTCATCCTTAGTCAAGGTAACCTCCTTAACCTCACCAGTCTTAGGGTCCTTGACCTTAACGGTGATGGGAGTAATCTCATCATCGAACCAGCCAGCGTTCTGGGCCGCTTCCGCACGTCGGAAGGACTCCGCCGCATAGCGATCCTGCTGTTCGCGGGAAATGCCAAAGTCATTTCCGACATTCTCGGATGTCTGGCCCATGGGCTGCATGCAGTCTTGAGCCTCCTGGTTGAGCAGCACCTCGGTGTTGAAGGGACGTTCGAGACGGTCGCCGCCAACAGACATCAGCTCTGCGCCCATCGCAATACCGACATCGATAGCGCCAAGTTGAATCTGGTTGGCAATATCTTGCACGGCCTTCAAGCCCGAGGCGCAGAAGCGGTTTGCGCTGGAGGCGCCAGATGTGTGGGGGATTCCGGCTGCCAGGGAGGCCGCGCGGACCATGTAAGCGGCCTTGGCCTCGCTAACCTGTCGGTTGCAAAGCGCGTTAGAAAAGATAATTCTTTTGAGGCAGCCAGGCCTGGTCAATCTTTATGTTGCACTCACATTACCAAGGCACACATCCTCAACTAGTGCGGGATCGATCTTAGACTTGGCCAGTGTTTCCTTCAGCAGCGCGTAGACAATAAAGTCCAGCTCGGTATCTTTGAAGCCGCCCTTACGCGCCTTGGTCAACGGGGTGCGGAGAGAAGCAGTAATGACCACATCATCGGGGTTCTTCTGGGTGCTTTTGGAATGTTAGTTTCGGTCATTTTTCCAGAATCGGTCTCAGCAACTTACATTGCGGCGAGGCCGCTGGTAGAGGGTTTGAAATGGCCCAGCAGAGAGGTAAGACGATCCGCAGCCATGGTGAAATGTAGGATATAAGACTATGGAGTTTTCTTTGTTAGTAACTTGCGACTTTAGATTTCTTTTGAATGGTATTTGCAGGGGATGCGAATTGTAGGTTGCTGCGGGGAAGCTTGCATATTGCCACTCAGCGAGTAGCAAGGGAGTACAAAGCAGTAGGGCCGGATAGCCCACATGGATCGATAGGAGAGAGCAACTCACTTAAATAAGGGTATAGTTTAAGAAAATAGTAAGAAAGATGGGGAAACGGGAGAGAATGTTGGAGGTTAAGAAGTAGACGGGGACTCCGCTTTACGTCAAAGTTCCCCGAAAATGCCGAGGCTCTTTTGGCGCATCTGGCCCGCTATCCGGGTGTAACAGCTACAAGCCCCACAATAGACACCACATATGAATTTGGGGTATCTTTTACTTGAATCTCTGCCCTCAACGTAATCACAAAATGAGCTTCAGATTTGTAATCGAATGTAAATCCGCAGCCTCTGTGGAAAGTATAACAGATCGTACTACTTGGAAGTCAAAACAAACGGATGCTAAAGCTGCTTTGCTTTGAATTCTCAATCAACAACATCATACGAGCTAGATCATGGCTGTATATACCGAGGTATTTACATGGGTAAGATCCAGATGTCAGCCTACCAATCCACCACACCGTTCTCATCGGAGTATTGTCCTGTTTCTCCATCCTCCGACAAAGTTGCCAGCCGCACAATATTAACAGCAGACTCAGCTGGAGACCGTCCTAGATCACTGAAGTGCGAGAAAGCCGATTTCGTCAAATTCGGACAAGATGCATTAACTTTCCACCCTTGCGCCTTGAACTTGGCTGCGTAGTGCAGCGTGAGCATATTCATTGCAGTCTTGCTGCTGCGATAAACCGGGAACGAGGGCTGGCTCATCTTGTCGTAAAAGCTGGAAGATTCATCAACGCGTAGACCAATGGAGCCCGTGTGTGATGAAACAAACACAATCCGAGCAGGTGTGGCAACCGCCTTCTCCAGCAAAGGTATGAAAGCTTCTGTCACGATGGCCGCGCCGAAGAGGTTGACTTCGTATGCGTCGCGATAAATCTGGCGCAAGGCTGTAAGATCAGGCTTGCTCTCCTCTTTGTTCTGCTGCTGCTTCCAGTAGAGAGCGAGCTCATTGTTTATTCCCGCATTGTTGATCAGCACGTCGATCCGACCATGCTTTGATGCGATGTGGTCTGCTGCTTGCTGAATGGACGTATCGTCTGTCACGTCTATGACGATTGATTCGACCGATTCACCCGAGGGATCGAGCTTAGCGGCAGCCTGCGCGCCATTCTCTGCATTGCGGGAGCCGAGGATAATGTAGTGGTTCTTGTGCTGGAGAAGTTGCTCTGCAGTTGCATAACCAATGCCTTGATTGGCTCCTGTAATCAGGACGATGGTTTGCGAGTTGGAAGTCATGTTGCGATCGTGGTGCTTCAATTTCCAGGTAGGTAGGAATGACTCCTTTAACAGAGGCCTACAAGATTTCTTTATAGTCGGATTTTGTCAAGTGAAGCACTCTAAAATCCGGTTCTTGTGGGTGGTGTACTAGTATACTACTTTTTTGCCTTTCGGATATTGGACCTTAAGTCCGACAGGATCGCCTAAACAACCTGACATGCAAATAACGAACCATTCTAAGTGACATTTTACTTGGCCACATCACTGGAGGTTATGACTCCATCGGCTGAACATGGTTGGAAGGATTAGTCCAGGTTATAAGCTTATTTTAAAGATAGTACAGTTTCAGATTGAAGGAGTATATTTCAACAAATGAATTCGTATGCAGTAGCAATCAATATCATTGGAACCAAAGCAAGATCCAACCGGTCGTATTCCTAAGCAAAAAATGAAATCCCATTCCCTAGTCCAAGTCAACATGCGCCATTGCCTTTGCCCTTTAAAGATTTGATTACGAAAGAAAAACGCAGGTATCTATCACAGCAACTGTTGATGACCAGCATCATGCTCGCTGATTACACTTCCAACTTCCGACCAGCTAGTTGGAGTGTCAACGCCTCCGACTGAATGTGCCCAATCGCTCAATGTTCCGTCAGATGATTGGTCGGCAAGCTCATGTATGTCGCTAAAACTGCCTGCTATGGAGGGCGCTGATGAAACATCATGCTGAAACTGGTTTCCATGGCTAAAGTCGTCCAGGTCGGCAATCAATTCTGGCTGTTGTTGGCTAGCATTGGATTCTGAGTGAGGGTGAGTATAATAAACCGAGTTGTCTTCTGTGTGACTTGACGAGGAGGTCGACACAGGTGACTGTCCCCTCACCGGGGAGTCGGAGAACGGATCAAAGAGTATTTCTCCATGGCCATCAGAAGTGGGTGTGAATTGCAGAACGGATTCCGAAATGTGGTGGGGTGGAGTCTCGGGGGCAGTATCAATATGAAGTTGGTCTGTATCAATATCACTGAGCTTCTTGCGGCGGCGGCTCTGCAGATCGCCTCTGTCCACGCCACTTGAGCTAGCCACTGGGTTCGCATTCATTTGGCCGCCATCTTTATTCTGCATACGAAGATTTCCGTCTTGTTCTACCAAAGTATCGAAGCTATCCAGTGGTTTTTGAGAATTTTGTGAGCTTCGATGAGACTCCAGTACGGCAGCTCTCCGTAAGATCTCTTCACGTGCGATGCGTCTGCGTCTTTCTGCCGCCTCTCCCGCTTCTTCGGTCATAGAAATATCATCTCGAGTTGGGGAAGCGGAACGGCGTGGTTGTATTTCATCGCCTAGGCTGTGCAAGGCAACCGCAATCTTGCGTCGTGAATTGTTCATCCACTCCTGGAACTGGGGAGATTGATAGACAGCCACACCTGCAGCGACCAGCACGGTGACCGTCACCATAATACCTGCATAGATCATCAGAGGCTATATCCATAGCGGGGAACTGATAAGAGCGAGTATACACCGCCTGGAGGATCCGGCAAGAGTAGGCTGACGGCGAGAGAAGTTACTGACCTTTCGCAAGTGGTGCAGGCATGATGGATATAGCCTATCTCTAGAAATTTTGGGGGGTTTTTTGGTGAAGCTCGTCTCGTCACTAGGTGAAGACAAGCTTGGAAACTTGGAACTGTCGGATGATGCCTGGAGCATGACTTATGTCATCACATGACTAAGAATAGCCCTTATCCAGAGCCCTCAAAACACACCGCTTTTGGCAGAGTTCCCCGCGCGTGGAGTCGACGCGGAGCTTGATTGTTTTCTTTCTAATCAATCAGAAGATCGGCTTGATCGATTCCAAGAACCCGACACAATGTCTCGGCCATCCGTACATCCAGAGCGCCCGCTTTCTCTCACAGAGGAACTCGAAAAACTAGAACAATCTATCACATTGACGCTCCAAGGTAAGCCCAATAGGTGAACCAACTACTGAGACTACATGCTAACCTGCGTGCTCGCTCTTAGAGATCGATCAAAACTTCAGCCAAGCACACCGCATTGTTACAACAAGCATTCTGCCTCTGGTAGCACAATACACCGAACATTCCCGCGATGTCTGGGATGGTGCCAAGGTTGGCAACCTCAGGAGAAGAATTCTAGGACATGCCAGTTTATACTAACAAATAATCTAGTTCTGGAAACAATTCTTTGAAGCTAGCGCCAATGTATCCTTATCTGGATATGAAGAGCAACCAAAAGATGATGACACAGTTCAAGAGCAAACGGCAATGGAGGAAGAGGACCTTACTGCCGATATGACCCAAAGCACGAGTCACGAAGATCAATCCTATGATACCCCTACGTCACAGCGCCACAATATGCACCACGGTCACGGAGATGACCTCGACCTAACCGAGCTCGCTATTTCCTCGCATAGTACTCCCCGAGGACCTTCTCAATATGTCGACGATGACATGACCACATCTTCCGTCGAGCATTCCTCGTACGAGGACTTGCGAAGACAAATCAACGAAGCAGACGCACCCTTCAGCATGCCCGACTCATCTACACTTCCCTCTACCCCAGGCCGACAACCATTCTTCCCACATGGAGCCTCAGCCGAAAGCCCCATGTCATCCCCCTTCATCCCTCCCGCGTCAGCCAAGTATCAGTCCGCATCGCGAGACACGCGCTATCAAAAGCCCTCCGACCCTGTGCTGCACCAAATGCTTGACAAAACCTACCGCGTTCAGGCTACTCCGCTCGGCAAGAATTACCACAACCCAAGTGGAGGTACGAACACCCGTTCGAAATTCGCGGTCACGCCGAATCAAGCTGGTTCTAGTTCGAGATACGCGTTCAACGATTCGCCCATGTCTAGCCCTGAGCCAGAAGCGCCTCAGATGCACTCGGAGATCTTTTCTTCGCCTATCAAAGGTGTTGATACCCCTGGAACGAATCGCAAGCGACGCACCAGCAGCAACCGCATGCGAGTGACTCCTAAACCTGGTTTCAGTGTTCTGACACCAGCGAAGAAGTCCGGAGGTAATCGTGCCATATGGGATAGTGACGATGAGTTTGATGAGGATCTCGGTCCTAGCCCTCCTAAGACCATGCAGTTCCACATTCCTCAGAGTCGACTTATGCAGACGCCAGGTAAGATAGTTACATAAATCCCCACGCTGTCTTTTTCATCACGCTAATACTTTAATCTCTAATAGCCAAGGAAGCATCCAAGCGTATTGTCACCGATCTCCTAGCCACTGCTGGAGCGGGTGATATTACCGACGACTTCGACGACGAACATAGCCCGAGTATCATTCGCCGCATGGAGCGGCTAGAAGATGACACATTCTGAGGAGTAATTATTCTTTGCCGTTTGGTTGTGCCCTTTTTCGAATCATGACTATTTTTGTATATATCCATCTAGATCGTTGTTATTTTTACTGATATCCTCTGTCCAAAATTATGACGGACTTATTCTTATATGGTTTTAAGACAGCCAAAGGTCATATGTAGGCAAGTAAGATAAATTTATATAATTTGGTATCTAATATAATGTACATTGTGATAATATATGACATATGCCACCTGGGAATTCCGTGTGGACATTGAAAGGACCATGCGTTATAGACGCTGGAAGAGCTACTTGAAAGTAACACTCAAATCTCAGATCTCAAAGCAAAGATCGAATCTTCAACCGCTGGTTCGAAATCCAGCTCTTGAGAGATGAGTCCGATTGTGTAGTAAAATCGCTGCGCTCTGTATCGCTCGATCGTCTTCGCATGGACTCAACAAATTTAGGCCAAGTATTTGTCAAGATAAGGTATTTGATCTCATCTTCAAGCTCATTGAAAAGAGCCATATCAAAATCCGGGGGAATATCTCCCGTGTACCTATTCGCATACGACATCTGCACGCCCTCAAACTCTTGCGGCGGTACAAAGGCATCGACCTCAAACGGCGAAGAATGGTCGACAGTCTTCTCTCCAAAAAGGCTTCGAGCCGGCTGTTCAAAAATAGACTGCATGTACTTCCGTGGTTTGGAAGATATGTTCAGCGGGAACTCTGCATCGTGCGTGCTGATGAAGTTAACGTAGATGCGCAAGGCCTGGTTGAATGCATCTAGGAAGTGCTTTTCATCCAGGCTTTCTGGCCAGTAGGACTTCCACAATGAGACTTCGCTTAGGAATGCGATATTCTCGCCGGAGAAATCGCTTAAGGCGGCAAATTCTTGGAGTTGGTCTGAGTTGTTGCTCAGGGCGTGCTCGAGGGCATCCATTGTGTACATTCTGTCGACCATGCCTTCGTTGAAGAATTCGAGCGCTTGGCCCCTCTCGAGTGTAGACGAAGCTTTTGATGATGATGTTGATTTGAACGAAGATTTTGCCTTTAGCTCGAGTGAGGGCGAGGGTACTTTGTTTAATGCTGACAACGATATGGAGTCATATTTGATTGTCGAGTTGATGGTTTTCTTGTTCAAGGCCCATAGCCTGACGACGTGGAAGATAGGCACAAACACGGTGAGAATTTCCCACATCATGATCGAGATCATGATCCTATGAATTGTTAGCGATTGGGGAGAGCTCATCGTTTCTGGATGTGATATGTGTACTAACCATTGACTCGAAATCCAATAGACATTGACTTTTTCAAAGGCCGGCACGTACGTTGCGACTAAGAACATGGGAGTCGCATGAAGACTAGATATAAATGTCAATAAAGCGGGAACCAACAGTTCAGAGAAGATTCACATACCTAGAAATGCAACAGCCAATAGTTTGGGTGCGCCATCCCATTGTATCGTGGATTCCCCAGGCTTGCCAGATCATAATCGGAGCAACCTTCAAAATATGCCAGGTTAGTAACTTTGAAATAAATCTTGGAAACGCACTGAGATACTCACAATCCATGTCCAAATCACCTGCCAAAATAGGGAAGGCCACCACTCCCAGCCCCGACTTAGATATATGACTTGCTCATCGATTGTGGTGCCGTGGATTTCTGTCCCGGGAATACCGTAGGTCGGATGATACTTTTTGGAAGCGAGCCACATCGCAATGGTAACAAGAAACTATTCGATTGGTGGTCAGTCTCTTTTGTTTGGTGTAAATCCATTCAGCCAATATGTAGGGACAATGAAGCTAGACATACCTGTAATACCATGCCGAGACCAATTAGAAATAGGGTTCTTTTCATGTAAACGATCTTGTTCCAGCGAGATAGCCAGGAAGAATTGCTGCAACTTCTCCTTCTCTCCGTCCGTAGTTCCGGGTGAACGTATTGCTTCTGCATCTTCGCAACATGAAGGAAACGGATGTTGGAAGCATGGAATAGAGCGATGCCGAGGGGCAAGTAGATGCCCATTGAAAAGTACCGAATATCATAGAAGAGAACAGTTTGTACAGTCTGATTAATTGGATATGCGATCTGGCCTGAGATCCAGTAGATGTGAAGAAGTGCAATGGCGGAGAATGATAGCGGTAGGCCGCGGACCCTGAGGATGGGGATGTGGCGATTTATCAAGCAGAACACCATCCCAGCTATTAAAAGCACAGTCCAAACGACACAAAATGAGATGTAAAAGATACCTACCCCATCCCAATTGGGAGGGGAGGTTGGCATGTTGTAGATTGTGAGATTTGCCATGGCTGCCATAGTAAGGCAGGCTGGTAATGGAGTACAGAGTCCAAGGACGACATGTGAAGAACATTAAAGAGGATAAAGCACGGGGATTTGAGTATAAATGCCAGGTGGATCAATTTACCGTTTAGCCCATGGGCAATTGGTCCACGCAATTGTCAGAAATCTGGGCTTCAATGGTCATTGACCAGAATTGGAAATGCAATTGATCGCGATTCGATCGATCAGACCCATCCTGTGCATGACAAGTCGATTGCCACCTCGGGTCAGAATAGTTTCCTGACTGTCGGGATTGGGTAGAGCATCTCATTGGGTGAATGTCAGTTGAACCAAGCATTGCCAAAGCTGAAGATTGCAATTTGAGATATCCTACCATGGTTACCATATGACTGTCCCCGCCGTTGCTAACATTTGAAAAGATCTAGACAATAAAGTGCTGAAAAGCGGGAAAAGTCTAGAAAATCGTATATCTGCGTTTAACAGTTGACTTGGAAAATTTCTGATGTTTGATGTTCCAAGGAATGAGTGGGAAAGGCCATCTTTGAATGAGGTACACGTACGACTACATACGCTGGTCTTGTAGGAATCTCGGAATCTCTACCTATGACGTCGATATACACCCTAATTCTACCCTACGAAGAATGGAAGAGGAAATCTCTTCAAAAATATGCACAAAAAGAATAAAAAGATTAAAACTATTAGGAGGTAATTAAATTACTTACTAGTAGAGTTCAACATGACCTATCTCTACTAGTAGTATGTTTACACTCTTTCAGCATGTCCGACTCAACCAACTCGGTCCCGAGCTTCACCACTTCGGTCCCGAAGCCCTCAACAGCTCAATCTATAAGAATCGAAACATCAGCACAACACCAAAATGCTCTTTCGGTCTAAATTTCATATTGCAACAGCTCATTTCTTAGAAGCCCATTTTCTATCTTTTGTCTTTACAAAAAGAATCTATAAAATGACCCTCCCAGTCCTCATCATCGGCGCCGGTCTAGGCGGCATCTGCCTCGCCCAAGCCCTACAAAAAACCAACATCCCATTCAAACTCTTCGAAAAAGACGACCACCACAACCTCCAAACACAAGGCTATCGACTCAGAATCTCCGAAAGTGGCACCAAAGCCTTAAAGGAGAGCCTAACACCCGACCTCTTCACCCTCTTCCAAAAAACCTGCGCCACAACAGCTGGGTTCGGCATCCGCATCAAACCCGACGGAACACTCATCCCCTTCAGCAGTGCAGGCGGGCCTTCAAAGCCACCCCACGCTACAGCCCTAGGCGAAGCATACACCGTTGACCGCAGCGCCTTCCGCGAAGCACTCCTCACCGGGTTGGAAGAGCACACCTTCTTCGGCAAGGCGTTCTCGCACTACGAGCTCTGCGAAACATGCATCACGGCCCATTTCACCGACGGCTCGAGCGTGGACGGATCTCTGCTCGTCGGCGCAGACGGGGTGCACTCGCGTGTGCGAAAGCAATACATACCCGAATACCCCGCTCTCGACACGGGTCTGCGGATCGTGTTTGGGAAGACGCCGATTACGCCGGCGTTCCTGGCGGCCACGCCCGAGAGTTATCAGGCTGGGATGAGTCTTGCTTCGGATGCGGGGGACGGCGCACAACCGACGCTTTTGTGGGAGGTTATTCGGTTCCCGTGCGCAGTTGAGGAGATCGACTTGCCAGCTCCGTATGTGTACTGGGTGCTTGTTTTTGATCGCGCACATCTCGGCCTTGCGGCGGATGGGAGGCGTTGGCGTGCTGCTGGTCCCGGGGAGGCGGCGGGTCTGGCGCGTCGGTTGACGGGGTCGTGGGCGGATTCTGTGCGGAGTGTGATTGATTTGCAGGATGAGAGTCAGTCGTCTGTTCGGTCGATTTTGTCTGCGGTGCCGGAGATTGCGGGGTGGGAGGCTTCGGCGCGGGTGACGCTTCTTGGGGATGCGGTTCATCCCATGCCGCCTACGGGTGCTATGGGCGCTAACACTGCTTTGCGTGATGCGGCGGATCTAGCGCGGCGTATTGCGGGGGTAGCTGGGGTTGAGGGGGTTGATGATCGAGTTATTGGAGAGTATGAAGCTGATCTGCGTGAGTATGCTAGAACGGCGATTGGTTTGAGTTGGCAAGGTGGTATGAAGAGCTTCGGGCTGAGACCTGTGGATGAATGCGAGAAAATTGTCCTGTAATCAATTGATATGAGGGTTATATACAAAATTTGCAAGAAATGTACAATCCGTTTATTAACTCCTGATTTTCGCTAAAGCATGTGTAAATTTTGGGCACTGAAAGACAAGCATAATTAGGGTATATGCGCCATATAATCTCCGTAATGGTCTTCATCACTGCCAAGATCGATCCCCGGCATTGGATTATCATAGCTTGGTATTGTTGGATCATGTTCCGGTGTAGAGTGATGATCATGACCCACCAGTGGTTGATCGTACCCGGGCATTGGATTATCATAGCTTGGTATTGTTGGATCATGCTCTGGTGTAGAGTGATCGTGACCCACCAGTGGTTGATCGTACCCAGGTGTGAATTGATCAAACCCTGTCGTTGAATGATCAAATCCTGTGGCAGAATGATCATATCCGGTGGTTGTATGTTCAAACCCTGTTGTTGTTGTATGTTCATATTCTGATGTCGGATTATCATATCCTGGTGTTGAATGATCGTATCCCGGTGTTATTTGATCACGACTTTGTACTGGTTGATCATATCCTGGCACTGGTTGATCATGTCCCGGCAGTGGTTGCGCCTGTCCCGGTAATGGGTGTAGAGGCGGAGACCATGGGGGAGGTTTATCACCGCCATAAACCTCATGACCATCGGTCTGCTCGGGTGCATTGGCTACACTAATTTGCTCAAATGCATTCACCGAGTGACTTGTATTCTCCGAGTTTTCTGCGGTATTCTGTGTGTCTGCGGTATCCGGAGGTGGACCAGCCACCTCTGTTTGGTTATTTGAAGGAGTCAACTCTGTTGCTTCTTCCTCTGAAGGGTCAACGTTCTTGCCCTTGCGCATGCACCGGGCGACAAGGAGTCCAATGACACAGATCGCAGCCGCACCAGCAACACCACACCCGATACCAATGCCAATCTTTGCACCCTGCGATAGACCGCCTCCACCGTGAGGCGGGATAACATTCCAATATCCAGACCAAGTGCTTTCCCATGATTCTGACGAACCTGTGACGGTGGTGTCGGTGACTCCGATGGTTTGAACAGAGCCGCTCTGTATGTTCGGGCCTGGAGCTTGAGCAAAAAACCAGTAGCCTGTTCCATTTCCATGTTGCCAATTTGTGCCCAGGAAGGCTGCCTGTAGGAAAGCTCTGCCAAGCACATAGTCGTCCGATGGGTAGCAGGGAAAGTAAGTGGTGTTTTGTTCCACAAGTGGTGATTCCAGTGTAAGTTTGAGAAGGTTGAATGGTACTTTGATGGTCGTGTTGGGGGTGGATGAATCTTCGCCCGCGTTGTTCTCAAAAGTGAACGATAGGAATGCTGGCGAGTCGGTGATTTTCTTGAATTTGTCAACAGTGGTGTTCCAGAAGTAAAGGCCCAAGCCTTCATCATAGGTGACGGGAAGCTGCTCCGCGATGGCATCACAGGTATCCTGGGGAAGATAAAGATATGGTCTCGTAGGGTCGATTTCCACAGAGGCCGAGCTTTCGCTGGTACCATTGCTTCGCTTGAAAAGTCCATTCTTGCTCTTGAATGACCACGGAGATCCACCCGCGGCGACACCGAGTCCGATGTCGAAAAGGGGAATATCGAGGGTGCCAAGATCATTCGTGGTATTCACTGGTTGACTGCTGACATTACCGACAATTCGATCCTGGTCATAGCCTCCCATTACCAGTGAGCCCGGAATATATGAAGCCCCCGCCGCGCCGATATGCATACCCCAAGAGTAGGATGGAATTTGGCCGGTCCTCCACGCATAGGACTCGACCATGTTATAGGTGACGTTGTCCACCGTCTGATTCATTGCGAGGCCGCCAAGTGCTAACGTGCCAACCTCCACTGGATATTTATTCCCATTTGGATATGTCTGGTAGGCTTCATAGATACCATTAATGCTGACATTGGGCACACTCATCCCAGCGAAGTAGATCGTATCGCCAAGCTGGCCCGCTTTGACGGTAGCGACACCACCAAATTTATTCACACTCGCATCATTTGCGCTCGAGACCCATGTCATGTCACTTGTATTGTTGGAGTTATCGGAGGGGATATAGAGGGAAGAGGACTGCGAGATATTGAAAGTCCCGGCATTTTCGGCGAGGCAGGAGCTCGTTAGATTAGGCGTCGAGCATACGGTATCGAGAAGGATGGTGCTCGCCCAGCGATCACCGGGATAGAGGGCCACAAATTGCTCATTGCTCCCCAGTTTGGCAAGCACCGCGTTCCAAGGACCATCGGGTCCGTAGGCCTGACCGGACCATGTCGCGGAGTTTGGGGATACTGCATTCGCAAATGTCGACAGCCCGCATATTAAGGTAAAAGAGAGGCCGCGAGTCATGGTTCCCGGGGGGTGGTTCGGTCGAGTTTGGCCGGTTACCGTAAGAGGCGGGGGAGAGGAATGCAGAAAGAACTCTTCCAGGCGCCCAACAACCTTGGAAGACTTACTGAGCACACGATAACCGATCACCAATAATATCAAATGCAGGCATTGCTTTAATGCAGATTTGGTTTGTCTCCACAACCAAATGGGTTTGTCAATTGCCAAGGATGATTAGGGGTAAACGTTAGTGCCTTGTTAGCGTCATAGACACGATTTCCCCCCTCCTATTATTAGCCCTGAAACCCGTTTTTTTCTCCGTTCAATCTTCGAAGTGAAAAATATTTCTCTATCAATCAATAATTACCCTTGATCTCCACTTTCAATGTTCATTTCTGTACTAATTATGGGGTTCAAAAGAGGATCATCGTGCTCTTCAAATCCTTAGCGCGTACTATGCTATTTTTGGCCCCCATTAGCCTGTTGCCTTAACAAGTTTTTGGTTTTTCTATGTATACGAAAGTACTGGAAAATCAAACCATTTTAAGCGATTGGTGGAGTACTCATATTGCAATCCGCAATTGTTGAGCTTACAATGAAAACAAAATGTACATTAGAAGAATATAGGATAGTTCATTAGAGGAGAGACGGAGTATCATACACCACACCAAGCAGATTTTTGTCAAAACCCGGAACACAAGAAACGCCATAAGAAAGAGAGATGCAAGAGGGTAAAGGTTCAAACTGGTTCAGCCTCAAAGAAAGCTAATTCAGATGATCAGATCAACGCCCGAGATCTGAAGGGAATAATGAACGCAATCATTGCGCATAATGGAGAGATAGACAGAAGAGGCAATTAAGCCTTCTTCTCGCCTTCGACCTTCTTCTCGTCTTCATCGTCACTCTTGGTCTCCTCAGACTCGGATTCCTCCTTAGCGGGAGCCTTCTCATGCTCTTGGCTCTCTTGCTTAGGCTTCTCAGCCTTGGCCTCGTGGGCATGCTTTCTCTTTTCGGCGGCGTCGTGTTCACTCTTCAAGCTCAGGGTCTGATGCTTAGAATTCAAACGCTGCTCCTCAGCAGCAACCATCTCCTTCCAGAGATCGCCCTCATCCTTTGAAACATGGTGCGCGGGAACGGACTCCGCAGCCTCAGCCCGCTGAGCTAGCTTGTCACCCTTCTTCGAGTCGAGCATACCCCGACCGCGACGCTGATCCGAGATCTCAAACGCAGCAGACGCGCACAGAACACCGAGCGTGAGACCCTGGGCGTAGACACGGGCCTGTACGAGCTTCTGCTGACCGGAGAGGTGAGGGCTGCGACCGACCAGCACGAAGGAACCAATCATGGAGGCGACCCAGGTGGCGCCGACGATCTTGTATTTCTCGCGGCGGGCGAAGGCGACGACGCGATCGGAAATGCTGAGGCCGCGGGATTCTTCGATACGGAGGCGCTGCTCACGGTTCTCGTACCACATGCGTTCGGCGTTGTTTTGCTTTTCGAACTCGCGGGATCCATGATCGGCCGCGATGATGCCGACGAAAGTTCCCGATGAGGTCACTAGGAAAGCTTTCATGGGGATGGTGAGATGACGGATTGTGTGGTAGCGTTTCGAGGCAAGAAGAACACCAGCTGCTCCAGCTGCGAGACCAGCGAAGCCTCCCAATGTGCCGTACTTGAGGACGGAGCTGTGGTGATGTTTGTCAGTATGGCATGATGCGGATGCGGAAGCGGAGGGGTTGAAGAACACGCCAATCTTACCTGTAGTGAGCATCCTCCTCTGCTTTGGTAAGAAGCTTCATTGTGAATAACGTGTATGTGAGATGAGAAGATAAAAAACTGATGAGATGAGGGGAAGTTTGAGAAGTGAAATGGGGTTATATAAAAAAGTTGGAGATCAAATACCGAGAGCCCGATGGCATGACGTGTTTCGCGGGATCTGCTTTTTCTTCCCGCGGCTTTTTTTTTTCTTACTAAAAATCTCGGGTTCCACTCGGTTTTGGCTCGGGCGTTATCTGCTTTGAAATGAGACTCTACCAGACCCTACTAACTAGTAGTTAGTTATGAGGATCTCACATAATCCGTGAAAATTCGGAGACGAGAGTACATTTACAAAACTCTGATTGGAATATGCGGCATATATCAAATTACAATGCTTATTCACTTTCTACGGCTAGCATTTGCCGAATGCTATCTTGTTACATGCCCATGCCAGATATCAAAGTTCCCGATCAATCCCGAACGCCTAAAACACCCTAGAAAAAGAAATGGGGGAAAAAATAAGGAATGCCCTCGACCAGCAAAGAATGAAAATAAAAAATAAAAGGCGAAACAAGATTTACCGGCGAGATCCTTTGGACGCCGCAGTCTGTCGGGCTTGCATCTTGCGGAACCGGTCCTCACCGCTGGCACCCAAAGGTCGGGCAAACCGACTTTCTTGCACAGCAGTTTGCCGGGGAACAACAGTGTAGCTGACTTGGGTACGGTCAACACGAGCACGGTTGGCGAGACGAGGAGGAAGCTTGTCGCGAGCACGAGCATCAGCAGCGACAATCTCGGCGGTGGTGGAGGTACGCTTGGTGATTTTGCTATGGAATTGTCAGAAAATGCCAACACAGATAGATATAAAATGGTATACATACGTGGGATCAAAGTCGGCCTGCTGGAACACACGCTTCGAGTAGTCGTCGCTGCGCTGGAGGATGGGACGAGTCCATTCCGCCAGTAGCTTCTCTGCCATATTCTTGATGCTGTTTTCAGTTCTCTTGCTCTTAGTATAGAACACAACGACCTTGCCAACTCCACTGGCAATCAGAGCGTCTTTTTGAATGGGAAGCTTGGTCAGGGCAGTCAACAAATCACGCTGGATGTTGTACGCAGGCATTGATCCGTCGTCCAAAGGCTCAAGGAAGAATCGAACGGCCTCCAAGAGATTGATTTCCGGATCGACCAAGCTGTTTGCATATTGGTTGCGGTTGAGAAGTCTGATAACGTCGGGAAGAAGCTTAAGCTTGTGCATGGCAGGCTTGCCTTGCTGGCGGTTGAGAGCATCCATCTGAGCTGCCTGGGTCATGAGCTTTCGCATTTCCTCGATTTCAGCATCGGCCATAGCCTCAAGATCCTACAAAAATGGTCAGTATAAGCCCAGAATGTGATATATCGTGCAAAGGCAATCACGTACAATGCCATCCTGCTTGCGGGCCCGTCGCTTGGTAGGCTTCTTCATAGCTTCATCCATGGCACGGTCAAGAGCACGACGACGGCGTGTCTCGGGATCCAAAGTTTCCTCATCCGTATCGGGCTCTGCCTCCTTCTTTTTCTTCTGCTGCTGCTGCCGGCGGGCAGATCCTTCATCGCCTCCCTCATCCTCATCTTGGTTACGACGGCTCTTCTTTTCACGACGGCCCTCCTTACGGCGCGGGCGGGCCTCTTCGCCCTCAACGCGCTTGCGCTTGTGTCGACCGATCAGCTTCAAATTATCTTCATCAATGGCCAGCTGCGGGCGGTCTTCAACATCGACATTCTCCGGGTCGAAGTCATCGAACTGCGCCTCGTCGACCTCGGACAAGATAGAGTCATCATCATCATCGTCGTCATCATTTTCCTCCTCTTGATCCTCGACAGAAGCTTCGGGCTTGTCACCTTCATCATCCTCTGCAGTAATCGGGGTCGGCGCCTTTTCAGGCTCTTGGTGGTCGGGAGACGCGGCGCGCGAGCCAGTTTGAGGCTCTGGTGAGGCAGACATAGCAGGCGGTGTGTTTCTTTCGTTCAAATTGAATTGGTCGGGTGATTGCAAAGAGGCGAATGGAAGGAGCTCTTTAATGAGGTACGACGAAAAGGCGCGGCTGGTATTTCGTGACCCGGACCCGACGCCTCTCTCCGCAAAGCAGATAAGAACGGCACAAATCAGTCGAAAAAAGTCGGGTAGGATTAGAGCTGCACAGTTTACCGGGTGGTAAGACTAGCAGAGAAGAAAACAATGTAATCAGCAGTAGAGATTGGAGGGGGAAAAGAGGCGAAACAGTCGAGTAGATGAGAGAAGGAGAAGGTGGTCTGTGCTCCCGTGATTTCTTCATCGCCGAACTTCGTCGATAAGTAACAATCACGCTTCATTCGTTTCAACTCACTTCCCACCACGATTTATCCCATCTTTTAATCTATTCTATCCAATCACACACAATGTTCGCTCCCGGTATGCTTCAGCCAAATCTCTCAGCTACACCTATGCTCCCCTTTTCAAGATGTTTGAACCCAAACTAATATGACCCTTCGTTCGTCCAGGCCAAGAACAGCTTTCCCAGCAGGACCTCAAGGTGAGACTTTATGTGTTAACAAACTCTATGGGTGGTGTACCGCCCTCGCTGCTTATTGCTGGCTTCGCCGAGTCATGTTTGACGAGTGCCACATAGTACTGGATGGCAAGACATCGCAGTCTTGCAGTTCCTTGCGTGTGTAAGGCCGCTCGCCATCCAGCAATGTGTGACACTTACCGAACACGGCCCGATTAAAGCACAAATTTGCTATGAGGACATCACATCACCTGTGGCTTATGAATATTGATCAGTGGCTGATCCAAATCTAGACCGCCGAGGTTGAGGCCTGCCAGACTGTCCGCAACGCCGTCTTTGGCGGTATCCTCCTCTACCTGTGTAAGTGGAGTCTTCATATTTGGCAACCCAGTTACTCTATGAATCCAATTTCCTCTCTTCTCTGTGACTCTGATCTAACATCTTTCATTTCAAATAGCCCCCTTCGCCGTTGACTTCGCCAAGAAGTTCCTCTAAACGAATCGCCCTTCACCCTTTTCCTTCGATTGTTTTGTCTCTACAATTGATCCAGTCTCTATCTATCATGATTTGGATGTATTTTGGAGGAGCATTCGTTGATGTATTATTATTTGTACATGCCTGATTATCTTTCTTATGGGTTTTTCTGGAAATAGAGAATGGTAAAAAGGAATTAATGGCAGGATGCCAACTTGAGATTCCAGCTACAAATTAAGGCATGTTTATGAAACAGATTTTAAGATAGTAGATCAATAAAGGCAAGTTTATGGTAGTAGATGAAATCATATTGAACTATGCAGTACAGAGCTTTACTCCACCCAAGATAACGCCGGTGCTCCCATGCCCATGAACATCTTTACGTTATGAAATAAGGATCGCATAGTAGAAGTTGAAGAATGGATTTTAGTTTCCGTTGAGTTTCTGAGCTTCTTCAAACTCCTTCTTGACGGATGTCAATTCCTTCTGCAGATGCTGGATCTGCGCATGGTAATCATCAAGAATCTAAAATATGGTCAGTTGTCAAATATCTAAAAAGCCGGTGAACAGTAGCAGCGCTTACCTTCTTGGCCGTCTTCATTGTCTGCTCATCAATCTCGTCCTCCGCATTTACCGCCGCATTGCCTCCTGCGCGGTCCATCTCCGCCTGCAGGCGTTTGCCCTGCTCATGAATAGCCAGCATGCGGGCCCAAATCTCCTCGCCTCGGCCATTAAGAGATGGGTCAAAGACAGAACGTTCGAGCTGCACAAGCTTCTTCTTCAATTCCTCTTCCGCGTCATCCATCGCATAACCACGGTTGCGCAACACCTGGGTCTTGGCCGCTAAGGCAAGACAACGCTTGCTGAGAACCATGTGCTTTCGCCGGCAGTCGGCAATTTTGATTGAAATCTTGAGATCGTGGCGAGAGAGAAGGTCGGTCAAACAGGTGTTGATTTCGTGAAGGCGTGATTGCATCATGCAAAGGAAATCTTTCTGTCGCTGCGCACGCTTACCAAGCTCCCAGAAGCCCTTGACAAGCACTGGAACGTAGCCTGGGTCTGGGCGCTTACGCAGAGCCGCCTCCCATGAAGCCGCATCATCTTCCGGGCCTGGTTGGTAGAATGGCGCAGACTCTTCTCCAACATTGTTGTACAGGTAGGCTCGGAACGGGGAATCACGGTTAGGAGCATCCCACTTGTCCTTGACGATAGACATCTGCATAGGAACGGTCCGGTGGACTAGTAAGGTAACGCAGTTAGTACCATTTCCTCTAGTGTAATGACCAAGACATATTGGATGAAAACCGAACTCACCTCCTGTAATAGCGCGGCCAGGAGACCACAAACTTGACGAAAGCGATTGTTCTTGCTGCTGTCCCTGTGGCTGGACCATGGTAGTGTGTCCAAACTGGCCCGGTTGAGGTTGTTGTGCCTGTTGTTGTTGCCCACCAAGGAGTGATCCACCGAATGCAGTGTTCTGCTGTTGCTGGGGCTGTTGTTGTTGAGTACTGGCACCCAAACCACCACCGAAAAGTCCTCCGCTGGTCGCAGATTGTTGCGTTTGTGGCGGCGGGCCTGAAAAGAGACCACCAGGCTTGGGCGCGCCGAACAGGCCTCCAGCTTGCTGGGGTTGCTGCTGCGGCTGCTGCTGCGGCTGCTGCTGACCCAGGCCACCACCGAACATGCTACCCGCCGGCTTCTGGGCAGTAGAGGAGCCAAACAAACCCCCTGCCTGTTGCGTTGGCTGAGCTGCGGCAGCATTGCCGAATAGTCCGCCTGTTGAAGCCTGCTGAGGCTGGCTTTGTGGCTGACCGAACAATCCTCCACTGGCAGCTGGGGTAGCGGTGTTTGTGCTTTGCCCTAAGCTTCCAAAGGCACTGGGCTTATTTGCTGTGTTTCCAAACAAGCTGTTGCCAGCCGGCTGGGAGACGGCTCCAAACATATTGTGTCGCAAAAAAATGGCGGAAGGGTATCGTTAAAAAAAAAAAGCGCGACCGAACAGGGATCGGGCGATATCTTGATGAAACGGGGACGCGAAGCGATCGAGTCGGCTTAAAGTGTGCTGGGACGTGCGAATTGAATATCACAACAACCAGTGGCCGGGGTTGGGTGAGCTGAGGGGTGCTGCTCTGTAGAGCTTAGCAGAAAGAAGTGATCAATCGGAGCTAGTTTGTTTTGGGTCACGTGAGGGGACATCAATTCACTGCACTATATAATATTTCAAGGTTCTCAAATTAGTAGTCAATCCATCATCTCCTTAAGTATTATAGCTGAGGAACTGATGCTAATCTTGAATGATAATTAGCCGTTAACAGCTAATGGTGGTTTATTTAAAAACTAAGGAACTTTTCATGCATATCAACTGTACTAGCTCTGGCAATATATTATCCCACGCCAGTTGACCAAAATAGATCCACCTACTACACATGTATATGGTATTTACTAGTACCTACCAGTGACTTAATGCTTGAAATGTTTTAGATAAATTACTTCTGGTAGTTCTCATTCAATCAACGGCTAGGACCTTGGCTTATATCGGAATTCTCACGTCAATCAATGTTGCCTATTTGAAATATTTCTCATAGAACAATGTTGATATGTACATATTTTTGGAGTGCCTCTCTGCAACGTTGAAAATAAAAAAACATACACCAGTCTCAAATAGTGACAACTTTAACTACTAACGTGTCTACATCCATGGATATTATGCTTATTTAAAACTCTATAGGCACGGCAATATCGAAAGAGAACATTAGGATATATATTAAATTGAGTTCAAATGTTGATAGATTTCATTAGGTAGAACTCCGATATGTTCTTGAGTACTTGCATACTTAGTATGTAGTGGTACTCCAAATGCTGAGGTAAGCATAGTTGAACCAGCCAATCAGCATCGATCCAAAGAAACCGACCTTTCATTCCACCGCAACCCGTAGCTCTCGATCAACCAGATCCGTCAATTGCACCTTCCCCAGTCCCTCCAGACAACACCGTCACCATGGCCCAAAGAGATCCTCGGTAGGGCTCCCATATACTCGATTACCCCCCCAAACCGACCCATCCCGACCCCCCTGCCGCGCCAGAATGAACCCGGACTAATCTCCATCCCTCCAGATTCAACCAGCATGTCCTGGTGGACACCACCCCCATGCCAGACCACATCCCCAAGGTGGAAGAGATTGGCGCCACATCTGCACCTTTGTTCAGCGCAGCCTACTTCATCGGCGACCGGTGCAAGGCCTTCAACGATGACTACATGAAGTGCAAGGAAGAAGCGAACGGTCGCGGCGAGATCGAGTGCTTGAAGGAGGGGCGCAAGGTTACGCGCTGTGCTGCTAGCGTGTATGTTACTTTCCCCGCAAGTTGTGCCGCTCAGCCCCAGGCGGATTGAATGGCCTACTGGCCCAACGGAAACATGCCGAGCTGTTTTGATTGACCGGTTTCATATAGCATCAAGGATATCAACACCCACTGCCTGAAGCAGTTCCAGGAGCACTGGGATTGTCTCGAGAACAACAACCACTACCTCTTCGAGTGCCGCAAGCCCGAGCAGGCATTGAACAGCTGTGTTTTCGATAAATTGGTACGCCCGTTCCATGACTGAACTCCATCAGAGCCGTATGACATGCATGTCTGCACAAAATAGCATTGACGCTGGCACTGTTGCTGGAATCGTCATTGGCATACCAAGTTTCCTCTGAGATATGAAGGACTTCTAATTAACACAACACTCTCTCACAGGGCCTGAAGAAGACCATTCCCGGTGCCCCCGAAGGCGAAGTCCCCGTGCACCTGCGCCCGAAGCAGAAGTACGCCCAGTTCCCAGGTCGTCAATTCTAAGAAACGAAAGAAAACAAAAAAGCGAATTAGAATCGCATGTTTTATTCCTGTTCTTCCCCTTGTTTAAGCTCGTTTACATCCGCTCGCCTTCTACAATTGCCGTCCAGGGCTCGGCTTTCTTTTCCGTTTTTAGTGGGTTTGATATACACAAGTGACCCTTGTGATTAGTATATCTGTCTGTGTCTGTCTCGTCTGCTGTATGTTTGTGTAAATATCTATTGGCATCAGGAATGGTTACATGATTTCTGCTTGGTCTGCGTTTAATACCAAGTCTTTAAATGCGTCCGTCTTCAAGTCGAGGTACTCAACTACCACTAGAGACTCGTTACTCAAGTACTTGGGTACAAATTGGTATTATGTAAGTAATATAGAAAGACTGGGGACTATTGAACAACTGGTATTCGTACAATGTTTGTATACTACTAGTCTGAGAATATCGAAACAGTAATGGATCTAGTGCTTCTGTTTCAAAGTCTAAACTCTCACAAGCCCCTCTAAGGATCGGACCAACCTATAGAACGGTACAACACTTCAAGAGCCAAACAAAAAACCCAATGAGAAGAAAAAGAAACTCCGAGACCTCACATTGAAACCCCATATATACTTGACAAAAGAAAAGACAGAGGGCCAGAGGGCCAGAACTCCAGATGAATATGGACAGGAAAATGCAACAAGCATGTCAAAAGCATACACTCAAAAGAAGTACACAGAGACAGAATCACAAAACGAAAGATAGAGAGAGCAATGAGCAAAAGCCGAAAGAAGGAGGACCGGGACCAGAACCAAGCCAACCCGATCAAGGCAGAACAGGCATATCACCCGCCTTCCTGAGCAGCTTAATCTGACCCAACTTAGCCTTCAACGTAGACCAACCAGAGCGCAAACGGCTTTCAACCCGACGATCTCCTCGAATGCGCATAAAGATAAGCAAAGCACCTAGCATAGCCAAATCCCAAAGGACCTGACGTAGAACCGTCCACAGAATCCACCTCAACCAGGCCCAGACACCATTTCGGCGACGGTTCGCCAAAGAACGAGTCTCCATCTGCTCGCGCACAGCGGCGATCTCCGCCGTCATCTTGGTCAAGGCCTGCTCGACTCTGCGGCGCCAGGGGCTATTTCTCAGGTTATGTGGATCAGAGGCGCGCGCATGGGAGTTGCTGCTGCTTGCGCCGTCGCCGGATTTATAAGTATGATTACGTCGATGGCGATGTGAGGAACGCTCATCAGCATGTGAGGTATGGTCCGTAACGGACCTTGTATCTGCATTTGTGCTTTCATGGTCATGGTCGTGATCCTGGTCTTGGTCTTCGTAGAGACTATCGCGAGCCTCCTCATACTCCTCGTCATCGTCATCGTCATCATCGTCTTCATCGTCCAGATCATCTTGATTCTCGACAAGATGCCCGTCCGGCGACCGCTGATAGTATTCTTCTTCTTCGGGCTGACTGACGGGACTGAGAACGCGGAGTCTTGAATTTCGATCATCGCCTCGCATATTCGGTCGCTCGTAGTCTTGTACCGAGCCCGCCAGTCGGTCCCCTATACTCCCGTATGCGCTGCCAGTATGTTTTGATAAGAGAGGAACGCCGACGGCGTTTAGTGGACCCGACGACGAAGACGAGGAGGCATTATATTTAATCTGGTCCCAGACGAATTCGAGTTCGGAAACCAGTTCGCGTGCTTCGGGTGTCTGGGATGCGTATTCGTGCATGGTATCGATTAATGTTGAGATGTAGCGGCGTTTGGCTTCGGTGCGCGTGTGGCCGCGCTGCGCATACCAGGCGTCCCTGTATCATGGCGCAAAGAGTTAGCTTGGCCATTCTGTTTTTGACCGAGTAGAGGAAGGCCGCTATAAACTGGCATCGCTTATCGATACGCAACTTTGAGGCGTAGGTAGACGTACCATTTCTCGCACTCCGCATGTACCTCTGGCGTATTCCCAATCGGACGATCCATCACTCCTTCCACATCCCCCTCTGCGCCAAAATCAGTTCTTGCTCGTCCGTGATGCTTGCAAAGGATATCCGAGGATCCCCGCACTCACCCATGCTCTGTTTGTATAATCCATATAGTTTTAAGCGTTCCGCCGCCGGAGGGCGCGCGGTGCCCGTCCGGGGAATCCTCTTAACGGTATTCAGGGCATGGACGAAGACGCGATCTAATGACAGAAAGAATGTCAATATCAAGAAGACCAAGCGCATATAACTGAACCGAGACCAGATCCACAGGTCAAAACACACCTACAGAATCCGACATCCTAACGCGAAAACAAACGGTCCGGTAATCAGCCCTGTCGTCCTGGAAGCGGGGTCGGGCATCGGCAGACGCGGACGAGCCTCATGGAGCGCGAAATGTTGATAAAATGGGCCAGGGAGAGAGAAAGTGCCAATGCTCGGGATGGAATGATGCAGGGGTGTTTGAATCGTGGGGGGACCGGGGTTGCGCTTCGTGTTGGTTCCGGGGATCTAGTCTCCTTGGGATCCGGGAAAGTCGAATTTCAATGGAATTTTCCCCGATTCGCAATAACTTTGTTTTTTTGCCCCGGATTTTTGAGAGTGATTAGGGGAGATGGGGCCTATCCAAGAAATTTGAAGTGGATAGGCCTCGTGCCTGAAGAGTCAAGACCGAGAAAGTGGCGTGTGTTTGATTACTCTGGACCGCGGCTCTCGGAGAAAGATCGACAGGGCAACTTGTGATCACGAGCATAATATCTAATATCTATATCTATATGATTTAATTTTTTTTTGAAGAGATTCCGAGCTTTCCAGGAGGAACTTCTCATGTCATTCATGCAATAAATTCGATATTCACAATAATTTACTATACAAAATGTTATCCAGGAAGATAAAGGATATGCGTTAACTATTGGCTACTCGGAATCTTCTTCAAGTCCGAGATCTCCATCGCGTTTTCCGTATCCACCGCTGCACCCGAGATAACACCCATACCCTTGCCCTCCTCCTCTGAAATAGGGGGCCCAGTAAAATGCTTACGAGCATATGCAAAGTACCACACGATACTAATAGCAGCGAATCCAGCAAATACAACGCTCGCATAGTTCATCGACGTGGAGGTGGTCGGCAGAGTATAGGGCATGCAGAAGATAACGACAGCCAAGACAATCCAAGCAATCGTGATCGCATTGATCGCATAACCAAAGCGACCCAGGGAAAATCCCGAGTTACGAACATCCTTCCGACCCCGAATCATAGAGATCAGGATGGGTAACCCATACGATGTGGACAGACAAATCGTGGCCACACCTGTAAAGGAGTTGAACGCAGCCGTGGAACCGAAGTAGATCAGTCCCAAGAGACCATCCACGACAGCCGACAAGATAATAGCCCAAACAGGCACATCCAACTTCTTGTTGACCCGGCGCCAAAGCTTGAATCCTGGGATGGCACCATCACGTGCAAAGGCATAGGTGCAACGACTCGCGGCCGTGAGAGACCCCACACCGGCAAACATCATGATTCCCAGAATCAAGAATAACAGTCCGAAGCCACCTCCCGCAGAGCCCGTGGCAATCTTGAACACCGTTCCAATCGGCTGTCCGCTGGCAACATTGCGCAGCATTTTCAAGCCCGCGGCATCACTGGGCAAGACAAACAGCACCGGAATCAGGTATAGCAGACCGGTCACACCGGCCGCAGCAACAGACAGCACGATGGCCTTGGGCACCTCGCGGTGCGGATTCTGAACCTCCTCACACATGGAAGCGACCATGCCGTATCCCGTCAGCGTATATGCCGCCTGCAGCAAGCCAACGAAGAAAGCCCAACCAGCAGGCCATCCACTTTCGGAGGAGTCATAGTGAGCGAAGACGAACTCGCCCGAGTTAAGGCCATCATCCGCCATGGTCAACAAGACGATGAGAATGACCACGACGCTAGCTGCTGTCCAGAAGATGCAGACCTTGTTGATGAGGTCGAGGTAGCGCGAACAAAAGATGTTGATGAGGACGCAAACGAGCAAGACGGCCCAGAACATGAGCACAGTTTGCCATGGCGTGGCGACGAAGTCCTCGTCCCACAGATTGATGGCACTGAGGATCAATTGGCCTCCTCCGAAGATGATACTTAGAGTGACGGTCCAATTGCCCACCAGAGTGAGCCACCCGTCGATGAACGACATCAGCGGTGCCCAGCGGCGAGTCGACAGCATTGCGCTCCAGTAGTATACACCGCCAGCGGTGGGATAAACGGCGCAGATCTCGGCGAGGGAAGCGGCAATGGCGAGGGAAATGAGGGTGACGAAGACCCAGCCCCAGATGATGGTCACGGATAGGCCATCGTCGAGGGTAATGTATAAGGTGGTGCTGAGGCCATAAGGCGCAGCCATGATGGCAAAGGATAGACCGAGGATACTGAGCATGCTCAGATTTCGAGGCAATTCGCTCTGGTAGCCCATACGCGCCAGCGCCTCGTCGGCGGCGTCGATGGAAGAGCGCATTTCGGGTGGAGTCAATTGAATCTTAGTTGATGGGGACCGGCATATGAGGCGAAGCTTGAGTTATTTAAGCGGGTTTTAGCTATCTAGTAGATAGCAAGTTGTGGAGAAGTGATGTCGTAACCCCGCATGATAGACATTCAAGGTAGAGAATCATCGCGGTCCGGGACCGCGGTGGAAAAGAAGGTTTTGTAAGGAAAAACCACGAATTGAGCAGCAAATCAGATGAGTGGACTGTGGACGTAACGTCTCCGAGACATAGCTTATCAGGGTTCAACAATGTCCGGGGCCATTAGTCACTCGGATACGCTATCTTGGGTCTTCATGTGGACCCTTGGAAACATGTGGATGCCAGTTTGGTCCTAATGGAATTGAGTCTTGGATCTACATTACGAGCGATTTAAGTGGAATCACTGAGATATGAGAGATACAAGATTCAGTCTGAAAAGTCATTTATCATTTCACGGTTAGTTACATGAAAAGGGTCACACTTAAAGGTGACGGCTGCCACATCGTGTTTTTCCTCGGTAAACTTCGGCAAGACTCCGAGGACGATATGCGCCAGGTTCAACTAACAAAAAAAAGAACGACGAAAAAGGAAAAAAGGGGGAATTGAAGCCGAGAACTGGAAAGAGCTTGGACCGTTGCCAAGGCTTCAACTTCCAACACCACGACAGCGCCCCGGGGGAGTGCAATGGGGGGTATCAAACAGGGGCACACAAATTTCCAGTGGGCTCGCTGGGTCTTTTGAAAAGAATTTTTTTTCTTGTTGTTTGAAGTATCTAATCGGACAGGGGGGAGGCGAAGAGATAAAAGTTGCGGGCGGAAGTAGGCCCTAAATGATGGAGGAGCAGTCAAGGGTAAAAGAACAGGGTGAGGGCGGAGAGGAAGGGGGAGGTGGATTTTTGGGGGAGAAAGGGTGGTTAGAAATGAAGCAGACAACATCCGGACTCCAGTCTATGCGGCCACACCGGGAAAGGACCAACCAAAAAGCGGGTAGACATGAGTGAGAGAGGGCAGGATGGAAGGGAGACTGTCAAGATGGGAGAGGAGGGGATAGGTAAGTTGGGGAATTTGTGGGAAAAAAGAACGCTGAGATGAAAACCAGCCAGCTAGTGTCAACTCCGAGGATGATAAAACAAAACAAATAAACAAAGATGAGAATAAAAAAAATAGCCCGTCGTGCGGAACGATCGTAAATCGAGGTCGAGGGGATGGGGAACAAGAAAACGCCCAATCATGCAGTCGTCAGTCCGGTGAAGTCGTTACAGGAGAGATGCAAGTACTAATCGCAAGGGAAGGCAAAAAGAGCGAACAAAGGATTTTAGGGACTGAGTCCGCCGACGAGATCATCAGGACCGTCAAAGCCGAAACCAGCCATATCGACGGAGTGTAATGAGCCCGGCCCTTTGCCCAAGGAGATGTCAGAAGATGCATAGTCGTGCTTGAGTCGCTCGTGAGGGCCAAAGAACGGTCGGTTTTCTTCGTTGGGGGTATTGCCATCGCCAGCAACCCATGGCCCGTTCTGCCAAAAGCGGGTGTTGGCTTGCTGATCCCCAAATAGATCGTGATGATCGGGATGGGGATCAGGTCCGTGGATTGGGAAGTCATGTGGTGACTGGAGCCGCAGATGCGACCGACCGAAACTAGAGCATGGGGAATCGGCATGAAGAGGCAGATCTAGGCCGGACAGGGGTGGGTCATCGACCGTCGTGATGTCGATCGTCGGATTTTCCGTTTGTTGGGCGAGTGCCGATGACAGCCGGAGATTTGAAGCCGAACTGTGTCGGCTATGACTTGTTGAGCGGTCGATGGTACGCTGCACAAAGCTACCGCAGGTTTTCATGATCTTCTCTTGGTCCTCAGGGGAGAGGCGGGCAAAGAAATCATTGGCCAGGGACGGTTTGGGTGGCTCATCCGGTGATGGAAGTAACCCGTATGTGACCTTGGCGTACTCCGACAGACCTGACGGCATGTTGTACGGGGATTGATAAACATTGGGGGCCATTTCCCTTTGTTGGTCCAGGAAAGCGTATTTACCGGGCATCTTTGCCGCAGCCACAATCCCCCGATCAATGGTCTCCATCTTGATGCCTTCGGACTCCTTCTTTTGAATGACATCCAAGCGCTCGCGGTGGCTGACCAAGGAGAATCGAAGCATGTGCAGTAGCCGCGTTACCTCCTCAGATCGCATGTTGAGGGTCTGAGGCGGTAGCAAAGTGCCGTCGGCTGCCCGTGGCTGCACCCGCTGTTGGGCCATGGCCAGTTCAAGTTTCTCGAGTCCATTGGCCGGAGGAATGGATCCCATAGGTCCCAACAAAGTTTCTACCACCAATTCGGGGCTGACGATGGTATACCCGGCGAAGACATTAGCGTGGTCGGTGATTTGGGCGAGGCGGCGACGGGCAATAAGCTCCCTAACATTGGCAAAGGTATTGGTGGCGGAAAGGTGGTGCTGCTGCTGAACGTGCGATTTGGTGACCGAAGGGTAGGGGGCATGACGGGCAGATTGATTCGGCAAAGTTCGAAAGGCCGACGGCATCGCAGGACCAGCAGCAGCAGCACCGGTGGAAGAAGCAGAATGAGGGGGAGGGGCAAGGCTCTGCAGGGGGGCGGCAGAGGAGGGCGGTCGGGATTGTAGGTGAGGGGTTTGGTTGGCGTTGGGAGGAGATTCGTGTTTATGTTGTATCTGCGGTCGGCGTTGGGCGTAAAGATTTTCCTGGTAAGGAGGGGCAGGGGCGGTAACAGCATGGGAATTATGGTGGGGTGAGATCTTCAATGCACGAGCACTGAGTCCAGCCACGCCAAGCGACTTGACGCTGTCCAGGAAATTGGCCCGCGGGTTGTGGATGAGTACGCTAGGGTTGTGCGTATAATGTGCCCTACTCTCGGTGGACTGCGTGCCCAGGTAATGCCACACCTGTTCTGGTTTGGACAAGTCAACCGCAGAGAGTGGGGCAAATTGAAACTTATGCGCATCCACCGTGTGGAATTCGGCCCACTGATAGGGAGATCGGACGTCGCCAAAGACACTACCGGCGACCGGTACCGCAACCTCCAGGTCCTTTCGTTGTTCAGGCTTTCGCGCCAAGTGGGCCGGGAGGGCCTCAATTCCCGGCGCAAGGGGCGCGAAATTGCTTTTGCGCACCACGAGCAGCCAGCGATATGGCATCTCAATTACGTCTCTGTTGACATTTATCAGTATTCGGACAGGTCCAAGCCAAGAATGCTGATTTTTCGGGTCGGGTGATGGATAAGATTTCGGGAGAAGAAACCTCCGGTGGGGTTGGAGGGGCAGAGAGGAAAAAGGCAAAAAGGGAGAAAAAAAGGAAGATAGAAAGGAAGACAAAAAACAACACTTACCCTCTCGGAAGAATCTTGACCAACAAAGACCGTTCTTCAATTCGATTCTGCAAAACAATAGCGCCATTGATCTCCTTGTCAGCCTGGAGTTGGATCAGATTGGTTGGCGCCACACGACGAGCCGCCTCAATCACACTACGGTCAAGATCAAACGACTCTCTCAGCGAACCGGAGGGTCGCTTCTGACGATGAAACTTGCACTTGAGGTCCACACTGGGCAAAGCGTATTGCTTTCCATCATCGGCATTCACGGCAATGCGACCATACTCAACCTGAACACCCGCTAGAAGGGCACAGGTAGGATGATAGGCACGAGTACACTTTCCAAAGTTGCACTGGAAGCAGGCGCCACGAACCTCACGACAGAAAAGACATTTGAGACCCAGGCGAGCCTTGGGAATATTGTCAAGGTCGCAAACCACCTCATTACCAGAGTCATCTCGAAGAATGCTGGTTTCTTCAATGTACTCTGCACAACGCCGATGCACATTGTGTTTGCCATCTTCTGTAGGTAACAACTCCTCGTAGTCAAGATCATTAGGACATAGGAAACACGGGAGCTTCCGCGGGCCTTCGGGGTGGAGCTTAGGTCGTTTGGTTCTCGGCCCGTCGCTCGCGTCTTTCCTCTTTCGGCCACGAGTGGAGGTTTTCTCAGGTACGCTGCGTGGAGGGGTCAAAAGATCCGAAGCACCTTCGCAGCCCTCAAAGCCGCTTTCGTAATCGCCATAGTATTCGGGAGTGGCCTCGCCACGCAGTTTGCGTTCAACCTCATCGACGTCAATCCAGACACTGTCTGCTTCGCAATTGCATTTCTTGGCGATCCGACCATAGTCCAGCCATCTTTCAGTTGCGAAGTTGACCGACTCGGCACAATTGTATCCAATGTTGTAACCGGAATGGTATCCGTAGGGGAAAGTGATGACAAATTCCCCTTCGTAATGAACCAGTCGATTGACGGTGATTCCATACTGCGACTTGAGCAGACTTGGGGAGACAAGATAAGTCTTGTGCCGCAGGAATTGGTCGCAATTTTTGGCATCACTCGACCAAATGCTCCGCATCGCCGCCTCGAAGCGTGGGGCATCCTCCTGAGAGATGCTGTACCACTGCTTGGGCGCACCAAAGTGGATATAGTTGATACTGTAGAGGTCGACATCTTCCAGGTGCCAAGCAAATGTGGCCTTCCACATTCCTAGATACAGATAGGCTGTGTTGACACCGGGAACGTTCTGCCCGAGAACATCCAGGAGGTTTGGCAACTTGGCCACATTCCAGCAAGTAGTAGAGTCATCAAAGAGAGAACCAGGCATGTCCGCACCGTACATAGGGTTGTTGTACATGAGCGACTTCCAATATGCAGTCTCAAGTTCTTCACATCTTTCAGCAGTGTAATCTTCATGATCATGGATGCGGTAATCAAACTCCTCGAAAACTGCCTCATCAAGGTGGTCGACGGTACCTCCGCGGTTGTTCTTTCGTCGTGATGTGACAGACTTGGGCTGTCGTCCTTTGGGTTTGGTAGGTGGGAGAGATTCGCCATCACTTAAATCTTCGCACTTGGTCTCAACAGGGTTTGACTCAGGCGATACAGGTGTGGGAGGACCTTCGGACTTGGACTTTTCTGCGTCATCTGCAAGCTCCTCTTTGATCTTGACTTGGTTGGCACGTTTCGGAGGGCGACCGGGTCGGCGCTTCTGACCTTCTGGGCGAGGAGCAGGCTGGGGTCGTGGAGTAGTTGTGGCAACTCGGTTTCCCCGTTCCTGGTTGCGACGTCGTTCTCCACGGCGAGCAGGCGGTTGGTGACTGCTTTCCTCGCAGAGACCTTTCCATTGGGGTAGGTTGTAGGTTCTTTGGCGTTCCATGTTGGCTTGGGTGTAGGTGCCGTGCGATCCATGGAATTCTTGCATAATGGGGTTCTTTACACGAATCGACTTCACTTGCTCGTCCAGCGGCCTTTGGGCGTCGATCCTATGGAGAAGAAGGAGATGAGTACAATCCATCATATCACCTGAAACTATTTGCAAACGTACCATTCCTTGGGAGGAATAACTTTCACAATCCCAGCTTTCATTCCATATTTGTCAATCTTGTTGACATACGATTGGAAATCACGAAATTGATCCATTGTCTTAGCAGGCTTGTCAGTAACGTTGTTCATCAAAGCTTGGAAATGTCCAGGTCATGGGTGTTGTTTGCAGGCCACCCTGGACTTTATACACCGAGCGGGTTCCAGGTAGGAAATCAACTCACCGGCTTGAACACTGGGACTTTTCCACCGCCATAGTAGTGATCGGGCGTGACTTCTTCTTCTGCTTCCGGCTCTTCCAGTTCCTCCATCTTGATCGGAACATCATTCTGTGCGGTCGCTGATTTGGCATCTAGTTCGAGATCTGATAATTCGGAAGGTACCCCTTCAGGTACATCCTTCTTTCCGTTGGCACTCTGTGGGGGTGTGATAGACGCAGAGTTTACCGGAGCGCCGGTGAGCGGGTCGCGATTTGAGTGTTCGAACACCGCCGCCATGGTGGACAGCGAGGAGTTGGTGTTGGGGGAGAGGTAGTTCGGATACGGGGCGCCGTCGTCGGATAGAGCGACCGCTGATCGACGGCGAAAGAGATGGTTCCCAGCGGTCGGGGAAGCGAAAGGGGCGAGCAAGCCGAGGCGCGAAAATGTTTGGGAGATTTCTTCAGAGGTTGGAGAATTCGAGGTTGTTCCGGGGAAGGAGAGCTGAAGAACAGAGGGATGTAGTTGTATGGATTGATGGCGCGATAAGCTCTGTTCGGAGGCTCTTTTTTCCTGGAGCGGGAAAAGGGAAAAATGTTTTAGCTCAGATCGCCAATTAGAACAAGCAAAGGAGGTCCGTGTCCGATGAGGTAAAAAAGACTCTGGGGACCCAGAGAATACAAGACTGGTCGTTACAGCAGAAATCGACAAGTTGCAGACGAGTTCCGCATAAAAGCGACGACGCTAGACTTGGAATGAGCAAATAATACCAGGGTGGGCCAATCATGCAGGCGCCGGAGACGCTTGAGGGTGGACCAGGAGCACGATGGTCTGACACTGGGAGGCAGGGGCAGGACGGGGAATTACACTAGAGGAACTTGGAATGATGGGTGTTGGGTATTGAACGAATCAGAAGTGAATAGGGACCAGCACAGGTGGGCAATGCCCGATCAGACGGGAAAGGTGGACAAAAAAGTGGACTTGTTGGCGCCTTTTTTTTTGGGAGCCGCCAAATCCCAAAAGTGGATGTGTAAGATACAGTTACAACGTACCTGGATTAGATCCGGTTCTCGGATAAATCGAGCATTTCAAATGCTCACAGAATTCGAAGGGGATTGGAAGGGGATCAAATCTCGAAGAGACAAGAGAGCACTTGAGAAGATTGAGCTTGATTGAGAATGATAGAAAACAAAAAAGAAATGGGGGTTTGGTCTAGAACAATAGAAGGAGCGACAGAACGCGATGGCTCTGTCCCATTGCCATTCTGGTCCATTCGGACAAGTAGACCAAGTCACGTGGCTGTCATGTGCATGCGCATGATAGGTCCATGTATATGTATTACTGTATTGGATTTTTATGATTGGCCAGAACCCATATCCAACACCAGCGAATGCGTAACAATTATTGTAAGCAATACTGAAGGGGGCTGTGCGCAGCTCTCGGATACCACCGGGCCCGAGATCATCAAGGGATGAAAAGTAGGCGTGGAAATATGTCATTGCCCAAAGCTTTAATGTCCCCATTGCGTCAGAAATGTCAACTTCAGATGATAAGCACTCACACCTTTTTTATGCTCCCAAACAAGTAGCATGCTATTAAGATCAGTACAACTGGGCACTGATAAATTTAGACCATGAAATAATACAACTAGTTGTCACAGAATGTTCCTCTTATTTAGTATCCGACATCGCTTGTCGATCAAGGTCCGTGTGTACCGTAGATAGATCGACTCGCAGAAGAGTCCACCTCCAAGCTTAGATCCACGCACCTAACAATCTAGCTGGGCCCATTCCTCACGCCATGGTTCCTGGCTTAAGCCTATTTCTAATTAGATGATCGGAAAACAACCTTGGAAGATGCCCGATAGCTTAATTAGCCTATAATTCAATTCACCAGTACGAGAAGAAAGTGAACTGAGTCCCCTTCTTACATTGAATTTTAGACATACATTGGAAGAACTCTGTAATTATTTATCCCGCCGAGGCATTATATTATATACGAAATCTATTTACCATTTACCTCGTTCTCTAATTTACCATCCATGTGGATGTACGGTTCTACCACTTGCAAACCCCGGAGCCTCTCCTGCTCAATCCGCTCCCACGGCCACTCCTCAGAATTCCAAGAATCCGAGTTGGCCTTCTTCTCCTTCTCCAAGGTCTCACCATCATGGATTTGATCCTCGCTGATCTGAAGAACCTCTCGCACCAAAGAGCCATCCACACCTCCAGCAGCGACCGCAATCCCCTCCCCGCTAGCAGGTGTACCAATAGCAGAGGCTTCCACCGACAAATCCACCGGTGCATTTGGGGTCTCAATCTCCGCAGGCCGAGCAGGAAGGAAACCACCAAGACGCAGAATTCGCTCCGGTGCCACGGTCAGTCGACCTTTCTTCACCACATACTTGCTCACGGCGGTGGCCAAAAGTGTCTTCTCTCCACCAGCTTTCTTGGACGGTCGCAGGAATGCCGTGAGGATGTACATCCATTTCTGATCCCATGCGATAACCTTGGACTGCATCTCATACAGCTCAAACGGCTTGATCTCGCGCTTATAGCTGCAGTAAACAGAGCCGAGGACAATCATAATCGGCATCCGTCTTGGGGCCTTCTTTCCTTCCTTCTTGCTCGCAGCGAGAAACTCCTTGTCCAATTCCTTGCTAACAAGACCAACGCCGGGGCTATAGAGACGGCTCACAAGCGCTGTACGCGCCACGTCCAGGTCGGTGAAGTACGTGCTGTTGGACTTGTGTAGGTTATAATCGGTCTCCAGCAATGGAGTTCGTGATGTGACGGTGCATGGCACAAAAACCGGATGTGTCGGATTTCCTTGGGCATCGACGATAGCTTTTCCCTTGGGGAAGAATGGAGCACTGGGCTTCAAGCGCAGATTGCCGAGGAAGTGGTACAATATGCGGAACTGGGAGATGCGGTTAGCACTTGATAGGATGTTACGGCTGCTACGCGAGCCAGATTTTAGTCAAGACCAGGGCCTCAAGGGCGGGGTCAAAGGGTATCCCAGTCATACTAACGTACATGCCAGATGAACGGGAGATTTTTAAGATTGAGGAGGGCCAAGACCAGGGCCAAAGTTCGCCAGGAAGCGACGGATGCCGCGGCCGATGCGAGGTTCCGCATGGTTTCGGTTTGAAGCACTTCTGGTATCACAAACATTGCGAGGTCAGTATGGGGTGAAAGGAGTGAATGTTGGCAAGAGCCGGGGTCAATGGGGTCAATGGTTCACCGTTCGTGTCGTACAGAAGTGTGGATCGCTGCTGCGATAAGCGATAAGCGATCCCAACCCTTACTCGAGAGTTGAGAGGCAAGGCCCGCTCACGTTGCTAACTGTTGGGTCAACGTGCTTAGGGGAGGATTGCCTAGGATAAAAATCCCTGCTTTAGTCTAAGGTTAATCAGGGGCACTAGGGCTTTTATAGAAGTATTAGGGAACGGCATAGCAAATGACGAAATGGTTCGTGACAATCTTACACAGCCGATCACTTCAGCTGCCAGGCGCGCCGCCTGGTGATCACCAAATACACATGGCCAGCCTCGGCCCAAACATCTGCACGTGATGCTCATACCGATCGAGCAGATGTCCCCAGTTCAACCTTGTAATCATTTGATTTTCTAGTTTATTCTCGAGATGAATATAAAAGTGTTTCTCAAAACCTCGGAAAGATGAAACTTGCTAAGGTTTGGACTATTTTGAGACCCCTGGGCGCCATCAGCTACAAAGATTGATTGCCCAGGCGAAGCCCTCAAGCATGATATGTCATCGATTGATGTATGTTCTAGGTACTAGTAAAGGAGTAAATTGATTCCGAAACTATTGGAAGTTTTTGAGCAGATGCCATCGATTGATCAGTTGCAAGTAATATCGGTGTCTCCGAGGCCGACACAAGATTAAATCATATTGATGTAGATGGATACTACTAGTTTATTTTTTATTGAGCAGACATCATTCCTCCTTCGGCCTTGTTCACTGCACAGCTTCCAAGCCATACAAATCTCCGCAAAAAGCTCCCAGTTTCTTGGATTCTAGTACTTTCGCTGACCGTCAAATTGGTCGAAGGCAGGTTTCGTATCAGGTTCGCTGCAGAGATCAAAAGCTCCAGATCTTGCTGCGCTTGGCTATCAAGAGGATGAATCAAAATGTTGAGAAAGAGGGAGGTGGCAGCAGTTGTAGAGTATGCTGTGATAAATCTATATTCCAGATTATTATTATGACTGAGATGACAATTGAAACAGGATGTAAGTTCAGACTGACCGATATGCATCCTCTGCAATTGTGTTAATGAGAGACCGTAAGCACCAGAACGTCGACCTGCTGGCTTCCAAGCATAGGTCAAAGCTTGAATGGACCACATCATGAAAACCTCGGATCCCATCACTTGATTCGAGAGTGCATCTTCTCATAGCTGTGTGAAGGACAGTCACGAGATGGTGATAGTCTAATTGGAGAGATAAGCGTCGAACATAATATGGGATGTCTTCTTCAGCTGGGCTCGGCAGAGGCAGCTGAAACACGGACTGGGCTGGGAGGAAGCTAGCGGGTATGGATAATCGCCAGTGCTCAATTTGATCATCTAGCTCCAGCACGTGCTCCAAAAGCTGGTAATCCTTGTCTGACATTGCTCTGGCGGATAAGAGATGTAAGTATACTTCCTCTTTCAAATGACTGAGATGAAGGTCTCCTGGCAAGAGGGGTGCCGTATTTTCGCCGGTTTCGTTGGCCGTGGAAAATTCAGAGAAGCTTGGAAGGTAGTTGTGATAGTCGATGAAGTTATCAAGAGGTTTAAGATCGCAATGGATATCAACGAGGAGAGGAGGGTCCCCTGTGCGTAAAACAATATCCTTGTCAAGCATGTAGCATAGACAAAAGAGTACACGAATGTGGTGACTGTCTCTTGCCCCTGCAAAAGAGCTCTCAGCCGTGCTTGTTTGTCCCATACGCCCTTTTAGAGAGCAGACGATACAACATGCAATAGAATGAAAGAAGGCGGCATCTTTCCAGTGACCATGGAATGTAGATTGTAGTCCCTAGTAAATCATGTTAGCTATCGGAGCTGCCATTGGAATAGATATACTAGGTAACATATTTATCATGCTACTTACCAACAACAAAGCCGTTTGAAGAGTATCTAGATCCACATGTCCTGTGATGGATAGAAGGAGACGATGTGCCTCGGCCGCACACAACTCCATTTGCACAGTACCTGATATGTGCCTCATTGTCTTTTGATAGCATCCAAAGGAGAAGGCACTTAAAACACATGCCCTTGCTGAAATGCGGTCAGGAGAGACCAGATTATCATCTGTAGGCCCATATGCGGTCTCTATTGTTTTCTCAAACAAAATCCGGTCTAGAACAGGGAACTCAAGCGCAAATGGAGACCAGAAAAAAGCATCGAAGAATCTTCGAGTAAGGTGTTGCTCTGGCAATTCGCACAAGTTTTGAGAGATTGATGGCTGAAGTGCGGAAAAGACAGGAACTCCGTGTTCAGGGATATCAAACACATTTCCCGTCACAGGCTGGCCAGTCTTGCCTGATATCCATTGAAATCCTGCTTCCGAGGCAACAGGCATCCCGTTGAAATACCAGTTAGGTCTGAATTGAGTTGCAAGGACTGAATGTCTTGCAATCTGATCGCTTGTGGAGTAACTCTGGTAACTTGTCTGTGGTTGAGACATAGACGGAAAATGGCGTTCAGAAAGGCCAATCAATCCTTCTTCTGTTACAGCCCGTGGAGAGTTTCCCGATGAAATAACATCTGATGCCGCGCTTTCGGATTCAGACGAAGCATCAGGGCCGGAGTCAAGCTTGCGTTTATCAGAAACAGGAGGTGGGATTGAAGCAGGTTCACGCCGAAGCATGCTTTTCCTGAGTCTGTACCGACGCTTAACACCTTGTGTCCAAATTTTGCAAAAGGTAGGCATAATTAGATCGCGATACTCTGGGATATTAGGCCATAGAGCTTTAGCCTTGTTTCGGATAAGATCTGAGTCTCGCAATTTATTAGTAAGATCATCAAACCACTCAAAAAGCCTTTGTTCCAATAGTGGCCATTGTTGATGCGAGACCCGCTTCCTACGTACTGGATTTCCACTCCCAACTCTTGACTTTCCACTTCCGGATTAGTGCTCAGTCCTTGCCGCTTTTTGCTCACTGAGTAAAACTGAGCACGGCCCTGAGCGCCCTGACCCGATCAGTGAGCATTACATCAGCGCCCCGATCTGCTCACTGAGCATCACCTGATACTCACCTGAGCGGTCTGATCCACTCACTGATCCTGATCTGAGCGCCCTGATTTGCTCACTGAATCTGAGCTGAGCCTGGGGGTGAGCGGCCTGAGTAAGCTACATCAATAAAATTCAACACACTAGTACTATCACGTGTAGCCCTCCTCTTTAGATTGCCCTCATCGTCCCCATCACAAAAGGCCTGGCATCAGCAATGTAGCCATCCATCCTGGTGATCTGGCAGCACTTAATTGCGCCACGATGGAGTCTGCTATTTGATCACCCAATCAGCAATGCCTCATATGCTACATGCTCCTAGGAACACTTTGTCTACTGGTCCCACTATCTCCTTTGGGACTACTGGTGCCAGAAATGTGGATGAGTCTGCCCTCAGATTTGTAGTTTGCTACAGTACGGGTAGAGATTACCGGAGAAATATTCTACGGAATGATGTGACAAGTCGCTCCTCTTGGCAATAAGCTCATGCTTCTATGGGCAATCGTCATCTCCTTGTGAAGCTTCAAAAATTTTGCTCCTGGGAGCCGGCCGCATATTTCAGATAGCTAGCCAGACCCAAAATAGTCATTAGACGTGCGTACACAAGTTTTTGGGGCCTACTGCTACAGTGTTGCTAATAGTTACCCGGGTTCCCAGGAACTCGGGCCATTCACCAAACCCTAAAATAACCGACTGCCTGACGTGCCAGAGATAAAAGGTGTTACTCGAAATGGGATATATAGTTGATTTTTCGTTCCTTCCATAAAAACGTTATATTCACCCCTCTTTTTTTTCTCGGTAATCTGTCCAATTCTAAGCCCACACTCTGCTAATACAGTGAGTTCTCTCGGATTTTCTGGATTTGAGAAATGCCAACTAATCCTGATTCTAGTCTGCTTGCTTACAATGACCGAACCAACAAGCAACAATAAGTTCACTGCGCAATGCGCAAAAGCGGCGCGGTGCAGCGTCACCGCCCTTCTGAAAAAAATCAAAACAGCGGAGGTTACAACTGAGGCTGTCAAGGAGCTTTCTCATCTACTATATTCCATCGACAAGGCACTGGACAGGGCTGTATCGTTGTTTGACCAGCCACAGTCATGCATATTCAAACTCGGAGATCAACATCACCTCCGCATGGCAATTTGGAGCAACCAAGGTGCTTGTGAAAGATATCAGGACATTTTCACAAAGTGGACAAGTCACTCCAATGACGACACTCTGCGCGATTCGGAATGGAATTCCTTTGATATCTTCAAAGATATAGAATCGCGGCTTTTGAGTGAAAGGCTACGACTCTTCAAAGTTACCATAGATAAGGCGGTGCAAACCTCCGCATTGTATGTTGATCCTGAATCCCCTATTCTTCCAATTGCCAGCTCACTAGGGTAATTTTCCAGACTTCTACCTTTTCCGCCTCGGAAAACATATCCGATGACGAGTGGAACTCGATACTGGTGAAAGAAAGCTCCCTGCCCTCGGCCATTATCGAAGCGAACAAAAGTCATCAAGCACATCAGCTCATAGAAAGGGCTGCAGAGCGCATTATTTGCGAAATCAAAGGACATGGCATTGCAATGCAATACCATCGAAATTTTCTTGATGGACTTGTGGTTGAGTTTCACCAGCTATGATGGGGGCAAAGAACTGATTCATGGAACCAAGATCAGCTTTTCCCAAATGCTGTTAGTGAATTGCCCGATGAAAGCTAACTTTCCTGTCAGATTGGGGTTTTTTGTAGGAACGGAACCGTGATAGCTAGGCCTCAGAGCATATCTGATGATTTCGACCTTCATCCGCTCCTATGGTTCATCTCGAACTCGTTTCAAAGATAGCTGACCAAATATGGTGGTGATTCAACCAATGGTGCCTAGCAAGTATTCAATATAGTTAGTGGAGTTCTTCATGCATGTTAACATTATGTTAAAGCAGCCAGATGGGCTCTCAAGATTAATGTACAAGCTGGAATGAGTCTGCCTCTGTGCATCATGTTTCTGGCAGAGAGCTTCTTGTCAAGAACAGTTTCCAGTATAGCTAGATCCATCGCCCCTTGTCCACCTCAGCAGATCTTATTCTCATATAGGGGCTCCTCAGCCCCCCTTGGCAAGTTGGCATGCTAGCTTTGATGTTCCAAGCCTTGTCAAAGACTAGACACTGTAGAACGATTTTAGGCCTCCTTTAGATATAATATTGGATATTCGACCAACTATTTAATCGGTAATATTTTACATCTGTTTCGGGAGCGTAATGAGGCCTTCCCGTATGTAAAGTAATTTACAAACCTAGTATATTTCCTGGCACCGCCACGATATATTACGCTAAGCCACAGCTCCAATAATTTACAAAAGGTGAAGGTAAGTTCGAAACACGTATAGTTTTGTCATGGAATATCTTACCGTTGATTTCTTGGTTGGCTTGAATTACTAATTAATCTAATTCAGTAATCCCTGCTATGTATTCGATGATGAATATATCGAGCGTTAATACGGTACAGTACATAAAACTGATTCTATAATTGAGCAAGTGGGATAAATTGGGAGAGTGATGAATTTTGAGTGATGAATTTTGAGTGATGAATTTTGAGTGATGAATTTTGAGTGATGAATTTTGAGTGATGAATTTTGAGTGATGAATTTTGAGTGATGAATTTTGAGTGATGAATTTTCAGTGATGAATTTTGAGGGTGATGAATATTGAATCTAATGCGCAAGTTTCTCTAGTCTGAACCATTTGATTCGCACATCATCACTTCCAATAAGCTGGAAATTAAGGCGACGAGAAGGTGGTGACAGGCCAACAAAACACAACAAACAAATTCAGTAATACGGGTTCGAACACGGAACTGATAATACAGGATGGATCGAAATTAGTTTCACCACTTGCACACAGAAATTATTTCTCGAACCCTCTTTCGACACATACTACACCTAATAGAGTTAGTCTTTCCCTGAAGTCCTGTCTTGGCAGTAACATAAGACAGCTGTAAATAACAGCATAAAATTATCCTCTGTATTTCGCTTGTATGGCTTTCGGGGTTTCTATAATATCGAGCCCGCAAACAAGGAAAACAATGAAAACAAAAGGGAGAACTTCCTAACCAGGCTACATATTAGGCCAGACTTCAGTTTGACCACTCTCATGAAAACACGCTTTCAGTCATCTAGCTCTGACCTCTTTTCTTCGCAGTCTTCCGGATCTAAAAGCAGAAAAGATGTTCTGCATTTGGTTATTAAGGTGGAATTCGAATCTAGCGATAAGTGCAGAAGACAATCTTCTGCATGACGTATTGTGCAAGTGTTTTAGCTTTGACACGTGATATCTCTTCAACAAGCAAGTTAACAACATGTTGAGCATGTGAGGAAATTCCGCCAGTTTGATACACATGATTTAGAATAGGCACCAGGCACTATTTGATGCGAGCATTTCAGCAGTTCAGTGCCATGAAGTTACGCAAGCATGTTTTTCCGGTCCGCCTCATTTCTTTCCTGCTGGCTGCGCTGGGCCCGCTCAGCTTTTTTCCGGCCAGCTTCATCTCTTTCCTGCTGGCTGCGCTGGGCCCGCTCAGCTTTTTTCCGGCCAGCTTCATCTCTTTCCTGCTGGCTGCGCTGGGCCCGCTCAGCTTTTTTCCGGCCAGCTTCATCTCTTTCCTGCTGGCTGCGCTGGGCCCGCTCGGCTTTTTTCCGGTCCGCCTCATTTCTTTCCTGTTGATTTCTCTGTTCTCTTTCAATCTTCCTTTGTTGGGATTCCTCCGTCTGTTGACATAACTTTGCCCGGCGAACCGCTTTCTGAGTCTGTGAAACCTCAATGTCCTCGGCCATTCTCGTAATATTCGCCAATTTTCTTTCCATTGCGGAATTCTGAAGATCCCGCATACGTCGGATATTCGCCGTTTTTCCTTCTGAGAGCGCATGAGTCTGCATATTTCCCTCGCCGTACTGTTGGAATGTTGCTCGGCGAGGAGCTACTTGTGGCAGGGAAGGGCTTCGGACATCCCAGAATGTCTGAATGGATTGGTCCAACTTGCAACGAGAAAAAGAGTCAGCAAAACTGGTACTGCGAGACAGCAGAGATAATCAAACATACTAATCCACCAAAATCCTTTCGAAATTCTGTCCCACCAAGACGATTCAAAGTTGCCAACACACTTTTTGCACTTGTTGCGTACTTAGCGATAGTAGTTGCATTCACGGGGGCTCGGTGCACAGCACAATGTCGGATTTGACGAATTCTATGCAAATCAGAGCAGAAGGATTCACGTTCATTTCCTGTTATGCCACAAGATTGGAAGAGCTTCTTATGGTGGAAACAAAAATATTCGATGGCTTTTTCCGAAAGCTGACTCAGTTCGGCCGCCTCGGGGCAGGACCAGTGGCATTCGTGGGCTAAGGCTGGAGCTGCTGAGCGTAAAATGTGATACAAAAAGAACTCCAGCTGCTTCTGCCACCGACAAAGAAGACTGTGTCTTCCGACAAAGCTTAAATAACGTTAGATGCGGCGAGACGTATCGCATGGAGCTTGAGAGACTTACCTTTCATCTGAAGCACTGCTTTCTGCCGAGCCTTGATCTAAGTGGCTCATCTTGATACACGCAAAGTACTGAATTGTCTGAACCTCCAGTTATTTCGCATAGTATGTAAATAGTCTAAACCTCCGGTTATACAGCAAAGTTTGTGAAGTATGAGCGGCCTTTCCTGGAAACTAATATATGCCTAGATATTAAGCGCCACTCAACAACGAGTATGACGTTAAGACTTCGGTTGAGATTAGCAATGCTTGAAACGAAATTCGTCACTACACTGATACTGTTCAGCTTGAGCCTTATCGGTGACATCATTTACTTGCGGACAAGTTTTAAACTTTTACTATCATTGTGAGTTCGAAAGATGTGATTCACCTTAAAAGAAAGTTACTGTAGTAGAGATACCAGCATCTACTTACTTATTCGAGCTGACGAATGTCCCAGCTGACTAGAATGCACACTTCCAGACAGATCATTGTTTACTTCGCCTTAGGACAATTATAGTATCTTGGTTAGTATATTATCACGTGATATACCTTTCAATACGATACAATATTTGTGACAGGGCTAGGTCAGAAATAGGACTAGTGCGTTTCGGACTAGGGTTCGAGAAAGATTTTATGAGAGCAAGGTGGTGAAACTGATTTCGATCCATCCTGTAAAGAGAAGGGCCACGAAAGGCCGTGACGAGGCTCTAAGTTTCTGTCAAGAAGTGGATCATTCTACATGTACATAACCAAGATATATAGTTGTCGTATCCTGCATATCGTTCGCGAGGGGTCGGGGTAAATGAAATTACTACTACTACTACTACTACTACTACTACTACTACTACTCCTGTAAAGAGAAGATGGGAATGTGATCGATGGATTTGGGGTTGGGGAAGGAAGAAGGAAAGAAATTGTCCAATGTAACATGACACAGAATCATAGAACCCAGATCGAATCACCGTGGTTTCCCTTCCAGCAGCCTATGATTATAAATATGGCTCCCGCTCTGCCTGCCACATAGATGCATAAAGACCACCTAGATCCACGAGTTCGCCATGAGTGCCTCTTTCCACTATTTTACCTCGATTCAAAACAAGAATGCAGTGTGCCCCCATAATGGTTTTGAGTCTATGTGTGATTATCATTGTGGTCTGGTGACAATCGGTTTCGGTGAGAGAATTTTGAACATATCTTTCGGTCACAGGGTCGAGTGCGGATGTTGCCTCATCCAACAATCGGATATTCTTGCCTCTCAAACCGCTTAAAAATAGCCGGGCCAGTGCCAGACGCTGCCTCTCACCTCCGCTGAAATTTTTGCCATGAGGACCAGCCATGGCTTTGTAGCCTCCCGGTAATTTGTTGATCTTTTCAAGAATTGTAGCATACCGGCAGGCCTCCGTCACCTCTTCATTGCTAGCTCCAGCATTACCTAAAGTCATGTTGTCCCAGATAGACTGGTTTAACAATGGAGGATCTTGCGACACCACGGCAATGTGCTTTCGAAAGTCATGATCCATGATGTCATGCCCATCGATGGTAATCCTCCCTTGGAATTTGAGAAATCCACAGAGGAGATCAAATATCGTGGATTTACCACCGCCAGATTCTCCCACCAGGGCTGTGGTGGTCCCCGGTTCGCAATCGAATGTGAGCCCTTCGAGGATGCACTGTTTATCCCGATGGTATGTGACATTCTCAAACTTGATACTGCCGGTACATATGCCTGATGGGACATCGACGCGCCTGTCGACCACCGTTGGTTCGGCTCGAAGAATTTCCAACATGCGCTCGGCATTGATTAGAGCAGTCTGGAAAGAGTCATAGAGCCGTGCGAAGGAGTTCAGTGGAATCAGGAGCTGTGATACATACGTAATCACTTGCATGAACTCGCCCACAGATCGCAGGCTAATAGAGAACTGATACAAGGCAATATAGCATGTGAAGGCAAACAAAGCTGACAAAACGCTGCTTTGAAGGGTATTCTGCACCATTCCAAGAATCTTTGTAGCTGACTGAGATATCTTAGTATGCCTCAAAGCGCGGCGATATCGGCCAATTTCTCGTTGTTCCCCATTGCATTGCTTGATATGCTTATATGAACCAATCAATTCGGCCCTAGATATATGCATGTTAGATTTTCTATCTCAAAGGCCCTCGGCAGCGTACTGTAAGCTCACTTTATGTTTTCTTCCTCCTTTGTGGCCCTCGTCGTCCGTCTCTTGGGTTCTGCTTTCCATTGGGTCATGCGCGCAATGACAGAAAAGAAGACAACAGAGAATACTCCAACAATGAGGGCAAAATAGGCATCAAAAGCAGCCAGGAAGTAGCCACTTGCGAACACCAAGTTTAGTATTGCCGGAAGGAATTCGAACAAAATTTGTTCAAGGAACTCCGTGATGGATTTGCCTTTGTTCAAAGCTGATGCGACTTCACCCGTCTTTCTGGTCTGATGCCACTCCAAGTCGAGAGAATAGACGTGTACCAACCCTGTTATCGAAAGTTGCTGATAAATGTACATGCTCATTGGTATCCAGAGAGCGGAACGCAGAATGTTCAAGAAATCCGGTAGGTAACAATAAAAAGCAAATAGTGAGACCTCAAGCCATGGAACCCTTATGATCTCTACCCCTTCTTGGGTTTTCAAAGCCGTAGTAATAGCCCCAAGCTGATAATTGGATAACGCTTTGACCCCTATCTGGAGCACAACAAGGAAGGTACAGGCCGCCACCACAGATTGAAGACGGTATGACTTGGATGGCCACATGCACGGCCAAAAAGGTGAGTAAAGGCTTAGATACTCCCACAAACTGCCATTCTTTGCAACACGGCTGTGACTATTTGAGTTTCCAATCTCCGATTCGGGAATCAGAAGCCAAGCGGTCTCTAAATCATTTGATCTTGTAAAGGAGAAGCACTTGCAAGTGTATAGTAGAGCTAAAGCAAGCAGAAGCAGAATTCGAAGGCCATTGAAGGCCACTTCGATAAGTTCCCAGGTGGTGACACCCCAACGAACCGGACCACCGTGCGAATTTCCGATGGCTGGCTCAAAATGGACTGAGGTATAACGCGACAAAGAGGTACCCAAAATACCGAGTTCGATGGGTAGGGCAGCAATCCAACACGTGAAGACAGTTATAGATGGTGATTTAGCATCGAGCAGAGTCATCAAGACCATTGTGTAGAAGAAAACGGAGCAAACGAGGTAGATCTATTATCCTTAGTTTAAATGCGAGTAGGGGTTACCATATCTGCTAAAGACATACCGCCATGGACTCTCCGCCCCACCAATGCTCCGACCAGGCTACTTTGACATGTATGATATATGTCAACGTATCCACAGTGTATGTCATGAGAACACCACTTGAGAGCCACAAGAAGTACATATTGACGGATATCGAATTCCTGTTTTGTCGGTGACATGAATTTATGTCTGGGCCCGAGCCGGTGTCTTTCCTCTGTTCCTTCCTCACGGCAACCACAGTTTCGACCACGGAGACGCAGATGAAGAGTAATATAAGGAGGACGGGGTATAAAGTGCGCAGGGGCTCGAGCAAGTCGTGATCTGGCTGGTGCTCCATGGTGACTGCCTCATTGACGTGAAGGGATTCGAACAGATGCACGGTTGTAGATTGATGCGACTTAAGAGCTCTCAAGAGGAGATGAATCAAGTCTTCAGTAGAAACCCAAAGATGCAGAATCCTGGGCGAACTATTGGGATCCCCAAAAATCCAATTCAAAGTAGAATGGGGGAAGCCTAACCAAAGATAAACAGGCCGAAGAGGCAGAAAGAATAAGTTGAACCCGAACGATCGATCAACAGCAAGGCTTTGAGTTTTTAAGGCGCTTGCTCGGTTTGCTTTGACCCTGGCTGGGTCAGACTCAGGGTTGTGATTACTGGCTCGAAAAGGGGCTAGATGCGTACTACCAGGATACCGCCAATTAAACCCCACTCGATCTTTAAAATGGGATAAGATGCGCGATTTTCTCACTATCGATCAAGCGCCAGGCTCGCACTCAGTGTAGCCAATAGCTTGTCCAAACACACCGAAAACTTGGCTCGACTCAGAGACTGCATAGGACATGCAGTAAGTGGAGCCATCAACTAGCCATCAGCTGGACAATTGAACTTCGCTAACAACTGCATGCACTAGTCTTAGACTGCGCTCGTTCCTCCAACGATCACGAACTATGTGACACCCATGAGTCTAGAACATCTATGGAGAGCGGAGGGAAACATAAGAGGGAGGGAGAGTGAGAGGGAATGGAATAGAGGGGAGCCAGGGAGGTTGGAGGGAAGCGGTGGAGGGAGATTGGAGGGAAGTTTAGGAGAGAAAAGACCCATGAAACCGGTTTGTTGGGCAGCCAATGCTATGGCTACCTCCTGGGATTTGCGCACAAATGTTCTCCACGCGTTTGTAGCATATTGTAGGATTTGAAAGCGGGGCAACAAGGCATTCTTCTCGGCGTTCCGAATAAGCCGTGCTTATTCTGGGTTTGATTGAAAGCCACGCAAACAGCGATGGGAGGCCATGAAACCGAGAATAGATAGCTTCTCGTCTTAGCCATGTTGTACGTTACATTGTCTAGATCTATTTGACAGAAGAACTAAAAAGGACAAGGAAGTGGTCTTCGCATACCAGCCCTCAACAAACTATATAATACAAAAACGCTGGCGAAGGGAGTCCATGTGTATAATAAAAATATGCGGCTGAGAAGGTAGCAAGATTCCAAGGAAGACTTGGAAGGCTAGAGCCCCTTGTCGCAACTCCTTTTGAGGCTAGTAGGCCGTATCAGACTGCATGAACCTGATTAATCTATACTACTGAATTTTCGAATTCTTTTATTTGGAAAACGAGAAATTTATTCCAATTTTTGGGCTTGAAAATGTGCATGATTAATGGAATCTTCATCAACATCACCAGGCCGGTCAATGAACCAGCCGTCTACCATCCACCGCAACTAGCACCAGTATCTTTTCCTGCTACTCACAAGCAAGCTTTGGCTTGATCCATTCGTTCACTTCTGCGACGGCAGATGCAGGATCTGTTCGATACTTTAAAAGATAATTTTCAATCTCAGCAGGGCTGAATCTCCTGCCGGGAACGTACCGCGCAAACTCGGCAGAAAGCGAATGTAGTATATCTGTCTCATGATGGATATTTCCGGTCCTCTGATCTTGATCGCTATCGCCCAAAGGATTGCATGGCGTGTAGAAGGCAAAGAAAAGCTTTTGGACAGACAGGGTACTAGCAAGTTCAAATTCGACTTCAATGTCCACGCGACCTGGGCGAGTCAAAGCTTGATCAAGCCTGTCCCTGTGGTTCGTAGTCATGATAAGAATACGACCTGGCTTGGCACACACGCCGTCTATGCAATTGAGCAAAGCTGAGAGACTGATCAACCTCTGACCCAAAGGATAATCATCATCATGAACTGACAAGAGCTGCTCATCGCTTATTTCAACCTGATTGGCATTCACATCGTTGGGGCGTTTTCGTAAACCGGCCGAGTCAATATCCTCAAAAAGGAGCACACATCGTGTTGGGAGGTCCTGAAGGAGTAGCGCTAACCCATCTTCATCCAGAGAATTCAGGCTGAGCGTATAGATGTCCAGCCCCAGAAAAGTAGCCATTGCAACACACAGGCTCGTTTTACCCGTGCCCGGAGGGCCATGGAAAAGGTAGCCTCGTCGGTAATTTATATTATGGTTCTTATACCACTGGCTTGTATCTGGATGGAGGAATTTTTTGGCATCTTCAAAAACCTCTTTTTTCTCGGTATCAAGTACCACGCTGTCCATGAGTCGACAGACATTGCTTGACATGGGGACCCATTTATAAGACCCCTGCCGTTTCATCCCTTGAAAGACGTTGATTTCGCTGCTCTTATTCTGGAGACTTTGCATCTGAATCTCTTCGAGGAGCGTTTTCAACAAACCCTGATTCCATGGAGCAGTATAAATTGCGATATTCTCCATAAAGGCGTAGAAGGAATCGTTGTTAGATGTTGCGAATGATTTTCGACAGAGGGCAAATATACGACCGCAGTGCCAAAAGAAAAAAAAATCATCTTTCTTTGGCGTGAACTGGATGGGTTTTCTCTTGTTCCAGTATCGAAGGCGGTGCCAGAATCTCTGATCATTAGGGCTGGCGTCTGGTCGACTATCGTCCCCCAATTGGCCCTTTTCTTGCTCTTCTTTGTCCTCCTCAAATTTCAGGCTGCGAAATGGTGAATTATAGCTCGTCTTTGTCCCAGCGATGGAGCATCTCGTTTGGTTCAATTGATCATGCCCGGCTATCCATGCCATAGCTAGGTCATACAGTGGATCCTGATACATGATATCCACTGAGGCAGCATAATGCAGAACCAAATTTTGGAATTGGTGAAACAACTTTGGCAGTATAAAGGCGAACGTCCAAAAAATCGCTATTGTGACGATATAGAACGAATAGGCGGAGAGATCAATTTGAAGATAAAATGAAACAAGTCGTGACAAGGGACCAAAGCCAGGTAAAAGCATGTCAAGTAATGTCTCGTTTGACAAGCTCGCAGAATTGTTCGAAGGCATTTTTCACGGTCAGAAAAGCGCAAAGGCTCAGGGGCAGACTTTGAAATGTGAAGATACGAATGAAGACCATGAGCTCTGAAGGACTTATATACATTTTCCACGTAAGGTGGCCCCAGTATATTACACCCCAAATGGAGAAAAGAATTCCACCTTCAGGGGCACCTTGTCAGAATTGCATTCTCAAAAATCTTCTGGAAACTAGCCCAATTCCTGCTAGCCCAATTGGGACTATGATTAAAGGCTCGAGCGTAATATACTTATATTCTGAGAGAAAATATTCAATATACAACGAATAGTAGGCATCGCCGCTTCCAGGCTGCTTGATCGGGCACTGGAGCCTGCCAGCCCCACCGGACAGAGTTCCAGCCATGCATGCTGCGCTGCAACTGCCATAAGCCAGATGACCAGCATGAATACGACTTGTATTTTGACCCTTCCCACTCAACCCAACTCCAAGAACTCGTTCACAAGGTTTGTGCACAGCCTTGTTTTTCATCCGTGTGATATTTCTGCCTATAATTTGGAAATTTGGCACCCGCGTCGACAAAAGCCACCTCCTATACTAGTCCCGTCATACTTTCTACCTTCTTATTTCAGCCCCAATGTAACAAGATTTTTCAATCTAGACTTCCCCTGAATACTTGGGCTTGAAAGTATTGAAAATTGGCTTAGTGGACCTTTTTAAACGTACGATGTACTCAGGGCTTAGTCCAGGACAAGCATGTCATAAGGAGTACCTACAAATGGCATTGACATAGATGACGGTGTTCTAGTAAAATAGGCGGGACCGACACAGTGCGTACAAACAGCCTGATGACCACAAAAGGTGAAGGGAATCTAACCGGTTTCTGTGACCCACTTGTGACAGTAATCTGGTTCGGACACGACATTGACGGGCTAAGAGGTATTCAAGAGAGCCGTGCAGATAGGTGTGATGGGTCAAAGAGATCCGCATGAAGAAGGAAGTAGTCCCACCAATGAAGCCGGTGTTGATAAGTCATTTTCTTGACCTGTGCTTGAGTCCCAAGACGCTGTATAGTGCATGTTCTAGACTCATGGGCGCGTCATAGTACGAGATCGTCGGAGGTATGCTCGGGATGTAAGGAAAGTGCATGCAGGTCCGACATGGCGGAAAACGAGTCTACCTTACTTTCTCCATATCTCCCCTCTCTTGACTTGGTTTTTGAATCTTAGACACAGCCTTTGATTGGAAGTTTAAATGTATAGAGAAGCTTCTTTGTAGCGCGAAGGAGTGCTTTCATCGGAGGTTACCTATTGGTGCGTTAATACGGTCGAATTTGCATTGAAGAGATGATATAGCTAGCTTGTGCAAGGATCATCAGGGCTCCATAATCTGTTTCCCAAGAGCGGGCAAGCTCCGGTAACTATAGAAGCCTTTCAAGCTTGCGCAATTTGATTATATCGAATGTGATGGGCTTGCATTGGTCTCAAAAGAACCGGCGAATAAGGAGAAGTGGAGTTTTCTGCCCAATGATTGAAGGAGATCAGAGCAGTCAGCCCCTGTTCCGCACGTCTGGCTATTTCCGGCACTTGTATTCAATGTCACAACAGCCATTGGTAAAAAAGAGTTCATGCGCATAGAATGGCGCATGTTAATTGGTGACCGCAAGCAGCCCCACTGATAGTTCCTAGTGAATCAAGCTAAACCACTTGCCCGTCGGAAGCTCCCTTTTGGGTTTAGCGACGCGATCGGCGAACCTTGTTGTATTACACGATCTTTCAAAACACCATGTCACAAAACCAGGTGGGGCTCGTTGCTCCTACCAATAAAGACGCTAGGTACCATGCGCACGCACCCTTTCTTACCAATGGCCGTCGTAATGCTAAAAACGGGTACCTGGGGCTGCCAAGCGTGCGCAGCAGGAGCTCGCCGTTCTCAATATCTGTCGGTACGAGGAAGTTGAGTTATTGGCCGGCAACGATTGGACCAACGTTAAGTCACAAACAGCAGAGGAAGGCCCACTTTTTTCCCTCGCCATTTTAAACGGCCCTTCCCAGTTAAGACTGTCAGATTTGATTCAGCTGCTGCCACGGTGCTTGCATCTACGGCTGGATCCCTTAAAATTGCCAGAATGGACGATCAAGCTTCTTTCCCCTTCAACATGCAGGGCACGCGCCCACGCCTGTCTGTTCGACGCGCCCGGGACCCCCCAAGAACTCCGAGAGTCAGATTTACTGCGATCACCCAGATTGTCAAGCTGAACCTGCTACTTTCCATCGTCCTTGTGACTGGCAGTGATTACTCCGCAACCCCTAAAATTTGTTATCATATGCGCAGACCTCCAGATGCCAAAGTGACCTTGACTTAGAACCGCAAGCGGCTCAAAGCTCAAAAAACATAAATTGGGCCAGCCATATGGAATATTGGGCCTCAGTTAAGCAAGATTGCTGGTCTTGTATGTAGGCTTAAAATCTATGAAATGAACCTTGTTTGTTTATTCATCGGAATGCGGATTTGGGCGTCTTGTTATTCTTATCGGCAGAACAATAATTTTGGAGAATGTTCCTTTCCGCCAAGACCGATCTTGTCACGTGTTATGACATTTATATACGTTGTCCCTTTCGACAAATCCATCCATTCCCTTGATTGTTGCAAGTCATTTTCCATTCATTTTCCAATAAAAAGAGCTTCAAATTGTCGGCTGCACTATGGATTTGGCCCCTTGCAATGAAGATCGTGAAGATGAACTTCAGCTTTCCTCTCCACAATTAGGCCTCGCAACAAACGAAGCCCGAAATTACTGGTATTCGCTCGCCGATGATGCCAGGGCACATTTACATAACGTCAACCTTCTTGAGATGGTCTCGCCACAAGATATACTATGCAAAGTTCCGGCTTTTCCCGCCAGCCCCCTCGCACTTCAGGAGGTGCTTCTCTCGGAATCCGGCTCTAAGGCGATTATAGCTATGGCGTCATCCACCATGCGTCCCACCGAGACAGACAAATGCAATACCCGAGACACAACAAAAGAAGTCCAATCAGCATTGTTGGTTGGCATACAATCTCCCATTTCCTGCCATTTCACCGGCACCTGCTTTGAACAAAAATTTGGGGTGCAGGGAGGTGATGGCCGCAAGCTTCCAAATTTCACTGGTATCATCTCGCTTGCTTGGGCTTATATCCTCTCAAGCCGCCTAGTTGAATCTCAGCAGCAACAAGGCGCGGATATTTCTTATACCTCCTCGACCGCGATATGGCAGCATCATGATATAGAAGATATGACCGCCGTTGAAATTGAGATTGGTGAGGTCGATGAGAGTACTGCCCGGTGGTGGGCGGCTATCCTAGCCCCTAGACAAGGATGGAGAACTTTTCTTTTGAAGAAGGAAGATGAGGCTTACTATTCACCTTGGTCACTTTCTCTGGATAAAGGTCCAGAGTTCAGAGTTGTTTGGCACGACAATAGAACCCATTGCCCAATTTCTGCTGTCTCACCACCATCGTCGCAAACTGCCATGAGACTTCTCGCTCAATTTTGCTTACTGCATGGTCTACGTGAGCAATATCATGCCGCATTCTTTGCGGCCTTGACATTTCCCACGCACAAACACCTCGAGATGGCTGTTGAACTGCCATTGCCTGTAGTGACTCAGATTCACTTGGCTCGCGCTCTGGACACGTACCAAGTCAATGAATTCCTCTCTTTGAGCAAAGACATTCCTTCTTTTATGGCCCTCAGTTGCAACCACAGTGTTGTGATGTCCAGTCTGTGTGGCTCATTTTGGGAGCCCAATATCCCATGCAGCCATGTTAGTCCATGGTTGCATCCGATTTTGGAGGAAATTCCCAAGGCCCCTTGGATATGTGAGAAACCAGGGCGATATCATGAAATCATTGCTCTTATATGTGGGCAACGCCGTCCGCACCTCCGGGCCCTTTGGATCGGAGCTGCCCTCAGCGGGCTTGTGCCGAAGGTCCTTGGATATGTTCGAAGTGGCACACCTCCCCTTGACCCCAACGGCTTTGCTTGGACAAGTTCTCCTCAGTCTTTCATGGATCTTACGGGGTCAGGGCCATATTTTTACGAAGATATCTCGGGAAACAACGCCATAAGACGTGCCGATGCCTGGAGGCTCTTGTACCTCCCGACCCCAGAAGATGACGGACTTTACTATAAAAGTCTCCCTTTCTCACCATGGCCACCTGTCGGCCAAACAGTCGACATAAATTGCGCACTGCGAATTCGCGTACACAAATCATGTGCAAGGCATCGTCTGGCCTACACTTATTGGACTTGGAGATTGCAGGACGGGTCTTCCTTGAATGACCAGGGATTTTCGCCGGGTGACCCCAGCTATCCCGAAGAAGATTCCTTCGTGCAATCACAGCGAAAGGACAACTCGCGATATCCGAATATTCCGATCTCTCCATCTCAGGATGCGTCGCGTGAGGCATCGTCCGAAATCTTCCGCTGGGTTCTCGCCAATCACGAAGGAAAGCCCCCTGAGCCAGTATATGAACACGAATGGATTGAGGGTTGTGACATCAGTGATGGATACTGTTCAGAAACAAGAGATGAGCCCAGCAGTGAAAACAGTTATTTGAATGAGGAGGAAAGTTGTCTACGAGGACGGAACATAGATGGCAGTTTGTTTCCGGTCTTGCGAGAAACTCAGGTAATGGAGTGGATGGAGAACAATTTATAATACGGTTTAAGACGGAAACTATATTCACCTATCAATACTAAATTGTTTACTCGTATTTTATTTTTCTTTGACGACTTTAAAGGATATCAATTCAAGCCATTGCTGTGGCGAGGCGATTAAATTATATGCACAAAGTACATTTCACAATATGATTCAAGCTGAGAAGAGAGACGAAAGAGAAAGGAAATAAGAAAGACAAACAACAAAAGGAAGCACGTCGTTAAACTATACTATTCCTAATCGGGTTACCACCCTTCCCCGCACACTACACCCTGCTTAGCCCTACGTAGCTAAATTCGTGACAATTGCAGCAACGCAATTCACCAATCAGGGGTGGCGCCTGGATGATCAGGACAGCTTTTGCAAATTCTGTAATTCACTCCATTGCAACCTCCAGCAACTTGGCACCGTTTCCACCTAACAAGACAACCTGGTGCCTTGCAGGCCTTGATTTTATGCTCGTTGTTCTGGTGCTGGCACTTGGAATTGGTGCATTCACCGGAAACCCCAGAACTTGTGGTCATATTGGCGACAAAGTTTGCTAAGTGCGTGCTCTCTGTTATTAAGAAAGCTCGACAGGCTACTTGAATATAGCATACCTAAATGATTCGTCCACAGTGGTCGCCGGATTGCAAATCACACTCGTGCGAATTAATCGGAAGGATAGTTGAGCTCTTATAGTTATCTTTGCTGTTGCGCGAAGTAGGAGAGCCTGATGAAGAAAGGTGCAAAGCGAGACAGCAAATCGTTGCACGGAAGCCACAGTGCTATCGTGAAGAAAAAAAGACTCACGGTTGGAGGAAGCAGGAAATGTGGGTATTTATGTACTTCTCATAATCGCAACATGAATCTTAGTAAGCTTCCGCTCAACTAATTAAACGCCAGAGAACAGCAGAGGAGCTTTAGGCAGGATTTCCAAAGAGTGAGCACGTACCCACCACACATACCAAGCTAGTATGCGATTGTATTTGGAAGCAAGGTCGATGACTGGCCAAGCCGCAGTATCAGAATTTGTCCAGCCAATCGGACCTAGTCGTCTTATTCGCCCATTTATTTAGATACTAATGAGACTTGAAGTTTGCACAAGATCTTTTATGGGTGTTGGCGCCGGTGGCGACGTATGGCTCCCCCTATAGGTTAGATAAGCTAAAAGGGGCGTATCACAGACAGGTTTCACAGGTTTCACAGTTTGGAAACTTTTGCTAGAGCTCTTTAGGTAAATATTGGCGCCTGACGCAGCACGATTGGCTATAAGTGAGACCAGTCTCGTTCACGTCCTAGGCTGGCACGAACATAGACATATGCTATTATTAGGTGTATCAACTTTTAGATTACTATGTGACCTGGCGGCTCACCGTGTAATAAGGCAAAGGCGCTAAGCATACCACTAATTCTTAAAAGGTTAATCCACACTGGTTCTTCCTAGAAGGGTGTTAGTACCGTGTTTCGGTCCCCCTATCCCCGCTTTAGCCTGAGCACGGACCCTTGATGTAGGCCAGCTTGCTGACCAGTGCAGCGCGTTGACCGCGCGGTTCATTCCTTACTGTCTGGACCTCTGACACTCCTCTGACTATCCTCCGTCGCTCCTCTGTCGCTCTTCTGACACTACTCTGACACTCCTCCGTCGCTCCTCTGACATTCCTCCGTCGCTCCTCTGACATTCCTCTGTCGCTCCTCTGTCGCTCTTCTGACACTCCTCTGACACTCCTCTGACACTCCTCTGACACTCCTCTGACACTCCTCTGACACTCCTCTGACACTCCTCTGACACTCCTCTGACACTCCTCTGACACTCCTCTGTCGCTCTTCTGACACTCCTCTTGACACTCCTCTGACACTCCTCTGACACTCCTCTGACACTCCTCTGACACTCCTCTGACACTCCTCTGTCGCTCTTCTGACACTCCTCTGACACTCCTCCGTCGCTCCTCTGACATTCCTCGGTCGCTCTTCTGACGTTCACCAGACACTCTTCTGACACTCCTCTGACACTCCTCTGACACTCCTCTGACACTCCTCTGACTATCCTCCGTCGCTCCTCTGTCGCTCTTCTGACACTCCTCTGACACTCCTCTGACACTCCTCTGACACTCCTCTGACACTCCTCTGACACTCCTCTGACACTCCTCTGACACTCCTCTGTCGCTCTTCTGACACTCCTCTGACACTCCTCCGTCGCTCCTCTGACATTCCTCGGTCGCTCTTCTGACGTTCACCAGACACTCTTCTGACACTCCTCTGACACTCCTCTGACACTCCTCTGACACTCCTCTGACACTCCTCTGTCGCTCTTCTGACACTCCTCTGACACTCCTCCGTCGCTCCTCTGACATTCCTCGGTCGCTCTTCTGACGTTCACCTGACGCTTAATTGGCCCTCTTGACTCTCGTGGTTTCCTTGAAAATGTCGACCAACACAGTCTCAACCAGCAGAAAGTCACCCCGGAAAAACCATCCGCGGTTGAACGAAAATAATGCGGTCAGAAAACTTCAAGAAACATCTTCTTTGGTCGATAAGCTCGGCCGTTTCAAAGACCACCAGGACAAACGTGCCAAGGAAGCAATTGCCTTGCTGGAGGCAGAGTCGAACTCGACAAACAATTACCAACAGTTTCTGCTTAATCTGAGAAGACACGTTAAGCCAGAAAACTGGAGGCCTTTGGTCAAACTCTGCGCCATAGCCTTAGGGAAAAATGCGATCAAATATGCCAGGCAGCATGTCTTGTCAAATTTACCCAAGATAATTGGCAACGTCGAAGACAAACTGGTCAACGATGTCTTAAAAGGAATACAAGAGGTGCCTGGTCAATCATGCAGTCACCTTCCTGAGTCGTCTAAGCAGACATATCAAGAGCAAATCATATCTCCAGATGGCACGTGTACATGAAAGGCAAAATATAGAAAGAGTACTAATACAATATTTATCTAGAAACCGCTTCCCAGATCATGCAAGACCCATCTCATCACACCTTGGTGCATGATCGCGAATCTCTTCCACTCGAATTTCAACTGAGAGATCTTGTTGATTTTTTGCAGGAACATGAAGGCTTGAACACGAACCTGCAAATGAACTGCCCACTTTCCGGCCATCCACTACCCTCCATCTTCCTTGGGTACCAACAATCTGGACATGCGAATGCAAAACTTGAGTTTTCGCAGCCTTTAGCCACCACCTTCATTCGATACGTGATGAATCGCCAGCAGATTATCGCCCCGACCGCTACTTTTCGATAGCCTTGAATGTGCGCACTGTTGGGTTTCCATAAAACATGCAAGTTTCTCCAGTTTTGAACGCAACGATTGCCCAGCCAGTTTCGTTTGGCCCGGTCCTCACGTTCGATAAATCATTTGTTCCAGGGGCCGTTACTCTGACAGCCCCTTCAGCTCCTTTCCGGGAAACCAACACAGCGCGGACCGAAGGTTCAGCGGTCGTGAACGAACAGGGGTGGAATTCTTTTCCAAGTGTCACTTCTTCAGATACCTGTTGTCTACGTCAGTTCAAGATAGTTTATAATATACGCGACGAACCTAACCAATTGCCTGACTTCTTTTACGAGGTCTTCATCAACGGGAAGCGACTTCTCAAAGGTCGTGATTTGACCGACTGATGACATTTCAGAATTTGCTGGAGATTGTGAATTAGTGTTGTAATGGACGTGAATCGTATCGGCGAGAAGGAGGGGCAATGAGGGGTTAAGGCACCGTCGGGACTTTTACCAGTTAGCGACTTCGGTCTATGCTCTGCGCTGACTGAGTGAAGCACATGTAGTAGCCTTTCTCGCATGAAAGACCCAGAAAAGATCCAAAAAGAGTGATAGCACTTATAAGATTTCCGCTTCGTGTCGATAAGACTGGTGGGCGCGGTGGAAATTCGGACGGAGCCATCTTTCAAAATTCTGGTCATGTGATTTGAGCCACCGGAAGTTGGGTCGTCAGGAGTGGTGCCTTACCACCTCTGTCGCTACGGCATCGGAACGATTCCTGCCATACCTTGATGAGATGATAAAGTAGGTAGGTCGGTGAAAACCCCGTGAAACTCAAGCTTTACACTGCAAATTTCTTCACTTCATCCAAATAAATATTGTGCGTCAACATAAAGGAATTATTCATACTGGCGCTCCTCTGACACTACTTTGGCATTCCTCTGACACCTTTCTGACACTCCTCTGACACTCCTCTGACACTTACACTCCTCTAGCGCCCCTCTGACTTTACTCTGACACCTTTCTGACACTCCTCTGACACTCCTCTGACACTTACACTCCTCTAGCGCCCCTCTGACTTTACTCTGACACCTTTCTGACACTCCTCTGACACTCCTCTGACACTTACACTCCTCTAGCGCCCCTCTGACTTTACTCTGACACCTTTCTGACACTCCTCTGACACTCCTCTGACACTACTCTGACACTTCTCTGACACTATGTTGATATTACTCTGACGTTACTCTATTCAGGATCATGTCTTGGGCGTGTTTAGACATGTGCAAACCCCTGCCCATGGGCAGGGGTCCTTACCCATGACCCATGGGTCTTTGTCAGCAAACCATGGGTTTCCCATGGGAACCCATCAAGATGCATAAGCTTTTATGCAAAACACCTAAATCTTAATATTTATTAATAATTTAAACGCCAAAAGAATCAGTATGTTCTACTTACTTAGATTCATAGTTTATATATATATATATATGTTATGGTGGTGGGTGGTGGTGGTGGGTGGTGTTGAGGATGGTGGTGTTGTGTTACGGGGAATATATATATATTCAACGAACACCAACTTTACAGATCTACATGAATTATTTCCTAATTAGGAAGTATTATATAAGATTATATAAGAAATATAGCCTAATTAGGTAATATTCTAGAAGAGATCGGCGGGGTTCAACCCCCAAATCCGGAAGATGAACCCCCAAATTCGGAAAATCAGACCCACCTTTTCATAAATCTTCCCAATATAGTAATAAAATTGCAGATCCCACTTTATGCAAACCCATGGGACTTTCGGCCCATGGGGATTTGGCCCATGGGCCTATATGGGCAAACCCATGGGCAAAACCCATGGGTAATGCACATGTCTAGGCGTGTTTCCACATTTCGGCCAATGAATGGTTGACTTTAGATATACAGACCTCATCAAAATACACAAATGGAGTTCCATCAAGAATGCTGTCGTACTATCGCGAGAACCTACGTTAAGCACCTAGATCCGCGCAAACAAGCCAACTTCCCGTATAACGGCAAGAAAATCGTCAATGGCAAGGGGGATATCTTTGATCCAGAAGCAACCAAGCCACCTTGGTGGCTCCTGTACCCAGTATTTCCTATCTCAGGAGTTACTCAAGATATTATTTGTTTCACGAAAGTATTAATATCTTGGCTATAGCGCATGCAGGATTCATAGCCCTTAGATGGAGTCCGCTTAGCGGTAACAAAGAAACCAAAAGATACAATGAAGAAGACTGGGCCTTCTTTTTTTTGGACACTATCAGGGTCAATGAGCTGAGGTGTAGAGCGGTGCCACGTTTTGACATGATACAAGCGTCCGTAACGTGCCGCCAGTACTGTGACGAGCAGAGTTCAAAGCATGGGTTGTTATTTTACGCGTGGTGCTATATTGACACATCCAGTGCATGTGGTCCTCAATTCAGTGCAGCCCGCCCAATGGATGATCTACGCTAACGCCTTGGCAGTGGGGCCAGAAAAGAGAACCACTGTATGCGACATCGTCACATCATGGGGATTGTCTGGGGCATATTCTTAGATTCAAAGGCACACCGTGGAGTCGAAAGAACTTCACAAAGGCGCTTCGACCAGCACATGCAGGATGCAGAGGCTTTAGATGCAGTCCTCCTAGTGGCAGCAAAAGAACCAAGAAACACCTTCAAGAAAACTAAGCCTTCCCGTTTTGGATATTATCAACTGCCCGCTAATTATAACCGGTCTAGATCACATTCAAAAGAGGGCCAGCCATTTCAATGATGATAGGTGAATATAATTGGAGACTTGCGGATCTACAGAGACATTCCAGGCCACCTGGGCTTATATATCTATGTGATCTAAGTGGATAAGCAATGAATATTGATGCCCTGCTATTTACGATATCATGTCCGATCTTGAAGAGAATTGTATGGTGTTGGAAGACACACTTAAAGCAAACAACAAGAATTTCGTATGCCCCCTGTGTCTGATCGGATGGTCGCGAGCCGATAAGGTTTTCAAACACTGCCGGGACAATGGAGCTCAGAAAGAAGACATGAGTTTCGAGGAAAAGTGGAAGTCTGAGATTCACAAGGATCTTGGAGCTATAACTCAAACTGGAGATTTTCGCAAGTTCCGGGAGAGCTTGAATACTGCTTGTGGACACGAAATTCCAGTCCAAGAACTACCGGTAGATTGGAATAAATCTGGTCGTCGATCGTACGGTTCCTGCCTTGCAACAGAGTTCATTGTCAAATATATGGCCCCTTCGATTGCGGAAAAGTACGAAGTTCTCAGCACCCTGGTCGACAATTCCAAACTGGTCGTCATCGGTCAACAATATTAAACTTCTCCAAACCCTTTTTTTCATTGCTGGAATACACTCTGTCTGTCCCTTTTCTTGGACTGGATTCGCAAACCCCGAACCATTTACAAAGCGTTGTGGTATGGAGAGAGATGAGAATCACAAAAGACTGCTATGGAAAGAAGCGGAACTTTTTGTTATGCGATACGGGGAACAGAAAGTTGCCTCTTGCCTCGGATCACATGAACGTTGATTTTGATGCGTGCGGAGATCCTGATTTTCACAAATGCTTTCATTGTGGCAATATCTCGGGACATTTGAGTAAGTGCCAGAATCCACTGCTTTGCAAATCGATCTGACATCAAGAGGCTTAGTGTCAAGTAAAGTCACTCAGGCTAGCATCACGGAATTTTAATCTCCTTGAGTTTAAGAGCTTGGCATGATCTGTCCCTCAAAGGGTGGACGAAATCATGCCGTTATTTGAAGGTCGATCACTGTTTTCCAAATTCACAAGTCGTAATTGAAAAAGCCTATATATACCAATGGTATCTGAGAAGAATTGAGGTACAAAATAAAATCCAGGCCAAATGACGGCCACATGCAGGTGACATAAATTGAGACTTCCAGCAAGCAAAAAGCGATGAAGTATCACTGCCAACGAGAAATGTTCTCGTCTAGTCCTGCGGAAGGATAAGTGAGACCCTCTTAATAGGTATAAAGTCGTTTGATACCGCAGTCCTGGACGAAACCCAAGACTCTCAGGACGGATTTCCGAAACACCTTCCGCGAGATCAGCCGACTCTCTTTTATATAGCGCCGATAGAGCTCTGGAATAATGTCATATATCATTGGAAATGGCTGCGCAGCAAATTTGAGCAGGTAGCGAGAGGGGATATCTTTCGGCGAACGGAAGTACCAAGCTAGGAGCGATAGGATGAGAATGTCGCCGTCATCGAGGGAGTTTATCAATCCCATTGTGATATCGCGAAGGGTTCGGTTTCTTGCCAAAACCACTCTCCCTATATGGTAATCCTCTTCTCGTAGTACTTGACAATCTTCGATGATGAGTTTTATTTCCGGTCTGATTTTTGAGCTGGTGCTCTTCTGCAAGGATTCCAAAATCCGCGGATACCCAAGAAACCAAAGCTGGAAGGCTCTGAATACAGAGGTAGCCCTTTGGAGGTGAGCCTGGGGCAGATGACTTTGTAAGTTAGCACAATTTATTGGGGCTCCTGGGGGTATGCCTTCTTACATTGGAGACATTGTTGATGGTGGGTGAATTCTTCGAGGGAAAAAAATTGGCATGCTATAGTTTAGCAGAGGCCGGGGACTACATATACCTACTTCGTAAATGTGATATGTAGGGTATGCGCACTCATTGATCAACGATTGGACGCATAGAAGCCACCAAGCCACATGGTCCGGACCTGACTTCCGGGACATGTATTGTGTGTTACGAATCTCATTATTGGAAAAGGGCTCGTGCACATGATGTACAGAATTTCCATTGGCGTCAACGGGTCGCCCCACCTGAATTTGTGACATGGTGTTTTGAAAGATCGCGTAACAAATAAAGGGGGGTGATCGGCCCGCTAATCCCTAAAAGGAATAATCCACCTGCACATCAACTGGGGGTTCCTGGGAGCCATGGGCACTGTATGTACGCACAGCGCTAGGCCTCGCTTATTGCCCTCACATGCTGTAAGCTATGGTAAAGCCATTTGGAGCTAAATCATCATTACAGGAGGTGACGCGTGGCGACAAAATTTTGCTCCTGCATTTGGACTAAGCTTCGGGGCATATGGCACAAGTAATCCCCAACCATTCATGCCTTGCGGGGCCGAGCTACCGTGAATTTCCGCCAGACGTTTTTTTTCTGTTATGTGTACCGGTCCGAATAAATATTGGGTGCACAACAACATTATGTCAATAGGATTGTCTGAGCCGAGCATTACAATGAGAATATTTCTGTCTTGGCCTTGGGGTAGATCGAGTTGAAGGGCTCTTCCAAATGACGACGCGAACACTCATTGGCCAGAGCTGCCCTTTTGGGACATGGTACCTGAAGATATCTTCCAGCGAAACTAGAGAAGCCGATGAGGGAGCTATGCCGGAACAGGCCAGCTAAGTGTGACCCATGACTGTAATTTTATGCCGAGCGTTACAGGCGCGTGACAAAGCAATCGGTATCAACGTGAATTTCTATACTGGCGCTTTACATGGACCGGGGTTCGCTGCTCAAAGGATTGCCTTTCCCGATCCGGTCATTTCGGGGTCAATAGTTAAAAATGGTGGGTGGACAAGGATTGGTGCAGGAGATTCTGTCTTGGCGCCGAACTAAGCCGGTTCTTTGTTTATATAAATTGGCTAAATATTCGCCCCTTTCCGAGACATTCCTTTATCATCTTGGATTGATATTGTTGTCAACAGGAAGTCCATAAAAGTAAAATTCAACGCCAACTTTGAACAGCAAGGTAAGTCTGCTCATTTCAGGCACAAGATACTGTTACAGAATGCCAAGGCGTTGTGAGCTGATTCAAGATTTAAGCAGAGCTTGCCCATTCGGATTCATTCTACATCAGTGCCCCAACAATGGTCGACGACTCTACACTCGAGTAACAAGATGACGGGTATGATGTGAGTTGGACCATACATTCTCTACTTGTCCCCAGGTGTGAGGAGGAGATCAAAATTAACAATGATAGTCGTGCATTTTATGGTGCGATTGTCAGCCGCCTTAGCAATTTTGGGTTTTTTGACGAGACCTCCTTTTTCGAAAACACGAGCATACAAGAATGGGAGAGCTGGGGCTTCGATCCGGCATCTATAAACAAGAACACGTGGGGCTCAGCTTCAGGGATATTATTACTTAAGAGCTGGGATTTGATTGGGTGCATCCCGTTTGAAACGATGGTACAGTATGCCGGAGGTCATGATTCATTTGAATTAAGATATCTTCGTCGATTGTATAAAGATCTCAACAAAGAAATCTACCTTCACCTCAAGAACAGTCCCATGGATGCCGAGTACCTGGTTGAGATTGAAAAGGTGCGCTCCACAATACCGAATACCACATGACTAGAAATTAACAACAAGAAGGCTTTGGAACAAGCTCATGCTGATCCATTCATTCGAGCCGTGGCTCAGAATGCAATTGATTGCGTTGCAAATAAGTCACTGAAGAGCCCGGACCTGGATACGCCACTCAGTCAGTTCTTCACGGAGCCTCTGAAAGAGTATCTTGGTAAATCTCGGCCGGCTGAATTCGTACCACATCAAATGAAAGTGCTTCGGATTCGTTATGAAAGATATACCAAAGGCCTCAGCCAGACTTGGAGCGACCCCTTCGACACCCATACTGATTTGTTAGACGGTTTAAAAATCCAAGGGTCCTCAGATCACGCCAGAGCTATCACCAAAGTGGACCATGCTCAATATCAAAATCTGGATTTGAACTCCTTCAAGGGAGATGAAGTGTTCAATGACATAATACGGCGTTGCAACCATTTGACACTCTCCATACAGGATTGTTTGGATGCTCAGATTTTCGGCGAATCTCAAATAGTTCAATTTGCTCAGGTAATTTGAGGCAGCTCTACCCTTATGTCAATGGCTGACGGAAATAATTAGGAACTTTACAACCTTGGCAATTACTCTTCATTAATGGCTGTCAAGGAAGGGCTCAGAAAAACCTACAATTTGGCAAATGATATGCCAGAGCTTGACAGTCTCTTCAAGGTCAGAAACGACATACCTGCACTGCTCCCCATCGGCAAGGCAGCGAAGAGGTTAGCATATAAAAAAGACTCAACATTGGCCCAGGAATGCATTGAGCGGTGTAAGCTCTATTCCCTGGAGGAGACTATACCAGTGCAGGCAAGGATTATATCCTGCAAAAGTCTGCATCTCGGAGATAGTATGCAAACTCCGGCGTTGAAGAACAAAGATTGTATCTCTGAGCCTTTGGACAAATCATTTGAGACAGCATGTCGGAGAAGTGGAGATCTAAAGTTGCAATTCGAGACGTCTGAGAAGATGGCTTATTGCTCTCCAAGCTCAGAAAGTGGTGTCCCATCACCTGAGACTTTCCTTTGTTCTGATAGCACGGGCGTTGATTGCACAGAGCTGGACTTTTTTTCACGGTTCATTTGTCATCATCCACCTTGTGTTTGAAGTTCATTCTACAGTGGATAGGACTTGACATGTAAGACGCGACAGCTGATTCTTTTCTTTGAATGTATTTTGAAGTTATTCTTCGTTGCGTTGTAAATAGTCACTTGTGCCATTTCGCAAATTCGTTGAGAAAGCGAGTCTCTCGCAGTTTTTTCGCAGTCCAACACTCCACAAGTAGAGCAAAAATGAATGGGCTCTACAATCCGGGTTCTACTAGCCCAATGAAAGGATGCAATTTCTTTGAATAAGATGTGATGGTCTTGCCTTTGAAAGGGTCGCGAAGTAAGGCAGGAAAGTAAAAGTGGAAGTGCCTGTGCTGGTTGTGATTTGAGATTGGTCCAATTGTTACCCGCCAATACCCTTTTCGTATCCCTACGCCGCAGTTATGGCATCTCCAGGCACACGTATTGAGCATTACGAGGACCATAAGTAAGAAAAGGTGCGCGCGCATGATCCTAGCGTTTTAATTGGTGGCAGTTAAAAGCTCCACCTGGTTTTGTGACATGGTGTTTTGAAAGATCGTGTAATGAAAGAAGGTTCGCCGATCGCGTCGCTAAACCCAAAAGGGAACATACGACGGGCAAGTGGTTTCTAGGAACTATCGGTTGCACCGTATCGGGTAATGATGAACCGCCACCACTGACAAGGACGGGGGAATGAAACAAACTTTTGACTTCTCATTGGGCAGTCCCAACGCATTATCCGAATACGTACCTAGACACGAAACTGCACCGGTGCTGAGGTGTAGCCCCGCCTAGTGGCATGACAAATTCAGTCATAAGATCCCCCCAAGGGCGCAAAATAGAAGCCATCTTCTGTACACTGACGTGAAAAATCTTGAGTGCCAAAATATGGATAATGAGGGGCAGGCCAATCGGCGCGAATCATCTTCTCGCGTCCCAAGTTTTTTTGGCGCGCAAATTTATTTAAGTCGCTAAGCTCAGCATCGTCCTGAGGCGCCCCGGACTTGAACAAGAGTATTGGATCGAATACGTGGCAACCCCGCTAGGGATCCTGGAATTTGCTTTTGTATATTGGTATCTTGCAGCAACAGCAAGGGGTCAAAGCGCCTACATCGCTGGCTACTTGTTGCGGTATAGCGTGAGCTCATGGTGGTTCTCAACCGCACAGCTTACATATAAGTAGTCGCTTTACTTCCCCTCCAAGCAAAGATCCCTTTCCCTCATCTCAGAGAAAAACCAGATAATACCACGGGTAACCAGCTTTCTACCTCTCAAAGAATGTCTCTTACGGTTAGTACGCCTTGTTGCATTTCGGCTATCAACTTGCATGACTTCTCTGAGTCTTGGAATTTAGACTCTTCGAACTAAATTGCCTTTCGTCCAATCCTGCGAGAATTGTACCCAAAGTACATCCACGTGCCACCCAACGAAGCATATTCCGAAGGATCTTATGAATTCAGTCCCAATGGTCATCAGTCTCGGCAAAGGATACTACGATCTGGTAGTGAAGCAAAACGCTGCTGCTCACGTTGCTGAATGCTTTGCCTTTGATCTCACCATGTATCGCTTGAAAGACATGGCAGACCCTCTATTCTCCCCCGAATCTGGAAAGTCCTATCCGGAAACACTGCACAGTGCTTTGAGCCAGATGAAACATCAATTTGAAAAGGCATTGAAGGAAACTTCCAAGTCAGCATACTACACGGAGCTTCTCTATGAATGGTACCCATGGCAGATGCGATGCTTATACAAATTACTGGCAGAACACGGACTATGCGGCCTTACCTGTCAGTGAGGCTCATACAGCCCTCGCGTGGAGATTTACTTAGTAGTAAAGTCTTGTCTGTAAACAAAAGACTCCCTCCCCCGTGTGTTACAGAAGCAGACATCTTTTCCTGGATATCAATCCAATTAGGGCAAAACTATGGCTCTTCTGTTAGTTGTTATATGTTTCGCCTCTCCTGACTTGGCTTTCCACGCTAAGATACAGCCTTTGGTTGGAAGTTTAAGTTTATAGATTAGGTTTTTTGTAGCGCGAAGGAGTGGTTCCATCGGGGACTGCCTATTGGTGCGTTGATACGGTCCAATTTGCATTATAAAATGATATAGTAAGGTTGTGCAAGGACCAGCGATCGTATCTGTTCTCCTGGGTCTGAAGCAAGTTCTCTGAACATGACACAAACAAATTTCAATCATTGGTTCGTTTAGAGGCTTGGGTGGACCAAAATCTCTTGGTCGAAGGATCAGCTGGCTGGCCAACATTGAACATTGTGATAGTATTGCAGACTGAAAGCTGGAGTTAATGCGGGCATTACTGAGAACTTTGTAGGATATCAGAACAAAATTTGTTGAATTGACATCGAAGAGGCAAAACTGGATGGCACGAAATATTAAAAATCAGTGTACTTTAGTCGCAGCCCAAGCTGACATCATTTGAAAACAAAGCACGATGAACACCAATCTGGTCAATTGTTTCTGACCGGTCATAGTACGGGCCTCCTGCCAACCATATCAACATATGTGCGTACGGCAGGCCTCGTTTCTGGAATTCCACCACATAGACATGTGCTATATTTCATATTCAATGTTAGCAATCTTCTTGAACATCCTATATGTTTAGTATATATATATATGATATACCCTGGTATGGCCGGAAGATACCATCCTGAATCTCTTTCATGATGGCTTTCAACTTCAAATTGAACACCCGTGCAATCATGTCAGGCCTATCTCTGGGGCCTTGAGAAACCGTACCATCATTGTCTGGCAGGAGAGAATCCTTGACTTCATCCCAGTCTGGGTTTGCTGTTACCGTGATAAAGAGCTCAGGGCGATTGTAGTGTTCCAGTAGGGCCATTGAGTCCTTCAACTTCATCCGCAACCAACGTTTGGAACCTGTCAAGCTGGTGGGAAGTTTCACGAGCTCTTTCGCTCGCATATGGGCATCATACCTTCGAATGATATCTTGATTGTAGCGGATGAATTCAAGTTTTCGGCCTTCTTCTGCCACCCATCCATCAACAATATATTGTTGTACCAACAAATTTGCCCGTTGGAACAGATTCAGACTATATTACGCTGGCTGTGTGAAGATTGTGTACCGCAGGAATTGAACCATACTGACATTCGGATTTTGCCTTTCTCTACCTGTCCGCGGGTTTGTTGAAGTAGCAAATGGCAGTTGTCGATGAATCCCTCGTCCGCCGGACATATAGAAGACTACATACGCCAACGGCATATAGAGTGCATGGTCTCGCTGGATGCGGATCAGGAATCTCTCCCCGACGTGGTACTCCTCTGGCTCTTCGAAAGGATCCCGGTTATCTTCAGGGATCTCATCATCTCCATGTTCAACAACCTCGCCTTCATCATCGTTTCCAAATGGTATGATTCCTACCTCATCCTGGGTCAATGCCTGTGTGGCTGGATTATTCTGCAGATTCAAAGCTGCTCCAGCCCAGACTGGTGCCCGGCGCAGGTATGATTGGATATCCCGGTAACTCCGGCGGCTGTATTCATCAGGGATTGTTGGCAGGAATGCTGCCACATCCACTTGCCCAGTCGGGAGATCATACTGGCGGCCTCCCTCCTCATTCCCAATCAGTCGTAACTGAGGTGTTATACTCAGACTTTGCCGTTCACTGTTTTCATGAAGGAAACTGAAAGCTGTGTGGAAGAGGGTGTAGTATGGGTTTGATTGGCGGATCAGTCGATCAAGTTTTGCGAGAAGTTCTCGACAATGTATCAGGCGAGGTTGGACTTGTATCCGTGCATCTGTTGCTTGATTTGTGGCCTGATGGAAGTACCGGGTTCAATTCCGATGAAGTAACTTTGTGCGAATCGAGGTCGAGCTGAGTTCTCGCCTTCCGGCGGCATCAATGGTCCCATCGGACATCATGGCATGGTTCTATTGAGATTGAATACTAATACTTATCCAGGTACCTGCTAGCTTGCAGCAGCGTATTGAGCAGGAACGTGACCGGATTAAGAAGGACCTGTTCATAGACATTAGCAAGCAGGCCGCAACTCGGGAAAACGAAGACACAGTGGCCCGGATCGCAGCGAGGGATACAATGGAAGACATGGGTTATTGAGCAAATTTTTGAGACAGAGTGTGGTATTATGGTTGGTTTGCATTGAGACGGAGTGTGGCATTATGGTTGACTGGCAACTGGCTAGTTAATTATAAGCGTTCGTTGTTGTTCGTTGTTGCTTTTTCCGTTTCGATAACCATTCAGCATAAGGAACGAACTGGTAAGAACCTGACCAAAAGAATCTCCTGATCAGCAGGGTCACGTGGATACCAGGGTCGTGTTCTGCTGATGTAATCACCTTCATCACATGATCAGCAGAGTCCCCTGACCGCCCTGATCACGTTGATACCGAGGACGTGCTCTGCTGACGTGGACAATCACCTGACCATCTGAGTCACCTGACTCTTCCGATCACATGACTGGCCACATTGTTTGATTCATCACGTGACCCACCCCACTTCTCTCGACCGTCAGCCAATCAAGAGCCACAAAAAACACAGATTCGCGCGTAGTAGAGGGCTGGATGTTGATTCCTACCCATGAACTTTTCAGATACTGAATTTAGAAGCTCGCAGGACTACAGGATAGGGCACAGACGACCCTGAAGGCTCTACAAGGAGCGTACTTGAGCACAAACGAGCTGATGGCTAAATACTCCGTGCAAATGCCGTATCAACCACGTGCTGAGGTTTTAGACCTGATCAAGACCTGTCAAGCTCTCAGAGAACAAAACAACGCCCCCTCTATCACCCACCAAGCGTTGGCCCAGAATCAACTCCTCCATTGTCATACGCAAGAAATGGTGCAAGAATTTTCCACCAAAGCTCAAATATTGCTGTCACTGATCGCTTGGAGTTTTGACCCGGACCCGTTCTCAATATCAGATGGGCTTCTCAACTTTTTTGCTCAGACCGACCCGCACCTAGACAAGATCTGCGAAAACATATATCCAATGTACAGCAAGCTCTATAAAGGCGAAACCTTAGAATCCTTGCAGAAAGGACTGAGTCGTCTTGTGGCCCTACTGTGGCGATTTGTTGTTAATGAGCAGTGGGCTTTGTACATATAATTCTTTAAATCCAGTTCAAAGGACTTTTTTCCATCGGAGTCATTCTTCTTTTTATTCTTCATGGCAAGCACAATTTCGACCACGGAGACAAAACTGTAGAGTAGGATGAGGACGATGGGGTAAAAGGTGCGTAATGACTCGAGCAAAGCGTGAGCTGATTGTAGCTCCATGGTAAGTGCCTCCTTGATGGAAAGGGATTTTGACGGAATGCCTGCTTATAGGATACGAGTCAAGAATGGAAAACTGAAGACGTAATGAATGGATAGACTGCTTCGCAATGAAGTACCCAGTGGGAAGGCAACGATTCAGAGTGGACGAAGTATCAAGATCTCAAATCTTCTGATTGAAAGTAGAATGGAGCAAGCTTGGTAAGGACATAAGAAAAATAAGAAATCCAGGTCGAAAAGGCGGATGAGAGAAACCGAACCTGAACGAATGGTAAAAGGTATAGAAAGATTCTGACCTGTTCTGCAGACTATCCGACTCGGTATCGGGATTGCACCAATCAAAGCCTACTCCATCATGGCTGCGCAATGGTCTAGGGTGCGCGATTTTCATGCTTCCGGTCAAGCACCTGCCTTCAACATAGCCAATGGCCTCCTAGATCACACCACCGGAGACTTGGCTCAAGTACCCGGAGTCATGCAGGAAGTGGGCCGTATAGGTATTCAATATGCACCTTTGTGCGGCTTGACGTCGTATCCCTGGTAAGTGAGCACCCAGTACTGTACCTCGGATTAGCTCACCAGTGTCAAAGCCCTTATAGGCTCATAGACCCCATTCGTCTTTTAATTACATTAATTACATTTCGGCTTTTTCAGACCTGGACCTCTCTCTATACTAAGGTCTGAGTTTATTTCACATTCCCCATCAATTGGGATTTCAAGCGGCCTAACAGCCCGTTGGCTGTAGGCCCTCTTCAATCTTCAAAAAGGTACGTTATCATGGCACCCGGAGCATTGTTATCGGCGCAAAAAGGCTAAAAAACACATTTCTGTGGCATGGCTTCACAGACCCGGTAATAAAAGACGGTCGCCGATCAAGTATCTAATCGCCGTCTGAAAAAATGAGCTGGTCAACTCCTAGAAGTCGAATCCACCGCTGGCCACCAGCTGGACATGTGAGCCTCGCTTAGGGGGCTGCCAGGATCGAGGAGAAATTTGTATCGTAAGTAGCTCATTTTTCTTCTATGTTCCCTCTGGACAACAAGGCTGCATGCAGTAGTCCTAGACTGTGCTCATGCCACCAATGGCGCGGCGCGCCCATAGGTCCAGAACATCTTCTTTGTAGTCCCCTGTGACCCAAACATAGATTGCGGAAAGTGACTTGTCGAATCAATCGACCCAAGCCCTAATGGTGGATGTTCTTTGGCCCATATCACCCATTAGCACGACTCCGTCGACGCCTCCTGAACAGACTAATTCGACCTATTGGAAAGCCGCAGGAACATCCCGGGCCCAGAATTGCCCACCTCCATTTTGGTTACTACGTGTATTTATACCTCACTGCACCTGCTAGCTTGAAAGTCGCCTTGTGCACCAAGATCAATGTCCTTTTGCCTCAAAATATTCTGCTTCAATGAAATATTTTTCCTCCTCTTCTCCACCCTCATTGAATCAACTTCGTGCTTTCATCGTTGCATTTTTGGCATTCACATCTGCCAAGCATCATGGCAAAACGGAAAAATCAGAATCAGCCGCCCAATGTGCAGCTGACGCTCCAAGACATAAAAGGCAATGAAATGAACCGTCGCTTCTTGTTGACTGAAACTCCAAACTCTTTACGCCTCAATTGGCTCCAAACAGCCATGGGATAATCTCAAGAAGAAGCTATGGAGAAAATTGATCACATTCATATCTCCATGATCGAGAAAGTTGGTTCTCTTGGCGACGTAGTCTTGGATCTCGATGATCAGCCACTCAAATACTTCAAGATCTACAGGATAAAGACAAATTGATTGTTCTGTGGCATTGGGTTGAAGACTGCGATGGTAAGTGAAACTCCGATTACAAAAGTTACTAGTCACCAATTAACTTGACGCACCAGGAAGCTGCCCAATTGGGAATAGGCGGACGCCTTTAGTAGAGAAGTCAAAGAGCTGGGTCTCGCAAGTTATCTCAGAATGAACTCATGAGAATTTTTATGTGGCAAACTTGGCTCAACCACTTGGAGTCATGCACCGAGTCGTGAAGGAATTCTATGTGTATCCCCGTTTATTTTGAGATTATCTCCTTACCTCGAGGACTTTGCGGACGATGTTGTCATTTTGGTTTAGAGAGTAGATTAGCGGTTGATTCGACTCAAATTGAACAAATCACGGTCGTCCAACGATGTAGAAATTGCGTGGAATATTTCAACAGGGAGGGACACGAGAGCGCACGCAGAAGCCATGGCTGCAGAGACTTAGGTAGTTTTCAAGATAAGAAGGGCGTATGCTCACACGAACAGTTGGAAGTAAAAATAAACCTATGAGAGGTCCCACAATGTGGACTGTAGAAGCATTAGTAATTGGAAGGTATCAGCACAAGCCTCAACCACGATCGGCATCGCGCAATCTAATTTTGTGGCGTTTTATTTCCTGCATTGAGATGGAGACTTGCTAGATGTAAGTTCAGGCGGCTCGACAGCCCAATGATTCTTCCAAATGGCCGCGCAGCAAATTGAAGAAGCCTGCGAGAGGGAATTCCTTTTTGTGAGCGGAATTATCGAGCTAGGAGTGACAGGATGAGTAGGTCGTCGCGGTCGAGGTCTTTTATCAAGTCCAATCTGATATCCCTAAGAATTTTGTTTCTTGCCAAAACCACTCTACTCTCCCTGTGCGGTATTGTCCTTTTCGTAGTACTTGGCAATCTTCGATGATGAGTTTTATTCCCGGTCTGATTGTTGGGCTTGTGCTCCTCTCCACCATTGCTGGAACCCCTGGAGACCCAAGAAACCAAAATTGGAAAGCTCTGAAGACAGAGGCGGCCCTTTCAGGATCAAGCTGGGACTGAGAACTTTGTAAATTAGCGCAGTTTATTGGGGCTCCTGTGGCTGTGCCTTCTCACCTTGGAGACATTCTTGCTGGTGGGTGAATTGTTTGAGAGAGAAAATTTGGTATGCCGTAGTCTAGAAGAGGCCGTCAACCGTTTATTTGTATTTGAGTTGTAGGGTATGTGCACTGGCACTTTGGACAATGATTGGACGCATAGAAGCCACCAAGCCCCATACTCCGGACCTGTGACTTCCGGGACATGTATTTTGTGTTACGAATCTCATTATTGGAAAAAGGCTCGTGCACATGATGTCCAGAGTTTCCATTGGCCTCAACGGGTCGCCCCACCTGAATTTGTGACATGGTGTTTTGAAAGATCGCGTAACAAATAAAGGGGCACTGATCGGCCCGCTAATCCCCAAAAGTAATAATCCACCTGCACATCAACTGGGGGTTCCTGGGACCCATGGTTACAGCGCTGGGCCTCGCTTATTGCCTTCACATGCTGTAAACTATGGTAAAGCCACTTGAGGCTAGATCATCATGACAGGAAGTGACGCGTGTTGACATACTTTTGCTCATTCATGCATGTGGACCAAGCTTCGGGGCATATGGCTCAAGCAATCTCCAACCATTCATCCCCTTGTGGGACCGAGCTACAGGATTGTTTGGATGCTCAGATCTTCAGCGAATATCAAATCATTCAATATGCCCAGGTAATTTGAGGCGGCTCTACCCTCATATCAATGGCTGACAGAAATGATTAGGAATTTTGCAATCTTGGAAATTACCTTTCCTTAAAGGCTGTCAAGCAAGGGCTCAGAAAAACTTACACTCCGGCACATGATATGCCAGAGCTTGACAGTCTCTTCAAGTTCAGAGACGAAATACCTGCACTGCTCCCCATCGACACGGCAGCGAAGAGGTTAGCAAACACAGACGACTCAATATTGGCCCAGGCATGCATTGAGCAGTGTACACTCTATTCACTGGAGAAGACTATATCAGTGCAGGCAGGGATAATATCATACAATAGTCGGCATCCCAGAAGGAGTATGCAAACTCCGGAGTCGAAGAATATCTCTGAGCCTTTGGAAACATCATTCGAGACACTATGTCGGAGAAACGGAGATCCAAAACTGCAATTCCAGACGTCTGAAAAGATGGATTATCGTCCTTCGAGCCCAGAAAATGGTGTCCCATTAAATGAGTATTTCCCTTGTTCTGATAACACGGGCGTTGATAGCACAAACCCGAAAGGTTTTCTGAGATTTATGTGTTATCATTCACCTTGTCTTTGAAGTTGATTCTACAGTGGTTAGCACTTGACACGCTAGACGTGGCAGCCGATTCTTTTATTTTGATGTATTTTGAAATTATCCTTCATCACATTGTAAATAGTCAGTTGTCCTCTATTACCATTTCACAAATTCGTTGAGAAAGCGAGTCCCTCGCAGTTTTTCGCAGTCTGGCACTCCACAGGTAGAGTAAAAATGTATGGGCTCTACAATCCGGCTCCCACTAGCTACATAAAATTATGCAATTTCTTTTGAATCTGATGGTCTTGCCTTTGAAAGGGCCGCAAAGTAAGGCAGGAAAGTAAAAGTGGAGCTGCCTGTGCTGGTTGTGACTTGAGATTGGTCCAACTGTTACCGGCCAATACTCTCCACGTATCACTGCGCCGCACGACTTGCCATCTCCAGGCACACGTATTGAGCATTACGTCGGCCATTGGTAAGAAAAGGTGCGTGCGCATGGCACCTAGGTTTTTTATTGGCGGTATCGAGTAGCCCCACCTGGTTTTGTGACATGGTGTTTTGAAAGATCGTGTAATGAAACAAGACGCGCTGATCGGGCCACTAATCCCAAAAAGGAACAATACATGGGCATCAATCGGTGGTTCCTAGGAGCTCACGATTGGACCGTTTCTGGTGAATTGATAGGATGCTAGCCATTGTATGAGGTTTAAGCGAGGTTGGCTTTCCGGTGTAACATAAGTACGCCCCCCGTAAGCCCCCTAATTTCACTCGTATGGTTCCTTGTTTGGAGAAACGACCGTACTTGTGCGCCTGGGTCTAGACCAAGTTCTAGGCACAAGACAAGACAATTGTCAATCATTGGTACGTTTGGCGGCTTGAGTGGACCGAAATTTCCTAGTCGAAGGATTCAGCTGGCCAACTTTCTCCACTGTGATAGTGCTGCAGACTGAAGACTAGAGTTGTTGCGCGCAATAGTTCCAGCAATCGAAGCTCACCCTCTTGAGGCAAAGACGAGTACGCCACCCAGTATGGCCATTTGTCAATGCATCTACAGGGGGGGACCATTGGACTAGTCCCAAACTAGTTGGCCCCTAGAAGCTATGCGCGGATAGGATTTCGGGATTAGTGCCTTTTCACTTGTATATGAATCTCGCCAACGAACGCGCTATTCATCGCGACTACTTTCGAGCATTCGTGATAGACGGAATCACACCCCCTGTGCCAAAGAAACAATTCACTGGCTGTCTATTTTTTTCATCTCCCATGCCGAACGCTGAAAATCCCGTCAATACCTACTTACGTCTGTCGCCGACGCACAATGTCTCCAGTTCCACAGGCAAGGGCTTCGGGCCCTTTGCAACCATTGATTCCTACCTCCGAAGTGCCGGGGCTTGCTCTTCTCACGATAGGCTCACAAGGAAAAAAAAGCGAATGTAAGTGGACATAAATTAACCCTTTTTGACCCGTGACTGACATATCCCATTTCGTTCAGCCTGCAGCCAGCCTGGTTCTCAATGTCAAAGATTAAATTATCCCGACACTAAGCAAAACCCCCAACTATCTGCCCTCGCTCATCTTCTAGCCTGCGGAGGGTGCCGACGGAGGCGATTTCCATGCACCGCTGTCAGAGATGATTCGTGGCCTTGTTCTGGATGCAAGAGATTGAATCATTCCTGCACTAATCCAAACCCTCAACCGTTTACCTCAGATGAAAGCCAATGGCAATTTTCGCCCGGCGATGAAGCTTGGCTTATGATGAACGAAAGCCTCAAAATGCAGCCAAGCTTTCTAGACACCACTCCTTACGACGAAATTTCAATAAGCCCGAAATCTCCAGGTTCCTCCGAGCATTATGAGCCCCCTTCACACGAAGCCGACTTCCGATCCTCAGATAGCCAATACACCCTCAACTGGAATACAAACAACTCCAATGGAAGTAAGTACCATAGTACTATGTACAACGCCATAAATCGACAAAGGTCTCTACCCCCAGGAAAACAGCTGAAGGTTCAAGAAGATATGATCAACAAACTATTATCTTCGGCCATTTTCAAATCAAAGAAGATACGCCCAGAGTCCTTACGGGTTGCCTACAACCATGTCCTCAACAAAATCGATCCGGGTGAGGCTAAAGAAGTTCTCAGTGGTTGGTACTCTTCTATGCAAGGAACAAGCCAGAAAAAGCAACCTGAATGGCAATGTCCAGCAGGTAAGAGAGTCAATCCCGGCGCCATAGTTTTCAATGACTGAATAGATGCAGACAGCAATGAAGCTCTTCGCTATATTCTGTGTGGACATCATGGCGGGCTGTTTACGATTGATGCATTGAATCAATCATTGCAAACTTCCAACGCTAGTCGGGTGACGCGACAGAAAATAAAATTCATTATGGTCATGCGAGAGCTTGAGCGGAAACTGAGGCCGGACGAATTCCCCGGTGCGCTTTTCTTGATCTTCCTGATATGCAGAGACATACTAACGTGATTATTGCATGCTCAAGACCCCAACCGGTGTACTGTGCCTGAGCAAGCTATTTCATCAATGGAAGGATATCCTCAGCCCACCTTGGGCGAGGTGCCAGCTATATCTGGTGTAGATTCACCACTGGCGTATGGCCAGTGGGCCTCACCCAGCGCATCCGCAGTGCAGCAGAGGACTAGCGATGAAGGTTGTTGGGAGGAAAATCCTAACGACGGCCCCCCGAGATCTGAATACCCCCCATATCAGACCGCAGGTCCTATGGATATTGACAGTTCACGTTCCCAGACTAGCTCTGCCAGCTATGTTGTCCCTGATACGCAAGTACCCAAGCACCAGAAGAAACGTCATGTTTGTCAAACTTGCGAAAAGGCTTTTAGATCACCTTACGCGCTTCGCATGCACCAGCTCACCCATACAGATTTAAAGCCTTTTCACTGCTCCTATGAAGGATGTGACCAGTCTTTCAACCACAAAAGTAATATGAGACGCCATAAGCTTCTTCACCTTACCCCTGAGATGCAAGTATCCGAACACCAGAAGAAACGTCATGTTTGTCAAACTTGCGATAAGGCTTTCCGAGACCTGTCCGCGCTTCACATTCACCACCGCACCCATACAGGTGTGAAGCCTTTCCGCTGCTCCTATGAAGGATGTGGCAAGTCTTTCACCATCAAAGGCAATATGACAAAGCATGAGCGTATGCTCCACTATTCTCTTAGTCGGAAATCGAAACCAGTAAGCTCTACTTGATAGAGTGTTAGAGAGGGGTCAGGTGACCCCCTCTGGGTATATCTAGATTCCAGTGCTTGCCTGCTTTCTTCCTTCCTTTTCCCTTCTTCTTCTCTCCATCCCCCCGAGAGAGATTGTCCATAGCCAATCCAGATGCTTTTCTCTCTCCGTTCTTTCCCCTGAGCAGCGGCTGTATTCCACCGCGCTGACATAGAGCTTGTCGAGTAATTGGGGACATGTATCGACTTTGATAGGGCGAGGCAGAGGATGTCATCCAGCAACAGGAGATGATGCGATCTGGTACCAGCTGTTCACGAGACCTACCGCTCCGCACGAATCGAATCGAATCCGGGAAAAGTTCGATTCGATTCGATTCGAATTAATACTATACTTTATTGTTAATTGGTGTCAGGGGCTCATTCCAATTCTTCGCCATCTGATTCGCTCATAGGTGCGTACTCCCGCGAGGAGCGGCCGTCGCTGGAACACCACCCCACGATACAAAGTGGTACGCCTGGATTAGGCGCGTCTGTAATCGGTGCCCGGGTCCTAAAATTAGAAGCACAAGAACAAACAAACCCGAAGTCATCGTTAAATCATACTTTCTCTCAGCGCCCATTCACTTAAGGAACTTCAATAGGTAGCCGTTGAGAGCGATTGATTGGTTGGATTCTGAGGTGATGTAACCATATCCGGGCAAACAAGATGATGACTTTATCCGTTCACTTTAGGTACTTTTCGTGATTGGCTTCGATTATAAAGACGTCGTCAATATCATCGAGCCAATTGAACACTTGAACAAGAATCTCAAATGGAAGATCTTTAATACGATTACTCATGTTGGCTGTGCTCCAATGGGTAGCATGTGGAAGATGGAGGTTGAAAGGTGAGAGAAACTTGGAGCTCGCGGCTTTACTATGTAGTGCGCCCGAGACATCCACGGCCCGTAATGTAAAATAAATGCCAGCTCTGAGCCGGAGGCTAGTCAGGTTGGCATGCGGGAATAAGAGTGATGCAGGAAGTGAAGGGCGAACAGGCTCTAGGTGATTCGATACGCTCCTAGTATTGTATAGATGAGGCTAGGCCCCAGACAGCGACTCTTATATACAAACCAATTAGCGTCCATCAAATTACATGCCTTAGGCTACAGAAGGGAATAACAAGATAAAAGGACCAGGAAAATCATTTCTAGGCGCTGTCCCAATCCAAAACGCAGAACCGAGGTGACGATCACTTGAAGGGTTTATGGCGGCCTGGTTGACACGTTGGGCAGAGTCCTGCTCAAAAGCCCTGGCGGTGTTGGTATGAAAGCTTCATAATAACTGTAGCCTGTTGGGTGCGGTAGTTTCGCACTAGATAGCATACCCATCGATGCTCATACAAGAGGCCTGCGAAACAACCTAGCTTCCCAAATTATCCCAGTTTTGGATTTGGCGCAATATATGGGCGCCTACAGGAGCAAAAGTGTCAGAGTTTGTGATATTTGGTCCATCATCGAGTTTTTCGTGCCCTTCTTCACCCCTGCTCATAGATGGGCGGTAAATCCGCCGCGAGAGAAGCTATTCCATTCAATATTGGAAATACAGCGGCATTGTACGGTTCAATTCGTTTGTTGGATTGGAGGCACCTGTAGGCATCACAGAAGGATTAGACAGAGAATGGAAGTACTGTAAAAGGAGCATACTTAATGGATCTCAGTATGTCCTTATGTGACCCTTTCCTTCTCCCGAATCACTACATGATCTCCCCCATTCGTTGAGCTTACCTATCAATAGCGTTTGTCACATTTGGAAGGCAGGGTCTGGCATTCTTCGAGTCAACCGCGTTGAAGTGTTTGTTCTCGTCGTCATCGTCCGTCTGTTTCAAACAGGGCCAGAATCTGACTTCGTTTCGCTCCATTTCACCCACGAGGTGAAGGCAGTCGGACGTAGAAACTTGAGAACTCCAGATCTGAGCGACGGCCATCTTGAACATGGCTTGTCCTCTTCCCTCTCTTCCATCCGCGCCGTGTCATGTTTTTTGAGAACTTTTAATGCGTCCACTTTTGTTTCGAGATGGTTCGATTTTAAAGGATACGCTGCAAGCGTATATGCGCCGGAGCTCGTGGTATGGCATGACGTTCCGCTGTATGTTTATACCGAATATTCCACAAGAAGTAGCCGAGGCTTGACGAAGCTCGTTATGCACAGCGCGTGGATGGGTTGTTCTCTTGAGATCAGCTACTTTGGAAGCGCACTTTGATGCGTCAGGGCAGTGCTGTGCATGTGCGAATTTATGTCAGTTGATGGCTCAGTAGGGCAGAAAGGAGTCAACAGTTGGACGAAGGGACTGTTCCTCTGGTTGACATGACGAAAAATGAAGACCTCGGGCTTATCTGAATGCAGAAAGTTGAAAAGCGCTGTTTTTGTGGAATGCGTACCCTATTCGATGGCTGAAGATTCAGCATGACTTGTGCAAGCGAGATGGGTTGAAACGGGCTCTGAAGGGGATAGCCCGACTTAGCCGAAACTCCCTTGTCCGCCCCGACCCAAACCTTGTCCATATCAATTGATCGCAGAGTTAAAACACCTACTTCCTTCAAGGTACTCCTTTATTCAGGTCACTCATTGCTGACCGTGTGAACACGAATCAATTTTCAAAATTCGAGGAGACGCGAGCAATCAATACCGGGAGCAGGTCTATGGCCAAAATATGGATTTTGACTGTGTCATCTCCGCCAATCTTACTTAAATGGAATACAACGCAGTTGTCTTGGAGCTTACATCCGCCACAAAGTTTTCTTTCTCGACCTGACATCTGGACTCGCAGCATTGGTGAAACGGTCGATAGGAATCGACCCAATTCAAAAATGACTGCATGGAACAAACTCGAGTGGCACGAAAGTATTCTCTATCCCTAAGCAAAGGTCGCTCCATATTGCCTACTGACCAACAATTCTTACCCTGCTGACTCTACACCCATGAAAGACCTTCCCCCAGTCGAACAAGTCCCGTCAAGATAACTCCGAAACGCTGCGATTCTCCGCATAACCCTCCGTTGTGATTCTGGCACCCTTCACGACCAAGAGGTCCCTCGTAGGGCAAATTGCTGGTTTCCATTGATCAGCTGATGGCAGTCGCTATAGTGACTTCTTGGAGAGGGAGCACAACAATCGGAAAGACTGCCATCGAGTAAGTCGGTTCCCACGAAGGATCCTACATACAAATTGTACAATGCTAGCCGGTCAGTAGCAAGGGAGGCACCTCCATCCCCCAAAATACTCTAGCGGGCCTCTCTTCCCACCACATAATTGTTGACATGACCATCCTCTTTGCATGTGTCTATTAGGAAAATTCGCTCATGGCTGGCCCTTGTTGTTGACAAGGATTCTTTCAAACTATTCAGGTTCGTCATTGAATTTTAAATAAGCTTATAATCTGTCTTCACGCGCTTGCCTTCTACGTGATCGAAAATTAGCTAGATTCTTAAATATTGTTTTCGGCATTCAAGCTGCAATGAAATAATTCAAGTCAAAATCATACACAAGTGCCAAAGTTCGCTTCTTATACAACCAAAAAAGGGAAACATGACTGGACAAAGATGGCAGTGAAGCTGATTGCACTTTAACGAAGTCAGGTTGTAGGACGCTCATCAAAGAGACTCTAAATGAATTCAAAATGCAGTCTGGATGTGCTGTTGAGGTTTGGGCGCGACAAACCAACTCGTTAAGGCGATCAGGATTGACGTGTACGTAAATATAGCGGTAGGGTTTGATCAGATGTAAAGACTTCTGATTCAAGCTTAGGGCGCTATGTGCTTGTTTGGATTGATAGTGTGGAAGTCAGAGAAGCTGGACCTTAGGGGGACCAAACACCACTGCTCTTTGAAATTAATTGAGTGAGGGGTAGCCTGCCCACCGTGCGCTACTACTACTCTCCAATCAAATCGGTTCAAAATATTGAGTCGCTTACCGACCATCACGACGATATGACACGTCCTATATATTAGCTGTAGCTGTGGCGCAAGTTACATGTGTGTTATAGCCAATCTAGTAAGCGGAATGATACTCTTCCGGTTACATATCTGGTCATGGCCTATCCAGCCCAGAAATGAGACCAAGCCCCAAGTTCTCAACTTGGACCAATTGGGGTAAGATTTTCGTGGTATATTTGATTGTTTCCTTGGTACATCCGGTCTAAATCCTTATAACCAGGCAAGCGGCCATTTCCTCTCTTGCCTCTACAGATCCCAAGCACATGCATTTACCCTGGTCGCTTGGCTCAATTCTCTATACCCAGTCCTACAGTTTTCAATACTCAAGCTACTCTTAGCTTCAAAATGTCACTCAAAGTCAGTGTACTACTTTGCCGGGGCGCTACTATCAAGGATATCTCTACTGACATATTAAATCTAGACGATGAGGATCCAAAGCTCTCCCTGCAAGAAATGCGATGAATATTCTCGTCTGTGTTCCCCAATGCAACACATCCAGGACATGGGAATCAACTGCGGGGTGTTGTGCGCCATTCGTGTGGGTGCGAAATACATTGAACTGGCAGTGGAGCCAGACTCAGTCGATCAGATCGGTGAGAATTTCAAAGACTGGACCATGTTTCGATTCGACTTCAATGCGGATCCTCTTTTTACAGCGGAGATTGGAGTCTCCCATGAGACTACTGTAAGTCGCGTATTAAGCCAAATCCGCCGGGAATATGAGCTTGTGTACACCTGTCACATTCAGTTGCGGCACCCGGATGAGCGCGTCACAAATTGGCTCGCAGAACAAATTAAGGCCGTTGATAAGCGAGTGGCCTTGATGACCCAATGGGATTTTTCAACCTGATCATGGGAACTGAGCTGGAATACGAGAAGCGAGAGCAACGTAATTGACATTGCCGAGTCAAGTTCCTGCACATATCCTTTTCGATCTTTGAATCTGCCCAATTACCTGCATGTCAATACATTATTCCGGTGAAGAACATTTCATGTTGTCTGAAAGATAAAATGTAGCAGTCGATAACAAGGCCACATAATCGCCTTCAACCTTCTGGCAAATACAGACAAGCGTTAAAGTGTGCGTTTATCGTAATTCAAACCATTTGAGTTTTCAAAGGTTTTCTTGCCAGGGTATCAGGGTATGCGGTCGTGATCAGCATTTGGTCCCAGGGAGCTTGAGTGATGCTGGGCCAAGTCTTGCAATCATTGTGCCTTTCGTCATTCTAACTGACAACAAATTTGCGCATACACTACGCACAGGTGTGGTGATACCGTGTTCGTTGAAAATTCATGAGCTCGGCTGGATTCGTTGAAAGTGAGGAGCACTGCAAGGTTCATGAAAGCATTAGCGTGATGTTCTGAAACTATCAATATGTTTCAATCTAACAATCAATGAGAAAGAGACAAACATAATTTGAAGCTTGCACCGCGGTGCATCGATCGAACCAAGGACTGGATACTGAGGAGTGTCGGCAAATCTCCATCTCACGAGGGTTTCAAGGAAGATAGGTGGGTGTGCTCTCTTTCAAAGAATATTTCAGAAAATGCGGGCCTTCCATCTGCATTTCAAGCAGACATTCGTTTGTTGTTACTGAATAGTAAACATGAAGTGGCCCGCATTTGTTCCGGGCTCCAGGTATGCTAGGTTGAGAGATTCACTCGAAGAGCGCGCAGGTTCAGCGGTAGTCGATGACTGACTGAGAATAGGGCAACGTGGAGCGTAAGTGCAGCTGAATAAAGATGAGGTGGTCAGCTTTGATCTGATCGGAGGGCGCTGAGTGTGGGAAAGTATCCTGCAGCGATCAACCGTAGACTTGCCATCACGACCATCTACACGAAGACCAGATTGTGCTCCTAACTAGCATGCATGTCCAATGTTCTTGCAAAAACACAATCTTACTTACCTAGGCTTCAGGTGCTCGCATGCAAAAGCATTGCAAACATTGAGAGAGTAGGCGACTGGGCATAGCATTTCGGCTCGCCCTGGCTTTGTCGCTGAATCTCAAGCTGGACTGTACATGTAACGTCAATTCAGGGAAAGCAAAGCATGTTCACCGCGCTCATGTAGCTATTGCGCAAAAAAAAATCCCGAGATGATAGTGTAGGACAGGGAGTGGAAGGGGGGGTGGGGGTAGGAGGAAGAAAGAATAGTGGGAACGTCTGTCCGGGCCGGCAGGCGCTAGTTAGTTCCCTTCGATTCTTTTCTTCCCGAGACCAGTTCATCTACACCCCATTTCTCCGGTTGACAAAAAAGTTCTTGCCGTGTGAACTCGCATCTCCCTTAATGAAAACGCATATGCACCATCGTGCACTTCAAGCCAGTCCATATTTTGAACTCTTCCTCTTGACTGCGAACAGACAGCTGGAGCAAGACTTGTAGGCATACATGATCCCTGATTTCCTTATGACTTATCTTTGGAGAAGCTTGCTAACAGAGGGACCATGATGTCAGTACAGGTTCTTTCCCAACGTTCGAGCCGACGAGCCCCCTATTGAAAAACCATATCAACGATTTCATCTGACCCCCAATGATGGGCTTGTGTTTCCCAAGGCAACATTTCTTCGGTTTCCAAATGCGCTCCTTCGCGAATGGATTGATTGGATTTGGCCCGAACAAGACATGGTCAGACAACTTGAAAGATGAATTATCTCTTCAGAAAGCCATTTCAACGTCAAACACCTCGATACACACACACACACACACACACACAATTCATTAACGCCCGGCGGCTCAGCCGAAAGGGCAACTATCACTGATCTAATGTACATGTCCAAAAATATATGCCGTGTCTCCTTAGAGCCCATACACAAAATAGTCCCAGTGTATATCATCTCGCTTATGCACGTCGTCGGAACACCTCAATGCAGTCGGTAGCGAAATCAGCTTCCTCCCTACAAACTGCTTTTCTTTTCTCGGGCCCCACTGTCAAGGCCCTAGCGCAGGATCTTCATTGACTGGACCGCGCTAAAGTCGATTGTAAGTTATACATTATTGAGTACGTCTGGAACTATATGAAAATAGGGCCGCTACTTTACCAATCAGATGCTTTTCCAGATTCCAAAACCTTCCTGCCATTGCAGTTATGCATCGTTGGACGTATATATGTATAGATCTATTATTGGAATGAATGACTCTGAACAGCCACAACATAAAGGCAAACATCCAGGAGTAACTAGCGGCCATTACCAAACCGCTCCCTTGAAGTGTCACCGCCAACATCTGCTGTAGTTGATCGATTTCTGCTGCTGGGCGATACCCTTTGCCTCGCCCTATCAAAGTCGATACAAGTCTCCAATTACTCGACAAGTCCTGTCATATGGGGTTTGCTGTTTTTGATTGTCGATTCAGAGAAGAGTGGAAATTACGCTCATGGCGATTCTTATTACCTTCCCGTTTGAACAACCTTCCACATCCATCATAGGAGCAGCGGAAGGGCTGCTCACATGCATGGCTGCGGTAGTGACGGCGAAGCGTGAATGTGTCTCGAAAATCCTTGCCGCAATTCTCACAAGTATGGAGTTTCTTCTGGGGTGTGGGTGGTCTGGATTCTGGTTGAACGTGGAGAAGCTCATGGAGGTTCTTATTACCTTCGCGAATGAACAGCCTGCCACATCCATCATAGGAGCAGCGGAAAGACTGCTCATCAATTTTATGGGTGCAGTAATGATTGCGAAGCCCGGATTCGTTCTGAAAAGCCCTGCTGCAAGATTCACAAGTATGGGATTTCTTCAGGGAGTTCTTCTGGGGCTTGGATGGTTGCATATCAGGGAAAGCGTAGCTGGCAGAGCTAATGAGGTATTCAGATTTTGAGTGCAAGTCGTCGTGAGTTTCTATCAGAAAGCCTTCATCGACAGTGCTCTGCAGTGCAGATGCGCTGGATGAAGGCCCCTGGTGTATCGCAAGTGGTGAGCCTACACCAGTTATGGCTGGCACCTCATTCAAGGTGAGCTGAGGATATCTAGTCGAGGTATCCCTATTTTGAGATGCCGACTCAGCTTGCTCAGGCAGGGTATTTCGGTTGGGACCTTGAGTGTGCAGGAATGACGTTAGTATATCTCTGAGTATCAGGAATGTTAACAAAAGCGTACAAGAAAATTGGTCCAGCATCCGTTTCTCAACCTTTCGCAAAAACATAATCCATTGCAATTTCTCTTTTGTTGTGTGGCTAATGTTGGAACTTTCCAATGATTGATTTAAATCACCAATCGTGACCAGCTCACCGTAATCTTCACACAGTATATAGCGAAGATCGTCTTTCCTCTCTGCATATATTCATTCAGTGAAAATATGACGCCAGTGTTGACTCTCTTACCTGCTGTAAATGGCCTGTCAGGTTGCTTATTTTGCAACCGAGAGTGTCCTATCCTGTCTAAAACCGAGACCCAGCAACTCCATATTTTTTCAGCCTCACTCGGATGCAGACTGCTAAAGACGTGGTTGTAGATATCCCCTAAGAACCGTGGACGAATACTTGTTGATTGGATCATATCCAAAGATAGTTTGGCAATTAAGTGCCTTGCAATCCCACAGTGTTTCGCTGGGGTAAAAACTTTTGTTAGTTAAGCTTTGTGAATAGACCTATTGTACTTACTGTCATCGTGCTCGTGTATATTCTCACCGCGGGTGTGTTGGCCATATTGAGGCTGAAAATCGGCCATGGGTAAATAGGGCGCACAATTCTCAGACAAATCTGGGGATTCCGGCTTTTCTGACATGTTGTCGACAGGAGTAGTGAGTATAAAATTTGGCTGCATTTTGGGGTTTTCGTTTGTTATTAGGCAAGCTTCAACGCAGGTCAAAATTTGCCTTGACCTTCTATCTGGAGGTTTGGATTGGGGGTTTGAATTATTGCAGGGAAGATTGAATCTCTGGCATATAGAACAAGGCCAGGAATCATCGCTAACAGCAGTACATCGAACTCGCCTCCGTCGGCACTCTCCGCAGGCTAGACGAAATGAGGATGTGTCAGTCACCGGGCAGGAAGGGTTAATTTATGTCCATTTACATTTCACTCTTTTTTCTTGTGAGTCTATTGCAGGGAGAGCAAGACCCGGCCCTTCGGAGCTAGAATTCAACAGGTGGAAGGAGCCCGAAGCCATTGTCGGTGAAAAAGGAGACATTGTGGTCTGCGACAGGTGTAACCAGATATTGAAGGAATATTCAGTTTTAGACGTGAGAGATGAAAATGGTAGATAGCCAGTAAATTTTTCCTGGGCACAGGGGTATGATTTCGTTTATTGCAAATGCTCGAAAGTAGTCGTGATGAATAGTGCGTTCGTTGGCGAGGTTCATATACAACGGAAAAGGAACTAGTCCCGAAATCTCATCCGCGCATAGCTCCTAAGGGCCAACTAATTTGGGATCAGCCCGATGGTTCCCCCATCTAGATTCATTAACAAATGGCCATACTGGGTGGCTTACTCGTCTTTGCCTCAACAGGGTGAGCTTCGCGTGCTGAAACCAATGCGCGCATCAATCCCAGCGTTCAATCTGCAACACTATCACAGTGGAGAAAGTTGGCCAGCTGAATCCTTTGATTGGCTTTGCTCCACTGAAGCCTCGAATGATTGTGATTTGTCTGTCTTGTGCCTAGAACTTGGTGCAGACCCAAGAGCACAAGCACGGTCGTTGCTCCAAATGACGAACCATATGAGTGAAATTAGGGGGGCTTACGCGGTACGTACTTATGTTACACCGGCAAAGCCAACCTCGCTTCGACCTCATGTAATAGTTGTACCCTATCATCATCCTGAAACGATCCAATCGTTAGCTCCTAGGAGCTCGTGGATGCGCAGGTGGATTGTTCCTTTTGGGATTAGCGGCCCGATCAGCGTCCCCTGTCTCATTACACGATCTTTCAAAACTCCATGTCACAAAGCCTGGTGGGGCTGCTTGCCGCCACCAATTAGACCGCTAGCTGCCATGTGCACGCACCTTTTCTTACCAGTGGCCGTCGTAATTCTCAATACGTGGGCCGGGAGATGGCAGACGTGCGGCGCAGGGATCACGCTGCTCTCAAGACCTGTCGGTACGAGGAAATCAACGTATTGGCCGGTAACGGTTGGACCAATCTTAGGTCGCAACCAGCAGTGGAAGCTCCCCTTTTTTCCCTTGCCATTTAAAGCGGCCATTTCCAGTCAAGACCATCAGATTTGATTTGATGAATTTTCTGTGGCTTTAAAATGCTATGGTAATTACCGAAACTTCTAAGCACCCAACAAAAGATCCAATTAACATTCCTGGCGCGACGCATCTACCTAGAAGGAATTCGTCGCACCTCACGTTTCAAGAGTCACCCCGGCAATAGAGCACGTTCCTGCCACCCGACTCACGCACACGCCTGATGTTGATTCCACCTGGTGCCATCTATAGGCAGTTCGGGCTAATGCAATTCATGCTGTCCGTGTGTTTTGTTTCAATAAAGACAATAAGGCAAGAAACGGGCAAAGATACAGGGTCTATGATGGCGAGCCCATTAGCCGCAATTTCCAAATCTGTCTTTATGCAAGACCTATCACGAAAATGCGACATGCATCGTTCGTTGGCGTTATGGCTTATCGCATATAACACAAAGTCCAACCATGAAGTAACTATCTGGATGCCTGAAGCGGGGTGTCAAAGACATAATAGCTTATTTAAACCGCTCAAATCTCATGGTTCTTGTTCACTCTTTCGTTCTTGTCAGACTAACCGTCTACTCTTCATTTTTAACACCCTCCTCCCTTCCTCAGTTTTCACCATTTGTGGTTTTTAGTGACCAACAGGTCTTGCCAGTGTCTTCAGTTTCATCATCATTCCCCTAAGCTAGTGTGGTGGTGAGTGCGATGTGGGTGACGGATCTGACTATCCTAGCCCTCGTAGCGAAGCTCCACACGCAACTGCAGCCCAAGTGCTTGCCTCTACGGCTGAATCCCTGACATTTGCCAGAATGAAAGATCAATCTCTGGGAGGCATGTAATCGAGCTCAATTTTTCGACGCCCCGGGAATCCCCCCAAGAGCCCCGATGGTCAGATTTACTGCGATTACCCAGATTGCCAAGCTCAACCTCCTACTTTCCGTCGTGCTTGGGAATGGAAGTGACTACTCCGCAAAGCCTCCAATTTGACATCATATGCGCAGACCCCGCTAACAATATATTGCTAGTAAACATATGGATAAACAGGACCGTCCTTGCAAATGCCATGAGCCAGGCAGCAATAAGGATCAGGGATTCACCTACTCAGTTGGTATCGTTCGCCACCAACGCAAAGTACACAAGAAGAACACCGACGCTAAGAAGCCGCTCATGTGCCCTTATGCCGATTGCAAGCGCGGCACTGGAAACGGGTCTACGCGTCAGGAGAATCTTCGAGCGCATTTGCGCCGTTGTCACATGCACACCGATGACAATGGTAGGGGTTTGATGGTAGAGGGCATCCGTGCCAACTTATTTCCCGCAACCGGTATGAAGCGCCGACTCGACTCTCCCAATGAAGAGCAACAGCTGCCTGAAGAGGAGAGCGGAGACCTGCACAATGAAGTGAAGCGACTGCGCCGCGAAGTTCAGGAGAAGAATCGCCGCCTCGAAGAGCTGGATCGCATTGTGGCGGGAAGTCAGTAATCAACACTTCAACCCGTCCAGTCCGAGCCTGATAACTCCTTGTCCGATTTCCAGTTTCTTCCTCCCGTCCCGCAGTTTGCTGCATATCAAGTCTAATAACCTCCATTCATGTCTAGAAGCTCCATATGTCCCTATTTATAATTTGCCTCTTCCGTTCCCTTTCCTTTTTTTTTTCCCGTGGGTGTTAACCAAATCTTCCAAAAGGGTTTGGACTTGACTTCTTTGTAGGACGATTTTTGAATGCTTGAGTTCCGCCATCGACTGTGGACCTGATGCATATACTATTGTCCTACCACACCTGTGCGCTCGGTGGTCTAGTTGCATATGCACGGGTCATCTATGAGCAGCCTTCATATGTAGTCACAGCCGCGTGGGGCTCAGGAAGAGGAATGATTTTCCCGCACCGCTCTGTTGCCAAAGACTCCGATCATTTGAATGCCTTGTATCCCACGAATGACCAAGGTCTTTCAAACCGGTAGCTAAACTGGGTTGCTTCTGTTAGATGGCTCATCTAGTCAGTCACCCTCGTCATCCTTCTCCTACGAGGCCTTTAGTATCCGCTGCTCAAGCGCGTAGTCAACAATCTTGTCAAAAAGCTCAAGCCCATTAATACAAGCTAATCGCCAAGCACTTCCATTTTACCCAAATAACCTTGAATTAGCCACAATAGGTATAAGTGGGGCTAAGAAGTGGCATCCCGTGGCTGGCTCACAGTTTTCTATAAGATCACACACGAAATCATCGAGCAGTTACGGTGCATGAATCATTAAAGATTGAATGCTTTCCTGCCAAATTCGCCAATGTTGTAAAAGCGGACAGAGCAGTTAATTTTACTTACGCTATATCAGTAGTCAGTGGCCTCATAGAGCTGAACCATTGCTGAGAATGGGTGTCCCTTAAAAGATGCTATTATCTTCCTTCTAGTCTATGAAGTGTTACGAAGCCGAATCTCATCATTTATTTGACTGTTGCGTTGACTGTGTTAGCCATGGATTGGCATAACGGCCATTCATCATCAGAAGCTGTTGGTGCGTTAAACTTCCAGTCACTTTACCCCCATGGATGACCATTATCTTGCCTGCATCGACGATGGTGCTGAGCCGATGAGCAATAATAAGCAAGGTGCGGCCAGTGACGAGCGATTTTAGAACATGCTTTTCTGCTCTAGTGTCGAGCGCGGCCGTGGCTTCATCCACCAAATGATCTTGAGATCTTTGAGAATAGCCTGAGCAAGTGCCACACGCTGCTTTTCACCCCCACTTAGAAGAGAGCCTTGCTCTCCAAATCTGGTATCACAACCCTCAGGAAAAGCCACGATTTGATCATGGATCCCAACAGCACCGCAGGCCTGTAAATGTCGTGGTATTCAGCATCCTGATTTGCATACTTCAGATTATACATAAAGTGTCGTTGAGTAGCACGGGACTTTACGGTACGAAGCCAGTTTGCCTTTGAAGAGACTCAATAATTACATTATGTACGTTGTGTCCACGACACCCCTGGTAGCATTGTACAACCAGTAAATAAGCTGGAAAGTAGTAGATTTGCCAACACCAGATTCTCCAACTATAGCTGTAGTAGTTCTTGGTGGGCAGCCAAATGTCAGCCCTCTCAAAATAGGCTTTCGCGTATCATAGGAGAACTCAACACCCTGGAACTTGATTCCGCCCTCACATTTGTCAAATGGGATTGCATGAGAGCGATCAAATACCGTTGGTTGTTTCTCAAGGAGCTGTAACATGCGTTCAGCATCGTTGAGAGCAGACTGAACCAACAAATAGAACTTGCCAAAGAAAGTCAACGGACGTTGGAGCTGCGACATGACCCACGGGTCGTAAGCCAGCAGAGACCTGATACACGGCAATAGTCCCCGTGAGTAGCAAACAATTTGATAGAACAGTTGTCGGAGTGGTGTTCAACAGCATTCCCCGCAGCGATGAATGAAACTGAAAACTCTGGAAAATGCTGACAGCGCGGCCATATCGGCGGGTCTCTTGCTTGTCTCTGTTGAAGTACCTGACTTCAGTATATGACGCAATTGAGTCATTCCTAAAATAAGATGTTAGCCTCTTCTCTCTAGGCGTTCCAGATGGTGTGGTGATCCGCATATATCTTTACAGCGGTAGTTGTGCTCGTTAACATTCTTTCCATCATGCAATGGATTACTTGCCTTCAGTAATGGCGACTAGTGGACGACGTAAAAGAGGTGGAATGACCCGTATATGTTCACCTTCAAGTCGGAGATTCGGAGGCATTGGAATAATTCGATGCGCGGTGGCTGAATAGTCTGGGCAGACGACAGTCCCAACCCCAGGTCACATAAAACCAGGTAGGCCTGCGCATTGGCAGTGACTTTTTTGGCAGGCTAACTAGGGCTTCATGGGTCACCGCGGTCTATAAATTTATCATAAAAGTGAATCGAAAGTCAAATCAGGCTTCATATTCGTAGTGCTATTGGACTTTAGCAGCACAATTTAAGATATCTTGCTCATTCAGGCATTCTTTCTTCTCTGCCACCGGAGGATCATACTGTTCGGAAAGATGAAAAGGGTCTACAATCCAAGAGTGCTGCTGAAACAACCTCACTTCCTTCTCACTGGTATTACCGTCATCGAGCCAAAGCCAGTCATCGTAGCGTCTATGCCAATTGTAAAGGCAGGATGTTGCGCTCCATGATTGCTCATCAGCACTTTCACGGCTATGATACTCCAAATTGCCAATCAGTGTTTTTCTATACATCTAAGGAGTTCAAACTTACCTTTGAATGGCTGCACGGTCAGCATCAACAAAGTCAAGATATTGCATGTTCCGAATAGGATAAAAACTCAGCCAACAGATCATGGTCATGGGAATTGTGTCACCTGAACGTAATTTCCATAGTGCAACCCAGGACAAAGGCCTATGTTTGTGACCATCATGAGCAGAAACATCAAGGCTCAGATTATCGTTCGTTGTGATTCCAAAAGGAGGAGATGGCGTCCAGGGCACTGACGTTTCTACTCGACAATAAAAAGAAGTCTGGAATTATCTGGCTCGAAGAATCGTGGATTTCGCATGCGTCTGATAGTAGTTCACTCGTAGAAACGACTGCAGAGTGTTTGTCAAAAAAGCCGCAACAAGGTTAATTGGAGGTAGTCGCTTCAAGGCCAATTTTAAAAGCAGCAAAGCTTGATCGTTCATCAGGAGAGAGAGCCACAAAAGGCTCAGTTTCGGAGCTTTGCTTGAGATCGCGTTCAGAAGCATCGTGTTATTAGGATCTGAACGTGGCAAACAAGACTGCTCGATACCGAGAAATGAAGATCCTACTAAATTGCATGGGACGCTGGGATCGATGAAAGCACTACATGCAATCGACTCAAGCGCGTCTTCAGTGGCACTGAGGGATAAGATATTATCCATGCGCTTCAATATTTCATGATAAAGAGTATCGTCAATTTGAGATGTCGCTGGAGGTCGAGAAATGGTCATTGGAGAGGACATTTTTGGGGGTGGTCAATTTCGTGGCGGAAGTAACAGAACAGATGTAAGCCCAACAAAAAATTCTATTTCGAAGCCTTCCGAAGTGCAAAACTCTAGAAGGATATTGAACGCAAGTGATGAACCAGGTTGGACAGAAACCCAGTCGTAGCTAATAAGCACTTGTGAGCCGGAGTAGATAAAAGAGATCGACATAGTTACTCATTCTTGGAGATTTTCTTATCACGCCTGAGTATCCACGGTGAAAAGTAGCTGCCCCTTCTCGAGCAAGCAACCCAACGGCATTGAGTGACCATATCCCAAAGATTTTCAGGCACTGAATCGCCGCTTTGATGCAAAAGAACGCTACCTTGACCGGCAGACTGGAGTATTTCTACCCAGCGAGATGATAAGATATATGACCAAGCAAAAGAAATACTTGATAGGTATTCTGGCTGCAACCTTTTCGCTGCAAATGTCACGTTGCGTGGTGTTCCTAGTTCCACATTTATCTCGCAGACGGCTGATTGCGGAAACCCAAGACATTGCAGATAATCTAAGTGTTTCCACTGTTGGTCGCATTCAGGTTCCTCTGTAATATGAATATGAAATGAAGATCGGAGGACAAGCGGTGCTTTGGTACCGCCGATCAAATCAACATCCTTGGGTGGTTCATGGAAAAAAGGGGGTACGTTTTTAAATAAACCCAGGAAGGCGTCCAAGCATACTTCATGTGATATCGGAGTCTGCCGGTAGATGTCCGCTGCTTGACTCCAGGATCTGAAGCTAGATTGAAAGCACGATAGGAATTGTGATTCTGTCGGACAGATGCCGTCACCGGGGCACCACGCTTCAGTGTTGTAGTTTAGAGGTATGAATTGTCTTATTGTTCAGAAGAAAACGTGAGGCTATATACAACGAGAAGATCAAGTTGATTTCCAATCAACTTGACTCTTCGTATACATGCATCGGAGTTAATTCCGATGGTTCGGCTTGGTTCCTGATCTGCACCAGCCTTATATCACAACAGATTCTTCACCCCTCGCTTTTCTAAAGACAGTACAGTGCCCTATAAGAAGTACAATACACGGATACAAAGAGAGAATTCAGAAGTTAAAAGTCACGGAGTATATGAAAAGAAACACAGCATCGGCTGGGCTTCAGCATTGTGCTTCTCGCTCAATGGAGGAACATCTCGACACTCAGATGATTTCGCGGTTTTTCACTTCTTCGGAATTCAAACTGGAAACGACATTAGAGCTGATAAAATCATATCAAACTGTTTTGCAAGCCGGTGTCAACTTCGCACGACTATTTGAGATTCCGCTTGCCAGTGACCATAAAGCTGCCAGTCTTGGTCCACTTTTTAGCACACCTGACCCGCAAGTGCTGCACATGGAAGAGACAAGTGACTATACGGTCAGCTGGGCCGATGTCATACGATCTGTCGTATATAATGCAGAGCTACAAGACGATGGGGGTAATCATGTCAGGATTGGAAAGGGCAATGCATTACTGAAATTATCCAAAGCTGACCACGAATTCATTCGCACTAAAATTCCTCAACAACTTGTCGATCCCCATTCATACTCAAGCGATTTAGCTCTGGAGATATATGCTACCCGGCTCGCGAATGATCGCATGAAGCATTGGCAGGGGATAATCCAGCAATGTCTGTTATTTTCAACACCACGTATATTGAAGCGAATAAAAATGATGACGAACAATATGCTACTAACCCACGCAAATAACGGTGCTCTTATAAAGTTGGACGAACGGGTAGAATTTTTGGAAGGGAAGCGCAATGCCTTCGAAACCCAAGCGTGTGGGCTTGATAGGGACTTAAATGTTGAAATGGGTATTCCAGTTCTGCCCAGGAGAGCAGAGACTCCCTCATCGATCCGAAAAGTTACAAAAAAGAAAGGTTTGTATCCTACTACGTCTCTATGCTCAAAAGCTGACTTCCACAATAGTCAGAGGGGGCGTGGTCTTCCCCGGGATCATCGGAACTTATCGAATGAAACTCTTGAGCATGAATACACTGTCTTCTCCAGAAAAGACAGAAGCTATAGCTCGTTGCAGTCCCAAATGTATAAATTAAGTCGGGGCGACTTGACCAACAAACGACAGAGCGCTTCAATGAAACACAAAGTGCCGAGAGAAACATCGGCAGTTGCAATACATACCTTTATCCATGTCCCTTCTCTACATTCAGCCGATCTTCCACAACTGTCTGAAGCGATGACCTCAATCTCGAATTCCGTCTCGAACACAGGCATGTCTGAAATAGTGGCCGGGAAGGAGAGGATATCACCTTCACGCTCTGCAGAGCTCGTTCCCACGCCTGATGGTGTTGCTATCAACTCGAATTTGAGTGAAGGGTCAGGATCTGCGGATGGGGAAAGGACACGACGGGAAACCTGCGGGTCGAGTGATAGCAGTGTAGATCGAATGGAGCGAACGAGCCGACAGGGATTTCCACGTGAAGAACTCCCTCCTACGCCTTTGCAGATTGTTGAGCAACAGGCCTCTCCTGTTGGGCCGGGCGGGCAATCCTCAAGTCATGAAAGCCTGCGCAGAATACAAGATTCCCCATGGTCAGTGTCTTCCGATACTCTATCCTAGCACTAAATTACTTATCGGGACCATTTCTCGAGTAAAGGCGGCAAAGAAACCGACTCTACGTTTTGAGATGAACAGCAAAGACTGGATATAATTCTTACCAATCATTATTGCGGAAGCTAGTACCTCATCAAGACATTCCAGTCTCAGCTCCTCAATCCCTCACATCATCTACTGATACTCGAATGGCACCATCCAAAAGCTCAGCTCCACCAGAAGAAAATGGAAACGTCTATATTCCAACAGAGAGAGGAACAGTCACTCAAACATCTATCCTCGATAAGGAGGCTCATCCGACTGGAGAAATGTTTTCGACGATTGAAAATTGCATCAACGGATGGAAAGCTGTCAATCAATCCGGGCAATTAGATGGACGTGAGTCTACTGCTTCGCACCCATGGGACGATAAGGTTGGCGAGGAAGCAAACGGTCAAGACACAGCCAATAGGCCGGACTCATCCTGGGCATTCGTTGGAGATGAGTGGCAGCACAAATCACACGACTAAATTGGCAGGTAAGCGAAAACGTGCATACAAATCGAGAACCAAGACTCGCTGCATCACTTGTCGTCGAAGAAAGAAAAAGTGCGACGAGACCCAGCCTTCGTGTACGTAATATCCTATCGTGTTACCATCTGCTGTAGATAGGCTGACAAATATTGACGAGCTTTAGGTGAGAATCGCTCAGGCAAAGGTTTTCATTGTGAAGGTTATACAGTAATATTCGAAATTAGTTATACCGCCACACTCTTTTGACTTGATTGTCGGAAACTAATCCCGAGAGCTGCAAGTCCTGATTGGATACCATCAACGACCTAAATAGGGTCTCCAGACCGCTTGCCGAACTTGTATCTGTAACTTACATTACCACTGTGAGACATGAGGCAATGCGGTGCTAGCATGATGACTCATCGAAAGTAGCCGAGCCAATACCGTCCATGTTTTGCCAGCAAAGCAGAGCGGTGATCCAAAAGGGGCTAGCGTTTCCCGGGTATATTTTCCGGCAATCAAGCCAAAAGAGTGTGGCGGTATGACTGATTTCGAATATTACTGTATTGTGCCAAATTCTAACGAGGTGTCTTTGGCCCCAGCTACGGGAGCCTCACTGAGAATTCCTGGGAAGAGGCCGGTAAGAATCCTACCTAACAGAAGTGATCGTTACCAGCGGTCAAATGAGTTGGCTGGCAAGATGTCGTCAATTGATCCGCAGAGGGGCCAAGAGTACAATCAGGCGTCAGGGGTGGTAATTTCGCCCGATCACATGGGGCCTTCGAACATGGAATCCCTATCAGGATTCGCATCCAAAAGGTCACAAGAGAAACCCCTGTCGAACAATGGAGTCCCGATAGTTCCTCGGTATCACACTCATACCATCCCATCAATCTAGCATCTATTCAGAGATCTGGATGCTGCCAGAGATATGGAGTCGAATGCTCAATCAAGAGAGAGGGACACATTACTTGGAGGCGATTCAAGGACGGATGCAGCCGGCTGACGACTTCATTACCAAGGGAAAATTACTGAACAGGCGAACAAACAATTCCTTTGTCTCCACGGGTGAATCTGTTTTTGACTCCGGCTGTAGCCCGCAAAAATGAACAACGGCTCCATGACAAAACCTTGTGAATATGGTACAGTTCTGTACAGTAATATTCGAAATCAGCTTTACCGCCACATTCTCTTCTTTGTTCTCCCAGGGCCCCACTGGCAGCACACTAGTCCGTGATGGGTAACCTTCCCGCCCATCTGCATATGGTGAAGTACCTGCTGTGCGTTGGACGTAAATTACAGTATTACTGCGTTAACAACCTGCGATGTACTTATTTCCCCTTTTCGTCAAAACAACAATGGGATTGTCCAACGATGTTTTTAACATTTAAATAGATTTGGCTCTTCTTTTCCGTGGGTCATGCCTTCCGTCCTGTTCTTCAGTTACCGGCTTTTCATCAGCGAGCTCCAAGGGGCCATGCTCTAGGAGATGCGACCGAAGGGCGGCTAGTGAAGCACCTCTGCGAATCATTCCGATCGTTTCATTCAGGTTTTCTTGATCGCTATCTCGAATTTTCTCAACCAGTCGAATAAACAAGGCTCTCTCTTGTTCGAGTGACTCAATTTTGCGTTTAGAAAAGAGTTTTCGGCGGCCATCACTTTCTTCATTCATGAGACAAGATTTATTATCATGGCGGCAAGAGATGCATGGATTACCACCTTCGCACTAAATCTTATTTAGCAGCAATAATCAAGCCCTGGAGCGGTACTAACCCTGCGTTTTCGCTTTCGACATTCTGTACTGGTTGTGCTCGCTTTTTTGGGACGTGGCATTATAAGAGATGATCGAGAGTCATTAGGCAGCGCGCCTTTTGATTTTGGAAGAATTTGAGAAGCCATGCCATGTAGGTATATAGCATGTAACCCCCATCCCGGTGATACGAAATGCCCTATGTGATGAAACGCCCACTAGGTACCTGCACTTTCTAGCTCAGTCACTCCCCATCCACATATTGAATATTGTCTGAGGCGAGCAGAAACAATAGTTACCTGAATCATGATTCGATAGCTGTTTTCGAACCACGATCACAAAGGTTTAGAGTGGCGGATTACAAGACGACACGCACTACTAGAAAATCCGCTGTTTGCTGCTATGACGCTAAAATCATCCACATAAACGCCAGAGATGGATACGAAAGACAGACGTTCATTATTTCGCCTACCCAGCCACCTCTATTGGGTTTTTATACCATCAAAATCATGTTCCATGGAAATTTATCAATTTTGGTGAAACTCTTGGCAGCCAAAAGGTACATAAGACAAAAGTACTGAAAAGGCGAATACTCCGGAAGAAAACAACCATGTAACTTGCTGTATGAAAGTTACTAGTGCCCCAAAAACGGAATTGCCGCCCCACAACCCTCTCCGCAAGTAGAAGATGGCCTACTTTAAGGAAACACAACTCGAGTCGGAGTACTTGAGGACCGCCTCTCAAATTATGCGGGCGTAGTAGTGTGGGAAGGAAATCTATTCGCAACATGTTATCTCTATGTATATTACCTGTGGATTAAATATAGGTCTAGGAAGATTATTGAGCTTCATCGCGTTTCCCGTATTAATCTAGATCGTCTAAAGAAGGTCGAGACTAGTTACTGTTCCAGAGTGATCAAGCCTAAATTTTTGTCTTGTGCTTCCAACGCCCGTTGATGCATCGCTTCCGCCTCTTCATATTTACCTTGGCTGTCAAGCACACGGCTAAGGTTACTGACACTGACGAGCGTGTGGGGATGCTCGCGTCCAAGCACCTCTTCATATCCTTCCAGTGCCCGTCGATGCATCGCTTCCGCCTCTTCATATTTCCCTTGGCTGCCAAGCACTAAGCCAAGGTTTCTTCATATTTCCCTTGGCTGTCAAGCACTAAGCCAAGGTTGTTGACACTGGTGAGCGTGTGGGGATGCTCGAGTCCAAGCACCCTCTCTCTTGTTTCCAACGCCCGTCGATGCATCGCTTCCGCCTCGTCATAAGCTCCTTGAAGATCTAGAAACCATCCACAATTAGATAAGAGGGTGGCCGCATTCAATCGATCTTCATCATCTGTATCACAGATAGGCTTCGTCACCTCTTTCGCATGCGGAAGCAGCCTTTGGCATTCAGCCCAGTTTTCATACTCTCCAGTGGGAAACATCTCGGCCATGATGGCTCGCGACTCTTCTTGCCACTGTACCAGCTCGAGGTGGATCGCTAGCCACGTCCGGACCGATAACTGGACAAGTCGGTGCATATCAAACGACCCTGTTTCAAGTTCAATCCGAATAAGAGAGTAACTGATCAGCGGCGCCACTGCATCTTCAAACTGGAGCCCATCACCATCTGCACGGACGAGGCCTTCGGGGATCCCCTGTCGATCAAACATGCTCATTAACGCAAGTAAATCCGTCGACGCTGGCCGCTCCTGGCGGATTTGCTCGAAGGATAGCTGCCACGTCGTAATCACCGCATACCGAATACTGGGGTCCCGCCGGAGGTCTTTAGCGTCCTCATGCTGCAGAAGATGTGTCTGGTTCGACTCGCTCTCACGAAACAACTGAAGGTACCGGGACACCGTGACCCGAGATGATCGATTCGCAATATAAGACCCCGCCTGGGTGATGGCCAGCGGAATGTATTCGAGTGCCTGGACCAGTGCCTTCTCGTCCTCCCCAGACTCTCCAGGCTGAGGGGCCGGAATCCTTGCCCGTAACAAGGCGAGGGATTCTTCCTCACTCATCGGCTGAACCTTGATCACATGACCATCGCTCCCCACCAGATTCCGTGCCGCTAGACCATTTCGCGATGTGATCAGGATGGATCCATGGGTGGCCTGGGGCAGGAAGCTCACCAGTAGCCCTCGTTCATGCGATTCATTTCCACTGAAGAATATACTGTCATCATCCGCATTATCTAGCACCATCAGCCAGCGCCCATTGCCTGGATCACACAACCACTGATACACGAGCTGGAGGATGTTCGTCTTCGGATCCTCCCGTCCCGGAATCTCCGCGACCGCAGCAATCTGCTGGTAGCCCTGTTCCAACCGCGCCGCATTGCTGGCGTGGATCCAAAACACCCACATGTCCGGGGCTAGTTCTCGTATATGATAAGAATACTCGATAGCTGTCTGGGTTTTTCTAAATGGCAGGACTATCAGTTGTTATATCACAGGCTTTCTTATAGGGACAGCTCACCCAACGCCGGCCAACCCCACCAATGCCACCCGCTCATGACGCTGACCGATCGCCGTGTGACTTGCCTTGATGGCGCTGATGACAGCCTCGCGGCCCACAAACATCGGGTCCTTCTTAAAAGGAACCGTGGAACACGGCTGGGGCTTCGGACGCGTCTGCGCTGGAACCGGTTCCCGTCAGTCGCATCAAGACCCGAGCAGAAGCGAGCTCGCAAAGGGACACTACAAAAAGACACTGGAGCGAGTCACGTACCAAACCGAGCCGCCACCACCGAGGGCGCGTCCGTTGAGAACTGCCGCAGTTTCTCGAGCGCCGTGCGATACCCGGCCGCGTTGCGCGTGTCGAATTTGACCACCCTCGAGTGGTCTGCATGCAGCGGCACCTTGTCCTCTACATGGTCGGGGAGCTGGAGAAGGGCCGAGTCTGCGCCCACCGTCGTCATATAATCTCCGGTGCGTTTCCATCGCCCGCTTTCCGCGTCCTGTGGCGATCGTCAATACATGCCGTAGGTTGTTTCAGACCAAGACCAACGCGTACCAATTTTAACTGCCTGGTCTGCTCCGTCTCGTAGAAGCTGACCACCTTCCGGTCCCGGATCAGATTTTTGAAATCCGCTAGCTGGTGGACCAGAAGGTCCGATTTACTGGAGATCTGCTGCAGCAACTGCTCTCGCGGATGGCTCCTGTCGCCTGCTAGCATCTGTTGGATATCGTCCATCACTAATCCTTTATGGGGGATGGCGAAGAGAATCATGCCGTACGTGGCTCGATGTAGCGACGTGATCGCCGGGTGGTCTTCCTCCATCGTCTGAATGGCCCTCACCAGGCACTATAAATTAATGTCAGTATATAACACATCTACCTCCAATGGGTGGTGATCCCACATGAGCCATGATAATGCCTCCAAAGCTGTGCGCGATGAAAATCAGAGGTCTCTGCTGGAGCTACTTGAAGAATTAGCCCAAACTTTTCCTCAATAGACAAGTCAGATCTCGTCCCCTACCTCCTTCGTTTTCCGGATCTTCTTGATCTCCTCCATCAGCTCCCGCCCGTAATCGAGGATCGTATCGACTCCGTGGCTCGACAACTTGGAATTGTACCCGTAGATCATGGTGCGACACTGCGGAAGATCCTTCGACAGGAAGTCCCGGAGCCACATCCGACCGAGATTCCCTCTGCCCTGCCACGATCCGTACGCATGTCCATCCAGTCCGGCAATGGCAATGATACTGTGTTGCGTTATCGGTCAGTATTGATCTTCTGGTTAGAGATAACGGCACAATCCTTACTCTGCAGCCACTGGCCCTTTTTCGTTCGGCGCGTAGAGTTGGGTAAATCCAAAGAAGTGGCCGTCAAAGTTGATGTCGGTCTCTCCCATCTCGACCTGCCAGTCTCCGAGTGGATCAACTCTCAGCTCACGGAGGAACTGAGGCACCCCGCCGCGAAATTGCACCAGCCCCACCATCGTGTCAGTTTCATAGCATGAAGGCACGATTGTGATCTCAGCTTTGATATGCGATCTCTCGTCATCCGCGAAGTTGTCGTCGAGCGCCTCTTGTAATGCGGCCTTGAGATCGCCATCGAGTAGTTCCCTCGACAGGCCGGTCACCCTGAAGACGTGCGACTTTTTCTGGTTGGCCATCATGATTTGTCTTTATTAGAGTGGTACATTAGACGAGGATGGACTTTGCGTCCTTTGTCGATGGATGGTCACCTCAGCCTTCCGGTGAGGCTGAATCCACTAACAGGTGCGGGGTAGCAGGCACCTAACTTATAATGATTGCTACTATCAATCACTTCTAGTATCACTTATCGATGGAGAAAGTCGTTCGCAGCCATATACTAATCAGCCTAGAATCTAACAGCTATTTTCATACAAAAGCGGATTATAAAAACCCCCAAGAATTTCTACCCCGATCCACGTAATAAAGTTACTTGTCATCGAAGTTGCAGGTCGCGGTATCATATTATTCCGGCGGTGGAGAAGCTCCTCGTACGGGGACTTAGTGCCTCGTTTGTCATGAGCAGCCTCCTCCAGCTCAAGCAACTTCGGTGGGCTCGTGAGAGCAACTCTGCTTGATCATTATCGATTTTATAATAGACCAGAGGCTGCTAGCCAATGTTAGATTTGACCCAGCGAGCCCTGTTCAGCCCTTACATCGATAGAGCCAATCTGAGCGCCATTTAAAACCTCAAGTGGGTCTCCTTGGATGAATTCTTTGTTTGCTATCGGCACGGTACAGAAATACTCTATAGAGCAAACAAAGAGAGCGTCGGGCTAGGGTGGGAAAGAAAAAAAACCCCTCTTAGCAGTTGCCACTTATCACGGAGATCCTCACTTATTCTCTCAAATTTTCATTTCCACTCCCAGCCCGGAATCCTAAATAACCATACACGGCTTATCAAGTGTCTCGTGTCGAGTGCCAATAACATCTCTTGAAATATGTTCAACTTCCTCGTTACACACGGCCCTCTAGTCTGGGCTGTGGATTCTTTGTCCACCGTAGCCGATGGGCTATCGCAAACCTCCACTCTTTGATCACTTTGAAAAAGAAAAGAGATACCAACATCAGCATAAGGACACCGGTCACAAATCCGATCAAAGTGCTGAGCCAGTAGCAAGCTGCAAATAACAAAGCGCTTGAATACCTCTCATCAGAAGTGGAGGCTGCGAGGCTGACCTGCATACAATTCAGGGCGATCGAGAAAAATGCAAATGCAGAAATCAAGGGGCCTTGAATTCGAGCGAAGTACGCTCGGTACTGATACTTCTCCCGTTGATAATGGCTTTTCCCAAGGAGAACGGGCGCGTAATAGTTCAGTCGGGTCAGTCGGATCTCTCCGTAATGATATCGTCCCGAAACTTCGTTTTCCGTGATATCATTGAAACGGGCAGTGAACCGGCAGAACCGCGACCAGGTCACTTCTTTGGGAACCAGGCAGAGAGCCGGATCTTGTGCGATTCGTAGATCTGATTCATACTGGATCAGGTAGAAATATGTTCGCAGATACCCAAGCGCGGCCTTTCTTAGCTTCACGGTCGCACCATACTTAGACGGATCGCTCATGAACGTATTCCAGAATGCGTAGGATGTTATGTACTTGGGAAGGGGTTTAAGAAATATCCGGTCGTCAATCCAGACAAGATGTAGCCGAGGATCCTCGCTAACGATAATCTGTCGGCCCTTCACTCGCTGTCGATGCAACGGCGAGATGTTGCTGCTATCCAGCTTCGACATCCACCAGAGTTTGCCTGATATCGATTCGAGGTCCTCTGACCAGAATTCCTGGCGAATGAAAGCAATCAAGCCCTTATGATCGTTGGTTTTGATCCGGGGATGACCTGGCAAATGATCAAGCGATGCATCGAGATCACCATTGAGCTGATCATCTTTGTGGAAGGGACATGGCGATGCAGGGGTTTCTCCATGCGTTGACATCATCTTGACTGCTGGGTTTAGAGTTTATCAAATCGTGCAATGATGCTGACTGCTGAGAAGAGGTTGGTCTTTCTAAATACAAATCATCGCTAAAAGGTGGGGTTTACTCACAGCCCGTGAGAGTATTCGGAAGCTTAGCCTCGCGGGAATGTGACGCTGCCCAACCCGACCCTACAAGCGATATCCACGAACAAATACATTTAGATGGTCATCGAGAATTTTTGAAATAAATTACGATTACGTCTTTATTGACGATAAAACTATGTGTTGATACGGTAGGTAACGGCATCTTGAGGTATCACTAGGAGATAATGGTGTGCGAGTAGGGAGAAATATATAATATCCAACAGTCGACAAGGCGAAACGTTGAGCCACTTCTGGCGATGAATTGATACGAAGACAGATGATTCTAGCATGCTGAACGATTCTAGAAATCCAGAACTAAGCAATAATCACTCATATTCCATGCTTGAATCTCCTGCTCCGCCTTGCGCTTCTCCTCCGATTTGGAAAGCAGCTTGCCCCCAGCTTTCGACCTCCTTTTCCGCGTGGCTTGTTCCGTCACCATCATGTCGCGTTTCTTCTGCGCCTCAACGATATCCTCGTAGCTCATCACTTTTGCATGTCCTACGATCGTCAAGCCGCTGGATTGTCGACAGGTCTTTTCATTATTCTGCTCAAATAGGATCCGGTTCTCCTCCAGCAACAAGGCGCGCTCCGCAAAGACCTTTTCGGCCGCGTGGCTTAGTGTCTGCAGACGACGTTTGCACACACCGTCTAGATTCTGGGTGTCTTGCTCTACCTCGCTGCGAAGCAACGCGAAATGATCCGAGGTGTTTGGTGTATGACAGAGATTAGAGGTTACGGTCGGATGGTCCATAGGGATCGTGGTCTGGATCTCGGGCCGGGACGCCTGACACTCTCGGAGGACGCGAGACGGATCGAATGGAAAGAGGCCGCTTCGCGACCAGGCCGATCGTATATTGCGGGGTGTAAATGCCTCCTTTCGAGCGCGATCGTAAAGATAGGTGAAGTGTGGCTTGCCGATGGTACTCACCCCAGCACGACATGTCTGCTCAACCTGTGTCCGGTATGCCGTTTTCAGAGGACCGAAGACACCCACATCGCATGGCTGCAGTTTGTGAGACGTATGAGAAGGGAGACGACACAGGATAATACGGTTAGCAAAGCAGAATTTCATGATCTCTAGAGACTCATGGGTGCCGAAACCATCGCAGATTAAGAGTCGTGGGTGATCGCCCGCTCGGTCTCGAGTTTGCGGATCGAACACATGTTCCATCCAGTATAGACTGATTTCGGTGTTCGTATAGCCTGTTTTGGAGCAGGCAAAATGCCATCCGGGGGTAGGGTGAGTGGTCCACGAACTACGATGGGTGGCTGCTGGCCAGATAATGAGCGGGTGCAGGACCCGACCATCGGCGGAGATACATTCGATCGCCGTGACCAGCGTCCGCTTCACCGTGGTCCCTCGATGCTTTCTCAAATCGTCTTTGTTGACGAGTACCTTGAGAGAGTTGAGAACGCTGAGAAGAACTCCCGTCTCGTCCATATTATACACATTCTCGGGGAGAATGGCCGGCTCAGCTAGCTCTCGGCCAATGATGGCAAACCAGTGTCGGATTTTGTCTTCAATGTGCCGGCCATCTCGCTTCCAATCGATCGCTCGCAGCCGTCGCGCTTTCAACTGCGGGTGTCGTCGGTAAAACCCCTGCGGCCAATTCTTTCCCGGCACTCGGATCTCGAGGCCGGGGTCGGTGATCTGGAAGTTTGAGGATCGTTGGCGCACGATGATCAGGGCGAGCGACCGTAGGTACTTGACTGGAAGCGGATAGCCGTTGTCTGCCAAGCGCAACACATATTCTACCAGTGCTTGCTCCTCTTGTGGGGTGAGGTACTGCTGATTGGCGGCTTTGTCAGCAAGGGAAGGCTTGTTATTGGCCCGGCGCCACAGGGTGGACGCGGGGATCCCGGCCAATCTCGACCGAATTGCGGATGATATCCGCGCAGGATTTTGATGAGCTGGGGACATCGAGACCATTTTTTAGTAGTGTATCCTGTAAGCCATTCACTACTTGAAAGAAAGCTCATTAAACTGTCAAGGGTATAGTGAAAACTCTCCTCGACTGGCTCTTAAGTAAGGTCAATTTGGAAGCAAATGTCACCAGTCAGACTTGGCCGCGAATTCGATCAGAATTTAAGGTTTGAAACTACTGAATCTCTAATCGCGGGTTCACATCCTTTTAGATACAGTGACTATCGTTTATCTATTGAGTGCCAGCCGTAGTCAATCAATTTATGCACTGCTTTGACTGCTGATCTATTGCCCGTAGTCCAAGATCATGGAGTGTTTGACATTCATCATAAATTCCCCAAGTTTGTCTATATCGGTGATGCTGTATCCGGAATTTTCCCAAGGATCGCGGTTTTCAGCGTTCAACAATCAAAAGGAATTTGAGCACTATTATTCAAGCATAGTTGACGTCGTATACAGTAATGATGAAAACAAAACTTGAGTGGCTCTTGATACAAGCAGCCTCTAAACGATAGTAGACGCGAAAAAGCTACATTGTGCATTTGAATTAAGCCAGATAGCGCGTGTTTTGACCGTTGGATAACAAGAGACAATTTGAGCACTCTTATTTTGAGCACTTTGATTTGAGCACTTTGATTTGAGCAGTTTATTTGAGCACTTTGATTTGAGCAGTTTATTTGAGCATAGTTGATGGCGTATAGTAATGAAGAAAACAAAAAAAATGAACAGAATTATCCTCGAGATCAACAGCCCTTACAATGACAACGAAGCACGGGAAAATAAGCCACAGTATTTGAATTTACCCAGGTAGCGCGTGTTTGACCGTTGAACTACAAGAGCAAAATTCAACATTGAAATGATATGTGAAAGTAAACAGTCTCAACCAAAATTGATGGGTTGGTCATGATGAAAAAGCAAGTTCGATTGTTGAGCATCAACCGCACTTAAGCTACAGCATGGGTCAACATAGGTGCGTTCGTCCGGGCATATGTCACCATCTGGCGTTTTTCACCAGGAGCGTTGAACGAAATTTAATTTAAACGCTCTTTTTTGAGGGATTGGTGGGGGATTGGTGGAAACCCGCATCTCGCTGCCTTGATGTGTGAGTCATCGGTCAGATCAGGGTCAACGGGATCTCCCAAGGAACAGGAAAATTTTCGGTTCGCCCTTGTTGTTTCACGTGAACCTTCTTTTTCACGAGGCGTTAGGTCCAAAGTGGCTAGCTCTAGGCTAATCCAAGCCTGGTTAGCTTCAGGTTACATCACGTGATGTCAAGGCAAGACTGGCACGGAGTTTATCATAAGTCAATCGAAGTTTGTAGGAAATTAGCCTCTATAGGGTACCGAAACACTGATACAGTATTTTTATCTCGGTGAAGCATTTTCTCCACAAATAAATGATTGGAGAGTAAGTTGTATTCAGTATAGTATACAGTAGCATCTACGAAGTGATCGTAGCAATGACTGGAAGTGCATGCTCGATACCCCGCACCTATTAGTTGATTCAGCCTCACCGAAAGGCTGAGGTGATCATCCATCAACAAGCGACGCAAGTTCCACCCTCGTCTGATGTGCCACTCTGATAAAGATAATTCACGATGGCTAGTAAAAAGTCGCACGTCTTCCGGGTGACCGGCCTGTCGAGGGAACTACTCGATGAGGATCTCAAGACCGCGATGCAAGAGGCGCTCAACGACAACTTCACCGACGACGAGAGATCGCAGATCAAGGCTGAAATCACAATCGTGCCCTCATGCTATGAAAGTGACGAGAGGGTGGCGCTAGTGCAGTTTTGCGGTGGGGTGCCTCAGTTCCTCCGTGAGCTAAGAGACAACCCGCTTGGAGAGTGGCAGGTCGAGATGGGAAACGATGACATCAACTTTGACGGCCACTTCTTTGGATTCACCCAGCTCTACGCACCGGACGGAAACGGGCCAGTCGCTGCAGAGTAAGGACTGTGCCGTTTTCTCTATCCAGGAGATCAATACTGACCGATAACGCAACACAGTATCATTGCTATTGCCGGACTGGATGGACATGCGTATGGATCGTGGCAAGGAAGAGGAAATCTTGGTCGGATGTGGCTCCGCGACTTTCTGTCGAAGGATCTTCCGCAGTGTCGCACCATGATCTACGGGTACAACTCCAAGCTGTCGAGCCACGGAGTCGATACGATTCTGGACTATGGGCGGGAGCTGATGGAGGAGATCAAGAAGATCCGGAACACGAAGGAGGTAGGGTTACTATCTGAATTGCCCATCAGTAGCAATTCCGGGCTGACTCTGTGACCAGCTCCAGCAGAGACCTCTGATATTCATTGCACACAGCTTTGGAGGTATTATATTAGCTCATGTGGGACCACCATCCGATTTGAGGTATTAATATGATACACTGACATCACTTATAGTGTCTAGTAAGGGCCATCCAGACGATGGAGGCAGACCACCCGGCGATCACGTCGCTGCATCGAGCCACGTACGGCATGATCCTCTTCGCCATCCCCCACAAAGGATTAGTGATGGACGATATCCAGCAGATGCTAGCCGGCGATGAACGTCATCCGCGAGGGCATTTGCTGCTGCAGATCTCTAGTAAATCGGACCTACTGGTCCAGCAGCTGGCAGATTTCAAAAATCTCATCCGGGACCGGAAGGTGGTCAGCTTCTACGAGACGGAGCAGACCAGGCAGTTGGTATTGGTACATATATGCTGGTCTTTATCTGCAATAATTTTTTGATATATACTGACAATCGTATTAGGACTCGGAGAGTGGACGATGGAAACGCACGGGAGATTTTGTGACAACGCTTGGCACAGACTCGGCTCTTCTCCAGCTTCCTGACCATATCGAGGACAAGGTGCCGCTGCATGCAGATCACTCAATGATCGTCAAATTCGATAAGCGAGATGCACCTGGGTATCGAACGGCGCTGGATAGACTGCGGCAATTCTCAAAGGACGCGCCGGCAGTGGTGGCGGCTCGGTTCGGTGAGTTACATCCAAGAGTAGAACAAGAGTAACTATCTTATCAGTCCAAGCACCCTAATCACACGATATAAACGCTGGGAATGGATATCCTGCCACGTTCTGAAGTTCTGATCTTGATCTCTCCAGATACACGCAATGTATATTACGAGCACACTATATCCTCCATATCTTTCGGCAGCAATAACCGCGGAAACCAGGTGGGAAACAATTATGGAGTGATCTATCTGCCTCCAGGTGAGATTTACAATACATGGCCGCCTATCTAGCCAAGACTAATAGCCGCTTCTTGGTTGAGACCAACAGAAAACCCCACCACCGACACGTCCGAAGCCCCAGCCGCACTCAACAGTGCCATTTCGACAGGACAAAATGTTTGTGGGCCGTGAAGCTGTGATCAGTGCGATTGAAGAAAACCATGGGGCGATCGGCCATCGTCACGAGAGGGTGGCATTAGTCGGGTTAGCCGGCGTTGGGTAAGCTATCCCTAGCGTATTGAATAACAAACTAATCTCACTGTCCGTTAGAAAAACCCAGATAGCCATTGAGTATTCTTATCGCGTGCGAGAATCATCCCCGGATACGTGGATTTTTTGGATCCACGCCAGTAATGCTACGCGGTTGGAACAGGGCTATCAAGAGATTGCCGCAGTCGTGGATATTCCGGGACGGGATGATCCGCAGTCGAATATCCTCCAGCTCGTATATCGGTGGTTATGTGACGCACAAAACGGGCGCTGGCTGATGGTGTTAGATAACGCGAATGAAGATAGTCTCTGTTTCAGGGGCAATGGATCCAATGAACGAGGGCCACTTGCGAGGTTTCTTCCCCAGGCCGCGCATGGGTCAATACTGATCACATCGCGAAATGGTCTTGCGGCACGGAATCTGGTTGGGAGTGATGGTCATATGATCAAGGTTCACCCAATGAATGAGGAAGAGTCTCTCAATCTACTGCGGATAAGGGTTCCTGACAGCCATTCTTCAGTTGAAGATGAGAAGGCGCTAGTCTGTGTATTAGAGAATATCCCACTCGCTATCACGCAGGCTGCGGCGTATATTGCCAACCGGCTACCTTTGCTTACCGTCTCCGCATACCTTCAACTTTTCCATGAAAGCCAATCTAAGCAGACGCGGCTTCTCCAGAACGAGGATTTCACAGATCTTCGGCGGGATCCTAGCAGTCGCTTTGCGGTGATCACAACATGGCAGCTATCGTTTGAGAAGATCCGTGAGGAGCGGCCGGCTGCGACAGATCTCCTAGCGTTGATGAGTATGTTCGATCGGCAGGGAATCCCCGAAGAACTCGTGCGCGACTCCGAACAAGATGAACTGGACTTTCATGATGCATTAGCACCGCTGCTCAGCTATTCTCTGATCCGAGTGGAAATGAACGAACGGTTATTTGATATGCACCGCTTAGTGCAATTGTCGGTTCGGGCGTGGCTAGACATGCATCAGCAGCTCTATGGCTGGCAGGCCAAATCACGAGAGATCATAGCGCGGGTATTTCCAGGCGGCGAATATGCAAGCTGGACAAAATGTCGATCACTCCTTGCGCATGCGAAAAGCGTCCTGGAGTCTACGTATCACGTAGATGATGATGATATATTAAATGACGCCACTCTCTCATCCAATTATGGATGGTTTCTAGACCTTCAAGGCGCTTATAAAGATGCGGAGTCAATGTATCTACGGGCACTAGAAGCAAGAGCAAAGGTTCTTGGAGACGAGCATCTTGACACGGTCACCAGTGTCAGTCACTATGGAAATGTCCTTTTCAGGCAGGGGAAATATGAAGAGGCAGAATTGATGCATCGGCGGGCGTTGGAAGCGCGAGAGAAGCTGCTTGGACGCGAGCATGCTCACACACTTATCAGTGTCAATAACCTTAGCTTAGTGCTCTTGCGCCAAGGCAAATTTGAAGATGGGGAAGCGATGCATCGACGGGCGTTGAAAGCACGAGAGAAGCTGTTGGGACGTGAGCATCCCTCCACGATCAGTAGCGCTTGAGGGCGTAGGTAAATACGAAGAGGAAGAAATAATCACTTGATCAGCACTAGAAAGATCTTCAGAGGCGTTTGGACGTTAACATCTTGAAAAAGCGACTAGTCCTGACATTCTTCCGACTTCCTAGACTTGTCTATAGCATTTCGTGTATGTAAATATAGGCAACAGATACAGGGATATAATACTTATCCTTGTTAAATTTTCCTGCATTATCATATACCATCAAAGTTTAATGCGGTTATAAAATTAGCTAGTCCTACTAGGGTTATGATTCCTTTAAATAGGCCATATCCAACTTACGGACAGAGGTGGCTGTTCTGTTTAGCAGCGCTAGTATTTTTCATACATCCAGATACGTGATTGTTCCCGTCTCGTGTATTCGCCTTTGCCGTATTTTTGTTCTGTGTACCTTTCTGCTGCCAAGGATTCCACCAAATTTAGTATGTTCCCAGGAAACATAATTATGATGAGATCAAAATAACGAACCAAGTAAGCGAAAATATACAAAAATGTCTTTCCTATTCATCTCAGACGGTTTTGTGGATGATTTTAGCGTCATAGTAGTAAGCGGCAGATTTTCCAGTAGTGCGTGTCGTCCTGTAAAATTCGCCACTCTAAGACTTTCTAATCTTTATTTAAAAGAGCTTTCGGGTGAGAAATCAAATCTGCATTATCTCTGCTGCTCTTAGGGAGTATCCAATATGTGGACTGGGAGTGACAGGGATTAATTATACAAGTACCTGGTGGGTGTTTCATCACACAGGGCATTTCATATCACCGGGATGGGGGTTATCTTTTCTGCTCTGCCTTTGAATATGGTCGTTGAGTTGCGGGGGGAGTTGGGAGGGACCACAAGCGGAGATCACACGCCTGCCCGGATTATTTATCCGATTCTCCGGTAAGCACGTAGGAACTTAGTTCTGTCATTCAGGGGCAAGAAAATTTACAGTTCCAAATGGAGTACTGCACTGTAATCTACGTCCAACGCACAGCAGGTAAGTGTTACTTCACCATATGCAGATGGGCGGGAAGGTTACCCATCACGGCCTAGTGTGCTGCCAGTGGGGCCCTGGGAGAACAAAGAAGAGAATATGGCGGTAAAGCTGATTTCGAATATTACTGTAGTCGCAATTGCTCATCCGAAATTGACATCTCGGAATTTTGCGATTTCCTATCCTTCTTCCGAGCGCATTCTTACCATTTTATTTGAACACTTTATCTGACCACTTAATTTTTTACCCCCCAGCCACTCATCATTTCACCACTCCATCTCACCACCAACTGACCACTCTATTCGCAACTGTTATCTTGCAGTAACTATCTGATATTGGTAGATTCGGGCTTTTCCACTGGATATTGCGATAAAGTGATGATGGCAAGATTAAACAAAACCTTAGAAAAATATCGCGTATTTTGTTTGCTTCGGTTCTTTTGCCCACAATTTTTAGATAATTAATACCAGCTGGTGTTTTGCTTAAATTTAACAGGAGGTTGACTGCAGGTATACACCGTCCGGCCTGCCCCTGCCCCTGTACCATGATTTAGCGTTCAGGTAATGCGGGCCTATGGGCAAGTCATGCATCGCCGGTGCACTGGATAGTTCTGTATTCCGGACAGGAACGTAGATCGCCTTACGCAGACTCAGTGTAAGAAAGGCGAGATCAAGCCTGAAATTATGATAGGCAGTTCATAAAGGTCGAGCGCTACTACCGCAGTAATTGCGACCCCACGGCTTGAACCGCATATTCCGTTTCGTGATAGGGTAAATAATATATTTCTCCATACTTAGAAGTGGTGGGTTAAAAGTTATCAATTCAAAGTGATAAATTGGAAGTGGTGAATTGAGAGTGGTCAATTGAAAGTGGTGAATTGAGAGTGATCAATTCAAAGTGGTGAATTGAGAGTGGCCAATTGAGAGTGGTCAATTGAAAGTGGTGAATTGAGAGTGATCAATTCAAAGTGATAAATTGGAAGTGGTGAATTGAGAGTGGTCAATTGAAAGCGGTGAATTGAGAGTGATCAATTCAAAGTGGTGAATTGAGAGTGATCAATTCAAAGTGATAAATTGGAAGTGGTGAATTGAGAGTGGTCAATTGAAAGTGGTGAATTGAGAGTGATCAATTCAAAGTGGTGAATTGAGAGTGGCCAATTGAGAGTGGTCAATTGAAAGTGGTGAATTGAGAGTGATCAATTCAAAGTGATAAATTGGAAGTGGTGAATTGAGAGTGGTCAATTGAAAGCGGTGAATTGAGAGTGATCAATTCAAAGTGATAAATTGGAAGTGGTGAATTGAGAGTGGTCAATTGAAAGTGGTGAATTGAGAGTGATCAATTCAAAGTGGTGAATTGAGAGTGGCCAATTGAGAGTGGTCAATTGAAAGTGGTGAATTGAGAGTGATCAATTCAAAGTGATAAATTGGAAGTGGTGAATTGAGAGTGGTCAATTGAAAGTGGTGAATTGAGAGTGATCGATTCAAAGTGGTGAATTGAAAGTGGTGAATTGAGAGTGATCAATTCAAAGTGGTGAATTGAGAGTGGTCAATTGAAAGTGGTGAATTGAGAGTGATCAATTCAAAGTGGTGAATTGAAAGTGGTGAATTGAGAGTGATCAATTCAAAGTGATAAATTGAACGACTTCCATCATATCAATCGATTCCCAAGAGACGAGTCATTCTATACTTCAATGATAAGTCACCGCATCGTCTTTCTTGAGTTAATACTCTCATTCCCTTTCTCGATCAACGTGTACATCAGATTCACGACTTTAATGCTTGTCAATTTGGCAAATTAATCCCTCCACTCTCAATACAAAGTGAGTAATCGGGGCATAAATACTTCCGTTACTGGTTCTTCGGTTGTCTCTCGCTAATACCCTCATCCAATAGATGAATTCCAAAGAAGGAGTGCTACAACACCAGGACCGTCGGATAAAGGCATACTTTGATATCAACGGAATTGTTTATTTTTTCAGTTGTACCATACCACAAGCGGCTGCTTCCTTCCAAGGCTCAGCTGTCTCTCTTGCCTACAATGCCGTCGCTGAGTTGACTGGCAGTAAAAGATATTTTGAGGGGTTAATTGGTCCGAATGATGTTCGAATCTCAATTGAAAACGGAGTCATCATTTGGGGACAACTCGATATTCCCCTAGATAGTGGGACTCAAATCTCTGGTAAATGTTCATGGGTTCAGATCTGAGCTGCCCAAGACATTTTTCACAAGCGAGGGGACAGGGAAAGTCGAGAAAAGTGTATATAGGATGTAATTTTATTGGGGTTGCCTCACAATGCCTATGGCTTCACGTGATGTCTACACCTCCTTCATTCTACAACTGCCTCACGATAGTCAGCTGCTTGCCTCTACGGTAGCTCGTTATCTCTCATGCAGTCAAGCCTCGGGTTCCCCCCCCCCCACCTCCACCTTCCCTTTGTATATAGAACCCACTACATTACAGACACATTATGACATTGCCTCCCTACAAGGGAGCGCGGACGGGCCTCATCTGACGCTACGGTCTATGACCTCAGCGACAGGTGACCCGTTATGGCCAAAGTACACTCTTCTTGCTCCTCTTGACTGTGTGAGGTCACCAATAAAACGCAAATTTTTCTTACCCTGGGATTTATCGGCTTTACTGGTCTACGTCGCGGAAGCATTACAGTATTTTGTTATGCAGAATTCACCAAAAGAAAGGTATTCTTAGGAAATGCCACATGACACGCACGTAATGATACTTTCTGCCCGTTGGCAAGCTTAGGAAACCGGGCGTGAGCCGATCAAACTCCCATCTGGACCGTAGGAAAATCAAAATGTGCAGTATAATTCTCGCGTATGTACGGTTTTTGTGCCATTTTTATCTCGGACTCAGCGTACGCAGGGACTGAACATTGGTCCCCTGAATCTTTGGATGTTTGTGACACTGAGCTCCCACAGAGGAGAATAGACATTCACAGAATTGGAGCGTCAGTTTCGTATTAGCTTGCTGTGTTCATTTCGGTACAGCAATATTCGAAATTGGCCAATTTCGAATATTGCTGTAGAACCAATGTTTATTTCTGCTGCTGAGAGGGAGGTGCGGCGATATTGGGACCCGGTCCAATGTCCCTTCAATCTCTTTACCTTTGATCATTGATTTACAAACTCACTTCCTGAGCATATTGAATGGAAAGGACACCATGCTCAAAAGCATCTCTGACAGGAAGTAAGCAATAGTCCGGAAAACATGGATTGTTCAATACAGCTAAATTCGAAATTGGCTTCCATCTTTTTCACAGAGAAACTATCTCGGACCTTGCCGCTATTCCAGTTATGGATCTAGTTAAACTGTTTTTAGATATACTGTGGAGCTTAACTGCAATTTCTACAGTTGCAATTGGATTAGCTTGCGTCGACCCCACCTTCTAGATCAAACTTGTTTGTGTAAATTATGGAAGCCGATTTCGAATATTGCTGTATCAAGACCATTCTAGGTACTTTTGGAGCTTCAGCCAGTCTTGGGATTCAGACATTAGCCGCTACCTGGCTGGCAGTGGTCTTTTTTATTGCTAGTCTATTAATATGGCTGATTGAACTGTGCTGCTAGTGTTTTTGAATACGATGTGGAACAGAGAGAAATGAGTATTTTCGTAAAGCCCAAGGAATGCTGCCTCTTGAGCTACCTCTCGACTTGCCTCTCGAGGGTGCTGTTGAGGGTGTTGTTTTAGGGTGTAGAGTGTTGCTTGTCGTTACATGTAGTCAAAAGAATAAAAACCAAGAAAGTTAACGGATTCCGTTATCGCAAGGATAAACAGCTGTTTCTCTTGCAGTAAGGCAATTCGATACTGTATAATGTCCAGCAGTCTAGGTTCTATAATGTTCACTAAAATACATAGCTTCTGAATGTGTATAGTAATGTTCAGGAAGTAGCTCGTATCTAATAAGCTTTTCAATTTTCAGATTGCAAGAGCCTATGGCAACACTCGCTGGCTTGTATGGATGTTTCTGAATTTTCATCTCTTATTCAGAATAAGGAAGTAACTGGCGGGCCGACATTCTCTTGCTATGTTCCTGACCATACATGTACATCAAGACGGTTCCAAACAAGGATGATCTGCGGCCTACCCTAAGCACCCCTAGGTGGTTTCACCATCGTCCTGGCGGTGGGGCATAAAATACTTTCTCCGTGTAAAACATGGAATCCAATTTCGAACATTGCTGTACTGAGCAAGAATATCTTGCGTTATGGCACGAGTCGTAGAATGGAGAGAAGTTCCAAGAACTGGCGCTTTGATCACTCTGATAGATAGCATCTCCTCAGGCTGAGAATATCCTTAATAGGATTGTTTTTTCCGTGGGACTTTCATCAGGTTTCATGGCACTGAAAGCGCATGCATTGCGGCCTAACCCTGCTTCTGATTCAAGCAAACATGCAGCACAAACGAGCAGGAAACCAATAAGAAAGAGCATGCATGCAATCAGCGGGAATAACCAGCATGGTAACTGATGACCAATTTATCGGTTGCGACAATCAGCTATTGCACGCTACTCGGAACTAGCGGCTATCAAAACAGACTCAGCGGCCTTACCTTAAGCTTAACTGGATATCAAACTTATAGACGTTATGCCATCTCATTGGGTGCCAATTCCCAATAGGCATGAGCATCTTACGAAGTTTCAATGGCTACCTATAGTGGACCAATACATTCACCATCCCTCAACTTTTGCCGTTTGCCGTTTGCCGTTTATAAACCATGAAAAGAAGCCGAGATCAGGTAAATGAGTGTTGTTGGACTCAACTTCCTGTCTCATAAGACAACTCTTAGCTACCTCACTTGATGGCAAGGAGATAATCTAAAATGTTGTTAGCGAGGACTGAGTTGAAATTTAAATAACTCGTCCTCGCACTTATACGGCCCAGAGCCCTTCAGGAAGAAACCAGCCAGTGCAATACTAGCAAAATGTTCTGTTGTGAAAGAAGTCTCAATCTATGCTCCATATTAGTCCTTCCAATCCTATGCATGGCCCAAAGTGAACGCGGAAATATTCATCTAATAAATAATTGCCGGTTTCCATTATATGTAAAAGGAGTATCTAAAATCACATATCTTGATACTGAACTCGCAGCGGGGCAAAGTATTGTACAGGGCTTTCGTATTACAGACAATGGGACAGGAAATTCTCTCAAAGTCTCGACTCAGAGAGACAGTGTTGAAGTTTCTCAAGTAGAGTACAGCGCATGCTTCGAAGAAGACGAGGGGTCCGATTGTGAACCAATGGGCACCTTGTTCTATGACCTATCGTTGATAAATGCCCCGCCGACTACAGCGTTTGGCACACGAATTACTCCAAGCTTTACAGAATGCCCCGTTATCGAGTGCCCCGCTCGTGATCAAAGCTGCAGTCTGGTATACTACCACCCCGACGATAATTTCGCCACTCAGGAATGCGGCGTTCAATCGAACTTGGAAGTTGAATTTTGTTATGCCTGAAATTAGTTTAATCCATTGAGACTGCATGTAGTGAGAATTCACAATCATGATTGATGTTGTGCTGTTCATACATAATCCTATGAAGCTTCAAAACGCTCTTATCTGCCCACATTCGGGTATGCTTGTCATAATCATGCCTACGGTCACGTCCATTTAATTTTGGCCTGCCAGATCGTATTTTATCTCCAGGCGTACCCTTTACTTAACTAATTCTAATCCTTTAGGTTAGAAGATCCATAATAAGAACAGAAATAACATGTAACAATGCTATCGTGTGCGAGCTACTATGGCGGACGGGACGGACCGCAGTCAGGGGGGGGGGAAGTGGCATGAGGGAGGTAAGGAAAGGAAGATTCCGAGCAGCAAGGGAGAGGCTATTTAAGTAAATCAACTTGATGCTTCGCATACATATCTTGGGAATTAATTGCGACCGTGCAGCTCGGTTCCTGATCTGCATGAATCTCATATCACAACAGAACGCAATTTGATCAAAGGTGCAGTTTTTGTTGCAACTAAATTCTATCTAGAGATTCCAGTTCCTGGTCCTGAAAGGATCGGAGTTTGAGTTTTTCCGGCCCGGAAACTCCAAGTGCGCACAAGCTTGACCAGAATATATCATGAAGTGTATTTGTTGTGATATGAGGCTGGTGCAGATCAGGAACCAAGCCGAACCATCGGAGTTAATTCCGAAGTATGTATACGAAGAACCAAGTTGATTTCCAATCAACTTGATCTTCTCGTTGTATATATAGCCTCATGTTTCCCGCTGGATAATAAGATAATTCATACCTCTAACCTACAACAGTATTCAGCAGAAAATTGCTCACCTCCACTCCGTACAATGCAGCTCAGGGAACATCTACCCTTGAGATTAGGAACAAAAGGAGGACGGGATCGGAAACGGCCATCCCACCACTTAGCCACTGGTCGCGAGCATCTGGCGCCGCTTGACCCATTTCGGAAATGATCCGCTGAGTGGAAGCGAGCTGGGACGGTAAAAGTGGAGTCCGGGGGGTCAGGATCGAACAGAGGACTCTTGTGCTCTCGGGTTCTACCATTTGCTCCCCGGGCCTCGGAAAGATCCACTCCTTTGCCGCCCTATCCGGGAAGCCCGGAAGGTGATACAAACTGTGTTTCTCCATAGCTCAATGGTTTATACATAACTATGTTTGTATTAACATCCGCCACGCTTATGAGCGTGAAATTTGCCGAACATTCCGTATATGCACACCCAACCACGGAGACTACAGTGTCGCAGGCAACGACCTGCAGTATACGGTGACGGTCGGGTTTGGTACTTGAGGTGGAGGCCCAGTGGATCCTCCTAAGACCCGACTGGAGGTCTAGACTGCGACTTGGCTCTGGATATGCTAAATCTAGTTGTGAGAGGATGGGAGTCAGATGGAATGGAGGGAACGCAGCACTGTATGGAGGACCAACGGCGTCTCTCAAAAATGGGTTTAGGTTATCAAAAGTCCCGGGGAATATGTACATATGTTTGCAATAATAACGCCATGTCTCGAGTAAAAAACTGCTGTAGACTTTATTCATGGCCAAGCCAGGCCCTGATATTCACCCGAAGGCGCCGTGGACTCGTCGCCAGATTCGAAGTAGTATTCCTCCAATATATCATCTGACGCCTTGTTAGCACTGCAAACCGACGGCAAATGTCAAGGGACTGACTTGTGTAGCTAGGCCCTCTTGGAGAAAGCGTTCGGGACGGAGATATTGATTCCGCGTCGCAGTTTGCCAACTGCTCAATCTGTGCAGACTCGCGATGCGCGAGGTCCTGGCGCCACTGTTGTAGCCTTTGCTGAACATAGGGATCGGAGGTCTGCAGAACGAGTGGAGGGGGTGAAGCAGGAAGTTGGCTAACGAGACTTTGCCGACGATTAACAGCGGCGCCTTCAGGCGAATAAGCCATTTTCCTGACTGCAGCTTGCCGTCTCGCCTCCCTGTCCATATGGTCTATCTTAGATCGCAAGGAGCTGGCGGACCTGGGCTTCTTGTTCTGTATGTAGTATTGCTTGCATATTTCCCTCCAAGAGAGATGCCGATGACGCAAAAGCCAGCCTCGAAGCTTCTTTACTTCTTCTCGATCCCATGAGATATAGACCTTTTTTTGTTCACCGGCATAGTGCTGACAATCATGAAGTTGAAGAGCAAAGACACTTGGAATGCAAATGCTTTCTGGGGGTTTTGAAAGTTTGAGAGGCTTTCATGACGAAAAGGAATTGAGACGGGGGGAGGAGGCCAGTCATTTAATTGAACTGAATCTTAATGTCATTGCTACATTCTCCATCTGCGTCTCCCATTGTGTGGCGTCTTAGGCAATTGTGTCCCTAATTGATCACAAAAACAACCTAGTTCCTACAATTTCCCCAGCCGAATTTGGATGGTGAGTGGGGATCGATGAGTGATCCACAAGCTCGACAGCATTTTAAGCAGCCCCGTCAAATCAAAAACTCTCGTTGCGAGAAGTGCCTTTTAGCTCCAAAACAATCCAACCTATTGGCCAATTTGACCAATTTGACCAATTTGACCAAATTCACTCACGAAAAAGAAAGCGGAAGGTGGGGGTGGTCGAAATTGCGCAAACGAAGGCCCTCCAAATGGGAATTATGCGACCACCGATGGTGCCGATATGTTCAAGTTACGAACCCTCTTTTCTTTCTCATTTGTTCCCAACCTTTCATCAAGGGGCAAATTCAAAGTTGTAGGTCCCCGTACATCTTTGACTTTTGCAGCTGTCCGTACATTATCTCTGTTCTTGACTCAGTATGATTATTACCAGATAGTAGATTGTCCGTATGTCGGCCAAGTAGATGGTGCTTTTGCCCTCGCATTTATATTCCTGTAATCTGCCCGCTAAAAAAAAATCGGCTGGTGTTATGCTGCTCCTAAAACTAGCCCGAGCTCGTCATGGTTACCGACTCCGCTAAAATATATATAATCCTGTCTTCCTGTCTTCCCGGCACCCTTTTTTCATTCCCACGCTTTCCAAAGTAAAAGCTCGCCAGCCCCAATGGATCAATTTGCCGAGTCAAACGATCTTATGCGGGAATGGCGTCAAATGTTCCATAGAGACTCCGGAAAACAGCCTCGACAGCTAGCGAGACAGTCCGACATCTGGAGCATCGAGCAGTCGCCCCCCCCTTCCCCGAAAGCCGATGCAGATAATGATCCAGACTGCCCTTTCGAATACACCGACGATCGGCCATATGCGCAAAAGAACTGGACCACATCCCTCGATGACCCCTCACAACAGTCGGGAGAGGAAGACTGGGCCATGGAAAGAGAAGGTGACTTGGTTCATGAGATGGCCGAGGCCGAGACTTCCGACATTCCCGACGATGTTAGTCGAGCCTTGACATGGTAAGAAAGTCGACCGATAGTATCTTGAAAATTGACTGACAGGTATTCTAGCTTAGACGACCGAGTTGAGTGAGTGATATCGAAGCCACAAAAGGCGGGAGCAATGCACCGTACTGACGCATCTGTGCTAGGGCAATAGTTAGCCAGCTTCAGAAGCAGTACACGTGGAACAAAATGATACAGGGGCACATTGAGACCGTCGCGCAGGGATATGATGACATCCCAACTCTGCGGAGCATAGTGGAGAAGTTGCAAGAGCGAATCGACATCCTCTGCGTGGATAGAGGGGATGAAGAGGGCATGTCGGAGCGGAAAGCAGGCCGGCCCAAGCGATCCATGAAGTGAGCTTCTTGAATAGGTTAGGCTAGAGATAGCATATATTGGAAGTTGTAAACCGAAATCGACAGCCCCACTCAGATATATTTACGCTCTTACTTCCCCAGGCTAGATCTTACAGGGTGGAGAACTGTGACCAGCCGTTGAGCTTGGACCCCTAACTTCGCTGGATAATCAAGGTTTAGGCGGGTCTAGACATACCCAACGAACTCTAGTCTTCTTGTCCTGCAAAATTCTCGGACAATCTTCCTGGATGTTGTGCTATCGCGACATGGATCCTATCCCATAGGCCCCTTCTAGTGCACTTTTAGTCGGCATTTCAGTCACTCAAACGAGATTACAAGCGTAGCAGCCGAGTACAAGTGAGTCTGTTCCGCCCCAACACGGGTCAGGACACGACTAGTGGATATCACCGTCTCGTCGCCTGGTTCGCCTGGTTGATGGAATCCTAGCTTTTCGGCTTCTTCCCCGTGCCGTCCCGCTATACCCTGAAGGGAGCTTGGCGGGAAATCATTCCAACGGAATCGCTGAAGGGCCACATCCTGACAATTTTGCGTCGCCTAGAAAGCACGCTCATCCACTAACGGTAATGTGGAGCCTTGAAGCCTCGACCCGTGCCGTGTAACCCAGCCATGAGCAAAATCTGCATCCGCTCCAAACCCTGGGTTTCTAATTTCCGGCCCCACTACCTAGACTAAATGAATGTAGTATTTGTCATGTTCATGTTCACATTCTTCCTCGGTATGTATCCGCTCTGTGCCCGCCAATTTTATCACACTAGCGCCCTACCAGTGAGGTCCAGAGCAGAATACCGGTGGTCAACGCCGACGCAGATTTTGCTCACTATTCTACCTACCAGTTTATCGGTCGATGATTACCCGGAAGCGCATCCGGGGAACCGACATTAGAGCAGAAATGGGCGTCGTGAAAGACGAGGACTCACGCTGATGGAAGATGTGTGGAACGTATCAGCCGGCTACCGGCCAGCACGGTCCTGATAGTGGCACCTCCGTGGCCTTGGTCAAGTTGCGATATCAAAGGCTTCATAGTACAAGTGGTCGGTTATTTTGTGGGCTGCGTCTAGGCTACACCTGGAAAAAACAGCTTGCACCTAGTGGCTGCATTTCGGGGAATGGACTACTTCACTTGACGCCACTATGCGCTAACAAGCTTCACCAGCTAGCAAGCCCGATCGTCGCGCACAGATCAGGCTAGAGAATCCGACTGTGCGCTGTTCCTAGATCGGCGATTGTACTTTTTCCCCCTGACTCACGTGATACCGGACCAATCACAGGATCCACTGATGAGCCCCCCTGTCGTAAATAGTAGTCAATCAGCGCTGACAAAGAAATGGTATGGCCAAATTGGGCCGCGCTATCTTCTAAGCGCGCTGAGTATCCATGGTTCCGATGGTCCAGACCCACAGCTTACGCAAACACTTACCCGGGCTCTACAGGTTTACTGCTCAAAAACTACGAAGCACGGCGCACCCCACACAATCGATTCTACAGCAGATCGGCTAGAACCGTGTCATATGCACTTGTTTACAATACAACGAAGGTATGCCCGACTGCCTGGAGCACCGATGGTCTTTTGCAGGGGTTGTAGAAGTGTAGTTCATTTAAGGCACAGGCTGATGCAGGGAGCGTGCATGAACGGTGGAGCTTGGATTACGAAAGGGCAGCTGGCGCGCTAACCTCGGCAAATCTTTGAACCTACCCCAGCAGATAGATCGAGGTGGGTCTATTATTCAAGCGATGCGTATCCACCCACCCCCTGTCGCGCGATACAGTCATCCCTGATATACGTGCTAACCCGACGACCAGTTCACCAAATGAGCAAGGTGGCAGCCCCTTATTCGCCCCACTGAGGCCGCCCGTTTCGTCCTTTTGCGCGTCTTCCTGCCTATTCCGACTGGACGCTAGGTCCTCGCGCCGTATGCGGACTTTGCCGCATTTTATGACCGCGATAAAGCCATATGAAGAAGTTTGTAACAGACGTCAAGGTGAGCGGGAGTGCATTACGTTGATTTCACTATGAATTTTAATTTGCCATGCCTATTGAGATCAAGGTATCGCCACATAGGAATCAAACTGAGACAGATCCTGTGGGTCTAACGAGGGAGGCATAGGGCCCAGGTCTGCCGACAGAAGGGGATCGTCCGGCAGGCCAAAGTGCTCGCCCTGGCCGGCCCAGAGGCCTTGACCCACATCCGAGGAAGGCAGGCAGGAACTAAAGTATATGTTGTCAGACTCGCTGATCTTCGTTGCCACCTGTTTTGTCACGGAAACCGAGGCCGCGTGGATCTCCTTGAGAGTCTTGTTGAGTTCCTCGCGGGTGATCCGATTCTGGACATCAGCATCGGCGACATCCAGCCGCCGCTGCAGGCTGAGGATCTCTTCTTTCGCATTTCGGAGTTCATCTACCAATTTGTGTCTCTCCAGGCCGACTTGCCGGATCGTTGCGTTCAGCTGAGCCCGTTCCGCACCAAACTTCTGTGCAGCCTCCGAGGCCTCCTGCCGTTGCGCAGCGATATGCGTCCTGAGCTGTTGGTTGCGCTCGTTGGCCGTCTGAACCATTTTGGTACAGTTCGCATGAACGATCTCGAATTCATCGTCATCGTCATTCTCTCGCGACGTCGACCGCGTGGCTCGCACCGTCGACCGCGTGTCTCGCACCGTCGGTTCCTGTTCAACCAACCCACAATAGTCAGTTTCTCTTCATTCCAAAAACTGATCTGGCGAGTTGGTGAGACATACCATAGGTTGCGTCTCGCTCACGTCGGGGGCGTAAACGCGGGGGCGAACAACTTTCGCGGCCGATTGGCGGTGCATATGGGTTGTGGGGACACCCGATCCCACCGCTGGGCGAACGACTCGAGTGGGCATTGCAGGCTTTCGGGCAGGTGTTGGGATTTTGGGCATGTTGGACAATGAGGGAATGGAGAGGCTGCTGATTACATTTGCCAGAGGTAAGTGATTCCAGAGTCTGCATCTCTAGACTCGGGGGATCCGCAGCTTTTAGCTTCCGAATTCTTTTTCATTCATTCATTTGCTCAACTTGGTTCGACCGGACTAATCAACTAGGCCAAAACGTTGACTTTCAAAGTGGCGACATCTTGTGCTAGCTTTTGATCTAGGCAATTCCGGTGGATGAGGTAGGTATCCACCCTGCGCTTACCCTGGTGTATCGCCGTTGCTAGTTGATCCCTCATTTACTATATGATCAAATTTAAACAACGAACAGCGTATCACCCTTGTCACCCGGCTATGAGCTTGTCCATGTAAGAAAGTCTCACCAGAAGTTATGATTTGCGCACTTTTTGTGTTCCAGATCTTCCAATTTCGTTATACAGTAATTAACACAGCGTTGTTCGCGCACTTTTGTATTTAAGTTTGTCGATTTGAACACATTCTATGCGAACACTTGATATGCAATTTCGCTTGTATAGTTTTTCCTCCGCCTTTGACAAACACCTGAATCTTTACTGACTGTCTGAACTTTTATCATATGTGCTCAAGCTGTATACCTAGCTTTCTAGTCGGTCTCTAAAATTATCAATTCCCACCTAAAAGCCTACATCAACACCTCCTTTGGATCTCTAGCGTGGAACTGAAAATTTGCGTATCGCAGACTAGCTACCCGAGCCAACCTGATGTGCTCCAACAAAAATATATTTCTAACGTCCAAACACGCAATCGACAGTTGCATTTTGCATTGTCGCCGAATATGGTCATGGCAAATGTCCTTAGTCCGTCGGCGTGGACCATGCCGGTTGAGACAAACATGCTTCCATCTCGGATTCTCCATGTCGTATAGGTGCACTGGCCATCTAGTCGGCTTATTCCGACGATGGGACCTTTCAATAGTGCGTTTTGTGGTGCCCCACTCGCTAGGTCAAATACTTCTCCGCCCGGTCATTGCGTGCGGATCAGGAATGAACGGCTTCCTCCACCCCCCACATCTCGCGCTCCTGTATCAGATACTGGCTTACAAGATTCACCTGGTGGGGAAGATCGTCATAGTCGCCTAGAAATTTCATTTCCACAGCACGCGCGGCCGGCTTCGGGAGTACCGAATCATTGGTGTATCTGCTTTTTAGCAATGTCTTGCAGTCGCGACTAAAGCTGGCAAAACCTTTATGATCCTGCAGCAGCAGATAGCCACAGGTGACCAGAGCGCTTTCCGTTCCGGCTGCATCCGTGGGAGAAGCTAGGCGGGTGCCGGTGGACCTCGGTGCTGTTCTAGCTCCCCAGGGAGAAATTGGCGGTTACGCACACACAAGATCAGCTTGCTGGCTCGGGTTTTCATTCTTCTTCACTCTCCTCTGTTTTCTCTTTCCCTTCATTCCTAGCTGCCGGAGTCTCACACGACCACTAGGAACCCGCCCTCAGGCCACGACATATCTCATCCGCGGAGCACTTACATGGTAGAAGCTCCCAACTGTCCTGATACATAGGTTCCGGAGAATGGGTACTGATACGGAGATAGGGTATCCAACAGTCGAGTTACAAGACGAAAAAGCCTTCCGACATGAAACGTATTGGGAAAGAATCCGATTCTTCTTCGCAGGGTGTACCTAAGGGCCGGTACTTTCGGGCGCGGCGAAATCGAAGGTCAAGGAGAACAGAAAGATATGCAGGTTCACCACTCAGCAAGCCTCAGTCACATTCTGACGAGATGGTTGGTCAGCTAGAGGAGGCACGGTCTAGAATCAAAAAGCTAGAGAAGGAAGTCCATATACTCCACCATCTCTTCCGGGACATGCGAGCGAGCTTAGAGGATGTGGGAGCCAATTCTTCTAAATTGGCGTCGGATCTGGCGAACCTATCCAAGCGAATATAGGTGTATAGCTGTACGGTCCTTACTGCTCCTACGTTGGACGTTTCATAGGCTTAACCATATTGTTGTTTAATGACTATCTAGAATGGCAAGCGAGTTGTGAAGATGAATTGATGTAGTGGATAGTGCTCAAGAACCTTCCTCAATGTTTCTGCAGAAAAGCGAGGCACACAAAAGTCAAACAGGATGCGCAGGGGCTTACTTGAAATGTCAGGGACTGGCAGTCAGTGAACCAAAAGAATCGATTTCCATAATCTCGCGGGATGAGTGTCATGAAAGAGATGGATTTGATTGAAATGGGTCATTGAGGATCATGAAAATGTTCCGCAAAATCTATTTGAGCGTACTCCGGTTGAATTCAGCTGGTCCCACCGGGGGCTGGGCGAAAGGTGCTGCACAATTTGTTCCTACTGGTCGCCGTACAAAAATGTGATAAAAGGCAGAAACAACCCCTAATGAGTATTTTTTTTCACAGATCTGCCCTTCGTGACCTCCCCTAGGGTTGAGGAACGAAGAGGTCACCGTAGCCTCCCTTCGGGTCGAGGTACGGGACTGGTCTTCCTTCGTGCCCTCCCCTAGGGTTGAGGAACGAAGAGGTCTCCGTAGCCTCCCTTCGGGTCGAGGCACGGGACTGATCTGCCCTTCGTGCCCTCCCCCTGTGTTGAGGAACGAAGAGGTCTCCGTAGCCTCCCTTCGGGTCGAGGCACGGGACTGGTCTTCCTTCGTGCCCTCCCCTAGGGTTGAGGAACGAAGAGGTCTCCGTAGCCTCCCTTCGGGTCGAGGCACGGGACTGATCTGCCCTTCGTGCCCTCCCCCTGTGTTGAGGAACGAAGAGGTCTCCGTAGCCTCCCTTCGGGTCGAGGCACGGGACTGGTCTTCCTTCGTGACCTCCCCTAGGGTTGAGGAACGAAGAGGTCACCGTAGCCTCCCTTCGGGTCGAGGCACGGGACTGGTCTTCCTTCGTGACCTCCCCTAGGGTTGAGGAACGAAGAGGTCTCCGTAGCCTCCCTTCGGGTCGAGGGACGGGACTGGTCTTCCTTCGTGCCCTCCCCCTGAGCTGAGGAACGAGGAGGATTCCGTAGCCTCCCACAGCGTTGAGGCACGAATCTCTATGAGACCTGATCCTTTTTTCCAGGACCTCCAACACAAGGCAGACACCTCTACGTGGTGTTGGGGACTAGTACTTAAGCCAGCAATGGCTTGAGGAAGCTAAGATCTGTCTACATCGAGATTCATCCAGTTGTCATCGCATCAGCTAGTACGTGGCTTAATAGCTCTGGCAAGTATAGCATAGTCCGCTGCCCGTATTTTACATTGTCCGGTACAAGTCATGCACAGATAAGGCATTGTGCGGCAAGGACTTCTATTTGTTGTACCTTCTTCACACCCAACTTGACTTTCAAAAGATAAATGTTCCCGACGTAGTAAAGCTCGTGAGCACAGTCTACCCAGCCGAGGGTGAAGCGCAACAATCGGAATCTCACGCGCAGATCTTACTCGCTCTTGGAAAGTCTATATCTTCCACTTTGTGATGGAATCAAACTTTGGACAATGTTGAATGTAAGGGCTCTTTGGTAGCAGCCCAAGTGATTATTAGCGTGGGGTCTTCAGTGATCAATCACGTCTAATTACAGCTTAATGCCATGAGCCTCAAAGCAAGGAAATCAATCAATATGTCGTAACACCATGGCCGTTCATTTACAGCCTCAAAAACCCACCGGTTTCCTTGTTTTTCATTACAAGGCATCGTTTCAGCCCATAAGTATCATGCATCTTCTTTTAGCACTACAAGATCGCTGTGGTTGACTGAGTAATTACCCAAAATCCTCCACATGGTACTTTTATGCATTCAATCAATAGCCTTTGCTCACAATTTTCTCAAAACTTGTTTCGATTTTATTTCAATTCGAGCCATGCAGACTCGCAAGCTTTTCCATCATTTGCTATTTCTCTGTGAATCTATTCGCCCATGCGCTGACCTCTCCTCAGTGCTGATACCCGGCCTGGTCAATTCCAATTATGAATTGCCCTTCTGCTCTGCCTCAAAAGAGAGCGTCTTCCATATCCCGCCTCCATCGGGTACAATGCTTCGAGCTTTTTCTGCTTGGCCACATTTGGCTTTAGACTAAAGTACTTGAGACCTGCAGTTAGGGCAGGATAGGATTTGCTAGGTATTAGGCCTAATTAATCATCATAAAACATCTTAGTTAAGTGAGGGGGAAAACGAATAAAGTCCCAGCTAAATAGTAAGATACTATCTGTAACTTCATTTGATTTACTTCTATGTATTGATTTTTCTACCAAGTAGTAGACTTACTACACAGTACAAAAGTTCCTAGTTTTTGTGGTTCTTTACATACAAATTGCGTTCATCTGCATAAGTTAACACTCCCGCCTGTAGACCCTTTACTCATTCACCTGACAGCTCAAACACAATGTATGGCTTTCCTGCTCAATTCGCCAGATGACTCACATCTGGCCGGAGGCAGCTTAAGCTTGTGTCATTTCGGATAGATCCTTCTTTGGATTGATTCGATTCAGATAAAAGCTCCGACTGCGTAACAAAGGCCCGTACTTTCGTAGTAACCAAGGGACGGGTGCAAGTGCAACCATTACCAGTCCACATCCGGTCATGACCCAGTCAAAGCCGATTTCATCAATTAGTGGAATAGTGAATAGCGGGAATACACAGGAGATGGCATAGCGCATAAAGACATCAACAGCTAAGGACGAAGCCCCGAGGCCGACTTGGCAGTAGACCTCGTTTTTGTAGAGTGGGTAGACCAACTGCAGAGGACGTCAGTAGATGCCTTGAACATGGAGGGGATGAGTATTTACCTGTGAAAGCGCAAATCCAAGACCATACGGAATTCCCGCTAGGAGGGGCCAGGCCCAGTGAATAGTTGGACGGGTGGTCCACGCCAACCTATTTATTCGTTGAGTGGTAAACCAAAAAAGTCCACGGGTTGGGACTTACCAAAATAAACTTATCGGCAGCAGAATAGCCGCCAGCATTGCCCCAGGCAGATTATCTTCGGGGGCCGGACTAGCAAGGGCCCGCTTGTGTCGATCTACCCAAGACAGAACCGGTGCGGCCAGCAGAGATCCCACCAAGAGTGGCAAGAACGCCAATCCCACTTGATAGGAAGTAAATCCATACACACGTTCCAAGACGACAGGATAGCCGGCGTAGAGAATGAAAATGACGACCTGGCTCACAGTGACAATCGCGGCAGTAGGAAAGATAATCGGCTCCACCAGGAGCATGTGCATTGGTCGCTTGAAAGATGCTGTCAGGGCCTCTAGCCAACCTTCCCGCGGGAGATTCAGCGCCTTCCGCTTAATCTCCGGCTCAAAGGTTTCTGGCACAAATAGCATGGCCAGAAAGCACGCCCCAACGAGGATCGCGGTCAGCCAGAAGGTCCAGCGCCAACCAGACGATGCCACAATCGCCTCGCCCACCACTGGCCCAATCTCTGGTGCGATCGCCCCGCCTAGGCCGTAGAGAACAAAGAGGGGCACGGCGAGCCGATCTTCAGGCATTTCCCACAGGTCGTTCAGGACGCCAGCAAAAACCGACACGGCTGGAGATCCCACCAGGCCGGCAAGAGCTCGGCATAGGGCAATGGTGTAAAAATTCCTCGCCGCTCCGGCAATCACCGTGAGCACAAGATGCAAGAGAAGGGAGACCTTGTAGATATACTGTCTTCCAAATTCTTCGGAGAGCGCAGCGGTGCACATTGGGCCAATGGTGAACCCCATCGCATAGAAGGTCACTGGCGAGAGGGCCAGAGTCTGTCCAACATGGAACTCCACCATGATTCCCGGGATACTTGCAATATATATCGAGGTCGTTAACGTGCTACACGCCAGCTGAGTCAGACTGATGCTTACTTCGTCTCTATCGTTTCACTTACATCACCAAGAAAGAGGCAATGGCCCCTGCCGAGATCAGAATTTTCCGTTTCGGACACCAGCTTCGAGCGCTGCGGTATGGCGCCCCCAAAGATAGATTGCTTGGATGATCCTCCTTTTTAGGAGGCGAATGTGAAAATAGAGATGACGTCGAATGTGGCCCGGTGGCAGAGCCCTTGTGCTGAGTAGCCATCGTTGACCGCCTTGTTAGACCGGGTCGGACAAGGTTGGAGGGTAAATAGGAAAGCAATTGGAAGTTGCTGGCAATGGAAGCAGAAAAAAGAGCTAAGGCTTCCACTTTCAATCATGGGGAATAGACTGACCTGTCACACCAGTAGAAATGGGCGACAATCCATGTTATCTTGGTACAGGTTTATTTATAGAGGCGGAGAAGCCACACCGAATCGACTTGATCGCAGCGATGGTGGTGCTATGTTCATCCACCGACGTGGATGACGCGTATGGGTAGTAGCTTACTTTGCAAGACTCGTAATCATGAGATTTTCTGACAGGCTGAGAGGACTGCTATTTGGTTCTAACTGGTGATGGACTGAGCGCGCAAATTTGTGCTCAGCTAGTACTCAACCAGTACTCGAAATAGTGTTGAAATCAGTGTTTTGGCTCGGTGCTCAAACCAGTTCTCAAATCAGTGCTCAAACCAGTGCTTGATCAATTGGGTGGGGAAGTACCTCACCTACCCGTTTCCTGAGTAGTATGAGATGAAACCAAAATCATGTACGATTGGATTAAGAGCAGTACAAGCGCGCTCGAACGCAGTACCAGCATTCATAATCTGTTCAATTGTCTCTTGAAGTCGCATCTTCATGACGGTACACTTGCTATGGTTGCTCTACAGTGATATTCATCAATCTCTCTCTCTTTACTTACCAGGCCCACCCAAAGGGCACTAGTCTGCATTAGGATACCTTTCCGCTGCCCTGGATACCCTCGACAAGTTCGCGTAAATTACAGTAAACTTAACCTCCTGTTCACTTACCACGCATCACGTGACAAGACGCTGCAATAACACGGCGTATTTGCGAGCTACAGTACAGGATCAATCATGAAACCCTCTTATAGGGTTCAGCTTGCTGCTGATTTTAGTCAATTATTCACATCCCAATGATTATATTACACAGGTCATACAGCACGTATTCGGTTTGCCGTCTTCGCTCGTCTCTCTGGTCTTATCGCTAGGCAGGATGGGTCGACTCCGTAGGATTTGTGGCTAATTTTTATGCTCCGAAACAGAATAAGGTAGGTAGATCTTCGGAAAGAGTGAAAGATTAAAGGCCTGATGACGAAATAAAAGCCATCAAAGCCAATGAAGATTCCATCCCTTGCATCTGCATCTTGTAATACAACAAACACACAGATTCTGCTACAAGCATTTCGAATCAGGTCAACAAAAATTCAGTTGTAATTCAGTAATGAAAAAGGAGAAAGGAAGATTTGTCGTACATTAATCTACATTTTGCAGTTCAAGGCCACAGTCTCGTCGCATCTGTCTCTGAAATTCTTTCAGTCGGCCTGTGGAATCGGAGCTATCTTCAAACACTATGGGGGGGAAGGGGGTCGCAGATAGATCTAAAATTCATTTTGGTGCCTTAATACAGGAGGATTTCATAAACGGGAGGTAATATCGCTGAGGGAGATAGTGGACATACAGCTAGAATATATCTACAAGTGGGACTAGATCCACGCTGTCCTAATCGAACTATCCTATCCCCCATGCAAACCAATCTCCTGGTAATATGTCAGTTGCCATTTGTTCAGGATCATGGCGAATTTCCACCAGACCAAAGTAAAATTCTAGCGAAATCAAATCCGCTCCCCGACGACGCCGAGTAACATGGCCTTTGAATAAACAACAGCGCTATAGACAAAAATCATATGCATAGCAAGTAGACTAGGTCTCCATCCAGTCATTACATTATCCTTTCCAGTGGTCTGAAGAGATAGTGCGAGGCCGCTAGTATATTGCAAATGAGGAGGCGGCAGAAGTGAGGAGCCAGAGGCGATGATGTAGAGACAGGCTCGACTATTGCGTGAATCGTCGGCACCAGTGAGAACAACAGTAGCGACGTGGAGTGATATAGAAATTGCTCTTCAGCTATTGGCTGGCTGCATTTCATTGCAAAAAAGTCTGCAAGATATCCAACAGCTGCTAACGTCAATGCACAGATATATCCGATGCAAATCGATGGGTGAGCTGAAAATTCGAGATGGTAAAATGTAGACTTGAGGCACCGATCAAAGCGAGAGCACCGCCGAATTCAAGTCTTTGCCAATGGACTGTGTCATGATATCTAAAGGCTGCAATGGTGCGATAGATGAGGCTCGAAAAACTCCATAAAACAACTCCTCCACAAAAGAGAAGCACAGACAAAGAGCGAATAATCTCCTCAGGAGTCGAAGGGAAATAAAAGATCAGAAAGTGGACGAGAAATAAAACGAAATAGGATACTCCAAAGATGTGTATGATGGACAACAACGTGCAGGTGCGCAGGTGCTCTTTATGAGGAAGACAGGCCATTGCGAGAGACATGTGATAACAGTTTAGAAAGCATCGCAAAGAGTGGTGTATATAAAAAAATCAGGAATGCCACATACCCGCGATAGAAATAGTCAGACGGAAGTATTTGATTATATTGGAGCAAATGATTTAGGCCGCCAAGACTTCACGCCGGTTTTTGATGCATTTCATGCGCATAAATCGCCAGGAATGGGATATCAAAGCAATCAGCTATACCGAAAAGTGCGCAGATAATTTGCAAATGCATTACAGTATACATGTATCGCAACTACATATTGGGCTCTACAGTCACTAGCGGTATCTGATTTTTTCTTCTCCAGGACCTCACTGCCAAGGCCTTCGTGTAGGTCATTGATCGGGCCATCCGAAGATGAGGGCCGTTGTAAAATGTAACATGGACCGAATATGGTACTGTATAAACAGCTTCCCGTAAGATTATATCCGGTTCTGGAAGATGTTGTGCGGTATTTTTGATGGGCTCCGGCCCTCAATTCAGCACGATCCAGTCAATAAAGAAATTGCGCTCAGCCCTTTCAATGAGGGCCAGCCAAAGTAGCCATGAGAGATCCAAATTTTGCAAACGAATGTCTTGTAAAACATAAAAGTCTTGATTTCCTTCTTTTCCGGCATTATTTCAAAAACATATCCTCCCAGAGTTAAAGTACTTTGACAGCAAAATTCAACCATCTCGCACAGGAGAGTCACAAGCTATCGAATGATGGATGAAATAGCAGAAATAGTTCGAGAGATCGGTCGACAGCAAGGAGAAAACTCTTTTTATCGAACATGTTACGGAATTTTAAAGCGCCTGCAGGACATTATTTCCCAAGCGGCAGATGACCTTCTCCATGTCCAACAGGTTTCCGCATACGGATCGGCCGGTACTTTGGAACAAGCATACCAGATCGTAGAAGAACTCAAAGTGTTACTTCAAGAATTATCCTGTCGAGAACAAAAGTCCTTGATAGCGTTGAAGGAGTTTTTTGCCGCTGAAGATCGAGCGATCGAAGGAGTTGACATGAATCTTGACGGAAATCAGAAGGAAATATTCAGATAACTTCGATGAAAACACTGATAAATTACTATACTGTACCGCTTGAAAAAGTCAAAGAATGGCGTGAGCATCTTCGGGTTCTGCCTTCACGAAAGTTTGCGAGGCCAGAGAGACTAGTTGAAGACCAAGACCATTAGTCCCAATTGCGCACAACGGAAAAACACTGCAGCAAGGCTGGCTATCCAAAAATCCAGCTTGACATAATGTCTGTCAAAGGATGGGCACTAGTGACACTAGTATCATCAAGCAAGACGCACGTGAATTTAAGTTTCGACTCTTCAACTATTGATGGCTTTACATGTACTTTGATAATTTGCAACCCATGATCAAACTGCGATCTATCCATGCGAACCTGTTCTATGACCATACTAGAGCGATAGTTCCTTAACTTACCACAATGAACTCTGGAAGACTAATAACAAGGCACACTACCTCAGTTGACCTTACTGAGGTACTGTACACATTTCAAGCTATAAGACTCAGTGAACAGGCCCTTTGATGATGCAAAGTTCATCTGATATGTATACTTTTGCAACTCCCTCTCTTAAACTACCAATGAGACGATCGAATAAATCATGGTCTCTGCCTGTTACCAAAAAGGTTGTTGATATATCAAAATCACCCTCTCCAACCCAGATATCATGATCATCACTTGTGCGGCAAGAGGACATACCAAAAGATGCATTCCAAAAGATGCAAGAGAAAGCCGATCGCGAATTTCAGTCACCAGTCACTGTCATGAGCCTCCATTTTGTTTAGCAACCGCAATAGAGTACAGACTAATTTCCTCAAGGGTATTTCGATGAACGTAGAACAAATCTAAAAGATCTTCTGGGTAACAAACGATATTCCAAAGCTCGATATTTCGAATGCCTGGGACTGCCAATGTTCGCTTTAGTACGGCAAATCCTGCTTGTTCCAAGCCCGAGTCAAAACACAAATGTAAACCCTCTAGACTGGAAAGTCGCATGAAAAATTGCTCAAAGATTTGGCCCAAAGTTCCGGGTCTTCGTCGGAGCTAGAATTCACGGCAAGGCTCAATGTTTTCATTTAATCCAAGGAAGACTTTTGTCCCAACAGAATTCAGGTAGGTCTAACATTTTTGGATACATGTGTACTCGCCCCTGCACGGTGCAAAATTTTAAAGTAATAATTGGGACTTCGCTGGAAGCCAAAGCTCCAATTATGACATGGGTTGCTCTTCTGATAAAGGATTTCGAATCGCCCGAGTCGGTGCTTGATGTAGGAAAGAACCCTGTCTTCCTCCTCGCAATTTCGGCTCCCCAGGGTCTCTCCCATCCATTAGCCTTCGCAGCCCGTCCGTACCTTGAGGTTAGGAGCACCAGATGGTTTAGGGAATGGAGTCTGGTACCGATAGACAGACTTGATCAAAGGGCCGAGATCTGGATGACAAGATATTTTTTACAACGTCATCAGGCGTTCAGGACTCAGAAGGTGGACACGTTGGTGAGAATGGCGCTTGATAGATAGCAGGCGACAGCATGCACCAAGGAACGACAAGCTAGACGACAACTGAAGAGGTCGTCAACTTCAAGATACTCTACAATAAGTGCAGCAATCTCCGGGCTCAGGTTGTGTATTTTTGCCATCATATTGAGTGTGAGACAGATACCACGAGTTGCGGGGTTGGTTTTGACCCACAGCCTCTTAGTCATGTACAGATTGTATTATTACATACCATTCTGGAATGCCGGGTTTAATATGGAGGGGAGAGGTATTGTAATTTGTGTATTGAAGTTTCGTGATTACATCACACTAAGGACTCCATTTTGTCATTTAATATACACCGTCCACTTTGGGAATCGATCTGAAATTAGGTCATGACGATTGCTTCCTCCTTCGTCTAGATAGATCACCTGATAACGTGGTATAATGGAAAATAGGAGATTGAACCGTGGGCTTACCGCCCTGTTCAAAACCGCTGGCCGCATTCACGGCAACAACCACTTTCTACGAAGGTGTATATTTTGGAATTTAGCCAGGAGTTGTACGCGGCAACGTCGTGTATATCACGGTTCGTAAGTGGAACAATATAATCTTTATAGAATGTGACTCAATAGTAAACAGCCTTTATACAAACGGAAACGCTGATCCAAGCGTGCCTTCCGGTCTGTGTACAACCGATCCTGATGATGATAAATAACGTATCACGACAACTAACGGAAGGCCGCTCTAACATTCATATCGCTAAATTCTCGACAAGAAAGGCGGGATGGACCATGCCGAGCTTCATCTTGCTCATCTTCACTACCTGCATCAAGGGCTGCTCGGCCGATGGTAGGAGGCCGTCAACCAGTATGCTTTTGCCAGCATGTTTGTGCTATGAAAGACCTCTTCATGCTCTTCACCAAGTGATTTCACTTTGATATCTTGATTTTGCTGCCATTTCTGTCACATCCACGATATTGCCTCTTTACCACGCATAACGTGGGCATCTATAGAGCAACGTGGCCCATTGTTGTAGAAGCTCAGGTGATGCTGGTCGTTGTGACATTGCGGATTTCACGTGGGGGTATAGCGCCCGGCACCTCTCCCAATTCTCGTATTCACCCGTGGGAAACTCTCCGCATGGATTGCTGGTAAAAATTTCCCGCTATTGATTGATTTGCCCACGAGATTTCAACCACGCACACCTAGCCAGTTGCAACAACTGACGCATCGTGAAAAAAGAGATGTTCTCGCTGATAGATGTGAATGCAAAATTTCTTAATGTTATGATTTCATCTTCAAAACCGGGTTCTATATCAGGACCAGATTCTCCCCTATCATCAGAGTCGCCCAGGAGCTCTGGAATTGGTGTGTTGGCCTCCGGTTGATCCCAGAAAAGGTTCTCTGGTATCTCTTGTAGAGAACAGACTCATGATGAGAGAAAGCAACTCCGCGGCAGATGTTTAGCGTATATAATCGAAGGATATTTGTCACGTCACTAGGATTGAATTTGGTAACCAGTCTCGGTAGTGGTGGCCCCCTCCTCTTTCAGAAGCCTTGTAGCTTTGCGGTCGCTCTCTTGAAAGTCTTTGAGTATTAGAATATGAAAAAGTAGTATTCCACACGACGGCAGGCGGGGCGCCATAAACGGCTCCCATTGCCCGGCTTTTTCGCCCTCGCCGACCGCCTGCCCGGCTGCGCCATCCCCCTACCCGTTCGGGCATGGCGCCCGCAGTGTCGTTCCATTTCGGGTTTAGCGCCACCCTGGCCGCTTTTTAACGCCGCAACCTTCTGCCAACCATCTAAAAAACACGGCTCGCCACTGCCCAACTTCTCGACGCACTTTCACTTCTTTTGTCCACCCCTTTCCACTCCTTCCTTTTTTTTTCTCGCCCCCACTGACTTTTGCGACCCTCTGTTCAGCCCCGCGTACAGTCCTTCGCATTTCATCGGATTTCGCCGCTCAACCCGTCCCAGCGAGCCTCGGCTGCGACACGATTCAGTCGCCGAGGGCTTGGAATACAGTGATGACCCTGTATTCGGCCCTCTTGGGTAATTCTACGTATGACATTTTCTTTTCGCCGAGAGTCCATGCTTCATTATGGTACCCTAGGATCTTTATTGCTTGCTGTTGTGATATGAGGCTGGTGCAGATCAGGAACCAAGCCGAACCATCGGAATTAATTCCGATGCATGTTTACGAAGAGTCAAGTTGATTGGAAATCAACTTAATCCTCTCGTTGTATATATAGCCTCACGTTTCCCTCTGAACTACAACACGTCGGTTTTGAGATTCCGGGTGAGTCGAGATCTGGGACAGCCGAGAAAGGTGAAGGTGGAATGACGAAGATGGGGAATTCAAAGGTAATATAAAATTCCAAATGGGTAGAACAAAAAACCAATGGACTCTTGCCGGGACTGTAACCCTTGCAGTAGTTTTGTTTGAGTCGATGGGTACTGGTGGCTGGCTCTAGCACAGAAGGTCAAAGCGTTCCAGGGCCTTAGGCATGATTTGTCCATTTTGTGTGTGCCCTTTATCCGCAGTGGGGAAAATCGCCAAACCCCATCAAAAAAACACACATTTTCAGACCCCTACAACCACTCTTTTCCCTTGGTCAAATTCCATAAAACTCAAAGTGGAGTATGAGTATAATTAGACTTAAAACATGTCAACATTTGAGTCTCGTACGAGCCCGAAATTTATTTCCACCCTTACCCCCCCCCTTTTTATCCGCTATAGTTAAGAAACCTTATTTAATCTTCTATTGATGGGTTTTCCTGCTACTTGTATAAGACATGCTACGGTTGGGCGGGCGGGTACCCCATCAAAAATTTTCAAACCCTTATTAAGCCCTTTGTACTTGATCAAATCTTTTGAAATTGAAATTGGAGTAAGATCAGACTTAAACCTTGAACATATCAAAATTTTGGGACTTGTACGAGTACAGAATATATATGCATCGGACTCTAGAAAATCAATTCCACCGGACCCCTCCCCGTACTTTTTCCCTCCTATAGTTAAGAAGCCTGATTTAATTCCACTGGGGTCCGGTGGAATTAGCCCTATAGGTTAGGTTTGGGAAAAGAAACCGCTTGCGCTTGCGTCCATCGTGTGCGTGCGCTCAAGGAGGTGGATGGATGTCCTGCAGCAGAAAAAAGGTTCAGCCTTGCAATTTTCTGTGCACCGCCTAGACAGTCTAGCTGAATGTATAGCAGCTACTTGTGTCACTGTACTAGATCTGATTATCACGCTATCAAGGTTGTAATGTACCTAAATCTGCACCTATCTTCACTACCTGGGCCTCACACATTCTTATTCACCAAAGTAAATGTCCGGGTTTTGTCCTTATCATTGGGAGCCAATCTGTTGCGATTGATGGCACCCAGAAGTTCTCTGTTTCTTCGATGAACAAGATGTCTGCGAAGCTACCTCTCATCAAAACATACGTATGATAATGCACCAATTTCGGAAGGATTAGTCCCCGCGCTGAAAACTGCCCTTTATCGGTTTGGAGCTTTATGCTTAGCTTCTCCTGACACCACACCACGCCGTCACAACACCGTCGTCGAAAATGCAGGCTAAGCTCATTTTCCAACAGAGTATTGATCACTGACGGCACAATTCACGCTCAGGAGTTTTTCAGACAGCCAATAGCAGCTAAGACGGATATAACAGAATACTCTCTCTCCCCTTGCGTCGGAGCGTGTTCGCGGCGGGACTATTGTACGACCTGTTTCGTTCAATTGAATAGATTCATGAGGTAGGACTAGCCTTTCTCTCCAATCGTGTATTATGCCGGTATGCCCTTCCTTGAAGGAGTGGGCCCCAATTAGACTACATATGTTGAAGACTATGTCGCAAGCACTGAATAAAAATGTCCCTCCAACGGGCACTACGCTTCTCGATTCTGCTACTATTAGACTCCACTTTTACGACCCTCGTACATAGACTTTCCGACTATAGTGCTTATTTCAGTCCGCCTTATATGGACAGTGGAACATTAAAAATTCCATTCCGATCTCATGATGAGAACGACGGCCTGGAAACTACTGGTCTCGAAACGACAGAGAAAAAAGACAGTAAGGGGGTTGGATCAGAGGCATCTTTACATCGTCTCCTACTCTAGGAGACGAAATGACTGACGTGGTCGTCCTCGCAGGCACAAGGCTCCAGTGTTTACTTGGGCAGGACCGAGTTCGGGCTTGTGTACACAGAGTACGTGGTCCAGGCCCAGAAGACCATGAAAGATTTGGTGTACATCACTTAAGTATCGCAATGTGTTTTGCGCTCCTTCCGTGCCTGCTGCTCCGCCTACCCCATTCTCCTAAATAAAGGAGAGTGTAGTCCTGGCCTGTTTATTAAGACTAATATCTGACCAAAGAGGATCCATATCATTATCATAACAAGTATGTTTCCCCGTACATACAGTAGTACTAGGGCAAAGATCTTCGAATCAGACAGTTGGCCGCTTCACTGCCTGTCCATTTCTCTGGCTGATTTCAATCTTTCTTCCCCCCTAATTTCCAGCCCCCTTAGGTCTTTCTGGTATTTGGCGAGGGCATGAGGATCATAGCCTCCTTCCGAGATTGCAGGCTTATCCTGTTCCGTGGATGGATCATGGTGGTTGTAGGTGGTCTTAGGCTTCCCCTTGATATCGGCTAGTTTTTCTCGGGCAGTGATTGAAGCTTCATACCAGTCGCAATGTGCTGCAAACTGGAGTTTCTGGGTCTTCACACCGACAGCAGCAAACAGTGTGAACCTGAAATGTCAGTTAAACCTTACTGATGGCCGGGAAGTACGAACAGAAACTTTTGCGCTCCTTCACAGCTGATGCCCTGTTATCATAGATTCATGGTATATAGTGTGTAGGCACACTGGCACACTTACTGGACAACCCAGATACGACCAATCTGGGGACCAACACAGATCGCCTGCGAGATAGCTGACCGCAATATTGGATTCATCGTTACGTGGTCCGCGCGTTCCAACGTGCCGGCTTGAAGAAAAGCGTTGATCCTCTCCCCTTCTCCCGCGATTTTGATATCAACATCGCCTCGGGCTGTATGAACATAAATCTCCCAACTATCGGTAACAATCACCCATTCAATCATGAATCGCTTTTTGATATCGGCACTTGGGAGATTTGCTTTTCCTTTCAGCGCCAGGCAGGAGATTGACATGGTGGAGCGGATGCTTCCAGGCAGCAACTATAGGGAACAATTCATTTCATCCAGGCAGAATTGTAGGTCCTGTGTTTAATATACTGTTCCCCCACCACTGATTGATGGCGCTACAGTACAGGAAAGCTAGACCAAATCTGGACAGAATTGGCACATTACGCCAAAGAGGGCTTATTATGGACTAGTGTGAGCATATAGCAAATAGCCTGCAAACAACATTTGCAAGATGGATACCACTGTTAGCCAATTAACGGTCTGCAAACGACGTTTGCGCTATAGCGGGGCCGGTAATACTCTTTGCAGATCTAAGTGGTCCAATAGAAGAAGGCTATGCATCCGAGGCGTTTCTTAGCCCTTGGATTTGCGGGTCCAAAAGGCTGGTCCGTGACATCTGGGACAGGCGGGGCCGTGAACTATACCTAGATAGGCAAGAATTTTGTCGTAGGATAAGATAAGTCACACCGAGGCGCAAAAGTGCTTTCAATGAGCGGGGAGGGGCTAGAATGGTCCGCAATTTGTTTGCTCCCTTTTTTTTTAAGCAGCAACAACCTACCCTACACATATTAAGTGGAAAGGAGGTGGTGCAAATAATGTAGGGTAGCCGAAAAGCGACTGCAATCAACTTCCCCGGAGCATTCACTTGTTATGTTGTCACTTTTAATACATAATAAAATATCTACAAAAACCGACTTACTTGCTCATTTTCGATTCACAATAAAATTCTTCCAGAATCAAAAAGGGTCGCTTTGTGAATTAGTAGACTGGTGGTTTAAGACCGTGGTAGATTAAGATGTACTTCCCGAAAAGGAAGGAAATATGTCGCTCATGCACCGCCTGGGCGGCGGTCACGCGAACTGATTACATAAACGGCCACGTGTCTGCAAACCCCCCCTCATTCTCTCCTGTGCTTCTAACCCCATAAATGCAATGCCTGACTTGGAACGGTCTGTCACCAGCAACCCAATCCTATCGGAAGCCTTGCAGAGTCACATTTGATCCAGTTCCTCAATTTGCTCTCATCGAAAATATAAGCGTCAAAAGAAAAAATTTCACCATGACATCACAATTTTACGAGCGTTTCACCGAAGAGAACGTCACCGACGACATGCTGGACAAAGCTGCGCATCTTTTCAACAGAAACTATGGGATTTGGGGACCCCAGTCCCAAAATGCGGGTGAGAAAAGACAAATTTTACCCCCGTAAACATATCTGATTTCCCTGCCAGGTAAATCCGTGAAGCTGAGCGCGGGAAGATTGCGAGCACAATACCTTCTCCCACGCACCGACCAGAGCGAGAGTGTTTATATCCGAGTGACCATCGATGGAGTTCTTGTTGGAAACGCATTTGCCTGTCGCTGGGTGTGTAATAATCAGACTGTTTGTTGGATCACTCAATTAGTGGTCGATCAGTATAACCGCGGAAAGGGACTTGCGAGTGGTCTCTTGCGAGCACTCATCCAAGATTCTGATCACATTTACGGCGTTATGAGCTCACACCCAGCTGCATGTCTGGCTGCAGCCAAAGTTTTTGGGAGTAAGTCTCCCGCGGAAGTTAGATCATCAAATTCTCATTTCGAGTAGGAACCATCGAAAAGGTGGATCTTGACTTCATTGGCAAGATTGCTAGTGAAGTCATGTCAACTTCACCGATCCCTTATATTCGTGATGCCAAGCTCTGTGGAACTGTATTCGATGCTAATCATTCAAGTGGGATTGTTTCCGGCGTGAACACAAATTTCTTTGTGGACCACACAGAGCCATTAAAGGCGTTGGCCATAGTAAAAAATGAATGGCAGTGGCCACTTGGTAAGCTGCTAGATGGCCATGAATATCTTCTCATATTGCCAGCTAAAAAGCGCCGTTCGCGGTCGACATCTGCTGATGTCCATCGTTAGTCAAGTTAGCTTATTTGGCCTGCAGCCGCGCGAAATGAATATTTGGTTTGATTATTTGCCTTTGATTTTAAAGCCACACAACTCCTGTATCGTTGTTGCAGCTAAATAAAAACTTATAACTTCGCTCCGGGCGTTCTATCAAGAGACGAAGCTGACTGATCATTCGCGGATACTGTCTGTTCCCTTTGCACCGTATTTTGAAGCACCTGATCATAAATATAGGTCCCAACTCCCGGAATCAAGAATTGAAAGCTTCTCCTTCGAGATATTTCTGTTGCTTTGCAGAAATTCTCAGAGCTTTCAATTGTATTACCAAGGGCGTTCAAGGCATTCGATATCGCATGGTATGCGACACAACAAGTAAAAACCTCCTCCTCCAGTGGGTTGTAAAATTTGTTCCAAGCCAGAACATCTGACCATCTTCGCAACGCATCCTGTGCGAACAGCGACAAACGTGCGAACGCAATCAGAGTCCTGACATGTCCCAAGCGATCCACGATGTCAATCTCGCCCAAATTGCCATAAATAGCTAATAGCTCCGTGACATTATCGCCAGCCTCCCGATATTGTCCTTGCCTCATTCGAACCTCAACAAACGAAAGAAGCAGTCGTCGGTAACCTTTGAGATGTTGACGGGATGATCTCCTTAGTTGTTCAACAGCCGCTCCTACCATCTCGGCTGCGCGAGGTAGATATGAATTGCCCGGGCCTTCTGAATAGTCTAATTCACAATAAAGGTCGGCAAGGTTGGATTTCATAAGAAACGCCTTCGCATCTGGTAGCCCAGGAGATCCAAGGCAAGTCTCAAAACAACGTTTAGCTTCCATGAATTGGCCTTGCCCTCGCAGGATTCGGCCAATGCAAGATATTTGATCCCATAACAACTGCTCCTGTTTGCCTGGGATATCTCGGAATGGCATCCAGTTTTTGATTTGTTCGTGAGCTATCGAAAAGCAAAATTGATAGACATGATTGGATGCCTGTGAAATAAACAAAGCTGCGACGTGAAGGTCAACTGACTCGTCTCGGAGGCCTGACAAACAGTCTTCAATAATCTGCTGAGAGCCTTTGATGTTCCCGGCCAGGCGCATCAACACGCTCTGTCGGAAAGTCACTTTGGCCTTCAATTGAAGGGAGTGGCAATTTCGGGCAAGGTGCTGAGCCATCTCGAGAATGGTTTCGCGGCCGCTCATTTCCCAGCATTTTGTTTTTGACGCTGCCACTAAAGAATCGATTTTATCCTCTAAGGAGGGATCTGAATTATGTCGCTGTTCAAAGTAGTTCACGATACTGTCAAAATACTTTAGTTTGCTTTTTTCACAAAAGAGAGGTAAGTGATTCTTACAACGCTTCTAATTCATCATGAAATTGGTGGTCCGGCGAGTTGTACGGCATGCACCGGGCGAAATCAGCCAAACTGCGACTGGGGGCCATAATCAGTAGCTCGCCAGCGATTGGGGCGGGCAAGTTGCTGGGCGTGCGTGGGGGTAACGCTTTTCGTCTATGGGACTTGCCGAAACAAGAATGTTTGTAACTGTAGATTCTGTGACATGTTGAGCACTGCTGAGAAAATCTGATTCGATGAATCATAGGCCCACTGTGTGTCATGGCTGGTTTTCAAAGACAAGGTTGATAAATGAGTTAACTAGCTGTTGGTCGATTGACGCCTTTGGAAATCGGACCGGAGAAACGTTTCCCCAGGAAGTTGGCTCTGCTACCTCCTGCTATCGCGTCACCATTTGAGTTCTGCGCGTCGAGTGGACACACACGACCCCGCGGCGGCAAACTAGCGCGACCTGAGTTCCGGAAAATAAATCCATCATGTGTGAGCTCTGATTGGATCAGTTTTTCCAGTGGTCATCTCAGACCGCTTTTTAGATCGGTTACAGGATTATATGTTACAAGTGTTAGATCACGAAGGATGTATGTCGGAACGTGGTCTTTATAGTACTGAGACAAGCGCGGTTGTACAGGGTGTTAGCCACGACCCACTAAAAACAGTTTGACTGAGTGCAGCCACGTCACATTGACTGCAGGATCGTGAAAATGAACCCGACTTTGCTCTACTTATTTCAAATAATTTTTGAATGAGTGATGCTTGATAGATGCTTTGAAAACTTTCTCACTGGGCCGCTCTCACCTAACATGTACCTTTCCGAAACCCGACGAGTTGCGGTAGCTTCGCGAATGCTGCGCCCTCTCCCGACTTGAGATATCTAGTGGCTTTCCAGATGTTATCGTTGTCTGCGAGAAATTCATTCCAATTATAAAGCTCTTTTCAATTGGTTGATCGATCATGATGCTTCTTTTCAGGATGTTCAAGGGGGTATCGATAGGCTCTGTTGCGAAGCATTCGAGCAGGGCGACTATGAAAAGTTTCGCAGGCTGTTCTCGAAAGGAGCGTCTTTAGATGTTTTGGCTGGAGTGGTATTCGATTTTTCTGGTTGTCATAAGCCAAGGTCACGTCAAGCTTGCCGTTCTCATCTACTGCGCTGAAGAGGGCCCTCGGAGAAGGATCAACGCCTAGTGGCTCCCATGAGGCAATGACAGCAGAGCTAAAATTGCATCGACGTAAAGGACTCGGTGACGGTTGGAGGAGATCGATCACCTAGATATACAGCTTGTGGATAATCGTAAGACAAAGTTTGGCAAAGAGACCGTCCTTGCTACCACCTTTTATTTCTTTACATGGTATTTGCTGTTATTGAGACTTTAGTAGGGTAAACCTCCCCTTTTTCTGCCACGGATTGCAAACTTTGCAATGACATTTTACAGTGAAAAGCCAAGAAACTGGTGGTTTACAGACCGATGAGAAAGAAGCATAGGCGAGACACGTAATTACGGTGATTTAGCATGACTCATCAGGGCGACACAACTAGATTAAAAGGAAGTTAACCTAATATGGAAAAGCGGGGCTCTGTGAGATCACAAGAGAGCATATCGAGGTAAATCTGATTTCGAATATCACTGTAAGAGCCGGCAGATCAAGATTCCCAAAATCAAAATGGGAATAACTTTCAGGGCGCATGATATGATGAGGATGTTTAGAATAGGGGTAAGTAGATCAACGAAGATCACCTGCATACAACATCAGTACGTAAATGCATAGCCATCTGTATCTATCTACCTGGCGGAAAGAAAGTAAACAGATATGCTTACTCAGCTGTTTATCTTCCAATAGCCTTGATTCGGCTGCCAGCCCACTAGGCTGGTTTGATATCGTCTCGGAATTTTGGGAATATCGCATGCCATCGTTTCGCTTTGTTTTCCTCCAGTTTACTGCGCCAGGCTGCATACTAAATCGGTCAACCCACATGAAGCTGTTATCGTTCGGCCAAACTTCGTTCGAGAAGTACGTAGCTCCTTCTACCGTCGGATGCACCATCATTATTCGACGTTGCGAATTCTGTTCAGACTCTATCGTGATGATAGGCTCTTCTATCGCTTGGAAATATGATAGGCCCGATGGGTGAAATCTTTCTGAGGGTGGAGGACACAAAAGCGTGACTGTTTGGCCCTCAGATATGCGCCACGCGAAGATTGCTGAAGCCCCATGAATATAATGACTCCATTTTGGGGCCTATTGAAGTAGTCAGGGTTTGCATCTGGTGATCTTCGGCCCATTATTAGGCAACCGTGCGAGGTACGCCGCTCCATTGCACTTGTGTATTAGTGACCCAGTCATCGGATAAAACCTGTTCAATTATCGGAATTGCCTCGATCGGCGTCAAATATCGGCTGATGATTTCGACGACTTTGTCTTGCGTCAAATTCGGGGCGTGAAGTCGCTGGATAAGTCTTTCCTGAGTATCCATCAAATCGAGTACTGTATGCAGATCTTACTTCAATTGGTACTCGAAATTTTCCATTCATCTTTTTATATACTAGAATTAAAAATGACTGACTGTGTGACATCATGCAGAGCAACTCACGTCATGCTCTAGTGGCGAAGATATGAACTCATTAAACTTTGGTCTGAACCGTATTGGCGCGGCAGGAATTGTATGACAGCCTCTATAATTGTACATACAATTTCTGGTGCAGTATACAGACGATGATGATAGTTTTATTTGCCCTGTCTCACAATGAACAAGCGATACTGTACAGTATAAACATGTGTAGTATAGAGGAGGTCACCCCAGGTGCCTGATTCTTCATCAAGCATCAATGATGGCAATGGGCTCTACATACTACCCTCCCTGGCACGTATATTTTGGTATTTCAGATGCACCTAGGCATCAATTGATGAGATATCTCTCATTAGATACTATGTACTTGTATTATTGATACAGTACTATGGCCGGCAAAGGGATATAAATATATGTATATGCATTCGGAGATGCCTTCCGCTAACGCCTTGAGCAATTGCGGGCAACACGGTCGAACTGCTGGTCATTCTTCCACGAAAAAGAAGAGCAAATTGAGGGCATAGTATTTCTGTCTAGCCCATCTTATCAAGAAATATTACATGGATGCACGAAAGTTTACAAGTTCCTGCATGCAGCGCTCCAAACTCGTTAGATAGCTGGTCCTAAAAGCTGTCTTGATCAAGACGGCTTACATAAGGTTTTACAGTCCTTCCCACCCCCTAGCGAAGCTTGCTTTCCCCTGCGATTATGAAAAAGAAAAAACAGACGAATCTTATTTTGAACGCATCATTATAGAGAATTATTTCGACCCAGGACGGTCATCCCAAGCTTCGAGCACAGCCCTCAATCCATTTCGAAAGTTTTCAAACCCTTGTTTAGAGTATTCTAGTAATGCCCCTTGGTCAGCAAGCTGACGATCAATAATTTGCAATTTTTGACACAATTGAACGTTGGCCGCGCAGAGCATGTCGTTCTCCTCCTGCAGACGATAGAATTCAGCCTGCTTGCTACTATAGGACTCCCAAAGCTTTGAGTAAAGCTGGAGAATCTCCGCAGCCTGGTTCATAGGCTCGGTGTTATCTTGATTCTGCCCCGTCCGATCCCGGATGAGCGGTCGAAATGGATCTACTTGTAGCGGGCTATCAAAATGCGAATCTGGGACCTATCATAAAGGGTTAGTACTGATCAGTCGTCTTCCAGTACATACTTACTGGCCAATGCTCCGAGCCTTCGTCCATTGGAACCGAGAATAGATCCGCGTTCTCGGACGACTGGCACAATGATTCGAACTCGGACCCATCAGCTGAGGTCCCTTGTATTTGATTGGGGATGGCCATTGCTGTTGACAGGAGTGAGATGGCAGTACCTGGAGCTTCAATCAAGTTCAGCAGAGGCTCTTTATAGAATACTCGAATTGACTGGTAATAGTTAGCATACAGTGAATTGAAAAACGATATATAAAGGTAGCAACTAAATGAAGCGCAATTCTGCTGCAGCTTCTTCCTGGTGAAGCATTGTTCAGGGCAGTGTTGTTGATAATGTACTGTGTAAACACCTAGAAATCTTTACGAACGGTTTGATCGTCCATTGAGGTGTTTCTTTTTCTCGCCTTATTTCAGTGGGTCAATTTATATTGCCCTCAACTTTTAAAGCACGAAACTGACTCGTCATTCAATTCTCAAACAGCCACCAGGCGATTTGATAATTTGAGTGCTTCTTTGCGGATTTCGACTCTCACTGCAAAATACACTATACCCTATTCGATGTTGACAGAGGCTCTTCAGCGCTATCACTGGAATTCAATAAAGGCTGCTTCTTTTGACGTGTTTCATCAGTGTAAAAGTTCCCGGTGTCCCATGTATCGTCCTTGACCATTCTCAATTCAATACTAGAATGAGTATGACCCTTCAGCTTATTTTATCGTCCCTTCAAATCTCCCGCAGCCTTATTTTGGAAACTTTCACCATCCAATTTTTAGATGTAAAATATCTACACGCTTGAATACAGGGCCGCTCGAAATCAGCTTCACCTGGCTTTTCTCTTTCAAAAAGTTTTCGAACTTTATCTTGCATCACATTATACCTATTATAGTTAGACTACCCCTGACCCGGTATCTTTCCGTATTCCATGACAGTAGCAATAATACGGATAAAAATAGGTATTGTATTCCGTTGTACAGGAATTCTGTGCTCTACGATAGAAGACACGAAGTTCTAGAACATTCCTTGCAAAGTAAGCAAATGATATCACTAACTAGTAAGTCGCCGATCTGCTTCACCTTAATCATGGGTGGCGTAACGATTCTTCGTCTGCCGACACGCGTGGACGGAGACCGGGCATGACCGAACAAGCGGAGGTTGTTGCGAATATTGACGATCGAGCGCTCGCTACACTCAGCAGCCGTGGCCATCTGTAAAATAGTCACGGATCCACATTCGATCATATCACGAATCATCTCTAGCTTGCATGGAGAAAGTCGAGGGGCCATTTTAGCGAGACTGTAGGGGTTCCCCCTGGCATCTTTGATGCAACGGAGAAGAGGGGGTTTTCCATGCTCACCCTGCTCACCCTGCTCAGTGAGCGGGTGCAATGAATCTTTATCGAAAGTCGCGGGGAATGCTGGGGTATTAGGAAATGCACGTGACTTTGACCCACAGTGGTTCCTGGGAAGTGAGTGGTTTCTTGGTGATCTGAAAAGTGCGGGTGTTGATCAGTGATCAGTGATCATAATGTGAAGGACTCAAATACTTGCACCTCATACAGAGGCATTGCTAGAATGAGCATTGGGAACTTCCGCGCGGCATATATTGGCATGATATTGTAATTAAAAGCATGACAGAAATCAAAATAATATGTATCAAGAGAAACGGCAATCAAAGGGTAGGTATAGGACAGTGTTTTGAAAGTGCGAGAAAAATGACGCGATTTGATGAACAGGCAAAAGCTATTTTGGCCTCATGTATAGAAAAAAGAGAGACACTAAGGGGGCGATATTCTGAGGGTAACCATAAGAGGTTGAGTCCACCATAGGTTATCCAGGAACGGTCATCGCCAAGTCCATATCCATACTGCTTTGGAGGATGGGTAAAAGTGTTATGCATAGGCGTCACAGCATCCACTGAGCTTATGCAAAATGTACGAGCATCGGTGTGCAGACAATTTGAATCGGCGATGTCAAATTTGACGAAGCTAGTAAAGCCGGTAGAGAGGGTTGACATGCTCTGGCCGGTGGCTTCATCCCATATCCGGACGGTCTTATCATCTGACGCTGATGCAAGTCGGCTTCCATCCCGCGACCAGGCAATTGACCGGACCCAATCACTATGCCCCTCCAGAGTAGACACGCTCTGGCCGGTGGCTGGATCCCATATCCGGACTGTCTCATCTAAAGACCCTGATGCAAGTCGGCTTCCATCTGGCGACCAGGCAATTGACTGGACCGAACGATTATGCCCCTCTAGAGTAGACGTGCTCTGGCCGGTGGCTGGATGCCATATCCGCACTGTGTTATCGCTTGACCCTGATGCAAGTCGGCTTCCATCTGGCGACCAGGCAATTGACCGGACCCAGTGACTATGCCCCTCGAGAGTAGACATGCTCTGGCCGGTTGCTGGATCCCATATTCGGACGGTGTTATCATCTGACCCTGATGCAAGTCGGCTTCCATCTGGCGACCAGGCAATTGACCGGACCCAATCACTATGCCCCTCCAGAGTAGACACGCTCTGGCCGGTGGCTGGATCCCATATTCGGACGGTGTCATCCCCAGACCCTGATGCAAGTCGGCTTCCATCTGGCGACCAGGCAATTGACTGGACCGAATGACTATGCCCCTCGAGAGTAGACACGCTCTGACCGGTGGCTGGATCCCATATCCGCACTGTGTCATCCCCAGACCCTGATGCAAGTCGGCTTCCATCTGGCGACCAGGCAATTGACTGGACCGAACGATTATGCCCCTCTAGAGTAGACGTGCTCTGGCCGGTGGCTGGATGCCATATCCGCACTGTGTTATCGCTTGACCCTGATGCAAGTCGGCTTCCATCTGGCGACCAGGCAATTGACCGGACCCAGTGACTATGCCCCTCGAGAGTAGACATGCTCTGGCCGGTTGCTGGATCCCATATTCGGACGGTGTTATCATCTGACCCTGATGCAAGTCGGCTTCCATCTGGCGACCAGGCAATTGACCGGACCCAATCACTATGCCCCTCCAGAGTAGACACGCTCTGGCCGGTGGCTGGATCCCATATCCGGACGGTCTTATCACAAGACCCTGATGCAAGTCGGCTTCCATCTGGCGACCAGGCAATTGACTGGACCCAGCCATTATGCCCCTCGAGAGTACCAACGCTCTGGCCGGTGGCTGGATCCCATATCCGGACTGTCTTATCCGAAGACCCTGATGCAAGTCGGCTTCCATCTGGCGACCAGGCAATTGACTGGACCCAGCCATTATGCCCCTCGAGAGTAGACACGCTCTGACCGGTGGCTGGATCCCATATCCGCACTGTGTCATCCCCAGACCCTGATGCAAGTCGGCTTCCATCTGGCGACCAGGCAATTGACCGGACCCAGTGACTATGCCCCTCGAGAGTAGACACGCTCTGGCCGGTGGCTGGATCCCATATCCGGACTGTCTTATCCCGGGACCCTGATGCAAGTCGGCTTCCATCTGGCGACCAGGTAATCGATTCGACCGAATCACTATGCCCCTCAAGAGTTTGAAGGCAAGCACTCCAGCTTTTCTCCACTATGGGATAGTTTGAAACCCAATCAGGTCTATCTTCCCGGAAAGCTATTCCAGTCAGGCTCTTTGACGGGCTAAAGACGAGAGGTGAGCAATACACCTGTAGCGGGCTGCTCTCGATTCCTGTTTTATGATATTGAATGAATCTACTGGCGTCTTGAGCTCGTTCCAAGAGTCCATCTGACTCACTCTCCTCCTGTCAGCAGATAACCTTATATTAGCAGGCTACTCCGTGTTGGCACGGACTTGGCAACATACGACAATCAAACTTTCTAGCCTTTTCATAGCGCGTATGCCATCTGAAAGGCTTCCCAATATGCTCAGAGCCTCGAGCCAGTGGAGGTATTTCTGCTGCAGAAACCTATCCAGTATCTGCCTATCCTTCAAACTCTGTCTATAGGTTGCGTTATACTTCCAAGCATCAAGATGGCCTACCCAATAGACACAAGCGTACTCAGCGGGTGCTAGTGGATTTGGGTTTGGCACACTAATATCCTTAGAGGATATGCCTGGCAATTTGAGGTCAAAGATGTCACGTCGAAGTGTCTTGAAAAGAACATTCAGACATTGGGAGAAGATAGTGTAGTGTTCACTGTCTAGGCCCTTGGGAAACATCTCCGCGAATGCCTCTCTAGTCAGGAATTCTTTCGCAGATTGATGAACAAACGTGATGGTGCTTTCTCGTAATGTCAGGAACGACCCACATATCCCGATAACCTCAAGGAGTGTGTCAAGATCATCGAAGCCATCATTCCGCCCCGCAAGGAGGGAGCTTAGCTCGCTAAGCGTGACTGGGCGATAAACTGCCATTACAGTGCCCAGTATCTGTTTGCAGAGCTCTGCGTCTTCTGAGTCACGAACCTGACCCATCATTCGGCGGTAAAGATTATCGAGTCCAGGCGGGAACATTTCAAGCTTCTTCATTACATGCCTTCTTGGCGTTTGGTCAAGATTCTTCCAGACCAAGGCAACCCATAGGAAAGTGCCTTGTGAGTTGCGTAATAAGTGGCGTTTGACAGTTGCAGTTATTTTCTCATCGTATCTTTTTTGCTTGGCCAAAGAGTCCACTTTATGTTGGATGAATGCATCTACAGCTCCAGACACGGATGTCTCATTCAGCTCCAACGAGATCGGAGCTACATGTGTAGCAGAGTCGAGACACTCAGTAATCTGATATTCGTTACGACTGGAGACAACCCATTTTATTTCTTGATGGGCTGTTGAGTGTTCAACGATTAGATCCAGAAGGTCTTGAAGACCATCTCGACATTCGTCCAAAGCATCAATCACGAAGTAGGTACTCTTCAAAGACGAGTCTTCGAGGATTTGTGTGAAAATGGATACGAGGGCACTCCATGCATTGATGTCTTCGAACAGGTCTTTCCCTGCAGAATCGTATCGAGCTCGCACGTGGCGGAGAAGTGATGGATGCTTCTCGATAAGTGAACATATCAAGCCACGTAAGACGGACGTCGCACTATTGATACGCATATCGGTGGCTTGGCAGAAGAAGAACGAGAGAGTTGCACTCTCATTATGTGATTGTGTCAACTCCTCGATGATGCCACACAGAAGCATCGTCTTGCCTTTGCCGGGATCACCCCTGATCCAGAGAAGACGATTGCTCTGGTTATTTTGCCATTTTCTGAAAGCTGCGTTTTCAAGAATCCAGCGGTAGGAGTCTTTGAGTAGCCCACCGTTAGTTTTCTTGATACGCTCTTTATCATCGCAGGGGTTGGTCGTTCGTAGGTCGCGCAGACATGCTTGGTCTAACAACCTTTCCGGTTGACCTTGCGGCAAACCCAAATTAGTTACATATAATCACGTTCACGATTCTGTACGTACTCAGATTCGCCGTGATGGGTCCATAGTTTTTTGCGACTTGGATTCCGGAGTTGACGCCATTGTAAGAAGCATGAGTGGCCATGATGGGAAGCCAGAACTCGAAATAAGGTAGGAGGAAGTCAGCGTCAAATGCCCAACTTTGGTTTACCCCGCTTTTAGGTGATCTATCGAGATACAGAAGAACCGGACCGTCCCTAACATCTCTCATTAGTTAGAAATGATTGCTTTGAGTTCACGCTCCCCAACCTTAATAAGCGTGCGAATATGCCATGGGGACTTATATTAGCCCTTGCGGAAGGAAACGCTCATGATAGACAACCTTCAGACCAATATCTAACCGGTCGTATTCAAATTTCAGGAAAGTAATAGCTCCACCAACGCCGTATTGAAACGTTACACACTATTTCACACCGTCATTATGCACTAGATAGAATGAGGGATAGCGTGTTTCATAATAGAGTTCAAGAAGAAAAAGAAAGGAAACAAAACATGAAACTGATTTCGAGCGGCCCTGTACCACGCTTTCTGCTCAATCAACCTCGAATGTGAGTTCTAAGAGAATATAACAGGCCGAGAAGGCCTTTGATAATTGGAAAGATTTCTGGAAACCAATGACTGACAACTTTCTAAGGCCACCAAATCATAACTCTTTATGTTGGTTCTCTTGATCGGCTAGAGACTAATTTCGCCTATTGATACTCATCGATGTAAGTACAGAAGGTAGAATTTTTTTGATGGTCGTCTAAACTCGGACAGAAAATGATTGCGCTACAGTACGATAACTCACTGAGTCTTGGGGCAACTTTATTGGTCCACAGACTGCATCGGTTGTACAAAACGTTTGTTGGCCTTGCAGCTCTGATCAGCGGCCTTTCAGTGGGCGCATTGACGCTTAGCGAGTTTCACCCGACACGTTCTAGATTGTCTCAAGTATCCGAGGGCTTTATCTGCAGTTCTACAATCACCGCCGTGATAGCCGCAATGTCAGCAACTATGCTGCTATTTCAATTTGACAGCCCCAACAAGATAGCTAGGGGGGATCTTGCTGTCGCATGGTTACCTTTGATGCTGCTTGATGTTTCAATCGCGGAATATCTTGCCGGAATGGTTTGCTGGTACTTTAGCAAAAGCTCACGAGGGGTGAGCATCGTGATGGCAGCACAGATATTCATATTGCTTAGCTGTTGTGTTGCTCTCTCTATGTGGATGATCAGGAAGTGGAGAATGAAGGAGGAACGAGCTCCAAAGGGGATGGAGGAGTGCCTCTCCACTTCTGCCTCGAAAAGTGGGTGAATTTGACATCCTTGGAAGATCAGTTGTGGTGAGTAGTATAGGCCATGGCGTCTTCCTTACGACCGAAAGAGGCTGAGATGATTTATGGTTTCATAGTTTCGAAAAACTCGTGGCGAATACATACAGTACAGGGCGGCTAGAAATCAGCTTCATCTGTTGGTTTTTCTTCGGAACTCTATTCAGAAACATACAACTCCTCATTTGATGGGTATTGCAGATTTGGTTTTGTGTCTTCCTATGCTGTATAAGATTTGAATATACACTTTGTGGGTCTCTAGATCGAGGGTGGGTTTTATTGTAAGATAAGGCCTAAAGCCTGCTCATTGTCGTGATATGCGGCACAGATCAGGAACCAAGCCGAAGCATCAGAGTTAAATCCGAAGTATGTATACGAAGTATATAGCCTCATGTTTCCCTTGAACGAAATAAGAATCAATCTTCCTTTGAACTGCAACACTTATGCTTAGCATAGTATGTGTCATTTATGTGTATTTTTAGCTCTTACTATCGGTATAAGTAGAATTAAAATTCAGAGAAAAGAGCACTTGAGGGTAAGAGTCCAAATAGCGAAGAACGGTAAGATAAGGGAAGGAGGAGAAAAAACTTCAGCTTGATGAAATGCAAGAAAAAAGGGGTGGAACTTCGTTGGAATTATAATTTTCTACATCCAAAAAGTACAAAATCCATACGATTCAGCAGGCGGTGTGCTAGGCGGTACACGAATTTTCCATTTTCCGGTTGGCAACTATCGGCGCCCGTAGCAGGGAGCGCTGCCCGATTTGAAGTGCTACAGTATAGGTTCACCCCGAACTTGGAGTAAACATGGTTCTTGGTACAGGTATGAAAAAATTTCTGTTTCTTGTTCGGGGTATTAGATTGAGATTGCGACATTTTTGAGTCTCTTAGCTGGCCATTCGGAAATAGGGTCTATATGCCACCGAGTACCTGTCCTTGTTGTTCTGTTGTTCAGAGATATGAATTGTCTTAGTTATTCAGAGGGAAACATGAGGCTATATATACAACGATAAGATCAAGTTGATTTCCAATCAACTTGACTCTTCGTATACATGCATCGGAATTAACTCCGATGGTTCGGCTTGGTTCCTGATCTGCACCAGCCTCATATAACAACACTCCTCCGTCAAATCCGACTACATACACTCTACCGGAGGCTTTGCCCTCTCTGCCCCGTTTCCACTCTATCAAGTCGCCTCCGAGCGTTATTCGAACAGACGAGCGCGCTCGCGTTGAATCGCACAGTTGATCAACGACAACAGGACAAACACAAGGCCCAGCTACCTGTGAGAGTATAAGCTATCTGCGCCAAACGCCGTAGCAGGAATGGCGTTTTGCGCTGAATAACGGGATGGAAAGGTTTTCTAGGGCAAGTCAAGCGAACCAAGATTCATTGTGATTAGCACTAGCCCAGCGCGTCTATATACCCCACGGGGGGTGATAGCACTGGGCTACACCCAGTCTTAAGGTTGATAAACTAATACTACTACTGCTACTGCTACTACTACTGCTACCACTACTGCTACTACTACTGCTACTGCTACTGACTATATGCCCTGGATACAGTACCAATCCCTGGGGAAATTGGGTGAACGATGACCAAACCTATCCTAAAAGGACATAGCAGTAATTGACCGCTTCCTATGTTTGACATTTACCTTTGATTTCTCTCTCCCTCTGTCTCGCGGGGCCCCACTTCAAGCGCACTAGTCCGTATAAAGATATCCTTCCGCCGACCTTGATCTATGTTTCCTCTATGAGTCATCGTAAATTACAGTAAGATGGTGTCTACTGTTTTGGTCTCTTCAGGTGGCTTCATTATCTGCAACACGTTAAGTATGAAGTCAAAATCAACTAATTAGACCTCCAGTCATCTCTCAGTGACCACCTGTTAATTGGATCAGCTGCTAACAACAGCGGGGCTCAAGAAAAGAAAGCGATCAGAAGGGTAGAAGCCGTCTTCGGTATCGACCGTATTATGACATGTATAGTACATCATTAGTTGCCCCTCAGCTTAGCCGCCGGACATTAATAAATTGCGTGTGTGTATGTGTATGAAAAATATCTGCATATTCAATCATCATCTATTTTAACGTTTCGTCAAGCTGGATGATGTCAATGACTATGCTGATGGATCCGAGGAAATCTAATTTCCAGTGAAGAAGGAGGGCTGGTTCTGATTTTGCCCAATTGAAACCTCAAATAGAAACTCTGTATCGAACTCCTGCGCGGTGACTTACCTTAAGACTCATTCGTATTACAGCTAGATTCGTATTCTTTTTACTGTTTTGAGCTATATTGTGGAACTTAACCCCGGATCTAGTAGTCTCCATTAGAATGGCTTATCTCAGCTGAGGTGTCTAGAACAAGTCTGTTCGTGTAGATCTTGGAATCCGACTTAGATTCTCGCCGTGCATACCTAGCATACCGGTTGTGATCAAGTCTTGTCGTACTGTACGATTCTATGACGTGACACAGTGATCATGTATATTTGGGTATATGAGAATGGTCAAATCATTCGGAGAACTGATTCTTACCAATCGTTCTGCCGCATACTTTTTGGATCGCGTTCATGTGGAGAAAGATCCTTTCACGACAGACAACACACAATATGGTTGTTCATCCTACCGGTGATGAGCAAGGCCTAGCCGACCCAATAATACTTGAAAAAATCGACAGGCTATTCGCCTGTAACATTGGAAATTACATCGACCTCCCTCAACTGGTTGTGGTGGGAGACCAGTCAAGTGGTAAAAGCTCTGTCCTGGAGGGGCTTACTCGATTGTCATTTCCTCGAGACAGCAACCTATGTACAAGGTTTGCAACTCAAATTATATTTCGTCGGTCCAAATATAGTGAAAGATTAATTATGGCTTCGATAATTCCGGACTCCGAGGCTGAGGACGAACATGCCTCCAAATTGAAAGATTGGAAAGGAAAGAACCTACAATCTCTTGATGCTGAATCATTCACTAAAATGATGTCTGAAGTACGTGGTTGGAACCCATCACGCGAGACTCGATATTGACATGCATTCGAAGGTTCACACCCTGATGGGAGTTTCTCGGTCGAAAGATGACGGATTGCCTACATTCTCCAAACATGTATTGCGAGTGGAGATTTGTGGGCCACAAGAAGACCATATTAGTGTAATCGATGTTCCTGGAATTTTTCGCAACTCTATACCCGGAAACTACGCGAAAGAGGACAAAAAATTGGTGCGCGACATGGTACAGGCATATATGAGAAACCCTCGCTCTATCATTTTGACAGTGGTGCCAGCGAACGTTGATATAGCCACTCAAGAGATTGTTGAGATGGCCCACGAGCTCGATCCTGATGGCGAAAGGACTCTTGGAGTGTTGACCAAGCCAGACTTGGTAGACAAGGGTGCGGAGGAAAAGGTGATTGATCTCATCAGAGGCAAAGAAATGCGAGTCAAGCTTGGATGGGTGATTGTACGAAACCTTGGACAGAGCGAGTTACGCGGAGGAGTCATGCACCGAGACGCAGCTGAAGAGGAGCACCGCACAAGACACCCTTGGAATGCCGTTGACTGTGACAGTTTCGGCATTGATGGACTAAAAATCCGTCTTCGTGTGATTGTGGCAGCCAATGCCCGCCAGGCCTTTTCATCAGCAAGTTGCCATGACCCCATTACCCAGAAGCCTTGATCCAGCTAACTGTAATAATCAGGTCAGATCCGAAGTCAGCAAGAAACTCAAGGACCGCCAACTTGGCATTCGGTCTCTTGGACCGCAAAGAAATACACCCGAGCAGCAATTGCAATACTTGCTTGATATTGTTTCCTCATTCCAGAGCCTTACCATGCAGGCCCTAGGGGCAAACTACAGTTCAAATGATGCTTTTGAGAATAGTGATGCCCTCCGATTGGCTACTAGGGTTGTCACAAGAAACGAGAAATTCTCAGAGGACCTATCCCGGTGGGGCCATTTGTTTGACTTCAACAGTGTGTCGCCTCCCCAAGTTAACGCCGATGACACTGTTGTTGAACGCCAAAAATCTGGGAGACGACTCCTGCATTCAAGAAACGTAAAGGACATCTCTGGAATCCAAGAGATGCTGCCGGAATCGTCAGATGTGTCCCCTCCTCTCGGTCATGATATTCGTTCGTGGATAGGCGACGAATACCGCCAATCGCGAGGCTTTGAGATTGGAACGTTCAATCATGTGCTTCTGTCGAGCCTAATGAAGAAGCAGTCCACGAAATGGATAACCCTAGCGAATGGATACATCAGTGATATCATCACCATTGTTCATGGCTACATCACCAACGGACTGAAAATGGTCTGTACTAACAAAAAGGTGTATGAAAACCTGCTTGTGCTTTTGATGGACAAGCTTCTTGAGAGGTACCGGAGTGCGATCGATCAAGTTGCTTTTCTGCTGTTTGTTGAAAGATCAATGACACCAATAACGGTGAACCACTATCTTAATGACAATCTAGAAAAATGGTATGTGGTCGCAACATTTTGTCATTTTTCATGAAGAGCTAACACACCATAGTCGACAGGAGCGCACAATACCAAAACAAGCAAGCAAAGCATTTGACAGTCTAGATGGGAAGGTAGTCCGTGTTGATGATCTGAAACATCAGCAGAATATGAGCAATGCCGAACATGCTGTTCAAGATCTTCAAGATATCCTGGAATCATATTACAAACTCGCGCGAAAGAGATTTGCGGATAATGTCTGCATTCAAGCAACATCATTCTATCTACTTCAAGGGCCAAGATCCCCGATGGGCTTGATATCGCCCTCGCTGGTCAGCAGTCTGAGCAGAGACCAACTTGACGAGATTGCCGGAGAGCCGGAGATATTAAAAAGGAAACGTGAGCAGCTGCAGAAAGAAATATCGGATCTTTCCATGGCAAGAGAGATACTACTCTGAGTGTTATCATACCGTTGAATTTGTGTTTTGAGGAAAAGCGAAATGTATTTAAGTGAAAAGCTTTCTTCATGGAACGTAGTATGTAATTAGTTAACTAAGTTACTGCCCCCATCAGTCATTGAAGAACTCTCGGGTCCTCTAAATATTTCATAGCTCCCATCTAAAAATCACACATTGTTATTTGAGAAAGATCAATATTTGATGACTATTATTACCTTTAACCAAATAGTGATGATCGAGTTATTTTCAATACAGCTGATTAATTTAACTTCAAGACTTGTCCAAATTAAACGACATTGATTCCCCACTCTCTTTCCCTCTTGCAAATTTTCATTAAAAATGGGGATGAAGTGAAAGGCCGACAAATCTTTGTAGAGTTGTAAGCCATCCAAACAGATGTCTGTGTTGTAAAGCCTTTTTCAACGCACTTTTCCAGCCAGTCAGATATATATAGTGCCATTGGCGGGATTTAGAGACTCAATATCGAGCTGACACGTTCCCGTATGACACTCCGTTAAAATCCAAGTCGAAAAGCAGTAAAGCGGAGGTAGGTGTCACTGTTAGAGTGTACATGATTTTATAGTACTCAAGCCCTTTGGAATTTCTTTTTCTTTCAAAGAGCTGCCGTGGGACTTTGCTAAGGTCACTATCCAGCGTGCAAAGTCGAAGTACTCCTGCCTTAGTCAACATCTTATCGCCGGTTTCAAGGTCAAACTCTGGGTACTTACTATCAGAATGATATTCCGGTGCTCTCTCGTCGTTGCAGAAGAATAGATCATCTGTGAAGTGTAAATTCTTGGCTCGATCTACCTTAATTGCGCGGTAGAATTTGAATTTAATGGGCCGGCGTTCGGATACCTTAGCAGACTTTCTCATGTTAGTCTCCCCTAAGCGAAAGACATTCCCAGCTAACCAACCTTATTAATGTACCAAGTCATCTTGTTCTCCACCATCCATTTTTCTTCGACTTCCGACCAATGTTTATCATGTCTTCCATGACGGCTTTTATCATACTCTGTGCAGGCTGAGACACCGTACGAATAACGGGAGATTCGCGTTTCCACGCGATTTCCTTCCAGTCCCCGGAGAACGGCCCCGCTACTTCACGTTAAAAACGAAAAGAATTTGGCAGATCTCTTTTCTCACCTGACGACTGCTGCCCAACTATTTGTTTTTAATATGCGATACGGTTCAGTTCCCCATAAATAATGATGCGGGTGACAAGGACTTACGCATTTGGGGGCTGCAATACTGTAATAGAAGGAGTACTTCTATTTAAGCGGTGGAAGACATATTTTGAGGACCCAAACCCCCCAACAAGAACGATGGCCTGTAATTGTCAACAGACTTTGACTTCGATGTCACGACAAGGCTTTTTGTTACCTTCGTGTGAAGTCGGAGATGGGAAATCTTCTCAAGCTGCGCCCGTACCAATTCTTCGACTCTTGACACTATCGGCTCGAAAATCTCTTCGATCTCAACACTGGGTAGGGATTAGAAAGGTCAAAAAAATGACCATTGTGGTTTACTGTCAAGTACTGACCCGTCAAGTTGAACGAATCCACTATCAACACCCTTTTCAGGTTGATCTGCTGCTCCTGGAAGCGGAATGAAATGATTCACATCTAGAAAATCGCAGTCGGATTCCTCACCGAAGGTAGGCTTCACCATGTCTCTCCAAAAACAAACAGCAGCTTCTTTGGACTTTGTTGGCAGAGATTGATAGTTCTCTAGCCCAACTTTCTTCATCAAGAAGCGTTCGAATCTCTCGTCAAGTAAAAGGGATCCGCAAACGGCCCCTATTTGAAAGAGATGAGAATTTTCAATGCATCATTCGGTCATGTTGAATCTCACCCGTTCCCTCTGTGACTTCCTCCAGGCTCAATGGATCGACATCTTGAATTTTATAAGCGATTAGGTCCTAGATGAACGTGAATAGTGCCCCTTTTGGTTTCTGGGCTCAGTCTTTACCACAGTCCCACCACCTGCATCACACACCACTAGAACATCGCCTTTCTTTCAAAAGAATTAACACAATGTAATAGCTTTCAATGATAAAACTCTCACCATGATTGAGTTTGGCTGGATTGTCCGCAGTGAATGCAGAGCGGCAGCTTCCGGCTCCGACACAAGGAAGATTTTCTGGGAGTCGACACCAGCTATTATAGCGGCTCGAAGTGTTGCATCTTTTGCTTTGTCGGACCACACTGCGGGCACAGTAAGCACAAACTTGAGCTCCATTGACTTCGCAGCATCTCCGAAGCGTCGTTGGAGCGTGTCCTTCACATGTACAACGAGATATCCTAGATACTCTCCGGAGACCTGAACAGCATCTTTGCCGAATTTTGCCAGCAGGGCCTTAGAGGCTAGTGACGGTGCATATTCCAGGTTCTGGCTTTCGTCTAGCAAAAGCTTGGAGCCACGAACTACTTCGCACAAAGAACCAACTTGATAGCCCCACTTTGGAATCTCTTTCTCGTACGAAATAATAGAGGGCACTTTCAACGCGGTGCCTAGATACGAATTAGAATTTTTTTGAAAGATCTCTCAGCGTTTAACTTACGATTTCCTCCTCCAGGCCAGGTGGACACGATTTCAATGTCTCTAGGGCCACCTTCAAGCGCCCAAGCAATCCTAAATGAGTCAAAATTAGACAAAAATAATCATGATATGTGGAATTCTGGAAGACGGAGTGGCTCACCCGCTGAAGGTTGTTCCAAAGTCGATCCCCAAGACGATGTTAACTCCTCTTCCCATTTTGATCTCGCTTCCATGAAATTACAAGTCTCAGTAGTATCAGCCAGGTAACGGGCGCACGAAGTTGTCCCTACCAAGCTTTTATGAGCATATGACTTTCGGCAAGCACCGGAAATACTCGCTCGCCACCCTCGTTCAATGATTCATCGAATGCCGCAAACGGCATTTTGTCACTTGTTCCCATCATTTCAGGGTATTTAACAGGCCATGTTATTATGTTTTGCAGTTAAGCTGATTGAAATCTTGACAATCCATGTTCATTAAAGATGCCTTGGACTTCATTGTTTTCATCCCAGAACTCCAGACCCAGCCAAAACAGATCTTACTCACAAGGTATATTTTATTTCCATCAGCAGATCAACGGAGTGGTGATACGTGGACACTGATGAGGTTTATGTCAAAGGTCCTAGACTTAGTACATTTCAAACTGCAAGAGAAGAACCCGAGTCCAGTTGTTATGAGGAATTGGAGAGGCAGCGCAAGGTATGAAAAAATTTAACATAGAGACGTGAAGCAACTGCTTACAATATAGCTAGATCAATCGAGAAGGACAATTATGTTTGGCATCTTCTAGGCACGAGCTAATTCGTGTCCAAGAGCAAATCCGTCGAAAAGATGAACTTTGTGCTCAATTAGAGGCAAAGGCAACGGCTTCAGAAGACCAACACCACCAAGAGCTTACCGGCTTGTGTGGTAAGATCAATGCTCTTGAGAATGATTTGGAAGTAGTCAACGAGGAAGAATGCATTAGAGAATGGCGAAGACTTCGACTACATCTTGATCAATGGGTGAAAAGAAATTTCAAAGACATTGCAAAGCTAAGCCAGGTCGATTACAGCGCTATCCTCCAATCGATTGGTATCACAGCGACGCATACCAAATCTCTTCTCGCAGGGAACTCACATCAGCGCTGGGCGATCATTCAAGCCTGGATAATTAAGATGCTAAATGATAGCATCTTTCTTCAATATTGCCCCGGGTTGGCTGAAAATGAAAATGAGTTTCTAGTCAGCCTGGATCGACTGATATTTCACCGAAGTACGGGTGTTCTTCTTTCCAGGAACAAGAGCTTCACTAAACGTTATTTAGGCAGCTTTAACACATGGAGACACTGCAAGTCGGGAATTAATACAGCTCTGGGTACTTTGACAGAGCCGTCACAAGGGATGCTGGCAGAACAACTTGTGAACGATGTTGAAAGCATGCTGGGAGAATATGCATCAACGACACCCAAGGTTCGACAGCAGCGACTGTACGATCTCTTTAGTCAATGTGTGGATTTTAAAATGATGTGCAACCGGCAACCAGAAATCTATGAATTTGTGTCATCACCATCTGGAAATACTTTTGACACAACATGTATGATTGTGGCTGGAGACATCGATTGTTGCGAGACAACAGTTGCTCTTTCTCTGTGGCAGTCTCTTTGGAAGGAGGGACATTCCGGAAATCTATATTGTCTAGAGCCGGAATTGGTCTGGTCTAATTTTCGCTGAATGTAATGTTTATTTCTGTGTGATGTCAATCTCCAATGTCTATATATTGCGGTACAGTGAGAGAGTTATGTGGAATCGATATACTTCTCAGATACGGGCATAGGCTCTAAGCCCTCTCACAGCACTTTCACGTCTCCTATAATTTAGCGGTTTGATCCGTGCTGACAATCGAAGGGATATCGCATATTTGTATCGAATGACATTCTACAGTTGTTCTCGAAATCGGCTTGACCGACACTAACTGATAATTCCTATGCGGGGCCCACCGCCAACCTCTTAGCGCGGATCTTTCATTTGGCTGGCCGCATTAAATAGGCGGTACACCGTTGAGACGCAAAGGGTTGTTGGCCTTCCATCAAATTCTGATATTGCCGTCGGAGCTTGTCGCTCCCAATGATAATTACTGAATTATTCTTTAATCAGTGTGTGTTGGTCAAGCCGATTTCGACTGCACATTTTCATGGAAAACACACGTACTCATGTACCCGATAGTTGTAAGCTGTATATTATTTCGACGAGAAATCGGCGTTAATGACCTACACACATATACTGGAGGCGGAATGGGGCTTTCGAGTGGCAAAAGATGCAAACGATCACTAAACTAGTTGGTGAATCGCTCAGTCAATTATCTATGCTATTTATCTATCTCCGCAATTTTGGACTCAGATATGACGGTCACTATTAACGCAGATGATGAAAGCGCCACATCTTTCATTTTAACACCAGATAGACCTTCCATTGCAGCTTCCGATATCGTATTTAACTGTTCAAATAATGTTAGTGTGCATTTTGTGGACACTTTTGAGAGGGTGTAATTTAAAGACTGGAATTTGCTCACTTTCTTTTCTTGGAAGACTTCCTCCGGCATAGCTTCCGACTCTGCGCATTCGATTTTTTTGTACTCATATTTAAAAGGTGCCCCGAGTGTGTTTGCATTTGATAACGCACGTCGGTTATTCGGTGGCAAGGCTGGGTCCCAGTTGGCCATCAGGTTTTGAAGTCTTCGTGACTGGCTTTGCACCAACTCAAATGAGTGGAATTTCATGATGTGGAAAGTATAACGCAGGAATTGAATTTCTTCATGCGGCATCTTACAAAAAGAAAAGACCTATTGATATATATATAAGATGTTTTTGGAAATGGCTCTAGACTAGCAAGCTCCCAGGAGCTATGAGTCTATGGCAATAAGTTGGCATGATAGGCTGGTTGAAAAGGGGGACTAGGCCGAGAGCCAAGGAACCGCAGCCCAATCTTCGAGCCTTCTGTTCGCATACATAATCGGCTTTGAATTTCTTTGGAATAGCCAGTTTGAATGTTAAGCGTGCCTACAGTATCAGAAGACTCAATAAATCAAATCGCGCATATGAGCCAGTTCCTAGGAATCTAGTCGGCATGTAATGGCACGTGATTATCAACCAATGCTTGGCTTCTAGGAGCTAAGCTGGATCTCCGCTGGATTCTGTGCTCATGAAAATAGCACGTCTCTAGTCTGTAAGCACACCGTCCTTTCTTCTTTAATTATTTACGCTACTCACTCAATTAACTGAAAGGAATATCATTCACAGTGGAAAGGCTTCTGACCCGGATCTGAAATTTTGCTCTTATTTTCAGACACTCCATCATTTCGTCGGTTTGTTCATTGTACACAACACCCAAATGGTGCAAACCCACCAAAAAGCTCACGGAAAAGCACATTCTGGCACACGAAAATGCGATCGTCAAACCTGGTGTATAGAAGCCGTCTCGAATCCCAAAAGTCCCGAAAGGAAATCATTTTTATTGGTTCTTGTTGTGATATGAGGCTGGTGCAGATCAGGAACCAAGCCGAACCATCGGAATTAACTCCGATGCATGTATACGAAGAGTCAAGTTGATTGGAAATCAACTTGGTCTTCTCGTTGTATATAGCCTCACGTTTCCCTCTGAACAATAAGACAATTTATACCTCTGAACTACAACAGTTCTCAAAGACAGCCTAGCCTGTCTTTTAGGGTGCTGCTTAGGCTGTTTAGGCTGTTTAGAGTCTTCTCGGTAACGTATTTACACCGTAACGAGCGGAGTAACCGTGCCGAAATATTGCAGAGGTACTTCCCTCGCCGACCGAGAATTATTCACCATCTTGGGTACAGTAGAATTCGAAAACAATTTCCCCCTCGAGTACACACTTTGTTTCTCAGCGCGTAATCTAAGCGGATTGAATCTCAATAAGGCTAAGTCGTAAACAAAGGCCGCCTGTGAGTGGCTGAAAGCTCACCGCCTATACCAATATTGATTAATACTGTTCCGGGTACGGGCCGAGAAACAAATCGTGCGTGCTTGAGGGGTAATCTGTTTCGAATTCTACTGTAGTCACTTCGTCAAACTCATCATTGAGTCATCAAGCGTTCCTTTGGCCATCTGATGTTTAGATGTTTACTACAGTACAAATAATTAACTATCGACATTAAGTCCCACAAACGGGGCTGTGACAGCGGCGAAACTTAACCCCTCAAAGCTCCATTGGGTCGCGAGCATGTCACACAGAAGTTGCAGACCCCTCACGCTCCATTTACTTCAGTTTATAAGTAAAGCAAGCATAGAGAAGCTGACGCAGGCCTGGTTCCACAACGGTAATTTCTCGGCGGAACCAACCGTCGCCGGGATCGTCCTTAGTCCTCCCTAATCGTCCTCACCTCAATCGTATCTTCGTTGGAATAATCACGGGATGATTTCCCCTCCCCTACCGGATGAGTTGCATACTATAAAATAAGTGGTGATCAAAGTATCTGCAAACGGCAAAGGTCAAAGGAAAACCACGGAGGACGATTGATGGCGGTAGTAGAAGATGTAACCTCAACCGCGTTCAGAAGGATACATTCCGTTCTCTGAGGATTTGAAAAAGGCCCGAAGAAGGCTCAAAGTGGGTTAGAAAGGAGCGCAAGAAGTTGAAATCCTCTAAAACAAGATGCTTAACCCAGTTTCAGTCGCAATAGACGATGATGTCGATACCCTCAACGGACGCATCGCATCGGTCAAGCTGGATGAGAGAGAGGAGAATCCAGGTCGCATCAAGCAGATCAACCCTTTTGTGCCCTACCTGGAGAATGGGTCGCTCCGTCTTGTGGACGATTTAGCCCGAACGCTCATGCCGAAACACCTCAGCGGTTTGCAAAAAACCCGTTGGCTCGAGATCAACGAAAGTTGCCCGATCTACGTCGCGGGACGGAAATTCCAGATAAAATATGGGATATCAGAGGCAAGTTTCCAGAATTGGATAAAGTTACTTTGTGGATACCTGGACTTCCCGGTGATTCTATTACTCAACCCCAGCGGATTTGACGTTTCAGAGTATGAGGAAATGGTTCAACAGTCCCCAACGCTGCTGTGGTTGAAGGATAACCTCGAGATATTGAATCTCGAATTGCACGATGTGATTGTGTTGGACACGTTTCCAATGGTTACGGACGGATTATCGGAGTCATAGAAGTTCGCGGAGGATTGGTCTGAACTGGTGGCAGACTCTTTCGAGCCCACGTTGACGTGCCTGCGATACATCCGGCCGCAAATTCTGATCTCCTGTCAGTGCTGCGGCAAAGCGATTAACAAGAGATGGGGATCATTCGGAGACGTCCGAGCAACCGAGTTTTGTTCTTCGGAAGCCTGGGCGCGACAAGAACTGGTCAAGACAGTGGATATATACGGGCATCGAATGCTTGTGGTGCAAGGGGTTGATCCGCACAATATGGTGCAGTATAACCCAAAGATGGAAGGGATACTGAAGACGCTTCTCACGAAGGTGTTGGGACCCTTTGGGCAGTGGAAGGAGCGGCGGGTCACAGAACGGAGAGAAGCAGCCCAGAGGGAGGTGGTGTTGGCTCAAGATGGGATTACAATTGGGATGACAGTTCTGTTGAAGCAGATGGATTTGTTTGAACAGATCTGTAGGCATAAGAATGAAATCGAATTGACGGTAACGGTGGGAAGGGTGAAGGAGTGGCGGAAGCAAATAGAAAACTGGGCCTGTGAGATGAGTAGAATAGAAAGGTGTAATTAAAAGGGTGTGGTAAATTACCATTGACACTTCGCGGCCTTTCCCCAGCAACGGCGCGGCAGTTATTTACATCAACGGTGGCGCCAGTTGTGGACTACGCCTCCAATGTCTGGATGCACGCGTGTAAGGACAAGGCCGGGCCGATCAATCGAGTCCAAAGAGTTGGAGCACAAGCCATTGTGGGGACATTCCTCACGGTCGCGACCAGCGTAGCGGAGGCGGAGGCCCACATTGCCACCCCGCGCAACCGATTCTGGAGACGGGCCGTGAAGATGTGGACGGACATTTATACCCTTCTTGAAACAAACCCGCTCCGCAGAGGTACAGACCGGATCAGAAAGTTCAGACGATATCATCGCTCGCCGCTGTACCAAGTGTCAGATGCGCTTAGGCACATCGATATGGAGACACTGGAAACAATTGACCCGTTCACGCTGGCCCCATGGGACGAACGCGTACAGGCCAATATTGACGGACAACATGAGCCTCAGACTGAAGCGGGCGGGTTGATGCAGATCGCGGTCAGCAGCTCGGCACGGAACGAGCTGGTGGAATTTGGAGTCGCAATCGAGAAACAGCCACCTCGAAATCGAAAATTGAAGCTTAAAACGGTTTCCATCACATTGGGCGCGAGGGCAGAACAGAACCCGTTCTCTGCGGAGCTGGCAGCCATGGCACATGTGTTGAAAATGATAGTGGAATCAAGGACTACAGGACTACGTTGCTCACAAGCAACAAGGCGGCGGCGCTCACGCTAAGTAACCCGCGACGACAGTCTGGCCAGGAGCTTGTTTGTCAGATATACAAGTTGATGAGAAGGTTGCGGAGGAATGGAAACCGCATTAAATTCCACTGGATCCCTACTACCGAAGACAACAAGCTGTTAGGTCTGGCTAAAGAACAGGCCAGAACTGCAACACAAGAAGATGCTCTCCCACAAGAACACGTCTCGAGGATGAAGTCGACAACATTGAACATCGCACGGTCCCAAGCAGTCCCCAGCAGTGAGCTCCCAGAGAGCATAGGAAGACACGCAAAACGAGTAGATGCCGCACTGCCAGGCAAACACACCCGGCAGTTGTATGATCGCCTAACGTGGAAAGAAGCGAGCGTACTGGCCCAACTCCGAACTGGCATGGCTAGACTGAATGGATATCTCAATCAAATTGATGTAGCAGAGACGGACCAATGCGATTGCGGACAAGCAAGAGAGACCGTGGAACACTTCCTCTTCCGATGTCGGAAGTTGACTGCACACCGGACGGAAATGTTACAATGCACGCAGACTCACCGAGGAAACATATCCTTCTTCCTGGGAGGAAAACAGCCTTCTGATGATCAGAAATGGACGCCAAACCTAGAGGCAGTACGGGCCTCTATACGTTTCGCCATTGCGACAGGCCGACTTGAGGCCACTTGAACATGTCGACCAACATAACCCCCACCCCCTTTTTCCGACCCTACTTACCCACCCCCTCGTGCTACACATGGTAGACGCGCTTCAACTGCCGAAGATAGGATGTTGAACACTTGGAGAAGCGCCTTCAAGCCAGCCTACTAACCCACTTACTAACCCACGAGAACCTCGCTGCGACACTGCTTTCTGGAAATGTTATATGTTATAAGGTTTTATGTATGGGCTTTCAGGAGACACAGCATACACAGATGGACATGTACAGTAGATCAGTGATAGTTGCCCTTTCGGCTCAGCCGCCGGGCGTTAATGAATTGTTTGTTTGTTTGTTTGTACCATTGACATACCTTTGCTGACGTGGAAAAAAACCTCGGTCATGGATTTGTTTCAGAATGAGAATTTGATGTACTGGCTAGTTCAATAGAATTAATTGATTGAAGGTTGATTCCACCACAAAGTAGAAGATATAGACTTTCCAAGAGCGAGTAAGAAGATCTGCGCGTTCGTCAAATGCTGATTGTTGCGCTTCACCCTCGGCTGGGTAGACTGTCCTCACGAGCTTTACTACGTCGGGAACATTTATCTTTTGAAAGTCAAGTTGGGTGTGAAGAAGGTACAACAAATAGAATTCCTTGCCGCACAATGCCTTATCTGTGCATGACTTGTACTGGACAATGTAAAATACGGGCAGCGGACTATGCTATACTTGCCAGAGCTATTAAGCCACGTACTGGCTGATGCGATGACAACTGGATGAATCTCGATGTAGACAGATCTTAGCTTCCTCAAGCCATTGCTGGCTTAAGTACTAGTCCCCAACACCACGTAGAGGTGTCTGCCTTGTGTTGGAGGTCCTGGAAAAAAGGATCAGGTCTCATAGAGATTCGTGCCTCAACGCTGTGGGAGGCTACGGAATCCTCCTCGTTCCTCAGCTCAGGGGGAGGGCACGAAGGAAGACCAGTCCCGTCCCTCGACCCGAAGGGAGGCTACGGAGACCTCTTCGTTCCTCAACCCTAGGGGAGGTCACGAAGGAAGACCAGTCCCGTGCCTCGACCCGAAGGGAGGCTACGGTGACCTCTTCGTTCCTCAACCCTAGGGGAGGTCACGAAGGAAGACCAGTCCCGTGCCTCGACCCGAAGGGAGGCTACGGAGACCTCTTCGTTCCTCAACACAGGGGGAGGGCACGAAGGGCAGATCAGTCCCGTGCCTCGACCCGAAGGGAGGCTACGGAGACCTCTTCGTTCCTCAACCCTAGGGGAGGGCACGAAGGAAGACCAGTCCCGTGCCTCGACCCGAAGGGAGGCTACGGAGACCTCTTCGTTCCTCAACACAGGGGGAGGGCACGAAGGGCAGATCAGTCCCGTGCCTCGACCCGAAGGGAGGCTACGGAGACCTCTTCGTTCCTCAACCCTAGGGGAGGGCACGAAGGAAGACCAGTCCCGTACCTCGACCCGAAGGGAGGCTACGGAGACCTCTTCGTTCCTCAACACAGGGGGAGGGCACGAAGGGCAGATCAGTCCCGTGCCTCGACCCGAAGGGAGGCTACGGAGACCTCTTCGTTCCTCAACCCTAGGGGAGGGCACGAAGGAAGACCAGTCCCGTACCTCGACCCGAAGGGAGGCTACGGTGACCTCTTCGTTCCTCAACCCTAGGGGAGGTCACGAAGGGCAGATCTGTGAAAAAAAATACTCATTAGGGGTTGTTTCTGCCTTTTATCACATTTTTGTACGGCGACCAGTAGGAACAAATTGTGCAGCACCTTTCGCCCAGCCCCCGGTGGGACCAGCTGAATTCAACCGGAGTACGCTCAAATAGATTTTGCGGAACATTTTCATGATCCTCAATGACCCATTTCAATCAAATCCATCTCTTTCATGACACTCATCCCGCGAGATTATGGAAATCGATTCTTTTGGTTCACTGACTGCCAGTCCCTGACATTTCAAGTAAGCCCCTGCGCATCCTGTTTGACTTTTGTGTGCCTCGCTTTTCTGCAGAAACATTGAGGAAGGTTCTTGAGCACTATCCACTACATCAATTCATCTTCACAACTCGCTTGCCATTCTAGATAGTCATTAAACAACAATATGGTTAAGCCTATGAAACGTCCAACGTAGGAGCAGTAAGGACCGTACAGCTATACACCTATATTCGCTTGGATAGGTTCGCCAGATCCGACGCCAATTTAGAAGAATTGGCTCCCACATCCTCTAAGCTCGCTCGCATGTCCCGGAAGAGATGGTGGAGTATATGGACTTCCTTCTCTAGCTTTTTGATTCTAGACCGTGCCTCCTCTAGCTGACCAACCATCTCGTCAGAATGTGACTGAGGCTTGCTGAGTGGTGAACCTGCATATCTTTCTGTTCTCCTTGACCTTCGATTTCGCCGCGCCCGAAAGTACCGGCCCTTAGGTACACCCTGCGAAGAAGAATCGGATTCTTTCCCAATACGTTTCATGTCGGAAGGCTTTTTCGTCTTGTAACTCGACTGTTGGATACCCTATCTCCGTATCAGTACCCATTCTCCGGAACCTATGTATCAGGACAGTTGGGAGCTTCTACCATGTAAGTGCTCCGCGGATGAGATATGTCGTGGCCTGAGGGCGGGTTCCTAGTGGTCGTGTGAGACTCCGGCAGCTAGGAATGAAGGGAAAGAGAAAACAGAGGAGAGTGAAGAAGAATGAAAACCCGAGCCAGCAAGCTGATCTTGTGTGTGCGTAACCGCCAATTTCTCCCTGGGGAGCTAGAACAGCACCGAGGTCCACCGGCACCCGCCTAGCTTCTCCCACGGATGCAGCCGGAACGGAAAGCGCTCTGGTCACCTGTGGCTATCTGCTGCTGCAGGATCATAAAGGTTTTGCCAGCTTTAGTCGCGACTGCAAGACATTGCTAAAAAGCAGATACACCAATGATTCGGTACTCCCGAAGCCGGCCGCGCGTGCTGTGGAAATGAAATTTCTAGGCGACTATGACGATCTTCCCCACCAGGTGAATCTTGTAAGCCAGTATCTGATACAGGAGCGCGAGATGTGGGGGGTGGAGGAAGCCGTTCATTCCTGATCCGCACGCAATGACCGGGCGGAGAAGTATTTGACCTAGCGAGTGGGGCACCACAAAACGCACTATTGAAAGGTCCCATCGTCGGAATAAGCCGACTAGATGGCCAGTGCACCTATACGACATGGAGAATCCGAGATGGAAGCATGTTTGTCTCAACCGGCATGGTCCACGCCGACGGACTAAGGACATTTGCCATGACCATATTCGGCGACAATGCAAAATGCAACTGTCGATTGCGTGTTTGGACGTTAGAAATATATTTTTGTTGGAGCACATCAGGTTGGCTCGGGTAGCTAGTCTGCGATACGCAAATTTTCAGTTCCACGCTAGAGATCCAAAGGAGGTGTTGATGTAGGCTTTTAGGTGGGAATTGATAATTTTAGAGACCGACTAGAAAGCTAGGTATACAGCTTGAGCACATATGATAAAAGTTCAGACAGTCAGTAAAGATTCAGGTGTTTGTCAAAGGCGGAGGAAAAACTATACAAGCGAAATTGCATATCAAGTGTTCGCATAGAATGTGTTCAAATCGACAAACTTAAATACAAAAGTGCGCGAACAACGCTGTGTTAATTACTGTATAACGAAATTGGAAGATCTGGAACACAAAAAGTGCGCAAATCATAACTTCTGGTGAGACTTTCTTACATGGACAAGCTCATAGCCGGGTGACAAGGGTGATACGCTGTTCGTTGTTTAAATTTGATCATATAGTAAATGAGGGATCAACTAGCAACGGCGATACACCAGGGTAAGCGCAGGGTGGATACCTACCTCATCCACCGGAATTGCCTAGATCAAAAGCTAGCACAAGATGTCGCCACTTTGAAAGTCAACGTTTTGGCCTAGTTGATTAGTCCGGTCGAACCAAGTTGAGCAAATGAATGAATGAAAAAGAATTCGGAAGCTAAAAGCTGCGGATCCCCCGAGTCTAGAGATGCAGACTCTGGAATCACTTACCTCTGGCAAATGTAATCAGCAGCCTCTCCATTCCCTCATTGTCCAACATGCCCAAAATCCCAACACCTGCCCGAAAGCCTGCAATGCCCACTCGAGTCGTTCGCCCAGCGGTGGGATCGGGTGTCCCCACAACCCATATGCACCGCCAATCGGCCGCGAAAGTTGTTCGCCCCCGCGTTTACGCCCCCGACGTGAGCGAGACGCAACCTATGGTATGTCTCACCAACTCGCCAGATCAGTTTTTGGAATGAAGAGAAACTGACTATTGTGGGTTGGTTGAACAGGAACCGACGGTGCGAGACACGCGGTCGACGGTGCGAGCCACGCGGTCGACGTCGCGAGAGAATGACGATGACGATGAATTCGAGATCGTTCATGCGAACTGTACCAAAATGGTTCAGACGGCCAACGAGCGCAACCAACAGCTCAGGACGCATATCGCTGCGCAACGGCAGGAGGCCTCGGAGGCTGCACAGAAGTTTGGTGCGGAACGGGCTCAGCTGAACGCAACGATCCGGCAAGTCGGCCTGGAGAGACACAAATTGGTAGATGAACTCCGAAATGCGAAAGAAGAGATCCTCAGCCTGCAGCGGCGGCTGGATGTCGCCGATGCTGATGTCCAGAATCGGATCACCCGCGAGGAACTCAACAAGACTCTCAAGGAGATCCACGCGGCCTCGGTTTCCGTGACAAAACAGGTGGCAACGAAGATCAGCGAGTCTGACAACATATACTTTAGTTCCTGCCTGCCTTCCTCGGATGTGGGTCAAGGCCTCTGGGCCGGCCAGGGCGAGCACTTTGGCCTGCCGGACGATCCCCTTCTGTCGGCAGACCTGGGCCCTATGCCTCCCTCGTTAGACCCACAGGATCTGTCTCAGTTTGATTCCTATGTGGCGATACCTTGATCTCAATAGGCATGGCAAATTAAAATTCATAGTGAAATCAACGTAATGCACTCCCGCTCACCTTGACGTCTGTTACAAACTTCTTCATATGGCTTTATCGCGGTCATAAAATGCGGCAAAGTCCGCATACGGCGCGAGGACCTAGCGTCCAGTCGGAATAGGCAGGAAGACGCGCAAAAGGACGAAACGGGCGGCCTCAGTGGGGCGAATAAGGGGCTGCCACCTTGCTCATTTGGTGAACTGGTCGTCGGGTTAGCACGTATATCAGGGATGACTGTATCGCGCGACAGGGGGTGGGTGGATACGCATCGCTTGAATAATAGACCCACCTCGATCTATCTGCTGGGGTAGGTTCAAAGATTTGCCGAGGTTAGCGCGCCAGCTGCCCTTTCGTAATCCAAGCTCCACCGTTCATGCACGCTCCCTGCATCAGCCTGTGCCTTAAATGAACTACACTTCTACAACCCCTGCAAAAGACCATCGGTGCTCCAGGCAGTCGGGCATACCTTCGTTGTATTGTAAACAAGTGCATATGACACGGTTCTAGCCGATCTGCTGTAGAATCGATTGTGTGGGGTGCGCCGTGCTTCGTAGTTTTTGAGCAGTAAACCTGTAGAGCCCGGGTAAGTGTTTGCGTAAGCTGTGGGTCTGGACCATCGGAACCATGGATACTCAGCGCGCTTAGAAGATAGCGCGGCCCAATTTGGCCATACCATTTCTTTGTCAGCGCTGATTGACTACTATTTACGACAGGGGGGCTCATCAGTGGATCCTGTGATTGGTCCGGTATCACGTGAGTCAGGGGGAAAAAGTACAATCGCCGATCTAGGAACAGCGCACAGTCGGATTCTCTAGCCTGATCTGTGCGCGACGATCGGGCTTGCTAGCTGGTGAAGCTTGTTAGCGCATAGTGGCGTCAAGTGAAGTAGTCCATTCCCCGAAATGCAGCCACTAGGTGCAAGCTGTTTTTTCCAGGTGTAGCCTAGACGCAGCCCACAAAATAACCGACCACTTGTACTATGAAGCCTTTGATATCGCAACTTGACCAAGGCCACGGAGGTGCCACTATCAGGACCGTGCTGGCCGGTAGCCGGCTGATACGTTCCACACATCTTCCATCAGCGTGAGTCCTCGTCTTTCACGACGCCCATTTCTGCTCTAATGTCGGTTCCCCGGATGCGCTTCCGGGTAATCATCGACCGATAAACTGGTAGGTAGAATAGTGAGCAAAATCTGCGTCGGCGTTGACCACCGGTATTCTGCTCTGGACCTCACTGGTAGGGCGCTAGTGTGATAAAATTGGCGGGCACAGAGCGGATACATACCGAGGAAGAATGTGAACATGAACATGACAAATACTACATTCATTTAGTCTAGGTAGTGGGGCCGGAAATTAGAAACCCAGGGTTTGGAGCGGATGCAGATTTTGCTCATGGCTGGGTTACACGGCACGGGTCGAGGCTTCAAGGCTCCACATTACCGTTAGTGGATGAGCGTGCTTTCTAGGCGACGCAAAATTGTCAGGATGTGGCCCTTCAGCGATTCCGTTGGAATGATTTCCCGCCAAGCTCCCTTCAGGGTATAGCGGGACGGCACGGGGAAGAAGCCGAAAAGCTAGGATTCCATCAACCAGGCGAACCAGGCGACGAGACGGTGATATCCACTAGTCGTGTCCTGACCCGTGTTGGGGCGGAACAGACTCACTTGTACTCGGCTGCTACGCTTGTAATCTCGTTTGAGTGACTGAAATGCCGACTAAAAGTGCACTAGAAGGGGCCTATGGGATAGGATCCATGTCGCGATAGCACAACATCCAGGAAGATTGTCCGAGAATTTTGCAGGACAAGAAGACTAGAGTTCGTTGGGTATGTCTAGACCCGCCTAAACCTTGATTATCCAGCGAAG